AGGACCTTGGCAAAGTGACAGTGATTCAGGCTGGCTCGGTGCTGTCCTGCTGGTGCTGGAGTCAGCTGAACCGGGCCTGACTTGGTCTGTTCAACGGTAAGGTTTTTCTTTTTTGCCTCAAACGGGCCTCGGGATTTGCCTAGGGGAACAAGGTGAACAATAGGGGCGATGTGTAGCGAGAGGGGTCTGTTGCCGCCTCTGTGGAAGCTTGATCACCAGGACGTGACTCCGCAGCTCGTGTGCATCGTATGTCAGTACTTCGTACATTGTAATCTAATCGGTGATTTAGAGCGAGTGGCCTCGAGGGCGATTATGCGCGTGAGGTATCAACTTGATGGGATGACCCGCATGATGCCATGATGACACACGAGGGGGGGAAGGGAAGAAACGGGGAGCGCAGAACTATAGAGTTCGGTCGGCCGAGCCGGCGATTGTAGGAAAGGGGAGGGGGGAAAGCTAGGAGCGCATGAAAGCCAATTACTGGGCCCAAGACGGTTCACGGGTGGGGTCTACGAGTATCTGGAGAAAAGGAAGGGAGAACGATGGGAGGAGTCGATGCAAACCAGAGCAAGAGCAGGGTCTCTCTGGCCCCGTTAGGGTTTTGGAGAACCAGAGAGGGGCGCCAGTTTGGCGGATCCCTTGGGTCGGGTTGGTTAAAGGACCGCAGGGGCAAGGGGAGGTGGTTAAGCCCTGGTCTACAACCCCATACATGATAATTCTGCTACCCGCTTCTATCCGTTGTCCGCTCGATTGCTAGAGGCGTAGGCTAAACCGGCATACGGTATCCGAACTATAGAGCGTAACGACAGAGAAGACGGAGACTAGATCGGTCTGAGGTTAGGGCCAACGCTAGTCCTGAGATACTCAAAATATGATACGCCTGGACGATACTCCCACTGAAGCTAAGGTGCTAAATATACCAGCATCCGACAACGCTGATTGGAGGCATCACCGCACTGGGGAAGGCCTCGGAAGTCTATCCAGATCAGTGATTGGGCTTGTTGACATGGATAGCGTTGACCTCCCCCCCCTAGCCTTCCGTTGCTTTCCTTACTGTTCCCTGCTCGGGAGAATAATAATGAATAATAATGGTAGGAGGAACAGGAGGAGGTTGGGGCCATGAGCAACTCCTAGCCGCTGTGCCGTCTAGTAGTCCTGTCGTCCTGTCCTGGACGGCCTGAGAAGAGGCTGTGCAGCCGTCAGTCACGGAGGCCGGGAGAGGGAGATTAACGGGTTCAATTGGATACCCTCACGTAAAGATAGAATTGGCATGAAGTCACGACACGATTGAAGGGTCCTCTCATGACTCCCGATACTGTCTCTTTTTGGATAATGGGATAGGGGGATAGTGGGATAGGGATTCCTGCTGGTTGGGCTGAATCTGCCGTGTCCGTGGTTCTTCTGCAAGCTCTGCCCTTTTTTTTTGGCTGCTCGACCCGCTCCACTTTTCCTTGCGGCGCAGGCCGCCGGATTGGTGTTTATTCCGAGGCGCTTTCCCTGTTGCTCCCTTTCTATTTTGGAACTTTTTTTTGATACCTTTTTGGTTCTTGCGAGCTTCCCTCGTGTCCTGTTCGTATTACCTACATTGTACCTACGGTCGCCCACGTTCCCCCCCCTCCTGCCTAGCATCTTCACCGGCAGACGCAAAATTCGATCGATGTATCCAGGGTTGACAAGTCTTGGTGAAGAAGATGGAACCCATAGCCCATCAGTCGTAGTGAATTAGCATATGAGGATATTATGCAATGAGAGAAAAGACGGGAAAAACTGACATTCCGATCGAGTATCACGTCCGACCAGGAGATCCAGAGGATCTCCTGGTCGGACGCCTCGGAAGTGCAAGTCGAGCGGCTTCCGGCACGCTGGGCCCCCGAAGTACCAGCCCCAAGCCCTCCCCCCAATTGGTTGGTGTCGGCCTGTGTGGTCCTCGAGGGCCGTTAAGGGACAAGGGTCGATATCCAGAACCTCTCGCGAGGCTCTCGTGAGGGCTGATTGGAAGAACGGTTGGGTTCCCGGGCTGGACTGTGTTACTCGATAATAATAGCCCTTCGGCTGCTCGGTCATCATGATCGTGGGATGTGATGGCCCATGAGTTGAGAGGTGATGATTTCATAATACCGCCCGTACCAAACCTAGAGGTTGGGCGTACCCCCAGTTCGACGTCGGTTGCTCTGTGCATCCCCCGCCACGATTTCCCACTAGTCCCCTAGTCTGTCTCGCTGGGGGCGAAAGGTGGACCAACCCCCCAAAATATTGTGAGAAAAATCGAAATCCGACTTTCCTGATGTAATAATCCTGATTTTTTTTGGCAGACTTTTTTTTTGGAACCCAAAAATCTATTTTCCCGAATCGGTGCAAGCGTAAGACTGTTTACTCCACAGGTCGCCGGGCCCTATACAGTTTAGCCCGGAGGGATTGCACTCTGACCTGCTCGGGCTGCTAATAATAATCATCGCTCGTATATGGCCCTCGTTGCTTTTAACCCTTCGCCATCCTTGCTTCTCTTTTCCCCTCCTCCCCCCCTTCCTCTTTGATCCTGTTTCCAAGGCTCGATACTATTATGACACCTTGAAGGTCCACACATTCGCTCACCACGTTCGCTCTTACGCTCGCTTTTTGCTGCTACGAGAACCACGTTCGCTACGTTAAAATCGATTTTAATCCATTAGTTTGGACTGAACGAAATCAACTATCAAAAACCAACAACCGCCCCCCTCCCCCCATCCCCCAAAAACCAAAAAGAAGTCCGGCAAGGACTTTTTTTTCTTTTAAAAAACATCCCTTCACCAAATAGGACCCGGTTATACTCCGAATATTCTTTAATATTTAATTATTTCGCATCCTTGCGCCCCCAGTGATTTGCAGCTGGACACCCTTGATTCTCGATCGTGCTCGATATTCGCCCGGAGGAAAGTCAAGTGGGGACTTTGATTCAGTGCTCGAGCTGGTCGGCTTCGGAAATTGTGCCCTCCATCGCCGGGCTCGTTTGCGTTCGCTTTATCAACTTCAGTAGAGTGCGCCGTTTGCCTGGGCTTGCCGACGAACCCTCCGTTTCAAACCCGATCTACGCTCCGGGCCCGCGAACAGATCTATCATCTAGTATCGGGAGCATTTAGGTCGTGATTCTGCGTGATCGCGCTCCAATTCAACGTTCACCTCATCCCGCCGATCTAGATTCTAGAGCGTCGATTCTCTGGATTTGAGATTGGCTATTGTCTCGGCTGAGAGCACATCAGATCAACCAATCTATTGGAAAGGTCTCAGAGACGAAAGCTTCCCCTCGCTCAAACCCGACTATCAGAGGAAAATAGGTGAGCAGCCAATTCGCCCCAACTGCATTTGTTCATTTGCGGCCCTCTCCACCTCCCCCCTCCCTTCGCCCACGGTCTCACTTCTCCCCTCGTGCCTTGCATTATTTCCTCTTTGAGGGCCCGACTGGATCTCCTTGCAGCCGGAAATCGTGCCTCTCGGATCTACGAACGGGTCGGGAGATGACGAGCGTCAGGGCATCACTGCCGGACCAGCTTCCCCGTTTCCATAGTTCCTATAGTTCATTTCTGGCCATCACCACCTTCCTTCGTCCTGTGTTTGTTGTTGACATCAATCCCGGTTTAGGAGTCGTCTCACGCGCCACGGATCTGGCATATTAGACCACTATTCGACGACACTTCGAAGGGGTTTTATTTTGTCTTTCGTTGTGATTCACCTGGTGAGTGTTTTCCTCTCTTACTGGTTATCCGGGCTTCGTGTCTATCTCCCACCCCACCCTTCTTCCGCCTTCTGAAGTGTCTGGCTGGCGAGCTTCTCTGGTCCCGCGAGCTGTCTGGGGTTGCTTGGTCTCTTGTCTCAGCAGTCTATGCATCGATCCGGGCTTCTCCCTCGCCCTCTTGTCGGTGCCATCCACAAAGTTCCAGGGGGTCAAAGCAAGCCAAACCCATCACCGAAAAAGAAGGAAGAAAAAGAAAAGAATTAAAAAATCAAACTCCCGAGGAAAAGAATTGTCAGGCTCATTGCCGTGAATTAGGTTCCGCATCGTGTCTCTGCTGTCATCTCGTCGACCTATCCACTTAAAGCATTCCCGAAACCTCATCCGGGAATAGGAAACGAAAAGGAAGCAAGTCAAACCTCACCAGTCCAAGCAGGATATCCCCAACAAAAGCGCGGTGAAGGTCCGATCCTTACGCCCAACACCTCGTGCCCGTCCCAACTCTCGGTGGCGGTTCTGTTGTTTCGGCCCTCGTTGGATGCGATAGGTCCTTCTCACGTCTCTCTCCGACTTTATGAACCTTTGGGCACTACGTGATTTGAATTATCTGCTGCAGCTATCCTTGTCCTAAGCTCCGTCTAAGTGGTTCATCGCGCCGCTGGATGGTCATTCGAGGCCTTTGCTTACCGACCTTACCGTGAGACTAACTTGACCGCAAAGCTTCACGTCGCTCGTTCTGTCTTGGAGAGCCCCTTTTCGTGCTCGACCTTTTTTTTGGAATAAATTCCCAGTCATTCGCTTTCCCAGAGTATTCGGTCTTGTTGCAGTTGCTGCAACACCTTCAAGCTGGCTTACTCGAAGACACACGGTGTTTTGGTGAGATCCCTTTTTCCGCTTGTCTCTGGTTCTGCATCACATCTCGTCTGCTTTCTTGTTTTTTGTCTCTTTTTTTTGAGTCGTGTCTGGTTTCTGGTGCCTGCTTCGGCTCGTGGATATCCGCAGGGTTAACCAGAAACCGACCCGTCTGTCTCTCTCTCGCTCTCTCGTTTGAACTGATCCCCGTGGTCTTTGGTGTCGTTTCCCCCCTACTTCGTTTGGTCTTGCCGGAACTGCTTTGGGTTTGTGAAGAAACAAGTGTACTGACTCGATTTCTCCGGCTTCGCCCTAGTTCGACCCGGATTTCCAAACGCCTCTCATTCTAGGCGAGTCGTTGGATTTCTCGGATTCAGAAGAGTCACAGTTCGTCGGTGCGTTCTCAGACGGCCTGTGGGCCAAGTCTGAGCCTCTTCTGTCTATGTCTAGTTTCCAGAAGCCCGGTGCCGGCTCAGTCCTCGGTATGTAGCTCTTTGGCCCGTGTGGCACCATGTGTTCTGACCGAGACCATCCACAGATTACGCCTCCACGCGGTCTTTGCATGATGCTGGCTCATATTCAGCCTATGGCCAATCCCCTTACGTGACCACGTCGCTTGTCCCCTCCCCCATGGCAGACCAGGCTAGCCAGATCTCAGACTGTGTGCCATATATGCCCAACAACGACTACGCCAGCTCGTATGAAGAGTCTCACTCTCCTATGCTTGGCGCCCGGTCTCGCCAGCTGCCTGAGATCGTTACATATAGTCCCCAGCGCGGTTGCGAGGGCACCCGGGTACTGGTGCAGATTCAGTCTCCCTTCGACCTGCATAGCTCCTCCTACGGAACATTGTATCTGGTGTTTGGATCTAAGAAGTGCGAGTGCATTCCTCACTTTCTGGGCTTTCAGGGTTCAACTTTCCAGTACGGCCTTTCTGTTGATGCGCCGCCGTTTATCACCACTGGTTCCCCGTCCTTTGCTGTCCCTCTCCAGGTCTTCATGGAGACTCAGGGCGAACAACCGGCATCTCTGCAAGTCGGTGTCTACACGTACGAGCATGTTCCTCACCCATCGCCCTCTGGAGAAACCCGAAAGCGGAAGCTCTCGTCCTATTCCGATCACCCTGTCTCTGCTGCTCCTTCGAAACGAGCGACTGGACCAGTGATGCCCAAGATAGAGCCCCAAGAAAGCTATGCGTATCGGGATCATCGTTCGGGATCATTCCCGATCGCTCTGCAGCCTCCGGCTGCGATGACCGGTTTCGTTGCTCCTTTTCACGCTGCTTCGTCTCCACGTACCGGGTCTGGCCACTATCCAGCGATTTCCGCAACTCCTCAGTCGACTATGCGCGCACCATCTCCTTTGACGCCCGCCTGGAGCCCCTCGTTCGGGTCCGTCACCAGCGATGTCCGGGCCCCCAGTTTGGCTATGGCTCACGGAGTCTCCCAGCACAAGGGTCCGTCCTCCATGCGCTCCTCAAACCCAACCTTGATCCGTACCTCCACTCTCCAACAGGCCTCCGGACTTGGTCATAGTCCCGTCTTCAACCCCTACGCCATTTATCCGACCAAGGCTATCCTGAAGCTGAACGGCAACCTGGATGCTATGAGTGATGACTGGAGCAAGGAAGAGCGGGAATCGCAGCGTCGTCTGGTACAGTTTACTCGCTCTCAGACTGGAAGTACTATCCACACCGACTTCAAGGCCGTGAGCCCTGAAGAGCGGACTCCCAACAGCATCTGCATCAGCTGCATCCTGTGGGAGGGTAAAGGCGAGTACTATGTTACCAGTGTGGATACAATCTACCTGCTTGAGTCATTGGTCGCCGTGCGCTTCACCGTTGAGGAGAAGAACCGCATCCGACGAAATCTGGAGGGATTCCGCCCGCTCACAGTTTCGAAGGCCAAGCCAGATAGCGAGGAGTTCTTCAAGGTCATCATGGGCTTCCCTGCTCCCAAGCCGCGCAATATCGAGAAGGATGTCAAGGTCTTTCCCTGGAGGATTTTGAGCCATGCTCTACGAAAGATCATCGGGAAATATGTAAGCTCCCATTGAATTTCATCCATCAACGAACCCCATTCACTGACAATGTCTCTAGTCTGCCAGTTATTCGTCTACTGCGGGTGCGCTCCCGACGCCAATCACCAATTATGCCAGCCACGGCACTGGGTCAGACTCTGGCACCGAGCCCCATGGTGCCGGCTCTCCTCAGTCGGTCTCCGATGCTGGCCCAGTGAGCAACTATACCACAGCCATTCACGCTCCAGTATACACATCACAACCAGATCAATCTTGTGCCTCATTGACCGCAGCTCCCGATCTCCGGTCCATGATGCCTGCCGCTACTCAGCCGTATAACTCCATGGGTCATTACTCTTATCCAGCCATGTGCCAGCCTCAGGGCGCTCACGGCTTGGTAGCCCCAACTCCCCGGGCTTCTTGGGAAATGCACATGGGACTTCCAGCTCCCTCCACGGGTGTTCAAAGTAGTACATGCTACGCCTACATGGACCCGGCATACTCTATTCACGATCCAGCTTCCGGCGCTTGATCTCGCTCGATCGACTCTCTTGGGACATTTTATCGCGTTTGTCTCTTTTAATTGTTTTTTTTTCTTTCTCATTTTATATTTCTTCCCCCTCTTGCTCCGTTGAAGATACACGATTTTCTTTCCTGTCACTCCTTTGTTACCGCGCCCAGACCGCGTCCGCCACGCATGCTGATTTTCATCAGAACGCGATGGTGTTGCTTGTTTTTACGATTTGACGTCTCTCCTTACACACACTTATAATGCCTGAATGCCCCCGAAGCCACCCTATTTTTGCATATTGTTCTGATCACCACGGTTTGAGACCTGTTCGTTGCATTTTTGTTCTAGACGGTGTCTTGTTCATTCCTTTTTTTTTTCTTGTTTTCGGGTTGCATCCCCTTTTGCCGGGCATTTTGGGCTTCCTCTCCTTTACACACACATATCTGGGCTATTGTACGAGTACTTGGCATAGCATGGGCGCTGCAGTCATTCCTTTTGCATTCGCAGGACGGATTGGGATAGATTTTGGGATTTTGGGATACCTGGAGAGCTGGGGAGTCACGCTGTTGTCGATTTCCTCTTTTTTTTGCTCTCCTGGCGCATGAGGAGCGGTAGCTCATCGCGATCAAAGTCATTTCAAGGTCCAGAAGAGTGTCACCCGATTCTCCTTTCTAGCCTTGTCATGTCCTTGATTCGGTGTTCTCCGGGCTCTTTTGATAATTTTTGGGGAGTTTTATTCGCTACTTGTTTTGAGCTGAGGGTTGTTTTTATTTTTGCTGCATTGTTCTGGCGTTTTGGGGAAATCTGGCCACTTGTGGAGCCATGTTCTGTATTCTGGCTTAATCCATAGTTTCAAGTGATCTTTTTTGACCTTCACATACCATCTTTGTATCAAGTATCCGTAACTCAGATCTCAATTATGTCAGTTTTTTTTCTACCGAACTGATTTGCCTTAACATGACACATCTGTCATGCCATAGACCTAATCGCCAAGTGTCAATTAGCTTCTACCAATCACTTCTCTGCCGCGGCCGCGAAATTTCGCAATTACCCCAGCTCCGATCCCGGTCAGATCGTAGGGTGATTAATCGCTACATATTATCGAATCTCCGATTCAATTGCTTGACTTGTCGCACGCAGATCAGGGACAAACTATCTATCTACAAACATAAAAACCATTCAGCTGCATCAACTACCTACCTTGTGTCACCAATATAGCTCCAACTTGCAGACGACCCACTCATCTAATGCGCTGACTCAGCGCTATCTTATCGCCACACGTGATCTGCGGGGCGAAACCTGCGAAAAAGGAAGTCTCCATTGAGTCACACAGCGGCTTCACCTTCAACTCCTGCATTGGTTTACTCCGAATCATTGAGTCGCACAGGGCTCTTACGATTCTTTCATTTATACCTCCTCTTTGTCGCCATTGACCCTCACATCCTCCCATTTTTCCCATTCTCACATTCCTTTTGCTCCGCGCTGCCTCACATACCCACCTTCATTGAACATGGAGGCCATTAAGCAGACCTTTGCCAAGTGCAAGGAGCAGCGGCGGGCCGCCCTCGTGGCATACATTACTGCCGGATATCCCACTGTCGAGGAGGCCGTCGATATTCTGTTGGGATTGGAGAACGGCGGTGCTGGTACGTGGCCCCGGAAGTTGGCGGGGTAATTAGTATATGACGGGTCTTCGAACTGACGATTCCTCCTCACCATGCAGATATCATTGAGCTCGGAATTCCTTTCACTGACCCGATTGCCGATGGCCCTACCATTCAAAAGGCCAACACCAAGGCCCTCGACAACGGCGTCACCCTCACAACCGTCCTTGGATTTGTGCGTGAAGCGCGAAGCCGGGGATTGAAGGCCCCGCTTCTTCTGATGGGCTACTATAACCCTGTTCTTCGATACGGCGAGGAGCGCATGCTCAAGGACTGCAAGGAGGCTGGTGTCAATGGTTTCATCATGGTCGATTTGCCCCCAGAGGAGGCTGTCCGCTTCCGTGACCTCTGTGCGAGCACCGGGTAAGTGACAAGTTGGTGATATTTCGTTGATATTGGTACGCTTCTCAGGAGAGCACGCTAATTTTCTTTTGAAAATAATCTATAGTCTTTCATACGTTCCCCTCATTGCCCCCGCCACCTCCGATTCCCGCATGAAGCTTCTGTGCAAGATTGCCGACTCCTTTATCTACGTCGTGTCCCGTATGGGTGTGACTGGTGCCACCGGAAAACTGAGTGCCAACATCCCTGAACTTCTGGGCCGTGTCCACGAATACTCTGGAAATGTTCCCGCGGCTCTCGGGTTTGGTGTCAGCACCCGCGATCACTTCCTGTCCATTCAAGATACCGCCGAGGGTGTCGTTATTGGCAGTCAGATCATCACCGTGGTCGGCCAGGCTCCCGCTGGTCAGGCTGCCAAGGCTGCTGAGGAATACCTCTCTAGTGTTACTGGCCGCAAGCTTGAGCGTAATGAAGAGGGATCCCTCACCCATGAGATCAATGTCCTCGAGGCTGTTCAGAAGGCTCTGCCCACTGCCGAGACTCAACCCACCAAGGTCATCACCGAGGCCGACACCCCCGCTGGTCCTGGCCTGGGTGACCAGCTCGAGGCCCTGAATGTCACCAAGGACCCCTCTTCCCAGCCTTCGCGCTTTGGTGAGTTCGGTGGTCAGTACGTTCCCGAGTCTCTCATGGACTGCCTGGCCGAACTGGAGAAGGGTTTCGACGTGGCCCGCAATGACCCCAAGTTCTGGGAGGAGTTCCGCTCCTACTATCCTTACATGGGTCGCCCCAGTAGCCTTCACCTTGCCCAGCGATTGACCGACCACGTTGGCGGTGCCAACATTTGGTTGAAGCGTGAGGACCTGAACCACACCGGTAGCCATAAGATCAACAACGCTTTGGGCCAGATTCTTATTGCCCGTCGTTTGGGCAAGACCCAGATTATTGCCGAGACCGGTGCTGGCCAGCACGGTGTCGCGACCGCTACCGTTTGTGCCAAGTTCGGCATGAAGTGCACAGTCTACATGGGCGCTGAGGATGTCCGTCGTCAGGCTCTCAACGTTTTCCGCATGAAGCTCCTTGGTGCTTCCGTTGTGGCAGTCGACGCTGGTAGTCGCACCCTGCGTGATGCCGTTAACGAGGCTCTCCGTGCCTGGGTTGTTGAGCTTGACACCACTCACTACATCATCGGCTCTGCCATTGGCCCCCACCCCTTCCCGACTATCGTCCGTACCTTCCAGTCCGTCATTGGTGACGAGACCAAGCAGCAGATGAAGGAAGCTATTGGCAAGCTCCCCGATGCTGTCGTCGCCTGCGTCGGTGGTGGCAGCAACGCCGTTGGCATGTTCTACCCCTTCTCCAAGGACCTCAGCGTCAAGCTTGTCGGCGTTGAGGCTGGCGGTGACGGTGTTGACACTGCGCGTCACTCTGCCACCCTGTCCGGTGGTTCAAAGGGCGTGCTGCACGGTGTCCGCACCTATGTTCTCCAAAATGAGCACGGCCAGATTTCTGAGACCCACTCCATTTCTGCTGGCCTCGACTATCCCGGTGTCGGTCCCGAGCTGAGCGCCTGGAAGGACGCGGACCGCGCCACCTTTATCGCTGCCGATGATGCCCAGGCTCTGGCTGGCTTCCGTGCCCTTGCTCAGCATGAAGGTATCATTCCCGCCCTTGAGTCCTCTCACGCTGTCTACGGCGCTATGCAGCTGGCCAAGTCCATGAAGAAGGGTGAGAACATTGTCCTCAACCTGAGTGGACGTGGTGACAAGGATGTCCAGAGTGTCGCCGACGAGCTCCCCCGATTGGGACCGAAGATTGATTGGGATCTGCGATTCTAAATATCTTTTCTTTTGATTTTTCGGCCACCCCCTTTTCGGCGTATAGTATTTCTTACTTTCCTTCAATTTTTCTTTTGAAGGATTACGTATAGTGTGAATCCCTCTTTTTCTCAAAACTTTCCTTGTTCCATTTTTCATATTGATGACAATTGCAATCATGCCTAGACGTTTTCTTGTTTCGATGATGCACGGGCCTTTCACACAAAAGCGTGTATTCTTTTTGGGTCATTTCTCCTTCTCTTTCTTACAGTGTTCTTTAGATCCCTCTCTATGTTTATACCAGGGCTCGATGAAATACACTGCGGATTGACATCATTTGGCTTCTCCCGTACTGTTGGGGCGGGGTTTCAACAAATTTTGATATATGATAGCGTAGAAGGGCAGTTGTGGTTATGGAGATGGATGTGCTTTCGATTTTTTGAAACTGTCGAGGAGAAGTTATTGAATACTGCGGGGATCCGTACATTCTTCTGTGCACCCGGCTACTCGCCCCCGAAACCGCCTCTCTTTCTCGTCTAAATCTTCCTAGGTCTTCGCCAAATTTGAGGAGAATTTCTCTTGCCGGCTTCTCTCGTCCTTGATCATGTTATATGTGGTATATACCAGCAGGGAGTGGGTCTTCGGACACTAGGGCTGCCGCAGTCTGGAACAGTTCTTCAAATCATGTCGTGGGCATGATGCTACCGGCTACATAAGATTCCGCACGGATTAGTGGGCACTACTAGTAGTATCAATGATAATCTGTGTTACTAATATTTGAGATTCGAAAATAGAAACAACTTGAAAAGTGCCATCAGTCTTCTTTGGACATTCTTACACTCGTAGAAATTACTATATTGAGCAGTGCCTTGTAGTGGAGTAAAGACCCCCAAACCCAAAATTAAGCGAAGCGCCTGGTTCTCTATCCATGTTGAATCCAACAATGTTGATTCAACAGAATTGATAGGATACTCTTTGGCCTCCCCCAAACCCAACATTAAACGAAGCGCCTGGTTCTCTGTCCATGTTCAACCCCAGAATGTTGATTCAACAGGATTAATAGGATTTTCTTTGGCCTAAATCAATTCGTATGCTACTAGTCCTTGAACAAGAGACACACTCACAGATACTACACGATATATTGAGCCTGTATCCATATTCCTTAGTCTGGTTTAGCTCCAATAAAATATATACGCGCCACATACCAACATTCCGTTTGTACCTGCACATGCATCTACTACCTTTTCCATCATACCTATTCATTCATAATTCCGGTGGAATATCTCTGTCAAAGAAAGAAATCATATTGAGAATGATATCCTTTTCTTCCCAACAGCGCAAGGTAATAGTGATAGATATGGGTAGCGAATAAAACAACGGTGCTATAGTATTAGGAATACTAAATATATGCCATTGTAGCGCCCGGCCCCTGGGATCAGTCGAGGGCGACAGTGAAAGGTTCACCTTTGTATCCATCACCGCAAAAACTTTTACATATTCATTAAATCAAGCATGTTGTGCTTTTGGTGTGGAATGGCGCAGTTTCATCCAAAGAAAGACAGAGAATAATCTCAGCTGTTAATTTAGTAATGCCCAATCGAGACGTGAAGCGATGGCTTATTAAGAGCGGTTTTATTTAATTAAATTCCAACTTCCTTCGCTTTCGCTTTCTTGTTGTTGCTAAATTATTTTTCTAAGGAAAATTTGCTATTATCAACAGGCTATCTCGATACTACATCGAAAAAATACTTTTGTAGGTATCATTACTCCAAGTGCCCTCCCTCCGATTAATATATTAACTTGAAAGCAAATAACTTAGGAATCACTATGCCAGTCTTAGCTATATTCAGTGTGGAAGCGAAGAAGTGGTATGATGAAGACGAGGCCAAAACTATTCTAACGAACGCTCTTGGATGGTATCAAAAGAACTATTTTAAAAAACCAACTAAAGGTTGAATGGCTTGTGATGGCTTCACATATGGGATTGGGGCATCGTATATCATGGAAGTCATTTTCAATGGACTACGCGAATTATTAGGAGGTGTCCCTCGAACCAAACCGGGAGTGACAGGAGACCCGACTGTATATACATGGGATTCAGACAAGGCAGCTGCAATGCGTAAATTCAGATCTGCTTTCAGAGTTCAGATAGTGTAAATCGCTTTGCTTGCTTTCTCAGGCCATGCCTATAGATTAGCCGAAAACGAACCAAGACAAAAATTCACCGTATTGGACTTTTCAATTTTTTAATACCATTATACAGTAACAGCAACCAAAGCATCTCACATATGTATCAAAGCCCAGTAAGTCATTTGAAAATATTTTAGTACGCCGAAGAAGAGGGCAGCCAAGAGCGCCACGGTGATCCTTTGATGGTCAAAGGTGAAAGAGTTTTTCGTAGAATTTAAAGGATGCAGTGGACAGGGATTGATCGGCCGACTACAAGGTATATTACATTACTTAAGATGTAAAGACCGCCTACTCGAGCCCTGTCACGTGAGTTTCCCATCAGTCTGGTTGCCCCAAGGTTTTGACCCCGAAATTATTCCAACTGTGATGGTGCCGTCCTTGGCTTTGAGGCGAAAACAATTGAAACTGGGGCTTGGAGCCCACTGAAAGTACACAGCACACACTCTGCCTCCAACCTACACCATTCGCCCTTGTTCATAGGTGAGGACCCGCCATTAGGTGCATCTGAGCCTCTGCTACACCTTCCTTTATCCAGCCATTTTGGGGGAGATGGAGCAGAAGGGTCAACTGCGCAGGCGGGGAGACTAGATTAAGAGTGACAAGCTGCAGGTGTACTAGAGGTGATGGATATAGACCGCCTCTACCCAGAAGACTCCAAGGATCAGGAGACGAATGAATAGAGTCCATCGCGGCAAATTCCTAGGGGATGCATTTCCGTTATTATTCCCAAAATGCACTGGGGTAATTGGATAGAAAAACCAACCACACAATATATACACCTTTATTAGATCCCACCTTTACAAGCTGTCACAGTATCCTACTATATTGACAGAAACTAAAGTCTTAGTTTAAAGCGAACTTAGGTAGAGTGTCAGAGATATGACTTGGCTGTTCAGGGGTAAGGTCTTTATTGCCGCCGAGATCTTCATACATGCGTGCGTGGGTCACCAGATGCAGTAGTAGATAAGCAAATCCTTTTTCCGGGGTCCCGACCCAATCAAATCAGCTACCGCATTGCCAAGAACCTGAAGTGCCCGGTGCCGACATGTACTCTTTCGCACCAGGCGTATCGCCGTCACTGGGGTAATTCAGCATGCAGAAGCTGAAACTCAAGAAGCGCCCTCTCGCTTGCAGTGAACTTGACAAACAGGTCCCTTGTCCTGATCTGCTATTTTTATTCATAAGGTCAGCGTCCGGAGTGAGTGACAACCATACAGCTTAGCGCCATTTCCCGCTACCCTTCTTGTCCATTGGGCGACGGCGCCTCCCTCGCGCCCGGCAAGTTTCAACACCTGCAGAAGGGCTCGTATTTCCATGGTTCCATAGTTCATGATGCGGGTTTAATTTAGGCATGTCTCTTCTGGTGTGCAGTCAACTCCAAATCAGATGAGTACATATGTACTGATGTGTAGTCTCCATTCTTTGAATTCGCCATAAAGCCGATCCGTTCTATTAATTAAAATCTACTTGGGTAAATTTTATTGTGCCGGTCGCGGTGAGTTTGAGTATCAACTTCCATATGCCTGCTCTTTATAGGTTCTAAGTATGCATAGCAATTTCCATTCGGCCCGAATTAAAACATGTCCACCATACCAATCTATGTTGCCATTCTACCCGGCGAAGGCGCCTTCAACCATTGGGGTCTCTTCATAGACGGCACCACCGATCAGGACAAGGCCCTTCTCCAAGTCAAGGGTTCCGATGGCCAATTCAAGTACGAGCCAGAGACAAGAGATGCCCGGCAATCAGAGGGTCTGATTGAACTATTCTACCTATGCCATGTGGGTGTCATCAAAGTCGAAGAAATTAAAGCTGCGGCAGACCAAGCTACCATTTACAACGATATTCCGGGCTGGAACTGCCAAGACTATGTAATTGATTTACTGGAGGAATTGCAAGAGAAGGCGATTATGGGTAATCAGAATCAAGATTTTGAGAAGCAGATGGTGCTGCTTCGTGGGAAGCAGGAGGGTTTGGCTTGACGGCTTCTTTGCCTTTGTTACCTTTACCTTGTACTTAAATATCCTGTCTTCGGGACTGCTGTCATAAACTTCTCAATCTCATATTGTCTCACTGACCCATTGCATCATACCCAACAAAGTACTTAAATGCGTTGAATGGAGCGCAGTTTCGGCAACAACTCCTCTGAAAGGATCCTATACCATGCCTGTGATCACACAGACCTGAAAGTACGTTGCAATCAGGCTTCATTCTCTCTGGCCCGACTCGTTGAGCCCTTATATCATATATTCTTTTCAGTTTGAACGTACTGAACCGCTAGACAAAGTTAATGATTTATGCCTTCCTCATTATACATAATACATAAGGTAAAAATGTGGCAAATAATGAGGTGATTAGCTCTACTTGAAACATTAATCTAACTTAGTCTAGGAGCCAGAAGAGCTTCAGGAAAGTAGGGTGTATAAATTTAGTGCTTCCGTCTTCGTTTTCAAGTTATAGATGGTCTAACGTGAATTTAGAAGGTGAAGGTAACTAAGTCATTCGACTAGTATTCATTTGGCCTTTGATTGGCCCCCAAAGCTTAGCTATGCGAGTCTAGACACTTTAATTACCCCTCTGGTAAAATGATGCTCATGAAAATAGATATCCTTTTGTTGGGTTGTTGTAGTTTTCCTATTAAAGGCTCTGAAGATGGATGCGATGTTTTTTGAGAATGATAAAAACACATGAACTCCGGTACATGCTTCCAAATTATGATTAATTGATATCACTTCTTCTGCTCCGCTAAGCATCAATGGTTCTGGTTGATCTTTTATCGATAGGTATTTTGTCAAGTCCTCACCAGCAAGTATCCTCCATTAAGCGGATTTATGAAAGGGCTCTTGTTTCCACAGCCAAGACTCAGGCTCGGTGATTCTTCTTCGCCTTGTTATCGAACTCCCTTGTGCATCACCGTCATATCTATCGAAAGAGACATGATTAAATATAGTCCTCCTACTCCTTTTTCTCAGTTGGCGGAGTGTTCGTTGGTAGCAGCAAGCTGTTTTTGGGAAATTTGTTCGTTTTTCAGGCGCGTATCATCAAGAACATAGCCATTCTTAGTGGCACTCTCAACTTCCTCCAGTGATTGGTCCCTTGTAGGGAGAGGGATGCCATTCTTAGCCACCTGACGCTCAAAATTATAGTATTCTCGGCCTTTTTTGATCAGCTCTACAACGGCAATTCCTAGAAGAATCACAGCCGTTGTCTGGCCAAAATCCCATTCGTGCTCGTGCTTTGTCTCGCCTTCAAATTTTCCTTGGTTCGCCTGTCGAAGCACAATCGTCATATAGAGATGCAGTGGAAAGTGAAGCATGGACAGAATCAAAATTGCCCGTCTCCTTTGAACGCCAGCGAACATGCCAGCAAGAACGATAAGAATGAGCCAGAAGCCAGTAACGCCAACATAAGTCATATCGGAGGTGGGATGTGAAGCTGACGGACTTGTTACCAAGTGCGAATAGTAGCAACGACCCGGTTCTGTGTCAGGTGACCATTGACTGAGGCGAATTTCAAGGACAATCAAAAGGGCTAGGTATAGTATGAGGAAGATAAGTGTGCCACGGTAGCGATCCTCAGTCAAGCACGTGCGTAAAGAAATGCGCTTCCGTCCATTTCGATTCTTCATACCTGGGAATTCGCCCAACTTAGCAAGGCAGAATCTCCAACAGACGAGGGCGGCCGTGTTCGACACGCCGACAAAGCTAGCAATGTCGAATACTAGATGAAAGTGGTATGTATCCATTTCTGATGACTGTAAGAAAAATCAGAAACTTTAGCAAAAGAAGATATCGAGAATGGAGGCTGCCGGGGGATCTGATTCGTACCAGCGCAAAAGTGGTGACCAAATATGCTATTCCAAGCGTCGTTTGGAAATCAGATCCGATCATTAAAATCTTAGAGACAAAGTCCAGGCGCTTGCGCTCAATCTCACGTTCGATGGAGTCTTCTGGGTGGACGATATCCATGTTGCCGTGGGTGGTCAGGAAGAACACCCATGCAGACAGGGCTAATGATAAGAGTGCCTGACCGCCGAAGCCTACAATAATCTAGTAGCGTTTAGTGGCATGAACAATTCATCGGCGTTCACAGTTGTACATACCCCATCGCCCACCAAAGGACCCATCGCCTTTCCGACCAGCTCGCATTCGACGCCTGCCTCCGCCATGGCTTCAGCCGCTTCCCTCCTCCAAAATCCCATCATATAAGGTATGATACGTAGATTGTAACAAGGATGGAGTATTGGAACTCGTAGCAATGTTTATGGAGCTTTGAAGCCTCTGTATGGTCTCCGGGCCCAGACGGCTCTGAGGCCAAGCTAGTCAAAGACTGTTTTCGCTTTCGTTTTCACGTTAAGAAATCCCTTTCATAGCAGACGGCATCCATTAAGTATAGCAAATAAGGGTGATTTTCAGCCCCTTCGGCCCCCATGCCGATCGTAGGACGTGTCATCTTGGCAATGTACGCCGGTTGTTCTCTGTTTATTTTCTATTTGGTCAAGCTCTTCGACTCCGATCTAGTTACCCATTATAGTTTAGTGGCCCTTCACGCCAAGAAAGTTCATGACGCTATTTCAGGCCCAATTACGTTGGGCTTGGTTGATCATGCCAGCCAGAGTGTCCACCACTGTCGCTCCTTTAGCAATTTAGGTAATTAAGATGTTGCCAAGCATCTTCCCATTGGGCGGGCCTCTTAACACAGCCAATGGAGCTTGTTGCGTTGCACGGGGCTCCTTGAGTTTATTACCCTACTCGAGCCCCCATTGACCATTTTGGTTTATTGAAATCCAGAGCAATCGGATAATGACATAAATTGCTGAAAACCTTAAACGATTTAAGAATAGCAACTGACGAGTCGGGGTGCCATGGTTCAAGTGCCGCGACTGACAGCCATTTAGGACGGTGCGGCCCGAGGGCAGGGCCGTTAAAAAAGCCTTGTAAATCAGCCCAGACACAGCCCCTTCCCTCCGCCCCGATCGACACTTCATGATTCCCTACAGCTATACCTTTCGTTAGATCTGGCGCCGTCAACTAAGGCCCGCCCGTAATTTTAATTCGTGGGTTATATTAGGCATGACTTTCCCGTATGGGGCTAATGTGTCTAGACTTTGTCGGAACTTCCACTCATTTAACAACACCTTCATAAAGGCAGCCCCTGTCGCTGCAGCTTACGGTTGCCTAATTTATTCTTATGGCTGTCAAGATGATCACAGACTCCCTTGATCATCAGGCAAGACAGGGTATCCCAGGCCATTACAGCGATAGCATTCTTTTCCGTACAAATGAATTTCATCTTCTACAGCTATATTCGAAATTGCCTTCCATGTCTTACATAGAGAAAGAATCTCAAACCCTAATGCCAAGGCGATGGTGAAACTGCCTAGTCCGGTTTTAGTTAGCTGGAAGATCATCCCTGTACGTCAGAAAAGAACTGTAAAGTATCTCACAAGGCTAATACCATGTGAAATCTGTACATAACAATACATTTGATCAATATATTTTTTCTGCCAATTTGTCCCTCCGCCTAGATGGTAACTAGAATCTCTGCCCACGTTGTCCTCTACCCTCCCCACCAAAAGACACGCGACAATGGCCCCGAACCTGCCAGCTTCTACTCGAGAGTTTATCCGAGATATGATCTTGAGCAAATCACTAACTACGACCCAGATTGCTCAAGCGGCTGGATGTAGCCCGCGTTCCGTTACCACCATCCGCACTAACCTGCGGCAATTTGGTGACACCCGAGCGCCTCCCGTTCGAGCAGGCATTATTACACCATCGATGCCGGGGGCCCCTGTGTGACTATTTACAAGAGAAGCCTGACCTTTATCTCGATGAGATGGCAATCTTTCTATGGGATGAGTTTGGCAGGTAGGCAACGACATCTAGCATCAGGCGAGCGCTGATCTCTCAGAAGTGGTCAAAGAAGGCTACTCGCCAGGGGGTGAAGGAGCAGAACAATGATTTACAGGATTATTAGCTCACAACGTCTCCAAATTCCGGTCATACCATCTTGCATACATTGACGAGTCAGGCTGTGATAAAAGGGGTTGGGTTCCGGGGAACAGGTTGGTCACCACATCCGCTATTGCACCGATCCAGGTTAAAAAGTGTGGAAGCCAATTTCGAATTTAGCTGTACCTGACGATAAAGTCTCTCGTTTAGTACCTAGGAGAAGGCTCAGGCTGCAAGTCAAGAATCTTAAGAGATAAGTTTTTGAATCATTACCTCAGCCAGAGGGAGAAAACAATGCTTTCTCCACTGTCTACACATATGCTGTTCTGGGGCCATTCAGGCAATCCGATTATAGATTCCGCTTCCCATTGTGCTGGCTTCTGCCAGTCCCCTACGTATTTCTTGAATGAACAGGTCGCCCTGTTCATCCCAGTCACGACTGTCACTGTCCACAAACTTGAGAACATTCCCAAAGCCCTTCTCAATGCATGCCAGGCACTTGATCACTAGTTTTGAGTAAGCTTCGCCCATTTCATATTTAAGACGTTCTCCCGCAAGCGTGATAAACACTTTTTGCTCGATCTGTGCTTCTGTCATGGATTGGCAGGCAAAATTATTCTCCCTTTTCCATTTCGATTTTGCATCAGATAACAGTGGTGAGAGTCTCGGAATTCGTTCGCAATATACAATGAAGGAATCCCAAAGGCCAATCTCCAGGAGACAAACTCCGAGGCTGTAGATATCATGGCCAATATTGTAACTGGACTCGGCCACACTGCCAGGTCGCGCTTGGCGCGCCGGATGCTGATATATTGCCATGGTCCAGTCGTCATAAGCTTGTCGTTTAGAAGCCTCAACAGTCTTTCGAACATGTTCCCAGTCGGCGAGGAAAAGCGTCCCAATCACGTTCGGATATTTTATCGCGGGGAAGTCTCCAGGGGTAGGCTCGAAGAGCAGAAGGCTCTCTGGGCGAATGCACTTGTGGACTAGATTTCGCTGGTGTACTCGATAGACCGCCTCTGCAAGTTTCCGTGGGAGAATGAAGCGGTAGTTCCGAGGTATTGGAGGTATCGGTTTGTTGACAGGATCCAGGAGGATATCGCGAAACGACCGTGGATTCATGCGATCTTTTGGAAAGTAAAAGACAAACTGAAAACGATCGTCTGTTAGGGGAGATGAAGTCTGGACCTGAAAGCCTGCCAGTTCAAGCAGACCATTGGGAGAGTCGGAAAACTGGATAGTCCTGGCTAAATCCACGGCACTCTCGTACGCATGCTTGGAGGATAACCCAGGAAAAACCTTCTCTTGAACGAGACAAGTTTCTGAACCTCTTCGATTCTGAAGTTTGAAGTCGCACAGGGCGACATTTGAAGTTGAGTAGGGCAATTTTGTGGGCGGCACAATGAGGCAAAACTGGGTCCTGCGAAACTCAAATCGTGACCGTACAGCCCGAGAGGCTATCTGCACTTGCACATATGCTCGGAGCTGGGTCTCCAAATCGTAAATTTGCCTAATGGTAGCTAGAGCAGCCTCAGTTGCCTTTTTTACTTGTCTTTCATTATTATTAAGGGAATTCAGCAAGCGGATTTGCCTTTCCAGTTCAGTCATATTGGCCCATATTTGCTTAGCGCTCTTTTCGAGGCTAGACCTCAAGACTGTGTCAGGCGTATCAATATACAGGTCCTCAACTGTCTCCAGAGTTATTCGCATAGTGCCGCGATCCAAGAATAGGAAGAAGTCTTGTATGTAAGCGATTTCCGTTGACTCTGGAGCTCTTGGAAGCTTTTCGGAAAGCCAGCGGCCCGCATGGACGAAGGTCTGCACCAAGCCAGGTATCGTGATAGCAAGCGATGCCAGACCAATTATGGTATCAATTCCAAACATATTCAAAAGATTTCGTGTTGCTTGTGATATTCTCCATGTAACATACCACAGGCGTTGATTGTCGACGACAGAGTTGGGCAGCCGGGCTGGGGTGATTACACGTGGCTTGCCATGGTTGGTTTACGTGCTCTCTGAGACATCCCTCATCACACGTGAACCAAAGCGGGGTTCCATTTTGAAGGACTCGCTACGTTTGTTATGTATTGACCCCCAGTATTGAAAGCTTCCGCTCTCGGATGTACATATTTCAAGAAATAGCGGGACATTGCGTCACTTCTGGGCTACCTATTCTCAGAACTTATTGCAGCGAAACAAAGGCCCCGCAGCTTCGGGCCAAAGATGGGTCTCGCAGGTCAGTAACCCTGGGATGGAAACAACAGCCCGGAATATGCGAATTAGTCCTCGGTGATATCTGACACTGTACCAGACCTTATGCGGCAAACCCTCGAGTATCTGGACTCAGGTCCACGATTGTCAGAGAAGATAAGGAAAGGAACGCAAGGCTCTGTCATAGGACCTCTCAAGGAAAATGGACAGGTGCTGATCGAGATGAAGATACTTCAAGCGCATATACTAACTCGATGGTAGTTAATTGCGATGAAAGTTTTCGACTATACTGGCCGACCAGACGTTGCGAGAGCTATCAAAGAAGTCCAGCGAGAATATCAAAGTTTGAAGGCTCTTTCCCACCCGAGCATCATTCGATTCATTGCCTTCGATCATATTCCCGCTAAGAATGCTGCATATCTTCGAATGCAATGGGCATCTACAGAGTTGTCCGAAAGCGACTCTCAAGCAGTCGATTTGGGAGACATCATATGCCATCATGATGGATTTCATTCACCGCGGAGAAAGTCATTTCTTCCTGAAGCATTCATTTGGCATGCATTGTTTCATTTGAGCGCGGCTTTATCCCTCTGTCATCATGGCATTAAAATTCAAAGAAAGAAAATTGTCGAAAAAGCAGATACTCAGGTGGTTCTGGACCGTTTGACCAGGAAACCTCCTCCTGACCTTCGAGATCGTGCCATTCAGGACCCAAGGGTCTCCTGGACTACGGAGAGGATAACATTCTCAGTTGACACCTCGCATGCACCGATTATTCATCGAGATATCAAACCCAGAAATGGTATATTTTCTTTCCAAACCCAGAAAAAGGCTTGTGTTGACTATTTGGCGCCGCACAGTTCTACTATGTGACCCTCCTTGGAACGATGACGACGAGAATTGGAGGAGGAACGTCTGTATCAGTGATGACGACATATTTTGTGTTTATCCGGTCGTATTACTGGGTGACTTTGGACTCAGCGTTCCGCTCCAAGTGGCTGAGACTATAGTTGGTTCTTATGGATTCACGGCTCCAGTAGGCCAGACCCATACATGAGCGATTATTTGATACCACCATACTAACTTACCACAGGAAGTTCCGCTCGGTCCCCACCGACCTGATAGCCTTCCTTTTGAGTGGACAATGAGCTGCGACATCTTCTCACTTGGTGCCACTATCTGGAATTTGATGAGCCTACAAACTCCCCCAAGCAACTTAGATGGATACAACTCTTTACCAGCGCTCCCATCTAACTATTCACGAGAACTCAGACAACTTGTTCTTGAGTGCTGCGTTGTTGATCAGTCTGCTAGGCCCACAGCTATAGACATACTTAACAAATGCATACAGCGCAGTTCCTGGAATGAAACATTGGTGAGCCCGTATGGCAATATTGTTTCATTTGACTTTCAGACTGCCCTTCATCAATCTTGGCATGACTGTCTGAGCCAGCTCGACCTCCTCTCGACGCAGAACAGTGCACCGGTGAATCAGACCCAAGCAATTGTCGACAATAGCCTTCATTTCATGAAGCTGGATCAACAAGACAATTATGGCAGGCTTTCAATATTTATTGCCGGTTAGGATGATTCAACGCCTTTGTTTTTCAATTATTAAGATGTGCACAGGTGCCTACTTCACGAGAAATGTCATCTCCAAGACGCATTTCTTGGTCCCTCTGCCGCGTACTTTGCACTTTGTTGGTCGTCAATACGAACTTCGTACATTGCATTCCCGAATGGACTCAAGTGGTGATGGCCAAGTTGTTTTATCACTTTGTGGGCTAGGCGGCATTGGGTCAGTTGTTTCATTGCGTTGTCCCTCAGGTTCTGGACTAATTCCGGGGAATCCAAAGTAAAACACAGATTGCAATCCAATTTGCGCATCAAGTCATTGAGCGAGATACTGGGATTTCTGTATTCTGGGTTAATGGTGCTAGTATAAGCGCTGTCCAGGAATCCTACTATCGCATTGCTGTTCAGTGCGGCATACTTAGCACTGACCAGATAAATTCTTTCTTCATGTCTAGAGTCAAGCGCTGGCTCGAGAGTGAAAGCGCTGGCAGGTGGCTCATGATAGTCGACAACGTGGATAACGCATACGAGTTTCTCAATGGTGAAGAAGCTGCAGGCAAAGCACCCTTAGCGCATATGCCAAAGTGCTCACATGGCTCTATTCTATACACGACAAGAGATCTCGGGTTCGCCGAGCAAGTTTCATTCTCGAACAACGTCATTAAAGTCTCACCGTTGAGTGAGTCAGAATCAATTGCACTTCTCAAGAAGATTGCAACGTCGCCCACCAATTCCAGGAGTCCAGACGATCAATCAAGTTCAGACGATCTAGCCTTGTTGTCAAAGGAACTTGGATATCTCCCTTTGGCTATTGCTCAAGCTGCCATATATATGGACACATTCCGTCTCCCGGTTTCGGAGTATTTGCGCTATTTTGAGGATCAGGAAACAGCCAGGCGTGTTCTGAATTTTGAAGCACCCGACTTCACAAGGGACAAAGGATGGGAGTCCCTTTACTCAACCTGGAAGATATCCTTCGACCGCATTCGAGAGAGAAACACTCTGGCAGCTGATGTGCTGGCGCTTATGAGTTTTTTCGACCCGGACACGATTCCCATTTCTCTCCTTGCCGAGGAATTCACGGACAAATTATTATTGAGCGATGCAATCTCGACGCTCAGGGCCATGGCACTCATTTCTCCCAACAATGAAGGAAGAACTTACGCCATTCACCGCCTTATCCAGCTATTCATGCAGAACTGGCTTGAGTCTCAAGGCGACAGGCAGCGCTTTCTATCGATGTCTTTGCGCCTGCTAGCTCGGCTGTTTCCAACAGATCAGAACAAAGGTTACAATACTTCTACTATGTTGTTACAACATGCCACAAAAGTCCTGACACTCGAGGGAGTCTCTGAAGAGGATTCACTAGTCCGCGCCGAGCTCCTGGAGAAGGTGTCACATTACGAATTAAAGCTTGGAAGACTACAGAATGCAGAGAAATTTGCTCTAGAGGCACTCCAGATAACATCGAGACTGCCTGGAAGCACTGCTAGAGATGTTGCAAGCTGCCAAGTTCAGGTCGCGAAAGTTCTGTTGGCGCTTGGCAGATACCGTGAGGCATGGGAGTTAGCTACTGAGTCCTTCAGAAGTTTCCAAGCAATAGATTCATGCGGACCACACACACTTAGCAGCATGGACAACCTTGCTGAAGTACTTCGGCATCAGGGTGAGTACAGAGAGGCAGAGCAGATGCATCAGAAGACACTCGAATTGAAAATCAAATTGCTGGACGAATCACACGTCGACACGCTGACTAGCATGGCCAACCTCGCGTCAACCTATCGGAACCAGGGTCGGTGGGAGGAGGCCGAGAAGCTCGAGGTGCAGGTCCTGGAGACTCGCAAGACGAAGCTCGGCGCGGACCATCCCGACACGCTAATGAGTATTGCCAACCTAGCGTCGACCTACCAGAGCCAGGGCCGGTGGGAGGAGGCCAAGCAGCTCCAGGTGCAGGTCCTAGAGATAAGCAAGATAAAACTCGGTGCAGACCATCCCGACACGCTAACTAGCATAAATAACCTCGCGTCGACCTACCAGAACCAGGGTCGGTGGGAGGAGGCCGAGCAGCTCTTTGTGCAGGTTATAGAGACTCGCAAGACCAAACTCGGCGTGGACCATCCCAACACGCTAACTAGCATAAACAACCTCGCGTTGACCTACCAGAACCAGGGTCGGTGGGAGGAGGCCGAGCAGCTCTTTGTGCAGGTTATAGAGACTCGCAAGACCAAACTCGGCGTGGACCATCCCAACACGCTAACTAGCATAAACAACCTCGCGTTGACCTACCAGAACCAGGGTCGGTGGGAGGAGGCCGAGCAGCTCTTTGTACAGGTTATAGAGACTCGCAAAACCAAGCTCGGCGTGGACCATCCCGACACGCTGACGAGCATAACCAATCTCGCGTTGACCTACCAGAACCAGGGTCGGTGGGAGGAGGCCGAGCAGCTCTTTGTGCAGGTTATAGAGACTCGCAAAACCAAGCTCGGCGTGGACCATCCCGACACGCTGACGAGCATAATCAATCTCGCGTTGACCTACCAGAACCAGGGTCGGTGGGAGGAGGCCGAGCAGCTCTTTGTACAGGTTATAGAGACTCGCAAAACCAAGCTCGGCGTGGACCATCCCGACACGCTGACGAGCATAATCAATCTCGCGTTGACCTACCAGAACCAGGGTCGGTGGGAGGAGGCCGAGCAGCTCTTTGTGCAGGTTATAGAGACTCGCAAAACCAAGCTCGGCGTGGACCATCCCGACACGCTGACGAGCATAATCAATCTCGCGTTGACCTACCAGAACCAGGGTCGGTGGGAGGAGGCCGAGCAGCTCTTTGTGCAGGTTATAGAGACTCGCAAAACCAAGCTCGGCGTGGACCATCCCGACACGCTGACGAGCATAATCAATCTCGCGTTGACCTACCAGAACCAGGGTCGGTGGGAGGAGGCCGAGCAGCTCTTTGTGCAGGTTATAGAGACTCGCAAAACCAAGCTCGGCGTGGACCATCCCGACACGCTGACGAGCATAACCAATCTCGCGTCGACCTACCAGAACCAGGGTCGGTTGGAGGAGGCCGAGCAGCTCTTTATGCAGGTCATAGAGACTCGCAAGACGAAGCTCAGCGTGGACCATCCTAGTACGCTGACGAGCATGGCCAAACTTGCCTTTGCCTAGGAGTCCGCAGGTCGAAGTACCGACGCAATCAATATGCTTAGAAGCTGCGTAATCAAACAGGAACTAATTTTAGGTCCGAATCACCCCCACACCTTGTCCTATTCCGAAATCCTGCTAGAATGGGAAACTAGGTGCCTGACTATCGAGGCTGGATCGGTTTAGCTTCAGTCAATTTATTATGTCTGGTGTTGGTCTCGCTTTCTTTGACAGAATAATTAGAAGTACGGTTTAATATAATCTATTGACAACACGTCGTCAAGCAATTAACAAGCCTTGCCTTCATATGTTGAGTCCATGGCTAATGTATTAATGTTTTGTAGGAACCGTACTTGTAAATTTGGTGTAATGGCCCCTGCATGGTGGCTATCCGTATTGGGCCTAGTGTATCTCGACTTAGGGTTCTGGAAACAATTTTTCTGTGCAAAACATCGAAGGCAATTTCGAATATAGCTGTACTGATTTTATGACTGTATCTCTCTCCAGATGCGATCAGACTTAGAAGCATAATGGGAAAATTTACATGTTCCGTATCAGCGCAGTCTATAGCCTCTCGTGCCGAACTAGCTCATCCTTGTGGCATCTCAATTGATGACACGGTAGATCAAACACTTCATCTCAGGCTATGCTATCGGCGGAATGGGGTACAAATACTGGAATCATGATGTTGTTGATGTCGATAAGGAGGTTCAAAGAGCTCATCTTGCTCTATTCCTGAATATTGGGCAGCCTCATTGGGAAAGTCCGATGCATGATATCCAAATATTTCTCTATTTTGCTTCCAATTTGCTTCAGTGTCATCGCCGTCTTTGGCTCTAAAATACAGCCCCCATATTGCCATGTTAGGACGATCGTCTATTGGTCGCGGGTCTCTGTGGAGAAATCCCTTCGGAGCTTTCCTACTGGAACCATGTTGGATAATCCAGTCCGTGATCACTATACCTCCGAGAATTGATATTAATGGCGGTGTCGACTGCAATATCTACCAGAAAATATTGAATAGATACAATCTCGTACACAGTATTATGCCTGGCAACTTCTGGCGGCCTCTTCCGTTTGAGTGCTCCTCTCTCCCCGCTTTTGTTCCCAGAGTGGACTTCGTATATTTTAACTTATATATTTATCTTATTCTAGATGTTATTGACTCTCTGTAATACGTTTGTCAGTCAGTATTGAGAGTCCTCCAGGCGCCAGGGAAAAATATATTAGAATATAATTGTTTGATAAACGACAGTATTTCAAGTCAAAAAGATGTTTAGAGGGTTCGACGTCATACTCGTTGCGCGCTCTTCATGAAGAATATTGCTACAATGTATAAATACAATTTGATTTCTCCTGGGATTATTTTCATGCTCCGTAAAAGCCCTTAATGTATCACTTCATAAGGGATTACAAGCTAAGGAACCCGTCTATGTAAGTAAAATATTCTTCTGGAATTTCAGGAGCTTTGAATTTACTAGGGCATTATAACACTACCGCCTCTAGGGAAGACTATCATCCCTTAGCTTTTTCGAGACATGCCGTCGATTTCTAATGAAGAAGACGGATCTGGCGTATAAAGGTGAAAAAGAGCTCTCCAAGTTGAATAAGGCACAAATCAAATCAAATTTTGTCAGGAGGGGCTCTCAGTCACGTGAGGTTATCTATAGAGGCACAGAAGGCAATGGACAGCAGGAGATTATCCATGCTAATGCTTCAACCATCTATTTGACAGCCAACATTTATAATGTATACCAAAGCACCCTTATCCGGGCGATCTATTCTCATATCGGAACCAGTGTGAAGATATTTCCTTTCTTGACGGTGGCTCATCCAAGCCTAACTAGACGGAGGCTTCAGACTGAACCGGCCAGCGGGGTTAGTTCCCCCGAGGTCAACTGCTTCTGGCACTCAAATGGCACCCCCACGTCCTTCCCCCGCCCCCAACTTGCAATTCCCCTCCACGGAAAACTGTCTTTTTTTGTCCGGGGTCATTTTCACCATTGCATATATTTCTATTCCTATTGATATACAAAGACTTATTACACGAATATCTATTCCATCATGAAACTCCTATACCCGACCTCCGTGAAACTCGACGTGCAGGACCTGCAAGGCTTTTCCGTCTCCCTCCACCCCTATGATGTCAAGGCCCCGATCCCGGAGGACCTCATCGATGCCGAGATCCTCGTCACTTGGGCAAACAGCGCGGACAACCTCAAAGATGCCGCGCAACGCATGAAGAATGTGCGCTGGATCCAATCCCTCGCCGCCGGCCCGAATGACGTGCTCGGCGCCGGCTTCGACAGCTCGCGTACCCTCATCACCACCGGCGTCGGCCTGCACGACCACCCCGTTGCTGAGCATACACTCGGCTTGCTGCTCAACGGCGCCCGCCACTTCTACGAGATGCGCGACTACCAGCTGCAGTCCAAGTGGCCGGGCCATTTGGGCGGATCGTTCCCGCGGTCCGACTTCACTACGCTGCGCGATGCGCGCGTGCTCATCTGGGGCTTTGGCAGTATCGCGAAGACGCTGACGCCGTTGTTAACTGCGCTGGGTGCGCAGGTTCGTGGCGTGGCTCGGAGCCACGGCGTGCGCAATGGCATTGAGGTGTTTTCCGAGGACAAGCTCCCCGAGCTGCTTCCGGAGACGGATGCGCTCGTGATGATCTTGCCCGGGTCTGACTCGACATATAATGTGCTCAATGCGGAACGTCTAAAGCTACTCCCGAAGCACGCGTGGGTAGTGAATGTTGGCCGCGGCGTCTCTGTGGATGAGGACGCCTTGGTAGACGCCTTGGAGAAGGGCGAGATTGCGGGTGCCGCGCTGGACGTGTTCAAACAGGAGCCGCTCCCCGAGTCGAGTCCTCTGTGGAAGGCACCGAACCTGATCATTTCGCCTCACGCGGCGGGTGGGCGGCCCCAAGGCTGCACTGAGCTAATTGCGTACAATCTGCGACGATTTTTGGCTGAGCAGCCGCTCAAGAATGTAATTTAAAGCAAATATAAACCGAATAGACGACAACCAACAATTAGACTCGCTTCTTTTCTGCATGTGGGCTTTCAATTCATCACTGTTAGGAATATGATGATATACCGAGGCCTTTTTCAATTCTCGATACATATGTTCATTCCCATGAGTAGCGAGGTTGGTCTCTTGGTTCACATGCCGATGTCAGAGTAGAGTAAATCCATAGAGAAATGACAATCACTCATCACCACTTCGAATAGATGATCTTGTTAGGGCCGGATTGAAAAGATTAATGGGATGGTCTAAATAGATACGATGAGACAGCGTTTCCACACGAACAGCACTGATGGGTGGAATGAAAATTTGATGGTTTGAGATAGTGGTGTTCAAAATAGAACCGCTAGAGTTACGGCAGAGATGAGGTAAAAAGATTAAAGGCCTTAATAGGCCTTAAGAATAAGTATCGTAAGTAATCAATACGCGCATGCCCATGTCATATCATCATCGCATATGCAGAAATCCAGTGTAACCACGCCAGCCATGCGTCATAAAAATGCAGGAGTAACAATGAGCCTCTCTGAGAACAAGAGGTCGTGTGTGGGACCTCAGTCTATCTTTGCTTGCGTGAGACTTTTCGGAGTTCTAAGGTTATTGGATAGCCGCACGTTCGAGCTGTCAATCTTGCCCTTGGAGGGGTGTCGCTTGAGCTTGCGACGTGCGACCATCACAGGCACTGAAGAGTTGGACAAGAGATAATTGGAGAATGAGCCGAGGAGGACTCTGCTACAAGTTAGAACTCAGGCCACAGGCTTGTTGGAGGGATTATGAAACTTACCCCTTCAACGCACTTTGCCCTCGAGCACCCACAATAACAAGAGTAGGCTCGAGCTCATCGATCTGCGTGGGAAAATTAGCATGAAGATATCACTACAATTGGAACTTGAAACTCACAGCCTCGGTGATCATGAGTTTTGGACTCTTACAATGGATCACCTCGACGGCAATCCGAACCTGCAGCAAGGTCTTCCGTAGAAGCTGAACGCAGGTATTCGAAACAGTCTCCACTGCCCTGACCCGTTCAGCTTCCGCCATAGGAGATGCCCGAGAATCAACAGAGCTGGACTTGCTGACAGTACCAGGACCCAGTGGACCCAATAGACCGAGAATATTACGCGGACCGGTACCATAGCCTTGGGTAGCTTCTTTCGTCTGAGACCCAACGACCGCCGCCGCATCTTGCATAGCTTTTGCTCCTTCTCCAACCTGTACCGAGGTGTTGAGATCTTCATGCATGGCGTATATGGCGTACATCGTATCTCCCTCACGTAAAACAGCCCCGATGGTCCATTCCAAAGCGTACACTGATTCTTCACTTAGGTCAGTTGCGACCAAATACTTGCGCTGGCGACGACGTCCGCCATCAGCCTCTTCCTGAAGACCTGCAAAGTCACCACGAATGATTGTGCGGATGGAACGGTTTGGCACGCGATTGTCAATTGTGGACATGGAAATGCTGAGTTGTTGGGCACGATGGACGTCCGCTTTTTCGGCTTCGTCCTCTGATCCATAGGGTGTTCCAGCTGCGGATTGCGCATATGGTGTTGGGATATCAAAGCTGGTTCGAGGATGAATGACTGTCTTCAGAGCGGATTTCTTGGGCTTCTTTTCCAGATTAGGAATGCTTGATTTGTTGGCTGTTTGTTCTGTGAGTCATTCTATCAGTCTCTGGAGCATTGGGGTTGCAGGAAGAGGAAAAGCGCATACGTTCTTCAGCGATATGAAACTTGGGAGTCTTCGGCTTGTTGAAATCGCTGGAAGTGATAGAGCTGATATCCGAGCTTTTCTCCTGGCGACCGCGAGTTTGGACAACCTGAATGCCAGATATCTGCTCATCCTCACTCGAATCATCGTCTCCATCGTCGTCACTGCTTTCGATGATGTTCTTGTCGCGGTCAAACACATCTTTGGCCAGGCGCTCGCCGGATTCCTCCTGATCAGCTGGTTTCACATAGTCAGGGAGACGACCACGGAGTTTCGCCAGAGCCTCATCCGACTTGTTGTGGGCATCGTCTATTTTGATCGCTTTTCCTCTCTCTGATGTTGCCTCGGTGGTGCTGGATCCAGATTGGCTGTGCCGGGTGGCGGGTGAAACAGAGCGACTTAGCCGAGATGTGGACGAAGGAGAGCGTGAATCCAACGACGAGCCACGCCGAGAAGACCCACGACTGACATCGCGACCCCGAGTGAAGCTTTTCGGAAACAGCCTCGACTCCAACCCCGACATCATTGCCGCCACGCTCTTCCGTCCATGAGACTTTTTCTTCAGCCCTATCTGGTCCAAAGAAACTGTGGATATATCTGATCTTGCATCCTCGTCAAGACCCAGTGAACGGCTCGTGGGTGCTGGTCGATCTCCCTCTCGGCTGAACTGATCGGAAGATCTACGAGCGACATCCCCGGTCTCATCCTTGTGCCTCTCCGGCGAGCTGGGCGCGGACGCCATGGCCGAAGAGCTAATGCGTAACGGCGATGATTTGAACGGTTCAACTGGACTGCGACTTCCGCGTCGCGATAATCGGGCAGCCCCTCCCGCGCCAGTACCCGACCTCCTTGCAGATTGTGGGGTGTTCAGCAGATTCTGGACCGCGCGGCTCAGACCAGACAGTCGCGGGTCTCGTGGAGTCGGACTGGATAATTGTGATGAAGAGCACTTATGCGAGACTCGGTTCTGTCCGCTGGGCTCTGTCTCTTGAGATATGGGGGAGGTTCGGCCGTCAGGGTGGTACGACATCGCGTGCGGTTCCGCCTCCGGCTCGACCTATGGTGGGGAACCCGGCCGGCCAGCCAACGAGGATACCAGATGACAGAGGAATGTGGAGTTGATCACCCACTTTATGACGGTCAGGCTGTCGCCTCTAAGGAATGAACCCTGCGTCTGATCAGCATGGGGAAGAATTCCAGAACACTGGCCGCCGCCACCTGGTATGTGTACATACGGAATGCCGGGGTCGTGGGGAAGCAGATTGGCACAGCAGTATTGTCGCAAGGTGTGTTAAAGAATGCCAAAGAGGAATGGAGCAACAGAGCGAAGGCCAAGAGTGTGTTTGAGACGGAGCCAGCCTGAGAAGGAGCAGTCGTGAGGTGAAGCCTTCCCTATGACGGCCGCTTACCTCGGCACTCTGGAACTTGAATATCTCCTCTTGCTCTCATGGCAAGAGTCCCTAACGAAGATGTCCTACATGTCTATGTACCCAATCGCTATAGGTTGATCCATTCACAAATACGTTCAATGGCTCACAGGAGCTTTTCCTTTCGCTAATAGTGGGTTACTGGTTACGGGTTCATCAACCAAATAGGTAATGATTGGGTCAATGGCAAGTCTGTAGCTATCAGCCACGACCTGATTTCACAGAGAATGCTGAGAGAAGAAGGCGGAAGGTAAAATGAGAACATCTGAAGCTTATGCCAGAAACCGGCATTCATTGTAGACCATAAAAGAAAACCCGTATTGCCAAACGGCCCCGATGCTATTTCAAACAAGCCCCCACACTCCGGTGAGCAATAGAAACGTAGGAAGAAAGCGCTCAATATAAAAAAAAATATGCAAATAATCTGTAAACACAGCATGGCCGCATGTCATGTCTGCAGCTCATGACTTAGAAGACTTCTTGGACTTCGGCTTGGATTCCTTTGACTTCTTACGCGCCCCGACTGCCGCAAATGCCTCCTCCGGTGGCTCCTCGACAGCGCGCTTCTTGCCATTGGGCTGTCCATACTTCTCTTCCAAATGCGCCAGGAAGCCCTGTCCACGCTGCTGCTGCCTCTTGCTGATCAACGCGAGCAGATCATCCTCATTCCCAGCAGAACCCTTGGTTGCCTTTGACGCAGCTGCCGCCTTCTTCTTCTTGTCATTCTCCACCTTCTTCGCCAACTTCTCCGCCTCCTTGGCCTCCTTTTGGGCCTTCTTCACTCGCGCCCGGCGCTTAGCTTCAGACTCCTCGGTATACGCCTTGTAGCTCTCCGCCTCGCCGTCAGCAATGGCCTGGTCAATAACGGCCCGGAAGCGCTCGTCGTCGTCCAGGACATTGGAAAGCATCACAGACTCATAGATGCCATCCATATCTCCCTCATGGGTGTCATATGCCTCTAGCAAATCTTTTTTCTCCTCATCTGAGCCTTGATATTTCTTCTGGAAGTCGGAAATTGCGCGGGTGTCCAGCATGGCGGACAGCTGCTCGCGGTAGAACTCCATCCAGTCAAAGTCGCCATCTTCGCCAAACGCATCGTCGGTCCGGCCCGTGCGATCGTAAATCTCGCGACGACGAGGTTCTGAAAGGACACCATATGCAAGCGCGATTTGTTGGAACTTGGCGTGGGCTTCGTCACGGGCATCCTCGGCCACCTTGTCTTTTCTTTGATATTAGCATGTCTCCTGAGTGACGAGTTAAGTTTCATAAATGGATCGGATGACGCACCAGGGTGGTGCTTCAGTGCATTCTTCTTGTATGCAGTTTTGATCGCCTCGGGGGTTGCATTCGGTTCGACGCCCAAGATCTTGTAAAGATCTTCTTCGGCCGCGGGCGGTTGCTCTTCGGACTTTGCACCTTTTGCCATGATTAATTCTTAGTGGGCCAAAGAACCAATTCGATCGGAGAATGATTGAGTTCTGTCCTTCGATGGGATCGACAGATAAGACGTGGGGACAAAACTTGAAGAAAGGCGTGCCCGGCGCGGGTCGACGCGACGACCGAACGCGCGCCCCATTTTCCCCGATTTCACTATTCCGTCATCGCTTTCGGCTGCAGCTCCGCGCGCTTCAGAGATCCAATATTCCACCATCCTCAACACCTTCAACATCTTCACCATTTCAAACTCTCTTCTAATTCCTCTGATCTCCCACCTTTCACCTTACAATTCTCCCAGACACAGAAGCTTCGGTTGCTCCTCTACACATTCTACGAGCATCACTCGTACCCACCAAACACTCCCCGCCAATCTAAAACTACGGCCGACAGCCTGAATATAATTAAAAAAAAAAAATAAAAACTCCCACCATGACGACCATATCCTCCCATACAGCCTACATGCAGAAATGCATCAACCTAGCCGAACAGTCCCCGCCACGCCCGACAAACTTCCGCGTCGGCGCCATCCTCCTCTCCCGCAAAAACGACGACCCCACGCACGCCGACGATCGCATTCTCTCCACTGGCTACACCATGGAGCTAGCGGGCAATACGCACGCTGAGCAATGTTGCCTCGCCAACTTCGCCGCCGTACACCGCGTACCTGAACAACAAGTCAACGAGGTGCTGCCGGTCGAGCCGGGCCGCTCGCTCGTCATGTACGTGACCATGGAGCCGTGTGGGAAGCGGTTGTCCGGGAATGCGCCATGCGTGCAGCGGCTCACGGCGACACGAGCCGGCGGGCGGGCGGGAGTGCAGAAGGTCTTTTTCGGGGTGAAAGAGCCCGGGACATTCGTGGGGGCGTCAGAGGGGTGTCAGATGTTGACGGCGGCGGGGATTGAGTGGGAGCATGTGAGTGGGCTGGAGAGGGAGATTCTGACGGTTGCGACGGCCGGCCATGAGAACTCGGCGGAGGAGGTGCGGGCGGCATTGGGGGAGCGGAAAACTACCATTGATGAGATCAGTCCGGAGGAGAGGCAGCGACAGGAACAGGCCCCCGGAACCCAAAAAAGCGGATGATGGAGGGGGAAACAATGCTGTATTAGCAGGATACTGGAATCATACTAGACGTCCGTGGTTGCGGCTGTCGGGCACGTTGTTGCCAACCCACTTCCAGAGCTGAGAAGCATCACTGTGGCCGTATCGAAGCTGGCGGCTGGCTTCTTCACACGCTCAAGGGACCTTTTCAAATCTACCTCGCCATTGGGGGTAGACTTGGGATCAAGAAGAGGCCCAATTTGGTGAAAGAAAGCAACTTTATAGATTGGTATCATCATCATCCTCGGTGATCTGTCGTTAGAAACCCACCTGCACTCCCCGCGTTGCAGGGAGTGCAGACTCAAAGGAGGGAGAAAAATCACTTTCCATGCTATTCACGATCCTCGAGTCTCGATCAACGAAGTAAGAAGGAATCTCACGGCGCTGTGCCCTCGCAGTATACATCATCTCACGTGACGCGGCGCGGCGGTCCCCCACGCCATCGCGACGCATTCCTCGAGATCAATTACACCTTTCGCCGACTTAGGGAGCCTCCAATCCCTCACATCCAACGAGAAGATGAGCCGATGGCGACAGTCGATAATGCGGACCTCGTATTCTATCCAGCATTCTGCTTCAAGGCGTCGCCAACGCACTTCGCCTGGGTGAAAATGGCCGCAGCAGATGTACATCGACTCCACAGGCCACAAGACTTTGAAGGTGCGCGATTTGATTTCTGCCTTGTTATAAAGCCTTGCCTCCGGTAAATTGGATTCCGGTCATGCTGTGCCTCTACCTAGGGTTGCATGAAACGCCCCTCCCCCCCCCCGCCTAGGTCAGGATCTAGACTGTGGACATGTATACAATATCTACCTCTCTGGCTCATATCATGGATGAATCCAACTTCCCTCGACTCCTACCGCTTCCACCTCTGCCCACCCCAATCTCTTCATAAAACACTTTAGCTGGCCACCGACTAACGCTTCCCCGTGCGCAGGCCAAAAGATCTTCTTCTACAAAAACCACCCCATCCGCTTCGTCACAGTGGTCGGCCTGATTGTGGCCCGGTCCGAAGTGCCCCGGCGCACGATCCTCACCCTAGACGACAGCACCGGTGCAACCCTCGACATCGCCTTCTTACACGCCACCCCGACGAACCCTGCCCCCAACCCACTACCCATCGCACACACGCAAGTTCCAGACCCAGACACCCATCCAAGCACACGACACGTCTCCGCGACTGACGGCACTGCCCTCGACATATCACGCCTGCACCCGGGCACCATGGTACAAGTCAAAGGCACGCTGTCGCTCTTCCGGGCCACGATGCAACTGCACGCGGAGCGGGTCAAATTCGTCCCCGACACGAACGCAGAGATGGTGTTCGTGGACGCGCGGCTGCGGTTTCTGCTGGAGGTGCTGCGAACGCCGTGGGAGCTGGGGGAGGAGGAGGTGGCGCGGCTGCGTGGGGAGGCGGAGCGCGGGGGCGCGGAGCGGGAACGGGCAGTCGCCAGAGAGAAGAGGCGGGCGGAGCGGGAGGCGCGGGATGCGGCGCGGATTCGGAGGAGGTATGAGAGGGAGGAGAAGGTGCGCGCAGAAGAGGCGGTTGTTTGTGGGGAGGATGGGGCACGGGTGATGCGAGATATTCGGTGGGGGAGAAGGGGAGGTAAAATGAGCTGAGCAGAAGTTTTTTTTTTTGGCCTTTTCTTTTTACCGTGTAGAGTTGGTCGAAAGAAAAGACAACTTGGAACAGGGTGTTATTTGGCAAATCCCAAGGCTAGAAGACTACCTAATTTGATGCAGCATGGTATTACATGGGGAAGTGGGATGCAGCGCGCTTTTTGTGCAGAGATTCCAGAAGGAGTACAAGCCTGAAAAAACTAATGTATCCAAAGCAGTGGTCATAGACATAAGACATTCGTCAAGTCATCACAAAACCCCAGCGGCCGGGGGGTATCTTCATGCCACAGGTAAAAACGCCGAGCTAGAGGGACCAAGGGAACAAAGAGACATAGTGAGGAAATGGCGGCGAAAGAGACAGAGGGGGAAAGAACATAAATACAGTAGGCGACCTGAAGAAAGTATGAGACCAGAAGAAAATTTGGGAAATCAACAAAAGAGGCCCCCTTTAACAGTGACCAGTAACAATATAAAACAAGAGCCCAATCAGTAGTGGTACTTGACAGGACCGCCGCCCTGCCCACCCAGCATGCCGCGGTAGTACTCCTCTTCACCGGCCCGGCTGCCGCGGTGTGATTTCTGATCTCGATAGCGTCGGACATCGTCATCTGAGGGAAGGATGGAGGTCGGTGAGTCCACGTAAAGATCACCGGTCGAGGTACCACCGTATCGGGGGATGGGGTCGCGGCCGAGCAAGTCGCTCTCCGAGTGTCTATATTCATTCATACCTCGGGACGAGCTGCGCGATCCCCGGGAGTATCGGCGGGAGCGGGGGGCAGGGCCAGAACCGGAGCGACCATAAAGTGAGTCACGGTCGAACTTGTCATAGGGGCGATAGCTGCTAGTCACGCCAGGGAGGTCGGTTGGTCGGCTTGTGGAGAAAGAATTGGTATGGCTACGGATGTGGCCTGCTTCATCATATACTTTTCCGCCGCCCGGTTGGGCGGAGTAGGGTTTCCGCTCACGCTCAATCGGGGCGGGCGCGATGGGTTCGTCCTCGTCGTCAATCACGGCGGACGAGGAGGCCGCCGAAGGGGTCGGAGCTCGGCCTCGTTCATAGGACCGCTGCCGTGGTCTCTCTGAGGCAGCGAACTGCGGCTCGGTTGGAGAAAGGCCCGGGTTTGTGGGCGATGGCTTCTTCGATCGTGAAGCCCGTGAGCGCTCCTCGTCCGTAATGGAAGGCAAGTCCACACCACATTGCTTCATGATATACTCATCCGTCTCCTCCCTCAATTGCAGATCGGCAAAATCAGGGAACAGCCGGCGCGGGATCTCCTTGGGGAACCGTTCTTTCCTGTCGTCCGGGTTGCTGATAGGCATGTTGAGTACGGCTTTTTGTAGCCGTTCGTACTCCCGGTCCGGGTTGGCTTGGATCATCAAAGTGGCCCATTTTTCGAATCCCTTGGGGGTCAGGCCTGGGATATCGGGCCGTTCTTTCAAATCATCGAGCTGAACCAGGTGATGCTCAGCTTTGATTTCACGGAATAGCCGTGAAATCGAGGATGTTCGATCATCAAATATATCTAAGCGGGCGGCAGTCAGATCAGTAGCTGTTTCATCATGCATAGAATATTGTCTTGAAAACACCCACCTTGCCATGGATATGGGTCCGATGGGACATTGGTCTCCGCATAAAACTTCTGCATCTTCTCCGGCGTCACAACAAGCGTGTTCCCGGGCGGATAATCCTCAATCTAGGCCAAAGATTAGCCTCGGGTCCGGCTTCGAGGTAGAATCAAGGGAGTTGAAACACGGTACATACCAAGTGAGAGGCGATCCCGCGCAAAAACTGGCCCAGCCGTTTCGTCGGCTTCCCGTCCTCAAATAACTTGCCCCAGATCTTCTCCAGGGTGGTCATCTCCATCACCGTTGCGTCTCGCGACGGAGGTTTGGGTCTGGTGACGTCTGTTTTGTGACTGCTTTGACTCGAGATGGACGGTGTGCGACGGTGCATTGGTTCTGGCGACGGTTTGTGGCTCGGTCGTGTGTCGCTCGAGTAGCCTGTGGGATTGACATAGGGCTGGGTCGATTCAAAACTGTTGGACATCGGGTTCATCGGCGGGAGCGATCCACTCCTCGTTGAGGCTCCCGGGGGAGATTCGGAGTGCGGACGAGGGGTTGGATCACTGACCCCTGGCCACGAGGGCTGCTGTGAGGGCTGCTGAGAGGGTGGCCGGGAGGGCGGATGGGGTCCAGAGCCCTGGATATTGTCCAGCCCGGATGCCTTGAGCTGCTGGATGACGGTCGCGGTAATCTGCGACAGCACATCAGGGGAGAGATATGCGGACGAGTTCGCACTGTGCACAGCCGAGCTGACAGCCTCATTGAGGTTGCCATTCCCGGGCGGTGGCGGTGGACGGGGAGGGGGAGGCGGCTCCGAGTAGGACTCCATATTCTGGATTGGCGATGCGGACGGAGGCATCTGCGGTTGGGGCATGTTGAGCCGATCAGGCTCGTAGGCAGAAGGATAGGGTGGCATAGGGGCATAGCCTTGAGGGTCGTCTGAGTCGGGAGCCATGTTCATGTTGGTGTTCATATTCATGTTGCCCGACTGATAGGGATTGGGGGTTGAATGGTACCCATCGTAAGCCATCGGGGAGTCAGCCGGGGGGAGGGTGACTCGCTGCGCACCGAGAACGAGGCTGTCGATGCGCGCGATGAGAAAGTCGAGGGGGGAAGGCGATGGCAAGAACTTGGGGTATGTCGCTTTATTTTTCTTTCCTCAGGCACTCTCGCTGATTTTAGACGACCTGAACGGGGGGTCTGCAGGCAGAGATGAAAAGAAGAAGGATGGAGGGGGCGGTGGGGGGAAGAGAAACGGTGGCGTCACACTTCCGATCCTGGTGGCCTTGCCCTGACCTCAACTGCTCGCTCGCTGGGGTTCACGTCCAGGGCTGCTCTGTACACCACGTCGCCTGTGCTCTCTGCTCTCTGTTCGCTGCTCTCTGTTCGCGGGGGACTGCGACGTCACTCCCGCTCAAAGGCTGTCGAGGTGTGGCGCATTTAATCTATTCAGGTGCCACCAACCCTGCCAAACTGCATCTCTTGCCTCTCGTTGGGTCCAGATCGGCGCCCAACCATCGACCCGACCAGGTCTGTCGATATCGCCTGTACCGATCCCCCATGGCCTCTCAACTCTCTCTGGCCCCTATCAGCTGGGATGCCGGGGACGTTTCATCTCGCACGACAGGCGTGACTGGACGTGTCAGGAAGGTTTGAAATCCGGCAGTGGTGTCGCCGTGCAGTCGGCTGCATCATCCGACAGTTTACGCCAGTCAAGCCAGATGGACCAGGAGCCCAATCAGCGCCATTCAAAGGAGAACTGGCCGCATCGCAGGACGATCCGATCCCTATCGGCGGGAGTCCTTTGCAGTGCGTGGCAGCAGCATCCCATCACCTGGCATCGCGGGGCGGCCTGTTCTGTTGCCCTCCAAGAGCCAGCGTATAGCCGCCGGATGCTCTCCGAGACCGTCAATCAAAGTCTCCAGCATGAATCAATCAACAGGGAGCGGATTCCCTGCGCCAATGATCCCAGCTGCTCCTGGGTCGAAAACCAGAGGATAAGAATAGCTCAACGGTCAAACTAGCGCGGGGCTAATGTAGTGATATACTTTGCGCGGTGGATATGGGATATTTTTGGGATCACCGGAGGCGAATCTACGTGAAAATTGCAGGCAAATTGCGCACAAGTGTAAATCATGGTTCTCCGGAGTGGAATTCTAGCTGGACCGTAATCCTTCCCCAAATAAACAAACCCCTCTGAAGCCCATGGGTTCGTGTGGGGCCGAACCAACGATCAACAAGGGCAGACCGCGACTCCCGCAGGCCCGAAGCAGCTGCAATCCATGGAAGCAAAGCGCCATTCTTTACCCCGGAAATATCATTCCACGCAACCGGTTCATCGAACAATCAAATCTGCGATATCTTCCGCGTATGAAGCACGCCGTTTCTGTGGCACCGCATTATCTTTTTTTTCTTTAAAAAAAAAGAAAAACAACCAAGTTCATAGAAAAAGAAATAATGAAAAGAAGCATCCAGCATCCGGCTACTGACTTGAAGAAAAAATAAGAAAGAAAGGGAAAACAAAATCCTTGTCGTGGCAAAGACAATCAAGTCTCCGGCCATCCATCTACCGCCACCGAAAAAGAAAATCCAATCGCAGCGATGATGTTACTCCGTAAGAAAGCCCGCGAAGGACGAAGCGCAAAAGACCACCCCCCCCCCCCCCCCCAATCAACCAGATCCAATCCTCAAACGTAATTTCCAGTGACACCTCTACTGCTGATCCGAGGAGCTCTTGCAGCTCTTTTGACCGTAAAGTTTGCCCACGTTGTGCTCGGTGAAGTCGATCGGCATGAGATTGAGATTGCGCTCGTCGCGAGGAGTCTTGAACCACTACAAGAATTCATCAGTGAGCCACAGCATTCGAGATCCCCAATCCCCAATCCTCGAGTCCCAAGGTTGTCATGACATACTGTAGATGGTTTCTTGCCACTTCGAAACCCTCGAGGCTGATCATCGACGCTTGTATTCTCCTCTTCTTGCTCATCCTCGGAAGTCTCGTACCCGGTCTGGATGAAGCCGCCTCCCAGGGTAAGGGCCGTATAGGGATCCTATAGGTCACATGTAAGTCACAGGTTCCTGTCTAGATTTCAAAACAGCAATGATTGTACTTCGCCCTCAATCAGGAATGGTTTGGCAGCCTCCATCTGGCTAATCAGGTGGTCATTGGCACGCTTGTCTCGCTCATCCTGTTGCAGCCAGTCCTGGCAGAGCATGCACACCTACACCATAGATTTCCAGTCAAGTCAGTGGCTCTGACCGAACAAACAGCCTTTCAGAAACAAAGACGTTGCCATCGCATCCAAAACTGAAGCTTCTGAAAACGTACCGGCTCCGCAAACTGGCGCTGGGTAGTAGCAAACTCATCCAGGGCCTTGATCTCGCCACAGGTCTTGCAGGTGAGCTCAGTAACCGCATGCAGAGTGCAGGTCATGCACCGGGCTACATGCTGATCAAGAATCATTTCCGGACCATCCTTGTAGATAGAGAGACGCAGTTTGTTCAGCTGGTTGACTGAGTAGGCGTGGATCTCACGGGTCTGGCTGCAGAGGGCGCACTCGATCCTATATCAATCAGTTATGTGGGCTGCCTGGATGCTCTTCATGTATATTCATACGCGTCTGGGAGTTGAATGTTCGAGATTCTTTTCGAGTCTCAGTCAGATTCATCGTGGTCTTGTGCGACTGATGTGAAGCAAGATGGACTCACTGCTCTTGAACTGCTAAATTCCACCCGTCATTCGACCCCCATTGACCCTTTCGATGTCGGCGCTTTCCCATGATGGTCACTTCGCGACAAGAATATTGCCTGGAGAGTAGGTGAGAGGGTAAACAAGTAGCTCGCTAATTCGGTGGTGTGCGAAGGCAAGGAAGTATGTGCAGCGTTCAGAGAGGAAGGAGTGAAGCAGGTGATCAAGGAAAGATCTCTGGAAAGGGAAAAAGAAGGCAGGATGCGCTTTCGATTTTCCGAACGACTGTAAATTGAAAAAGAGTGAATAGTTCTCAACTTTGTAGCGCATCACTGCTCAAGAACTGACGGATAAGCCCTCATTTACCTGTTTAATGGCTGAGAAGACACAAAATGTCAGTGACTTTTGAATATTCCACGCCATCTTAAAATACTTGATCAAAAGAACCTCATGCATTTTGCTTTTCAATCATTTCGTATTTGCTGGTCTGCATATACTAAGCGCACCGTGTCTATACCTAATTCACAAGTATGGCGTTCAAGAGTAGCGCGGATGTCCTGGACAGATACTTGATAGCATCACACTGTCTTCCTAAAGAAATATCTTTTTTCTCGCCGTGAATAGAATATTCAAACCAGACAATTATTGAGATTGTAATATTGATGACGGTAAAGCTACTGCCTCGGGCAGCGATGGGCTCCCGGAGCACAGGATGGGTTAGTTATCCCGCCGCCCTGAGCTGGCCCGGAGCGATGCGGAGCGATGCTGAGCAATCCGGAGCTGCGTCCTGAACAACCAGTTGCTCTGCTCACTACGTACATTGAATTACTTCTCTAATTTCTCATCATCCGATGGTAAGCGCATAGTTACTCCACACTGCTTCTAGGAACAACCTAGAGAGATGACGTAGCTTCTTCCTAGTCCATTTTCTACAGTAGTTATTCCGTATCCGGAGTGATGCTGAACAGATGGCTCCGGAATAATCGTTCTCCGAAGCTGCACGAAATGGAATATTCATTAATCTGAATCCGAATTCTAGCCATCCCTATTGCAAGTGACCTCCTCTTTTATAGTGTTCGTTGCAGCAGAATATTGTTGTCTTGAAACAAAATTGACTTTGAGCTCTTGACTGTATGTTAACTGATACGCAAACCATACACGCTAAAACTTACTAGTAATAGATATCCATATGTCGGAACAACCGCCTTTACGAGTTCTCATTATTATCTCGGATAAGAATCAGTATTGGGAACAATCCTGGTCCGCTTCGGAGGATATATGTCTAGTTGCTCTTGAGGTCCATCATCAGCATTTGCAGCAGTCGGGTTGCTATACCTAAGCAACCAGACGAGCTATGTTCGATACAGATGATGACCACCGGCGACTGAAACAGATCGTTGCCAAGGTGCCCAATGTCATCGACATGGGCAAAGAAGCGGTAACATTGCAGACTCTCATGCAGCTCCCGGGCCCAGTTGAACAACTTGCCAAGGGTGCAGCCGATATAGTATCCACTCCCATGGTCCCTGGAAATGCCTTCTAGGTCGCTTTTTATGAAAGACACGACACGGTTGTACGCCTACTACTCAAGCGCAGATTCGATATCGGCCACCACGGCGGAGAGCATAGAAAAGCCTTTCAGGTGTGAGAAAAGCTAGGGAAATACCTTTCAGATGCCTTGAGTACATGGAATTGACAAGTCTATGTCCTTTTCGTTCCTTCTCGAAAGGGTTAAAGATTAAGGAGCAATATGCAGTCTAGCGGGATTCATTTCTATCCCTCTGTTCCTCGAGTACTTATATTGAGCCCTCTTTCCTATACCGCCAAGTCAAAAGAATTGGCTAAAGTTTGCCAGTGCTTTACCCCGAATGTTTCCTTTTGCTTGGTTAGGTAGTATCTCAGTAAATTGATAGTCTCCGTATCCCGACCTGAGGATTTCCAGGTAAGAGCGAGATTTGCCATCCTGCTCAGCGTATCAGGATAGTCTTCGCCTAGCTTCTTCTTGCGAGTCTCCATCACCTATAATTGAAGCTTCTCAGCCTGCTCCCACCGGCATTTGTACCAAAACGTCGATGCCAAATTGGCCATAGTTTTCAATGTGTTGGGATGGTCGCCACCGAGCTTCGTTTTACTCACCTCCATCACCTGCACCTGGAGTTGGTCAGCCTCCTTCCACCGGCCCTAGTTGCAGTATATTAATACCAAATTAGATATATAGGCCGGCGTATTAGGATGGTCTTCGCCGAGCTTAATCTTACCGGAAAGAAAATACTACAACCCACTTGTACTGTTTGCAGTCGAATATGGCTCACCCGAATGGTCCATAGACTGGAAGTGCGAGAATTATAGCAAGCGTTTGTAGAATAATCACCCCTCCTGCCCCAGCCCCCAGATTTACCCTTGGGTCGTCCGTTCTCACTCTTTTCAATCTCACAACTGCGGTCACCAAAACCACTTACTGTACAAAGTGGCTAGGAATTTCGATTTCCGGCAGCGTAATATGATTCTTCATATGATATATAGTAAGAACAGACTCCCTACAAAGCAAATGGCGAAGGTGGCGCACAGATAACTCAATTAGAGAGAAGAGAGGATACAGTACTAGTTGTCTTGAGTATATTAGCCCTGTTTTCTTGCTGAACATCACACACCACAAGACCAAGAATAAAGGACGAACACAAAGTTACTAATCATTATTATTGCATTTTCGATCTTATGTGTTCCTCTCTAAGCTTCGCTCACCCAATTAGGATAGCCTGCGAGCTAAGAATATGTGTGTTATAGGGTAGCGCTCAGATAGATAAGCTAGAATAATTACTTACTGTGTAAGAACTGTTGGTACTCAGCTTACCTTGCCAGCGCCAAAGCTAAATCTTGATTCGAGTTGGAATAATGACCAACTTTACACCCTTCACATAGTTCACTATCGTGCGGCCCTCTGCTCTGGCCAGAGAAGTTAGGCGGCTGTACCCCAATTCCATTCCATTTTTTGAGCGATCAAATCATTCTTTCCACGTAGCTTCCAGTATCTAGGAATAGCCAGCCGACTGCTTTGCAGTTTCTGCATCGTTTGTGATACACTCGCACGTTATATCGCTGCTGAGGGTACAAGCGAATAGTAATCTCGAATTTTTTGCTCGACCAACCGCTGGGGTAAGATCCGCAATTTGGACCCATAACCCTGGTGTCCTAGTATTCGATATTTGTTTCCTCGTCATTGGCGTCCAAGAAATCTATTCGAAGCCCTTCCTCGTCTACTAACTGTGCTACATCGTCATCACTTAGCGTTGGGGTGGAATAATGCAGTGCAAGAAAGCCATAGTCCTTCGTAAGGTAAGATATATTTTGTTGCAATTGGGCACATCGATAGGTTAAAATATCAGTAGGAACCTACACACCAAACGTCGAAATATCCATCGATAGGAATTTTATATATGAATTGCATGCAATATTAACATTTCAACAAATATATGTCTATTCCATTCACACAATCCACGTGTTTTTCAGGAAGAGAGTTGTGGTTTGTGTTCATGATACCCAATAATCTATTCGCATCGTGATGCTCTGCATATACTCTTCGATAAATTATTGGAATTGTCCAATAAACAAGCCAAATACGTAGAATCAATCTCACCCCCTCTTTCCATCTTCACAGAGCATAGATGCTCCCTCTCCCTCCTTTCTCATCTTTTGCAGAGATCTCCATGCCGTGTACCTACCACTCTTCTACAAAGCCAGGCACCTACATATCCCTTTCAAACTAAGCCACCTCACCACCATAACAACCAGCCAAAGCCAACAAGCCTCCCCCCTTTCATCCCTCATTTCCACAAGCCACACTACCTGTCCCTCCAAGAAGAACCCAACCACCCTTCATCCACTCTTACTCCCAGCTAGACGGGAAACACCGGAAACACGGGAACGTCCCGAACTCGCCCCCCAGCCCCATCTCACCAAAATCCCCGATTGGCCGGCCTACCAAGGAGACAGGCTTCCAGAAAGTTCACCAGGGGTGAGAGGGGGGGGCATTACCTGGCTCCCACGCTCCGGAAGGTTAGAAATAAACTAGCCAAGACGGAAGCATCGACGGTCAAGCCCCTGGTCCCGGGCAGCCGGCACCCACGGCCGCGCATCCCCATCTTCAGACATCGAAGTCACGGCAAAGGACCTTCCAGAAACGCTGAAGCGGCGAATGAGAGGAGTCGTTGGCGCAGCGACAGTGGGGAGGGGGGGGGGGCGGCCCCGGGCCATGGTTTGGGTGCGTTCCCGTTTTCTGGGCATGAGGGCAGAGGATGATTATCGTGCTATTCAAGAATCCCTGCAGCTAGTGGGAACGGAGCATCGGGGACCAGGTTAAATTAGGAAGGGAGGGAAGGCGGGAGGGGGTTGTTTTGCTTTTCCGATTGTTGGATTGGAAGGGGATAGGGGTCCCCTGGTGAGGCAACTCGGTGTCCCGGACGTGCAGTAGGTTAAGGGGGGGGGGGGGGGGAGGATGCGACGAAGTCTGTTCTTCTGTATGCACTATGTTCGGCGTCTGCTGTGGGTCAAGGAGGTTTAGTTCAACTTTACTAGACTGGCATGCTTTTGAGTCCCTGGCCAGAGGAGTGCGCTTCTGGCTAGTTGGGTTTAGTAGCTTCGGAGACTGAGTCCGGAACAAATGTAGAATCCGTTGGCTACCTCTGGTATGGAGTTCATACTCTATACGGAGTACTTTTCCTTGTTTTGATGTGGTGGATCGCGGACCGCGGACGGGGCAAAAGGGCTCGTGGCGAAGCGGATTTTGGTGCGGAGCCCCTGGGGAATGGATATCCAGCATCCAAAATAGAACCACTGGACGACGTAAACCAGGCACGAGGCAATCGACTGCTATTGAATCGTCCGTCTCTGTTCTTCTGCATTGCGGATCTTGGGAATCGAAGCTAGGGTCTGGCAAGCAAAAGCAACAAACGTGAAGTACGACCAGGCCGCCTACGGTTCACAGCCGTGACTCCCAGAGGATCATACTGACGTTATATCTGTCTATACCGCGTCCATACTTCATAGTGTAGCCAGTTGATCTGGCGAGAATCTGTCTTCTCGTCTTTTGAGAGGAAAGCCTTGGCCGCAGTTGACCTTCTCGAAGGTCAAAGGAAGACGACGGCGTATCCCGACACTTTGGCAACGGTGTCAATAGTGCGATTCCTGGTGTTGGGCCCCAGAGTGGCAAGAGCAGAGGGGGCGAGGGGGATCACCTTTGCCCTGCGCAACGCTGGACGACCCTCTCGGGTAGGAGGGACGGGCCTGGATGAGGCCCACGAAGTGGAGCATCCGTCGTCCCTCGACGAGACCGCGGCGCGCTAGACCCACACCCGCGAAAGTCCCAATTGAATGCGTTGACGAGGTTTGGGAAAGGATTGCGTTGTGAATCAGCATATCCACTTTCTGAGCCTTTTCCACCACGACGGATTCTAACTGACAATGTGGGCCAATGGGCGTGCTGGCGCGTAGGAGGGCTCCATCGCACTAGGACCTTCTGACCCTGCCCATTGGTATTCAGGATGATGGGGAGGATACCTAGGCCCCAGAACCCAGCATCCGCGAAGGCCACGCCTCCACTGCGTCCACTCGCGGCGAAGAGCTTCTCCAGCGGTCAAGACGGGCGCCTTCAATAATGCTGAGAGGAGTCAATGGATTGAATTTAGGAACATACACGGTGTGTACCGAGTCAGTTAGATGGAGTCACGTTCTTCTGGCGCCCCGCGGGAGATCGTGCTGCGAGTGGTGGGTTTTTCTCACACGCCCCATTTCGTTACTGTGCTGCTGCCCGAGCTTCATGACGATGGTCTTTCAATATTTTTTTCCCACTAAGCGCTCTACGCTGTGGGGTGGGTAATGGATGGGAGGGGGGGGGGCAATCCTTGATGATGAATGGTCTCACGAGTCCCTCAGAATGCTGCTCGTGCGGGAGTGGACTCGGGGCTGGTTCGACTCTTGCTTTTTTCGATCAACAACCAGGAAGGCCCACCGGTAATCTATTGTCGGGGGCAAATGGCCTTGAATGGGTGGAGGGTATGACTCCGTATCCCGTCGGTACGGCCCTTAGGGAGGAGAAGGGGGGGGGGGGGGGGGGGGGATGAGCCCACCACAACTACACGGCACCAGGGGGATCGCCCTTTGTTCTGCAGAAACCGGAGAAGGGCACAGAGATCACCGACTGTGGCCGTATTGTGAAAACACAGGTCTCGTCTCGTGGCGGCATGGCGATGCAGCAACTGGGACGAGTCCGGCATCAGCAATATGTGAGGCGACCTCAGAGAGGGAGAAGCAACGGCAACGACGCGGACGAGGCCCGCAACAACCTGGCCCGAATCGGAACACCATCTGGGAATGATCCATGCGGGCCAAACGGCGGCCCCAGGGTTCGTCCGGTCTGACAGGTGCGTTTTCATCCTGGCCTTCTGCAGGTAATACTCATCATGAGGTCGTTCCGGCTCGACCCTGTGCCCGTATTTCCTGACAGTTGACAGACACTCTGCTCTCCGAGGGAAGATGGGGTGATAGCCCGAGTGATAATCCGAGTGATAGACAGGATCATCCGTCATCATTCCCACGGCTCTGTTCTCGGGTTCCTGGCCGCGGCTTGGCGGAGTGGAGTGCTTGTGCCTTGTGCTCGAAGTCAACGGGTGACGCAGGCTCATCCCGCCTGTTTCCTGGCGAGGAAGAGGAGCATTGCCGACAACTAGTGGAAAGATCGCTTCGCCATTTTGGGGAGGAGGGAGGCGGCAATTTTCGATCTATTTGGCATTGGGATCCATCGGGAGACGTCCGGAGACAGGGCTCAGTGGTCTCACCGTTGACAGAGCAGCGTGGACGACACGGATGGCCAGGAGGATGGATCCTTTATTGCTCGCCGAGTGGTGCCGAGTGGTTTACTAGCGGAGACCCGGACTAGGCTTGCGACTTGTGACTTGTGAGAGCCCTTCCCCCAGTCCCCCAATTCCAGCCCCGGACAGACCGACAAAAATCGTCGCAACAAAGAAAACAGAGAGATGGAATTGAACCAATTGAACCAATTGAACCAAATGAAACCAACTTTCTCCAATGAGACCCAGGAAATCAGAACGGAGGTCCGTCGCGTATCGCGCGAGCGCATTGAAGCATGAAGCATGAATCATGACGCGCCATCTGTTCCCAATCGGCCAGTGCCAGCAGTCATGCGTAGTATTATAGTACGGAGGATGGAGTATGTCCATACCCAATGGCCTTCACCGTTGTCCCTCGGCTCAATTTTGGGGAGTCAGGCCTCGAAGCACTCTGTAGACACTCTGGACATCTGAACTGTGCCGAGTACATCGTCTGCAACAATCTGAGAATAACCTCCAGAACCAAAGTCAAGTGATGGCCAGCCCACCAAATGCACGATGGGCAGATGCGTCTTCCCCATGTTCCCGGCTTAAGCTTACTCGTCTCTTTTTTTTTTTTCCTTTAATTCCAGTCCTATGCGAACGCCTCCGTCCGAACCTAATTTCGGACCCCAATGACCGGGAAAGGAAGCCCAATAACAGTCCAGCAGTCCAGCAGTCCAGCCAGAGAGGAAGTAAAAAACAACAAAACAAAAAACAAAAACCAAAAAAAGCCTTCTCATTTGAATTCCCTCGGACCAGTCGGAGTCCCGTCTGGGAACTCCCTCCCCAAAACCAACTCGAGGGCTGGTATTTGCCCCCCCAGGAAAGCTCGGATGCTGCTGCAAGTAGATCGGGTGGCGAGACGCGGAGGATGCCCGGTCAACGAGCGTCAACAATCACCGCGAACGACGAATAGTCTGAAACAGGGGCCGGCCAACATGGAACAAAACAAGGAACCCCGTAATTACACATCCTGCATCATCGATGCTGGAGGGGACCTATGAGGATGGGATGGGGGAATCATATCTCTCAATCGTCACCCGCGAAGGGAGGGAGCGAGAGACCTCACTTTCCCTTGCGGATGCTGAATCCGATGTGGCACATGACATAATCGACGGTGGTTGCAGGTAGGATTCTCCTTGCGGTCTGGCCCTGCGGTCGAGGCCACCGGGCAAAAGTGATAGGTCGGGCAGGATGTCCTTCGCCCGGTGTATCCACGATGTTTGTCAGATGTGACCATAGACTAGGGAAAGGCTGGAGACGGGAGACGGAGAGGAAGGACAAGGAGGATTCTGACGTGTTTCTCGCGGTGAAGTGGATAGGTTCCAGGAACACCGGACTCGAGAGGATGAGGGCTCGCGAGGGATCGCGAGGGATCTCGACGACGCCCGAGGCCGGAGTCGATGGGCGCGGCCCAACTCCCCCGTGCCTGCTTTTGCCCCCCGTCACGCCTAGGCAATTTCTCCTCCTCCGGCAGGTCCAGGCTCGGACTTGAGGCGACCCAAATAATTGTATGCCCAACCCCCCCAATTATTAGGCGCTGGGACATGCGATTGTCCACTGCAGGCCTTCTCTAGTCACACCACCCCCTCCTCCCCCCACACTTTGTCGCCTTGACCATATTTCCACCAGTCCCTCTGGGTGAATGGATCGACTATAGTTCGTGGAGGCATTCGTGATGTGTTGTTTTTTCTTTTTCTTTTTTCTTTTTCTTTTTTCTTTTTCTCTTTTCTTTCTTTTCATTTTTGTTTTATTTTTGAGCACGGAGTATTTTCGTACTTTGGTGTCTCTGGTTTTTCTTTTTCTACTGGCGGGATCCGCTCTTCTCTCTCTCTGTTGGCCCCGAAGACGAACCAACAGGTACTGATCCCCCCCCCCCCCCCCTGTAGCGTGGAGGAAGTCACTAGTTGAGGATTGGTGCCCCTTCAACTGCTTCACGAGGTCCCAAAAGGGGATAACTCAGGATCCAAAATGCCTCGGGGTACTTTTTTTCTTTTCTTGCTTGATTTGGATTGTCAAATTATTTTTATTATTTTTATTTTTATTTTTTTTTTAATTTGGGTGACTTGGGACTTGTGGAATTTTGAATTTTCGATTTTTGATTTTTCCAAATTGTCTTCACTTTGAAATTTGCTTCCTGCGAGGCCATTAGACTCGTTTCTGCGCGAACTCAACGTTAGAGCTAAAAGTGCAAAGCCCGCCCAAACCCGCTGGGTCCGGGCCGCCTATTATAATGCACGATAGATTACGCCAGTACCGAGCCAGGCACCCGGACCCGCCTCCCGCCCGTGCCATTGGATGACGCGGGAGCAACCCGTTCATGCGTATTTATTGTTTGGATCATATTTTATTCTACTGATTTATTGGGATTATTATGATTACTCTGATGACTCTGATTACTCTCATGGTCTGGGTCCTTCCCCCCCCCCGCTTTCGTACCGTAATTGCTGCATAGATTACCGTCGCATTACTCGCCTCGCTCCCCACAACCCCCCCGTCCTCCACTAGGTACCCTGTAATTCACTCCGTACTTTGCGAAAGGGAGGCGGCATTTGGGTACCTGGCGTACGGGCGGGCCCGTACGCATACACGCTGTACTGGCGGTACAGCTGTACACGCCCCCCCCCAAAACACCCGATCAAGCGTCTCGCGTTGTTCGTCAACCTCTTCTTGGTCTTGCTTCATCGCTCGATTTCTTTTCTCTTTTCTCTTTCCTCGGACTGCGCTCCCGTTTACTCGAGATCAGTATTGTCCGAACGGAATATCCTTGTCTTCTCTCTCCCCCGGTCGATATCGTCTGGTTAGCCGAGTTCATCCTCTTCCCCCCCCGAGTGGGCTGATCTGCACCGTCTTAACGTGGTTAATTTACCGTCTCCACGGCCCCGTCCCTCAAGCTCGAGCTGTCACCGCGTCAGGGGCTTCTGCTGCTCCCTCGGGTCTCCGATCGCTGCCCACCCCCCAAACGGGTCTTCTCCTATTCTGGCCGGATTTCCTTTTTATTGCATCGTGCCCGTTCCCATTCTCCCCTCCCCCCTCTCCTCTGGTTCTCCGGTACCTCGATCATATACCTGCATCTGCGCCCCAACTACTCCGTCACTCCTTACTTCAACCGCTTCACTCGAGCCCGACCTTGACTCCCAATCCTGTGAACCACTTGGTCCATTCCTCTCACACCCCCCTCTAATGGGAGAGCAAAGCTTCCTCCTGAGTCCAGCCCTGAACTACTCCAGACATTCGACATTCCTCGGGTGATGCACATCGGCCTCAATTGACTTCATCCACTACCTCGCGTGGGAAGTCTCTCCCCTCTCTCTCAAATACTCTAATGTACGAACACCCCCCTCCACACCCCCCATTCCTGACGTGGCGAAGTGATGCGTTGTATATGTTGGGGCGAAACCACTGACCAGATATCCTATGATGCAGATACTCTTCGTCTGCTGGCAGACCCCAAGAGACCACCATGACCGTCACATACGATTCTCCCGCCCGAGGGTCGCACACCTCAATGGCCTCCCTCGAAGATCGCTTCCAGGTGATGAAGGAAGTCGGCGATGGAAGTTTCGGTAGCGTCGCTGTGGCACGGGTACGCACGGCTGGATCGCATATTGCACGACGGGGCACGATGGTATGAACAACAAGTCCCCTTTCCCCAGTCCCCTCGGGGACCGCGATCTCGTTGCATAGAGAGAGTTCCAAAAGAGCACCTATCTTAACCTTGGTACCTCCAGGTCGCTATCAAAACCATGAAGAAGACTTTCGACTCCCTGACGCCATGTCTTGAACTGCGGGAGGTCATCTTCCTGCGGACCCTTCCTATCCACCCGCATCTGGTCCCCGCCCTCGATATCTTCCTCGACCCCATGACCCATAAACTCCATATCTGCATGGAGTACATGGACGGCAACCTGTATCAATTGATGAAGGCTCGCGACAACAAGTACTTCGAAGGCAAGCACGTTAAGAGCATCCTCTACCAGATCCTGTCCGGCTTGGACCATATCCACGCACACCAGTTCTTCCATCGCGACATCAAACCTGAGAACATCCTGGTGTCAACCTCCGCCCCGAACGACTCGACCTTCAGCCGCTACTCGAATCTGGTCACACCTCCCCCGACGCCTCCCACCTACACTGTCAAGATCGCCGATTTTGGCCTGGCGCGTGAAACTCACTCCAAGCAACCCTACACCACCTATGTTTCTACCCGCTGGTATCGGGCCCCTGAGGTCTTGCTGCGCGCAGGAGAGTACTCCGCCCCCGTGGATATGTGGGCAATCGGTGCGATGGCTGTGGAGATTGCGACGCTGAAGCCGCTGTTCCCAGGAGCGAATGAAGTGGATCAAGTCTGGCGTGTCTGTGAGATCATGGGCAGCCCCGGAAACTGGTACAGCAAGTCTGGTGCCAAGATCGGCGGTGGTGAATGGCGCGAGGGATCGCGACTGGCCCACAAGTTGGGCTTCACGTTCCCCAAGATGGCACCGCACTCGATGGACACCGTGCTCCGGGAGCCGCGGTGGCCGGCCGCTCTCAGCGAGTTCGTAACCTGGTGTCTTATGTGGGACCCTAAGAATCGCCCAACATCGACCCAGGCGTTGAACCACGAGTACTTTGCTGATGCAGTCGACCCCCTGCGACCCAAGTCGTCGACATCCTCCCGGCTGCTGGGCCGGAAGTTATCGGAAAAGAGCTTCAAGTCCCCGACTCTTTCCCCCAGCGACTCGCCCACGCTGTCCTCCAAGCCTTCGTGGTTCCGTCGGTCATTGATTGGCCGCTCTGACAGCCCTGTTCCGACGGTTGACGGGGACAGCCCCGCCCGGCCTCCTGCTGTCTCGTATAACACCGTTCCTGATGTTCAGCCGGCCAAGACACGACCGGCGAACAACAAGCGGGCAACCTGGGCCAATGGTGCTCCGATGCCCATTCTTCCTTCTATTCGTCCGGTCTCTCCCCTGTCAAATTCCGTCACGGCGCAGGCCAACGCAACTGTGGCACACCGCGATGCTTCGAAGCTGACTGAGCCTGAAGAGAGCAAAGCCAGCAAGAAGATCGGCCGCCAACTGTCGGTCAACTCTAATGGCAATCATTATGCCGACATTCACAGACAAGAGGCTGAGCGGATGCTGAATGGCTCTGGTAACACCACTCCCACTACGAAAGAGAGCTTCTTCTCTCACCTGCGCAAGCGTGCTCGCCGACTCTCTGGACGGAACCAGGCCAACGCTACCCCTGAGGATATCGAGGCTAATGCTGGCTGCATCCCATGGTCTAACCGCTCCTCAATGGCGCTTGACGGGGCTAACGTGACTGAGCCCAAGCCACACTCGGACTTGAGCGAGCTCGACAAGGCTCTGCAGAGCGTGAAGTACTCTCTGGACTCTTCTACTATGAGCAATGTGCCCGTGCAGTTGTACTCTGACAACAGCATCAAGCGGCAGTCGATGCCTCAGACAACAGGCGCCAACCCAGGCCCAATCTCCAGTCGAAGCCGGCGGGCATTGCAAATGACAAGCCACCCTGTCCACCGATACGAGACCCCGGAGGAAGAAGATGAACTGCTGGATGAGGTCCTGCACTCTGCAAGCAAGGCGGCCAGACGGCTTGCGCAGACCCAGTCTCTTGCAGGCCCATCTCCGAATGTGACTCACCGCCACCCAGACAATTCGCGTGCTCTCCCGAGTCCCTATCCAACCCCCTCGCCCACTGCCAAGGCAGATGGCTACTTTGAGAATGTGCACTCAACACCTGTGAAGCAGGGCATTCTCAAAGACGACCACACGAGTTCCAATCGTCAGTGGCCGACACCACCATACGAGGAAGCTGAATGGAGTAACAAAGCTTCCGCTTTGCACTTCCCTTCATCATCCAACTACATCTAAGCGACATCCTTTTTATTTGCATTTATTTCCCTTCGATGACTTGAGAAGCACAAAAATTTTGGCAAGAATGCGCTCCAAAAAAAAGCGGATACAAACCGAGTTTAGGCGTATTTGGTTTTCATTTTGGGGGATTTTTCTCTCATTTTCATTTTCTTTCAGGCTTTGGGTCACTCTGGATTTGATTCGATTATACGTGGTGGGGCATATGTTGTTTTGATTTTGCCTCATTTTCGTCCCCGTTTTTCCCTTGCCCATTTCTTCTTATCCTCATACCCCTATAGGCCTTTTTTTTGATAGATGGATCCGGCCTCGCACTCAGTGTTGGTTTTTTGTTGGTCTTTCTCTTTTTTCTTCTTATACTCTCTCGGGTTTTCCTTGGAGTCCTTTGCCCTCAGATGTTCCCGGCGTTGCACAGTGTGATTTTCCTCTCCTTTTCCTTTTCTTCATTTGATACCACATGCGCAAGCCGCATTATATACCACTCCCTACATCCTTGCATCTCCCTCACATACACAATTTCACCTTCCTGCACACCTCCATTCTCTGATGAACATGGCAGCATCTTCCTCCTTTCCTTTGTCCATATACTTGCTCTGCAATCCTCCCTCTGTACATTGTCCTGGCTACCGTTAACATTGTCTATCGCTCCCTCTCTCCTTCGCTTTTTGTTATCAATGATCTTCAATGGTCACACCTACCTATCTGTTCGCTCGTTTTTGTGTATTATCACTCAGCACCCCTATTGGCTTGAACTGGCTGGGACCCAGTCTGACCTGATTATTTGATTGTAATATAGCACCCATGGCGACTCGGCCAATTATACATACCTACTTGACTTGCATATAATACTCTTTTGATTGAATTTCCCTCAGGGGAAGGCTATTCTGAATCTTGCCACCTTTCATCCTTTGAATTAGTAGTGTTGTGTAGCTATAAGAAGTAGGGCCTTTCAACTTTATCTCCCATGTTCTTGATTCGGCCTTGAGATCCATTCGCTTTTGTCTTGTTTTGGTGTTTATATTAGCTTATTTTGACTTTCTGTTGGTTATTATTGCGGTTTGGACGGTAGTATCGGAACAAGGATATTCCGACGGACATCAAGATTTCCCAATCGAGCATGTCGAGAGCTTCTCGACTTTTTCTTCTCTCTCTTAATTGTTTCCCAAACACTCTCACTATTGGTACCAGAAGCGTCTGATTTAGCCTTCTGAAATCTTGGCATTGACCCGTCCTAGAGCTTCTCACCATAAATTTAGAGGCTCGGCTGTGAAATTCCAATTACAGAACCTTCCGCAACCCACTTCCACCTTGATCGGCAAAGAGAATTCGCACAGCTCCTGCAGCTGAGCTGCACCACAAGTCTCGAGCTCTTCAATCTCCACCCTCATATAGGCACTGGCCTTGCACAATCAATCCACCATGTCCAACCAAAGACAGGCCGCATCGGCCTCTCAAGTCCCGCACCTCTCCCCCGCCGAACTCTCCTACCTCTACACCTCTCTCGCTCTCCCTCAAACACCCATTCGCCCTGACGGCCGTTCACCAACCCAGTTCCGGCCCCTCACCGCCGAGTCCAACATCCTGCCCGGCACCAATGGCAGCGCGCGCATCGGATTTGCAGACGGCACCCAGGCCATCGTCGGAGTCAAGGCCGAGGTCGAGAAGACCGTGCTATCAAGTGAGACTCTCGATGCGCGCCGCGAGCTCGGCACTAGCGGGGACGGGGATGGCGCAAGCGAGAGCTCCGCCGCCGTCTCCGGACACGATTCATGGGTGCAGATGTCGATCGAGATCCCCGGGTTCCGCGACGACGATGCGCTGCCGGTCTTTCTGTCTGAGATGATGCGCGAGTCACTGGTGGGCTCAGTTGGTGGCACGGAAGGATCTGATATGACCGGCGGGCTTAAGGGGCGGCTAGTCATCAATAAACGGTGGCACTGGCGTCTGTATATCGATGTAAGATCCTCGAAAAGAAGCTCCAAAGAAAACCTCATCTGGAGTCCCATAACTAACATCTCTCCTGCCTTTAGGTCCTCCTCCTCTCCCAACCGCTCTCATACCCCCTCCCTCTTCTCTCGCTCACCACCCACCTCGCCCTCCTGTCCACCAAGCTCCCCAAGTTGAAATCCCAGGGCGAGGAGGACCCCTTCTTCGACGACGACTGGGCCGCCGCCGAGTATCTTTACCCACGCGCCCAGCCCGGCTCCAAGCCCGCAGGCCCGGCACAGTATGTCCGTCCACCAGTTACCCTGCTGGTGATCTCAGTCGGTGAGAACGTCATCTTCGACCCGAACCGTGAGGAAATCGCCGTCGCGGATGCTGTGCTCGCCATCTCCGTCACGCGCGACACCGACGCCGGTACCCTGAAACTGCTATCCATCCGCACAATCGACCCGCCCTCGCGCCTGACACAGCCCGGCGTACCGAACTCCGAGAATGTCAATATGCTGGGCGCCGCGGCGCCGACGGACGATGCGGCAGTGGTTAACCCGGTAACGGGCGAGGAGGAGGTCGCCGGCGTATGGCGCCCGCGGCGGGGTGGCGTCAAGCGCAGCGTGGTCGCGAATATGGTCAAGATGGTGCTGAAGAAGGGCGGCGTAGGTGAGGAAGTCCTGGAGGGATTGGAGGGCGTGGAGATTTCATAATGTTGCATGTATATCCGGAGTATGTATACTTGGTCTCTTGTTTCGTGGGCTGTTTGGCGGCGGCGGAGCAGCTTCTAGATTTTTTTTTTTTTTTTTCAATCTTCTGCCCTGTGCTTGTATGACGGTTCATACCATGTCTGAAACTATCTGAGAGGCGATTCGCAATTCAATTCATGATCATGACCCTATATTTCGGCGGGAGTTGGATGTGGGGCAATCTCTTCTCCCACGGCGCCTTTTCCCCGCATGCAGAAACTAATAACGATGATAATAATGTATTATACAATGGACAACCCTGGCCTATCGACGCAAAAGCCCCTCCGCCTTAGAGCACAGGTGGCACCTTTGCGCGCGGGCTCCAACACCAATATAACGTAGTTGTCCCCTCCAGATCTCCCACCTGATACGTAGGAAATACCAACCCTCTTCTCATCTTCCTCCTTGGCCCTCTCACCAAATCCCAAGCCACTTCTTCACAGGCCTCTTCTTTCCCTCCAAGTCCACAAATTCCTCCTTGCCCGCTCCCGCTACCGCTTCCACTCCCACATCGGCGGCACTAGGCGCCTGCTCGTCCGCCGCCGCCGCCGCCGCCTCCACGTCCTCCTTACTCGGCTCCTCCAAGCCATGCGCAACACGGTACTGGCGGCGTTTCTCAGCGTCCTCGATGCGGCGGTGACGCTGCTCGCGCACGCGCACAGACTCGTGCTGCACGTGCATGCGGTAGACATGGAGGGCCTGGGAGACCGTGTCGATTGGGTGCACTAGCAGGTCAGACCAAGCGGGGAGGAGGTGCGCGAAGGGCGAGGACGCCTTGAAGTTGGTGGTGAAGGTGAACGTGGCTAGGGTGGTGAGGATGCTCTGCGCGGGGGTTATCGGTTAGCGGGGTGCCCCCGGGAAGTGGTTTCTTTTTGTGCTGTCTCTCTTTGCGGAGCAAGGAAGGAGAGGGCGACATACCATGGCGATCCAGACGTGGATCCAGCGGCTGGTCAGGAACTTAAACATCACGGTGCCCTCGGGCGGGAACATGTTCGGGTACTGTTTGCGATTCTGGGCCTCGCGCTGCTCGGCTGTCAGGCGCGGGCCGTAGTTGACTGGTTGGCCGGTGGGCGTGGTGCGGGGGTTGACAATGCGCTGGGGGTGTGACGGCGGGCGGAATTTGTCTGGCTGAGCGAGAATGCGGGACTTGTCGGTCGTTTTGGCCTTCGCGGCCACGGCGCTGGTTGCGGAGAAGCAGCGGCGGGCATGTTGACGTGTTTGCTGGAGGGTGCGGAGGGTTTGGGCCGTGGGGAGGCCGCGGGGGAGCAGGTAAGCGGGGATTGGAGCCGGCACCATTTTGGTGGATGCAAGACCGGTCGGTCTTTCTATTTGAGGGGAGATATGGCGGCGGTGGTGGTATTGCGATCCTTTTCCCCGGCTTGGATGGTGTCTTGGGGGACGGGATTTTCCATATCACGTGACACGCCGACGCGACTCGGGCCGATCGTCACATTCTTCGGAGCAACAAAGATTTTTCTTCGGCGCTGTCAACAGGGTGCTGGAAGAGGTCAGTATCCGGGTATCTCTACAGTTTCAATGATGCACTCTGCCGAGCAAACTATATGCAGAGAATCAGATCAATTCCATATGTATGCCCAGATAAGTACGGAGTCTATAAGACTGGATAATGGTATTGTCGTAGTTAGAATGGAGTACACCGCACACCGCACAGGCTCCGGGGCACCCGGCTCTGCGCTTATCATTCAACGGCCGAGAATAAGCCGTCTCACAACAGATTGGAATACAGTCGATGCCTCAGGATCCACAACCAGGTTCTGGGACCGGTGGACTGTGGCGGGCCGTCGAGAGCGAATAACAGCCAGGCCATTTCGAAGCCCCGGTGGACCGGCCTCGGGGAGCGGCCAAGTGTTCCAGTTCTCAAGGGGGAAAGGGGTGCGCCCCTGTCCACCAACAAAACCAGCGCGGTGTCTCATTGACACCAGGGAGACATCAAGTGCTTTCAATACGCAATTGAGCTGAGAGGGGGGTAATGAAGCCTCTTTTCCTCTCCTTTGGGTACGATATGTAGTTTAATAGGCGCGCTGGGCCGGGGAGTATGATGAGGGATGAGATCATACGGGGGCAGAAGGGGCCTCCGAGGTGATTCCGGGCGGCTCCCGCACCCGGCGTCCCGGGGGAGGGGAAGGCGATCTGTCGAAACACGAGGTGTGTATATTGTTGCATATGTCGCATGTGGTTCCCTAAGAGCTTCTCGTAGAGCCCGCGGCACGATTTAAGCGCCGTGGACTGCAATTGTTGGTGTTGGAGCACGACTCGACTCACCGAGGGCATCCCGGTTGCGCCCGTCGCGTTGAATTAGCGGGCTGCTGATTGGCGGAGGGCGGGAATCACGGGAGCCGGACGGGGCGAAGGTACAAATACGTTGGAAAATCTTGCTTTTCTTCCCGCGACCTCTCTCCAGATCCTCCAGCACTTCCAGACCCCCTGTACAGTCTTTTTTTTTCAATTCCTCTCATTCACATTCACATTCACAATGGGTGCCAAGGCTGAAGCTAAGTTCGCTCCCGGTAAGCTTTCTCCTCTTCCCTCTTAGAGTCGGTTTCGAAGAAGGCGAGGTGGTTATTGCGCGCGAGATGTAAGAGGCCGAGGTGAACCAGGCGGAGGAGGTGAATAGAGCAGGAGCCAGGCACTTTCAATGACTGCCTCGCGGCATATTGGATGCTGGCTTCCACTGGAGTGACGATGTGTGCGGGCGTAGGATCCTGTCCTGATCGCCCGTCCCAACTCTCACCTTCCTCGAATCTGCCAATCCTCACACCTGCGCTCTCCCTCTTTTTCTCTCTCTCGTCCCTGCTACAGCAACTTGCACCTCGCAATTGCTATCGAATATCGACTCTCGCCATCCTCTTCAATCGCTTCGTACACCCTTCCAACACCCTGTTTCCTCTGCGGTGTGCGCCGTTCTGCCGACATGACGACCTTCGACGTGTTCTGCCTCCTGACGGTGATTGACATGCGCGAGGCCGAACTGGAGGCTGCGGAAGCCGCCAAGCAGGCGCACCTTAGCGCGCAAGCCACTCCAGTCACCCAAACCGCTCAAACCGCTCAATTCATCCAGAGCCACCTGTCAACTAATACGACTGCCGATTTAGGTGACTCTGCTAAGGGCGCCAAGCTCTTCCAGACCCGCTGCGCTCAGTGCCACACTCTCGGTGCTGGTGAGCCCCACAAGGTCGGCCCCAACCTCCACGGTCTCTTTGGCCGCAAGACCGGTCAGGCCGATGGCTACGCCTACACCGATGCCAACAAGCAGGCTGGTGTTACCTGGAACGAGGACTCCCTGGTAAGTCATGCCCTGGTTCAGCCCTGATTGAGCCTTGGTGGAGCTGCCTACGGGAGCAACAAGACCACGAGGGCAATTTGAGGATGAGAGAGGCTAACCGCGTTCGTCTTACAGTACACCTACCTCGAGAACCCCAAGAAGTTCATTCCTGGCACCAAGATGGCCTTCGGTGGCCTGAAGAAGGCCAAGGAGCGCAACGACCTGATCACGTTCGTTTTTGTCCCCTCCTTCTGCATGTAAACCTCATTGACTGACCTAATTTTGCACCTCCAGCTACCTCAAGGAGAGCACCGCTTAAACGACCTGATGTGATACTATTCCCCTCACGGCAATTTCGTTTTTGTTCTTCTCTCACCCCATCTCGTGGAATCCATAGAAGTCTGGGGATTGGTTGGCGCCGTGGGCTGATTTCTGGGCATCCGAGGGACCGGGCATGTAATATTATCTGAGACTACTTCATGGGTTGACCCGCAATAGATTCTAAAATGCTTCTCTTCTCTGTCATTGTGTTCTGATTTCCCTTTTACTATACTCTCGGACTATACTCTCGGGGGTTTTTTTCAACTCTGCCGTAGTGGCTGGGCTGCAGCTGCAGGTCCTAGTCGGGATTTTCCGTCCCGATTTTTCCGATGATGCGTGATGATCGCCTGGGATTTATGCAGCCAATCTAGCTTCAGTGCAGCGTTCGTCAGGGAGAGTTTGGGACAGTTTGGGACAGTGTGCAGGGGTGGCACCACCCAAGAATGCGAGTGGCTGCGCAGTGAGGAAGTATTGGCGAATCGATCGTCTCGTTCCGGTACTCGTGAGATACCAGTGTTTCATGTGGGCCGTGCCTGGTTGGTGCCATCGATTGGGCGACGGTCAGGCACCGGGGGCGAAGGGCGAAGGGCGAAAGGGGGTTTGACGAGTCCTCGCGACCGCCGAGTGACCGCCCATTCGAGTCCTCCTTCCCCCCAAGTGGCCCCCAAGTGGCCCCCAAGTGGCCCCGAAGTGGTCCCCCCCCCCCCCCCAGATGTCCCCAAGGTACTGCCCCGGTACTGGCCCGGTACTCCCCAGGTACCCGCCCGGGTACTGTCCCCGCATTTGCGCCGTCACCAAATACCTGGCCGTGACTTGTGATGCCTTCCCAGCATCACCCCCGGCTGATTGGCCCAGCCTCCTCGACCTGCAGGTGAGGAGTTCCTCGACTCCCGCATTGCTGAAGGAGGAGACACATCTTCGTCGCTGTTTGCAGACCGAATTTGCCTCCTGGTTATGCTCCATATCGTGGATGTTCGATCGTGACTGAACCAGATCTATATCTATCACTTTAGCCAACCATCCTGCATTGTTCGCGGAACCTTTACACTTACCCACGACTTTCCCCCCTCCTCTCCGGCTTGAACCGCTGTCGCATCGCATTCCGATCGCATCGCATTTGGGCGGGGTTATCTCCCAGCCATTTTCTTCTGACGTTCTAGCATTTCCCCTCCCTCTTGTTCACCCAGCGCATGCGCCTCGAGAGAACCTGTGGTCTCAGGGCGTTTTGACACTAACCACTCTGACTTGAGGTTCGCTGCCTCCTATCAAACTAGCCCCAGCAGTGACCGCGGTCGCAATCCTCGCGCTGAAGCGCCAACACCGGAAAACGCCGTCCGACATGCTGGACGAGCTAGACAACGTCTTCGACGACCATCCATCGTTGGATGCGTCGCTCGAGGACTTTGAGAACAACAGCAATGCGCACCGCTCTCCGCTCTTCGGTCTTCCTTCCCAGCACTCGGGCTTTCGGTCTGAAGAATCCGACGGGGAGATCGAAGACCCCACTGCCGGCCAGCGCTGGTCACCGCCGGGTCTGCGCCAGCATGATTTCGTTCAGGGCAGCGGCTGGTACCGCCATCAGCCCTATGTGCGCAAGCTACCCTTGAATGAGCGGTTAGAACTGAAACCCACCATTAGGGGCAGCTTGTCGCCCTCATTGTCGCGCGAACCCAGTCCGCAGTATGAAGATGCGCTCGAGGGCCCGGCCAGGAAGACGGCCAGCGCAAATGAAGATGTAGATAGCGGCGACGTCACAATTGCAGCCAACATACCGTTACCTGGCGGTGCAGGTACTCCACGGACAGGTCGATCTCCCACTCCAGTTCTCCCGCAGACGTTCAGCGCAGCCCGCAATGGCCCCGAGGATGACGGGTTAGGCTTTGGCGCAGAGAATCTGAGTAACTGTAGGCATTTCGTCTGATCTTGGAGGGGAGCCGTTGGCCTCCTGTTTGTTTCCCTGCCAGACATGGAATACACTAACATTTTTCTCTTGCGCATGGCTGAAAAGACATACGATTCGCGGTACGTGCAGAAGTCCAGCATCGCGAGCCCATTGCCGCGATTGGTGGCTACTTGCGCAGCAAGCTTGATCATATCACGAGCTCCAAATCCAACACCACGTTGTCGGTGCTAGTTCTCTTCCTTTCCGTCGCATTTATGCGCGCATTGTTCCTCCCTGGTCTTCCCCAGGCTATCCCAGATCTAGTTAAGCTATCTGGTTTTGCGCGTTCATTCGAGCCGTTGATCTACTATTCTGAAAACGGTGTCCAGCAGATCGGGACCCTCCAAGAGACCGGTGTCGCCGTCTGGGATCTGAGCGAGTCAGTCCGCGGTACTAACATGACCAGCGCGCCCATCATCGTGCGCCAACTAGACGAGCTGTCCGACTCGCTCAAGTCACTCTCCCTAGAACTCACGCGATTCTTCGCCAATGTCGACTCCGACATCGACTCCATCCTCATCGTGATGGACTGGGCCAAGCGTGAGCTAGAGACTCTTTCCGCACAACCACCCAGTTCCCTCCCAACCATCGTCTTCGACAACATGCACAACATGCTCTCCCGCCTCGGTGCCCTCGAGCACGCTGCCGAGATCTCCGATGGCGGCATCCCCGCCAGCACAACTACTACCACCACGCTCGGTCACCTCGTCATGGCCGTCTTCGGCCCAACCTCCGCCCAACGCACCCGGGCGACCCTCACGCGCACCTTCACCGAGTTCCTCTCCGTTCTAGAAGAGTCAATCAACAGCGAACTGACGCACTCGACCGCACTCTTTGCGCTCTTCGAATCGATCGACCGGCAATTCCTCAACCTCCAGCGCACAGTCGTGCGCGAGTCCGATGCCCAGGAGCGCGCCGAGGGCGAGATGCTCAGTTCGCTGTGGACGCGGGTGCTCGGTCCTGACGCCGCCGCCGTGCGCAAGTACGAGAAGAACAAGAAACTGTTAGCGAACGTGCGCAGCCGGACTGTGGCCAACAAGCACCTCCTGGTTGATCACCGCGGCCGCCTGCTCACGCTGAAGGTCAACTTGGAGACACTACGGCGGAAACTGGTCAGCCCGCTAGTGCGGCGCAACGACTCAGTCAGCTTTGTTGGCGTGGACGGGACCGGCGCGGGGAACGCTGGCGGCGCGGGCCGGACGCTGGGACCTGTAGAGGCGGTGATTGAGGGGCAGATCCGCGGGTTGGAGGGCACGTACGATTATCTGCGGTCGGTACGGGAGCGGCAGAAGGCGAAGTTAATGGAGATGGTGTACGGTGCTGGGCGCAAGCCGTCGCAGTCGATGCTGAGTGGGATTGATGGACAGGAGGAGGGTATTGAGGGGTGATATGGAGACAACATGTCCCTTTTTTTTCTCTTTCCTATTCTCATTTCACCTTCCTTGCTCGGATCATTTTTGGGGAATCTCTGTTATCTCTTCTAGCATTGGATCCGGTGTCGCTTGTGGCTTTACGGCGTTGTCTGGGTGTGTGATGCGGGTGATTTTGGGAGTGGGTTCCTCCCCATGTGGAGAGGTGTACGGGTCGCTCTATGGCGTTGTCCCAGGTCTTGAACCTCGTCTTTGATCTGTTGGCGCAATCATGACCGGCGAACAGGGAGGCGAGGCGTGCGTGAGACAAAATTGGGATAGATATACGGTGGCATATCATGTCTTGGAAATGTTATGTTGTTTCTACATTTGCACTGGCTATTAGAGTAATGCTTTCCACCTTACGGAGCTGCTATAAGTTAGTGACTAGTATACAATAGTTGTCGAAGTACTCTTTTGAAGTCAATTTAAGAGTGGAAAGTGATTATTTGAAAGAAAGAAAGGAAAAGTTAAATTGATCAACGAATAAGCTTACTGATAATAATGAATCCGAAACAGCACAATGTGTTCAAGGGGGAAACAATGAAGCAGACAGGAAAACAAAGAACGAAAGTGGCCATTCCCAGTGGAGCTCCATGTCGTAGCGGTGCGTCAGATGAAATGGCAACAAGGAGTTCGATTTTTGGCCCCCAGCCCCATAGGCATATGGAATATATGAGCTATAGTAACAGTAACAGCAGTTCAACAGAGATTTTGGCCTCTCTTATACGCCTTTATGTTTCGGCCTGCGTTTACCCTATCGCGGGGCCTCAACTTACAGCTACCATAGGAGGTACACGTATCGAGATTGACTGTCATTACAGTATATATTTTCATAGCGCTTAATCTAATACATATAAATCAAATGCTTTATCCTTATGCTTACTAAACTCTTCCGTTTTATTCCCGTCCGCATTTCCATAGTACGTAGCTATTTCTTCGCATCTTTTTACGAGAGTAAGGGATAGCCCCGATTCTCTAGAAGAGCGATTTTCATGACCATTATCGGAGCCTTCTCTAGGGAATCTCGTGGTCGATTACTTAAACTTTGGATAATTTAACGTTACTATAGTAATAAAAATTTAAGTAATTTAATTAAGGAGCTGCCGAGCCAGAGAGCTAGGGGAGTAAGGATGAAGATTTTGAACTGATTTAGAAAGTGACGGATAAATTTAGAAGGGGAAAAGATACCTGCAAGACATACTACCTCCTGAGATTCAAATGGTCAAATTGCCAAGATTTTGATCTATCTGGCAAACTTCGTCAACATATGGAAATCCATCTCGTCTAGAAGCTGGTCAGTGCGGACTTTTCTCGATGGAATAAACCGCCTTGGACAACATTGGAAACATCCACAGCCGGGTGTCATGCATAGCGTATACTCCCAGAATGCCCTTAGGATATGATTGTCATGAAAGAACCAGTCATGCTGTTTCTGTGCTTCTCGAGCTTTCAGAAAACAGGACCTCTCGAAGTCCTCAAAGCCGTTCAGTGAAAGAGACCCAACACATAGCGAAAGCATGGCAAGCATTTCGGAAGCATCAGGATCGAGTGATCCTTCTTTTTCTAGCTTCTTATTCAACTCAAGTAGCCCGGCACTGATTCTCTCACACCTCTCGGTAAAACACTGACCCGAAGCAGGAGTGGCAAGTACTTTGTACGCCTTGAACTCTTCGGCATAGCGTTCCAGTCTTGACTGAACCTTATCGAAGGAAGCTCCTCCCATATTCGGACTTCCCCATTTAGCCAGAGACCAGGAAAGGTCACGTCGTCTTTTGTTAAAGAGTTCGGCCGTAATCTGTACGTTACAAGCTTTCATATTGTTAGAGCAAAATCAAGTTCTGAATACACAGATACAGTAACACTCCGAGTAGCGGAAGAATAGATATTTATCAGAATATGCAGGCTCTCGTAAGTGTCAGCACGAGAGATTCTTGAAAGTCCTAAGCAGGTCCATAGACTTGATCATCTAGCAAAATATAAAATGGCTCCCTGGTTTTGCTTCCCTTATAGCCACCATTTTTTTGGTCCATGGCAGCTAGGATTTTTTTTGTCTGGCTTCGGACAAAGGTCATTGAATAATATAGAAGAGAGTTTAAGGAAAGTTTCATTCCATGGTAATGTCTTTATGCTCGGGTTGCTTGAGGTGTGAACAAAGGAAGACTTTCAAATAATCATGGAGCGTTTATTTCTTTCCTTTTTTGGTTTCTACACGCAAGAGAAATGACGGAGTGGTAGTTGTCGATGGTTTCAACGACAATTTGATCATATAGAGAAGACCTGCTAACTTTGTTTCAGTATCACAATATAGAGAGATGAATTCACCGACATAGGACTTTTGACCAAGTCGGTCGATACCGATCATGTTGTGATAGGTGTTCACCCTTGTAAATTTATCATCAGCGAAAGGCTCAGCAGTGTATATGCGAGTATGACTTTCAGGTTTATCCACCGAATATATAGTATCAAAGTTAATCACCGAAGCCTAAGTACGCCTCACGTGTATACAGCCGAGCTTGGTACAGTTGGTATTTCCAGAGAGTCGGTGCGTCCGTCTACTAAGAGCCGCCAGCAGCGCAGCCGGATCTTGCCCTATTCCTTTGTGTAAGGGCCCGGTCAGAACACTCAATTGATCTCTTGTAGATTGCAAAAAAATTCAGCGAGAAAGTGATACATATGAATAAGGTAGACTCGCCGGAATATATAGGAAGTGTACATTATGTTGTATCAACACCCAAACTCAAGCCCACTAATCCGAAAGCTAAATATGACTTTGGATATACGTATATACTAGCCTCGCTGTACACATATACAAAATATTCCGAAACTTGTTTCAGCGAGTTCATAATATCAGTACTGTAGTGTTATCTGTCGTGGTAACCTATTTCAAAAACATCCGTTCTCTAATCAATTGGATTTTGGTGAGGAGCCTCGGCGCACATGTTGGATTACAATATCTCGTCTACAGCCGCCGACTTTTATGGAGCCTTGGTTGGGGAACTTTGAGCCCAACCATTCCAAAACCCAAGAATTTCTTTTCGTCATATGATTTTGTTGGGGTATTATCCAGAGCCCTCTCTTTCTATTTCGAAGTTCTGAGTTATAAATATTTTCGATTATCATTGCATGCATTTCCGTCGGAATATATCGAAAACAAATCCAAATCACGACTTTTTCAAACGTAGTCAGTTACTCTTTGCCTGAAAACATCGATTACCGTTCACAAAATTATCATTTGATAATACTAGCTCTGTCTCAACCATAGCAAGATAGCTCAGAGCCTGCTGAGAGAATGTTTGGTGTCCTAGTCCTTCTCCAGGAACTATGGAGCACTTATTCCTTGACGATTATCATCACGACGGCCAGCTATATGGCATTAGTTCAGTTCCTTCGATACCGCCGCATGGAAAATATCAAGGCTCCATACGCCAACCATGAGAGGCCATTGTCAAGCATGACTGTCCAAGAGGCTCACATTATCATGAAGCAGTTGCAGGAGATGGAATTTCCATCCGCGTTTGCCAAGGCGCGTCGAATGGCACTACTGAAGGTATAACAAACCATGTATAGCTGGCTTTAGCTTTACGCTGAACTGCGCTAACTAAACATGCGATTTCGTACCAAAATAGGCTGGAGGTATCCCGTCCATGTCGAAGCTTTTTGCTGTTACCGGCCAAAACAATAAACGTAATGCAGGTCGGCGTGCTGTTGACACGGAAATACTTCTCAGAGAATCGCAGTCCCAGCCTCGAGATTCGGATCGTTATGCATCGGCTGTGGCGAGAATGAACTATCTGTATGTATGACAGACTCTCATGTTCGCTAGTCTCTCCCAGGAGCGAATTGCAGCCTTGGTTTTATTAACTTAGTTTCCCCCAATTCCTTATCCAGCCATGCCCGTTACCGCCGCGCCAACAAAATTACCGATGATGATCTCCTCCATACCTTGGGCGATGGTCTTACCGAGATCTTGAACGTGGTTGAAAGAGAAGAGTGGCGGAAGCTGACGGACGTGGAATTGTGTGCTCTCGGTATCTTTCATAAGAACCTCGGGGAAGACATGGCAATCCCATTCGATGTGCTTCCCTCTAAAGCAACAGGATGGAAAGATGGCTTGCACTTTGCGATAGAACTGAAGAATTGGACGGTTTGCTATGAAGAAGAAGTTGCGCAGCCAACCGTGACGAACGATCAATATGTCCGAGTTTACGTTGATTCCGCGCTGCCTGGCTTTCTGAAAGCCGTGATGCGACAGATGCTGGGCGCTGATTTGGACGACTGTATGAGGACAAGCCTTGGGTAAGTTTTGTACCCATTCTGCAATCATCTGTATTCCGCTCACAGCTCTAGTCTTGAATCTCCTGGCCTGCTTCTCTCGCTTGTAATACGCCTCGTTCGAAGTTCACGAAAGTTCGTCCTTCGATACCTCACACTCCCACGTCCCCCATTCCTTGCTGTCCGGCTCGTGCACGATATGCCAAACCCCGAAACAAAATTGTATAATTTTGACAGAAAAGTTCTGCAGCCATGGTACATACAACCTACTCTTTTGTCAAAATGGGGCCCTGGGGCGCTACTGGTTCGATTGTTCGGAGGCAAGGTGCCTGGTACGCACGGAGACCGGTATCTGCCACAAGGATATGACTTGATGACAATCGGACCAGAGCCACAGAAGGGGAAGGGATTGAAAGAGATGAGTCCTGACATCGACATAATCAGGGCGAGGGGGGGGCCACATGTCCGTTTTCTCAGTCAAAGTCAGGCAGCTTCAAATGAGGGTTGTTTGGGTACTACCTATCGAGATGGGAGCTCATGTGGCGATTTCTACATTATTTTCCAAGCACAATCACCGATGTTTGTTCAGAGAAACATGTTTAAACCATGACTCCTTTTTGAAATGTCTGTCTTCACAAGGTGTGCATAGGTAGCTATATATTCTAGATGCACCTCTGAAATCATCGCCATACACCAAGTCAATGAAAATGCAAGAGAGGTATCGGCCTTAATACTCTCGCATCTCGTCAATCAAAGAGGACGACTGCACTGTTCTTGACGATCTTTGGGCCCAAAACCGCAGCTAACTCGGCAATGATTCCTTTGACGGACTGAGGGTCATTCATGGGCAATTTTTCCCATCCAACAAGGTCCTAAATCACCAATGGTTAGCAAAAAAATTTATCTTTCTTTAGAATAGGACTCCCTGCTTACCTCCATCTGCACAAAATTGCCATGGTAGAGGAGATGCCAATTGTCTAGGTTCAAGGCTTTGACTTGATCCAGGGTCAAGGCGCCAGGCATGTGGATGTCAAAGAGGGAAAGCTCCTGCTCATCAACATCCGGGTCCAATGCCGAGACAGTGTTTGGATCTTCGGCGGGTGTAGATTGATCTCGTGAGAGGGAAACATAAGGGCGCGTATCGAGTTTCTTGGAGAGCTCGCCATTGAGTGGGTGCCACGCGTAAGATTCAGGATCTAGTTTGGTGGAGTTAGTAATCTATCTCGGTGAAACCTCTTTCAAACGACGGAGATTTTTAGATGTTCATGGCGTTGAATCAGGTGATGTCTTACCAAGAAGATACTGTGGTCGGAAATTGGCCTTGTAGCGCATCTTCTGGCAGCTATGGATATAAAATCCTACATTTGGTTTCAGTGTCATTCCTTGCAAGCGTATGTCATAGACAAGATCATACCCATATAGTAGTAGGGGTAGCTGTTTTCGAGGGCAAATGCGATCTCCCGAAGCGCACTTAGTTTACCAAACTCCCATTGCTCGTATGCGGGGTCATAGCTATCCCAGTCAAAGATGAGATCATGTTCGTGACTCAAGTTGGATGAGAGGGAGAGCACTCACAAGATATAGACTGAGCTCACACCATTAGGTACCATATCTAGAACCGCTACCGCGATGAGCTTTCCATCTAGTCTATAGCACTGGTGCCACGAGCCCAGTTTTTTTTCAGAATCATTCGACTTGGTGACGGGATTCGGGGACCGTTTAAGACCTGAGCACAAAAATCGCTCGAAATCCTTGGTCTTCCAGCGGGACACATCTTCCCGATGAACAGTCGTTTGATACTTCGCAAAGAGGTCAAATTTGGCTTGCGAGACCGAGTCGCCTTCGATATTGACCTCAAATTTGTGGGCCGGCTCCAGCGGTCTTTTGGTATCTGGATCAATGGGACGCTTGACATTGCTGTACTCGGTCTCGTGAACAGATGACACGACGTCAAAGTTGCACTTCCGGTGTCGCTTTTCCCTGCATAATGCTGTGAGACATAAGGAGTGGGAGGTACGGTCGAGATTTATACAATGAGCACTCACTCTCGGGTCTGGGGACACAGTCGAGCTGCCTTACGGATATACTCCGGACCAAGAATGAACTTGTTCCAGCGATTGATGGCCTTGCGCTGATCCCGGCGAGGCGTGAACGCCGAGGCCTCCAGCCTCATTGTGTAGTACGGGCAGCATGATCGTTCCAGATTCTGCTTGTAGTAGAGAGTACCTGATCTGCGGCGTTGTGAGTCATACTGGGTGGCCCAAAGATAGTGATAGAATTGACGACAGCGGAGTGAGCCATACCGTCTCCAGCCCCGATTGATGAGTTCCTCATAGTGCTCGGGCCGCACGGCAACGGAACTGGTATAGTAGGATGCACCTGAGAAAAGTGACGTGTCAGACCATCTTTCCCAAAGCAGATAGGACAGTCATCGAAAATGGAAAATAATAACAAAACGCCAGCACATACATCCGTCGTCCGATTTACAGTACCCGCAAGAATTGCGTTGGTAGCCTGAGGGGCAGCGAAAGGGGAAAAAGAGATCGTTAGCGTGGATGTCTTGATTTGATGTACAAGATCCTTCTCGAAGAGGGGTAGATTGTCGGGAACTGGCTGGAACTCGCTGCAGGAGGAGCGACATACCTCCCCGGGTTGACGAGGGTCGGCAGCCACCAAGAACCAGTGGACGCGCCACGGGGACGGAGAGGCCGGTCTCAGTGGTTCGTTGCCGGGGGCAAAGTGGGACGTACCTAGTGGCCGGAAGAGCGACAGCTGTCGCGCGCGTTCGGCGTCAACGGGCTCCATCGTGCAATCAAAGCGCGTGCGTCAGGTTCGACGGCGGCCCCGGCGGAAGTCAAAAATGTCCAGGGCACGAGGTGCAGAGCAAACAATGGTGGCGAGCCAAGTGCAGGCCGGTCCTATTGCAGGAGGGGACGGGGGGCCAGTGATGGGCAGGGGAGGGGGAAATGAGGAAGATATGAGTGGACGAGGGAATAGAGTGGATTGAGTGGGTAAGGGAGGAGGGTGCGAGGAGGAAAGAGGAGTCAAAAGTCACGATGGGGGTGGGAGGAGGTTGGAAGTTGGGGAGTTGATGAGGTGTTTGGCGGGGGCGGTATTACGGCCGTGGTATAGACCGGGTATACGTGTAAAGGGGTTTACAGCAGGGTCTCCGGTGTCTCGCATGCGTGGAGACGGAGTACGGAGTATCGAGGTCGATCGTATTGCGGGCATCTCTAGAGTCATCTTCCGTCGTGGTATAGGAGGTAGGAAGGCGTCTGGAGAATGGAGAATGGATGATATACTAGCAGTCGTATCTCGGTCTAGATGACCGAGCAAAAGAAAGGTGTGCGGCTCTACAAGTAAGCATGGCCGACCCCAAGAATCCGCCCTATATAAGTATCCGCGCGACATCATTGAGCCCCCGGCCTGCAAGCCCGAGAACTTCTCGAGCCTGTTAGTTATAACAATCAGCAACCTAGGAATCAGCTTTGAGGAAGCCCCCCCCCCCAAACAACCGACCAGGCCGGGTGTTCCCATTGCGCATGACCTCATAGGCCCCGTAGGTCCAGTGTCAAATTCACCAGATCGGCGAGCTGGATCGAATCGCTCCGAGTTTCCCAAGTGTCGGTCTTCCTAGGTGCTCGTGACGGCTCGGTACCGGAGTTTAGGGTCCAGCCTACCCGAGTCGACCCTGAGGGGGCTAGCGAACTTGGTTAAACGGGCGAAGGGCGAAAGGGGGGCTTAGGGCTCGGAAAAGAACCTGGAAACGAGGGACGAGGGAGAAGACCGAGTCCTGGTCAGGGAAGCAGACCCCCCGGAGAGATGGTCAGATATGCATGTCACGAATCGCATCTCCGTCCGCCATTGGCAAAAGAACGTCATATTTTAATTTCCGTCTCTCAGATCTCCCCGATGGCAGTCGGCTCGAAGTGATTGAGAGAAGAGGATGGAGACCCAGTCACGTGACATCTTGATCTAGAACGCCCCCAGAAACACCAAATTCCTCAAGCAACAACATGAAAGGGGAATGCATACGTCGTAAATGGTCCACCCGCACCCTCTGCAGCCATTCTCTGGCCTGGACAAGGACACATTGGAGGTCAGGGAGCTTGTCGGGAGCTTGTCGGGAGCTTGTCGTGAGGTTGTCGTGGTGACTCCCCTACGGAACCTTGTCGTATATCTCCGACCCAGTTAGTGGTGGGAACAGACCCTCTCGGGGGCATCTTATTGGTATGGCGGTCATTCTGGATCAATGACCTCCGTATGAGCCTGTCCAGGCCTCGCACGAACCCGCTGGGATTATCTGACCAGGACGAAGAATGGCCTCCAGGACGAGTTGACGGCGTAGAGAGCGAGCGAGTGAACGCATCTGACGATGCATCTGTACATGTAAAATGCCGGTATGGTAACTTAGTCAGTTGTACCTTTTTTTTTTTTTTTTCGCCGGACTGCGCCGCCAGTTCTGCTGGCTGCTGGTTGCCCCTCCATTCCCACTTCCCCTTCGACTCTCACCATCTTCCTTTCCTCCATTTCCCCAGTATTCTTCCTCTTCTGCCGACCATGCCTCTTTGTACTCCTCTCCCTCTCTCCCGGTCCCCGGCCCTGACGGGAATGAATGGAAAGACCTAAACCCGCTGCCTTGCCTCTTCTGTCCGGTCCCCGCAATCTCGACCGTCCAGGGAAAAAAAATTCCCTTCCCCGACCGCCCTCGACACCCGTTGAACGCCGACCCGCCAAACCAGGGAAGCTCTCTCCCTCTTCCTTCCCCCCTTCAACCTCCCCCGAAGTCCTGCCAGGCTCCGCGGGAGCTTGTGTCGAGTGTACCCTTCTCTTCAGGCTCTTGAGGGCTGTCAATCTTCTTCTTCTCATCTCCTTGTCCCTCTGGGGAATCAACGGTTCTCTTTCTCCTTCTCTTTCTCAACTTTCTCTCTGAACGATCTACGATTCCTCTGCTGCTCGACACTCTTTTTTCACCGCCTCCTCTTGTCGATTTTTCTCGGGTGTGACGGGACCGAGTTGGAAACAAGACGCATTGGGACTCTACTGTTCGCAATGGCCCAAATCCGGTCAATGGAATCTCGCGTCGGGCGGGAGAATCAACGTGAGTGGCATTCCTGGCACGTGGGGCGATCGGCCTGGCCTCTCCCCCCATCAATCACTATATCCTACATTCAGAACTCCCTCCCCCTCCCCCTCTCCTTCTTATGCTGGATTTGCGCTGACCGGAGACTTGATAATTCTCTAGGCTATGGCCCGCAAGGCGAGCGCCTGGTCGCCGGTATCGTCGCCGTTTCTGCAGACCGGACCCAAGTTCTCATGATTCAATCGACCGGCCCCGGCGGTTGGGTCTTGCCGAAAGGTGGATGGGAATTTGACGAATCCGCCGAAGATGCCGCCTGTCGTGAAGCCTGGGAGGAAGCGGGTATTCACTGCACCATCTACAAGGATCTGGGCCTAATCCCGGAAATGCGGGGATCCGCGGATCTCTTGACGGCACAAGCGCCGAAGGCCTCCTATCAATTCTTCGAAGCCTCCGTCGACCGTGAGGAACCCGTATGGCCGGAGAGTTACAAACGCCAACGACAATGGGTGGATTATGCCCAGGCGGCCCAAGCCCTGGCCAGCCGACCCGAGCTGCTGGAAGCCTTGAATCGCAGCTCCTTAAAGCGGTAGCGCTTGCACGTTGCTCGTACATATTGTTTCTGTGATACATGACTTGGAGCATGTTCTTTTTTTTTTTTTCTCCTCTCCCCTACCTCCTTTCGCCTTATTTTTTTTTTCATTTTCATTTTTTTCATTTTGAACCGCTTGGGAATTGCTTTTTGCAGCCTCCCGATGATGACTCGACACGACCCAGAAAAAAAAGAAGGGCGGCTTCGTGCTTTCTTAATTCTTTTTTCACCCCTCTTGTTTTCTACAACTTTGCATCGCATACGCCTATTGTGGCTCGGGCTGCTGTTCTACCCGACCACCTCCGTCTGCTGGCGCTTACTTTGGTTTTGTTTGCTGTGCTTGCTACTGCCACAGACCATAGACGGACTGCTCTGTCCAGGGCCCCAATCTCGGGCGCCCAACACAGTCGGAGGGTAAAATGTCCTCGCATGGTCAGGTTCCTGGGATATGAAATTTGCTGTGCATAATTTGTGACTTGGAGCTCGAAGAAAAGATGCTCTTATCTCGAATGAGGTGACTAAACGGTCTCTCCAGTGGCCTTTTTAGGGCTCCGAAGCCTGTTCTTGCGAGCAACTGAATTGAATCTGAACCATGCCCTCCACTCTCTATCTCTCTCCGTTTTCCATCTATTTCTCTGTGTAAAACATAGTGCTACATTTCATACTTGTATCTCCTCGAATTTTTTTTTTCTCCAAGGCGATGCCTTGAGGTTGCCAGGGCTGTTGTTCATAGTTCGCTGGATGATTCACAGCCTGCAGGGTGGTGGCCCAATTAGGAAAAGCGCCAAGCGCCTCCGAAGACCAAATCCGCGCGGTTCTTTGGGGCAGCGAAACATCTCCAAACCCACTCCCTGCCCTTCACTCCCCCTCCTCATCCCCACGGTCTGTCCCCCATCAGGGTCAAATTTGCTGCGCTCAGCCTCTTTGTTACATGAGCTGCAGATAGACACCAACCTTCAGACCCGGGTGGCGGCGACCAGTGCGCCCGCATTCATAACAGGATGGATTACGAGATGGACCTGGAGCCCACTGGGCCTCAAGTCACCGTGCGTGAGGTAGGCTAGAATCCGTCTGCGCGTGCTCCCAGTATCATGATTAACCCTGTTTGTTCCAGGTTGAGCCATACCGTGTTGATTTCCGGCTGACTTCCGTGGATCTGTCGCTTGCCAACTCTCTCCGCCGCGCGATCCTCGCCGAAGTGCCCAATGTCGCCCTCGATCTGATCGAAATCGAGAACAACACCTCAGTCATCCCTGACGAGATGCTGGCTCACCGTCTCGGCATGATCCCTCTGAACGCGAAGAACTGCGACCAGGATCTCGAATATACACGTGACTGTGACTGCGACTCCGCTTGTGTGCGCTGCAGCATTACACTCTCTCTCCACGCGCGCTGTGGTAACGGCATCATGCCCGTCTACGCGCGCGACTTGATTGTCCAGGGCGAGCGCATGAATGACACAATTGGCGATCCAGTCATCACTGACCCGGAACACAAGGGCCCCTTGATCTGCAAGCTGCGAAAAGGCCAGGAGATTAAGTTAACCTGTCTGGCAAAGAAGGGCACGGCGAAGGAGCACGCCAAGTGGGCGCCCACTTCCGCTGTGGGCTTTGAGTATGACCCAAATAATAATCTGCGGCATGTGGATTACTGGTATGAGCAGGATCCCATCAAGGAATGGTAGGTTTTGGTTCTTTTTTTTGCATTCCCCAGTTTTTTTGACCCACTGCCACGGAGTGCTAACGGCTATATCATGCAGGCCTGTCTCGGAAAATGCAGCCTGGGAACCCGTCAACAACCCAGACCAGCCTTTTGACTATGATGCCGAACCTGGCACTTTCTACGTAGACGTGGAGAGTATCGGAAACATGGATCCCGACACGATCATTCAACAGGGTATTATCGTTCTACAACGCAAGCTGGCCACTACCGTCTCCGTTCTGTCCGGCGAGGGTGAGGATGGCCACGCCGGTGGCCCCGACGACGCCGAGATGATGGGCGCCGGCGACCCCGATGCATACGAACCCCCGGAGGGCATCGATGGGAACCTGACCTCGTACGGCAACGGCGCCAATAGTGCGTGGGGTGCCAGCGCCCAGACTCCGTATGGCGCAACGCCGTATGGCCAAAGCGCCTATGGCTTTTGAAAGAGCGGCTGATATACGATGCGAAAAAGCAACACCAGGCTCGAGCATGAAGGGAGTTTTCATTCGATGTACTTTACTGGCGGATTCGGCGGCGCAATTTGGAGTTTCCATGTTCAGTGCAATCTTTGCCGCTGCTACTAGTGGCCTATTAAAATAGGTTGAAACCTGTTTCTGTTTATACTTTTTAGAGAGGAAAAAAAATGAACCACAATGTTGATTCGTTGACCTGATACAAACAATATAGTTTCCCAAGGGTGTAATAGAGCTTCTGGTTTTTGGATGCACTCACCTGAATTTGTCCACATCCTCTATCTCAAAACACCCAGTCTCATTTACAACGTGGTCAGACGTTTGCTTACCTTTTCATTCACACAGCTCACCCTATAACCGCGACTGGCTCGCACCAACAGGCTCCAGGACTGACAATCGAGATATCGATTGAGGTTTCCAACAAATGTGACTTGTCCGACTAGGACTTACACCTCCAAATCCAGAACTTGACGGTCTAAACGCTGGGCTTAATGGCTGGGCCGCCCCAATCGACGATTGAGAAACGTTGCTTGGGCCTGCAACTGAACTCCACTTTTGAGATGGATTACTCGGCCCGGCCTCTCCAGACGCCCTAGTCGGCGACTGCAATGGCTGACTCGGACCAGGACCTCCAGACCTGGACCCCGACAGTCGAGACTTGCGAGACTTGCTTGGCCCGGCACTCACAAAGCCGGAGTCTGACAATTGCGACGCCTTGCTGCGCTTACTGGATCGGCTCGACGTGCGCGACTTATTCGAAGGCGTGGCCGGGATATAAATCCCATTATTGGGCCACGCCTTGGCAAGCGCCTCCTCATATCTGACTCGCTCTTCGCGCACCGCCCACGCAGCCGCGACCTCCTTCATCCATGCCAACAACTCGCGCCCGAACTCCACGTAGTGGCCGCGCACGAGCTGGTCCAGGATACACACCTGGCGCTGAGCTGCGGCGCGTATGTCCTTCTCGTCGCGGAAATGCCCGCGCACCTCGATGACCAGCGCATTCGCGGTCTTCGCGGCGGCGGGTTGGAGAATAATGGGACTGGTGTCTTTGTCTGCTGCGGCTGCTGCGGCGTCGAGGAAGGCTTCTGTGTCAAGTGGACTTGGAGCAAGTGGCAGGTCCAGGACGACCCAGTGAGTTTTCGGCAGTTGCTCGGTGACCAGGAAGGACTTGCTTGGTGCGTAGGATCTGTCAAGGGCCGGATGTATCCTGCGGGGGACGAGGAGGTGGGTATTGAGTGAGCCTGACATGTTGGGGATACGGCAGAGGGGGGAGAGAGACGTGTGGAGGGGTTTGGGTTTGTGATGGGGAAGAGGGCCGTGCCTTCGTAGAGACCGGGGGAGTCAGTGAGGTAGAGGGTGGTTTCTAGAATGCGGGTGTGGAGGGTCTCCAGTAAGATTTTGTCTGAAGGGGAGGTGGTTCGAGACATGATAAAGGAATATATGACATATACAGCACAGCAAGCGGTATATTGATGTGGGAGTTAGGGGAGTCAGGTGTTCAAACGGTGTGCAGTATTGGTGTTTAGAGACCAGACTGTAGGAGGAGAGCTGTTATTATTCTCTAGAATTTGCGGATGCTTTCAGGGCTCGCTACAAGGGATATATATTAAATTGATAGAGTGCAATCATTGTACTGCAGTGATTATTTGTCTGGGCACAAGGAATGGTGCTTGATAAAGCACTCCTCGACAAAGGAATACAAAGAGATATGTCAATAACCTGAAACAATGGAATTGTTGCATCTTCTTTTCGTCTATGACAATTTTCCTTTCCTGAAAAGATAGAATGATACTCACGTACATGAGTTCCAAGGAAGTTGTTGAAATACTAGGTGCACATAAAGTGCCTGTTACATAACAAATAGCCCTTACGTGGATGAGTCTAGAGATTTATGGGTGCAATTTAATTAAGTCTTGACATATTCCAAGGCACGAAGGCCCTTCTGTTGAACTAGCTTCAGAGCAACTTGCAGCCAGCAAATTTCTTCTTCATGACCTGGTCTATTTTTCAAGGCATCGATCACAATCCCAAGTGCCGGGCTGATGGTCAGTGGCCCAGTCAGCAGCATGCTATCTTGTAAGAAGTATTCAACACATTGGCAAACATGGTGGGCCATCGAGAGATAATCTACTCGATGTTCAAGCGAAGGAAGATAGGCCGTGCCTCCCGACCAGGAAGTGCGTACGGTCCTAATATCAGCGGTCTGCATTACAAACCCCCGGCGGCAGCGATTATGTCGAAGTGCTGGTACAAGTTGCAGAGACCAGACCAAAGCATTGTCCATGTTGCCCAAAGTAGGATTAGTGTTTTAGCAATTTCTAGGTCGATAAAATTGAACGTGATAGGGAAATAATTCGATCCAGAATGATTGTCGTCCAACGGGTTGAGCTTCATTTTGGACGACACTGGCCAATATAGATCGCCTGAGGTGGCAAGTCGGAGGTCATCATCAATTTGCTTCAGTGCCATGTCAATTTCCAAACATTGGTATACTAGTTCGCGGATCAGATCAAGTTGTTGGTTGGGATCCAGGCTGAATAATAGAGGTACACGGTTCAGAATGCCCGGGGCCTTGGCTAGACAATCTGCAACTCGATCGAACGGAAGCTTAGGTAGTATGGACCACGGTTGCTCCATCCAGATCGGCTCAGAGAGAATGGTGGAACTGTTGTGATTTAATGCATGCAATATCTGTAGTCAAAGTCATTGAGAAATGTGCAAGTGAAATCATGGAGTCGGGGTAGACATACACCAGGGATTCGAACCCCGAGGAATAATTTATGGCCCGCGCCCAAAGAGTGCGCATGAGCTCCTCGAATTTGGATTAAAGCCATGAGGCCGTTACAGTGCTCGTAGTAGCCCTTGGATGCTGAATTGGGACATTCAAGAGCTTCGTAGAGAGATAATGCCATGCACGCTGCCAAGGTACCATCTTCTTGTGCAAGATTGGCCTTATTCAAAGCCCGCTGTAGCTGGCGAAGCCCGAGGGTGTAGTAAGTAAGACTTTCCCTGACAAGATTTGTATTCTGGATCATACGTCCAACCACCGCAGCTGATACTGCTATGGAGGAAAGCTCCAATGCGTCGATTGTTGAGGGAAGATCGCCTAGCAATGCGACCCATGATCTAGGGTCAAGAGACGACCATTGAGGAAGACATTGCGAAAGAAACAGTTGAACTAAGTTGTGGCGTTCAATATTTCTCTGTATGATTCTATAGGCGGAGCCGGTTTCAGAGAATTGTAGAAGCATCTGCTCATGTTGAGCATCGTTACTGACCGCTGGACTGGCAAAATCGTGTTTCAGTACCCAGGTATTTCTGGGATGATGCCGAGATCGCGAACATGACGTTGATTTCAATAAAGATGGTCTAATAAAGGTATGAGTTTTCTCGGCGTCTGGCTGAACCAACACAAATATTCTCTCTTTCTGATAGCCCCCGCATTCCCGGTTCGACCGTGTACATTGTGTGCAGGCGGGTCTTTTTTGATCACACTAATATTGGGTTTCAGTTTCAGATCAGTTGGAACAAATATGATGCTGTAGGTTTATTTCTTACTGCGATTTTCCTCTGTCGACAGGTTTTGCAACCCTTGGACTTTCCGGGAACACCGACCATGTGTTTGACTCAGAGGATACCTAGAAGTAGCCCCAGGCTATTATTAAGGTTGGGTTTCAAATTACTCCGTCCAAATGTGGCGCATCTATTTGTGGCTTACCATGTATCATCACCTAGATATGTGACTGGGAGCAATTTTCCCTTTGCTGGTATCAATTAATGCAATATTACCGTCAGTATTTTGGCTCTCTAACTACGCCTTTGGGCAGTGCGGCGGCTGAGATGACTAAGAAAAGTGATCCCACGCTAAGCCTAAAACAGGGCTGATCTTGCGAACTATATTCTGGGTGAGATCCACAATCGGAAGCAGTCTAAGGCTTAGCCATCATACAGGGAAAGCTGGTCATCATAGAGAAGGATTATAAAAAGCAGTTATTCTCGCAATAAGTAGCCATTATCTTGATTCTTCCCCTTTTTTTCTATTGAATCACAGATTAAACTCTCAACGAACCCTCAGCGGAATTTCCTGTGCTATAGCTTTTCCCCTAGTCTTTGCCAGCTATGGTTTGCGACCACACAAAACTGAGCATTGCACAAATCGTGTTCTACCTACCAGTAGTAATCACGTCAGCATACCTTGCCTGCTATCGACATGGTCGGCCTCGTATGGCATGGATCATCTTGATGATTTTCTCCAGTAGTGAGTATTCCTTCAAGAGACTCATTCTACTACACTTGGTCTTGCTGATATACTTTAATATCTTCCAGTTCGCATCGCCGCAGGCATCGTGGTTATTGTTTATGAGCAAGTCCCTCGTACGGGTCTGATGGTTTCGTCACTCATTCTTCTTAATGCCGGTGTTTTCCCTTTGATTGCGGCGACTCTAGGGTTTATCCGAATCATGTGCGTAAAAGATATGGGTTTACGTTCTACGGGTTCGAAAATCTAACAACTTCCAGTATATCTCTTGAGAAGAGCATGAATCCAAGAATTCGCCAATGCTTACTCCTGTCGCGTATCCTTTTCTTCGCCGGCATTGGGCTCACAATTGCGGGGGGAGTTCTGGAGGGTAGCGACAGCATTGATGATGTTATTACTGGCAATAAGCTTGTTAAAACTGGATATATCTTGGTTGTTGTATTTGTTGCTTGTTTGTTGGTAATTCAAGCGTATTTTTGGACGCAAAAATCGCGGTTAGCCCGTACAAGTCGAATGGTACGTTGAAGATCAGTGCGGTCTCCTTTTTCGATGTAACTAACAGCATAATACAGATTCTCACTTCTACAACAATTGCGATCCCGTTTATTGCCACCCGCATAACATACCTCTTCCTTTCAGTTTTCCATGTATCTGATCTAAGATGGAGTGCTCTACTCGGCCCAGTTGCCCCATTTTTGCTCATGGGATTGGTGATGGAGTATTCTGTTGTTTGTGTATACCTCACAACTGGCTTTTTGATACCCTGCCTGAAAGCTGTCAAGGTGTGAAGATCTTTTAAAAAGGCCTCTATGTTTTCATGTTTTCGAATACTGATCGCATGATGATCCACATTTTTTTTGGTTTATCAGGATAATATTGACACGAGCAACTATCCGCTAGTCTAAAGTCTAAAAAGGCTTATAAATCGAGACTCGAGCGCCAGTGGGATTAATACAGAATGGGCCATATTATGTGTGAGCGTAGGTTTTGAGAAATATTAGGTTAAAGATAAAAGCACGTGTGATCACTATCACCCAACCCTAGACTTTGAATCGCTCTAAGTAGCTTTAGACAGAATATCTACAATGGTTGCATTCCTTGACAACACATGTAGCCATTTTAAATTTGGGTTCATCAATAGCCCATGAGATACCCCCGTCCCTCGTTCTTCTTCTTCCCTTTCCCATCTCCTCCTCCCAAGCTTGACGCGGCTTGTGCTAACAAAATATGACGGTCCAAAGAGACTGGATGATGTGATCAAGTACTCAATTCTTCCGCATTGGGCAAAATACTATATAGGCGGAAGGCACTGACCATAGACCTGTAAGGGGCTATAAATCTCGCAAAACGGACATGTCAAACTGAGTGCAAGTAGATTTATCACACTAAGACTCTGAATAGCTATTAGGTATAAGAAGAAGCCAAAAAACGGGCTTTAATGGAGGAAAAGCAACATAAAGGAATTTGATCCAGGTCAGATCGTCAGACACCTGCATCCACTTTCAATTAAATTATCAATTGCAAAAGCGCCCATCCAAACATTCCGCCCATGAGTCCCTTGGCGGCGCTCTCACCTGAACCGGCCAGCTGAACAGCCGCATTAGACGTGGAAACGCTTGACGCACTCGAAGTTGTAGAAGACGTGCCGCTTGGAGTTGCAGACGTTGTCATAGCTGAGCTAGCGGTGGAAGTTGTGTGTGTTGTCGTCTTAGTGGCCATTGATTCGCCATTGCTTTGGCTGCTGTTGGCAGAGGCAGTCTCGCTCGACGAAGTTGTCGGGGATGTCGATTCAGTGTGGCTACCGGATGTCTTGGTAGTGGAGTCGGTTGAGGCCGTGGACGACGAAAGACTCACGACCTTAAAGCCGAGGAGATCTCGAGAAGCTTCCTTAGAAAAAACCTCGGTTGCCATGCCGGCTGGATCTCCAGAGCACTTGCTGTTCGTGAACAGGAGCATGTTGATGCCGTTTTCACCCTGGGAATCGATCTTGAACACATGGCCTGCGGGGTTATGAATTGCAATGCAGTCACTGGGCCCATGTCCAGATCTGGTGTGCTCTTTATTGTTTGAGTCGTTCCATGTAATCTCCCATGCACTTGTCCAAGGTAGTAGAGACAGTGTGGAAGCTGTGAGAGAAATAAAGGTCGACAGCTTCATTTTTTTAGATTATAAAATGACGCTGGAACAGGATGCGGTAGGGTCACAGAAGGAAATGACTGCAAAATGAAGAGGGAACTGTACTAGTTTCAGCTGGGCAAAGCAGTCCTTTTAATTGCGGTCCATCCCCACAATCTTTTTCTGTGGTGTTGTTGCACTCTCGATCCCTCGTTTCTCCAAATCTGGGGTCTGGGCGTGCAGATCCTCGTATTCGGGGCATCAGGAACCAGTCAAAAGAGGGAACTTGCAGGGGCGGCAGTCTAGCGGCGCAATTGGAGCCCTGTCTAGGCAGCGTGCTTACTGACCCTCGTATACAATTTAAGTTCAAATTTATCTACAGCTGAAAGCCTGTTGAATGACCTTTAAATTGAATAAGGTACGAAATAGTTTAAACGGAGCTACACGGTGGAGAAACTTGGTTGTGGAATCCGCCAAGGCCGTCCTTGGTAGAAGTGATTCCTAGGAAGCAGCTCTTGCGTAGCAGTCGTTTCAAGAGCGCAAAAGCAGGATTTTCAAGATATACTGAATTTAGCGCTTTGTCAGGGACCAATCTCCAACTCTCTTGCATTGCTTCAACAATTTTAAAACTCTAGCCCCGGTTAGATTGAGATCCTTCCATTGAGAAAGAACCGACATCTCAATGATGATGCTTTATAGGCCTACAAAGCACTGGCAAGCCGTGGCGCCACAGTTCTACAAAGATCTTTGGATCGCCTCCTCTGATGAGCTACATCTCCCACGCTTCCTTTTCACGCGGGTCCTAGAAGCTCGTACAGGGCATGGTGATTTTGCAGACTATCACGAGCCGTTCAATCATGAAAATGCCCATCTACGCTGCCAGTCTGGGGCCAGGAAGTCTCCAGTACACTCCATCTTCTGCTAAAGAGCTGAGAGAAGTCTACTCCGACCCTCAGAGAGGATTTCTCCTTCTGGAAACTCCAAGAGGTGCAGCAAAGCTGGCTGCCTGGCTACCAAAGACTCGGCTCTTTGACCATATCTATCCAAGACGGCCCCTACCTGAGTGAGCACATCGAAGACAACAAACCCCCCAAACATGGAAATAAAAGCGAAAAGAAAGAAAAGAAGCGGAGAGACGGAGGATTGGGGCATCATAGTGCGGAGAGGAATCCATGCAGCTGGCATTGCCATCTAACCTGTTATGGCAGACCTTTTCTGTGACTGAGGCTGCTATGTGAACGCGCCCAAGTCTCTTATTTGTACATAGAACTAGTAATAGTTAGAGACACCCAGTTTATTCTCCTCCAGACAAGCATTGAGAGTCACGTAGTGTCTGGCAGCCAACGGCCCACCATAGGGTATGGTACAAGTTAGGCCATTATGCTGCAATCAGGTGATTGGATGCGTGGAGATACATTGAGAATTTCTGAGGCTGAAACGCCTCTGGAGTTCTTAGCAGATAGCTTCAATCTGCCCAAAAGAAAAAGGAGAGAAGGATGTATTTTACGCCGTGGCCCATGACTTGCACGCTATCCCTAATCGGGCCAATAGCCACCAGGGGATGAGCCCTAGTAAAGATGAGTCACGAAGGGTCAAGGCATAGTTTCTCGGCACATAAATTCCAATTGTCACGCATCTAGTCCAAAACTGTTCTTCATTGTTAAAACCATACAATCATTAGGTCCTTAGGATGGATTCCGCCTATTCTGCCAGTCAATTGAGCAAATACCTCAATTATATAGCACTGCCAGCTCAATATGAGCCCTACATACAAGAACCAAAACTGTTCCCGAAAACTGAAGCGGCATTGACCGTCCTTTTCAGATGTCAAATCACGCGATTTCCATATGACAACCTTTCGGTACATTATTCTGAGACAAATTTGGCGGACATTAAGCCACAGAGTATTTATACTAAGTTCATGGGAATTGAATCGGAGAACTGCAAGCCAAGTGGACGAGGAGGATACTGTCTGGAGTGCAGCATATTTTTCCACCACATCCTACGGGGTCTAGGATTCTCGGTATATATGACCGGGGTGCGTAATCGACGCCGAGTTGATGGCATACCTCAAGGTGAATATAGAGGATGGTAAGTGAATTCTCCTTGTCATGAAGTTCAAATGACTCATCTTATGTGCAGGACACATATCGTCAATATTGTCAAGCTTGCGAGTGGACAGAAATATCATGTCGATGTTGCTTTCGGCGGCGATGGACCAACTTGGCCGATACCCTTGATTCTGGGACAAACATTTCGAAACTTAGGTTCACAGGAGATAAGACTATCTTACGATAACATACCGAATCAGACGTGCCCAGCCCAAAAATTCTGGGTTTACCAATATCGAAATGGCCCAGAAAAGGAATGGAACTCATTCTATGCCTTCGCGGAATTCGAGTTTTTCCACAATGATTTCGAAGTTATAAATCACTATACAAGTTGGGAAGCGCTGACCAAGAAGAACCTTTGGATTGTGAAGTTTATTCGAAACGGCGAAACTTACGGACTTCCGCTAAATCAGGGTGACTGTATTGATAGATTTTCTAATGATGTCGAGGTCTCTGTTGTGGGCAAACTCATTTTTATCGGTGGAAGTCCCGATGTTGTCAAGCTCAATATGGGGGGCAAGTCGAGAATAATAGATTCATTTAAAACCGAGGAGGAACGGGTACAAGGTCTACAGAAATGGTTTGGAATCCATATTTAAGAGAGAGGATGAATACAAACGGTGCAATATGAAGCTTATAGACTAATGATGGTATTGTACTGACATTATGAGATGGCGACGTATTGAGTCTGACACTGGCCGCCATCATTTTACAATGGGTCCGTTTTGATCCACCCTGGATGCAGCACATGAGCCTCGATATTCATATTGAAGCCTTGATCTTCTCGTAAGAGTATCAGAGAGGTGGCTGGAACCACTGAAACAAGTATAATCTACATTGGTAACATGTCGATATAGTAGGATACTGTATAGGCTAGAAAATGTGGGATACAATGGAACGCGATGCTCAATCAGACGATGTCAAATATAGGAACTATCTGGCAGGGAATTTTGAACATCTCCTGCCTCGCTGACTAGCGCGTTACGGCGCTGAGCTCCGAGGCTGCCCAGGACCCCATACAAAAGATGCACAGCAGAACGTGTGGTTCTTCACCGTATTCAGTGGCTTCTCACTCTCGTCATCATTTGCCAACGTCAATCTGTGTTCCTTCTTTCTTTATGTCCTATTATCCCCCTTGTATTTCTGCACCATAACAAAGAATTTTCCCAATGCCCATTGTCTTCTCTGGCTTCCTATAAATGCAGATCTTAGCCACTGGCCACCTTGTAGATATGATTCTTAGCTTAATCACCACCTTATCCGGGTCATCCAGGCAAGCTCCTGACAGTCCCTCCGATAGAATGTCTTTCTCCTGGGTAAAATACTTCGCCGGCGAGCGAGCGTCCTTCCAACGAGAGATGAACGACCTAATCGAAACGCTCAAAACACAAACAGGGCAAGAGTACCACGTAGCGCGTTATATCGACGCCAACGTGCATTGCCTGGAGGATATGTTTATCAAAAATCCAAAAAGCCCACGCAGCTTCTGTTTTCCCCGTAATCTCGCTCTTCTCCTGGACATATGCGAGAAGCAAGCGAAGCTGCTGCGGGATAAGCATGACCCGAGTCGGGCCTGGAAGGCGGTCATTGCGTTAGAGCTGGCGGCGTTGCGCATGGGGCGGATGACGCTGACGGGGGACTTTGAAGGAGACGAGGAGGCGTCACAGAATGAAAGGTATGCGGTGCTGAAGGAGCGCGATTGGGAACGGACGGGCGTTTTTTTGGAGAGTCGAGAGCTATTGGCGAAGAGAGCACTACAGAGAATCATTTGGAAACAATTGGCCTTTGCGAAGGTGAAGGATTGTAATTGTCCTCGTTGTAATGACAAGCTTCCGGGGCGAACCTGGATCTAATCATAATGGATGCGCTGGTTGTAGACTTGATCATCCTTTTAATTGAGCTGCTGAGGTTCCTTTCTAAGTGACTTGCTTATATCTATTAGAGATCAAGTGAAGAGTAAAAAGCCAAGAGTATCAAAAGAAATGCGGGACTATTATGTTGCAAAATCTCCTATCGACAATTGAAACAGATAACCTAGTATATATCATAAAAAAGCTCCGAAATGATGCAATATGTAGTCTGTCCTTTTCCCATAAACGCCATGCTTGCAAGCCACCGTCATAGATGACCTATGCACACAAATAACCAGTCGCTAGAATTGCACAAGAATGCGAAAAGCCAATGCCCATCACAGCTCACTCCATCAGCTCAACTGGTGGGCGAGACGTCTTAGGAGGCATCTTTTTGACCGACATCTCGATAGGGCTCAACTCCGCATCCATGTCGACATCCTCATCATCCACCTGCACAGTCATGTCCTCAACCATAACGGCTGGCAGATTTGGGCTATGGCCATGGTCTTCGGGGTTATAGATAATGGTGCTGCTGCGGCTGCGCTGTTGCGACCCGGCAAGCGGCCAGCTACCTGTGCGCTTCTCGGAGGATATGGAGACTGGGGTAGCGGGGTCGATGCTCATGGGCTCGGAGTGGTCGGTCTTCAGCTGGGCCAGCGCGTTGGCCAGATCGCTCGCATGCACCTCCCGGTTTGGCGGGTCTTCGTTGCGCATCACCCATCCGTGGGGTGGGCTGGGAGGCGGGGAGATGAAGAAGAGCTTGTCCAGTTGAGGGGCCTCCAGCAGCTGCTTCTGGGTGTTTCCGCTGAGGATGGGAGTAGGCTCGCCAAAATAGATGCGGGGTCGCACATTGCGGTCAAGCAGCCGGTTTCCTTCTAACAGTTTTCGAACAGCAACGGCATCATCCTCAGAGTGGAACGAGCAGATGATGCGGCGGAGGGAGGGAAGTGGTGAGAATGAGTTCAGCGGCACCAGAGCAGTTATCTGCTGGCGAATCATATCCAGTGAAGACGGTTGGAAAAGAACCAAGTCATTCAGATCGGTGATCAAGAGAGTATTTGACGGAGGGGTCGGCTGGGAAAGCGGGGGGATGCTAGACAGATCGATTGAGAGCGAGGGTCGGCCTGAGGACCGCGAGGAGCGGCTCGCCTGGAATGAAGGAGAGGTCGTCATCGGGAAAGGTGATTCAGCCATTTGGAAATGTATTTGAGACGTAGCGTGAAGTCTCAGAGAGTAGTTGCAACAGGGTGTTGAGAGGGAGGAAAGGCGGTGGAGGATAAGAGAATAAGGATGATAAAGGGGGTTGCCACCGGATAAGAAAAGTCTCTTGGGAGGCGAACACCTTGCCTTCTTCTTTTGCCTCGGTTTTCGGGATCAGGTCTGGAATATTCGATTCTGCTGGTTTGAAAATTCTCTAACAGGGTCTCCAGATTATTTATGATTCACCCGGGGGCAAGATGAAATTTTGGGAGGCGCAGCGTCTCAGAGGCCGTGTCATCGTTTGCGGTGCTTGGGATGTTTTGGGGCGGGCAGTGCAGCCTCCACCCACGCGCACTTTGTCCCTAGCGATCCACTTGATCTACGACGACTGGTCCACCAACCGCCAAGCCGGCCAGCGACTGGATGCATTGAACAGGCAAACCAAATCAAAGCGTCTCCAGGCTGGCTCGCTGAGCCTCCCTTGTTGTGGGCAATAGGCCAGATTGGCCAGCTGTTGTGGCTAATGCCCCTGAGCTTGACTCAAAACGGCTCTCTCTTCATCTGTTTGTGCGCAACACCCCTGAATGCGCCACATGCATGCGCCACACCTTCATTGTTTTGGCCTGCCTGTGCCTCCCTTGCGCTTGTCATCGGCCTCCACAAGAGCTCCAGAGCTCGGCCTCCGCTGGCGTATACTTGGCTCCCAGGTCGGTTCCTCCGCTCCGCTCAGCCTCGCTCCCTCTCGGTGCCAACAGCGCCAACGCCGCGTTTATTGTTCTGCCTACCAACTTTGTCGTGGTCTTCGGGGGCTTGGTCCTTGCTCCGCCTAGCAATGACACCCGCGAGATTGAACTCTCAACCGAACTGCCTCCGGCGAAACCCGGCATCTTGGGGTCGGAACAACGGGGAAGCGCAAGCATGAAATGAAAGCCAGGGGCATAAATGAAAGAGATGAAAGGGATGATCATATTGGATACGCCAAGACAGACACTGAGGCTGCGATATCATGCGGTCTTGACTATTACTTCTATTAATCTGACATCATTTACATTCCACTCCAAACGATTGGTCACTGGACTCAGTGACTCCAACCTCTACAAGGTTGAGACCGCCCGCACACGATCTGAGATCGCCCGCTGCGAAGGCGCACAAAGAGGTGCAAAGATGTCATACCCATGCGGCAGGCCAGGATACACATGGATTTCGACTTCGATGTTGGCCGCGGCGATGCGTGAGGCGTACTTGAGCCCTTCGTCGCGGAAGATATCCAAGTTACTAAGTTCCATATATGTCGGGGGCAGGCCCTCCACGCTGGCGGCCCTGGCAGGCGCAGCATACTGCGAGACGTGATCAGTGCCAAAGTTCGCACCCAGGTAAGTCCCCCAGACCACGATGCTCGACTCTGGAGTCCACATCAACAAATCCTTCAAGGCTGGACACGGGCCCGTATTGCGGTCGTCCAACATAGGATAAATGAGAAATTGCTTCGCCACAGGGGGCGACAGGCCTCGGTCGCGAGCCATCAGGGTCATACCGGCGGCCAGGTTGCCCCCGCCGCTTTCGCCCATCACTCCGATGCGGTGAGGGTCAATGGCGAACTGGTCCGCGTGCTTATTGACCCAAGCCAAGGCGGCATAGCAATCCTCCACTGGCGTGGGGAAAGGGTGCTCCGGCGCGAGCCGAAACTCGACCGAGAAAAGTTGGACCCCGTGTTGGTGGATCTGCTGCGCCAGGTAGGTCCCATGCATTTGCACATCCCCCAGGATGTTCCCGCCGCCGTGGGCGTGGACAATGGCTGGCCCGAGCTTTGATGCATCGCCCTTCTTCCAGAATCGGTACACCGGAATGGATGCCCCGTCATACGAGGTGATATGGTGTACTTCCTGCTCAACATCCGGGTATTCAGGAAGCACGGACAGGCAGTTTCGGAGGCTCGCTTCCACAACCGGTCGCATCTCCAAAGGATCCGTTATTGGGGGTCGGGGATTCGCTGCCGAGTTGGCGAAGAACGGCTCCATGGCTTTTCGCCATTCTGGATCCATTTTAAGAGGCATTTCGATTGTGGGTTTGGACGGAGGATAGTCATATGATCAAATGTGTTCTCAGTGAAGAAGGGAGTATCTTAAGCTTTCTTTTCCGACCTTTTTATCTGTTATATGGACGCGAATTGCCCTCGTTCTTATGAATCCGCAGCTGGATGGAAGTCTCCGAAAGACACTTAGATTCGGGACAACAAGAACCAACTCCCCGCCAGCCGTGGGAACTGACCAATACGCCCAGTGTCGTGGCAGGATTCACCGATCGGCATCTCTTCTACATAAACGCAGGCCGACTCGGCCACATTTGTAATCTCGCGCTAAACAACGCTAAGACGTCCTCGGTATCGATTTTTGGCATCGTTTTTGACAACACACTGAATCATTCTGACTTTGGGGACATCTCAGGCCATTTCACGACTCTACAACAATGAAAAATACGGGGCATCGGGAGGCAGCAGACGTCCTTTCTCGGCTTCCGTTCATGGGCTCTATCACGACACGTAGAAGTAGCAATGCCCGAGCCAAACAGCGCGCCCGCGTTGTGATGATTCTATTTGCGCGTTCTAGGGATTCCTAAACTTATTTGGTTTCCATATCACGTCGTAACCATATATTCAAGGTGTTTAAAACATATGTAGCGTCGGAGACATTCTTTATAATCCTTCAAATATATTTACCACCAATCACTCGAAGTATCAATTTGCATTTTGATCATCCGGTTGTTGTTTTACATTATCTCTAATCAACTTCTAATCAATAAACAATCCGCCCGATGCGATAAGATGTGTTCCGTTGACCCATCTCGCTCTCTCTTCGCATAAGAAAGCAACTGCATACGCGATTTCATCGGGCTGCCCCATCCGAGGCCCCACGGGTGTTTGATCAATGGTGGGCTGGAGAATCTTCATTTGCTCTTCACCAGCAGCAGCAAAGCCCTCCGTTCGAGTCGGGCCCGGGCTCACTGCATTGACAGTGCACCCATATTTCGGAGGAAGTTCCTTGGCCCTGATCATCTAGTCAGCAAATCTGGTATGAATCAACGACGGCTCCTTTGTAACTGACCAGCATTTTGTAAACGAATCCACCATTCCCTTCGTGCCAGCATAGATCGTCTGGTTTGGCGGGGGTCCTCGAGCTGAGATACTAGCAATGTTGACAATCCGTCCGCTCCCCTTCGTGAGATGAGGCAGCACCGCTTTTGTCAAGAGGAACGTGCCGCGGCCATTAATGTTGACAAGCAGATCCCAATCCTCCAATGTCTGTTCTTCAAGTGGCTTGTTTACAGCTAGGGCGACGCAGTTGACGAGGATATCAATCCGGTTCCACTTCGCTACTGCCGCGTCCACGAGCTTCTGCGGCGTCTCAATCTTCGACATATCGCCCTCCACCGCAATCCCGAGAACGGGCAGTGAAGAAATGACCGTGTCAGCCTCGTCTTTCAGCCCGGGAAACGGGTAGTTGACAACTGTGTTGGCCCCGCGCGAGGACAGCTCTCGCACGATGGCGGCGCCGATACCGGACGATGAGCCGGTCACGATGGCGACTTTGCCCGCAAGTGTTTGTTCAACCATCCTGAGGCTATTCAGAAGATGATTCAGGCGGTTTTTGATTGTTGAATTCAGCTTGGCTTTGGTAATAAGGGAACCAATGTTGGTATTGAAGCGATGAGGTATGCGTGTCCTCAAGAGTCTTTAACCCAAAACTAGATCGAATATGTATTTGATGGAAATAGATCGGTCCTTTTTGGCTCAGATAAAAGACTATTGGTTTGCGGATATCTTTCAATTTATCTTGTCGGTATGTCTTGTAGGTTGGGGAGTATTCCCCTATGGGCCATCTCCACATCCCGAAGAACGGTACGAGGTTCCCCACATTTGAGATGGCCTTTCTTTGGCAAATAACGGACATTACCGGAATAGACTCAAAATTTCAGTGGCGTAAACAGAAAATCACTAGCTTCATTCCAATTTTGTGTGTTTCGATCTTCGACTTTTTTGAGCGGTTATCGACGTGGTCAGTACTACGGAGTTCTAGTTCGATGGTCACTAGTACCACATCGATTAAAGATATTTTGAATCAGTCTAAGTTTATGTCTACAATATCATTTCTGGAATATATACAAAATCTTGAGATCATCATCTTTGTTACGTTTACATTCGAATTTTAAACAAATAGTCCGCCCCCCGCGACAGGGATATATAGTCCATTAAGCCACCCCGCTTTCTCTTCGCACAGCATCGCCACCGTCCAGGCAATCTCTTCAGGCTTCCCCAGCCTCGGTGCAACAGGAGTCCTGTCAGTTCGGTCTTTAATAATTGCTTGGAAAACTGGAGGCGTAGAAAGCATGGCCTGTGTTGCAGTTGGACCCGGAGCGATAGCATTCACAGTGCAGCCATATTTGCGGGGGAGGTCCTTCGCCCAGCATCGTGTAAAAGACTCGATCATTCCCTTCGTCCCCGCATAAAATGTCATGTTTGGATCTGGGTCTCTTGAAGTTGAACTGCAAATATTGATGATGCGGGAGTGGCTCGGCGAGAGGTGCTTGAGAACTTCGCGTGTCAATAGCATCGTGCCTCGACAATTCACATTTATCATGGCATCCCATAACTGTAGCAGATCTGTTGTGCTGCTTGCATCTAGAGCACTTGGGCCCATGACTGCGGCATTGTTCACTAGAATATCGATTCTTCCAAATTCAGCCACGGTCGCCATTACCAGGTTCATTGGGCCTTGGAGACTGGACAGATCGGCCTCGACCATGGTAGATGTTGGCCCACTGAGGCTTTGAAGCACAGACTCTGCTTGAGCACGCTGTTCATATGTGGGATAGTTGACAACAATGTGAGCCCCACGACTCGAAAGTTCTTGGGCGATCGCGGCGCCAATACCGGACGAGGAGCCACTGACAATTGCAACCTTTCCCTTGAGTGACATGTTTTAGAGGCAAAAAGAAATGATTTGATCATATGTTGAGTTTAATATGTGCAAAGATAAAGAATTTCTATTTTTTGCCCCGTTGTCTTCTGGGTATTTAGGTCTTGAAAGCATATGAGCTACAAAATAATACCCCGACCTAATCGGAAAGGTGGCCCACTATAAAACGTTGGTTCCAGGGCCGATAATGCCTTCGTATACCAAAGGACTTACCGACATGTTAGTAATTCGGTGCAATCCAATAATCCTTCCAGACACCGTTGCCTTTGTCCGCATTTCCGAATTTATTGAATTCTTCTTGAGCAGCATAAACAAACGAGATCATGGATCATATTCTGCGCTCGCATTTACCTTATATGCGAGGCCACTCAGTATCCTGTCTTTCACAGCTTAATTCAACCAGGACTTCCAGCTCTCCGTGGGCTCCAAGTGCACTCTTTACAGAAGCAGCAAGATCTCAAGCGGAGCTCGCGAGAAATATCGGTTCACGTTGGATTTCTGGAACAGTTCTTCAGGGAATAGACAACCATATCATGGTGTCTGGAGCTGAAGCTTTTCCAGAACCTTAATCCGTCTTAATGTCGCTCAACTTGAACACTCGTCAATGATGAATCCTGTTGTCGACTGCTAAGGAGTGGTTATTTAGGGTCGCTACGCCTGTCTTATGTTATGGAAGGCAGGGGGATTCTGTTTAAGGGCTAGCAGCGGGTTCTTGAGAAAGAAAGATGCCGATATTAAAGTGAAAATCTCATTCTAAAAATACACGCCTTGAGTTGAAATCGCATACATCACCGAATATGTTTCAAAAGACAACTTGACTGGCGTCTTGCCTGTTGAGGAAGGCAAGCACGAATCTACTTCGGGCCCTCGGTTTTCCCGGAGCTAAAGCGGTCAGGTGATGTTCGACGAAATTCTCCCGACGATCAGCTATCACAATCAGATTTGCAGACCCAAGTCTTCTCCTTCTTCCACTTCGACATACCTCAATTGTATTTCTCTTCTTTTACACAATGTTCCAGCGCACTTTCTTCAGACAAGCACAGGCCGCCCGGTCGGTTCTGACTGCCTCAACCTCCACATCCGCTGCGCCGCTCGCGCTCCGCCGGACAACACGGTTGCAATCACAGCTCCCTTCAGCCCTTCGGCCGTTTGCCCCTCAGCCTGCTCGCCGTTTCTATTCTACCGAGAACAACGCTGAGAAGAAGGAAGCTTCCCAGGATGCTGAAGCGAGTGAGAAGGGTGAGGCTGCCGAGGACCCCATCCTTAAGGAGCTTGAGGAGAAGAAGAAGGAATCTGCTGATTTGAAGGTATGTCTTCTTGTTTTCTGACGATTCGCAATACATTATTCCTGCTTCATCATGCTCACTTTGAACCAGGATAAACTCCTTCGCTCTGTCGCCGACTTCCGCAACCTGCAGGACCGCACGAAGCGCGACATGGACAACGCCCGCAACTTCGCTATTCAGCGTTTCGCCAAGGACCTTCTGGAGAGCATTGACAACTTCGACCGCGCGCTGCTGGCTGTGCCTGCGGAGAAGCTCAGTGCCGAGAAGACCGAAGCCAACAAGGACCTGCTCGACCTGGTCGAGGGCCTCAAGATGACCGAGAAGACCCTCATGAACACACTCCAGAAGCACGGTCTGGAGCGCTTCGACCCCAGCGAGAGCGTTGAGGGCAAGCCCCAGAAGTTTGATCCCAACCTGCACGAGGCCACCTTCATGGCCCCGTCCCAGACCTTGGAAAACGGCGACGTGATGTACACCCAGAGCAAGGGTTTCCTCCTGAACGGCCGGGTTGTTCGCGTAAGTTTTTCTGCTAAATTGCGATCGAATAAGTGCTCTTCTAACATTTTTGTTTCCCTTCAGGCTGCCAAGGTCGGCGTCGTCAAGAACGCTTAAATTCAATCCATCCTCGACTATAATGCTCCATCTTTTTCCCCTCTTCCTCTACTTTCCTTCTCTCTGTACCATATATCATACGTCATGATCACGATGGGGATTTGCACTCGGTTACGGCTGGCTCTTAGACCCTGAAAAACTGCTCTTCCTTGATATCTCTATTTATGTCTTGGATCTGTATGATACACCCTTGTTGCATGTGACCGGAGGCGTCTGGATTGTCTCGTGGTGGGGTGTTAATTTTTCCCTTTTTTTGCGCAATTTGTGTCTACTGATCAACTCTCTCCTCCTCTCTTGTACAATATACACCCATGCGAGGGCTTCCCCTTGGTCTTCAGTTGTCTCCCTGTGTTCTACTTCTTGTTTCCAAACGTAGTCTACATGTAGCGTAGAAATTCAAACATAAGTAAGCATCTACACACACTATGGAGAGGCGTAGACTCCAGCTGAGATTTGAGAAAAGGAGTGACGGATCCCCTTGGTATATTGTACAACTTTTACATACAAGTAGCAGATATTATATGGTACAGAGGTCTTGTCCAATCACCTCAACTCCACCCCAAAATCGCCAACCAGTTTCGCCCGGACTTGGTCATGCATCTCATTAGCCTCTTCGTTGGTCAAGGTTCGCTCCAAACTACGATAGTTGATGCGGTAGCACATGCTTTTGCGGCCGGTCTTGGGGTGCGTGAATTCATCGATCAGGCTAACGTCCTCAACAAGATCACCGCCGATTCCACGGACGATCTCCATCACATCGTTTTCGTGAAATGGTACCGCACCGCCGGCAGCACTGCTCCCACCAGTGACAGCAGACGGTGGGAGCCAGAAGGCAACGTCTTTGTAGCAGGCAGGGTGCTTGGAGAAGGGTTCGAAGCGGGTGATTTGGCCGGCGCGGAACTGAGATAGGAATCGCTCGTCGCGAGACCAGAAAAGGCGGATGTCGGGAATATTGAACAGGAGCATGGCAATGCGCTCGATGCCCAGGCCGAAAGCCCAGCCGACGCGGTTGGAGACATCGGATTGGTTCAGCAGATCTTGCTTGATGACGCCGCACCCCAAGATCTCCAGCCAGTCACCCTGCCAGAACACTTCAAGCTCCCACGAGGGGCTGGTGAAAGGGAAGTACGCCTCCACCCAACGCACCTTCAGCGGTTCGGGCTGAGCATCGCTATTAGAGCTCGCTGCAGCGGCCTTGCTAGCCTCGGTGAAGACCCGAATAACCATGAGTTCAAGGGAGCGCTTGAGATGTGCTGCAATCGCCTCGACCTCTTCCTCGCTGTGATGCTCGGCCTGCAGCGGGTTCCGCTGAGCGTGGAGGGTTGGATTGGGGTCCTCGACCGGGACATCGTGGCGCGGTAGCAGATCCAGATCTTTTCTAATATTCGCAGCGGTCTCCGCGGAATGCGCGAGCGGGTTTTCATCAGGCCGCTTCCAAAGCATAGCACCTTCCATTTGGTGAAAGACCGGGTAGTGACTGCGATCGATTGCATCGCGGCGATAGACATCGGCAATCACCGTATATCCAACTTCTTTGGGCCGTGTCTTTTCATTTTGGTTGATCTGCTGGAAGTAGGCTTGCTGATGTGCGCTGGTATGGGTGCGCAAGACGGTTTTGTCGTTGATGTAGTATGTGTCTGTTCGGCTGCGACCTGGATGGTCCGGCGGGAAGCCCAGGACGTCAAAATTTTGGGTGGTAGTAACAACAGGGTTCTTCTCAAAATAATTGCCGAAGACTGGAGCGGGGAATTGGCTCTCAATGAGCTTGCGTGTGATTGCGAGCGGGTGGTTCTCATCGAGATAGAGACGTCGTCCCACATGGGACAGAATCGTTTCCGGGGTGTTGGTCCACTGGTCGGTGGGATAATTGTCACCCTCGATCGCAAGTTTGGGCGGGCCACTTGCTGCTTGCCTGCCTGAGCTGGCATTGCCGCTCTGATCAGCTACCCGGCAAGCGACTGTCGAGCTCCAGTCTCGAGTGACGGCGGGAATGGACTGGCGGAGCGGGTATGTTCGGGCGAGGGGGATTCTAGGTCGAGTCGAGGCAATCGACCAACGGCCACTGCTGGCACGCAGGGCCCTACCGGTCGCGAATAATCGCATGGCGAATGGATTGAAACTGGATCGAATGAACGAGGCCGGCATCCATTGAAACGGAATCCTCCAAACATCCACTCCGGGACCGGGAAAATGAGTGCCCGAAGTACACCCTTGATTTCCAGTGCCTCTGCCACCATGTACAGACTCTGACAGGATAGAAAATGGTGCAATCAATATTCTCAGTATATTTTAGGGGTATTCTATGCTCGAATCCTAAAGAATATGTCTCTGTAATGTCATAAAAATGCCAAGTTCGTCAACTAAGTGTTTTGCGACCGTAGATCCCAGGTGGTATATATATACAGAGACGCTACCTAACACTGATTACGATACCATCAAGCAGGGGACCTCTCTGCATGCATTGAAACAATGAATTGATTGGTATGTTTTCTTGTCCGTCCTCCTACATTTATTTCATTCTTTTCCGCCTGGCTGTGCCTGGTGCTTGTTCGCGGGGACAGGTCTGGAACCCCCTCAGTTCCTCGGTTCTCCGAACCCTGCATCCCTCCGAATATCCGCAATTCCACCGAAGATACCCGCCCGTTCGCCACACCAGTCTTCGACGTGGTGGAAAGGTCCACGGCGATAGTGATGCTCTTCAAGTGCGTCAACAAGGCCTCTCCTCTCGTCGGCATCCAATTTAATCCCCGAGCATTTGAATAGTTCACGATGTCTGTCCTGGTGAGAGGCCCGGTATGCCCCTTACAGGCTGGGGTGTTCACCGGCCAAGATCAAAACCGAGAGTTTGATTGGGTTGCGCCGCCTGCCCCCATCAAGGCACCCGGCGTGATTGGCCATGATACGCCGTCGGCTGGGGCGGCCGAGCGGCGCTTCGGCGGCCTGATTTGTCTCCGTTGGTATTGGCGATCCAAAATTACGTCAAACGTGAAAAAGCCGACCTGGTAAAAAAAATGACGACCTTTCTTTAACTTGCAACCCTCTCCCCTCCATTCTTCGCCTTGTTGTACAGCGAGATGGCAGACAGCGGCAAGTTGCTGGAGGCCCCCACGGCGGCCCACGCGCGGGTTGCGCCCGTCTCAACGCCGTCCAAGCCGAAGAAGGTCCATTACCCTTTTTGGTTTGGAGGTTCGGCGTCATGTTTCGCGGCCGCTGTGACGCATCCGTTAGATCTAGGTATGTGCTTGCTGTTGAGCTGATCTCCTCATATTGCCGTCACATATGATACTAACCATTCGCCCTAACAGTGAAGGTATTGCCAGCTCCTGAACACGAGCCCGTGTTATTCGCCCCCCGAGTTTCCCCGTTGCTGACTGCGGACTCCTGCAAACTAGGTGCGGTTACAAACGCGCGCACCGGATGCCCCGAGAACAATGATTGGCACCTTTGGACATATCGTGAGAAATAATGGAGTTTTTGGATTATACAGTGGTGTATGTTGCCACCCCCATCGTGAACGCCCCGCAGTCCCTGAACCGGGGACAGCTGTGGGGTGAATCATGCAGTCAAGCTTGAATTTGAACATCGGGGCGAGTTGCTAACCCTGCAATTGGATTGCTGTTTATAGCTCTCTGCCGCCATGCTGCGCCAAATGACCTATTCTACCACAAGATTCGGTATATACGAAGAACTCAAATCTTATTTTGCCAAAACCTCTCCCAACTCGTCTTCTTCCTCGCCCGGCCTCCTCACTCTACTTGGCGTGGCTACTGCCTCAGGCTTCATCGGCGGCATTGCGGGCAATCCGGCCGATGTGCTCAATGTGCGCATGCAGCATGACGCCTCGCTACCCCCGGAACAGCGCCGTAACTACCGCCATGCCCTCCACGGCTTGGTTCAAATGACTCGCTCTGAAGGCGTGAGCTCGCTCTTCCGTGGCGTCTGGCCAAACTCGACGCGTGCGATCCTTATGACCGCATCTCAATTGGCCTCATACGATACCTTCAAGCGGCTGTGCATTGAGTCCGCTGGCATGAGCGATAACCTTGCCACACATTTCACAGCCTCCTTCATGGCTGGCTTTGTCGCGACCACCGTTTGTAGCCCGGTTGACGTGATCAAGACCCGGATCATGACCGCCTCGCCGGCCGAGAGCCGCGGCCACAGCATGATCGGCCTGCTGCGTGATATTTGCCGCAAGGAAGGTCTTGCGTGGACCTTCCGTGGTTGGGTCCCCAGCTTCATCCGACTGGGTCCTCATACTATTGCCACATTCATTTTCCTGGAGGAGCATAAGAAGCTTTACCGGAAACTGAAGGGCATTTAATCCGAAGCACAGAGGTTTGCACGATTTTTTTTTTCATCGTTCTTTTCACCGGATCCCTCTTTATCCGATTTATTCCCCGTATATATGACTCGGTTTTCCCTTTTTTTTTTTTCTTTCTTATTTCTTATGACTTTGGGTGGAGCACAGGCAAATTTTGGCTTGTATATATCTTGCATTCTCTTTGGATGTTTTCCTTTGGGGTTTGGACATGGCTGGCTAACCTCGGTGTCTACTGCCTTTGGCCAGCCTTTTGATCTACCCAGATCCAAAGCATAGAGGGTGTGGGGGTGGCACATTTTGTACACGTGGGGGATACTGAAATCATAGACATAGATACACTCTGAATTCCATCCAGATACTTTCCGTGAGAAAAAAGACCAATTTTTTGGAAGTCATAGACATCTATGAACCTAGCGCGGCGCAACGAGATAGCTTCCACAATATCGCTTATTTACTACATGGGTGCGATATACAAATCAAAGCATGGTGGCGTAGGCGGCGTATCTACCTCAGGGCTTTACAATAGTCAAAGAGGAGCGGCAGCTATTTCCAGACGTTTCCGCAAATTGGAAGCTTTATGAACACAACACACCTCCTTCAATAGATCGGATGATTAAATCCAGGACGAAAGGGAATGTATCCCCGTATAATCTGGTAGAGTACATTGGAAATTTGTCAATACACAAAGGTTTGATGAAGCCCATTTAAACCAATACAAAACGGTCATTGGCTATCTATTTGTCGAGCTGAGCGGGGAAGTTGCCGGCCTCTGTGATAATGCAGACATTAGTATGGATTTTGACAGGATCTTGATGGGGATCCGGTGGGTTACGTACCACGCTGGGCGTCCCAGCGGTCGGTCCAGGCCTTGGGGCAGAGAGAGCGGAAAGCGTGGTAGAACTTTTAGAAGGGGTTAGAAGAAGGCGACACCAGGACTATTTGCTGTCGAGTGGTCACTATACCTGACGGCAGGGGACGAAGTCTTCACCCTTGGCGTTGACACACTTGTAGTGGTCGACATAGTTCTGCCAGCAGTGCTTGGTCCTGACAAGATTAATCTGCGTTAGAAAAAGAGAATAAAAGGTCTAGATTAAGGAGAGCGTACTGGTTTTGCTGGGGGAATCGAGCGTCATAGCCTGCGATCGTGTCGAAAAATTGTCAGTTTTATAGGCCCCAGCCAATCGTATGACACCCATTTGAAGTCAACCCTCCCACCCCGAGTCATGTCGCATGAGAATCGGAAGAAAACGCACCAGCTATAAGATAACAAAACATTAGCCATTGACTCGGCCACAGGGCAATTGGCCCTCGTTTTCACAGGAGGGGGTTGGTGGTGGACTTACCAGTGACGAACTTGAAGGGCTTGGTCTCGACGGGCTCGTCGGCGTCGTACTCCGGAATGGCACCCATTTTGGCGATGTGTAGCTTCTCGGGAAGAACACAGAGAAAGGACAATGGATCGTGTTGCGGGGGGAGAGTGGAGGAGGAGGTAGGAAAAGAGCAAAGACCCGACGTTGGGTGATCGAAGCTGTGAGTGCCGGGTATGACCGCGGGCGGTCAAGCGAGAGCCACTGAGCGTCTCGCTTTTCCCAAAACACCCGAGCCACTTAGAAGACGTTCTTGGAAAGCTGCCCGTCACCTCATCTTCATCCCACTCCTACTCGACTTCGCTCTCGTTCGCGCTTCTCTCTCCCATCTGCCACCATGTACCCCTCTCGCATCCTGCGCATGACCCCTTCGCGGGCTTTCTACAACCCCGCCCCTGTAAGTCAACTCCCTCGGTCGAGAGGATCATATGATCGGGTTCGGTTAATGCTAACTCCTGTCTGCAGAAGGAGGCTCACAGCGGTACGTCCAGCCCCTCGACACTTCCACTTTCCTAGATCAATTGAGAATTCTGGTCTCAATGATGGACTTGGGAGAAGAGCATTGACCTGACTGAACCCATCTAGCCCACACCATCTCGCAGCGTCTGCGCATGATCAAGAAGTGCCCTCCCGAGCTGATCCCTCTCGGTATGTTCTCTATGTTGGCTTCTACGGAGCAAAATAAATCTCTAACACTTTATTGCTTTCTAGGTATTGTTCTGGGGTATGTTTCTCATCACTTTCATCTGCCCGCCTCATTCCGCGACAGCTCTGCACGAGTTTTTCTTCCTTCCTTCCACCCACATTTCGATGCCGACTCTGACCCATGAACCAATGTGCTAACCTCACTATTGCAGCGTTGCCGTCGGTGCCGCTATCTACTCTTGCACCAAGAAGCTCATGACCGACAAGACTCTGCGTCTCTACCGCAACAGCCCCGAGAGCCGCGAGCACTAAATGTACCATCATATTTCTTTGAGCTCCCGAGAATGCGATCGAAAGTTTCTTGAAATTCTTGCCGCTTGTATTGTTTGAGACGATTGGAAGCCCGGAAAGAAAAATTAGGACCAAAAATTGAAGACGTGCTCGGAACCGGAGCGTGTGTACATAGTCCGGCTTTTTGCGGGGGTGGATTCTGGGGATGTATTTTCGACAATAGTACTGTCGTTCGTGGTCTTTCATTATTATCGTGGCCATCGTTATAGTGTAGTTCATTCGGGCTTGGGCCCAGCAACATCGAGCTGTTCCAAGCCTTGCATCGGATCTTGCGGTCTGCTGCTGGCTGCCTGAGCTTCTTCGGCAGCTTGCCGGTCTTCCTCGCTGACCGCATACTTGGCCAAATAGCCCTCCTGTAGCGTAATGAGTGTGCAGTCAGTTATATAGTCTATCTTTCGTCTTCAAGATCGTAAAGTTTTCACGTACCTGTTCCCAGATTGCGGTTTTGCTGCCCAGCCCCTCATTGGCGTCCTTTTGTGGTTTAGCTGCAGCCACTTTGATAGTGCGACCGTACAGCTCACTGCCGTCCATATTGTCGATGGCCTCCTTGGCATCCTGAGGAAGATCAAACTCCACATATCCAAAACCGCGGTGGGCATCGCCCGAGTTGGGTGCATCTGGCTTGGGAAGAGAAATATCCACAACCTCTCCAAAAGGCACAAATGCTTCTGCCAGTGTATGAGCGGTTACAGCCTGGTCGAGGCCGCCCACATAGATGGTGCTCTTGAGCCTTGTGCTGTCGCTCATGGTGTCTTCGGTGGCGCGGGATTGAGCTGGACTTTCTCCGGGGACTTGCGTAGATAAACTTGAAGACGCAATAGATGCCGGTAATAAAATTGAAATTTGCGCAAGATAATGAACAAAATCCCTCACAGCGTGCGTTGTGCTTGTCTCTTCGATCTCCTGCTCAAATGCCGCGAAAGAGAACTTGATATCACGTGCGACAAGCCTCGGGGGTGTTTTGGCGAGATCTGAAAATGGTTTAGCGCGGGTTCCCCGGTCCCTCCAAGACCAGGAGGCCACTTGGTTTACTGCGGCCTGTCGAGCATCGCACCCCCCGTTGTCAATTTTGTACAGGGGTGGGATCTGATCTTGTTGCTTATATTGGATATTTGATCTGACTTGGCTTCGATTTCACCAACACATCACCCATTCCCTTCACTATGGTCCGTCTGCGGGAAATCCCAAGGACGGCCACCTTCGCCTGGTCTCCTGGGGCTGCATCACCATTGATTGCTACAGGAACCCGGGCTGGTGCCGTCGACGTTGACTTTTCAAACAAGACATGTCTTGAGCTTTGGGATTTGAGCCTGGATCGTCAAGATGCTAGCGAAGAGCTCCAGCCGGTAGCTAAGATCGATACCGATTCTGGGTAAGCCCCAAGTCCGAAGCTCCATGATCGTCGCCTATACTGACTGAGAGATGTGTGCAGTTTCAATGATTTGGCCTGGGCGGATTACGATGATACAAAACGGGGCGTGATCGCAGGTGGTTTGGAGAATGGCTCCTTGGATCTGTGGAGTGCCGATAAGCTGCTTGCTGGAGCCAGGTACATCGTATTTTGGGCCAAGATATACGGGAGTAGAGTGGCTAATTGATTACAGTGATCCGTTGATTGCGAGAGCATCAAAACACTCTGGCGCCATCAAGGCCCTTCAATTCAACCCCAAACACTCGAACCTCCTGGCCACCGGTGGCGCAAAGGGCGAGCTCTTCATCTCCGACCTAAACAATATCGATAGCCCGTTCCGATTGGGTACAGCCGCGGCTCGTACCGATGATATTGAATGCTTGGACTGGAACAAGAAAGTCGCGCACATTCTGGTAACCGGTAGCAGTGCCGGCTTCGTTACCGTGTGGGATGTCAAGACCAAGAAGGAGAGCCTAACCCTCAACAACATGGGTAGGAAAGCTGTTAGCGCTGTGGCATGGGATCCCGAGAAGGTTAGAGATGGTCTTCTGGTCTTTTCACAGTCGTTTGTCACTAATCATTTTTCTCTATAGCCCACCAAGCTGGTCACCGCTACTCCGCTCGAATCAGATCCCATGATCTATGTTTGGGACCTGCGAAATTCCCATGCTCCTGAACGGGTAAGTTACACACCAGCTGTCTATTTATAATGCAAAAATTGATCCTAACCCATTGGATATAGACTCTGAAGGGCCACGAATCCGGTGTTCTTTCACTCTCATGGTGTGACCAGGATCCGGACCTCCTGATATCGTCAGGCAAAGATAACCGCAACATTTGCTGGAACCCGCAAACCGGCCAGGCCTATGGAGAGTTCCCCGTCGTCACTAATTGGACCTTCCAAACTCGTTGGAACCCGCATAACCCCAATTTCTTCGCAACCGCTTCTTTCGATGGCAAGATCTCAATCCAGACTCTCCAGAACACGAAGACCGACAATGCCCAAGCCATTGCCGACCACAACCAAGCTCTTGATGGCGAAGACTTCTTCGCTAAAGCTCAGACCCAGCCCCAGGTTTCCAAGTTCTCTCTTCCTAAGCCCCCTCGATGGATGGAGCGGCCTAGTGGAGCCTCATTTGGTTTCGGTGGCCGGGTTGTTTCCATTGGCCTTACTGAGAAGGGGTCTCGCTCTTCCAAGATCAAAATCACACCATTTGAGGTTGATGAGAGTGTTGGCAATGCCACCGAGAGCTTCGAAACTGCCCTGAAGGGCGGAGATCTGCGGAGTCTTTGCGAGTCTCGCGCCGCTGGTGCTTCTACTGAAGAGGAAAAGGCTGATTGGAAGGTTATCCAAGCCTTGCTCTCTGAAAACCCCCGCAAAGGGCTGGTGGAGTATTTGGGCTTCCAGGACCAGGCCGATGAAGCCGCCGATACCTTGGGTAAGCTTGAGTTGGATAAGAAGAACGATGAAGCGACCAACGGAGTGCCCGAGAAGCCGACAGCTAGTGCAAAGAAGCACAAACGTTTGCAATCTATGTTTGATGCTACTCCCGATAGTGATAACTTCCTGTCGGAACTAGCTGCATCTAAGGGTGCTCAAACCAACAACCCCTTCCAGATCTTCAATGGATCGGAGACCGAGGGAGACCAAATAATCACTCGGGCTTTACTTCTTGGAGAGTTCGAGAAGGCTCTTGACGTTGCTCTGCAGGAGGACCGCATGTCTGATGCTTTCATGATTGCCATCTGTGGAGGCCAAAAGTGCATCGAGAAGGCTCAAGAGTACTACTTCTCGAAGCAGGCCGGTGGTCCCAACTATATGCGCCTGCTTGCTTCCATCGTTGGCAAGAACCTTTGGGATGTGGTACACAATGCGGACCTTTCCAACTGGAAAGAGGTGATGGCTGCACTGTGTACGTTCGCTGACGAGAAGGAATTCCCTGATCTCTGCGATGCTCTTGGCGATCGCCTCGAGGAGCAGGTGAAGACCACCGATGACAAGACTGCTCGCAAGGATGCCTCCTTCTGCTTCCTGGCTGGTTCCAAGCTCGAGAAGGTGGTGGCGATTTGGGTTGAAGAGCTCCGTGAGAACGAACAGCGTGGTGTTGAGACCGATGCTGATAATTCTACCTTTTCAATCCACGTCCGTGCTTTGCAAGGTCTGATTGAGAAGGTGACTATCTTCCGCCAAGTCACCAAGTTCCAAGACACGGAAAAGAACAAAGACTCAGACTGGCGCCTCGAAACCTTGTACGAGAAGTATATCGAGTATGCTGACGTTGTTGCTACTCATGGCCGCCTCCAGGTTGCCCAGAAGTACCTTGACCTTGTTCCCGAGAAACATCCGGAGGCCGAGGTGGCTCGCAACCGCATTAAGCTTGCCATGAGACAGGCTCCGCAGAAGGCTCAAGCTGCCCCAACTGCGAAGGCTAGCTTCAAGCCTCTTCCCCAGCAGCCCAGCATCTACCAGCCACAACAGAGTTTCTCTCCACCGGCTCCGAATGTTGGCGCCCAGAACCCATATGCGCCTCCAGCTCCTGCAGTTACCGCTCCTCAGCCGCCAGTGAACCCGTATAGTCCCGTGTCTACTCCTGCGGCTCAGCCCCCGAACCCCTATGCGTCCATTGGAGGCGGTGGCGCCAGCTACACGCCAGCGGGATACCAGCCTACCCAGGGCATGAGGGCCCCGGCATACGCTCCTCCGTCTGCGTTTGGAGCGCAAACCGCACCCACTGGTGTTGTTCCTCCCCCACCTCGGGCATCTAACCAGTCGCCAGGTAATACCATTACCACTTACACCACTGCCACTGGTCTCCCCGCTTGGAACGACCTGCCCGAAGGCTTCACCAAGGCTCCTACCTCGCGCCGTGGTACTCCAGCCGCGCCGGCAGCTATCAGCTCTCCGTTCCCCAACCAATCCCCTCCTCTTGCTCAGGGCGCGCCGCCCCAGGGACCAGCGCCTACTGGTCCCCAGCGGACGCCATCTGTTCCTCCTCCACCAAAGGGAGGAGCTCCCCCTCCCCGGGTGATGTCGCCTCCGACATCAGGTATTGCTCCTGGCCCACCTCCGCCTGCCCCTGTCAATCCATATGCTTCCCTGCCCCAGTCTCCGCCGACATCAACCATGGCCCCTCCAGCATCAATTCCCCGGGGGCCATCACCGTATAACCCCCCGCCGAGCATGCCGCCGCCAACGAGCCGATATGCACCAAGCCCGGCTCAGGCCCCGAGCCCGCAATTGCAGACTCGTGCGCCGGTGCCCCCTCCACCCCAAGGTGCGCCGTCGCCATATGCTCCCCAACCTGGCGTACAGCCCCCTGCGGCAAGCCCATATGCACCTGGTGCTTCTGCGGTCGTCCCGCCTCCCCCAATGGCTGGAGTTCCCCCTCCGCCTATGGGCTCTGCACCGCCTATGGGATCTCGGCCCCCAACGGCTCCGTCTCAAAAGGCTACTCCTCCCCCTTCAACCCCCAAGTACCGTAAGTTCGGGCTCTCTCTCCAACAGTACGAATAAATTAACTGACCCATTGCAGCCCCCGGGGACCGATCTCACATTCCTCCCAACGCTTTGCCTATCTATGAGATTCTCTCGGCTGATATGGCACGCGTCAAAGCTCGCGCCCCATCATCTTTCAAGGCTCAGGTCGACGATGCTGAGCGCCGCTTGTCCATCCTCTTCGATCACCTGAACAATGAGGACCTGCTTAAACCGAACACGGTCGCGGACATGGCCACTTTGGCCCAGGCTATCCAGGCTCGGGACTATGAGACTGCCCGCACCGTTCACGTCGACATCATGACTAACCGGACCGATGAGTGTGGCAACTGGATGGTAAGCAATTCTCCTTGATCCTTGATCTAGAAACTAGAACATTTGGCTGATTACTTTCTTTTTTTAAGGTTGGTGTCAAGCGCCTTATTGGCATGAGCAAGGCTACGCCATGATGGAGTCAACATCTATCCCTGGCCGAATGGAAGAAAGTGGTCGGATATTGATATAGCGCGCCTCGATTTTGGGCTTCCAGCTTTTCTTCCCTGTCCATTTTACTATTAATGCCCGCGTATTTTACTTTTTTTCTTGCGTTTTGTCCCTCGGGGGTTCTAGTTTGATCACGTATTTCTGTCATGAGAAAAGAAAATCCCCTTCCTCCCCGATTCACTCATCGAATGGTATCGGATAGCTGTGTATGGCGGTTTGGTTGGCTTAGAATGTCAGATAGACGTACCATGAAATGAAACGAAGTAGATCGATTTTCACTGCGCCCTCCACACTCTCTCCATTTTCATGGATGCTGGTCTATTAATCCATACAACTTGGATAAAGGAGGGTATACACGTCCGTTTCCATTCAATGCTTTATATACACACTTTGCTCGCGCAAAAAACAAACATCGCTGCCTGCAGACGGAAAAAAGGAAAATCAATTCAGCGCCCAGGTGACGCAGTCACACCTCCAAGTCTGCCACCCCGGCTCGCAGGGAAATTCCTCGCGCTCAACAGCGCGCCCTTGACACCCCGGATCTCGGCCTTGAAGCTTGCAATGGCGTCGTCCTCGGACTTGCGCACACCAGCCGCCTTACTATCGCCCCCGCTACTGGTGGTGTTGCTGTACAGACCATACGAGGGCGTTGAGGCAGAGTATGCGGGTGCAGAATAGATTAAGCCATCCAGATAGTGATGCAGATCTGTGAGGCTGGCCCGCATCGAGTCATCCAAGTCACTTGAATCTTTTTCTAGTTCATTCACTTCCTTTAGCTGGGATTGGATGGACTCCAAGCGACTTAGGTGGTTGTTGACCGCCACTGTCGGTGCATCCTCAGCATCCTCCTCAGAGTCCTTTGTACTTGATACCAGTGAGGTTTGGGAGACGTCTGGGGTGGTCTGGGTCCCGATGTCTCGATGGAAGAGCTCTGTCGGGTCCGAGGTGAACGAGTCGCTATCGTTGGATTCTTCCTCATCAGCCGTTTTGCGCGCAGTGAGGTGTGCGGGAATGACCGTCACAGTCTGCTCAAGCTTCTCATTAAGCTTCTCAAGGTTCTCCTGTGCAGTGGTGGCGAGGTCGTGGCGTGCGCTGGTGAGATTGGCGAGCATCGGCTTGACAAGGTACTCGCTTGCGCCGTAGATGCTGGCGCCGAGGCCTGCGGCACCGTATATTGTGTAAAGGATTCGGCTCATTGTCACCAGAGGGGGTGGCTTAGCTGGCTGAAAGAGGAATTCGGGGTAGGTGATGATTGGGGGAACGTCGCGTGCGGAGGAGGGGGAGGTGGAGGGGGAGGTAGCAGGAGTCGAGCGCGGTTGCGCCATGCTGGTGGATGTGGATGAAGCAGTGACAGGAGAGGAAGATGTAGGCTGAGACTGCAAAGAAGCAGGGGAGGAGGTCGTCTCTTGCGTCTTGTCCTCGGCTGGGGTCTCGGTTGAGCTGGTCGCCTCTGGATTTCGGGCAACGCCGAGAAGGGTTTCAATCTCGTCTGAGTTCAGCCCTTTCGATTCTAAGAAAGAGACTTTGCGATCTGTAGGAGCATCTCGGATCGATTCGTCCTCTAGGAACCGCGATGCTTGCTCGAGGAGATCGTGCCGTAACGTGGATGCGGGCAGGTCGTCGGAGTTCGGCGACGCAGATGGGGATGACGGCGACGGGTCAGCTGGTCCAGATTCGGATTGTCGCTGCCAGGAGGGAATTGATGGTGGCTTTGAGGATGGATCTGACATCGTGTGTATAACCGAGCCAGAAAGAGGGAGGAGGAAGGAGAATGGGGTGAACAGGGTGAAGAGGGCGAAGGAGAACCTTCCCCGGACTTGGGAACTTGGAGACCATGTGAGCCGACCTCGGCTGTGGCCCCGACTCGGCTGGCTCCGCCTGGAAGGGTACATCGGTGATTAAGACAAATTCACGTCCTGTCCATTCCCTCCTCTTGGTCAAAGGTGCTATTAGATGACTTCATTGATCATTATAATCAATAGATCACATTTGAATGTTTCCATAGGAATTGTCTCTTCATTAGTCCGAATGAAACAATACGGAGCTGTGATTACATGAAACCCGGCCAAAGGCCCTTCAGAATTTAAGTATACTTTCACCCAAAGGGCCTTGAGACGTAAGATTTATTGAAATTATTTGAAATTTCCAATCAAAGTCCAACGGATTCCGTGAATCGTAGTAAATGATGGCCATGAAGGGACTCGAGACTCCCAAAATGCGTTCTCGACCGGGTTCCAGGCCGGGCCTGCTGACCGCCCGGCAGAACGCGAGTGGTGGTTACTTCACTCATTGATCGTCTGCGACGAGCTCGCGCATTGGAAGCGTTTGGCCTGGAAGAAAAAGTACCGGTGAGTCTCCAAATGGACCTTGTTACCTTTGAACCCCTGCTTTTGTCATGCACTCGGTGTTATCCTCCCACATCATCCCCGCCTTAGGGAATACAGCAGCCAGGAGCCCATACCCGGAGATCCTGGTCAAGCTTGGGGCGCTTTGCTCGTGAAATCCCCGTGGCGCTTGAGACAAGCTGGCCCTGTGCCTTCCCGGTTTGCACAGCTGAGCCCTCATCTGGAGATGATTGGGCGGGCTCCATGACTCCATTTCCACGCTCCCCCCCCTCTTCGAAACAAGTCTCACCAGATGCTCTTCCCCCTGTACTGCCACACACTTGACGTGGGCTTAACCTCCCCCGCTTCCTCCTGGTACCTTTGCACGACTCCCCAATTCATTCATCTACGGCCTCATTTTCTTCATGGCACTACGTCGCTCTCGTCGATCGCATGGTCCAGTGGAAGACTACCTGGACCCAGGCACTAACATGAGGACCAGATCCAAAAGATTTACTCGAGCCTCTGCTGCTGCAGCGTCAGGATCGGTGACTGTCTCCCGATCCTCCGAGGATCCGCCAGGAGAGCCGAACAGAACTCTTCGTCTGACTGTAAAAATGCCCGCCGGGAAGCTGCGCGAGGCTACCGGAGGCCGACCAGGGCGGCGCTCTGTCAATGTCTTCCAGGAGAACCCCATTGTGTCGGGGCCTCGAGCAAGTCGCAATAAAAGGAAGATCGTGGAAGTCCCTACGTCTGACGATGAGGATATTGAAGACCAAGAAGAAGATGAGGTCGACGATGAAGACGAAGATGCCCCCGGCGAAGATGACGAGGACGCCGACGCAGATGGGGACATCGACATGGATGACGCTCCCCCTCAACCTCCAGCCAGGCGAGCCGCCAAAGCAGCAACATCGACCCGTGGAAAGACCGCCAAAAGTGTCGAAGCCAAAGAGATGGAGTTAGAGGAGGAAGAGGAAGAAGAGGAAGAGGAGGACGAAGAAGACGAAGAGGAAGAGGAAGAGGAGGAAGAGGCGGATTCAGATGCTGATGCTGATGGTGAGCCCGATGACCAGGACGAGAGTGCTGTTCCGGAAGTCAATGTCGACGACCTCGATGAAGAGGATGAAGAAGACGACTTGGAAGATGACTTGGACAGTGAGGGGGTGGGCATGAAGCAGACAACCAAACGCCAACGAGGAAATTTGGGCAATGACTTCTTGCAACTTCCGATGGGTAAGCCATGAATTGGAGACGGTCCAAATCAGCATCTAACAAATTCGTAGAACCCCAAGTCAAGAAACACTTGACAGCCGAAGAGCGTGCTATGCGCAGAGCCGAAATGGCTCGTCGACGGAAGAACCTGAGCGAAAAGCGAAACGAAGAGGAAAAGGTACGTGCATGAGATTATCTTTACTCATCTATGAAGCCGCGACACATACTCGCAACGAATCATTGGATCTCCCCCACTGATGCCAGACAGATGGACACAATCAATCGGCTCTTACGAAAACAACCACCGAAACGTCGTGGCAGAGCTGCTGCCGCCGATGGAGCGGACACCACCCCGGCTGAGCAAGAGCCCACGGAGCCTGAGAAGGCAGATCCCACCATGATCCGATGGACGAGTAGCCAAAGCGGCTGCAAGGTTGGTGTGCCTGAAGAATGGCTCGGTACACCCGCGGGTCGGGTATTTGGCACACCCGTTGCCGCTGGAAGCGGGAAAATGGTGGAGGAATTATGATAGTGCTGGATTTAAAGCCGCACTGGAAAAGGGCGTATTGGCGAACCATACTGGCGGTTTACTGCGGAACGGACTGGCCTCGGATTGACTCTTGTACAAGGCATGGCGTTGAGATTGTTTGCTCAGGTCAATAATACATTCTATGCATCGAGAAATACTCTTTGTAGTATACAGATTCGGATGACATATCAATGGCATCCAGGAATACCTCCTCAAAGACGGGATTCCGCCTTTATTTCGGATCCAGTTTTCGGCCGCAATAGTGCATCGTATATCAATAATCTTTGGCATGGATAATGGCCATGCTTCAAACAACGACAATGATTCGATAAAATTAATAGCTCCGCAATGGCGTGTTGATCTCTTGCCAGTGATTCACGATTTCAGCTGAATTACGTCGAGCGAGTGCCATCGGCAAGCCAACGGTCTGCCGCCATTCCATCTTCATGCTCTTGGGAGATGCGACTCGCGGACGTTATTTCTTTTGCTCGGCTTGGGGGCTAGCATCGGGCTTGGAGGTAGGTGCAGTGCCCACTGAAGACGCCTCAGCAGGTTTATTCAATTGATTAAGCGCGCCAGAGGGGCCTTGCGTCCTTTCCGCTGCCAGCTGCTGGAAGGTCGGTTGGAAGGTGTAATAGCCTAGCGGAGAAATTTTGACGTCAGAGCCAACATTTTGATCGATTATATACTGCAAAAGAACGAGATGTACCTGTGAATACACCGACACCAATCGCGAGGACAACAGGAAGAAAGTTCCTGCTCATATTGGCGGATTGGAAAAGGGAACGCAAGAGGCAGTGGAAATAGCGATGTCGTTGGGAGGAGAGTCGACGCTCGGAGACGCTGCGGGAGTCCGCCTGTTATCGCCCATTGATTAGCGATTAGCGATTAGCGGCGCGTCCCCAAATTGTTCAATTACCGACGCGTCGATTGTCAACTTGTTCCTCTCAAAATCTGGAGGCACCTAGCTGTTTGATTCCTCTGATTCCTTGTGGATCATCCCCGTGAAAACCTTCTTGCACGCGATTCCCCCCTTTTGAAACGACTCGATGACCTTCTAGAGACATGGGAGATCCCCGCCCAGGATGCAAATGGAGCCATGGCGACAACGGGGGTTTGTCCCAGATTCGGATGAAGAGGACGACTTGGACTCTTTAAACACCACAAAAGGCCTTCACTATGATGCTGATGACGACGTTGATCTCGAATACATCCCTCTCCCTCCCTCCGCAGAGAAAATCGGGGCAACAGACGACGTCAAGGAGCAACATGCAGCCACCGAGAATGGGAGAAAATTGACCCGGAGTTCCAGTTATAAAGAGGTTCAGAGCCATGGTGATAACTCGCAGGAAGTTGTGAACCTTGTATCTAGCCCTGTTGTTGCAAATGGGCGCTTCAAGAAGCAGCGTCAACCGCATGAAGAGTCTCCCAAAGGCGCCAGCAGCCATGCAACACTTATATCCCCCGCAAGACAAGCCATGAAGCCACGACGAGCAACAAAAACATACGGGAAACGATCATCATCCACGAAAACCACACCTCAAGATTCCAATACAGTTTCCCTGGCCCCGAATCCCCCAGACGATAGTATATGGGATCTCCCGAGCTCACCAGTGACCCAACTTAGGCGTGGCCGGAAAGCGCGAAGCCACGAGTCCACACCACATACTCCTGCAACGCCGCTTATATTGGGATCAGAGGACCTAGAAAGACATGAGTCAGCGGCGTTGCAATTAACAGGCGAGGCAGGAAGGTCCCGAAGCTCGTCACCCGACGAGCTTGTGGTGATATCAAGACATGTTTCGACACCAAAAAATGGCGATCACAACCTTCCGATTGATGATGCGCTTCATCAAGAAAGCCTTGATGATTCGCCTTTGTCATCTCCTCCCTCGTCGCTCCACTCGCCTCACCAAACCTCGGATGATGAGGGGGATGCCACCCCAACCGTGCCCGCAGCGGGTTTGATGACTCAAACTATGCTCGATCTTCAAATACCTCAAAATCTCTTGGAACAAATGGTTCAACCAATGCGGAGGACATTTCGACAGCGGAATGCAATCCAGCTACACCCATATGCACTCGAAATGGCAAAATACCAGAAGCAGATGAAAGATGGAGGCGTACGACCTGTTCGTATGCTCCTGGAAGCTCAACGTCAGAAACAGAATGAGAATACAGACGAAAGTCAAGAAAAAGATACTTTCAATCCTGATGCAGCTCGGTCCAGTCCTCCACAGGAAGAATACCTTCCTCCAGTTAGGCCAGAGCGGCGCCAAGAACGAGAGTCAGCCAAGGAGGATCGCCAAACGCTTGAAAATCATGACATGCTCATGCGTCGAAATCTATCTTACAAACGAAGAAAGAAGTCATATTCTGGTTCATGGCAACCCACAGCCCAGTCTTCGGAGAATCGAGAGCGACCACAGGTTGTCATTCGCACAGACAAGCCTTCTACTGAACACCAAGCCCTTTCAGTATTTGATATTCCGTCAAGTCCGCCTCACTCTGGTAGTTTACCATCCTTCTCCAGGACACCGCGAGTCTCAGAAGGGTTTCGCTTCCCCATTGGATTCACGCCACCGCCAACCACAACTACAGGTGTGCAGTCAAAACCCGCAACACCGGGTGTTATTGATGAGCCTGATGATGATGATGATGATGATGATGAAACCCTCAGATCAGCGGGTGGCTCCAATGAAGACTTACATTCAGACGCATCTCAAGATTCTTTAGTGAATATCAATGAAACTCCCGAAGAGCGTGAGATTAGGGCCATTCAGCGGCGAACCCGCGGTGTTTTACCAGCGTCATGGGTTCGGCTGAATGCGCAAAAATCAGAAAAACAAAACTCTATCCGACATAATCGCCACGGAGTTCCTGTAAGAACAGATGGCAAAGGAGTTGCCAAAAAAATCGTTAGAAGGGCTAGGCATTCGGGAAATATAACCCCTCAAGCAAATCGCGCCTTGTTCGATCTAGGAGATTCCGATGAGAGCGATGACGAGAACCCAGGGCCCGGTAATGCGAACCCTGAAAATGTTGGTGAAGATGAGAAGCTCTTGGAAAGAGTGGAGTTTGAAGACTCTTTTGACCCGGATGGCGATATTCTCGAGGACAATCGAATTGATTACATGCTTGCTCCAATTTCTCGCAATGCAGGATCTGGAGGAAAGCGGAAAGGCTTGAAACGTGGTAAATTGAAAGAAAACAAGGGTCAAACTGAAAGACGAATAAAGAAGGCTCGGCTACACAGGCAGACCAGACTGACTGATGCCTCATATGGTGGCCAGCGAACAAAGCAGTCCTCCAGGAGATCGACGCCACGACTAGGAATTCTAGATGCGCCTGATGTTACCGACATGCCCCTCCAAGAACAGCCTCAATTTCTCCGAATCGCTGCAAGAGGAGCTCGGTCCCGTCAAGACCAGGGAAGACGAAGTCCAACCCGAAAGTTCCTAAAGCTCAGCTCGAAACTTGACACAGCAGATGCTAATGAGTCTCTGCGAAATTGGACAAGTGGAGCTATACCGAAAGCTAAAACCAGTCGTCCTCAACCGAAACCCTGGCAGCGCCGATCATTAGCGAATGTTTACATGGCTAATCGTCGAGCTATACCGGCTGCTCGCACTTCTTCAATTTCAACTCATTTCCCCTCTGTTAAAGCTAGCTTCATTCCCGATGATGACGTGCAAATTGAGGTCTCAGCTACTCCGGCCGAAGGAAGTGAAGCGTCTCCCTCGTCCCCAGTACCGCCAGCTACTACTGGAGGCCCAAGACAATCCATACAGTCAGAGCGTCAAGGGCAACAGTGGATAGTACGCAGAAACATGGGTGTAACGTCCCTACAACGAAGCGAGGCTCGTCCTGCCGCAAGCAGCCTTGTAGGTTTTACCGAAAATCAGCCGAGATCTCAAGACTTGTTTCGCAAATCGTTGACTTTGCTAAATCGGGATTATCGGAACAAATATTCATCGCAATCATTTAAGCCTAGCTTGACCTTGAATCGATACCTTTCCAGTGCAGGATCCGTGCCTTCATCCCGAGGTGCTTCGAACCACTCCGCTGCAGCATCCGCACAAGCTGTGAACAGGATCTCGACCTCCCAACCAAATCAACCGCAACAAAACCGCCGCCGACTGAAGAAAAACACTCCTCGCCACATAAATCTCGAACCGGATGGATTCATACAGGACCAGGAGCCTCGCAGTAGAGCCAGGGATGGCTATGGCTCCCTAGCTGTAACTCAAGTCCGATCAACACAGGCTTCATCCTTCAGTGTCGGGGGATTGTTCAATTGGCAACGCTCCTATTCTATTGATTTGGGGACATCCTCGCTCCCAGATGGAACCTTTTTCCATGAATCTACTTTTATAGGCAGCGGCGAATTCTATCAAGCATTGCATGTTCTAAAGCGAGATCTGGATAAGCATGCCGGGTTCGCATTAGTACCTGTGAAGGACCGACAATACCAGTGGGCTGCTTGGAATGAGATGACTTCTTCGGAATTTGGCCTAGCTTTTCAATCGATGGTCGAAGATACCGAGAGGAGTGTTGCATCGCTCCCAAGAACGAATTCAGCCTCCAAAACTCTGACTTCGACTTCCCTCACATATCGGTCTATGATTGTTTATGTCACAAGTCATCTATCTTTCACAGATCCTGTTGATCGAACAAGCTTTGTCACTAGAGCAATAGGGCAGCTCGGTTTGCTCAGAGATTCTATGGCTTCTTTCGTCACGGGTAGTGAGCATAACAAGAGAGGTCTTGCCAGAGTTGCTGGTTTAAGCCTGGTATTTTCAAACCAGATTCGTCAAATATCATCTCATAGTTTTGTCAGCCCTACTCTTGCCGATGAAGCTTTCAATCTCGTTAAAGCTTTCGCTGCAGATGTCATTGCATTGGTTCTGTCAGAAGAAGGAATTGCTGATCTACAGCGCTTGTTCGAGCAGCTCGACAAAGCTGAACTGCGCGAGGCTGGAATCCGTGAAGATTTCCCGTATGTTGAAGCCTATGTTGTCGTTGAGCAGTTATTGCGCAGCTCTGAAGTATACAACGGGGTCTTCAATGATCTTCAAGCAGAGGCTTGTACCAAGCGCCTGCTCCGCAATGCGAAAGATGTCGCCGGCATAGAGAAGATGTGGCGTGGACTATTTGCGCTCCTCCCGTTCTCCGACATTGATAACCATGGTATCTCGCGCCGCATGACTCGGTTTAAAAACGTGCATGATAACTGGGCTCCTGTTCAAAAACTTCTGTCCCCAGCGTTGGACAATTATGGTACCAACTCTGCATCACAGCCGATACAATACAATTCCTACTGCCGAGCTCTTTTCCAAAGGTGCCACTACTTGATCAATGTTTGGGGTTGGAGAGAATCCAAACCCATCCTCGACACTCTGTATGACTTCTTCGCACACAATACCTTGCACAATTTGAAGCTTGAAGAAAGTCGGGGCTCACCTTTGTTTCTCGATGAGCTTGATCTAAACCCCTCCTTGGACACTCGACCTGGGGAACCGTGCTTTCACACGCTGCTCAAAATTCTAGGAAGTGGTCTCCGCTTTCTGTCGAAGCGCTATAACAACAAGAAGCTTCTCAATTTTATCTGGCGTCTACTTCCAAACCATGGTCGTGTCTATCCAAAGGAGATGAATTTGCGCCATGAAGACCTGGACGCGTTGAGGAATCATCATGATCTCCTGTGCACCTTATACTGGGCTGTTCCTGACCCGGCCCGTCCTCCGTTGAAAGCCATCAGAGACTTGGTTCATCCAGCAAAGTCACACCGCGAGACGTGTAGCATCAACCTTCGATCGTGGGCAAGACTCGTTAGGTTCAAGTTGTCAACTGACGAGGACATATCTGGGTTGGAACCATTCGCAGATTGGCACAGCTATTTTGTGAGTGAGCTACGGCAACAGCATACAAATGCTCGTAAAGATATTGAAGCACAAAGCCAGACGGGCGAACGGTTCTCGCAACAGCACGTTGAGAACGCCATTTCTCAAAATCAGCGATCAATTGAGAGCCTGCTTAGTACGGCACTCGCCGGAATGCAGACTGCCATTGAGAAAGCACAAACACTTCAACATGCGCATCGCTTAATTTCCAAGACTCCCTTTGAGTCCCTACTCGGCCTGTTCAACCCAAAGCTCGCACGAGTGAATAGTGTTGTCTCAGAAGCTTTAAATGTAATGATAGCTTATGTTCAGAAAGATGACGCAGCTTCTCCAGGAGTGATGACCACAGCCCCAGCAGCAGCAGAATCTACGGAGGAAGATAGCCAGGAGTTTGGGGACATTGATTGGACTGAAGAGCTTGACGATGCATTGCTGCAGGAATCGCCTAGAAGTGAAGCAATTGAGCATGTCCAGAAGGTTCTCCACCCAGCTGTGTCTCGTCTTGTTTCCAACTGCTTCGGCGAAGATCACTGTCCAGATGACGCGATTCTTACGAATGTGATAGACTGCTGGACGTCGATTGCTCAGCTTCTTGTTCGCTATAGGCTCAAGCAATGGGACAATTATCTGGACTATCACAGTGTAGAATCATGGGCAAGTTTGCGAGAGACGATACAGACAAGAAAGTTCGCGCCCCAATTCGTGGCCGCGTGCATCGAGAAAGATGCACGCATCATTCTGAATTGCCGGATTCTCGTTATGAGCATGTGGATTTCATCCCTAGCCGAGCGGTCTTCAATGCTAAAGTTTCAGCACCAGCTCACAGAGGCACTTCTTAATGGAAACCCTGATGACCCACTACTGCACAATCTTCCTTTTATAAAGGATAAGAAGAGTGGGCTATACTCAATCACACCGCTTGAATTCAACCAACGACAGTCTTCTGTCATATCGAGCGTCTTGTCAAATATGCGTGATCATGTCTCCCGTCTAGAGCTCTCAGACAGCCGAGAGCTCAACGCTACGAAGCAAGAATACTCAGAGTTGCTGCAGAAGCTGATGTCCGCTATGCGAAGAAATTACCAGGAACTTGGTAATGGGGATGTTGAGTCTGCTCAGGGTGCCTATGTCGATTTTGTGCACCGTATTATCAGATTTTTGCAAGAACTCACAACCGACATTCGTCCAGTCGACTCGTTCTTCACAGACCACGCCTTATTCCCCTTGCCATCGTCGGACCCGCGATACATCGTTGCAAAACTGAAACGCTACGAATCCAAGCTCTCCTCACATAAAGAATTACAGACTCTCACAGTGTTTATACAAAACATCACAGAGCGAGCCACTATAGACGGCCAACAAGATCATCTTGCCGACCAACTGCACACGGCCATGAAGGACAGCTATGAGGCCGGTCATCCCAACAAACTTACTCTTCGGGCCGGTCTTCTGCAATGCGTCTTCCCAGCATACCTTGAATTAGTCTTCAGCAATCCAGCCGCGTGGCTTCTAAGCCGCCCAGTCCTCAAAAGTATCTCGCTTGTGTTCAAGGACTTGTTGTTCAACCTGGATACCACAGACCCAGCATGTGTAACCTCTTTGTTAAGAGTCTTCAATGGTGTCTTTCAGTCATCTCACCGTGCTCTCAGCGCCTTTTCTGCTCGCCCAAGCTGCCTCAAAAGCCCCATTGTTTTGCTTATGCTTGCTGCCTTTATCGAGATAATATCATCTTCTCTTATGGTGATCGACTATGTCGATCGTGCCACTGACACTGCGGACGGCCTTATCTTTTATATCGAATGGTTCAGAGACTTTGCTGTTTCTGTGACATCGTTCCTGACTGACTCCAACATGCACCCGTCCTCGATTGCAAGTATCACTGCAGTCTTGCCGCCAGATCTGCCCGCGACTGATTTATCATTCGAGATGCCTCAATACCTCACCACTGCTCGTCGCCTTGCCTTCGAAGAACATAAATCCTGTCTTAAGCATTGGTCTTGTCACGAAGGCAAATATTATTACACTCGGCCCGGCCATGGCTCTAAGGAAGTCTGTGTCGAGTCTGAACTTGCAGCAGTGATCGAGAACATGAACAGCGCCCAGAAGATCTTCGAGGAGACCACTGCGGATTTCGTCGACCGAATCGAGCGATTGAATCTACTCCTGGTGTGAAGCAGGAACGATGAATGTCATTGTTTGGACGTTTATATACATATGATTTTTTGACTCGGAAGCGAAGAATTCAAATTTCCTGCATGTTTAGCCCTGGCGTCTGGGAAATTGGTGTGTGATTTTGGGGGGAATGCGCTCGGAGCTTGGGATATAATACAACGTGTATGCTACTTCCTAGAAAAAGGGAAATAAAGAGATAAAAAAAGTTTTTAAGAGCAAGACCTGCTTGTTTAGGCAGTGAGAAAGGAGGTCTTCCCACTTGGAGATGATGAGACCATGCATGAATTATGACAATCCAGTATGATAATGCGAAAGACTTTAAACAAAAAAAAATCAAAAGCTGCCTCTCCATACCGTAAGAAGAAAAAAATTATGAAAAATAGATCAGTACTCTCCCGAATTTCATTCCAGATGCAGTGCATGGGAGCACTTTAGACAAATGAAAAACAGATCAATATGCAGCATGAATCCACCCTTTTCGTAAAATCTTGACGGCATCAATGTATTAGAGAAAAATTGGCCAAGGGAGCATCTTCTAAACCAGAGACCCCGTTGCATTACCATTTCCTGCGCCAGCATCTTGGCTACCAGAACCACGCCGGTGGAAAGGGTGTGTGCCCATATGGAACACCTTGCGCATGGCATTTGTAATGCTGTTCTTCCTCCGGTGGGTTTGGCCATCGGTGGCAGAATCGGCAGCCTTGGGAACAGTAGCATCATCCTGGAGGACAATTGAGGACACGGCCGGCTTGGGGGGCCACTGGCCATCTGCCTTCCATCCCTGGACCATCGCTTTGGTCAAATCAGCAAGATTTACGGGGACAGTGGGAGTCATGCCTTGCACGACAACCTTGGTGTAAATGGATGGGTAGATTGAGGGGTTGATGGTTGCGCGGATGGGATTTGTGGGTGCGATGAACGGAGGTGCAACGGGAATGAGGGGTTCGTCCAGTTCCTCTTCTTCGTCGGACTCTTGCTCATCCAGGAGATTGCTGTCTTCGCTAGTAGCTGTAGTGCCATTTGTGGTGTAGTTTATATTCTGATCGGGCTCTGTGATGCTGGTTTCCGTTGACTCCTTCCGCTTAGTCTCTTCGTCGGGAGCAGTGGATTGTTCTTCATCCTGGTCCTGCCGGCGCTGCTGATCGTGACACTTTTCCTTCTCCGCAATTGAGAGCGCAGCCTCTGTCTTGGTGGCAAGGCCAGATTCATCGTCTGCCTCGCGAGCGCGGGGATTCATGGTGGGAGAAATCCCCGCACCAGAATCGGCTGCTGAACTCACCCCATCCATACCAGATCGATCCTTGGACTGAGGGAGCGCAGAGGCGCCAGAGCTTTTATTTTTTGCCTTGGCACGAATTTGCCGCCGTGTTCTAGCTCCTGACCAGGCATCCCGCCGTGCCATCCACATGCGTAACCCCTCATTCCATGCCATCTCCTCTTCCATTTGACGACGGCGCTTACGCCGTCTCTCAATCGCGGGATCTCCCAGTGTTCTCAAAGCAGGGGGCGATTCCATATCACGTTCATCGTCTGATGATTGGGGCTCAAGCTCCGAGCCTGAACTATCGAACTCTCGGCACCGCCATTCGCTGACTTCGCGGTTCTTGTAGAGTGTACCGATCGAGGAGCTGGAGGAGGATGACGAGGTGGGACGTTCGTCATGAATGGCTGCCGCGGAATTAAACTGCCAGTCATTGCGCACGACTTCGCGAACGAAGATCTTGGCCTCGCGGATGGCGGCGTCGCGATTTTCGAGAGACATGATCTGAAGGAGAAGTGGGGGTTTGGATGCTTCTTTTCTTCTCAGCAAGCTCCAGGTCAGATGAAACGAGAAGATCACCGGAAATAGAGTCCGCTACCTGAGCCCTAGTCAATCGCGAGACACCGGAATCTGCCTCCTCGGTTGTCCCACAAACTTGGGAAAGAGAAGAAGCTCTGGAAGTGGCGGGTGGGGACGGATGCGATGTCATCGAGGCACGTGCCTTCCCCTCTCGGGTTCGAGCCCTCGAGATGCAAGAGGCGAGGAAGCAAAGAGCAATGGAGTTGCAGACCGTCTTTGACAGAGCTTAGGGTTTTAATACCCGATCGTCTGCTTATTTTGTTTGCGAGGGAAGACAGAATCCTTCGCCCGGATATAGAGCAACCCACCCGCTTAAGAATTTGTCGCATGTGGAGATCCCGAGACACAAGTACATGTACATCCGAATGATTCTCAATATTTTGCCCTGTCACACTAGACATGGGTAGTGTATAGATCTTTTGGCTCCAAATATATCGTTCAAAGTCTTCTTTCGACTCGGTCAAGACCATCTGAGACCCCTTGTAGCAAGATCCAATCCTTACCTTGGATTACACTCCCCGAAAGCTTATGCTCGCCTCCTCACAAATTGATTTGATAATAGCTACCGATGACCCAATATTCACAGTTGCTCGATACGACAAGACCAGCCTCAGGCCTTTCGGTTAGAAGAGTCCTGGGTGGCCAGGTGCGATTACAGGATTGCAGCATCTTCGGAGAAGTTTTTGAGTTTCATCCGATGTGCCTAAAGAGAGGGGTCGTGGAATTCTTTGATGCGAGGGTTTATTGGCCCATGCTATGACATGCGTCGATAAAGTGACACCAACTCCCTGTCCCTGCGTTGGCAGAGCGGCGGGCCCCCTACTTGCATTGTAAAAAAGGCTAACGGGGTCAGGGATATCACAAACTTAATAGTTGATCAAGTAAGAAGGAAGTCTGATCATCTTTTAATCAACAAAGTGGAACAAAATGCACTAGAGTATATGTGGCTTTGAACATTGGAGTGGGAATAGCTTCCGTCTTACAAAGCCCTCCCTCGAGATAGCTTTTACATACACCCACAGGGCCACAAGGTGTAGAAAGTAGGGCTTCCCGTCCACTCAGCCATACCTAAGCCACGTATAGTCTGACACCAATTCGTAATATGACCCTATCTCTAGGTATCCATGAGCTGAAGAAATGAATCTTTTTGTTCACAAGCCCTCGTGTTAATGACTCGGCGAAGAATATATGGAACTTCAGGTTCGGAAAGGATCTTTATCAGGAGTCTAGGGGTCGCGGAAGTATTACCTTGCCTATCAAGTAGCATCGACGTTGAAGTCAATCAATGAAAATATCTAGAGTTTGGGTTCTTGTAACTAGTCATGTCGTCGAAAGCCGCGAATTCAGCATCGAAACTACTTCAAGACAACCGCCAGTGCTTCTTTGGGAATCATCACGCCTACGATTGTCCCGCTTCAACAAGCTCCACAGCAATGCAACGGCCACTGCTTCAAGAAAATGTGAGTCCATCATGCTCCAGCGAGTAGTCTGGGACCTGGTCCGACTTGTAAAATTCATGATCAGCGATATTTGCGACACAATATCCGACAAAGAGATAAGCGCTGTTGGTCATTTTCTTTGTATGCCCCACAATGTTGGTGGTCGCCAAGGAGAGAAGCATCACAAATGAAGCATTGCAAGAGACCATCGGCTAAAATTGTTGTCAACATTTATTCTATCAATGCTGTCAGGATCGGATCGACTTTACCTCGTAGAAAATTAGTTCATTGTTAGGTTGAACGGAGATAAGGCAGAGAGAATATGGAGAAATACCCATCTGGCCAGAAATTACTTGTTATTTGAGAGAGAAGGAGTGAAAAGATATCAAAAATGCCGAGTACAACCCTAACCAGGCGACCGTCAAATCCGGAGTAATTGCCAAGAGGATTCACTTCCTATCAAACTTCAGCCTACCCTCCTTTCCCTTTGAGTAAATTGTTGTAGAAATGGCGCCCCGTGCACTGAGATATAATGGAATACAGCTACATAGGAATATTTGGTTCAGCCCCACGACTCCCACCACATTAAAAAGACGAATGTCCTAGAACAGGAAGAAGAGCGACCTTGATGTGCATTTCTCATTTTCTTACTGGTATGATTTTATCTTCGGATATTCCTTTTCAAAAACAATAGGAGATATCTTCATGAAACAGAACTAGAGATCAAATGATATGAAACTAGGTGGGCACTCCTTACTATGAATAGAAACAGATATTGACCAAAAGCCGTAGCAGAAAATATGTCATTTTTCATTGAAAAAAAATTGTTCCATTGATTCCTTCAGCAGCCTGATCATAGCCTGTTGTGTGAAATATTCAGCTCAGGTTCTTCAGCCTGGCTGTCTTGTGATAGAAATGGTGCTTTCCACCCTTCCAATATTCTTTCGTCCCAAATAGCATAGCTCCATTCCCAGTCCGTCTCGGCTTTTCAATTGTAATCGAGAGTCCTCAAGAGTGTCTTCGGGGTTGTGGTCCACCAACCAAGCCTTCTTCCAGCCCGCAGTAGACTGTTCAAGAGGCGGTAAAGTAGACCATAGCTGTTCAAAATATGGGGTCTCAAGCTGATCCACCGGGTCAATCAATGGGAACCGGTCAGTCCACGAACACTCGGTGCCGATTCCAATGAATGGCCCCGGCCAGTCGCTCCTGTAATTAACACAGACGATATTACGCCGTGATAATCGATCTGTATGTAGAATTCGATACAAAAACTCTGGTCCTAGTCCTGCTAAACCCTTGGACTCTCTGTTGATGTGAACAAGATTAATTTCACATTCAATTTGACATACTGCAGGTGGCCGTTGCTCTTCAGGAAGAATCTCCCAAAAGTACGTGCATGGTGTGCTTTTGCAGAGTTGTCTCAAATCATGTGCAATTTCTTCGGAAACAGTATTAATCTTGGCCGTGAGATAACCAAAAGCACTGCCCATTTCTTCGTATTCCCAAGGGGCCATTATACCATAGAAAAGCCGATATGCATCCTGCATAAGAAAGCCGGAATCCAGGAGGATCAGATCAACTTAGGAAGCACCAGTACATAATAATGTTGTCGATATATAAAGTATTCTTCATATTGCTAATTACGAAGCAAATTTTGAATAGAGAACACCCAAGAGGAAATCATTGGTTTTTACGTCTAGGGAGCTCAGAGGAATATCTGTTCATCAATCTCGAAGGGGCAGATACAGGCTGCTCCCGAGTGTGGCAGTGTTAGAATATTCATATTTCAACCAAAATATGATAGCTTTTAAGTACTTGCTGCCTACGAAATGCGGACTTCCACTTGGCATCTAGTTATTAATCCTGCCCGCTATTTGTCGGAGCTATTCGCGGCAAGTCATGGAGTTGTTGCTCAGCCCCTTACCCCCTCTGAACACCTTTCCTTCCTTGTTGCGAACTCAATCCCAGCTTCTGCCACTGGCTCTTTATATATGACCGTAGCATTCCACACGTCCTCCATCCTATAGTCCGCTTGGCCATCATCCCATTTCCTGAACGGCAGTGTATAACTTGAAATTCATCGCATAAATATCGGCTCTCTACTTGAGGAGAAACTTTGCCGCCGAAGCCTTCCAGAGATTGCGAGCCATGATGTGAAGTGGTCTATTCCAGTCCTTATTGGCATGTTTGATCTCGGCACAGCGCACTACTAGTGACTCAAGCAGAGAAGTGTGGAGGGGCCTGTCTGCTAAGGAGCCGCAAGCAAGGAGATGTAGCACAGATTTGCCAGTTTCGTCGTAGATAATCGCATCAGCTCCAGGATCCAGCAAAAGCCTTATGCTTAGATTGTGATGCCTGGTCCCAGAACAGGCTGCTTGCGCCTCAGAAACGTAACAAAGAGATTTCAGTCCCTATTTGTCCTGGGCGTTAATGTCTGTCCAACAGAATCTTGGTCTCGAGGAGTCGAGAGCTAAGCTCCTCATTGGGAAGCGTAGATTCGTGAGGTACGAAGCCTCCGGCCAGCATTCTGAATAATGGCCTGAGCACACGTTATTGTGTAGGGAGAGCCTCGAATTGACCGGACTGAAGCGGGTCTATGGTACAACTTGAGGCCGGGCGAGGAGATGCGGACGTCCTGCTAAACTTGTCAGGTGCGGGGGGTGAATCCGGATTTCCATCCAGAAATTGCTCACTTGGATCTTATAGGCATTGTCATTGAAAAAGCTATTCGTCATCATGAATATATCTACTTATACTCGTTGTCCGTTGAGCTGCCAGTGGTTACTCCTATGTCTATGTCTGCCGCTAGACAACTATTACAAGTCTTGACCAATTTACATGAAGCTGAATGTGTTCTTCGTGATAGTAGAAGTCGAAGCTATCTTGATTCTTTTTCCCCCTCATACTCTCTTTCATGTAAGTCAGAATACTGATATGCGCAAACAGGCATCCAGGAGACGAAGTGTAAGTCGGTTGCCCGAGTACATGATCTTTTCCTATGAATAGGACTCAGAAATACAAAATGTCATTCATGAATCGCTGCGCCACCCAATGCGGACTCACTTTTATCAAATAGAACCGTCACAGTGTTTAGGCACTCGAATGGTAGGCTTCTATAAATGGAAAAATTTACAACCATTTGAAGCACCTCGCAACATAACTACCACCGCCTACAATGCCCGTCACACCTGTGAACACGATCAAAGTTCCATACCCACTACCATATCCAAAGCCCGTCTGTCCCTCCCACGGCCTCCCCTTAATCAACGCTTCACTAAGGGGTCCAGAAACCACGTTTCCGATTCCCCTGCCAGCGGCAAGACACGCGAAAACCATACTTGATTCAGCAGAGGCCTTCCTGCGCACAACGTCGCGCATAATACCGGGCCAAGTACTCGTGTATGAGCCGGCAAAGAGCCCGTAAACGATAGCAAAAATAAAAAGCGGAGCAAGAGACATAGAGAAGCCCCAAATCAGAAAAACGCCAAGCGAAGATCCAATCGTTGAGACGAGGATGCAGAGCGTTACATCCAGCTTATCGATAATAGCGCCCATAAGCACGCAGCCAACGACCGAAGCAACGTTGAAAAGAATGACTGTGAGAGCTTGAAGATTGCTTGATGCCCCGATCATACCGGCATAGGTCGGAAGATAAAGAGAAGGCAAGAAGAACCCGAGCGCCTCAACAATATTGCAGATCTCGAAGAGTGCGAACGTAGACGTAAGAATGAAGCGCAAGTTCGGGGGCGGCGGACTAGCCCGATTCTTCGCAACCGGCACCCGCGGTTTAACAAAGTAGACAAGTGGCGCGGTGAGAATAAATAAAGCGATGGCGAAAGCCCGCAACGCAGTTCGGAATCCGTACTCATCTAGCAGCCGTTCCATGACGATGGGGAGAATGACGCCGCCGAGGCCGGTGCCCGCCCACATCACGCCGAAAGCGAGACCCTTACGCTTGTCGAACCAGTCCTCCATGAGGAGAATGCAGGGGGAATATGCGACACTACCCCCGAGTGCGTAGAAAATGCCTTGGGTGATGATGAGGTGGTTGACATTTGTGGAGAGAGAGCTGAGACCGAGGGCAAGACACATTAATGTAACCCCGGCGGCGCAGCCAACACGCTGGTAATGAGGCCATTGTCTGTAAGCGGCGAAGACGAGAGGGAGGTCCAGATACATGATCCCCTAGGTAATGTCAGCGGTGATGTTCGTTGAGGATGTTCGACAGATTTGCGGTGAATGGAAGTGTAGATATTGAAATGGAATGAAATATTTCGTACCATAGCACAAGTCCCGATGACAGCGATATTACCGGAGTCCTTAAATTCAGGAACATTGCTGTAATATTCTTGGAAGACTCCGTAGGTAAACGCAAAGCCCCAGACGAGGGCTTCCATCGTGAAGCAAGCGGCGAGGAAAAGCCAGGCGTTCATGCCGCCATCCATAGGCGGGAGGGATGTACCCTCGTTGCCATTGTTTCCATCCACGGTCGACAGACGAGCATCGATTGACCCCTCATTCGGGGATTCCAGCCCCTTTTCCGTCTCGATTGAGGCAGAGGGCGAGCCTGCCATCTGTATTTCCTCCATTGTTCCCGTCCAGTCGGCGATGTCAATTGAGGTTTGGTTGGGGAGGAGGGAATGATGAAAGAAATTAAAGACAAAGGGAAAATTTTTTTATTTTTGATCGGATTTGATACAGGGAATCCACGATAGGGCGCACTTTTGGCCCCATTCAGATGTCACCTCATCACCTCATAGGGTGGCCGTTCACCGCGTCATTGATTGGACCAACCATTTGAGACTAAAGGACAGGGATTCCCCGACTCTGTTGCCAAGGCCCATCCCCTTGAAAATCTGTGCGCAACTGTAGAAATGGAAGCACACCGATTTTCTTTCCCCATAGGATTGGACACGTAACATGCCTTGGTATCGATAGTTTCCTTTGTCCTTCCCTTATCATCATGTGCTTGTGGATAACAAACGCAACCGGCTTTATCTCTTATCTGCGCTCAACATGTGGATTGTCACGTGTATCGGATGTCTCGGGAGTCACATCCGAATGCAATCACCATAATAATCACTCCACTAAACTTTCTATATGCCGGCGAGAATATTTTATTGGAGTTTTGCAGTTTGGCAGTTTGGTAGTTTCGAAGTGTGTACTTCATCTAGGTACCAGGGCCCCCAGAGCTGAATATGCTGCAGTAATATTACACAAGAAATATTAGTGGGGAAATATACAAAAGTACATAGGTCTCCAGCAGATCCACTATTTGCTAGTAGGCCACCCTCCCGTCGGACGGGCCGCGAGTGCATAAATTGCCTGGATAGGGGCCTGAGCGTCAGGTTAGTCGCCTTAACCCTTTTTAGGGAAGATATATCTGTATATGGGCTAGCGCCCTATGTGATGACTTTGCGAACCGGTCCTTGGCCTTTACTGTGATTACTCGGCTTGGAGATTACGGCACATGCAATTTCCATGTCGAAGCACCGAAGTTTGAGAACTTATCAGATGTGGTCACGATTCTTACAGGACTACAAACCAGTCACGTGCCCTTTGAAATGGCTCATCGGAATCCTCTATCATGAAACTCGCAGCGGGAAAGAAGATCCAATGAGTTTATAAGAAAGGCATGAGAAAGCAGGCGAAGATTAAAATTCAGTACCTATATCGAATTTACAGTGGTTCCCCCCTTGTCCAACATTCCAATAAATCCGTGGCCTGGTTAGCAGTGCCTGCCTTCCTAAACAGTAACCATCCATCACACTGGAAAAAGTTATTTTGGATTGTCTTACTAATATTGCTCGGTTTGAAATCGAATATTAGGTGTCGTGGGGGGTGGTCAAACACGAGGTAGGTGTCAGACCAATTTCTTGAATCGGACTCGGATTTTCTTTCAGGTAGGTCATCAATATAATGACTGTAGGCCTAGCAGATCATAAACAGCATAGTAGTAGGAGATACAGGGATAGGCATATCGACACGCGCCTACAAAATATGGATAGACATCTGGGTATTTTAGATAGATAAGAATGAAGGAAGGACGAAAATGGATGCAAGTGCACGGCTAGCTAGGCTACGCTGAAACCAATTAGATACAATTCAACTATTTCTCTAATTGAAACTAAATAATCTCATAACAGGGAAGAGAATCTAAGTGGAGTCAAAGTATACAGAATGGGTGACTTTCGATAATTCTCTCATAGCAGGGCTAAAATTTAAATTGACAAAATTGATGATCAGCCCGATTTCCTGATGTGGCGCTCAGGCCCCTGTATGGATGACTTCGGTGCTTACGGGCGGCTCCGGACTACAATGAAAGGATGCACTAACGTGTATATATATCTTCACAGGAAAAGCCTGCAATAGACGTAAAATAAACAAAAAGCTGAAGGTATTGGTACCACCATCCGAAATCGACCCAAAATGTCCATCCCTTTAGATGCAACCAAGTTGCGCATCACACGAAACCCGAATCTGGTAGAGCTCCCAGACCCAAGTAAGCTCCAGTTTGGCAAAAATGCGACCGGTAAGATGAATTATAGCCCCAAGACACAAGCAAAAATAATGAAAGCTAAAAGGATCAAATATGCAGACCACATGCTTCAGATCCAATGGTCAGAATCTTACGGGTGGCATGAACCACGCATTGTGCCTTATGGAAATCTCAGCATTGACCCTACCGCCGGAGTCTTCAACTATGCATTCGAGTGTTTTGAAGGGTTGAAAGCATACAAGGATGCCCAAGGCCGTCCACGACTTTTCCGACCAGAAGTTAATATCGCGCGACTCAATCAATCCGCTGCACGAGTTGCCCTCCCGACCTTCGACCCCGCCGCGTTTCTAGCCCTCTTGGCTGAGTTCGTGGCAACCGAATCTCGGCATATACCTGCGTGAGTAAATCTCACCCACCCAGAAGATACATGCATACTTTCGGGCTGCCAATGGTACCTTGGGGTGGCGAAAGGAAATCCACATTTTACAATTTCTGATCTGTCCTTTGTCTTATGTAGCATCCGAGGCTACTCACTATACCTACGCCCAGTCCTAATTGGAACAAACCCCGGCCTGAGCGTTTCCCATCCCACGGCCGCGCTTCTCTATGTTGTTGCAACACCCGTCGGATCGTATTTCAAAAATGGGCCCAATGCAATTACGCTAGAAGCGGTAAACAGTGCGCAATGGGTACGTGCGTGGCCTGGAGGAAGTGGGAACCACAAAATAGGGGCCAACTACGCCCCCTGCATGGTGGCGGAAGCGGCGGTCCGACAACGGGGATCGGACCAGGTGCTTTGGTTATTTGGAGAAGACGACTTGCTTACGGAAGCCGGAACGATGAATCTATTCATCGTGCTTCGGCGGCCAGATCTCGGTTCGGGCATTCGCGAGCTCGTGACGCCACCATTGGATGGCACGATCCTTCCGGGTGTCAACCGGGACAGTGTGCTCACGTTGGCACGGGAGAGAATGGAGGGATATGGTTGGATTGTACAAGAGCGAAGTATTTCGATGGCCGAGTTGGAGGCAGCGAGTGCGGCTGATAATTTGCAGGAGGTTTTTGGGACGGGCACTGCGGCGATCGTCAGTCCCGTTCGGGAAATTCGTTGGGAAGGACGGGCGATCAGCTGCGGGGTTTCTACGAAAATGGGCGAGGTGGCCGCCAAGATGAAGATGTGGATCGAAGCGATTCAGTATGGTGAAGATGAGCATGAGTGGAGTGTTCTGGTGGATGAACTTTCCTCAGGGATCAGTTGTGCTGTGAAGCTTTAAGAGATTAGGCCCTGCTGAAACATAGTCAGAGCTGGATGGGCTCGTATAAATTGCATTGCCAGCCATTGGCGGACGAAAAACGTTGTCTAAAATTCACTAATTTCTGACGTGCAGTTTAGCGAGTAGTTAGCCCCATTCAGACCGGGACGAATTCTATGAAGGACCCACTAAATGGAGTGCAAAGTTCGTACCAAGCACTTTGGCTTTATTTTGTACAGAGTACAGTAGTTACAACAATTGGTATGAGGAGTTACTTTTACTATATTGCTATTGTGTTTGTATTCTCACATTGCTTCGGAAATCTCATATTCTACTTTGGGTGAAACTAACAAGAGCTTTAACCTAACCAGGGTAATGCGCGGCATTCCGCAAAGTCTGGTACTCGAGCGCCGTCAAATCTTCGTAAATGGGCTTCTTATCTTTCAAGAATTCCGGAAGAGGACCCACGTTCACCCCGCGGTCCGCCTTGTTGAAGTAAACCAAACTCCAACGCTCCGGAACGGTCTCCCCCTCACAGTCGCGAGGACGGGTGACACGGTGGAGACCGCCTCCAATCTCACCATTAGTCCATCGCTGCATAGTCTCTGACACGATGACAACAACCTCGTCATCCGATCCGTAAGGCATAGGAATGAAAGTACCAGGGTTACTCCGATCTTCATACTCCAGACCCGGTGTAACGTCCGGAAAGACCAAGGAGATGATACCGAAGTCCTTGTGCGGCCAGATGCGGCTGATTTTACCCTCATCGAGAGTTGCACGCTCGATGGGAGGGAAGTGATTGATGCGAATTGTGCTGGCTTCATTGGTGCACCTCGATGTGAACACCTTGGGGTCTAGGTTTAGAGCTGTGGCCATGGCTTCAAGGAGAACGAGGGTGAGGTCTCCGCAGGAGAAGAAGAAGCGGTCCATGGTGTCTTGATAGCCGGGAAGATCGGACTCAGGGGGCCACACGTTGGGGAATTGGTTGTCATTGGGGTGCCCGCAGTCGAAGCTCTCCTGTATTGCACGAGATCGAGCAGTTAGGACTGTAGATGGGATTGCAATTGGTGTACGACCATACGAACCTTGTTGTCACCAAAATTCGGCTCCTTTACGTCGCCAGTGTTGCTTTCAAGCCACCAAGTCTTTTCCTCCCCGGGGACGCTCCATCCTCGTTGCTGTCCGTTTTTGGGATTGTTCCGCAGAGGGATTTTGACGGAGTAAGGAAGTTTGAAGAAACGTTTGATCTGTTGAGTCCAATCATTAGATTGATTTCCATGGATTCTTAATCAGAGAGCCCAGGCATTACCTGATCAAATGTCTCCTTCACCAGCGGGACTGGAACCGTGTGGTTCACGAGTTTCGCAAAGCCATATGTGTTCAAGCTGTCGAGCAGCTTAGCGGCGAATTCAGCTCGCTCCTCAACAGTTCCTCCAGAGAGGGCAGATGCATCAAGGACGGGAATAGTCATAATGGCACTGGGAGCACGATTGAACCTGACTTACGAGTGGAAGTCTCTTACCAGACCTTCGACCATATATAGGTTTTAAAAGGCCACCATAGGAAATCAGGCCATTCCTTGGCTTACCCCTCCAACGACTTATGAGGGGCAAAGGCCGATAATACCATTTTTAGTAGTCATTTCTCTTACTAGATCTAGTTTGTCGTCGTTTTTTAGGGAAGATCTACAGTAATCGGAGAATGCCCGAGACCCAAAGAATCCATAGATTCGGGGCTGATGGACCAGGTGGCGATGACAGAACGTTACAGACAACGAGACTTCCGACAATATTACGAATTATTGGTGCATTGATATCCATGCTATACCGAGGCTGAACCCAAGACTCCACCTAGCTGCATCTACCCCTGTACGGACTGTGCCGGGGGCCACAATGCCGGCTTGACTTACTCAGAGAATCTTGGCTATAAGAGAATATTTTATTGTGCTTACTCTTTGTTGGTGCCTAGGAAGAAAATACGTTGCACCGGGCTTGAATAGCGTCGCATCGCTCCTTCGTGGCTTAAGTTAAATACGTATTTATGTATGTGGAAGCAATCCACAATCCTAGATAAGCCAGCTCGAGAACAATACTAACCCTGCAAAAACTTCCAACTGATGTAATATTCTATCAAAAAAAGTCCCAAACAGGATGATCAGAGCAACAACTCTCAAATAGTTGGGCTTATAATTTTGGTCACGCCATAATAATTGGGGAGATACCCTGTCACATTGGACTGCATGTCAGACCTACCAAATCTTATCGGGAAGGCGATACGACAGGAATGTGGTGAAGATGAGATACAGGTCCTCGGGCTGTGATCAGAATCCGTAGCATGCATGCAATCTGACCAATAGCCTAATTTGATTAGCAGGTCGCGGCTCCAGATCATCTAACGATGCCCCGCAGAAGCTAAGATTAACCCAATGCCTGACCACCATAAGTATTTTCAAACACGGGGAGGGGGGGGGTAGCGGCCTAAAGATTCCCTAAAAGAAACACTACAGATGCACCTATACACTCCTGTAGTTAGACTGCGTGGCGAAGTGCATTGCCCCTCTTGGGAGAGCGAACATCGGAGCCGGCAGGGATTCTTCGCTGAAACCCCTCATGCGGAGCCCGCTAGTGGCGACAAAAGTACAATCAAATGGCGAGATTTGGGGCTGTTGATGTTCGCTGGCCTCAAGGTCCCTCACGTTTCTTACGTAGAATGGTAACTGGAAAACAGTAGAATTAACTATTTAAATATCAGAATGCGTGCTCAGGAAAAGACCATCTGTCGAGAGAAGCGGAAAACCTCCTCCATTCCTTATCACCATGCCTATGTACGTCCAATTAAGTTATATCCATGTTGATTTTGCAACCCCCTGCTCTCTTCCCTCGCATTGCATGTACTTTAAGCGTACTGATAACTCTAACCGAACCTCAATCTTGTAGGCTTCGAAACCCCGCAGATAAATATGATGCTTTCAGCCCGCCAGACCTCCCGGATAGGACATGGCCAAGCAAAAGGCTCACAAAGAGCCCGCGTTGGCTGGCAACAGATCTACGAGACGGAAATCAGGCTCTCGCCTGTCCAATGGTAAGTTCACTCATTTTACCTCGTACAAGTCCCAAAATATAGCCTAAGACTTGATCCAGAACGTGCAGCAGAAGTGGGAGTACTTCCAAATGCTTCTTCGAGTCGGATTCAAAGAGATAGATGTCTCATTCCCAAGCGCATCAGACACCGAATACAACTTCACTCGTAGTGTCGTCGCCTCTGCCCCCTCGGATGTGTGGCTCCAAGTCCTATCGCCATGCCGTAAGGAACATATTCGGCGCACAGTCGATAGCGTCACAGGCGCAAAGAAGGCTATCATCAGCCTCTACATTGCGACCAGCGACACCTTCATTGAAACTATGTTTGAGTCCACGCGAGACGCAGTCCTACGCACTGCAGTTGAATGCGTGGAGTACACCCGAGCCATCACCAAAGATGACCCGGCCCAGCAAGACACAACCTGGAACCTAATGTTCAGCCCCGAGGCGTTCTCAGACACAGACCCTACCTATGCGATAGCGATCTGCAACGCGGTAAAAGAAGCATGGGGTCCATCGGACGAATTACCTATCATCCTCAACCTTCCTGCAACTGTCGAACGGTGCACTCCAAACACATACGCAGATCAGGTAGAAATCTTCGCACGCGCATTTGCAAACATGGACAATGTTGTGGTCTCTTTGCACCCGCATAACGACCGAGGTTGTGCCGTGGCAGCTGCTGAGCTCGGTCAGCTTGCGGGCGCCACCCGTGTTGAGGGCTGTCTCTTTGGCAACGGCGAGCGGACAGGAAACGTCGACCTCGTCACCCTCGCGCTGAACCTGTACAGCCAAGGTGTCGACCCGGGACTTGACTTCTCCGATCTCCCCGCGATTCGCAAGATCGTGGAGAAAATCACCCAAATTCCTGTGCATCTCCGTGCTCCCTATGCAGGAGACTCTGTTTTCATGGCCTATAGCGGATCTCATCAGGACGCGATCAATAAGGGCTTCAAGAAATGGCGCGAAGGACACGCTGCGACACCAGGAGAACCACAGCGTAGTCTCTGGAAAGTGCCTTACCTCCCCATTGACCCTGAGGATATCGGAGCGACGTATGAGGCCGTTATTCGTATCAACTCGCAGAGCGGGAAAGGAGGAGTTGCTTGGGTGCTGCAGCGAACCCTGAATTTGGAACTACCGAAGGAATTCCAGCAGGCGTTTTCAAAAATTGTCAAGACCGAGTCTGAAACGAAGGGTCGGTGGCTTACGGAGGCGGAAATCACCCAGGTGTTCCTGCGTCATTACTCCATCCTAGAAAATGATGCTCGCATTCTGGATTGCAGCGTGTCACCAAAGCCAGATGGGTCGGGGCGCGTGATGGTGCGATCAATTATCTTGGTTAGAGGTCGCCCGCGTGAGGTCGTTGCTACGGGTGACAATGTAGCTGATGCCGTCTCTTTCGCATTCTCTTCTTTGGCTGGACTGAATTTGGAGTTCGAGGTTGTGCAGCGCGATATCAAGGGAAGTGACGGCGAGGCACTTGTTATGACTCTGGTCAAGTGTAGAGGAACTTGGCGCGCGAGAGCTGCTCGACAGGCAGATCTTGCCGTTGCATTGGCATGTCTCTCTTCTGCCTTGGTCAGTTCTTGCCTCTAGTTATGGTTGATTTTGCCCTTTTTGCTAAGATTGAAAACTGACCTTTATAACAGGACCTGCAAGAGGAGCTGCCCTCACATAAACAAGCTTTGAGACTATTGCCGATCATTCACGTCAACTGAGGGGGATATTAAATTGCTTTAAAATTTGAATTTGCCTTCAGCAAATCTTTAGTGTCTTGATCAGGCGAAAAAAGAGCCATAGCCTGTATTTCCATATTTGTATACGCTCAGTAGTGCAGGTGCAGGGGTATCCATACCGGACTTCCGCCAACGTTACAACGAGGAGTAGATCTTTCCCACGTAATGCGGCGAAGCCCCGCAGACAGAGAAAACATGATTAGCAAATGAGATGATAAGGAATGTAATCAAAGATCCGATCTCGGATTTCAATAGTATATAGTAGGCGTCTGCCCCGGGAGTCGAATCTTTGGAAAGTTTTGCGACACTTGAGCTAGATCAATCTCCTCCTAGCCGTGACACAATGCCTTCTCTGCAACTCCCACCTCGCACAGTCAAGGTCTCTGTTTTGACTGGAAATGAAACAGCCAATCGAATGGCATCTCTTGTCACAGAGGTTCTAGCTTTCATTCAACAAACGAGACCTGAAATTAAGTTCGATATTTCACGGCATCCACCTGGAAAGGCAGATCCTCCCTCCAGATCCGATGTTGTCATTCTGTGCAACAGCGATTCTCAATCCCCTCTAGGGCAATTCTCAGTCGAAGACATATTGGGTCTTCCGAAGGAGTTTGGCTCTCTTGTCAATATTCAACCGGTCTTCTTTCCAAGCACTGCGCTTGTTCCCGAAAGCTTGTTGGAGGGTCAAAGTGTTCAGGGTCTCGACATTACCTTCATTAGCGATGCCTCTACGAATGACAGATCTGGAGAAGAAATGCCAACTCATGAAGCTATTGAAAAGCTAGCTAATTGGGTGGGCACCTATGCTATGCGGTCTCACCCGCCGAAGACCGTCCACTGTGTTGTGCAGTCATCATCTGCGAAGCTTTGGCAACCAGCCATCACCGAAGCGCTCAAGGAGCGGTTCCCTCACATCGTGATCCGAGATACATGTATGGATACAGTGACTGCGCTCCTTGATACTCAACCAACTCAGCTGAATGGTATTGTTCTGGCTGGTGCAACGGGTGGGGAAATCCTAGCCGAGAAAGCGCGAGATATCAACCGGGGGTTAAGAGATTTGCTGGCATCAGCAGTTATATCAATCCCATCAGGCAGGGACACAATAAAAACCCCCGGCATTTTCAAACCAGGAAACATAACTGCGCAATCAGGGATAGTGGATCCGATCTCTGTTTTGCCGGCTATAAGCCTGATGCTTGACCTCTCAGCCAGTTTGAGTTCTGAGGCTGTGGCCGTGACCAGAGCTATTCGGCGAACATTGGACCCGATTGAGCTTGTCGGATCCAATATTAGAACTACAAGTGCAGGTGGGGTAGCCACATCAGACGAATTCATCAGCAAGTTCATGGAAAATCTTGATTATTATCTCGAGGCGGCGAGTGCAGAAGCCGAGGCCCAAAAGCTCAATCTCCCTAGGAAACTGTTCAGCCGTCCTACAGGCCCGCGGCGTCCGATGGGCGTAATCGAAAAAATAATGACACATGCCGCAGTGGGCTTGAACAAGCCAGAAGTACAAACTGGGGAGATCATCTGTGTGCAAGTAGACTGGACCTTGACATCCGAGATTCTCTGGGCAGGAATGGAGAAGACTTATCATCAAATGGGTAGGCCTCGTCTGCATCGCAATGATCGCATGTGGCTAGCCATCGACCACACTGTTGACCCGCGCATTAATCATCGCCCCAGACAGAAAGGCCTGATTGAGAAAGCTGAAAGTTTCCAGCGCGAAGCAAAACTTGTGAACTTCTTGCCGGCTAACACCAGCATCCTTCATACCGATTTTACCCGCGACAGAGCACTGCCTGGTCAGATTATTGTGGGATGCGATTCCCACTCTTGTTCTGCCGGCTGTACGGGAGCTCTAGCTATCGGACTTGGAGCTGCAGATGTCGTTATCCCAATGGTGACTGGAGAGACTTGGTTTCGAGTACCAGAAATCTGTCGAATTAACTTCGTCGGCAAGTTACCATTCGGAGTTGGTGGAAAGGATGTTATCCTTCATATACTCGGGCTATTCAAACGGAATACGATTGCTTTCCAGCGTGCAGTCGAATATGGTGGCCCGGGACTGAAGGAGCTATCTATGGACGCTAGGTTTGCCATTGCAAATATGACAACAGAATTTGGTGGGATGGGTTCATGCTTTGAGGCTGATGAGAAGACTGCGGAGTGGATCTCTAAGAGACCATATCCAGAGTATCAAGGTGGTCTTTACTTCAGAGCTGATCCAGATGCACAGTATGCTGAGGTACGCACCGTCAATCTCTCAGAGGTTGAATTGACTATTGCTTTATATCCCGACCCAGATCATGTCGTTCCCATCACAGCAAAAGCGGGTATGAAATTAGATGGCTGCTTTATCGGAGCTTGTACAACAACCGAAGAAGATCTGATCATGGGAGCACTTGTGCTAGACGCTGGTCTACGTGCAGGACTGGTCCCTTGTGAAGGACGGAGAAGGGTCACGCCTGGAAGTCTTACCATCATAAAACACCTTGAGCGTCACGGCATCCTTGATATCTACCGCAAGGCAGGATTTGATGTTGGAGCACCTGGCTGCTCATACTGTGTTGGGATCAACGACGTTGATGTCGCCGGTGAAGGAGAGGTCTGGCTTTCCTCGCAGAATCGCAATTTCCGGAACCGAATGGGCAAGGGAGCCATAGGGAGTATTACGTGTGCTGCAGTGGTTGCCGCTTCCAGTTTTGGCATGATTGTCACCGATCCCCGACCGCTATTGGATCAGATTGATAGGGCTAGACTTGACAAAATCCTTGGGAAAGAAAGGGTCTCGCTTGTCATTGCACCTGAAATCACCGAGCCTAACCCAGTCATTGCATCGAATGATACTCCAGTTCTTGCAGAAAGCATCAGCACCTCTGAAGAGACCAAAGCTTCTACGGAATACACATCCAAGACTTCTACGAAAGGAATCATTCGCTCGAGAATTCAGCGGTTTGGTGAGAATATCGATACGTAAGTTGATGAATAAATCTCTTGTATTAGCAGTTACTAAAACAACATATATAGTGATGCAATCATCCCTGCCGAATTCGTACCGGGAGTTGACAATGCTGAGCTGGGCAGTCACTGTTTCGAATACTATCGCCCTGAGTTCCGCCAGAAAACAGCGAATGGTTCAAAAATTATGTAAATATTGCGAATGTTAATGCTTTTTTTATTGTCTGATGCGCTGACCGTCACTAGTGTTGCAGATCGTGGATTCGGCAGCGGCTCATCCCGTGAAGATGCTGTTCGGGCCTTGCAAGGAGCCGGAATCGAAGCAGTCATTGCGCCTACATTTGCATTCATTTGTAATTTCCCATAATCAATATTGAAGTATAAGTAAAACGCTAATATGAGATCCAGATGATCGAAACCAGTTAAATATGGGCCTGTTTAATATCACTTTACCTGACCCCGAGTTTTACGCTCTTGCAAAGGAAGACTCAATTGTTGTCATCCATCTCGAGACTCAGACGGTTCAAATTGAGGGGACAAACCAAGTCTATCATTACCATCAATCAGAAATGGAGAAAACCCTTCTTGAAGCTGGTGGCGTACTTCCACTATATAACCGTTTCGGCCGCTCTGTCTTCCGGCAGATTGCTAAATCGGTTACGCGGCATAGAGCGGGCGATTCGGGTATTCAGGCTTCAAAGAGTGGGCGAGAAACTATGGACTGGTGATTCTTGTATATGCTTGATATGTGCTATATTGGACTGACTCTTTGTGGATTCACACCAATTTACCATGTATTCGACATGCGTTATGTAGGGCCGACGTCTGCATAGCTCTTAATTCAGCGTGCGGCAGTGCCCACACAATCTGTATACCCACTAGGTCAATAGACTTTCAATTAATTGAGTGATTCCATCTAATATTGAATATAATAATCCAATTTCCAACTTGACATGGCCGGAAAGAGTTGGTACCCATCATATCGTTGATTCAGTCTATGAATCTGAGCCTTCCAAGACGTCGGATAAATTCATTATTCCGCGCCATGCTTGAACTTACCATCACGCTATGATCGACTTGCTTGAGCTGTATATCCTCACGAACCGGGGCATGGAATTCGGTGACCGAGGTGAACTCAACGTGGGGCGGGCAGATTAGCCATGTCCGATTGCTCTTCAATTGCAAAAAAACGGGCGCGCGATCGCCGGGCGCAGCAGACGCTCCGAGATAAGAAATTACGCTATACGGCCGAACTCGAGGCACAGGTGGCTCATTGCGAGAAATACCATAACGAGGAGGGAGTTAAAGGCCTCTTAGATTCTATCGAAGCTCTTCGCAGACAAAATGACACCCTTGTTGCTCGCCAGACATCGCTAAGTTCTCTGATTCGGTCGTGGGAGGAAGCCGAAGTGACAGGATTTTCGATTGCATCAACGATCCCGAGCTTCCAGGCCTCAACTTCACCGTCACCGCAAGCAATACACTTGGCCCAGTCCTTAGATCCCAAAACATTATGGGACAAGCTTCCTCTGTACTATGACAACTTTGCCCGTCCTCAGAGTGTATCCTGTCCCTGGTTCGCCTATCCGTCACAAATAGCCCGTTCTCCCGACTCTCCCGAATCTCCTCTCGACATTCTTTATGGCAGCAAGACAAATCCACTAGCAGCCATGATCCATGAGGCAATTGAACGACGGCCAATTCGTGATCCTGAAAGATTGGCAATGGGATGGATAGCATATCACTTTACGAAATGGATCATCACGCCGAGTCCGGATGCTTATGAAAGATTACCCTTGTTCTTACGGCCCACTCAAGAACAGTTCCAGTGCAAACATCCTCTTGCATTGAGCTGTTGTCCCTGGCCGAAAATGAGGTCAAATCTGATTTGTCAATGGTCGCGTTATGAAAACTGTCGCGATGAAATATTCGGGCTCTTCGCATGTTGTGTGAAGATTCGCTGGCCATGGGGCGTGAAAATCCTTGAGCGAAATGAAAAGAATGAGCTCTGTCTCAAAGAATCATTTTACGAGATTTTCATGAAAGAAGAGGGATGGGGTATTACACAAGAGTTCATAAATAAGTATCCGAATCTTGTGGCTGGCATGGACGTTGACTCACTCGTTTATAATATAACATTCGACTAATTAATTATTATGACTTTGAGAACCATAAAGCAGCGATCATATGCAGACAACTATAAGGGAAAAAGGCAAATTTGAAATTTGATGCCGAAAGTTATATAATCAAAACGCGCCGTGAAATAAGACAGGAATGTCTGTCTATATATGCATTAAAATCTATGGAATATCTATAAGGAATTCATCTATTTTGGTGAAAATTGCAGTCATTTCAAAGGAGAATGACATGGCTATCCAGCGCCCGGACGCCTTGTTGGGAGGGGGGGGGGGGTCGATACAAGCCTCGACCTTAAAAATTCAGCCTTCCATTTTTTTCGTACCATCGAGATCCACCGGCCATTTTTCGCGAATCTGCTGGCCATATTTGGTGAAAATGATCGGGATGGGAACAAAGGCAAGTGCTACGAACCCTAGCAACGAATTTCCCCAGCCCAGACCCAGAGATTGGAACATAGCTGGACCAGCAAGAGGAAGGAAGGCACCCACTAGCGAACGGGTCGATGTCAGGGTTGCATTAGCTGACGCCGCATAGGCCGGGTAACAGTCGATAATATAGGTCTGGATAGGCATAAAAACACCCATCATTCCCACACCGAAGGGAAACATGCCAATAATAGGCACAATCCAGTGAACATGCTTATCGGCCGTCCACCCGTACCAGAAAAAGCTAATTGGCAGAATGCAAGAAAACATGATCATTGTTGGCAAACGCATTTCTGGCTGGAATTTGCCTCCGTTCTGAGCTGTGAGCTTATGAACGATACGATCATTCGTCAAGGCGATGATCACGAGACCAACGAAGAAGCCGACGCCGATGCCTAAATACGCGAGACCAGAGAGACCAACCGTAAAGTTGTAGGTACTCGTGAAGACATCGGAAATGGTGGTGAAAAAGAGGTATAACAAGCCGTAAACGAGAGACTGTATAATAAGAGTAAGAGAGTCTAAACTTTGTATTAGGAATAGGAAGTAAGGCCTTACCATATAGAGCGACAGAAGAGCAACGATCGGAGATTTGCATAGTAATAATGCAGGTCGGATAAGGCTACGTTTCAAGACTTGAGCATTTGAAAGGGACTCGCTACCAGCCGTGTAGGCGCTAATCAAGTCTGTGCGGCCAAGCTCTTTGTTCATCTTGGCTGTCTTCCATTTGATCAAGACCGGGGCGTATGTCTCCTTATTAAGCAGCTCAATGCCAACCTGAAAAGCTCCGCCTGCAATCAGCAGAAGCCAGAAAATCCATCGCCAGCTGACTTCCTCGCCGAGAAAGCCACCAGCAATTGGCCCAACCACGGGGCCGATTAAAGGACCCATACTCCAGATCGAAGTAGCTCGACCACGCAGTTCGGTTGGAAAGAGATCTGCAACAACGCCGGCGCCAAGAGTAATGCAAGCGGATCCTCCCATTCCTGCGAGTAGGCGACAAACAATAAGTGTTTCGATATTCTTTGCAAGAGCGCACCCAATCTGCCAAACCACGAAGAACCAGTTGGCAGCGCTGAGCACTACACGACGGCCGTAGATTTCGCTCAAAGGAGCCAGTAGAAGAGGCCCGACCTGGTTTTCAAAGAGTGAATCGATTAGCAAACTTTCAGGCAATGTAGTAGGCAACTGGTGATTTGAGATCAACATACCACATATCCGACTAAGAAGATGCTGACGCTGAGTGAAAGAATCGTTTCGTCCGTCTCACCAAAATCCGAAGCCATGTACGTAACCGCTGGGGAGAACATGCTGGAGGCAAGTGGAGAGATCAATGTGAAAGCGCTAATTAAGGCTAGCAACGCCCATTTTTTGCCTGGCGCAAAGTTCTGGGGATTCTGGGGGTCACTCTGGCTGTCCCATCCGACTATGCCTCGACTCAAATCAGTTTCTGGGTATTTCGGAGCCATGTTCTCCCCACATTGCTCTGCAGCACGGTTCGTGGGCTGTTTTTCGAGATCAGGTTGGTTGAAAGATCCTGTATTCCCCCCACGGGTTTCTGTTGCCTCGTTTGTAGATTGCTTTTCAAATTCATGTTTGATGTGAGATTCTGTCTCCTGCCCGTTGAGTGTTGATAGATTTGATGCTGATTTTTGGGGGTCCGAATTGTCCATAATAATCGAAAAAGAGATTCTTGATGTAAAGAATAGGGAGTGAAACTAGTTTTATATTGATAGCGGCCGGGATGAAAGAGCGGATGGGAGGAAAATAAAAAAGACCAAAGAAAGGTGATGCGACAGGTCAGAAAAAGAGTGGGAGAAGATCAGACCAAAAAGGATTATCATTCTCAAAGCGGCTATTAGGATTATATATCGGGTCCAGAGCTAGACTGATATTTTTGTGAGCATAAGATCATCTGGCTAACACTATGCAACTGCTCCATACACAATGTAAGCGGTTATGAGGGGGCCAAAGGAATGATTCAGTGCTCCACTTTTGGTCAATGTAGACTAATCAAAGATCATAAATTATTGGAAATGTGGGCCACTGACTCATAGTTCCGGGCTGTATACAACATAAATCTGTACCTAGCCTATTATGCAAAGCACAAATTAATGCAAATATCTCAGCTAACACCTTTACAAACATGTTACCACAAAGACTATCATTTCACTTATAGTGATGCCCAAGCCACTTTATTCAGCATACTAAAAGATCAGATAGTAAAGTCAAAGGATACATTTATACATTTAAAAATACTTTTTTGAAGCTGAAAACCAAGGCTATGCATTCTTCAAGACTTGGCAATGCGATATCCGTCGGGAGACCCACCAATGCCGCAACCTTTTTTTACGTGGTTGATTTTATACGCGGTCTTGAATAGAATAATCTGACCGTGCATTTCGTATGAGGAGTTCATTGATGGTTGACCCCCGGTGTCAACTTGAAATAAATTGATTGCTTCTGCTTCTTATAACGCGTGTGGCATTGTGAGTGCCTACCTACCGCTTCAAGAAAGGGCATACTCATTACCTAGACCCACCACGAAGAGTCCATCATTATCAATCATCTTTCATTTCGAAGTCAAAAATGTCGAGCCCCATATTAGAGCGAAGTAAAGTGCACCTAAGTGTTTCAATGATTGAACTAAGTAAACAATGAGTCTGTTTGCCTGGGTAAATAATATGGCACTTCAGCGAAAAAACAATCAACATCCTACTTCTCTGAAGAATTTGTATGAACAGCGTGCATTTCTACTCGATTTATGAGGAAACTTTGGCAGCACAAACTTTCTAATTCAGTATTCCAAGAAGACTCAGCAGCTATCGCATGGATATTGTATCAATACTTTAAAAATTAGCAAAATTGCGAGTGGCCAGGCATGGGATCTTCGTGGCAGATGGTAAACCCGAAAGGCGCGAAAATGTACGACAAAACTAGAAAGACCGATACGGGCCCAATATCATTTTGTGTCGATCCAAAAAAGGTTCGCATTTCAAGAACGAGAATGGGCGTCGCAAGGAAGACTGAGAAAAACTGAAAGGAGAAGAGAGTTAAGAACAAGCTAGAAGAGATCAAGTTAGATGATAGCCTAGATTATATTATTATGGTAATGACAGAAAGGGAGGCCGCTTGGAAGTCATCGAGGGTTGTAATTTTTGAAGTGAAAAAAGGCGATACCCGGAGGCCAGCATGTTTATCGCCTATGGTAGATTGGCAAAAAAATGACAATCAAGCTGGGTAGATGAGAAGTGGCGGTCATTTATCGATAGTCATGAGCAAATACTAGATAAACTGAAGCTAAAAGTCTCCAATCAGATAAATTCAAACGCCTATAAGTCCATAATCTATCTCCTTCTGGTGTCATCCACATGACCTCAGTAACCAGGGGCAAAAGAAGACCTCGGCAATAGGAAAATGATGATTTTGAATTCGAAAAATGCTGCTTCTTGTACCTATAGATACGGACAGTACATATCATAGCCTCGGTTGCTGACTCTGCGATATCATTATCTCCATCGCAGACACCATCGCCCTTACCTCAGCAGTGGATCGAGGCAAATTATGAACCGCGCTATGATGGTAAGAAGTTCGCAGCCTTGGATGACAAAAGGATTCAACCAGTCTCGCTGACTCTTTGAATACCAATGGGTCGTTTTTGCTCCAGCAGTGAAGCGTTGGGATGGCTAGGCACTTGTTGTAAAGATCAGGTCGAATTATACATGGAACATTGATAATGTCACGATCAAAAAAGTCGGAACGGGGTCGTCCGTGAACGGGCTTCAGGATATCAAAGCATTGAGCTGCTAAGGTGACCAAGGATCGAATGGGCTCCGAAAGCTGAAGTATCTGGGTGTCGTCACTGGACCTAATTCGCTCCTGGTCGTCTGGTGATAATGATCCAAAAATTGCCTCGGTGTATATTGGGTCCGCAGAAAGAGGAGGTATGGGAGAACAGAAAATGGCGAATTGAACTGGAAGCGGCGTTTCGGGAGACAGGGCTGCTTTTTCAAGTAAGTACGCTGCCAATAGAGCTGCCCCAGTACTGAATCCAAGAACCCCATCGAAGGGCCCGTATTTTTCGAATGCGTCGTCAATCAGCTTATGTGCAGTCACCATGCTTGCGGTATCAAAATCAAGACTATAGCACAGATAGGGACCAGGGAACGCAGCTGCGATGCCTGTCGCAGAGAGTGACCACATTAATACAATGGGCCATAGAAAGTATAAGTTCGGTTGACTTACTTGGATCAGGTGGCCCTTCAAATGTCCCCGCAACAAAATGGAACTCCCAGCTGGGATGGCAATGCTTTTTGATTTTCGCCAACTGGTGCTTCATAATCTCCGGGCTTGTACCGAAACCATGGCAACATAAAAACTTCATCTCGGTATGGGGTATCAATAATCTCATTCAAGAAATTTTTAAATGATCTAAATTGGTCGATAAAGGGACTGCAGAATAGAAAAAAATAATTATGGACAGAAATAGTGGTAAATCATGTCTTGGGCTGGGTCGGGCCTTTTATGAAAAGCCTTCAAAGATTTGCTGTTCAGAGCAACCTAAAAAGGATACAACACGCGAGGTACACAGCCAATTATCTCTGATTGCAATGGGCGGAGCGATATCGAGCTGGTTTACAAAAGCTGGAGATTTTATGCGATAAGAGTCAATCTTGAATGCCAACTTCCGCGAAAAGTCTAGCGCCCCACCAGGGGGCAAGTGGATGCGATCGAGTGGGTTCGCAAAGCAGCCGTAAGGCAATAGCCCTATTACAATGATAAAAGATGTATGCTCCTGGTATGATTGGGCAAATAATTTGCGCAATCACTGCCATTTTCTGAGTATTTTATCTCAGGTTATAATATTCTACGGTTTAAGTATAACTCTTCAGGAGGTGCGCCAACAATCCTCATGATTAAATTGGGAGGTTGAGGTCGGCTATTGATACCTGCGAGTCAGAAGATACTTGAGACTATGGATCGAAAACAACTAAGGCGCTAGATGATTGGATGAGCGACCTTTGTTGTGAAATCAGCCTTTACCTCAAATTCCTTAGTCCTGCGCCACTATAATTAGTGCCACAGACCGACATCTCATCAATAACCTGTGGCTGCTCGTGCTACAAGGACGAATGGATATCTCTTACTGGACCTAAGGAGGAAAGCTTAGCGCTGCATGTAGACATGGATTCTTGACTATTTTAAAGATATAAGACAATAATAAAGGATATTTAAAGTACTTAGAGTATGACCCTCTAGATTAGGAATCTAGCATTGGAATCTAAAAAAGAGCCCAGGTAAATGTATAAAACATAAAATATAGGAGACCTACATTTTTCAGTCTAAATATTGAACCAGGGAGGAGGGAATGACAACAGTTGTAGTGGGATTGCGATAAAGAGGAGACCTATGGGTAGTATGAAAGAGAAGAAAATATCTAATTGTCCACTTCTACGAGTGGGGTAGTTTTAACTATCACAGGTCCTTGGTCATCTTCACACCGCTAGTTCTGCTTATTCCGTAGGCCTTCCTCAACTACAACATAGAGACCCTTGGCGTGAAGATATCACTTGTCAGTATAGCGGACTTGTCAATTGGGTAAGGAATTGAAGATGAACTAAACTTGGAACGACACAGTAGTTCCGGTTCTAGAGCTAAGTACATGCGATTCGCCAGCCCATCGTTTGCAGCAGATCTCCCATTAAACCAGGTAAGATTCAATGATTACGCTACTTATTGGGCAACAATCAATATTGAGATCCTCTAGGAGTGCCCACTTGGAAAGAAAAACAATAGTCTTCATTATAATGTATTATTAACGGTAAAACAAACAGATTTCATGAGTATGATTCTAATCACCACGCGTCTTTGTTCAATCCACAATTATATAAAAAACGAAAAACAAAACACCAATATTGTTGCGATTGTCGAGACGCTATGCTCAAGCTCAAACCATGCTGCCTGGCCGCCGAATGCAATCTCCTTGCTCTTCTGAGTTGGGTGGGCAATCGCAGTCTTCGAATCACGGTTCAGCAATTCTTCTCTGTCCGGCACGGATGGGGGGTCAATAGCATAAGAGATTGGCGTCCACAAGGAGGTGCAAATGAATAGGAAAACGGACGGTGGCCAAAATGCGTGTGTAATAAGGCAAGATACTACAGCTTTGAATCCAGTCTCGGAGGCAAAGCAACGGTAAGTAGAAAGAGCCACCGCACAAAGGGTTGCATAAACAAACACAAAATGAAATAGAGCCATATAGTTGAACAGAATAACCTTCAGGCGAACGAACATATTTTTTCTGTTCGCCGGATCTCGCTCATTCAGAGCAGACCCAAGAGAGCCTGTAGGCTTGAACGCTTGGGCTTGGCCGCCTAGCCAGGTAGGAAGCATAAATGAACGAATGATGCATAGTGCAATATAGGGCGACATCCACAGCTGGAATCGTGATCCTCTTTGACCTGTATGGTATCCAGATGGAGTGTAAAGTGTAAATTCGCAAAATCGGTTCGCTACTGTTGAGGCGAAGCAAGCCCAAATAAGCCAGCGGAGCTCCTCCTCGGTAGCATAAGCAACAAGCTGTTTGCCCCATAATAGGATCACGGGAACTGCAAATAAGGAAAGAGTCAATACAAGGGTGTAGAGACTCAAAATAGCATAAAGGAAGCCAGAAAAGCGCTGCGCAAAGGTCATTTGGCGCACAGCGTCACCCCACACGCAGAACTTGAGCTTAAAAGCAGTATCAACAGTACCAATAGCCCATCGAGTGCGTTGCTTGAGATGGCCACCAAAATCTTCTGGAATAGTTCCAAATTGTAGCTGCTCATGTATATAAGCTGTTTTCCATCCTTTGCCAAGCATCAGAGTCGATGTTGCCACATCTTCGGCCAATGAACCAAGAGGAAATTTGCCGATATCTTCTAGGGCTTCGCGACGGACGACATAACCAGATCCTGTACACCAGGCGACACCCAAGGCATCTTTAATAGGCTCAACAACATGCACAAAAAAGTCTAAACTCTGTGCAAGGGGGTCACTGGCAGGAACATTATAGAATAATTGGGGAGGGCATGCCAGTGCCATCTTAGGGTCGGTAAGCAGATGGGGCAGAATAGCACGAAGCCATTCTGGCTCAGGGATCTATATAAAGTAAGTTTCAACGTTCTTTGTCTCCTTCAATGGGTTTAAAGTTTCTTTTCAAGATTTCTTCGAAAGAGAAGATAATAAGAAAAACCTACCATATCTGCATCTAATGCGGCCATGAACTCTCCAGCCCCCCTGGCAAGGTATTTGTATATTCAAGGCCATTATTCAGATTTCCAGCTTTGAAGTAGTGGGGCTTTCCGGGAATTTTCTCTCGGGCGACATAGAGAAGGTTCGGGTAAGTCGAAAATGCCAATTGTTCAACGCTCGTTTGCAGCCCGGCGGACTTTCCATCATCGAGGACAATAACACGGAATTGCTCAGCCGGATAGTCTTGATCGCAAGCTGCACGAACAGTATCGAGAACCAGTTCATCTTCTTCTCCACAGCATGTCACGAAGACATCTACTGTCGGTACTTCATTCCCGACCAAGCGGAGCTTAGCCCTTCCTCTTTTCTTCAAAGCTAATACGGACCAGCCGTTTTGCAAGAGAGAAGGGATAGCGACGCAGAGTTCGATTGCAACAAAGACCCATGCTGCGATGAAAACCATGCCATCGGCTCTCTGTGCCATGATGATGCAGTAAATACGCAGTGCAAGATAAAATAGGTATAGAGATGAGCTGGCGACCACGAAAATTGGGGCGAATTGGTAGACCCTTCGCCGCCAGCCCTTCCAAATCTCTGCATCATCTCGATCGTGTAGACGAGCAATAGACCCAGATTTGACCCATTCCTTCGTAAATCCAGGTGTAGCTGGCTGATTCACAAGAGGTACCAAACTCTGGTGACTGTATGACTGCATTGCAACACGATGAAATATTAGTCTTAGCTTGCATGCATCAATACTGATAAGTAGGGCCAATTACAAGGTCACGTACGTTATATGTTGATGGCGATGGAGATCGGGAATCGAACGGTGTCATTGGCGTTGTCGATGGCACACGGCTTGAGGTTTCGGAAAAGCAAGAGAGAGTTCGAGTAGATCCGAATGGTCTGACGGCTGCGATGATACCCATGGGAAGCTGGGTTGGCGTTAAACCACTCATATCCGAATAGATTGTATTGTGTCTTGAGGCAATTGATTCATGGCCATTTGGAGCAGTATGGGGAGGATGGTCGGTATTGCCATCATTTTCAATTGAAGTATCCCTACTGCTGGAAATTGCAGCCATCATGAAAGCGACAGCTTCAAACAAGATAATTGAAGAACGAGAGAGGAGAAGGGCGTTTCAGCGCATATACCAAAGAAACCACGCCTATTGACTTGCACAAAAGACGAGGCCAAACAAGATGGATGATTTCTTTTCAAGCAGACAGAGCTTGGAACATCGAAGACAAGGGAAAAGGAACCGAACGGATCGAACCGAACGGATCGAACCAAATGGATCGCACAAATGGGTCCCGCGAAATACGCGGACCCAAATTACTCGATATAGTGGGCAATTGATCGACATCGACTCAACAATCCACAATCTCCAGCCGCTTCTCGTGGTGACGACGACGCGTGCAGCTTCACATATTAATTTTCTGACAAGCGGAAATCCCCCGACGTCAGCATCTATGGTCTATTCTTGGCTGTCTTTGGCAAGTATGTTATCTCAAGGCAAAGATACTATCTCAACAATCAGGCCAAAAGACCCGAAACCAGCAGGGCTGGTTGATTGGGGGTTTTCCTTGTACCCATGAGGTGGAGTCTTGACTACTTGCGCGGCATCGACCCACATCTGGGCCTATTTTCAACCCCCCGATGCAAGATTGAGCACCACGGTGAAGTTTCTGAGCCTGACGTAGGTACCGGTAGGGGCTAGACGGTGATACCGCTGTCTCGTCTTCAGCCACTGTGATTTTCCCCTTGGCTGAGCTGGTCTTGGCTTTTTTTCTCCTTATTTATAATTCCCCTTGCCAAAATTCTTTGCGAACTGATCGTCGCCAACTCAAGAACTAGATAAGGAGCTCGGCCTATCAACATTATATGAATAGCGGGCTCATTGTCTTGGTTCAAGACTCCTTTCTTTTCTTCGAGCAACGCTTCTTTGCAGTGTAATCAGAACACCTGCAACTCTCACAATGTACTTCTTTGGCATCTTTGTCAATATTTGCCTTTTGGTGCTGCCATTGGCGGTCACAATTGGCACATTAGCTGGCATTGATGCTCATCGCAAAGCACTCGATGAAGAACCCCTGTTCAAAAAGGGCTCTTATTTCAAACGAGCATATATCGACCAAGCCTCGAGCAATTCAACAAGTCCCGATCTTACACCACACTATGATCTTGCAACTGAAGATGATATCTCCTGGAAAGCGACAATTCAAGTTTCAGCATAGGTTAACAATTAATTTTCCATGGAACCTGCCTTCATTCAATTCGTGAGTTGAATGCTGTGGGTATTTTTCCCACAGGCCTATGTCACTGAACCACTTGCCAGTACAGCGCATCTTCCGGCTATAACTTTTACCATTTTCACAACCCTGAAAATGTGTTTTCATGGTGAGTACCTCTTAACTATTGAATTTTTATTTAGCTTGGATGGTCTATGGGGATTTGTTCACATCAACTAACTATATTTGATGTTGAGGAATGGAGAGAAACGCTCTTGATAAGCCACAAAAACAAGCCTGAAAATAGTGAAAAATGGAAATATACTTTGGGTGGATTTTTCTGCCGCTCGGCAAGTGTAAAATTTCTTGGCATTCGCATTGCCGTGTTCCCGTAGCCCGAAGAACCGCGTGGCCTCCGAGAGCTTCAAGCCTATCAGCGGGACGGGAGATCAGCCCTGCCCTGCAAGCTCAATTTTGAACCACTCAAAGTGCGCCGCATCCTTGGGTGGTGAGACCTTATCAAACAAGAAGGCGATTAGTATGAAATGAGCCCAAAAGTTTCTATAAATACATTTCGATATCCTTGGACTCGTAGGGGTCATTAGATAACGGAACACAAAAATGGCCAATTCCATAGCCACAGCATAGGATCCGATAACTGAAGAAGACGTGTATCATACATGTCTCGTGTACGCGCACCGTGTTGCAAAATTCTACTTGTCTGTTCCAGTGGCGCTTGATAAATCCGAAACCAACGCGAATTTGACAGCCTTAGATAGTGCCACACCACCTACTCTAGCTATTTCCAACATAAACAAACTAATCTACATCTTCTCTATCTACTACACGTTGTCGATGTGCAATGACAGTACACGACTTAACAGGAGGAAGCGCTCGGTATTGAACATTCTTAGTATTGCTTCAGTTGATGTGGGGAGAATTTTTATTCATATCTCTGGCAAGAGTCTTTCTGCCGTACCAAAAGTTTCAGCATGGGATTCAGACTTATGAAAAGCACTGAAATATGATTGTTGTTTATTGTACATGTAAAGAATCAAGGATGACATGGACGGCGAGGACAGATTAGGGATGTTATTGGGGATAGACTAAGCCTTGAAGAGATTCAACATTGTTCCGATTTCTCTCGTCAATACGTCAGGTCCACTTCCTGGGAAATGTGATATATCGAGCGGGGTAACTTTCCATCACAATCCTTCGTTGGTTTTGAGGTATATTATCTGAAGCTAAGACTCGCGACGGAGGATAAATAGACATCATTCAATACTGAGTGCCGTTTCCTGGATTACGATGGAGTTAGGTGTGGACAGCGCAGCCTTTTTACACTTGGTGAAGTATCGCGGGTCAAGACTTATCGAGACCCTCGAAGCCATTCCGCTCTGTCATCATCCGATTTATAAACAAGTTCAAGATGAGCTTGTCGAGAGGTTAGAAATTTCGTAAGTTGGTCGACTCACACAAACAGCTCTATAAAGGGATCAGTACATGTCCATATTAGGTCGATATATTAAGCCTATTGTCAGGATAGCGAGTACCTGGATAGGATTTTGAATGTGGGATCCAATGGAATACGAAGCTCAATGTGATGATGTTTTACGAACTAAAATGGCTGGCAGGGAGTGTTGAATATCCCGTCTCGTTGACTAGCGTGTTACGGCAGTGTTCCGAGTATACCCGGCATACAATACAAAAACAAGCAGGGAATCTGGATATTCTTGTAATGGGAGGATGCACATCCGAAAATGTGGGTCCTCGCCGTAGTGGCAGCTTCTTTCCTCTCGACAATAATATCACCACTTTTCGTAATCCTGCCTAAAGAGGAAGGGAAAATGACCATATTTCTTTATTGGGCTTTGCATTCGTAATATTCTTCTTGGATGCCTGAACTCAACCATGGTACCATTTTAAGACTCGGATTGAAATGCTGAAGACGACCGAGGCAGATGTAGTCGTACGCTACGTGCGTCAGCTGTCCATAATATGTCTGCACTAAGGAATATGCAGATCAACGAAACTTCGGAAACAATCGATTTCAGCCTGTATACTTGATTTACTTTTCTGAATTCTTCAAGACGAAATACACTCCAGTAATTTCTTATCGAAAATTGGCATGTTAGCTTCGCATAATATGACACCACTATTATGTGGATAGAGCCATTGTTCAAAATATGTAAATGGAGTATGTGACCGAATAGAGTGTTTCAAGGGTTAGATTGTACTATTGATCCTTGGTTAGTAATAATTAAGAGAGAAATGTCTAGATATCCAAAGTATCATAATAGCATTATATTGGCTCAATGTCAAATCATGTTTGCCATAGCAATTCGTTCCGGCTAAGACAATTATAAATGCTTGCCAGCGCATCAGTCTTTGGCTCCTTTTACACAGCAAAGACAAATTCGATCGCAATAGGAGCATTTCTATCCCTTTCTTCTGCTTCTTCTTCTTATTTTCTCTTGGTTTCTGGGCGATTCGGCTTTTGCTCATACACATAGCCAGCTACTCAATTTCAGGATTCACTTCGAGGACGCCCAGTAGGAGGTACATAGCCAGTGTATTCATAGAAGGCCAGCAAGAATGAATGGTACAAAGGAAAAAGGTCCAGCTCCCTGAGGCGTGTGAAAATCGCCCGAAATGTTCATATATACTGCTAAAAATTGGTACATGTCTATCGTATCACTAATATTACAAAAGGGGGTAATTTGAATCCCGGAGACAATGAAGCATTCAGATCGAGACCCACAATCGAAGAAATCAACTCCTCACGCGCGCCGACTCGGTTGTAGACTCCTCAGGAGACGGGGAAATGAAACCCCAACTGGGATTCTTGGGACGCCGTCCTTTGCGATCGCCATACTGTTCGTCAAACTTCCGGATAGCGGTCAACGAAGACATATCTTCGTTGATCGAGGCGCTGATTTCTTCCATGCCGAGGTCGAAGTGAGCCCTGGTCAATGTGCGGCGGGATGGATACTGGTATGGCTGATTACCTTCGTGATGTGCCGCAGCCTGGTTCTCTTCCCGCACGCAGGCCAATGCAGCCGCCACCGACAAGTTCTTTAGGTCAGAGCCGGAATATAAAGGAGTGCGACGCGCTACCTCGGCGAGGTCGACAGATGGATCGAGTTGCTCGTCCTTCAAGTGAATCTTGAGAATTGCTAGTCGGTCTTCTTCGGTGGGGAGGTCCACAAGGAGTCTTCGGGGAAGACGACGGAGGACGGCATCGTCTAGATCGAAGGGTCGGTTGGTTGCTACCATGATGAAAGCCGACATTTCATTCAAACCGTCCCATTCGCGCAGGAACTGGTTGATGAGTTCTCGATGAGAGGTGCGGTTACTGGCCCCCGTCCGCGAGCAGAAGATAGCATCCGCTTCATCAATAAAGACAATACACGGGCTTAGCTTTTTTGCCAACGTGAAGATGGCCTTGACGTTTTTCTCACCCTCGCCAACATACATATCGTAGATGTCAGAGCCACTGACCTCCAGCACGGTTGCTCCGCTCTCGCGGGCGACAGCTTTCGCAAGCAGGGTCTTACCGGTGCCAGGCGGCCCATAAAGTAGGAGACCAGGGATCTTGTCGGTGGCTAGGACACCATAGGTGAAAGCCTCTGGACGAACCAAGGAAAGAGTGGTTAAGGTCTTCAGAGCGTCGATAGTTCCAGGAGGAACATGCACATCTGCAAAAGTCGTGCGAAGGCTTTTAGTATCCACAACTCCATTCAGCAGCTTTTTCTCATGTGAGTTGCACTTTTTGACCAGGGAAGCTATTAATTGTTCGCGGTTTTGTCCGAGGGCAGATTCTGCAGCCTTAGGCGACCTTTCCTTAAGCCAGTCGGTCGTGACCCGGCCCCCTCGATCCATCACCTCAATTCCGCGACGGATGTGCTCAAATCCAAATGGTTCATTAGGTTCCGCACTACCTAAGGCAAGGGTTGCAATCCAATAGACCTGGTTATAAGACCAAAAATGGTCCCGGATGCCAGATTGCTTGATGGTCACAGTATCCAGTGACCAAGACCGGTCACCAAAGATATCGTCTTTCACGGCGCAAGAAGCTTCGCCAAGCCGGTAGCGCAGCATACTTTGGAGATGGCGGATATTGACGTCCATTATTCGATTCCTTTGATCCACGGCAAACTTCTTATCTATAGTCTTCAATTCCATAGCGGGTGTGATGACCAAAGTCTTGGAAAAATCGTCATCGCCGAATACGTCTTGTAAGATCTTCGACCCCCCTTGAAAAGTGGCATGACGCAGCTCCTGAGAAGTACTCCCAAGCAGAACGACATTGGAACCTGCTGCTCTTCGGTCTTGGATGACTTTCTGCAGGAGGGCAAGAGCTCTTGAGCCCTCTTTCGAGCCCTGAATCTCAAGATAATCTTGTACATGAACGATGGTTTCTCGAGGGAGGACTGATTTGTCAACATCTATCTCAGAAGACCCTCCAGTTTCTTCATAAGCAGTTTGTTTTTGATGACCAACTGAAGAAAGGGCGGCATTGAGAAGGCGAGTCCAGCGCGCCTCCGTGCCTTGACCAGAACCCCGCATCAAACCCGCGTCTTGGCCCTGAGGTCCATTGATAGATGCAACAAGAGATTTCAATCCAAACCAATTTGGCAACGGAATATCACCGGCCTCTCGACCAGCTTCAATGGTGATGAAACGAGGGGTACTGACTTCAGCCTCTATGCCTGGACCAGCGCCCGCGATCTCCGCAACTTCATCCTCTCCATCGGCTTCGCCTTCATTAAACTTGATATTTTTGTGTACCTCATATCCGAGAGTGCGAATGGCGGATGTGGCGCCTGTTTCTGCAAGATCCTGCTCACTGAGTAACTGAGAGATATCTTGCGCATTGAGGGTAATGAGATCGGCGTCGAGTTCGCGCGCAAGTTGCTTCACCACCGCGTCCAGAAACACAATCCCATCGCTCCCGGGGTATTGAAGAACCAAATGGGACTGTTTGGCAGCTGATTCCATGGCATACTGTGCTGGCGGCAGTCGAAGACCCGCTTTGACGGAGGCACGCAATTCATCCCACACAGCCTCTACTACGGCATACCTACTCTCTGATGACCCTGATGGTTCATCAGAAGCTGCAGGATCTCCTCCATCTCCACCAAATGCCAGGGCTTCTTGTTCTGTATCGTCTGGGCTGGGGATTGACTTCGATTTCGTGATTTCGACTTGGGGTTGAAATTGCACGAGAGTATCCGTCTCAGTGCCGCGGGTTACAGTGTTGCGTTCATGAAACCAACGCGGGATCTTTGTGTCCACCGAAGCTTTTTGTTTTTGCTCGGGTTGCCTGTTTCTCATAGCCCTGCGCATGGCAGAACCATACGGCCGTGACACTGGCTTATTGGTTTGCGCGGCGCAGGATGGAGGAGAGACATCATTTCTGGCGAGAGTGTCGTCGAGATGAGACGATTGGAAATTATCAATAGTATTATCCGATGAGGTGGGACCGGTCTGGGGATCCTTGGAGGGAGTGGACAGGTATTGTTGCGAAAGGTGAAACCCGCGTGATGCGACGGGGTAACGGCGGCGGGCGATGAATCGACAGGGGCGCGCGGCGTGACGCCAGACCTGTGGCACGGATGTATGCATCCAGAGAAATGCCACTGAAGGTAAATGAACGATGTCACAAAGAGCAATGCGACATGAGGCTTCGGCGAGGTGTCTGGAAATTGATGCCAGGCGTCTTTTGCGGGAGAGAGAAGATCACGTGATGTGGGTCGGAATTACCAGAACGAACTAATATCTCCCAGCCATGTCTATATGAACACTGTAATTTATGATAGTTGGATGAATACACTCCAAATCATTGAAATTTGCCTGAATGTTCTGTTTTCAATTTTCATTACAGATATGAGATCTTTTGAGTTGGGAAATCCTGGTAAATTGGGTGTGTTTATGAATCTCCGTTGGGATGAATCGACGGTCAGGATCCATGCCATGCAGACAGTCTTCTATTGGTAAACGCTCAGGCCAAGAACACTGGATCCCAGTTCATGATGTTCGATGGGGAATCGTAGGCATCATTCACTACACTAAAAGTGATCTTCAGCCAGCGATAGACTTTGTGAATCCTATGGCGCCTGAAAAGCTACACCCAACAGTTCAACAAAGAAAACAGAGACTATTCAGAAACGACCATGTAATCATGGCTAAAGGGCATAGATATTGCGAGACTAGATAAGAAAAAAGTAACAAAAAATTCGAAGACTCCCCTGACGTTGTCCATCTCCAGACGAGATACTTCTCGGGATTCATCTAATGCGACAGGTGGATTAGCCCATGTCATATGAGTATGCGGTATGAATATCAAGTTCGCAACAAATGGTTCTCAGACAAAATATACTGGCAAGTAGCAGACCAACCGGGAAAGGAAGGTCCGGAATACCTCGTCATGGTCGATTTGGAAGGTAAAGAAGTAAAAAAGGGTTGTCATCCTTGAACTGGGGAGGGAAGTGAAGAAAAAAAATAATCACGGACTTACCATTGTTGGCTTGGTTGGCCACCCATTGACTAGGGTTAGTGGCGAGATTGCTGCATCATATGATACAATGATCATGATACACACTCCTGGCTCCTAAATTTCGCCCGTCATTGAAGAGAAACATTTGGAAAACTAGACCAGGAGATCCTTGGTGGCGAAGAGGCACAAGAATCCAAGAAGAAAAGATTTCGGGAGACGGAAAAAAAAGCTGAAATACACAGCACACACGTGACTTCCTGTTCAGGTTAGCGCGGCAGTATTGCAATCGCCAGGCGAACAGCGCGCGAAAGCAATGGGAAAAAAGCCTCACCGGAGTCGGATCTCACTCAATATACCCAATATTACATTCACTCGGCCATCAGAAAGTTCTGCTGGATCGATCATTGTGACGCCCGTCTACCTGGTCCCTGGCATCTGTTCTTTGCTGCGCGTTGTTCGCTCGGTTACATCCTCCACTCTCGGAGCCGGATCCTCCGTCCCCAGTTCCCTCTTCGCTCCCACCGGGCGATCATCCTCATTCCCTATTGATTGTATGGGCGATCGCGACAGTCGTCTGCTTTGACGATTCGACTTTGGACTTGGCCTTGAGAGTTGTGAGTTGTATCGTCTGCTTTCCCCGTCTGCCGTGGTGGTCGAACTACGTGAGGCCCAGCCCCTCCACGCCTCCCTATTACCTGCCCCGTCTCTTCTCCCGTCTTTGCCCCCAACGCAAACCACACATCTTCTTATCACCTCCCTCCCCACCACCACTAACACGGGTCCCTAGGAGATTGAGGCCTACATTGAGGCGAAGCGGGAGAACCGACTGGGCTGACGTCCGTTCGATGCTTGGGTCTTTCGCGTCTACTACACTCCCATCGTCGCCTCATCTTGGGCCTCCGCTCCCCGAACGCTAAGAGCGGTCGACTGGCTCACCATCTCAGGCGCGTGAGTTTCATTGACTCCCACTCCTCCCGTCGCCTCCTCGTCGCTGTCGCGGTCGACTGCCTGCGAAGTCCCCCGTCTGCGGTGACTTCCACCTGCTAGCAATGATGATGGCGCAATCGTTTCCTGCCCATCAAGGCATGCCGCCGCACGGCCTCCCCCCGGCCACCATCCGATGGCCGCTCAACATCCGAACGCTGGACACCCTGGGCCTGGAATGGTGCAACAGATGCACCCTGGAGTTTCGGCTCCAGGAGGGCCTCAGGTGAGTCAAGCGGGCCCAATGATGGGTGGAATGCCCCCAGGAGCTGGGACCACTGGCCCTGGGGGCCCCGTGCCGAACGCCCATGCTCTCTCACATCTGAATCCCGCGCAGGCGCATATGTTTCAGCAACAGGCCTTTCCACAAAACTGTGAGTTTTTCAGCCTCTCCGTCCCCCTTTCCTGGAGGTGTCGAAAATGACACCATCCGTTCCCTGACGCCAATATGCGTGATCGATCGGTCGCGGTCGATCCACATATAATTATCTTGGAACCAAAGACAGTTGTCTTTCCTTCTTACGAGCGCACGCTGACTAGTAAATTCAAACATCAGTCGCGAACAATCCCCAGTTAATGCAACAACATCATCAACAGCAGTATCTCCGACAGCGAATGATGATCCAGCAGCAGCAGCAACAGCAGCAACAGCAGCAGCAACAGCAACAGCAACAGCATGGCCTCCCTGTATCATTGCCAAATGGTACTCAGGGTCTCAATGCTGCCCAGCTGGCTGCAATGCAGGCGAACCCCGGAATGCGACCCGTCAACTTGCAAATGCACCTCCAGCAGCAGGTGCCCCATGGCCAGCCTCAAAACCTCCAGCAGCAGCAACAACAGCAACTGTTTGCTATTCAACAGGCACAGGCACACCAGGTGCAGCAGCAACAGCAGGCGAATAATGGCCAGCACACCCCACAGCGCTCCTCGGCGCAGCCTCCAAATATGCACGAAACCCAGAGCGCTACCCCCCAATCCCAGCATGGTCCTCCGCCGCAGAGCGGCACGCCTCAGCCGAATCAAACTTCGCAACCTCCTTCCACCCAACCTCCGCAACAACAAGTTGGACCACAGCAAGCCCAGGCTACTCCAAACCCTCAGCCACAGCAGCTCCCTCAAACGTCGCAACCGGGACAGCAGCCGGGACAACCCGGCCCTCAAGGACAACCTCAGCAGGGCCCTCAGGGCCAGCAAGTCCAACAGGTGGGACAGCCAAACCAGCAGGCAATGACTGCCCAAGAGGCCCAACTCAAGGCCCAGCAGCACCAGAATGCTACCTTGATGATGCAGCAAAGGATGAACCGACAGGGCAACAGTATCTTGTTTCTCCACTCATATGCGGAATACTTGAGTGGTTTCCAGGTACGTACAACTTGAAAAAAGAATCCAGATTGATTCAGAGCAATGTAAGGCTAACAGTAGAGCAGAGCCGTGGCGAAGCACAAGATCTCTTGTATTGGCAAAACTTTGTCGACAAATTCTTTGCCCCTGGTGGTGTATTGCGCCAAGGTGTTTGGAACGCTCAAGCCGGGTCCAAGCAGTTTGAGATCTCTACTCCCGCTTTGGCGAGATACTATCTCACCCAGTATACAAGTGGCATTCGCCAGATTCAGATGGTTGTGGAAGGTGCCCGGGAACGAGACATGCCCAATGTGGGCCACATTGTAGAGAGCCAGCGGACTTCATTTATCTACTGGTTTACGAACGATTGCCAGGTAGGGCCCTTTTTTATCCGCGCTTTGCTCCTGACATGGACACAATACTAACTGTCTCTATTCACAGCTCTTCACCCAATGTCAACTGCGTGCTCACTTTGATATGAGCAACAAGATTGAGATGCTTGACATCACTGTCACCAGCCATAATGAATTTATTCCTCGGAGTCTGCTCCAGTCGATGGAGATTGCCGAGCAGAAGCAGAGCCCTAAGCTTACCAAGAACGCGAAGCGGGCACAAAAGCAGGCCACTTCAATTCCTTTGCCGGAGTCTATGGTCACTGCCAATGGCGTTCCTACCCCGGTTATGGGATTCCTAGAAGTTGCAGAGACGATCTCGCAGATGCAAATGCTGTTCCAGTTTTCGCAGCAGAACCCCCATTTCTCTCCCCCAGAAGCCCTCCGAAACCTCGTTGGTACCCTTCAGACCCAGCATCCTAATGCCGGATTTATCACCCCCATGAACCCTGGCATGCAGCCAGTTCCCAATGTGCGGAACCCTAGTGTGAATGGACCCTCCCAATTCGCCTCTCCTGCCATGGCTCACCTGGGCCTTCCGGGGCAACAGGGCTCGCCTCATCTCACTGGTTCTGCACACGCTAGCCCTGCTCAAAGTCAGCTTGCTGGGCCTCCAGGCATGCAAGGTGGGGTCCAGCCGTCTCCGGTTGGTGTGAACAATAGTCCCAATGTGGGTGGCAACAAACGCCGCCGCGCGAGCACGGTCAAGATGGAGTCTGAAGATGGAGGTGCCGGCGCTGAAGTGAATGGCACTGCCCCTCAAGGCTCTGGCAAAGTCAAAGCCAGCCCTCGAGTACCGAAACGACAGAAAGGAGCTGCCGCTTGATTCACTCCACATTCTCACCATCTTATCCATTTTCTATGCCAAAATTTTCTCCATATCCATATCGTTTCAAGAGGCGGAGCAACGGCGCACCGTTTGGATGCGTGGATGAGGGACTCCTCATTCTCCTTGAAATTTTTTGTTTATTATCTTGAATCTTTTGAATTTTCATCAGAAGATCATTTCCTAGTCTCTGACGGCTTTCGGTATTTTGACGATAAACCGGTCTGATGATGGAGCTTAATCGATGGCTCATGTTGACCCCTTCTCGACACTATACCCGGTATATAGTGTGTCCAAGTGGCCGTCTTTATGGGTGCTTATCCTCATCAGATCTTGATCATCTCCGATCCTAATGTACTCTATCTCCCTTTTTCAGCGTTTCTTTGGATGGTTCGGGATCACCGCCTGACTGCATGCTTCTTTTTGCCTTCCTCTCTCTTGTTTATTTTTGACGCTTCGAGTTTTGCAGGGCTTTTGATTTGCCATACTCGGGGTTTGATGATTTTTTCTGGATTGGTTTGACTGGGCGATTGCTCTTGTTGTCCTTTTTGCTGCCGTTTTCCTGTTGATGGCCTAGTTTTTTTGGGATGAATTGGCCGAATCCTTGATATCCGTCTTGGCGATTGCACTGGCGTCGGGCTTTGTGCTTCTTGGTACTACGTCTGCGTGCATTGGGTGTTCTGCTGGGCTGTTCTGGTCGTGGGGAGATTCTTAACGACTCTTTTTTCCCTCGGGCTCATCGTTTTGCCGCTATTTTGACGAATCCATACAATACCAGCAATTCTGTCCCTTGCGTAAATGAACCATAGTGATGAGTGCTTTCACTGCAGAGTTGAGCTGGGCTATTCAATAGCCTCGTTATCTCTATACCACGATGACCTATAGAAAGGGGTCACATTAAGTTGGCCGAACCGGCGACCTCCGTTCGGCATCGGCGAAGCGATTTGATAATGAGAATCTCGGCATTTTTTTGTTATCGCCTTCCCCACCGCGCCCTTGCGTCCAACTGCCCCTCCTTGCATTTCCCCGGCCACAATCTTCAATCTCTCGAGATACCCCTCCAAGTGAACCAGAGACTGCCTCAGCACCACGGAAATAATGGCTCACTCCCACTCCCACGATACCGGCGTTAGCCATTCCCATGACGATCCCTTCAACGGCCATGGCCATTCTCACGAGATCCTGGATGGCCCCGGCTCGTACGTCAACCGCGAGATGCCTTTGATCGAGGGCCGTGACTGGAAAGACCGTGCATTCACCATTGGAATTGGAGGGTACGTTATCATCCAGGCATAGTAACAGGATCTTTCGATCACCGTTACCCCATTGCTTTCCCCGCCCCCGTCCGAACTATGTATACGCCATAAACCAGGCACTGACGGCAGTTTCCAGACCCGTGGGCTCCGGAAAAACAGCTCTGATGCTGGCCCTGTCCCGCGCCCTGCGTGACCAGTACAACATCGCAGCTGTCACCAATGACATCTTCACCAGGTATGGTTATAGTTGAATCGCACCCGCTGCGGTAGCACTCCAGACCTCCTACCCCCGCGACTTCTCTCAACCCCACAGCACGAAACTAGACTTCTAACCAATTTTCCCGCCAACAGAGAAGACGCCGAGTTCCTCACCCGCCACAAAGCCCTCGCCCCCTCGCGCATCCGAGCCATCGAAACCGGCGGATGCCCGCACGCTGCCGTCCGCGAAGACATTTCCGCCAACCTGCTCGCCCTGCAAAACCTACAGCGTCAGTTCCAAACCGACCTGTTGCTGATCGAGTCCGGCGGCGACAACCTAGCGGCAAACTATTCGCGCGAGCTCGCTGACTTCATTATCTACGTGATCGACGTGGCGGGCGGCGACAAAGTGCCGCGCAAGGGCGGGCCCGGCATCACGGGATCGGACCTGCTGATCGTGAACAAGATCGATCTGGCGGAAGCCGTGGGTGCAGACCTGAAGGTGATGGAGCGGGATGCAGCAAAGATGCGCGAGGGTGGACCGACAGTGTTTGCGGTCGTCAAGGAGGGGAAGGGCCTGGATCACATTGTCAACTTGATTATCAGCGCGTGGAAGGGAAGCGGCGCGTACGAGCTGAGCTTGCAACGGTGGAAGGAGGGTGCGCCGAAGAACTCTGGAAGCTTGGAAGAGTAGATGGAGAGAATAGAAGCAGGTGGTAAATAATGATACAGGTAAACAATTGCATTCTCCATGTAAAGCTGCGTTGCCCTATATATACCGTCCAGAAGGCGTGGATGAGTGCTTTCTCCGGAGAATCGGTTAAGTTTGAATAATATCTTAAATTCTTTTGAATCATCTTATCGCTAGCTTGTTGCATTCTTTCTAAATCTCTTGTTAATGTCCTTTGACATTATTCAAAGGGTACCCAAGACTAGATAGATAGGTGCTCAGGTATACTAGGAATGGCAGCGGGCGGTAGGGTCAAATGGGCTGATCGTTGATCATATAAAAGACAGTTGCTTTTTCCGGTCCATAATTTCTATACATACATAATGAAGATCTCCTCCAACGCCTGAAATGCAGCAGTGACCGCAAGTCTGCCAATTATTTCACAAAACAAGCCGCAGCTGGGTATCTGGATGCTGTCCGGGATGATGGGTCAGCATGTCCGGTCTATTCGACAAGATCAAGCGAAAGCATGCAAAAAAAGATCTTAATCCTTCTTGGCAAATCGAGCCAAAGCAGGCCCCAACTCCTGCCGCTCTTGGCGAATCCTCTCCTTGCCGCGCGCCATACGTTCCTTGTGCATGGTTTCGGCCTTGAGCCGCTTCTCGTCGATGACATTGGAGCGTCCCTTCTTCCGCAGATACTTGCGAAGGGCACTGTTGCGGCCACGACCCCGGTTCTTGAGCTTCTCCAGGTGATCCTCGGGCTTGCGATCCAGGTCGCGCTCTTCTTGGACTTTTTGGTTGTTGATGGTGTCAAGTTTGCCGATGACCTCGGGGTCAAGAGAGATCATATCGGGCTGCAGCTTGTTGAGCAGTGACTGCACCTCGCCTTCCTGGCGCTGGCGGACATTCTCGTACGGGTTGGCCTCCAGAGAGTCAAAGTTGGGCTCACCGGCACCGGGGACGATCAAACTAGCAAAGCCCTGGTCGTGCGCGACACCCAACACATCTTCGTATGGACACCAGCGCATGTTCTCAATGCGCTGGCCGTCGCCACCCCATGCCATGTATGGACTGTTTACCTTCCCTTGGTCTGCGAGAGCGGCGTCGAACAGACCCCGCCACACGCTGACTTGGGTACCCCAGCCGACAGCTGTGAGATTACGGTCACTGATAGAGACAGATGCACCGGGCTGGTAGCACGAGTAAGAGTGTACTTCACGAAGCATCCGGAGATCCCACACATTCATCCTCTGGTCCTGACCGGTAGAAACCATATACCGACCCAACCGATCGATGGCCATAGATCGGACGGGACCGCGGTGGACAAGTGCTTTCACCAGAGAAGTTTGGGAATTTGGCGACCATAGTGTCACAGTTCCATTCTGGTGTCCAACGTGAAGGATCGCGTTATGCGGGTTTTGACAGAGAGAGGTCGGACGGCCCAAGCGTGTGGGCAACTCGGCGACAGTTTGACCAGTAGAAGTATCGGTATATTTGAGGAAGCCAGCCATAGTCTAAGAAAAAGAAGCAGATATTAGAAGTCAGGGTACAGTGGCAAAGGGTATAAGAGGCAAATGGAAACTCACAGCACTGGCAAGAAGGAAGTGATAGGGAAGGAATTCAAGGAAGAGAGGCTCCAGATGCTTGCTCAGACAGTGCAGCTCAACTCCATTGTGATCGTAAATGTAAACATATTTCTTCTGCGCCACCGCGAAGTATTGGTTATTGTGCAGCCAGCGCGCATCACGGACGGTCTCGCCGAGTTGCAGCTCGCAGCCCAGCTTGCCATCACGCCAGTCCATTGTCGCAACATGACCCTTCCGTCCCGCTAACAACAGGTGTCTACCGTTCCGGGTATAATCTGCGCGGTAGGGTCCGAGATCGTTCAATCGAAGCTCAAAGCCCTTCTTTGCCGTCTCCAGGCCAACACTGTCCTTAATCTCATCTTGTCGAACTTTGTATGTCTTTTCGAGCTCGCCTTCTGGCTCAAGAAATCCAGCTTCATGTTCAAGAAGAATCTCTGCATCCTTCGCTTGTAGGACTGCCTCCTTCTGCTTTGCCTCCTGCGCCCTCAGGGTGCCGCGAATCTTCTTGTCGCGGATGTTCTTAGTCGAGACTGCTTTGCCACGCCCGTAGGCCTTTTGAGCTTCAGCGAGTCTTTTCTTCACCGCACGATCTTCGGCTGTGACAACAGCCTTTTTCGAGGCGTTATCCGCCATCTTCACTTATGATTTTGGCGTTCGTCCACCTGCAAATAGAAGAAGTTTGCGGCCGCGGAGAAAAAGCGAAATCTGAAAAATTGCGCCAAGATTTGCGCTCACCGCTCGCTTATCCTCCACTGCCGAATTTTGTTTTCTTATCGCTATTTTTTCTCTCTTTTTGACTTGTTGGTCGAGCCTTTTCATTTTTGTTCGTTGCTAATTGAGATCGGGCTTCCTTGAAGAGCTCAATCTTGTTTACAAACTGGACTCCCTGCCATTTCGTTTCAAAGGGTCCAGTGCCAACATGGCGCCCACCCAGGTGCACCACCACCGCTCCACTACCAAGCAGTCCCACAAGCCTTTCAAAACCAAGCATGCGTCCAAGAGCGCTCTGAAGGAAAAGGCCAAGGGTAAGGATCATGAATCATACTCTCCATCTGTTGTTGTCGATCTTTTGGAACTGACTCTTTCACAGGAAAAGTTGAGACGGAGCGGGGCAGTCGCAAAACCCCCCACCAACAGCTCAAATCGAAACTTGATCGTCGCAACCAGGCTCGTCAGAGACAGCAATTAAAGCACCAGGAGAAGGCTCAGGCTACTAGCATCTTCTCTGGTCAAAATGGTGCCCCCCGCCACGTCGCGATCGTCCCGTTGTCGGTCGACATCGATGTCACCGCTGCTATCCGTGCCCTGAATGAGAGCGTCGATGTCTCGAGCGAGGTTTCACCCGACGAAACTACCCGTGTGCGAGTCGACCGCTTCCGACAGAGCCTGAACTACATTCCCTGTAAATATGACCTGATCAATGCGCTGGACGTCTGCCGTATGGCCGATTTTGTTGTGCTTGTGCTGTCTGCCGAGGAGGAGGTTGAGGAGGAGGGCGAGTTGCTCTTGCGTTCGATCGAAAGCCAGGGTATCTCCAACGTTCTGACCCTGGTCCAGGGTCTCGACACCGTGAACCCCGCCAAGAAGCGGCCGCAAGTAGCGAGTTCTCTGAAGTCGTTCATCAACCACTTCTTCCCTGCTGTTGAGAAGGTCATGTCGCTCGACTCGCGACAGGAATGCTCCAACGCCATCCGATCGCTCTGCACCGCCACGCCCAAAGGTATCCGTTGGCGTGATGAGCGCAGTTGGATGCTCATCGAGGATGTCGAATGGCCTAATGCCAGCTCAGAGTTGGTTGACGGTGTTGTCATTACGGGTGTCGTTCGTGGAAAGGGTCTTAAATCAGACCGTATTGCGCATATTCCTGGCTGGGGTGATTTCCAGATCGACTCAATTACATCGGCTCCTCTTTCAGCCAAGAACAAGCGGGATGATGCGATGAATGTCGACAGCAATGAGTCTACCCAGATTTTGGATGGTCCTTCTGCCGACCAGGACGATTTGGCCACCGTTGCCCCCGAAGAGATTGAGATGGAGGATGATGATATGGTCTCTGTGGCAGATACCGAACGCAAGGGCGTCCTGCTCGATGACCACCACTACTTTTCGGACGATGACTCTCACATTCCCCCCAAGCCCAAGCGACTACCTAAGGGTACTTCAGAGTACCAGTCAGCTTGGTATCTGGAGGATGTCTCGGATTCCGGATCTGACTTGGTCGATGATGAAGAAGATGAGGATATGGAAATGGATACGGCTGGTGCCCCCGAAGATGGAATTTTCCCAGATAACCAGGATGCCATGACAGAGGGCGGCCCCTCTGAATACCCCCAGTCAGAGATGTTCTTGGATCCATCTCCGGAGGATGAAGCACAAGAGTTGGAGGCTTACCGCCAGAGCCGCCGAAACGAGGCCGAAGAAGACCTTGAATTCCCGGACGAGATTGAACTGCATCCAAACGTATTGGCACGAGAGCGCCTGGCCCGTTTCCGCGGCTTGAAGAATATGAAGCTGAGTACATGGGAAACCTCTGAGGACCGCCCATTTGAGCCGGAAGACTGGCGACGATTGTTGCAATTTGGTGACTACAAGGGAACCAAGAACCGAATTACCCGTGAAGCACTGGTCGGCGGAGTCAACCCTGGTATTCGTGTCAATGTCCACCTTCGTGCTGTGCCCACCTCGCTCCGCCACAAGGCCCAGCCAGTTTCCCTCTTCTCGCTACTGCGCCACGAGCACAAGCACACTGTGGTCAATGTCAACATCACCCTGAACTCTAGCGTTGAGCATCCTCTGAAGTCCAAGGAGGAGCTTGTCATTCAGTGTGGTGCTCGCCGCATGGTGGTCAACCCCATCTTTTCTGCTGGCGACAAGACGCCAAATAATGTTCACAAGTTTGACCGCTTTCTTCATCCAGGCCGCAGCGCCATTGCCTCTTGGATCGGACCTATGACTTGGGGCGCGGTCCCTGTGCTCGTTTTCAAGCAGAGACAAGCAGAACAAGATCCTGAGATCCTTGACTCAGCAGATGAGGACAAGCAGGAGCCCCTTGCCATGGACCGCCTCCAGCTCATTGGCACTGGTACTGTGGTTGCACCCGATCCTCGCCGTGTTATTGCAAAGCGCGCCATTCTCACCGGTCACCCGTTCAAGATCCATAAGAAGGTTGTTACTGTTCGGTACATGTTCTTCAACTCCGAGGATGTTAGCTGGTTCAAGGCGCTGCAGCTTTGGACCCGCCGTGGCCGCAGCGGATACATCAAGGAGGGCCTGGGTACTCACGGTTACTTCAAGGCTACTTTCGATGCCAAAATCAACCCTCAAGACTCTATTGGTATCAGTTTGTACAAGCGTGTCTTCCCTCGCCGTGCTCGGGCTTTGGAGGAGGTTCTTGCGTAAGCAAGCTCAGGTTACCACCTTTTGAATTGGTTATATGAGATGGATGAATATGGATAGGATGATATTTGAAGACATGAGACTATGTGAGCAGATTCCCTCCGGAATAGTCTTCAACTCGGAGTAAGCGTCACGATACACTCAAAAAGTATATAGACTTGAAACATTTCATAATGAATTACGATTTCTCTTCTGTTTCCATTTTAATAAAGAGATCATGAGGTGTGGTCATGCCATTTATCTCGTCTAGATCCGAACTTCAAGAAGCACCATTTGCCGTTACGCAAATTCTCAGCGCCGTAAATACTTCAATTTGAAAAATCATCGCGGGCCTGCATTCGATTGCAAGCCTAACAAAGAGACACGACAAAGGTTGGAGCAGACAGCGTAGGCAAGAAATCAAACATACGAAATCCTCCAAGGATGGTTAAAACAATGTTTCTTACACAGGATATGCGGGGAATCAAGGAACAAAACAAATCCAAGCAATGTCTACGAGAAGTCTTCTTCCGCCTCTTCGATACTATTCTTGATACGCAGCAGAAGAGTGGTCTTCCACTTGTCCAGCTTGCTGAGCTGGTCGAATTGGAACAACTTGTCCGCGAACCCTTCCTGATCACCAGCCTCCACAGCTTGGAGCAAATCGACGAGAAGCTGATGCTCTCGAGTGGAGGTGAAGGTGGGGTCGATTTCACGATACGATTCAAAGGCACGGCCCGTCTCGACGAAGTCCTGGATGAGCCTAGTTAGAGATCACGCTTTTCAATGGAAACAGGTAAAAGGCAGCAGGACTATACCTTTGTGGCAAGGTGGCAAATGCCACCCTTCAAGAAGTAATCCTTAACAGACCATCTCATCAGGTTATTAGTGATGGACTGGCGAGAAATCCGTTCGTAAATATTGATGGACTTGTAATAGTCGCCCTCCAGAGCAGCCAAGTCGGCCACCTTGAGGAAATGCTTGTTCGCGAGACTAGATGGAAAACAGTTATGAGCCCTCTCGTTCGTCCCAGGTCGGATAACAGCATATGCTTACGCTTCGGCATTGTCACCCTCAAACCACTCCGCAGCTTTCTCGTACGCATCCAGCGCCTTCTTCATATCTCCAAGCTCAACCTCATACAGCTCCGCCAGGTACTGTTGCTGTGTCGCGGCACGACGCAAGTTGCCACGTAGCACATAGTGGTTGATCGCGCTGGAAAGCGCGCGGACAGCATCCTCCGGGTCTGATTTGCGGTAGACCTTGAACGCTTCCTGGAGAGTGTTGGCGGCATCGTCGGGCTCATTAAGATTCTGGGTTTGAATAGCAGCAGCCTTTTCGAAGGCTTGGCCAGCTTCCTTATCTACAGGCGCAGAAAGGTTGACAGTGTCAGCTGCTAGAACAGCGCATGAGAGAAAATGTGGCGACCTGGGGAGCCTCACTCATCTTCTGTACTCGAAAGGCGTTTGCAGCCTGTGTATAGAGGTCGGAGGCATTTTCATATTTCTCGGTGCGTCCTCCGAACCAGCTAAAACCACCCGAGGCTCCAGAGAGCGCTTTGTCGGCCTAGTTGCTCGCAAGGCGCGAGGCACGGTCAGCTATCCGGACTTTCGTCATTGCCTGGCTCCAGGCAAAACAATGCGCAGGACGAGAGGAGGGGGCAGACTGACTTTTTGCAGAAGGACGCGAGGATCTTGGGACATGTTGGGCGAAGAGAGTATGGTTTCTGTAGAGAACAATCCTACAGTGAAAGGTGAAGGAGGGGTTCCAGGCCAGATTGGGTTTATCGTTGATGAGGACATCAACCGGCGGGTCGGAGGCGGTGTCGCTTTTACAACCGCCCGCAGCTTTGCTTCCCCGACAACTGCGACAACCACCAACAACCAACAGCAACCAAGAAAGGCCAAGGGAGATTACTGGCTCTCAATCTTTCAGCATTACACTACTAGAATACCTATACATATCAACAAAACCATAACCATGTCCTGGCCGCGACCAGGCACCCGACTGTTGCAGTTACTTGGTCGCAACACTGGCTTCCTGCGCCAGTACTCCTCCAATTCTCAAGCTTCAGATATCGCATCGATCTTGGCCGAACCAAGCTGGTCCGTTCGGTCTCTTCTTCCGAAAAGTGTTGCAACAGAGTCATCTACACCATCAGTCACGCCGAAACAACTCCGACACCTACTCCGCCTCTCGGCTCTCCCGCAGCCCACCACCGCGCAAGAAGAACAGTCTATGCTCCAGACCCTTGAATCCCAAATCCATTTCGTCAAAGAAATCCAGCAGGTTGATACAGCAGGAGTGGAACCGTTGCGCAGTATACGAGACGAGAGCTCCGCGGCAGTGAAGGAAACAACCATCGGGCTTAAACGCCTTGAGGATGCATTGGCGAAAGAACAAATAAGTGGTCGCAGACGAAGGGTTCAGCGCATTGAATGTGAGAAGGCTCGTTTCCCAGATGGCTTAATTTGGGACAGCAATGCGCTAGGCTCTGCGTCAAGGACAAAAGGCAAGTATTTCGTTGTCGAGACTGGCAGCAACCAACCATCCTGATCTTTCGAAGCATTTTGCTCGCACTGTCGCCAATCTGCGATGGAGCATGACGCTGAACCCTTGAAACACTCGTGTACTATACTATATAATACCCCCATGGCCTCCTATTCCCTTGCTTTATCCAACTCGTCATAAAGTTGCATGAATTTCACGTCGACTCCGGAAAATCGATGCAAAAGTCACCGCTGCTTGGAATTTGAAAACTCTTACTGGTCGAAGACGGATGGCACTGTTGATGTGAAAATACGCTGCCATGTGACTTATTTAATTCGGCAAACTGTGATCCGTCCTCCAACCTCCTTGTCCATAGGACAAGAGCTGCTGGAGTTATTGAAACCATGACACTTTCTCTTATGACTCTTACAGAGAGCCTGAGGCCCCTTGTACGATATTTTTGCCCACAAAATCAGTGTCGATGCCAATTGGGTTCATTGACCCTGCTGGGCCGATTACCCTTGTCCGTTATTAGTTTGTGGTAGCAAAATTGCGACTAACTATTCACAAAACTGAATTTGATTTTGAAAATTAAAGGCATTGTTTCAATAGAGGGAGGCCGAGGATTTTTACACACACTAGTCAATGGGTGGCTCTACGGTGTCAGTTTAGTACTTTAGTATGATGGCAACCGACCATGCCACAGTGAAAACGGCGACATACAAGTATGCCAACCAACTAAATAAGTTCCTGCCGATATTACCATTTTGGATCATCAGCCTGCGTATTTGGCGGTACATATCGGACCAAGCAGTGTCTTGTCCCAGGATGTTCCAGCATGCCGCACTTTATCAGTCTCTTGTTGAGACTTATCCCCCCACCATATCCGACCATTTTTATCTGACTTCCAATCATCAATGAGGTCAACAAGAGTCTGCAGGTGACCCAGCGCCGTTGGTTGATGACCCCTCGGTCGCCTGAGAGCCAGAATGGTTGCCAAAATGGCCACGAGGATGGCTAGGACGGCATATAGAATCAAACGCGAGTATACCATATCGCATTGAAAACCGTGTTTGAAAGACAAACTTTTCAGATCTTCAATAGAAGTCGAAGCTATAAATTCAAAGTTTTGGAATTGTTCGACGCCAACAGAAGGGATCAAGCTCTGGCCAATAATCCAATGCACCAAGGCCTTGGCTATGAATAGGAGGATATTTTCCCAGCTCGATACTGCCGCACGAAACGGATTCGTAGCCAACTGTGCCCCTGGCGCCTTTTTTGTTTCACTGTAAGCCAGTCGCCAGATGCCTTCATCTCTTGATAAGTTGACTAGCAGCTCCAGGCAGTGCAATGCAATAGTTTGAATACCCTGGATGAGACTGACAAAGAGGAGGCAGAGGACAGCTTGGGCACCGGTAGAGAAGATCGGAGAGTTGGGGTTGTGGTCATTCTCGTGGGGAGAGAAAGACAAAGTCACATAGTTCCGAGAGCATGCCAAGCTGTTTTGATCCCATTTGAATCCAAATTTCCAGCATGGAGATTCATAACCCTGACCAGTAGCACTGGCGTCGCCGATAGACTTGGAGACAGCGACGATGGTAATTGGCCACGCAACTGCCAGGATAGCTAGTGACCACAACAAAGCGATAATATATCGTACCATTTTCGTTCCTTGGAACATGCTTCCTTGCCGCTTCGGAGGATATGTCTCCCCGCTTGACAATTGTCGCTGATGAACTGATAGCATACATCTTCCAGGACGATGAGCGAGGTCACCTGTCTGGACCACAGCCAACGCAGTATTCAGAGGGTTAGAACTCCATGTCGGTATCAAGCTCCAGCTGGATACTAGGCACCATATGGCGATGGTGGCTTGACCAGCGAGGCCTATGCCCAAGGCAACTAGAGCAGTGGCATTAATCATAATCGGAACTTTAGAATTTTGCTGGTCCTCATCCATAGCCGCTAGGGGGGCTTCACGAGACAGTAAAAGAACAGACGAAGAGGCGTATGATAGAATCAGGCAACTGAGAGCCACCAAGTTGATATACCATCTGTTCGGGCCCCGTATTCTGGAGCTGGTGAAAAGGCGGATATTGGTGTTGAACTCCAGGCGTTCTTCACGATACAAGGCCCAGCGTAAAGAGACAGAATGCACAAACATCATACCATCTGTACAGAATACCAGTATGATATTGACTGCCAGGGAGATGAGTTCTCGTCCCGCATTAGAGACAGAAATCGAAGTACCGAGTTCTACCTGCTTAGTCCGGAGGAGATAAACCCCATATACCAAACAAAAAAAGGGAGAGAACCACGCCTATTGATACAGCGCCAATGCATCCAGATCTTGTCGTGATAGCTCTGTCAAATTTTGGCTCTTGCTCCTCATCCTGGTGTTCGGATTGCTCAACGAATGGCTGCTTTTGCTCATTTGGAGACCCCTCCTCTCTGCTTCTCAAGAATGGGTTCAGTCTATCCATGTCAAGGCATTGGAGGACCGATTGAAGAGATTGAATCTTTGGCAAGTCACCTCCCCAGGAACCGCGACTGTAAATAGACCCTGAAAGGGGCTTTGAGGCCCTGCAGATGGGCGCAGGTTAGTGCGAGGGGCAGTGCACACCCCCTAGTTGACGTCCAGCCTTGCGCCCTATTAGAGGGTATAACACCCCAGTATATCCACCTTGGCGCCCTTTTGCACAGACTTAAATTTGGGGGCCAAGGTTGGTCCGCACATCTAGACAGCTTCACCCTCCGCCATCTATATCAGATCGAATTTTTGCGAATTTGGGATTCGCAGCTAGGAAATCTCTCCAATGATATTAAATATACTATAGCTGCTTCGTTCTACTAATAGGTAGGAAGGGAGTGAATTGCAAAACTCCTTTCCATAGCTGTCTAGATTATTCGTCCATCGGAGGTAAAATCCAAAGAGTAAATAAATCGTCATGGCAGGAAGATATGAAAGATAGCAGCGATATGACAGCTATGTGAAGGAATTACAAACTTTCCTTTCTCTGAAATAAGTGAACCGGATACCTTGCCATGGAATTATTGCGAATTGGTTGCTACATAGACGGACATGAGGAAAAACTGTTTGCTCACAGCAGCCATTGCACATGAGCACCCGGCAATTTCCCAATTGAAAAGATGGCGAGTTCTTGCTTTAAATATTTAATAGCTGTAGTGAAAAACAAAGACGACACTTTGGGCCTTGTCAAGGATTCGAGTGCATACGAGTTAGTTTACCGCAAGTCGATCTGTGACTGGGGGCGCTTTTCCTTTGAGCAGCCAAGCACTCTTGGCAGAAACCCTTGTTCGCAAATCTCTTGAGCACGATGTCGTTAAATCTCGTTGAGATATGTGAAATATCTTGTTTTAAGGCTATTTATTGCCGTTATGTTCATTTTATCAACAATGATAATGTTCTAGGTGCTTTTCGAGATTTCGATGTAGAAGACCATTGGTGCCTGAGGCCACCAGGTAGTATTAATCACTCGGCCCAAAGCCAAGCACGAGCAAACTAGCCCCTCCTCAACTCTCAACTTCCAAGCTTCACTATTATCATTCTGTTGGATTGGAATCCCCAATGTCCGACTAATTTCTAATTAGATTGACCTCAATGTTTAAGAATATCAAAGAGAAAACATGCGGCGCTGTTTGATTCCAAGCAACATAAGGCACCCGCCGCAGGCAGTGACAGCGGTCAAGATCTGACGTCAATCCTGGACCGATCGCAACGCGCCGACCTTACAGTGCTGGTGGCGGAGATCATTGAATCCATGCGAATCGTGGTTCTGGAGGTCTTCGAAACTACCAATGAATCTATATCGCCTATATCATCGCCAAATCAGACTCCGGATGGTTCGGAGGACAAAGAAACCAGTCCGCCCTTGCCTGCTCGGCCCCAGGATGATTCTAAGTCGAACTCAGCACAAGGCGGAACCCCCAAACCAAGGTCTGGTCCCAGAAAGAATGCAACTGCAGCCGCAGCTAAAGCACGCGCGAAGCAGAGAGCACTCTCACATTTAGAGGACTGGAGGGATGCTGTGCTGTTGCGTATTGGCGAGGTTGTTAACAAGGACAATGAGGACCATGAGCAGCGAGCTAAGGATAGTAGCGAGAATACCACCGACACTGATGTTCCTCTATCCGAGGAGGATAAGAAGAGAATGGAGAAGCTACAGCAGGTCTTCCACCCAGTGGAATCGCCGCTGGCCCTGCTCCCCAAGGCTACAAGACTGCTCATCCTACACTCGCTCCTTTTGCTGCTGCTCAGCTTGAAGCACTACAATGCTTACTCACGGGCACTGATGCTCCATGTTGCATCGAGCTTGGAGATTGACATTAACGTGCTTAATGAAGACGAGGTAAAGGTGGCACGGGGCCTTCTGGATACTGCCCTGGCCCTCTCCGACGCAGAGACACAACAGCCCATTAAAAAGAAGGACGATTCTTCCCGGAAATGGAAGGTCGGGATTGCATCCGTCGCTGGTGCCGCCTTGATCGGTATCACCGGCGGCCTTGCCGCTCCGCTGGTGGCGGCGGGGATTGGAACCATCATGGGTGGGCTAGGACTCGGCGCCACTGCAGCAGCTGGCTACTTGGGTGTTCTGGCCGGGAGTAGCGTAGTCGTCGGTGGTCTGTTTGGTGCCTACGGCGGACGCATGACTGGTCGGATGATGGACAAGTACGCTCGCGAGGTTGAAGACTTTGCGTTCATTCCGATTCGAGGATCGAGAGGCCAGCGTAGCGAAAAAGAGAGCGAGGCAGCTCGACAAGATCATCGACTTCGAGTCACAATTGGTGTTACTGGGTGGGTTAAAGAAGAGTCGAATTTCGTGGTTCCGTGGCGCGTTGTTGGTGCCGACTCGGAGGTATTCACTCTGAGATGGGAGACCGAGGCTCTGATGAAGCTTGGAAACGCCATTTCTGCACTGGTGACGAGCGCGGCTTGGTCGGTTGCAGGACGAGAAGTTCTGGCCCGTACTGTATTTTCAACAATCATGAGCGCAGTGATGCTGCCACTGGGTCTCTTGAAAGTGGCCGGCGTGGTCGACAATCCGTTTAGTGTTGCTAAAGCCCGAGCCGACAAAGCGGGCGAGGTTTTGGCAGATGCATTGATCAATAAGGCGCAAGGTGAGCGGCCAGTGACTCTCATTGGGTATTCTCTGGGCTCTCGCTTGATTTTTTCATGCCTGCAAAGTTTGTCTAGAAGAGGCGCCTATGGCTTGGTCGAGTCTGTCATTTTGATGGGGTCGCCAGCTCCGTCGAATCTAGACCACTGGTTACGGATCCGGAGCGTTGTGAGTGGACGAGTGATTAATGTCTACTCGGAGAACGACTCAGTGCTTGCCTTTCTCTATCGAACAAGCAGTCTCCAGCTTGGTGTTGCAGGCCTCCAAGCAATTGAAGGCGTGCCTGGAGTGGAAAGTCTCAATGTCAGCGAAATCGTCAGCGGCCATCTCCAATATCAGTTCTTGCTCGGCAAGATCCTGACGTCCATTGGGCTTCAAGATGTCGACAAGCAAGAAGTTGAGAGTGAAGAAGCCGCTTTGGCAGTCGAAGATAAAAAGCAAGAAGAAGAGCGGCGTCGAAATGAGCGCAAGGCTGGCATTGAGAATGACAATTCCTCTGCTGCTCGCGAGAGGCTCAACAGCCAGGAGGGCTTCGGGGAAGAAGAAAAAATGCAGAAGCAGGTGGAGACACAGACTGAGGAACATATGACACATCACCGAATTCAAATGCTGGATTTGGACGATGACGATTACTCTGCTCCTTTACCTGACCAACCTGGAAAGCACTCCGCCCTTTAGAGCGACAGGCCCTTTAGAACGACAGCCATGATACTGTGAGAGAAGAATAGAACAGCAAAGGGAAGTCCATATGATGATATTGAAATCAACCCGCGATTGACGCCAACTTTGAATCCTATAAATGATAAATTATTGCAGCAAAGTCTACATTTTTTGACTCATACACAATAGTAGCTCAAAAAGTCCAAATGAAGAGAAAAGAGTACTGGCCAGCAGTTACATCTCGTACTGCATGCGATCATTTCCCTGGGAGTCCATCGCCATCCTGCTAGCTTGAAACATAGAGTACGTTGCCTTGATCTCCCGGAAGAGCTCAACGGGATTGAACAGTGCGAACCACGCGTACAGACCCAGAAATCCACCTTGGTAACGATTTGTTTTGTAAATTCTGCCACTCTGAGTCTCTTCCACGGCAAGATATTCTCGGGAGCCCGAGTTGTTTGTTAGTTCATAAGGGCGGGTACTGTATGCCCAGTGAAAAAAGAAGGAGAATGGGACCATTTGGAGGCAGATGATCATTGTTGGAATTCCAATATAGGCGTCAGCATAGCTCAATGTTGAAGTAGGGTTCAGAGTGTCTGTGGAATGGAGAATCAAGAAGATAATCTATCCGGTGTTAGAAGTTGTTCACTATTCAAGCATTGGGCGGTGAGGTATAAGTATCGAACCTTTTCTAGAAACGCCAAGCCAACAACTAATTTAAAGGCCAATAATTTGTATAACGGCTTGTGTTCTTTCATGTAGGACTTGAGGTTCATATAGAAGCGAAGAATTGCCATGACAGCCATGATCTCGGAGAAGACTTGAAGGATGTTCAGCTGGAAAGTTTGTTAGTTTTTATGTATTGGAGAAATGATTGAGCGGTTTGAGCCTACCCAAAGATGAGCGAAGTGTCTGTCATTGCTATCGAGGCAATAAACGTTTGCCGCCTCAGTGATACACTGGGCAATGGCAATAACAAAAGCGACAGGCGTGTACTGAATGACAAGGAACCATGTTTTCTACAGCACAGAGTAGGTTAGTCGGATTTTCCTGCAATTAACGAGTTCACATTATAGATAACTCACATTGAGCCAAGACAATCCATCCGTGGTTTCTCCAGTCTTGGAAGGAATCCTGAGGTTTGCAAAGAAGTAGACGCGGTGTCGATCGTTTGGCGCAAGGAAGTCACAAAGGAGCATGAGGAAGTTATACAATGCAAGTCCCTGAAAGACTTCAATCCACCCTACGAGGTAGACGTATGAATTGGGAAAGCAAATTGCGAAGAAAGAAAGAATCGAATATAGGGGGAATAACATGGCAATTCGCATGATTCTGTGGAGTTTGTATGTTAGGGAATCCGAGGATTTTTGTCTCTTTGGTACGAGTCATAACGAACTTTACTTGTTCATTGGGATTACTGTATCTTATTGCATGCATGAACATCAAAGCAAAGATGACCAGACAAGTAATCGCAGTACAGGCACCTGAGAAGATCATGTTGAATTGGTGGAAGGTATAGTCGCCCACAAAATTTTCGGGTGCATCTGATTCCAATCGGTTGTTAGAAAATTTTGACCATGATTATTAGAATTATAATGATTCCAGCTACACATACCAGCCACGAGGGGCCTTGGCATCGGACAAGTTATGTCGTCATTGTCGTTGTCGTGATGAGTAAAGATGCCCATGGTTGCGAGCTTTTGGGGAAAACCCTTGATGATATCTTTTTTCCAAGTGATCAAAAACGAGAAGAAAAGCGCTGAATATAAAAATGTTACCCGCGATGATGTGCGATGGGAAAAATTGAGATCAATAAAACAAATTGTATCAAGAAACTCAAAGGCGCTTCAGATGAGAAGTAGACCAGCAATTGCGATATCCACGCGGGGCAAATGAAAGATTTTATATCGAATCTCTGCTTCATTAGGCGTGCTCGCAGGGCTTTCCATATTGGGCTTCCTCACTAGTGGGCGTTGGTAGATCTTCTGCTTGTTTAGCAGCTGGGGTTTAACATTTCCTCAGAGCAACAGGGCCTCAGCCCTGCCATTTACAGCTGTCTCCGCACTTAGCCAAATGGAGCAGGCGATGCGGCCGATTGGGCGGCTCTCGTCGCTCTCATTGGCCGCTGCCGAGTCAGCAGCCGTGGGGCAGCCGCTAACCAGTTTGGGGCAATTATCGCGGTGCTGAAGTAAATGCACATGGTTCTGGAGTTTATCTACTATAGCTGAAGGCTTGGCGGGGCTTGGCGGTGGCTGTGAAGGAGTATCGTCATGGAATTCAATCTGGACCTGAGCGCGCAGCCCCTTATTGCCATCTGTTTTTCTTGAGGCTAATATCCCGACCAATTTGTCAAATGTTTCAAAGACAGTTCTGGGCTAGTTGAAATGCCGAACAATCGAGGACCTAGTAAAGGCTGCGAGCGGTGCAGGGGACTCAAAGTCAAGGTAGCCTCCACTAAGTATCTGGGCCGTGGAAGTCGACATTTGATGCTGATAGACCGCAAAGTGCGATGAAGACAAACCTGCCTGCCATCGGTGTCACAAAGGGGGCTACGAGTGTAGTTACCAACCCGAATTTGATCGCCTCCATAGGAACCAGAACACCGTCGCGCAACTCACGGCGATCAAGAAATGGCGCCAGCGCGCGGATGCAGCACCGCCCGCGATCAACGTGGGCCTCGTTCAGGAGCCAAGTTCCTCACTCTATGACCTCGCATATGAGCGGTTCTGTTTTGACTTCGTCAAACCCTGGCCCGGGTCCCTGAGCCGGCTCCCCCGGTTGCTATCCGAGACGACTTCCGATTCGTGCCTGCGCTCAATATCCACCGCCATTTTTTATGCTAATTTTCACGGCCGATGTTATTCATTGGACGCCAAGGAGGCCAGTGCCATCCATTATGGTCAGGCCCTACAAAAACTGACCCGTGTGATGACCGACCCCAATGCCATACAGCAAAGTGAAATCCTCATGGTAATCTTCCTGCTGAGTCTGTACGAGGTCAGTACACCAACCAATTTGTCAGAGATCATATAATCGAACCTATATATATAACTGTTCTACCAGATGTTTACTTCTGATTCCCGCGACGGGTCCTGGATTGCACATATGCGCGGGACTCAGTCGGTGATTGCTCAACGCGACATTAGTAGTTTGCAAGACCAAGGGCACTACCTCGCATCCCTCTGCATTCATTTGGTACAAACTATTCGAACCCTCGTGTTAATCTGTGCTTTTTGAAAAGAACCAAAAAATTAGACAGCCCCGGTATGACTAATACTATATCTCAGGCCGTATACTACGTATCAGAACGGAGATTGCCGCCACCACATCTCTATCAATGGGTCCAAAGCACCTCCTTTCCGTTTGACCGCAAAGGGGACCTGGTCTATATTATGTTGAAGACGGCTTCCATCTGCTTCAAATTAAACCAGCGCTGCGGACTACATCGCACCGGATACTCCGACAGCCTCGAGGAGGATCTGGCACTTCTCGACCAAGCCCTCGCTCTTGACTCCGACTTCGAATTTTGGACGTCCAATTTACCTCCTAAATGGAAGCAAACGGGTATGACCCCAATCTCACTTACTGGTCGCCCGGACTGGATTCGCGACCTCTTCGCCTCCCCCGGTGCACCACAGTATACGTACCGTTATACGACCCGTCTCGCCGCAAGCGACTGGAATATGTGCCGCGCCACGCGCATCAGACTCCACATTCAGATCCTCGAGTTTCTTTCCACGTGTTCTTATCCAGTGTCTGCCGCGGCCGTTCTGGAGAAGGACAGTCTCGATAAACTGATCCTCTTCACAGACGAGATTGCGGCCACGATCCCGTTTGCGCTGGATATCTCGCCAAATGGTGGGTCAGACTTGGCCTCTTCGAATATGATCCCTGGGCTATGGGCGTACATGATGCTGTGGTCTACCCAGTCTAGCCTGGCGTGTCTACAGCACCGGTTCAGGTGGCATCGCGACACGATCCAACGCGCGGACTGGTTCCGGCAGATGCTTGTGTTCCTGCGCGACGCAACGGGAATGGCCAAGGTAGATGTGTTCCTACAGGACAATCAGCTAGAGACTTTCTAAAAATTGATTTCCGAGGGGAGGTTCTGTGCTGATGATAATGATTGAATGCTTTGTTTCTATGCGCTTTGCCCTCTTCGTTGACTGTTTCATTCGTTTTTGTCTTATAGATTTTCTCTTTAGAATGTTCAAGCTTTCTGAGGTGCTAAACCTATCTGTCATCTCTTGGATAATTTTTGTTGCGTTCGAGACCCTCTGGGAAATGGGTTCAACTCGCTAGATGAGCTCCGTGTACGGAGTGAGCTCTTTCGCTAATGCTCATCTCGACTGCTCCACTTGCGCGAAGCTATGACCACCTGGACGGCCCTGAAGAATCACCTTGACACAACTTCCCCACCACAACTCTCCCACCTCCTGTCATGCCTTTCCATTATTCCTCTCCGGCCAAAACATCTATGTTCAGCGACTGACTAACTCAATCTTCACGGGATAATCAGCGATCCCCTTGCCCCACCAGTTCTACAACCCAAACGAGACAAGAAAGGAAAGCAAGGAAAACCAATCACCAGCTGCCCGGAGCTCCTTATCTCTACCACAACACCCTAAAAAAAAATATCGCGCCATGGATTCCATACCCAACCCAGGCCTCCCACCCCCGCCACACCCCGAAACCATGAAAGCCTGGCTCTATTCACGCACCACCGGCGGCCTCGAAACTAACCTGCACCTCTCCGCTAAGGCCCGGGTCCCGCCCGTTCCCCGCAACGCGGAGGTCCTCGTGCGCGTGATCTCCGCTGCTATCAATCCGGCTGACTACAAAGTGCCCGAGCTGGGGCTTCCCGCACGGCTGGTCATCGGGATGCCGTCGTCGCCAGGCATGGACTTCTGTGGGCGTGTCGTGGCGACAGGCCCTGCTGCGCGGCAATTTACGCCCGGTACGCTGGTGTTCGGCAGCGTCGCGCGGCCGGTGCGCTTCGGGTCGCTGGCGGAATATATGGTGATGGACGCCGGGGCGGGCCAGGTAGTGCCGCTGCCGGACGGCGTGGCCGTGGATGAGGCTGCGGGCGTGGGGATCGCAGGGGTGACGGCGATGCAGAGTCTGGCGGGGTATGTGACGGCGGGCAGCCGAGTGCTGGTGAATGGAGGATCGGGTGGGTGCGGAGTGTTTGCAATCCAGATCGCGAAACAAATGGGGTGTATAGTGACGGCGACGTGCTCGACGCGCAACCGCGAGCTGTGTTTGCGGCTCGGGGCGGACGAGATCCTGGATTATACGGCGGAGAAAGATCTGGTAGGGACGCTGGCAAGTCGCGGGCTGATCTTTGATCACATCGTGGATCATATCGGCACGCCTGGTGACATGTACTATCGGTGCCATGAGTTCTTGAAGGAAGGCGGGGTGTTTGTCCAAGTCGGCGCATCGTCAATGACCACACAGGTAGGGCGAATGGGCTGGCCGGCGCTGCTGGGCGGCGGGCGCCGCAAGTATGTGATTCTGCTGTTTCACAACGACGAGCAGCAGCTGCGCCAGCTGGGCGAGTGGATGGCGGAGGGCGCCCTCCAGGTGCCGCTGGACAGCGTGCATGAGTTCGAGGATGCGGTTCAGGCATTTAAGAAGCTTCGTTCCGGCCGGGCTCGTGGCAAAATCATCGTGCATGTCACCAAGGCTGAAGAGCAAAACCTGGAGCCGTTTGGGATTGGGCTATGAGAATGGAATTGGGTTGAGTCTGTGTGCTGTGGAGGGAAATGGGAAATGGAAACGACGTTCACGAACAATATATATATCTATGTACCTCGCCAAGTGTATAATCAACTTTCATAAACTTATCAGTTTTGTTTTCCGAGGAAAGTCAGGGCACCCAACACCATAGCATCCACCCCCGTCCGGAGCGTAGGTTCAATGACTGGCGCAAAGAACGGGGAGTGATTGTTAGGCAATTCATCCACCGTGCCATTCTCGACCGCCTCATCCCAGCTCTTCTCGTCGACGCCGCCAAACATCCACATTGCATATGGCGCCCCCACCGCCGTCGCCAGCAGCGAGAAATCCTCACTCGCACTCGGCCGCTCCATCTCCACCAATCGATCCCCGAAATACTCCTCAAACGTTCCCCACAGCCTCCCCACCGTCGCCCCATCATTCACCGTCGGTGGACTTGAGGACGTCCGTGTAATCGTCGGCACCTCCGTTGCACCTCCGGCTCGACACTCGGCCTCGATAATGCGCCGTACTGCAGCCACAACCCGCGTTCGCACAGCAGGCTTATCCGTGCGCAGGCTCAACTGTAAGTCCAGAAAGTCCGGGATGATATTCGCCGCTGTGCCTGCGTGGATACTCCCACAGGTTACGACCGCCACCTCTCCCGGCGCGACCTCGCGCGCGACCACACTCTGCAGGCGCGTCACGATGGCAGCGCCAATCACAACGGGGTCCACGGTCGTTTGCGGCGCGGAGCCGTGCCCGCCACGGCCGAACACACGCACATCGAACGAGTCCGCCGCCGTGAGCAACGCGCCAGCACGCAGACCTACGGTCCCGGTGCGCATGCGTGTGACGTGCTGCGCGAGGACCAGGTCCGGCCGCGGGACGCGCTCGTACAATCCATCGTCCAGCATGGCTTGCGCGCCGTCGAGGTGCTCCTCGGCAGGCTGGAAGACGGCGACGAGCGTGCCGGCCCAGTGGCCGCGGGCGGCATGCAGGGTCGAGATCGCAGCGAGCAGGGCGGCAACGTGGAAGTCGTGGCCGCAGGCGTGCATGACGTCCGGGACGGCGCTGGCATAGGGCAGGTTGGTCTTCTCAGTGACGGGGAGGGCGTCCATATCGGCGCGCAGGAGGAGCGTTGGGCCTGGGCCGTTGGCGAGCACAGCGGCAACTCCATGGCCACCGATCTGGGTGTGCACCTCGACACCGGGGATGGTGGAGAGGTGGGCTGCAGCGGTGCGGGCGGTCTGCGCTTCTTCGCCGGAGAGCTCCGGCGAGCAGTGCAGATTGCGGTAGATGACCTCGAAGGGCGCTAGGTCTGGCCGGAAGCGCTCAAGGAGAGCTTGCCAAGAGGCATTGAGGCGGACTGGAGGCTCGTCTGTGGGTGGTTGGTTAACAATCGTGGTAATGAAACAGGGGCCCCTTTGGGCAGGGGGAGATTATAAATATCAACATTCTAGTTTTGGGTGTATATGTACCTTGGTGGAGGGTCATTGCGGACAAACTGAAACGACGACCAGTCGATGCTTGTTTCGATAAAGTATGAAGTTTCTTTAGATCCTGGCGCGTAGATGGCGGGTTAAAAGGGAAGATGTAAAATTAGAGGCCGAATGAGGAGGGAGAATGGGGGTTTCTCTGGAAAGCCCAAGCCCGAGGACCCAGCATCGGGTCTTCCATGCTCCTGGCGTCCTTCAGAAGCGGGGTCCAGAGGATTCATTCTGTGTGGGACCAACGGGGGGAGATTGGTGAATGTACTAGACTCTTTGATGTTGGTTGAGTTCCCCACAGTCTCGGCAAGTATGATTAATGTTCTACGTGCGGAATTGCGGAAACATAATGTTATGTATACTATCAACTTACAGCAGGAGGTAGTAGGCACAGTAGAAAACTAGATTACTTGAATGTTTTTTTTTTTTTTTGTTTCATTGATCTCTCTACATTCAATATCTTGTACTCTTCCACATTTCTTTTTCAAAGGAGCTGGTTTTCTCCAGAATTATTTGTCAAGTGGTTCTGAACAACGTGAGTGGGTCTGCGCGGAATTGAGACGCAGAGATATATATTGGTGCAGACGGCCGCAGCAACGGTAGAGAGCATGCAGCCCTAGGGAACCGGACATACGCTCGCACCCTGTGGCAGAATCTTGTCACCCACCTATAGTCCCCATGGCATAAATCTATGTTTCAACAGTATCCCAAGATCTTCGATCATCTTCTATTGATGCCTGGATCCCAGATCAATCCCTGCTCAGCTGAAAGGTAAGAGCCAGGCCTCATTAGGGATCACTCATTCTGCCTTGTGCTTGGGCCGGGTTCTCGCCACAATCCCCGTCCCCGTCTGGAGAGGAAACGCATCTTTGCTTTTTTGCCCGGGCGTTATGTCTCGGTTCCATGTACCACCCCAATTGATATTTCGTCTTGGTGACAGAGCCTCTGACGTCGTAGTAATGGCGGCTTTTGGAATGGTCACTGGCGAGTTCGTTTGTCCCAAACCGCGACCGGGCCGATCCCCACTCAGTGGGGCTTCCCACATGCGTCACAGCCACTCATGGCGCACATATCTGGGATAAAAAATTCTACGCAAAAAAAAAGAAAGGATCTCAGGTTATTTGTAGGAATAGCCGAACGCGGGGGTCGAACCCGCAACCTTGAGATTAAGAGTCTCACGCTCTACCGATTGAGCTAGCCCGGCAGGGCTGGTTGAAGGTCAATGAGCAAGAGCGGACCAGATGGACAAAAGTAAGGAGGGAGGAAGCATCGACGGAATCTGGATGTTTGGTAGCAGAACGAACGAATAGCCCAAGTACACTAGACTCGAAACCGGAAAGGGCGTAGGGTTCCTATCACTTGAAGCCCTGACATGATAAGGGTGACCTCAGGGATCGGGAGATCCAGGAAGCCGTGTAAGCTGACGGAGAGGATCACGGTTCATTGAGAGGCACGAGACAATTCCAATGCCCCAGTCGATCGATTGTTGGGAAGAACAAACGGATACGGTGTCCATATCGAGAGTGACGGGGACGAGAGTTCGAGCGCACGGCCCAGGCAATTGAGCCCGGGTTGAACTTGAACTTGGGGTCCAATTATTCGTCGGTGCCTATGGAGGCAGACAAAATAACCGCATTGGCAAGAATATGGTCACAGAATGGCGCGCGTCAATGTGCAACAAATTCATGTTCGAGATTTGCAAGCACTACGCCCTATCGTTCAAGGGGAGCATCTGGCCAGGACCCCTGGGAAGGGGTTCGAGCGGGGAAGAGGAACGGAGAGGAAAGGAAAGGAAAGGAAAGGAAAGGTGGCTATTCCAGGTGTCAGCAATTCCCTAAGAGACACCCCGTGGCTGGTAGATCGAATCATAACGCGGAATAAGCGGGTTTTGTGGCTGGGGCTGAGCCAAAGCCTGGTAAAGAGAGTAAGCAACGCCAGAAACCTCTCTCGACTTTCACCCTGGGGTGTGCCCTGGACGTCTGTGGCTTTGCGGCTGGTGGGCACAGGAAGTCCAGAGCGAGACCGGGGGGTTCGCTGGTTGAACTACGTCTGCATGGCTCGCAGTCATAGACGTGGGGTCCGAATGCGCATTGATCCCTGTTTCCCCCTCCGATCGGCAAGCCTATTCTTAGGAAAGCCCGTCCCTCGCCAAAACACCTCGTCATATCACCAAATTTGGCATCCTATGAAGGCATCGTGAGCACTGCCTGCCAAAAATCCATCCCTGAGATTCTGAATGCTGAATGATGGGCGAAGAGAGGTTCCATGCCTGTCACAGTAGACGCTGGGGTCTGGGTGGATTCGGGAGGAAAGCGGCAAGCGGAGCAAATCAGCGGGGACAACGGTAGGGGGAAGAGCCTCAGATGGAACGATCGCGGGACGGAGCGACTGTGGATTGAATATTCACAATGACCCGATTTGTTTTTTTTGTTCGTCTGGGATCAATGGAGCAGGGGCATCGGAGGGCAGTCCATGACGTGCACGAGGGATCGGGGAACCGTATGCAGGTCGTACGAGACCAGACATCCGTCGCAGGGGGGGGAACAGGGGGAACACGAGACCCATCGAAGATGCGGCGCAGGAACACGAGAGGCTCAAGCCACAGCAGGGGTGGGTTTGGTCCATGATGACATCGGAGGACCGAAAATGCGAAAGAGAGAGAAAGAGAGAGTGTGTGTATGTGTGTAGGCAGCAAAGAAAGTTGAAGGGGCCAGAAGATGGGGTCTAGAGGTTGGCGATCACGGGCAACGAGCAACCACAAACCAACCTGGTCCAACGTCCTCCCAACGCAAGAGGGTCCAGGATATCGAGAGCAGACCGACGAGCCTGTGGCTGCGGGCCAATCAGGCGATCGGGCACCGTCCACACGGCGGTGTCAACTGAGCCACACGCTAGCGGCTACTGGGCTTGATACTGTTTTGATACTGGTTCATGACGGGGCAGTCATGCCTTAAGCCAGTCCTGGGGGTCTGCAGGTCTACACAGCGAGTACCTGACCCCATTGGCCTTCTGCATGTGGACCCGCGTGGATCTGCCGGTCCTGGTCAAGTCGCTGTCAAGTCACTGTCAAGCCTCTGCGGAGTCCCTGTGGAGCCCTTGAAGCCTCGACGCCTCGACGCCTCGACACCAAAAAAAGATGCCAGGCTGCCACATGCGCGAGGCCGTGAAGTATATAATATTATACTTCTCCCCCACCAGCTTCACCCTTCTCCCCCCTCCAGATTAACTCATACACTCAACTGACCTGATTATTTGGACTCCTCCGGTTATCACTGTTGCAACTGTTATCACTGTTATCACTGCTACTGCTATTCCTACTGTTCCTCCTGTGTACTCCTGTTCACTTGGTGTCCTGTGAACTCCATCCCGCACGGTGATCATCCACCGTCTTGCGCGTGACTCCAGCAACCGGCACCCTGTCGCCCTACAGAGCCACCACTTTCTCCCTCAATCCTCGCTCCTCCAAGCAGGAGACCTCATCCCGACCTAGCTTGACACGCCGAATCTTTCGATTCGGCCGCTCCAACACCATGCCGGCTCCCATTCTCACCGAGCCGCTGCTCGTCGTGCGCAATATGCAGGACGATGAGAAGGATGTCGCGGACCGTTTCGAGCGTCACGTTTCTCACTGCTCACAATGTGCCCTGTCGCTCGAGACCGGCCGAGATGCTCTCTGTGAGCGTGGTCAACCCCGAGCCGTCGATGTCACCAAGTATTTCTACAGCCTGGACGGAAAACACCTATCAGTCGTCGACAAGGAGAGCGGTAGTCCGAAGCGAGTCAAACTTCCTCGCGAGAATGTTTCCACTCGCAAGTTGATCGAACACATCGAAAACGGCGCTCGCATTCACTCCCCTCGTGGCCGGGCCCCTCCTGTCCGCGCCCCCTCTCCTCTACGCCGCTCCACCTCCATTCACAGCTCTTATGACCAGAGATATCCCATCCCTCCGCGTCGACCGGCCCCCGTGGTTGAGTACCGCGAGCCTCGCAACTATACCCCATCCCCCGAGCCAGAGACTCCCACCCGCATCATCGAGCGATCACCCTCGAGCGCTCACCAATCTCCCTCCACCAGCAAACGCCGCGTCGTCATCTATCACTCGCCTCGTGGCTCCCCCAGTCGCAGCTCCACCAGCCGTGGCTCGCTGTATAGCATGGACCACCAGGACAGAGTCGAGTTGCGCTACAACACAACCCATATTCGCCGGCAGTCCGACTACAACCGTTGATTGACACATGTAGTCTTCTCCCTGTGAATTCTGCTTGATACGACTCTTATGATGTTCACAATCAACCCCTCGCCCCCCAACCATCACTTCACGAAACCCTTTTCGCTGGACGGGGATATCGACCGTCCTCGACTGACTGCAAGCCAGTCCCTGCCAATGTGGGATGCGTCTCCCTCACCTGGCGCCACCCTCCTCCTCTCCAGCCATCCCACCTGGAGCCGGACCCAAGGCGTATCTGAATATGCCTTATTAGACAGATGTTCCGTCATTCTACGGAGTCGGACACCCGGATTGGTAAAGATCCGGTATCTGTGGAGCAGACTTTAGAAAAGACCCGCCTGGGACTTTACTTCAGTTATTCTCCTTGGTTGGCGGTGACCATTATTGGCCTGTAGGCTCCCCTCCGAGATGCAGTTGCAGGAGGGGTAAAGGATATAGGCCAATAATGGACATGGGAAGCGACCGCCCTTTCGGCCATCATGTATGCATGCTTCGCACCCGCTGCATGTTGTCATTGGCTACTGCCTCATGACTCACTCATCTTTTTGTGGAGAACGTCTCCAGCTACTGTTGGTTTTTCTCCGCCGTTTGGATATGAAGTTTTCCTTTGTTTAGTTCATACAGTATGAGTTTTATGTGAAATGTGGCCTTTTTATGATCAGATTTGATTTGATGCCTTGTGTTTAACCTCGAGTTGACGGAAATAAATACCAAACAAATGAATTTGTCTTGCTATCATTCTATCCATTTCTTGCATGTAGTCCAGAAGCCTGAACCATAGTAAAAACCATGGCAACACTGTCCAGAAGGATCCATAGAATCTCCACTTCCCAATTTCCGCATGATCAGGTGGATCACCAGGTTCCGATGGATGTATAAGGTATATCCATTATACTCCATTCCACCTGTAGTCTACCAACTTGACACCTTTCCCGCGACAATCTTCCCTCTTTCAATCTGCCCGAACAGACCCACCAAGACATTTGTGGAATCGGTCTCCTCTGACCTCCTATCTTGGTTGGAATCATGAGTCACTGAGGGGAGATGGCGGTGGGTGTGGCTGATCTGCGGGGCAAGGCGCACAAGGCTGTCTGTATCCGGCACAGGGCGTCATCACGACCGGCTAATCCCGACCGACCAGAGCTGAACAGACGTCAGTCGAATATGCTCGAAAGTGATCTGGGTCGACTGCAGTGGTCAACTGTACTACCCAGTGTATAATATTCCCTCAAACCGGGTTCTTCTCTATCATCTTCTCCGCTTTATTGTCGGTGGAGCCCAGGCTTCCGTGGTTGTCCTTTCCTAGAAGCTCCACTCCGTCCGAGAGCCTCATCTGATCGACTCCCTAAGTGGATCTCCACCTACTATCCTCGTCGGGTTCCAAATCGGGATAAGTCTGTTACAGTATCTGCTGATGATTTGTGAACCGAGCGAGACCCGAACAGGATCCCGTCGTGTGGCTAGTGCGGAATTGGTCTCCGACTATGCATATGAGGATTTCTTAGCATTTCTGCATGAACAAGTCAGCATGCTTGTAATTCGGAGATGGGCCCAATGAGCTTCCTTACAAGTTCATGTGGCTAGATGGGTTGTAAATATGTCCCCGAACCTGAATGGAATACTTGTTTTTTATCTGATTGAATACAAAATATTCTGCATTCAACTTTCAAAGCGGGGCATGGTCCAGCATCCCCGCTCCTGCAGCAGGAACATATTGGCCTAAGAAACCAGGAATATTAAGTATTTCCATTGACTGATCTAGCTGAATGAAAATAAATTGAAAACAGCAGAGTGGGATGACCAATCTCAAAGAAATCTTTAGTGTAATTGAAAGTGAATGCTCCCAGAAACGCCAGTATGAGAAACTGGCCAAGTACAAGGACACACTAAATGATAACACTAACGGCCGTCTCGAACGCCTGCCCTTTGCTCATGCTCTTCTTTCACCCTTTTAACTACTTCCCAAACCCAGTCTAGATTCTCTTCCTTGTCACCGGCATTGTCGTCCCCCATCGTCATCGGACCCCTCGTCATCGCTCTCATCCAAGATCCTCTCCAGAATGTCACATAACAGCCCAAACATAGGCAATAGCTTACCAGAAATATCTGCAAGGATTTTTTCCACCTCTTGCTGGCCAGAGAGCCCAGTGTGGGCTTCCTCACAAGTAGGTTGGGAGGACCTGACTTGGCTTCTGCGTCGGTCCATGCGCACCGTAACACGCGGTTGACCCTGTGGAGTGTCCTGGGCCCGGCGGCTGCATCTCTCCTGGCGAGGCTGAGATTTTGGAGAGGGATGACTCTGTGCTCTCTGTTCGCGGTTGCTGTTGCATTTGCGGGTACGGGTACGGTTGTGGTTGCTAGCGATGTCATCAGCTGCTGTTGTGTGTGGCGAGGAGGAATAGACTTACCGCGACATATTGAATGTACGTGGATTGAAGGCTTGAAGTAAAGATTGCAGAGATAGAACTACTGATGGGAGGAGCGAAGGGAGCGAAGAGGATAAGGCACTTTTTATACAAGTAAGAGGCTCATTTAGTTCGTTTGTAACGGCAAAGGGCAAAAGAGAATGGAACATAGGGTCTGCTAGCCGTAAAGAAGCACCTTTTGTCATGTAAATTTTGATTAAGGATCATGCAAAACGCAATCTGACCAACCAAAAAAGGAAGTTCCAATATAGAAACGACTGACACCGTCTCTTTTCAAATTAAAGAAAATCTATGAGATTCTGGTTATTTCTTTCTGTGAGGTGGGAACATACAGACAGTCATTATTTGGGCATTAGGAAAGAAAAAAATGAGGTTTAGGTCTTGACAAGAAGAAAGATGATTGGAAGAAGGGGATTCAAGACAGGCGCAAAGATGCCTAAGAGAACTCTAAAAGTCTGAGAGCAAACAAAATACCTAGACAATGAATCTAAAGTGCACCACCTGGCAAACTTCAAGTCTAGGACAAGCCAGTCATCATCAGGCTCTGGAATCTAAACTCTCCAAACTTGCGGTGTGATGATTATCACAAGCGAACGGGATATCTCCACCCATGTTGTCAACTAGATCATGCCCGCCAACGCCAACACACACAAACTAGTTGCGCTGGATAGTCTGAGACAACCATGTATATTTGTGTTTTATTTTATAATTTGGCTAAGAATATTGTCACACCGGCGTTTAGTTTTTTTCGCCTGGAATTTTTAGGAGCTGTGAGAAGTAGAAAAATATTTTGGTAGATTGAAGAAGACAAAACAAAACAAAACAAAACAAAACAAAGACGGGATTCTCCGAGTTTTTGTGTGCCAGTGATAATCTTGGAAAGCTTTGTGCTTTAAACATATGGTGTTTCGGGACCGTCACTTGTTTGAGATGTGGGGAGAACAAAGTTATATTTTGGAATAAAGTCCGAGAAAGACTAACTGTGTACACCATATGACTACCCTTGAAGCCTAGAATATGGAGGAGAATATCTGAAATATATTTAAAGCGGACGTACCTTTCACAATCAAAAATGTAAAAAAATGAGTATCTGCAAAAATCGTGATTGAATAACGGTCTAGAAAAGCACAATGCCGGGTGTTACGTGAATGGTTAGATCGCTTGTGGGTCTTGCCATCTCTTCATGCTTGCTTGTTCTGCTTCTTCTGCCTCTCTAGTTCTCTCAAGCGACGACTTTGCGATCGAGTGACACGCTGAGTGGAATGCTGGGGACCAATCGAAGAGATGGAAGTACTGTTATTCTGAGCAGAACTGCTCTCCTCATACTCGCTAGGAGGTTCAGAATCAGCAGGAGTTGACAGAGGAGAGCCAACAGAAGACTTGGACAGATGGGTATTTTCAGGGGCATCAATTTTTTCGATATCAAATCGCATATCTAAATGCTCCGTGTCGAGATCAGTGGTCCACGTCCAGATTTTACTGATATAGTGAGTTCCACGTCCAAATTGACCAAGGACTATCGCTCCCACCACAGCACCGATCGGTGTTCCGAGTAAAAGATCATATTGCTCTGTTCCATGACCCCAGCCACGCTTTTCCTTGTCATACCCAAAAAGAATATCTTGTGCGGCATAGATCGCGTTTCTAACAACTTTGATAGTTTCCTCCTGAACCACATTTGTGACATAAACCAATTTCAAAGCTGTCTTTTGGAAATGAAAGTTGTACATAGCAAGTGCAATCTCCGATGCATGCGGACCATTAGCCCTTGAGACCACGTCAAGTATGAGGACGCCAGCACAAGAGTATGTGGTGACTGTGTTGTAAACTCCTGGAAGACCTGGAGTACTTGGAATATTTCCTGCGCGGATTCTCTTGAATTGGGAGGAAGTGAAAGTCTCTGCGATATCTGCAGTAATGCGAGCTTTGTCGAATTCTTCGCCTTCAAGATGAAATATGCCATATCCCAAATTTGCCAGGTCATTAATTCTGAGGAGGCTTAGTCTAGGGCAGAACCTCCCGCTAGGGCTAGGTGAAGCATAGTCAGTATCATCAATCCATTGGCGATAATCCTGTCCACGAAGCAGTACCGCAGCTCGGAGGGTTCCGAATTCCATGATGAAGAGGCTAAGTTCAAGAATTACAGTGAGCTAAAAAAAGTCCTTGGCTCAATGAAGTCGGAAGTTATTCGTTTGAGAATTCGCTCTAAATACTCGGGCTTATCGTGCTAGAATATGGGATTGGACTTGGATTCTACACTTGAGATGAGAAGGTCTTTTATATATTCCCCAATGGTGTTTTATACCTCGATTATTAGCGCATGAAGGAGCTCGATGAATACTTAACAGACAAAGAGGCTCAGAGGAGCGTTGATTAAGACAAAGAGGCTCAGAGGAGCGTTGATTAAGACAAAGATGCTTATTTTCATTGTTATAATATAAACAAAGAATCTTAAATTGCACCATATTGTCCATGCTCTTGTTGTAAGAATATTTCCATAAGATGACTATTAACTATGCACAATTACATAGAGAAAGCAGTCATAAATTTTACATGCAATTATTGACCCGGTTTATATGAAGCCAATCTCTGTTATTGAAGAAAATAGCAAAAAGTCTATCATTGTGTTTCACCCTCCCAAAGAGGAGTCAGCCAGAATTTTAATCTCAGTAATAGTGGTAGCGTGTTTGAGGATCTAAAATCTGTTCAATTTGTTCAATTTGCGTCGCGTAAACTATATCTAGATGAGGCCATTGGTTAAATCTTTTCAAAGGACACCACTCATTTTTGAGACAAAGTACTGCGAATAGTACCGCACATCTACGAGCTAGCGCACTTCCCACTACTACAGACCAAATCATCCGAGCAATCATCATCTGACGAACAGGAAGCACCTAAAAAGAAGAAACTATTAGTAATTAAATTCAAATTCCGGGGGAAAAGATGCAACAGACCAGCACAGTGTCCGGACCATGAGCAAGAGGTAGTGCTCGAGCTGCAAAGCCCGCTCTTGCAGACTAGATCATCGGAGCAGTCATCATCAGAAGAGCAAGAGCTGCCTAAGGGTCCCATTAGACACAAAATTACGGCATGTATGCATGCAAAGGTCAAGAAAAATCATATAACTCACCAGCACAGTGCCCAGACCAAGAGCACGAACCAGAACCGCTCGTTGATGTTGGGCTGGAGGTAGTAGTGGTGGATGGGTTACCGGAGCCGCCAGAGGATAGATTCAGGTTTTTCGCAAGAGCAGTAATCAACTTATCGCCCATGGATCGTAAAGTGCTGAAGTTGGTAACATAGTTATTATTGAGGGCGCTGCTTGGGAGGACGGCGTCGTCGCCAGTGAACAAGATATCTTGGGGAAGTGTCAGCATTGCTTCAACTTGAAATATTTTGCCAACATACAGGTCACATCAACACCAGTATGGCCACTGTTGCCGTTCAGGTCGTCATTGGGGAAGCATGTCCGAGCCATGAGCCACGATGCTTCACCAATGACCTGAGGATCATCCCCGTCAGAGTCTCCGTAGATGCCATAGAACATCTTACCACCACTAGATGAAGATCAGTCAGAAGACTACGGAAAGTTTCTGGAGCCCTACCAAATAACAGCGCCAACATTGTTGCCTGGAAGGACGCTCTGGTATGTTGTTCCAAACTTGTCTGGAATAACAAAGAAGGGGACCTCATATGCTGCAAGAGCGCCAAAGTTGGTTTGGGCCTGACCATCTTGATTGCCCTGTATGATGAAGTTAGTCATTGAATACTAAATACAGGGCCAACGTCAAATATCATCCTGCCCACCTTGCATTTATAGTCAATACCATCGCAGTCTACATCCATATCGGCTACCCAAACGAAAGCAGCACCCTGTTTATCCCGACCCTTAGTATATTTGGTCAAGGAAACAGTAATTTAAACATGTACCTCACTGAAGCTGGACCAATCACTATGGATAGTCACCTTGGAGGCACCACTGTCGTTATTGACAGGATACGTCGCATCTTTCGCAGCGGTACTGGCCTTTGCAGCGGCACTTTGGAGGGCCGCGACAGGAACAGTCGTGGCAGCCGCGAAATAGCTTGAGGGCGGACCGGCCGTTGGGTTGTTATATTGAGAGCCATCAACACTCTGTCCCAAAGCCGGACCGAGCAAAACTAGAGAAGTCGCGAGGGTAAGAAGCCTGAAGGCCATTTTGGAGAATAGATATAAATATAATTTGAAAACAAGGGTCTTAGCCAGCAGTTTTTTTTTTCTTGAACACTGCTGACAGGTTTCGATGGAAATACTTATACTGCCAACACGGAGGGTCTCATATCACTCGAGGACCACTCAGGACGTCACTTTTACCGCACCAAGTTGCCGTAAAACATACAAACCACACATGACGCTCTTTTTGCTCCTGTTGGACACAATGAACTCAAAGATCCTGTACCATAAGCTGAGACCTACTAGCTGAATTTGGCAGTTCCTCTGCAAGTTATCAGCGAGAGTATGTACTTTTGGGCAACCGGAGCAATATGGCAGTTCCACCGACGCAGGTCATCAAGATGTGATTAGTAGTGGGGCCAGGGAATAACGCGGCTACAGGGCGCCACCTCTCCAGCGCGCAGCTGGCAACACAGTCAGAGTCGTTGGAATGAGATAGCAAACGTGAAGTTATGTTCTTGAGAGGGCATAGCAGGTGTGAGAAGTTCCATCTCGTGAGCATGGACATCAATCGGACCGATATTTCCAAACCAGAATGGATGTCATTATCGTATCTTTCATACATCGTATCTGCGACGAGGACCCTGTTTCAGCCCCCGAGTGCCCCTTTCCCCTGGTGGCCAAACAGGTGCATCTCATTGGTCCTTCACAAGCTTATTCGGAGTCTGGGGAACGGCCGAAGTAACCTGAAGACCCATGATCACCTCGGGCATCTCAACCCCTAGTCCCGGTTCATTAAGCGAGTTATAGCCCTGCATAACACAGGTGAGAGCTAAGCTAATCCAAGCAGTCCAGTCCAACTGGAAAGTATCGATGTGACATGGGGTGATTATTGAGCTCGTTCAGGACTTCTTGACCCGGGTTTACCGGTAGGTTTGCCGGTGCGTGTGAGTACCTGTCAATAATCTTTCATGATCAGTTACAGAGAATCTAGCAGGAAATAATATATGTAATTCTTTGTAATAGACACCCTAGACTGAGCATCGATATGAGTCCAGCCACCGTATCCCGAGTCAAATTCGTGACTTGATGACTCAGCACACCACGTGATATTACTCCGCGGCCAGGTTTGCCCAGCGGCGCTTGAATTTCCACTTTATCGAACCACCGATCCAATCTCCTTGGGACATCGAGCAAAATGGCCAAGAAAGGTGAGCAGCAGATTGATTCAATACCGTCAGACTTCATGAATTCTGCGATATCCCCAGTTGCCCCCGAATCATGCCTCCTGCGATGACCATCCCGCAAAGCTTTCCCCGACGTCCGCATGACCAGCGTGCTAACCAATCTCTTTTCTTTCACAGCGAAGTCACGCACGATCGCCGTCCGGCTAATCTCCATGGCCATGACCGGGTACTACCGCACGATGATCCGGCCGCGTGCGCACCGTCCGCTCTCTATGTTGAAATACGATCCCGTCGTGAAGAAGAAGGTGCTCTTCCTGGAGGCGACCAAGGGCGGAAAGGCCAAATAAAATCATAGCCGATGATTGATCTTCGACTTCCGGCCCTGCATTACCTTTCACCCTCCGGCCTGGGGGATTTCAAATGGACGCCGTGGCAGCTCTGATCTTTCGAAGTCGATGCCGCGGCAGCCGACTGGCATAGGCTTCGCCGCTCTCCCGTCTTGCATTCTCAGACCACTCCTCTCGATTGGAGATTGGTCTTTGTCCTTTACGTTCCATTGCGGACCCGAATCGATGATATGATAATTAGTCACGGTGTTGTGTTGGCTGTGACAGGGGGTTGTTTTTGGAGGGAGCTTAACCGTCCTTCGTGTACATTATATCCTGGGAAGTGCTGACGGAGAGAGACGTTTATCTCTCGGTTGCTCCACCGTGTACTTCCTTTTGGTGGAGCATTTGTGTTCGGCGTTTTAAGAGCATTATAGCTTTTTGGGATTTTCAATTGAAAATAAGAGATATTTCTGCTACCTATCGCAGCCTTACCTTGCAAGTGGGTGCAATCATCTCGGGAGTGATACTCGCTGGGATGATGTAAGACATAGCAAAATTGCACTGGCAATATAGGGATACATCCCAGTATAAGCATACATGAAATTAAAATCTGCCTCACGCAATCCCATAACGTCACACGCTGCATGAACTGAATGCCTTGTCCCGTTTGCAAAAATAGTTTCGAATAGGGTTACTTGTTTTATCTGGTTCTGGGCACTGTACTATTCAGCATTCTTGACTGAAGCGAGCGCTGTAATGGTCGCCTGTTCGCGATAATTAGAACACGAGATCCCTCCAGAACCAAGCACGAATGAAGCGTACCTCGAGAGCGACGTCTACCTCTGCTTCGGAGATTCGAACGACCAACAGCTCTGCTTGTGCTGCTCGCTGATACAAGAGTTTTAGGACTGGTCCGTCGTTCTGCTTTAATCAGACATGGAGCAGCAGCCGCAGACTGTTCCTGCTGGACTTGAGTTCCCGAATTCTGGACACGACCGTAAGTCCACTTGTGTATATGCTTCGTCATCTTGTTGGCATGGTCTTCCATAGCTGAAGCATCCTCCGTGGGGGTCTGAACATCGGCTGGGGCCGATGGGACGTTAGGAATTTCCTTCGTCTGAATGTTAGAACCCTCAGAACGCTGTGCTGCAAAGTTGACGGCCTTGCGCTTTCTGTTTATCCGGACGCATGGAGCACTTGTGTCCGGAGGAATTTCGAAGATATTTCCAGTTTCATCTGCTGCCTTTTTTACCGGATTGTCAGCCTGAATGCCATCTTCAGTAGGCCCGGGGGCTCCTCGGGCTTATTCGCGATACGATGCGGAGTTGACAGCATGAGGTCATCAGACATGAAGAGCATGGCAAAGTCTGTTTGGTCTTCGTACAGAGGCGTCATTTGCTCCGATGAGAGCTGGGTTTCAAGTGCAGAAAAGGACACAATTGGGGTTGCCGAGGGTACTGGAAATTTCTCTCGTGCTGTTGGTGCAATTGACAGCCTCTGTTCAAGGGCATGAATATTTTCTTGCGATTGCCGGAGTTGTTCTTGAAGGTCGTTCCTCTCCATACAGGAAGTCGCTTCTGATTCTCTGTACCGTTGGACCTCGGCGGTTTGTGCATCTAGTCGAGCCATGGATTCGGTACAAGATTTCCGGAGTTGTTGCATCTCATCATTTGTTTGCTGGGCCTGTAAAACTTAGCCGAGTAGAAATAAAAATCGTGGTAGCCTACCAAAATTGCTCGTTCTCTTTGTCCATCGGCGATGAAGTCTTTAGCCTTGATCTGTAAAATTGATTTAGTAAAAATGATCTCTCCAACTCTGTGTGTTCTAGTACCTTACCAGAGACCCTTGGACTTCACTCAGCTTGGACGCCAGCTCCTCTGAGCCCATTTTGAATTCATCCTTATCTTTCTGGAGTATTTTCAGACGTTCTTCGTACTGGGACTCGATTTGCGCCTTCAAAATAGCGTGTTCTTTATTCATTTCTTGTCGAATCCTCTGCTCGGTCACCTCCATTTCACCTCGTATAGCCGTTGTTTCAATTCGTAGTCTCTGGTTGTGGTCTTCGGCTATCTTCGTCTTCTCTGTTGTTTCCATCAAGGATCGCTGTAGACCCAAGATACGGCTATCCTTCTCATCCAATTGTTTCTGGAGAGACTCTGATTCGAAATTCATTTTCTGGAGCAGGAGCTGCAACTGAGTATTTTCGTCAAATTTCGCGTTCAGCTCTTTTTGTAGTTGAATTTCTTCCTTCGGAATTTGAGCTTGCACTAGCTTTTCATTGAAATCCTTGAGATCTTGCGCAAGGTTATCTTCCGTAGATATCAAAGATTGAACCAATTCACTTGAATGACTCAAGACTGTCTCAACAGCATGTAGCTTTTCGCTGAGACTTTTGGAAGAAGTGTCACAGCCTGAGAGCTGTTTGAAAATCATGGATTCAGGGCCCATATGAGACTGCGTCAGTTCTAGGAGTTCCTGGACACTTTTTGATACGCTAACATTGATATTAGTGCTTGTGTCAACATTATGAGTGAAATTTGTCGAAACCTCTCTCATTCTATATTCATATTAATTCCAGTCACTCAATCTGATGCAAACTTTGTAGAATAGAGAACATACTGAGAAATCATATCTTGTGCTATTGCTGTGAAATTTTGAACCTCGAGTTTCTCGCTTGAAAGTGTTTCACCCAATGCCTGGATTGAAGCGAGAGCATTGTCAAAGACCTTTTGAATTTCAATGATAATCAAGTCACGCGAGTTGTTTGAGTTCTCAGCCGTAGACTCTAGGCCTGCCGAAAGGTCCCGAATTAATTTTTCTTGATCTTCTTTGATGGAAGTAAGTTTCTTCGCGTTGCTAAGTGCATAGTTCTGAATATACGATTCCAGTGTAGCAGTGCGGGTTTTTTCGCTGACAACTTCATTCTTGGTGCTTTTATATTTCTGTTGCCATGTTTCCAGTGTCTGCTGCAAGAGGGAAATACGACTCTCCTTCTCAGAAATCAAACCTCGTTGCTCTTCAATTGTGCCCTCTGCCCTCGAAATTCTGAGCTTGATGTCATCGATGGCTTGGAATAGCTCATTCCTGTCCCTCTTGAGGCTTCTTGTGGTTTCTCTGAATTGAACTGATTCATCTCGAAGGACATCATAGTCTCGCCCCAAATCGTCAACAACATGCCTAAACTTTTGAACTTTTTCCTTCCAGTTTTCCATTTGAGATTGTCGTTTTCTGGCATCTTGCTCAACCTTCTGCAGATTTGCGAGTGATATCTGTACTTGTTTGTGGAGATTTGAATTTTCCTCTTTCAATTTGATATTCTGTTTCTCAACCTGGTGCTGGATGCTGGCAGCCAGCGCTTCATCTTCTTCCCGTTGCCTGATTCTCCCAATCAGGAGCTCGAACAAGGTATCCTCAGTCAGCTGGGAAGCACCGGATTTGTTATTTGATATTGAGCGGTGTAGTCGGCTCGGTGTGGTTTTGCGGGTCTCTCGGCGACGCTTGGATACCCGAAGGTCATCTTTTGGCCTAACGGGCGCTTCTAATGGAACAGTCTTCTGAGGTCCCAGCTTGTTTCTCGGTTTTTGATTATTTGCCGAAGATGATGAGGATGGGCGAGCCAAGGTAGCCTTTGTAACATTAGTGTATGCGATTTGAATGATACAATCGTTTATACATGCCATTGACTTGCCTCCATCTAGAGACTTGGTCATCAATGAAGTCTCACTTTCTAGCTCCAGGTTTATGACAACGGGCATTTTGCTTAAATCTGCCTCGGAGCTGGATATTTTTTTACCGAGCTCAAGAGTAGTTCGTGACTCCTTGGGGTGGTCATTCTTCCGGCTCCCCGAGAAGTCTTTCATCGATGCATCAGGTAAGCCGACATACACATCATCTTCGGGTTGCCCAGGGCACTGCTTTCCAGCTTGTTCAAGCAAGGTGGATGAACTTTGTGAATGTGGGGATCAAGATTAGTATACTGTCAAAGCAAGTGCCAGTAGATAAGAAGTACTTACTCATCATACTTGGTCAATCCCTGATTATTACAAGCTGTAGGCTGACTGTGTGCGTGTACGTCTGTGGTAATACTGTGAGATTCGAAACTGGTGGGAATCACTCGATGCGGAGCCCGTAAGGAGAATTCTTTTGGTTGATTGACAGGTTTGCTGAAGGAAAAACCAGAGACATCGATGCCTGAGCTCTCGAGCCGTTGCATGAAAAGCGGTGGCTTTGGATTTGTTTGATGGCCAAATAGAGGATCAGTCAATGTAGGAGAGGCAAAAAGAGGTGAGGCAGCTTCTGTGGGTTCCGAATTTGAATTATCTGCTTCCATTGCTGAATAGAGCTCACTGGATCCGGGACCAATTGAAGAGAGGGGAATGAGACATAATTCTAGTGAAATGAAAGAGGGAAGAACAGAATAAGAAAGAAGAGTTGAAGTGAGAGTGAAATTGCACCGACGGCAGGTACGCACCATCTCGTGACCGTGAAAGCTTCAAGTGCTCAAATTTAGCTCATTTAGTTCGAACATCTAACCACCAGACATGGAGGACATTCATGTATGCTATTCCGTTCACCATTTTAAACCGAAAACTATCCAATTCTCAATTCATATGTAGGTATTGCTGAACAGATCCAGATTCCTGCTTGGAAATGTACCGCTTGTTTCTGAAGCCACCACCATCATTATCGGCCAAATCACAGCTATTTCGTTTCCCTCGCTCAATACGACATTTGTCAGTCAAGGATTGTTCCAGTATACATTCTGAGATGTATCAGGATCCTAGACTCCAGATTTTAGTCATCGTTCTAGACTCTGTTTTGCTGCTACCCTTCCCGAAGAAGACGACTTCCGACAAAAAAACGCAGTTTCTTAAAAGTGGAGGAAGATTTGGCGTCGTGGGAATTGGAGGCTCAGCAAGAAAGCAACAAAAGTCTAAACCAGGCAATTTGATCTGAAGCCTAAACGCTTTCATTTTACAGCCACACCCCCAGCAGGTAATTCGGGAGAGGAGGACCACGGATGACATCTCGTATTTGATTGATTGCATTCACCAATTCATCGAAGTGGAGTATCATGCCCCCCTCCTAGTCAGTCTCCACTTTGGTCCACAGACCGTTTCTGGGGCGAAAATACATATCAGCCATGGCTGCATAGTCGTCAAATGATAAACAGCGAATGGTTCCCCTTTCAATAATGCGGCTGAAGATCAGTGCACCAAAACCACGAGAACCAAGCACTAGGAAGCTTCCTCTGTCGCAGCTTCATATGGAGTACATGAGATGCAGTGTGCTCTGCTTACTACAGGCATCACCATCGGTGTCAGAGATTGACACCGGAGAATTGTCTCTTTGTGGTGCTATTGATAAGTGTCACTGGTTTCTCATGATTATCAACCAGCGAGGCGACGATGACAGGTCTGATCCGGAATCATGATTCAGGAGGCCCACAGGTTCTCTCTCCTATCGGTCCTCAGCACCAAAGCTGAAACGACGAGATGAAACACCTACTGGACCGGGATTATGTCGATTATTGCCTACAGTGGGCCATTGGTGGCCGGCCTTGTAACTTTAATGTGCGTCTGCCAAGCGTCCATCATGCGCATATTCCAGAAGAAGGCCTAGAGTGGGCCTGCTCACAACACAGCTTGAAAGTGAGTTTATCAGACGGGATGGAGATACGAGCCAGGCGCTGACTCTCCTTTATCGAGAGTCTGAGATCAAAAAGGTTGAAGACGGATAGGTGGGTTGGCCCCCCTGACATTAAGATCACCAAGCTAATTTGGGAGGAGAGCCTGGTCGCTGGCGCTAGTGAGACTGGGGCTGCACAGCAAGATGACTGGTCGCCTTTCGTGAGACCAACTGTCAAATGTTCTGCAGGTGTTCCACGGCTGTTCCTGTGCCACCAAGTGCAACGAAGGGGGTTTAGTTTGCTCCAAACCGGGATCTGACCGGCTGTCATTCGCTGTCATTCGCTGGCCGACTCGCATTCGCTTGTATGTACATCGGCAAGGGCGGTCAAGAACGTGGCGGCCACGAGATACGAGACGTGTCACCCTAAGTCGCGTGGCGAGCAAGCCGGAAACTTGGAACCTGATCGAGGTGACTTTGATCAATATGATTTTAATTCGCCGGTGATGCTACTGGTTCGATCACGGTGTTGTTGCCTCCGGCCCAGACCACGGAGCGATCCATGACTCTCCATCCAAGACCTGGAATCAGTGTTGATTAGCTCGGTCGAGAAACGCAATCCAAGCAAACGGAGTGCAACACTAGAAGCATGCATGTACATGTGTGTTACAGACTACCTGCATGCGATGATAAATGTATGCACAGCCCAAATTAGATCCTTATAGGATGGGTGTACTTGTTCCTCCAAAATCGAAAAGAACCAATATATTGCTAGAAATCGAGCTCTTCTTTCGCCTAATAAACCTTCAAGTTCAAATGATCTTGTCAGCAGCGGCTGCTCCCACTACAATTGATTGTTTGGGACTTAATCACCACAATCATCCGCGTCGCAATGATAGGAGGGAGGCGTTTCCCGCGAAATTGTGGGATAAAATATCCGAGCGAAATGGAGCCAACAAAGAGCAAAAATTTACAGTTTTCCGTCGGAACGAGTCCGCTCTGTCATTCCTACTCTGGATACCATTCCGACTGGCGATGTGGAAGCATTTTAGGCATTTCGAAGGCGGCCCCATTGGGCTCGGGTTATCGTGGCCTCCACCTTCAGCCCATGAACCTGTCCGCCATCGTAAACTAGTCCTGTCTATAAGCCAGCCATGCTTTCTGACTATCACAACTGTTTCTTAGTGAATTTTGCCTCTCGCGAATCCCCCTTAATGCGCGTGTGTTTTTTTTGGTTTGTTTTAATTCTCGGCAAAGGTCGATAGTCTCGGGATGTATATCTGCCGCACATCCATGATCCACCAGGATGGCGGCGGCAGACGGAGTCGGGATAGTCCTGGGGCTTCCTCCTAACCTAGAATGGCGGCACCGTTAGAACATCCCCAAGCCCAGCTTCCCCTTAATCCTAGGCTCGATCCGTAGAGAAGGCCTGTAGATCGCCGAGAGGACAGCGCAAAGACAGTGCTCGATGGCGCTCCCCCTTTCCCCGTCGTGGGGGGCGTGATTGGTTCTGGCGATACTGCCGCTTCCTGACCGCTCGGCCTCCCCTTTCTTTGCAGAAGAAAGCCCGATCAAGTTCACGTTCATTCTTTGGCTTCCAAAGACCCAAAGACCTGAGACAGTCGAGACAGACCAGCCATTCGAGACAATTGACGTTGCTCCATCGTGTGCATTCGATCCGTTCCACCGCCACGCCTCACTCTGCGACCACTTTACCGCGTTCACCTCACCTGCAGTTACCCCCCCGTCCCAACGGCGCGCTTGGGACTTCATTCGCTCTCGGGCCCTCACCTTGTTCGCGAATTATACATAATCCGCCTGCGCTGCTGTCCGATCCATACTTTTCATTACGTCGGGCTGACAATCTACGCTCTTCAATTCAACTCTGGTTTCTTTCCAACTTGCGCCTCCGTGTTTCCCGTATTCGCCTGTTCCCGATCCATCTGAACCCCCGCTCCCGCGATCCTACCTCCGGGATCCTGTACTCAGCATCTCTCATGGACGCTAGGTTTTAAGAACACCACTTGCCACTTCTCCATAACCACATTTACGTCTCCTGTTGGAGGGCTATCCATCGACGCATTCCACGCAATCGATCCATCCAACGAGGTTTCTGCGAAACAAGTGTGATGTGGCTAGGAAGCCCCTGGTGCAAATAGACTACTACACTCCTCATTCGTGCCGGTCAGGATGGGAAACTCTCAAGGAAAACCGGTGTCTTACAACGATGCGGGTATGTCAATTCAGCTCAACCCTTGCTTTCTAGATGCGTCGAAGAACCCAATACTGGGCTCGGACGAGCTTGCTTAAGAAAAGCAATATACTGATGATGTCTTAGTCAACCTCAACCACTTCCGCCTCCTTCGGGTTGTCGGTAAAGGTGCCTTTGGCAAAGTTCGCATCGTCGAGAGGAAGGATACTGGGCTGACGTTTGCCCTTAAGTATATCCGCAAGGAAGAGGGTATGAAGCATGAATCTTGGATTCGACTCCTCACAAAAGAATTACAGTTAACCTTAATTTCTCTTCCAGTTGTTCGATCGGAAAGTGTCAGGAATATCATTCGTGAACGACGGATGCTAGAACATCTGAACCATCCCTTCCTTTGCAATTTGCGATACAGCTTTCAGGATATGGAATACATGTGAGTCTTCGGCGCTGTGGCCCGTTTGCAGCTAGGCTCCGCGTGCTGACTCCATCCCAGCTACATTGTGGTGGATTTGATGAATGGCGGCGATCTTCGGTTTCATATCTCACGCAAGTGTTTCACCGAGGAGGCCGTGCGGTTCTGGATGGCAGAGCTTGGTTGTGCGTTGCGGTACATTCACTCTCAAGGCATTATCCATCGCGATCTCAAGCCCGACAACGTGTTACTGGATTCCGAGGGACATGTTCACTTGGCTGACTTCGTACGTTCCAAATCTTCTCTGCGGTTAACTTTCTGTAGTCAGACTGACAATTTTTGATGTAGAACGTGGCGTCTGATTTCCGACCGGGTAAACCGCTGACTAGCAAGTCGGGCACTCTGGCTTACTTGGCCCCAGAAGTATACGAGGGAGGTGGATATTACTTCGAGGTCGACTGGTGGTCGTTGGGTGTTACGTTCTACGAGTGCATCTATAACAAGGTACGTCTCACCATTGTATATCAATGGATGATTCCGAGGTGGATTTGTTCTGACCTCTTTGTAGCGACCGTTTGAAGGCCGAAGCCAGGACACTCTGAGTGAGAACATCAAAAAAGCCCAACCGAAATACTATGTCACAAATCCCGCTGTATCGGTTCCGTGTCTTCGGGCTCTGTCAGCATTGATGGAACGAGACCGCAGCCGCCGAATCGGTGCCATCGGGTTCGAAACCTTCACCTCGCATATGTTCTTCGCCGATATCGACTTCGATGCTCTCGAGCGCAAAGAGATTCCTCCAGTTTTTCGACCGTCGAGTGACAAAACCAACTTCGATGCGACTTATGATCTGGAGGAGTTGCTCCTTGAGGAGGCGCCCCTAGAGGCTCGAGCCCGCCGGCAGAAGCCCCGAGCGGAGCTCCGCGAGGATGCAACTGCAAAGGAGATCCGTGAAGATGAACTTCATCGTCTAATCGAGACCATGTTCGAGCCCTTCGACTATACCCTGGTCAGCTACCAAGGCAATGCGGCTGATGCCATTGCGGCCCAAGTGTAAGTGCTACATTCCGTGCGATGCCGTAGATATTTTTTGGGTCATTCCTAAATTTTTTTTTTCGCCTTCTTGCAGCAATCCTGAAGACTGCCTTCCCATTGCCACCGCTACAACTACCGCCCATTCCCGACAACTCTCTCAGCCTGAATCAGCAGCCCGTAACTCATCACCTCCACAGCATGAGGGAACCTTCTATCCGGTGCCTCAGCCCCAGTCCCAGCATGAGAATATGACTGTAGTCAGCGAGAACCTTGATCCGAACGATTTTGTTGCTGGACCGCAGCCCCCTTCGCCCTCGACCCGCGCATCTCCTTCACCCCCACCTTCTGCACCGCCTTTCCACCGGCCCCTCCCCCTGCACCGCGTCCTCGTGGTGCCACAAGAAAAATGAGCAAGGGAGGCGGTGTCCAAATGGTGTTAGAGGAAGCCGGAAGCTGGAGTGAACTCGCAGACCATAGTTCAACCCTCCCGGCGGAAGGATTTGACAGTACTGGCGTCAAGGGCAAGCAGGGAAATAGTGGCATGCTTTCATTCCTCAGTCGGAAGAAGGGACGGGATCGCAGCCCTAAGCCCACCGAACCAGGTGTTTTGGGCAAAGAAGGAGCCAGACAGATCATCAGCTGAAAGATTTCTTCTCACTTTCAACCTACGCCGGCGATACGTCGATCGTCGGCGCCTCAGTCCTGCATCCATTTTGCTGGACAGCAAACACCATGTTACACCAACTTGGGATGCTTCGGGGAATCATTCTCTTTTCAAGTCGGTCTTATTCCATCCTTGTGGTCTGTGCCACCCTCAAAAAAGAGATCCAGCGTGATGAGTTGCGGCTTTGAGCAGGCGCCTCTTGCCCGCCTCAAAGCTTCACTCCACCCAGATGGCCAGGATGCCTCTGCCAGCTCGAATCATTGTTCCTCGTCGCAGTTATCGCCTCTGATCTAGAGGCGATGCAGGCTATTCCCGGGCCATGTCTATGGATCTTACGCCCTACCCATTTTATTGCTGCATTCAACCCTTTAAAGTAAAGGAGATGAGAATATCAGTGGCACCACCTCGATTACATTCATCTAGATTCCCCGGACTCAAGCGACAATTCATGTTTATCTATGCTCTTTTTGTACCTCCTCTTTTTACCATCTTTTTTTTTCGTCTACTCGTGTTTCCCAACCATATACTCTGTACAGATGGACTCATGTTTTCTTCATTGACCAATTACGGTAGGCATTCTGAATGAGCTTTTTGTTTGCGACCTTTTATGTTCCACCAATCATATATTTTTTGGTTCTCTTTTTCTCGTCTGTGAAGTTTTCCATACCCCGACTCATTATGAACACGACAGATATTTCCCCCCATTTTGTGATTTCTCCTTTTTGTCGAATTAGAAAGGACCTGGGGCTCGATGCATACCATCTTTAGGGTCGGAGTGGTGTATCTAATGTGTGTTTTTTCTCCAATGCCATATCTCCAGGAGATGCGATATAGAGATCGAGCTTTGTTGCATAGTAAATGTACCTCCGATCAGGACTGGTAGAATATATCGTGGTGTGCAGCTCCTACAGTTGAGGGAGATGTTGGGTGCATGGATTGCCCCAGGTCGCTCCCTCGCTGGGCTCTTGTAGCCACCGATCCACTCTATATATCGTTGCTCCGCAACATAAAGGGTTCAACGACTCCACATAAGATCGATAAGGCATGTCGATGAGACTGACCACGATCCTGTCCTCGACACCTGCTAGTATCATGATCGACCCCAAGCACAAGTTGCTCGTCCTCAAGTGCGCGCTGATAGTGTGACCTACGTAGCTGTTTACGTCGCCCCTCGGCACTAATGCGCATACGGCAAAAGCAAAACAGCCCCAAAACTCCGAGGATCCACCACAAGCGCCCGCAACACTTAATTCGAACCAAAACCCTCGAGCTTTCCAGCGTACACAACGAAGCAATGACCATCCAATTGCCCTGATTGCCATCCCGACTGGCCACGCTCCAGGCAGCATACCTAACCCACTGGGTTTCCGGCACGTTTCGTGGGAGAGACGAGTACCAAGAATTCGCCGAGACACCAAGACTTGTAACAATAACCCCCCTTCTCACATTCCACGTCCCGCCATTCCTACCGAAACGATACTCCTACAGCCTACATACCAGTCCCCCCACTCGCAGGGCATCCATAGCCACATACCAGCGATTGACGTCCACGTCTCGGACCGTGGCACATGGCGGGCCAATCCCACAGCCGAGACCGGTACGGCTCACGCGAGCGCGAGCGCTCCCGCCGCCCTCGAGACCGCGAGTACACGCGCGGCCAGTACGACGACGAGCCATCGAGCCCCGGCACGCCGCGGGGCAAATACCGGTTTCGGGAGGCGGGGTACGAGTCTTACGAACGGGACAGCGATGCCGAGGAACGACGACGTGCGCGGCGAGAGCGTCGTCGGCAACGGGAAGATGAGCGGGCATATGGGGAATCCGGGGCTGAGCGGAGACGGGAGCGCTCTAAGGCGAAGGAGTCGCCGGCGACATCACCGAAGAAGCGGGACCGTGAGCGAGACCGGGAGGGGTATCGGCGGTCCAGGGGGAGGATAAGGATGAGAGCCCCCTGAGGGATATTAGGGAGAGACGGTATCGGGGGAGGGTGGAGGATGGGGAGAGGGAGAGGGAGAGGGAGAGGTCTCACGATGCAGAGGCTGAGATACGGAGGTCGCGACGGAGGGAACGCGAGCGCGAAAAGGAGAGAGAAAGGGAGAGAGAACGAGAGGCAGCGGCTGTCGCGGCGGTTTCAGGGAAGAAGAAGAAGCATCAAAGCTCGGATTCGACGAACAGTGCGTCCCATCTGCTCAGCGCGGATGCACTGGCGCGATTAGCAGTGGAAAACGAGCGACAGGATCGAAGAGAGCGGTCAAGAGAGGAGGACGAAGCGCGGCGAGAGCGTCGACAGCGCAAGAAGAAAGCCGCGTTGGTTGGGGCCGGCGTTGGTGCTGGTGCTGCGCTGGGCGACGAGGTAGCTGAAGGCCGGTCACGACACAGGTCCGGGGCCCGCGTTGCGTCCGGGGCCTACTTGGAAGAAGGCCGCAGTCCCGAGATGAAGGTGCGCCGCCGTGGAGGTGGTGGTCCGGCTATGGAAGACGACTGGAAGGACGAGGATAGCTGGGATGCCAGTCACGAAGGCGGTGGACGTTCCTGGAAGTTCTGGGCTTCCTGGTCCAAAAAGCAGAAGATCGTGGTGGGCGGCGTGGTAGTGGCTCTGGTGCTGCTGGCCGTTATCATCCCAGTGGCCGTGATCGAATCGAAGAAGAACAGCGGTGGTTCGGACGACTCCAGCAGCAGCAGCTCGGGTTCCAATTCTCTCACGGGGAATCTCGATGGGATTAGTCGAGATAGTATTCCGGTAAGTTAATGAGACCTAATAGGGGCGAAGAGACGAAAAGAGAAAGTGGAGGAGAGACGAAGTGTCCTAGAGGCTTAGATACTAACTTGTCCCAGGATTATGCACAGGGCACATACTTAGACCCGTTTACTTGGTATGAAACAGAGGGCTTCAATGTCACGTTCACGAACGAGACCGTCGGAGGCTTGTATATCATGGGTCTTAATTCCTCTTGGAGTGACACGGCCCGCGCAAATGACAACGTGCCCCCATTGAACGAGAAGTTCCCGTATGGGTCGCAGCCCATTCGCGGTGTAAACCTCGGAGGCTGGCTGTCAATCGAGCCTTTCATTGCCCCATCGCTCTTTGAGGGCTACTCGTCCTCTGTCATTGATGAATGGACCCTCACGGAGGCCCTCGGATCCTCCGCAAACACGACCATTGAGAAGCATTACGCGACCTTTCTCTCAGAATCGGACTTTGCGGAAATCCAAGAAGCCGGACTGGACCATGTCCGAATCCAATACTCGTACTGGGCAGTGACAACCTATGATGGGGATCCCTACGTCCCAAAAATCGCCTGGCGGTATCTCCTTCGGGCAATCGAGTACTGTCGGAAGTATGGACTACGTGTCAATCTGGATCTCCACGGACTGCCAGGTAGTCAAAATGGCTGGAACCACAGCGGACACCAGGGCAAGATCGGCTGGCTTAATGGGTCAAACGGAGAATTAAATCGTAATCGGTCACTCGAGATTCACAACCAGTTATCCACGTTTTTCGCACAAGATCGGTACAAGAATATCGTGACTATCTATGGACTAGTCAATGAGCCCCTTATGCTTACCCTGCCGACGGAGAAAGTCCTCAATTGGACGCGAGATGCAGCGGAACTCGTTCGGAGCAATGGGGTCGAAGCGACTATCGTCTTCCATGACGGCTTCCTCAACCTCGACAAGTGGGACAATATGTTCAAGGACCACCCGGACAACATGTACCTGGACACACATCAGTACACCACTTTCAACACGGGCGAGATTGTTCTGAATCACACCGCCAAGGTGGATATTATTTGCAACAGCTGGTACTCGATGATTGAGGCAATCAACAGCACCAGTTCCGGGTATGTTCCTGCTCACTTCCAATCGTCAATCCCACGGCTCTGCTGACCAATTACATTAGATGGGGCCCCACAATCTGCGGTGAATGGTCTCAAGCCGACACTGACTGCGCTGAATACCTCAACAACGTCGGTCGTGGCACCCGCTGGGAGGGTACCTACGACACCAGTTCGTCAACAATGTACTGTCCGACGGCGGACTCGGGAACCTGCAGCTGCACTAATGCCAATGCTGATGTATCCGAGTACTCAGATGCGTACAAGAAGTGGCTGCAGACCTACGCCGAAGCCCAGATGTCCGCCTTTGAGACCGCCCAGGGCTGGTTCTACTGGACCTGGCGCACTGAGTCCGCGGCACAGTGGAGCTACCGTACGGCATGGAAGAACGGGTACATGCCAAAGAAGGCATACTCTCCTTCTTTCAAGTGCGGCGACACTGTCCCTGATTTCTCTAGTTTGGGGCTGGCTGAGTACTATTGATGGAAATGTTCCCGGTCCCTTTATCCCCGCTCATTTTTCCTTTCTTTTTTGAATGCGCTTTTTCACGGTAATTTTTTGCATTATTTTGCATCGCATCATCTGCATACCACCAGGCCTTTTTGATTTCATGAATGGATTTGCAAACACTTAGATCACCATACCCCATTTGAATTGAATTGAATAAGAAATGAATTTGGATTGTTACACATGGGGAATTATCAAAGCACATCCTTAGTACTGCTTACACCGTGAACCAACCCCCTTCCTCCCATACACCGGGTCGATAGAGAGAAGAATTCCGTGAGCTAGGGGACTTCACCCCATCCAGGAGCACATGCACCCGCTGGAAGTCAATCGGCTTCATAATCCAGCCGTCAAAGCCGCTGTCCACATACGTCTGGCGGTCCTTCTCCATCAACGAGGCCGAGACAGCGAACACAGGGACACGCGTTTGAGTCGAGCCTGCCTGGTTCTCATGCTCTCGGATCATTTTCGTGGCAGCCAAGCCGTCCACGATGGGCATCTAGAAAGGATTGCTGTTAGCGTGCCACACGCGGCCGATAGCGGGATGACTTCATACTTGGAGATCCATAAGGACGGCATCGAAGGAGCCAGGGTTCGCGCGATACACCGCGGCACATTCCTTCCCGTTGCCCGTCATAGAGACCGAGTAGCCGAACTTCTCGAGACGTTTGCTGAGAATCGTGCTGTTGACTGGATCATCCTCGGCGACAAGAACGCGCAGCCGGGTATTGGAGCCCATCTCCGGCGGGACCTGCTTCGAGTCCTTAGGCGACGCCGTGGGCTCGTCGGATGCAAAGAGCACTTCTTGTGCCGGGGCGTTGAAGAGATTCTGTACCAAGCCCTTTAGTTAGCATTGAAAGGACCATTAGATAGGAGCTTGAGTGTGGTACACTGACGTCGTCGGACTTGGTTTTCTTGTCTGGTGTTGGATGCGGGGCAGGGATGGTGATGTTTCGTGACTCGCCCGTCTTCAACGCCACATCAACGTCCAGAAACTTCCGCTCTTCTTGTCCTAGTCCGGGCCCAGGGAAACTTCTATCTCCACATTGGCAGGAGATTCCCTGGCTTTCATTGTCCGCCTCCTTGCACAGCTCCTCTTTCGTTCCAATGTGGTCGTACGACGCCTGAGGACCACCTGGTCTCGGCATCCCGGGCCCCCCAACTTTCGATCCTAAATCCTTATCAAGGGTCGTCTGTGCAGATGCAAGAGCTCCATCACTCGTGGCGGGCAACTCGAACTTCAGCCGGATCTTGAAACAACTGCCCTTCCCTTCTTCAGATTTCAGACTCAACTGCCCATCCATATTGCGCACGATGCGAGCAACCAATGCCAGTCCAAGACCAAGCACGTTGTCTGTTTCAGGATTCGGCGAACTTGCTGTCTTCGCATATGACTTTGGAGCCTGCATATAATCTTTGTTGGAAACCTGTTCCAGCTCACAGAACAATGTCTCGACGACTTCTTGTGACATCCCGGATCCGGTGTCATGTATGGCCACTTCCACCGCAGTATAGCCAGGCTCGCAGGGCTCGCAAAGTGTACACGACTCGATGGTGACAGCTCCGGTCGAGGTATTTTGGACAGCATTGCTGATGAGATTGGTAATGACTTGCCGGACACGCCGTTGGTCCCCAAGCACGGGGGGCAACGACGAGTGTTGAATTACTTGCAGATCCACATGCTTTTGTCGGGCCTCTTCCCAGAAGATATCGGTAGACTCACAGAGGGTCTCTGATAGGCTGAATACCTCATCCTTGATGAGTCGTTGCCCATTTTCTGCATTGATGAGATCCAACAGGTCGTTGATGATGTACACGAGCGATTTTGAGGCAGAGTGGGACCGAGATAGATTCTCCCGCGTCTCTTGGTCCAGGTTGCCATCCAGAACAATCTCAAGATAGTTGATGATGGCATTCAACGGTGTTCGGAACTCGTGCGCCGAGTTCGCGAGCAGGAGCCTCATCAGTTGGTTGTTTTGCATTGCCGCTTCCTTCTCTTGCCAGGTATCCGTGAATGTTCGATATAGCAAAGACAAAATCGATGCCTTTCCAAAATCAGTGGCAGACCACTCGACCGGCTTGGTGATGCCTACAGGATGCGGTGAATCTAGGATGGAACCGGGTGCGCTTCGGAAAAAAATAATGAAATCTTTACCATCGGCCGATAATGGAGTATACAGCAGGCCTGATAAATGGCGGAAACCAGGGGAGTAATCAAGGTCTTCAAAGTCCGAGGCAATATCCGTCGACCATAGAACGGTATCGATATCCTTTGCCCGAAGGTATTCAAGCAAAGCAAGGACCTCTTGCGAATCATTGGGTTTGCCTAGGATTTTGGTTTCTTGCAGGATAGAAGCAGCTGCATAGTCGGCTCCAAAGAGGCTTAAGAGATCACCGGACGCGGACCGTGTGCTCTCTTTGCCATTGTAGCCCTCAGAGATCATGCTTTGGTTCTGCAGCGGGAACGAAAGGGTATATGATAGTCGTTCGACGTTACTGGAGACAGCATCGCTCATGATCCAACACGCTTTCTGGAGCAGCGGATGAAGTCTCCGGTCTTCGTCGTAGGATTGGCATGACACAATGCCCCATAGCTTTCCAAACACGTAAACGCCAATGGATATACACGCCTGTAATGGATGACTGCTTGAGTCTTCTGGAGATACTGGTGTTACTGGTAGGTAACAATGTGACAGGTCTAAGGCCAGTTTGCTGGTCGACGCTCTGTATATCAATCCAGCCGAATAGGGGCCTTCGCGATAGGAGAAGGAAACGGTGTTTCGCAGGTAGCATTTCTTCAGATCATCCGGGAAAGTCGACTCCTGGAAGTGGATCCCTTCATAGCGATCTAGATCCAGGTTCGAGTTGATGATATCGGTAAGAACTTCACCGTTCTGGTCCCCGTCGAAATGGTAAATGGTGATTCGATCGAATTGTGTCAGTTTCTGGAGTGTTGAGGCGACATGTTGGAGTAGTGTCTCCAGCGCTTGAGATCTTGCAATGTCACGCAAGATACGCGGCAAGGAATTGAGAAGTTCCGAGTCCATGGTGTCCGCTTTGGGAGTAGAACCATTGCAACTGTTGATCGTGTCGAGAGTGCGGGTTTCGGCGTATGTCTGCTCAGGTAGGGCCTGCGTGATGGAACCGTTCCTCTGCGAGTGTCGTTTTTCAGAGCCTTCACTATTTGTTAAGCCTGGTTTGCTAATGATTTCAGACTCCATCTCGCAAATTATGAAGTTTTTATATGCTCTGCTGGTGTGCATCGTACACCAGAGTGGCCTGATGCCACCTTCTAGAGTTGATAGATGAAGACAGAATATCTCAGGGCCGTACTTCTCAACATCATACTCGTCTTCCAGAACTAACGAGACATGTGATAAAAATGCCACCTTCTGGGATCCAGACAAGATATCGCAGAAAGATTTAAGCTCGAATAACTCATCGGCGGATATACCCAGGATGTCATTAGAGTTGCTACTAGCCACCTGGACCGGGAATAATCCGTCTTCAGATTGAGTGATGACCATCAATACACCAAATTGCTGGATGATCAACTCGGCATCGTCTTCATGAGAAAATTGCAACCCCTTCGTGAGTCGAATGGGAGCCAGGATTTCACCAGCCTCGTGGATGGTCTTCTGTATCTGAGTTGAGGGGCTATCTTTGCCTCGAGAACTGGAGCTGCTTGATGCTGTTGCTCTTGATGAAACCAATACCCCCTTGTCATTGGTAAAGAAAGGGTGGCTGAGGGTTGGCACAGTAGATAAAGGAGTGATGTTGTGTCTCTGCTCATGCATCCGAGCCAGGTAATTGGGCCTCGAAAGTTTATGCATATCCCCAGAGGTAAGCTTGTCACTGAAGAGTGAGCTCTTCCTGAACGCGTCTGTGAAAGAAGGAATAGGGCTCTCTAATTTATCCAGGGAAGGCGTTTGCAGTGCCGACGATGGTGTCGAGTCAAAAGAGACAACCGAGCGGACAGGAAACACCCTTTCTGTAGCGTCTTCGCTCAACCGAGGCAGCTTCAACTTCGGGTCAATCTCAGTGACGGTCGATATGTCTGGCTTTGGATCTGATGAGATATACATGGACTTTGGGATTGAAAGGGTGCGCGCGAGGGCTCGTCTCCCTTGGGTCGGCTCATGATGTCTGCCATCGTAGAGGACCTTCCAGTCACCCAAATCGGTGACCTCGAGTGGAGGGCTCATTTCGACAGGTATGTAATATTGCGTATAAGGAAAGCTTCAAGCAAAATGCATTCTATACTACAAATAATGGTAAGCATTATGTATATTAGAATTGAATATACGTGACCAACGAGGAAAGTTCATAAAGCTCACGATGAGAAGTCTCGAGATCTTAATTAGGAGCACCGAAATGGCTCTTCTTTTAGTATCATAACCGGGCGAAGTGAGATTGGATCTCAGAAGCAGTGATAATCAAGGCCACATGGAAGGTAGAATGGAGGAAGTCTCGACAAAGGTTCATGCAAGGAAAGCTACTGACAATCCCCCTTTCCCCGGAGTTTGAGGGTTTTGGAATTTGTGCCTTGCCTCTGGGGACCAAACAACTCTTCTTTCTCCTGAAGTATCCGTGGGCGTGGGCCTATCAAGATGGGTTGCACTATCAAAAAAGCTTTCCATGAGACATGTGTTACCGGTTCCCTCGTCCGGTTTGTCAGGGACTCCCACCGGAAATGAACTCGCAATCCATGAACCAAAATGGCCAAGCCATGGATGATTTCAAGGCCCACTGCAGCAGAAAGCTGCGAGATCAAGCTTTTTGGTTTTAAGTAGTAGGGAATGCAAGATAGCCCAACACAGATCATGAAAATAAGCAGTGAAGAATCCTCCCTTGGATATGAAATGCTCCCCTCTCATCGGCCCAAGTAAGTCTCAAGGAGCGGTATGTGCCTATTCAATCCAATTATCCGCTGATAAACTAGTTCTTTATTGGCTCGGCACCAAGACGAATTATGTCACCAAAATGATCAGCCGTCCGATATATCATAGTTTGGCCGGTGGGGTATCCCCCGCTTGGAGAAAACGTGAACGCGGATTAGTATGTTACTAAGATGCAAAGGTTAGGGTCGATGGATGGTCTAGACAGCGGTCCAGTTGCCCCAGCCCATGGTCTTCAAACGGAATGACCGGGTGTCGCGTTCGTCTTGGAGAAGCTTGATAACCTTCGCAGTCAAGCCAAGAACCTTTTTGTTTACGCATTTCACACTTCCTGCCTACATGGATAATCATCTTTGAAAAACCGTCAAAGAACCAATTTTCCGAGAAAGCAGAGTCGGTGACATTCACATTGATCTGAGCAAGGTGCTAGATGCATTTCGCACTCGTGCCTCCTAACTGGGCAGAGAAAAGACTCCAAGTATCGCCTCGGCCTTGTGTTCCGACCAGTCTTTTTTCGTAGCTGAAATCGCCTCCTAAACTATCACTCGTGGGCAAACTTTCCGGATTCACAAACGGCATATTGACAACCGTGACACGGCCAATTTTGGTCCCTTGGTACTACCTTTTCTGTTCGCGGACCTAGCTTGGCCCAGACGGCGGAGCAAACTTCAAGAAGAGCCTTGATATGTTCAGATAGATGAAAATAAAATAATTTGTCGTGAGTACCAAACGGAAGACGACCATGAACAAGAAACGACCCTTATTGGCCTCAAAACTACCCAATCCAACCTTCCTGATTATTCAACAAAACGCCTCTAAGTCCCCCAGATGCATTTCAAAAAGATTTCATAATCACACGACGCCATGGGTCTATCTACCATCGCCGTCCATACACCGAATCCTCAGGCGTAGATCGGTTTGGCGGATGCCGGCGGTTCCGATCACGAGAGTCAGATCGCACCGAGGACTGGGAGGAGGGCCCAGAGCCAGTGTCTTCCGCAGAGCTGAGGAGGCGAGTGGGCTGCTTGAAGTCGAGGGTACTCTGCTTGTCGGTATAGCTGGACTCAGCATCACGGCCGAAGAGAGCCATCATGTCACGCATAGTCAATTTGCCAGCGGCAGATTTGCCTTCAATAGTCATGTTGGCCAGTTCGCGCTTTCGGTCCTGAAGGTCGACAATACGCTCTTCAACGGTTCCCTTGATGATCAATTTGTAAATTTTCACGTCAATGGTTTGGTTGAGGCGGTGGACACGATCGATGGCTTGTTCTTCCACAAACTAACGGAAACAATTATTAGTTAATTTGAATAGCGCCTTCCCTGTTATATATGGTCAACTCACAGGATTCCAGAATGGCTCAAGGATCACAACGCGGCTGGCGGCAGTCAGGTTCAGGCCCAGAGCACCAGCACGCAGACTACAGAGTAGAACCCTAGTCCCGCTGTTGTTCCTGAGCTTGTTGAGACTAGCCTCTCTCAGATCGTTTCGCATTCCACCGTCGTATCGTGCATATCCGATGTTGGCATTGCGTAGGAAGGGCTCGATCTTGTCGAGCATTGAGGTAAACACGGAGAAGACAATGAACTTGTAGTCGCCGGACTCTTTGTGGAGAATCTTCATCAAATGGCGAACCTTGGTAGAAGGAAGCTCTCCGTTGTCGCCTTCTTCCGGGTTACCATATATATCTTGCTCGGTATCAGATTCATGGTCAGAGCTATTATTCATGACGATAGGTCTGGTCTTCCTTCCAGAAGGAGATTCCAGCTCATCTTCCGTTTCTGAGTCGTCTGAGCCGATCCACTCCCCGCCGCCTTCAGCATTCTCGTCGTCTGACCCTCCAGCCTTGCCGAGATTTGGCGTGTGACGCTGGTTCTCGGGGACGATCCATTCGGCGTCATCTTCATCGTCACTATCCATGATGACCCTGCGGTTTTTCCGAGAACGAGAAGGTATTTCATCAAACAAAGCTTTTTCTTTCTTGTGAGGCTTCTTGGACTTGTGCTTTGTCTTTTTGTCTTTTCTCATGAAATCCGTTTTCAAATCAGCCTCACACTCGTTGCAACGGGTAGCGCCATTCTTTGCATCGGCATGATTCAGCTCTGCCTGACAGACATCACATTTCTTATTAACGACGCTGAGGGCCCCAAAGAGATCGGCAACATTGTCCAGGTCATCCTGTTTTGGTTGTGAGGACTGGCTCCCCGTGTTACTGTTTTGCAAGAGAACGTCCTTGTCAGCCGCAAGGTCACTCTTGACCAGATCGGGGTGGTTACAAGACTGGCGAAGACGTAACAGCAGAACCAAAGCTCCAGCATAATCAACCTTAGAGCCACCCATCATCTGATCAAGGCTGTTTTCTGTGCGTTTTTCCAAGCGCTTGTAGAAATTCATTTCTCCATCCAGGAACTCCGCATCGATCTTGATGACTTCACGCTTGACAATTTTGAAACCGTTCGAGGACTTCTTTTCTTGGCCATCGATCTCGGTTTCACCATCTTCGGGTTCGTCATTGCCCTTCAAGACATCCTTAGTCCGGCGCTTCATAAATGCTTTCAAGTAGACCTGTAGACGTTGAATGGCCAGGCCACCACGGCCGTTAGCCAGAGGTCTGCTAATCTGATCACGCCAAGCAGCCAAGTCATCGTAAGGTTTGATGCGAAGGAATTTGATCAAACTTTGCAGTTCATCAAGGTTGTTTTGTAAAGGTGTGCCGGTCAAACACCAGCGGTACTTTGCGTCCAATGCGCAAGCTGCTTGAGTGGCCTTGGCGTTCCGGTTCTTGATGGTATGGGCCTCATCGAGAATGATGCGATACCAGTAGTTGGAAAAGATTCCCATTTTCTTGGCTTTGTCGGCAGCAGCTGTACCAGACTCCGAGGTCAGAGTTCCATACGTCGTGATCACGACGTCGTATTGGCTCAGAGAGCCGGATGTTTTTGCACGATTCGTTCCATGATACAGGCAAACACGAAGCCTGTGGCCCTTCTCGACTTTGTCCGCAATCTCGGATTCCCATTGCTTGATGAGAGCTAACGGTGCAACGACAAGAGTACTTTTTATGAGACTAGAGGCCGGGGGTGTGTTCTCGTCCTTCTTTCCCTTTTCCTGGTTGTCGGGGTTGTCATCATTTTCGCTGTGTTCATGCTCAGGCTTGCGGTTTCGGAGAAGTAGGGCAATAGCCTGGACTGTCTTTCCAAGGCCCATATCATCCGCAAGAATTCCACCTTTAGGATAAATGCCTTTAGTGGTGCGTCTTCCAGTCTCCTTGTCACACATCCATTTCACGCCATCGATCTGATGGGGAAGAAGGGTAACTTTGAGGCCTTCGACGACCCCATCTTCCTCGTCTTCCTCGTCTTCCTCGTCCTCCTCATCACCTTCAGCCTGTCCGTCATCTTCGTTTACAGCTTCGTGCTTGTCTGTCTCTTCCTCGGAATTATCTTCAGAGACACCCGCTGTCTTGAGCCCAGGGGCAACCTCGGACTGGGACGGTCTCATGTCATTGACAGTAACACCCTCGAGCTGAGCAGCCAAGTCGTCAAGATCATCGCTTTGGACTTTTTTCTCCGCCTTGGGGGCTCAATTTGCTTTGGTTCCTTTGGCTGCTGCTTCTTCTTGCCCTTCTTCTTTTTGCTCTTCGGTTTCGAACTTGCTTGGTCCTCCTCGTCTTCAAAAGCACCCTCGAGCAAGGCCTTAATGTTCTCATTCGCTTTGGCTGTATCAACATAACCGTGCACATCCATGGCACCAAAGCCCGAAGCAGAGCTGCCTGGGGCATTGGTACGAGTCTCGGTCTCAGCGTCCCGTGTCAAGTCGATGAATGCCTGGAGGTTCTTAGACGCATTCGATGGCTTTGGTGCCGTTCCCTTTGACATGAAGAGCGGTCTCGCGGCACGTGGGGTCGTAAAATTCACGTTCTCCGGTCGTTTGATGGGGGTTGCGCCTACAGGGTAAGCTGGCCGACGGTCATTGTATGCCGATGGGTGCACAGGTTTGAAAGGATCGAAGGGTTCACGCTTCGCGGGCGTGGCCGTAGCTGCGCTCGGTGCCCCTGCCGGGCGCTGGCTATGGGGTGCTCCATTGTGTCGCATAGCGGGGTATTGTGGCTGCGTTCGGGGGGCGGGACGATGGTGCTCGGGGCGAGCATGATTGGGCTTTGGAATATTGAACAAATGGTTTGATTGATGTGGCTGGGTAGGTCGGTGTTGCTGAGCGGGGCCCATTGGAGAAGGCTTGCCAAATTCAGGCTGCTGAGAAACTGCAGGCCGGTGCTGTTGATTCGGACGACTCGGAGTGAGAGGTTCGTTGGGTGCACTGCTTTCTCTGGCCATGGCTGCGTATCGAGGCTTCGTTTGAAGCCTTTTCTTTGGAGATGGTTGAGTGGTCGTTAGAAAAAAGAGGGGACGTTGAATTGATCAAGGTAAGCGAACGTATGTAAAAAGACGATTTGGGTAGATCGAGATCGCGAGGAATGAAACGTTGAGTCTTTGAGAGCGTGGGCTGATTAGCTTTTGAACATTCTTTTTGCTCCTATCGACGGTCCTTGATTTCGTCACCATGGCGGGGTGGATGATTCCCCTCCACTCAGCACTTGCGAACGACGCTTGGGGATGCTGCGAGATCCAAAAAGAGTATACAATGGACTTACCTCTAATCAGGACATGTCGAGATCCTCAGAAGCACGAGAATGGGCTAGTTGGCGAGGGGGCGAGTCGGAGAGTGGGGGAGGTGGAAGAATAATCGTCTGTCGACAACGTTATCGATATCGTTTTTGTTTTGGCGGATTCCCCAGCAACGCGGAGCCTCAGGCAGCACTTCTGTTCGTCGCCCGTTGGACCTGCCCGATTGGGGAACAATGGCGTCCCGGTTATGGACTGAGAACGATGGAAAGAATGGATGCTTGACAGTCTGGTTTTAGGTGACTAAGTGATCATTGAAGCTTATTCATTTGCCCAACTATGATGGAACCCGACCCCTCACTCCCAAAGGCGTCTAGGCTTCGAGGTTGTGATTCGATATATATTCATCGAGCGTTGACAATGATTTTGGGACTGCTTATGAACGAAATGTATTGCCGAACCCAAAATTCCTTTCATGGGACATTTATTTACCACAAATTCATTTAAATACTGGTTTAATGCCAATGTCGCCAATTACGCTCCTCAGAATCTCCGGAACGATCACCGCAGCATCGCCTTGGAAGAACCAGTCACACGTCCCCTGACCCCGGGACGGCATATCATTGCGATCCATGTTGATCACCGCCACACGAGCCCCATGATCCTGAGCCACTTGGACATACCCGGCAGCTGGGTACACGCTTGAGCTGGTACCGATCACTAAGATCAAATCCACCGGGGCTGACTCGATCCAATTGTCCACGGCGGAGAGGGTATCTCCGGGAAGGGGTTCTCCAAACCAGACAACCCCCGGCCGCAAAAGTCCATTACATTTAGGGCACTGGGGCAGATCTTCTGGAGTCAGTTGAGAAATCGGGACGGTCGCGTCTGAGATATCTACTTCGCCGGTGCCTGCTCTTGCTGCGAGTATATGTTGCTGAGATTGGGTACTCTCCCCGTTAATTTGGTCTGTAGGGGAGGCAGTCAGGTTTGGTTTCAACTTGGGAATGTCCAAAGCTGGAACGATCGGGTCGGTGAAGTCATTGGCAAGGGTGTAGTTGCAATAGAAAGACGTGCACTTGAGGTCAAAGAGGGACCCATGGAGCAGATGTAACTGCCCTGCTGGATGCCCTGCCCTTTGTGAGAGGCCTATAGACGCCCCAGCGGGCCATGAATTAGAGCCTTACTGACACATCGCAATAGAAACACAGCTCAAGAGACAACTAGGTAACGACAAGCCTCGAAAGGTTTAAAGTGAAGCGAGATATACTTACCATCGACATTTTGGGACAGCGTGATAAAGTCTTTGTTCTGTCGTGCCAGCTCCACTAACGCGTGGTGTGCCCTGTTGGGCTGCGCCTGCAGTGCCATATGTCGTCGGTAGCTATAGAACTGCCAGACGAGCCCCGGGTTGGTATCAAAAGCCTCGGGAGTCGCGAGAGAGGTCGCATCGTACTGGCGCCATAGCCCTCCCGCGCCGCGAAAGGTGGGGAGGCCGGACGCGGCCGAAATGCCAGCCCCAAGCAGGGCGAGAATACGGCGGCTATTTTTCAAGCATTCGGTAAATGACTGCACATCTCCAGGAGAAGCCAGGGCGTGCTTTGCTGCCGCAGCCATCGTGGTGACGGCGGAAGGGGCGAAGCTGAAAGAGGGAGGAGAAGAATATAGGTGAGAGAATGTTTAAGGTAAAAGAATACAGAGAGAGAGAGAGAGATATATATATATATATATCCAAATATCTTTTAATAATATAATAACGTCCTTCAGTTATAATATATATGAAAAACTCCTATAATAAAAAATCTGCATTATATAAATTGCTGGGTATGTTTCGTATTCAATATGAAGCGTTTCCAGAAAGACGGAATTATTATTCCTCCGACTCTGTGGGCACACACGCGCTCCCATGGGACCTGTGTTGCTCATTTGCGGTCCGTGCATTTTTGGTCCGCCTCAACTGAATCCTCTCACACCAAGCCTATTTCGGAACTATATATGGTTTCGGGTCCATACTTGATATGGAGCATTCTGATAGAGGGTTTGCCGAGGCAGGTGACTCTGGTCCATTCGTTTTTGAACGTATCGGTGGGGTTGTGGGCCTGTTTTGAGGAAAGCACGGGGAAAGCACACCCGCCAGGCGAGATGCCTGTTTACCCCTATGGGGGATATCCTGGAGGACATCAAGAATGTTACATTGGCAAGGGATGTTTGCATCTTGGAGACTGTGCTTGAGGATTAGTTCGGTAGTTCCTCAGAAATACGTTTTTTCATAAGATCCGTCCCTAGAATAGCTTATTAGCGTTAAGAAAGTGAGATAAGGCCAAAAGAGACCTATATTACTTTAGTACCTAAGAGATAACTTACATAGGCCGGAATATGGACTGAGACACCTATATAGCTCCAAAACCCGGAGCCATACCCCTGATTGTCCTCGCATAGGTCGGGCTAATACAAAAGCGAGATGAATTGAGGGCAATCTTTTAAGAGTTGTCGTCCAACGGGGCATCTTAGAAGTAGGTACTTGTATCCGTTTCTAAACATTGACCCAGTCATAGCACTTAGCTCGGCGGTTGCACTAGTTCTCAATATTCTGACAGACACCGAGTAGTGCGGAGGATGCAGGCCGGCGCTGTGAGAAGGATGAGGCGGCGCGCGACATCGTCTCTAGGACACATCTCTGCGGCTTTGTTATCCCGGATTGCCCGGTGGATGGCTTCGTGATTGTGCCCTCTTGTCATTTTCAGGCACTGTGAATCGAATAGCGAAGGACACTTCTCGGTCACGGGAGGCCTTGACAAGGTTCTGAGATCGTTTTAAGGGAGTCGACCATGGCATAGGTAACACTTGGATATACATATAAATCTTGGAAACTGAGGATTTTTCGGAAAAACTGATATGAAATAGCTCTTTACTGTAGATTCAGAAGCACCTCGTATGTATTGGTTCATGTAATTCGTGGAGAAAGCAAGAATAGGAGCATATCAAATCTCTCACAGCCTACCCGAAGAAGGTTGAGGTTTAACCGCGCGGCTGCGGCAAGGCAACAGTTCGCTGTCGCGTCCACCGCCCGCCGACATCCCCGTCATTCCTGGCCGCACCCCCATCACCATTCTCCTCTAACCCCCCAGCAATCTCCTACCTTCGGTTCTACTCCTTCATTGACTGCCGAAGGATCTTAGCTATCAGACCCTCTTTCTCCCTAGTTTCATTTAGTTGCCCCTTCGTCACAATGTCCGGCTACGACCGAGCTCTTTCAGGTAAGCCAGCTAGCTCTTCATCGACCAGTTCCCTTTACTGCCCTCCTATCAACATGACCATGAGATGCTGACAACCTTCTAGTATTCAGGTATGATATCTATCTACTAGGCTCCAGCTTCACAGATAGTCTAACCAGCCCCTCAGCCCTGATGGACACGTCTTCCAGGTTGAATATGCCATGGAGGCTGTCAAGCGCGGTAAGATCACAGCGTTTCTCGCCCCCTCCCTCCCCCTCTGGGCGCTACCAATAGCTTCTATAAAGCTTCCTGTTGAAAGCTTGGCATTCTTGATGTTTGACTCCGCTTGCTGATCCTGGCTGAACTGCAGGAACCTGCGCCGTCGGTGTCAAAGGCAAAGACATTGTCGTCCTCGGCTGCGAGAAGCGCTCCGCCCTCAAGCTCCAAGATACCCGCATTACTCCATCCAAGATCGCTCTGGTCGATGATCACGTGTGCCTTGCCTTCGCTGGATTAAACGCCGACGCCCGAATTCTCATTGACAAAGCCCGGTTAGAGGCTCAGTCACACCGTCTGACCGTTGAGGACCCTGTCACCATTGAATATATCACGAAATACATTGCCAGTGTGCAACAGCGTTATACACAGAGTGGCGGTGTTCGTCCATTTGGTATTAGTACGCTGGTGGTCGGCTTCGACAAGAATGACTCCACACCGCGCCTCTACCAGACTGAACCCTCGGGCATCTACTCAGCTTGGTAAGCCTTTGCCCCGTTGCAGCCCATTTATTGTTCTCATGAGAAAGACCACTGACCGCTCCGTGTCATCTACAGGAAAGCCAACGCGATCGGCCGATCAAGCAAGACCGTGCGCGAGTTCCTCGAGCGGAACCACCAGGATGAGATGGATCGCGAGCAGACTATCCAGCTGACCATCAAGTCATTGCTTGAGGTGGTGCAGACCGGCGCCAAGAACATCGAGGTGGCCATCATGGCTCCCGGAAAGCGGGTGGAGATGTTGCCCGACGACCAGATCGAGTCTTATGTTAAGAGCATTGAGACCGAAAAGCAAGAGGAGGCTGCCAAGAAGAAGACCAGCCGGGGAGGTACTGCCACAACGGCCATTCTGACTCGGCCCAGTGGTGGTGACGGCGAGTCGGCCGATTAAGAAGGAAGATTGAGAGAAAGAAGCATTTGGTTCCAGTGGAGGAGCCTGGGCCTTTGATTTGTGTCAATTTAACCGTAGCGCTGGTCTTTTAACTTTCGACGAAGACTCAAAACCACGAACTTATACAGATTTGACACATCGGTCTCCTCAATTTTTGTATTTGGGTAATATACAACATAACAAGGATGGGTATTGGTGCCAGGGAATATCAGTGTCTATCACAGAACTGGAATGTCCTCGGATGGAACCGTAGGGAATAAAAGCAGAACCACGCATCAAATCGTCAATATCATGAAAATAAGAGTCTCTAACGGGTAAAGAAACCTCTTAACCCATGCGATCAGATACATCACGCAGCTTGAAGAGGGACCGTTCTTGGTCACCGCGAACACGATCGTCCTTGAGCATTCTGATATTTCTGTGAGTCTATATTGCAGTCGCGGGGGTCGCTTCTATCGGGTTCTCGACATACCGGTTGTCCATGCGAGCGTCTTCACCCTCCACTTGGAGAGTAGGGGTGGGAGTCACAGCCTCAAGAACAAAGTGGTTATCGCAGTGTGGGCAATACTCATCACTATTTTGTAAAAGCAAGCATTAGCCCTATGGTCGCCGTTTTTTCTTCGTTCTTCAAAGGGCACGCGGGGTAGCTCTACCTTTCCTCGAACTCGGCAGCGTCCTTACGGAAGCACTTCTTACACTTTTTGCATGCAAATATCTATTTTGAAGCATTGTAAGTCCTCGTTGTCTCGAGTTTCTCGACAGCTGCGGCCTGGAACGAGACCGAGGTCACCATACCATCTCCTGAGCCTTCTGCAGCATGTGTGACTCCTGCTCTTGATGACACTCGGCACAGTCAAACCATTTGCGACCTGGTTAGAGTTCAGTTGTGTATCTGTCACGGAAAAAGATTTGTATCGAGCGTACAGCACGGAGAGCGAATGGCCACTTGGGCGTTGAGAATGTGTTTACTGTGGACGCGCAGACCGTTAGCTTGCGAATTTCCCCGGCGCCTAACGAGGAAATCCGGGGGTCTCTGGATGGGCCGATCGCAGGGCTAATCGTGAAGCAGATGCAGAAAAACACTTACCACATAGCTTGAATAGGATGCACGGTACAGACAGATAATTGAGGCTCCCCGAGGTGTCAAAGAAGAACGTTGCGCAGGAACCAGTTGGTGATCTGCCACTCCCGTGATCGTCCTCCACTTTCCTCCCCGCCACTCCATTTCACCTTTTACCACTTTCATGCCTCTCTGACGGGCCTCCTTTTGTTCACCATCTCGGCCGCCGTGCCGCTCACGATCTTCAGTATTCTAGTTCTTTCCATGGACTGTCCTGCTCTCTCTGTTGCTTTCAGATCCCCTATAATCACAAGCTCGACGACCCTTCACATAACCCGATACACAAACTACTAGATCCCCAGGCACCCAGATATCAAGCTTATGATCTATCCTCCCGGCTGGTTTCGGCGACGGAATCACGGTTATGGCCATGGAGGGAAACGGCAAGGAAAAGGACAACACTGATGATGCTCCTATTGTATGCTTCGTGCGACTTCTTGAACTGTTAGACTGGGCATAGGCTAACTCGCTTGCATCAACAGAGACCTGTGTCCTCCTTGCTATCCCATTTTGAAAACCTTTCTCACCAGAAGCCCCAGTCTTCGCTGAGCACTAGTCCATGCGATACCCCCTCCGGCCGATTCTTACGAGCCCCCGAACATGGTGACGAAACCCGCTCTACCAGTCGCACCTCCTTGGATTTGCCTCGATCTCGCTCCCCGTGGAACACGTCCGCCGACGAGAGACAGGGCCCTGGACATGAACCGACGAACGGCGAGCAGCTGAGGGCTGGCAGATCTCCGGGAAGTCGATATGGCCGGCCCATTTCGATGAGCATCCACCACTCCTCGCCGCAGCTTCCGCCCACTTTGACAGTGCACTCGCCCCAATCGCCGCCCCGTGGTGTTGAACGGGAATCCCCTTTCCCTCCTCGGAATGGAAATCGCTCCCCCAGAAGTCCGGTCCATCTCCCTCGTGCGTCTGTATCCAGTGGTGTCTCGCGCGCGTCACCTGCTCGCCCGGTGACTCCGCAGCTTGGATCATCTGTTCCTATAGGAGAGACGGTCCAGCGACTTTCTCCCAGTGCCCCTTCTGTGAATGGCCGTGGCAGCCCGGCAGATCGGAAGTCGAAGAGCGCATCGCTGCCTCCCCCAGTTAATCGGGCCGACAAACCGAAAATCCCCGCAAAGCCGGCAATGTTTTCCCACCCGGATAGTAGCTCCCTTGCGCCGCAGCCGGAGAAGGCCTCAACCGAGGACCGTGTGTCTCCCTTCAGTACTCCTCCGAGCAGCCCTGAAAAGGCACCAGCGAAATCAGTGTCAACAGGGAAGATACACTCACGACTCCCGCCTGCACGACCTACACCTGAATTCCTAAGCCGGGGGTCAGTTGATAGTCGGTCCCCGGAACCATCGGCCTACACACAACATGATGCTAGAGATCTTGGGTATTTTCGCAGTCGTCCTATTCCTGAGCCTACACGTGCCACTAAACCCTTGATGGTACAAATTCCACCATCCTCTCCTGCTCTTCCTGACTCTGTGTCTACTGCTCCGCCTCTCTCTGCTCAAAGGCTCCGAGCAAGGGACATTCCTTATGAACGCCCGGGACTTCCTCCAAGACCAACGTCGGTGGTTCCTCGTCGAACTGGAGTCTCACCAGCTCGCGAGTCTCTGCGAACTGCAGCAAGTCCCGCCCAAATGACGCCGAGTGGTCAATCTGCTCCATATTTCTCGCATGCAACCGAATTAGCACGTTCCCGTTCCGTACAAAGGCAACAGTCCCTGCCTCGTGAATCTCAGATGCCCTCGTATCCGGACCGTCGAATTGTTCGGACAGACACTGAGGAGGATGAACAAGCTACCGAGGAAACCCCTGTCTCGCGGACAGATTACCCTGATGCCTCACAAGCAAATCGGCGCCCACCATACCTGAAATCAGGCCCCAAAGAGATTCCCACCAGGTACGACACCCGGCTCCTGGACGTGTGCGGCAAGTATGCGTGCACGACAGGCTACTTAACTCGTGTGTGGGATCTTACCACTGGTGAACAAGTCTTGAGCCTCAGCCATGGTGAGACAGTGAAGAGTTTGTCCCTTGCCTTCAAGCCAGGTGCAGCACTCGAGGATGAAGGCCAGCGTGTGTGGCTTGGCACAAGTGCTGGAGACCTCCATGAGGTTGATATCATGTCTGGTTCGATTGTTGCCACTCGAGCTTACCCGTCGCGTCGAGAAGTTATCCAGATCCTTCGACACAAGAAAGAGATGTGGACTTTGGACGACGAGGGCCGACTGCTGGTGTGGTTGCCAGATGAGTCTGGTACGCCCAATCTACAGTATAGCTACCACAGCCCGCATGAGCGGGTAGCCCGCGGTCATACTTTCTCGATGATTGTGGATGATAAGCTTTGGCTGGCTGCTGGCAAAGAGGTCCATGTATACCGACCAAATGCCCGCGAAGACGAGCCGTTCAAGGTATTGAAGCGTCCATTAGGCTCTCAACATTCGGGCGACGTTACCTCGGGCACTTTTACCACCAAGGATGGTGGGCGCGTATATCTGGGCCATGCCGACGGTAAAGTGACAGTTTACTCATCCACTGATTATACCTGCTTGGCGGTTGTCAATGTCAGCGTCTACAAGATCAACTGCCTCGGCATTGTTGGGGACTATCTGTGGGCAGCATACAAGACGGGAATGATCTATGTCTATGATGTCAAGACAAATCCTTGGACTGTAAAGAAGGACTGGCGCGCGCATGACAGTCCCGTCTGTGGCTTCGTGCTGGACACAAGCAGCGTGTGGACGATGAACCGCCTTCAAGTGACCTCTCTCGGTACGGACAATTGCATTCGCCTCTGGGATGGTATGCTGGAGGATGACTGGCTGGGTAAGTTTGCTTTTTCTATATCATCTGTCACTGTGGTGCGCGTTCTTCAGTAGATGTCTCTAACAGTTTATCAGATACTCGCATGCAAAGCAAGGATGTAGAGTTCTGCACTTTCCGAGAGATGAAGACGGTTATTGTTACTTGGAATGCAGGTGCATCGACTCCTGGCAGTGTGTGCACATCGGATTTCATTCAAGACGCCATTCAACCAGAAGATCCCCCGGATATTATCGTCTTCGGATTCCAGGAGTTGGTCGATCTGGAAAATAAAAAGATCACAGCCAGTATGTGTGAACTCTACTTGCGGTCCTCACTCTATATGCTAACCTCTATCTACAGAGAGCTTGCTTCTTGGCAGCAAGAAGAAAGAGAATGGGGAGAAAGAGCACATGAGCCGACAGTACCGAGTATGGATTGATCATCTCACTCGGGCTCTTCACCAGTTCATGCCTCTTGAAGAGTCCTACGTTCTTCTCCACACAGCCAACATGGTCGGTCTATTCACCTGTGTATTCGTCAAGCATAAGGAACGCCACAACATCAGGAACATCAGCGCGTCGGAAGTTAAGCGGGGAATGGGAGGATTGCACGGAAATAAGGTTGGTGGAGCTCGTTCGTACTTTAGGTCGAGAAATCTTGTCTAATTTTTTTTGTTTCGCAGGGTGCCCTCATCTTCCGCTTCGTTCTTGATGATAGCTCGATGTGCTTTGTCAACTGTCATCTTGCGGCCGGCCAGACTCAGACAGCTCACCGTAACAATGATATTGCAGCGATTCTCGAGGCTGAGACCTTACCCCCCGAAGCCAGTCTAACACAGCGTTCCGATCACTATGCCAGCGGCGGTGATGGCTCGATGATCATGGATCACGAGATTTGCATTCTCAATGGTGACCTGAACTATCGTATCGATTCCATCCCGCGCAACGTCATCATTGATGCTGTCCGCCAGAACAACCTCACCAAACTTCTCGACCGCGACCAACTCCTTGCTTCCCGACGGAAGAACCCCGGATTCCGACTCCGTAGCTTCATTGAAGCACCTATTACCTTTGCGCCGACATATAAATATGACGTCGGCACCGATCAGTACGATTCCAGTGAAAAGAAGCGCTCTCCCGCCTGGTGCGACCGCATTTTGTACCGTGGCATCGGCCGCGTCAAGCAGCTCGAGTATCGCCGACATGAAGTCCGTGCTTCTGACCATCGGCCCGTCAGTGCTACATTCAAGGTCCGTGTCAAGACTGTGTTGCCGAAGGAGCGTGCGGCAGTATGGGAGACGTGCCAGCAGGATTTCCAAAACGAGAAGCGGCGATTGGCGTCTGACGCTAGGTAAGCCCCGAATTGACAATTGACAACCCCAGAGACCTCCTGGAAAGACTTCACATTGTGATTAACATGATTTTTCTTTACTAGCATCGAGTATCTTATCACTGTCCTCGGCACTGATCCCCGCCAAGCCCGTGCGCTGATCTTGGGAAAAAGTCAATAGACGGCCATGATCTTGCATTTTCATCTAAAAAATTTAGTTGAGCACGGACATTGCGGTAGGACGGAACTCTTTTCTTGTCTTCTCTTCTTATATGGGAATGGCGCAAGGTGTACGAGTAACGATTTCACGATAGACATGTATCATGACGGAGCTAGACTATGAACTGTTACTGTAGTATTGATTTGCAACGCGCGTATAGTAGCATTCGCTCCCTGCCGATCCCAGACATATGGATATCCATGCGCGCCGATCATCTTTGTTTGGTTGTTTCCCGGTGGAGTGCTTGATTGACTACTCAGGGAACATGTCCGAATTCTAAAGCATCTCCCCTCGATTCCACTTTCCGGGTTCTTGACAAGAAAGCCTTGTTCCGCCTGATCCTCGGCCTCTGAGAATCGTCCCGGGCTACATTGGGACTCACTTTCCAGACTTCTGCCCCTCTCGTATGCATTGCTTGCTTTAAACCCGGCCCGGATACGGACTACCCCCTCTTTCTCGGCCAATGCGGGATGCCACCCTCCGCGCCACCGCAGGGATCGACATTGCTTTATTCTGGAGATGGTCAGGTCCGTCGCAAATATTCCATCCAAGATTCCAGGTCTCCTCGGGAGATTCTCCGGGGAATTCCCCGCACACGGTAAGCCCTATATAAACTTCTATTGGACTATATTCCCTGATCCGAAGACTTCGGTTTTGTTCCTACCCGACCACTAGGAGACGAAAAGCCGCAATGTTGACATCCGTATCTTTGGCCGTGCTGGCCTTGTTGCCCTCGGTCAATGCTCTAGTGAGAAAGGATGGCGTGGTAGGTGATATCTGTTGCGAAAGGTCAGCCAAATGAAACTAGCCTAACGCAGCTGATTAGGGGGAGATTGCCCGCCCTAGGCTGGAACTCATGGAATGCCTTTGGCTGCGATATCAACTCAACAAAGATCATGACTGCTGCGACTGAGATGGTCAATCTGGGACTGAAGGATTTGGGCTACGAATACGTGAACAGTATGCTTTCTATTATTATTGGGTCAATGTTTCTTTTTAATTTTTGCTAACTTATTCACTCAGTTGATGACTGCTGGTCAATTAAGGATACACGAAATGCAAGTAATAACCGCATTGAGCCTGATCCTTCTAAGTTCCCCAATGGCATCTCAGGTGTTGCGGATCAGGTTCATGATCTAGGCCTGAAGATCGGTATTTATAGCAGTGAGTCATGTAGTCTCTTCTCCCAAGAATACTTTCCTAACTTGGGATTCTTTTCTTCCTAGGTGCTGGTGAGACCACTTGTGCTGGCTATCCTGCTAGCCTGGGATATGAGGATGTCGATGCCCAAGCATTTGCAGAGTGGGGAATCGACTGTCAGTTTGAGGACTTAGGCCCTTTCTGAAAACAGATACTAAGGAATTCTAGACCTGAAATATGACAATTGCGGCGTTCCGAGTAACTGGACTGACCAGTATACAGCCTGTGTGCCTGATGGATCAGGCAACTTCCCAAATGGCACCTGTCCTGATAATTCAAACCCAGCTCCGGCAGGCTACGACTGGACGACATCGAAAACATTCACCCGCTATTCAAATATGCGAGATGCTCTCCAGAGTGTTGACCGGACAATTCTTTATTCCCTCTGTGACTGGGGTCAGGCCGATGTCAATACCTGGGGCAATGAAACGGGCAATTCGTGGCGCATGTCTGGGGATATCCAGGGTCAGTTCGCGGGTGCTTCCCACTGGTACTTTGATCCGGAGAAAAGCTGATATCAAGGATATAGCGAACTGGCCTCGTGTTGCCGAAATCGCCAATGAGAATTCCTTCAAGATGAACTATGTTGACTTTTGGGGCCATCCAGATCCTGATATGCTAGAGGTCAACAATGGGAATTTGACAGCCGAAGAAAATCGGGCACACTTTGCTTTGTGGGCGATCATGAAGTCGCCTTTGATTATTGGCACTGCGGTAAGCCATCTCCATTGTCTATTCATTGACTAAATGCTTATTCTCGATCTAGCTCGACAGTATCAGTGACACCAATTTGGCTATCTTGAAGAACAAATACTTGCTTGATTTCCACCAGGACCCCGTTGTCGGGCGCTCTGCCCATCCTTATAAATGGGGATACAATCCTGACTGGACATTCGACCCAGTCCATCCTGCCGAGTACTGGTCAGGCCCATCTTCTACTCTAAAGGGCACTTTAGTATTGATGTTGAACTCAGAAGATGTTACTTCCACTCGTACGGCGATGTGGAAAGAAATCCCAGAGTTGAAGGGTCACAATGCATATAAAGTGATCGATGCCTGGAGTGGTAAAGATCTGGGCTGTGTTAAGAACCAGTATAGGGCTTCCCTGTCGAGCCATGATGTGGCTGTGCTGGTGGTCAAGGGAGCGTGCTGAACCGTGCTGTTAATTCCACTGAGCTGGCCAGATAAATTAAATGAGTATACTGCGCCTTTCAAATCTTCCATAGATATAATCATGAATTGACAAATGGACTGGAACCACAAATGATTCAATAAAGCAGACAACCTTCATGAAAGATTGGTGAGAATGACTGTTTTGATTATCGCTGTCAAGCCACAGGGCCTTCTGAGCAATCAAAAAAAGCAAAGCTGCACATAATTCCAGTGCCAATTTTCCCGTCTTGAATACCTTTATGAAGAGCCTCCCACAGGTCAAGTCTTTGTTCATTGCACATGACTTTCAGTATTCACTTTTCCGTCAAAGAATTTGTATCAATTCATTTTATTGTGGAACTACTCTTTGTTCGCATAAAGCCTGGAGCAAATCACGGTTGAAAGCAATGGCTTTCAGGATTTCCACTCGAAAGAAACATTTTGCTTTGACTCCCGACACTTTCAGTGGCTTTGTTTGACTTCCAGCTCATTGATAAAAAATAAATGCCTGTCCAGTGCCCGCTAGCTATGTTCTCAACTTGCCTTTTCCATTTAGACAAAACCCAAAACTGCTACAATTACCAGCTCTCAGAGCTAGTACAGCTAGACCAAGGAAATGCCTCGAGCTAATTTCCGATGTCCACTTCATGCAAACCACCCAGAATTTGTATTTTTAGGACCAGGAGAGAACCAGAGTCATTATGGCCTGGTTAAGTACACTGCAGCGTAGGTCGCCTCTCGACCGAACCGAACCTCCAAAAAGCCGAATCTCAGACTAATCGTCAATAGAACTAACTACTATACGTGTGGCCCCACAATCATCCTAAGATGCTATGGATCAAATGGTGTTGTGGTGCCAAAATTGCATTTGCTGCGCGAGTCTGTGGCTTTCACAAATATCCCCAGTATGGCTGACTGGATATGGGTGAGATACCATTCCTTTCTTTTGCATATCCTGCATCTGTCAGTGACCGACTAAATGAGAATCTAGGAAGAATCTACAAGAGATTTATATCTCCAAGGTCCGATCATTCATGAACACCTCAGGTATATCTCTGACTTTCTCTATACAGGAGACTATACAGTCAATACGAAAGAAGTTCAAAACTTTCCTCCATTTGTCAAACAACGCGAGTGTCGTTGCAAAACGTGCGACAATCACCTTAGGTTACTTTCTCTTCATTTAGGTGTTTTTTTAGCTGCCCGGTACCTGGGCATGGGAAGTCTCCAATTGTTATCCCAGTCAAGATTTCGACAGGCAGCGATGGGAGCAAGTCCACCGGTACTACGTTGTATTGTGCAAGATGTATATTATCAAGGAAAGGGGTACGGCCAGGCGTTCCCGGAGGATCCATTCCCATTCAACTTGGCAGGCATATGGGACGATTTCCGGCCTGTTCTGATCATGGATGCCGTTGTGCACTCTGTTTTACAGACAAGATTGAGTGAGCGAAGTGAATATTGGGATCAATCGCCCATTCCTTTTGATCCAGCGTATCATTACGAAAGTCTCCGGGAAGCCATCCCAGATTTTAGTGCACAACTGGCAGAGGCCTTGGTCAGAGCTTATGAACAGTTTAGGTAAGTAGAAGAATGAACTGCTCACATATCTTTGATTGTTGAGACTTGAACTACGTTTGAACTATATCCTTCCATATGAACCTAGTTATTACCTTGTCAATATCAACTCACAAGCTATAAATTATGAAAAACAGCTCAAAAAAAGGAAAACTGGTTTACTTATTTTTAATATCCTTAATGTAGAGCATGGTTTATGATGACTCATACTTTAGAGATGGAAAAGCCGCGCAGGTACATCCCGTGGCCTCAATAATGTGTTCAACCTCTCGTCTGTAATCTGATATAGCCGAGGAAGATGTCCAGTCACGTCTGCACCGGCAATCATTGCCCCCAGAGTCTCACCAACTAACCAGCATTTATCCATACCATAGCCATTGAATCCAACGGCCGCCCATTCGCCATCATTGGGTCTTCCGGTCCAGCTTCTACCCAAGCGGCCAACCAGAGGCATTCCATCAGGGGTGAAACCCATGATACCAGACCAGATCCGTCGGGGTGTGGTTTTGAGCGCTTCGCCAGTGGAGGACTTGAAAGTTCCCGTCATCACCGATTGAAGATTCCTCGATGGGATGGTTGGCACGACTGTATCATCACTGACAAGAATGTCCTCATACCGCTGTTTCTCGCCCCCGAAGAAGAAGTCGCCTGTTCTCGCATTTTGAGTCATATAGTAGAGACCAAAGGTAAAGTTGCCAGTGGCTTTGTCAAATTTTGGTTCATGGTAGATGCTCCACGAGTGACGCGCGCCGTGATTAGGCAAAGCCGGGGAGATCGCTTGGGCCGACATTGTTCCTCGGAAGGGAAAGACCTTTCCACGAAGCCGTGGTAGCAGATGGGAAGTAAATCCGTTGGTACAATAGACCACTTGTCCCGCATGTACAATTCCTCGCGGAGTAGTGAGTTTATACGGATATAAGGGGCTCTCTGAATTATATGTTACTGATGTTACCGGGGTATTGGTGTCGATCGAGAATCTTGACGGGTTTTCATGCAGCATCTTTGCAAAGAGGCCGGTGATCAATCGATAGGGCCAGATCGCGCCAGCTGGCTGTTCACAAGCGCCGGCAGACTCATTGAATTTGTATTTCTGGAGAATCAGTATGCATAACCGGATCATGACAACTCGGGAACACCTACAGCCTTTGCCTCTTCAGCTGTAAGAATCTTGAATTGGTCTGCTAGTTCAGGACAGGCCGCCGAAAACTGCCGAAGAGAATCCTTGAAGTTGTCAAACGTGGTTGATTCTAAGAAATTCATCACTTTTTGAACCTTCCGAACTTCTGATACGCCCTTGAGATTGTCGTCTAGGGTTGCCACGAATTCATAGAACCGTTCGAGATTGCGAAATGAGAATCGCGACACCTCAGCCGCTTTGTCGGGACCAAAAAGCTTCGCGACGGCCGCAAAGTCCACCGCTGCAGGCGAAACCAGATGCCCTCCATTGCGGCCGGTGGCACCGCTGGTTAGAGCACGGGCTTCGAAGACGGCTATCCGTTTGTTACGAAGTTTGGGATTGTTCAACAGCGTATGCGCCACGCTGCAACCAGTAATTCCGGACCCTATGATGGCAAAGTCCACCTCCGACGGCAGTTGCTGAGATTTCACATTGGTGATCTTATGGGCGGGCTCCTGCCAGAATGCGGTGGAAGGGCCTTTGCGTGGAAGCCCTGGGTCTTGGCTCACCAACTCGACAATTCTCTCCTGAACCGTGCCGTTCTTGGTTTTAGAACTCATGGTTTCTAACAGTCGGGATATAAAGATGGAAAGAACAGGCTCTTTCCTGGCAGCTAGAAATTCCTGGCGAAAGATGAGAAGGCCCTTTCATTTTTGCCAGAGGGCTGGTAGGTGGATTAGCACCAGGTATTTATAGACCTGCCTGAACGCTGATCATGCTTGATTTCCGAGCCAATATGGTTCTGATATTGGACAGATACTCACTCTATCAGACCCCGCACCGCTTAATTCGCCGATATGGTTGGTGCTCAGTGCTCGGATCGCCGTTTCGGGCATGTCCTGCCGACCGCTCATCGTATCGACGATATTGGCGCTTTCTCCATCTTTCGCTCTCAAATGCACTTAACGAGTAGGGTGTATTATTTTGTACCTACCCGAAGAGGAAGCTAGCTGCGCGTGTCAGTCTCCTCCATCTGCTATATCCGCTCGTTCACAACCTGGAATCTTGTGGTTTGATTTGCACTGGAAACCTACAGAACACCCCTTCAAGAACAGCCGTGTTCACACCTCACTCTCCTATAAAGTCTTCAATGACTGGGCAATTCAGTTGAGGTACTATAAAAGTGATAATTGAATATGAATGATTTACGCATTAGAGGAGGGGCAAGACGTTGACTGGCCTACGGTCAATGAAGTACGCGAAGAAGGCATCTTTGGCTATTTGTATAGACATCCGTTGCTCACCCGTGCACGACTATTAATAGTATGATCGACGACCACCCCACTGTCGACAGGGTAGCTTCAGTCTAGCTCCCTGTTTCGGTGGGCACAGCATGGGTGGACAGGATTGTGCTGTCCTGAACGAGGAATGACCCTCGGTCGGGTTTGTATAGTTTGCTGAGCCTGGAAGTCAGCGAGGCATGCGGTGTACATGTGGACACTTTCGGACGCGATTGTAATTCAGGCTTCTCAGTAGGTGATGATCTAGGCTAGGTAAACTCTTTCATCAGTGCTAATGAGGGCTCGTGATTGTTTTTTTTTTCTGGCCTTCACCCATGTTTTGTGCGAGACCTTTGGACCTTTAGGGATGGAGCCCTCAAGAGAAATCACATGTTGTGTCTCGGGAGTCATTCTGAAGCAGGAGATGGACCATTGCTTCAATTGGCCACTTAGATGAATTTCAAGTAGTTTCTTCTGAGAGAGTGACTGATTTTGCAAGGGAAAAAACTAGCAGAGTCACCGAAGATTTGTGCTCCCGTCCGTGTGTTACTATCCCCATGCCAACTGGTATAGTTGGGTTACGGAGAAAAGGCGAATTCGATCTACCCCGGTCCTTTAGGGCTGAACCGTGATGTTCGGTGCCAACTCAATATGTTTCATTGCAACATGTTTTATAGAACGTCATGGTAAATGGGTCAACTCTCGCAGTATATACTCCATGGGGCGACGAGGAAGTCGATCAACATTCAACATTAGCGCCGTGACTGTGAATAAGGCAGGGAGTAGTCTCATATCAACTTGGCCCGGCGCGTACAGTAGAAGTAGTACGAGCAAAAAAGCCACTGAACGTGCGATCTCCGATGAGCTCTTGTGTGTAATTATAATCCATTTTCTTTCCCATCCGTGCATAGTTCCGGAAACAGAACCCAGCACGACCCGGCTCGACAAAGCTTGGAAGTGGGAGATCCGCCGACCGCGTCTTGGCGGGGCGTCGGGGGCCACGCAACTTAATTGCCCGAATCGGCCCAGTACAAACCTCCGGAAGTATAGGCAGCCAGATAGACTTGGGCTCGGCACGATGAAAAGGGTCTCTTCTCGGCTTAGAAAGAGATGTGAAGCGGACGAATCTAGACCCGCATCTATGCATCTATGGTTACAGTCGATCACCGCGTGAGGCTTTTCCGTTTTCTCTTTATCTCTTCGGTCTCTCCTGAAAGCGGCTCCCGTTCGATTGCAGTGACTTGGGCAAACTCTGGTCCCCATCCACTCCCACCAGGCCAATCCTGACCCACCGCTTCATCCCGTGCAGCCTCGTCGCAATCAGAATTGAGATGATCGCAGAGGCCCGCCGCACTAACTGCCACACTAATTCAAAGCCCCAGTCTGGGTCGGTCCCAATGCATGGCGCCTGAAACCCCCCAATGCTCGGCCCATGGAAGAGCTCCCACGCGGGACCCATTTACGTCAATCGGGTTCTTCGACCGCTTCCGCTCTCTGATAATTGAAGGCCATTGCTGTTCTCTTGTCTTACTTCTTGCCTTCTCTTTCCTAGGAGCCTGGGTCCCTTCCCCCCCATTCCACGCCTGCAAAGAAGCATGAGCGTTCTATCATGACTTTCCTCCCGACCTGCACCCCCCGCGACGCCGGTGCACCTGGTCGCAGTCGGGTCTTTGTGTACTTGGCCCTGGCCGTAAGCTTTCTCTTACTCTCCTATCAGCTAGTCTTGAACCACGAAACTTTCACTGCCGTGTCGCATTGGGCGCTCGGCAAAGGCCCTGCGTCAACGAGTAATGTCACGAACATCTCTGAACCACACCTAGCGGGACTGGAGGGACTAGAGAGCGACTCCGTCGAGCAAATCGAAGACAAACCGGTGGAGGACGACATCTATGCATCGCTACAAGACCCGGAGAATCAATCAACACCGAACAAGCCGCCCGACGAGAATCCAGGTGATATCCTGGACGAGCATCAAGAGTCGAATGCCACCCACCCAGTTCAGACTCGCAAGAAAGAGGTCGTGTTCGCCGCGATGCGCAACAGCAATATGTCCTGGGTTGAAGAAAACCTGCCCGAATGGTACTCGAATATCTATCGAGTGGACATGTCTCCTAGCGAGACCGATCTGACAGTACCTCTCAATAAGGGTAATGAGGCCATGGTTTATCTCACGTATGTTCCCAGTTCATGGAAGTAGGAATTCCATCGACGTGCAGGTCCGTCGATCAAAGAATGATCGTACTAATACAACCATTCGGTCTAGGTATCTCATCGACCGATACTGGACTCTTCCCGATGTGGTCGTTTTTGTGCATGGTGCACGCTACCAGTGGCATAACGATAACCCTTCGTATGGTATGCACTTCGTCCACCCCCCTTTCTTGTCCTTTTGTCCCATATCTCATCTCTCATGGCACTTTATGGCCTGCTGATCATGTTTCATTCCTTTCGTTCTCCCTATAGACGCCGTTATCTCCCTGAAGGACCTTAAGGTCGACTGGGTCCGCGAAGCCGGTTACGTCAATCTGCGTTGTACTTGGGTCATTGGTTGCCCCGTTGAACTCGAGCCCGCCCGGTATTTTCGCGAACGACCCGACGATGTTCAGCATCCGACTGCAGTCGCCTTCCCGGATAGCTTCATGGAACTGCTCCCGGGCACCGAATTGCCGGAGACGATCGGCATCCCGTGCTGCAGCCAGTTCGCCGTGTCGCGCGAGGCCGTGCACGCCCACGACCGAGACACGTATATCCATATGCAGCAGTGGCTTTTGAACACCCCGTTAACGTCCGATGTAAGCGGGCGGGTGTTCGAATATGTGTGGCATAGTAAGGCATCCCCCATCGTCTCTCCACATCGACCCATGCCGTCGCACAACCCCCTCTTCCATCCCTTGCATTTTAACCTTAAATCTAATCCCTTCCCGGACGAAGCGACTCCATGCTAATTGGTTGTCACAGTTCTATTCGGACAATCAGCGCAGCACTGTCCCGACATGCGGGAGTGCTACTGTCGCACATATGGCTATTGTGACATGAGCGACGAAGCCGTGCAGACTTATTGGACCTGGCGGGGCCTGGTCCTCCCCGAAGGGTGGCCCGACGCCGGGGCTGAGACGGGGCCTGTCAAGCGGAGTCCTCCTATCGAAATTGCTCATGTACATTAATTAACGTCTTGCACTAGGCCGAGGTCGCTGGCTCGAGCCTGCCGGTCTATCTGTTCTCTATATATATCCACAAGTAGCCAGGGACCGCGTGTTGCGCGGCCCTACCTAATTTTCCTGAAGGCTGGTTCTATTATACGTGTTGGAAGTAAAGGAACTAGCTAGTTTCCGAAGAAATAGTAAATAAATCACTCTTATCGCTAAATTCTATAATGTTAGCACTGCCTCTGCCCTTGCCTTCTGTCCCCTCCTTGCGCCAAGAACCATACTTTCTAGATAAAGTTGAATAGCTAGGTATAAAAACATTAGCGGGAAAGTCTAGACGAAGGTATAAATTAAGTAAATAATAAGCATGGACATAAAGTTCCTAGCCAGCAACGTCTACTCTGCGTGTCACATAATAAACCATCAGGCCGGAGCAACGATGCAACCCCTTTGAACAGAGCTTTTGGCAGTGAGTGATGCACTGTGTCTTCCGCTCAGGGGATGACTACGATTGTAGAGGACAAAAAATATTTAACCAACTTTGAGAGCTCTATGCATGGCAATAAGACGACGACAGCTGTTCTGTTGATTGAATTGAGCCGGACAGGACTGACTATTCAATAGACCTACATTCACTACCACTATCAAAATCAACCCAATCATAAATCAATGTTTAGATTCCATCCAACCGGCAGCTATTTTTGAACGACGCATTTCTACTATTTGCTACCTCACGATGGACACCATGGGCAGCGGTTACAAGGAACGAGTGGAAATCGGGCTTCTACTGGGCAGCCATTGCTAGGTTGATGGTACATCTCCGGTCTCCTGGCCTCCAATACGGCGGCGTGGCGGTGATTTTTGGTATCATGATTTATGATTTCATATACATGTAGTATAAGATATACATATGAGAATAATATAGGGCACTTTGCATATACACAATCGGATACTAATTCATTATTTTTCATGATGCACGTCGCTCATACAGTTGGAAGCATAGCTCCCAGCATCTCATCTAGAGCATCATATGGGTAAACCGTCCGAAACCACCCCATTCCATCCTATCCCGTAGTTACATATTCCCGCCATCCCTCCCAATCAGCTTGCCCATGATATATTCTCAGCGCCACAGGTCCTGCTTGCTCGCTCGCTTGGGTCCGCTGCTGCTTCTGGGTCGTGGGCCCTCGTCAGCCGGAACGGCCAGGAACCCGCCAAAACCGTTCCCAACGAGCACACTCTTGCGCGCATCTCCGCCCCACGATCGACTCAACTGGGCCTCTTGGAAGCTGAGTGGGCGGGTCTTGGCACTGCCTCGTCCCAGGGCAGGGTCGGGATCGTATGGAGTGAAGTTCCATTCAAGCTCGTCCAGACCCTTGCTGTACACGTTCAGCGGTTGCGAAAGACCACCCCCGCCAAATTGAGGCCCATTCTCACCCCCGCCGAAGAGCCTCGGCGGTGGTGCCAGTAACAGAGTATCTGGGAACTGTGCATCACGGACATATAGGTCCCGCAGCGCAGGCAGCGCGCGAGACATCAAGGAGGAAATGAGGTAAGTATAGTAGGAGCCCGCAGCGGGTGGCAGACCATTGGTTTCAGTCTCCGAGGTGATTTCATAATGAAGCATGCGAAGCGACTTGGACAGCAGGGGAGGAACTTGCTCGACTGGGAAGGACCGAGACACCTCCTGCACAATGGAGAGGCTTTGGAGCTGCGGGGCAGTGGAGAGAATCCGGTGGAGAGTCGAAGGCAGGACCCCTGTCGAGTCGATCGTTAACGACTGCAGCGCCTTTCGGGTTGTGGGGGAGGAAAGGAGCGCGACAAGCCCGCTTGCCGTAACGCTGGGGGTATCTCGAATCGTAAGCTGCTTCAAGGCAGGGAAAGGCGGCAGAGGTCCGTTCAACGCGAATGCCGAATCGTCCAGCCAGGGAAGATTCTCGAGGCTCAAGTCCCGCAGTCGCGGAAAGGATGCCAGGCCATTCCGAAGAACACTGACTTCTATTTGCAGCCCTGAAAGCTCCAATTTCTCCAGATTGACCCACATCTGCGAGCCCGGGATGCGGGCGAAGCTTCCCTCGGCTCCGTGGCGATAGCTCATGCGACGAAGATCGGGGCAACGAGCCACCAGCTCCTGTTTCAGAGCCAAGCAGGAAGGCTCATCGCTAAATAGGCCGGAGGGCAGATCCACAAACTGGAGGTTGGGAAGGACGGAGATGGTGCGAGCGATGGTCGATTTGTTGGCTTCGCGAGTCATGTACGGCATGCGGAGGGAGACGACCATATTTGCCAACCCTTGCGACTCTCGGACTGTTCGCATCAAGAGCTCAATCCGGACTTGCGGCGCATCGATCGGGTCACCGTTGCGGTCAAAGAAGGAACGGCGTTTCCGCTTGGCGGCGAGCTCGACTTCGAGCTCGCAGTAATGAACAGGGTCGATGCGGACATGTGTGTATCTGGAGGAGAACTGTACATCAGCGGGAGGTCACACAAAAGACCGAAGAAGGGGGTTGAGTGAGGGGAGGATCTTGGAAACAGTACAGGAGCGCGCGTGCCTCCACGAACCAGCGCTTGCAGACCTGCGCGCAGTGCGCCAGATCGCGCATGTCACATAGCATACAGCCATCGGTCATGGACTCCTCGGAGGTCTCATAGGAGTTGTCGACCGTGTGGGGGCAGACCAGGGCGAAGATATACGCCAGCACCGGACGGGGCAGCTTTCTGGTATAATCGCGACCGGCAAGCCTGGCGGAGCGGGGCGGCGTCTCGTGCTCGGAGGGGAGAACGCAGCGCCCCCGCTGCGCCGGGGACGGGCCCGGAGCCGGTCCAGAAGGCCCATCCTGAAGGATAGATTGGGTTACAGGGTGAAAGGAGAAGGCGCGGGCATGGAAGAAGAAAAGGCAGAGGGTCAGAAAGCAAGTCGGGGAGTAAGAAAGGAGACGAAGCGAGATCCGGGGCGACGATTTGATGCAGGGCCCGCCCCAACAACAGGGATGAAACGCCCAATCAAGCCCATCGTTCATTTCGCGTCCTTCTCGGAAAGACGATGGAGTCCGAGCTCCCAGCCGAATGGGTGACAGCAGAGGAAGGGCCAGCCACGCTGGGAGATATCAGATCTTATCGCTCGGAAAGAGATCATAATGAACCTCGCCCGTTCGGTGGCTCTTCGTGTACCCCGGACTAGGATGTATACAGATGGGTCGAGATGGATGCACAGTGTATGGAGTAGTCCACCCCGAGTGGAGAGCTCGGCGACCAGCCCGGTCTTTTGATTCTCTGCCCAACCCTGTATTGATTTTAAAGACGAAAGTGTTCCAGAAAACTTCCAAAGTTGCAAGGTTCCAAGGTTCCCGATGTGGGTTCCTGGCAATTTGATCTGGTCCGAAGACATCACAACGTGACATCATCCGGGATGATCCAGATCGTGCAAAAAGAAAGCCCGATGAGAATCTCCACGAAATGCAATCGCAATGAGACCATCACAACGCCATAGCGGGATTGATCGTAGGGTCAAATCATTGAGATCTCGGTATTGACTTCAAAGACACCGGCTGCTATCTTCGTCTCCCTGTGCGATATGCCAAGTATGACGGTCCGACCAAGGATCTGAGGAATTGATCCAAGTTCCTACACATGCTCGACTGACATCATCCACCAAATACCCTATATAATTGCGAAGTCATATTTGACAGGTATTTTGCAGGCCTCTGATCCTCCTCGATCGACTGCCCCTGCTTCAACATTCAGCTATCGCAACTCTCATCCCATCCGGCACCATGTCTGCAATTGGCATTACGCAGACCGATAACCCACTGCCCTCACCGGCCTTCACCAACAATCCCCCTGAACACACGCTGGAACACGAAACCTGGAAACATCGTCCTCCGTACCAGATTCAAAGCGCAGCCGAATTCGGTCCCGTCCAATGGCGCGCCCGCTGTCAATGCGGCCGGGTGTCGTATACCCTGAAACGGGACAAACCATTGAACGCCAAGTTTTGTCACTGTCGGGGATGCCAGGTCATGCACGGGGCACCCTTCCAATGGGCGGCCATATTTCATAAAGATGACTTGAACTTCGCCCAGGGGTCAAGCGGGCTGTCCTTCTATTCGGCCTCTCACAATTCCCAGAAGTATGACATGCCAACCAAAGTATCATGTTCATTCTGCCATACTTTGATCATGGATGAGGGCCGCAATGTCTGCTTGATCTTCCCTCAATTGATCCAGTTTGAGGGCTCTGCGGAGGAGCAGCGAAAGCAAATGGAAGCATTCAAGCCGACGTAAGTGGAAACAGGTTCCATTCTCCCCCGAAGATCAACAATGCCGTCCCCGCCGCTAACCTTCAATGATGACTAGATGTCACATTTTTTACGAGCAGCGTATGATAGATATTCCAGATGGGGCTCCGAAATGGTCTGGCATGGATAAAGTCAGCCAGCTCTTGGATGATCATGGTAAGCCTACCACGCCAGAATGAACAGTGTACAGCATAAACGGGTGACAGAGGCGTTGGTGATGAGGACTGGCACCGAATAATGCCTCTCGAGAGGATGATCAATATCCCCCGTTGAATTACTCTATGTGTATTTTCTTTTCTTTTCTTTTCCCCTTTTTTTTTGTGGTTTATCATTTGAACAGTATCCACTCACCATTATGAATTATGCTTATGTGCCCTTAAAGCTTCACTTTGTGCCAGCGACCTTGTGTATGATATCGAACTTGTAGTAAACTTATACTTCCCCAATGGAACAACTATGCAATATGACCGGAATCAAGGATCTCAGTAGTATTTCATTCTACCGGAATCAAATAGAGCCATCAAAGATAAGATGTGGTCCCTGGAACCAGGTTCCCTGCTCTTCCCAACGCCCTATGTCAGCATCTCTCATCCAATCACTAGGCAGGTCAGTCAGGACCAACATGAACAACGTGCCAAATCGATTGAGAACCCGACAGTCACCGAGTCGGGTAAACTGGCCTTCTCGGCTTGGCGGATGCTTAAGGGCGGGCCCGCATCTCCACGATGTGACCCTTTTGCAACTCTTCACCCGAATAGGAATTACCTCTTTCTCGCAACGACCCCTCCCCTCCCATTTTTTTTTCCTGACTGACTATGGGTCAACTGAATATTTTAGGGGGCTGTCCCATCTGTAAGAATCCATCCAGGCCAACATATCCGTCAAGTGTGCTACAAATAATCCTTTTTTCCGAAGCTCAATACCTAGCGCGATGTGGCTGAAGTCGTTGGTCCGTCTGGCTGTCCTGGCTGGCCCTGTTGCCGCTGTCACCGAAATCACCGATGATGAGATGACTTCGTTTCTAGCTGCTGGTGGCATAGAGCTGGCTGACCGCTATGCGCCCATGTGGTTTTTTGGCCAAGCCGAGGACCAACCGCCTTGTTATCCAACTTGGGCTTTTGGAGGATCACCAACATCAGCAGATGTTTACGATGACTCTCATAAGACACCGGCTGCGGCACAGTGCCAGTATCCAGATGTTGGCTGCAACTGTCGCAACCCGGGTGTGAGTATTGGCAACCCAGGACCTGCTTTTCCCGTCTACTACACCTACGAGCGCTGCAATGACACCGAGGTGCGCATGGTGTATAACCTCTTCTACGAGAAGGATGGTGCTACATTCGGAGCCATCGAGACTGGCCATGACTAGTAAGCCATAAAGTTTACTATTCTCCTCCGCCTTCTGACGTCTAACGGGGAGATCTTCTCAAGTGACTGGGAGCGAGTGATCATCATTCACTCGCGGGGCGACACCAACACATGGGCGCCATCCCGTGCTTTACTATCCGCTCACAGCGGCTACCATAACCTGGCCTGGGCGGACATCCAGAATACACTCACAACAGACGAAGTTAATGTCGGAGACGCCAAGGATCCCAACGGTGTGCGAAACAACGATCATCCTAAAGTCTACGTTTCGTGGTCTAAGCACGCCAACTTTGACACTCGCAACACGGGTTGGAATGATCCTGCCAGCCAATCTCTGGACAATGCCTTCCGCAGTCAAGATTGGTGGTACTTCGTTGACCCCCAATATTATGTAGGATGCTCCCCTTTGTATTGGTAAGCGCTGAGACTAACGGATGGTAGATTCGTGCTGACGATAGCACGGATGCTGGAAAGGCGATTGGGGCGACCAACTGGGGCGATGCGACGAGCAACCCACCCTCCGTGCAGTCTAGTGTTTGCAGTGCGGCATAATGCCATCATGGTAAACCAGGTAGGAAAGTTTGAAGCCAGATTTATCTAAAATGGATATAATATCAATAAAGTATTGTTGTTGATATGCTATGCTTGGAGTTAATTTATGCTTGTTGCATGGTCAATATGGAGCCAGGGAGAAATGACAGTGTCCCTATATTTAATGGTTTCGATTTAATCAGTAGTCACCTATACCAATTAATCTGATATAGCAAAGAGCCTAAGTAGAGAGTACACTTGTATATTATTTTCATTGAATATTCGGATGAAGTGTCAGGAATAGAGTATCAGAGAGGAGCGGTGCTTATAGTGAAGGTGAACCCTTCAAGATTTTAGGGTAGACTGACATACATGTACATCTTGGCATCTTCTATTCTCAAAGCGAAAGAAACTCCATTCAAGTAGAATTTTTCTACTATCTCTTTACTAGAGATAACGGTAAATTGGATGTCGAAAATCAATACCCAGGACGCCATATTAAGCGATCTTTGTACCAAATAAATCAATTTGTCACTCTAAGTCCTGTGAGCAAGACCCACTCGCCTTGACCATTTGAATTTCAGAATACTCTATATTGCTTAGGAAAGTAATTTATGTATCAAGTAGGAAGCTCCGGATTGTGATGAGGGTGGAATTGGCTCTCTGCCCGTGTCTACACGCCTGACATAGAACAGAGTGACTGATTAACATGTGCAAATGACGGAATCAATCATTAGATAAAGCAACCCAAACTTGAGACAAAATTTTCCCGAGGTCTGCACTTCGAGCCAACATGTTTTTTTGGAGAGGCCAGGCGGGGCAAGTGTCGAAGTGGTGTTGGCTAAGTGTCGGCCCGGATAAGAGTTGCCCGCCAGCGACAGTGGAGCACTCGGCCTCGGGCCGCTTTTTGAAGCCCCGAATCCACAGAGCGTATTCTTGAGATTCCCCTTTCTTTCAATTTATCCCGGGTAAGAAACAGTAGATTTAGCAATCCGAATGGCCGAATTCTCCAACATGGGCCTGAACAAGGTAAATTTGCAAAGTTTAACAACCCACGTGGACACTATAAAACCTGGCCTCTACCCCAGCCTGAAATCAAAATTGCAATAGTGTTTTGTATTGGCAAAATTATAATATCTCCCGTCTACAGCCGTGTCTGCTACTTTGCTAATGTCTTCAGAGCCGATTCTTATAGTTGGTGCAGGTCTCGGTGGCCTTGCACTAGCACAAGCTTTACGCCGAAAGAACATTCCATTCCGCATCTTTGAACGGGACGCACAATATGGGGTTCGCGAGCAAGGCTGGGCGATTTCTCTACATCCATGGCTAATAGCGGACCTCTGCTCAGGTGTGCGCGACGACGAAGCGGGACTTCGCCGTATGACTCCATCAGCACCGCTCGGTATGCACTCTGAGGGTGTGATCTACTCCCTAGAAAAAGAAACGCGAAAAGAACTGTTCCGATTTGGGGAAGGTACGGACCAGCCTTTTGTGCGAGTTGAGAGGACGAAGCTTCGCGATTGGCTATTGCAGGAAGTATCTGTAGAATGGAACAAAAGATTTCAGGGATACGAACAGCATCCAAATGGAATTACTGCACGATTTGAAGATGGCACTGAGGTCCAAGGAAGCGTTTTAGTTGGTGCAGACGGCATTTCCAGCCAAGGTACGGAAGTCCCAAAAATTTCTTGCGAGATAATCTGTTATTCTACCTCGGTGACATGCGAACATCATAATAAATTCATAGTGAGGCGTCAGCTATTGAACAGTCATGACGAGCCACAACGTTTGCCAATCGGTATTGTAGTGGGACAAGTCGAGGCCACCCATGAACAGTATCAGCGATGGCTCAAACTTGGTACAAGTCTTTCCATTGGATTTACAGATACACGAAGGCTATTTGTTGGACTGAAGAGCGTATCTAAAGATCTACGCAAAGCTCAATTTTACTGGATGTTCGGCTGGTAAGCATTGCACCCAATGTAAAATCTCCGTCCCAGAATTTGTTGCCGGGATCATTAAACTCCTCCTCCTCCTCCTCTCAGGGCCGATAAGAATGCCAAGAAAACCCCGTACTGGACCAATAGTGCTTCTCAAAGCAAGCTGCACAATTTTGTTATGGAAAATCTTCATGGGCTCGACGCAGAGTACACTGAGCCCTTTCGTGCCACACCCGTTGAAGGAATATTACAGCCTCCTTTGCAAATGCGCGATATGCTTCCTCCCACGCTCCCTAGAGGCAGAGTTACATTATTGGGCGATGCTGTCCACCCAATGGTGCCTTGTAAGTGTGAAAATCCTGATTGTCTTCCTCGAATAGCAGCAGATCTGATGATATATAGTCCGTGGTGAGGGCGGGAACATGGCAATAAAGGACGCCATTGTCCTGGCCGAAACACTGGCTCAAACTACTACATTCCATGACACAGCGGATATACTGAAGCAGTACGAAAGCGAAATGAGTGAGAGGGCAGGTAAGTCAGTCATCACAAGTCGTGAAAACACATTCATGCACAAGTGTATCTTCAACAAATAGCAGTTGGGGAGCGGAGTAAATATGATTAGGTACCGAGGGTGATAATCCCCGCTCAATATTATCGAAAATACAGTGATTAAATTCTTGCTATTAAGTCTCTAAATCAAAAAGTTCCCCATGAACCAGGCCTATCCTAGGGCACATGACGACACTCCTGTTTCCCGGTGCCGGAATAGTCATTGGCTGATTGATATAAACGCGTAGCTGCCCAGGAAAATCCGCGATGGCCGAAGGACAGGACACGACATGCCCTGGAATCATGATTCGTCATCGACCATGGCTTTGGCTCGGCGATCTGAGTTTTGACATATTCAAGCCCAGTCTTTAAACATCAAAAAAGCCTTGTATTGTTGATATATTCGGTTTTCGGGATCATGGACCTCTCAAGTTGATTCCTTATCGCAGTGATTTATTGCACTGGTATATTCATCTGGTAGCCAATGTTGTAGTTTAATATTTCAACATTTCAACACCCGTTTATTTTTTGGTGACTTGGCCTCATTCGATCCAGTAAAGGCTGATAAAGCACCCGCCGATCCCGGAGTCGCCCCGCATCCGAAGGCCTCGCCATTCTGCGGGAGCTATTTGTAGCTAAACCTAGTTGTTCCCCTTCATGTTATTTTTTTGCTGGAAAATAAAGTTCTTCACTGCACCGAGACTTTAGGTATTGGCGTCAACATCCATTGTCATGGCAGATATCTTCGAATCTGGAAAGCCCTTTCCTCAGCCTGCAGTAGGCTACACTCAACCATTCTGGCGGACCCAGCTTGACCCCTTGGATAGCCATCAGAGTACCCCAGAGCTGCCGAACGAGACTGATATTTTGATTATTGGTGGAGGTTATGCCGGCGCATCTGCTGCATACAACCTACTCGCTGAAAATCAGAATAGCTCCGTGCCAAAGGTTGTTCTTGTGGAAGCGCGTGAACTATGTTCGGGTGCCACTGGAAGAAATGGTAGACAACTCGCATTTTCATTCACAAGGATTGGGCTGATGAAATATTATTCTGTATTTAGGTGGTCATCTCAGGCCGGATCTCTATGCGATGGCTGCCAGATACACCGAGCGCTACGGGGTCGAAGCCGCAGCAGAGGTAGTCCGCTTCGAAATTGCACACATGGAGGAGATCAAAGATCTTGTACAGAAAGAAAAAATTGACTGCGAGCTGACATTTACTCGCTCATACGATATTTATTTAAATGCGGATGAGCTCAAAGAAACGAAGCGCTTCGTTGATTTTCTTACGCAAGAAGGACTGGACTTTATGGACGACGTTAAATACCTCTCTGAATCTGAGGCTCAGACGGTAAAACTTCACATAAAGAGATCTCTAGACTTTACCCTAAGAATGAGCTGACATTTGCCTGACAAGTCCGCTAAAGTGCGGGGTGCACAAGGAGGCTTCAGCTTTTCTGCTGGACATCTTTGGCCTTATAAATTTATTGCACACCTTATTCGGATTGCCGTTTCTCGTGGACTTAACCTCCAGACAAACACGCTGGTCTCAGAGATCGCACATGATCGTACACCAGAAGGCCTGTGGCCAGTCATTACCAACCGTGGTACGATCTATGCGCAAAAGATCATTCTTGCAACCAACGCATTCACTAGTGCCCTAGCACCCGAATACTCCAAGGCAATTATACCATGCAAAGGTCTCTGTACGCATGTTGAAGCAGCTCCCAATGCACCGTATGAAAGACTTCCTGAGACATACTGCATTCGGCTTGGTCCGGGGGCAGTCATTTATCAAATCTCACGAAACGATGGGTCAATCATTGTTGGCGGGGCTCAATATACATACAAAGAGGCGCCTGAGCAGTGGTACAACAACGCCGATGATGGGACATTGATTCAAAATGCTGAGCATTATTTCGATGGATATATGCAACGTACCTTTCACGGGTGGGAGAATAGTGAAGCACATGTGAAGCATATCTGGACTGGTGGTAGGTCCGATTTCTGTGTCTTACCTGCTTTTCTTTTGGTAATTACAATAGTTTGAAATGCTGACGAAACGCGATTTATTCCTATAGTGATGGGCTACAGCGCAGACTCGTTACCCCATGTCGGGAATATCCCAGGAAAGCCCGGGCAGTTTATTGCCGCTGGTTTCAACGGTCACGGCATGCCGGTAGTTTATTTGTCTGGCAAGGCAGTTGCAAAGATGGCACAGGACTCAGTCCCTTTTGAGGAATCTGGGCTACCAAAGTTATTCCAGACCTCTGCTGCGCGTTTGAACCCAGCCTACGATGATACTCTGAATTAAGTACCTGGGTTAGGTACGAGTAGATCCGTTATTATATAATCCTCCGATTCAAAATGTCAGGTGCTTCGCGATTCTCATCCAGTATACTAGTCTAAAGTATAGGTACACGTATGCAATTCATTCAGTTGATTAGAAACAGCAGTATCAGTGGTTCTATTATTGATTTTCGCATAAGTGGTAGTATTTTAATTGAGTAACTGTCATACTTTCTGTCAATCTGATCCTCGGTACATTATTCCATAAAATTTACAACATGTTTACTCAGGATATAACAGTCTAGACAAGCACTGTGAAACGATTAAAGCTAGATATAGAGTTGAGTTGAAAGATACATCTTTGAAAGGCGCCATCGAATTAGTCTGGGACACAAATCCTTATTGTTTATCGAAATGGTCGAGGAGATCATAAGACATCTACAGCGACACGTTGGGACCACGCACTCATTTTTCAATCATAAATCTCCATCCATTTTGAGAATTCTGGGCAGCATGAGAGAATGAAAGCACTGCTGGAAACTCGATGTACACACTATGGTAGTTTGACGAGATAACTTGAGTCCTTCTTACAGTAGGTTGGGAAGCGTAGAAGGGTGGCATGCCCCTCAATCTTGAGAGGGCTGAGTCGGGTATGAAGGATAAGTCTAACCAGTATCTGCTCTATTTTGATCTTATTAAAGCTGATCCAGGATGTCTCTCCTCTTGTGTAGTATATATAATAAATTGATGCTGAGATGTTGACATTTTGAAGTATAAAGAAAAAGGCGGCAGGGAATGACATCAGTTCCGCCCAATCACCAGTCACTGAATTCTACCTAAATTATTCCCCCGCCTTCTTCTCAACTTCACCCATCATTCCCCGCCATCCCAAACCACCATGTCCTGGTTCCAGAAAAACTTCACACTGCCCTCGCGCAGTCGCGGCTCCTACCTGATCACTGACCAGGTTCTGTCGGAGCTGCCTGAGATTCGTGACTACAAGGTTGGCATGCTGAACCTGTTTGTGCAGCACACGAGCTGTGCGCTGTCACTGAACGAGAATTGGGATGATGATGTGCGGGCGGACATGAGCGATGCGCTGGATCGCATTGCACCTGCGGATCGCAAGGGCGATCTGTATCGTCATTCGGCCGAGGGGGAGGATGATATGCCGGTATGCTTGTCCTTGCCAGTTCTGCTTTTATCTCATGCAAGCTCTACGAAGTCCATCCGGTGCCCTTTGCCTGTTTACGAATCAAAATTTGGAATTCAAAGCTAACCAATTGTCACCCTTGGTTCAGGCCCATATCAAGTCCGCTCTTATCGGTGCATCAGTGAACATTCCCATCTCCAATGGCCGCCTGGCGACCGGCACCTGGCAAGGTATTTGGTATCTCGAGTTCCGCACCAGCCGCCATACACGCAAGGTTGTCGCAACTATCCAGGGTGAGAAGGCATGACTGGCTGGTGAAACAAAACAGCATCTTTGAATGGGATGGTTTTAAATTCAGGGGTGACATTGGCTTTTTTTTTCTCTTCAAAACATGGGCGGACGGCCAGAGGGCACCGAATCGGGTTGTTTAATAGAAACACAGCTCCGACACCATGATCCAAACCCACACCGACCATCGGTTCAAGTAGATAGTTGCGGGTTATAACTCGAACAAATATACAAAGCTCGACGAGACCAGCACCGCGTCACCCTCCGGCTTCAACACGTCAAATCACATCGTCGTTATCTGGTGAACGGCAGATCCATTGATCAATATTTCTGTACACGGCCTCGGGCCCAAAAAAGACAAAGTAACGAAACGCAAGGAATGATCAACGCCAACAAAAGGAACCTGATGCTAGTCGTCTACCGCTGCTCCAAGCCACCCTCGGTCACACGCTGGGTCTCATTCACCTCGGCGGCGCTGCCGGTGGGCTTGAGGGGATAGCTGGTAGCCGGCAGGGACTCGAGGTAGGAGCGGTGGTGCTCATGAGCCTGTAAATAAGTATCTGTTAGTGGAATTTCATTCCGATGCAGAATGGGATGTGAGAGGCTACGTACAAATGGTAGCCCGCAGTAGCCGCAGGTCGCGATCTCGGGCTTGTCGGTGTTGATGAAGACCTTGGGGTGGCCGAGGGGGCCACCGCCACCGTCGCAGCTGACAACCTTGGACTTTACCCACCGCACGGGCTGCTTGTGAATGAGCTCAATGGCGGCCATGGGTTGCGGCTATCGGAATCCACTGGTTAGTTACACAATTCAAGCACCTCACAGTTAAAATATGCCAAGTGAGTCCATCCTCATAGACATAACATGGTCAACACACCTGAGTCTCCATAATGGTCTGCTCGAAACGGGGGCCGGTCATGGCCTCCTCGCGGGGCTGCTGGCTGGCGGCCCAGGTATTGGCACGATTCGGAGCCTGGAGGCTACGGATACGCTCCGCTTTGATCGGGTCCTCCTCCATAAGACCATCCCAAGAGCTCATGGTGTCGGACAGAACTGCATTGGAAGCAGAGACGCTGGGCTTGACCGCGGGCACGTTGGGGTCGTTGGCGGCCATGCGGTTCTCTGACAAACGAGGGACGGTCGCGGAGTAGGCGCGGACGGCAAAGCGCGGACGGAGCGACGCCAGGGCCGCGATGCGGCGGCTGCAGGACATCATACTGAGCGAATTGAGTCCTGAGGGGACGGTGAGAATAGGAGGACAAGACGTGGTTCGGGAGGAGTCGAGGTCAAGGAACTGAATAATCCGCGAGGTGTGGTTTGGTGAAATCTCACCGCCTACCACTTACAGCTGATGTGGTGCAGCTCTTGGTTTTTCTGCCAAAGTATTATCTGTGTCTGCGCTTTTTACTCAAAGCGACTTCTCTGTCGGTGCAGATACATTCAATTGCCCATCATGTCGGCCTCTCCGGGATCGGCTGCGAAGCCAGAAAAGACCATGTCGTCACGCCTGCTTACGATGAAGGTATGATCTACTCCCGAAATCTAAATACAGAGCAAAGGCAAAATAAAGCTAACTTCTCTCAAGTTCATGCAGCGAGCTGCAGCAACTGCGGCCGCGAAAGAAGCGCAGACACCAGTAAGCGAAGATGGGCAACGTACAACAAAGCGCCCAAGACTCTCGACCGAGGCTGCCAGTTCTTCCACTCAGTCGGATCTTGAGGCTATCTCGAAGGCGCTGGCTGCGGAGGAGGAGAAACGACGGGAGGCGACGGCACGAGCTGCGGCCGAGGCTGGTGAGAGTGAATGGGTGCTGAACATCCCTGTCACTACAAACTACGCTCCGCAACCTCTCGTAGTCGCAGCGGACTCGCTTGACGCTGAGGATAGCGTTCTTCAAGGTGGCCGACGCGCGTACGGCAACTTCACACGCAAGAAGAAAACGGTTTGTATCTTCTCGCCTAACATTTTGAGCACGGGCTTACATTTCCAAAGGTTCAATCTGCGCCCGAGCAGGATGAGGACTCAGACGACTCCGATGATGAAGATTTCGATGACATCAACCCAGCCAATCCCGAGCAAGTTGAAGCCATGATCAAAAGAGCTGGCGAGAAGGCTAGAGCGAAGGAATTGCGGAAACAGGAAAAGCTGAGGGCCATGGCGAAGTCCGAAAAAGTCAAGCTATCCGAGCTAAAGAGTATTTCTGGCTCGCGCAAAGGCTCGGGCCCGGCACCCAAGAACGGCGGTGGCTCCAAGAAGAAGAAGAAGCGCAAGAATTAGGGCGCATTGGCTTGACTCATCATTCAGAATTGCAGATATCCCGGAGATCACTTGGGTGGCGTTTTATCTGGAGCATGGTCTATCGGCGTTTAACGGAGTTACTATAATTGCATCTTTCTGGTGGAATGACATCCAATCTCGGTATGAAACCTTGAATATAGCATAAAAAGGAAGACAGTGTCTGGTATCTATTGTGACTATAGCTGTAAGCTAGCGTGTATCTTGCTCAAATAGAAGTATACAAATTTTTTTCTATGAAAGATGGCGAAAGCGGGAAAAAAGACAAAAAAGGTATCATCGGATTCCAATCCACTCTAGACGGGCTCTCATAATCGCGCCTTCTCATCGCGCTTCTTCTTCTCCCACCCCTTCTGCGTCGCAAAGTTGAGGACCAAGTTCCACGCCGCAACCCCAAACCCAACCGGGGGTATGATGAGTAGTCCCCACGCCCACCACCGTGGACTCGATGCCGCGATACTGGCCATAGCTCCCTTGACCGCACGCTCCAGCTCCGCCTTGTCAGAATCGTTCCAGACCACGACGCCCCGCGCCGTTGTCGTCCCGCGGAACTCCGCTTGCACAGCCTTCATGCGCACGTCGCCTTGGCTGCGTACTCTGTTCTCGGCATCTTCGGCGGTAAGGTGGGCGTCGCGGGCGCGCAGTCGGGCCATTTGGACAGCGGGGTCGTGCACACCAACCACGATGACCGTCCCGCAGATGAGGTCCATGCCGCTCTCGAAGAGGAGTGGCACGTCGAGGACGACGGCCCACTGGCCACGAAGGTAGTGATAAATCAGGGCCTTGTAGACTTCCCAGCGTACGGCAGGGTGAATGATGCGGTTGAGGACCTGGCGATCGCGTTTGCGCTCGTCGGAGTCGCCGAAGACGCGCCGGCCGAGAGCGGGTCTGTTGAGGGGCTTGCCTTGGAGCGAGGCATTGACAGAGTCTTCGAGAAGGAGGTCTGGGGTCGTTGGACCGAAGTAGTTCACGATAGCTTTGTAGCCAGGCGTGCCGGGCTCGACGACCTTGCGGGCGAGGATGTCGGCGTCGATGATAGGGAGGGCGTAGGGCGGGGAGGAGAGGAGGGAGGACACGGTGGATTTACCCGTGGCTATAGAGCCAGTGAGCCCAATTATGAGCATGCTGGCTATACTGTGGGTAGTTCGAGAATCGGTCAGAGAAGGAGTGAAGAGCAAGTTGCCAACGAGTTTGGCGATGTAGTCGATGCGGGGAGATCCACTACCTCGGCTCCGCATTGGGCGGTTCTAGCTATACTCCATACATATTCGCAAAGGTATCGGATCGACATCGGGTAATGGTGCAGTGGAATTATCTTATAAGTCCATAGTTGTAGCCTTGAAATTCACACTCCATTATTATCACTAAGCCCATCGCCCTCAAATAAGCTAGATTTTTATGGCCCAATCCTCGAGCTCGACACCAGGTCGACTGTAGTGGGGAGGGTTGTCCAAGCTCAACCAACGCCCTCCAGTCTGCACAGCGCATTGATTGGGATCAATTCATTTGCTAGTCAAATGGCGCACAAGATACAATAAGCCATCTCTGCCGTAGAAAAAGCACCAAGACCTCCTTCGGTCGCCTGGCTCTGAAATCAGGGAGTAGCCTGGTGCCCATGTAGGGTCTCTGTAATCGACCATATATTCATCGAGTTTCTGTATAAACCCTTCCGTTCAACCTCATGATTCAGGCAGCCCAGAGGCCGGGTTCTGCGATTGGCCCTTCCATCCAACATACGGCCATCCCTTGGGTAGGGACGAGAAGGGAGGGAGGACATATCGGCCCTCGCAGCTCCCCTCCTGGCAATCGAGATCGCAGAGACCAAATACATTGCAGTAGCAGTCTGCTGCCGTGGGACAGTGCACCGGCTCTTTTCCGAATATCACTGGACAGAGAGACAAATCAGTATTCAGTCCATCTAACACCGGGGGTTACCACGGAAGACTGAGAAAACATACTGTGCCAGGAATACTCCATGATCCGCCCACTCAAATCATCTGTCAAAGAGGTCTCCACGAGCCACTTGCGGTAGCGTTCATATTCGCTTTTCGGGCGCTCATGCACTTTCTCGCGAGTCACGCCGAATTGGGCGCAGCATGAGACACCGACTTCTTCGGGAATCGGAGTGTCTGGGAACAACTCCATGAATCCATTTCTAAAGTATTCACCCGCGTGAACATCCTGGCGATGCGTGTCGCTTTGCGGGTGGATCTCGACTGGGCAACCCAGGGTCCACACACAGCGTAGATTGACGTATCCCTCCTGTCGAAGGTAAGGGACCTGGAAATTGCGTAGCATGGGAACACCGTCGTAATAGGGATCGTCGTTATGCCATTGATAGCGCAGGGAGTGAATAAAGAGCATGACATCGGGGAGGTTATCATAGTGATCAATGATGTATCTAAAAGACATGAAAAGGGAACGCCAGTTAGCCGGCCACCAGCCCTTCATGCGACAAAATAATGCAGCGCAAGATTGCTCGTGGAATGAGTCGCAGCACTCACGTCAGATAGACCATCGATTCGCGGCCTTTATTACGTGCGACCGTCAGAGGAGCACTCTTGTCATCCACCACGTAGATGCTCCTTGACCAATCTGGGAAGTATTCCGCCACCCACGAGGTGTCGTCTTTGGTCATGCTCGCGACCACCATCTCCTTTTGTCGCCGGACAGCAGTGCGATCCTGCCCATTGATTATCTCGGGTGTGCTGGCCGCGGATGGGCGCAGCACATATTTCGTTTCATCCTGGTAGGTGGAACTGCGAGGGGACTTGCCGCCGGCGAAGAAGAGAAAGTACAGGGTCAGTACAAGGGCGATGGTGAGAAAGATGGCTTTGAGTCGGTTCCGGCGACGAGGACTCTGTGGTCCGCCAGGGGCGAATAACATGGCTGTGATGTCTTGATGCTGTGCTGTTGCTGTTGCGGCTGCTCAAGAGTTCAGACATCGAGACCGCGGAGATCAATTCAACGTCGCATCGTGAAGATTCCGATGCGCGTAAGCTGAATGTTTAAGCTGAGAAATAGCTCGCAAGGCTATTGCCAGCCAACAGGGCTCGAGAGGGAAAGGGAGGAAAGCAACAAACTTGCGAAGCTGTCGAGGTTGTTGGAGTGGGAAACGTGTCTGCGCCAAAAGTCCCCGCGGAAGCTCTCCCCAGCCAAACCAGCCAAACCAGCCACCGGCCGATCGGTGGGTCCAGATCCAGTGAAACCTCAACCCGCGATGGTGTTTTGTATACGGAGTACTTCGCCATGATAGATATTTTTGGGGCTTGAGCTCTTCATGTATAGTCTCTCAGGCCAGCCAAATTGTATGTGCTACTCTGCGATACTATCGCGTACTGTCAAGGCTGTCCGCCTGCACATTTTGTCTACTTCGTATACTTGATCGTCTTTCCATGACACCACACTGCTATGACTTAACAGTCAACCATTCATATCCCGGCTCTCTGTCTCTCATCGTATCATAATTGGAATTCGTACCTGGTCCCGAATTTCAACGTCGAGGTCCTCTACCTCTGGTCGAACCCGACATTGAGACAAGATGCTATGATGCAGATAATAGCAGTGAAAGTCATAGTTTACTAATTCGTTTGCCTACAGAGTCTTCGCGCACGTATATATAGATATATATTATCAGGACTAATTGCCTTGACTGTTGTCGCGGAATCCAACGTATTGACCATAATCTTCATGAAAAGGATCCTATTCTCTTCGAACAACATGCCCTAAATGAATACCTAAATTTTACCCTCAGAATCTAGTCGCATCCATCAATTTCCACAAAGTACCAATTGTGTGCCGAGATGCTCTCCCCAGACGTGCCTGCATTTCCATCAGTGGAATCAACCCCCACAACCTCCTCGACATCACTCGTCGTCACCGTCACATCGTTGTCGCTGGTGACCCAATACTCCGGGCTTGCATGACTGAACCCCCACGACATCGGCGGCAGTTTGGGAACAATGTCATCTTCATGTGTCACTCTCCATAGACTGCCTTGGCCGGTCATGTACGTCGCCAGTGCTTCGTTGCCCACGCGCGGCTGGCCATATGTGTACTAGTTTCCCATCAGGTATGAGCTATGGTTCCAACTCCATTCCCAAACAGAGGAAGAAAAAAAGGAACATAATAAAGAAACTCAGATGGAAAATGAAACCGAAGACTTACCAGATCGAGTGTATATCCGGCATTCCGCAACGCAGTCCCGCCCAACGCGGCCACAGCGGCCCCGAAGCTATGGCCGGTCAGCACCAGGGTATAGCTGGGATAGCTACTTTGCGCAGATTCAATCTGTGCCGTCATGTCGTCCGCTACGGTCTCCCAGGATTTCCAGAATCCCGAGTGCGCCTCACAGTCGTCGCAGAGACTGCTGGCATCCGTCAGACCGAAGTCCAAGTTAGCAATCCAAGTGCTGATACTACGACTGCCTCGGAACGACAATACGATCAGCTCGTTGGTCGTATCTACAGCGAGGAAGCCTGCAACGTCTCCCCATTCCGTTGAGCTGTAAACATTCAGTAATCTCGAATCGGCCACAGGGGGTGCTCAAAGACACGCCTTGAGTGGGACCAACACATACTCGTTGAACTCATACAAGGTCTTGGCGCCTGCGGACTGCACCAAGGGACAATAATCTCCCGAGCAGGTAACATCATCGCCGGTTGAGTCGATATTGTTGCTGCAGTACGATGCGGCTGCATATTCAGCGAACAGGGTGAGCTCGTCGAGCACAGAGGACGAGATGTCTAGCTCGTTGCAATCGTTTAGTTCGGCAGTTCTCGGCATCCGAGAAGAGGATGAATCAATAGAATGATAAGCCCTACCTCGAGGCACTGGTCGCGCCGGGGCCGCTGTCGCCAAAGACACAGCCGCCACGACCGCTCCCAATCGTCCAAGATGCACCATCGTATGTCGAAGAGGCAAGGGCTTTTGCGAAGATAAACGGACACGAGCCCTCTACCAGAGTGAGCCTGAACCTCGCGACGGTGCTAAAAATACCGATGACCTATTTTCTCCTTTCCCGATGTTGGGGCGGCCTGATTTCACTCCAGCCCCGTCCAGGCCCTATATGGGGCACCTTTTATACTTCAATCCTGTCCTCGTTCTTACACTTCCAACAGCTCATGCGGCAGACGAAGGCTCCGTCCACGGAAGCGGGGTATACGGATGTGAATCCCACGTTGTTTTTCTCCGGGCAACTCGGGCTAGGAGCAAAGACAGGCAAAAGGACATCTTCGATCCAAACAGGCTCATCGTCCGTTCCTGGTGCAAGCCAAGTGCTCGCCTGACTGGTGGGGATTCCCACGAGATCGGCATTCTTGCAGTCTTCACAGGAATGTAGCCACTCAGCTTCGTGCCGCGCACAGCAGGTGGGGAGAAAGGGGGGAGGGGCACTTTTCTCGGCCACGAGGACGACGAGCCACGGGCCTGAGTTGACTGGACGAGGATTTTTCAGTGGCTTATAGTCCGTCTGGGGAACTCGACATTGATCTTGTCTTCTTTGGGGCTTCTTAGCTAGGACTAGTTCGGCGGGACGCTCGGCGAAATCGATGGATTTAGGCATGTTCCGTGAAGGACCGCTGTTCCTGCGTGGAGATGCGGCATTGGGGGAGAAGGATCAACCAGTGAGAACGAGACGGACTATGAGATGCTACCGCCTACAGCAAGTTTTCGACCGTTCTAGTGTCCAACTGGAGGATAGTCTCCCCTATTCTATTCCCGAATCCATCGGGATACAGGTGCCCATCGCGGTATACTTCACGTTAGTGCACCATTGGTGCACATCACTAGTTCGATGTGATCAGCGCGGGGGCCACGCATGACGACAACATCGTCCGGCAGCAAATGGAAAACCACGAATCGCAGGCGCTCCCCGTACATCCAAACATCCCCATGGCCAGCGCAACGCCGTCGGGGCTCGTCCGTAGTCCGAGCTGGCGTTGTCCGGCCAGGCTTGGTATGCCCGTTCTCGGGGCTAGTGAAAGTCTCGCGATATGTAACAACAGGCACATGGAACGGCCGTCGCTTCGACAAAACGAGAAAGAAATCTATCTCGTGCAGAAGCATGAAGAAAATCCTGAATCCTGAATGGAACATAGAAATATTAGATTGGCTCTATGATGTTTTCTCCTCCCTTCCCCTCTCCCGACACACTAGAGCTATCTGTTTCTCTTTGACCCCTCTCCCACGCACTGTCTTTCTTGCATATGGTTGGCCTCTCATGCCCTACTGCACCTCAACCTCCTTATCCCCCTCGCCAATATCTGTCATGCCCGTGTCTTGCCCGTCGTCCCCACCCGCGAGAACTTTCGTGCGGGGAATCTGGCCCTCGGGCAGCGGTGTTCCGGGAGTGACAGCCACGACATTGTCGTTTTCATCCACAAACTCGAAGTTGTATCGGGAGAGCAGATGCGGGATGGCAGAAAGTTGGGGGCCATAGCGCGCAGTGTTGTCGTACAGTTCGAACAAGGGCACCGCCAGCAGCTTCATGTTCTTGGGCACGGAGAGGACCTCTACAGATGGCACCCCCACAGTCAGTAAATCTAGATATCATGTGAAACCCAAGAGCTCAAGAGGGAAGTAGGGAGTGAAAAGGTAAAATAAAAATAAAAATAAAAATTCAAAAACGCAGGCTTTAGTTTCCACTCACTTTTCTTGGGCAGCTGAATAAAATAGAGCTTCTTGCACTCCTTCGGCCGTGTGACATGTCCAGGGAGGAAGGGGTACATAAATGTTTCAAAGTTCGGCCGCCACCACTGAGCCAACGTATCTCCAATCTCCCAGTCCTCATTGACCCCCTCGCCTGAGAATTGCGATCCCACTGGCGCCAGACGCTCGTTCAGTCGTTTTTTGAACCCTTCAACCTCGTCATCGTCATGGAGCAGGTAATCACCGGGTCTAGAACAATTAGCTTGGAAATTTTTTGGCGGGCCATAAATATCATCATCGGGGAGCATCATACAGCTTGAAAAAAGCATTGGCGATCTGCAGCATCAGGACATGAGGGTGGTTGTGCTCGTGGCAGACCAGGATGCCCTCGCAGGTGCGCCGCATGCCATATTGATCATAATGTTCCTCTAGACGCTTTAAGCGGGCCAGTACTGAAGGATCTTCCTCGGGTTGCGTCTCCTTGGTGCCAAATGTGTAGTTGGAAAGTGGAAACAGACGAATCGTCTCCGGCTGTTGCGCGGAGAAATCCTTCGGTTGGATTGGACTGTAGGATCAGTCCATGTCAGCTTCTGGCACACCCACTCAAAATTTCAGGTCAATTATCCAGTTTTCACTCACGGGCGACTACTTTGAATCGCTGTTGCTGTCGTGGTCGCCATGTTGTCTCGTGTGGAGGATCACAGCGGTCAAGCAGGGCGCGCAACTCGCAAGCATGCTGTGGTCGTTATCGCTATCAGCGCGACCGCCTTCCGAAAGAGGTCATCCTCCATACACCAACAATGTCTCAACGATGCGTGTTAATATACGATACTGGGTTGGAATTTAAACATTTGATGGGAAGAAAATAGGGTTCGTTTAGAATATATATATGTTGTTTGAAAAAGATTGGTATTGTCAGCATCATGATGGTCCCACAATATGCCTTAGCTCTGCTCTCACTCGAAAATTGATATATGAATTGAACTTCCCACCACTTCCCGCCCTTGGTTCCTATTCATGCTAGATTTACCGTGTATCCAATTATTTTAGCACTTTTGTGACCTTGAATTATATGAATTTATTCAATATTATTTGAGTATGATCAGTATGATTGTTGCCAGCCTGCCAACCATACTTCTGAGGAGGGTGTTTGCAGACCTAGTGTGCATTAGATACCTTGCTTTGAACATATCATTTCTCGTTTGTCCGGACTTGTTCGAGGTTAGTCATCCTTTATGATGAGAGCCCCAGGAAAAGTCAGAGTTGCCTTCAAATAAAGGGACTGCCCTATTCCATAGAAGAGACTCCTCTTCTCCCAGATTTACCCGCAGATCAAATCCCTTATCAAAGGTTATCCAGAGATGCTCTGGAAGAAGATCTGCCTCCAAACGAGTGCAATTGAGCACAAATTTAAAGAGACAATAGTTGCAAAATAAACGAATCTACGTCACGTCGATGCGTAAATCTTGAGGATTTACTCATCAGATCAGAAGTGTATGCGTTACTCTCGTGCACATCCGTGGATCAACTATACATTGATAGATTTTCTTCTTTCTTATTGAGTCTTCCGTTGTATGAAATTTCAACTGTGTCTAGTAGAAAGTGAGATCTCGCGGATCCTCGCTCCCCCACTCCTCTGTCCACTGATGAGCCAAGACTTTCAAGGTGCCTGTCTTCTCAAGCCGCCATTTATTCCACAATATGTATCCCCCGCACCGCATGGTATCTGAAAAATAGTACCCATACAGGTTACTGTAGGCTCCTTGCTATAACAGGGTTCAAGCAAGCGGTGGGTAAGTCTTATTAGTATCTGTAACATCACCTTTGAAAGGTGGCGGGACTCATTGCTTTTCCTTCAAATCCTGAATTGAGAGCTGCTTCCTGCGTCGCGCTGACTGCGGTGTTTCACCTAGAGCATTATCTTCAAGGAATTCACCCACTGGGTATGTTACATACTCTTGCATTTTTTGAAACAAGCTGCGCGTGATATCTTGAAGAGGACTAGATGAAATCGCTCGAGCCCACGCGAAATTATACTCTGTAAAAGAGCCGATCTTGGATCTGTCTAGACTCTGTGTAATATCTTGTAGACACTATGTAATGAAAACAGCGAAAGATGAGAACTAACAGCTAGTATCCAAGTCAAATGCTCCGGTTGGGATAGGCGGCCGCCGCGGATCGGCAAATCTGAGATTCTCCGGATTGACATCCTACTGGATATTATTCAAATATTCGGTTATAAGTATAGTTCGCAAAAGCTTCATTATAAGCAATTTCCCCGACTTCCCAAGGCTCGAATATATATACAAAATTGTTCATAATGTTACAAGACTCGAGGATAAGGATAGACAGTTTCAGACCAAATCTACCCAGAAAGGGTGCCATGTGCGTTTGATATCAAATGATGAAGATTAGCATCACGAACATCATCCTCATACTTCCTCAAGACAGGATTACGAAGCCGAGGGGGTTCAGACGGAAGAAGCGTTTTCAGCCAGGGTATGGTTTGCTCGTCAGCAGTCCCGGTTCTTTCAGGGTCACATGTTAGATCATGGAATAAGCAGAGATTGGTCGAAGCATCAGCAGAGGCGTATCGAACTTTCGTGTCGCCCGGGAACTTCTTGGAACTTGGAAAGCGAAGCAATTTCTGAATGTTCTTGTGGTTGAGGGTAAGAAATGTTGTCAACGTGATAGGGGCTTTTACTAATATGTACACTCGATCGAAGCCGCGAAGGTCAGCGTTAGCTGGAGTGAGGGGCAGCAATTATTGTCAGACGGTATGAATGAATAGAAGCGGCAGTAGAGAACAGAAATCATGAGGAAACGCAAACAAGAATTCCATTGGCCTTCCTGGCCGCTAAAGTGTCTTCGTCGTGTACGGGTTAGTTGGATCCGAAGAAGAATTAAAAGGAAGACACTGGGCGTGAATTAAGAAACACAGACCGCCCCCACCTATGAAGGTTCCCAACTGGAACGCTTTGTGAGGACACTAGTATTTTACATACCAAATTGTTCGCAGATGAAACCTCAGATCGGGTAAATGAGCCAGCGATTCTCGCTTAGTCCCTGATCGGCGCTTTCCGTACCAGAGTATATTATCGACCCACCGACGGGAACGCTCCGCCGGATCATTCGGACCAGCACAACATTAGGGCCAGTCCTAGTACATTAGTAGTATCTGACCACGAGGGCGTACCCACCAAAACGCCGGTATGTACTTTGTACTTCGTTTGGGCAAAGACCCCTAAATGGTCTCACTTTAAAGCCTACAACCGCCGCCTTGCTGATTACCATGTTGCTACTCCCCTGTATATAAGGGCTTTGATCTCAAGCTCTTTCACTGCCCATGTTGCAAAAGGTTGAGGCTATATTCGCCCTACTCATTATCTCTCTCTGGGTTGTCGTCACAGTACGCTCTCAGCGAATTCGACCTTCCCTGTGGAAGCCTTAGGGAGAGGCGCCGAGCCTGCCCCTACGAAATATGCCTTTGCCACCATCCTGACCGCCGAAGGCGATCTCGAGTTTCCAGATATCAAGGAACCCTACCTTCGAGCTGCTCGACTTCTTACCTACCAACTTCTTCACAACCCCAAAACCCGAAATGAGTCTTATGGCATTCCACTCCTGGTTCTTGCGACCCCAGGTGTACCCAAAGGCCACTTGGAAATTTTGAGAAACGACGGAGCCACCGTGATGCCTGTGGAAACTCTCCACCGTGACTGGATTCATCCAAAATGGGACCGCTGGGGGGATGTACTCGCCAAGCTAAACCTGTGGACGCTTGAAGAGTATGAGAAGATCGCATTTTTGGATGCGGACTCAATTATCTTCCACCCAATTCATGAAATATTCGAAGTTCAGGCGACTGATATTCGCCCAACACGACTCTCCAACACAAATGGAACTGTTCATCCTGATCTTATTGACAAGTTGCCCCCCGAGTATATGATAGCCGGGACTCATGATCTGTGGATTGAACAATACATGCCCCCTCCGGAAAACATGGTCTTCTACGAAGCGGGGTCGTATGTGAATGCAGGGTTCTTTGTCCTTTCCCCTTCGAAGGCGATGTTTGATTACTACGACGCCATCCTTGATATCCCCCAGCAATTCGAGCCCAACTATCCCGAACAGAACCTATTAAATTATGCTCACCGGTCGAACGGACCGATGCCATGGCAGTCTGTCGGCTCTGAGTGGAATTCGAAGTGGCCGACTGAGCAGAATTTACAGAACGGGTTGAAATCAATTCACCATAAATGGTGGCGACCAATATCGGATACATATGTGGGTGAATGCATTGCTGATGCGGTTCAAGAAATGGAAATTTATCTAAATAGAACGAACGAGTCATCATGATAATGTACATTGGGATTGTAACCCTTCATGTCAATTTTCAAAGGCTTCATCATTTGGCGCTTGTTTACTCTCTCTGTTACTCTTCTTCCTTAATCGACACCTCAAGAACCTTCCCAGCTGCAAAATAAACGAATTGAAGCGATCATGAAGAAATATCGAAGTCTTGAAAGAGCCCTCAAATGCCAAATTTTTCACTTGGCTTAGTTTTTTTTCTCAATATCAGCCTATTTTATGGATTCGTGCGACATCAAAGGAACTTACCTTTAGCAGCTTGGGAGTGGTACCTTGTTGGAGCGCAAACTTCCTTTGTACAACGATTCTCTTTGTCTAGAATCTTTCCATCGTAATTTGAAGGTAAGAGAAATCACGATTGCGATGAAAAGTAGGGCGCCACACATGGAGTAAGCCGTTCTTGTAAGGCTATCGTGACTTGGAATTGAAGAGCGGGATGACGGGCCCTCTCCAGATGAACCTAAGAATATACCATAGTGAGATTCTGACCGTGGACTCGTCTGGTCTTTAGAACCTTCCTTGCTCTTGCTTTCATGGTATTGTGGGTGAGGTGCAAAGCGAGTATTCTCGTCGTGTTCCTTGATCCATCGCTCGAAATCAGTGACTGGCCTCTCTTTTACGACTTGTTGGAAAGACATAGCAGAGAAGTGAGATATAAAAAATGGTTCTGTTGGTGTAGCTGCCTTTCGGAGTCTCATATGTGATGAGCCTTTGGTAGTCGGATGACAGTGGGTTTTAGGTACGGAGTCAACAATATTAATGCCGCCCTCGAGGGTGTAACGGGAAGTTTGCCTTACCGGGCGCTAAATCTTGTTAGAGGACCCGAGTAACGCGAGCGGAGGCACAGGAGGCTAACCGGCCCTCATGGAGTCGGCCCACATGATGTGGCTCGACTTTTGTCAGTGATAGGACGCCCACAGGTCCGGGGTTGTGCATGGTGGCTTTTCATTAGGATCATAATTGGCCGGGATAACAAAGCCCAAGCTGAACTGCCTGAAACTCAGTCGTGTCGATCGAGTTTGTCGGAGTCAAGGGGCGCAGATATCCGAACCCTCCTTGAGTTTCATTATCGGGCTCGTACTAAAATGGACGGTCTATAGCCGCGGATCAACAACATACTACCTTTAAGAACCAAATGTCCTTCGATTACTTCCATCAAGTGTTGTTTTCTTGTAGGCGTTGGAGGCAGAGAGATGGGCTAATCCTGGAAAAGTGCAGGGATCAAATTACAAATGACAAATCCATCCGACGCACTGGCAGCGCATCCATTTGTTGAGCCGGCGTGGCATGGATATTGGTTCGCTTCGTTGATCTCGGCGCAAGATCCCTGAGGAGCTGGCCACTCATTAGCCCGTTCTTAGCGCTCCAGATGCTACCCGAAATTTTGTGGAGCCCAACCCTTAATTGAATTGCCCAGTACCAAAGATAGGTGGATTAGACGCATTGGTAGCGCGGTTATCATGTGGGTATGTAAAAATACAAAATACACCTGCTATGTAGATTCGCGTAAGCACGGCCCTTGGGGGATTGGAGTCTTTGAATTTCTGCTTCCTTCTTTGTCGCGTGCATTCTGATCCAAGACGACGTTTCACATGATATAATTCCCCATTGTATCTTATATCTCCGAATACATAAGTTGGAAGTACGCGTGACTCAGGAGGCTCGACACAGTACGCAGGAGCAGGCAAGATAGGCGGGGATCCCCTCCTAAGGCTCTGTTTCCGCTCATGTATTTGTTTATCCTGGCAGAATCAGGAATGAGATACACCCTTTGTTTCAACTAGCGCCTCGCACACATTTCCTGTGTGGCGTTGTGCCTCCAATTGTACAAGTACAAATGCCGCTTGCCGCCATGGGGGCTCACCCGTCATTAGGCCACGCTAGTAAACAAGCCAGGTCCCTTGTAATTAATCGATCCCACCTGTGCTCCTATCGAATCGTATCTTTGTAGGGATACATACGTAGAAGCATGGATTCTCTGTGTATACTCCCTTCCCCCCTCAGAGCCCCTTTTCACTGCGACGGTCAAGAACCCACGTTGTTTGCTGCTATCACCAACCCCATTTCGGACCAAATGCCTCTCGGGGAAATTAGGGCGCTTTCTGCATATGAGCATCATCGCGACAGGAATGGCGGTGCTTCTTGGCGCCACCAGTGCTCGCTATGTCTGAGGACTATCGCGCAAGTTATAGCACAGAGGAGCTCAGATATGTGGTTCTTCAATCGCACGAGTATTGACTCGTGCAGTAGTGGACTACTGTACTAGTGCTAGGTTTCACGGTCCACAACAAAATGCAGATGATCGCGAGCCGCGATCTTCGTAGACCACTGGACGACCCTGCCTGGTTTGGCATTCAATCCCGAGCTATGAGCACATTGTCCAGCCAGGAGCAATCTTATCTTGCATATATTCATATATTCTCATCGACAGCAGCTATTGAAGCGAATTGAAATATAACGCTCTGCAATCTGATCGTCGGCATTCCTCCGTCCCGCCAAAGAAAACAGCATGTTGGAAGCGCTTGATTCTCTTGTCAACAAGCCCTCTGGTATACACAATGTCTAGCATATGGCAGAATGGGATGATGTTGCAGCTTTCATGCTTTTTGTGTTGACAATAACGATACTGCTCTATGACTCTTCTCTTTTCATTAAAAACCCCTACGTCTTCGATTGAAGAGCCGCCCGAAGATTCAGTCCGCACGCATATGCTATCCGCGCAGCTTCTCCTTCGTATCACAGAAGGCCATATGCACCCCTCAAGCTTCACCGATGCTGCTTTCCTGGTGGTACTGCGATCAGAAATCTTTGTCGCCAACCTCACACAACGGCCAGTAGGCAACTTAGCAGATCACTGCAATATTGACACATCGTTGGAACCGACGTCTGAAAGAATATGGGCACTTCGAGCAATTGCTAATGCCGCGAAAGCCACTGATTTTGCTTACGGCAAGAGTACGGAGTCATCGCATTATCATTGGGAGACCCTGATGCAATACATCGATGGCTGGGAGCGTCTATGCCCGAAATCATTCCTACCGATCTATTCGCAGGATCAGATCTCTCCGACGAATCCATTTCCGCAAATTTACTACGCGAACGATTATCACATTGCTGCCAGATAACATATTGAGCTCGCTCGGATTCTCTTGTTAGCCTCCAGCCCAGAAAGTTGTCTAGCACGGAATCAGCAGAAGAGGCTGGGCAAGAATAATGATGATCGAATACGCGACAGTGTTAGAGTAATTTGTGGAGCTTCAATGTCTAACACAGAGTTTTCACAGGCACTGGTTACCGCTGAACTAGCTATTGCGATATGTGGCGAGTTATTCGATGATCCGAGCGAGACAAAAATACTGATTCATTTGCTCCGGATGCAGAGTCCCACCTGGGGTGGCCGTGTCTGAAGACGAAAAAGTATATGAGGGATCTTTGGAAGGTCTAGAACGAAGATAGTTTATAGACGAGCCGTATGAAGACTGCGTCTCTTACCATATGTACAACAATCGATGATTTTTATCAGAGCAGCTTTTGTGGCTCTAATCATAAGTCGTGGGACTTTGCGGTTGCTAGAAGACCCCTTAGGTCCCTGCTGTATCAGCTTGTATCAATCAAACTAAATTCAAGCAAAAATTGCTTCGCTTTAAAGTAGCTGTACCTATGTGCACAAGATCTTACAAGGAATTCTCGATAATCGTAGTCATCGGAGCCGAATTTAATTAGTATCTAATTCAGTATGATTCTCTTTGATATTTCTCGGTCTCGGAGCTATAGTGAATTGCCCCGCGCCAAACTCACCTTGTTTAACTTTTGTTTTTGTTTCCTTGGTTCTTAGTGGAGGAAACAGATAGCGTTTGTATTATAGTTATACTTGTATGACCCACGGTTTGCCTACAGCAAGTAATTACATAAAATATGCAGCGCAGCATCTCCTATACTTGTTCTCTAGTGCCCAATAACGGGTGTATGAAATGAAATCTTAAACATGCGTTCATCCCACTTCAACAACAAATTCTTCGGTGCCACCGCCGACTATCCTTCTTTCTCGGCCCCACGGCCCAGAATTTAGCGCAGAACATCTATTGGGCTGGATTCATATAGCTGAGGGGCCCCACGGTTTAAATGTCACCGTTAAAGCTCAGGGAGATTACACCAGACCCCAACTTAATGGGGTAAGCTCAATTAATAATGAACGAGAACGACTGTATGCCCAGGAGGAGCGCGACTGTACCCTGCTTGAGAGACTGTATTAGACTGAGAGGTATCATGATCGGTAGCATCAGCGGTACAACGTGAGAAACGCACTGTACTAAAAAGAGGAGGCTTTATTGGATTTCAAGCAGTCGTATCGTGAGCGAGACAAGAAAGAAAAATGGCAGGGGCCACCTGACCGCGACGGAGACGAAGATTCATCTCCACGATTAGCAAGATGCACCACAAGACCACCGAACAACTACGCTCAAGAGCAAGAGATTGAGACTGAACAGAGATAAATACGCGCCTAGTTGAAGAAGAAACGCTAAGGTAAGCTAGTCCCCTAATATAACGTATCTTCGGACGACTCCTTGGCGGAGAGCGAAGAATTGAGCGCTACCAATCTCTTTCTTTTAGTATTCGGGCTGAGGTTATGTCCGCTGTTGCATAGCCCAGTTTTTTGGTTTAGGCAAGGCTTCTAGCAGGGCCTGATGATGTGTGGGTACGAAGCTATTCCCAGATTTTGAGAATAGAAGAAATATTGCTGGTTTGGAAAATGAAGTGCCATTGATACAGAATAGAGATGGGAGGGTGGCCAAAATCCTCTCACAGCCTGAAAGACCTACTGAGTTGACCACTAGATAGCCAGAAAGGGTGAAAGGAATTACCATAGCAATGACGGAAATATACTAATACAATTTTTTCGTACAAACTCAGTGGTTCTATCCGAGCTTTAGACAGAATTGTATATAATATAGATGAGAATGCGATTAAGTACGGCGTTATATCCACGCAAATTCATTCCACGCTTCTCTACACTTGACTCCCAACTCTCAGTCCATGCTATCCAACCTGCCTCGACACCAACACCTCACACCAGACGGGAGAAAAAGCAAACATCACCTAAATCCTTAAAGCTTCGCATCGAAGTCTTCGAACTCGGTGAGATCAGACACCGGCACGGGGCCAGTGCTGACAGGAAGACGAGCCTTGAAGGTAGGCACGTCTGTGATGGTTATGGCTTCTTGGGCATTAATGACCGAGGTCCCGTTGGTTGAAGAGGCCTGGTCGGTTTCGTTTGGCTCCGGGCCAAGTTGCTTCAGTTGGGGGCCGAGGGCATGCTCTAGCTTCTCAGTGACCGGGGTGATCTGCTCGGGGGACAGACTCAGGTCAGCAGCCAGGAAAGTCTTGGCGATAAACAAAATCTGAGATTGGTCGATCAGAGCCATATCCACTTGCTCAAAAGCCCTTGATAGACGGGAAAGGTCCACAGCAAACCCAGAAGCTTCAAGCTGCTTGTAGACAATATCGACCAAACGGGCGCGCTTGTCAGACGGGTTGTTCTCATCAGCCTTGGTTCCCGACTGCGCGTTCAGGTGGATGGACAGCTTAGCGCGGGTGGTTGAACCGGGCTGGATATACTGTTTGTAGAAAGCAGTCAAATCCTGCTTGGTGAGCAAACGCACGTTCGCTGCATCGGTCTCGTGTTGCAAGAAGTCAAAGTACTCCGATCCGACATGGGACCAGTAGCGGCTAGTTTCCGAGCCCAGGTTCTTGAGCTTCTCCAGGCGCTTGTTGATAACACTTCGCTTGTGACCCTCGAACTCCTCCTCCGGCATTTTGTCAAGTGCCACGCCAAATTCGGTCAAGAACGATTCAATTCGAGACTCCAAGTACTGCGTTGTGCGTTCACTCTGGATGATTACACGATAGCCCATGGTGGTCGCATTATAGCGCGATCCACTCCATACGACGTACCCGAGCTGCTCCTTGCTACGGAGCTGGTCAAAGGCAGGCTCGTCAGTCAGCTGAGAAAACAGTTGCAGCTTGGCGCGTAGTGTATCGTCGGAGAAGATTCCAATATAGAGGTAGTACTCGATACAGTGGTTGACATTTGCGGGATCCTTGAGCGTCCGGGGGTAGACGAAGTTACTGCCCGGAGGCAGAACCATATTGCGTCGCAAATACCACTGTGATGGAGGAAGAGGCCGGCCCTCAAGAGTCTTTTCCACAAGATCTGTCATACGCAGGGCGTCCTCCTTGTAAAGGTTACCGTGAGCCAACACCTCGATGTGAGTCTGCTCCAGTAGCTGAGGGAAGAAGTTGACAATATCATCCGCTTGAATATGCTCTAGCTCCTCAATGTACTGCTCATTGACCCAGCTGCGCTCTGCCAAAAGGTATCGTGTGTAGTCGCCAACTTGGTAGAAAGGCTGCTGGTACTCGGCATTGCGGAATGCCCGCGTGAGGCGCTCTTTGATGATATTGAACCGGTCCTGGCTGATAACTAGGCCCCGCATGGTGGTCAAAACCTTCTCCAGAAGAACAGACATCTTGTCGTTATATCCACCGACCGAGACATCTAGGCCCAAGATGTTCGCTGCAAGGTGGTAGTCCAATCCTGCGAGCTCGGCATCATAGGAATATTCGTCCAAAGAGTCTCGCACGAGCTCACAGTAGAGCTTGGTCTTGATAAGATTGGCCGGTGTAGCCCACACCAGCGGGTTGCGCAACGTCACATGAACTGTTCCCTTAGGAACCCAGAATCGGTCATCCTTTTTGAACCATAATCGAACACGCTCATCGTGACGAATCAACTTTGGTGTCTTCGCGGGCTCCGGGACCTCTTTCTTCTCCACAGACAGTCTAGTCGGCACAAACTCGTTCTTGTGAGGCATATGGACGTTAGAAGTACGAGTCGCCGCTGTCGATTGCAGGGCCTCCTGAATACTTCCCAAGAAGTCCTGAGGAATCTTCTCGACCTTGTGCTCAGTACCGTACCACTTTTCCTTCTTGTCCCATTGACCCGGATAATCCTGGGACACAATAATGAGGCGGAAGTTATCAGCACGCAGATAAGTCAATGCCTTCTTGATGATCTCCGGATCGAATCGTCGCAGCAAGGAACCACTGAGCAGGTGCTCACGAGGGAGTTGTTTCTGCATCACACTGCTCAGGCGACTGGTGAAACGGCTCGCGGGGGTCTTCTGCTTGTACCGGAAATCAACCTCGGCCAAGTTCTTCATTTCGTCGAAGATCCACTGTTCCGGCTCACGCTCCTTGATCATAGCGATATACTCAAAGATCACCTTGGCAACCTCCTGGTACTGCTTCAAGCCCTCGGGGGTCAGACGAACCGAAATAGTGAAGAAGGCGGAGCCGGGACAAATGGGCATAGCGCCTGCTGAGAGGCCATTGGCCCAACCTTGAGCCTTCAAGTAAGAAAGAACACTACCGGGGCCTTCGTGGCCAATCAAGTGGCTAATATAGCGGCTTGGCTGAGACTCGTTCAGGTTCTCCTCATCCAGGAAGGGGAAATACATGTCCATAGAGCGGGAGTCCATGACCGGCTTGGCAAAAACCTGTGTGCACATGTCCTCCTCCGAGAAAGGCTGGACATCGTCCCAACGGTTCTGGGGCAAATTCTTGTTTTCCACATCCGCAAACAGCTCGTAGACCCATTGTTCCAGTACGTCTAGACTCTCTCGTCCTAAGACTACCAGTTTGGCTCGGTTGGCTGAGTAATGCTTCTCATAGAATCGGATGAATTCACTGCGGACCTCAAGACCGCGTTTCTGCGGGTCTTCCTTGAGAGTCTGCAGGTTACCCGTGGAAAAGTGGTGATACGGATGTTTGGGATTGGAGAGTGACTTGTTCAACTGCATCAATCGCCACAAATCACTCTGAAGGTTCTTCTTGTTCTCCGAATCCACAGCACGCAGCTCCCGATCCAATGTGGACTCCAAGAAGAGCGGAGAAACAAAGAATTGGGCAAAACGATCAAGCGCACCATACAACGGCGACCGACCGTCTGTTTCCGAAGTGTTGGTAGATGAGGCATCGCTGGCAATGCCGTTTGTCCCATTTATAGACTCGGTGGGGGTGTTCTGACCGGTAGATTTCGGCGCGCTTGAGTCGCCAGTGGCCGATACCTCAAAGAAATAGTTCGTTTCGGTCGCGGCAGTGTATGCATTGGAGGAGCCCGAATGGGCGGCTAGGTACTGGTTGTAGGCGTTCTCCTTGGGGTACTATTGTTCACAGGGTAGGCAGACACACGTCAGCATTGCCACCCAGCAGAAGCCTGGCGAAAAGCCAAGCGCTAGCAGGGGAACAGACGTACCTTTTTTGTGCCCATGAACAGCAAATGCTCTACAGCATGTGCCATCCCTGGCATGTCATCTTCATCAGAAAAGTTTCCGACATTAACGTTGACGGCAGCACTGGCCTTGTCGGTATCAGGATCGTGCACCAGTAGTGCCTCGAGCTGATTCGGTAGTCGAATGACCCGGTAGGAACGGTCATCCAAGTCCGGCTTCTCCAGACATTCTGTAATGCGTTCGATCTGCGTCATGGTTGAAGGGGAGGGGCTGAGGGACAGGTGGGAGGATGTATGGAAGAATGAGCGGGTCCAGCGGTGCTCGAATGGTGAAACTGGGACCGGGGACTGGGAGCGAGCGGGACGAGTCACGGTCGAGATGCGTGTCAACAAATATGGGCGTGCAGTTGGATTGCAACTCAGGCGTCTGTACCACAACCACGGGCGTGCAGTAGAGGACCTTGGGCGCATCAAGGGAATGAACGGGGGCCCAGAGGAAAGGGGCTGTGCAGGGTGGCTCGATCGAAACCAATGCACTTATATCCAAAGAACCAAAGAAAGACAGATGATTTCAGATACTTAGCAAAGAAGAAGAAAAAGGTGTGATGACGAGAGAAGGGTCTTTGATTGCAAAGCCGACTGGAGGGGGATTGCGGTCCCCACGGAAGGTCCCAGGCGGTGAGTTCCCCCGCGGCTCGGCCTCGGTGGCGCCAAACGAAATACATACATGCTGCGTCCGCTAAGCGCTGCGCGGCAGTGTGAATCCTGGCTTTGTGGAGGGCACTTCTTCGGGTAGTTCATGGCGTTCTTCAGGTTGTGGCCTCATCGTAAGGGTGTCTTGGGCTTGACTGGAATGCAATCAAAGCGATCGGAAGACGCGCGAGCGTGACGACTTTTCCACAATGCAAAGAAATCACTACACTCACTCCTCACTTGCATTCTTCGAGGTTCTTTTTGGGCTTATTTTCTTTGTGCGCGTATATATACTTCCAGCCTATCATCATGGAGCATATCTTGCACGACTCAGGTCCAACCAAATCCCAAACGTATGGTAATCGGAATATTTGCTATTCAATCCTATAATAATAGATTATCAGATGATAACTTTGATGTTTTATTACAGAGCTGCTGATTCTTCAAGCCAAACTGAACATCGTCCTTGCGATACGCGAATAGGTCAAGATCCATTTCATCATATAGTTAGGATCTAACGACTGTACAAAAGACCCTTTAGAGCTTTTCATTAGATATAAACAAATAGGAAAAGCACAGAAAAGACCGCCCGAGCCAGACCAGCATCTCAAATTTTTTACAATTTAATGATGTATATTTAGGGCTCCCGGTAGGGTCGGGGTGTCCCCACGAACCTGTCCGCGTAATACTAGCAAAACCTGATTCGTTCCCAGCCATGAGTGTGTCAAACTTACGGAATATTACGTATTATCAATCAAATAATATTGATGAAATCATCAAGGGAGAAAAATCCAAGAACAAATTTGAGCAGGATGATTATGATTTAACTCTCTCCGCCAATCGCAGATCCCTGGACCGGATGAGGCTCTCTGCAATTCCCCACACTTCGCCTCGTTGAGACTTTATCCAGTTTGCTGTGTTCTCTGCACCGCCCCTTTATGTACTCGGGGAATACCTCCTTCTCCACTGGTCCTCAATTCCGTACATTACATAGGCGTTGGTCCAACTTCCATTCGAAAAGGTTCACTTAAACAACAATCTCATGGTTCGTGCCCGGGTCTCCCTTTTCCCAACTCCCTCCGTTCCCATTGCAGCCACAGATTTGGCACATATCTAGCATGAGTCGGCGCATAGGGTCAGCGTGACGTCCGAGTCCGAGGTGCACGACTCGGTCTGGCTCGCAGCCGTCGCAGCAATGCCCCCGCTCCAGCAGATGTTGTTGCAGGTGTCCACGGACGGGTTGACCACCAGGGTCTTGCCACTGAAGGGGTCACCGAAGACATCAGACAAATCATAGAAGACCTCCGTGCCGGACAGGGCGTAGGCAAAGTCAGTCTGGGGGCTGCCGTCGTACAGACCGTTCTCGGTGGTCGTGATCTTCAGGGCAATGCCGCCGGAGACGTCGTCGTGGCGCAGCTCCTCGGAGTAGTTCGCGCCCGGGTCGATGGTCTGGCGTTCACCGACAGAGCTGCCAACGGACCACAGGTAAACAGGGGAGTCGCAGTGATTCTCGACAACAGCGTTGCCGACAGCACTCGCGAGGGGGGGCCAGAACGGCAACGGAGGCAATGACAGTGGCTGAGAAATACATGATGTGTGTGTATGTATGTGTGTGATTGTTTCTCTGGGATAGAAATCCGAATAATGGAGTGATAATTATTCTCTCGGGTGCTCTGGTTTCTGGTTGAGATAGGATGGGAATCATTCTGCAACCGAGAATCAGTGTGCCTTATATAGTTTGGTCGGGTCGCTTGGTGAAGAACGTCGCGGGTCGGTCCTGGCAACAGATCCAGTCGCTCTTTCCGCATCCTCGCGTTCATTGAGACCTCGAAGGCATTGCCAAAATTAGGGCTTCCCACGTCCTTCTGAGTGGATCAGCCCCATCACGAATCTGTTCGTTCCTCGTTTCTGGCTAACTTCCGAGACAGCAACCCTCATGCACTGGATAAAGATGCGAGAAACGAGATGTATGGTCAGGCCAGCCGTCGCTTCCATCACCGGACCAACGACGCTGCGCTAGACGACCACAGTACAGGCCCTCTGAACCTCGTCGAGGTAGTTGAGAGGCGGTGGGGCCAAGAGGTGTCCAAAGGTGCACGGACAGATCGCAGAACAAGGTCATGGATGCGGCGATCATGTCTCAGGGCGCTTCCACCCGATACCAGGAATGGGATAGATGTCGGGACACCAGCGCAGCAACCATAGTGGAAGGCCTCGGATAAGGCGGGCGATGGAGAGTTGGTGATGCATGCCAAGCGGCGGAGAGACAGCGGGTGGCTCATCGCGATCCCCGCTTGGCCCTGGAACCCTAACAGCCGGGTGAGCCACGCTCGGCCTTGCTCAGTTTCCGGGGTAAACCGGCTGAGACACAGTTACATCTCAGGCACACAGCCCTGCGTATTCGGACTCCTCATCACACGACGTGAGAGGCTAAATTCCCGATAGAGCTCAAGCTTGACACTCGGCCTCAGTCACCGCCGGAGTTGAAGGGGATGTGGTTGGTGAAGTCTCAGTCCGCGAGTTTTGGCCTAAAGTCAGCATCCTCGGCTCCTGGATCCGTACAAAGAAAGAGGGGAAGGATGCATTCTTCGGGCCCAAGATTCGAATTCATTCCAAGGCGAGCCTTGAGACCATGCTTTCTGGTACACTCGACTTCTGCATCCGGGAGACGGTGAGAGATGGCGAAGGGAAACAGTCCATGGGGAGTTGGTGCCAAGACTAACTACAGCCAAGGGTCATAGTTCTGACAGTTTGTTTCTAGGAGGGTCACGTTCAAGCAAAACCACACTAGTTGAACCACTAGGTTCCTGTGGCTTCTCGTAGTCCAACGCCACGCTATTTTTATTTTGGGAGAACCCTCTCCAGTTTGGATGAACTCGTGGCCCGATAGCGGGACGTGACGGGTGCAATGGAAAGAGGAATTCTTGTTTCATATTCAGATATCACTGGTTGGGGGAGTATAGGAGGGCTCACTGGATGTCGTACCGCTCATACTTGGTACTATTGAACTTTTCTGAGGCCTATATCGTTGATCATAGGAGCAGTTATGGTGAGTCACCTTATTCAGGCCATCCAGTGCTGCCTGATTCTGCACTCGTATTCAACATGCGGAGGCTCTGCTCTTTAACCCCTCTTGAAATGCTTCTATCCAGATATCCCAGAAAGGACAAGCCATGTATATATCGAACAATAAAAAACTGGTCCTACACTATGGAGCTCCAAGAGCCTCTTAATAGAAGCACCTGAATCAATATATCCACTCCAACACGCAGACCCGCGGGCAGAGAGGAAATTGGAACACCAGCACAAGATTTACTGGAGAAAGGGCTAGATTGGGCATTATTCTACGGCAACTGCCACTCCTTGCCTTCGCAGGACGACAGATCCAAACAGTAAATAGAAGAAAAAGAAAAGGATGAGAAACAGGTCAAAAAAGTACGCCATGATCGCGCCAAGCGCACCGCGTCGATACGCTGGCGGCCTGAATCCCGGTCATTCCTTCATCGGTAAATCCTGGTCCGCGTCTCCCTGTTCCTCCTCCGAAGGCTCCTCGTCGGCTCGCTCGGCAAGCCACTCGAAAACCTCCGCTTTGTGCTCGGACAACATCTCGCTCAGAGATGTCTTCTCCGACTTGTGCAGCCGGCCGTATCGCTTAGACGGTTTGCGATCCGGGTTCCCCCAGACGCTGTGGGTCTTGGAGACAAATACCAACGAGTTCTATAAGGCCACGATATGGGTCAGTCCGCCGATTGAATGAAGGTGGGAATCTCATCGCCAAGAAGGGTGGGGGAAATGCATAGTACTTACATCTCGGTACCACTTCGACAGCCAGGTCTGCGTGGGGGACGCGATGGCGCGGACAGGGTTCTCCGCCACGAATGACACAATGCCGTTAACATGCTTGTACAAGTTCTCTGCTCAGATTAGCCGAACATTCATTTTCTTCGGTGGCGCATATCACTTGGCAGGCGCGACAAATAGCATTTAGGCGTACCTCGATTGATCAGGAGATTAGCTGCGCCGTAAAAGGCATTGCCGATTCCCATGAAAAAGATCTCTCGGTGATCATTGGGCCTGGCGGGAGAAAAGTCAATACCCGTAAATTTGAATGATTCCTGGCTGAATATGGGCTCAGCGGAAAGTCTTACTCGATGTAATTGTCCCACAGATAGCTTGCGAGCTCTTCTGTCGCAGTCGGCCGGTTCTCATCCTCTTCTTCGTATCGGCCAGTCGCCTGAAAATCCCGAGTAATCAGTGGATGATCCAAGACCCAGGAGGAACGGTGTCATGACACTTACCGGCTCGCGGCTGACATGCTTTGGGATGTTGATGTCAATCACAGCGTATCCTTTATTAATAATCCATGCAATGTATTCCTTTTGGACATCAGCCTTATTAATGTTAGCATGAGGGTGCATAATTAGGAATGGCAGCCTCAGAATTGCTGGGTAAACCTACCACCCAACAATTATGAGCATCTAGCTTGTTAGTGACCGGGTGTGGATGTCCCACCATCTCAGGACTAGAATAGAATCAGTTTGGAAGGCTTATTCCTTGGCATGGGAAGAAGGATAACCTACGGGTCGTGGAAAATGACAACGAGCGGCACAGGCTGGTTGTAATTGGGGCTGTCAAATATAATTAGATTGCGTTGAACCCAATTTTTTTAACGGACTCATCATGACAAACCTTGCTAGTACCTGATTGTCAAAGGATTTCGAAATGGCAGTGCGATAGATGTACAGTGGCGTGAGTTTGAAACTAGCATACAGTTGCTTGGATTGATAGTCGCGAAGAACATCTGTACCATCCAAATTAATTAACACTGGCTTAGCAAGTGCTATCACAAGGATATGTGAATTCCTACCATGAAGCCGATCTGCCCAAACCGGATGTGTCGGTGGTTTCGGGAACATGCAATGCCAATATTGTGCCTGAATTCCCATGACACGTCGAACAGTTGATACCGCGTCTTCGGTGGGGGAAGTCATGAGCAATCGGTCCGGAGGCTCGCCCATCAGGGTCTTAGTCACCGCCAACGCAGACTTCGAGATCGATCGAAAGTTGTATCCTCCCTAAATACCACATCATCATAAGCTATCGTCTTCATATCCAAATAGGGTGCATGGTGGACAAACTTCCAAGCAAACAGCAACCTTGCCATTGGCAAGAGTCATAAGCATATGCGTCATTTGAGCGTAGCAAGCAGGGGAGACAAAACAACCACCCAGAACATCACCGGCCGCAGCATCGAATCCAGCCGAAACTATGTCCATGTCAGAATACGAAACAGTATGAGCAACATAGAAGCAATCCTACTAATGACAAGATCTGGATTGAATTCCAGGGCAATGGGCATGACGACTTGTTGAAATGCAAACATGTAATCACCATCGCCCATGCCTTGATCTGGCCATGGTATATTAACATTCCTTTTTGTCAAGGTCAGTTTAAACCTCTTCCGATACCAAATCAGATGGTATCATATCGTAGTTTGTTTAACTTACTTTCCGAGGCCTGGGCCCTCACCACAATGGTCCCAATCGCCTTCTTGGCCCCCGGGGTAAAATCGACCATTCTGGTGCACATGAAGAGAAATGTAGAGGATATTAGGGTCGTTGTAGAATGCTTTCTGAATTCCGTTTCCTGCTGCTGTGTAAGTGGGGTCTAATTGGCCAAATGATTGGACGCCATTCAATCTGCATACCATGATGGACATCCCTGCAGCTCGTGTTAGTAACGTCATGCGCGGTTGAAAGGGACCGGGCGAAAAACTGACCAATCGAGAATTAAAATCTTACGGCACTGGTCACCAAGCTCATTCTGACAGACGCGCGCGGCAACTGGTACATTGTTGAACAGACAGAAGCCCATGGCCACATCATGCTCCGCATGGTGACCTGGAGGGCGAATCACCGCAATCGCGTTCTTGACCTCGCGGCGCGCAACAGCCAAGCAGGTTTCAATCGCACCTCCGGTGGACAAGAGGGATGAGGCGAATGTCAAGCGGTTGAAATAGATGGAATCCCTAGTTTGCTCTAGATAAACCAGCTCGTCATCGGTCATCTCTTTAAAAGTCTCATGTCAGAGTGCAGTTCATTTTAATACGGAAGTTGAAGGAAGTCGGTCATACCTCGGGTGCTTTCAACAAAGGCGAAGTGGGCTTGGGAATGGATATGGGTTATTTCTTTTTCAGTGGCGTTCCGAGCGTGAATCCGTTGAAGAGTTTGCGGAGCTAAAGGCCGAGTCGATTCTGGATCATCGACCAATCCGGCGCGACACAGCTCTTTGTAGATGTAGTAGATGCGTCTTGGGTCTTCCGGGTGAACGTCCGATGTGGGTCGGACTTCACAGTGGTAGCGCATCCGTACATCATAACAGAGCCCTGTCGCAAGAGAACCAACGGGTAGGCCAGCTCTAGGCATGACCTCCTCGTCGGACCAGTCTGAGTTAGGCTCAACCAGACTGTCCCGCTTGAAGGAGATGGAGGCGGAATTGCTGTCCGAGTCGCTCAGCTTGACACGTTCAGGCGGCGCCATACCCGTCAAGAGGGTTGAATCGCGTGGTGGAAATGGTTCTGACCCGGGAGAAGGAGAGCTATTGACTCCAGGAATGAAAGATGGGGTCAGAGTGGGATTCGCTCTCTGCTGCAGATGTGCAGAGGGAGGAGGATGGGTGAGAGAGGTGTGGGAAGACAAGGAAGGAATCTTGCGAGTCTCCCCCATTATCGTATCCTTGTCCTCTTCCATAGCTTAGAATACTATTTCAGCAGCAGATATTGGCCCCCTTTCCGTGAGGCAATGTAGATCAGTGCTTAGTATTTCATGACAAGATACCCCAATCAACTGATGCGATCTTGTTCAACGCATGCACCCGCTATTCCTCTTCAGGACGGTAACGGGATAAGGCAGTCAGAAGAGCAAAAACTCTTCTAAACCCCCTTCTTTTTCACACAAAAAGCCGTGTATTTTGCGCGATGTATCAGGACGTTGGGATAGGACCGTGGACGTATAGAACCACGTCCTTTTGGTAATCCCGCGTCGAACAAGATAGCCTGCAGAGACCGTGCCTACTCCCTTGAAATAAAGATTTTCAACTGTATGAGACAGATTCAGTAGTTGCACACTGGAGATCAATGGGTCTCTGCTGGTGAAAGAGATACCCCTGTAGACAAAGGGTGAATTGTGCAGGGTTGATGGGGGAGGCAATGGATGTGCATGTTGGATCCCTTTTGGGCTGGCCGTTCTTACTGCCAGACAATCATATGTCTACCGCCTTTTTGACCGCCTTCCCGTGTCAATTCACTTAGGTTCAGAATAGAGATGAGCTGCCTATATTTTATCCATGACTAATCCAATTTCACAGTATAGACAGGCTACTTGAATATCTCCGCCCCATGAAAATGGATGACACCTGCAGTCATTGATGCATCTCGGGGACCAACCAAGTGGAGTGGAGGATATGTTCAGAGGCAGGTACATGTATTGAATTCTATATTCATATAGACAGTACCGTTGAGTTTATATCGGGATCATTATTATATTTCCTTACATCCAGCCATTATGTATGTTGGCAATAAGGTGGCATGATTCCAAACGTGTTAATACGTTTACTTGAGTGGCTTGGATTCGCTGCATCGACTTTCATTCTTTTAATGTAGCGGACGCCAAAGAGTGCAACAAAAAGTAAACAACAACGCTATTTCGAGACCACAGCCTCGGAAAGAATATAAATCTGTTAGTTAGACCTGCACTATATTTATGAGCTCCAACATAGTAAGCTCACCACCTTGCAAATATCCTCTAGCTAGACCCATTCTATTTTTACACAAAATTAAATCGGTGTTGCGAGGAATCAATCCTACGTGATGGGCCAGAAACTATCCATAAACATGAAGAAGTGTATTTGTTTCATTAATATGACGTTATCGGTTGGTTTTTTTTCTACAAGGCACAAGTCTTCCACTTAGACATCGGCTTGTGTGCCAGTATCTTTCATAGCAGACTCAGCAACCTCAAAGAAGACTTCTGACCCCAGGACGCTGTCCTGATTCCTACTGGCCATCGATCTTGGCGATGTAGGCTAATTGAGAACGACAAATTAGTATCATGGATGAGTATAGAAGGAAATAGGAAGTAAGAGAAAACGTACAGATCAGGTCAACAACACGGTGGGAGTAGCCCCACTCGTTGTCGTACCAGGAGACCAGCTTGATGAAGTTGGAGTTCAGGGCGATACCGGCCTTGGCATCGAAGATGGAGGAGTGGTCATCACCGTTCAGGTCAGTGGAGACGATGTCGTCCTCGGTGTAGCCGAGGATGCCCTTGAGCTCGTTCTCGGAGGCCTTCTTGATGGTGGCCTTGATCTCATCGTAGGTGGCAGCCTTCTCGATGCGGCAGGTCAGGTCAACGACGGAAACGTTGGAGGTGGGGACACGCATGGACATGCCAGTCAGCTTGCCGTTCAGGGCAGGGATGACCTTGCCGACAGCCTTGGCGGCACCAGTGGAGGAGGGGATGATGTTCTGGGCCGCAGTGCGGCCACCACGCCAGTCCTTAGCGGAGGGACCATCGACGGTCTTCTGGGTGGCAGTGTAGGAGTGGACGGTGGTCATCAGACCCTCAACGAGACCGAAGTTGTCGTTGATGACCTTGGCGAGGGGAGCCAGGCAGTTGGTGGTGCAAGAGGCGTTGGAGAGGACGTTGATGTCGGAGGTGTAGGAGTCGTTGTTGACACCCATGACGAACATGGGGGCATCGGCAGAGGGGGCGGAGATGATGACCTTCTTGGCACCACCCTTCAAGTGCAGGCCGGCCTTCTCCTGGGTGGTGAAGACACCGGTGGACTCGACGACGTAGGCAGCGCCGGTCTCGGACCAGGGGATGGCGGCAGGGTCACGCTCAGCGTAGAAGCGGATCTTCTTGCCGTTGACAATCAGGCCGGTGGTGCCATCGATCTCGATGGTACCCTTGAACTGGCCGTGAGTGCTGTCATACTTGAGCATGTAGGCCTAGAGTTGAAGCCGCGCGAGAGGCGCGAACTTGGATCAGTAATCGTTCATGCAGGAGTATCACTAAGAAAGGAGGAGGGGGTAATGCTTTTGCAGCTTCGGCTGCGCCACCATGATGAGGGCAAAAAGGGAGATCAGGTGGAGACATACAGCGTAGTGGACCTCAATGAAGGGGTCGTTGACAGCGACGACATCGACATTGCCGGCGGCAATGCTGTAAAACGTGTTAGGGTGATATGTTCGTGCCACGAGATGCGAGGTTGCAAGCAGGATAGAAGTGAACTTACGCATTGCGGAAGACCTAAAAGACGTATTAGCCCCTAATCAAGAAATGACGAAATAGCTGAGGAATTGGGGGGAGAATACTCACAATGCGGCCAATACGACCGAAACCGTTGATACCGACCTGTTGGGGAGGGAGATAAGTATATACTCGGAACCCCACCATGCCGTGCGACGGGAGCGCGTACCTTGGGGACCATGTTGGCGGTTTTGTTAATTCTGGGAATTATGTCAGTGACTGGATCAAAAAAAAACACATACACACACACACACAGAGAGAGGGACAGAGAAACAGAATGGTATTGAGGCTTTGATGGAGAGGAGAAAGGAAGAATGGTAGCAACCACCGACCGCGAGGAGGGGTAGCTTCTGGCTTCCTGAAGGCGGGGCAGGGAGGGGCAGGGAGGGGCAGGGAGGGAGCAGGGGAATAGTAGCACGGGGATCGTTGATGCATACCTTTTGGGAATTGGGAAGAGTGAAAGAAGTTGGATGGGGATGGAGAAGAGAAAGAAGAGAAGAGGAAGAAAGATGGGGGGAAGCAACGGTAAAGTATGATCGAGAGGGCTCCCACAGCGGCTTGGGATCGAATGGGCTGACGCAACGACGGGATCACCCTTTTGCCCCTCCTTCGGTGATTCCAGGGCATTACAGGACGGGAATGACAAAACCATACCGTACGGTACCGTCCGTTCCGAGGCTCTCGGGCCTGACTTCAGGTGTTCGGAGGAGTGGATGCTTGGTACGCTGTACGCCTGCTTACAGTCACGAATTACCATACCATCGCTATACCGCATCTCTAAATGGACACCGAGAAGCGCGATGAACGATCATTTGCAACCAACATGGGTCAAACTAATATCACACTATGAAATGTACCGACATGACATGTACTAGGCCCTCTCCTTTTTCTTGTGCTCTCTCCCCCCCCAAACAGTGCTTGTTGGGGTTCGCCGGTTTCCCGATCGTTGCCGCCGGCAGAGCTTCCCCCCCCCCCCTAAGCACCCCATTTCCGGTTTCATACACCGGGCAAAGCAGGAGGAGTCACGATATTTACCAGGCAAGCTGCCCCTCGGTAGCTTCCGCTCTGCCAATGAGCATCCATTGATCCTCGTTCATTCTCGTCCAACCTCGGAGCAGCTCTCGAGAATGTTTTGCCAGGCACGGGCTCGGGTGTGTGGAGGGGCCTTCACGATAATGTAGCCAGGGCACGATCCCGATGATAGCCTGGGGAAAGCAGAGGACATCGGGGCAGTTTCGTCATGGAGGGGTTCCCGCCGATGTTGGCCCGGTGGCCCGTGTTCGGCGATGCGCCCGTTGAAATCGGAGACGATGACTATAGGAGGGCCTACAGGAATGAGACTACCGGAATAACGATAGGAATGTCCATAAAATCGACTAGAGCATAGATCTAGCATGCATCTCAGTACCTCATCGTCCCCTTGCATCAGAGGCGAACGCATCTCGACGAAACGTGGGCCGAGGGCAGGAATGGATGATGCCACGACTAGAGACAGCACAGGGCACAGGTCTCCGTGCACTGGATCTCGCTCGATTCGCACACTCTCGATCGCATTGTATGATGGGATAGGTGATAGGTCGTCAAATGGTAACTTGCATTGGACTCCATAATTGCCACAAGCTGATTATACCATCCATGGAGAACTCCCTGATCTATACAAGGTGATCAATCGGGGGTACCTCTATAATCCTGCATTCTCCATACGGGGTATTGTTTCGATCCACTCGCTTTCAATGGATTGACAGCTCTGTCACAGAAGAAACTAAATAACATGTTCTTTTTTTTTTCTTTCGTTTTTTTTTTTATTTTTTTTATTACGGGATCCAACTACTCTGGCACAGCTCAGCCCAACCGATCAATCACAGCATCGTCTAGCTCTAGCCCATGCCCGCATGCGGCGGGGAACTACTCAAAAGAGCCTGCGGTGGACCGCCCGTGGATGGGCCGGTGTATAAGAGAGGCTCTCCGCCCTCAATGCAGTCACCGGGAGAGTCCTCTCGTGGCCCCAGAGCTTGCACGGGGTCTGACAGGTTTTTTTTTGCTCTGTTTTGTTTGGTTTCTCTGGTTTGAAAGAAATGCTCGATGGTACAGATTGGAAATGCACAACAATTGCCCCATGGTTGGCGTTGGGGAGGCCTGGCTTATAAATCGGCATTCCCCCGGCCACTCTGTACTTCGCCACCACGACGTGTGATGTATCTGGTAGGACCCTGACCGCTCCAATTGTTGGATTTGTGAGTCCCACGCGCTCAACTCTGCACCTTGGAACTCTCCTATCTACGATGATGACCATAATGGACGGTGACTGGACATGCCGGACATCGGCGCAGGCAAAAAATCCTCATGGAATGACATGGAAGCCTACAGATAGATGCACCGCCACCGAGATGGCAATCGCACCGTAGCCCAGATCTCGCAGCCAGATCGCATTATTGGGGAGTACAACAGATGAGGAAGGGAGGGCGCAGAAGTATGAATTATGATAGGGTGAGGGTCCAGATTCTAGTTGCTCATGCCGTCAATGCCGTCAATGCCATCTATGGGAGGCGGGGGGAGGCTCAGTAGGATACGAGGAAGATATAATACAGTCAGAAGAAGCAAGCGCCCGTGACAAGAAGCCACAGGGGGAGAGAGAAGATGCTCCCCATGGCGGATTGATCGCGATTAATAAAAGAAAGCCTTTCGAATTTCCACCTGACCCGCCGCCTTCTAGAATGCAATCTCCCCCTCCAGACCAGAGGCTACAGGAGCGGACTCCACTTACTCCTCCTTAACGCCGCCACGGTAGTTCTTCTCGGCGTTCTCGATGGAAGCCTTGTCGCTCTTGGGCTGACCCTGGGACATGAAGCCGCCGGCGTTCTTGAAGGGACGGGCGAGGTCTCCGGTGGCGGGTTTGCCGAAGACATGAATCTTGACCAGGTTGGACTCAAAGGCACCCTTCAGCGGAATGATGGACTGGATGAGCAGCGGGTTGGTGTACTTCATGTACAGGTGCATCACACCCATCATGCCAACACCCATCAGCTGGCTGCGCATTAACTGGCGCAGCTGCGACTTGTCATAGTCCATGTTGGTGGTGGTGACAGGCTTGGCCTCCTCGCCGGTACCCATGGGGGCGGGCTCGACGTACTTCAGGGTCGTCATGTCTGGATCGTAGAAATGCAAATTAGCTTGAATACATCACCGGATCACCCGAGAATGAAGAAGGGGGATAGGGAGATTCTCCCAAGTATTGATATTGATAGATATAAGGGGAGAGGGGGCGATCGCGTGCCACTTACCCTTTTTGCTGCTGATCTTGGACTGGGTGTAGAGATAGAGACCCAGGATCAGGACGTTGGACAGAACGTAAAGGCCGCGCACCAGCATCAGGACGTCGGGGTCCTCGAAAGGCACCTTCTTGGCCAGCTGCATCATCACCAAGATGATGGCCAGGTTTGTACTGCGCAATCGATCATCAGTCGGGTCACATGGGATATAGTTATTGGATCATCCTGAGAATCCACGGAGAACATACATCTGAGGAGAGACCATGTTGCCGACGTTGAACCTTGAACCTTATACCCTTAAGGAAGATGATGCACGGAGGTTTGGGATGAGCGGAAACACAAAACCGACGAAACTTCCCCGGGGCCACCTGGCGTTCGTGGCCTCGGAACAACTGTTCTCCCGGTCACCGGGGCCGGTTGGACATTTCTGCCTTCACCATCCATCAACAACGCGCCTCCCGCTTTCCCCGATCGCTCATCTTATCCCACCCCCTCCCGCGTTCTAATCACCTGCGATCACTGATTATTGCGCTCCTCATCTCTGTGCGACTCCAACTTTCAAGCTTTCCATAAATCAAGATGCCTGGCGGAAAGGGAAAGTCGATCGGTGGAAAGGGTGGTTCCAAGGACTCTGCGGGGAAGGCCCAGAAGTCTCACAGCGCAAAGGCTGGTCTACAGGTGAGTGCAGTGGGATTGCGCAGGTGGATGGCGATCGACCTCACGGGGTGCGTGGCCATGATGGAGGATGTGTGCGACAGAGTCACGCTCATGATCAAGACGCGTCAAGTCAACGCTTCCCCCTCACCATACCGACGCCCCTAGTGGTCTTTTCCAAATCTTTTCCTGCGCATCCTGCTTCCGTTGAATCGCATCGATCTCCTCTTGTGTCCATCGCCACCCTCGTCGCGCGCCCGTTCGCAATTGCCAGGGATCATCTTCGCTAATCTCTCTCGCTCTACTCTAGTTCCCCTGTGGTCGTGTCAAGCGTTTCTTGAAGAACAACACTCAGAACAAGATGCGTGTCGGTGCTAAGGGTATGCTCTCTCCCCTTGCCCCCCTTGGAGCCTTCCTGGCCTGGCCTTGATGCTGACAAATTTCTAGCTGCTGTCTACGTGACTGCTGTCCTCGAGTACTTGACTGCGGAAGTTCTGGAGCTGGCTGGCAACGCCGCCAAGGACCTGAAGGTCAAGCGTATCACTCCCCGTCACCTGCAACTGGCCATCCGTGGTGACGAAGAGCTGGACACTTTGATCCGGGCGACTATCGCCTTTGGTGGTGTCCTGCCCCGCATCAACCGCGCCCTCCTGCTGAAGGTTGAGCAGAAGAAGAAGGGCAAGATCGAGCTGTAAGCGGATGTATATGGGAGATGATCAAACCCCCCTGAAAATTCCGAAACGACTCTCAGGAAATGATACGCAAGTCGATGACTGACGGCGTCGGCGGGCCAACTTGTCACCATGCCCACGACCGCTGAGCTTTGTCTCCTTCTCCCTCCTGTCTTCCTTTTTATCATCTTCGTTCTTCACGGCGCACGACTTTGTGTATTGTGTCTATTCCCCGGCTTCTTTTCTTTTTGCTCTCTCTCTCTTATCGCTATTCGCTTTTGACTGCTTGATTCTTTTTTTTCAATGTCTATTTCGACTTCACAGGGCGCTGTAATGGGAAAATGGGGGGAATATCCTGGTAGTGTGGGAAATTACTACTTTCTGATTCAATCTCTCCTTTCCATTGATAAACCTCCAGATTTGCGTAGCATCTCCGAGGGCTGTCTCCCCAGTGATACACCAATCGATAAACAAAAGCCCTCTTCCCGGGTATTTGACATTCCTACCAGCTGCGCCCACAAATGCGAGCTGTGCCCAGTACCTGGCATGAGAGACCTTTTGTGCAGAGACAGCTAGACACCAAAACACAGCATTGACGATGACTCACTGACCCCAAGCCACCCGCAGCAATCACAAAAGACCCTTTGAACATGAAGGCACAGAACTTGTATTTATCCCAGGCTAGTGCGGGCCTAGGGGAGTACTAGCTCCGGAGCACGAGGGGGAAACGCGAAACAAGGTCGACGTGCATGGGACCGGGGGATCGACAGGGACATACCAAGAACCATAATAAACAAAGCGCGGAAACGCCCCGCCAACGGAGGCCGGATCGCCGGCCCCGAGGAGATGCATATCAACGTACCCGATTGTATTGCCTGGCAACTCTTGGCGCTCTCCTTCCGTTCTAGTGCTCATCCCTCGCTGCTTTTTATCGCTCGTCAGTGAACATCCGGTAAGTTGTGAGTAATCAATGGGGGGCATATTCTTCTTCCCTGAGGCAAAAATAGAAAAACAAAATTGGAAGTGAAGAAGGTTGGTTGGGTGTAACGTGTTTCCCTGGTACTTGAATTTCTAGAAATGATTGCTGGTCTTGGAGAGGAAAATGTTTACCATAGAACTTGACATTAACAGGGAATTGAAGTGAATGGCATATCGAGCAGCAAAATACCCTCTTTCTCCTCGTTCTTTTGATTTTTATTTTGTATGTACATAGTAAAAAACCGGATTTGGGTATGGGAGGTTGAATGCGGAGATTTATTGCCCACCTAGAAGACTAGGTACCCTGTTTTTACCCGAGATACCATAAGATCTAACATATCCCTCTTACAAAACCGATCGAAATTGTTTGTCCGACACGGGAAAATCTTGTCAACTCCTGTTTTTCGTATATCGAGAAGCCTCTTCCAGAAAGGGCAACACTGCCGCTGAGCTGATCAGCCAATGGAAAAGAAAGGGCCAGGAAAGCTGAGAAAGCGCCTATGAGAGCCGTATCTACGTGTGGGTTCGAACGGCCCCGATGCGCGGCTGCACATTTTATTGAGTCAGAGTCGCCTCCCCTCTGAAGCCCTAGTCATATGAAGATTCTAGCAGCTATTAAAAGCATCATTTCGATTGGAGACCATGACATTGTGATTCTACGGCAGCCCACCCGGTTGTAACAACAAAGACAGGAAAATGAAGTGCATTGACATAAACGCAACAAATACACTAAACTACCAAGTTATTTTGTACATGACTGATCAACGGAGCCGCTACTTATATCGGTAGGGAATTGGAAGAAACTGCTTCTGAGAGTACTAAATTTAATTAGTTGTGGGGTCCTGCGAGTAGTCACTTCAGTCATGGTCCACTTCTGCGAGATAGCAAAAATAGCACGATTTCTGCCTTCCTTTCATGGAGTAACCTCTACATCCAGTTTGGGGTTCTCTGCCTGTGTTTTGCTATGTAGTGGTGGTGCTGGTGGTTGGTGGAACGTGCGGTGTCATGCAAGCGCCGTGCCTCTGTTTTTCCGTTGGTTTGAGGCAGTTGAGTGATGGGAATAACATTCTACGCCCTCGACGCATATGCGATCATTGGGGTACCAAAGAACGCCACCACTAAGGAGATCCAAGAAATGTATCACAGAAGAATTCTGGCTTGGCATCCCGATAAGTATTTCGAGAAGGACGAGAAGAAGAACATATCGAAAGTTGTTGAGGAAAGGTTCAAGTATATACAAAGCGCGTGGGAGATGCTTTCTGACGAGCCCATCGGCCAGAACCCGATTTATAGGTATCTGTACGATACACTCTGGCAGGTGAAAGCCTGGAATGCATAATCCTGGGGCGGTTAGCAAGTAGAACCCAAGAAAAAACCTACGTTACCTATAATCCCTTCAAAACTCCGGGGTTTTTTCCTCGGATTTGATGTCGATAAAAAGCAGCACAAGCCCGCAAACGTGTTATACTTTAAGGCACCGGAGAATCCTATCCAGCCAGCGGCGTATAGGGTGACTGCGGCAAATCCAAGCGACTTCAATAATACCAGCATCCCAACAACCGAGGAAGCCCAAGACAAGTATGCTAGCGCTAGCCGGGAGCATGGCGGGACCACATCAGCCCCTCAAGGCCCGCAAAATTACATGTCATTTGAAGGGATATTGCGTGAGAGACAGAAGGAAAAGGATGATAAGAAGGATTCCTGGGAGACCCGATCCCAGGCAGGATGGTATAAAGATGGCACTGGCACTGACACTGGCAAGGCGGACCCGAGGGCCTCTCGAGCGAAGCAGTCCGCTCAGGAATCAACCATAGCTTCTAAGACAGCCTCCAAAACAGCCCTCAGAGGAGTTCAGAAGCAAGCTTCTCGATTATATGTCTCGCGCCAACGATTGCACTGGTCAAAGCCAGAAGGTGCTCGTCCGATTCCTTGGCTAGAGGAGACCTGGAGTCTTTCCGGGGATGGTTTGAGCCACAATATCCGGTATATCCGTATTATAGGCCGAATCGGGAAACCGTTCGCTATCTTAAGTTCCGAAGGGGAGGTGTTGGAGGTGGAACGGTTTCGACTCGTTAACGGCGAGCGCTGGACCAGAATAACCTACCCCCCTCTTTATGGGTGAGATATTGAAGCGGGATAGGGACCATTTGTGGCTCCGGAGGGAATATGCCTTAAAGGATGGGTCTGATTATTGGCAGTGGATTAAAAGCACGCAGGTCGTCTACAAGACATTGTCTTTCTTTGGGGGGCGGCCGTATTGTGATATATCGGTCACGCTGGAGAATCGAAGACAGCCTTATTATGACCAGGTGATGTGTCAGGAATTACGCAGCAAGACAATTTATTGGCGGATAGATGCAAATGGAACGAAAGGTAAGAGGGGGAATCTAGTGAGCATAGAGGCGCAGTACAGTTTCGGCGGGGGAGATCCCTTTACGAAGACCTCCAGCGTGGTTAAGCGAGCTGTTGTATCCCATCATGACGTGTCAAAGCCCACCAAGGCCTATTTCACGGGGGCAGACGTCACATTTACCTTGAGCAGCGGGGAGACGAAACGTGAGACCCTGAGGAAGATGGAGCGGCTCTGGCGACGAGGATCCAAGACGGACCAGGCATACTCAAGCATGTGATCGAGCGGTATGAGTCTGGAGCTCTCAAGATTATCGATCAGATATACGAGAACATAAGGGAAAGCAGATTTGAGATGGATACTTCTGTTGCGTCTATACAAGATCATTTCTTCAATCATAAAGCTACTGAGAAATCACAAAAGGGAAAAAATAATCCAAAATATCAATATATTAATATAAATAAACGAACAAAGATAGGTTACGAACGAAAATTAAAAGAAGAAACAAGTACATGGAACGTCCAGTTCATGCAAGCATATCAAGGAAACCATAACAGAAACCCATAGAAACTGCAACAGGGCGATATTCAGGAGATAGCCCTTTGTAAGAAAAGAAAGAACAATCACTGTCTGATCCAAACAACACCCGGGTCGCCCTTCCACAAAGGAATCAAAGACATCAATAACCAAGAATGTTGATAGGCACACAAGCACCGATGGCATAGAGTCGCCTGTGAGGAGTGTTGGTGACTTGGTGTCCAGGATCTAGTTCTACGAGATGACGACGTTGACACCCAGTACAAGGGAGAGAGTGTCTTCCGACCAAGGAAAGAAGGTCAAAAAAAGGAGGCAAGAGGTCAGATGAGAAGAAGAAATTGACAAATAGAAGCATGCCAGACATGCTCATCACAGCAGGCATATCAGAATCACAGAAAGAAGAGGCAACAGCCAAAGTCCCCGGTAACGAAACACAAGGTTGAATCCCTTGAGATGCGCCCACATTAGAGGACTTGCTCAGCCCGCCAGAGAAGACAAAACAGAAAGGATCAAGAGAAAAGAGGAAAGCAAAAAAGATTTTAGAAAAAGGGCAAGCCACAGAAAGATAAAAAGAAACATTAAACAGATGCGAAAGTCGCCCCTCCATGTACAAACTAAAACAGGCAGAGAATATGCAAATGCGGTTTGTCGTGTCTCCTGTTCCGTGGAGCAGGGTTCTTTTGGTCATTCTTCGTAAGCATCCCGCGTCACCAAGCGGCACGGGCCTCCAGCAGTAGAGAAACATGAACAGGACCAACCAGCTCTTAAGAGCAGGTCATCATCAGGTCCAGTCCAATCCAAATCATAGATCATGATTCATCTGCCGGAAGACCAGTGTATGGGGGACACCAAGTAACAAAGCTATGGCAAGATTTGCATGCAAAAAAACGGGCGCCCGCGGGAAAGGATCAAAAGATAGAAATGAAAGTAAAGAAAACACACCCAGCGAGTCACAAAACACACTTTCCTCCTGGAAGAAACAAATGATATTCCACAATTTGAAGAGAAGACCATAATCGTGAGTGGTGATCGCCAGGCAGGATAAGCACAGACACAACGAAGTGAAAAGAGATTCCCATGGTGTTGCACATCAAAAGACTCGAAATCGCAGACCCCAAAAATAAATTCTGCGGTCAAACAGTAGAAAAAAAAGTCACGTTGGGCTGCCCCAACAAGAAAATAACGTCTAAACTCTGGCTAGTAAAGGTGGATAGTGGATAGATCAGCGAAACAATGGGTTTTCTGGTCTTTTTTTTGTTGTCATCTCGTCATCCCTCATCGAAATCGTAAGCCGGTAATTCGCAGAACAGGGCCTCGTGATACAGGTTCGTATTCGTCTCGCGGCAAATCAGTCGGATGCTGGCAAAAAAGTAAGAAAAGAAAAAGAAGTAGAACGTCGAAGGAGAAGTCTGGCATCATTTCAAATTCAAAGAGAAGACATCCTCTTTTCTCATCCTTTTCTTTTTCTTCAAGGGTGAATTTCCCAACAATCACACAAAATGGAGGTTTTTAAAAAAGGGGTGAACAAGGAGGAAGATCGAACCGGGTCGGTCTACTCCACGATGATCTCAACGCCTGAGCTGGTACGAAGTTCATCACTGCCACGGGGCTGGTGTCCGTTTTGACGGCGAAAGCCGGGACCCTTCTCGGGGGTTGGCCCACGGGGCTGTCTGATCGGCATGCGCTCGGGCTGGGTACTGTCAAGTCCCACTCCCATACCGCGGTTACTTCCAATGGCACCGGCCGACGAGGGCTGGGTGTCCTGCTCCCAAGAGAACATACCGCGCAATCGCCGAGGGCTCGCGTTCGGGCCGCCAATGCCCGTACCAAGAGACAGACCACCAAGGCTGTTGACCAGCAGATTATCATCACGTTGCATACCAAGGGATGAGCCGGAAGGCGCCGACGTCAGGGTCGGGGTGTTCGAGGTACCGGTCGGAGCACCCTCGTACTGAAGACGGGTGCCATTAGACTGCAGGGCGGCTGGAAAGCTGGCAGAGGACGGAACCGGGGACGGAGTGTACGAGCGCAGATCGGCGAAAGACTTGGCGGCCCGCAGGTTCTGGGTGTTGGCATAATTGCCGGGGGAGTCCAGAACCCCAAGGAAGCTCGAGGTCTGGCCCCGCAAAGTGTTGAACGCGCCGGGACCCCCTTCGTTGCGGGCCTCGCTGAAATCAATGGTCGCCGCGCGGTTCAAGCCACGGCGAGCACTGTCCGCCGATTGGACTGCCGGGGGGATGGACGACAGTGGCGGACTCACGTTGGTGCCTGCCGCGACCTTGAAGACCTGAACCTGACGCTGATCGCCATTCCCGCGGGAGGCATGGGCGAGCCCCATGTTGTGGGCCAGGGTGTGAACCGTGCGTCGCTGGGACGGGGTAAGGTTGGGCGGGAAGATGACGGAATCACGAGCGGTGTCTTCCTTGAACAGGAGAAGTTGCGAGTAGTAAGAAAGAGTCTGGCTGTCGTTCAAGTCGACTTCTACAGGTTCGTGGGGATGATGAGCAACCAGGTCCCCTTCGGGCGTTGGGAAGGGCCTGATCGACTTACCCAGTTTCTGGCCGCGCTGTGAAACCGGTGAGGGCGATGTCGCCGGGATGTGCGAGGTGAGGGAAGACATGGAGCTCTGGGTCTGGAGCTGTGAAGACGCCATGGGTCGATGTTGTTCCTCCAACTGGCCACGACGCTCCCGCTTCTCCCGCTCGATGCGTTCCCGCTCTTGTAAGGGGAGCATCTTCTTGTACTCCACCCGCAGCTTGCGACCTTGCAGTTCAAAGTGGTTCAGAACCTCGATCACCGTCGCGGTCTCCTCGGCTGAGGTGAAGTTGGCAAAGGCCAGTCCTCGGAAGACACCGTTATCGAAGTGATAGTTGAACGCGTAGGGCAGAGGCAGGTTCAGCTCCGTCATCAGTTGGACCAGCTGCTCCTTCTTGACGGCGAACGGGATATTTTTGATGACGATCGCGGTTGGGATAAGTTCATCATCGCCCTCCGAGGATGCCGAGGCTTCCGGTCGCATGGCACTGCTCTGGATCGGACCAGGGCCCAGATTCGAAAAAGCGTTAGGCATTCCGGGTTGCTGATCGAGCCAGGTCTGTTTCAAGTGAAAAAAAGAGTGAACACGTTAGTTTGGTTTTGATTGACAATATTGCGATCAAAGCGGAATCGAGTGTGCGAGCGGGGAGCAGAAATAAACAAATTTAAGCAGGAAAAAAAAAAGTCTCTTCTTCAACTCTTTCGGATCAGACCAGAAAGAGAGAGGGCAAGAAACCAAAAAAAGAACACATGACCACGCAACATACCGTCGGTAAGCCAGTGCGTCCGCGAGCGGACGGCTTCAGGCTGGCCGAGGCCGACCGAATACCTCCCAGGGTCTGGGCGTTGGCGAAGCCATTTGGGTTCCAGGTCTGGGAGCCGGACAGATCATAGGCGTAGGCGTTATTCTGCGGTGGTGGCGGCTGTTGCTGCTGTTGTTGTTGCTGCTGCTGCTGCAGGGCGGGATTCAAGCGCTCGAGCCGGGCGGACTCGTAGCGAGCCATCTGGTCCTCATAAAGATTAACAGGCATGGGGCCGTACGCGTCAAACTGGCGGGAGTGCTGGCGGTGGAGAGGTTGTTGGTGCCGTTGAGAGCCAGGGGAACGCGCGGAGGGGTCGTGATACATGTCCGACTGTTGATAACTCATGGTGGAAGAAGGGATTCCCGAGGACCCGAAGAATGTGGGCACACAAAATCCACCACAACACAGGCCAGATCCGAGTCCAGGCCGAGAGTCAAGTCCAAATTTCCAGCCACGTCCACGGCCGGGTCCAAATGCAGGTCCTGAGTGTCAGGTCCCGGTCGTCAAAGAAAAGGAGGGACGGGATGTGTGGAAAGGGAAGGAGAGGGGGGGAGGGAGTCGAGCACGGTCCAAGTTGCACGGAGCTACTCGGACATGGGAGAGGCGGAGAATCCGAGAGGTTGATTTAATCCGATCCGGACGGAGAGAAGAGAAAATGAACGTTGGCGTTGGCCCACGTTTGTTGGCCTGGGGAGGGGAGGAGGGGGGGGGAGGAGAGAAAGGGAGGAAAGAGAAGATGAGAAAGGTGGGAAGTTGCGGAAGAACGTCGGCACCGGGACAGAGACCAAACAGCAAAATCGCTCACGGATGCAAAGTCGTGCTCGTTCGGGTCATGAAAGGGGGGAGGGGGGGAAGACGGTAGTGGTGGCAATGACCGGGGGATTTGGAGGGGGGTTTTTTTTACTCTTGTTAGAGAGAAAGACAAATCACGCCGTCCAGGGGGAAGGGGGAGAAGGGGCGAAGGGGAGACGGGAATGGGGGCGTCCAGGAAAATCAGTCGAGGTGAAAAGGTCAAGGCCCCAAGTCTGGCAATCTCTCAGTCGTTCAGGCGGGGGCTTTGGAACGGGACTTTTGGTGGGAAAAAGAAGGTGAAAAAAAGTGCGGGTTCCACTCGACGGCGATTGGTTGGCGGACTGTAAGGAGCACCCGATTAGCCCGTCTGCGCGCTCTATATAGATCACGGTCGACTCTGTTCCTCTGTTCGAGAAGACAATCACATGAGGACAAGAGGAGGGAAGGGGAAGACGAGGTAGGAGAGCTCGAGAGATCGAAAAATCGAGAAATCGAGAAGTTCCCATAGATCCATAGATATCTAGAAACCCTGGCGGAGGGGACGGGGGACGGGGACAGAACTAAACCAATGATCCGCGAGGATCAGAGACCACCGTTCGCAGAGGAAAAAGAAAAAACCATACCAGATGAGACTAAGAGGGGACTCGAGAAGGAAGAGTAAGGAGAGAAACGGGTCGTCAAACGACAGTGAATCACAAGATGTCGAGGGGTCAAAGGTTCCAAGACGTGGTGAAACCATCGGCGGCCAACCCGATATTATATAGTCGCTCCCCCCGTGGACACCCGCCAACCGCGACAGAGTCGTGATCCGCCCTCCGCCTCCGAAATGAGAATAATTGAATTTCGAAAAATTCAAACACCCGAGAATCGTCGACCCTCCCCATCGGGACACTAATCCCCTACTTAGCTACACTAGAGCCACCTAGAAGGAGGAATCCTCGACCAAGGGGCCCGGATGGGGGGAACGCATCCTCCACCTTTCCCCTCCAAACTAACCCCAAACCAGGCAAGGGCGGACGTGATGAGGACATCGTCTCGTCGGCCGTGGACCCAGGGACCTCCCTTTCGGAACTCTAGTGTCTCGTGGCAAAGACTCGTGGCTCAGGAGGAGCCAAAAATAAGACGGCCACTCCCCAGTCGGAAAATGAACGAGGAACGTACACGACCTTGACCCGTTGTCAGAGGTCCCGGGGTCACCTATGAGATATCCGGACAGAGTTGGATACTCTAACAATTTCACAGTCCAATCATATCACCATTTCTATCATATTCTTCTATAAGCATATCATCGTATTATTCGGGTCAACGACCGGGGGGGACGAGGGCGAGTGACTAGGCTCGGAGCAAAATGAGATTGGTCGAACCCACCTGTCCAGTGCCATCGCGACTAAAGAACCTTAGTGACTTCCCGGAACATTCTAAGTGTCCTCCCGTCTCTCTCGGACAGCGGTTGAAGAGCGTTGGTTCGTGGGCAGGTCCCGCATCGGGTCTTCGTATCTTCTGTCTGTCTTCGGTTGACCTTCTAGTCGCTTGACTCCGCCGGACTAGACTGCCCCTGGGTTTAGTTCCCGACATTTGACACGGGGAGGGGGGGGGGGTCAAAGTACGAAGTATGAGAATCCTCAATGTCGATTCCAATAAGAACAACAATAACCATAACAACGCGTTTGGCCTCCCCGTCTTGGGAAGAGAGGCAGTTGAGATTTGTCTCTCCCCTCTCCAAGGTATGTCTTGTCTGCATTGACCCGTTGGTCCCCCATGGTCGATCTGCTGCGCTGCGGCCACTGCGACTATCTATGGACTCCATTCTCTATCCGGAGTATAACTGCTACTATGTATCTGGACTCTATTCGAAGCGGTCCCTCCCCCTTTTCCATTTGCCTTCCATTTGCCCATCATTCGCCTATCATTCGCCCATCCCTGATCCTCATTCCCACAGAGATCGGCCCCCTCATCTCGTCTCCTCCACCTAAACCCCCTGATCCTGACGATGTCTTGCGTGGACATCAACGGACCGGCTTCCTTCCGGCCTCTGCGTCCTCGCCGAATCAGCGGTGCTCCCGTGCTCCATTGCTTCCCGAGCCCCAATGGCCGCTCGGCTCCCCTGTCCGTCATTCCTGGCCGCGTCCCAGTTCCTGACGCCCGTGCACCCACTCTCCTGGACTGCTCCCGAGCGCCTCGGTGGGGATTTGGGTCTCCGCCCCAGGTGTGGGCTCCGGGAAACACAGGCGATACATCCGTCAGGGCGCCCCCCCAACCAGTGCCTATTATTGGACGCCTATCATTAGAGAGGATGGAGTGTGCTGTATATACAGTGCCATGGGGATTTCATGTTAATGCTGTTATTTCTCGGGGATGGGAACGTGGGTCTACCACGTTTTCCTCATACTTGTCCATTCGAAACGTTTGTTCGCGAGGGTAGCGAAAAGGAAAAGAAAGATGGACTCGAGAAACAGTATTATCCGCAGAGTACTCTGTACCCTGTTCTATATCCAGAAATGATCGTACTCCAAGGTAGGGGAGGGAGGGAGGGGTGCACCGACTCCATCTAATTCCTCCTTCCCCCATCGTACGGAGGATATGTACCACTAAACCACGGCCCGCGGATCGCACGAGCTGTTTCAAAATTGACATCTGACCAGTCGCTCTCAGTTCGCCTGTTGCCTCGTGCTCGGCCCTGAGATATACTCTACTTGATACGCAGGCGCCAGTGCGTCTCCTCGATCCCTGCAGTACAGTAGCAACATCTAGATTTGCTCTGTTCTGTCCTTTCAGCCACCCCCCTTCCCCTTCTTTTCCCTCTCTCGCCCATCGACCATTGACTATAAATGTGATTGCTCCGTCGATGGTAACATAGACTATAATAGACATCTGTCATGACAGGACGGAGGCTGGCGTAATTAGTTCCTACTCTCTTTCCTCCAAAGGAACCGATTGATCCACTCTTCAAAAGCGTTGTTGCCTCCTTTCCCCTTTCTTTTGCTTTCTGCTTTTTCCTTTTTTTTTTTGCTTTTTGTTTCTTTTTCGATTTTTCGCCTCATTTAGGGTCTTCCTTACTTCCCTTGCTCCGGAATGCTGCGTACACTCTGACTCGGTTTCCCTCAATCTGGACAATCGTTCGCCACTCAATTTCCGTCGGGTCACAATATATCGGCACACCGGACTCCATACATTGCGCAGGAAGCAAACTCGTCTTCGCGACACTGCACACCCAATGGATGCCTCGTTTCTCTTCACATATCCTCTTTCTGGTGCTGAGGAAGAGCTGAGCTGAAGGCTGGACCCCACCTCCTGCCCTGCTTCGTCAATAGTTTGGTTCGACGGGACGGCCCAGCGATTCCCCTCTCCCGGCAGCCGCGGAGGACGGAGGAACGCAGTACTTTTTCCTTGGTTCTGCTGTTCGCAAAGTTCCCCTGATTGACGGTGCATGGTGCTAAGTTGGTATACCACGCCAGGCCCACTTGGCCGAGAATTGACCATCCCTTTCTCCCCGTTTGATTCTCCGAAATTCCAAATTGTCAATTTTGAACCAACGAGGGATAGTATTGACAAAAAAGCAATAAAATAAAACAAAACCAAGAAAACCCCCTCCCCCTCCTACCCAAAAAAAAGAACGCAAAAAAAAACAAAACAAGTTCATTTCGCCCAAGAAAAAGCTCCCGGACCCGCATAACGTGCGCCGCGAAGCCCAAACACCAGCTAGAAGCCGCTAGAGGCGGGTTGGAAAGCTGCCAGTGGGAACGTCGGATTCCGATGGTCGCCTGCTAGTGGAGTCCCTGGGTCCCCCTCTACGCCCCCTATCCTTCTCTCCTCCTCCTATCCTCCTATCCTCCTGGTTCTTGTCCACCGACAGCCATTCCACGGCCTAACCAGCCGGAGAAAGCCAAGAGATTCTCATTCGACGCCACGCGTGGCGACCTCGTGGCCCGGAGAAGCTCCTCGGAGGCTTTAGAATTCCGGTCCGGTCATATTGGACAACTAAGCCTTTTCCCTCCTAACTCCCTCTCTCCCCTTCTTGAATCATCTCCCGCGATTGAAACGAACGGGCTTAGTCGCGATACTGACGCCGATGATCCTGACCCGGAAGGATTGACAGGTGAACACACCACTGAGACGATCATGTCTTCCCCCGGGGGTAGAGGGGGGGGGGTTCCTCTCATCTTAGGAGGATAGTGTTCGGTGGACCAGTCCCCTCTCTGCACCCCCTTTTGAAATATACGTGAACTAGTTGACGATCGTCGTTCATTTTCAATTTCATTTTATCTGGCGATCAAATACCTAGCCTTTGCGTGTTAACCACCGCATATCTCAATTCCCTCGGGATGTTCCCCTCCTAAGCAACGAAAGCCTTCGGTCGAGACTGGCGACAGGGAAAGACTTTCATGAGCAGATCGTTTGGCGGGCTCCTTGCTTCTTGAGACAGATGTTTTTTAGACTTTCCAAGTCGGAGAACACCTATCTCAAGATCTCCCTGCCTGAGCTGTGAAAAGATGAAGTCAGCTATAATATCCGACTAGCTGGGAGGGGAAGATGTAATCATTGGACTGTATTGTCCTCCCCGTACCCGAAACAGAGACATCTCGTTTCGCAGTGCCCGGTCTTTGTAGTCATAAGCCAAGAAAAAGGAATTGGCCATATCTTCAGATACTCTGTGGTATGAAGAGGGATACGATAATTCGGGGAGAGGATGAATCACCGCCCCCATTGGCATCAGAGTCAGGGGGGATCGATGAAAATATGGCATCAATAAAGAGTGTGAACGTGATGATACCGAGGGAAATGAAAGCTGTTCCCTGCACCGCCGGTGTCTTCCTGAATCTAGGATCCAAGCTGGATTCCCAGCACGGAGGAGTCGAGAGCAAATCCCGACGAGCCCGGCACGCCCGAACAGGCAAGAACGAGAAGTGGAACTAAACAATAATAGAAAGACATACACAGAGAAAGAGGGAGAGACAGGAAAATAGAAGGAGGAAGCCCTCTCGTAGTAAGAACTAGTCTTAGAGGAGGTGCTAAGAATACTAGCCGTTTGTCCGTCCGTTAGAGGCGGCGATCCTTCATGGATGACGGGAAGCACAGTTGACTTGGTGATCCCATGCTCTCAATAGCTTAATATCACCGGGGCCCGACGGTGGACAGAAAAAAATGGAGCAAGGAGGATGATTTACGGGAGACGATCCCATCATTATTAGCTATAATTCCTTTTCATTCCAGTGTGCTGGACACCGCACAGACGACTACTATCGCATTCCCTGTTGAGTCTCAACGGGGGCCACATGGCACTGGGCCGATGTTTCACGTGAAGTGAAACCCCCCTTTGTCGATGGAAGTCGTCTAGTGCTTAGCACCTACTAGTAGGCTAGGTTCTATGTGCCGTTCGGGGAAGACGGGGGTACGCGACTCTATCAATAGGTATGGAGTCTCGAAAAGTCTGGAGAACCTGCATGCTCTCTTTTTGATATTGTTTTCAAGTCCGAAAGATTTGTTCATGAGCTACCCTCGCCTCTTTCTAGATAACGCGTGTTCCGATGTGCTTATTCCAAACTGTCATAGCGGGTACCCAGTCCCGGCGTTGCTGGGCAATGAAGATCTAACGAGCGCGGAGAGACCAGATCCTGCTCATGCTATTCTCTACCTAAGCCATGGCTGTTGATCATCTCCGGGCTCTAGACTCGGTTGTCCAGCAGCTATCCTGCTCCTGATACCCCCCTCCTGACCCCATGTCATGTCGCAACGACGGAAGAATATGGGCAATTTACTTCGGGACCACCTGATGGCCATTACCCGGGTGGTCAGCTGCTTGTCGCGGGCCGTCCCCTTCTCGGGCCTGTCGAACATGGGGTGGAAGTTCCTAGTCTCCATAGTCCCATGAACTTGGGATGTCTTATGGAAGTGTATATCTCGATTCTTCGCTACCTAGCACGGGAGTAGAAGACGGGCTGTAGCTGTGGATCTCAAGTAGATACAAGCTCCGGGGGAGGGAAGGGGAGGGATGGTACAAAATAGCCGGGAACCAGACCAATTCGGAAACAATGATTGCCTATGCGATAGAAGGCAGAAGATAGGCCACTGTTATTCCTAACACGCAGCCAGTGACCCATGCGGAGTATGCAGAGGAATGATACTGAAGCCCAGACCAGTGGACGGAGCACGAGGGGTGCTTCTAGACCTGTCGGGTACAAGCGGCACACGTGCATACGTCACCTGCATCTCGAGAAGACGTGGAGCTTCTTTACACTCCTCTTTCTTGTCTTCGCTTCCTCTAAGCACATCCAATGGAATATCTGAGCCCTGAACCGACAATTGATTTGGTAATTTCTCCGCTTCCATGTTGTCGACCCTAGCTAGGGCCGAGGAGGAAGAGGGTTTATTATTAGAGTTGTTTTTCATGACAAGGTTGACGGGTCTGGGGTTTCTTGGTCGGGTTTCATAGTGCATGAGAGAGCAAAAAGCAGAGATATCGCAAACCAGAAAGCATAGACCTAAGAGAGGGAGGGAGGCGGGGAGGGAGGCTTTTGGAGAGACTGACTCCGCATCTACAGCAATCTACAGCAGGGCTCAGACGAAGAGGCCCCGAGCTCATCAGGCCAAGGTGTCAACACGACAAACTTCTTTCAACGTCATTATCCTCGTATCGCAACCCCCCGTCGGTGGACCGGAGTTCAATTGCTGTTGATGACTGCTCTTGCCTGTCTGGTCAAAAGATTGACGGTGTTGCAATGCATTTGTGATGGTCGATCCAGGGTCAAGGGGCAGGCAATACGCTCTCTCCCCAATCGCAGATGAGGAGCAACTGTCGGACTGTTTGAACTAGTCCCTGGAAAAACAACCTTGATGGCTCAGGTACCAATGAGGTTCAGAGGAGAACCGTCGGGGCGTGGTAAATGGTGAAGCGGCCTGTAGAGTAAGTCTGGAACAGGCATGCAACGTGAAACAATCCACGGTTTTGGGGCGGCCGGGGGTTTACGAATAACTGATCAGCTTGGCGTTCCCCACCCGACTCAATCTGAATGCTAAGCGGCCACCGATAGGAAGCTCCGGTTTCAATAGTCTCGAAAGCAATGGGGCCCCTTTTGGGCCCTTCTCAGGGTCTAGAGAGGCTGCGAGGCCATTCTCGTGGGCATGAATTCCCAGCCAGATACCTTGAATAGGCGAGTCTACGTCAGCGGGGGCTCGTACGGTCGTGAAGCTGGGGCACTGACGCCCAAAATAGGCTCTCCGGTCCGTACCCGGGGGACGCGCATACGATGCAGCCACCGTCGGAGTGCGCCAGTGCGAAAGTGCCGATCGGCTGAGGCGTCGTGGCTCTGGGCTTGGTACGGTACACAAGTGGGGCCGGTTTGCTGAACATGGACGACGGATTGGGAGACAGGGAAAAATGGGACCCTCGAAAACCGCTGGGTGAGAAGGATGAACCCGGATAAAAAGTCGGAAAGACCCAGCTTCGGAGCATCTCACTTAGTTCTCTCTTGCTGGCTCGTTTGCGCTGGACCGGTTCCGTCAACATCAAGTACAGAGTACGGAGTATCTGTGAGATCGTGAGATCGTGAGATCGTGAGACGGTGAAACCGGGGAAGTTCAAATTGTGGTCGAAGAACGACAGTTTGCGTGGAAACGTGATCTTGTCGCTGTCGACCTCGTGGCTCCAAACGATGCGCCTCGCTTTCCGCCTGTTCATCGCTTTCGCTCTTGTCGGCGCCGTCTTACTTGTGAGGAACCATTTGGGTTCTCTCGAGTCGCAATGGCCCGCCGGTCAGGCCCTTGATCTGACCCCCGAATTCATTCTCGAAAGCGACGGGGCACATATCGAGCTGGTCTCGATCCCTCGTGGGTACGAAGCCCAGGCGGTCTCGTCCTCCGAGTCACCTCTGCCTTTGTCGTCAATCGCGGCGTCGCATTCCAGCGGACCGACGGAAAAGTCATACCCCACACCGACGAATCCGCCCGCCGCCAAATCGAAATTCCAGCCCAAGTCCATCCCCGTCGACGTACCCGGCGCGGAAGATGACTTCTTTGATCAGTATCCCTTCTGGTTCGACGATGATATGGAAGTCATCAGACCCGATCCAAAAAACGGCCGGCTGAAGTCGAATTCCAAGACGAAACCGAATCCTCCCACTAAACCAAAGCCTCACAGACCAAAAGTTTCGCCGTACCCCGATCGTATCATAGTCATGGGACGGACACTATGGGAGGACACCGATTGGTTGGAGGAGGAGCTGCCAGAGTAAGTTCTCCAGATGCTTGATCTTCCTTCTTCGAATGAAGACCCTCAATATCGGGGGCCATTCCAATGCCCACTTGGGAAATCAGACATGTTAATCATGATGATCTCTTAGATGGCAGCATGCAGTCTACGACGTGGACGATCCCGATGCAGAGTTCCACGTGCAGCAAAACAAGGGCAGAGAAAGCAATGTCTATCTTCAATATATCATCGATCACTACGACAAGCTCCCCGAGTACATGGTCTTCATGCACGCGCACCGAAGTAGCGGACACGTCGAGTTCTGGGAGCAAGACAATGCGTTGACTATCCAACGGCTTCAGCTGCCCTTCCTGGAAGAGGCGGGATACGTGAACCTGCGCTGCAACTGGAGCCCGGGTTGTCCGGATGAAGTCCACCCCTTCCGCCAACTTGAGGGACGCACCACCGAAATTGCCTTTGCGGGCGCCTGGATGGGCATCTTCAACAACACCAACATCCCCGAGGTGGTGGCCGCTCCATGTTGCGCCCAATTCGCCGTGACCAAAGCCCAAGTGCATGCGCGGCCGTTGAGTGACTATCAAGCATATCATAAATGGCTCATGCAGACGGAGCTTGATGACGATACCAGCGGTCGGGTGTTTGAGTATCTGTGGCATATCATTTTTGGACAGGAACCCGTCTTGTAAGTGTTCTCCGCTTCTGTTTGGTCTTGTTGAAGGGCCACCTAAGTGCCGAGCTAACTAGTGTTGCTTCCAGCTGTCCCTCCCAGCAACAGTGCTACCAGGACGTGTATGGAATGGATTGGGATCCCGATTTCGATGAGACCTTTGGATGGCTCGATAATGACTTTTGAGGGAGCTATGTGACGGTTTTCTTTTATTTTATGTCGATATTTATGTGTACGTATACTGTGCCTTCGATAGCGTTGACGCACTTTGACGAATAGATACCCTCATGCCATTTGCGTTTGATTTGATATCCAATTAATAATAATAATAATAATAATAACAATAATAATAATCATAATGAACTCGGTTCGCAATTCCTTTTCCTTTTGTTCATCCCGTGGCCTTTTGGTAGTATCTAAGCTCACCCTATGAGTCCTAGATTTGACTAGTCTGCAATTTGAGAGGTGCCAGAGGAGAAAAAGAGCACTCGACTCATTGTACTGATTCCAGAAATAAGAAACGAAGCTATGAACTTCAAAGAAAAAGAGGTATTTCAAAGTCGATATCACATTCTGGAGGCTTGTACCTAAAGTCCATTATAGTCTGACAAAAAAGAAAGTCATTCAATCAAAGCATGAGCACATGATATCCTCCATCCCAGTCCTCAGTTCCGGCAGGCCGGTGTTCGGAATGCCCTGACAGGCCCTCGGCCATCTTTACAGCCACGCCAAAGGAACCAGTCCCGCTAGCGCGAGCACCGAAATTGCAGGAGCCGACAGATCGGCTGCAGCGCCAGTCTCAGTCGGCGATGCCGTTCCAGACGAAGATGAAGATCCGGTCGCAGAGGAAGATCCAGCTGATGTTCCACTTGAACCTCCAGTCGAATCAGCGCCGCTGGTGGCAGTAGCCGTCGTCGCAGCGGAATCGGTGGTGGTAGCAGAAGCAGACAGCGTAGTGGCCGCTGCCGCGTTGTACGTGGTGGTGCTGAAGTTGCATGATCTGACCAGGTCAAGAGCCTCTACAGAAAGATATGAGTGTGAATACTAAGTCATGATCCATCCGTGCCTTGGGAACTATACCGTTGTCATCTTCATCCCAATCCTCATCATGGTCCTCGTCCTGATCGGAGTCTCCATACACGGAAATGCAGGCGGCACAGAGGGGAATTTGTGTTTTGGCGGAATCCCAAGTACAGATACAGTTCAACTCTGCAGAGTCGCTGTCATGTTGATGGTCGCAGCGCTCCGAGATTCCAACTACCGGGCCACAGGCATCCCAGCATCGGTTGGACACGTCTTCATGCTCCAGCTTAGCTGCAATTGCAAGGTTTCCGGTCAGGAGCAGACCACCCAAAGCGAGAAGGACTTGAGAACGCATGGTTGACGGATATATTTGGCAGAAGGAGATCTGATACTGGAAGTCTTACGCCAGAAGAAGAGAAAGAGAACGTTTGAATTGAATGATCGTGAGATCTGTGATGGAGAACTATTGATTTCTTGGGTGCACGAAGAGATCTTTATAGGTTATCTTCAGCGCCAAAAGCCAACTGCTGTTTCTAAAAATTGACTCCGTTGTCGTTGTTTGAACCCTGCCGATCCCAGCATTTTTGCCGGGCAGCGACTGTGCCGTTAGACCGACTGGTCCCTCATTCCCGGCGCAGTTCGCCGATATCCAGGAACTCAGATGGAGCTAATGGGTTGCTGAGCCTCCAAAGACGGACCCTGGCAATGAGAATACTGTGTATAGAAGCGAAGTCAATCTAAAATATGGAGTTTCCACCGATCGACAGGGAAAGAGCCAATGCTCAAGGTGAAAAAGCCGCTGCCTGGTTGATCAACACCGGAGCTCAGGCCCCGCCAAGGGATAGTAATACCCTTCTCCATTCGAATTGAACCGTCTATGCGGAGAGGGGCGGGGGGGGGGAGTTGGAAGGGATTACTGCGTTCTGCACATAGATGGCGGTGGTATAGTTGCCAAGAGAGATGCCCGCAGATATTCATCTAAGCCACCCTGTGGGGCCGCTCGTTCCGCCCATCTCATCCGTCCAGAGAGACCGTTGTACGAAAAAACAGGTGCATAGAAAGGACAAGCTCCTGGAAGCGGATGGATACATGTGCATGTCAGCGGTTATGCCCGACTTCACGACAGGGTCTTCGTCGAGGTGCTGAGATTCTGACATGCTGAGACATCGCCCGTCCCTAGAACTCCCGTTCGATCTGCTCCACCCCAACTCCCGGGGTATATAAATAGACGGGGTTGCAGAATTTCTTTTAGGCTTCCGCATTTTGTGACAGCATCATTGCACACCCTATTTTCGTTCACCTTTGATCGGCTGATTGCACGGAACCGTAGTTCCAATCCACGTCGGAGAGCGCATGACGTTCCTAATGGCTCTGTACAAGTAACGTTCCCTCTAAACCCCCGAAACTGGAGAGGATTCTCTGTCAATGGGATCTCGGGCTTCGATCTATCTGTGCCTTCTCTTGGTAAGATATCTGGTAGGAATGGATACATATCCTTGCTATGTTCTGCGACTAGCGTGATGTCACCGCAACTTGGTTCGATTTCCCTTACTAAGGATCTCGCGAACCCCGCAGCTTCGGAACTTTTTGCTCATCCACTACACCCCTTTCCATGTAGACATCATGGCTCGGGCTGTGAGCAATATGTGGGAACGGTACTGCCTGCGTGCTGCTAGTGAGTCCACTGCCACGCTGCTGCCCGTCTTTCTGTACGGAACAGCTTGGAAGAGAGACCGCACGGCGGATCTTGTCTACACGGCAATCAACACCGGCTTCCGGGCCATTGATACAGCTGCACAGCCTCGTCATTATCAAGAGGCTCTAGTCGGGGATGGAATCCGCAGGGCGATTGCAGATGGGCTAGTATGTCGAGAGGATCTCTATGTCAGTAACCAATCAACCAGGATGTGATGGATGGTCTTGGCTAAAGTGCTCGCTCACCCAGGTCCAAACCAAATTTAGCCCACTGTCGGCGCAGGATCCGGAAAATATGCCGTATGACCCCCAGGCATCGGTGACGGACCAGGTCCATGCATCGGTCAGGTCATCCCTGCATAATCTCCGCCCCCATGCGGGTGCGCAGAGTGCAGATGTTGCTTACCTTGACACGGTGGTTCTGCATTCCCCCCTGCCTACCCTCAACCAGACCCTGGAAGCCTGGCGAGCATTGGAGACCTATGTGCCGCATCGCATCCGCAACCTGGGTCTCTCAAATTGCTCGTTGCCTCTCTTGGAAGCGCTGTTTACCTCCGCATTGACGGTGAAGCCGGCGGTGGTACAGAATCGGTTCTATGAGGACACTCTGTTTGACAAAGATCTCCGGATCTTTTGTGGCGAGCATCAAATCATCTATCAGAGTTTCTGGACCTTGACGGCGAATCCAGAGCTAGTGCAGTCTGGCCCCGTACAGAAACTCGCCAATCTACTCCAGATTACCCCTGCGGCCTCGTTATACACTCTTGTCATGGGACTGGGCAACATAGTAGTCCTTAATGGTACGAAGAACCAAAGTCGCATGCTCGAGGATCTCGCTGCTCCGTTGAAAGTGGAAGAGTTTAGTCGGAGATACCGGGTTCAATGGGAGGAGTTGTTGGCAGGGTTTCGGGCGGTAATTGGGGATCCAAATCCTTAAATCAGTTGATAGTTTGGAAGTGCATGTACATTTACATGTACCGCCATGTGTCCGCCAATATTAGGATGATATAAGTGACTCGATGCAGGTATATATATGATCTGCGTTGTTCTCCTGATCGTTGCATCTCTAACAACCACCCCACCAAAAACAGTCGCCATCATGTATACAATACTGCGTATCTTGTAAATAACTCAATCTCTGTCTCATTTAGACGATCTACTCTTTTATCCGACTCTCTTTGCGACACTGCGAGGCTGAATCGCGTCGACGTCGTGTCATGGACACACCGCACTCTGCTGAGTCAGCGCCCCATGTGCCAATCACTGCGTTGCTCCGCCCGAATTGACCTCATCGTCGCCAAGCGATTCATATTTCCTCGTTCTCCTCCTGTGCGCGCTATCCATCCCCGCTCCTCATCACATTCGCCTCGCAGTCCGTTGTTAGAGTCGAAGTCGTGAGTATATTGACACGTTCCTTTTGCTGGCGCTTTTCCAGCCATTCTGAATGTCGAACTCTTCCCGCAGCTGTTGATTGTGGTGTGCCTCGCAGCGGGCCATCTCAGATCACTGTTGAGCCTTACTCGGTCTACCTGTGCCTGATTATAGCCTGAGCAGCCCGACCGAGTTCAAAGCCCTGTACTTTGGATTGTTCGAGGTTGAGTACCGGATTCGGCCAGTCGTTTGTCCGACTTGCAGGTCCATCCAACTTTTTTGCGTGACTCGAAATTCTTGCGACGACTTTCACGACCGATCATTTGCATTGTCACTGGCAGCCTGAAGTCACTAGGGATAGTGAACACTCTGGCAGCCTGGACGACAACACCCATAAATATTTGCGCGCGGACCTGACACTTGCAAGTTTCCCACTTGCAACCCACATCGCGATACCCATCCGACCTCAATCGAGACCTAACGGAATACTCCAAATACACCATGAGCTCTCAAGGCATGACTCGAAAAAGACCCGCCCCAGGCACAGCCCCTGCCGGACACCCTCAGATGGGCGCAGTACCGAACTATCAGCCCTCCAACCCCAACTCTCAACTCTCGAATGACCAGTTCCTCCAATGGGGACAGAATCCTTCTACCAATACCGTCAACCCATCCTCCTACGCTGATCCGTCCACATATATCCCGGCATCGTATACAGGAAATCAAGACTCGTCTGGCTCGAATGGGGGGACCTCAAATCAATTGACGCGTCGCCAACAGCCAAACCAGCTGGTCAGCCGCAACCGTGGGTACGAGCAATCCCCTGCAACCTACCCGGACCAAAATTCAGGGCAAAACCCTGGAGAGGGCGCCTGGGGTGAGTCTCTGGAGGAGCTATATCAGCGGGCTTTGACTGCGAAGAGAGAGGCGCAAGCGAAGAGGAAACAAATCCCACCATTCGTGCAGAAGCTGAGCAGGTACGTTGCTATCTATACAAGTTGAATATTGGAACAAATTCGCTAACATTGGATTACAGCTTTTTGGACGAATCGAAGAATACGGAACTGATCCGTTGGTCTGATGATGGTAATTCATTCATTGTCTTGGACGAAGATGAATTTGCAAGGACTCTCATCCCGGAGCTGTTCAAACACAATAACTACGCTTCGTTCGTTCGACAATTGAACATGTATGGATTTCACAAGAAGGTGGGATTATCAGACAACTCAATGCGCGCAAGCGAGCGCAAGAACAAGAGCCCCTCCGAGTATGCCAACCCATACTTTAAACGGGGCCATCCAGACCTGCTGTGGTTGATCTCCAAACCGAAGAATGCCGCTGGTCATAGCAGCAAGGGTAGCAAAAGTGGCCCTCGTGTGAAGACTGAAGACGCGGATGAGAATGAGATGGAGGATTATGGTGACGAGGGCATAGCAACTTCTCGCGACGAGCGTGCGCGACCTCGACAACTATCACTTTTGACTGATACCTCCATGCAAAAAGACCAGCTTTCCGGAGTGTATCGAGAGCTGCAAGCCATTCGTCAGCAGCAACAGATAATTTCGAACACGATTACCAGGCTGCGGAAAGAGCATGAGCAACTCTACGCTCAAGCAGCCAATTTCCAGGAACAACACACCCGCCACGAGAATTCGATCAACGCGATTCTTACGTTTCTCGCAACGGTGTACAATCGCAGTTTGCAAGGTCAAGAAGGAACCCAGAACCTCGCTAATTCATTTGCTGGAGCCATTTCTGGAGACCAGGGTAACATTGTTGATATGGGGGATGACTTTTCATTCAACCCTCTGGCCAACATGAGTAGCCCCACTGGACAACGAACCATGAAGAAGCAGCCGCTCCTCTTGAAGGCACCGCCATCCACGGACGATTCTAACCGGGCAACCACCCTGTCTCCTGCGGCCAGTGGCCACTACGACACTCGATCTCGTGGCCATACTCGTCAGCCTAGTGCGACTCAACATGGTCATGTGGAGGAGGTTCTCGACAGCAGCCCACGACAGGAGTCAATGAATGTTTCGTCGGGACAGCAGACTGATGATAGCTTCCCGCAGCGAGATATCATGTCCGTCATTCAGAATTCGAATGCGCGCAATGGCGTTCCCACCAGCTTCTCCGAGTTCCCCAACGTCCTTTCTTCTCTCGAAACCTCTGGTGGCAACGTCCCTCTCACACCAAACCAGCGAGCTGATATGCTTCGACTCATGGCCAACGAGACTGGAGATCCGAGTGGCTCGGCGGCTTCGAATAGTGCTCTGGTCACACCCCACCCTCCTCCGATGCCCCACAACTATTCCGGCCGCCTAGCCAATACTCGCCAGGAAATTGATAATCTGGTCAAAATGCAGGCCGAGCAGGATCGCTCCGTTCAGAACCTGACTAACCTTCTCCAACCGCTCAGTCCAACGGGCGCCATACCCGGCCTGGACAGCGACGGCAATGTGCCACCCCCGCCGCTCGACCTGGACCAGATCTTCAATAATGACTACTTCACCGATTTGGGCGACTCGCACCACGACGACAAAAAACCTGTGGTAGATGACCACTCTGGGCACGGCCCCGGCTCGGGCACGACCAACCATGACAATATCGGTGCTACTCAGCTGGACGACGGCGACACCAACGACCTCTTCGACTTTGATCATATCCCTGCCGACGGTGACCTTTTTGATAGCTCCAACCAAGGCCAAGATCACTCGGCGTACAACTACGGCTTTGACGGCTCAGGCTACGGTGCCGACTCGGGCCGTATTGTGGAGCAGTTGACAGATAGCGAGGCCACCAGCCCCGCAGCCGTTGACGAGCCTGATGATGGTGGAAGCGCGAAGCGGCGCAAAAGGGCCTGATCATGCCCTAGGCTGGTCTTGGGCAGAGAAGGGAGCCAAGAAGAAGCCCCTATAAAAGATTCTACGGAGATACCTCAGGCGTTGTTTTTGTTCATAGGGTTGTTGTTTTCTCTCTCGGGCTTGGGTGGCAGCGAGGTCTGGATTGTAAAAACCTCATGACATGACCCATGATGATATTCAATTAAAGTTTCTTAAATGGGCTGATTGCCTTGCAGCATACTGGTATACGATCTATTGCTCCCGTTCCATTTTTCTTGGTCCGTAGAAGACAACGCCTCTTTTATAAGTGGACTATTCCAAGTACACTATGTAGGTTGATGTTGTAATAGATCGTGCCATTTGTAACCATGATGGTAAAACAGGGTATCAGATCCCCCTTCTTCGCGCTTGCTCGTCCGCCTACCCGTAAGAGTTCCTGTCAATTCGCCACCTCTATCGTTGTCGGTCTCTCTCCCATTCCAACTCGCCCGCTCGTTCGCGTTTCCTCTCCCTCTCCCGGTCTCGCTGCAGACCACGCTTCCGGCCACCAGCCAATTCCTTCTCTTTCTCGCGTGGATCGATGACCATCAACGAATCGACATCCTCTCGGTGCTGCTGTTTCCACTTGAGATCCTTGCCTAGCGTATCCTTGCCAAATCGCAGCTGATGCGTGAGCCAGCCCTGGTCGTTGGCATCTGTTTCGTCGGGCGCCGCCGCGTCCGGGTCACTCCAGGACTTACACGACTGGCAGTTCGCAATGAAATGCAGGTCGCAGAGCTGAGCCTCTTCGTCTTCGTCCGCATCTTGATCCTGTGCGGGGCGCTTCCCGGCGTCCCGATCCGTATGTGCTTGTGCTTGTGACGGTGCGAAATCTGCACCCTCGAGCTTCGCTTTGAAGGCGTTGAAAACTTTTAATGCGTCTCGCTCGGCTGCGCTCCGTGGACCAGCACTGGAACCGGTGCTTGATCCAGGTGGTGGGCGTTTGCGGGCTCTTGTCGCGGTCTTGGGGATCATGGCTTCGAGGGCGGACTTCTTGCGTCCCGTGTCGGCGGGTCCCATATCCACGTTGCGGCGCATGGATGCCTTGAGCGAGGCAATCTCAGCATTGGTGCGAGATAGCTTGGACTCCTTGGGCGGAGGAGAGCCAGGAGTTGAGGAGCGGGAGGGCGATTCCGGATCTCGGAGAGGAAGCTGAGTCTGGGGATCGGGGGTCTTGCGGCGCTGCTTGCGCTCTGGGGAGGGAGATCGGTGTGGGGATGGCGAGTGCGGCCGTTTGCGTGGCTGTATAGACTCGCTTGTTTGTGACCGTGGCTGTTTAGGCGTCTCGCTGATCCCACCAGGCACGTCCGCCACAAGCTTGGTGTTGAACTTGGGCTTCGCTGGCCGAATGGGCATGCCCTCGTCGCCCTCGTCATCACCGAAACTGAGTAGGACTTTCCCGCCCTTCGCAGCCTTTTTCTTTTTCTTCGGCGCGGCCTTCTCGCCCCCAGCTGCGGTCGAGGTGGTCGTCTTCCGGTCTTTCAACTTGCCAGCAAGCGGTCCCAATTCTCCAATCTCACAGGAAGTCACTTTAACCGGGTATACAGGCCGTTCAGTGCCTTCTACACGCTCTGCGTCGGCGATTTTCAGCACGTTGAAGATACTATCGCCTTCTAATCGTCCGAATAACGTGCACTGTCCCGTCAATTCGCGATCAGTGTTGGCGAGCGTGATGAAGAATTGGCTTCCATATGACCCGTCCTCACTTTTCGCCATGCCAACCAGTCCGCGCCGGTTGAAGCGCAGCCGACTGTGAATCTCATCCCGCAAAACTACCCGCTCGTTCGGATCGCGCGCCTCGGGGTCATACTCGAATTCGGGATACTCATAGATGGAAGTACCGCCAGCGCCGGTGCCCGTAGGATCACCGCCTTGGATGACGAAGTCTGATGCGATGCGGTGGAATATCGTGCCAGTGTAATAGTTGTCCTTGCAATGCTGAAGGAAGTTCTTGCAGGTGAGAGGAGCCTGGTTCGCGAACAGGGCGATGTGGATCGGTCCAACGGTGGTGTTCAGCGTTGCTAGCGCGGTGGGGTTGGGCTCGCTGGCATATTGAGTGGACATTATGGAGAGACAGGGGAGAGAATGACCGAGCCACGGGGCCCGTCAACAAAAGGTTGGATGGCGTTCAAGTCAATCGCATGCTCTCGTCGGAGTAAAGTTGCTGTCTCCGATAAAAGTGGACGTCATGTCACGTGGTGTGTTTACCTTAGAGCATCGCTACGGTAGTCGATTCCATTGCCAAAAAAAGAAAACATGATACACATGCATAGATTGAAAAGTTTAAGACTGATATATATACAAGAATACGGTAGATGAATCCAGGTCAATTGGCTGTCTATGCAAAAAAAATCCATGGGAAGGTCAATATCGCTTGGATGGGTGTCGCTTTCGGCAAGAGAATAATAGGATGCATGTAGGAGTCGGCGAGAAGAAAAAAAGGTCGAGGTTGACTCGTCTATACTGTCGCGAGCGGTTTGCTGCAAGGGGAAGGGATTGGTCTGATGTCCAGCACCAGATTGCAAGGTTGAAATGCTTAGCATCGTGAGAACGTCGTGATGGTTCGTCCAGCTCAAGCTATACAACGACACTGAGAATGAAAGACGCTTTTGACGCATTGATACTGCCACATGTCCCAGTCAATAAGTTTGTCTAGGGCTGATGAGATCTGGCTCTCAATTGTACGGCAGGGCAGTTGCTTTTGCCAGCGTTCAAATCATAGCGAGAGCCAGCCGCATAGAACGTGAGAACTTACTACTAGCGGCCCTAGTGTATAAGAGCCTTGAGTTGTCGCGTAGGGAAAAAGAGAAACTCTTGACTGTGGCATGGGTATGTCGCATAAGGGTGGTTGGGCGATGATTGGTGCTGAACTCGAACGAGGATAGTAGAATAGCCGGCCATACAGACAATGCATCATGAGATATATGGTGCATTGGGATGCTCAGGGAGAAGACAATGTCATGATACCTGAGCATCCTTTGCTGCCAGCACCGAGACAGACATGGTTATAGGCATAGGCACAGGGATCGGGCCTGGAACCGGTCCAGAATCCCGATCCTGCTCAAAAGTCGTCCTCGCATGAAGCCCCAGTTGGAACCGCAGTCGGCGCAAGGTGCGCTCGGAGATATCATAGCCATCTTGCCGCAACAGCTTCAACATTGCCTTATCGGTAAGCTTATCTTGCACAAAGAGCACCTTGATCCGCGCGTGGAGCACCTCATCCGCTGTCGTGGTCCGACTGCGTTTGCGAATACCCCACTTGCGCAGCCGAGACTGGATAGTTCTTTCTTTGACTTGAATGCTATACCGGCTCTCAAGAGTGCGGCTGATAGAGTCACTACTGATGCCGTGTTGAAACAACGTGATGATCTCGTCCCGATAGGGCTCGAGGTTGATCTGTTGGCGCGGCATGGCTGAGAGGAATTGCATGTGGGGAAGAGGAGAAAGGAGAAGCCGAGGAGAGAGTCGAAGTGCGGGAAAAGGCGGTGAAATCTGCGGGATGGTCAGTCGGTCAGTCTCTCCACGGCGGCGTCTCGTATTCGTTTAGCGTGGGCGGAGTATAACTACAAAGGTTCTCTCTAGTTCATTCAATCTATTCTTCCTCGAGAACGACAAGAGATGGATTGCTCTATCTATGCAAGACAAAAGTGTATTTAGCCCAAGCAAATACAGCCAAAACTGGAGAAAGAAAGGAAGAAGGGGAATCTCTGATTATTAGGAAACCTATTTATCCGTGGACTCGTGACACTAAAACAAATCAAGTCTCAACTGGGAGATATTACCTCGCTTAGGAGATACCAAATTGCGCGACCAATCCTATACGGACGTACGCACTATTCATTGACTACGCTTGGCAAATCATACACCATCGTATTTAAGCCTTCTTATCACCAGTCACACCAGCTGAGGTGGCCATCTCAGGAACACCGCTGCGGCGCTTGATGATGCGGAATCCACCGACCAGGAAGAAGAGAGCCTCCAGGCCGAGGATAACTGCAAGAGTGACCATAGCACCGATGACACCGGCGACGGCACGCGACATACCCCCAGAGCCGGAGCCGGAGCCGGAGCCACTCGAAGAGTCGGAGCTGTTGGTGCTGGCCGTGGAGGATGCGCATTTGCCATCAGTGTTGCCGCATAAATTGCACCACTCATCATCCGAAGTGACGGCAAACTTCTCCATGCTGGACTTGAAGTCGGACCAAGAGAGGAGCTTATTAGACTGGCCGAACAGCGGATAGACGGTGGGCTCGTCAGAGCCGGTCAGAGTGCCATTGTGGAACATGAAGCGCACATTGATGTCGCTCTCAGAGGGGAAATCGGTGTCTTCGTTGTCAGTGACGAGCTCCAGAACCATTGAGGAGGCATAGTCGGGAATTCCAGTGAAGTTGACCGAAGCAGCGGGCAGCTGTGCCAGGCCGAAGAAGGACATAAAGGTGCCGTAGGAGCCGAACTGAACGTTCAGCTTAGACTTCTCACCACCCGAAGCGATGGTGGTGTTCAGACCTGAGAGGATCTCGCCGGCAAGGACGGCACCGTCAACAGCACGAGCGGTATCCGACTCGTTGTAGGCCAGGTTCCATTGCTGGTTGCTAGCCAGCTGGAAAATCTGGTCGAACTCCTCGTTGGATGGATATTCGCCACCGGCGAACTCCTCGGTGGTGTTGTGAATGATGCCAACGTTGAGATAGTCAAAGATGGTGTAAGCATTCTTAAAGGTCATCTGCGAGGAAGTGAAGGTGGTGTTAAGCATGGATGACAACGACTGATAGAAGTCCTCGGTGGACTTCAACAATGAGTTGTAGGAGTCGGAGGTGTAGTAGTTGTTGCTGCTGATGGTCGCCTTCTGGCAGTCACTAGAGCCTTGTAGCCAGGTTGCGTCCTCGCTGTCAGACCCAGAGGTGGTGGTGGTCAACTGGATCAGCTGGTACCCGTTCAAGGGAGACATCACGACGGTGCTGTTCCCCAGCGTGGTGTTGGCATCACTTCCCGCCGGGGGATAAACACCCTGGAGGAAGCCAGTAGCCGAGTTTTGGAGCACAGCATCATCGGGGGCACTGGCACTGATCTGCTTAGCCACGACGATCTCGGAGGCGATGCCCTCAATGTGCTTCTCTGAACTCGAATTAATGTATCGGTCATGATAGAAGTCGCCGGCGGTATAGACCTCGGAGTAGCCGAGATCGGTTAATTCAGTGTTTCCAAATACTTTGGCTGTGCGATCCCCGTGGCGGGCAAAAATGAATGCGCCAAGCACTCGCTCTGCCTCGACGATCGAGGTCGAGAGGGATGCAGCCAGTAGCAGACCGGACTGGATGGAGGAGCGCATGATGGCAGAGAGTTGATACCCAAAGAATCGGTCGAAGCGCAGACCACCAGGATGCGAGGCACTGAAAAGGTAGAGAATCCGCCAAACCCTTGCTCGCAACAGCAGCAGCGCGAGCGCAACTACTTATGCTGTGACATCGCTCACCTGCGGAGACATCCTTTGGCTACGCCTAGTGGCGGGCGAGTCGATGCACTCTCCCGCCGAACCGGCCAACGCCTTCGGGATGGGTGGCCGGGCCCTCGTGTCCGGGAGTGAGCATCTGGCAAGGGGAGGCGACACTGGGTCAATGGAGGATATGATTGGGGAATTGGGGCGGTTGAAGCTCGGGGATTGACGGAGAGGGCCGACATTGTGGAGGTGACGGGACCCCGCTCCTCACGACTCTCCACGGCCAGGACGATGCAGACTATCCCGCAGTGGGCGAGCACATAGGCTACTGCAGACCAAGCCAGGCCCAAGTCCGAGGAGGTGCGCGGAGAAAGGACATGCCTCCAAGGACATCCTATTAGCTAATTAGAAATTGCCAGGAGCTTCGCGATAACAAGATTAGTTTAGTCGACGATGTCCAATGGCCGTAACAGGCCGGAAAGTTGCAAGTGGAGCAGAACCCTAAGACCCTGTTGGCCTCCACAATCCGACCAATGAAAAGACCCGCGATAGCACTAAGATCATCGTCGGATTTTACAACACGCAGGCCAAGCAAATCGAGAGGGTAAGATTGAGGACGACGGGAATGGACTGGGACGGGCAGGTGTTGCCGCTTCTCCGCATCGCCGCATCGGCATGCCATTTCGCGCCGATCGAGTTTAAATGTCTGGCTCAGAGGCCAGGAAAGTCAGAAAATCATGGAGATTTCCACCTCAAATGACCTTTTGCCAATTTGAGACGCGCAATCGCGTTTCTACAGACCCTGCAGACTGCACCCGAAAACCGGGGTGAATTCCCCCGAGAAAAAAAGAATAACGAAGAAAGAGGGAAAAGCTTCATGATCATTGTGACTGTCATTATTCACGCTACTGGGATGCCTTTGTCACCCATCAATTCACAGCCATTCCGAACCACGCCCACCATCCCGCCAGTCTGCACGGCTTCGGATCCGCCGCCGGAGAGACGCCACTCGATCTCCGCCAGCCCTTCTAACCAGGTGATTCGTGTCTGTGCTGGTACCTCGAGTTGTTGTAGTTGATCGGCTAGCGCCGACAGAATATCTGCTAAGGCTAGACCTTTGGTCGCCTTCAGCGTGTTGACGGTGTTGAGGCACGAGGTTACGTCACTCGTGGAGAGGATGGTCGTCATGATCTGTTGGATATCAGCCGGGTGCGGCGCGGCAATGCAGTCGTAAATGGTGGCATTCGTAATCGTCTCGGGCTCCGGCCGGGGCACATTTGGCGCATCTCGCATCGGGAGGGGAATACCTGATGTTGATACAAAATTCATAGTTAACATATCCGCTCTTGGCTAGATGGCAAAAGCAATCAAGGTTACACGGGGGAGGGACCCACTGCTAGCATGACAGGCTTGGAGGACGTTCAGCGCCCTACGCATGTCGCCCTTGCTTAGCGTCACCAGACTATCAACCGCCTCCGATTGAATGCGAACGTTCTCCTTCTCAATCACCTGGTCAACGAGCACTCGAATGTCGGCCGGCTTGAGGGGACTGAATCGGAATCGGGTACATCGGGAGAGCAGTGCCGGGGAGAGCTTGTGGGTATAGTTGGCAATAATACAGAATCGGGTGTTGGCAGTGTATTTCTCCATGATGCGGCGGAGCGCCATCTGGGCGGTCGAGGTCATGGCATCGGCCTCATCAAGGATGATCAGCTTGAAGCCCGCGAGAGAGGAGCTGCCGCTAGACTGCGGGGCCATGGAGAAGATCTGTTTTGTGCCTGTCCAGTGTCAAACAGTCTCAGTCAATCACCCTTCGATATATATTGTCTTTTTCGGAAGAGGGAACGCACTGGCAAAGGTTTTGATCTGTTCTCGTACAACATCAATGCCACGGTCATCACTGGCATTCAGCTCCAACACCATTTGTCGCATGTTTTTTTGGCCATATATCCGTCGTGCTAAGGCAAGAATAGTTGAAGTTTTGCCGGTACCGGGGGGTCCGTAGAGAAGAAGGTGAGGTAGACGCTGTTCAGATTGCCATTAGCTTTTATCTTAGTATTTCAGGTCCAGTCTGGTCGTGATGTACATGGGCGTCGACAAATCGATTGATTGTGGCTAGGATATCTTGATGGCCGGAGACATCATCTAGGCTGTTGGGGCGATATTTCTCGACCCTGGACAGAGAGGGTTAGTATCTGCCCCTAACTCATCCTCGTGTTTGTGCTGCTCACTGACCAAGGAAGGTTGTCTTGAGCTGCGACGGGGAGATCGGCCGCCGTCCTCCTCTTTCCACTAGCATTATCGGAGCTGAATTGAACATCCTTAGATGGCGCATCCACCTCCATCTCGTCCTCATAGTCTGACATGGTGGATGGTGTATATCGGGGGCGTAAGAAGATAGAGGGAAAGAGTCTAGACGTTGATCGCGAAAAAGAAAGCTCGACGCGTTTCCGCGCGTAAAGAGAATCTCGGGGCGGAAAATCAACGGGAGCTGGGGCCGCTCCACCGATGACATCCTCCCCTGCCTAAACTCCAGCCCGCTCCGCAACCTCATTGTCTCTGCATCCCCCAGAGACAATTCATTGCCCGCCGATCCATCCACCATGCCGGTATGTCTTGAGATACTCTGACCGAAACATCTTTGCTTAACTGACTCGTCTCATCCAGGCATATCACTCCATCTTCTTGGAGGACCGCGATGTTCCTGTGATAGGTATGCTGCCCCGCCAACAGCTACACCCCTCACCCCTCTATGCGACATACGGTGCTGCCCTATCAAGATTGGACATTGACATCCCGTTTCTTCATTTCAGGAAACTTCCCTATCTTGCCCCTCCGCACTCGCACTCGTGGCCCCGCCTACACTCTTCCTCCGCTTCCCGCCGACACCCCCGACATTGATGTCTCGCCGGAAAGCGAGTCCTACGATTGCGTCGATGAGATCCTGTCGCTCTTCCGTGCCAACGTCCTGTTCCGCAATTTTGAGATTAATGGTCCAGCCGACCGCATGCTCATCTACGGAACCCTGTTCGTCAGCGAGTGCCTCGGGAAGGTCAAGCCGACGATGACTGCTCGCGAGGCCGAGAAGGTACAATTGCCGGACGCCATGCCAAAATGTCGAGACAGTAGGAAACTAATACGATACCTAATTAGGCTTTGATTAATGCCGCCCTCGACAACTTTGCCATCCCGGGCGATGTGTCCTTCCCGCTCAATCAGGCATTCGAACCCCCACGCGACCGCCAGGATGCGGAGAGCTTGCGGGCGTACGTCAACCTATTCTTCTCCTTGTATCTTCCTATGCAGAACTTCGCACTAATGTCCCTTTTCTATCAGATATATTTCTCAGGTGCGACAGGAGGTTGCTGTGCGGCTACATGCTAGATTATACCCCGGCGGAGAGGGACCTTCGAAGGTACGTTCTGATCAAACCGTCTCACGTAGCCTAACTTGAATCGACGACTGACCTCCTCGCAGTTTTGGCTTAGCTTTACGAAGAGGAAGTTCATGGGCAAGAGCCTGTAAACTGTCACGGCGGTTGTATATTTTTTCTTTAAATTCAGCGCATGAATGGACCTTTTTGCTTTCCCTCTCCCGATTACGTGGCGTTATCAAAGGCGATGTTGTAAAGACCCTGTAGCTGCCAGAGCGGGTCATCGGGCAGCAGTTATGCTCCTTTGTAACCTTTACAATGAATCGAAAATCCAAATGCTCTAACGGGCGATTCCTAGCGCGCCGAACTATACAGGACCGTACCGTGGTGTTTGTACACAAGTTGTGGATCATTATATTCGTACAAGTCTATCTTTTTTTTTGTTGTGGGATATCAATAGTCCGCTGTTGACCTCTAGGATGCCATCTCGACGTCTTTATCACTGGCAGGCGTGGAAGTCGATTCTACCTTGCGCCGTTTCCGAAAAGTGCCTGCGGCTTCGATGCGCGCAGAGGTAGGAATGACCCGGATACCGTGAAAGAGGTAGCCCTCGGCACCACCGCGTCCCATCATGAGAGGGTGCGTCCGGCCCGGTAATACTTGCCATGGGCGAACGCGAGTTCTGTGTAATGTGGGCTGCAGGACAAGGGTCGGGTCAAGTTTGAACTCGTCAAGGAGCGGAGAGAGATCTTTCGACTCGACACTGCCGTCTTCCGACTCAATCTCTCGCTTACGCTGGAGGAATGCTGTACGTCGTGCAGTGGAGTACAGATCTGCGAGCTCGACCAGAGGTTCGATGGTTGGGGAGTAGACGGCGACTGAGGCGGATCCTGAGAGCAGCGGGACCAGGTTTTTCATGATGCCGGCAGGTTCAAGAAGAGTGGCAACGACGAGACCGTCGAAGTTGCCTGCGCGAGCCTCGTCTGTCACGTTCCGAGCCCGCTCCCAGCGGTTACGCTTGAAGAAGTATGTACTGCGCTTGCTGGGCTTTAGCTCAGCTAGCTCAACCGGAGACAGAGTAGGAGGTTCGCTAGATATGATTGGGTCCGCGGTAGGATCTAAGATTTGTAACCACGAAATTGTTTTCAGATGGGTGAAAAGCGGATGAGTTTCGTCAGGGTTGTTAATGTCGAAGCCGAAGTATTTCAAAAGGGTCAGGTTCGGTTGTGAGTATGCGTGGACGAGCGTGATCGTGTTTCCCGATGCTGACATTTGGCGTACGCGAGAGCGCCGACTCGGCCGTGCTGGAGTCTCCTCCATGGTCTCCTTGTCTTCATTTGCATCCTGGGACTCTTCAGTCTCATTGATCTCTTCTTCCTCTTCGTCTTCCGGGTATAAGATTCCCATGCGCTCTGCCATCGCGGCCACAATTAGACCGCCGGTTTCATCAATGACGTAGTATCGGCCGTTCGGTCGAAAATCGGGGAGCGGATCGAATGTAGACTCGCCGCCATGATGCACATTGCCTAAGCATCCCAGCAGGCCGATGTGCTCATCCCGCAGCTCCATAGTCCTTCCCGCATCGCGTTGCTCCAGCAGGTAGTTGGCTAGGATACCAACGTCCATAGGCAGGATGGTAAATCTCCGCAAGTACTTCTTGCGCTTTCGCAAAGTGTATTTCGCGAGTGAAAACGCAGTCTTCTGGTCGATAGCGGTATGCGATTGCATGAGCTTCGCGACGATGTCCTTGCCTGCCCCCGTCGATTCTCTCTTCAGCTCCTCAATTTCCTCGAGAGTTAGCTGCTGGGTTGCGCGGGTGTCGATGACTTCACGATTGGTACGCATCGGGGTCCCCTCTCCCGATTCCGTATCGTCGCCTTCTGCATCCGCCTCGGCCTCTTCAATCAGGGTTTCGGCATGCAGCTCGGTGGCGGAGACGACGCGCAACTGGTAGCCATCCTCTTCGGGGGTGTCGAGTATCTCGAAGGTCAGGTAGAAGGGACGGCCGATAACCTGATTAGTGGCAAAGCCACCATATCTTCCCAGTTGAATTTTGCTATAAATGAGGTCAATCTAGGCTCAGGATCCTTGTCACACGAGACTGCCTTGAGGCTCCAGGAGAAACTTACGTATCGGGAACCAACTTGACAATTCGGGTCTGATCCGAGGGCAATTGAATCACCACGAACTGGTTCGGGCGGATAGATGAATGCATGGTGTCTTAAAGGTCGCAGACCTCTCTCACCGTCAATAAGTTCCGATCTCGTGGAAGTGAACTGAAGCGAACGAGTCGAAGCTCAAAAAAGATTCCCGGCAACTTTTCTTGGCGATCACTTACCAATCATCGTGTGCCGCATGCCCCACATCGCGCGTAGCGATATTCCATTCGCTACAAATACCTAGAGCGAAAACTAAACGTAAATGTAGTAGGATACTGCATGAACTTGCAAAGGTGGGACTGAATGGTATGCAATTATCATTGTGATAATGTCAAATTATCTAAGATTGCTAGCAGGGAGTGTTGAATTATCTCCTACCTCGCTAACTAGCGTGTTACAGCGCTGGGGTTCCGAGTATGCTCGGGATACTATATAAAGTCTATAGGTCTTCGTGATATTCAAATCCTTCTCCTGCTCAATATGCCCCCTAGAGATAGGCACTTCCTACCCTCTATGTGGAAATCAGGAAGCGAAGCCTCAAATTTATGGCAGCAATCCCTGCTTTCCAACGACGCCAGAGCAAGGTTTTTTAAAAGGGAAAAAATACTGCATACGAGATGAACAATCATTTAAATACACTAAAAATCACAGGTTTATGAAGTAATGAAAGTTTAATGTACGCCCAAACTGTATCAAAGATTGGTAAAGTTAGTAGTTTAGCACTCCAAGAACTCCCGTATGTAGAGCATTCCATACTGCTGCATTTTCTTCTTAGGAATCACCCTCGATGTAGCACAGCATTCTTATCTCAAGCTTGGAAATCTTCTTATACTCTGAGACATGTATATGCAAGGAGGCATGGATTTTGGTCAGAAAGAAGCGTAAGCCCGCAGTCTCCAAGACTGATCGTTTGTATGGGTGACATTGGTCTATTTGTTGACGAAAGATTAATTACATACCAAAGGAACGATCACTCTGTGGACATCCATTGGAGTACCGGAGAATCTCACATAAAGGGGCCACTGTCCGATGGCTGGGACGATAAAGGCCGAAATCTGATCACATCAAACATGTCTCAGCTTATTGAGAATCCTTTCAATGCCGTATTGAAAGAGACCAATAACAGTTCGGTAAGACAGGCACAATGCACCGCATTGTCAAAGACTAACAATCGGCTGGAGGTCCATCTCCAAGCGCTTTATCATATGCATCGCGCCACCAGAAATGCAGAGCAAAAGGCACTGATTCTCGACAGTAGCTTCTCGGGATGGCACCTGGATCCTATTCTGATGAAGCTTGAAGGACCATCATTCGATCCTAGCTATGTTGATCCACGAAACAATGCCATCATATGGGCCAGACCTACTCGTTCAATTTTGGACTTGATCGAGATGATACAAAGAAGTCTTTTCAAATATGCGTCAGGTAAGATTATTAAGATGTGTGCATCTGAATATCAGGTGTCAACTGACGGGTATTTAGACCTTTGGCTAGTTCCTAAAGAAAATCTTCACATGACAGCCCTAGAGATTGGGACTTGCTTAACCGTGGCAGAACTCAAGGAAATACATGTTTCATTGAAGGAAATGTTGCCTCAGATTATTGACTATACGCTTTCTCATCGAACAAGGCTGGTCAAGCCACTGATCAGTTACGACCGGTCTGGATTGGCTTTGACTTTTGTTCCTGCGGCCGGTGAGCCGTCTGCTGATCCTTTACGCCCAAAAAGCGACGACCGATACACCTATCACCATCTTCGGCGTGATCTCTATGATATGACCGCCGATACTGGAACGCCGATTCGGGCGCGCTATATAGTCCCGACAGCCCATGTGACTATTGCTCGTTTCATAAACGAGGGAATTTCCTCCAATCAAGGAAATCACATATACGGTGATGTCAAATTCATTAAAGCAAGGCAATTGGTGGATACTATTGAATCTCTCAATAATTCACTTTGTGCAAATTATTGGCCACATCCTTCTCAGAAATGCATTCCAAGAGGTGGAGAATGGATAGTGGGGGAGGAAAAAGGCCTAGAGTATCAAGAAGGCCCAGTGTGGTATGGTCATAACCATTGCGTCGCGATAGGCAAGGGATTTTAGGGAAAATTAGCTTTTATACCCTAGTAACAACTTCTATATGTCCTGTTTATTCTCACCATGAAGTGCCGTCAAAGTTGTTCTTCAAAAGCACATATAAGCATCCTCTGGATCAACAACAAAATCAAAGATAGAAATATTCTCAACAAAGGATGGATAAAGATAGGTTGCCGAGACACTTATTCAAGATTAGCATTTCAGGCGGAGGATGCTTTTGATTTTCCCTTAAAGAAAACTCACTGGACGTGTTCCTTGCAGGACTGGTATTGCTCAAGTGCCGCCCGATTGTCATGATAGCTGACTAACGCAAATTCATAACCGTTACTTCTCTGGATTGGCGTAGTTATAGAGGGACCCCCAACGAGGAGTCGATTATCCTTGACACAGGGTAATTCTTTGAGCTTCTTGAGCTCTGTAACAAATGCCGACTTATGCTGTTCGGTAACACCGGGGATAAACTTGAATAGGACTTGATAATGATTCATATAAGCTAAGTAATCTGGATTCAATGCTTAAATTCTTACCTATATGAACGATGGTCATTTTGACTGTAGAGGAAATATGCGTTTAAAGTGGATGTGATGAAAAGAGAAAGAAAATCGATCACCGTGAAGAGTCTTTTTATGACTAGAAAAATGATAAACTAATTTAGACCAATACAAAGAAGGTACATCATTCGGGGGACTGCTGAAAGATTATGTGGGTTATCAAAGGGCTCATATTGAAAGGGAAAATGTAGTTTGCTTCGAGGAATTCTGACGCAAGGGATACTTGTGTAAGGGATATCTCTTTTGAGGACGATGAATCCACCATTAAAGCTACAGGTTGAGTTAGCCTCAGATGGGATCCGATTCGTCCACATCGCATTTACATTGTTGAAATATTTATTCACCACTGTTTATCGAAACCTCCAGTCAAATAGAAAAGAGAAAAAAAATACCATCTCCCTTATCTGAATCTCCTCAAGAGCTATCCTGATCTCCGTATACACTATTATTTCTCTATATCATTAATCTATCTGGTTCCTTGCCTAGTGTTACATGTAGACAAGAAGCCACCGATTATGCTGGGACCCCCATATTTCCCTGTGCGTCCCGCCATTACAAGAATGCTCAATTCCTCGCTAGTTTTATAAGGTATCCCGCGTAGACTCGGAACATCGCGCCATGACACACTAGTCATCGAGGTAGGAGATATTTCAGACACCTTGCCAGATAGTTCACATAGTTAGACAGCATCAAATGAATCCTCGTATACCACTAGGCCCTACCTTCATAAGCTCATATAGTATCCTACTATATTAACATCATCACCTTGCATTGGCACAACTATACTACGAGTGACAGGTGGCGCATCTACGCGTCAATACCACACCTTACGAGCACTCTAACCTCAAGACAAAGTATGGAGTAGTCAAAGACGGCCGTAATGAATGAAGGGCTAGACATTCCCTTCTCTTGCCTGAAGTCTCTTTACCAGCTCTGGGACCTATGGATAGACATGGGAATATAGTACCCTTTTTATTCCTTGATTCAATACCGATTCAATATTGATATTTATTCTTTCCTTATCTAACCAGCAGGCTACTACCTTGCATGTAGTACTCGAACAACATAGCTCTTGCTTCCGTTACAAAAGGCGCCTACATAGCCATTACGCCGCGGGTTAGGTTGCATTCATTAGCTTAGAAGAGTTAATCATTTACTTGATCCCGAGAAGTCTATTTTCTTTTCCCGAGCTCATTGTTGAAGACCTATATTGGTGCAAGCCAGGCTACGAGACATAGCCGAGGTGGCTTTGGAGATGCAGAAACAATATAGCAGATGGAAACCAATATCAATCTCAACCTTTGAATTTACATTTATGGTATAGGGAAAACCTAAATAGGCGAGAACCTTTACTAAGGTGAGATTCTGGAGGCATTTTTCTCCAATGGGCCAGGAAAAAAGGTGCTGCTTGTGGTGTGCACACATTAAATCTCCTTCCAAGTTACCGAGTCAGAGAGAATTGCCAGCCATCTTAAACCAAAAAGCACACCCCATGATTTGCATTAGGCTTTCTGGTTTGTGAGCTGCGATGTTTGAGAGGACCAGTATCACTTACCTCCAGGTACTATTAGTGCCTTACACCCCCCACCCCTTTGGGTTGTGGGTGTGCCACAGTCTTTTCGATTCACAAAGTCTTTTCGGATTCTTCTCACCACCCTATTACTTACTAGTTGTCCCTTATATATCTACAAAGAAAATATTCACTTCTTGGCGTGCTTTCTCTACTCTTTCTAGTGCTATATCTTGATTCTGTGTAGGATCTGGCGGTGGTGATGTTCCATACGCTTTCTTCCACTGCTTCCTCAACCGCTTCCGCTCTGCCTCTGCTTCCTTATCTTTTCTCTTGGTAATAGAACGATTCGCATTTCTAATAGAGAGCGCTCCTGTCTTGCTAAGCGGTGTTTTGACCTGGCGCCTAGTGATTGGGCGCTGTAGTGTTTGTTGAGCTTCCCTAATCTTGCGAACTATGTTACTTGCTATCTGGAGATTCTCTATAGCAATCTTGTTATGATGAAATAGGTGATCAAGATTGCGTTGCTGTCGCGGTGTAAGATCTTCTTGTTGATATCTAGCAATCTTTGAGCGTCTCTAAGTCAATTTTCTTCAGTCCCCCAAGATCTCTGTTTGCCCCTCCTGGTGGCCAGCCTGAGCCACAATAGCATACCTGGATCATACAGTCGCATCTTTGCCTAGTCTGTAACAGTTAACTTTCACGTTCCAAATCATCCCCGACACTCAAACAGCGCAGAATTCACTTCCAGTCTCTTTGTGGGGTATTATCAATTTCCTTTTTGAGCCTTCTTGGGGTTCGACGACTACTACTCCGGCCATGACTATTACGAACAAAAAGGAATACGTTCGACTTGAAGCAAGGGGAGTTCTTACTAGAAAAAAAATCAATTTCTACTGAAAAAATACACATTCTTTTAGCGCCCGAGTGGATACTCAAGAAGAGCTCCGTTGATTGACGACCAAGGCCTCGCCGTAGAGACTAATGTCATATCCATGCTCCTCGAGGTAAGCCTTGAAACGAGCATCCTCGGTCTCCAGCTCCCGGGACATATCCGGAATCAAGAACCAGGCAATAAGGCCACCGACGACGGTGAAGGCGGAGCCAATCAAAAAGACAGCCTGCTGGCCCTTTGCTGTGCTGTCAAAGGAGTTCTGGATCGGGGTGAAAACTTCCGTGCCAATGGAGGCACCGGCTTTGCCGACGGCAGCTGCAAATCCAAGGAAATGGCCGCGAAGGGGAGTTGGAAATGATTCTGCGGCGCAAAGGAACGTAGAAACGCCAGGTCCCATCTCACCAAGGGCCTGGAAGATGCCGTACATCACGACAAAGAGAGGGAAGACGCTTTGGATAGGTTGCAAGGCACCACCCAGGATAAAGCCCCAGATTGCCCACAGCATGAAGCCAAGAGTCATGTTCTGCTTGCGACCAATGCGGTCCATGAGGAGTCCGCCCAAGATGCAGCCAGGGAGATAGAAGCAGTTAATCACAGTCTACAAATAAAATGTTAGTGAGACAGATTTTACTCCAATTAGAAAGAGACATACTCCATATCCAATATTTTGAACTGTTGTGTTGTTCGGGTTCAGTTGCTCGACAATTGTCGAGGAAAACAGACCAAACGGGTAGGTCACAAAGTCATAACAAAACCACGCCAAAGCTTTAGTTCGTCAAATTAGGTCAGTTCAAGCATTTAAAAAGGTTGAGAGCGAGCATAAAACTTACATGTACCAAGCATGGGCTTCCAATAACGCTTGAGGACTAGCCAGTAAGGGTAATGCGACTTGATGGCATGCTTCTTGTATTGAGTAGAGTTTATCATGCGGATACGGAAAAAGCAGATGGAAATCGGGAGCTATTGTACGATTAGCAGAGATTCGGGGTTAAGATTTTCCTGCAATCTGGGCTGCTGAGTATACTTACCACAATTCCCAGGCCGAAAGTAATTCTCCAGACCCCCTCTGTGCTCTGTTGATTATAGCAGGCCAAGACAATGAGGGCCACTATACCTGCCGCGACGAATCCCTATTTAATTTCGATTTGTCAATATTGAAAAACTTGCCCGTGGAGGTTCTACAGTACGTACCAGATCCACAGCGAAGTCAGTGGTCATTGCTACCAAGAAACCACGACGCTTGCGCAGCTGTGTCGTCTCGTCTGCGGCCTCGGTGGCACTTGTGGCGCAAACGGGATATTCTCCGCCGGCACCAAAGCCTGCGATACCTCGTGCAACAATCATCATCCAGAACATTCTAAAGTTTGTCAAGATTAGAGTTCATTTTTTGAAACAAATCGTCAAAGAGGGGCCGCATACCCAAGTTCAGATTTCCCGTGCGCTGCGGTGGCCAGCACGATACCCAGGATCAAGAAGGCTGTTGCGGCAATGACACCAGTCCGACGGCCAATGCGGTCGATGAGGACACCGAAAAAAAGCATGCCAAAGATCTCTCCAATGAGGTAGGAGTTTGACAGGCGCGATTTGATGGTTGAGGACATGCCGCTCATGTAACTATTGAAGGGATCTGTTAATAGAGGTCCAATGTAACGACAGCACCCGAAACCAAACACTCACAGGACCGAAAAGAGCGGCTCCATATAGCCAACTATAAAAGCAAGTTAGATTGATTGATTCAATTGTCGCAGCAATGGAGCTTTTTTTGCATTTTGTTTCAAGAACAAGACATACTAATCTGGGCATTGTAGCCATCGCTGAAGAGCGCCAGGCCAGAAACGACAACATTGAGAACTCCAGAGCGTTTCTTCTCGGGCTGAGTCTCTTCGAGATCCCAGTTCTCTTCGGCATGCTGTCCCTTGTCCCTTTCCATCTTCATGACGGAATCGCTTGGTGAAGCTTCCATCTTGCCGGCACGTTGAAGGTGGAGAGCAGCAGAAAGGAGAGGACGGAGGACAGAGGAAGAAGAACAGCCTGCGGAGATTTTGAGATCGTCCTGGTCTCGGAGGAAGCTACAATTTGTATGTCCACGCTGCCATCCCCGACAGCTTCTGTCTAGATGCAACCCCTCGGGGCTTTGTATGCAGATTGATCCAATGATAGACGAGGCTGCATGCACGCCAGCAGCGATAACGATCGTCGGTGCGAAGTGCGAGTGTCAACGGGTTCCACTATGGATCCAGAGGAGCAGGTCGAGGCTCGGCGCGACAGGCATGCCGGGACCATCGAGGTACAGAGCGGCGCACATGGCGATGATGGCCGGGAAGTTCCGACCGAATCCTTCTTTTCTTGCGCGTTGCAGTATCTGATTCTCCAAACTCTTCACTCTCCGCAGCGAGAGGACGCCTCAGAGCGGGATCCACAGCGGGGACCGGTCCGGCAGCGCAGCGCCAATCATTTGGCCCATGTGCTGATAACCCGGCGTTACCACTGGCTGCTGACCATTCAGACGAGCCCGATCCATCCAGGGAACTATAAAGAGGCCTTAAACTGGCTAAACAACTAAACAACTCCATCCGTGCACGGGGCCGTCCCTGAGGTGGGGATCTCGGTGCGAAGCGCGAGAGTGTCGATGACTCTGTGAATGGCACGAGGGACCCGGCGATAAGCGCCATTTGAGGATCTATAAAACGCAAGCAACGACAGATGCCAATCCCACCAGCACGTTCCTCCCTCCATTCCCCTCTTCTCTCCTTGGTTGTTTTATATTCCATATCTGCATTCTTTTTTTCTCCCCATTCTTGGACTTGATTGGGTTTCTGTCTGCAGCATGGACAACTACCACTACGCATTGACCGCCGAGCAGCTCCAGAGCTTCCAGGAGCGCGGCTATCTGCTCGTGCCCGGGTTCTTCAAAGGCGACGAGGTCGAGCTCCTGCAGCAATGGGCCCAGGAGGTGCATGACTTGCCGCGGACCCCCGGAGTGCCCTGGATGCCGTATGAGGAGGTCAATGGTCAAGGCGACCGGGTCTTGTGCCGAACAGAGAACTTCGCCAACAGCCACCTGGGATTCGACAGTTTTCTTCGTGGCCAGCGTGCGACGAGTACGTTGCAGCAGCTAGCGGGCGAGGACATGCTGTTGTTCAAGGAAAAGATCAACTACAAGCTTGCTGGAAGTGGTGAGTGGAAGCCAATATCGAACATACTCCTCGGACCCACTTTGTGAGCCTTCTTACTCACTATATTTTCAATTTCATCAGGCGGCTTTGACCCGCATATTGATGCCAACGCATACACTCACGTCAAGAACATCAAACACTTGACGATCTTAGCCGCCGTGGATACGATGAACGCGGCTAACGGCGGCCTGGAAGTGGTCAACGGCAGCCACCGCATGGAGGTGCCTCTAGGCGAGGATCGTTGCATTGAACCCGCCTGGGTCAAGAGTCAAACTTGGACCCCCTGTGATCTCCAGCCAGGTAAGTCACTTCATTCATATCGTAGGTTGGAAAATGAGACTGAGGTTCTGAACGCTAGGTGATATCTTGGTCTTCGGATCCTATTTGGCCCATCGCAGCGGTGCCAACACCAGCTCCAAGGCCCGTCGCGCCATCTACGCGACTTACAACTGTGCCGCTGAGGGAGATCTGCATGATCAGTACTATGAAGACCGGCAAAAGCTGTGGCCGGCGACCCATATGCGAAAGCAGGGCGAGTCGTATGAGGCGGGGCGAGTGCGTTACGCCTTTGGCACCCCTATGTTGACAGTAGATCCGAACGCCAAGGCACAAGCTGTGCCGGCAGTTTAGGTTTTCTTTGAGATATAATCACCATAGCTAGCAAAAAAAAGTAGAAGAAGCTGGAGGAGAAAAGAAAGGGAAAGAGGAAATTTCATTATTCCCAATGTAGGCAGTGCTAGGCTATTGATACCACACCGGCCAGAGGGAGACATGTAAAAATAGATGACAATGAAGAAATAGAAGTCTTTTTGATTATATGTTTAAAAGAAGCTCGGTTTACAGAAGTAGAATTTGGAAGAAGCTAAGATTGTCAGGAATATGAAATCTCGGATGTATGAAGGACCATAAATTCAATTTCATCCAAGTTTGTCTGATCCATAGTGTGGTTCACGTACAAAAGGCCGGGAGTTTGGAACCTCCAGTACATAAAAGGGCGGGATTCCCCCTCCCCGCTCATTTTTTTCTCTTTCGCTAAATTCTTGTTAAGTCTTCTGGCTTTTGCCCATTTCGATAGTTGACTTCAAATTTTCCACTGTCCTCAATTTTGAACTTGTCTCCGTGTCTTCTTCTGTCATAATGGAGTCACTATCGCCATCCACTAAGGCCGACAGGCTAGTGAGTGCTCTGGAGCAGTATGGCCAGGGCGACTATATTGGCGAGTCCATCAGCCAACTAGAGCACTGTTTGCAGGCAGCTCATCAGGCCCAGAAATCTGGTAGGATTTTGGTTCGTTGCAAGTTTATATAGCATTGATGCTAAAATTTTATCCCATAGGTGCTGATGATGAGCTGGTGATTGCAGCTCTGCTCCATGACATTGGCCAAATCATTCCCTTGGAATCAACTAAGGAGGTTCGCATGAATCTTCGGGGAAGTACGGAGAACGTGGGCCGTGTAGGCCACGAGGCCATTGGCGCTGCATACCTTCAATCCTTGGGATTCAGTCAAACAGTCTGCAAGCTTGTAAACAGTCATGTTGCAGCCAAAAGGTGCTTCCCCTTGCAGTCCCGAAACCGTGTTTGATGGTAGACCTGACAAATTTATGTGTAGATACCTTACTGCCATCAATCGTGCATACTACGACTCTTTATCCTCAGCTTCACAACGTTCCTTGGCCTTTCAAGGAGGTCCGTTTCAAGGATCTGAGCTGGAAGAATTTGAACGAGACCCGCTCCGGGAGTCAATGGTTTCGCTCAGGCTGTGGGACGATGCAGCCAAGTTGGAGGGTGTAGAAGACACCACCCCACGCGCGCGAACTTATTTGGACATGATTACTGCCCACTTGACACACGAGACATCGCTGTAGGAAACTGACTTGAGAGAAAAATCATGAAATTACTGTTGTAATGGGCAGCTGGCTGTATTTCTTTTCATTACTGTCTAAGGTCCAATTCGTTTATATGTACTCTTTGCCAGCTTGTATTCGGTGTTCATACATGCACAATCAGACTCAGATATGGAGCAGAATATGTTTTTTTTACGATTCCGATATATGTCCTCTTCGGCCATCTGCTATCTTGTCAAGGTGGCCATTGAACACGGACCGAGGCCGACCCAAGAGTTCGGCCAATCCCCGCACTTGAATTCCCCCTCTCGTTTCCATGCCGCTGCGAAATGGCGACAGTCTCGACGGCTAAGCTCCGGACTAGAACCGGCTGTATGCAATGTGAGCAAGGCTTTCATGGCCATAGACTGACATTGTCATTGTGATTAACCATTTCAAGGTCGGAAACGCCGCAAGAAGTGCGACGAGTCGCGCCCACGGTGCACTGGCTGCGCCCGGAATGGCCTCCACTGTGAATGGCCGTCTGGCATGGAAGTCACAGATGGACGTAGAACCCGACGACTTCAGAGCTCAGTTCAGCCATCCTTATATCGTCCTTCACACTCAGGGCTGGGACTGTTTGATATAGAGTTGCCGCCGCCAGTCTCCATGCCACCGCCATTTCAACTCCAAGAACACTGCTATCTCTATCGGTATTTTGCTTCCAAAGTCCTTCCACGGATGGTAAGAAAAAGATCACTTTCAAGGTATATGGACCAGAACTATATGCTTCAACTGGCCCTGGAATTTTACCCCCTGATGGGTGCCTTGGTATCGGTCGCAGGGATGGAGCTGGCTTCACCGTCGGGCTGGCCGGTCCATCGAGCAATAGAGAGCTATATTCAAACCATTCAGGGCCTGCAGGAGGTCCTCTCCCGAAAGGAACTCATTATAGAAGATGCTCTTCTGGCGACGGTAGTCACACTGTCCGTGTTTGAGGTAGGCACCTACCAACTAAGCTATCTTCCCTCCTGCATATTTCGGTGTCCTCATAGCAGAAGAAGACAATGATGGAAATTAACCCAACTCTAGAACTCTCGAAAAGATGTTCCGCCCAATGTCAGACCGCATGTCATGGCTTCAAGTGCCATCCTTACGAACCGTCGCCCGCGATGGCCAAGGTGCCCTCAGGCGCCTGCGGTATTCGATCGAATATGCGTGGAGTCTTTCGTATATCACGCATCATTGATGATGATATTTGAACCATCCCTTGATGTACTATCTGACTCGCATGAAGCTTCCAAATTGCATCTCTACTTCTCTGATCCGACACACGGCAGCTTGGCAGAGACACAGTCGGCCGTGGCAACACAGCCTATTCTTCATGTGCCGTACAAATTCTTTATCTTGATTGCAGATATCACCAAGCTGGCTCGTATCTCATATGCGTTGAATGACAGCGAAATATTCAAGTGGAACCAGCTGAACCATCAATTCCGCTACTGGGCCGACTGTATGCGAGCAAGTGAAGAGGTCGTGGAAACTCTATTTGTTCTAGCTATGGAAATTTTGCTTTCAAAAATGAACCCTTTCCTATTCCCCGAGGAGATCGAGAGAGTGATCGAGGCCTGTTTTGAACAAGCCTCTCAACTTATTCCTCTTTTGGATACAAGTTCTCATTTCACGAGCTTTCTCCTCTGGCCGTTGACTATTTTGGGGGCTGTGGCCTACCGTCCGTGCGAGAAAGACCTGATGCAGAAGTCGATATCGCATTTAACCACGGCACAATCTGGAGGCCAGGCGGTATGGGTTTTGCGAAGACTTCAAAATATCTGGCCCTGTGAAAGAGATTCTGAGACCGGTGATTGTCGGCGATACAGGACTATGGGGCTGCAGGCGCTATTGAATGGAACAACATGATGTGATGAATTCGGGATGACTAGTACGCTTTGTTTCGTTCTACTAATTTCTTTGCAAGATCAAATTGCAGGGACCGCCGTGATCCTGTGATCAAATATAGCCAAATCTTGCAATATCCAGACTTTAACAAGTATCTAGCATCTCAGAAAGGGCGGCCTTTTCGTCCGAAGTAATGGTCAGTTTATAGTAGGTCTTGACTTGGACCCACATCTCCGCGTAGGTGCAATAATATGATTCTACTTCTCATTAGCTTGACAATTGTAGCACGGTGAAAGTCAATCATATTCTTACCCAGCGGCGGCTTCCATTCCTCAGGCCCCTTGTCACCCTTTGATTCGTTAACATTGTCAGTCACAGCCAGTAACTGCGGATGTGTGAGATCATTGGCGAAAGACTGCCGTTGAGCGGTTGTCCACTCGGAGGCACCGGACTACTCTCGATTATCAGCACTGCACATAGCCAAAAAAATTATCGAAAGAGGCTAGGTACCTTCCACGCATTTGAGAGCGGAACAAGATGGTCAATGTCCACATCGCTCGATTGAGTCCACGTCGCTCCATCATACGGGGAGACCCATGTGCCACTGGTCGTGGTGCAACCGCTAGAGCTTTGTACTACGTTGGTTCCATCGCGCTTGAGGACAACATCACGCGTATCACAGCTCCTACAAAGTTTTCGATTAATACCTTCTTGGTCGACACAAGAGACATGAAGGAAAATGGAAGATTCACCCATTCTGCGTAATCCAGTGTGGGAACTTGTCACGAGAATACCCATCCTGTGAACCCTGGGCTGCAACTGTGAGCGACGCCAGCTCACTCTTGGCGGTTGAAGCAGAGGGAATATCTGGTGGCGTAGGTTCAGGCAAAGGCAAGCTGGCAATCAGGATGGGATGAACTATTATCAGGCTCACTAGGGCCTTTTTCATCTGAAAGAAGCCCATTATTATTGACTGCTCAAACTGTATGGTGTGCTTCGGCTTCCTTTAGGTGGTGGAAGATATGAGGTAAAATACCAGCCAACGATTTTCAAGCCCCAAGGAGGAATGTGAAAGTGTAAATACTTCCACTTTCCCCTGATATGAGAACGGGAGTCAAGAACTCTATATAGTGTTATGCGCTGGAGTATCCCGACGGGATTCCGCATTTCGAGACCCTGAACGGCCGGGAGTTGCTTGTTTCGGGTTCTGATGCAGAGTAACATCGGTCGCGCCCAGGTCTTGGCTGTTTGCTTGGCGCTGCAAAACGGGGTTCATATCGCCTTGCAAGTGGGCAATCTGGGCTGTGCGATTGGCAGCTGTTCAATTCGATCGCCTGTCCCTGAATCTACAGATACCACCTGCATGAAACTTGAGCTCTGTGTGGATGGTTGAGGGGTCGGACATGGTCCAAAGTGACGAATAATGGGACAGTTATGCACGTAAGTATACGAGACTGCCGCAAGAAAAATTGAGTAAGGGATTAGAATGATTAGTGAATAGTAATAGCTTACATGATGGCAGCAGATTATGAAACTGGTGTATAGTATTCTACGTGCCCAAAAGAGAACCTCCTAGGTCAATGTTGCTCAGTTGGTCCTCTAATGGAGATTAGTGTCCTATTTTCCCAAGTATCTCCAAGGAACGTATATACTAAGCAAAGATAGATTACCAGATTTAGAATTTTGGCCTGATTAGGGAGAGGCTTGATCTTCTGTCATTTCTTTTGAAAGTATTTGAATGGAATACCCGGGGGATTGTGGTGCCAATACGCTAAAATGCACGCTTTTCCTCCTCAGTTTCACAATCACTAGAATAATACCCTCCCAACTGTGCTTCTGTTGTTAATGACATCGGACCATATGATTGCCAATAATTTTGAAGCATATTAGCAAGCCGCCTCATGGTGCCGTTATTTGTAAATCTCCAAAAAGCAAGGACTTGATTAAGAAGAATCTCCCGATCGGATGGTTGCGTTAAGCTCCTTCCAATCGTAAGCAGAGGCCAGCAGTAATAATCAGCAAAGTAGTCTTTCGATGGTTGAAGCTGCAGGACCACTTTCATTCCTTCTTGGATGAGTATATTGAATTCTTGGTTAGATGCAGCAAAAGACATGCGATGTACCAGGATCCGACAACCGATAATATATAGTCTCGGTCCAATGAAGGCAGTTTGGCGCAGTGCTTTGGTTTGCCATTGTGGGAGAGTGGTCCGTGTGTTATCGTTCTTATTATCCCAATCTGCTACTGCGTTTAGAGTGCCCTGCAGGGATGACTCTAAGCAATCGTTCCATCGACGAAGGTCGAGATCAAGTTGCTGGCAAGTCTCAAAATCGATATTTTCTTGGTATGATGCCTGGTATAACCGATAAACCTTGTAAATGCATCGGAATACCTGAGGTGGGATTCCAAGAACCGGTGAATCTGGATGTGTGAACAGCTCCGGTAGGAAGTGTTGGTGAATGGCCTCTTCGGCCATTGAAAGGGAAACTTCAATTTCAGCAAAAGAGTTTCCCGTATCTCGGAAAGGAAGACTAGTTGCCACGTGAAAGATGAAAGACTCACAAGCCAATCGATGCATGGCCTTATTCATTGTGGAGATAGTGATTTGGGAATTGCTTATATAGGCGTGGGAATGGAGTTGAATCAACCGTGCCGCACCTGCGAGATGTATGCTGATCCCAGGAGACTCGCGGGGTTTAGATCTCTTTTCAATTCACGCATGTTAGGATATCGTTACACTACCATTTTGATTATGTCACTGACCTCGTATATACACAGCATCATAATAGTCAGCATAGCGACCAGCCATCTAGATGGAAGGTTCTCTTCGTTCAAAAAGCTCCTCAATCCTGCAACAGCTTGGGTATAGTGAAAGCGAGCCAGTCGATTAAATCCTGTTTTTGGTATCTCCGCCCCACAACAGGCTAGCAAGGCATGCATGCAGAATGGGTTTTCAAAGGCCAACGTTAATGTTTCTTTGCTCAAAGCATCGCTTATTAGGCCATTGGCTGCAGGTCGGATTAACTGGGGAAGAAACGTAGATCTCAAAAAATCAAAAAGAGGTCGGCTTTCCCTAGTTATTGCGGAAGAATCTGGCAAGCGAGCAGGGAGTCCTAGGCCAAGCAATGTATGGAAGTCATCCGCGAGTCTGGGGAAAGAAGGTTCATCTCGAGACCATTTCTTCAGGGAAAGCGATTCTGAGGAACCCATCAAGGTAATAGAGCTATTGGGAGAACTCGATGGCACTGACTTCAGCTGTTTTGGTAGAAGTATTGCGCTACCTGGACTTCGGTCTGATCCATGTTCAACGCTCTCGTTGCCATCACTGAAGCCGTCATCGGATGAGCTGTTTCTTGAGCCAGAATGGCCAGGCCCTGGACTATCTGGAATATTCCAAACGCAACTCAAATTTCGTTGAGTACAACTGAGACATTGTAATGGAGTTTCATCACACTTTTTTTTTCGTCTTCGGCCTTATTCTGTCTCAGCACGGTTTATATAATTCAAAGCGTCTTTATGATTAAGAACGAGGGCCGGTTCTCACGATAACTAGCCCAAAGTCTCGTTACAGTTCGCATGGGAAGATGAAAAGCACTATAACTTACACGTTAAGCAGCCAGTCTTAGTGCGCAAATGAGCTGGCCGACGTCGTGCCTGTCGGTAAGCTTTGCCAGGGATGGCTGTAACCGAAGATGGGGTTGCATCTCCCGCCATGTCCCTCCGGTTCTACGGCGAGCTCATTTGAGGCTTCGATAAGCTAGTGACTGCCCCGATGCCTTTGTCAGGGGTATTGAAAGCATGGAGTGAAGGAAACAGTGATGACACTGCAAAGAATGTGATAGCGATCATAAGATCAGGTTCCCTCAAGAGGCAACGGCAATGGAGCAACGGAAGGCCTCCGATCCACTATTAATTACGAACTTCGGATCTTGGATATTCCGATATCGGTCCGAATTATCTACGGAATATAGAATGCCAGTCTATTGTAGGAATTTCTTTTCTTGATACATAGGAACAGAAAGAAGTCTGACACATATGTTGCAACACATAAGTTGAGGCTCAGATGCGTTTAAAAATTTGGACAATAATACACAGTCGTGCAACTATACTAATCATGTGTATTATATACAGATTTATTTCCAAATCTCCGTGAACTTGCAGAATTTGACCCAAAAGCGTCACTTTCCGCCGTACCTATCACGTATTAATACTACATTTGTGCCACTCTTCACACTCAAAGATATTTGACCAATTGATGGTGCTTTGCATTTACTTGAGAACAAAACCACTTGGATGGAAGTCATGTGCCATAATCAGGGATATTTATAAGAACAAGACGTTTCATCTTCATTGAAAGATGTAGGCTGAGAAGGTGAGCCCATAAAGATATCTTCAAATAGGCTGCCGAAAGGAAGTGAAAAGGAGAACGATGCGTTCGTGTTGTCCTGCAGAATTTGGTCAAACAAGCCTCCAGCTGGTCCAAGATTAGCAAGACTGCTGCGAGTCTCAGCTTGGGGACGGCTATGTAGTATCGGGGATCCTGTTGGTAGGTCCTTCGAAGAATCTCGCCCTCTCTTCCGGCTGAGAAGGGCCTCATAGATCGGAAAGAAGGCGCCAACCACCGGCAATCTATCTTGCAACTTGTCAAGTATCGCCATACAGAAATGAGCGCGATGCTCTGAAATGAGCCGGATACCGCTATCCCCTCGATGAATATTGGCTATGTAAATCGAGAGCACCGACAGCACGGGGGCGATTCTGAAAAGGACTTTAGCGTGACAGACTTGAAGCGATATCATTCAGGAAACGTACATGCTGGCTGCAGCGGCGTATACTAAATCATTCGTCATAATGATTTCCAGCAAGTGTGATATCGCTGTACATATCTCAAACGTCGGAGTATCTGATCCTATGTTCTGAGAAAATCTTGGATTGCTCCGATGCAAAAGTAGCCGGTATTCCCTAGAAATTTAGCATTTATATCGCGAAGAGGCCTTTCCAATGTGATTATCATACTGGTATAAGATCTCAGTTAAGACTGCCCATGTGCTACTCTTCGTTGACAATGATCGGAATGTCGGCGAAAGTGATGACCACCACAACGAAATCTGTTCTAAACAAATGTCCTGAGAGTGTCCAGTACCTTGGTCAAGTTTGATAGTGAAATATCGATCCACTATAAAGTCATCAGGATTATAGGGGATTTTAAAGCGGAAATATGGATATTTTACCTGTGCGAGCCAGCTGAACAGCATTCACTGCAAACATATTTGCCTCACTAAGAGTTTGGCCAACCTTTTCTGACTCAATATTCTCATCAAGCCCTTCGAAGTCTGTCTCTGAGAGAGTGTCAACATTGCAAAGTCTCCCTTGTACATGAGGTGGGCGATCGAGAAGCATAGACAAGTTAATGTCCATGGCCTAGTCCAGAATGTTAGGCAGATCACAGGCTCGAAACATTCCACGCATAAACTGACATAAACCATCCACCACAGCCTTCGCCATATTTTGCGATCTTTTTCTTCAAGGTGAAGATATGATTTCCTAGAGTATTGTGTCAGTCTAATTTGTCCGTGCTAGGGAAACGATAAGACCCACGCTTGATTCATTCCCAAAGCCTGTGCTATCCCTGCAGAGATACCAAGCCAGTACCAAGGGTCTTTGTGCTCTAGAAGTCCACTCCACCAATGGCACATGAGGAATGTGGCCTGTATCATTTTGATCGCATCGGTTTCATATCCAGCATCATAAAGCAATTTTGCTCGCCGGTAAAAAGTGAGGCTCGCTGAGTATCTGGACGCAAATCCACCATCAGCAATCACAGAGTCCGCACAGTAAGTGGTGGCCGCGATGTAGACTGCGTTCAATAGTAAGTGCGAAAAGGTACCATCTGTGAGGCTGACAAGAAACCTTGACTTATCTAGAATGGGTAGCGCAGCAAGTGAGTAATTAAAGTAAGCATCGAGAAGAGCTTTGCTAGTCTCCTGTGATGGTAGATCAAATGCTCCTTGATTTACAAGGTTTTCTTTAGTAGATGCGTGGAATCTCTCAATTTCTTGGGCCGTAGAGCTGCCCATCCGGGCCAGCATGGCGCCTTGGAGACGGTCTTGGAGTGGGGGCGCATCGGACGTTCCCTCAAAGGGATTTCCAAATTGTTGGATCAAGTAGTTGAGATTCGAAGAATCTCCAACGTATGGTACCTTGCCACCAGGTTCGCGAGCTGGAAAATATTGGCTTTGCTGCAGCGGCTCCCTGTCACTGCGATCATGATGGGTGCCCAAGGATGGACTCGAAGTCATCACTCCTCCATATGGGATGTTGTGGAATGGGACACACAGAGAATTCTGTGAACCAGCTCCAATCGGTAATATAGGAAGTTTTCGTTTTCTAGACCTATGTCAATACCAAACATTCAATATGAAGAGCTCGCTTCGTGGGTTTTACCGTCCACGCCGGGAAATAATAGGTTCACACACGAGCCGGGCATTCCGGCAATTAGAACATGCTACACCTTCGCGGCGGTCGCATTTGACCCGTCGTTCATGGCAGAAACAGCAGGCGACCTTGACTGCTGCGCTTCTGCGAGGCATATGTTTGTTACGACAGGAGTAGTTGCTTGACTGTTGTGTGAACTCAACGTCCTGGGTTCGGCGAAGTTGGAGAAGTGGTACCCACCAAGTCGCCGAATTTAAACCCAGGTGATTGGATGAAATGTACACTCTCCCGTGTGATTGGATGTTCACCAGTAGCATTTGGGAGAAATAAGTGAACCCCCAAAAGGAAAAAGAGAGACTTTTTAAATATTTGACTTTTGTTTTTCTCTCTTTTGTTTTGATTAAGCATCATGTCTTTGAGTTCAGGTTATTGGCCCATCCTTCATCGCTCAAATCCATGGAAGGGGCAATTGGGTGTCTCCTCGTCCAAGCCGATCCCGATGATGCGACACTTAAGCACACCTTCCAATCATCGGGCCACTATATCAAAGTCTGTGTCGGAGAAACCGCAGAAAACTGGAACGGCAGGATACCTTCTGTATGTTCGATACTGGATGGTGAAGCAGCACCTCGTTTGATTCAGTGCTGACCTTCTGACGTTGATTAGGGCAAAGGCGGACGATTTGGTGAACTGGGGGCGACAAGGATCGCTATGGCCTCTATCGTTCGGTCTTGCATGCTGTGGAATTGAAATGATGCATACGTCAATGCCGCGTTACGACCAGGATCGACTGGGTATTATCTTCCGTGCTTCGCCCCGACAAGCGGATGTCATGATCGTGGCCGGTACAGTTGTCAACAAGATGGCTCCAGCATTGAGGCTATTATATGATCAAATGCCGGAACCGCGATGGGTGATTAGCATGGGTAGTTGCGCCAATGGTGGAGGATACTATCACTACAGCTACAGTGTGGTACGGGGCGTAGACCGCATTGTGCCTGTCGACATCTATGTGCCTGGATGTCCACCAACTGCAGAGGCTCTTCTGCAGGGTCTTTTTCTCCTTCAGAAAAAGATGCGGAGGACACAGGTGACGCGAATGTGGTATAGGCGCTGATTGAAGGGTATTGTCTGTCAATCTTGTATATTCTATTCAAAATATATACTTGGCTTTTCACCAGGAAATCGTGGCGGAAAATCTATACAAACTTCATGATCGCAATCATGTTCATCCTGCTCTATATGGATGCTCAGCTACAGTACACGAATGATATCAGTGTGCTCTACCGGTCGATCTATTGACATATTTTCGGATGAGGACCCCAGGTTTTCCTTTTACTATATAAGAATGTGGAGGTCGATCAGCAACGACGAACACCACTTGAAACATCTTCTGAAGGGATATCACCGACGTTTCGGGGGTGGGAGATACCAATTTTTCAATTTCGGACATTAATTAGTTTTTAATATGTATTTATGGGGCACAATTGGTTAAGATAACTGCCCCTATCGCTCGAGATTCTCTCCGCCTCGGCGAACGCGGCTACGTCACCGTTGAACCCCGCGGGCTATTTTCTGCCGCCAACGCGGGCACCCACGCGACCAGGGTCTTCCTTGCTCCAGTCCTCCTCGCCATCATGCCGGTCACCGTATTTACCAATGGGCGCGTATTTCACCCAGAGTCCTCGGGTAATAGCTTTGCCTCATCCCTAGTGATTGACGGGTCCCAGATTTTGTACGTGGGCTCCGTCAATGACGAGCGGGTTCGCCAGGCTCAATTGAAAGGGACCACCGTCGACTTGAACGGTCGGGCCATCCTTCCTGGGTTTATTGATGGCCATGTACACATTCTCAACTTCGGCTTATCCTTGCAGAAGCTAGATCTCCTGCAGTGCAAGTCGCTGAGTGAGATCCGCGATGCAATCAAGTCTTACGCTGCACAAAATCCTTCCGAGCCGCGAATCCTCTGCCGCGGATGGCTGCAAGTTGTCACTGGCGGTACAGCTCTGGCATCTGCGATAGATGATCTAGATCCTCGACCGATCTATATTGAATCCCTCGATCTGCACTCGACTTGGTGCAATAGTGCCGCAATCAGGGAGCTTCAGGTAGATTCAATGTCCGACCCACCAGGAGGCACCATTCATCGCCTTCCGGATGGCCGACCATCTGGTTTGGTGGACGAGGCGGTGCAATTTAATGTCGTCTGGCCGTTCTTGAATCAGGCTGCGTCAGCAGAGAAAAGGATAGCAGCGATTGAGGCAGCATTGTCGGCCCATCGTAGGGCTGGGTACACCGGCCTAGTCGACATGGCCATGGACGAGATGAACTGGGAAGCGTTGAATTTGTATCGCAATCGATATGGTGATCCCCCTTTGCATATCGGGGCCCATTGGTTGATCCCGTATACTCGTGATCATGCGGAGTTTCATCGTGTCATCGATCGAGCAATTGAATTGCACAAAGACTACAACTCTGCCAATTCCCCCGCATTACGGATCAATGGAATTAAACTCATATGTGATGGAACGGTGGATGGTTGCACTGCAGGCCTGCTCCAGCCTTATGGTGGCCTTACAGATCTGGTTGAACCGATCTGGCCTGCACCAGCCATGAAAGAGGCCGTACAACGAGCCACGAATTCTGGTTTGCAGTGTGCCCTTCATGCCATAGGCGACCGGACGGTCCGTGATGCCATCAATTGTCTTTCTGAAGTCCAAAATCTTCGCGACTGTCGCCATCGTATCGAGCACCTTGAACTCACAACGCCTGAAGATGCCAAGCGACTAGGAGATCTCGGTATTATTGCTTCGGTTCAGCCGGTTCATTCGGACCCGGCTACATTCGGCGCGTGGCAAGGGCTTATTGGCGAACACCGCTGCAATCGAGCATTTGCCTACCGGGACTTTGCCGACAGTGGTGCACCCTTAGTATTTGGTACCGATGCACCTACCGCAAAGCATCTGCCTTTGCCAAACCTTTACAATGCTACTACACGCCGTTCAGCTCTTGAACCTACCATGACTGAGACAGTTAATGCTCAATTTGCTCTCCCTCTTGCCACCGCGGTCTCTGCAGCTACATCGGGGGCGGCCTTTGCGGGGTTTGCCGATTCGTGGACTGGAAGCTTAAGGCCAGGCCTACAAGCTGATTTCGTGATAATTGATATGAATTGGAATCCTGATAAATTGCTAGAAGCCCAAGTCTGTCAAACTTGGTACAAAGGTGAAAAAGTGTTTGATATTGCTGACGGTGTTTGATTTGTCTCCCGCATTTGAACCGGTCAATTCGCCTGCTCAATGTGAACAGCCGTCGTGAATCCCTTGCCTGATTCAATTGCCTTTTCCATCTCCACGTTTGTTGCTGCAACAACGTCTTCGCCATCGAACAACTTGGTGATCTCTTCCAACGGCACATAACGTGTTTCCACATAAAACACCCAAATGACGACAATCTCCACTGCCAGGAAGCAGCAATAGAAGATATAATAGCGCCAGTGGATGTTATTTAGAGCGATCGGATTGACGTACTGATTGAAGAACAACGCAATATACATAGCAAATTCCATAATTGTATAGCCCTTTGCTCGCATGCTGTATGGCAGAATTTCTGTGGTATAGCTTGCGATCAAACCCGACCTAAACCTGTCAGTCAAGGACCCCAACTGGAGTAAGAAAGAGGAACTAACTTCAGATTATAGAAGAGGTAATAGATGAAAATCATGCCCAACACTCCTGATCCCAGGCTCGGACTGGCATGTATGTCGTATCGTGCTGAAAGGGCTGTCCAGACCACGAAAGAAGCTAGCATCCCTGCGGAGCTTACAATCATGATAGGTCTTCGCCCCCATCGGTCAACAAAAAAGCTGAAGAAAACATTTGTAACGAGACTGAAGGAAGTGAGAGCACCATTGATCAACAGCTGCTTGTTGGGATCAGTGATACCGATACTATCCATGATTAGGTTCAAGTAGTAGGAAACTAATCCGTTTCCTGACCACTGGGCGAAAAGACCGAAAGTAATGATAATCAATGTTCTTTTGCGGTTCCCTGGGGTGCGCAGAAAGTCCAGAAATGAACTCGAGTGTTCAGAATTCCTTTCCATGGCAATTGCTGTCGTGATCTCTATGTACTCAAGTTGAACTACTTCGTCATCTTCATTTCCTTCCGCGTGGTAGTGGGCTAGAATTTGCAGTCCTTTCTCTGGCTGGTCCTTTGAGATGTAATATCTTGGACTCTCTGGAATCCACCACACCACTGCCAGCATAAGCAACGTGAATAGTCCTTGAATTAGACTAGGTGCTCTCCACGACCATTCGTTCTTATCTGTTTGTTAGCAAAATCTATAATTACCCACAAGAAGGTTAACTCACTTTAATCTTCAGCGTTCCATATGTGGTCCACGCCGCGATGAAAGCACCAGAATGGTATGTCGCACCAGCTATCGTGACCAGAATAGCTCGATCTTGGGCTGGTGCAATTTCCGTAATGAGAAGTGGTGCTGTACAGATGACAATGATATCTCCAAACCCAAGAATATATCTTGCCCCTACAAACATCGAGAAATTTATAGACCCTGACTGCAACGCCACTCCAAGGAGCATGAAGAAAGAACCAAAGACTATACACGGCTTGCGTCCGAAATGATCTAGCATATAAGGTAGGAACACGAGGCCAGTTAGAGCTCCGGCACTCATGACACAGTTAAACAAGCCGAGGGTTGGTCCTTTGGGATGATTGAAGTAATCCTGCCAGTAGGATAACGATTGTAGCCCATTCCTGAGTGGTTCAGCAGGAGCGACTGTCGGGCATCCAAATTAAAATACTTACATCATGGAGTTATCGAATCCATTGGCCGTATTAGTCGCGATTAGAACCGCAATATAGAAGTATAAAAGGCGCATGTTGGGTCTTTTCCACCATTTAACCCGCTGAAAAGTCCGTCCAGCCAAAAAATATTGGCCTTTTGGTGGCTCGAGGAGCTTAGAATCGTGGGCCATTGGGAAATGAGTATTCCGATTTGTATGTACAGTTCTCTTCTTTTTGTCTTCAACGATATCAAAAGACTAGTCTGGGTCCAATTTTGTCATGGGGCGGTTGCCTCCAAAGTTTCCCTATCTACAACAGCAGTGGAACCAGGCAATAATAAGTAGTGGAACTGACCGACTTCGATTTTTGAATTTTTCCGGAGACAAAGACCATCACAGGATCAAGTTGCTGTAAATTCCTTACCAAGTTCATATTTTAGCCTATACTCCTGTAAAGATGTGGGGTAATCAGCCAACGCATCGTTTAGCCTGCTATACACGGATGAACGACCGTGTCTCAACGGGCAAATGGCTCGACGCCACAAGGATTCAAATAGCCTGGAAAGAACACTTGATGATTTCGCATCCTTCGAAAGGATTTGCGGCGGAAACATTTGCACTGCCAAACATGGACACGGAACACAGTAACCCAATAATTCCTGGCTTCGCGCCCGACCCATCGATATGCTTGATAGATGGCACATTCTTCCTAGTCAACTCTAGTTTTCATTTATTTCCAGGTCTTCCGATTTACTCATCGCCGGATTTAAAGACATGGACTCATATTGGTAATAATACAATGTCCCAGACGAGAAAAGAACGCGATAATAATTAGAATCGTGCAGGAAATGCTATCAATCGACCAGCGCAGCTTTCCTTGTACAAAGCGAGGACCTGGATGCACCCATGGGATGATGGGACAATGATGGTTGGCACGGGTGGGCTCTACGCTCCGACCATTCGCCATCACGACGGTGTCACCTATATCATCTGTACAAATATTATTCACAATTCCTCCAATATCGGGGATGAGTATAGTGAACAGTTCATCATTCACACCAAAAACATCCTTTCAGGGGAATGGTCCGATCCTATTATTTTCCCATTTCCAGGTATAGACCCCTCTTTACTATTTGACGACGACAGAGTATACGTACAACTCTGCAAGACAGGTCCGGATTTCGAGATTTTCAACCTGGAAATTGACATCGAAACTGGGAAAATACTTACAGAGCCAGCACTCATCTGGACTGGTTGGGCGAAGAAATATACCGAAGGGCCCCATATCTACAAGAAGGACGGCTGGTATTATCTTCTGTGTGCTGAAGGGGGCACCTTTCGTCACCATATGCTCAGTATAGCTCGGTCAAAGAGCGTTTGGGGCCCTTTCGAAAGTCATTCTAAGAACCCGCTGTACACTGCATATGGAACAACCCAATATGTCCAGAATACAGGTCATGGTGACTTATTCCAAGATCAACAAGGGCGATGGTGGGTGGTCATGATCGGAGTGCGATTATTAGAAGGACGGTCTATCATGGGCCGGGAGACATTCCTGGCCGCCGCCGAATGGGAAAGTAATGAATGGCCTGTTATCAAGGGTGTCGTGGCCTCTCGGGGGTCTCCGTCGGTCATCAATTCGAACTCTCTATACCTGTCACCTGAAGTTTCATGGGTGTACTTGAGAGATCCGAATCTAGAAGATTATCACATGTCCGATAACCGGATTAAGATCCGTGCTAGTCCTGCTGGGCTCGATGAGGTTCATCGAGCTGTCACTTTTGTTGGCCAGAGACAACGAAAGCTTGTTGGGATCGCAACCGTTATATTGGCGAATCCTCGTGCGACACGGCACGTTCGAGCAGGGTTGGCGCTCTATAAGGATGAGCATCGCTTCTTAAGCATCACCGCGGATTTCGAAGAGCAAAGTGTTATCTTTGAGGGAATGAACCGAGCACAATCATATCAAAAAAATCTCGTGCAAAAGACTTCATTGGACGAATACATAACATTAAAAATCATTTACACGGAGGAAACCCTCAGTTTCGTCTTCGAAGATGGTCAAGGAGGCTCAGAATGCATGCAGAAGGTCGATACAGCAGTAATGACAGACTTCGACTTTACCGGCCCGGTGATTGGGTTGTTTGCAACTGGTGAAGATGTTGAAGTCGAATTCTCGGATTTTGTCGTGGATGTTGAAGTCTCGAATGTTGAGTTGCCGTTATAGGGCGCCTTGATGGTTCTTTCCACGATCACCCAGGATATCACTGTACAGAAATCCCATTTACCATCGTCGCCCACGCCTGCCACCGCCGCCAAATCCACCACCTGGGCCACATCCCGGTCGGGGCCCACCGAAGCCCGACGCTCGCCCGTACCCGCCTCCCCAACCACCCCCGGGATGCCCTCCCCATCCGCCGCCGTATCCCATTCCACCTCCATAATGATGCCGAGGAGGTGGCCCCCATCCGCCGCCCATTCCCATCATCGGATGCCGGCGATGGCGAGGAAATGACATGCAAAGACCCATTATTCGATCACGTCCAAGAAATGACGCTGAGGTGGTTTGCGTATTTCGCCGTCGTGTAGTGTAGCGGGATATTCGAGAAAATTGGCCGAGACGGTGACTAGTTTAGTTACCTCTGAGATAGTAGATCATAGCAATGTCCAATAAGGGAGATTTGGGAGAACAAATTTTAGATCTTCTGCGCGATATCTCAATGATTTTGTACCATTCGGTACCAGTCCCCGATCTATACGTGCGCCGTGTCGTGTGCGTCATTCCGCAAGATCAGCTCTTCGTCCCACGGTTCGCCACCCAATCGCAACTTGGATCTAGGCAATCAATGACTAGTTTATACTTTTGTTTCATTCCATTTTTAGAGAAAGTATTGCGACGAATAACTGGAAGCTCTTCCGCCTCAGCACGTGGATACCCTTCAATAATGGTACTTGAAATCAAGGGCCCTGTCGCCTGTCCGAACACGCCGGGTATCTTCCCGATCGCTGCCTATAATCTCATCCTTGATCTTGTTTTCGCGCCTCAAGTAAAATCCTAGACAACTCACCGCCCCTTGGGCGATGACTAGTGAGCCAAGAGAAAATGCGTTCCCAAGTACATATGGCGATTTGCGATATATTTGGCCCGCGACAATACCTGCGCAGTTGCCCATCGTCTGTTGCAATCCGATCTCCAAAGCGCGTCGATAATGTGGAGCAATGTTCACGTTTAGCCAGGCCACATTGAGGCCAACACCAGTATATGTTGCAATGCCGATCAAGAATGTTGCGAAATATTGCACAGAGGTGTTCTTCACTGCAAGCAACAAAATGTAGCCGATAATACCGAATATGTTCGCGATGAAAATGAACTGAAGACTGTCAGTGTTGCGTACTTTCAAGCATACTTTCAAGCATATATACGTATTTTATCAACTTACCGATGCAAACTTTGAATAACGGTCTGAGCAGAAGGCCACCGTGATGAAAACAACCGCAGCCCAGATGTAGACGGGGACAGTCAACACATTGCTCATGAGAGAGTTATACCCCATTCCTTCCAAGATGGTCGGCAGGAAGGTGCTGAATCCATACAGAAGGATATCTTGGCAGAACTGAATAAGGCCCGACAAGAAAAGTTTCGGGTCCCCCAGAGCAATGCGCATTTCTTCCCAGCTGAATTCTCCGCTCCCCAGATACTTACGACGCTGCTCGTTGCGCACGCGCATCATCCATTTCTCTTCCTCGTTGAGGAAATAGGCTTCGGCTGGATTATTCGGCAGTCCAAACCAGATGAGAATGGCACAGACAGCACTGAAGAGACCTTCAATAATATAAACCCACCTAAGAATGAGTCAGTCAAAGTAAGGGAGAGACTCATCATTAGAGGAAACCTACCTCCAGCCCGCTTTGCCTCCGATCCCGTCCATATGCAAGAGTGCGTAGGCCAGTAGACCGCCAACGGCGCCCGAAATAGCCGCACAGCTCATCAAGTAAGATACTCGCTTCGCTTGTTCCTCTCGGCGGTAAACCATGGTCAAGTAGAGGTTCAGGCATGGAAACAAACCCGCTTCACAGGCCCCGAGAATTAGCCGCGTGGCATACAACGAACCCACTGACTCGATGAACCCCGTGAAAATAGTGGTCAGCGACCACACAATGCAAAGGCCCGTAAGGATATTTCGGGGAGTGAGTTTCTTCATGAGGACTGCCCACGGTGACTCGAATAACACATAAGTGACATAGAAGATGGACACGGCAGTGGAAAACTGGCTATCAGAGGCATTGATATCTTCCGGCATGTTGGCAACCTTCACATTTCCTGTGCTTCTATTAGCTAACGATTTCACATTCAGTTGACAGGATCTCTAGCTACGCATTTCGTACCGATGTTAGAGCGATCCAAAAAGCATGACAAATAGGTAAGCATGATGATAGGTACAAATGCCATATCCAGCTTGACGAGCAATTTTTGTTCCAGTCTCGGGTCCAACACCACATCAAGAGCTTCTCCAGCCAATGTTTCATGTGTCCCATCGTGATCTTGGTCTTTCTGAACCGACAATGTCGGTTCCAATTCGACCACCCCATCACGGTGACTGTCAGTGTCCATGATGACAGGTCGTTGTGCCTCAATGATAGGAATAGGTATATGAAGACGGATGGACAAACCAGGATGGAAAAGCCGTACTATATGGCTATAAGCAAAGCAAGGTTTCCGATTATCTCATACGATAACCTTGACGCCGCCCCGCCACAAGCCAAGAAGCTGCAAGATAGCAGAGGTGGAGGGAGGGGGTGAGGATCCCTTCCTATCTCTGGCCATCCAAACCACACGGATTGGCAGGGATGGGGCATCGGCCCGATGGGCTTCATGATAGAACGGGGCCACGAGAAATCTGATTGCTGGTTTACCACCTCGGACTCCTGACGCCTCCCGTCTATCACTGTGGATCTTTGCTAATTGAGGCAGGCCATTCTCTATCCCGCTCGTCGCCATTGGTGATTGGCCAACTTGTCATTCCGGTTGGCGCGGAGAAGCTCCGACTTCCCCAGACCATCGGCAAGTGGAACCCGATAGGATGAAATGAGTACTGTGGATCCATATTTGGAGATTAGACAAGGATATCCGAGGCTATCAGGCATCAGGTCGCTTGAATGAGCTTGGGGATCCAACCTATACTTCAGTTCATCGAAATATCTTTTCTTTGACGAACAGTACATCATGGGCAGCATTGTCGTCACAGCGCAAGAGGCACGATTGTTATGTCGCGCGAACCGATTGACCAACACAGCTGGAATCGCACCAGGATATCTGCAAGCTAATCTATTGGTATTACCAGCGCGATATGCGGTCGATTTCCATGATCTGTGCCTCCGGAATCCCGTTTCGTGTCCCTTGTTAGGCAAGACCATTATCCCAGGCGATGCCCGTTCTATCGAGCCCGCGGCCTGCATTCAGTCTGCCGATTTTGACATTCGAACCGATTTCCCGCGATATCGAGTATATCAAGGTGGGAAGTATTTGGAGACTCGTCAAGATCTGCTTGATGTATGGAAGTCCAGCCATGTGGGATTCTTGATAGGATGCTCGTTCTCGTTCGAAGATGCACTCACGGCCGCTGGTTTACAACCCCGACACCAGCAGACCAACACCATTGTCGCAATGTATCGATCGAATATTCCTCTATTGCCAGCGGGAATTTTCACTGGGGCCAATTGCATTGTCTCAATGCGTCCATATCAACTAGACCAGATCGACCGTGTACGAGAAGTCACACGTCCGTATCTTTCCACCCACGGCGAGCCCGTGGCTTGGGGCTGGGATGGAGCCAAGCAGCTGGGAATTGTCAACATTGACACGCCCGACTTTGGAGATCCACAGGTGTTCAAGGAAGGGGAGGTTCCCGTATTTTGGGTAGGTTCCATCTAGATCATATTTTCGGTATCAGAGCGCCAGCCATTCGGTAATTCTCACTAGAAATCTCTGTAGGCATGCGGTGTGACTCCGCAAATGGCGGTTGAGGCAGCCGGTCATCAAATAGACGGACTTGTCTTTGCTCATGAGCCAGGGCATATGCTAGTCACTGACTGGACCTCTGCCGATTTATCAAAGCTACGACCAGGGAGCTTCTGAGGGGAGGTGGGCCATTTGAGATTTGGGTCATAGTACATTCATTCCATATAAGAGGTCCTGAAGGTCATTTGTTACTCATTGAAAACGGACAAGAAATCGTCTTACTGCCTCAGACAACAATATCTCATAGACGCCAGTGGAAGGCACCATAGCCAATGCATGATCGTTCATTATTTAGGGCCAAGAACGGACGAGCCGCACCTCCTAGAATCTATTATCTAGCATCTAGCGTCTTGTGCCTAAAAACAATCTTTCATCACACTCGACAGCTCTGCGCCATAGTCAAACATGAACGAACCATTGGGCATCTGTTGCCATGAGGCATCCTCGGGTACTGGACCTGTTCCAACTCCCATAATTTGATCCTCAAGGTTACCAACCGCTTCAAACCACTCCATCAGTTCCTGTGTCATCTGAGCTCCATCCAGAGGGGTCTGGCTATTTGTACTCGACCCTGGACCTTGAATGGGAGATTCATGGACCTGGGAGGAGTCTTGCTGGCCAGTCTCAGCACCACTTGAATTAGGTGGTTTGCCTTTCTGTACCCCTAGCCCGAGCTGTGGGCCCAGCTTGCGAAGGCTACGGATAGATTTCCAGAGCCGCCTCGAAATGTATGATTTGGTTGAAAATCCCTTCACCAGCTCCAGAGCCCAGTAGAACTCTTCTTTGCAAGACCCACTAAATTGGGTCGGAGCTTGTGAGACGGCCAGAAATAGAACAGCCAGAGCAGATACCAGGAACCAGTTAAATGCGACCTGCTGTAACTGGTAGATGTCCGATGTTTCGTTGAGCTGAGTGATGAATCGAATAGTATCTTTCGCGATAGTCACAACAACCTCTGACTCATCCGGAGAGCGCATAATATGACCAGCTGTGTGCAGGACTGGACGGTGAATAAGCATACGTAGCTGATTAGCTCGTAGATACAACAATGCCCGAAGACGTTGTAGACTTCGAGGATCTTCGGGGGCTCCATTGGAACCGGAGGCGTTGAGCTGGTTGAGGCGCAACTCGTCAGGAATATCGTCTACCCAGCGTAAGACTTGCCAGTCCAAATAATTCATCTCGTCTTTCTTGATCTCGTTTGTATTATTGAACGCCGAAATGAATTTCCAGACTTTGGCCGCAATCCGACTGTACCGGATCATGACGCGCAAGTACGGGGTCTTTTCTTCGGGCTCTGGAAGCCAAGGGTCGATGTCTGTGTCCTCTAGTGAGAATGGCATTCCTGTGCCAAAGCTCCAACGCATGTCAAGGATATAGATCGACCAAAAGAGTCGTAATACACGATCTCTCCCGGCACTGATTATCGCAGGCTGATTGAGGGTTTCTCGTCGGTGAAGGCCCTTTTCGAGGCACATGCGTTCTACAATGCCAATGGTTCGCCAAGCCAGGGTTTCTTCATCCATCTGAAAGTAGAATATGGACTATTGCCCAGTCAGCTTGATCAAATCGGTTTTTGGTTTGTCGTGGCTACTTACAACAAGAGTCAGAAAGATGATGTTTTTGATCTCGGGTGGGCCCCAAACACAATTATCCTGGACTTCCCGCACACTGTCAAACAGCGCAATAGCCTTTTCGCTACGTCCGCTCGCCTCGGCTGTCAAGGCGCATGCGAACACCAACCTGAGAATATAGATATCGTCCTTGTCCACCTGGCCGTTAGGTTTTATGCCCGGCTCAACAGCGCTATGCATCAACCCATACAGCGAATCCACCTGCTCTAGAAGCTGAGGCAGCTCCAATACCGGGTACATAATGCCCATCTCCTCTTCATAGACCTTACACAGTCGCACCGCTTCGCTTTTCGGGAGGGACCATAGGGGGTCAACCGCTTGACGAAGGTCGAATTCACGGTCTGGCGCGGATGGAGAGGCCAAGGGCGACGGCTCCTGAGTTAAATCGCCCTCGGCGTCATCGCTGGGATCAGTTCGCTCTACAATTCCTCGTCTCTGTAGACTGGATTTTGCCAAGTCAAAACTGAAAGCAGAGGTTGTCGGGCCCTGGAATGGATTTTTCGTGAACGTAGACACCCGTCGGAGCGGACGTTGTGCTGGAATGAGTCCGTAGGAGCCTGTTACGGGACCGGTGACACTTGAGCGAGCCCTGCCAACCCCGATGGGTGAGGTTTCATTGTGCGCCATCGACCGGACCGTAGCCGACAGCGAGGCGATCTGGTCTTGCATCGATTTCATTTGGTCAAAAAGTCGCTCGAAATTCCTAGAAATATTGTTTTCATCAGTGAATGATCCAAGGATTCCAGGTTGTGAAACAGCGTACTCCGCCTCGCTCATGTTGAGAGGCCGAGGGTTTTCGACGTAAATGCACTCGACACGCAGCCGGCCACATCGCTGGCAAGGCGTTTCCCCATTGCACTTGATTTTTCGACGCTTGCATTCATTGCTACCAAGTGAAATGTCAATAAAAAGCGATTCTGAATCATGAGTTGGGAGACCGGGTAAGGTACCAAGCTAGCGCGATGTACTTGCGGCGTTTCTTCTGTGGTCGCTCTTCCAGCGACTGTTCTGCAGACGGCGGCTCCTCCCAGCCCTGAGGTATCGGTGGCTGCAAGTTTTCCATATCCAATAACTCAATGAGGGATTAGTGCCGGCTGAGTTATTGGATGGCAAGCCGGAAGGACACCAGGGGGTACGAGAGTGGAAAGGAGGAAGAGGAACGGGTGCGGGGGATTCCGCAGCCCCAGAAAGACCCCAGACTTGGCACGATCGCGGCGCTTGGTTCTTCACGCGGTGTCGAATGGAAACCGCAACGTTGGTCATGGAGGACTCCACCGAGCCTTTTACGTTTTACTGGCGAGTCATTACTGGTTTCTTTCATCACTTTGAAGGGATCATGTAAGTGTGGAATATCTCATTCAAAATCTCATGCGTCAAGGCAGCCAGGATCATTTCGACCTCCCCGATTTCCAGTGAATTTTACAAATGCCCTATGTGCCAATTTGTTTTCGACGGGCTATGATACTTCTTCTAATCCCCAAAATTGTGATATACAATTCCAATAGGCTCTCACCTAAAAGTCCAACAAAAAGCAATAGAATGCAGAAAGTCGTCAAATTGCAATCATAACCAGATGATCACAGATCCTTTGTTCGCTCATCGCTCTCGGAAATCCACTGCTCAAGCTTCTTGGCATCTCGTGGAATGAAACTAACCTTGAATGGCTTTGGCTCAGTTGTCAAGGCAGTGGGGATAGCATTGCACTCGATCGCATTCAAAACGGCACGGTCGCTTGATTGCTTAGGCGGGTGCATCTCGAATGCCGTGATCAGGCGAATGAAAGCCGTGTAAAGTTCACGGTTCGCCAGGTGGGAGCCAGCACACATGCGCGACCCAGCGCCATATCCATAATGAGGGGTGCCAGAACCATCACCGAGCTCAAGGTAGCGCTCCGGGATGAACTTGTCCGCTTGTTTAAAGTGGTCCTCGTCGTAGTCGGCGGCCCATGCATTCTGTTGACGTCAGGAATCACATACAGGGACTGTTATAGCACCGAGGACGTTGAAAGCTTACCATAAAGAAAGTTGTGCCAGCGGGAATTGTGGTTCCATTCCACACGATGTCTTTGGTGCTCTCTCGGGGAAGGCAGATGGGGATAACGGTCCAGAACCGTAAAGTCTCCTTGACCAAGGCAGTCACGTAGGGAACCTTTTCTTCCACCAGACACTTTTCCCAGGCATCCCCGTTAGGGTAAACTTGCATGATTTCCTCGTAGGCCTTCTTCTGAATCCGGATGCCATCCTCGGATGCCAAGTACGCAATACCCATGATCAAATTACCAGGAACAGTATCCAGGCCAGCCGACACCATGGTCAGACAGATCGATTTGACCTCCGCTTTGAATGGTCAGCCCGCTATTGTCTATTGTTTTTCTAGGTAGTTTTGATGGGATAAACAAACCGTCATTCAACTTGGCTTCAGGATCCTTGATAATGTTACCCGTGATGCATGGCTTGTCAGTGCCTTTCGCGATGCGGTCCTTAAGCATGTCAAGAAGGAAAGTGAGGTATTTATCGCGACGAGCTCGGAATTCCTCCGCTTCGTTGTTCATCTTGGGGAAAATGCGCAGCAATGGGATATAGTCTTGCCAATTGTTCGAGGTGCTGCGGAAATTGGACACGCCACGCTCCACATCGACGATCTCTTTCAATAGCTGGTCATCCACATTTCCTTCAATACGGAAACCATAGTTCAGAGTCAAACTAGTATTGAGGGCAAAGCGTTGGAAGTATGCGGTGGGGTTGATGTCAATCGTGCCGTTCTTGCTATCGCGATACAACTCCTTAATGCTGGAGTTGGCTTCGAGGTCAATAATAGGCATGTATGACTGCACGGCAGGACGGTTGAGTGCGGTCGCAGCCGCCTTGCGACGGCGTTTGCAGGATTCATCCCAAGGGGATGTGCCGATAGTGAAACCCTGGGAGCTCGAAACGACACTGTGGAAGGTGTGGAAAGTCGGCCGCGAGATAAGAGCCGACTGATCCTTGATCCACAGCTGCCGCACCGAGTCGAAGCTATTGGCAAATACAATTCGCTACGCATTTGATACATTAATCAGCTCAGTTTTGAGGTCGTGGTCTCTCTGTGTTCGAGGTACGTACCTTGTTTCCCATGCGCACCTGGAACACTGGCCCGAACTTCTTAGCCCATTTCCCAGCTACTGTAGCATGTTGGTCGCCCAGTTGTAGAAGATTGCCGAACAGAGGAACACCAGGGATCTCAGGCAGCCCTTTGATCTTAGGCACGTCGGTGCGGTTCAAATAGCGGATGATCAAGTATACGACCGTAACGACGGCGATAGCAAGCGTTTGGAGCGTCATGGTGGCCTGTTGCTGGACTCTGCGCGGTTTTCGTCACAAATGAGGGGCACGCAGCCTCATTTATCGCGCAAGCTGGACGGCTCTATTTCCGGCTGGCTCTGCAAGTCTGGCTATCGCCGGGGATGGCAAGATCCACTCGTCCCTCCACTCAAACCCACTTCCCCATCCTCTTGTACAAAGTCGACCATTCAGCGGCGTTGCAAAATCATCGGTCGGCGGCATAGGTCTCCACTCTGGTGCGGAATGAGCGTTCCGTCCCCGGTTGTAAATGGACCTCGGAGAGCATCGAGGTTGCACGATGATATGCGCAGAACCCCGTCAGGAAACCACTCTGACCGGCTAGTTGCCACTTATGCCGGTTCTTGTGCTTTCTGCCTGTCGGAAAAATGAAGCCCGTTGTATGGTCGCTTCCTCTGGGGGGATCGCGGAATCAACGACCTGCCGTCCCGTATGTGTAGAGGAAGGCTTTGCAATACAATGCAATCTATGTGCGTCAGGTATTCATGCCAGAGAAGATCGGATCTGAAAATAAAGGGCCACGTAACTAGGTAGTCGAAATTAGCTAGAAAAGAAGAAAAGAAAAGAAGAAATATTGTCAACTTATGAGGTATACTATATACAAATGCCAAGACGCCCGTGCAAAGGAGAGGCCAAAATCCCAGCGGTACAACTATGGCCCAAATTGATGGCCCCAAGATGTACAAGCAAAAGACAAAACCTCTTTCCGTCCAGTATAATACATTCGACCAAATACAATCACGCCCCTAGTGGACTGGCGCTCACGTGGCTCGCCCGGCGACTGGCACCGCGTAGACGATCGGCCTCTAGAGTCTGGGCAAACTTGCTACTGGCACGAATCTGAGGGCCATTCCAGTAAAAGATGTAAATAGGGATGGTGACAAAGATAGCAAGACATGCCAGGATGGTACTCGCCCACTGCAAGTGGAACTTGCCTCCAATGTTGCTATACATTGGAGTCGCGTACATCGCGGAGAGCCCAGCTAGGAAGTCGCGTGCGAAGCCATTTCCGCCCGTTGCAGAAGCTGAGTAAGGCCCATAGGCAGCGACCATATAGTCAATGGTTGCCATGTAAATACCGTAGTTGGCAATGGCAATCAAGAAGACGAATACCAAGGGAACGATCCAATGAGTATACTCGGGACCCATGGAGGTCCATGCAAACCCAAAGAGACCGATGGTTTCGAGGGGTGCGATAAATAATAGGAGCAGCAGCCGGCGCTCTGCGATACGCGCGGCGTTTCCTTGCTTCTGTCGAATACGACGCTGTCGCGTAATGTCGGGAAGAAAGACGGCGTAGGCGACCAAGTAGCCTACGACGATGGCAATGAAACAAAGGCCAATCTTGAGAGCGTTGAACCCCCACTGCTTAAAGACCAAAGTAAAGGACTCGATGCAGGTGAAGATCAGGGCGTCGGAAAAACCAGACAGCAGTGACAAAAAGAGCACAATTGGTTCTCGCAGGAACATCTCAAACGGTCGACGCCAAACCGCCAGGATCTCCTTTCCGCTCAACCGAGGCTTTTTGAGCTCGTTTGGTCCGTAGACGTTCGGATCCTCACCGGTCTTCCGACGTCGCTTCGCCTCCCGATCGATCAGGATCGTTGCTCGAGTCTCGGAGACTAAAAAGAAATGGGCGAGCTGGGTCACGCCTCCAAAAATCAACTGGATCCAAAAGTTCCAGCGCCAATCCAGCCACTGCTGAATCATACCGCCAAAGATCGGCCCAATGGTCGTTCCCCCGACGGAAGATAGGACCACATAGGCGACTGCAAAGCCCTGGTCATCCGGCTCCCACATATCAGCGGTCATTCCGAGAGTGACTGAGCCACCGGCCGAGCTCAAGCCACCCAGAGCCCGACAGACAACGATTGTGCCAAAATTCGGAGCAAGTGCACAGGGAATTTGCCAAACATTGACACAGAACAGACTGAGCTGCATGATAGGCCACCGGCCGAATTCTTCGCTCCACGGTGCCCAGAGCTCACAGCCAAAGGCGTACGTGACAAGGAAAATCATCTGGCCCACCCGCGCGGCTTGCTCGCTGATATGAAAGTGCTCTGATAGCGGTGTGACGGCATTAGGATAGACGCTGCTGTTAAAGTTCATCGACATCTGGACTGTGAAGATGACTGTAATAATAGTCCATCGCTTGTACCATGGGAAGCTGAAGCCGAGTTTGTCATAACAGTCGGCTTCGGTCAATTCTCGCTTTCCATCCGACCGGACCTTCTCAGACGGTGATGACACTCCACTTTCCTTGTCGACCTCTGCTGCATCCTCAGCATGGATCTCTGCAGGGAGACGATTTGGGCTCAGAGCAGGGTTATTTCTAGAAGGAAACTTCTCATCTTTGAAAGAAGAGTCGGCCTTTTCAAAAGCCATTATGGTCGACAGCTCTGGTCTGGGATTTGCTAATATGAGCTCCCGGAATTGCCTAAGAAGAACGAAGGAAGGAAGGATGCAGAAGGCTCGACAGTATTTTGGAGAAATATGGTAGAGATATGCTTCACAAGAATCCGGGGGAGAGTGGGGAGGACCCGCTCATCTGGATTTATCAAAGATAACACTTTGCATGAGATAAAACGGCACGGGAAATCAACGGGGCCATAGAATAATGTGAAGATTCTTCGATTCGGACTTGATGTAGGGAAGCTGATAGGGTTTATATCTGTTGTCATCATCCCATCTTGTCGCATTGGTTTCTCCGCTCGACGTAATCGCGGCGGTTGGTTCGCATCCTTCGGAGACGGGGAATTGACTCATGTGAAACTGACAGGGTCTGGGGATTCTATAGATCGCAATTCCACTACGACCACCTCCCCGGAAGCAATGCCCCCCCCCCCCCCCCCCCCGTAACTCCATCCTGGCATGCTCTTTTTCATATGCTGTGCCCATTCCATCTTGCATCTGATATTTCCGAGCTCATTTCTTGCAGTCTTTTCTACTGGCATCATATGGCTGAAAACGAATAGTTCTGTACGCCAAGTGTCCCCACTCCCGACATCATTCTAGATGCAATGGGCTATTTGGATTGGTACGGGCATCAAGCATGGCCCAATCTGGGGAGCAGAGCGCGCCTATCGGTTGTCCCAAAACGGACATGCCGGCGGCTGCCAGCCGAATCGGTTCATTCAAGCTTGTCGTGACCTCGAGGTGATGTCAGTCCCCTGTTGTTGTAAGCAACCGCTGGGTCTGAAAACCGGTTGCTCAGTCTTGATACATCTGCAGTAGGAGGACGATCTCAGAGTTTCCCCGACTGATTATCTTGCCCGCGAATTGGATGGTCTATAGCAGGCCCCATCGCTCATCATCTATGGTTGCCAGTCCGGCCACTATCCCTGCGGTTCGACCTCTTGCTGCGCCAAATCCTAGACCTATAGCCCTATTCAGGCTTCTGCGTGTCGATCCCCGTCAAGTCCCTGTCTTGGAAGTGCACATCGTGTACATTGACTGCCATTCCAGTTGGAAAGCAGTCCAGCGGCCCGGAAGTGACGTCATTGCTTTGGGTTCGTTTGGTTTCCAGGCTGGTAAAAATAATAATAATAATAAAAGTAGAGAACAGATACAAGACGGAAGTACCCGTAATCCATTTGCTAACAATGGTGGTCTCGCCGCCTCCTTCAGCCCTTAAATACAATATACGCCCAGGTTAGTGACGCCTCATGGCACGCTTCAGCTTTTGCCGAATCCCAAATTTGGGTTCATCTGGCAATGCCATGCTGTCGGACGCTGGATAGCCCATCGACCGATTGATCTCTTCGGCGCTGACTTCTTGATCCTCCGCCACTCCGCACCGGCGCTTCCAGTTCCGCTCTGTGTTAGTCACATATCCCCTCCGGGCCCCGCCCCCAAAAAACGCCTGCGCTTCTCCTGGAGTGCGCACCCGCAGGATATCATAAGTACTCGCCTGGGTCATGGCGGCATCGCGTTCGCGAGTCATCTGCCCTTCGACAACATGTAGATTGATTGATAAGCGGCGAAATCGATTTCCCCACATACCTTCCTCCGCGGGAGTGACGAAGATGGTGATTCGACTGGGCGCGACGGGGTAGGCGAGGAGGTAGGCCAGGGCATCAGCGTCAATGCCAGTTGGGATAGGACCAATCACGAAATCATGCCCTTTTTCCGCTGCTTCACGGATGCGATGTGCGTAGTGAGTATGGAAGTAGACTTCGTTGGGACCACTGTCAATGGGACCGGAGATGAAGGCGATGTTGGCCTCGCGTGATGAGGACATTTGGACATCCGGCTGGGCGTCCGACGCTGCCATTTTCGTGGGTGCGCTCCAATTGCAGAGTGCAACGTTCAAGATATCATCTAATGTCCAATGTCCATAAGGGGTCCGTCAGGTGCACCCTGAGTTGTCTGTTGTTTCCGCCGAACGCGACTGTGGAGTCGTGCTGCGCCCCCCGTTCTTTTCCCTCTCGATCGAGGGCGATGTGTTACCTCATGCAGCCATGCGGCTGAATGCAATGTCAAGCATTCAGTTCTAGTACTTGCTTAATCGGACTCTTTGATCCTGAAAAGGTAGAAACCTATAAGTGCTCCTATCAATCGATCAAAATAGTTAATTGTACCTTGGTTAACTTTTGGTTGGTCCAACTACGGTGCCTGTCGGCCTATTATTTCAGGTGTCATTCCAAGCCAAGCGCCGGCGCGTTCACGTTGCCGCCATTCACTCATTGTATTAGTTCAGTCATTAAGCCATCTCCGAAATATCAATTTCAAAACAGTCTTTCCTTGCACCCCTCTGCCATCTAATATCAGGTTCATGGCGTCACATCCACTGCCATTAACTTCCCCTCCTGGTTCCCCACGGCTGCTGCCCCGTCGGCCCAGCCTGGAGCCAGAACGGGAGATTCTCTCGACCAGAGGCCAACGCATCTTGTCTCTCCTGCCCAGCCGCGCCTCCAGTGTGGCCTTGTGCGATGAAGAGACGAATCTAGAGCCTCCGACATTTCTGCGCCGTGGTTCTCTGTTAATTGGACAAAGTAATCCCCGATATGAATGGTGCGTATCATATTCATCATCTGAAGCCTAGAAAAGAGAGTAGCGCCAGCAGAGCCTGGGTATCAACAACGGAAAAGAAACTATAACGAGATCCCTAGTTCAAAAGACTAACTGGAGAAATAGGCAGCGCTACTATCGGTCTCCCGAGTCATTGAAAGGTCTGCGCAAGCCGATGTACGTCAGCCATTCTGCTTCTCGTCGTCTGGTCCGTTGCTGGTTCTAACCCGCAATAGCCGACAATACTACGAACGGACCAATGAAATGATCTCCCAGTATCTGTATATTGACCGATTGCTGGACTCATCACTGCCACATAATTTAATCGAAGACTACGCCGACTGCCATCACTTCGACGTGTACGCCGCCCATCATCATCATCATCATCATCATCACCACGATGACCAAGATGATCAAGATGACTATACTCCTAGCGAGACTGCACCTGTAAACACCAAAGCGGGCCGGATCAAGCGTACTCCGCACAATCTGTACCGAATCCCAGATGAAACAGCACCTCTGCTCTCACCCGTGGCCGAGAACCACTGCCATCACCATGCCCTCCCGGACGTCGAGTCCCACGGAGGCCTGTCCCCGGAAACGGAGGAGCGCCTCGTCAATTGGGCCATCCGGATCAACTTCGCAGCCAACGTGATCCTCCTCGGATCTAAGGTCGCCATCATCGTCATGACAAGCTCCATGTCGATGCTGGCGGGTCTGGTGGACGGTGTTTTAGACTTCCTCAGCACAGTGATCATCTGGGTCACGACCACCTTGATCCGCCGCCAGGACCGCAGCCGCTATCCAATCAGTCGGCGCCGACTCGAGCCACTGAGCGTCCTAGTCTTCTCCGTGATCATGGTCACGTCCTTCTTCCAGGTCGGGCTATCGTCTTTTAACCAGCTGATAGGGGACGATCATACCGTTGTTGAGCTGTCAGTGCCGTCGATCGCACTGATGGCCGGGACGGTCATTCTCAAACTTCTGTGCTGGATCTGGTGCCGCCTTATTCCGAGCCCGAGTGTACAACTCCTCGCTCAAGATGCGATGACCGACGTCGTGTTCAACATATTTAGCATAATCTTCCCACTGGGTATGTACATATTGCCCCTGCATCCTGAATCTGGTTTCACGATCCACTAATGCTACCGTATTCCAGTTGGTGGATTCGCACACTTGTGGTTCTTGGATCCCCTTGGAGGCCTCTGTCTGTCCATCTACATCATGTGGAACTGGGGCCAGACTGCAAGCGAGTACATCTGGCGTCTAACCGGTGCAGCCGCTTCGCCCACCGACCATAACATCCTTCTTTACATGACAATGCGCTTCTCCAGAGTGATTCAGAAGATCCAGGACCTCAAGGCGTACTACGCCGGGGATAAGCTCAATGTTGAGGTCGATCTGGTGGTGGACGAACAGACCAGTTTGCGTGACAGTCACGACGTCGGGGAGAGTCTGCAGTACATCCTTGAGAGCGTGCCCACCGTCGACCGTGCTTTTGTCCATCTAGACTATGACCCGTGGAATCTTCCGAGCCACATGAATCAGATGGACCGCTAGATCATTCAACAGCAGGTCTCGTGTGCACGGATGATACTACATCACACTGCATTCTCGGTGCTTTTGGTCATTCGTACAATCTTGTTCCTGCGCTCTTCAAATCAGGTGGACCAGCTGCTTTGAAGTCGGTCACTGCATTGCACTCGTTTCACGTCACAAATTGATATTTATAGACTACTATCTAGAGGAGCGTTTAGAGAATGATATGAAGATAAAGGGAGGCAATGTGAATGAAGCATTCTTGTCGGCGACAAGTGACGCTGTATGTTCCTAGACTTGATCACTTGTAGTTCGCACACTTCATTACTATCAATATCAACAGACCACTGGCAAAAAATCTAGCTTATCACATTTGAAAATAGCTAGTTTCCTCTTGATCGTATTTCGGGGCTGGTCGCAATTTGGCCTTTCGATACGACCTATTTACCAGTGGGAAATTATCTCAGAAGTGAAGACTTTAGATCAAAGACAGCAGGGCTTGCCTCAACAGAACACATATTGATCTAACAGTTATCACGGATAGAAGGCTAATATAAAATATGGCATACATCAATTCATTCATCTAATTGTACAGATAAAACAATCAAACAAGAGTCCAAAATAGCCCTGAGGCGAGATCTTGGACAAAAGGTGATCACAACACAAAGCCGCACATCCGTATGTACATTCAACCAAACAAGATGCTTTGTCAAATCAGGCCATCACTGGCAGATTCACCCGTTCAATTTCTCATTACCGTGGCTGTGGTGGATGTAATGGGCCCGGCAGGCCCCCTTGAGCGGAGCCTTGGCTGTAGACACGGTGATGAGTTGGCGTGGAGGAAGGTTCGCCGAGTGCACCCGGCCCAGTGGGTCGCTGGTGAAGCGGTGGCATCGCTCCAGCAGACGGCGGAGGTGGTGCGTAGCCCATGGCACCAGGATGGAGTGCAGATGGCGGGGTGTACGAGCGGCCCATGGGTGCTAATGACGGCATTGACCGACTAGCCTGTGCTTGGGGCGGCGGAGTGCTGTGTCCGTATTGTGGGCCACCAGCCAAGTTCACGGGAGTAGAACGGTGGGACTGGTGGGCACCATTGACCAGAGTCTGAACATGTTGCTGGTAACTCTGGCTATGAGGTTGGGCTGAGGATGGCGTAGATGGTGTAGCAGGGGAGTATGAAGACTGCGTGCCTGGCTGACGAGGGGGGATTCCGAAGATATTGGTCGAGGACTGAGCCGGTGCGGGTTGTTCTTGCCGTGAAGCGTAAGCAGTGCTACCAACTCGTGGTGGAGGTGACACAGGCCGATACACAGGTGGTTGTGATGGCATATCACGAGAACTCGTTGCCGCAGCCTGCTGGGTAGGGGCCGCCTGCGAAAAGACATTGGGGTAGGCTGGTCTCTGAGAAGCAGCTGGTGGCGGAGTCGGAGCGGGGGATGGCACAGGAAGGCCGTTCAGCGCTCCAGCAGGCTGTGGCGGGGCAGGTACATAGTGCGAGTAGGATCCTTGGGCACTCAATGCCGTACGTGCATTCTGAGGTGGCTGTGGTTGTGATGGGGCCGGTGGGCCTGCTTGTTGGGCTCGAGGGTCAAAACGGGCCATCCAATCATTGTTGGCAGAAGGGCCAGAGCCACTTGGGGGAGGTCCATAAGCACCATAGTCAGCGTAACCACGTGCCGGTGCTTGATATGAGCCCGGCTGGCCATAACTGGATGGTTTCGGCGTGGCACCAGATATAAGCGAATCTTCTGGGCGAGTTGGGCCGCCAGGTTGGTAAACGGACCTTGAAGCGGCTGAACTGGAAGATGATCCGAGGGGTGCTTCACTGGCGAATCGCTTTCGTGGCTGGGGCTCCTCCGGCTCATCGTTTAAGATGCTCATGATATTGGATCGTTTGGCAGGGACATGACGAGATTCAGGAGCCGGAGTCGCGCTGGGGCGGGGTACATCTTTCACTGGTGACAAAACCGGACGAGGTGATTGAGACATTCCAGCTGGCTGGCTAGAAAGAGGATAGTATTGTCTCTGCGCGAAGGGATCTCGGTGGACAGAGGAAACCTCAAGCTCGGGTCGCGAGAGCTGCGTGGGTGAACCTGGGGCCTGTGTGAGGCTTGGATGGCGGGAATGAGAGGGCGGTAAATTCGGAGGAGGTGGTTGTCCAGCCATATAAGGCTGAGCGGAGAGAGGATCCATTCGAGCTAAGTCCGGAGGCATGCCAGCTGCCCCGGAATGGCGCGAAGGCATTTGCATCTCTTGTACACGTGCGCCAGAGTGTGTCAGCACCAATGAATCGCGGCGCTCGTCCGTAAAATACCCTAAACGAGGACCAGAGATCCGCCCAGGTTGTCCCCGCATCGCCCTGGAAGCTTCGTCCCCCAGAGGGGCAGCCACCGGAGGTACCGATGCGGCAGTGGAAGCTTGCGCCAAAGGCGGGTAGCGATTAGAGGCACGCTCGTTCTCAGATAGCGGCCTCCCTTGAAGTGGCACAGGCTGAGGTGACATAGCAAGAGCCTTGCCCTTGGCGGAGTACCGCCCTTCGTCTCCATCAGATATCATTTCGCCATGAGGAGCCAGAGGCCGAGGGACAATGGCAGATGGAGTCGCTTCATAGCGTCGCTTTGGGGCAACGCTAGGAACAGGAAGAGCGCCAGTGGGCTCACCGCGAGATTTCTTATCTTCGGCGATCAGCACAATCTCCTCAAAGTCCTTGTGGCCCGAGTCAAGACGTCGCTGGTAGTAATTTTTGACCTGTTTGCCGGCCACGTTAGCGTCTGGTTCTAGTAGTCAATGAGCAAAAGCAGAATCCTCACCATTACTGTCGTCTTCGTTTTCATGAAATTGGAGATGCCTTCAAAGTCGCGACCAAAATGTGCCAACAGACGGGGAAAATCGCGTTGCTCAGGTACCGACCAATAGCTTGTCGGCTGTAGAGACCCATACCCAGTCTCAGACTGCTTAAGAGCTATGGCGGGCTCGGCTTCCGTAGATTCGAAGACATACATGCCCTCCTTCGCCCTTCCGCCACGCCCCGCTCGCGGACGCGGGATGGGCGGGGCCGGCTGGACTTCTTTTTCCACAACTATTTCTCGCTCTTGGGGCAGAAGACCGGCTTCTACCAACCCATCCACACCAATATCCATGTTTGGAGGGAGGGCAGCAAGAGGTGGATTAATCGGCGGCGGCGGTGGGGCTTGGACTTTGGGATCTTGTTGAGCGGCGGGTTTGGCGCGTCGTTGGGCGCGGGGACCTGCAGTGCGTCCACCCCGTCGAGCAGGAGCCTTGTCGGTGGGCTCACCGTCCTTAGCGGTCTGTCCACGGCGACCTGCGGCAGCACCCTCGGCCTCATTTGACTCGCCGCCAAAAGTGGGGGCTGCTGCCCGTCGTGGGCGACCTGTGTCCGTAACAGCAGGCGGCTCTTCCTCGCCATCGAAGTCTGGCTTGACCACACCCAAGTCTGCAATAAGGGCATTTGATTTGGGTCGGGTAGACCGTGGTTTTCCTCGGCCTCGGCGACTCCATCGTTTGTTGAGCTTCGCCTTGTATTTGATCTCTTCCTTGGTAAGATAATAGTGAATGATACACTGCTGGAAATCCCGTCCAGGCAAAGCTTCCGCAATCTTGCCCCATTTCTTCGGGTGGGCCATGAAAGCGTCCGTAAAGATAACATGTTCCTCCTTAGTAAAGTCATTGGGCGGTGGCAGAAAGCCGAAGACCTCCATAGCCTGGCTGGGATCAATCGTGTTGTTCACATCCTTGTAAATGTGAGCTTTCTCCTCTCGGAGCTCCAGCATGTCCGGAATAATTGCTTCCCGAGCAAGATCGGGCCGGGCAGTTGCCATTTTCGTGCGCCGACGTTCGAGCTCCTCTTGGGCAGAAATTTCGGATGCCTTCAACGCATTCAAGAAGTCGAGTTCGCTATTTCCTTTATATCGCCTCCCTTCACGTCCCTCGGGGATCGATGCTGGGGTAGCAGGAGGTGGGGGGGCCGGGGGCGAGGCAGGGCCTGGTGTCATGGGCTTCTTCTCTTTGGAACGATCTAGTTCCCACACAGCCAACCGCCAGGGCTTATAGTATGACATGTATTCTTCCTTGAGAGCTGCATTTTTCCTAGAGACCTCCTTCTGTCTCCTTGAAAGTTCATCACGAAACACATCCTTGCGGCGTTTCTGTATAGAATCGTTTTCATGACACACTTCCATATCAGAGATAGGGGTAGGTGGGCCGGATTGCAGGAAGGGTAACCCATCCACTGTAATGTCATCACGCGGAACAATAGGCGGAACAACAGTGAGGGGAATTGGCTCCGATTTGCGGTCAAGCACTGTTGGAGCAAATGAAACAGTACGCTCATTGTTTGTGGGAGGAGAAGCATCTGCCTCTTCCACAGAAGGGAAAGGTATGGATTCTTGTTCGGCAACCTCGTCTTCATGAGCGATCTTGCCAAGCATTTGAATTCTTAGCAAAAGTGAAACAATATTGGGGTCTTCCAAAGGCGACGGCGGCATCTCAGATCGAAGGGCTTGCATATCCTTTTCAAAAATCCGTTTTCGTTCCTCCAGATACTCTTGGTTGAAAACCACATTCTCTTCATCTTCTTCATCACTTGATCCAGTGAAATCAGGGATCGGGGCAGAGGTGTCATTGTCAGTTTTCTGAGTCTTCGATTCCTCGGGTCCTGCTTCATGCTCGGCCTCCACGGAAGGCACTGGTGGTGGGCTGCTGCGAATAGCAAGCTTCATGGATGTGGCAGTACTAGGAGAAATGGCTTTGATATTCTCAGCTGATACATTATCGGTGCTCTCCAGCTCATCCGGCAAAGTTGGAGATCCAGGTTGGACATCATGAGGCGGTCGGTCATTCGAAGGAAGGTTGTCAGCAAGATCATCGGGCTCTCTCTTAGGCGGCACACTCGATATTGATGGTGCGCGTCCGAAGCTGGAGCGTGACCATGGGCGGATTCCTTTATTTGCAACTCCACGCGGTGATGAACTGAGGCGTTGCTGGTATGCGCGAGGTCCAGTCGGGATGGTCGACGATTGCATTCGCGGAGAGATGGACGGATCTCGGGAGAGTGCTCGAGGGGCTGGCGGAGGGAGTCGTGCAAAGGTAGGTGACGTGGTCACCGAAGTGGGTTTCGCTGAAATCGGCGCATCCGCGACTCCAGAAACTGAATCTTGTTTCGTCATCGCAGCTGGCGCCGTAGGCGCGGATCGGTCAGAGAGATGCACGGAGGGCCTTGCAGTAGGGGCCGGCTCTTCTGGCGGTTGACTAGCATCTGAGGCATGGCCACGGGAGTCGGTGGGTTGCAGTGACTGGCCTCTTTCAGCTTTGGGGCCCGCTGGAGGTTGAACAGATGGGCGACGAGGTCTCTCATTTCGATCTTTATCTGTCTGAGTGGAGGGGTCGTTGGGTGTCCGTTCTTCGTGTGAGCCCTTGGCCGTTGGCACAGCGAGGATGGGAGCTGCGACAGAGCCAAAGGCAGGAACTTGAGGCGCAGACGGAGGTGACTGGTGATCGGTAGGTCCCAAATCCTTGGGAGCCTCGGCGCGGAGAGAGACCGGTTCTGGACGGTCGCTATCGCGTCGACTGTCCGTCATCGACGGGCCAGACACGACGGAGGCCTTCCGATTCAAGTCAACTGGAGGTTGATCGGGCACCCGCTCGGGTAGGGAAGGCACGGTCGAAGAGGATGCAACATGAGGGGCTGGTGCCGTTGTAGATCCTGGAGCGCCGCGGTTCTCGGCTCGGCTGGGAGGACGTTCACGTTTCCACGACTCTAGTGGGCGGTCTCGGTCATCACGATCGGGACGACGACTATCCCAATCCTCCCGTCGGTCAAATCGGTCGCGTCGGTCCATATCACGATCGCGCTCCCTATCACGCACAGAGTCCCGATCTCGGTCCCGGTCCAGGATACGGTCGCGGTCTGGCAATCGATCACGGTCTGCAAGTCGGTCTCGGTCCGGATCTCGATCTCTGTCGCGATCTAGGAGACGATCTCGCCCGCGATCCCTCCATGCGTCACGCGATCGGCTGCGGCGTCGGAATGGCTCTCGGTCATCGAGGTATGGAGGGCGACCGCGACCGCGACCTCCTTCCCAGTCACCACGACCGCGGCCACGCATTGAGCCACCACCGCGTGGGTGACCACCGCTCGAAGGGGGTCCGTCCGGACCTCCTGACGAAGCAGAGAGGATACTATCCCGAGAATTACGTCGCATGCGCACCATATCAAAATCGCGGCCGGGGGGGTCTCGCAAATCGCGAAAGTCACGAGTCGGTGATCGTGAGCGGCCGCGCCCAAACCCTCCTATCCGAGAGCTCTCGCGCGGATCGAAGTCTCGATCGCGACGATTCCAGTCGCGGTCCATGTCACGGCGAAATGGTGGGCCATCCCGAAGATCCCTATTGTCGCGGGAGTCCCGAAAATCGCGGTCTCGTGGGTCTCGTATGTCTCGTATGTCTCGATCTCGGTCTCGAAAGTCACCTCGGCCATCGCCTCGGCCATAGCCACCCCGGCCTCGACCCCCGAACGGAGCACCTCGCCCTGGGGAATCGACCAGGGCCCGAGGGCCACGCGGCGGTTCTCGGCCAAAGGAGGGACTGTCGTCGGGGCCACGGGCGCCGGCTGGTGGTCGACGATCCCCGAAGCGCTGAGGAGAACGGTCGCGGGAATTAAACCCGGACGAAGGGGGGAATCGCGAAGACATTACCAGGTCATGCTATGGAAGAATGACCTGGTGCAGGAGAACAGTGTTAGTGGGCACTGAAGCGGAAAAATAGTAGTGGTGGGGGGAGGGAGGATAGAAGAGATCAAAAGCACAAGTGCAGGAAGCCAGAGCCCAAAGCCTGCGAACCACTCGAGCATACCTCACCTTCAAATCGAACGGGGTACACGTGACCTATCGCACGGACCACGTGAAGATGGCCCGATCGGGCCAGGGTCGGGGAAAAGAAAGATGGAGGAATAGAAAGGAGAGGCGAGAGGCGAGAAGCAAGGAACAGACCGATGGTCAATAGGTAAACAGGGATACTAAGGAAAGTCGTTGAGATCGTTCGCCGACCCCGGATGGAGGGTGTCAAACCGTGACGAAGAAGAATCAGGGGCGGGAGAGGAGAAAAGGAAACCCCGAGGAATCGAAGGATCGAAGGCCAACCTTTTTGGCGCTCTGCACCGTGAAAAAAGGGACGGTGGGGCCCGTGCAACCTGCAAGCGGGCGGGTCTAGACTTGTGAGTGGAGGCGGCACGAGAGGATGAATCAACACGGATCAGCAGCTGGGAAAAAAGCTGGGGTCAGAAGCCTCCATTTGCTGTAAAATTCAAAACAATGCAGCACGTTCCACTGTATACAACTATGTATACTCTACTGCGCAGAGTACAATATATGCACGTATATTGGTGGCATTCATCCAAAGTGCTCATTTCCTAAGCCGCTGATAGTATATATATGGTAGTCGGTAAATTTGGCGAGTGAGACTTCCATTTGACTAGAGCATGTACACAACCTGTCGCCAATACTTACATGTGCTAGCTCCCTATACGATTACTATGGCTCTGAAAGATAATGGTGAATGAATACTGAGCCATTGTGATATGAATTGAGTGTACGATGATGGACTGGAAGTGATCAGGAGAAGATAATCTCCAAATAAGAGATCGCCCCTGATACACCGCACCAAGTATTATACTCCTGGAGTACCAGCGATTTACAATTAGGTTTAAAGTCTTGAGAGAGAGAGAGAAAATCGCTTTCAACTTTTGGATTGGTTGCCTTCACAGCATCCTTCTAAATATAGATAACATCTTTCGCATCCCCTTTCTCCAGAGGTCGCCACTGATACATAGATTTTTTTGATGCTGATGCCGTTGATATCTATATGTATCACATTCCCCTGGCTGCCTCGAAATAATGGAGGGCTTGACATTCATATAGACTTTGTTGGTGCAGTCGATTATGGTTGAAGCATTGCTGATTTGAAGACCCCAAAGGAAATATGTGCCACACTTTACTTGCCAGATATACTGGAAAGTGCCACTGCTACCAAAGTCTCGCATGGAACCCTGGAAGGTCTCGTTATATATAGCATTTCTTATCTTCAAGGCAATTGCAGGGCTCGAGTTTTTCTTCGACGCGGGAGTTCTTGTCTTTACAAAAAGGTTTAAAATTTCGTTTCAGGGAGAATATGAAAGAGAAATTTCTAAATCGGATTTCAACTTACAGAGTCCTTTTCATACGTGAAAATTTCTTAACAGTCTTCCCAGACACATGATACCATGCTTCTTTTCACATGACGTATGCAATTCTATTGGCTGAATATTTGTAAGTCAAAGGTTGATGACCTGAGGCAAAAACTGAATTGGTGCCTGACGATAACGGCCGCATATCCCCCGCCAAAAAAAATAGGTATACATCCTCCCTCTCTCCCACCGGCGCAGAATCACAACAACACTCCACCAAATCCCAATTGATGACTGGTATTCCCACTGGGTCTGTCTGATTAGCTTTGTCACATCATCCATTTGGCCATTCTCCCCTCTCCTCCTTACGTTTCCAGAAAAACTCGAATCCCACCATGACGACCTCGGCACCCCCCACCTCGGCGACGACCTCGGTCCTGGTCGCATCTGAGCCGATTCCAGAGGGAACCCAGGAGGTCAAAGGAGTGGACTTCGATAAGTTCCAGGGCCGTGATATCACTGTGGCCGAGCTAGTCGACAACCTGACCTCTACCGGGTTCCAGGGAAGTGCGGTGGCGGAGGCCGCCCGGATCATTAACGAAATGGTAAGATATGAGTCGTCTTCTCTCTACATTTTCCCTCCCTCTCAAGACACTGGATAGAAATACTGGAAAAGACTGATAAATTGATGCTCTGTCCTTAGCGTGCCTATCGTGAACCTGAAACCGGTAAAAAGACCACCATCTTCCTCGGCTTCACCTCCAACCTCATCTCCTCCGGGCTTCGTGATACCCTCCGATACCTCGTCAAGCACAACCACGTGTCAGCGATCGTCACCACGGCTGGCGGCGTCGAGGAGGATCTGATTAAGTGCCTGGCTCCGACCTACATGGGCTCGTTCAGCACGCCCGGAGCCGGGTTGCGGGCCAAGGGTCTCAACCGGATCGGTAACCTGCTGGTGCCGAACAATAACTACTGCGCCTTTGAAGACTGGGTAGTCCCGATCTTAGACCGGATGCTGGAAGAACAAGAGGCTGCCAAGCGCAAGGCCCTGGACACTGGGGACGAGGAGGACGAGCTGCACTGGACCCCGAGCCGCATTACCGAGCGTCTGGGCCGGGAGATCAACAACGAAGATTCGGTGCTGTACTGGGCCGCCCGAAACAACATCCCTGTCTTCTGCCCGGCCTTGACTGACGGCTCGCTGGGTGACATGCTCTACTTCCATACCTTCAAATCCTCGCCCCAGCGGCTCCGGGTGGATATTGTGGATGATGTGCGGCGAATCAACACGATGGCCGTACGGGCGGCGCGAGCGGGGATGATTATCCTGGGTGGTGGAGTGGTGAAGCACCACATTGCCAACGCGTGTCTGATGCGCAACGGGGCTGAACATGCCGTGTATGTGAACACGGCCCAGGAATTTGATGGCAGTGATGCAGGGGCCCGTCCTGACGAGGCCGTGAGCTGGGGCAAAATTAAGACCGATGCGCAGGCGGTCAAGGTCTACGCCGAGGCGACGGTGGCCTTTCCCCTCATTGTGGCTGCCTCATTTGCACGGGCGGAGCCTTCGCAGAATTGAGGCGGGGGGAAGACTGCTGTCCGTAGCGGGACTGACGACCGAACTGGAGTAGGAGGGGAAGGAGGGGTGGAGGGTGCGCGTCGATATGAGTTCGACCTAATCGAGGGCCGCGCAAATCATGTTCGAAATGCAAGGTCCCGCATTCTCGGGTCATCCGGGAGTCCGAGAGCGGAGAGCGGGCTATGACTGGGGTACCTGTACATGTCACTGTGCCTGTTCTCATGGAGGAATCGTCGAGAGGTACGTTGGGTCTGGTCTGTTGTCAAGCCTCAAGGGAAGCGTGGCGGGTCCTCGTGATGCGAGAACTACCACTGTTCCTTTTCAAATCACAGGCCACGGGGACAGGGCCTTTTCGAGTTGATTTGAGGCCAGTGCTAGTGTGAACGGCAGGAAATAGAAGGACACGGCTGGTATCCTGAGGTGCTCGCCTGACGCGGTCCGGCGCCCAGTGCCGGACCAGTTGACGCCAGCCGCCTTGTGCGCGACCGGCGCCTCGGGACGCCCCAACAAAACAGCGGAGTCAGGACTCTCTTCTCCTTGCCCACACTGGGTACTTCGTATGATTCTCCCATATTCCGCACTATATCCTCCAGTCCGCATTGCCAATAGAAGTCGAGTCCGTGATCAGCGGGGCCCGGCAGATGAGATAAGCCAGAACGCTACAGGGCGAGGGGAGGGCGGTTCCGCTGAGTGGCAAAGCGGATGGGGAAAGGAAGGGGAAAGGGAAAGCCGATCGGAGGTGGCGAACTGAAAAATCGAAATGCCTCGCCGAAACAGCCGAGCCCTGTGCCGACCGGATGTTGGGCACGTTGCCTGGCGGCACCATGGACCCGACCGGATGAATGATAGGACAGCTATTCCAGACAATGATATTCGAGATAGAAGAAATCACATAGATTGGCACGAAAGGTATCGGGTGGTCAGGGCCGAATAGGCCATCTCTGCATTGGGTGCACATGCGTACTTTGTAGCGCGACTGTGCTGATTTAAGGTTGGCTGCCCTGATGGGTGGAGCCCGGATCCACTCGTCGATCGGGGGGGGGATGTTCACCGCGACTTGCTCTCGAAGGACTTGGTGCAAGTAGCAGGTGATGACTCTACCCATTATGCTGATACCCGAATGATATGTGGCCGACAACGCTAGGGAGTGAGTCAGTTGGAGGGATCCCATGGCGAAGAGGAGTATAGTGACCGGTTTCTATAGGGCTCAGCGGTTCGCCCTATACAATGTGATCCTATAGTCGGAAACATCGAGTCATCTCGACCACGAGGCGCGAGATTTTCCTGGCGCCAGGCCATAGGAGGGGCAAATCGACGAAAAAAGAGGCCGATTCGAAATTCTCTCGCCATGCTGACACTGTCAAAGGGCTCAAATCGTGCCCAGGAAGTGCGGATGTGGACAGGACAAGAATCCGGGCCAACGTGGACCCGGACCCACTGTTGGGTCCCCAGCGAATCCCCCCGGACTTTCGTCTCGCCTTTTCCTTATCGTCTTTTTTTTTCTTTCCCTACCTTCTGTATTCCTGTCTCTCTTCCCCTCTCTTTCTCTTTACTTTTTCTCTCCTTTCTGTCCCTCTCCTCTCTCGCCCTTTCACGCTTTCGTTATATACGTCGTTCTTGCCCCCAATCCTTTGCGTATCGGAGACGACACCCTTATCACGCCGCTCTTTCACCTGACGTCCGCCGTGGTCGAAGGCCCACGTTGCCGCCTCCCTGCTACCGCAAGATCAATCAAGAGCGAGAAAAGATTTGGGAAAGAGGTCTCGTCTCTGGATTTCCCACTTCGGACCGAGAATTGAAAGGGTGACTTCGACCGCCGTGCTCCCCAATGGATTCCTCTCAGGACCCAGTGGCCACCCGTCGGGGATCGGTCTCTGTGACAACTACGGACAACACCGTTGGGGCTACTGGTACTCAAAATGTTCCCCAGGTATCCTCAGAGCCTACAAGCTTCGAATCCCCGGAAACTCCCACCTCAGAGTCACATTCCCAGGTGTCAACCCTGCCACCCACGATCACCACCACGCCCGTCGAGCCTGTCGAGCCCTCAGAACCCATAGAGCATGCATACTGGGCCGAATTCGAGGAGGATACCAGCACCCCAAATGCCGATGAGCTGAAGGATATTGAAGGGACCGATGGTGATTACAGCGCGTGCGATCGTAAGTTCATGTGTCTCCGAAACGTCCCCCCACAGGCACCCAGATTGTTCGAGAGAACCTGACATTGTACCTCCATTTAGACCCCTACTGGGAAAGTAACTTTTTCCGGGACTTGGATGATCCCGAATACGTCCCTATGGAGAAGGCACGCCTCACTTGGAAGGTCAAGGGCATCCGGGGCACCCCCGAGGCACCCAATCGAGCCAAGATCATGCGCTCCCCAGCGGCATACATTGGCGGTTATTGGTGGCGGATCAAATTCTATCCACGCGGGAACAATGTTGGCTCTCTGAGTGTTTACATTGAATGCTCGCCCACGATGCCTGATCCGGACGAAGAGCTTCCCGACACTGAATTTTCTGTCCGCCGGGGGCCTTCCGAGGCCAAACTCAACGACATCACCCCAGATGTGGATGTGAAAATTCCAAAAACCAATGATGCGGCGACGTGGCTCGAAGAATACAAGTCCCGCTATGCTACCGCCCCAGTGGCACCCCAGATTGCACTAGAGACAAGCTCTGACCCGTGGCGAGTCGCAGCGCAGATTGGAGTCATTGTGTACAATCCAGAGGAGCCTCGGACCGGGTGGATGCAGTCCTCCTGTCATCAATTCAACCCTCACAACTTGGACTGGGGATGGACTTATTTCCATGGTCCCTGGGATCAGATTCATCAGCGGCGGCGGGGCCAGCACCGGGCCTTGTTGAACAATGACACACTTGCATTCGACGCTTATGTCCGAGTGATTGATGACCCAACTCGCTCCCTGTGGTGGCATCCCAGTGATTCAGAACCCACGTGGGACAGCCTTGCCTTGACAGGCTATCGTCCTTTGGGCGACTCCGTCATCAACCACAGCGCAGAGGTCGCCGGATTGGCGTCCTGGCTGCACATTGCCCCTTTCTGCAAGATCATACAGAACGTCGATGTCTTAGAGCACCTCACGAACTGTGACGTGAAACCAAAGCCGTTGTGTGATGCACTCCAGAAGTTGCTCTGGCAGTTACGGTGTCGCACGCAGTCGCTGAAGTATGTCGACACCGACGCGGTGACCATGACCCTGCGCAACCTTCGCGAATTTTCAGGTGACGTTTCTGAATTTTGGGAACGCCTGCGTCGAAATTTGGAGCTCGAATTGGCTGGCACGGATGCGGGCACGGAGCTGGCCAAGCTATTCGACAGTCCCTCGCCGCGTTCCCTCGCAGCGGCTGGTGATGCTGAAAAGGTGAATACTCTGCCAACAGACTTCAACTCCCGCATTTGTGTTTCCGCCGAGCATTATCAGTCAACTGGACAAGCTATGAAAGAATATCTCGATGCCCAGCCCGGTCGGTGGTCTCTTCCCCCATCCTGCACATTGAGCTTGGCCGTCATGTTCTGGACAAGGGTATGCGTTGGCAGCTACTGTTCAATAAGGTTGACCTGGATGAGGAATTGGACTTGGCACCCTGGGTGATCGATGGACAGGGCAGCAAGTATGTTCTCTACGGCTATGTGGTTCACCGTGGCCGTCGCACCTCTGGCAAGTTCTTCAGCATTCTACGTCCAGCTGGCCCGGGATCCAAGTGGCTGGCCTTCGATGACGGAAGTGACAACCGCGTGGAATGTCTCACTCAGAAGACCGCTATGGGTCCTCATCTAGGAATCAAACCCTCTGAGACCGTGGATCACAAAAAGGGCCACGATGTACCCGTTGTGGTCATGTATGTTCGCAATGATATGGTTTCAGAGCTACTTCCCGGTCCTCAAGGACCGTGGGAGGTCCCGGAAACGTTGAAGCAGTATTACGAAACTGGCTTGTACCAGCCCAACAATCGAAAGACCGAAAAGAACGATGTGCAGGTCGAAATTTATTCAGCAACTGATTACAATAGACTGGGCAGTCTTTTCGATACCTACGATCTCATGTCACATGCCAAAGCTGCCAACAATGTCTTGTATATAACCTTGCCTCGTTCATCTCGTATTGCTGAACTTCGCAAGAAGATTTCCATGTGGAAGTCGGCCGGAGATGAGGTGGTTGGGCCCGAACGGGTTCGTCTTTGGCATATCGGACATACTCGTGCCCAGTGTGGGTCTGCGCTGGCATTTGATCTGATCACCGATCTAAATGTCCCCTTGGATCCGTCTGGTAGCACGATGCGGTTCTGGATGGAGACAATCTCAGGAGGTAAGCAATATCCCATTTTTCAATCACGAGTATGTGAATATTTTGACTAATCTCTGTCGTTCAGATGATGCCAAGTTCTTCGCCATCCCTGACCCCCCGTCGCCAACCACCACCGAGGACAAGCCTGAAGAGTCCATTGTTGAACGATCAGGCTCGGAAACTCCAGAACCTTCGCCACCGGTGGCTGATGGAGATGCTGTTGCTAGCTCCTCTGTGAATGTTACTTCTGGTGTCATTCCTGGGCTCGTCGATGGGCCTAACTCCAGCAGTGAAGACCCAGCTTTGGCGACTTCGGCACCAGAAGCCGATGTTGTGCCCGTAGAAACCGGAGGACAACATAACCAGGCTACTGAGATAGTCAACTCTGGCACGGCCGAGACAAGTTCTTCTAATCAACAGAGCACTTCGCCTTCTTCTAACCAACTGGAACCTAATGCGTCAGGCTCTGCAGTTGGAGGTTCTGTCGAACCTCAAGTCACTCTGCCCGTCGGCCATGTGTACTATTTTATTCAGGTCTTTGACGCAGATGACCAAGTCCTTCGAACTGTTGGCTCGTTCTTTTCCAAGCTGGAAGCGAATGTCAAAGCTTCAATTCGAAAGCACCTCCAGTGGCCTATTCGGCGGGACTTCCTTATGTGGAAGCGGGTGGATGCCACCACGGTGACCACTGTTTCCCCAGCGGAAAATTTCATGAATGTTGTCGTTCCGCATGGATCTTGCATCATTGTTGGAGACAAGCTGAGCAAAGATAAGTAAGTTAATGGTGAACCTGTTAGTTCTCTACATTTATAGACTATGCATTCTGACTTGACGCAGACGATCCAGCCTCGGTGCTTCCGGTCTTTTCTCCAGCCCAGATCGCCTGGTGCAGTATCTGTGGGCCGAGTCGCGTCAACACCCCATCCAAGGGTTCACTGGCACCAAGACTGCCGAAGCCACTTTCACCAGCGACTTCTACAGCGGCCAGTTCCTGAAAGGCTACTACCACGGAAAGGGTAAACATTACACTGGCACAGGCGCTGTCTACGAAGGAGATTTTGTCTTCGGACGACGCCAGGGCCAAGGCAAGATGGAATATCCGACCGGCGACACCTACGACGGCGATTGGGTCGAGGATGTTCGACACGGACAAGGAACATACATCGAGAAGAAGACCGGCAACAAGTACGTTGGTGGCTACAAAGACGGCAAGCGGCACGGCAAGGGTATCAGCTACTGGGAAGTCGCAGACGAGGAAATGGATTTGTGCCAGATCTGCTACTCAGAAGAGCAGGATGCGGTCTTCTGCGACTGTGGCCACGTCTGCTCGTGCGTCACTTGCGCTAAGCAGGTGGATCTGTGCCCGATCTGTCGCAAGACCATCAAGAGCGTGATCAAGATTTACAGAACTTAGATCTAGACATGCCTTTATAGATCCGTTCATAGCATGTTGGAGTTTTGAGTACCTTTTCAGGTACATTGGTTTTATACATATGCATAGAGTTTTGGGTTATGTTTCTTGGGCTTTTTTGGCAATTCATTTCTGGACGGAGCTACATGTGGTGTCATTCTTTGATTGTTAGCGAAACTGCAAGGGTGTGTGGGGGATTTGGGGAGTGACGATGATGGTATTATTGGCTTCATTTTTTCTGTTTCTCATTATATTCTGGACATAGCTGCATAGACCATATTGATTGATTCATTACATTCTGGGATCGAAATCTTTGCACGTGCCATATGAAACAGTTTAATATTGAGAAAATATGAAAATAAAACAAGGTATATGTCCAATGCGCCGTCCACCCACCAAAGAAGATGCTTTTTGTTTCCACTGGCCAGAGCTATAGATACACAAGTGAAAGACGCTCACATGTCGTCAAAAGATCATTTGCTTGTCTTCTTGGGTGATTTCTTCTCCTTCTTGACGTCCTTCTTGACGTCCTTCTTCACTTCCTTCTTGACGTCCTTCTTGGCCGTCTTCTTCTCGACCTTGTCCTCCTTGGAGGCCTTCTTGGGAGCCTCAGCCTCAACTTCCGTCTTGGCAGCCTCGGCCGGGTCGGCGGACTTGGCGGTTACCGCCTCGCCCTTGGTCTTCTTGGGCTTGTTCAGAACTGCCTTGGGATTGATACCCTTACGACGCAGGCGGTTGCGCTCGGCGCGCGCGATGCGGTCGGCATCCTCGTTCTCCTCGAATGGCCCGAAGTTGCCTCCCTCGAAGTCCATACCGTCACCATCCTCGTCCACAATCGGGGTCTTGTCGTAGGACTCATCGTCGGTAGAAGCTCCCTGGGAGCTAGCACGGCGAGGCTTGTCTTGGCTGGCGGCTGCATCGTCAGTGGACTGGGCGACGGGGGTTGGGCCAGTCTTCTTGAGCTTGCAAACATAGAAACCGTCGACGTTTTCACGGTGCGGGAAGTAGCGGCGGGTGAGAGCCATCTTGGCATCGAACTTCTTGCCCATGTAGCTGATGAAGCCGGGGCTACCGAAATCGCCGAGCCCGGTGTCGACAATCTTCACGTTGGGGCGCTTGCGCAGCACATACTGCACCACGGCCTCGTTCTCTTCAACGGTGACACTGCAGGTCGAGTAAACGACGTAGCCGCCAGTCTTCGACGAGTGGTCCACGGAGTCGATGGCAGCCAGTAGCAGCTGACGCTGCATATGGGGAATAGCCAAGAAATCACGCTCATCCTTCGAGGTCTTCACACCAGGATCCTTGGAGATAACACCGGTACCGGTGCAGGGAGCGTCGAGAAGCACACGATCGAATCCGCCCATAGCCTTGGGGAAAGCAGTACGGGCGTCCATGTGAGTAACAATGGTGTTCTTGCAGCCGAGACGGTGAATGTTACCAATCAAACCCTTGGCACGGGGCTTGCTGGCATCGTTGGCGATCACGCAGCCAGTGTTGCGCATCAAGGCGGACATGTAGGTCGTCTTACCACCGGGAGCGGAGGCCATATCGAGAACCCGCTCGTTGGGCTGGGGTGCCAGGGCCATGACGGGTAGGAAAGATGAGGCAGCTTGAAGAATATAATGACCGGCCAAGTACTCGGGGGTGGCACCAAGGGGGACAGGAGACTCGAAAACCTGCAGACCAACCTTGGACCACTTTCCAACGGGCTCGAGGACGACACCACGGTTGATCAAAGCCTGAGCAAGAGAGCGGCGGTTGGTTCGGAGGGTGTTGGTACGGATAACAACAGGGCGAGGGGTTTCATTGGCCTCGAAGAAGGCGAATGCTTCCATAGGAGTGAACAGGTTGAACAGCTTCTCAGCCAAGAATCGAGTATAGCCGTAGTAGGTGCAAATATCATTAAGCAGGAGATCAATGTACTCGGCACGAGACTTGTCCGGCTGACCAAGACTCTTCAAGTCGCCCAGGATGCGGATGGTATCGGTGATACGTTGGCGCAGAAGCTGCAGATCGGGCGCGAGGCCTTGCTGGGTCTGATCGGCGAACACGTCGGGTTGGTCGCCAGCGATGTTAGTCTGCATAGCAGCGTCCTGTAACTCGGCCTCAGCCTCTTCCTCCTCAAGCTGCCGCGCAGCATCCAATTTCCGTGAGAGTCCTTCGATATTGGCAGCAGTCAATTTCTCTTCGGCGTCAGACAGATCCTCGTCATCTGAGAACATGGCTTCGCGGGCGTGGCCCTCCTCGTCGGAGTCAAGAACTGAGTCATCATCACCCTCTAGATCAGACAGTCGCTCAAGATCTTGACTGTCCAATGATCCATCACTGACTCCATCTAAATCTTCAAACTCGTCCTCCAGTTCCTCCATATCTTCATCCTCCGAGTCGGAGTCCATTGGCACGGGCTTCTTTTTTCTCCGAGCTTCTTCTTCTCCTCCTTCATGACACCATTGGCAGTAGCACCATTAGACTTCTTCTTCTTCGAGACGTCCTTCTTGGTAACGACCTCTTCATCGGCATCGGATCGCCGGCGCTTCTTGGCCGCGACGGCCTTAGGGGCTGACTCGGCCTCGGCGGCCTTGCGCTTCTTCAGAATGGTAATCTTCGATTCATCTAGCGGGGCCGGGGGGCCCTGCTTCTTCATGCGACGTCCTTTACCCATAACGACGGTTGTGTTTGGGTGAGTGGTTTGCAAGTTTGCTTGCAACTTTTTTTTAGTCTTTTTTTCTCGGTAGCGGTGAACTCTGGCAGTAAACGGGAGCTGAAAGGCGGTGAGCAGGATCTTTGCAGTTGTTTGATGCCTTACATTTAAGGCATTAAGATCCATCCCACGTCGCCGCTTGGAGGACCACGCCGTGCACCTCTTGTTTATCAGCTTCCTAGCACTCGTTTGGATCCCTTCTTCGGCAGTCGCTTTCTCGCGCACATTTTCTGCATATTCAGGAATCATGTCGGAGCTTTCATTCACCAAAACTTTCCTCTCCACGCTGGACTCCAGACCTATCAAGATCCGAGCTGACCATGTCTTCGACCCGGAGCAAGTTGGGTTGCGTGTGCCTGTGAGTTTCTTTAGATGACGTTCCATTTTTTTTCATTATCAAAGCTTAATTGCAGGAGCATGTCGCTAATTACTTGCCTATCCCATATTTAACAGTACATCCTCCCTCATCTCCAAGCCCCGCACCCGGAGATGCCCAAGAAAGTAAAGAAAACACAAGCACCGGGCTCGTCCAAGTCAATCACTGTCAGGATCAAATCCAGCCGCAACCCCGCCCTCGATTTCTCTCTTCCCAATGCCCCCCTGTCGACCACATCTGTTCAGGATCTGAAGGATGCCGTACGGGAGCGCGTCACCGATGCCTCCGGCAACCCCATTGCGCTGGACAAGATCAAGATTCTGTACCAGCGGAAGCCTGTACCGGGTACCGGAAAAACTATGGCAGAGATATTGGCTGATGAGCCAGGGATGTTGGCAGGAGGCAAGGAGGTTGAGTTTGGAGTAATGATCCTTGGGGGTGCCAAAGCCGTGGAGCTCTCAGAATCCCAACCAGAGGCCACAGAAACACAAAATACCCCGCCACAAAAGGCGGCTATTGGTCCAAGTGGTGCAGAAGTGGTGCGGACAGAGGCTTTCTGGAACGATCTACAGGGATATCTGGAACAGCGGCTGAAGGACGAAGCAGAGGCGAAGCGGCTACATGCCCTCTTTAAGGAAGTTTGGAGTTCAACTCAATGAAAGAGGTCATTCTTTTGACCCAGGGGATTGTAAGGGTGTCATGTGGGATTCGCAGTCAGTCTTGTGGATCACTTTTTTAATGACCAAGCCTCGCTGTATATCTATTCAACACGGTTAAAGAACTTTCCATTCATGTGGAAGCATTCCTAAGATAGCCACTCATAAACTGGGAAGCGTCATTTCCATAACTAATGAATCACGTGTCTCCACTCTACGAAACCATGGTCTTTCTAAGATATTCGAAGGTTTCATTACGATTTTCTATTCGAGAGGGCATAACGGACATTTCAGTAAGAGCGATAATAGAAATAACAGGAGTAAATATCGAGCATAAGCATACGAACACAGTAGCAAGGCAGGAACAGCAAATACCACATGCATCAAGTATCATGCCTGAACAAATATTAACTCGATGACGACGGCTCCCGAGAATGGAAATGCAGGGAATAAATGTCCATTCTTGAAAACGTATTTCACGTGCCATTTAACATCAAGGTATCAAATCTACCCACGCTCTTTTTAAGGGATAGGGGACTGTGGATATTGATTTCGATATTATACACAAATGGGCGCTTGAGAGCGCTCAGCCTGGAAGGCGTCGCCTAGGAGCCTTGAGAACAGACACGAATATCCAGAATGCAGTAGCCGAGCCTCTGAGACACCGGCCCGAAGGTACAAAAGCTCCGTAGTATCATATCTGTAAGAGCCAAGGGAACAGAGGTGCAAAGGACCAAAAGCAAAGATATCCACACGGGACAGGGCCATATCGAATGGGACACCAGTCATGCGAAGCAAAGAACAAATGCATCGAGGGAGATGCAACGAAACACATGATCAAAAATGTACGCCAGGGAATTATCGCAAAGACAGCATATTATCAGCGTCAAGGTGAAAAGTACACATGTAGAAGAGAAAGAAAACCACATAGAAAAGTACCATATACCAGCAGCTGGATGAGACACCATTGCAAATGCTCGAAAGAACTAGTCCGGCAAATCGCTCATCCGGTTCATGGGATCATATCACGGCGAGAAGACCGAAAAAATGCGGACGGCGAGAGAAAGCAGAAGAAATAGGATCAGGGGAGAAGAGAAAGGTCATAGAAAGCAGTCGTCTCATCGTCTGGTCGGATTATCTGGAGAAGACCTTAACCACGCCATCTCCGCCGCCGCTAACAACCCATCGTCCATCACGGCTCCAGACGACGGCGCAGACACCCTCGCCACGCATCAAACGGTGGCTGGTCAGTTCCTGAGTACAACTACGCTTCTCGAGGTTCCAGAAACGCAAGCTGGCATCGTGACCAGCTGACACTAGCTCACGGCCATCTGGAGATAGAGAGAGTGAGGCAATGGCAGCTGGGTGAGCCAGCATTGTGTACGTGCATTGACCTGGAATAGAAAGATCAGCTTACAGAACAACAAGAGATATCATAACAACATTCACATACCGCTGTTGGCATCAAAGAAACGAATATACCGGTCTTCGTATCCGCTGATGATCACACCCTCTACACTGCTTGAACCAGTAGCTCCGTGAACCACTTCTTCGTCCGCCATAGTGCGGCTGGGGTCCAGGCTTGCGGAGCCGTCAAATCCCACGGTTGTGGCAACCACAGAATTCACACCAGTCGAGGGAGTACCATCGTAAGTTTCAAGGCTGGCCATACCAACAATCTCTTCGCCGGTTCGTGTGTCGTAGACAAGAATTGAGGCATCGGTATAAGAAACCACGAAGTTCACACCAGCTTGGGACAGAGGGCTGATACAGGTTGGGGACGGAGAATCGGTGCGAACGATATGATGAACAAGGGTATAATGGAATGGAGTAGATGTGGCAACGCTAGGCTGCGGAGACGATGGGAAGTTAGAGCCAGATGAGATTGAGTTGGCACGTCGGCTTCCACCCTGTCGGCGTGAACCCGCTTGGGGCGAAGAAACAAGAGGTGGAGCACTAACAGCCCAGATCAATATACGACCATCTGCTGCGCCAGATGCCAATAAAATGCGATCTGGGCCTCCGTAATGACTACATGAGTCACCAAAGACAGAGCCAGCCGTTCCTGGAAGTACGCAAAGTCCCCAAACAGCGTCTGTGTGTCCATCCAAGGTAGCTTTGGGATCAACACGACCACGTTCCCATACTCGCACACTGGCGTCTTGCCCGCCAGAAAACACCCATCCATCGCCTAAAGCTCGACCACCGTTGGAGATGTTCTGTGAGGGTGAGTAAGCAGCCAACGAAGTGACTGGTCCGACGTGCCCGCGGTGGGTAAAGTAACTAGTAATGTCCAAATCGTTGCTTGAGCTCGGACCGTGCGCTCCAAAATTCCCGTAAGTTGCTGGGATGATCCATCGCTTGATAGTTCCATCATCACTGCACGTGCAAATTTCAGGTTCCGAAGGACTGCCACCGCCGGTAAAAATCACAGAACGGATTACATCAAGATGGCCTCTTAGCGCGAATCGAACATTAAAGTTAGCCTCCTGTTGTCCAGCAGTCATGTTTCTAGACTCAACACCGCTGTCGCTCTTTCGTCGAGAACCAGAACTCTTTCGTCGATGCGAGAGAGATCCGCCACGAGATGGCGACTTGGAACGGAAATTGGCATTGGGGAAAGCATCGGTATCAGGACGATGGGGAGGAATTGGATCAGCGACAGTTTCCGATTCGGAGGGCTCGTCAAAGTTCCATCCGTCCATATCCTCCGCGGCCTCCTCGGCCATCTTTTGCGATTGAAAATCCTTAACAGCCACCTGTGGCCGTTGGCTATCAAATGTTGAATGCTGTCCAACTGCACGGTCATCGATCATCTCTTGGTCAAAGGCTTGTTTCCGATTGTCAATAGCTGCAGGAGGTTGTTGCTCGATCTGGCGCCTCTCAATCGGGATCGGGGCCTGGCCGTACTGATTTTGGGCACCAGGCATAGCTGCATTCTCCGCGTACTGAGGGCCTAAGGACTGATTATTCGGAAGCACTACCTCTCGGGAAATCATATGGTTTGCTTTCTGTCGTTGCTGTTGGAGATAGGCTTCCTCCAGATTCTGCTGCGACAATTGTTGGTTTCCATAGAGATGACTCGAGAGGTCGGGATCACTGAGGTCCGGGGCCGGGTGAGATGTAGGGATAACGTGGTAAGCGATCTCTTGTGCACACTTGGAGAGGTACACCCTTGACTTCTCACGTTCATCTTCTTGAATGAATTCTTGTGAATCAGGGTGAGCCAAGCCCTCCTGGTTTACATCCGAACTCACTTTCGATGGAGGGCGTTGCTCTAGAACACGGAGTCAGTCAACGCACAAGAAATGAACCAAGGCTTAGAGTTCCAAATATTCCAAATACCTTTCAAGAAATTGACATTCTCACGCGCAAGATCCTTGGGATCTTTAAGGTCTTCAACAGACTCATTGTTCGATATCTTCTTCACCTTCTCTCGCTCTTTCTTCAAAGCCGTCTCCATTAGGCGGACATGTTTACCTAACGATTCGTGCAGGCGCTTGCTGGTTCGCAGTTCTCCTTCCAAGCGGCTAATGCGCGACTTCATCTCGGCGCGTTCGATCTCCCAGGCGTTGCGGTCGCGCTCGTGACGATGCCACTCAGTCTGGAGGAAACGCATCACACCTTATTCATAGAACACAGTCAGTTGCATTCGGATAGAGAAACAAGCAGCGCACACCCACCCTGCAGCGTGTATTCCGTCCCCTGCGGGTGCCCGCCGTTCGAGGCATCACCCATCACTCCCGACATGCCTCCGACACCCGACGAGGAAGGTGATTGCCAGGCCATAAACACGTTAAAACCTCAGGATGTATCTATGTCGAAATCGGCCAATTTGGAAAACAAAAATGAAGCAGTTCCGCCGTAGATCGAAAGCGCTGTGAGAGTAGCTCGTTCTCTCCTGACCCCCGTCGTATCCGCTCCACAGTAAGCGAGTTCAATTCCCCAGGGGGTGACAACAGCAGAGGAAGCCCGTTCCACGCCGTGTCGGCCAGTATATGGGGATTGGAACCCGAGTAAGATGAGAGGGAACGAGGTCAATGATTGACTGCAAGAGTGTCGCGGGCGTGCGTTCGTTTGTTATGGAGTTTGGGTGGCTTTTCGGGGGCTTCACGGGGAGCTGACCGCCTGCTGGATCAGGATTAATAGAATAAGAGCAGACGGTTCCCACTGGGAGGAGCCCAAGGAACGCGAAAGTAAAAGTGAGTATTAGAAAGGCCTGAGATTGGAAAGTGAAGCCCAAAGAAGGGGATTATGAAGGGATTGTTAGGGATCGAGGCGTCTTTGACGGTTGAGAAGCTTGGAAGGGCGAGACTGGCCTTCTTTGACGCCTGAAATATCAGGCTCCAAAAAGCTCACCGCTTTGCCGAACAGCGAGAAGCGCAACCCTGGGATGTAATAGTTTCACCCTGGTATATTTAGACTGAAAAAGTTAAGTCTGATATTCTCGCTTATCATTGACATTTTTTATGAATATGAATGGGCTTAATTCAAGAGGTTTCCATGAAGAGCCATTGAGCCGGTTGGGTGCCTAACTATACAAAACTTGTACAGACAAATCAGCAATTTTCCAAAATATATCTCCGGCCAGTTTGAGCCTAAATCTGTTCAACTAGACAAGCAGAGACCACTCAGCAGCAGCCAGTTTAGAACTAAAATGAATCTTATTTTCTAATCAGACAGCCTTGTTCAAACTAAGCCTGAGATCTCTCATAATCCATATCAGAATGGTCGCCTCATCCTTCTCCATCCTGCTTCCAGTTTATGTACCTATATGCACCTATATAGACCACATAATGCCTGGCGGGTGGGGCTTTTTGGGATTTTGGTCACCCTAGGCTGAAAATCCTCCACTGAGAAATCGGTGGTCCCCTGAATGTTTGTCGATGTGGCCTCGGGAGGCCCCGCGGGTTGGTCCTCCGTTCGTCGGGGTTAGCTCTCGCTCGGCACACCCACAACAATTTGTATATCGAAGACAAAATTAACCACAACGTCCCAAAGGGCTACCTTACGGTCACAGCATAGTTTTTTCTAGTTCTACCCATATATATAAGTTCATATCAATTCAGCTCGCTTTGAAAAGCTGTAATCATTTTGTCCTGGCGGTAAGTTACCGTTCCATCCTCTCGACATCTACTATGGACCTCCAATGGGATACAAAATGGTACCAGTCCTGATTGTGTTTCATACAGGTTATTACTGATAATCAAGGTTAATTCATCAACAGCAATACAAAATTCAAATCACTGCTGCCCATCATTTGACTTCAACTGGTTCAGCGTGTTCACGCTCTTCCACCGAAGTTTCCTTCTCTGCGACGGAGGCACGTCTCAAGAGTTCGTTGACAGTTTGATCAAGTCCTATCTCACGATTGATCGTGAGCATTCGCTCATTATCTGCAGCAGCCACTCCCGAACTTCCAAATACCAGATCCATTTCCTCGAGGGTGAGTTTGCTTGTCTCAGGCGTGAAGAAGAAGATAAATCCGCCATCCACGGCAATTAAGATGCCGAATATGATGAATGTCCCGTATCGGATATTGGCGATCAAATCGGGTGTCACTTGTCCGACAATAAAGTTATTCATCCAATTAGTGGACGTAGCGATCGCCACACCATAGGGCCTTGCGGAAAGTGGCCAGATCTCTGCAACGAGGATCCATTCGCATGGACCCCATGACCAGCCAAAGAACGCGACATACACCCAAACAAGAACTACACACGCCCAGGCAGAGGCTTGTTGCGATGCCCAATTGGATTCGTTCCGCGCAAAGATAACAGCTATAGCTAAATGACAAAATGCCATTCCGAGGGCCCCCAAAGTCAGGATTGGTTTGCGGCCAATTTTATCAATCCAAATTAAGGTGGGGATTGTAGCGACTAGCATGACTATGCCAATCACGCCAGTAGCCAGGAGAGAGGTGGTGTTGGACGACATGCCAAGTGCACCGAATATCTGTGTACGTCAGTCTCAGTCATTAGTTATCAGAGTAGAACGACGACAACACTGACATTTGGGGCATAATACAAAATTGCATTGATGCCCGCCACTGGGAAAAGAACATCGTCACTGTAGCGACCACAACTCTCTTGAACATCGCTTCGGTCCGAAACAGGCTCCCAATGGCGACAAATTGAAGTTTCAACGTGTTACTCCACGATATTTTTGTAAGAAGCGGAAATTGTTCCTCTACCGTGCGCTTCTCGAACAAGGACTGGGATTTGATTTCCAAAAATTCCAGCTCGACCACATGGCCGTCAAGCTTAGAGGATCTCAGTTGAGCCAGCACTTGACGAGCTTCGGTTTCCCGGTTGTGGTGGACAAGCCATCGGGGTGTCAATGGCATGAAAATCATCCCGACAAGGAGAACCAGTGCTGGACCGAGTTGCAAGGTGAGCGGGACGAGCCATGCAGCCTCTCTTCTTGTGAAGGGCCAGTACCTCCAATGAAGTGAGTACCGTAGTCCTGGTCATGTGATAAGCACCATCTATGTTCGAAGAGAGGACAACTTACAAGCCAGAATGAAATCATAACGCCAAACTCAATGGCAAACTGCTGTACACCGAGCAATAATCCACGAGACTCGGGCGGAGCGCACTCGGCCACGTATATCGGTACAACCACGGACAAAGAGCCAATACCCATCCCAGTCACGAAGCGACTGCCCAGAATTGCTTGAGGTCCAACCCGAATAGCAGTCGCTTGAATGACCACTCCTATGATAAATATTGAGGTGCTCAAAATAATAGCATACTTCCGAGAGAACGCCTCGGCCAGGAAGCCCGAATATATCGCTCTGATCCAGGCGCCCAATTCCAAGATGGAAGTCAACCAGCCTTTCTTAATACTATTTGTGACATAGTCACCCATGTGCGCTGCGAAGGATGGCATAGTCAGTATGCCAGAGAAGACTCCCTGGTTATATCCATAAAGAAGACCGCCGATGCATGCAAAGCAAGTGATAGCAAACACCCGGAAGTTCTTGATCAGCCCTCGGAAACCAGTTGCAGTGCCAGCGACCCTCCGGTATTGTAATGCTGTGTCATTGACTTGACCGTTATTAACTTGACTCATGGTTGGCGATAACCAAGATCTCGGTCTCATAAAATGTGAGTGCGTTGAAGAGAGCGTTTAAAAAATGAATTCTGAAAGACGGAAGGTGAAAAGTTGGAAAGAGGCGTCCTCAATTTATACACAGAAACAAGCAGCGATACCTTCACACACAGCTTGTTAGGTAGGGTAATCTGCTGCCTGCACATGTGCTAGAGCGTGGTTATCGCGGTGGGGATGGAATGGGCTCCACACACCCCAGTCCGGGGGAGCTGGGGTAATCTGATATGTGGCTCACTTTGTGGGGTAAACTTAGGAGCTTCGTTTCAACCTATTATCGTCATCAGTGGTATCCGAAGTTGATATTCCATCCTTACCGTGCATTCCTTAACGCTACTGTGGATTATATTTGCTCCGCATGACTACGTCACACTGCAGTCTATATACAAGATCAGAGTGAAGGTTGGATGTAAGACTATTTTCTTGCTCTGTCTCCCAATCGACATGAAACCTCTGTTGCTATATTCAAGATTTCCTACGATATAAATAATGAAGTAGTAGCTCATGATGCTGTCAAAGTTAAGGTTAGAGCCAACGAATATTAACCCCACACACCTCATCAAACAAACCCGCTCTGTTGACGGATTGGGGTATCTTTTGCTATCCATTAGTGTCGGCCAGACACCGAAGATACTGAAGTTGCCTGTACACTTTTTTTCCATGGCTATAGCTTGAAAGTGGCAGCTAGATAGAGCATGTCATATCGGTATGCGCGTCTTCCTCTATGTGCCTTCGGTACTCTGTTCGTACAAGGAAGGTTTCCTTTCTGGGACCAAAACTGCCTTTATTGGGATGTGGATACGATCAGAGTGCGTCATGTGGGTCCGACTGTCTACCATAATTACCTATTTCAGTGCTGTCTCCAACAAATACTTTGTCATGATATGTATCAAAATAGGATCAAAGTTGTCCTTTTCAAAGCGGATATGGTTTAGACAAGCGCGTTCAATCTTTGCATTTACGTACGGTACATTGCTGATCTTGAAAACATTGTTGGGTATGCCGAATTGGTATTTGTAGGGAATCAATAGACATGCGGGGAACATAAAGTTACATCGTCTGAACTTGACATAGCACATCCAAAAGAGGGCTTCTGATATCTCTTCCCCTTCGGTGCGCTAAGCCTATTGTACCATGCTCCGAAAAACGTGGACATTATTCTCATCCTCTTTGTTATCAATTCTCGCAAGCACATATTTTATATTTCACCTAGATTGTTCAATAGGATAAACCTGTGATGGCAGTAGAGTGTGTCATGTTTGGGGCACCATGGGATGAACAATATAGAGAGGAGTTAGTGTCAGGAATATACGTATATCTGACAAGAAAAAGTGCGGCTAGGATGAGCCGAAAAGTTAGGAGAGCAGCTGCGCTGCTCAGCTCTGTGTTCCTGCTTCCTCCAATAAGATTCGTATTGTCGCCTGGTTTAATTAGCCAACAGTTCAAGGTAACCAGTTACCTGGGTATTTTTTATTTCGCAAGAAATATCCTCCCTAGAGAATGTTATACTTTTACAAAGAGCGGATTACCTGTCTATCCACATGAGACATGATCCACCATCAACATCATCGCTTTATTCAGCAGTCTTTGATAGATACTTCTTATTAAGTTTGCATAAGCCCGTGTATTTCGAGCTGTGAATTAACATGCAAGGAACTAGAAGAGATCAATGATACAAATGGCAATAGAAATATTTATTCGTGCTAGGTTATCAAATATTCACAGTCGCCTCATGCGAATCCGGACAGGCATATCCCCGGGTGAACATGTAAATGCCTCCTTTTGCGAAAGGACCCAGTCATTACTGGGCAGTTCAAATTCATAGCGATTTATCATGCTTGCCAATGCTACAGTCTGCTCTAGATATGTAATGTTTCGTCCGATGCAGCCCCTTGCACCCGCACTGAAGGTAATAAAGTACGGCTGAAGGGCTTTCGCCTTCTCTCCAACCCATCTTTCTGGGTCGAAGGACTCGGGATCTGGGAAGACATCTGCGTTCCTGTGCATGGCGTACGGCGGTGCATGTACCGTTGTATTTCCTGCGATCAAGTGACCCATGATTGACATACCCTCTGGAGGTGTAAGTCGATTCACGCTCATAGTATTGGGCGGAGTAAGCCGCAGACTCTCATCAAGGCATGCCCGCAAGTAAGGTAAGTGTTTGATTTTATCATATGGCACAACAGCTTCATCCTCGTCCAGGACGGAGTCAATCTCGGCGCGTAACTTGGCGAGGCAAGTTGGATTCTTTAGGAGCCAATACAGAACATTTGTTAACGCAATCCCCGTCGTATCTGAGCCAGCATTTAACATGATACTGGTTTCTGCAACCATCTCACCGATAGGGTAATTGTTGGAGTTGCCGTATTTATCCTCAAAGATATACCTGAGAGGATCATCGATTTTTTCGCCGGCTAGGTAGCGCTTCAGCTGTTGCTGAACGAGATACACACATAAATTGGTATATCTATTGTGGTCTGCCCAATACGGATGCCAACCGGTCACATATGTAAGCCATTTGAACCAGGCTGGTGACCAGACGAGTCTGTTTTGGATAAGATGTGATCGCCAAAGAGCTTCACGGTAGCTGAATGTGTCTAGCTTGCCATTGAGGTCTCTGATTGTAACGATATAGTTCCCAGTTTCGAGCATCTTTAAATCGGCAGTCAGACCAATCTGGGCGATTGCGTCCTGCGCGAAGAGGATCATCCAATGGCGATGGTTGATGTATCCCTTTCGAGAGGCGCCCTCCATTCCCGGGCTCGCATGAAGAGTCGCATGATAATGGGTTTCAAGGCAGAGACGATCGTATTGCTTGACAAGTGCAGCAGTTCTCTCGGCCACGATGTGCTCCCAGTTCTCTAGAGCTGCTTGAGAATAGGCACCCGCCAGAACCCTTCTTTTGCGGGAATGCTCGTCTCGGTCGGAGACATCAGCAAGATGGCGATGACTTCCGGCGAGTGTATCATAGAACTCGCCTTTCCGAACAGGTGATCCATGACCATATATGTCTTTGACAGCAGCTACGTCATTGAAGGACACGGAGTTCGGTCCGACGCGGACTATAGGTCCCAGTCGTTGGTGGGCGTCATGAATTGCCATAAATCGCCGACCTTCAGTGGAATAGAGCATGCATGGGATATTCGTGAATAGAGCAAAGAACGTCATCCCTGGGAATCGTCGAAGCCCCTTCGGGTCGGACACATAACGATAAATGTGCTTCAGCACGACCAGGATGACTAAAAGAATAGCCAAGCCAATGGAGACGGTAAAGAAGAGCATCTTTGCAGACTACCCCAAGGTGTTTGTGACCATGAGCGCCCAGCCATTGCCTACAGCTTTATATCACTCTTTATGCAGTTTTGAGAGTTTCCCGCATCTGGAAGAGAGACCGTGCCGATCTGAGGTGGATCAAGCTATTGGGAAAATCTTGGGCGCGGACCAAAGTTGCCTAGTTTGGCGAGTCCCGAAATGGTCATTTTCGTTTTAGCCTTTGGCTTGAACAGGAGCGTGAAGCATAAGAAAGAGCGGCTACTAGAGTTGGTGACCAAGCTGTGTGAACATCAGCATGGATATTGACCTCAAACTCCCTGATCACGATTACCGGCTGCTGGAGCTAACGGCTCTGGACAGTGTCGCTGCCGTGATTCTACTATGTTTAATTCTGACCCACAAACTGTGGGCAAAGTATCTTGCGGGATGGAACAACATACCGGAATCCTTCTGGTATCAGATTCCACAAGTATCGACCAAGCCGGGAGCCGAAGCCGAGATTGAGAAAAGAACCAGGAATATCCAACAAGAGATTTCCGATCGAGTAAGTTCATATCCCCGGTCAGACCCGCTGGTGCTTACAGACTCAGCAACTTCAAATGGTCATCTTCTGGGGCAGCCAAAGTGGAAGAGCGGAGATGCTCGCCAGGAGGGTTGCAAAAAGCCTGCGTGACAGGTTCAACATTCAAGCCCTCGCGGCCGACTTGAGTGACTACGATCATCTTCATCTCGTCGAGCTCCAGAAAAACACGCCCTGTGGGTTTATATTATCTACCTATGGAGACGGTGAGCCGCCAGACAATACAAATGGTCTCTGGACGTCCCTTGAAAAGTTCGAGAAGAGTGGCACCAAACTGGAAAACCTTCGCTATATCATTTTCGGTCTCGGAAATTCCAAATACCGGTTGTTTAATCGCGTGGCCGACCATGTCGACTTGACTCTGCAGAGACTGGGAGCTGTTCGTTATGGGTCGGCTGGCCGAGGAGACGATGCCAATGGTGACACTGAGAACGCCTTCCTAAAGTGGAGACCGGGCTGCGAAGAAATCCTCAAGAATGAGCTCAATCTTCATGAGCAAAAGGCAGTGTATCGACCTGCCTTTCTCATACCTTCTCATCATGGTCTATTATTTCATTTCAGCACCTGTGAGCTGGGTTTATGTCGCTGAGATTCGGTCCCTGGGAACCAGAGCAACGGCCACGGGGATTACTACGATCGGAAACTGGCCTTCAATTTTGCCTTAGGAGTTTTCATTCCCCCAGCCTTTCGTGCTCTTGATTTTGGACTCTTCATGCTCTTCGGTGTTCTCTGCATGTTTGCGGCAATATCTTCCTTCTTCATGTATCCCGAGATTTGTGACAAGACTCTTGAAGAAGTCGAATCCATGTTCGCTAACGGTGGACCTCACGCATGGCACACTAAGCCGGGTGATAGTCGACTTGACCAGAGATCCAGATTGTCATCGAAGAGAAGCAGAGAGCAGTTGAAATATCTCAACATCTCGAGAATATTTGAGATTTCAGCTGGACTTGGCAGGGACTTGGCAGGTGGTAGGGACTTTTGTTGCTGGTGCGAATTGCAGGAAGAGCTACAGCATCAGACCCATATCGTGAATTTATGTCAAAACATAGCTTAATTCCTAGCCCTATTCCAGGACCTGGTGTTTAATATTACATACTGTGAGAATGCAAAAAGTAGAGAAAAGCTCCATCGTGATCTTTTTTGATGGACATAAACATCGCTCCTGTAGGAATGGGTTTCGCTGCAACAAGATAACCATCATCTTTGCTTTGAAACTAGGTACGTTAGAAAAGAATTCCAGAACCACTTTGCTTTTTGTCGAGATGGAAGACTGCATAAAACGTGGCCAAATGTTTGTTTCATTAACCACAATCGCGAGATCATGAAGCCTGATTAAAAGTTGATCATCAATCGTGTTTGTCGTCATATAATATAAGCTATTAAAAGAATATTATGGTATATTTCATTAAAATTCCAGTTCCTCCACCTCCATTCCGCAGTCGACACACGTTTTCACGCCAATGCCGGTCTCCGGATTGTCCACAGTACGCCCCCACTGATGAACATGCTTCCGATTCCTGTTCAGATCATCGCCGAATTCACCACCAGAAGCCCCCTGTCGATTGCGACGGTAGGCTTCAACACGAGTTCGCTTTTTCAAGTCCTGTAGTTTAGTCTTGAATTTTGCCTCTCGTCGTCTCTTTTTATCGATCTCCCGCCGTTCGAACTCTGCATCCAGTGCTTCAGATGAGCCCCATTTCTTCGCGGAGAATGCGTATTCTTCGACTTGATAGCGAAGATATAACATCATGTTGTTCCATGTTGCTTTATGTGGGTTTGGCTTTTCGAGACGAGGGAGAAGTTCCTCATCTCGCAGTTCCGCTATTGTCCCAAAACGATCAGTAAATACCAAATAGATGTGCTTAAGCTGCAGAGAAAACACTCACGATCAGTTAAAAGATAGTCCTCCTTTGCCTCGGTTTTTGTCAACAGACTATATTTCTCTGGGTACTTCTCTTTGCAAGAATGGCAAATACAGCATCGGAGCATCTCCTCCCATTTCCAGTCAATTTCCAGACTGCCGCACTCGCGGCAGACTTTTTGCTTGCTTTTATCATCCAAGACACTCAAACCTGGCTCGAAAGGCCCCTCACGATTCCGCCGTAAGGAGTCCAGTAGTTGTTGCCTTTCCCATTCTTTTTGCGTCATATTTGACGGCTTTTGAGCCTCTTTTTCATCCAAGACATTTAATGCTTTGTTGAACGGATCGTCCTCATGAGTCAGGAACCCGCCCTTGGTGTCGGTCATTTTGCTGAAGTCGTAGTCGACATATCGAGTAAAGTTGCGGGCGGGTCTAATCTCGTCGAGTGGACGGTCTGACGCGGGCGCATTGGTACGAGCATCTCGTATGGAGGGCGGGGGTGGATTGACTGCGGTCATTGTGCCATGGGAGCGTTTGACTCCTTGGGTTGGATGTGAGGAGCGAGATGGCTTGGTCGGGTCCGAAAGTCGAGCTAGTTCTGCTTCACGTTGTTCGCGAAGAGCCTTGGCTTTCATGCGGTTGACTTCCTGAGACTTGTATTAGCGGATGGGAAGCGCGCAATGTCATTTCGCGGATTCAAGTCCTTACAATCTTTCGTTTCTGCTCCGGGGTGAGGGGGCTGCGAGAGAGCTGCCCTGGTCCGAGAGCATCCTGTCGAGGAGGGGTCGAGGGGCGGTCCGTCGACATCTTTGCCAAAACTGCGAAGGGGTTGCTCGCCACTTGATCGCCGGAGGAAGAAAGAGAGACATGAAGGAAACGCGCCGATGGTGGTGGCTTATCGGCACGTGATCGAGGTATGCACACCCCACACGTAATTTGAGTATTTAGATCAACGCGCTTTCGATTGAACATCAGCTACGAGTCTGCAGATAAAGAGCTCACGAGTGCTCCATCCTCATCGCGCTCTTGCCCATATAGAACCTCGCATACACCGCCAACTGGGATATCCATGACGGCATCGGTGCCCTCACTCCAAATTTCTCGCCAATTGACCTTGCGGTTCTGCGGCCCCATGATTTGATACGATGTTGCGCCAGGTTTCATCTTGGTGGCTCCTCCTGGTCGCCGTCTCGCCTTCCCATCGATGACTGCCACGTTTGCAACCTCGTCCACAATGCTCTCAATGCTATTCATGGGGAGGGTAAGGTAACCGGTATTGTAGGAGGCGAGGGCGATGTAGATATAAACCATGGACATCACAATCCAGGATGGAATTGCGAGGGACCACCATCGGTTGGGGTAATAGTAGATACCGAGTTGGTGTAGGAATGGCGAGGGCAGGTATGACCAGAGGAGATAAATCACTGTTTCTAATTAGCACAGACACGGTAAACAGTTCAGCTGCAAGCTTGCAGCCCTCTTGGGGCCAGTTGCTAGTGTAAATCTCACAGAAAGCTAGCGAGGACGCCAAATACAGTACGAACCCATAGTATTCGTAGGTTGGCACTTTGGGACTGGCGCGTGGGACAGTGGTTGCGCGACGGGCTGACTTGGCTACGGCAGCCTCAGTATCGTTAGGTGTTTCGACGTCCGAGCTATCTGGTGTAGTTGGGCGCGAGGTAGTTGTAGAGAATGGTGGACGAAGTAGCGATGTCAATGAGGGCGAGGGGGGGAGCGGCGTGGGTGGTCGATTGTAAAAAGGAGGCGCAAAGGCATTGGGTCCATGAAGCGAGCTGGTGGACTGGCGGAAGGGATGATGTCTCCCAATCTCATCGTCTGAATCATCTGACTCGGAGTCGGACAAGGATTGCGGTTCTAACGAGTAGTGCGATTGGAAGTCGGCATCATCTTCGACCTCGACCTCTTCATAGCCAGGCGAGGTGACGCTCTCATCCTCCGCATAGCTCTCCGGTCCCTCTTCTGGAGAGGCAGGATCATCTAGCAATGGCGGAAATGGTTGCTTGGCTTCGAATGAAGTTTCAAAGCTGGCCTGCTTCTTCGCGTTCGTGTCCATGGGGCTGATTGGCGCCTCTTTCAAGGTTGCGGAGAAGATGAATCCCAATGGTGTTTACCTTGTGACCCTTTTTTTGCCGCCCCACTGGCCTTCCCCACCGGTCGACTGACACCGCCTATTCAACATTGTTTACAAATTTATCTACTTTCTTAAGAATAAAATGGAAGAGAAATTCAGAAAAATGCTCATGATCATTCTAACTTCAAATGTATTGAATATAAGAAAGTAGAATAATCAAAAATCTCTTCTGGCCCAGGCGAATTACTGGGATTTACAGTGATGTTACTCTCCACAGCATACAAAAAGATCGGTTGAAGGACACGGTATTTATTTCATATCGATTGAAACTTCAGAAACCAATTGGAGGCATTGAGTGCAATTTTAACTTGACTGAGACCCTTTGGACCATGCCTTGGATTTTCTTCGCAGAAGGAAACTTTCTGCGAAAGGCTTCCAATAACTCTACAGCCAGTTCGAAATCATTCATGGCTCGTGTATGATCCAAAACTAAAGAATGATTTTCCATATTGGCTGTCGAAGAATACATCAAAGAAAGAATCGAATTAAAGACGGCCACCAAGTTGAGCCAGTTGAACGCAAATCGCCGTTGTCGATGCAAATTGATTGCTTGGCGGATCGCCATGCCAGAAGCTTCAGCAAGTAATTTCAATGTTGACATATCAGGAGTGGGACTAAGCGGCGATGGTCGATAGAGCATGTTGATATGGGTATAATAATTGAAATCGAACCAGCTGGTGCATAGATGAGGTACCTTGGACTGGAGGTCTGGTAAAGGAAATGGCATGTTGCGACGCCATTCAATAAGTCGCCGGTGCAGGTCCTTAAAGATATCTTCTCGTGCTTCTGAGGTTATGTTAATGGCATACTTCTGCGAATGAACTCGGCTTCCAATATCGCTGGCTATTCGTCGGAGCTCTAGAATGTGAAGAGGTACAGCCATTGTGGACGGTTCAAGTGTGTTCACGACAAGAATTCCATTTGGGTTGATATTCGCATCGTCAGCGTCTACAAAAGACTAGAGATTGATATCAGTCAGAAAGTTTCTAATATATGTTTTAGAAAAAGAAGTGGAGCCCACGAACCTCAGCAGTGATATCATCATCTTGGATGGCAAAAGGCCGCCCTAGAGCTAAAGACACAACACTTCAAATATAAGTCAGAAGATTTTGATCTCTCATATGGACCACTAATGTTTAAACTTACCGATCCATCATGTAGAGAGAAAAGAAGACACGCTTTTGTTGTTCAGCCATGTCGGCGGTAAGAAACTCATATGCGTCCGAGGTATGAAGTCCCATTCCAGTTGCCATTCGTGCCGCTACACCGACCAGAAACCATGTATCTGCACTAAAGTTAAAATTTCTGAGAACAAGGACATTGAAAGGTGTTTCTTTTTTAACGTACTAGGTCCATTTTTGTTGAAAAAGGAATAGGATACTTGTAGCATCAGTACCTCCAGGCCAGCCTTGTCCAAATGTTAGCCCAACCGTTTGGCCCATAACTCACAAACAATTCTCACCAGATCACCACATCCCATGGCTCCTTCGAAATAAGTCATGGCCTTCTTGAAAAATTGGATGGACTCAGTTTCATCCATCAAAGAGACAGAACAATATGTTGTCGACCCTATTGCGAGAACCATCCAGATTCGGAATTGCCATATCGGTGACTGAGCGAGGGCATCTAATGAATCCGCATATATTCTCCATAATACTGATTCAAATTCAATTTTTCTGACGAATGGATATAGTGTGTGAGAATGGGCAAAATAAAATTCCAGAAGGGAATTTATGTGAGTGGGTTGGAGCAACTCAAGGCTAATAGAGCCTTCAAAATTATCTGTTCCCGGATTGCTAAATAGAGGGCTCGAAGGTGGAGGCTGCGTCAATGAAGGAACCTGTTCAGGGAGCAGTGGGTTGAGATTTTCCGTCAAATCTAGATCAAAGTCAAAGCTTGCCGTGAAATCGCTATCTGGCTCATTAAAGATGAAGTCATCCTGGTCTGGAGAGAGACGCTGGAGAACTGTTTGAGTCAATTTGGCAAATGACAGACCCGATGAAGAACCAAGGTATCGTTCGGCAGCTGCTTCCAATGAGAGAAGCCTCAACTCATCAGCAAGATTCTCAGTTGCAGGGCTAGGGGCGTTCAAGAAAGGTGAGATATGCAAGACTTCACGCCCTTGTAAGGAACTCTTCGTTGTCTGGGCTTGGGGTGACTGATTTGCCAGATATTCCGGATTCAAGATTTCGTTTGCCAGAGAGTAGTCTGTCCCTTGATCCAAAGGGTTTGTTTTGAAATCATTATTTTGAGAATTTTGTGGCGTTGATGATGCAAGCTGCTGTTCGAGTTCTGCGATACGCCGTTCCAGGCCACGCACGTAACTATGGCCTGTCAGCCGTCTTCATGTGCATCGTTGGATTGGAGTATTCCCCGCAGTCGAATCTCATACCTAATCGGATATGATGCGATGTTAGCTTCATCATCAAGAAAACTACATGAGACTTTTGCGTGTCGACACGCCAAACATTGGGGTAAAGTCCTATCGCAGCGTTTCTTCCGTCGATAGCATCGTTTGCAAGAGCTCTCCGCTCGTGCAGGAGGGTTCGACATCATTTAACATGAAGGAGGAAGAGGGAAACCAGTATGTAGCGGGGAAAGATAAGGCCGGAAGCCTCCACCTTCCGCTTCGTTCTCTGCCGTCGCTTCGATCTTGATACAGAATCTTGATTCTTATCTCATTACCGCGCCTCTTTCCTCTAATTTAATCAAGCGATACCCTATTTCAGAAATATTGGCCGCTATTTTCATAATGCATATCACAATAGCTCTATGTAAGCGATAGTCACCAATCTAAAGAGTGTTTCTTTGGCTCCACCGTGCGGGGAGAGCAAAGTGGCCAGCCGTGCTGTCAAATGGGAGGCCAAGGATTGGTGACAGCACAGAAGGTTATATTAAACCTCATAGCTTCTGTTAATTCGAGAATTAAAGAGAGAAAAACACGGAACTTGAGGAGTTTTCCATTTATGTGTTTGAATTCCCAATGTTCATCCTCAAAGGCGATCCATTCCAAGGGTCCTTTCGGCAAGGTCGAATAGTCGGTCTGTCGTATAGCATCCCTAAATAGGGATAGACATAATTCTAGAGAGAAAATTGTTTGCGTATGAGTATATCTGCATTCTCAAAAAGATATATTTCTCTCAGTGGAAGTACAGTCATATCGGTTAACAGGTAATCCTTTCTGCTCAACCCCGATGAGCGCGGGGCCCCGACCCGGTACTCGCATGTCTGTGTTGTGCAACCTTCCACTTATCACATTATCTACGTCCCCGAAATTACAGTCATGTCCTTAGGTGGTGCTTATGAAGGTGTCGTGAAAAATTGTGACGGCTCATTTACCGTCAACGTTCGTACCAAAATTCGGCAGCTGTCTTGCGCAGAATTGACAGAATTTTTCACAAAGCCTCAAACGTGAAAGAAAAGAAAACTCTACGATATCTTGACTTCAGGATATTTACCTTGGATTTATGGACGCAACATGCCGATATGAACGAAGCATAGAATAAAATCTGGGCCGATCGGAGGAGGGGGCGCCCTGCTCGCGCCACGATTGGAGTTCGAGAGCCCCAGACCTTCATTTTGTGGCGGAGAAAAAGGGAGGGCAATATTTGAAGCCTCGAAATATATCAAGGCATTCTAAATGAGTGTATGTGACAAGAGAGACCGAGTTGCTTGTAAATTGTAGTACGTATGTACATAGAACCTAGGCTCTGAACACTTGTCTGTCGGACTCTCCGACAACTGTATGGAATAACATAAAGATTCGCATTTAACTTGACATTTAACTTGACAGAAAGATACTATTTCAAGTTTGAAATTCAAGTCATATTTCCAGCTTTTTTTAAGCTCACGAAATCGCCAGTCCCGTTCCTTATCTTCCTCCCATGGGCCGTACGTGATGCGCTTATCGGGATGTGACACACAGGTGTCGGACGGTCCGACAGCGCGGTCATTGGATCAGTTGCGGCAGGCGAGCTTACGATCTCACGTAGGCATATCCATATTTTCCGATCATCAAACTGTTATTCAGACAGAGAATAGTTTTCTTCAATTTTTAATCCAGGTCAATCTCAAGTTAACCCTGAGCCGAGTCGTGTATCCTTTTCTCATTGTTTTTGAACAACAAAAGGTTCATATACATCATCAAAATGGGCTTAGAGAATGAGGCGAGCATTTTGGGTGCTGTCAATTGGATATGCTTTTTAGGAGTGATTCCAGTGCTCTTTTATCTGATTTGGAAAGTGGGTTTTGGCATAACTTATCCTCTTCGCCACTATGGCACCATGTTAACTTGAAACTTCGACAGTGGACACTGACAACCGATATTTCCCATATAAAAGGCTTGCCAGAAATTCCTGGAGCGGTTCCAGTATTTGGTCATCTTCTGAAGCTTGGTGATGATCATGCGAGCGTTTGTGAGCGCTGGTGGAGGGAGTATGGCCACTCGGTCTTTCAGATTAAGCTTGGCAATACCCGGGCTGTCGTGGTCAACTCGTTTGATGACTGTCGAAAGATGCTTCTCGGTCATCAAAATGCTATTATTGACCGACCGAAGCTATACACCTTCCATGGAGTGGTCAGCAGCACTCAAGGATTTACGATCGGCTCCTCGCCATGGGACGATTCCTGCAAGAAGAAGCGAAAGGCTGCTGGTACGGCTTTGGGAAGACCTGCGTTACGCAATTATCACCCAATGTTTGATTTGGAGAGCTACTGTATTGTCCGTGATATACATCGTGATAGTCAAAATGGGGCTCTTGAGCTTAATGTCCGACCCTATATCCAACGATTTGCCCTCAATACAACATTGACCCTTTGCTACGGTATCCGTATGGATGCTGTCTACGATGACCTGCTACGGGAGATTCTCCACGTTGGATCTGCAATTTCGCTTCTTCGAAGTGCATCTGAGAATTTGCAAGACTATATTCCCGCCCTCCGCTACCTTCCAAATAATCAGAAGAATGCTCGGTCTAAGGAACTTCGTGATCGCCGAGACGCTTATCTTAATCTGCTCCTAGACAAAGTCCGAGCTATGATCAATAAAGGTACCGATAAACCTTGTATTTCGGCCGCTATCTTGAAAGACGAAGAGACAAAACTCACCGGGGTAGAAGTCTCTTCCATTTGCTTGTCCCTGGTTTCTGGTGGGTTTGAGACCATACCAGGGACACTGACTTCGTGCATTGGCTCTCTCTCAACTCCTGAAGGACAGATATGGCAGGATCGTGCTTACGAGGACATTAAAAGATACTATCCTGATAATCGTGAAGCTTGGACCAGCTGTATCTCCGAAGAAAAAGTGCCATATCTGAATGCCATTATCAAGGAGGCTGGAAGATACTACACAGTCAGTGCCATGAGTCTACCAAGGAAAACGGTAACCGAGGTGAACTGGAATGGAGCAATTATCCCACCCAAGACTATGATCTTGATCAACGCTCAGGCCGGCAACCATGGTAAGTTTTCTCTCCGGGTTCGCCTACACGTCATCTGATACAATGAAATAGACACTGACCATTTTGGTCCGACTGGGGGGAAATTTGACCCAGAAAGGTGGCTTAAGTCGATTGATCCTCCAGTCGAGGTCGAGGGAAGCGGCCTTCCACACTTGAGTTTTGGATCTGGCTCTCGTGCGTGCTCCGGGCAATTTATCGCTTCAAGATTGCTCTACTGCGCTCTTCTTCGGTTGATTTCTTCATACAAGATTGTTGCGAGCGACGAGAGCCCACCGAATACGGACTATGTTGAGTACAATCAATTCAAGACCGCTCTCGTGGCCATCCCAAAGGATTTCAAAGTTAAGCTGATTCCCAGAGATGAAGCCATAACTGGAGAATGCTTGAGTTTGGCTAGCCTTCGGACCAATGAGCATTATAAGGAGTGAGGATAATGAATTTTTATCACAATCCTGAGCTCTTTTTGTCATCCAATACATATAGTTTGAATGACCGAATTGATAAAAACTTTACGTTGACCTAAAATAGCGCTGTCTACCCCCGAAAGAGAGCGTACACACCGTTAATTTGGTCTGGATGAATTTAACCTTTTCCAATCTTATCTAATTACAGAATTTTGTGAAATCCATATAAACCATAAAACCCCGAATCGTTCAACTGGAGCAAACTCCTACTGCCCACGAAAATCGGCTGTTCGGGCGGTCCGACAGGTCTAGATTAGGTTTCCCCACTTCTCCAGTGGTAGAAGAAAACTGTACTTATTTGCTTCATCCTACTTATTTCAAACTTTGCCCCTCTCTCCAAGAAAATTGTGCCCAAATTAAAGGCAAAAACGCATCGAAAGCTGTTTGAGCTGCGAGCTGAGTATGACCGCTTCGACATTCTCGTGACCCCATCCGCGCCAACTATGGCCATGCCACATCCCAAGGTGCAGGCAAATACCAAGAACCCACAGTTCTAGCGTCATGGAGAAGCTGCAGGCGGCGATTGGAGCCACGAAAAATACTTCACCTTTCAATATTACCAGGTATTCCGCCTTGAGTGTGCCATGCAGGTTTGGATGGGCCCCCAATCTACCCGGGGTAAAGCTGCCGATTGGTAGACAGCTCGCCGGCCCGACGATGGGAAGATTCGACATTCTCCAGGCGGTGACATTCAAGGAAGCGCAGAAAGTAGCTTCATTGAAGGCTGACTGAAGAGTCACCGAAATATATTAAATGGAATATGTACAAGGCGGCATATGCCCCATAGGTTGGTTGTACATACAAGCACATTCCAGAATCAATCGCAATCCCATGCATAGAAATTCAGTCTGGAGACTTATGCAGGCTCTAGTTAGCCACTATCATTGCCAGGCACGAGTACGATTAGACCGCGTTTTACAACGGTAGCTCATAGCTCCTTGGGAGGAAGAATGTAATAAAGTCGGTTCTATAGCATCATGGTGGCTACGAAGGAAAGGCCCTTGACAAAACAGGCACGTCGGCCTACCAGGCTCTCTGCATAGGATACCACACTTCGCATTCGTGAGCCTGGATTTAAACAGCTCAAAATCTTTCCGACCAAAGCAAATATTTTTTACCACTGTCCATGCAGGTTCTACAATGAATATTCCAAGTTCCTACTGCAGGTAATCATGGCGAGACGGTGAACGGTCGCATTGGTCACATTTGAAGGAACAAACATCCGCGAAGAACAAACTGTCTTGGACGAAAAAACTTGCAGCAATGTACCCGTAGCCTTCCATTCACGGCTGATTGCATCCAGACAGAATTCTTGGCAGTGCAATCATGCATGGTGCTTTGCATGTCTCCTGGTTTCTTGTCTCTTTGAATTTGCTTTGTCCCATCTGCTTGCGGATCCTCTGATGCTGTCACACCACGATCTCACATTATTCCACCAGCACGTGTGGCTCTGAACCAGCTAGATATGACTGACTCCACCAGTCTAGCGACCGCGGCCAGACAGGTCAGCCTCGAGATCAGAGCAACACGCGTCGTTCATGCAGTGCCAACCTGGTTCAGCCTCCCCGCATCTGGTCGAGAACCGGCGCAAGGCTGACAGTGCCTCCAACTGGTCAGCTTGTATGGGAAACTGCGCTGCAACACTCCACCGACTTCCAGCCTCTCCAGCCAGGACCGCTCGTACCCAATGGATACCCCCTTGCTTCGATGCTCGATGAAGATGTCAACCGCCCATGGGAACAAACGGCGCCTGTTGAAGGGGAATGGACCAAGAACGCGAGCGCGACGGTAACCAATGACAGTATCAGGAAACCTTCTCTCAAACCAAGTCAGCCCTACTGAATGAGATACTGGCTCATGGAAGGTTGTACAAAGGGACGATCAGGTCCGTGTGAAGACGTGAAGAATGATATTCTACGACTCGAACTGGACGTCCATCTGCCCATCTCTACCGAATACAGCAAGCACTTACGTTGAAAACTGTGGAGATTCGAAACAGGTGCAACGCGAACATGCCAATGCGCGTCACGCCAAAGTTATGGATTCACACGTCCGTGAGAAAATGAGAGACAGAAGCACGGGCGCCGGCCGAGCCCCCACCACCATCCATGCGGTTCAGGGGAGAACCCTCGATCCATGGTCTCGATCGGCGTGTCTCCACCCAATAGTTTCCTTCCTTCGGGATCCGCATGCTTAGTGGTTCCCCCCGAAGGCCTTTTTGGACGGCTGGGAACAACTGGAACATGGCGAAATGGTCTTCCCCAGATCAGCGGAAGAAGTGACCCAGAGGCTAAGACAAGGAAAAAAGCATCCTCCCTTGCGGGAAGGGGGCACTGGCATCCAACAGTCTCGGCTGTTTGGGTCTTGCAGCGTGCATTGTGTTCGCGACCGACTGTGGTGTGGCGTACAAACTATGGGATCGGCAAACTATCGCGTTCCGAGGCTTTGGCACAATGCGACCAGCCTATCAGCGCTCGCTCGACGCGTGAGCTAGAACTATGCCAATCTCATTCCGGGTGACAGGTCTCAAAGGCGGGACCACATGCCAAATACTTTGAAGGGAGAAAGCGGGCCGTCATACTTTTTGTGACGGAGAAATTATGGGGCAGAGCCTGTCTTCTTCATGGTCACTCGGCTCATATCTCATCTTTTAATCGCGGCTCCCCGACGCCTGCTACGCTTGTAGGAATCAGGAACCGGGCACCCGCACGGAATCATGTCGGTCGTGAGTGCAAAATATTACCTACTCATTTTTTACGAGTGACATACTGACAGATCATGATCTCTAGGACCCAAATAGCGACCCCAATGTCGGTTCCTCCCGAGGAGATGCGTCAACCACGTCCAGTGAAGTGGTTAGCGGCCTCACCGGCAGCAGTAGTTCGTCGGCGTCGGCCCTGATGATGACCTTACTACCCGCATTGATTTACGCTGCTTTCTGGTTCGGACTCTTTCTTATCTTTCGACGAACCCAACGACGTTGGTATGCGCCCAGATCTCACGTACCCGATATCCATGAGCATCAACGGAGTCCGGAACTGCCTTCAGGCTGGGTGAACTGGTTTGGAACATTCTTTAAAATTGAAGACAACCACGTACTACACCACTCATCGCTTGATGGATACCTATTTCTTCGCTTCCTGCGAGTTCTGTGCGCGATCTGTGCCTTTGGTTGTCTGATCACATGGCCGATCCTGCTACCAATCCATGCAACAGGTGGGAATGGAAACACCCAGCTTGACATCCTTAGCTTTAGCAACGTCGCTAATCCAAAACGGTACTATGCCAATGTGGTGGTTGCTCTGATATTTTTTAGTAAGAGCCTCCCAGCCGCTCTTGAACCGCTGTTGCAAAGGCTAATTTGATCTCAGCTTTCGTGTTTTATATCGTGACCCGGGAGAGTCTCTACTACGCCAACCTGCGTCAAGCCTATCTAAACTCCCCTGCATACGCTTCCCGTATCTCGTCGCGAACGGTACTCTTCATGTCTGTCCCGGAGGCCTATAAGAATGAGACAAAATTACGACATGTATTTGGGGATTCGATTGAACGGATTTGGATCACCTCAGACTGCAAAAAACTTGAAAAGTTGGTGGATGAGCGAGACAAAATGGCCTTCAAACTGGAGGCTGCCGAAACAAAGTTTATACGAAGAGCGAACAAAAGACGCCAAAAGGCCGTCAAAAATGGCGAGTTTTCCTCAGACACCTGTCTTGACTGCGAGTCTAGCAATCCGGGATGGTCCCACAAAGTCAAGCGTCCCACCCATCGATTGAAGCTTTTTGGCCAAAAAGTTGATTCAATCCACTGGTATCGGTCGGAGCTGGCAAGACTCACCAAGGACGTGGAGGCGCTTCAAAAGAAACATCAAGACGGCGATGTCAAACAACTCTCGGCCATGTTTGTTCAATTCGCAACACAGTCTGACGCCCAAATTGCCCTGCAGACTCTATCTCACCATCAACCATTCCATATGACCCCTCGTTTCATTGGTATCTCTCCCCAAGAGATTGTCTGGTCCGCCTTAAACCTCAGCTGGTGGCAACGTATTATTCGAAAATTCGCCGTTCAGGGAGGACTTGGAGCCCTAGTTATCTTCTGGTCCTTCCCTGCTGCTCTTGTTGGGACTATTTCTAACATTACCTATCTCTGCAAAATTATCACCCCTCTCAAGTTTATCCTTCACCTGCCCGATTTCATCAAGGGCGCAATCGAAGGATTATTGCCCTCCGCTGCACTTGTAGCTCTCATGGCTCTGGTTCCGATAATCTGTCGAAGTACGTACACCCCTTTTAGTCAATTTTTTCTTCACTTTACTCACTCTTTCCAATCTAGTCTGCGCAAGACGCGCCGGAGTACCATCGTTGGCCCGGGTAGAACTCTTCACCCAGAGCGCGCATTTCGTATTTCAGGTAGTTCAGGTGTTTTTGGTGACGACCTTAACATCGGCTGCGTCCGCTGCCACGGCACAAATCATTAAGAATCCTTTATCCGCCAAGGATCTCTTAGCCCAGAACCTGCCTAAAGCAACCAACTTTTACATTTCTTACTTCCTTCTCCAGGGTCTCAGTATGAGCTCAATGGCTCTAGTTCAGATTGCCAGTGCCCTGATTTTCAAGTTTGTCACCACTTTCTTTGCCTATTCTCCACGTCGGCTGTTCCGACGATGGGCGGAACTTGGCAGTCTGAGCTGGGGCAATGTCTTCCCAGTCTTTACGAATATGGGAGTGATAGCACTCACATACTCGTGTATTGCACCTTTGATCTTGGGCTTTGCCTTCTTTGGCCTGTACCTCGTCTACCAGGCCTATCGCTATAATTTCTTCTTTGTGTACGATATTGAGATCGACACTAAGGGTCTAGTTTACCCCCGTGCCCTGCAACATCTTTTGACAGGCCTTTACTTGGCCGACGTTTGCATGATTGGTCTTTTTGCAATTAAGGGCGCGATCGGCCCTGTTGTCATCATGGCTTTATTCACCATTGGCACCGTGCTAGCACACCTTTCCCTCAACGAGGCATTGGAACCTCTGAACAGCTTCCTGCCACGCTCCCTGGACGTAGAAGAAGAGCTTCTTATGGAGAAAGAGGATGCTGTTGCTGAAATTAATGATAACCGCCGATCGCGATTCTTAGCATTCTGGTCCTGGTTCCACCCGAATGTTTACCAAGACTTTGCTGCCATCCGCCGGAAAGTACGCAAGAATGTAACCGCGGTCAACTATTCGGAAGAGGAGATGCGCACCGCTTACTTCGAGCCGTGTATTGCCTCTTCCACGCCAACAGTTTGGATTCCCCGTGATCGGTGGGGCTTTAGCCGGCATGAGGTCCTGGAGACCGATCCCGTCATCAGCATTACTGACGAAGGGGCCCACCTTAACGAAAAGAATAAGATCGTGTGGGACAAGTATGATCCCTCTCTTCCCATTCGAGAATTGAAGGTTCTGTATTGATCAACTTGTCTTTTTGTCTAATGATATGATACCACAAGAATGACGAAATTGGATGAACAATCAGCATCCTTGTATAATAAGGCCCGTGCGTCCTGCTCTTATTTACTCTTTGGCTGTGTATTGCGAAATACCTATCATGTAAAGGAGGTAGAGCGATGAAAAAACACGAGTGTTCTGAACACCTCGCTTTGCGATAAATAGAAAAAGTTTTCATATTCACTTGGCATTCAGGAGGTCTTCTGTCAAACTAAATCCCATGCTCGCCTCTAAGCCACACCTCTAGACCGCTCTACACAACTGACACTTCCAACAACAGATACCTTAATGATGGCCTTTGAGATCCTTTCATATGAAGTACTTGCATTTGTCCCTGGTCACTTCTGCTTGGTACAATATGGCTGTCGACCAACCTCAAATTGAGGTACTCGACCATAGATATAGCCGCGAACAAAATGGAATGATTAGAAGGAAGAAAAGATCAGTGAGCCCAACCAAGCAAACATAGCCCACCAACTACCTCCTACCGCTTTCATACAGTTAGAGTAAAGTTCACAGCATTCCCAGTGACACCAGTACGTGGATAAAATTCGAAAGTAAACACGGTTGATACCCCAGCCGAGATGACCGAGCTAATTGCCGAAGATGTGATAATGACATCTGAACTGTCCCAGTTATATTGACTGCTATAGGTCTACAGCCACATTTATCTTAGTCTTTTTTCTTATCTCGATATTGAAGAAGAGGGAGAGAGGTGCACTTACCGTTCTAGCCTGTTGAAGATTGCCCAGGTATACCGTCCAGTCATCCACCAGATATGTCCCGCTGGTGGTTACGGCTTTGACGGCAGCAATCGTGGAAAGGCCACCCCATGTTATCGGAATGTAAAGATCAGACCCAGAGACTGAGGAAGCTACCGCTGTAGTGGATGAAAGTGTAGGTGCTTTCCACTGCACAAGTTGCACTACAGGTGATGAAGCACCTCCAGAGAACTTGAGTGTCAAGTTGGCTATCACACCAGGAGAGGTCGTGGATGAGACATGTTTTGACAGGTACGATGCAGTGAAGGTGATGTTTGATCCTGAAACAGAATAGTCTGTTCCCGATGTCAATGTGGAGCCACTTGAGTCGCTGATAGAAGTTAATGTGTTCCCGTTGAAGATGAATGGGAGAGATTGAGCTGACACACTAGTGCCATATTGATGGAAGATATAAGCCGATGACCATTGCGATGTTGCTGATGAATCTTCAGTACTGTCAGGCAAACTGTTCGCGGTTGATGCGGTTGAGTCAACAATCATTGAGATAGAATTTGGGTCCCTCCAAGTTCCCGCATTTCGATCAAGATGATCTAGCCCGTTATCCCATAAGACACAAGAAATGTCCAGCCCAAGGGCGCTGCGAATGAGATAGTCCACATATTTCCAGCGGGCAGCTGGCTCCGTGTTAGTAGGTGAAGCATCGTATTCACCCAAAAGGATGGGAACATTGGTAAAATTGTTTCGTAACAAAGTAAAATCGGACAGAACGGTGGCCTTGTCGGCGTCAGATCCCCATATAGTTTTGCCCCTAAAAAAGTGTCAGTAGGATGAGATATCTCTGGGGCGTTTCTAGAGAGGGGGTTACCAAGCGCTGAAAATGAAGTCATCTGCGAAAAAGTAAGAACCCATATTGGATTATGAATGGCGACTGGGATTTCGATTTACTCACAGGGGCTATAGTAGTGGAACTGAATAGCATATGGATTACTAAATCCAGACGGTGCCACAAACCACTCTGAGGTCTTGATACTGTCCTCGCCTCCCCCAACCAGTGTGACAACTCTCTGGGAGTTGAATCCACCAGCATCATTGATTGCTTGTAAGAAAATCTTGTTAAGGTTGTTGATTTCGGCTCCATCATCAGCGTCGTTACACGGTGGCTCATTAATAGGCTCAAAGGCGACTAGACTTGACTTGCAAGCTAATTTAGTGCCAACCTGATACCATAGCCTATAGAACTTTTCTTCGATCATTGTGATATTGGCGCCTGAGGCAGTGACATCGGCCCAGATCCAAGAATCTGTTTCTGGTCAGTAGCGGGCATTAATGTCCCAGAAAGGTTACATACCATGGTGTGCATCGACAATCGCATATAGTCCAAGGGAAGTGACCATGTCAACCACATCTGAGACACGTTGGAGCCAGTCTGGATCAATGGTCCAGTCAGGGGAGCTTCCAGTGAAGTGATACGCATAGGTCACTAAGGCTTGTCAACACCTGTTTTGATAGTACATAGCCTGAGCGGTTTCACATACCAGGAATGCGAACGCTTTTAAAGCCAGCCTCTTTAACAACGCTAAAGGTGGATGCAACAACAGCCGCATTATTCCAGGACCCCTCGTCTGGAGTTGCGTCGAGGGTGTTTCCTAAGTTCCAGCCTGGGTGAAGATTCGCAACGAAATCAGAGGCAGAAATTGCGCTAAATGTTCCTGTACAGGTGGCTGCCGTCGCTGCAGATGTAGAAGTCTGGCTTGCCGTTTTTGTTGTGGTGGTCAGGGTTGTTGCAGACACAGTTGTTGTGCCCTTAGTCGTAGTAGTTGTCGCTTTAGTGGTAGACGACGTTGACTTGGTCGTGCTGGTAGTGGTGGCAGTAGCTGTGCCCGGAACACATTGATAATAATCTTCTGAATGTTTAGAAACCTAAAGCACAAAAGACTTCTAGAGGTTCTTACAAGGATTCTGAGAGGTACAATAATATCCTGATGTGCAAGATGTACTTCCCGAGTAGCCGCTACCTCCGCCTGACGTACGGGTTAACGTCTCTGGATTTTGAAAAGAAAGACTGCCTAGATTGTGTACGTACATTGCCCGTAACCTCCAACCTGTGCTTGAACAGTCCCAATGGACGCTGCAATGATAGCTGTCGCCAGGAATAACATGACGAATTAGCCAGTCGTAATTACGAGTTCACAAGACAGGTCTGAATAGGTTGGCAAAATTCAGTCTCGAGCTGATCGAGACACCAGAATCAATTATATAATGTTTAGAAAGGCAGATAAAATGAACCTCATCAGGGATTTGAAACGCTTAGGCCAAGAAAAATACGGACATCACTAGCTCCAATATTTAATGCCTCGGTGTTGAGAAGGCAGCATGCCCGCACAGCACGGAGCAGTTTATGGAAATTAGGAAATTACAGTCATATTGAAAAGGAATATTAGACTATACATGAATAATTCAGGCACATCGATATATTACCTATCACCGTGGTATCATTTCTCCTTGAAGAATATGAGTTGAGGGCTTGGCCTGTGACGAGGCGTGGAGTTCGAGTAAACCCGCCAATAAAACGTACGCGAGTAGAGCCCTTCCATTTCCCTGGACCCACCGAAATAAATTAGCCTTGACGAGATGCGAAACATTTCCTGCAGAAACCCCGATGGTTCTGCAGAGTGAGTTTCCCCGCTTTTGCAGGATTGTACACATCCGTTCCCCCCAGAGGCAAGTTGCACGGAGAGGCTCCGTGTTGGAATTTATGGCACCGTGGAGAATCGAGAAACGCAGCATTATTTGAAATTCTAGTGAGAGAAAGGCAGTTATGGAATTTTTGAATCATTTATAACTATTGTGGCATTATTATCCAGGTCACCCTCTAAACGAGATCTCAGGGTGCAAGCAAGCTAGAAAGGAGCTAGAGTTAACAAAGTAGAAAATAGACCTAATAAAAGAGGAGAAAAAATAACCATCGAAATCGAGTATAAGAACACCAAAATTGAGTATGGATGCGCTGCATATCATCTATATAGGTACATTGTTTCGTTGCATTCATCGAGTCGTTGTGGCCATGCCTGAGAGGGCGAAAAAACAGGGGGCTAGAGATTCTCCTCATCATATTATGTTTTCTTCACATCATGATGCAGTCTTTGTTTCTCCCCCGATCAGTACTATACCGGTTGACATTTACCGGCTGTTGGGAATATCGATTTCGTGTGTATCGATTATTACTGGTATATTGGTCAAAGTCATCAAATTGCGACTGGGGTTGAGAAGGCGGTGTCCTTCTCGTTGCCGGAGAGTATCGTGGATGCGGACCGCTCGCTGTCTGTTCGTATGGAGGCGGAGGGGCATTCGGATCGTCAGGGTCAACTTCATTATTGGTCTGGCGAGGACGGAGGCCAGTTGTGGAGGTGCGATTTGGAGGATTACTCGTTCGAGCAGAACGACCGCTAGTGGGAGCGGGCACTGAGTCGTTAGATGTGGAATCCCTGTTCGCTGTCTGCTGATTACCAGTTCGTTCTCGTTGTTCTTCTTCTTGGAACTGAAGGGAAAGTGCATAGGCATAGTCTGCGTCACTTTGTTCTTGAGCCGATAAAGGTCCTTGGGTACTTTGCTCTGCACCAGAAGTACCACTCGCAGCAACGCTTGAGGTGCGTGGGCCGACCGGGCCCGTTGGACTGGTCGGCCCCTCTGAGCCAGAAGGACCATGGCCAACAGCGCGGAAGTCACCAGAAAGGAACTCTGAATTGAATCCAGTCACATCAACAAGAGATTCCCAGACCACCTCAGCGTGGTTAGCATAACCGGCATCGGTGACCAGAGAGTAGAGTTGGTGCGATTGAGGATGCTTGTAAAGAGTAGAGAAATGGTCGTTGCGGAACAGAATAGAAACGGAGCCTGGCGATAGTTGTGTCGTTAATTGGGTCAAGCCAAAGGGACTCAATTGAGTTGCATTCTCGATATCCACAAATTCTTGGATCGCTTGAATGTCTGCCATCTTCTGATCCTCTTCAAACCCCAAAGAATCACCTCGAATCACCCGATCTTCGAGCTCTTGTTTCTTGAATGGTAAAAGTTGAATATCTTCATGATATTGAGCAGTCCGTGTCATGGCTGTATGAACCGGGCTAGACCAGGAAGCCAGCCACCCATGAACCAAAGGAACGCCGAATGTACTATACAGACGTAGATCTCCGGTTTGCATGAATTTGCCCAAGGAGTCAACAGATTCCTATATAGAAGGTTAATTTTCTAATGAGATCGGCCGGGGAAAAAAGCAGTTCTCACCAGAACAAGACGAGGATTGACATTCATGCCGGTATGCAGCATGGTTAAAAACTGTGTGAGAGCTTCGATGTCCGGGAATTCCTCATCTGGTCCAAGACAGGTGGTTAATTCCTCGAAGAGTGCCTCTATTAACAATCCCAATGAAATTTGTTCGCGGGTTCGCAATGATCTAACGATTGGCGACTGCGCCTTCGGGTCGGCGCGCAGGACAAGGGCATTGATCAAAGCAAGCAATGGACAAGGGCCATTCTTATTTTGAATCAAGATGGGCGCCTGGATTAAAGTGCCCATTTTGTCTTGCCAATTGATCTGCCGAATCGAATAAGTTTCCGCTCGCTGTTCTTGCTGCCTTGCCGCCTCGGCAGGGGAGAGCTTGATGCTCTCCACAGGCGGCGCTTGGTCCTGCGCATTGTCATTTGAAGCAAATGGCGATGATTGTGCAGGGGTCTCCTGGGTGTCCAACAGAGACTTTGCGCTCTTTGTATCGTGGGTGTGCGGAGAGTATCCCGATGACGGGACCTGTTGGGACCCGGTTTCCATACCAGTGGCACTGGGAGCGTCCAAATCGATTAATTCATGCGAGGTGGCCGACGTCGCATAGGACATCATGGATGGTGTATTGATACCAGCATCTGATCCAAGTCGCCCTGGGTTATCCGATGGCCGTAGACCATATGCATTCTCATCTGGATCGCCAGATGGCTGGACAACTACAGCAGGGGCATATGGGTTGAATTGTCCCCCTTGTAGAAAAATTTCCTGCGGAGCCGAGATCTTAATCGAATGCTGGGATCCCCACGGGGAGATTTCAGAGGGCGGATTGAGCGAGTGCGAGTGCTGCGATTCTAGATGAGGCTCACTGTCGGCCCACGGGGATGGTACCGGAGGTGGTGTTTCGTTGGTAAATGAGTGTGGCGCTTGCGAGTGAGGGTTTCCGCGATCTGCCCATGGCGACTCGTGCTCGGAGGAATCTAATAATGACAGGCGTGCCGTCATAGGAATGTACCCTTCCGCTACCGGTGAATTAGCGGGCAAGATCAGAAGACGCAAAGGAAGGGCGACAGAGAGGAAATTCAAAGTATCATACGGAGTACCTACTCTGACTCAACGGGTCGCTACTCGTGGTCGTATACGAATGACTGTCCGCCCACTGGTTCTGGTCCCCCAAGTTCTGTCCTGACTCTGTCGGTCTCGGTTTCAAGAACGGATTATTTGACTGCAATTGCACCGGGACCTCCCCCATCGAGGGGATGGGTTTTCTGGCGGGCCGTTGCTCAACACTCTCCACTGAATCTTGCCGACCTGCCACCAGTGACGGGGGAGCCATTCCTTTTTGTGATCTGGGCCATCTGGGTAGGACGAGCCTTCAAAGGGGACCGAGTGGTCCGTGTTCGCTCGATCCCCGACATTCTCGGGCCATGAATTTGGCGGGTGGCTGGTGGGAGACCCCACCGGGGACCTCTGGGCCTCTTCGAGTGGCATCAGATCGAATGCTGGGGAGGTATTGAGATCGGGGGAGTAGATCGAGTCCTCGGAGGGAGCTCGAGTCAGGCGAGCCTGGCGATGGGAGGACGAGGCGGATGACGGGGAAGCTGGGGTAACTGGACGGGCATTCCACTTGTTGAGGTTCTCCAGGCGCGGCGGCGGAGGCTTGCGAAGCACCATGAAGAAAGTAGAGGAGCCGAAGAGAGAGAAACGGGACGGAGAGATGATGTACCCTCGGAATTTAGGAGGTTAGGTGGCTCAGCACGGGTGTCGTCGTCGTCGGCCTAGGTAGCAATCACAAGGCAGCAGGCGCAGCTAGCTCACTAGCCGCCCGCGTCGATCGGAACGCAGCCCCAGCCGGTCGCGCTCGTGTTGGGCTCACAGGCTCACAGGCTCTCGGGATCTGGGTCACAGGAGTGGCTCTAGAGGAGATCAAATGTTGGATCAGGACTGGAAAGTTGGTAGAGGAGTGGTGGACGATCCTCTCCAGGCGTCTGCCCTGGGCGTCCTCAAACCGCCTTGCGCCCGGTTCCAGGAGGCTCCGATGATCTGCAAAGTCGCCCAGCCCGCGATTCGTCTGGGTCGTCCGGGGTATCGGTACAGGCCCGTTAGCGACGGTCGGAGACGGTATTCTATCGTATTTTACACTCATCATGCACCCTACAGGCCATGTGTACACGGTACCGAGACCCACCAATACGTCCCCTGTGTAATACGGGGCGTCTGCGACCGTCGATCGCCGTGGAGGTTCAACGGGCGAGCCGGGGCTGGACTTGAGACGTAGACGCAGCAAGGGGGAACCTGGGGAATATCCTTGAATTGACAGGTATGGGACTCGTGGAGGAGCTTCAATTTCTTTTCCTCGACCATCATCTAGATTTCAGATTGAAATCGATCGGACATGCGTTCTGTCTTGTGGACAGGACAGATTCTATAGATTACAGAGCTTTCGCCGTTGGAACCTCTCATCAATTGGTATTTCTGCTGGCAGGAAAGCCTGATCTTCTTACATTAGACTATATGACAAAGCTAGGCGCTTCCCTGGTCCATGTACTAGCAGAGATGGGGGTGAAAGCCAAAAATGAAAATAAAACCGGGTGCGGAGACGATGTATATTATTATACTCATGGTATTTCCCAACTGAAGGCATCCAGCAAAGGCACAGGATGTCGCCGGACATCGTTCTTAGAAAAGCAAGCCCTTCACTTGTTTTACATCGGTCAGCTTGATATCTCGCACCAAAAGCATCCAGATCAGGGACAACGCCATCACTGCGGTGCCGGCAATGATCATCTTGGTCTGCGTATCCGCATAGGCGTCGATGATCGCCGTTCGCACCGCACTGCCCATGGGGTAGCTCAGTTGCACTGTGATATCATCGTAGATGGTTTGCCAATCTGCCTTGGCCGAGTCCGGGAGCAGTCTCTTGAGCGATTGCGGGAGAGTGTTCGTCCACACCGCACCGGAAATGCTGTTGCCAATTGCACCACCGACGTTTCCGAAGAGACTCAACACGGCCAGAATAGCCGCGACATCATTATGGGCCGAGACGGAGGTGACAGCCACCTGCTGGCACAGAATCATGGTGCCGCCACTGAGTGCAATAAAAATCTCGCACATGACAATATACCCAATGTTGGTACCCGGTCGACGGAAGTAGATCAGGAGGCCAACGAAGAGGATATACATGGGAACAGCAATAAGTAAAAGCCACCTGAAGCGCGCAGTCTTATACATCAAGTAGCCAACCCCCAATAGCCAGAAAGCAGAGACGATGTCGAAGATCCCCGTGATGTAGCCGGCAGTGGAAACGCTGAGGCCGTAGACGACTTGAAGGTAAGAGGTGAAATAGCTGTTCCAGCAATAATAAGCGATCTGGTACGTCAGGTCAATCAAGCAAGCTCCGACAACCGTGCGAGACGTGAGCAACCGGAAGGGGACAAATGGTTTGGGAGCCACGAATCGCTCCACCAGCGCGAACACAATCAGGATCACGAATCCGACCACCAGCATGGCAATAATCGATCCGGACCTCCACTCGTCCTTGACGGAGGTTGCTATGGAGAAAGGAAGAAGGAAAACCACAAGTCCACCCGCCAGAAGCACCACGCCAAGAACTGATTGGATGGGATTAGAATTGGAGATTGATGGAAAGGTCAGAGGACATAGAGAGCCTTACCGTCGAATTCGATCAAATAATAGATGAGGCTCTGATAGAAAGTACGGCCGCTCTTCCGCTCCACCCAGATTCCCTTCTTTTTTGCGTCTCGTTTGCCAAGCTGCATACAGATGTACAGCGGAGCGGCGACAAAGGGCACGAGAATGGCCCAACACCCGTATCCCCAGCGCCAATTGATATCATTAAACTTCTCAGCAGCCTTAGGGCCAGCAAACGCAGTGACAATATAAGGTGATGAAGTGAAGGCAAACGCCATACCTCGGTGGGACACTTTCGACGTGTCTGCGGTCAAAACGTCCACCGCATAGATCATTCCGGTAAATCCGACTGTCGAGAAAACCTTCAAAGTGGGAACAAAAATTAGGGATACTATGCGGCTAGCAATGGATGGGAAGAATCGAGTCCTACCTCTCCGGCGCAGTAAACTGCAATATTCTTGCACGTTGCGCTCAGAATCGTGCCAATGATTGACAGGACCATCAAAAAGATGAAGCCATGCGCACGATCCCACAAATTCAACATTTTGGCAATGGGCATATTGCAAGCCGCTCCCATAACACCTGTAACAATACTGATAACAGGGATCAGAGAGTGCTGGGAAAAGTCACTCGTGATATACGCGTAGAGATTGCCTGTGATCGACTGGCGGAAGGCGTTCACCATGTATAGTGAAAACATGCTGTTTGAACAAGTTAGTATCCCGAGAATTGCCAATCATCAAATGCAAATTCTTACGAGAGATATACAACGATCAGGGATGACCGCGACCATGACAGAGTGATCGCCTCAATGCCCTGAACGCCAGCCTGAGCATCCTCAGTTGGAACTTCGTCCTCAAGGCTTCTGGCATCATGCTGGGTCATGGCCTCCTCCGCCTCTTTGGCATCAGGGTTGAGGGTTGTACTCCTGGCGCTTTCAATCTCATTCTCGCCGGCCGATGGCCGATCATTTGAGTTTTTGAACCACATCACCTCAGGTGATGACGCCGATCTTGCAGAGAAGGGGAATAGCAAATATTTTTTGGAAGCTTCTACCTCAGATGCTTACCCTCGTGCGGTAATTATATGAAGGGATCTGGCCCCAAGCATGAACAATTGCAACCCTAAGCGACGGGTAGGCGACATCGGAGAAAGACGAGAACGCGATGGCCAGGATCGTCTCGTGGAATTAACTAAAAAAGTATCCAATCCGCTGCTGCCAAGCGTCGTGCTGGGTCTAGTGAAAGGATTGGCACAACATGTCTGGCGGGAGCAAGGAGCAGTGGCGTCGGCAATGCGAGATTGATTATCAGATAAAAAAATCTCGCCGGCTGCACTCCACTTTACCAGTTCTAAGTTGCACTAAATCGTACCATTCCACTCATGCGTGTGTTTTCAGAGTCCGAGCATGGGACGAGACATGGTCTTAGCAAATTAAACTTCCCATGTGCCTCGTGTCTCACTATGATGCATGGAGGGGAGTTCAAGCTCCACACAGAAGCTCGCACCTGGCCATCGTAGCTGAAATAAACATGTTTCAGGTCTATTGATGGATTCATTCTACAGCTCACTTCAATTATTTTCCCCCCCCCTTCGCGGTGTGTTCTCATGAGCGTGCGGCATTTCCTCTCGCTATGAACCTTCCGGGCATGATTGGGGCGGGTTCGGCGGGCATCACGAAATTCCAACGCTTGGCACTTGGCACCTGGTGCTTGGCGCTTGGCATTTTTGAGCACTAAACTAATTCAAGGGGTTCGGAAGTAGATCAGGAAAGTTGGAATTTGGGGCCATGGTGGTCAACACAAAAGGGGCGGCGACGTGGAAACAAACGAGGAGCAGAGGCAGAGGAAGATACCGGGATCGCCTTTCATCAATTATATTACCAGTGAGATCATGACAGGAACACTTATCTTACTTTGAGAAATTGTCGTCACAATTTGGCTACCTAAAATGAGATGTATTGTGACCAGGCAACGAGTGACTGAGACCCAAGAAAAGCCAAGCATATAAAAACGAAGGGACGTCGACCTCAGGGTGTACACCGATATCTTTCTAGTCAAAATGAATGCGCCATAATTCTCGATCACAGTCGCTAATATACCCGGTGCGAGTGTGTAGCATGGACGTATTGTCACTAATCAACAAATCACCCTTCTCCCATTCGAATCGCAAACAGACACGCTGATCGTACGTGACCTGGTCAATGACTTTGATCAAGCTAGCATCATCATTTTCAATTTTGACATCACAGGTTGAGAATTTAGTCTTCGTAGAATCCCATGGCTGATGCCAGCGCACGCAGGGAAGCCCGGAAACGGGGTGTTTCACGATCAGTGGGAGGTTTTTGAGCTTCGCATCCCAAAATCCGTCGTTATCCATGGCCCAGGTAATATTCTGTAGGCGCTCTGCAGTCCATGGAAGAGGGAGATATCGGAAGAAGAGGCGTGAACTGGCGAACAAGGTATATCCACTCCCTTTGGGGGCGGTTGCTGGGCAAGTGAAAAATTGGTAGCCAGGTGGACGCTGAACTTTCTTCTTCTCTCCAGTTTCCGGGTCGGTAACCTCTTCAAATTTGAACATCCCGTCAAAATGCATAGGCATGGCTTCATTCGAAGTGACGTTGTTTCCCAGCTTGTCCGAACGACCGGCGTCACGTACTTTCTGGATAATGCCAAAGCTCCACGGAAGAATAGCGCCTAGCTGCGACCCAGCTTCGACATATAAATCTTCCTTGAGGGTCTCTGTAAACCCGCGTAGAACAACTGGTGACATAATGTTGGAAATTTTGCGAACTTTATGCATGGGTATGGCACTGATAGATGGTGGGGGATTAACATGATCGATATCTGCTGGACGTATGATGACACCGCACGGGTAGAGATGCTCGAATTTAACGGCTAGTCCATTCTCCGCCCAGTCAAAAATCTCTGACTTTTCACGGAAGAAGTATGGCTGGCCATTCTTATAGATCAGATCGTGTGTATCACGTACATCTTCCGCATGAACAGTACGGTAGGAGCCATCCAGACCGATAGCCACAGAAGCATGCCACGGAGTAAATCCAAGAGCACCACGGATCTGAGGGACAAGTGATACAGAAAGCTTCTTCTCCCCAGCAGATTCGTGGATAGACAGGCGAACATAATCACCGCGGTTAGCTTTGATGGCCGCAGCAAACATTTTGCCCCGAATAATCATCTGGCGGGCAATCTGCGCCACTTGCTTTTCTCTTGCTCTCTTTGACAATGTCTGGGTATCGTCTTGATGTGCAAGATCTTTTGTCAAGAATTTAATATACCCACGATAAGTGAGGCAGGTGTCGTTATCTGTTTTGATCGCTTCATCTGCGTTGAAGTTTGGGTCGCCGAAGACAAACATAAGCTCGCGACGCAGACAGCTAGCATGGGCCAGATAGAATGCCTTAGCAGCTTCTGGGCTGGTGGTCTGGAACCAAGGGTGCTCCAAGAGTTCGAATAGTCGAATGAATTTCACATGGTGGAGGCCCTTCTCAACGGCCATCTGCCGCAACTTCTCTCCATAGTCCCAAACAGTTTCGTCAGGGACGCCGAGAATATCTTGCAAAAGAAATTAGATAAGATAGATAGAAGGATTGGTTGTAGACCCACCATTATATACCAGTCCATCGGAACTGATATATACATCGGCACCGGGCTTGTAGACCTGACGAATATTCTCGCATAGCCCATTCAGATGAGCAAGCGCCAATTCCTCACCAAAGTCGGGCATTGTGCCCAGTACTTTGTCGCGCGCATTGGGAGACTTGAATGGAAAAGCAGGAAGGATCATGCGAATCGGTTCCTGGCGCTTGACCCGCTCGATCACTGTGGGGACGAACGACTCGAGCCCCTTCCAGGAAGCCCCATTCTTCTCATAGTCAACACCATACCGTTCAATAATTTTTAATATCTCAACAGCCATTTCGCGATCGTTTGATACAGCATCGAAGGATAAACTAGATGAAGTCCTGTTGCTGATTAGATTTTGTCCTTGTTTTGTAGAGCCATTGCCGTTTGCGGTAATCATGGAGGGAGCGGGACTGTCAGATTCGGACATTGGTGCCAAATCTACAGTGGCAACATCAATTAGGCTGCGATCGGCATCACCGGCCTGGCTAGAATGATCAATTCCAATCCGGGTGATTTTCTGGGAGTATAGGACTGGGGCGGTATCCGCAACGGGCTCAGGGGCAATCATCGTAACCGAAGTCGAACGGGGTCACACCAATGCACTGTATCCCTTCGATCAAAATCAATATGTTCAAATATAATGAGATGGTAGAATAGAATGAGGAATACTTTTGTTCCTTTTGTTGTTGAGATTTCAAATGCTAAAGGTGCGACTCTTAAGTCCTACCTGAGTTCGGCGGTAATATATAGCCGACATAAATGGCGATAGTCAGAGATCCTTCCAGAGATCATACCGGCGCCGAGTTCCATTCAGCTGGATGACTGTATTTGTTCATGCGGACTCAGATACCGGGAGTGGGCTGAATCCAGAAGCTTTTTGGGCACCAGTCCCTTGGTTCTGTACCACTTGGGGCCTATTGACGTCCCTACTAGAGTGAGATCAAAGCTCCCACTGGTAGTTTGGGACTCGAGCTTACGAAGATATTATGTCTATAAAGAAAACTAGATTGATCAACCATGCTTGCTAAACCTTTTTCATTGTGCGGTTTTACTGCTTAGTAGATCAAGAAAAGCAAGAGAGGGGAGAACATCATTGAATGTGTGATCTAGGTGTCAGCAAAGCTCGCATGATATTGAGTAGCAATGGAGAATAAAATATGTCTCATGAATTATTTCGCTGAAATTTTGTCCAATGACCGCATCTCCCGATGACGAGATTTGCAGTTATGTACAACCCCTTCAACGGAGCTCTGACAATACTTTGGATAAAAGCTTGAAGAATCCCTGTCCCGCTCGTATCCGGGCCGACACGCATTCTTTCGAGCTATTTCAAAGACTATGGAAAGCTAAAAGAGAAGTTAAACGCAAATTATACGTAGTCCACTGGGCACTGAGTGAAACCTCATATATCTTGATCCTTGACACGTGAGAAATTTGGTGCAGTGTGGCACACTTACTGGAGAATTATGGAGAGTTGGAGGGCCAGGATCAATGATGGACTTTGAGGTCGAGCATCACTACACCTTTCATTGCATATTGTCTCACAGATCATATTATTGTACTATTCTACGATCTACCACGGATCTTTTTCATCCAGTGAAACTCGATTTATTGACAGGGTGGAACTAATATACAAGGCTTCCAAAGTTGTTCGTTGAAACTATCTTCTTCCGAAGATCTAAACCATCTCCCTGATATCCCGCTCCACCGTTACAGTTACTGATCTCTAGATGTAACTACTCAGATGGGTTCAAGCTCACCTTCCCAAATCAGTCCAATCATACTCCATCACCCGAGACACAAACGCAGCCATCTCTGGACTTGATAGCTGACGCACAATATGAAAGCTGGCATCAAGACCAGAGCTAACCCCACCAGCTGTAATGACTTGCACCGCATCTCCCTTGAGGTATCCACCATCAACGTAGCGCTTGTGCACTACATTTGCCGGGGTCTCGTTCTTGTCTCCGAATTGAACACATATGTCCCGAAGGGTATCAACAGCTCGGTGATGTGTAGTAACAGTCAAACCGGAGAGAACGCCTGCGGCACCGAGTAGAAAGGCGCCGGTGCAAACCGAAAAAAGCACACGTGGGCGTTCGGAAGGTGATCGAGGTAGACTCGCAAACTTGCGGATTATTTCTATTTCTAGGGAATTCCCTTCAAGCAGTGGCTGAACTGTCGAAGGTGGGCCTCCTGGAACAATTAGAATATCGTATTCGGAGATTGCCTTCAGCGCATCCTCCAAAAGAGTGTCCACACTCAGTGTCAGAATGTTTGCCGCCCGTATGGTCGATTCCCGAGCAAAAGTTTGAAATTCGAACATCCGGTCTGGAGCATCCGGATTCCGATTATGGGAAACATGAGACAGAACCTCCATCGGGCCTGTGAAATCAAGAATATCCGTGCCTTGAAAGAGAAGAACCCCCACCCGGTAGTATTGATTCTCAGGCGTGGCCGACATCGTCTAGCTTCTCGATAAAGCAGTAAATTGCGGTTTATTGTTATGAAAGACGACGCGAGATGTCCCGGCTGTTGAGGTAGGCGCTTGTAGAAGGAGATCACAAAATGGGAGTTTAGAAATAGCTCAGGATAAAACAATGGGAAGTTTGAAATTGCTAGGTTCATACTCATCTTTTGCCCAGTCAGTGTGCGTTAGCCTTTAGCGGTAGAATTTAACTCGACGGTGAATATCAGATTACAGCTGACTTCTAACGGGTTATAGCCCGACGCTGTGTAACCTTTCCAGGCCTTCTATTTACACCGACCAATTCCTTCGATGAAACTCCATAGTTGTCTATATTTGTAAAGGAGGACAGGGCGCGCCAGCGGTGTGGGTGGCTAAGACACTGGAGAGGCAAGGGTCGATTCCTTGTACCTTGTTCTTCAACTGGTAACTAGGATCATACGACCGTATTTTGAATGCAGATCCGAAGCTAGCCGTTACTCTGCGGTATTTATTTAATAGAAATCGAGTAAAAATTAGCACCGGACTCGGTCATCGGGATGTGGGCTCCAGCCGATCTCCCCACAACTCCGTATTCGGCGAGTGGGGGGGGGGGGGGGATACAGAGGCTTGCGGGTGTACAAATGTGTCTCCAACGTAAGGGTCTTTGTAAAAAAAAAAAACCTTAGATGCGGATTATCTGTTATGAGTTTTGAGAGACTTGCCCAATCTAACTTGACTTCATAGACGCCACTATGACCTCCCCTGAGTATAAACGCCACTTCTCTATTGCCAACATTCCATTTGGTATCGCTTCGTCCGAAACACATCCGGAACCACAATGTGTTACTCGACTAGAGAACAATGTTATTTTTCTGGCAGACCTACAGCGGGCAGGTATATTTGCTCAGATTGCCAGCTTGCCTAAAGGGATTTTTGACAAATCGAGTCTAAATGAGTACGCTGCGCTGCCCAAGTCGACACAACGTGAGGTCCGCACTGTGCTACAAGCTGAACTGGCTACGCCCTTGCCAGCGGGTTTCACCGAGGATGTTAGCACAGTCACTCTACATTTGCCAGTCACTGTGGGCGGGTTTACAGGTACGTCACCAGCACCGCCTTTTGCCGACCAGCAGGGAAGATAGGGCTAATCATGTTTCGCAGACTTTTCATGTAGCCTACACCATGTGCGGAATGCAGGAAGAGCAATTCTCAATGATGAAACACCGCCACCCGGCTTCTTCAATTTCCCAACCGGGTATAACGGCAGAGCGAGTACCATCTACGTCTCGGGGACCCCAATCGTTCGGCCGCACGGCCATTTCTTTGATCGCACCGCCCCATCAGACAGAAAGCCCATCATTTACGGTCCATCAAAGGCAATGGATTATGAACTTGAGATTGGATTCATTGTGGGTAAACGTGTCTCTTCCTTACAGGGATTGAATGCAAAAGATGCCGAGGAGCATATCTTTGGGCTGGTGATCTTGAATGATTGGAGTTGTGAGTATTCATTCTCAGCCGGAGAATAAGCGTAGCGTTCGTATCGCATGAGATACTAACCGAATTTTTTATCTTTAGCTCGGGATATTCAAGGCTGTGAGATGGTGCCTCTTGGACCACTGAATGGTAAGGCATTTGGAACAAGCATCTCTCCCTGGGTAGTTACTTTGGATGCCCTAGAGTCATTTAGAACCCCGGGCCCTAGGCACGAGGTCGCCCTGGCTGGTCACCTCGAAGATGTCATTCAATCTGGCTATGCTATCAATTTGAAAGTGGAGTTGCTTGCTGGTGGCCAAGTGACAACGATCAGCGAATCCAAGGCCCAAGACTTGCATTGGAGTGGCAGACAAATGGCTGCACATCTCGCCAGCAGTGGTGCCGATCTACAAACTGGAGATATTTTGGCTACGGGCACGGTTAGTGGACCGACTGATGGAAATTATGGATGTCTCTTAGAAATCACCAAAGCTGGCAAGGAGCCGATAACGCTTTCCGACGGTTCAAAGAGGCACTACTTACTAGATGGGGATGTCGTTCGCATGACCGCCGTCGCTGGGGGATACGATTCTGGGGTTGGGTTTGGTGAATGCGTAGGTGAATTAAAGGCAGCACTGAGCTAATAATCCCCATGTTGATCTGATCAATTGGGCTGATGCCGGGATTCTGAAAAGAGAAGCGCCCTCAATTATACTGATACACTCACTCACTACCTTTGACGGGTGTGATGTTATAAATGCACAAATTATCCTCAAGATTGGGCAAGAAATTATAGACAGTTTTAAAGACAATGTCTCAAAATGGAACCACCCAGAAAGATCCCACTTATTCACGCCAACCCCATAGAGCACCCTAATTTTAGGTCCATATTTTAAAAGAACTTAGTTGACGCCAGTAAATGCACCAAATCAACGCTGAAGCAGAAAATGTTCTAGGTGTTTATACACCGACATTGTTGTCGCTTTAGCCCCATAGCGGCGGATGAATATACTCTTGTGCGCGATCCAAGATGTTAGGAATTGTCCATTCACCACTACCAGAGCTTTCCGGGGTAGGAGGTGGAAGGGATCCAACACTAGGAGTCATCGCCGTCGAAACAGGAGGAACAAATACAGCCGTTGATGCTGATGCGGCTGTCGCATTCGGATTAGACTGAATATATGCCGGACTACGTCCAGCAGATCCACGCGTTTGATGATTTCCAAAGGCATTGAGAAGCTTCTGTAGCGCTCGATGTGTTTTGGCCAAAGATTTGGCCCATTGCGTCTGATTATCTGCAGTCACTGCAGGCGAAGTCGGATCCATGCTAGACGAGTTCAAAGCCCCAGTGATTGGGTCATAGCTTCCCATGCCTTGAGGAGGGGAAGTCATGGCGCTCGCGGTGCCAGTAACATCCTCAGTATCATATGCGCGCTCGTTACTAGCACGTTGAGCAATTATGCTCTCTAGTTGGCGCAAAAGAATCCAAACTTTCGGTTCAGATTTTGCTTCCTCGATCACTGCAAGAAGAAAAGCTGAGCTGATAGCTCGTTGCAAGGCGATCCATGATCGTGATGCATGGGAGCTGATGTTGTGCATTTCGATATAAGCTTCGACAGTCGTCATGAGGTTTGATACACAGTCCCCACGCATGCTTGAGGTATCAGGATCATTCGAGTCAACAGATGGCTTGAGCGATGGTCGGCAGAGTTCCGACGAGATGTATGACGAGTGTAATTTGAGCACAACTCGTTCAAGATGCTCTGGCGAACTAGAGCACCACTTCGCATCTCGCAAGTGAGGCTTTGCTTCAACCATGATCCTCTTGATTCTTTCCTTATACCCTTGAATGGATTCGAAGCTCATTTGCGAATGTGGGCTGAGCATCCGAATGCGCACAACCTCAAGAGCGAGAGATATTACACGACAGAGGGTTTCAAAGTACGACAGATCGCCTGGCTTCGAGCCTTCACGGTATGCAATGTCTGGCTGACTGACTGCAGTAGTGGAAGGTCGATCGTAGGAAAGAGAAAAATGGCTGTCTTGCCAAGCCATGGACCACCTGAAAAGAATCAGTACAAGAATTTCAATCAATAATCCGCGGCTTTGAGAGGCCTTACCAGACATGTCGTCTACGGTACCGCTCCAATGGCGAAAATCTGCTTGATTCAACGTGCAACCCCAGTGCTAGCCCCATGCGAAGGGTCATGCCCAGTAGAACATATGAGATTCCGGGGTTCATATTGTAAGACAAGACATTTCCAATAACAAGGAGTGTTTGAATTGCCTCAATGGTCGGCTGAGACAAAAAGTTGGTCATGCGAAGGCATTGGTAAGAACAACACACTGCGATTTAGAATATTAGTAAATTGAACAAGTATTACGAACGAGACTAGATGTACCATAGACTTGAGATGTAAGCTCTCGTTCTTTGCTTCCAAGGTCGGATGACTGGCAGCCTGATGCCAAAACAGCAAACAGTAGACCCAGATAAGCAATGCTCACTCCGAAAGGATTCTGCGCTTCGTTGGCATCCTCTCGATAGACTCCTCCGGAGGCTGTTCTGTTCTGCAAAAGGAGCCTCAGACTATTCTCAAATTCATGAATATCTTCAAGAACAGGATAGATAGCTCCTGCAATATCTTTATAGCAAAAGAAGAATCTGTTTGCAAAGAGTTTAAACATTAGATAAACAGGTCACCAAAGCTTTCCGGGGCGGAAACAAAACTCACTCTCTACATTGCTGATCAGTCGGTAGGGCGCTGCATACAGCACTGATGTCAAATGTTGACATATCGGATGACCATAGGTCAACAAATGGATAAGTGGCAGATTCGTTGTCCAGACCCAACTTGGGTAGTATACCTCCTTCCAAAAGGGCCTGCAACTGATCCGAACCCGACTTGTTGTTCAAAATGTAAGCCAAGACTGAGCGCGATCCCAGATGAACCGTGCCTTTGCCAAGAGTATTTGCAGCGTGTATACCTTCGCGTTCTGGAGAGTTGCCTTTGGATCGGGAACTCGTGTCCCCGCTCTGCACACTCCCGGTTTCCAGTGCCACAGCCGGCCCCTCTTCAGCACGCTCGAGTCCCACACGCAGTGACGAAATGGTGGATTCCATTTCCCGGAGTCGGTTGCGCACATTATCCCATTCCTCCCGCGCGATGGACACACGGCCCCCCGAGCTTACGCCATTTGCCCGATTGGAGTACGCGGGAATAGGTTCGGAATTAACGTGTGTCGAATTATCATCGTGACTGTAAAGAGCGGGCTGTTCTAATGCCGAGCTTGCTGATGCACCGCCAACAGGGCTCTCGTGGAAGGCCTGCGGGCGTTTCTTGGACGGTCGTTCGTAGGAACAGAGATCTGCATGATCGCGCTTGACACAACCATCGCATGGTAGGTTACGATCGCATTTAACCTTTCGCGCGTGACATGGGTAACAGGCTTTGGGCTCCCGCGCTTTGCGCTTTGTCCGAATGATAGCGTCAACTTGCGCTTGTGGCAGATCGGAAACAGATCTGTTCGGCGCGGCGGCCATATCGGACGGCGAGAAAGATGTCGAGGTATGGTAGGGCGACGTCATTGTGCTTCGGTTGTTCTTCCCAAGCTCAGTATGGCCTTCGTTACGCTATCGTGCACGGCGGTCAATCCTAGGCTCAAACGCGACCGTTTAACACCTTAGATTAGACAAAGGGATCGACTTGAGGATGCAGAAGCTGGTATGATCTCTATTGTCAAATCATAAATCATGGAGTCTGCATGGGCGCATCATTTCAATAAGGCTCGCATCGTGGGCAGACAATTGTGTTCGATGTAGAAACGACGTGAAAGCTGAAAGCGCATCTCCGGCGGTCTTATCTGCCGTGCACGTGACGTGGGGTGTCCAGATGCGGAAGCCCGCTCGATAAGAAAAGTACGGGAATGTAGATGAGTGAATATTTGATAGCAAAAGTCAAATATGATTAAATTTCTTGGTATGTGTAATTATTTTATCCGTTTAGCAATGCATGTTAATATCATCAAAGCCATGATCATAGTATCATGTAAATAAAAAACATAAACAACAAAGCAAATGTTGGGGAATCTCGAGCACAATATTACGCAATTAACAGGCCGGCATCTTCTTAGAATATTCAAACAAAGAGAATGCTCGGTCTCCGACTCCTTCAGTCAACTAGGCCTTAACAGCCTTCTCCTCGTCATCGCTAAAAGCATACTTAGAGAAGCGACGGATGGCCTCGCCCTTAAAATAGAAGACATAGGGAATGGCACAGCAAGCCAGAGCGATAAAAGCAAGGAGTGAGCTTGCCCATTGGTAGCCCAGGCGGTCATACATCTGCTCAGTGAACAAAACTGTAGAAGCACCCCACATGGATCGAAGAAAAGTCTTGGCAGCCAAAGCCGAAGCAGCTTGATGCTGATAGGTATCGACTGTGAGAAAGGTCAGAATGGGTTTCATCAAAGACTATACAAGTAGAAGATATGTACTCACCAAGATAATTGTTTGCCGAGTTATACAGGAAAATAAAACCGAATCCAACGGGCCATCCACCGATAGCTGGGCCAAACCAGTGGATCGAAGGGTATGAGGTCCACGCAAAAATGAAAAGACCAATAGGAATGAGCCAGCACGACCACATCATGGGGATCAGACGTTTTTCTGCTGGCGGCTTCCCACCACATTGTGCCGAAATCTTGAGGTAATTCTTGTTGACAAATGGAGCGCAAGCCGCACTCATAAGCACGCCAATGGCCAGAGGAATGAACATCAAGCCAGTCATCGAGGCGCTCCAGCCTTTACCACCTTGGTAGACAATAGGGTACGCAACGAAGAACATGTACAGCAATCCATAGAGGACGGACATGTAAATTGCAATGAAGAAGACAATTGGCTCAAGGAAGAGGAGCTGGAAGGGGCGGAAAAGGAAAATGCGCAGCTTCTGGCCCAGAGGACGAGGGTCAAGCTCAGTCTCGGTGGTATATTTGGGGTCGTTTTCAGTCTTGCGCAGTTTTGCGGCTCGTTTCTGCAGCAGAATTGGCGCATACGTTTCGGGGACGGTGAACGTGATTAGGACCCAAGCAACAAAAGACAGAATCAATTGCAGCCAGTAGAGCCATCTCCAACCGCAGTTGTCACCAAGAAAACCTCCTGCAAGAGGGCCAATGGCAGGGCCAAGGAAAGGGGCAGCGCTGAAAGCTGCCATTGGAACACCTCGCTCTTCATTCCTCCAGAGATCGGCAAGGGTACCGCCAACCAGTGTCATGGGTGCACTGAATGCAATACCATCAATCAAGCGACAGACAATCAAAGTACCAATATTCTTTGCGACAGCGCAAGGAATGACAAATATCACAGCGATCAGCAGAGTAACGGCATACACTGGACGCCGGCCAAACATTTCTGACATTGGAGCAAATACCATGGGTCCTTGTGACTTTGGTTAGCAAAAGCGACGGTTCTGGAGGATTGCGTGACTTACCAACTCCGAACCCAATGACAAAAACGGTTACCACGACAAGACTGACTTCGCGAGCGACCCCAAAGCTCTCCATGGGACCCTCTAAGTCGGCGGTAATAACACTGCTGGCAAAGGCGACAACGAAGCAGGTAAAGGCGACAACCATAGTGCAGTACCATTTGTACAACTTGGACCAATTCTTAGGATTTTCGGGGTCATCAATAGTAAAGGTGACCAATTTCCAGTCCTCCATTTGGCCCGTAACGTTCGACTTGATTGGCTTGATGATTTCACCAGCTCGTGTTTCGGTAATGTATTCTCGAAGATCGGCTCCATCATTCAATTCACGGACAGGCAGATCGATATAGTCCATTTCTCCGGGGCCCGACCCCAGCGAGACTGTCCGGCTGGAGTCGTTGGTGCGGGTCTGCGGTGAATGAGGGGTCTCCATATTGTAATTATAGGACAGACCTATTGTTCAGTCAAGGGTGATATGTCGGTGTGCTCAATCCCAAAAATAGAGGAGAGGTGTGACAGCTGCGATGACCCTTGCTCTAGGGAGGCAGACCCCTGGAGGGCATGCCACATTCTTATATTGCATGACCATGGACTTGGGGGCCCCAAAATTTGAAATTTTTGACTATACGGGAGGGACATGCCGCAGGGAAAACCAGTGGATCACCTTCGCCAGTGCATGTATAGTCCTTGTAGTCGTGCCATCGGGGCGCTTTGCTCCACTAGGCACTGAGTTGCCCGAATGGGTAGTGTGGCGCTAGCCGAGAGAGGAAATATGCGTCGAAGGAACCGGGGAACGGCCCATAGCTCTTCTTGAATTTTGATATGCTACGTCTTTTAGCTGGACGTTTGGCCACTCATTCTCAATTTGGAGGGTTTGAGTAGGAGCCTGTCCAAGCTGGAATTCGAGAATGGGTTTAGAGGAGGAATGGGGAATTCTAAAATTCTGATTGCGTCTGTATCGTTCAATAATTGGGTTTTTCTTTTTTAGAGGCGCTCCACCGATAAGGTATGGCCGCATTCCCATGAGCTGTACTGCTCTCTCAGCTGAAGGTCCATTCCATCATTCAAAGCACTGAGTGGAACCTGTTTCTTCATTCTGCCTTATGAGAATTCAATCCTCTTGATAATTCAAAGTATGTTCCTCGTGGCAGTGGATCTGTCCGCTACCCGTGGCTCAGACCCAATTTCCCCTTCGGAGCGTCTTTCTTATTTCGGAAACGACTACCTTCTTCTTTCCCGAATAGGCAATTTGGGTTGGTTTTCTGCCAAGATTGGAGGCGAGATAAGAAAATCCTCGTGTGTTCTAGACCGAATGCATTAACGATGATTGCATAGAGCGATTTCTACATAGGAATAATGTGGCTCACTGAGTGAATAAAGTGAGCATTGTATAGTTCGGTCTTGTGGTAGATGAGCTAAATGCCGTCAATCCAAGTTAGATGTCTTTTCCGTCCCGAAAGTGGCTCATCATGTTGCCATTACTAGAAGCCACCCAGATATCGTTGCATTTTTATAGACTCTATTGCCCTGTGGTAACGGAGAATCTTTACCAGCTCAATAAATCCTTTTTGGACGGCCCAAGATAGCATTGAAATGAACCTGACTTATGCGTTAGGATCTGCTCCATGTTCAAGGAACAATTTTACTAAGGCTTTAGCATTCCTCATGATTGCAATAAACAACGGGATTCGCTCGTGTGTCGATGGGCCATTTGGATCGGCCCCGCCTTTTAGCATGATCTTTATATATGTAAGATCCATCCTAGGTATGGCTCTCACAAGCATGGTTTGTCCCTTCCATTCGGGGATATTTGTATTTGCCCCCCGTAATCGAGTAATAGTTTAGCTGAATCGTATTTCTTACCTTTCATAGCGCAATCGAGCGGTGTCATTGATGGACAATCATGCTCGGGCGAAAAGCAGAGACCTGGGATGTCGACTTCAGGTCCAAGTTCGAATAACAACTCAGTCATACGTGTATCTTTGAATTGCACGGCTACAGACAGCGGCATTCTAGTCGTGTTCCAAGATCGGGGTCGACACCACTCTGAAGCAAACACTCGGTCAACCATATGCACTGCCGGTGCACAGCAAGCCAGAAAGAAAGCCTCTTACCCTGCCTGGTCGGTATATTTGGGTCGGCCCATGCTCCAGAAGATGCTTGGCCATTTAATACTGCTTTGGCTCACAGCTTCAAAGATTGCTATGTGTCCAGTCTGAAAATTAGAGCAAGTGACGCTTTCTACGTCACCAGCACGCGTCAAAATGGGGTCGACAAGTTCCTCGTTGCCTGCTACTGCTGGTTCCGTCAGGGAAGCTGAACAAAGTTCATCTCGATGATGTACACTCCGTCTAATAAACGAAATGAGCGATGGTTTGTTTGTGCTAGCACGTTAATATTTGCTTAGTCAAGAAATTGGGCTATGGCCAAAAGGAGTTCCGTAGGTGACTCGAGACGCTTCTTTGCTCACAAGTCCCATACCAGCAGTCAGGGGCCACTTCCAAAGTAGAAATGATATACTGTAATATGAGACTATTAACTTATCCTTGCAATATATAGAATGCTAAAGGTCTATATAATTAAGGCAAGAAATGCTCGACCAGCTAAAGAACTAAAATTCCAAAGCCTCACAACCGCTGCCAGATAATCCCGCTTTAGCCCCCGGCAAGACCAATAACAATAAGCTTTCAGCCACTAGGTAGCTTAAACCCCAGGCAGGCTCTTTACCATTCCAAGATTCGACTTCGGAATTATTCTCGTTAGGATCAATCTCTTAAATTGAATCCCATATAAAGAATCACACCTCTTCGTTGGCTGAATCCAAGTCTTCTATTGTTCCTCCCAGATACAATGCCGCCCAATCACCACGTGACATGGTCCCGATAAGGCCCGCCGCAATCGGCCTAGGGCGGGGCCACTCATTTTTTCTGAAAAAAAGTTGAGGGAGTCATCGCGGGGTTTCTTGCTCAAGTCATTTTGAGAGGCATCCGAGCCACTCCACCTCCTTTTTCCCGAGGGAGGCTTGGTCCGAACCGAATTTAACGCAATCCATCGGGAGAATTCCATTCTTTACGATGGCTTCCACTGACTCTTTCCTCGCCATCCCGGGCTCTGTGGCGTTCTCTCGTTCGCGGGGACGCGCTATTGCGGAGAGCCTTGGTGTGCAGGATGTCCGCGCCCAATGGATTCATTATGTGCACAACTCTCAACCTCTGAACGAGTCACAGCAGTCAGTGCTCGAGCAACTGCTGCGCTACGGGGATATCAATGACATCCCGCCTACTTTCACGTCCGACGATGGCCAATTCGATACCTTCTACGTCTTCCCCCGAACCGGAACCATCTCGCCATGGAGCTCGCAGGCCACCGGTATTTCGCACGTCTGTGGCCTCCGTCACTCCGTCAAACGTATTGAGCGGGGTATGAAAATCTCATGCCTTCGCAGGAGCACCGAGGACTATAAAACTGGCTACATGGACCTCCTTCACGATCGGATGACTCAAATCATCAGCACCGACGAACCCGACCTTCACCTCATGTTTTCCGAGCACGCCCCCCAACCTCTAAAGACCATCTCTTTGCAGGGTGGTGACAAGACCCCCAAGCAGGTTTTGCAGGAGGCGAACAAGGAATTGGGCCTCGCCCTGGACGACTCGGAGATCGAATACTTGGCTGAAGCATATGGCCCCAACGGCGCTATTGCTCGTGATCCGACTGATGTGGAGTTGTTCATGTTCGCTCAAGTCAATTCGGAACATTGTCGCCATAAACAATTCAATGCTTCCTGGGTCATTGATGGCAAGCAGATGCCCAACAGTCTTTTTGCCATGATCCGAAACACCCACAAGAAGAACCCCGAGTACACTGTCAGCGCCTACAGCGATAATGCCGCCGTGCTGGAGGGCTCTGAGGCTGCTTTCTGGGCTCCTGATTCCACCACTGGAGAATGGAACCATACCAAGGAACTTGTGAATTTTTTGGCCAAGGTTGAAACTCACAACCATCCCACCGCCGTTTCTCCTTATCCGGGTGCTGCCACTGGCTCCGGTGGTGAGATTCGTGACGAAGGTGCAGTTGGCCGTGGCTCACGCCCCAAGGCTGGTCTTGCCGGTTATTGTGTGTCTGATCTCCTGATTCCCGGACACCGTCAACCTTGGGAACTGGATGTGGGCAAACCAAACCACATTGCAAGCAGTCTGGACATCATGCTGGAAGCGCCCATTGGCAGTGCAGCATTCAACAACGAATTTGGCCGCCCTTGCACCGCTGGTTATTTCCGTACTCTGACTACTGAGATCGACATTGGCAATGGTCAAAAGGAAGTGAGAGGATACCACAAGCCTATCATGATTGCTGGTGGTGTCGGTACTGTCCGACCCCAGCATGCCCTGAAGAACCCCGACATTGTTAAGCCCGGGTCTTACCTCGTTGTCCTGGGTGGCCCTGCCATGCTTATTGGCCTTGGTGGAGGTGCTGCCTCGAGTATCGCCTCCGGTGAGGGCTCAGCGGATCTTGACTTCGCCAGTGTTCAGCGAGGCAATGCCGAGGTTCAGCGAAGAGCTCAAGAGGTTATCAACGCCTGTGTGGCGATGGGTAACAACAACCCCATCAAGTTTATTCATGACGTTGGTGCTGGTGGTCTCTCTAACGCTCTTCCTGAGCTGATCCACGACTCCGGTCTGGGAGCGAAGTTCGAGCTTCGCGAAGTTGATAGTGCCGACCGCAGCATGAGCCCTATGCAGATTTGGTGCTGTGAGGCTCAGGAGCGTTATGTCTTGGCTGTTGGCGAAGATGGAATTAACAAATTTACTGCCATCGCCCAGCGTGAACGCTGCGGATTCTCCGTTGTCGGCCGTGGAGGCGGCACTTCGGAGGAGGAGAAGAGACTCATCCTGCTTGACCGGGAGTCCAAGGACTATCCGGCTCCCATTGACCTGCCCCTCTCTGTCTTGTTCGGCAAGCCGCCTCGCATGACCCGGACCGTGGATTCCCGCAAATTGACGCTACCTGCTGTGGACTCCAGCCTCGCCAAGTACTTGCCTTCCCTTTCCTCCAGGGTGGAGATTGTTAGCGAGGCAGTCAACCGAGTGCTCTCCCTCCCTGCTGTTGGCTCAAAGTCCTTCCTCATCACCATTGGCGACCGTACCGTTGGAGGTCTAACGGCCCGTGACCAGATGGTTGGCAAGTGGCAGACCCCCGTTTCCGATGTCTCCGTTACTGCTACCTCCCTACTTCAAGGCGTCAAGAGCGGTGAAGCTATGGCCATGGGCGAGAAGCCTACTCTGGCCTTGATCTCTCCTGCTGCTTCCGCTCGCATGGCCGTCGCTGAGTCTCTTATGAACATTGCCGCATCTGACTTGGTTGACCGCCTCAGCCGTGTTAAGCTGTCTGCCAACTGGATGTCTGCTAGCAGCCACCCTGGTGAGGGCGCAGCTATCTATGAGGCTGTTGAGGCCATTGGTCTGGATCTGTGCCCTAAACTTGGAATCAGTATTCCTGTTGGAAAAGACTCTATGTCTATGAAGATGAAGTGGAAGGATGAGGCCTCCAACGAAGCCAAAGAAGTCACTGCGCCAATGTCGCTTGTCATCTCCTCTTTCGCTCCCGTCAATGACTTCCGCAAGACCTGGACTCCGGCCCTCCGCAGTCTTGAGGATGTTGGCGAGACTGTTCTCATGTTTGTTGACCTTTCCTTCGGCCGCAAGACTCTTGGTGGTTCGGCCCTTGCTCAGGTCTTCAATGAGGTTGGCACCGAGTGTCCCGATGTCCACGACGTCGACCTCTTCCGCGATTTCTTCGACGCTACTCAGCAACTTCAGGAAGCCGGCATCGTCCTGGCCTATCACGACCGTTCTGATGGTGGTCTTTTGACCACCCTGGCCGAGATGATGTTCGCTGGCCGTTGCGGTGTGGAGGTTATGCTTGACAACATCTGTTCCTCCTTCCAGACTCAAGATATCATCGAGTCTCTCTTCAATGAGGAACTGGGTGCTGTCTTCCAGGTCCGTAAGGAGCACGAGATTCAGTTCCGCTCTTGTTTCGCCACCTGCGGTCCTCCTCCAGGCCTGATCCACAAGATCGGTCGTGTATCGGAGAAGAAGAAGCAGAATCTCACCATCTATCACAAGGCCTCCCTGGTGTATCGTGAAACTCGGTCCAACCTTCAACAGACCTGGTCCAAGACCTCTTACCACATGCAGAAGATCCGTGACAACCCCGAATGTGCCGAACAGGAATTTGAGAACCTCCTTGACGACGCTAACCCCGGTCTATCCTGGAATCCTACTTTTGACCCCAAGGACCGCGGTCTGCCTATCATGACCAGCCTTTCTCAGTACTCTCCATTCAGCAACAAGCCCCGTGTTGCCATTCTCCGTGAGCAAGGTGTTAACAGCCAGGCTGAGATGGCCTTTGCATTTAACGCCGCCGGCTTCTCTGCAGTTGACGTGCACATGACCGACATCATCTCTGGTCGTGTCTCGCTGGCTAGCTTCGCCGGTCTCGCCGCCTGCGGTGGCTTCTCGTATGGAGACGTCCTCGGTGCTGGTCAAGGTTGGGCCAAGTCTGTCCTGCTCCACGATAACACCCGGAAAGAATTCCAGGCCTTCTTTGAACGTCCTGACACTTTTGCGCTGGGTGTGTGCAACGGTTGCCAGTTCCTGTCGCGTGTCAAGGAGCTGATTCCCGGCGCTGGAAACTGGCCCAGCTTTGAGCGCAACACCAGTGAGCAGTACGAGGGTCGTGTGTGCATGGTTCGCATTGCGGATCCTGACCCATCACGCCCCAGCGTTTTCTTCCACGGCATGGACGGTACCTCGCTTCCCATTGCCGTCGCCCACGGCGAGGGTCGCGCTTCATTCGCCGGTACTCCAGGCACCACCGCCACTGACTTTGTGCGCGAGGGTCTCGCTCCCGTTCGCTACGTCGACAATGCCACCCTCAAGCCGACCATGCGTTACCCCTTCAACCCCAACGGCAGCCCTGAGGGTATCGCCGGTGTGCGTAGCCCTGACGGCCGTGTCTTGGCCATCATGCCTCACCCTGAACGTACCGTCATGGGTGGAATTGCAAGCTACCTGCCTCCGAATGCTGAGGAGTGGGGTGACCTCGGCCCCTGGGGTCGTATCTTCTTTAGCGCCAGACGCTGGGTTGGTTAAATTGGTACTTGCACCATTTTCTCGCATTTTTTTTGGCTGTATTTTTGTTATTTTATGACGATCTTGGAGTGGAAGGTTTCGAAATCATCTTTTTGAAAAAGCATTCATGAAACAGAAGGAATATTACGACCTACAAGGTCGTAGACGGTGCTTTTAGATGAAACACATTAGGTAGGTATACCAAAATGCAATCACAATTATTTTAAAGTTCTCATTTCATTTCGTCTCATGAGTTGTGGGTTACATGTCTCGTAATTGCATTAAATCATCAAGAGCCAGTTTTCCAGCCAGGTATCATCAGTAATGAGCAACGCCAGACCCATCGACATTCGTTTGAATGTTTTTTTTTTTTTTTTTTTTTTTTTTAGATTTTCTGCCACCCTTTCCGCCAATCTAATTTTTCTGCCAAGATGTTCCAGCTAGGTAGACCATCCGCGCGAGCAACACCTTTGAGGCCATCGGCAACGAAGGTAATGAGGTGATCGAATCTGCGCTTTAGATCTCGCATTTGATATTCGTAGGAAGACTCTCGGAATGACACTGTCAGAGTGTGCTCGTGTTCAAAATCGTCTTCCTCGTCGGAATCATAGTCGGAATCTTCATTATTTCTTCTTCGAAATACGTCCAATTCACCAACATCACCCTGTTTGACGAGGTCATTCTCGGCAGCATGCACCGCTTGCAAGTCTGCAAAGTGAATACAGAGGTCTAGAAGATTAATAATTGCTTCTCGGATTGGTGAAAGATTGTCGGATAGAAGACACTGATCTTCCAGAGAAGACATATAGCATCGATGAGCGGCGATCATAGCGTCAACATCCGGGGCACTGGACAGAGCGGAAATTAATGACTGATTTGCGGTAGAAATGACAAGATGCGTAAGGTGTGCGTAGATGATATCAAGGAACCAGAGGAGATGATGATGCAGGGCGTAAACAAGAGTATCGAGTCTGTCATCTCCCAAGGCTTTTCGAGCATCTCGTATACGTCGTTTCACAACAGCATATTTTGACCTTCTGATCTGCATCAGGAATGTTGCAATTTGTCGGTAAGACCGGATAGCATCTCGTGTTATGAGGTTCGCAACAGGCCATGGAAGTACATAGTCAATTGAAATAGTTTCAAGTATTCTGACTGTGCGGGTGAGATCCTGGGAATCATGAGTGGAGGATCTATCTGATCGTACCACCAGCCTTGAGAGGTCGATACAGGGCTTTGTTCCAAACGCCGACCTCGTAACCTCGGTCAGAAGGAACTTATCATCCCACGATCGACCTCGGTCCATTAACTCAAAAATCTTAGCATCAATCACACTGAGGATACCCAAGTCTTGAGCCAGATAGGTATGTTGCAGAGCGTCGAGTGAAGCCCACAGGCCGCATTGTTCATCAAGTTCCGTTCGGAGGAGACCTGCGCTAATAGAATGATTAGCATCAACCAGCCGGTTGAAAGCAGTCTCCACTAAGGCAGAGAAAGGAAGCGACAGTGAAGACGACAATGTCAAGGAACCCATCTTGTCAAGCATGGTGTCGGACTTTAGAGCAGATTCCGAGAGATCTGGCAATGCATTCAAATGACGTAAGAAGACCATGCTCTTGCCGATATTGAACACTCTGCGGATGCCAGCTTCCAAAAAACGTGGGATTTTCTGTTTGTCGAGACCTTCATCTAACATGAACCAGTCATGCCAAAGCGTTCTTAGGTCACCATTTTCTTGATTCTTGCGCACAAAGAATGCCGTATCTGAAGGATCGACTTGACCCGTCTCCATCCATAGCTGAATAGATTGTGTATAAGTTTTGAAGCAAGAGAAGAAAAGAGTAGCAATGATTTGGCATGAAGAATCATTGCCAAGCGCCTCCATCATGCAGACCAAATCATATAATAAATTGAGGCACCGCATTGGTTCAGTCGAGTTCGATCCCAGTTTGGATATCAAATCCGATAGAAGCAGTAGATCATTGGAGCGCTGGCGCACACTATCAAGCAGTTGGAGGATGCTGACCGTCGAGCCAGCAGATAGATAGTCCCTTTCTATTTGAGACAAAAATCCATCAAACTCACGCAGGTGGTCTTCAATACCTCTGCAGAAAGTCTGCATATAAGGCAAATCCTGAGGTGTATCCGTAAAGCGTCTCACTGCGTCAAACTTAATGCCAATTTGAGTGAAGGACTGTAAAATGAATGAGAGCGCCACGCTAGATGAATGGTCAAGTGTATATCTTTGATCCACTTCAATTTCTCCATCAAACCGCCAAAATATGGATGTTGGGAGACCTCGTAGCATGAAAATCGTTTCTCGCGCGAGCTGCAGTTCGGTGATGACTTGAGATGCATGTCCATCTTTTTGAATGGCTGAGGTGTGAACTTTGGGATTCCAAAATTGGGATTTACCCAAGGATTCAATGAGTCCTTCATCTCTGTCGGGGATAAAGATTTCGTTTGGCATAACGTATTCTACTTCCGGGGTAATGTGTGCCTCGGTGACGGTTTGCGGAGGAATGGATACCTCGCTAGTTATTGAAGAGAAGTCGTCATCCGAAGAGCCGGCAGCAAAGTCCACTTCTTCCCAAATGTCCTCATCGCTGAAGGCAGTTCCATGAGCATCGATATCTGCCCATGATAGCGTCGCTTCTTCAGCAGGCGCAATCGGTACCAGTGTCTCCAGCCGTTCAACTTTAGACAGATGAGCTGGGCGATCCGATAATTGCAGGAGCAAGCTCAGAATTTCGGGGTGCCAGGAATTATCATGTGTCTCTAACTCTGCAAGCCGATTGCGAAGAGCCACAGCCAAGTCATCACGATCCAGCACCTGGAACTTCTCCTGCAGGCCATCCAGCTGGCGGGCCACTGCAAATTGATCAGTTCGCCCATGAACCCCGGGACGTAGTAGTTCTCCTACGCGACTTTTGAGTGTCTCAAAGTGCGGAGACTTCTAAAATAACTATTAGCGACCAGGTTTTATCAAAAACACCAAACGATTGCAGATGCGAATCATTACTTTTTGGGCCGGCAAGACTCCAACGAGGGCAGTGATCAACTCCTCGGTGAGTGAGCCCACAGTCGCCGGCGCCATGGTAGATCTGCAGGGAATCAGGCCAGACCGTTCGTTGTTCCAGACAAAAGGTTCTCAATTGCCGTTATTATTGAGTTCCATCAAGTATTAATATGCGTCAACTTGATGGAGACGCCGCGCGGAAGCCAACTGGACGCGCGGTGTGCGGGCGCTAGTCCATAAAGGGACAAGGCGGGTAGTGCTGAAATGCAATGTTTCGGGGGCTTCTGGACACTCTGCCCCTTTCACCTCCAACTCAACACAATGGCGATCGCACGTCCGATTCGCATGCTGGGCGCAGCATGCATTCTCTTGACTCTTTTCCTGGTCTTTCAGATGAACCAGGGTGCTGAAAAGCAGACCTCCAAGCTGGTCCATGGCATGACTCGAGACCCTCTATTAGATCGTTCGTTGCCACTCGCGCACTTGTTTGCGATCGCGGAAATCATACTGACGCCAGCGCAATAATAGCCACGGGAGAACCAGAAGGGAATCTATGGCGAGCCGAAGATCACGACTATAAGCCGGAGAGCGAAAATTCGGCCCGCACCAATGCCGCCCTCATCTCCCTCGTTCGCAACGAGGAACTGCACCAGTTGCTTAGCACCATGGCTGATCTCGAACGCACATGGAACAACAAGTTCAACTACCCCTACATCTTCTTCAATGACAAGCCATTCACCGAGGAGTTCAAACAGAAGACTCAGGCCGTCACCAAGGCCAAGATTCAGTATGGTACGGACAAGGCAAATCTTTTTCAATTCTCAAATTAGTCGCCCTGCTTGAGAACCGAGGAACAAGGCTGACCGTCACTTTCATTACAGAGCTAGTACCCAAGGAGCACTGGGATGTCCCTGATTGGATCAGCATGGACCTCTTCCGTGAGTCCGCTCAGATTTTGGAGGAAGAAAACATCCAGTACGCCTCGAAGATATCCTACCATCAGATGTGCCGTTGGAACAGCGGGATGTTCTATAAGCACCCTGCCCTGGAGAAGTACCGTTACTACTGGCGCATTGAGCCCAATGTTCAATTCTTCTGCAATGTCGACTACGATGTGTTCCGCTATATGGAGGACAACAATAAAACCTACGGCTTCACCATTAACCTCTACGATGCCCCGCAAACAATCAAGACTCTCTGGCCGGAGACCCGCAAGTTCCTGGCCGCGAATCCCTCCTACCTGAGTGATAATAACATGTGGGAGTGGATTGTGGATGACCAGGTCCGTCCCGAGCATACCTCGGGTGCTAGCGGATACTCCACCTGCCACTTCTGGTCCAACTTCGAGATCGGTGACCTTGATTTCTTCCGTGGCGACAAGTACGAGGCTTATTTCCAACATTTGGATCGTGCCGGTGGTTTCTTCTATGAGCGCTGGGGTGATGCACCTGTGCATTCTCTTGGTATCGGTTTGTTCGCGGATGCCGCCAATGTGCACTGGTATGTATTCCGCCTATTCCTCTATTTTACCTTCCTCCATAAACCCCATCACTAATGACTTCTCAGGTTCCGCGACATTGGGTACAATCATATCCCCTACTTCAACTGTCCCAATTCACCCAAGTGTTCCGGCTGCACACCCGGTCAGTTCTATTCTGGCGCCCCCTTCCTTGCCAAGGAAGATTGCCGCCCGACATACTTCAAATATGTCGGTACACACTAAGTGCTATATCACGACAAGCGATCTACGACTGTCGCCTGTTATTTCATGAAACCGATACATCTTGCATCCCCTTTCTGCATTCCCGATGAGTATATTTCCAACAACTCAGTGGTTTGGTAACTGGCGTTTGAGCGGACTCTTACCTATTGATGAAATTCTGTCCTTTTTTTTCTCCTTTCATTTTGTTTCCTTTTATTCTCACTGTCCTCTACTCCTTCTCACAAAACACGCTTCTGGCCGCTGTAGCTTCTCCAAAGCTTCGACGGATCTAGCTTTCTCTGTACTTATATTTGACCGCACATTGTCAATTTTCTGAGGTTTTCAATATCTTATTTTCTTCAAGAACGAGCCATATCTCGATTCATCTAGGTGAGCCTTCCAGTCGCCTAGTTCGTAAGCGAGACTTATCTACTCATAAAAAGACGGGGGTGAATAGATTGAACATGCATGTTTTTCTTTGTACATCTTTAGCCGTACCCATACAGGACCAAAGTCAGAGGCAAAGCAAGACATGGCCAAAGAGTGGATATCCGTAGGGGTTATACAGAAATACGAGAGGCGCAAGTGCTGAACAAGAGAGGAAGATAGATTAAGCACCAATCAAGGCACACAAGAACCTTTTCCAGACAACGGCAGTACTAACAACACAAGAGATCTCTAAAGTATGTATACAGCTTTCTCTTCTACCCGGTCTGAGCACCCCAGCCAAAAGGAAATGCGTGATCGACCGCGGCAGTGATCATGGGCAGTGGGTAAACAACTGATAGGGGGAGGAGAGAAAATTGATGGGAGGGAAAGGTGGGAAAACAACACAATGGACGCTAATCTACTCCTCCTGGGGGTACAGCTCTTCCCGAAGAGCAACACCCAGCTCCTGGCGCAGACCCTCGAGCTGCTCAAGGTATTGCTTGTACTGTTCCTGGTTCTCGACCTTGGCCTTGATGCCTGTAAGTGATGTTTTAGTGTATTGATTCAATAGCAGGAGGCAGGAGTAAGTTTTGGTTTGCGCATACCCTCGAACACACGAACGGCAGTGGGGAAGTCGTTGACACGGCGGGCGGCCTTCAGGGCAGCAGTGAGAACCTCAACGGAGGGGACGAGATCATAGGCGAAGCAGTTGTTCAGGTTGCGCTAGATGGAAGGTCGCTGGTCAGTCAAAGGTCTCTCAAATCTGGCAGTACGACAAAGGGTGCAATTGAAGCTAGGTTGAAATTGACGGGAGATATCGCAATGGGGGGTCCGTCATCTCCCGGGAGATATGACAATTGGATCTTACCTGGAGCTCGAAAACGTCCTGCACACCATCAAATTCCTTCTCGAATCTACCGTTGAAAAGCATGGTCAGTCAAAAAAGTTCAAACATGACTTTGAAGAACAACAAAGCAAGACCCGGGTAGCGCTGAGAGCGGAGAGCCGGAGCACCCCGTTCCTCTTCTCTTCCTTCCTCAGACAGCTGCCGAGGCCAAGGCCCCATGGGACAATCGTACCTGGCAGAGAACTCCTCATATGTCTCATCCTCGTGGCCGGAGAGGAGCTTGGAAGTGGTGCCGAAGTTGTGGGCGCGGACGGCGGCCAGAGTCATCGGGGTCTGCATCCGCGAGCGAACGATCGGAGCTCGGACGAAGCTGGAAGGGCGGACGGCGCGCGTCGCAATGCGGAAGATAGACAGAGACGACATTTCGGAGCAGAGTGCGAGGCCGAATCAATGGAGAGCGGGTGGTGAGGGGGAATTGGATGGAGACGGGGAAGGGAGGAGGACGAAGTGTCGTGTACCCGGCTGGATTTTGCGGGTGGTGTGGTTTCGCGGCCTGAGGCATAAAATATTAGGCCACGTGCTGAGTCATCACCCGATGTGGCCCGTTTGATCGCAAACGCTTATCGTTGATTGGCGGCAGTCGAGCGTCATGCTTCAAAGTGCGTGTCATTGGCGGGAGAGTGTTTAGCATCTCTATTGCACGCAGGATTCGGAGGTCTGGGTTTGGGGTAGTCGATCAAAATCAGAAGACGTAGAGGAATGGTTTGTGTCGGAAAATATTATCTCATCTTAAATCTTGTATATGAAGTCACCGTAGAGAACAATGTGATGATGTTACATTTTGCTACCGAGGAGATATATATCCGGAAATACTCGAGGTGTAGTTGTTGAAGAAATGAGAGTAGAGAACATCTCAAACGGCATGAAAACCAAGATAATAAGACAAACAGCCCAATAAGTATGACCCGAATAGATTCACATTCCTAAATTTCGAGTCAACTTCCTTTCATTCATATACAAGGTTAACAAGTATAGGACGGTGAAAATGATGGATATGAGACAGAACAAATTTGAAGACGAGCTTTCTAAAGATATGCTTTGTGGAATGTGCACAATTTGTTAGAAGTGATTTGTGTATATTTCTTATCTAATGTAGAGCGTGTGACCAGACGTTCACAATGATAGACTGCAAAGGCAGTGAAGAGTTGGAAAGGAACCTAGGGGGCCAATATTTGAGATCTTACCAAATAATACGAAGATTCAGAAAGCAAGCCATTGGTACATTATCCCTTGTAATCTACTACGTAGTATTACATCGAAAAGTGAGTGTTCAATTATGGTGGTGGCTGACGAGGCCCGGATGTTTGCAAAGTACACTAAATCCATAGAGCTCGATCTCGATGTAATTAACCGCAATCCATGAAGACGTACTTCACCTTTCTTCTCCTACAAATAGACAACAACAACTCTAGTAGAGAGCCCTTGGCCTAATTGGTGTTACAACCTCGGCAAGCGGACTTATGATTAGACCTTGGTGGATGGCACACCCCTTAGTCCCGTGGCATTCAGCTGTAACCACGCAGACTAGCCGGAGGGGAGTCGGTAGATTTCCCATTCGATCAAGAATTTGGGTCCTGCTAGGCATCGCCAAATACAAGTACCACCTGGCCGCAATTGAAGCATGATTTGAAATCGCTCCTTGGGATGCAAATGGATTGGGCCGATGTATAACTAACTACTAGTGACGACTAGTATATTTCGCCTTGCCCAGTCAGGCCGCCTTTGATTATGCCCGCCGCATGTGAAAGTTAAGCGGGTACCTGAAAACATCAGTCCTCAACATTCATCCCCAATCCTTTTGCACCACCATGAGGCAGATATTATGAATTAAAGAGCGGGTCAAATCAATAAGAACACAAATTGGATCCTTTTACTTCAAACTTATCGATTGAAGATCTGGTTCGGCCTTTGTGAACAGGAGTAGAAGTACCCCAGGACCCTCGGAAGCCACGGCTGGCGATTTTTCCCCCTTTTACGGCAGCGCTAGACCGCATTTGGCGCTCAACGGACGCGCCGGGGACGCAAAAAGTAACACGGCTCTTCCTCCCTTTTCTTCCTTCTTCAACGTCGGTCCTTTCCATTCCTTTCGCCCTTTGCTTTCTCTTGGGCTCTACTACTTGTTCGCATATCGGCGACCTGTGGCCTGAGAAGCTAACCTACAATTCCCTCCCCTCGGGTTGTTTTTGATTCCCCTCCGTGACAGAGTTCTTCCACCTGTCCCGTTTGGACAACCCCCCGGTTCATCATGGCTGAGTTCCTTCAGAATGTGCCCCTCCCGACCCTGGATCGACCCTTTGGTGTCCACCTGTGGCCCATCTTCGATCAGGCCTACGAGAAGGTGATGGGTTACCCGGCCTCCGAGTTCAAGTTCGTTGAGGGCGTCACCCCTCTGTCCACCTTTAGGGACACCGCGACCATCCTGGTTACCTACTATATTATCATCTTCGGTGGTCGTGAGGTCATGAAGAAGCTACCGGCCTTCAAGCTCAACACTCTGTTCATGATCCACAATTTCCTCCTGACTGCCATCAGCGCCATCCTGCTGGCCCTATTCATTGAGCAGCTCCTCCCGACTCTCGTGCGCCACGGTGTCTTCTACTCCATCTGTGACCACAATGGTGGATGGACTCAGCCACTCATCATTCTCTACTACGTAAGTCGTATCAGACTCAAATTCTCGATATTCACGCGACTGACATATCGCTCGTATAGCTCAACTATGTCAACAAATACGTTGAGCTTCTGGACACCGTCTTCCTGTTCCTCAAGAAGAAGCCCCTGACCTTCCTCCACACCTATCACCACGGTGCCACCGCCCTTCTGTGCTACACCCAGCTCATCGGTCTGACTGCTGTGCAATGGGTTCCCATCACTATCAACCTGCTGGTCCATGTTGTGATGTACTGGTACTACTTCCAGAGTGCTCGCGGTATCCGTATCTGGTGGAAGAAGTATATCACCATGCTGCAGATTATTCAATTCGTCATTGATCTCGGTAAGTGATGATATATTATTCAATTCTTCTGAATCGAAAAGCAGCGATGTAAAAGGCGAACCCAGGCTAACGAGCATGCTAAAAAAATTAGGCTTCATCTACTTTGCGTCCTACACCTACTTCTCCTCCACCTACTTCCCATGGGCCCCCAACATGGGTAAGTGCGCCGGAGAGGAGTTCGCTGCCTTTGCTGGTATTGGTATCATCACATCGTACTTGCTTCTCTTCATTTCCTTCTACATCGCCACCTACAAGAAGGAGACCAAGGTCGGCCGCCCGCGCAGCAACACCGGCCGCAAGTCTTTGATCGACATGAAGAACTTCGAGGTTCCCTCTCCCGCTGCCCAGAGCAATGGCAGCGCCAAGGGCTCCAACGGCACTGCCACCGCGACTGGCCGCTCCAACGGTCCCGTCACTCGCTCCCGCAAGGCGTAAATGGCGAGAGCCATTCGAAGTGAAGGTGTTTGATATTCCTCACTTTGGGCTCGTGGAAGTGCGATGGGTGGGTAACATCCCAGGTGAGATCTGAAGTGTTTGCGAAACCAACATCATCTTCCGATGACGAAATCTTCGAAAAATTCCTCGAACATATTGCGACTCGAACACAAGGGAAAACGAGCAGAATGAGCTGTGTGATTGCTCAGTGGTGGTTCACTTTATATTCGTTTTAATGAATGATCTTTCATGAGGCCAGGCTCTCGACGGTCTGGTGGATCGATGCGGCATGGACCTGGTGTTTGCGACGAGAGAAAACTGCGAGGACATGGAAGGAGGCGAAGGCATTTTTTCTGGCTTTTCTTTTCACCCGGGAGTGGACTGTCGGGCAGATCCCTTGTTTCCCGGTTGTATTTTATAATGTCATCTTCTTCTGTTCATGTTTGTTGTTATCAACCCGCAGTCTGCTGGTGGCAGGCTCCCTTTTTCTTTTTCTTTTTTTTTGCGGTTGCATCTTTCTGATTCTATTTGTTAGTAAAGTACTTATAGATGCTAGTTTCACATATCATGCTAAATGTAATCACTTACGTGAGTTTCATTTGCTCTTTCGTATTCTATTATATCCTGGACCTGGACCGTAACCTGAAAGCATGGTTCTAGTTGGCTTTGCAAGGTCCAAACAAAAAGCAAGTAGATGAACCTGGTGCATGGCTGCAGTCCGCATTACAATGAAGATCTCCGAGTACATTCACAGGACCCAGACATTCTCCTGCAAGTCTTGCCGATAGCTCTTGCAGCAAGCTGCTTCGGCTATCGAGCAGAACCGGAGAAAAGCCAAGGCTCGGCCGAAAATGGTGATTCTTGGGGGATTCATTTGGCAGCTTCTCGGACAGTTCGCGACCTGACATCAACACAAACACTCCGACGTTGAGGGGGAAACGAGGTCCACGTCAAGTCTAATATGCTGCATCACATCCGGCGGGTTCCATGCGATGCAGGTACGGACTGGGGTGTAGATCGGTGCAGATGGCTTGTGCAACGGAGCACAAATAATGCCACGAACTGACAGGTCGAGAGTCGGCATATCGGCATCTCGGCATGTTGGTAAATCGCGACGATCGTTATATAGCCAGCATATTGAAGGTCAAGTCTGCCAACCTCCAGTGCAAGCAGCGTGGACGTGCTGCAGGGCCAGTCAATCACTGAATCCCCGCCCCCCCCAGCCATTTTGAAGATGGCGGGCGTCGGAGGCTGGTCCCCATCCGAAGCACGGTGCAGACAATTAACCATCTGCCTTAAGCGGTTTTTGGAGGACTCCGTGCATCGAACAATAGTGGAGCCTGTGGTGACAGGTCGATCATTGACCCGCCAGCCCTCAACCAGGAGGCCATGCGTAACGGGCAATCTTCAATAGTCCAACTGATAATGACCATCGATCCACCGATTCACTAGTACGGAGTATTGAACGCTGCCGTGAAAGGCTGGGGAACCTGACAGATCAATTGATCGGTCGCCCAGAGGACAGGAAGTGCAAGATAGAAGAAAAGAAGAAGAGGCTGGGTAAGCACCTTGCTGTTGGACCGTAATACGCCATGAGATCGCCGAAGTCGAGAGAATGGATTGCATGTGAGAGAATCACGCAGATTCTGCAATTGCTCAGTCCTCAAACTCATACAGCCCTGATAGAAATCTGACCGTCTGCCGAATTTGAGCCCACGACTCACAAGCGTGGAGCGTGGCGCGTGGCGCGAAATACAATTCTTAGCATGTTTCTTGTTATCATGACCGGGCGAGTTTCAAAGGTCGGTGAAGGAGACAAACAGAGGGCGCCCTCGTTGCCTCATACCCACCACCAGGTCTTTTTCTTATGGATTCAGATACCGAGGTGGACTGACATTCTGGCGGAATTGGCAATTATTGCATCATGGCAGCGGCTACTGTAACCGGTTCGAGCAAAGTGGAAGCTGTCAGCAGGAGCTTGGACATTGAAGTCCAGCGGCGGCATCGCTGATGGGTCATTAGCTCCGGACAACCTTGCCTGAAGAGGGTCCTCCGCAACGGGGTAGGACGCTGGGAATGACAATGGCGTTTGACATGCGACGATGATGATCTAGTGGGTGGACTGCAGGTGATAGATGTTCTGGAGGCTATAAATAATCGAAACAATAGCGTGACAAGACGCTGGAAGCTTAGACCCAGTGGGGAGTTGGGAAGGAAGAGTGCATGAAGAATTCGCCGATTCGTGGGGACTTCTTGAATGCAAGGAGGAGCATTCTGCATTGGCATTCGTTCCTGCTTCGTTTAGGGAAAGGCTGCAAGTAGGTGAGTTTGGGATGGACAATAGCGCATGGGATCTACAGGAAGACGCATGACGGTCATTTTCATCCTGCTGGTGCGGTGAAGGAGGAGACTTGTTTCCCTCCGGATCTTCAGACTGGCCTTGTTCAAATGTCCCTTCGAGGGAGCGAACAAAGGGCACAGAATGCTCCCTGTCGAAGGGAAAAAGCATGAGCGTTTTGAGGAGTTTGAACCGGTCAACCAAGGTCTAGATCGGTAGGGCACTATGTACTATGTACTGCATACTTCATTACTTTCATACTTCCATACTCCGCAAGGTACACACGGACTTAGTTGACTTCTGACATCAGATGGACAGTAGGATTTCTCCTTTCTCATACCTACCCCCCCCTGATATGCAGTATCCCTTTAGAGTTCCTCTCGCATTGCGTGTTGCCCTTGGCCTATTAGGGCTAGAGACCGACAGGGTGAAAATTATACTCCGTCCAGTCCTGAGGGATCTTCTCTGCCCCGTGCTCTGCCTAGTGCACATCCATCAAGGTAGGAGAGGACTTCAGGATCCCTGATTCGACCTGAAGAATACCAGCAATTGACCAATTCTCCGGCATAAACAAGAAACATTAACTTACGACCCTGGTCGTTTACCCGCAATATGTTCGGCGCCTCGCTCGTGCCCCTGGCATCCCTGATGAACGGTAAAAGAGTACACTTCGCAAGGATCCCAATATTGGGTCGGACTCGTATTTCGGTAGCAAGCTACCGGGTCCCACCGAGCGTGATCGCCGACGGGTTTGTGTTTCGAGGTCAGACACGGCGCCCCGGGGAGTTCGTGGTAGCGTGTTTGAGTTAGACCTGAGGCCCCACCATTCTGGAGCGGCGGCTAAACTTGGCAATTACCTAGGGGATTTCCAAATGGTCCAAGGCAGCCCTGAGGACGTGGCTGGCGGGGGGAAGGCCGTCTGAAAATAATGGCCATGCGGACAATTAGCTTGGAGAGTTGCACTGGCCCCACTGGCACGCTCCACTGCGGGCGCTTCGAAAGGAACGGTCGGGTGGACCGATCTTTCGTACATTCTTGCCGGTGGAATCGAATACTATTGGAACGGTTTTGGAAGACTGGAAGATTGGAACGGGTTGGAAATATGGAACGAAAAGGTTGAAAGAGTTGGGAAGTTGTTTTGGTGGCGGCGCTCGCAAACTAGAGCCAAAGGAGGGTTTCGCAACAAATCGGCTTGGTATACGCCGTGTTGGCTTTGGGGACGGAGTCAGTAGATAGAACATCCTACTTGGCAGCTTGACATGACTTGGAATGGGCGTACTGCACCACTCGGTTATTCTTACAATGATGACTCCGAACAACGATTGAACACGCTGCAACTTCCTTCCTCTCCCTCCCTGTCGCCCTATCCTTTCTATCCTTCCTATCATGCTTTGTATGAGTGTCGTAGGGTTCCTAGGTTGAGTTCTGTACAGCCCCAGCTTTCGACCCTTGTGCAGTTTTCAGGTTCTTTTCGCTTTGTGGCTTTGGATTGTCTGCTCTCCTACTCTCCTATTCACTTGTTCTCCTGTCCCCCCCCTTCTCCCTTAACCCGCGTATGTAATGGCATCCCCATCCAGGCAATCTAGCTGCCACCGCCAGTCCCTGCGGCGGCCCCTCTCTGCCAGTGCTGACTGGCTGGGCCTCACAGGCATAAACCGCCTATGACTGGCTCGTCAAGCCCCCCAGCCCCAGTGGCCTTGTTCCTTGTTTATGTTTTCGTCCTGCCTCCTCAACCTGACTTGCTGCAGCCCCAGCGTTGGGCGCATGGACCACAGCCAACGACAGCTCACGATGATCTATCAGATTTTTCTCCGGCGTTACAGAACACGCCCTTTTTGGGGAGAGTTTGATTTGAACCAGCGTCGAGGGGGAAGAGAGGGGGCGTTCTTGTGTGGCTCCCCCTGATTGTCAAAGAAGCGCGGAATAATATTGTTTTCGATACTACCATCATGGCCCCAGCCTCACGACACGGGGTGTGTCGCCGGATGATGAAACGGCCTAAAGCCAGGCTCTGGAGCATCTGGCAAACTGGTCCCTCCAGTCGACCTCAATCCCGAATGCAAGGGTCAGTAGTCTCCAATCACGCTGCTTCGCGCTCCGGAGGGTTCACTAGCCGGGCGCGTCCGGCCAATCTAGGGCCGTGCTGGGGTCCTCCTGCAGGAGCAAGCCATTACGCCAATAAAAACCACTACGAAGAGAGTGCCAGGGGGTGGGGGGCAGTAAAAAAGGAAGAAGAAGCAAGTCAAGGAGGAATCAGAAAAAGGAAAGGGTCATGCCGGATCTGGCAGATACGGTATACTCCCTGTATGTATAGTTTTAATTCAAAATTCAAATATTCGTGGAAACGATAGGACCCTCCCGCAGGCGGAGTACAGAGTACTTGGCCGCCGCTAGTCCCCGCCATACAGAGTCAGGTACCTGTACAGACGCTGCCCAGCGCCTTGTATAGGGTGCAGTGCCTGAACAGTCCTTGGACACGTACACGTGGACAGGGATTGATCGCTCAAAAAAGGTCGATTTCCCCTCTTCTTCATCTTTCCCGGTGGATTCCACAAAGTGGGACCTGGTTTCTATTTCTTCATACTTCTAACCTTGACAGGCCAGGGCGGCTCCCCTGCTCTCGTCCTGTCCGTCCTGTCCGTCCTGTCCGTCCTGTCCGTCCTGTCCGTCCTGTCCGTCCTGTCCGTCCTGTCCGTCCTGTCCGTCCTGTCTATCCTGTCCCTGTCCCATATCCTGCCCTGACCCTGCGCGTCCGAGTCCACGGACCATCCATTCTCGGCGGTTCCACTTGACTTTAAAGACCTGTTGCCGACGTCTCAAGTGGGCTGTTTTTGTGTCTTGGGTTGGACCTTCCATGCACTAGACTCTTCACACTCCCGGATCTCCAGGACTACCGACGACGACGCTGGCGGTATTTGACATCAAAGGCCTTGAAGCACGTTGAGGACTGGTTTCCTCTCGGCATTACGTCTATTTCTCCTTCTCCTTCTCCTGCTTCTACTTCTACTTCTACAACTCCCTTTTCTTTTTCGGGGACCATTCTCAAGGACCATTTGCTTCTTCGCCTTACGACTCTCTTCTGTGAACGACGACACTTGGCTCATCTGGTCTGCTCTGGCTCCTCTCTTGTCGTGCTCTTGGCTTCTTTCAATTGCCTGTCTGGAACAGTCGGATCTCCATCCCGAATGACCCTTAACAGGATCGACTTCCCACTATTCTCTCTGTGAACGCTTGTCTAAGATGTATGAGTCCACGACCACCGTTCTCTCTCTGCACCGCCTGAGCCGACAAAGTCTCCGGAGTCTGCAAAAACGATACGAATCCGACGAGGAGGATGTATCCGAGTCCGATGCAGGCGGACATGATTTCGTCCCCTCTCTAGTGGGTTCTCAGCGAGCCGCGGGGGCTTTTGATTCCGACTTGAGTGCCGACGAAAACTCGCATATGGATCCGGATTCGGACCGGGACGAGCAGCTGTTGGCGCCCTATCGCGGGGCGAAAAGACAGCGGCCGGTGTCTATGGACACGGTTAAGCGGAGCAGTGATGCCACCTTTGATGGAGATGCCTATGTCTTTGACCCCGAGCAGGAAATGGTTCTGGAACTTCCCTCGCCAGATAGTCCCGACCCTCTGGCATCCAGTCTCTTCTTGCAGCCCACCATATACGTTGCTCCGAATGGCCCACCGAGCCAAAGTGCCAGGTCTCGTTCATCGTCACCGTCCTCGATCTTTTCAGTGGAGCATGCGGAGATCCATGTTGCGAAGAAGATCACATTGATGGAGCCGCCGACTCGGCCAGCATTGGTCTTCATTAATTCCCTGAGTACCCGATCGAAGGTTGCTCGATCTCGACCAAGTCGTTCTCGAACACGGGGGAATACTCGTGACCGGGACTCACGCATCTTCGACGGAAGATTCGAAAATGGCGTTGAAGTACCGCCGCTGACCGAACGCAAGCCCTCAGCGTTAAAGGACCAGGACAGTGACAAGTCGGTTGTGGATGAAGAGTCCTCCAGAACGACGCCGGCTACATCGCCGACGAGCGAGGATACGCCTCGAATCACCCACCGGGCTACTATCAATCGTGTCTCTGAGATCCCTGTGCTCCCATATTTCCCTCCGTCCCCACAAATGCGGCCGCAGTCAATGTACCGTGCCCGTCCACGCACATCGGGCTCGGAGAAGCCCTTCCCAGGGCTTGCAAGCGCACGCTCTCGACGACCAACCGATCCAGCCCGGCGTCCAGCTTCTATTCGCACCAACAGTAACAGCAGTGTCCCGTCTTCTCTTTCACGACCCACTTCACCCCTCCTAGCCGACGACCCGCGTCTGGGATATATTCCAGACTACCAGGGCGAAGTGGGTTCCTCCCTCTCGCGCACTTGCAGCCCGGCATCGTCAGCCTCGTCTCCACCCATTCCACACCCATCTACTAAGCGCAGCCACACAGGGACCGGCTACAGCATGTCGAACATTCTGGCACAGCGCTCTCCCATGATGCGCCGCATGACTCGCAAACACTCTGCCTCCTCTAGTATCCACTCCATGAGCAGCCTGCGCTCCGAGATGGATACTGTCCCACTTCCAGCCGCGGCCAGCCAGAGCTCCCTGAACATGATCAATCATGACTCCCACGTGGTGCGCAAGCCGAGCCAGCGTCGTCACGCACGGCATAATAGCTCTGTACCGACTGGGCGGGGGTTCATGGGGCTGAAACTGGGAAAGAAGGCATTTACCAAGGCTTAGTTCAGCAGAATCTCGCTTCGAGACCCTGACGCCTTTTTTCCACATTATTCCTTTGGCTCTAATCTAATTTGTTAATGTCTTTTTTGTGGGTCATGGCAGCGGAATATGTTGTTTGGGGGTTTTTTGTTTACTTTGGGGGGGGGCTATCTCGTTTCTATCCTGCCTACTGGTTATGAGGTATTTTCTGTCTCTGTTCGGTGGTTAATTGTTGTTTTTTCTCCCCTGGGGTATACTCTGTTTCTAGGCTCATGTTTTCCGGCTTCGCTACCAAAATTGTTCTGGATCCTCCTGGAGCTAGGCGCTACCTTTTTCTCAACTACTTATCATCATTCCCATCACCTTTGGCTTACTTGCTATTTCTTCTTCTCTGGATACCGGCGGGAACCATCCTACTGTAGCAATTTTGACACGGACACCGCCTACTATGTCTTTGTTAGCCCCGTTTTCGGTGGGCCCGCACGGCTCCGCGAGAATCTGTTAGATCTGTTAACCGTCCCCTCGTCCGCTCCCTTGGCCCCCCACATCGAGTTCATTTATTTCTGGGTGATTTTAGCCGATCCAGCAGGAATTACACCAGGATCATGGGTTTGCCATTGACTTTTCCAGTGAATGTTCTGGTTGCCTCGAATGGAGCAGTCTGCATGATCGTTGATGATACCAAGATTGAATAATGTGGCTTGTGACAATGCGTGGATGTTTCGTGGAGGAAGTTTGGTATACCTACGTGATAGTTACTTCCATGTTAAAGAAATGCTTTGTAGCAATGGTACTCTCTTTTCTTGGTTATCTGGTGTGCTGTCGAGTCTAATCTGGTCGATCATTGTCGTCTTGCATTCTACAAAGAGCATCTTAAACCTGTTGTCGACGAACGGCGGCAGATAAATTTTCATTTTCGACGAACGGAACAATAATGAGTATCATGGTTAATTGTGAAGGGACATACGTCTTGTAAATGGGGTGTTGTTCGGCCTGGTTGGATAGCAAGCGAACCCGCAATTTCTTGGCAGTGCTCTTGTCCCGTATTCTATAGATGTAGTTGAAAATAAAATTCAATTGGTGGAGTTCAATGTCTCTGATCTAAGATCGGGGAACAGGCCGGGGATCACAATTGTGGGAGCAGCATGGTATATTGCAAGATCACAAGCGAGCACACCGAAGCGGACAGCGTGGAACAAGCAAGAGACAGAGAAAAGGAAAGGGGGAGAAAAAAAGAGAATATAGAGTAAAAGCAGCTCAACAATCAAAAGCGGAGAAAGCACTGGAACTGTTGAATTGTTGAACAGCACTAGAACATCTCATTCTCGGAAGACGGGGCGATACCTTCTCCGACACCTATTTCCGTGCCTCCAGGGCGGCTTTGATGGCTACACGAAAGAAGAATCCACATTAGTCGACGGGCCGCGAACCCCCACGTCAAACCTATGAGACGAGATGAGGACGAGGGGGAAAAAAGTGAGACAACGTACCATCGCAAGAAGTCTTTGCATCCCCGAAAAGCATTCTAGTGCCGGGCATGAAAAACATGGGGTTGGGAACATCCGCTGTACACAATAAGTTAGCATACTAGTCCATTCTGGAAGAAGCCACGAGGGCATAGCTTAGCAATTAATATAGGCTAAATGAAGGACTTACCATATCCACTTGCCATGCCCCGCTTCATGACAATCACTTCCTTACTCTTCCACGCGTGCAGGACGGGCATGCCGGAGATGGGGGAATCAGGTTCTAGAGCGATGGGGTTGACGGTATCGTTGGCGCCAATGACAAGGGTGACGTCCGTGTCGTTGAAGTCGTCGTTGATCTCGTCCATTTCCAGGACGACTGGCCGGCGAGTGTGAGTAAACTGCTGACGCGGAAATCATTTTTTAGGTAAGGGGAACTTACTGTCATACGGCACAGACGCTTCAGCCAAGAGCACATTGCATTGTCCTGGCATACGGCCAGCAACAGGGTGGATGGCAAAGCGGACATTTACACCGCGAGCGCGGAGCATGGAAACAATCTCGGCGAGTGCGTACTGCGCCTTGGCAACAGCCATGCCGTAGCCTACGATGATGATGACATTCTCAGCACCAGACAGCGCCTCCACTGTATCGTCGATGCTTGTCTGTGTGACTTCACCCTCTATCTTCTTCTGGCTCTGTGCGGGCGCGGAGATGCCACCGAAAAGGACATTGGTAAGAGATCGGTTCATGGCAACACACATGATGTACGACAGAATGGAACCGCTGACACCGATAAGGGAGCCAACGCTGGTGAGGAGAGGGTTATTGAGCATCAGGCCTTCAGCCACGAGAGCGAAACCTGAGTACGCGTTCAGCACGGTAATGACAACGGGCATGTCAGCTCCACCGATGGCCGCAGTCGTGGTATAGCCCTTCAAGAAGCTCAGAAGCGTATTTGCACCTAAACAGGCCGCTGCAATACCTGGGTTCGCGGGGGCCATGGTCACAAATGCGCCCATAGTCGCTATGTTGCTACCCAGCAGCGTTGAGTTGATAACGTGACGACCAGGAAGAATTGTTGGTCTGGAAGACATACGACCGGCGAGCTTGAGGAATGCCACAATTGAGCCAGTGAAAGTAACACCGCCAATAAGAACGCCCATGTACGCGGTCACCAAGTGCAGAGTTGAAATGTCAGCCACGTCAACCATCACGCTGCCGATACTGGTCAAGACAGCCGCGAGACCAACAACTGAGTGCAAAGCAGCGACGGTCTGGGGAAGGCCGGTGGGGGTGATGCGACGACCGATCAAGCCTCCAACAAGAGCACCAGTACCAGCAACAGCAGCAAATTGAGTGAGTGTTTCAGGGTCGAAGCCAACTGCTGCCAGCGAGGCGAGAATACCAGATACCACACCTAGAATACCGAAGATATTTCCACGACGAGCGGTCTGTTGTGAAGCGAGTGCGGAGATTGAGCTCATACACAGGATGGTGCTGACGAGGTAACCGGCCTGAACTAGACCAGCCATTCCGGAAGTTGCAGCCCAAAGGAAACCGCCGCCGAACACAGCACCGGGAATGGCGTACAGCCACGGATACTCCGGAGGATCGGTGGGCCGCTTGAACATATCGAGCATACGCTTCGTCACCACGAATCCTCCGGAAACATTGACGAAGGCCAGCAGGACCGAGGCTGCGCCGAGGTATTCGGGCAAAGTGGTTGGTGTATAGCCACCGCCCATGACGAACATACCACCGATACCAACCATGCCAGAGATAGCGTTGGTAACACTCATCAAAGGCGAGTGCAGAGCGGGGGCTACACCCCACACAGCGCGATAACCAACCAAGCCAGCAAGACCGAAGGTCATCATGTTACTCATGAAGATAGGGCCAGTTAACTTGCCAAGAGCGAGTGTGGTGCCCATGGCTCCAGTGACTGTAGCAACATCCCGAGTTGCCTTTTGCCAGGGTGTGAGTGCAACAACCTCTTCCTTTGCTGCCGCTGTCTGGGCTTCAGGCTTGGGAGTGGGCGGAGGAGCGGGAGGAGCAGCAGGTGGAATAACTTCGCCATCCTGAGTAACAATAGAACCACGCACAACCTCATCATTGAAATCAATGCCGAAGGACTTTTCTTGGGGAGTCATGGACAATAGCAGCTTGATGATATTGTTGGAGTATAAAGTCGAGGATTGAGTAGGCAGACGAGAAGGCAGGTCCGTGTAACCGATGATCGTAACGTCCTTGTAGCTGGCAAGCTCCCCAGGAACAGTTGCTTCGCAATTACCACCAGCTTCTGCGGCAAGATCTACAATGACGGAGCCTGGTTTCATTGCAGCCACCATCTCCTTTGTGATCAATTTTGGCGCAGGTCGTCCGGGAATCAATGCTGTCGTGATGATGATGTCGACCTCGCGAGCTTGCTCCATAAACAGTTTCATCTCAGCCTCGATGAATTCCTTGGACATTTCCTTGGCGTATCCGCCCTGGCCAGCGCCATCTTCCTGGAAGTCGACCTCAATGAATTCTGCACCTAACGATTGAACCTGTTCGCGGACAGCCGGACGAGTGTCGAAGCCACGGACGATCGCGCCCATACGCCGGGCCGAGGCGATTGCACTCAAACCAGCTACACCGGCTCCGATCACGAGCACCTTACTTGGGGGAATCTTTCCTGCAGCAGTAACCTGACCGGTTAAGAAGCGACCGAAATGGTTCGATGCTTCTAGAACCGCTTTATAACCAGCAATGTTGGCCATGGAGCTCAGAGCGTCAAACACCTGGGCCCGAGAAATCCGTGGAATGCGATCCATCGCGAACGAGGTCACACCGCGCGCTGCAAGGGCATCTACAATCTGCTTGTTCTGAGCCGGATACAAAAACGAAATTACAGTGGAGCCTTTGCGGAGCGCCTGGACCTCATTGAAGGGCCCGTCGATCTGAGGACCACGGACTTTGAGGACGATATCGCTCTCGGAATAGACCGCGTCCCGGTCGACTATCTTGGCCCCGGCCTTTTCGTAGACATGGTCGAGCAGTTGGGCGCCTTCTCCGGCGCCGCGTTCGACCAGGACCTGCGAAAAGCCCTTCTTCAAGAGCATGGTCACATTTTGCGGCGTGATTGCGACCCGGCGCTCACTGGGGTGTGTTTCGCGAGGCACACCCACTGTCAATGCCGAGTAGGGTGTTACCGGGACGGGCTCCGAAGCCGGAGCTGGGGAGGTTGTCGCACTTCGCTTGCAGACGAGAGGCCATTGTGGGCGAGCGAGAGGCAGTTTTCGCTGAGAAGGAGTGATAAATGCTAGTCGACGAACGTGTGAAACTGCTTGAGCGTCGAATATTAGTCCCGTGGGTTGCAATATGGAAGTGTCGTGTGCGCCGTCACCAAGCGCCGCTTACCGGAGTGCGTCATCAGGAACGGTTTCCCCGCGCGAACACTGGGCGCCGCAAGACACGGCGCCAGAGCCGACCGCAAGGGTAGCGGAACACTCATGGTGGACAATCGGACGAGTCCAGACGCATGGGAAAGGAATGTGTCCTGGAGTGAAGAGCCAAGGCGAGAAAAGAAAGAGAGGAGGTGAAAGAGAAAGTGAAAGAGAAGGGGGAAGGAAGACCAAGAGGCCGCTCGGGTAAAGTGGGCGCGTGTCCCTCGTTTGGTCTCGTTTGGTCCCTGCGACTTGTTACTCGACTCCCACCATGCGATGAAACGGTGGACGTCTTGGGGCTGGGGCGTTTTCCCTCTTGCCTTTTCTAGTTCTGGTGATTATTCGTAGTATACTTTTATTTGTTGTAGCCTACATGACCGACTGGCCCAAGCATCGCATTGACTAGCTCATGGCGAATCTATTGGGGGAACTGCGGTGAGAGATTTCCCCGGTTCTGTACGCGGCGCCACACCTTTAATGAGCTCTTTAACTGGCCCTCGAACTCCCCCGCCCCCGCGGGGACGGTGGAGCTGCCGGATCGCCCGTGCGGGTGCTCCACCGTGATGTTCGACGCTATCAAGTCGCCGACGTAGAGGCCACGGGAGATATACTCATCTTCATGGCTAATGGACGATTCTGGCCTGTCAAGACGTCAAGATAGAGCTCCGAGGGTTCCCTCGCAGTCTCACGGTTTTTGCACTCTACCGGTTCATTATATCGTCGCTCAAACATGCCCGATCCGCCGGTGGCCGGCCATGACCAGGGGTCATGTTCTACCCCCGCGTCTTCCCCGCAGGCATTTTCCTCCGAAACGGCCAGCCAAGGGTCATCCGGAAGAGCCGAGACTCCGTAAATCGCCACTATTGAGCGAGGCTCGCGAACTATCCTCATTGGGGGCCAACGCTCTCAGATAGATGGAGCGCGGTCAACATATGGCAAGGGTGGCCGGTGAGGCATCGAATTTGGACTATGTACGCCGCCACAAGTAGCAGACAAGATATGACGCTACGAAAAGACAGCTCTTCGAGAGACCAAGTAAGTAGCCTTGACGGCTAACGCCTTCGTTAAAGCAGATACATTAGTGCCGAAATCGGTCGACTCTTTCGCCAAGAGTCTTCTTGAACGACTTTCCGCGCTTTCAAAATACTCTGAATGATTTCTTCAGGCATACGATGGATGAAGAGCAGCTAGCTACTGAAGTTGACATAACCTAGTGCCGCAACATGCATGCATGCGTCCTGCACATCGATGTCGCACTGCGAAGATCAGGGTAATAATAAGGGGAATTAAGCAGCCGACTCGGTGTACTACCTCAGATTCAAATTCGCACCATAAAAAAAAGAATTATGACTTGGTTTCTCATCCATTCAGATCTCTATATGAGCATCTGGTGATATTGGCCACAATTGAATCCCTGATATTGAAAGGTCCAGACACCTCTTATCGAATTTACAACGGCTAAATGGTCAATCGCGCAGGCTAACCATAAGACCGCGGCACTCGATGGCGACATTGGACGCAAAATCATAAAGCTAATCACTGTGGCTGATTTTATAGTAAAATACCGCCTTAGGAAGTTAAACTGTATATATATACATTCTAGCTTATTTAAGTAGATTCGATCCCGATGAAGGTCTCACAAAAGACTTAGAGACTAGCGGCAAGTCGGGAGACACCATGAGAGCGACTTGCCGCTAGTCTGCTCGGGAGCTACTAGTTGATCAGAACCTCCCCTTTTCAATAAAATGATACTCTAAAAAAAGTTCAATTTCTTGGAAATAGACGAGGAACAACATCGCTTTATGACATCTAGTCCTGATCATGTGATATATTCACCATTGCGCGGGTCCTCATTGCCCACCACGCCATTGCATTCATTAAGAAAATGAGCGGCATAGGCGAAAATCTTTAGACAAATTTGGTGAAATGGAGAATTCAGGTGAAAGAATAGATGGATTGACAAACCTGAAACGTCTTGTAGACTGTTGTGAATCATGACATCATATGTGAGACAAGACAGTGTATGTCTAATGAGGTAACTTATATATAAACAATAATGTATGTATATATCACGCCGGAAAGAGAGAAAAACTAGAAACAGGCCGAGCCATTTCAAACGGTACTTTTTCAATGCAAATATAGGATATAGATCCTACGTGCAGATATCCTTCTAATCAGGACGTATTATGACTTGCCCGAAAGAACATCAACTGTGGTGGGGACCCGACACTACTTCTTGCGAAGTGCCAATTTCCTGCACGGTTTCAGTAGCGCCCTTACTATCGATGAAATGGGTGATTCGGTCTCTCGGAAGCCAGGCGCTCTCAGGCATAACAAAATAGGAGATCAGTGCGAGGATAGTCACCCCACCCATGATGATGGGAGCATCTGAGGTCATGAGTTAGAACTAGACCGGCTGAAAAAAAAAGAGTTAAATCGACTTACAATTGAGAGTTTGTCCAGTGACAGGCCACTCATACGGCGAGAAGAGGATGGCAACAACCCATCCATTCCACAGGACGCTAATGAACTGGAATGGCTTGCTCCACCGGCCTAGGCTCCATTTGGGCGTTGGGAAGCGTTCCGAGGTACATAGCAGTCGTCCCAAACAGATGAGGCCATAAGCTGCGGCGCTGGGGACACCTGCGGCCGAGACGAGAGACGTGAAAGCGACATTAGACGGGAGAATGGTGCAGGTGATTAGAGCCGCAACACCCCAGACGACAATGACTGCATTGCGAGGCTGGCCATTGTGCACTTTAGAGACCCAGCCGGAAAAGGGAAGGACACCATCACGGGCGACCGCAAAGACGAGACGGGATGCGGCAATAATAGCGATGGCAGTGTTCTATGACTGATTAGAGGATTTGAGCAGACATAAGCCAGAGTCGAAAGTATTCTTACCAGCCATAGAGCAACAATACAGATAATATTCATGAATACGTGACCACCTTTGCCCAGAACAGCAGCGTAGAGTGGGACAAAGGGCTGAGGGGAGCCATATTGCATCAGGTTGTCTGCAGTTGGCTATAGAGAGGTCAGCATTATGTAGTTACACTGCAATTGAATTGGACTTACAGCGCAGAACAGGAACAGAATAATGGTAGCGAGACCACCAAATCCGCTCGCAACAGTACTCCAGAAGATGCCACGAGCCGCAGTCACAGAAGCATTCTTAGTTTCCTCGGCAACATGGCCCGAGGCATCAAATCCGATCAAGATACCAGCTGTCGCCAGGTAAGAAAGGCACCAATTCCAACCAGCCGGAGCACCTGTTCCATTGTAGGTGGTCATGAAAGCCTCGTGGGTCGAGCGGAAACCCCAGGTGTTAGCAGTACCAATCGGGAGCCAGATAAGGTTGAGAAAGAAGTCAAGCATGACGAAGCCGGCTGAGACCCAGAAAACCATTTTGAAGTAACGAGCTGTAGCTGGTCAGCGATGAGCAGTATGAAAAGCAGGTGATAGTTCGGCATACGAGGCATAAAGTTCAGCAAAGCAGCCAGTGCGAGCATAACCTCTGTGCAGATCCACTGGACCGCACGGAATTTGACGCTATCGGTGTCTTTTGGGAAATCAACGTCAAAGACGGTGAGCTCCTATAGATCATATCAGCATGGGCAAAGTCAAGGTAGCCAAGGGCCGCGGCTTACAGCAAGCATGTAGTTGACGGCAGATTGAGTGTTACCTAGTGTGCAAGTCAGCATGGAATATTACAGCCCGATAAAAGGATCGAGTGGCATACTTGCGCAGAAGGTCGTCCAAGCAGTGGTACTCCACCAAGCCACGACGAAGCCAAGCAGCCGACCAAAGCGCGGACCACCGGCTTCGGCAGCCCAAAGATAGATCGAACCAGCCGAAGGTGATGCAGAGCATACTTCGGCGATGACGGCGGCCGTGATGAACGTAAACACCATGGTAACTAAATAGCTGGTCCAATAGGCCAAGTTTCCACCGGCAGCAATGCCAGTGCTGTACGTAACACGCACTCCTCCAACGAAATAGAGGGCGGCTATGATTCGATTAGAAATGACTTAATGAAAGCAGGTGGGAAAAAAGCATGGGACACTCAAACGCACCGAAGGTTGTGGCAAAATTCTCAAAGAATGTATATGTGCGATGCAATACCTGTGCGTGGGATCTCTATGAGTCTGTTGATCTCCAAGATCAGATATGGGATGTATGACCTACCGGCTTGTAGCCCATGGTTCGCTATGGCATGGAGTCAGCATAAGATCAAATCTGAACCAAGACAAACCAGCTTGAACCCAGCAAGACCGGCGACTACTTACCAGCAAAGCTGCGTCGTCCTTCGATTCAGTCGAGGCTCTATCGCCCTCTCCGTCGGCAACCAGGTCATTTTGACCGACAACGAGATCCTCGTGCTCATGCGCCATGTCTGTGGTGGAGGCTGAGGGAGATTTCAACTCGCAGAAGCAGCGCGACGAGAAAGAAACAGATACAAAAAGCACCCCCAAAAAACAAGGTCTTCAGGCTCTTCTATGCTGTCGAAAAGCTCAATAAACTCCACGGGAGAAGAACCCAGAGAACAGAGAAAAATTTCCCCCAATTAAGTTTTGGCCCTGAATTCTGGATGCGCCGTTTTGCGTTTTCGGTCAGCAAGCTAGGAACCGGCGAACCAGCGGACCCCACCGCGGGAAGATTACGGAGGATTGCGCTAGTCAATCACACGCTTTTCGGGGAAGGCAAAAGGAATCTTGGCTTGCTGGATCTCGAAGAAGATGAATCGAAGATCAAGAGTTTTAGTGGTGGTCTCTCGGCCCGCCCGTAATTCGGGGATATGAGACGACGCGGCAAAAGAAGAGCGACCGACGTTGATAGTCTCCCGTGAAGAACAAAAAAAACCAGAAAATTGGAAATAGACAGACGAATCGTCGTTATAGAATGATGTTGAGTCCGGTTAGAACGGCGCGAACAAAAAGAAATCACCAGCGCTTCCGATTTTCAGGTCCCGACTCAAAGCTCGGAGCTGTCTCGTCCGCAAAAGCTTCTGGGGCAAGTTTTTTCCCCCGTTCGTCCCGCTTGGTTCCAGCCGAGACCCGTGTTTAGCCCGATGAGGAGCAGGACAAAAGCACGGACAGGCCCGTCGAAGTGGGGGATCGTGCGAGGCAGAGGATCTGGGTGAGAACTGCGTGATGGTCCGTGATGGTCCGTGATGGTCGAGCAAGTCGCGATGTTTATTGCTTCAGGTATCATCCGGATTTTGTCTATGAGTATTGCTCTCTCGTCTAGGCCCACCTTCCAAGGTTGAGGATACGCGCGGTGCGACTGCTATGTAGGCAAGGGAATTTGGGGGGAAGCAAAAACATGATTCGCGGTGGATGCTTGGGATGCATCCACTACAAACCGGTTGGCCGAGCTCCACTTCGGGCCCCGCGTTGGAAGCCTAGTCGTGATCAGGTGCATAGTCCTCAAAGAAGGCCCTTGTTGGGTCATAGGCTAGTGACTCAGTTGTATATGAATGAGGTTCTGGATATAAAGTCACCGATACGGAAGAGCATATTGCAGAAAAAACTGTAGGACTATTGAACTTGGGGACATGGATACATTGGTGAGCAGCGAAATGGCTTTGTAAAGGCATCTCAATCTCATCAACTCACGTTTCAATGCAGAAATGGTTGACATCGGAGTTCTAGCTCGACTCCAGAAGACCGGATGAAAAGACATTGCAATAAGATCGCTCAATGTCAAATGCAAAGTTCCAAGATTCTAAGACTTGTGTGGACACAAAGGTCGCACGTGATGGCGAGACATGCTGGACCAGGCGTGCCGATCTTCGCGATCTCAACGCAAACCCAGGGGGAACCCGCAAAACACCTTCATACCTCTGATAGACATTGGGGCAAATTTCATGATTGCGTGAATTGACAAGATCCATTGCTACTTGCGCAACAATTCTAATGCTGCTCGGTGGCCCGGCTCGGACACGTCTACGCGTGTCCGTAAAATCGATTCTACGGACAGGAACCAAGAACTCCTACTCCTCCAAGGGATCTACATCTGAGTCCAGGTCATCCTCACAATTGACAAAATATATCGCAGCAGCCAGTTTGATTACTACGCCCGGCATTTGGTGGATATCTACGAGCACTGATGACGATACAGCACGCGACGACGTGCCACACTTAGATGGTCCGCCAGCCAAGCACTGGTCAGTGGAGCCCGGGCCTTCGCAAGATCAAATTACGCGAATAATATCGAAGGGGGCCTATTCATACCAAGTCAGGCGCATTGCGGGCGTCTACAGGTACGATGGCGCTCAATTGGCTTCTAATAGCCCGTGTGAGGACCGCTTCACACATGGGAAATTTCCATCCCCGTGGGATGAAGACAGCCAATGGATGGCCTGGGGTGTCTTTGACGGACACCTGGGCTGTCAAACAGCGGAATTGCTAGAAAGGCAGCTCTTACCTTTCGTCCGACATAGCCTTATCCAAGCCAAGAACATGCTACCGCCAAATCAACATCCCTTTACCGAAGAAGTAGTACAGCGCGCTATTAGAAAGGGGTTTGTGGATCTCGACAACTCTATTGTCAAAACAGCACCAGATACGTGCCGGAGTGACGATTCACTGCCAGAGAAGCTCCAGAAACTGGCGCCCGCTTACGCAGGTTCATGCGCGCTGCTGTCAATATACGAACCCCAGACGAGCACGCTACATGTGGCCTGCACTGGCGATTCAAGAGCAGTTCTGGGGCAGAGACAACCAGATGGCAGATGGGTAGCAATGCCCTTGTCAGTAGACCAGACTGGAAACAATGAAGAAGAGATCGCGAGGGTTTATGAGGAGCATCCTGGTGAAGACGGAATCGTGAAAGATGGACGAGTGCTCGGGCTCATGGTCTCACGCGCCTTTGGCGATTGCCAATGGAAATGGCCCTTGCATTTCCAGAAGGACATGCAGCAGCGATTTAACGGCCCAGGACTTCTGCCGCCGAGGTATGACGTTCAAACGCCGCCGTACCTCACAGCGGAACCCGTTGTGACCAGCACACGAGTGGACCCCGCGACTCCGTCATTCTTGATCATGGCAACTGATGGATTGTGGGATATGATCTCGAGTCAGCAAGCAGTTGATCTAGTGGGGAAATGGATGGAATCGGAGACAGCTCGTCCGGGTCATAACACTGAACCAAATTATCGACCCGTCGACTTTGGTCAGTTAGTCGAAGGGGAGCGTTGGAAATTCATGGAGGAGAGGACAACAGTCCAAGACAACAATGCCGCCGTGCATCTGTTGCGTAACTCCATCGGCGGAAATCATCACGAGTTGATCGCAGGCCGACTTGCCTCCAGCTACCCATCCTCCCGGCGTCTACGAGACGATACAACAGTGCAGGTGGTATTCTTTAATATTGCAGATGTGAAAAAATGAAGAGCGATCACAGGTCTATGATAGCGCCCTCAGCTTGTAAATTCTCGAGAATCATGTCTCTTTAAGTTATGTGGGGGTATGGAGATATCCAGGTGCTATTCATTGTCGTAATCATAATGGGATGCAAAGAGGTATATGCAGAGGCTGGATGCACAGTAGTCCAGCATGTCCAAGGAGATGACAGAGTCACAGTAGCGCGACTTATTATGCTGTCGAAGGGATCTCCTCCATCGGTGTTCAAAATGTCCATGAAAATGGGACGGACTGAAGAAAATGTCTAGATCGTAGTCGCATAAAAGGGTTAAGGGATGAAGCAAGCAAGAAGAGTTGGAAACCCGCAATGTCAAACCTTGAGACGCCAGACAACAATCAAGACGTCCACAAGTCAGTAATTCACGCATTTCTCTGGTTTTCATGGCCCGGCGTGGATCAATCATGGCAGAAGAATGTTCGATTGGATTTCATCCAAGGTTTCAGTCCAACCTTCTGGAAAAGCGCGCCGCTTGAACCAGACTTTCTCTAGTAGCTCCAGACCCTTATCCACATTCTTGAAGCCGAACCGTTTCAATTCTTCCATGGTCTGGCGAACATATCGTTGCTCCTCTTGTTTTCGAGTCTCTTGACCGGCGATAAAAAGAGGCCATAGAATCGCCAATTGACCGACATCCTTGGATAGATTACGGATTAAGGTCAAAATGCGGGTAATAAGCATGTCCAGATATGTACGGTCGGTGATCCAGTTGGGCCGACCAGCTCCAGCGACTTGGTGCAAATGGACAAAGGTCGCTTTCTCATAGGCCTCGACACAGCCCACATACTCCAGCATATCGGGATACGGGAACCGACGAAGGGACTCATCGTCCAAGTCCATGTCCCCGAGAAGCTGCAGACTGATCGGTGTACTCGCACGCCAGACGACCAATCGGTGAAATATCTCCTTGTAAACCATATCTTGATGGTTTGGCGACATCCACTGTTTGTCCCGGGCAAAGGTGCTAATCGCCGCCTGGACCTCCATCATGCTGGACCACGCCTGCCGCAGTTCGATCAGTCGTGGGTCATCTGGGGTCGACGATGAAGACAAGCTTGGTGTCCCGAGATTATATTCCCACCCGCCGCCTAGGGTCTTCCAATAGCTTCCGTCGACAACTGTGCCACCTGGAGTCGCGCACGCGCCTGCCACATCGAGGTATGAAAGGAGGGAGACCAAGAATGATCGGAGGGGGTGATTTGTTTCGGCAACCCGTTGGACTTCGCGGGCGGAGCTGCCCGTGTGGGGATAGAAGAGGAGGTTGTAGATCTCGCGCGCGCCTTTGAGATGCACGGCCCAATTTTGGTGCTGCGAATCCATCATCTACAGATAATTGATCAATATTGAGAACCCTCACACGATCTGCTTTTCAAATCAAAAATAGGGCACCAACCTCGAAAAGACATAGCAACAGACAGGTCGCAAAGTCCGCCATACCCAGGTGTTGACTTGGCTGTGCATATCGGTCCCTGAATAACTTAACCACCTCCCCGTATTTGCCCATAGCTTGTTGGAAATGGAGATTGCGCTGTGGTCCGACCGAAGTGTTTGCCAAATGTAAAGCACCCAGGGCCTGCATCGCGCCCACCATGGACGGACTTGAGCGCGCAAAATCGGGGAAATAGCTGCGATACGGGTTGGTGTTCATGGAATTGTCGTATATAATGAGAAGAGTCGAGACCTGGTCGATGAAGTGGGTGAAATAGCGTTCGCTGGTCGATTGCATCGACGCCGCAACGAGGTTTGCCGGAGAGAGGGGCTTCTGAAAGCGAATTTGGATTGAGGGTGGCGCCACCGTTGTTGGTGAGACAATCACGCCCTCGCAGACATCGTCCTTCTCATCCCCGTCCTCTCTGTACGCGGTGGTACCCGCAGACGAGGATTCCCCTGAGGACTCCGGGCTACTGGTGCCCTTCTTTCGCCTTCCAGGGGCCTTGGGGGTTTCCTGGGTTTGCGAGGGTCCGTAGACCTTGAAGGTCATCCGGCCCTGGGTACCATCACACTCGAGTCCTAAGCGCACACAGTTATTGCAGGCCGGCGAGGCCTCGTCGCAGCGCACATGGCGCCGGCGGCAGGTCGAACAGCCAGTGAAACCTCGATGGTGCCAACGGCGGACGCGCTTGCGGGGTGGGGTGGCGGTGGGCTGTTCTTGTTGCAGTGGCGGACGAGATGGCTGCGACGACTCTGACGGAGAATGAGAAGGGAATGACGACTCGGGCGACGATTTGGTCGTCAATGGGGCACCCTTAGTGCGAATCTCCATGAGGGGAGGGAAGGAAGCAAGATGTGGGGTCGAGACATGAAGAGACGCGGTCAAGAATCAATGCATTGCGGGCAGGAGGATGCGAGGATGAGGGTTGCGACACTATGAGAGACAAGAAATCCTGCGATGGGGGTATATAAATGAAGGATGCTAGAGTCGGTGAAGGATGAAAAAGCGACAAGGCTGAGAAACTAGCGTGCGGGCGGAAGTTTCGTGGTTGGGCGGTTTGGCGATTGGCGGTTGACGGCGGTTGGTTGGCGGTTGAGGGTAAGTTGGGCGTCAAGTCGGGCTTAGGGCAAGCTGAGTTTATCCAAGGCGACGAAGAGGGGGAGTTTGAGGATTTGATTTGGGGGCCACAAAGCTGGGCACCACTTGCGATACTCTGGACCTGCGATTCTCGACCACTCCGCATTTTCGACGCGGATGCGCCGAGCTATATAGTCCTCCAGGAGATTACCCATGCACGATGCACGTACGACGACATGTGCTCGGGACTCTCCACTCTTCCAGCTCCAGTGAGATCGCCTCTCGGACGCCACTTGATTCAAGAAACACGAAAATCCGCGCTTCAGGCGGGAGCGCGATCGCAGTGATGGTCTGATTCGGCGGCCTGGAGCCGGCTAAAATGCTAAATGATGATTGCTGGCTCCAACGTAAACGGGCGCCGATCAGCTTTCGAGTCCACCCGCAGCTCCCGCGCGATTTGGGGGCCACCTGGAGGATGCCCGGCGATCACGACGAGAACCATGTTTGGAAATGGAAGGATGATTATTGGATCAAGGCCTTGGTTGACCAATCTCCATCCTGCTAGATTTGCTCACGAGAATCGTCTCGCAGACATGGCTAAGGCCCTGTGCAAGCAGCAATATGCAAGCTAGTCTCCAAACCCACATCGCTTTCACCCAAACAAGTACAAGTACCTAGGATGTGGCCCGAAACCCAGTCTCGGTGCGCACATGCGACGCGATACGGAAGCATCAGTGCGGCCAAACAGGATTCTCAGTGGTGGCCAAAGTTTCCTCAAGCCTCCGAGGGTTTCAGGTGCCTGAGATGCTGACGATGGGCCAGGGAAATAACTCTAACCCCGAGTCCTGGGGCCACCAACAGGGGTTGATAAATGACAAATGCGATGCATTTAGGGCAGACTACTTCGGGCTTAGAAGCCTCAAGTGGATACTAAGCACAAAGGATCTACTTCGTTGTCGAGGTCTGGCATCTGTAAGACTCTATCAGAGCATGCAACATTCAAGATTGCTATAAGGGACTATGACTCCGTAATCTGGTGGAACTGCGGGGATGAGGGGTCAAAAGGTCCAGCCGAACTCTCTCCCCCTCCCTCCTTTGATCCGATAAATACATAGCCCTGTTCCCATTCCAATTGACACTCAGTTCATGAATTTCTCATAACGACAATGGCCACCGTGACAAGGATCGGCAATGATGCCACCAATTTCTGGGATTATGATACCGACAACGATCTAATCGATCTCTCCCGAGCTTCGAGCTCGAATAACCTGATCACGCTCCAGACATCCACCAGCACGCTTTGTTTGAACCCAGAGAAGACTGCCCTATTAATTGTGGACATGCAGAATTTCTTCTTATCTCCAGCTGTCCGGCCTCGATCTGTCAAACAAGAGCCTACCGCAGCAGAAGCAGCCGCGCAAGCGCTCCTCGATATGGGGATTCCGGCTGCGCGAGCACATGGCATACAGATCGTCTGGCTATCCTGGGGTCTGACAGAATGCGATTTGAATACCATGCCACCTGCGGTTATGAGAACATTTGGGAACTATACTGCCGCATCTTCCACAGTCAAACAGGGTGACCTTGAGAAGCCTATCCCTACAGTACCGAACATGATTCGAACAAAGAATCCTGCACTTTACAGAGGCCTTGGGACTGAACTCGGCACGGTTGATTTGGGAGATAACCAGACTGTACAAGGTGGACGAGTATTGATGCGCGGATCCTGGAATGCCGGTCTTTATGAACCCCTGGAAAGAGCATATCAGGCTGGTAGTCAGCAAACTAGTACCCTGCAAGGGTCCAAATCGGACGTGTTGATTTACAAGAACCGAACCTCAGGGCTTTGTATTCCAGGCTCAGACTTGGAGAAGTTTTTAGAACGAGAAGGTATCACAACACTTCTCTTCGGAGGGGTGAATACCGATCAGTGTGTCGGTGGTACATTGATGGATGCCTTTAGTAAAGGATACGATTGCATTCTGCTCCGTGATGCAGCCACAACTGGAACACCATTTGGAGCAAATGAGGTCTGGGAATGGAATATAACCAACTGCTGGGGGTTTGTCACAACCTGTGAAGCGTTGCAAAATGCTTCAACTGCAGCCGACAATCGCAATAGATTTTAGGACTTTAGAGCAGCTGTCACTAAGATACACGTTGCCATGAGAGCTAACAAGGTCAAAATGTGCAATCATGATCTGGAGACTCTTTGTAATATATACCAGTAATGCACTCATTCTGAAGAAACTAGATTTAAAAGAACAAGCTATAATTCGAACGTATGCAAATCGCATTTGGCAAATAGTCTTTCTGGCCGTCATAAAGCCAGACTGACCTCACCCGCGGTCCCTTTGTAGACCTGGATCATCAATCTACCTGTTCTGCCCATAAAACATGAATTTTACACAGTGTAGGCAACAGTACAATTCATTAGGCGTCTTACAACGAGTGACACAAGCATGAGACCACCAATAAACCAGTGCCTGTCGGAAAACGGCTTTATCGGCTGGATGCAATGCGGGGAAAACCACGGAAGTCATGCCGATCCTCGTACTTGCCCCTCCTTGCTGTTTGCGCATTTAAGCTTACGTTTTCGCTGATAGCCAGAAGCTGGACTCTCATTGCACTTCCTTTTCAAATTCAATTTCGTCAGACTATCTACAATCATGTCCATCCAAGGATCAAGGCTACAAGGCAAGGTCGCTATTGTCACCGGTAAGAAGCCACTCGCGCAATTGAGTTATTCAGTATCGTATCCAGGCTAATGTTGGATCTCTTTTCTTTTCCTTCTAGGGGGTGGCTCCGGATTTGGAGCTGCTATTGCCCGTCGCTTTGGCGAAGAGGGAGCTAGAGTTATTGTTGCCGATATCAACGCCGAAGGTGGTGAGAAGGTCGCCTCGCAGAACCCCGCGAACCTGATCTTCCAGCGCATGGATGTTACACAAGAGGCCGAATGGAAGACAATCGTGGAGCTCGCGTTTTCCAAGTTTGGAAGGCTGGACATCTTGGTTAACAATGCGGGAACTACCTACCGCAACAAAGTAAGGGGTTTATGCCTTTGAAGAGAGCGTCAGGAGAACTCCGGGAATGCTATTACTGACACTCAAACAGCCTACAGTTGAAGTCACCGAGGACGAGTGGGAGCGGGTATTCAAAGTCAATGTGAAAAGCATATACCTGGCCGGCAAAGTTGTCATGCCTCGTTTCATCGACCAGGGAACAGGCGGTTCGATGATCAACATCTCCTCCACTGGCGCCTCTCGCCCTCGCCCTGGTCTGGTGTGGTACAATGCCTCCAAAGGCGCAGTTACAAACGTGAGTACATTCCATCGTCGAACCGATCTGGACCCAATATCTGAGTTACTGACACTTCACTCCCTCAGGCTACCAAGGGTCTTGCGGCCGAGTATGGTCCCCACAACATCCGGGTAAATAGCGTTGCACCTCTTCTTTCCGGAACGGGTCTATTTTCCATGTTCACGGGCATGGAAGATACCCCGGAGAACCGACAGAAATTCATCGGCAATGTGCCGCTGGGTCGTCTCACTGAGGCGGATGACATTGCCAACATGTGCCTTTACCTTGCCAGTGACGAAGGCAGCTTTATTAATGGAACCGAGATGGTTGTAGATGGTGGAAAATGTATCTAAGAATATTGTTCAATATTACCGCGAAGAAGAAGTCCCCATATCCGAGTCGGAGTAAATAGTGAGCCATTAGACAGACCGGACCCCGCCCCGCAGTCGGGGCGGGTCGCGCCATTCGTATTCGTCATTAACAAGTTTCCGGTTATTGTGTGGAGAACCTCCATAAAGTTGAGACCGAGTTTCTTAGCTAAAGTGCCACTGCCAGTGCTGGCCATAATTATGGCTTCCGATTTCCGATCCATCCCAGTCATCGACCTCTCTCTCGCCAATTTCCCCACTGCGCGACTCGGTCTGCTAGAGCAGCTTCGCTATGTCTTGACTCATGTTGGCTTTCTCTATATATCAAATCATGGGGTGCCACAGGAGGCGATAGCCGACCTGAAGCAAATACTGCCTCATCTATTTCAGCTAGACCAGGCAGCCAAAGATGAAGTAGACTTGCAAAATTCGCCTCATTTTCTTGGTTTCAGTCATGTGGGCTCGGAGACAACAGCAGGACTCGAAGACAGACGCGAGCAGTTTGAATTTGCGACCGAGTTCACGGACGACTGGAAAGAAGGACAGCCTCTCTATGAAAGACTGAAGGGGCCTAATCAAGTACCCTCATTTCCCCGAATATCGCTCTTTTGCAGTCCAGCTTGAAGTCTAATCTTTGCTTACCAGTGGCCGACCGGCGATTCGACTGAGCGTTCGGTTATCGAGAGATATATTCATGAGATGACGCAACTGGGAGAACGGTTCTTGGCTCTCGTTGCTGAAGCTCTCGACGTACCGACAGAGAGCTTGCTTTCATTAATCTCTGATCAACATCGGCTAAAAATCGTTCACTATCCCCCATCAGAGTTTCCCTCCAATTCCATTGGACAGGGCGTAGGTCCCCACAAAGACTCATCGGGATGGTGGACCTTCCTCTTGCAAGCATCTCCACCGCACGTGAAGGGGCTGCAAGTGCTGAACAAAAGTGGAGAATGGATCGATGTCCCCATTATTGAAGACACCTTTGTTGTAAATATCGGGCAGGCATTTGAAGTTGTGACCCATGGCTTTTGCAAAGCGACGACGCACCGTGTCCTTTCCGGGCCATTTGAGCGATATAGTGTTCCATTCTTCCAGGGTGTTCGGCGGAATCTTACGAAGGATGAAGCACTAGAAACGCTGAAGATCTACCTGAGCGACCAGGCATTATTAGTAGAGAGAGATCCCAGCTCTCATATTGATTCCGCATTTCTGCGCGGGAAATATGATACATGGGGAGAGTGTCAGCTGCGAACGAAGATTCGGAGCCATAGGACCGTTGGACGAAAGTTCTATGCGTCCGTCTTTGAAAAATACGTGAATGATGATAACCAAGATTCATATTGAGATTATAGTTCCACAAATATAAGGGGTTACTCTAAAACCTTTTAAAACCTTCTAATCTCCTCAGCCGGGCGATTGCCGACAGCCTTCTCGATCTTCTCAATGACCTCATCGGTCAACTTGTCCACCAGAGCCAACGCACGCACATTGTCGCGGACTTGCTCCGGGCGTGATGCACCAATGATCATAGAGGAAATGTTGGGGTTCTTCAAGATCCAAGCCAGAGAAAGCTGAGCTGTGCTGATACCGAGCTCTTCGGCAATAGGCTGGAGAGCAGCAACTTGCGCCAACTGCCGCTTCCAGGTATCATCGCCGACGGTCTTACGCAAGCTCTTCACATATCCATCCTCGGACTCAGCCAGGCGCGATCCTGGTGGTGGGGCCTCGGTGTTGTTGTACTTTCCAGTTAGGACGCCGCCCTTGAGAGGTGAGAAAACAGTGAGGCCTAGGCCATGAGCCTCATAGAGCCAGCGATACTCCTTCTCCACGCGCTCGCGCACGATAAGGTTATATTGTGGCTGCTCTACAACGGGACCAACGAGGCCCAGTCTGTCGGCAATTCGCCACGCATCTGCAATTTCACTGGCGGACCACTCAGAGGTTCCCCAGTAGAATGCTTTGCCAGTATTAATTAGGTAGTTGAAGCCGCGCACAACCTCCTCCATCGGCGTATCGCGATCTGGGCGATGGGCGTAAACAATATCCACATATGGAAGATCGAGGCGCTTGAGGGATAAGTTCATTCCCTCGATGATATGTTTCCGTGAAAGACCGTTGTTATTAAGCGGCTTGTTGGGATTGGCACTGTTGGCTTTGCCCCAGTAGATCTGATTGGAGTCAGCCAAACCCATATATGTCTAACTCTTCAAGAAGATGCGAACCTTGGTAGAAATAACCAAGTCGTTCTGTTTCCATCCAAACTTCTTGATCGCCTCACCGAGCACAATCTCCGATTGACCCCCCGAGTAGACCTCGGCGGTATCGAAAAAGTTGACACCGGCATCATATGCAGCCTTCATACAGTCGAATGCAATTTCTGCTGTAAATTAACATCCGTTGGGTTTAAATCTCGAATGGGATTGTCCCTTCCTACCATTTCCAACATGGCCACCGTATGTGAGCCAGCTTCCCAACGAGATCACAGAAACCTTCAAACCGGTTCGGCCGAGGTGGCGGTATTGCATCTCAGGGAGGGTTTCAGACATAATGGCGGAGGTAAAATTCTATTTTGAGGAGACGAGGAGAGATGAAGGTGAGAGGGAGAAAAGATGCAGTCGAAAGAAAATTGGTCTTGAGAAATGGTGCAATTCGAGCGGGAAATCAAGAATCGGAGCTTTATGTAACTGTTGCCAAAGCCGGGCCGATGCGGGGTACAGACGGCACACACCAGGGTTGACACAGGGGTCTGTTCGGATGGGATAGTCGCCCGATTCCCCTATTGGGACGCCGCCAGTGTGGCTTCACAGTTGGTGGCGTCTACGGAGATGGATTGGTGGGGCACCGGGCCCTTTAGGCTAATTGAGAGAAACAAATGGAACCTCTTTGACTAACAGGATGACCGATCAAGGTACGACGCTGTCAATCATAGCAATAGTGCTATCCCGGTGAAGGACACCGGCTTTATCCACAGTAGCTATCTCAGCAGAATTCTTATTGAGCAAGGTTGCATTGAGTAGATGGCAGAATGAGACTAAGCACGGAGATGAGGCATTCTCCACGTTGGCGTGTCTTTTTAAAGGGTTATTTCCCCGCAGGCATCCATGCTTTTCCATAGTATTCCCATTAACTCCGGGGTGCAAGAGCATTTGCAAGAGGAGAAATCCAGAAACTGAAATTTCCAGTGTCCTAGGCTTATCTTTCTATCAATTCACAAGGCCTTTTCAATATCACATAGCCATGCAATAGACATAGACCCGGATGTACAAAGACATACATCATGATTTTCATAAAGAGGAGAAGAAACGGTCTTAAATTGAAGTTTCTACTAGTATTGACTCTATATGGAAAGGATCACGATCTTACATCATTTAAGACCACGAAATAATTATTCGTATTAAACATTAGGTAATTATCGAAGCACAGCCATCTCTTTTCTCCGCGCATAGATATTCCCATTCTTCGTCAACACACAAAAGCGTCGTAGAAATTCTGCTTCCGTGACACCAGCTAGCTGCTTGCTATGAATCATGGTTCGACTACTCGCAGCCTATCGCAGTCGCGCCAGGTTCATCTGGATAAATAGGAGTGAGCGCACCCGCACACTCACATTTAGAAACCTCAGTCGCAATATCAGCACAAACTCCCGCTGGAGCGGTTGCACAGTACTGATTGGTGCTAATTGAAGTCGTCATTCCAGGTGGGCAAGACTGGTATGGCATGCAGAATGTTTCGACCCCTCCATCTATAACTGCCATGCTATACCATTGATCTGAGGGACAAGCGCAGGAAATGGCTAAACATATGTTAGCTTTGAAAATATTACGATGTTAAGAAAATTGTCATACATCTGATCACTGTTGAGTATCCTCCAGCTAGGTGGCCATTGTAAAGTGTTTTGGTCGATGAAGCAAACGCGCCGTTTGAGCATTCGGTTATAATCCAGTCTGCATCAATTGGAAAACAGGTGGACAGCTCCATGCAGTGATCTGGATGCCAAACCGAGGGGAAAAAGCCTGCTTCGCATTTGATTGGAGGCTGTGGTTTAAAACAGTAAGAAGTTGAGGTTCCCATGGTACAGTCCGTTGTATGTAAAATGGTTGCCCCATCAGAACAGCGCAGCGCAGCAGCTTCAGTGACCGCGGGAGCTTGGGGTTGGACGGACGTGATGAGCGGCTGTCCTTGTCCATCAATCGCTGTCTCACGCGGAAACCCCATTGTGCCAACGAGGTAGGAGAACGAGATGATAACAGCCAACAATGAATTGGCCATGTCTGCAGATGAAGGATCTTCGTTTGGGTGGATTTTGAACTTGCGTAATATGATAATGCAATTTTGCTTGTTTTTCTGTTCTGAAAGATCTTATTTTCGCGGCTGGCTCTCTTGTCTTATATGCTTGTGTTGCATTCAATGTCCTTAGTTGAGGCCAGCTTGAACCCTGTATATAGTTCCATCCTAGCCATCCATGATGGCTTCATGGTAGGTGGTAGATTTGCATAAAAAATTTCCATAGCTCAGACATACACAGCAGCCCATGCTAGCTCATAGCACTCGGTGGCCAGATCCACTTCTCATGTAACCTATTTGCGTGGCGGAAAGTGGAGTCATAATCATCCCGCGATAACCGTTGTGTGTACGAAAATGAAAGTAGAAGGGAGGCAGAATATAGCAGGGGAAATAGTATTGACAGTATATTCTCGACCAGAAATCCATGCTGAGCTTACTGGGCTGTGAAGACTACTGCAGGGCGAGCAAGGCTCGGCACTTTCCGCGGTACCCCTGCCAGTGATGTGACAGTCTGATTGATAAATAGGCCCAAGAATTATTCTATTGGAGGAAGCTCAATTTACAACAAACAACCACAAATAGTATGTCACACACAAGAAGGTTTGTTGAAGAGATTGAAGAGATCTCAAGGGGGCATGCTGTGACACGTTGCTGGGTTTTCTATTCTGGTTTGCCGCTCTTCTGAGTTAATAGAAGGTCAAGGTCTTACAGCCTCACAAAATTCCAAATTTATGGGATCAAGCGTCGCAGTGGCAGGTCGCTATCGATCATATTTTCTGACAGACAAGCACCTGTACCGCATGGTCAGGTCTAGGCTGTGTCTCATCTGCCCAACTGTGAGGTTTCACGACAGGGGGTACAAATAAATAGGCTGGCCTGGCTTATATCTTACTATACAACGCCATATGATGTGTTTGGTCGTATGAAGCAACTTTTGTCTCAGAGTAGAATACCAAAATCCCGGGCCAGACCTCAGATACTTTAAGACAACATGATGCAGTCCCACGAACCCTCCATTACCTATCTCACCAATTTGCTCTCATCTTCAGCTATACTCAACAAACTCTGATGATTACACATAAGTCCATTCAAACACAGGGACCAGGCAACTGAACAGGTCATAACCTGTATAGATTCAAAATCTTCTCACAGAAGGACAATATGATCACTACAAAATGCCCTATCCCTGATGGGGAGGGCATTCAATACATACAAGAAAGAAACCATGTACATGAAAGAAATAAGCCGAATCATGGTCTAACGGTTTGAGAAAGCCGATGAAACTGCAACCGCACCCGGCATGTCAGGCCATTTTTCAATGGAAACAGCAACGCTCAGCGTGAGCTATTTCTGCCTCAGCCCAGGAGACACTATCTCAAAGGGCATGCCCGTTATGCAGATGCCGGTGTTGGTTATGGGCGTGTCTCCTTACATGGTTAGCCAGACGATCCCGTTTTTCAGGGAGCTCTGGAATGGTGTCTCTTTCGACATATGAAATGACAGTGGAGGTTGTCTTGGCCGTTGTGGTTGCTGATGATACGGTGCGTTGCTCGCCAGTCTGAGTGGCGTATGGAGTGCCGTTCTCATCGATCATGACAATGATGTCCTGTTCAAGGTAGATAATCTCCTCAGTGATCGAGTCGACCGAGATAGATGTCGTCGGAGTTGGGGTTGGTGAAGAAGTCGAAGTGGACGTAGAAGTCGTCGTAGCAGTGTCCAAGGCATCGGCTTTACCCAGAACATTGCCGGTGTCAATCGAGATACTAACTGAGACAGTCGGCAGAGAGATGGTCGGGAGACTAATCCACGCCGAGGAAGTGGTTGTTGCAGAGGAAGATGACGACCCCATCGTGGCGTAAGCTGGTCCCCACTGAATGGCCATATCTCCAGGGAGTCCATTGGCATGCATTTCGACGTTCTCAGACTCGAGGGCCTCTGGCATATCGAAAAAGCATTCACGTTCCTTTGTTTCGGTCTGTATATCGAAGACTCCGCAGTCGTCGACCTCGCCGGTGGCACTAGTGCAAGTATCAACAGCGTCTTGCAGCACACCCTCCTCCCAGCCATACATGAAATCGCCATGATATCCATACCCAGTAGGGTCTCCATTAGCCAACGCAAAGTAACCGTCCACATCCTTGAAGGCATATGTATTCCAGATGGTCTCGTAAAAGAGTGAAACAAGTTGTGTCTCATATCCCTCGGGGCAGGTGCCGGTCATAACCAGGTCAGGGTACGCAACGTGGGATTTGTGGTCGTCAGAGTCAACATCCTTGCCATTCCAGCATGAAGGAAACATGAGCTCCAAGCGGAGACCATCAGTGCAATGTTCGTCGAGATAGGTTTTGTTCGGCATGTAATGCCGGTAAAGAGAGGCCTCGGCAGCAGCAGCATAGTTCAAGCAATTGAATCCTAAAGCTTTCTGGCGCAGGGCTTTCTGAGAAACCTGGGCACCGGACCATGAAGATTTTGGAGGATCAGGAACAGGCCAGGTAAAGTTGCGCTGGAAGGGATCGCCGGCCAGCATCCGGAAGTTATTGGGAAATGCGGTGATATTCTCGCCATAGAGAAGATAGTAGCTACAATGCCAGGAGAGTGAGCATAAACCCACAAAGAAGGAAGAGAGAAAAGGGTGGGGGGTAATCAACTTACGCTAGCATGCCTCCAACCTGTTCGACCAATTCGGCGCTGCCATTGGTGTGCATAAAGTACAATGCAGGTGTCCAGTAAGCCGACAGGTCCTGCGTCACAGCGCAAGACGTGCAGCTAGACTCCAGTAGAGTATCCATATCCGCACTCATACCAAAATCTGCGCATATGAAGTCAGTAAATATAGATCAAATGTCCGATTCGGTGCACGAACTCCCTCCTCCATGGATTGCATGCACATGAGAAGAAATCTCCCCTGGATCCACGATAGGATCCAACCGGGCGACACCAGTTCGCCCGCGGCAGGGAAGACGCCAGAATGCATTGGTGAGCACTGGAAAGATAGAAAAGCAGGCTGCCAGAGCGGCTGTCAAACGAATGTCCTGCATTGCGGCGGTAAAGTCGCGTCGCGCTCACAGGTCGGAATATCAAGGATGGGACCAAATCCGCGAGCAACAGATGATCGCCAAAGACTCGCCAGGAGGACCGAATCAACCGGTCTAACGCGACAAGCGCTATCAAAATGTATCAAAAGACAAGATTGTAAAAAGTCGACGGAAGACGTGCTATATAGGAGGTCAGTTTGAGTGGAAGTGCCATGCGTCGTTTATGAAAATTGGTGTATCTGGAGACAGGGCGGGGATATTGCAAAGTGGGATTCCAAATGTCCAATCAATCGTCATCTCAAGATCCTAAGGGATCTGATTTGAGAACATGGGAGATCAAAGTGGACGCCCCCTTTAGGGAGAAGAATGGTCCCCTTGCTTCGCGGCTTACATCTCTGGGCCACAGGTGAACGAACGGGGAACAGGATCGCAAAATAAGGCGATCGCAGCATACCACGTACCAATTGATTGAAAAACGCGTTTTCAGTGACGTAAATAAGTAAACAGCGATCCCGGTGTTAGGAGAAAGGCCCTTATTGAATCTATATTCCTCCGGGGGCCGTTGGGAGCACTTCCGCCTATAGCGAGAGTTTTGGGAGAATATGACCTCGGTTTTCAGAGAAAAATAGGAGCTAGGATCAACCTGAAATGACAGAATTGAAGTTGAACGAAAAAAGGAGCGACCAAAGGCTCTCAGGAGCAAAACGAACGACAGGATACCCTGAGATAGGGCTAAGTAGCGATTGTGATTGGGAAGCGAAAAAACCGACAACAGGCCAGAAGGAACAGGAACGGGCCTGGGGCAGAACAAGGGAATCAAGTACTGCTGAATCGCCAACCAGAGCCCCTTCTCCTTCGACATCGCTTGGTCCTTTGGGGGTCAAATGAGTTGACCAATCCCTTGATCATCAGATATTAGGCCCCTCCGCCCCTCCACGACTCATACCCCCCTCCACCAACTGAACAGGCGGACCGGGTCGAAACCGACTCACGATTGGGTTCATCCGGGAATTAGATTGAAAGGAGTAGCCCACCCCGGGGCCGATCCAGCGGATCTCGTGGTGATTTCCGCAGACACTGCCAAGGGACCAAGGCCCAGGGGATGATAGGAGGCAGGGGCTGGGAGTGGACTTTCCGGACGGGACTATGAGGGCGTAGGCCAGTGCGCAACAACTCCAGTAAGAGCGAGTGTTTCCACCGTTTGTGCTATCGGGAGCGAACGTTGAAACGAACCGCTTGTTCCTGTGCCTGATTGCCCGTTAGTCCTACCTCCACCGTCTCGGGCGGTCCCCACGCTGTGTGTTGGGATTGGGCAGCCGGGCGCATGATGAAACGGCCAAAAAATTAACGGGGGTCTTGGTCTGAATTGATGGGGCTGGCAAGCAATCGCATGAGTAAGATGCTTATATTGGACAGAGATTCGTATTCAAGATGAGCGCGTGGCTCCAACGACAATTTCGCTTAGCAGGAGAAGGGAGACGTATATACACTGGGCGGTTCGAGCGGGCGGGCAGAAATATACTTGGCCTTGAATCCTCTGGATGCTCTCACAGTAAGCACGCATCTCAACCACCATAGATAGTATTTGGACGAGGCTGTGGGGATCTCTACAAAATGTCCCGATCGTGTGAAAAAAAAGTCGTCCTGAGTCGCCGAGACATGGGAACCAATCATATACCATCATCCCATGCCACCACTGTTTGATATCTTACCAGAAATAAGACACAACTTGTGCCTTACGGAGGAGCCCCGTGTGCTTCAGATCCATCACGTATCGGGCACATGCCGATGACACTGAAACAATGCCGGCCAAGAGGCAAAGCTTGTTCCCCATTACGCTGCGGTGGACGTCCCACCATGATGCTAAAATTTTAGCCTATCTGCCTAGCAAAGATTGGGGTTTGTCGTACATAGCAGAGTAGATTGTACATCTAAAGCGACGTCTATGCTAAAATGACAATAAATAATATACAGGGACATGTACTCTACGGAGGCAGCTCGCTTAAGACCGGACCTTCTCCAGAGCCTTGCGAGCGCGGGAGATAGCGTCGCGTGCACGGTGGTCGGTCACATCTTCAGCATCCCTGCCACCATCACGCACAATCTTGCGCAGGAGAGCTTCTGTTTCACGCAAAGACGTGCGGCCCTCATCACGGACCTCTTCTTCCCAGAAGTCACGGGCAGCATCCCATTTTTTTTGTTGGCGACGCATGGAGTAGATGAGACCAACCGCGGCCAGAGTACATGATTCGTAAATTGAAGCGGATGGGATGGACACGTAAGTGAGAGCAGATAGGGCGGAGGTGAGGGTGGTAGTAGAGATACTGAAGAGCACCAGGCTCTGGGCGAGGGCTTGGAGAGAAGGCACGGTGGTGGTGAGTAGCTTTGTGCGCATGTCGGAGATCTGGGTTGGCCAAGGTGGTGGAGTAGACTTGGCAGGGGCAGTGTCTGACGGGGACGCTGTCGCGACAGAAGCAGTACGCTCATCCAGCAGGCCAGCCTGCTGGTACTTGCCGGATGTCCAGATGACTTCCCGCTCGGCGCAACGGAGGAAGCGCTTCTCCAGGATTTCGGAAGTAATCATGCTTACATCGTCAACCCGCCAGAAAAGTTTCCACCATGCGAGGCCGCGCCACCGCGGGCTGGCGAAACCTGCTTCGAGGGAGCTACGAAGTTCTGAGTGAGCCTGCTCAGCCCAGGATGTGACCCCGCTCTCAAGCTGGGCGCGGACTGCGTCCGGAACGATGCCAGTCGTTTGGTCTTGAATTGCTTTGGCATCCCGTTCAGCTAGACCGCGATCAGCGGCGTCGAGTAAGGAATCGAACAGCGGAACCAAAGCGGGGTTGAGTGCTTGTTCACTGGTGGACTGAGATAACGATGCAAGCCAGTCAATAACAGGCTGCACGCCACTGCCATTCCACCCACGTTCATATTCAGAAGCATTTTGTACAGATTCACGAATCTTATCCAAGGCCAAACCTGCACGATTGATGTCGACGAAGGATAGCCGATCGCTGCTGCCTGTGTCATCTTGGACAGAGAGTTCGATCGCACCTCGTACCGAGGCTACCTCGTTCTTCAGGTCTGACCGGCCCATCAAGGTGCTGAAGGCCAGAAGGCCATCCACACCACTCCCACACACGATACTGCGGTGCACGGGATATCGCACAACGTTTTTTCGGCCCGAGTGCGAAGTTTGAATAGTAACATTGGGCACCAGGAATGTGTCGGAGGAGAGCGTAGCGCCGTTGCTGCCAGCTTCCGAGCCAAGGGAGCTGACCAGAATCTCGATGCTGCCCTTTTTCAAAATGGGGGATCGGATCGCAATAGTCGGCAAGAGATCATTAGGAATAGACTCAGAGATTTCGCCATAGCTATAATGCCATAGGGATCGTCAGCACGTGTCTTAGTATCTTTGTCAACAGCACATTGGTGTCATACCGAATCAGGAGTCCGCGCGATGGATCGGATTCATAGCCCTCCAAGATATCTTCCCAGCTTTCGCGTGGGCCCAACGGATCGGCGAGAAGCAGTCGAACCAGTTTGCGCGCTGAATCCGCGTTATCTAATCCTAAGACTAAATTTCACAAGCAATAATTAGCTCTTTTGGTCTCCAACGAACAAATACGACATGGCAGTGCCTTGAATGAGATATAACATACCGGCAACTCGCACAAGCGGTTGTTCAGACTCCAACCCGCGCAGAGCAAGCTGCAAGCGACTCACGCTAACTTGCTCAATTGCCCCGTCTTTCACACTATTTAGAGCATCATAGAGCTCCTTGAACCGCGGAGGGACGGTCTTCGATGGATTGATAGCAGGAGATGTTGTGAATGGTCGAATCGCGATTGTTTGGGCATGGTCCAGGAGACGAAGATTCCGGCGCGCATGTTCGATACCATCAATGCCCGTCGTGGTGCTGCTCGCACGCGTCGAGAGTGTCCGTCGCCAGGTGGCGCAGGACGGACAGTAGAACACACCGGCGCTATCCAGCGGCCGCGACAGGCTCCGGGGGAGCGCATTGCGGAGTCTGGAAGGCATTGCAGCACGTTGTGGGGGGATCAGCTGGAGATGCGACCGCCGAGTCTTGACCTGGTGCGCAGGGTTGAAGAAGAGGCGAGGTCGGGAACCGGAGGGCGGGCAATCGGGCTTGGCGCTGCTCCACCGGCTGCCAGGGTTTTGGCGGATGGACACAGTAAATAGATACCAAACATGCTAATATCATGCAATTACATTTGAAGAATACAAATTTCAGTAGGCGACGCACTTAAAGTGAAGTCAGGACAATCTGTCACCATCATTACATGCTATTTTTTTTCTTGCGCCGTGTATCGCGAACTATGAGGTGCAGCTGGCTACAGTGGGAACATCTACTACGCCCATGACACCACAAGTCCAACAAAAAAAAACAAATTTAAACAGACATCCTGTCCGACCGCTGCTATTATTGTAGATCCACGTAGTAGATAACCAGGCAATAGAGTGGGATCAAGCAGATAGATAGGGTATCGTATCGATCATATCGTGGCGAGAAGGCCGTGTGCGCTGGAGGGCAGCAAGCAGGGAATACACAGATCGTGGGGTCGTAATCTTAACTCAATTCAATACCAAGGCCCTTCTAGGCTTCCCGGGTGTCTCGTGCCTCGCGTGGGCGACGATTGCGACCCGAACCGGCGGACCTATTAAAACCGGGTTAGTAGCTGTGTCGTGGATATGTAGTTTGAAAAGAAGGGGGAGGATAGTCTTTCTTACATGGAGATTCGTCGAGCAATAGTGGCAAGCCCGGCATCGTTAGCAGCCTCGTGCTCGGCACGCTCCATCGCAGCACGGTGGTCCTCTTCGCTCTTTTTAAACACCTCCTCCTGGCTAGGAGGCAGGCGCTCGTTCTGCAGGTCGACCTTTCGGGCGTCCTCAAAGTTGTGGATAGCCTGCTTGATGCCCTCCGCACCCAGCATGAGAGTTCCAGCCGGAAGACGACCGCCAGCCGCAGTCTTCAGCTCAGTTACACTCTCTGACTGTTCACGAAGCACCTGGAAGACACGAGAGAGACGACCAATGGCAAGAATCTTGTTCTTAATGGCACGGCGCTTGAATTCGCTGGACTCGGTATCCATGGGCAAAGGAGGGGAGACGGGGCCAGTCGGTGATACAGAGGAGGGGGTGTCGTCCTCTTCCAGTTCCTCTTTCGAGCAGGTGTTGAGAATGGCGATGAGCATATCGGTGATCTTCTCACCAACGAAGGGCAGAGACCAAGTAAAGACATCCATGAAGTTTGGCAGCCAGTACGGGTGGGGAGTGCAGTTAAATTGACGAATGTTCATGACGTTGTTCTCATATTTGAGAACTGCGGCCTTGTTGTTGTAGACATCGAGATAGTTGGGAGCACTGAAGATGGTCATCACACTCGGGAAACCGGTCGTACGAGTCTTCCGGTACATGCGGTAACCGGCATCCTGCGCTTCGTGGGCTCGGATGATAGAGAGCAGATTGTTTTTCTCCAAGAAGGCACATGCTGCAGGATAGGAGAAGAAATAGGAGCAACCACGGACGCTGTTGTGGATAAAGAAATCGCCGGTCTTTTCCTGGCCAAATTCCTCCAGAGGATCAGCCCAAAGAATGTCACACATCAGACCATGAGTTGGGGGTTCACGGAATCGATCAATCTATGCGAAAATAGGTTAGCCACAGCGCATGAGCTCATCGTGGAACACTGTGTTGGAATGACCTACCGCCTTAATATCTTCGAGGGTGTGCAGCTCCGGGCTGAGACCGCCGTGAATGCAGAGAAACTGCTTATTCATGACTGCCGCCAGCGGCAGGCAACAGAAGGACTCAATACAAGCCTCGTAAATCCGTTCACTATATTTGTGTTTACATTCCAGCTTGAAGGTAAAGTAATCGGTCAAGTGGCGACATTCATGGTTACCTCGCAGCAACCAAAGAGAGTCTGGGTACCAGATCTTCAAGGCCCAAAGATACAAAACGCACTGGGAGAGAGAGGAATACGTTAGATTACTGAAGATTCGGAGCATTCCATCTGATAATCCCACGGCAGATGCAGAACATACCTCAATACTAAAATAGCCACGGTCAACATAGTCGCCCAAAAAGAGATACCGTGTCTCGGACGGATCGCCGCCCACTTCAAACAGCTTCATCAAATCATAATACTGTCCATGAACATCACCGCAAACCGTGATGGGGGCATCCATTTCCAGGAGATTGGGCTCCGATCGCAAAATCTCCGACCCGGCATGGATGATCCACAGCGCCTGCTCTTCTGTGAGACGACCTTCGCGATAGAGGTGCTGCTTCAGATATTGGAGATTGGGCTTGGACGGGTCTTCGGGAGACCAAAACATATCATCGGGAGGGGTGCTTAGAGCCGGCGCTTGGACCTCTGCATGATCAGGCCAAGGTCAGTGGTCAAATTGTGACAGGATATCGCCAGTGGACAGCCGTGAGGATTACCTTTGACAACCCGTTCCGTTGTCGACACCTGCATGCCATCCTCCATGGTGTGCAGCGTGAAGTCGATCTCGGGGACCGGCTTCTTTTCGGTCACTGCGCGCGCAAGAGTTCGATCCATGGTGTCCGTCTGAATGAGTTCAGATCCCGGGGAAAATTTGGGCAATCAGACGGAGTACGGAGAGAGGGGAGGGACGAGGAGGGAGGAGGGGGTTTCAACCGCGCGGAGCTGAGGCGGGGTGGATTCAGCGCAGGCGGGAAGGATTTCCCAGAGGGGGTGGGAAAGATAGGACTGATGAAGATCCCTATGGAGATCGGGAGACGAATCGACCTTGAGCGACGAGTTGGAGGACAAGAAAAAGGGGGTGGGAAGGTCGCGTGTGGAGAGGGTTTGATGTGTTGAAGTTGGGAAAAAGAGAAACAAATTGGATAAGCGGGCTGGGCTTAACTAGCCGCTGTTCATGCTGGCTTCGTCTCCTCTTGTGCTCCGTCCACTTCGCAGCAACACCAGCACGATCCGATCGGACCAGCCTCGGCAATACGCTAAGGCCTGCGCTAGGATCGTGTAGGGCTTTGGAGACGGCAATCAAATTGCCTGCGATCCCACACAATTGGACCAAATGCGTAGAACCAGTTGGGGAGTTGGGCATCAGCCTCACTGGGCCATCGCGTAATTGGTGCCTGGATTCCGAGGCCACAAACGCCCGGTCCCTGAAAGTTTGGAGGTTTCGCTCACTCGTTTCGTTTTTTGCGATCTTTTTTGTTTCTGTTGGAAGTGCTGAAAAGGAGATCTGTACCCGCTAGAGGGAAAATACCTTCCAGAATGTATGTCAACGACTGGCTGTCCCTTGAATACTAACTATCTTCGATGATAATGATCACCTTCATCCAAGAACCATCACCACTGGACTTTCGTAGTGCCAAGAGCAATGCCCTCCATGCTACCTACAATGAGCGGTAGAGACAAGCCATGTAGATTCAAGGAGCTGCGCTGGGCCAAATCCATTCACACTGGCGGTGGTATACAGTACCTAGGCTGAGGACTGGAATGGACTGAGCTGGTTGCGAACAACCAGTCGATATGATAGACATTGAACCGAGAAAACCACCTAAGGTCTAAAGCTTGCTATCCGTGCGAGTTACCCAAAAAGGACAGCCTGCATTGGTCCGAGCCCTCTGGCTCTCAATACCATAGTGCGCCTTGCATATGAGCGAGCCCGAAGCCTAGCACAAGACCAATCGAGATTTCTAAGCTAAACGTCCAGCTGTCGACTACTGAATTGTAAGTAGACAGTGGGGTCATAGGTGGGACAGCCGAAGGATGGCCCTGACGACGGAGAGAGAACATTCGAAAGGGCGATTGGGAGCACAAGAGGCTTGGATGTGAACCCAGCCCGTGAAAAAGACGACCCGATCCATCTATATTGAATAGTTTCCTACCTCGAATCTCGTCGCCAATCTGTCAACGGTTTATCGGGCCAGATATTTCCCGCGCATGTTCAGGGTGAACAAGATTCATCGGTCACCAATCCCCCAATAGAAGTAGAGTCCCGGGAGTTACAACGGCACCATCTTGGTCAAATCATGCCTTAAGGTTGCATTATCCATGTAGGACGCTGGGACCATAGCAATCTGTATCCATTTACGGATAGAAAATGGCGCAAAGCTTATGTCGCTATGCCGTTGAAAATACTTCCCCTCGCCGAGAAAACAACATCATAATGCTATATACCAACTATTCAAGTTCTATGCCTCGACTCAAAATCGTCGGCTCTGCTCTTTCCTTGAAATAGCAAATAGCCCTGCATTTTTCGCTCGCCTCAAAATGCGCCAGTTGCACTGGCTAGCAGTTGTTCTCCTGCCCTCGGCTCTTTATCATAGAATCGAGGCCTTCACGAGGCCATGTATCTATTTATCGGAAAAGTGTGGCTATACATTGATATCAACATATGGTGGGCATTAGACTGTTCCAAAAAGAAATGATTATTCCCAGAATTGAGGGGTATGATCGTATTCGTCTCTATTTGCATTCACTAACAAATCACTGGCAGGATACAATCTAACCGAGTTAACACTCGCGGTAAACAAGACACCTTCTATCCCTCCACTGAGTGCGGAACAACTGCCCCAAGTTGTTTTTCATTGTTTGGACATACTCGGCAATATAACTGGAAACTCATTTTGTATCAATGGATGCCTTGATTCTCAAAACTCAACCGTGGATGATCAGTGTCAAATATCCTCGAATGGGACATGCCCCCCACCGGGAGGCGGGACAAGCACTACTACGGTGACCGTTACAACAACTATTGGGCCTCCTCCAATTTCATGTGTTCGGCAATGTCAAACCTGGTGCTTTGGTAATAACTGCACTGGAATGGGCCCAGCTACGATGGCGTTACCGACGCCTTTCTAATCTGGTTGTTTAAAAAGAAAAAGAAAAAGGAAGTCAAAAAAGACTGAAAGGGAGGAAGAGTCCTCTTGATGGAAGGATATCACTGCCAAGTCGAAAAATCTTCTCTCCTTTGTCATAAAATAAGTTATTTTCAATAAAATATTTGTATCTACTGAACTAGCTTTCTCGGCTATTCCACAGGGAAGCAGTGACCGAATCTACCTCCGATCTCGGTTCGTTTTAAGTATGCATTAACCATAATATCTACCATACATGTACCAATTACTCTATCTTTTAAAAACAATAAGTATATATAGAGCTATTGTGATGTCGTTTGTCATCGCGCCATGCCTGAAATATAGTAATAATAAGTAAGAGCACATAATTGTTTTTGGTATTATCTGTCATGAAACGACAAGAATAAGCCCGAATCTAATTACGTATGAAGGATTATGCTTTCTTATTTGGAGAAATATCCTCAAATTTCATTCTGGCCAAGAACATAAATGGAGTATTCATGATGCACACCCAGCAAAGGAATGAAAAAGCATTGGATGTCCACATTCAGCTATCAACTTTCGCACTACATCAAGCAGCAGACTATTTATATCTTCCATCAAAAAGTTGGAGTTTTCTGATATTTCCTCACACAGTCCTTACAGGACGCATTGGTCGTTTCTTGTGCCGGGCTTGGTGTCGCAACCAGCAAAGCAATAAGAGTTTCCAGTGATAGTTCCCAGAATATCTGTACAGTGGAATAGTGTCTGCGAAATTTGGGCTACAGAGAGAACTGGAATAGAGAGGGTATCATTGACAGCAGCTATAAGCTGTGAGGTGGTATAGCCTGGTACCCATGATATCAGATATCTTGATTGGACGGAAGAAACTTTCATGGATTAGAGAATGGACGTATACGCACTGTAAGGAGCAGCAAGGAGCACTGAGCCACACTTCAAAGACTGATATTCACAATTGGCAGCTTGTTGGGCCTGAGTTCCTGCAAAGAGGAGGCTCGCAGACAGAATGAGTTTGCCAATCATTTTGACTCGAATTTCCACTGGTCTTGAAATATAATAAAGATGAGTTCTTTTCAGCAGGCACCTGTCTTTCTAATTATGGATTTGAAAGTCTGAATGCCGAAGATTAAGGCACATATTTATAAAGATCAAGGAACTGGTCTTGGAACGCTCCTGAAGGACCAAGGTGTACAATGTCAAAAGTATGTAAGCTGATACTACCCTCGAACTGTCATAAAAGCGCTAGGAAAAGGATTAGTGTTTCCCCGTAGAAACCTTGTGCAAGGCATGTGATATCATGGATCTTAGGCAAAATTAAGGTGTCAATGAAAATCGTCCACACGTTCATATCACCCCTGTCTCAATATCTGTTGAAGAAATACGCATCAGATTGCGGGTGTAACCATCATCGGGGCGAATGGCTTTATTGTCTTTCAACCGCGAAGCTGTCGGATGGTGTATGGTTCTCTCGGGCCTCCCAAGAGCATCGAAATCTGAAAAACAGCACCGAGATCGGGTGATCATTTAATGTCATTAGGTTGTGTCACAAGGGAGACCGAAAAGTTCTCATAATTACTTCCCCATAAGGTCGTGCTCTCAAGCTTTCAACTCCTAGGTGTCATCATTGGTTTACATCAAAAAAAAATAACCGCAGGAGAAGTAGTATCTATGACTTCTTTGTAACCTCATCATTGACAACAAGGAAACACAGAAAAGGAAAACTTTTAACTCAGTTACTTCAAAGCCGTCGGTCCCATTGAGAGGGTGAAAGAAAGCCTGCCACAATGTCAGCTTATCCGTCACAACTCGACATCAACAATCATTTATGTTTGAAGCCTGACTAATGCCTAGATGGGGTCAAAACCTAGATCATCATCATGCTCGATGAAGGGGTTTGTCATGCAACTCTGTAGGGACTTCATGCTGTACCACTCCCCGTTGCATGATTTCAATAAACAAGTCCGGTTCCTTGATCGAAGAGATATAGACTCATACTTAGAATTATAACTTAGCTCTTTACAGTTCATTATAGTTACAGTTCTCTTCCGGTTTTCCCATTCGAGATCAATTGATAGAATGAGGTCGCAACATCAGACTGGCTTCTTCAAACCCCACACATAGAGCTCAGTGGTCTCAAATCGAGCTTCTTTCTCAATCTCGAATCCGCACTTTCTGAGAACACAACAACTTCCAACATTTGTTTGCTCACTTATGGCATAGATTTTCTCGACTTCGTCGTTGGGATCATCGCCCCACGTACGTCGAGGCAGGTCCCACCAAAGCTTTAACATCAGTTTAAGTGCCTCCGTCGCATATCCCTGGCCCCAGGCCTCGGGAAGAAGCGAATATCCGATTTCAGGGCACGGAACAACACAGTTGACGCTCACATATCCAATGATCTGTTCCTGATTCTCGGGAATAGACTTGTCCAGAATCACAAAATTAAAAGAACGCCCAACTATATCGGAATTTCCCTCTGTGAATACTTTGCTTGATACCCACTCGCGGGTTTCTTGGATGGATTTGAAGGGTGTTTTGGGGTAGCTGGAGAGATCAGCATACAGAAATCGACGTATATAGTCTGCGTGCCAAATAAAAAGCATTCCAAGCTCATTACTTACTTTGATTTGGCAACCTCTGGGCGAGAGCGAATGGCAAAGAGACCAGGAAGGTCAGACTCAGTAACCGGACGAAGGCGTAACCGATCACTCTCAATGGACGGTGCCAGGGGTGGTATAATGACATTAAGAGCTTGGCGCGGAAGTAGTTCCATGGCGAGATTCTTTTTTCTTTGGTTGCTTCGAACAGACAGATGACAATCTCAGCCAAGGTTACACCAACACCAGGCCAGGCCCTCATCATTTTTCTACCGCCTATCCTTCCGCCTGCCGCCGATTGATTATGTCAGTTTGTAGCGCTCAAGATACGTAAATTGAGGATACTCGTTATATTCCAGGGGTGTCCGCCTCTCATCTTGGTGCATTTAGTAAATTTTCAGCTTCAAAAGACTACACGCGTGCCTCAGGAAACAGGCGAGTTGACTAGTAACTCTATTGTTGATACACGGCAGAATATTATGTCATCAATGGCCTACTTCACTATAGCTATGGAAATATTTTCCGACAATAATGATCGACAGGTTGTACACAGGATGGGTTGCCCTTGGAATGGAAGTCAAGTAGTGGCGTCCAAAGATGCCTTTCACTAAGCATTTTCATGGAAAGGATCTGAATCATGAGCAATACAAATCTCCACTCAAAAATGAAGTACCAGGCATAGCTTGCGGTCCCCAATCGCAAAGAAAAGCAGTGCAAGTAAATATGCCGATTACAGGTGTCACGTTTCAATCATCGCACCTGGTAATGGAAGGTCTAGAACCAAGGCTTTTTTAATTCCAATCTCTTATCCGCCTCTGGTCTCTCTTATTTCTCCTGTTTAATCTCCTCTTCCTCTTTTTTAACCTTCTCGCCTTCGAGAGGCTTTCTAGCCCAGATTCTTCTCCTTTGGGATCAGTTAGCTCAAATCGTCGCCTATCATCTGAAGCAATCAAGTAAGGCAAGATACTTACGCCTTTTGATAAACATGGATGCGAGGGTTAGACAATTCCTTCCGCATCTTAGCCACATAGACCTGTACTTCTTCCTTGGTCCAGGGCACAGGGTCGCCAAACTTGGTCAATAGCCACATGCCGTACCCCTCCATTCCAGTCTGCCAGTGTCGGAAATTGACCGCGCCCACCTCTTTCAACTGCTTGTCCTTGGCCCAGGGGCCGATGGGCCACTTGTAATCTTTGATATGGACATCTACAAACCCAGCCTTCTCAATGGACTCACGGAAAGTTCGCATGATACCAAGGGGTCTGTTTGCTTTGTCGGCGGCGAGGGTGAATCTAGGACCCCAGCCTCTGAGGATACTATCCTCAGGCATACTTCCATCGTCGCAGTCGACAAAAGAGCTCATCTCGAGCTGCTCGATCCATCCGCCAGGTCGAATATGTCTGGAGGAATGAATACGAATGTTAGCATCTTGCTTTTTCCTTTGAAGAGAGATTATTGAGAAAGACCCACTCAAAACATTGCTTATACACGAGGTCGGTTTCCTCGGGCGTAAATGCAGAGTCAAGCAGCCGCAGATGAACCAAATCAAAAGGCTCACGCCAGGTCCACGGTTGAAGAATATCGTCCACCTCTAAGACGCAGTTTGGTGGAAGCCAAGTGACCGGGGGTGGGAAGAGATCCACACCACGGACAGTTGCTAGAGGAGTTAAAAAATGTGGAAACCAGAAACCATCATAGCAATCAGACACTTACCTTCCGGAAACATGTCGGCAACATCACTGTGAATTAATTAGCCACATAAGAAAAAGGAAAGAAAAGAAACAGGCTCGACAGGATGGTTTACGAGCACATACATGGCCCATGAACCCTTTCCAGTTCCGATATCAAGAATGTTCTATCCGAATTAGTGATGCACTGTTACAGAGCTATTCATCTGGTACCAAGCTCAACAAACCTTCGGTGTTTTCACTGGCGCTTGAAACAGAGGGTTTGGAAGGTGAGAATCTATGATGAACGCAAGCAAGTGCCTGTCGATATTAGCAACCCATCGGGGCAAGGAAGATGGTTTCATTGCTTACGAAAGTTCATAAGTCTCAAACATCTGGTCATCGGATGGAACACTGAATGGGTCAATACAAATCTCTCGGGCTGGTACCTGAGCGTAGATCTACTCACTGAGAGTCTGTAGCCCTCAGGGTTTGGTATCTCATTATCTGATCAGCTTTTTCCTCGGGAGCGAGTTTGAATAATTTCTCTACCTTCGACCATTTTCAAGAAGACCTTTGCAGATCGTCGAGGCAAGCGAGGTGGTCTCCCTAATTCTCATCTTAGACCTCATCACAAATAAATAACCTTTCAGTGTCCACATACGATTGCCAATCATCGGGATCTGTGATGTCTTTCGACAGATGCAAATCCGGATCCTATCAGGCATCAGCTGATGATAACGTAGCATTTGGATTCGAGACAGGGGCGCACGGACAGGGGTAATCTGTTCGTCCAGCGTCATGATTGATAGAACGTGGATGGATAGTTTACTGGAGAAAGTTCGTAGAATGACTTGAATACGGTTGCATTGGGAGAACCCCGATCAGAAAAGGGGGAGAGAGAGAGAGAGAGAGAGGAACTAATTGGCAATAATGGCTATATAAGGAAATGCAACTTTCCAATTCCTAGCCTCACGGCACGACGTTGACTAACGGCATGCCCCGCATGCCATGAGCTACAGGGATTATGGTATTCCTCAGACAAGACCACTGGCTAGCGAAAGATCCGGCTGGGAAAACGAATGATGTGTAGCTAATGCCGGTCGTGCATTGGGGGATTATCTGGTCAAGCAAGGATTCAGGACTGCCACGAATGTTCTTTGTTCTTGGGTTTCAAAGTGGAACCGCGGGTTCAAACTAGACTGGAACAGCAAAAAGACCGTCGGGCCACAGCGGGCTATTCGGCCTGGATCTGATCCTTCGAGGGGTTTTCTGGCCTGAGGGAAAGAGTATGCCATTGCAGATTGAAATTTGGGTATGTCCTGTCCTGTAGAAACGCTCTTTGGTGCATGCACATGGCCGCCCGCAGCTCGTGGGGGGACTTTAAAATATATCCAGCAAAAGGCAGATCAAACGGCTGTGCAGGCCGCAAACCAAACTTCTAGATAGTCAAAGACCATGCAGAAAGACAGGGAACGACGCTGGCATTGGTTAGTCGGCCGGGGCAAGCCGGCCTCTAGTCCATGAACAGCAACAGTCGCGGGCGCTGTCGAGCCACTTGCTGCGGGATGTGCTTCCGGTTGCGGGACCCCACTTGGGACGGCTGCAAGACCGCCGCAAAAACGGCTTCGTCGCAATGGTTCCAGTGCAGGAGGTGGATGTGATTGTTTGAATGTCTCGAGTCTTGCGTGTTTGTTACTTTCTCGCCTGAAGGCCTCGGCTCGCGGGCGGTGAGCATCGGCTCCGTCTCCGCATTGTGAACACCCCGCCCTTTACATCCATTGGGCTGCAGAGCACCCTCTTATTTCTTCAGCCATGTATGACTCGTACCGTGAGTATCTGATCGCTGAGAACCATAGAGCAGTCCTTTAGCTTCTAGGAATACTGACAATATTACAATTCATAGGTCCTCATCTCCTGCTAGCCCAGGTCCCTTTGACTGTCTCGCCTTTCATCAGTCTCCCCACCTCTGTCACCCTTCCCTACACCTACAAATCAGTCTCCTCGACCCTCCCGCCGTCAGTGACGGTCGATCCAGTCAACCCTGATAATAAAGCTCGTTATGTCGTTTCCTCGAATGGTGAACATGCAGCTCACCCAGATGAGATCTTGGCTGCCTGCCAATCCCTCGAACAGCACCTGAAGAAGACCCAGAGCAACGCCACAGAAGCTATCAAGGCATGGGAAGAATCTATCCAGCAGCGTGAGCTGGCTGAGAAGCGCCGCGTTGCGCCCGGGTGGCTAGACCGTGAAGAGAAGCTACTACAACCGAGCCGAGCTGCTGGGCTTCAGGGCCCTAGGGGCGAAGCTGGGACAAGCCTGTTGGATAGCTCCTCAGCCGATGAGGGATCGGCAATTTTGCCTGCAATAATGCCCCGGGATGGAGAAGAAGAACTTGATCGAGCATTTGGTGGGCTGGGTGTGAAGTAACCTTATAGGGATACAAGAGTTCCGGGCACTGACGCCGGCAGCTATTCGACAAAGCAACACACGCTTCCCAGTTAGCAAGTCCGACTGAATTCTAGACTGGGTCTACCTCCCCGATACTTCGATCGGCTTGTTTTTGGATACCACAAATCTCAACTCAGGAGCACCAACGGGAAAATCCTTTCCAGGGTGTTCTGCTACACTGAGCCCTTTGAGGAATGAAAAAAAAACCAAACAAACAAAAGATCAATGTGAATAAGCAGCAGAAACAGTTGATAGGTCGCCTCAGTGTTGGGGGCAAGAGGCCAAGCAGGGTCCAAGTGCACAAGTGACAGGAGTGCGCAGGCAACAGGAGTGTCATCGTCAAGGCATTCTGAACTGTGTGGTGTCTGCGTTTTACGCTACTACGTGACCCTCTCTGGAATGTGCGGCATTCTCAAAAATCTTTTACCCGCGAGTATGACAGTGCCCACTGTTCCTGCATTCCAATAAAATGCATGTGGCCCTTCGCTCCCTTCGGGGAAACTACATCATCATCTTCACAGTGTAGAAGCTGATCTAATAGATAGCACTTGAAGTTCCAAGGTTGACGTCGCTATTGATCTATAAACTAGATATCGGTATCAGATTCTCTCCGTTCCTCGGCCATAAAGAAGTACGAGAAGCTGCTGCATGGCCCTAGATGCGAATGGGTCCCCCGCCCATATACGTAGCTATATCTAAGACGCGGTGAAACATATATTTACGGCTGCAGCCTTGTCGGTCGATGTCTATAGTAGCTTTCTAATATATCAAAACAACGAGTCAATCATATCTATTATTAATAAAGCATAAGAATGAGATTCCCTTTTCTAAAAATACACATATTATACCCGATATTGGAAGCTGACAACCGAAAGCAGCGGAGCGAGTACCATGGGAAAGTATCTCTCTATCTCTAATCGCCCTCCGCCCGGAGCTCCCGCCGCCTTTTCGCACCTTCACGACCCCAAAACGCAGGGTCATACTCTCAACCCTCAACCCCTTCGCACATCGTACCCACTCATAACCACGAGCTCCAGAAAAAAGCAATGGAGGTCCTCCAAACGCCCCCCGAGACATCGACCTATGTCACCATCGCGGAGCACCAATCTCGCACACCAGCCTCGTTCGTCAACGGCCCTCCGGTGCTCCACTACCACAGCCAGCGCTGCAAGGTCGTCATTCTTGAGCGTGACCTGGTCGCCAACCCAGCCCTGAATGCCCTACGCGGCGAGCGCGCCTCCACAAACGGTAACGCTGCGGCCGCGCCGCAGGATACCGAGGATGAAGAGAGCGTTGAGATCGCTATTGAGGGCGTGGATACCTGGGTGACGTCTGAGTGAGTACGGCATTTTTGTTCCCATGAGCTTATTCCCCTCTAGCTCCAAAGATCAGGCCCTTGCGAGCTGGGCCTTCGCAGTGTACAGCAATTGAAGAACTATGCTTCGTGAGACGAACTAATCGGCCGCGCGATCCATCTAGAAAACTCCTTCTCTTTTCGCCCTCTGCCTCAACCGGCGTCTCGATTCCTTACCCATCGATCTCGCTGCATGCGATCCAACGTCTGCGCGTGCCTGGCGGCGATGCCACGGAGGTGCAGGGGCTCTACATGCAAATTGCGATACCAACGGCGCCGTCTGAGGATGACGAGGAGGAGTGCATTACGATAACGGTAGTGCCGCCGAGCGAGGACGAAGCTGCAGGTGGCAACACGGAGACGAGCGCAGCAGTGGAGGGGACGGCGGAAGAGCGGGCGCTACAAGACCTGAGCGACGAGCCGCAGGAGGCGCCGGCACAGCTGCTGTACAACGCAATGTCGGCATGCTCGAATCTGCATCCGGATCCCGTGGAGCCGGGTGACGAGGACGACGAGGAGGACGCGAAGTTCATGTCGGTCGAGGACCATGGGTATGCGCTGTACCAGCTCGGGCAGGAGGCGATTGGATCGACGAATGGAGATCTGCCGCCGCCGGTGGAGGGCAGCTCAGGATGGATTACAGCAGATAACATGCATGAGTATTTTGACGAGGAGGGGAATTGGATTGCTGAGGGCGAGCCGCCATCATTTCCGGCTTTGGGCCCTGGAGCTGGGACGGTGAGGGCGCGCGAGGAGAACGATGCCGAGGAGGAGCAGGAGGGAGAGGACGAGATGACGAAGTGGCAGAGGACTGATTAGACGCTATACATAAGACATGGACGGATACACAAGGTGACAGGGAGTCCGGAGCATGTGGAAAACTCATGATGATATTGCTTCAAATCTACCAAAATATTTCAGATATCAGAATAGAGACATTCATTTCTAATTATGACTACCTAGAGGATGGATATCGAAACACACACGTTACACATCAAAGGGGGAAGGCAGAAGTAGCCAAATTCTTCGCGTGAAGAGTTGAAAAGAGAGTGGAAGAAACGAAGGAAATGAGAAAAGAAAGGAAGGAATAAAAAAAAAGGTATAAGGCTTTTGAACAAAACATCATGAATAGAGGGTACATATCACCACCGCTTCAAAATTGACAAAGAACCGCCGTGGAAGGGAGAACAAGGGAGAAATTAAGGCAATTATTCTCTCAGAAAACCATCGCCGTCGTATAGACTCGCCGGCGTAGTGATTCCAACGCCAATTCCAAGGCCTTTTCCAGTGGGAGTTGTCATGCCGCGCCGAGCAGTAGTCGGCGTGGTAGGACCTCGTTGGCTAGACATGCGCATGGGAGAGCGGGTGCCATTCTTCGATAGTGACCGAGGAATGCTATTCTTGACATTTGTTGGGGATGTGGCGGTTTCTGGAAAGTTGTACCCTTGCAGACGAGCATGAGGCAGCTTCGGCGGTGATGCGCTGCGGTTGGCGTCTTCCCATATTGTGACCCGGTCGCGCACAGTAGAGCTCTTGGTGCTGTATATGGGGGAGTTGGCAGACACCACAGGCCCCAGGGCACTCGCGAAGGAGCCCTGGGAGTCGCCGGTTCGCCTGTAGGATCGACTGGCATCTGTCGAGGTGCGGCGTAGTGAGTCTGTTGACTTGCGCCAGTCACTACCCTGAGTCCCGGTGATAAAAGGTAGACCATTGGATAGTTCCATACTCAATGGCTCCATCGGCTTGGGCTCAGCCACGCGGGTGGAATTGCTGCGCACAGGCTTGCCTGGCTGGCTACGAGGCCCTTTAACAGCTGTCCGTCGGGGACTACCATTACTAGGCGAGTTGTCGTAGACAGGGGACGGGACTTCGGAGATTGACCAAACAGGCATTGTTCGCTCAGGTGATGGCGTATGAGACAGGTTGACCTCTGCTGTGGGAGGGATTGACGTCAGAAGGCCGGGTAAATGTTGATCTTTATTGAGAAGAGGGGTGCTGTTTGCCGTATCAGCAGGAGCGTGCTTCCTCTTTTTACATGGACCGCTATTGTAGGCCGATTGCGGCTCTTCCGCGAGAGGTCCAAGAGAGCTCGGGGCTGAGATCGCGGGTTTTGTGCGCCGACTACCCCGTTTTGATAATGGCAAAGGTGACGTGGTGTTGGAATTAGAGCCAGGTTTGGAGGACAGCGAATTGGTCCTATTAATGGCGCTCTCACGTAGATCCACTTCTTCCATCGCATCGACATCTTCTGTCTCCTCTTCAACTGTGGGCGAGAAGGTAGAACTGCCAAATGTCATTGGTGGATGTATCGAGATACGCACACAGTTCTGGCGGCGATGGCCTTTCCGTTGCGAATTGCCTCCTTTGAGTGCAGATGGAAGGGATCCCTTGAGGGACAGGCTGGAGCGTTGCATTGGGCTTTGCGGTGCGTACGAGGTAGATGGCCCTGGGGAGCCAATGGAAAACAAGGTTCCATTGGAATGAGGCGAACCGCCGTAAAAAGGGTCATTCTCCCTTTGTTCAGGCTCGTACATTGGCGGTGGTTGAACCTGGCTAAAGTGGGACATATAGGCCACCTGCGAGCCGGAGGAAGATTGCCGACTATGGGTATGAAAGTTTTGACTATCGCCTAGTGCTAGTGGAGTGCCACTGCGTAAGGAAGCATGTCTCTGAGGCGGATTGGATGATAAAGATTCGCTTCGACGAGGAAAGCCACTGGAACGATTACTAGCATTGCTCGGGTTGCGAGATGTTGTAGTCATGCTTCGCCGGGGGGACATTTGTCCTCCAGACACCTTCCTGCGGCCTTCCGCAGTTGAAGAAGACCGAACGGGGAAGTTGTGCATTGGAGGTACAGAAGTATTGGCAGCAATGAAGCTTCGACGGCCGTTCTTGACGCCGACGTCATTGGCACTGTAGGGCACAAACGTGCCGCCAGATGGAAAATTGGGCGACGTGATATCGGTTTCAATGGATCTTAGCCCATTCCGACCGTCGTCCAGAATGGAGCTATTTGTCGTGTCGAGGCTCATTGAGGACAGTCGCATTACAGAATCATTCCGCAGGTAGCTAATACGGTCCGGTGGATATGCTGCTGCTGGAGGGGGAGGAATTGGTTTCTCGGGCGCCATTCCTGGCGTCTGACTCGCGATACTTCCACCTCGCATTCGCGTAGGTGATTCCTCGAAGATCCTCGGGGGTGGATCAAACAGGTCTTGCGAAACCCCATCCTCCAAGACCGGGAACAACCCTGAGCGGTCGCGTTGAACGGCAGCTGGGGGTGGCCAAGCGGAGGCTGGAGACATTGGACGCATGCCCAGGTGAAAGCCTTCTTCTTCCCGAGGGATTTCTGGGGTCTGGCGTGGTGTCCGTTCGGCTGGCAATTCTAGGATGCCTTCCACGGCTGATAGGGGAATATCTTCTCTTGTACTGCTCGTAGGACTGGGAGATATTTCACTGACCGTGGCCATCGAAGCCATCCGTTTGTGGTGGGAGGATCTAGAGAATCTCTTGGACCGCGTTCTGCGAATAGAGTTGCGCAAGGACCGAGCCTTGTCGACTAGAGGCCATGATGATTCAGATCCAGTCTTAGGCCGCAGTAGAGTCTCTCGAGATTCTAGTTGACCCCATTCTGAGGGTTTACCATATGGGAGCTGCCCATGGGCTCGCAGCACAGTTCCTTCGTGGTGAGATAGTTCGGTCAATGTATCCCCCGTGAAAGTCTGGATGCTGCGAGTATTTTGTCCTTGGCTGAGACGAAGAACTCTCAGTGCATGGCGCTCTTTGCGAAATCGAACCCAGACAACGATGGCGACGGTTGAAAAAACAACGAATATGGCCGCGCCGGAGGCGGCGATGGCAACCACCGCGCTGAGCCCCAGCATAGCCTCCTGGTTGGCGTTGAAGCTCTGGCCGTGTTGATAATGAGTCCGGGGGCGCGTAATCCGCGAGGAAGAAGGCGATCAGTCGCTCATCCGCTTCAGGTTGCCCGTGAATATTTCTCACGACTTGTATACTTGAATTGTTGGGGTCTTTTCTCCAACGGCAACGCGGTAGGCTTGGATGGTGCGAACACGAAGCAAAGAAACGGACATCCAAGGAGCAAAAGAGATTGTGTCAGGTGCGTCGCGGCTGACATTCCCGCTTGAGGCCCTTCATTTGTTTTGAACACTCTGGTGAGGGCTCCGGAATGCGACTGCATCACCACGGAGGCGTGGAATGTTGGCGGCCACACTGTATCCCCACCCCTGCCATCGGTGTTCATGGCACTTCGCATACTCCAGATATAAAGCTTGTGCATTGAGACGGTCACCAGAACAGTGTGCAGAAGATAGGAATGGAAATCGAGTCCGCCAATTCCTGTCAAATCATGATTGGCCGTTCAAAGCACTTGATCAAGTGAGTCCGTAATTAAAATCTGTATTTGTCCCTCGACTTCATAGCTGGGGAGAGTAGAGACCTGCTTGTACGGCATGACGCCGGTCGCATGCATCCAAGCTTTATTTTCCGATTTTCAGATGGCTGGGAGGGAGATCATGATTCCTATTCCGTGTTGAGATTGTTGCGGTCTTCATAGATCACTAAGACCGGTGAAATCTCGGCCGATCTCCCGGAAGGCGCCCACGAATATCCTGGAGTCAGAAGGGAGCAGATATTGAGACGTCGCAATCATAATTTCGACACTCATTAGAGCCTTCCATTGATTGCTCATGAGTTCCCCGGGACTCATGTTCGAGCTCATTGCGGTTTGGACTGGGTTGAACGGGTGACGTTGATGGCTTGGGCACGGGGTTCTCTGCTTTTCTTGCTGAACCTCCCAACTTTTCCCCCTCGCAACTTCCTATCCTTCAGCAACTCCAGAGTTTTTGATTGTCTTCAATTGACTCAACTTGTTCAATTGAAAGAATGAACGACTTGCAACTAGCACCCGGCTTGTCCGGCTAACTATCCCGAAGACCTTGCTTCGGGGAGAACACCCCCGGGAGCGAGATGGCTGATCCACCCAAGCACCCACACGCGTCTACGGATGGGGTGACAGTCGCCCGCCGTGGGTCCTCGGCTTTCGGCATACTGTGGACTCGACCATACGATCTCTACGGATTCTACGGACTGTTTGTTTACCTTGAACTCCTGGCAACCAGAATCATCGACCGAAATACTGGCAGCAGCTGCCACCAACTGGAACTGATCAGGAAAGCCCTCACTCACCCCCTTGCTGAGGCCAAGCAGGTCGAGTCCCCCCGTCTGCAAGCCCCGTCTCCAAGTGAGGACCCAGTCTGGGTCCCATGTACACGAGCGAGCCCAATATACATAATACCTTCTGAGAACCCGGTGGTTGATGCTGGCAATATCACGGAAGCTGGACAGATACTCCAGGCTTGGTTGACAAGAGAAAACCACCCTACATTCCATGGCCCACGAGAGAAAGAACGGTGATGTGATGTGTCCAATACTCGATCCGGCATCCCACTTCTCCGCCAACCGCGACCCGCTCGCGCGCTGTATTCCGGGGCACATAGCGTCATTGCCCACGGGAGCCAGTCGCCATCACCGAGGATGCAGAGAAAGCCAAAGCTGCCCCCCACCATGGCCCAGGCGCGTCATGTTGTCTGGTACCCCCAGCGCATCGCTCACCGTCTTACCTTTTCGAGGGGTTTGCTTTCCCCTCCAGAATAGGCCCCTCCGGAGCTATATTTAATGAGACCTACCCCGCCGCCAACGAACGTCCTGATTTCTTTGAATCTTCCTGCTTCTTCCCCTCCTATCTGATCAACTTACGACATCTCTTCCGTCACGATGGCTGCCAACCCAGTTCAAAATGGACTCTTCGTCCACAACAACAGTGTTGCCCCCGAGCACCCGAGCTTGATGAGCATGTTCTCCCTTAAAGGAAAGACGGCTATCGTCACTGGTGCGGGAGCAGGCATTGGTCTCGCCGTTGCCCAGGGCCTTGCTGAGGCGGGTGCGAATGTCGCCATGTGGTATAACAGCAATGTCAAGTGCGTGGAGAGGGCCGCCGAGATTGCTGAGAAGTACGGCGTTCAGAGTATGTAGCCATGTTCTTTGTCTTCCCTTCAAACAAAGAACGATCGTAAGCTTTCGTTACTGTTGATATTACTGGTGGAATCAACTAACGCGAGATGCGATTTTCCTTATAGCCAAAGCCTATCAAGTTCAGATTACGGACGCGGCAGCAGTCAAGGTGGCGGTAGACACCGTTGTCAAGGACTTCAACGGTCGTCTGGATGTCGTGATTGCGAATGCCGGTATTCCATGGACTAAGGGCGCCATGGTCGACGGGCCGGTTGAGCACTATCGGGATGTCGTCGCCGTCGACCTGGACGGCACCTTCTACTGCGCGCGAGCTGCGGCCGCCCATTGGCGGCGCCAGAAGGAGGAGGGCACCGATATCAACGGCAACAAGCTGTCCAACTTCACCTACGGTAGCTTTGTGGCCACCGCCTCCATGAGTGGTCATATCGTCAATTTCCCCCAGATGCAAGCGGCCTACAACGCCGCTAAATCTGCCGTTGTCCACCTCTGTACGTGCCCGGCCCTACTATTTCCCCAGCTTGCCCGCATCCTTCCTCCATGTCCCCGCTAATATCCTCACAGGTAAATCCCTCTCTGTGGAATGGGTCCGCTTCGCCCGAGCCAACACGGTTTCCCCCGGCTACATCGCTACCGAAATCTCCAACTTCGTCCCAGAGGACACCAAGAAGATCTGGCGGGACAAAATCCCCATGGGCCGTGAGGGCCAGGCCCACGAGTTAAAGGGCGCATATCTCTACCTCGCTTCAGATGCGTCCAGCTACACGACCGGCGCAGACATTGTCGTCGATGGCGGCTACTGCGCCCCATAAATCAAAGACAAGAGTTAGACTAGACGTCTTTGCTTGTTCATTTCATTCTTCGGAGTAAACTCTTGCTATTTTTTTTTTTTCAACCTTTTCGTTAAGCAGGCCTTGATTGTCATGAATGATGACTTAAGGAGGAAAAAGGGGAAACGAATGAGAACAGCGAATCTAGTAGATGAATAGAAAACATTGCTCTGATGCAGGGCAGGTCTCTAGACTAGACCGTTGCCCCCTTCCTCTCTGGCTTCCTTGACCCTCCACTTCTCAACATAAAGCCGATCGACCCTATCTAGTTGCAAGGCCGATGGAAAAGTCTTCCTATTTCACCGAACAAGCTAAGGAGGCGCCTTACGCCACCAACACGCCCCCTCATCATGCCTGTCCCTCAACGATAAGCCCGCCCAATCAAACGTCCTTTCCCAAGATGGTGCCCCCCTCTTAGCATGCTTCCATACATCGACTTGTTCTCACGGGCTGTTGGGTTTAACACCGGCGTCACCGTGTTTCTCCTCCGCATCCAGGATGCGCTGTACAATCCAGTCAACAAGCCGGTCAAGCCATGCGCCCGGACCTATTCCGTGGAGAATACGCTGCTGAAGGTCGCGCTCCCAGGCTGGGAGGGGCGGCAGCCGCGGAAATACATCGACGATCTCCCGGCCATAGACGTCAAACCGCCATGATGGACAGTGCGGGGAAGATACGCGGGGGTCGCTGGCGGAAGAGAACGGGTCCTGACCACGATCTTCGGAGCCAGAGTCAAGTGAGAGGATACTCACGCTGCCGAGGCTGGAGCTGCTCATGTCCGCTTCATAGGACTCGTAGAATCCAGACTTGGACTCCAAGGGGACCTGACCTCGCTCTGGGGATTTTTGCTGGAGGTCGCACTGGCGAACGTCAGATGGGAATGTCATGCCAGACAGCCTGGTTTCGCATCTGATGTGGTCGACGGCATGGTCATGGGAAGGATAGAATCGGCGGGCCCACTGATAGAGCTGGTGGGTTGAGCTGGGCTGCAGATCCTGGATGCAGCGCCAGGTACATTGCAGAAGCTGGGAGAGGGACCGGCGGTGAAGGTAGGTGACCAGCAAGAAGGAGATGACGATGCAGATGATCGGGAAGAGCAGGGAGGCTTTCTCGGCCATGACGGGCTGGCTGTTTCGGCTAGATGCCGATTGGCTTCTGAAGATCAAGTAGAGAATGTGGCGTGGAGGTGCAAGAGGCTGACAAGTCAGGCAAACTATCGTTTTCACATTCCACCAGACCAGGCAGCCTTTACGGGATGGAAGCCTCATCGGCCTGGCGATGAACGGTCGTCTGGGGAGCCCCCTTATCATCCGACAGGACGATGGGACGCAAGCTCACATCACCCGAGTCGGGTCAAATCTTGCATCTTTACTCGGTCCTGGAGGAGCAGATAGAGTGCTTGCGAGTTTGTCGGATATTGAACGTCGAGACCGGTTAATTCATAGTGATTATCATCGTTCGCTTAATGATGGGCCACATGTGTACGATGTTTTATGGCCTTATAATTGCCTCAAGGAATGATCCATGTCTCTCGAGCAATGCCGGCCTTTAGATAGCAGATGGTCGAGATCCATCGAGTCCAACATGTTTGATTCAAAACATTTCAAAAGGACCTTGCCAATCGAGACGAGCTTCTTGGCCCTGTAAGCGAGCCTGATATTTGAGATCGATATACTACCGATGCCGATACAAACTGAAATTACCAGCGATCGCAGACTGGCCTCAATCGGAAGAAATAGAAGGGTTCAGTATTTACACGATATTCTTCATTGTTCGAGACGACCAAGTAAGCCCAGATCTATGATTCTGGGACACCGCAGTCGCTTTCAACAGCTGCCAAGGAATGAAGCAAGAAATGCCACGTCCAGAAGCAGTGAAGGATTTCTCTTTCTCTTTCTCTACATGTACACTTTCACTACAGCAATATGACGTATGGCAGCAACAGCCGGTTCTATGAATGCTTCTGCCCAAATTGCGCCAGGTGCTCTGACCAAGGATAGATCACTTTCAATGCGAATAATCAAGTATTCTCGGAGATGGCGATCGGGGATCGGGGGTTTCCCTACTGCTCCCCTAACTGTTTCCAAGAAGGGAACAGGATTTGAAATAATGCGAAAGACGAGAAGTATACCATATAGGATATGATTCGAGAGTATCACGCTCAGCCAATGATAATAACGCTCTGTCTAGGAGAGTCTACATGTGAGGGTCTTGATCTAGAAATACCGGTCGGAGCCCAACCATGGATGAAGTATGAGAGCTTTGGCGCGAAGCGCGGTCCAGGTTGCCCGCTCCCCGACACAAAAGGCGAGTCCCGCCACAAAGCCTATTGAGCATTAAATCAGCCACCAAGGATATTTCAAATCTTCAGGAAAATGAACCAAACAAAACATTCCTAGGAATCGGTTTCCTCGATTTCCTGTATTGCCGAATGCTATTTTCGGGGCCAACAACTCGCGTTGGTGCGTGGGAAAAACAAGACTTCGCAACGTCGAATGAAACCTAGTGACCGTGTCACGCTCCCGGGCTACGGTTGGGGGTATATTAAACAGATGACCGCCCACGCTCGGATGTCAGTTGATCGGCGATGGCTTGCAATCGGAATCTTGTTGATGGGGTTTATAATGGGGAGGGCGATCCTGCCCGACCGTCTATTCTGATCTCTTTGCTGCATACAAAGGAAAGACTCGCACTTTGTTGAAGCGCATTTCGGAAGGAGATCTAAGCTCCCCCGCTCTAGATCCGGCTCCAAACCCAAAGAGCCTTTGTTCGCAAAGGGTAAGTTATTCCTCACAAAAGCTGGATGCACATGCCAGTCAAGCTGACATAGAACAATCATTCTAGTGCAGGCGCCCTGCGATATTTTAAGGCAAGATAGGCCCCCAATGGAGTGGATCAACCACACTGCGAGATTGTTCAACATTGGCAGCCCTCAGCTGGATACGACATCTACTCGCGACATAATTCACCTTGCTTGATCGTGATAAGAACACTCTGAGAGCTCGAAGCCTCACATTTCACTTGCTTTCTGCTTGCACCATGTCAAGTACTTATACTACTACTTCTTCTACTACTACTACTTCCCTCTCCACAACTATGAAAGATTCCGAATCGCTGGACACCAGGGCTCCAGACACCGACATAGTATGTACCCCGCGCATTGTTTGGAAATTCTATAATGTTCTAAAGTCGGAAGCTGATTCTTTTACCAGCTTGAAGCTCTGGACGAAGCATTCAAGTGCACCAAGTGTCAAATCGCTGTGACTCAAAGTAGCATGAAAGCCGACATTGACAAGGGTGCATACAATACAAATTGCTACCCTCCATTCTTTCGTTGTCACCACACCCGCGATGACAATATTTCTCCTCTCGATACTCAATCTCAATGCGAAGAACTATCCTTCTGGAAACGCATCTCCCCAGCACAACGAGAGTGTTACTACAGCAGGGTCGAACAAACCCTCAACACCCTAATCGAGGAAAACAAAGACATTGACCCCGAAGTGGCCGTGCTCTTCGCCCATTACCAAGTAGACTTCCATATCCGCCAACACCACCTCGCCCGTCGCGGTGTGCTCGCGCTCTGCCGTAACGCTGATGACATGCAACAGCTACGCCACTGGCAGTGGAAGATGAACGACCTCGACAGCATGCGGCCCGTCAATCTCGAAAAGACCTGGCCCGATTCCTGTCGTCACGCCGGCTGGCCCGGCGACCAGAGCCTCGAGATGCTGCATCAGACGCTGATGTGGAAACGGGCGTCGCCCGCGCGACGCAAGCGTCTGGAGGAGGTTCGGGCGCGCTGGGCCATCATCATGGCTGAACGGCGCCGCCAACGCGAGATGTTGCAGCTAAAGCAAGGGCTAACAATCACCGTCCGCGTATACTGCCGTGGGGAGCTCTGGAATGTGAGAGAGCTCCCATGGGGCGCGAACTCTGAGCCAAGTCTGCGGCCTGAGCGAATTGCTCGGAGCATTGGGTTCTAAATTTCTTTGGTTCTGCCTTTTTAAATTTCTCCTTCGGATGACATAATGAGACGAAGGGGTTGTGGTGTCAGCAGCTGGTCTGATCGGCATCCGTTACCATTCTGGTTTTGTGTTTTCTGTTGTACGAGGGGCCGGTCTAGCCCTCTTTCCCCTTTCACATGCTAACTTTGATACCCTGAACGAAATGACACCTGGATGTGACTTTGGGATTATTAATCTCTCTCTCTCTCTCTCTCTCTCTCTCTCTCTCTCTCTCTCTCTCTCTTGAATTAGACATCCAGGCTGGGCGTAGTTTGAGTTCCGGTTCGTAGTGAACTCTATACTTCATGTGAAAGACTGCTTGAATCACGGTCACGCTCTAACGTGTCTAATTTTATGATTCTCTGCCCCTCCTTAATAAAGAGCATACCTATTAATGACATTTCCCTCATGAAATCCATCTCAGGACTCTGTTTGTAGCATTAGATCTACTAAGAACAATTACTAACTAATTTTACCGTTCCTCCGCCCAATCTCCCGCAGTGGGTAGGCGAGCAGCACTCCCTACCGAGAGCACAACCATTATAGCAACGCTTATTGACACCATAATGTATTCGGTGTCGAGCTGGGTCACGAGCGCCTTCTGAGGGGGTGACAGCATTGGTTCCGTTTTTGATGATCTGTTTCGCAATCGTGAACCTGCTGAGCAGACTACCCTGGGCAGCCCAGGCTCCCGGGACCCTAACGTAGATCAAGCTTAATTTGCAGGTGGTGTTAGAATAGGGGTTGCTTATTCATATGGCTTTGGCTGATATGCCTTGGGATTGCCTTGCTGCCGTCACACAGTCTCCGGCACATCTGCGCATGTTTATTTTGAGGTTGTTTCTTTGACTTGACTGAGGCTGCTGCGAGACGAAGGCCGAAGGATTCAGATCTTTGCAACCGAACCCAAACTCCAGTGGCCCCTCTAGCGGCCCAATACTACGTCATTTACCTACAAGCCGTCCGCAAAATCTTGCTGCTTGCTCCAGTAATTTGTTTACATTTCCTTATATCCCTGGCGCTGATATGCACAGAATCCAGGTTTTATTCAAGTGTATATGAGATCATCTAGTTGGTTCTCTCATGTTTCTCGATGTCAAATTCGCCTGATGTTGATCACCTTATATACTTCTGACCTGAAATGGATAGACCGACGATCTGAAATTTTTCTTTCTCTATTTAACCATGATATATTGAGATTCTGAATCTGTTTGACCTTCTATCTTTCTATAAAACGTTGCCACTTTCTGCTCGGCTTGGTCGCCCGTTAGCTGGTATAAGGTAATCATGTGAAAGAACTCTTGTCGGCCGGGCTTCAAGCTGAAGAACGGTTTTGCAGAAAGTGTAAGGCGCTGATGGACATGGCGTCTACTCCCGTTTTCAAGGTTGGTTGCAGCACCGGAGCAAAGTAAGGGGAGTGATTGCCGGCCAGCTCATGAAGAGAATCCCTTTCAATCGCATCGTCCCAGGTTTTTTCCTCGATGCCGCCAAACGTCCACATAACATAGGGAGCGTCCGCTGCGACGGCCAAGAGAGAGAAGTCCTCGCTTGCAGTGGCTGGCTCACTCTCAACGAAATTCTTCTGGAAGAAGGAGCCAAGTACTTGCTTCAGAGTGGTGGCAACTTTATCATCATTGATTGTAGCAGGAGCCGATGTGATGGACTTGATTGTAGGCTCCTGAGTGGCACCCGAGGCCATACATTCTGCTTGAATTATGCGCTTGATTGACTCGATCACGCGCTGACGCGTCCTGGGGTTGTAGGTCCTCACATTAATTCGGATGATACACTCGTCCGGTATAATATTAGCGTTGTAGCCTGCGTTGATGCTTCCACACGAGACAATTGCCAAGTCGTAGGGATTAACCTCGCGACTCACGATGGTCTGCAGGCGAGACACAACCGCAGCGCCGATGACGACTGCGTCAATACAGGCGTGAGGGGCAGACGAGTGACCACCCCGTCCAGTAATCCGAACTTCAAACGAGTCGGCAGCAGTCAGAAGGTGACCGCTGCGGACGCTCACTTGGCCGGCTCTCATGCACATTACATGCTGAGCGAGGACCAGATCCGGTTTCGGAATCTTATCAAATAGGCCGTCGTCAACCATTGCCTGTGCTCCCGACAGTGTTTCTTCGGCGGGCTGGAACACGCAAATTAAGGTACCTGTCCATTCTTCGCGAGCTGAACAAAGTAGAGCTGCACTAGCCATCAAGCTCACGATGTGGAAATCATGCCCACAGGCGTGCGCCACGGGTCGTTCACTCCCATCTGTGTCTTTGGCCACTCGTTTGCTTGCATAGGGCAGTCCTGTCTTCTCTTTCATGGGCAAGGCATCCATGTCCGCCCGGAGTAATATAGTGGCGCCTGGCCCATTACGCAGAACTCCGGCAACCCCGAAGCCCCCGATGTTTGCATGAACCTCGAACCCCAGACCCCTGAGATGGTTTTCCACTAAGCTTGATGTTTGCTTCTCGTCCCCGGACAGCTCCGGTGATACATGTATATCACGATAGATGCCCTCGTAAGATGTGAGATCTGGCCGATGTTTTTCGATGATGGTGCCAGAATTATCAGTTTTCATGGTGGTAGTAGTGTACAGCCGAGTCGAGGCCGGAGAAAGGTCGACATCAATCCTCACAAATGAGTGGAGAGTTCACGAGGTGGATATTACCATTCCTTATAAAAGACCACATGTACCAAAAAAAGGTATGATTGTTTGTCCATTTTACGGCCTCTTCGAGTGACGTATTGGATGACCAGAAATGGCCATCACCGGCTTTGGCCGGCTCGGGACTTTAGGGTTGCTACTCGGACCGAAAATGACTTTGCCGTTGTTATTGACGCCCCCCGAAATCAAGAGAGCTCAGTTGAGCTTCTTAATTGAAAGCACTAGGCGTGTGATCGAATTGAAAACATTTCACGAATTCCCCGTAGTGATAGGTCTTCAGGTTGAGTTACCAGGTGGCTTTCCAATTGGTGAACAAGGATCGAAATTAGTTGCCTCAGGCTAAGGAAGCCAACCAATCACGTGGCTTTTCCGAAGCGTTCGCAAGAGCACTCCTAGCCATTTCTGTAATTTGAGATATGATCTCGGCGAAATTGGACCGAGTTCGGTAACTATGAATAGGATAGATAAGTGAAACTTGTGCATTATTCAATCTGGAAAGCATTACGGGATGAAAAAGACTTGAGGAGGTTGCCTATCGCTTTTCGGGTGATGATGTTGGAAACGGGATGCGAAATTGTGATTTCTGAGTTCTGGAGAACATATATATTGACGAACACCCTGGGCATTTAAGATTATCATGACATGTAAGGTTCGTGATCTCAAGTGCTTCTGATCCGAAGTATGTAAGTGGATCTGATTGGTTGTCTTGGCGAACTGACTTCCGCGACTGCAACTCGAAGTCTCGAACTAGATTCAATTCACGCGCTGTTCGGTACATGGCCAATAGCCAGTATGGCCCAGGCCGCTCGCCCCCGCGTAGATCTCTCAACGCATGCCTGTGACATCTGCCGACAGCGTAAAGTGAAATGTCTTCTTCCTCGCCGCGCCTCGTCCCGGTGTCAGCGATGCGAGAGGTGAAATCTGGCGTGCACGTTTGTCTCGCCATGCAAAACACGCGGGCCGAAGAAGCGGTAAGTTATGTGCATAAGATATCTTTTTTCTTTGTGAAAAAAGCTTTCTGATCAGGCCAGGACGAATCACACACCGGTGCCAGAGGCCGAGCCTGTTCATCAATACTGGACAGATGATATTTGCGATCGAGGTCTCTTTGAGGTCATCATGCAGGTTTATCTGCAGCATAATTACCCCCTTGTTCCTGTGGTACATAGACCTTCTTTCAAGAGTTCCCTTCAGGATGTCAACCAGCGGGATGAGTCCTTTGCAGCCGTAACAGTTGCCATCGCCGCGCTGGTCGTGGCCACGATGCCGAGCAGCTTCCAAGCTTATAAAGCGCATAATCCACCCCTGAGGTTATCATCGCGGAAAGAAATGGTTCACTTATGTCATAGGAAGGTTGTGAATTTGCGCGAGTCGACATACTACGATAAAATGAATTTTCAAAAGTTTGCCATTTCGTACCTGTTCTTCGCGGCGTTTTTGCAGCTTGGCGACCATAATTGGTCGCGTATGTTGAGCGTGGAGGCTTTTCAGTTGGCCCGGTCATTGAATTTACATAGGATAGCGTAGTACAGGGGATTGAACTGTATCGAGACGCAGTTGAGGAAGAAAGGGTTTTGGTTGGTGTTTTATTGTTACGTGTGAGTGGATGCATTGCAGAGCTTTTGGTTCTGATACTGATACTAGCTAGCCATGCTACGCTGCAGAATCTTCATGGGGAACGACTGACCTATTTGGATCCCATTACGCTGCATTCTATTCGTCCAGATGACTTGATGCCACTGGAAGTTGCCGATGAATCGATATTTGAACATGAGGTGTTCATGCCCGAGGCTGATGAACCAATGTGTCTGACGACGGGCTTCATTCTTCACTCGCGCGTTTTTTGGACTGCGATAAGATCCCCCTGTCCTGTACCTGCACAGGAACCATGTCCTTGTATCCGTGCGCATAACCCACAGCTCCAGGCGGCATATTTTCAGGGGCGTCTAGAGAACCTCAGGCATTTACTTGATGATATCCCTGGATCCTTGCAATCGTTGATATCCAGCGAAGAACAGCACAGGAGTAATGAAGTGTCAGCACGATGTTGCCCTTCACCTGAATCCCTGCCCGCCTTCGCGTCCATGCGAGTAAACATCCACGTCACGCATCTCTGGCTCCAAAGCCTGATTATGGACCAACTGGAAGCAGCGCAAGCCCACCAACAAGAACTAGGCTGGCCAGAACTCGACACCCGCAGCAGCAGTCTGTAAAATGCCTTTAAAGGCTGTGACTGTGTAGTAAGGGTTCAAGGCAGCGCTGCCACCACCACAGTAGGCCGCTATCTTGGCATTTGGTCCAATGACGGCAACCTTCTTGGTCTTGTCTAGTGGAAGAACATTTCCCTCATTTTTCATCAGGACAATAGCTTCCGAGGCAATTTTTCGTAGGAGAGCTCTATCCTTCGCCCGGTTTAACCGTGTCTCTGGGGCTCGCTGGGGAATGCCTGATTTGCTTGACTTTTGAATGAGCTTCAGTACTGCTCGAACGCGCGCATTCAAAGCAGCTTGGGATTAGACTTGTTGGATGTGATTGCGTGGCTGAGGGCTGAGCCGCGCCATCTTGGCTGACCTGGCATTTCGAGATCGAGACCGGCGTTGACGGCTTCAGAGGTGCTGTATGTTCCGAACCTATGGAAGAAGCTGTATGCTAGTGTCGAGTACCTTCGTCGAGGAATGTCAAGATACAACACATACCAGTCGCTCATCAACAGGCCATCCCACTTCCATTCATCGCGCAGGATCTTTTGTAGAAGATCCGGGTGCTCAGCGGCATGAATACCATTCACCTTGTTATACGCGGTCATAATAGCGTTGGGATCACCTAGACCAATAGCAATCATAAAAGGGAGCAGGTAAATCTCTCTCAAGGCACGATCAGTGACGATCGAGTTAACAGCCATGCGATCATGCTCTTGATCATTGCAGACAAAATATTTGAGCGTAGCGCTGATGTTTCGCTCTTTCAACCCCTTACAGTAGTGACCAGCAAGAATACCAGACAACAGGGGATCCTCGGAGTACGACTCGAAACCGCGACCACCCAACGGTCCTCGCGCAATATTTATGGTAGGGCCCAAGATGACATGCGCACCTTTGGCCTTTGCCTCTGCTGCGAGTAGATGTCCCACTTGCAGTGCAAGGTCTCGGTCGAATGTCGCTCCAACGGCCGTTCCACATGGCAGACAGGCTGCAGGAACACTACTGAAGAAGTGCGTTCCGCGAACACCATTTGGTCCATCAGAAAGGCGGATGGACGGGATTTTAAGTCGAGGAATGGGAACTGTGTGCCAAAAGTCCTCACCTATTTCCATATCAATTAGGGCTGTATCTGCAGTGATAGATCCAACTTACTACTCAGAAGAGCAACCTTCTCCTCTTGTGTCAGCTGTTTGAGCAATTTTTCGATATCAGGGTTCGCAATCTCTGCGAATGCGCTATCAATCGCGCCTGGGACGGTGTCCTGCATCGTCTGTGGTGTCTCTGTCATATTCAAGTTCTGCCTGAGAGTATTTTCAAGAGACAAGTTGGCAGCAGGAGACCTTCCCAACAAGATCCCGGGAACTAGACATTTTCAGCCGGTCAACATTTTCGTCGTGTCGTCTCATTCCCCACGTCTCATCTCGCGCGGTCAGATTTTACCCCGAAATTCCCCTCGTGAATTGAGTCGAGTTCTAGTATATCGGCGAGACACGGGGAAGTCTCCACTTCAAGCAGCGAATTGATTGAACGGCAAGTTCTGAACCACATTGAAGCGATTTCTCCGTCTCCGTTTCTCCGTTTCTCCGTGTCTATGCCGGCAATCCGATGTCCTCCATGCCGAAAGCGACCGACCCCAGTCCCCATATCCCCACAGATTCCTTCTGCAAACTTCCTGTTGACTCGTGGAGTACAGGATTCGGACGACCACCTGATCATGGAGTGACGAAGTTCCGACAGGATGATCGATTCTATAGGTTCAATTACCAGTCGTCTCATCTGGCCCTAGAATTCTCCCCTTGGTGAAGCTTTCGCCTATACACGTTCCCGGCAAAACGACATTCGGGCCATGAAAAAAGATCGGAAGCCAGAGACGAACATAAAGTGTGATCGGGCAAAGGTGGCGTACAAATATGACTTGTACATAAACCCTTGCTGATCCCTTGTCGTTTTCGGGTGCGACTTTCGATTTCATAGTTTGTTCTTATTTTTCATTCTTGCTAGTGCTCACCATGGGGTTGAAGTTGAATAAGCCTGATGCCGAGAGCACCCCCTCTCCAATCGAAGATGATCCCCTTGCAGCTGTACTTCCTCAGGATGCCGCGCCATGGTACAAGCAGCGTCACCTTCTGCATCTCAACTTCATCATCTTCTTCCTGATGATGTACTCATCGGCCAATGGGTATGATGAATCGTTGATGAACGGTCTCGAAGCCCTTGACCAATGGAAGGCATTCATGGATAATCCCACCAGCGCCTAGCTTGGATGGATCAACGCTATTTACTAGCTAGGCTGCGGCGTGGGATACCCTAGCGCCTCTTGGATCGCTAACAAGTAGGGCCGCAAGCCTGGCGTGTACGTCGGATACGACTTCCTAGCCCTGGGTGTTGCTCTCCAGACAGCGGCACCGAACAGCACGTCCTTCCTTCTCGCTAGATTGTTCCTGGGTGGTGCCTCTGCTCTTTTCGGTAACGCCGTCCCTCTGCTCATCAATGAGATTGCCTACCCTACCCACCGTGGTATCCTCAATGGCCTTTTTATGTCTGGCTGGTATGTTGGAGGAACTGTCGCTGCGTTCGTCGTATTCGCCTCCCGAACATATGACTCCTCCTGGGCATGGCGACTGCCTTCTATTCTCCAAGTCCTGGTGCCACTCGTCGGACTTCCAGGATTCCTCCTTGCCCCCGAAAGCCCTCGATGGCTCGTCTCGGTGGGACGCGAAGATGAAGCGCGCAATATCCTTACACAGTACCACGCGAACGGTGATTCGAGCTCGGCACTCGTCAACTATGAGTTCCAGGAGATCATCTCGACTATTCGTGCGGAACAAGAAGCGAACCAGAACGGCAGCTATCTTGAAATGGTCAAGACCCCTGGTAACCGCCACCGCTTGATGATCTCCATCAGTCTGGGTCTATTTGCCCAGTGGGTTGGAAACGGTGTCATTTCATATTATCTATCCTTGATCCTGGACTCTGTAGGCGTGACTAAAGTCCGCGATCAGACCCTCATCTCAGCCTGTCTCCAGGTCTGGGATCTCCTCTTTGCTGCCTTGGCGCGTACCTGATCGATCGACTGGGACGCCGTCCGCTGTTCCTCAGCTCTGCTGCTATCATGTTCGTGAGCTATGTGCTGGTCACTGGCCTTTCAGTGGCATACAAGACCAACCCGTGTCCTGCCATGGGTGGCGCAGTGATTCCGTTCCTATTCATCTTCTTCGCCGGATACTATAGCATTGTGAGTTTCCATTCGCGATTTTTCCACTGATTGATACCCTCTAATTGACTGGTTCTCCTCAGAACCCCCTTCCTCACCTCATACCCTTGCGAAATCTGGCCTTTCCGTCTTCGATCCCGTGGTTTGACTGTTACATGGGTAGCCACAATCGTCGGCATGTTCTTCAATACGTTTGTCAACCCAATTGCCATGGCAGCTATCAGTTGGAAGTACTACTTTGTGTTCGTCGCTGTGTTGCTGGTGTTCGGCGCTACTGCGTTCTTCTATTACCCCGAGACAAAGGGCTATAGCTTAGAGCAGATTGCCGTGCTTTTCGATGGCGATGATGCTTTAGTCAGGGATCCTGTGGAGATCGCGAAAGGCGTACGGGCAGACAAAGTTGATTCTTTGACTGAACACGAGGAGTCGATCTGAGCGGCCTCCTGTCGGCATATACATAGGCTAGATGGATCTGGATCTGGGCTTTCCAACTCCTCGTGTTCCTTCAAATGTTTTAAGTAAACATAAATTAAAAATACAATAGAAAATATTCAAGCTCAGACAAACATTCGACTAATAAAAATATTGGCCTGGGGATTTATATAAGACCTCTCAAAATGCTTCTTGAACACGCCCTAAGCTATCCACCTCCAAATGGTGCAGTCATGGCACCTGGGTGTTTGAAAACACCGATTTTAACACACCGATTTTCAAAATCTGGATATTTCTGAAAGCAGCAGAGGCCATTGGGTTTCAGTTCGAATGTTATACCCCACTCTCCGAGTCACGCAATACATCGTCAAATCAGTATTCAATACTCAACTCTGTCTGGAGGATGCGGACATCTTGCGAGGGGCGATTTCTATCACTGGGACTGGGCGTACTCGTGTACCGGGCTTAGAAACACAGTTTGGTAATAGCAAGCTGTGTTCTGGGAAGATGTGAAGATGAAGTTCTATTACTATAAGCGAATAATAATAAGCTATTAGTGATGATACTATCATGTGGTAACAGCATGTCAGGCTTGCCGACGAGCGCCCTGGTTCAATATTTTGTTTAAGCTACCAGGCATTCTATTTCCAATAATCCTGGATCCTCTAGAGTTCAACTTATAGACAATTATCTAGAATAGCATGCCCAGTAGGTCCGAAAAGTATTTGCGATTTGCTACTTCATACTGATGAAGGACAAGGCTCGAACGATTTTATAGTTTTGCGTATGGTACAACGCACTATTCCGTGTCGCGCCCATTCGTCAATACTTAGGGAAAGTTACAGGAGCTTGGTTACCCAAAAATCATGACTCTAGAGTTGAATACCCCACACAACAGCTACGACTGGGCCTGTGATAGGTAGATTTGAGGCTCGCTGACATTCTCGTGAAACGAGATCCTACCGTCTATTACCTAATAATGCTGTCAGTAATATGATCGCTTGAAGCTGTTGATGCTACGCTGGTATGCTTCAAGGCCATATTTGCACGACGAACCGGCTTGTAGAAGAACACAGACTGTATATAAAAGCTCGCACGAACTCATTTGGCCACCACCGTTTTTCCATTCCAAATCCTTGCACCCACCAAGACAGACCTGCACTCATAAATCTGTTCGACTCTAACTCAGATCTACAATGCGTCCCCTGGCTGTTCTTGTCTTCCTCTTTGCCACATTAGCCATTGCTGCTCCGCCTGAGGACCCCAAAATAGTCATTCTCCCGCCGGAGGAGTCCCGATGCCGAGATCGTTATTATGAATGCATGAGTGTATGTGTGAAATAAGATGTGTTACCAAATACCCACGAGTCTAGTTTAACAATTCTATCCTATTCATAGGAATGCTATCGGAGGCATTTAGGCGAGGACTGCCGACAAGTAGGCCCTTTTTTGGCCATCGGTATCTATGATACTTCATATTCAGATTACTAACTTATTTTTAAAATCAGCGCTGCCACGACAGGTACTGCACCTAGGCCATATTGCGGCTCACAGCTTTCAACAACCTGTGATGTAGCAGTTTGAATGGAAGGCCGAGAACTAGTGATCTTTGGAAGCCGGGCGAAAAGATGGGGACGGACGATGGGAATTGAGCCTCGGATCTGACCAAAAAAGTGCTTGATAGTATTATTTGCGTTTATTCACGCGATGCACTTCACGTTCGGCCATCAGTGTGACCCACAGTTACAAATTTAATTTCCCAATTAAAATTAAATGTCGAGGTCTCACGTTCCTAGGGACGCGGCGATTTGATATGTAGAGCACGGGACTTTGGGAACACGGGACTCCGAGAGCATGGGGCCTTACCTCTTGACTTCATTTGATCTCACCAAGTTCCTAAATTCTCGGAATTCTCTTCGGGTCGGGGCTACATTCACCATTTCCATTGCCTTCCTTTTTCGCCAAGCTCTTCCTCTGTTGGGTGATCATTGCTAGCCTACCCAGTTTTCGTTTTCCTAGTCGCTAGTGCAGCGCGTGCACGGTTTCCAATTGACAAGGGCGAGAGGGAAGTGACCGCTCTCCCAACTTCGTTATGATTTTGGGCCAAATTTCGGTGATCAGTGTCCCGGGGAATCCCACATGACTTTGCGGGGGAACGGATGTCAAAAAGTCTATCTCACTGGGTTATCCCGCCGCTCTCACGCCGCTGAAAGCCCTGCATTCCAAGGATGATTCCAAGTTGGGCGGCGGAGATCTTCACCCCTGCCTACTCGATTGAGCGGGAATTCCAACTTTCGCTCCGACCAGAACCCCACCTCCCCCCTCCCCCTCCAATACTGGGGGGACAAGGGGGGTAGTTGCCCGTGAAAATCCGGGATGGTGAACTCGGGGTATTGTCGAAGTGCAGGTTGCATATTGCAGGCGGCTAGTGACTAGACCATTCAGGAGGCAGGTGCTCGGGGTCACGGCGATGGTCAGGGTCATCGCTTGTGTTGCGCCCAGGCACCGATCTCCCGCGCCCCGTTGCGGTTGTGGCTGGCCATCTCCTCCTGCCCTGGTCCCTGGCTTGAATCTTATGGACTCCGATTTGTCCATCGAACGTCAGATCTTTCTAGCAGGGCTAGGTAAGGCGGCTGGTCATCTCGGATTTTGATCCATGTCTTCTTCTCCCCCGAGCCCCCTTCCAACCAACCACTCAATTCCCATGGACAGCCAGAGGCCGGCATGTCGTTGATTGGCGCCCGAAGAGTCAAGTGTGGACGGGCATCTCCGTTTTGGAGACGAAAAGCCGCCAATCACCGCTAGGAAGAGCGATGACTAAGAGATCCCGGTCCCATTTCGTCACAACCCGACCAAGCGTCGCTGGGCCGAACTTGGCTCTTCTGTCCAAGGCCCGCAGATCTGAAGATCGCTGACGTGGGGGAAGTCGAGAATGCTGGTCGATGAGAATTCTGCACGAGGGGAACTGGGATTGTCCGATGCGATCACCAGAAGGGGAGGGCCGAGTTGGTTCCCGACGTCCATGACTTCCGTGCGGCAGACTATTACTGGATAGTCCCCAACGGGGGGCTTACTGAAACGGGCGATCCGACCTGGAGCTATATGAGCTATATGCAGGATGGGACCACATAAAGGCGTGGAGGCATCAACTGTGTCAACTATGTCAACTGATGCTGCGCCTCGAAGAGTCGCCCTCGCGTGGCTGGAGAAAGGGCAGGGCTCCAACATCATCATGACCATGACCATCCACGCTCACGGGAAGCCGTGTGACATGACGTAAGGGCGACTCCGAGTCTGGTTAGGGCTCTGGTCCCGACCGACCCGTGAAGGAGGCGAAAAAAAATCACCAAACCCTGAACGGTCGGAAGCAGGAGGGCGAGAAGTAACGTAGATGGGCACGATAGACGATATTACATGCATCTGGAGAAGTCCAGAAGGGATCGAGGAGTCTAGTCGAGTAGTCAAGATCCGAGAGCCCATGACGTCCGCAAACCCGACCGAACCGCCGCGAAAAATCTCCCCTCAAACGAGGGGAACATACATCCACTCTTCGACCCACCAGCGCTCCGGATGGGAGACAAGTGGGTAGCAACCCATCCGTGGGTGGGCACACGGTGAACTTATAACGTCGCTCCTGAATCCTGTTCCTCTTCCAACTTCTCTTCCTGCTTGATTCTCGACTCCGCCTCTCGACATTTCTTTGTCAACTCTACCCATCCACCACTTCTGTCCACTTTTGTCCACCACTTTACCTCTGCCCATCGATCGCTTGCAAAAAAAATCGCCTCATAACGCCCGCCAACATGGAGAAGATCAAAGTATTGTTGGTCGGCGCAGCGGGTGAAACCGGAGGATCCATCGCCAACGGTCTACTCGAGGATGGTCACTTTGTACGCCAAACGCCATCCCCCTTCCCCAGGAATTATAGCAATTCGCCCAATTTGCTAACAATGCCCATTGTGGGGTCGTTTTCAGGAAGTCATCGCTCTTGTCCGCCCAACCTCTCTCCAGAAACCCGCCATCGTCAAGTTGCTGGAGCGCGGAATCCACATCCGGAAATGTGATCTCAAGGCTTCGGAGGAGCACCTCATCGAAGCGCTGGCCGAGATCGATGTAGTCATTAGCTGCGTCGGGCCTGCTGAGCAGCAGGATCAAATTCCGCTCGCCAAAGCTGCAAAGAAGACCGGAGTCAAGCGATTCATTCCCTGTGGCTTCATCACCGTGGCACCCCCTGGTGGAGTGATGTGGCTTCGTGACGAGGTAGGATCGGCCTGCTTTCCCTGGTGGTTGAGTGGTGTGATGTGGTTTTCAGATTTTGTCGAGGAGGCGTTTCATGGAGAGCAGCTGTCGCTAACAACGTATTTCCGCGTATTACAGAAAGAGATTGTTTACAACCAGATCCGCCAGATGTGGCTCCCATACACCATCGTCGATGTCGGCTGGTGGTACCAGCTCTGCTACCCACGCCTGAACTCTGGCCGAGTCGATTATGCCATGACCTCTGGCAACGACGAGATTATCGGCGATGGAAATGTCCCCACGGCGCTGACGGACTTGCGGGATATTGGTCGCTACATGGCCATGATCATCCGGGACCCACGGACCCTTAACAAGAAGGTGCTCGCCTACAACCTGGTCTCAACACAAAACCAGATCTACAACCTGATGGAGGAAATTAGCGAGGAGAAGGTGGATCGCAACTATGTAGGTGTTAGATCAGCGAACTAGGATCCTTTGTCCTTTCCAAAATTCCCGATGCATGGGCTAACGAAGCCGTGTTTTTCTCGGAGCACAGGTCCCCGAAGAGACTATCTGCAGCCGAGTCCTCGCGGCCCGACAAGCCAGTGAAACCTACCCGTTCGACCCGATCAAGTTCATCCCCCGTTATCTTGCCGAATACCAATACTCGTGGGGCATCCGTGGCGACAACAACCCAGAGTACGCCAAGTATCTCGGTTACCACCTGACCACCGAACTTTATCCCGAGTTCAAGCCGACCGACTTCCGCGAATACCTCGAGTCCGTTGTACGTGGCACCGCCAAGGGTGTCTACCAAGATCGTGTCATTTCCCGCAAGCACCAGCGACACTTCCCGCGCACCGAGTCTAGCGATTCGCTTTACACTCGCATTTTCCCACGTACTGAGTCTAGCGACTCGCTCATGTCGAGATGATTTGACGACACACTTCCCGTTTATCTAGCCCCTCATCCCAAGGAGCGACCGGGACGGAAGCCTTCCTGGTGATGCCCGCCCGCCATACCCCTTGCGCTCTCTTCCTCTCCTCTGCCACTTTGATCCTAAAAAACCCTTTCTAAATCCTTTCTTCTATTTTCCATGATATCTCACCCCGCTCTGCCCGGCCCTTTGCTGAGAAACGGAGCGGCCTTCCCGTGCTGGTTCATATTCGGGCGTTTCTTCCGACTTCAGGCGTTTGTGAATTATACGGCTTCGAACAATCAACAGGCAAACATAGATGCTGGTCACCGAGGACCGTCTTCCACGGTCTCTTTTGACGTGGCCATGATAGAGATGCTGGCATTACATTTAACCTAGGATGTTTCATCGTTGCTCTGCACTGTTTCATACGCGCTTGTTTTGACTGGCCTCTGCGGAGGTAGTCCTCTTTCTCTTTTTGCATATAGAAGAAATCCCTATTCATCTATTCATCATGAATATGCCAAGTTTCAATTTTTTTTCCTCTTCCACTCGTCAATTCTTGCCCTCCTACTACTTCACTTGCTTTTCTTAGTTCGGGTTGTTCTTTCCCACGTACTCGCTCCTGCGTATTCAGTCGTGCATCTACCTTCATGCCTTGCGTCGTGATTTACATGTAAATACTAACCCATCCTCGGACTTATTTCAAGTTACAATGAAATTGATCGTGCTTTTCGTTAAATGAACGGACTGGCCTCGTTCGTCCTTTCTCCTGTACAATGCAGGACCCTCAACACCACGGGCGAAGAACCCGGTCTTCAAATGGAAATCCCGATCCACCAGCATGTCCCGATCCAGCAACCCCAACGGGTCTTCAGCCATCAAATTCCTCGACAGCGAAGCCGAAGGAGTCTGTCGCGACAGGTTTTGTGGATATCTACGAATCGTTGACCCCACGACAAGTTGGCGTCATCAGTCCGTCCCTACTTTCTCATATTCCTTGTGTTTTCTACGAGCTCTAATTTCCATGCAGCAATTGGATCCGCAATCGGAACGGGGTTGATGATTGGAACTGGGAGAGCGTTGACAATGTGAGATGCCCCACTATATTTTGGCTTCTTTGAACTACACTGACACGGCGCAGGAGCGGCGTAAGTCATCATCCCCGGAGCTGGATCCCTATATTGACGCACCACAGCCCGCTGCCCTAATGATCTCGTATACAGTTGTTGGATTTGCGGTCTATTTGGTACTGTCTGCGCTGGGAGAGGTTGCCGCTTGGCTGCCGAGGCCGTACACAGTGGCAGACCAGGCCGTGCGGTTTTGTGACCCTGCCTTGGGCTTCAGCCTTGGTTGGATGTGCGTGGCATTGACTGAACACTTATCTCGGATTGAATTGCTAATATAATGAGTACAGATATTGGTTAAAGTATGCTATTGTGACACCAAATCAATTGACAGCGGCCGCCTTGGTCATCTCATATTGGTTGGACGCAGAGCGAGTCAATCCCGGCGTTTGGATTACGATCTTTCTTTTGGTGATCACTACTCTCAACTACATTCACCACAGAATCCCCAGTCAGGTTGAATACTTTGTGTCGTCCTTCAAGCTTCTCATTATGAGCGCTCTCATGATACTGTCTTTGGTTCTTGCGTTGGGAGGGGGACCAGACCGGGAGGTTCGCGGATTCCGATATTGGAAGCGCCCTGGGGCGTTTGTTCATCGCCGAAGCAATCGAATGATTGAAAAACTGTTTTATACCTGCGGTACCATGTCCTCGGCCACTTTTGCGTACATTGGCAGTGAACGATCGGGCATTGTTGCTCGGTGTCCGACGGTACAAAAGGCGATATCAAGGGCAATCAAGCACACCTTCTACCGGATCCTGGTCTTCCACTTACTAGGCGTCACTCTTCTCGGTATGCTTGTCCCTCATGATTCGATATCATTGGCCTTCTACAAAAATGCGGCGAGGAACGCCGCTGCCTCGCCATTTGTCGTTGCAGTGTATTTGGCTGGCATCGCTGTCGTGCCCGATTTGTTAAATGGATGTATACTGCTGTTTATTCTTTCCATTGCGAACTATGACCTGTACTTAGCAACAAAGGCCCTCTCAGACCTCTCTATCAAGCGCCGGGCACCCATTTTCTTGTCCCGTATCAACCGCAGGGGCGTCCCGTTCTACGCCTTGGGCATCTCTTCATCCCTGGCAACCTTGGCTTACCTAAATGTCTCGCACGACTCAACCATGATATTCGGCTACTTTGTCGACATGGTCACCATGTTGGGTCTCTTGACCTGGATTTCCATCCTTATCACCCATGTATCCTTTGTACGGGCCCGCAGAGCCCAGGGAATCCCTGATGATGCCCTCATTTTCAAGGCTCGATTTGGCCTTCCAGGCACTTGGCTGGCGCTGACACTCTGCCTCTTCATTTCTACGACTATGATCTTCAATGCCTTCTCCTTCGACACTGGCAAACAGCGATTTGATTACAAGTCCTTTGTGGCTTCGTATATCGGCGTTCCCATTTACTTGGTCTTGTACGTCGGTTACAAAGTTGCGCTCAAGAGTAAGCATGTGGATCCAAAGAAAGCAGATCTTTTGACGGACAGGCCGGACCATCGACGGGCAGTTGTGGAATTGGAGGAGATTCTCCAGGAATAGAAACAGTTGGGTTTGATATCCTTTGGTTGTGGTCCCGTCACTTTCTCTTAATATATATATATTTCTCTCTCGATCTACTCCTAGCCAGGTCGCCGGATGCTGTTCTTTTCACATCAACTGGTAAAAAAAGGCTTCTTCTTTTCTAGCGAGTACCTGCGCACCTCCTGTCACCTCTTTACCCAATCCTATCAAGACTTTGTTCCAAGAAGCATCGTCAACTAGCAACCGATAACTGCAGCGCAGTCGGCCCCGTGGGCGCTAATCAAACGAGATCAGCCCAGATCAACCGTTTGTTGCCTGTCATGCAACCCGCTCGTGAGGCACATTGGACAGGATCAGTGGCTAGTATTCTTGCTTTTTTACTCATAGGGTCTGTTTGCCTCGTCTAGAATCCGACCTTCGGCCAAGATGCTTTCTGCGACCACCCTGCAACGCCCACCGAGTGCGCTTTCAGAGGTGATCAACGGCGATAGGGACTGTATTTAACTGGTGCAATGGTGCGAGGCGTCAAATTCTAGAACTTGAAACATCTGAATAGACAAACTTTCGAGCAACAGCAATACTAGCGATATTCAATTTCGAACCTAAGTACTACTTTGTTTGACGATAACCATGGCCACAACCCTGTAGTAGATTCTCTCTCTCTCTCAGAACACAACCATCGATGAACTTCGGGGGGAGGTTAGCCAGTCGGGAATCAGCATTGCTTTCGTGCAAAATCAGCCCCGCTTTTTCAAGGTACTTTGCCCTAAATATCTCCCATAGCTCCTGGTCTAAATCGTGTTCCATAAGCGGCAGAGGATAATACGGATCATTTTCGAAAAAGGACGTGACAAGATGCGAGAAAAGCCCCTCGGGATTGTTCAAGGCAGCCATCTCATCCCAGATATGACATAGATTAAAGTCCAGTACCCATAAACGTATTGTTCGCCGCTTGAAGTTGACTGTCATCAGGGACTCGATATCGGTGTGTCGCTGCATGGTGGCTAAGCGCTGTGGAGTGAACTCAGGTCTGATCGAAACGGAAAGACCGTGTGAGTAGGTAGTGTCGCCTTCACTTCCTAGGACAAATTCAATATCATACCCATCCACATGCGCGGACCAATGAATAACTGCCAGAGCTTCACCCATTGCACTCGCAAAGTATTTGACGGGAAGTTTCAGCTCGACCATTTGGTCTAGATGGAGGTTGAAGTTGCGTAATGTGAAGTTTGCAGACAGGGTATCGAGGAGGCGGCGCCGGCCCAAGTAAACACGAGCTAGACAATCACGGTTCTTGTCATTCAAGGCCGCAAGGGCACGAGATGGCTCTGGACAGTATTTATCGATCAGAGCTTGCCGTCCAACTTTTGGTAATGGGAGAATTCGCTGACTGACCAAAGCCATGGCTGGAAGCGGGACTGATTCATGAACAGCTGGGAAAAAAGGAATATTCTCCTGCCACCACTTTTGGTTGTCCTTTGAAACGTAAGAGAAGAGTTGGGGAACACGACATTCGATGTTTTTGTTCTGCTCCAGGTCAAAAGCTCGTCGCACATTGAAATGCGCCTCAAAGTCATCCCACAAAGTGTCTTCATATGATGGTTTGGCAATTTTCAGCACGTACTTTTGTCCAGGTCGCTCAAGAACAAGACCGCACTGCCCGAATCCGATCACACGATAGCCAACTGAAGTGAGAGCTTGTTGACTTTGCTGGAAATGCGCGAAGGAAGAGGTTGTACTTGTACCTGAGTCTGGAGTGAGAACTCTGAGAAGAATATGTTCTGCGGATAAAGAGTCATCTAGACTCAGTTGTCGGATTACAGCGTCATCATGTGCCCGGTCCAGAAGTGCAGAAAGTTGGTTGGTTAGGTTGATATCAGCACGCAAAGAAGAGCCGAGCGAGACCGGCGAGTTCTCCATTTGGGCAGAACGACGTGGGTGCTCCATACTGGAGAACGAGAGGGGTCTCTCAATCTAGATCAAGGAACTAAGCAAGAGACAAGAAAGCAGATCTTGGACGGAATCACCTCCTTTCTCAACGAGTTGGAATCGAATGAGGAAGATGTCTACCGAGAGCGACAGAAAACCATACTGATCACAGCAATTTTGTGATAAAATGGGGGATGAAGAGGAGTTCTGTCAAGAGAAGGTGAGGTTCGAGAGGATAAGAAAAAGAATGAAATGGAGAGGGAGAGGAAGAAGGAAGAAGAGGATCGAGCAGCAGGCAGAGGATTTTTGTGGGGAGAACGTGAGAGAGAGCAAGAGAAGGATGAAGCTGTCTGGATGCTCTATGTAGCTGGAGGTGTCGGAACAGGACTAGTAGCCGAATGAGTGTAGAAGTCTGGTAGGCTCTTGGGTTCGGTATGCCATCAGGCAGCAGGATGGGTGGGATAGCAGGGCCCTTTTGAGATCGCAAAATAACTATGGGGATATTGAAGGGGTAGCAGCTACTCAATACAACATTCTGCCATACCAGATTATTCATTGCCTCAGCCATCGTGATTTCTCCGGTAATTCTTCATCTTGTTCTCTCACAATGGTATACTTCTTATCACCACGTGATGCGACACCACCAGCGTCGACTCCTCAAAAGGCCTGCTCAATTCGACTCAGGGAGCAAAAGCGGCGAGGAGTGAGCACTAGAACGGAAAAGGACGGCCAAAAATTGCCAAACATTATCCGGTGTAGATGTGCCCGAACCGCCTCCATTTCCCTCCGGTTCACATAGTTCGCCATTGATAGGGCCCGACAAGAATCCAATCAGCGCACCCAATTGAGTATTTCTTGCCTCCCTTTCCGGGCACTAACAGCCCGTCACGTCGGCTTTGGCGTGGAACAGCCTCGTTAGCTTACCCCCATGGGGCCGTTGGAGAAAGCGTCCTCTCCACTTCGGGGGCCCGTTCACATGCGCCGGCGGCTGGTGCGGCACTGGTTCACCTTCGGCAATCATAATCTACGCGGGGGGCTTACGGTCCGCGTGGTCGATGTTTTCTTGATGGTGGTCTCTCGCGACTCTGTCCCCTACATGTTGCTGCATGAGATATTTCTAATAGTAGTGACAGGGGGTCTACTGATTCCAATCATGCCTATGACTACGAGACACGGAGGTCAAACAGAACACCCTGCTCGGAAGGCGTGGTGACAGCTGGCATGTGACGCAACGCGGCAGAGTCAGCCCAATTGCCAGGATGAACTCCGTCTGTTTATTGGGGCGATTTGGGAGTATTGGAGGAAGATTTCAGCCTCTCTCTCCACGGGAAAACTCCTGTGGATCAATCCCCGAGGGCAGCGTTTCCTGCTGGGTCGATCCGCATGAACGGTAGGGGCTGTGATCCGAACTCTGCTGCTGGACGGAGTCTGGAGTCTGGACTCTATGTACAGGATACTTTTTCGGGTTTCGCGCGGCCACATCCGGCATACTCGGACAAGTAGGGATGCGCGGATCTGATATTCGACAGGGACGATGTAGGATCGTGGAAGCTTCCGGTTGAACATTTCCGCTGCGTCTCATTGTTCTTGGTCGCCAAATCGAGTAAGGAGCACGGAGGCTTGACCGGCAATGGTTCGGCGTAAGGTTTTGTTGGGACAGCATGTGAAGGGGGCCGGCAAGACGGACCACATGGACAACACGGTATCTTCGATACCGCTCGCATAAGTCGGCCGTATTGGGTAGTCCATCTCTCAATCTGTGGTGGATGGGCTGGGCCCAGTGCTGGGAGTGCCAATCAGCGTCGGGATGATGTGGTAAACCGACGTAAATGACCGTGACCGGGCCTGTTACATAAGCAAGGAGAGGTGAATTGACCTTGACGTCTTCACGTGAAAGGCCCTTCCTCTTTCCGACCCGCCATGGATGCGGCCAAAGTGACTAAAGGGACTGTCGCCACAGACGACGAAGCGACTTCGCAACTGCCGTCCTATCCCACCGCGCCCCCTCCTTCCTCGATCGTGGCTCTCCAGACCCTACATAATGCCCATCCCACCGTGATGGACCTCGACTCCCAAACCGCTGAGGATCGTACTCGCCGAGCCGCCAGCGTACTTTCCATGGATGACCTCGAGGCTGCTCAAGCACTCGAGGGTCTTCGCTCTGGTCCGTCGGAGTTCTCCCCATCCCTTCATCTCCGCTTCCAAAGCTTCTCAGAAGCGTCTTTCGCTGGAACCGCCCACGAGCAATGATTGACCCTACGTTGGGTGCAACCCAGGATCCGTTCAGCTAATTCTTGATCTTGCAGATTTCGGTCAATCCCCTCGAGCAGCGCGACAAAGTTTACCTGCCGCGCAATCTGAGCCGACGCAGCCAGAGCCGTTGCTATCACTGTTAACCTCATCCCACCCGCTGATTTCTTCCGCCATCAACGGGTCCGTTTCCGCATATACCACGTCCAAGTCGTACTCGGCCCGTTTCAAGTCTGGCGCGGAGTTCATCGAGCGCAACATCGGTTCGCCAGTCGCAAATACTGTCGGGACAGTCGGCCGCAAGACGGGCGTCGAGAGCGGTTTGCGCTGGGCGCTGCAGCGGCGCGAATCCACGGCCGAGAAACACGCAAGCAAGCGTCGCAAGGTGAACGCCGAGGCGGCCCCGCCGACAGTTAATGGCGACCAAAGCCCGGAAGAAACAGCCATGACACCAGCACGCACGCGCAGCTCCTCGGACCTGTCAATGGCCGAGACCCTGCCTCCGTATGACGAGATGCGATCTCCCCGCTACGAGGAGAAACCGGGGCGACAGACCCCAGCTACCTGGCAGAGCCGCCTAGTCATCTCGACATCGGGACTAGGAGTGGCGATGAGTGAAGAGTCTCTCCGCAGCCTCCAATATTGTTTGACATGGCTGCGTTGGGCGAATGGTCGGCTCGGAAGAGCTATTGTCGCCCTCCAAAATGCCTTGACCGAATGGGAGAATCACAAGCGACAATCTGAGCAAGGCGACTTAGAGAGTAGAGGAAACACCGATAGCCCCGAGAACGCATCTCTGCTTACCCAGCGCATTCAAGCCGTCAAGGCAGACGTTCTCTCCACCTTGAAACAAGTGGTGGATGTGGTGTCCAAATACGCCGGAGGGGCCTTGCCGGAGAACGCCCGTCATCTAGTCCGACGACACTTGACATCTTTGCCACACCGATTCCAGATAGCGAGCACATCGCAGCCCCCAGCCGATTCGCCCGCTGCTGCATCAGATGCCACCGTCGGCGCTCACCGAATATTGGTACTGGCGAACGAAGGACTCGATATTTTGGGTCAAGTCAGCGGTGTCGTCAACGACACCCTCGTCAGTGCTGAGCACTGGTGTGAACGTCTGGGACGCAAGCGCCCCGAAAAATCCGCGCCGGATGCGGAGAATCAAAACCAACCCCTTCCACCGCCGGACGCTCAACCATACGGCATGGATATCAAGCAACCCTTTGTCACGGAAAGTACACCCCAGGAGGATGTTCAGATGACTGGAATCGAGAAGGTCTGATCTGGAATCGACTGTTGGAAGGGCTCCTCTCTCTTTCATTATGTATTCTGTGTTTTCCCCTTTCCTTTCTTTGTCTCGATTTATGGCCTTTTTCGAACATCTCTTTACGATTGATATCCCTTATCTGTTAACCTAACACTCTTTCTTTCCTTGAACCATCTATTTGATTCCTTAGTCTGCAATCAGCTGAGTTTGAAGGTGCCTGATCTTGATATCTCTGTGTCCACCATTTTCGGCCTAGGTTAGATGAATTTCATATTTATAGATACCGAAAGTCAACCTAGCCGCCCATCACTAGATAACAGCCACTGTTGTTATGGTGTAGATTTCCTACCATAGGTATTGGATTTAGTGGGTTATTTGAGCTCCTCTGGTCGCCAGATCTTTCACCATGCCTACTGCTGCATCCTGTCAATACTTGTTACCTCGTGGCAATATCGTCACCCTTAGCCTATCATTATTCCCTCATAATGGACTTCATCTTTCCAACTCCCAATAACCCAGCTTCTTGTTACCAATACTAATATATAATATCATTCTAACAATGTTTTGTAGAAGCTTCATGATCGCGCACGGCGTAGGAAGCCTAGAAAGTTAAGTGCTATTTATAATTTCCGAAAATATCCATTCAAGACTACCAGATCGTATAGTAGCGGTGGTTTAGGTATACTGAATCAAATTAGAGGTTCTTGATTGGGAGAATATTAGAGACGGGCCTCGGGCAACAAATACTTCACTAACATCAGTATACATCAAGACTCGAGTTTGCTTCCCTTGTGGGGCTCGAAGCATCCAAGGCTTAGATCGTGGCTACTGCGAATGACTTGAACTTGGTCAAATCCGGGCTGAAAGGACCGCCAAGCGCTTAATCATCATAGTCATTTCCTCACAGTTCCCATTCGAGTCCATCGCACTTCATACATCTCTCCGGTCGATTTCCATCAATTCTTCATTTTATCCTCTTTTCATATATCTGGGGCCTGCTCAAAATCCATGGCTTGAAAGCTGCCTTGAAATGGCTGGCGACGGATCGAACGCCGCTTTTGCGTATCATGAGCCACCAATAGCAACCGTGCTGAACCATGCCGGATTCCTTGTAGCCTTGAACCTTGTGAACGTCTGTCTTGACAAGTTCTTGTATTGTGGGCTGATTGGACAGTTATTTATTGGCATTCTATGGGGCACACCGGGGGCAAAATGGCTGGGTAGCGAGACAGAAGCTGTTATCCAGCAATTGGGATATCTAGGCCTGATTATGCTTGTGTACGAAGGTAAGAAATTTCCGCGCTTCGAGATAGATTAGCACATTCACATTTCAATAGGAGGTCTCGCAACATCTATCAAAGCCGTCAAGGCAAACTTAATCGTTTCGCTCTGTGTTGCGATCACAGGAATTTGTGTCCCGATGGGTTTATCCTTCATCCTCAAGGAATTGGTTGGAGCGACTTCTTTGCAGGCATTTGCTGCCGGTGCAGCTCTCAGTGCCACTAGCCTCGGGACGACCTTGACGATCCTATCGACAACAGACTTGATCGCTACCCGGCTAGGCACGGTGACCACCAGTGCGGCAATGCTCGATGACGTTGTCGGGCTCGTGATGGTTCAAATCATCTCGAATCTTGGCGGTAGTGGTTCGTCATTTGGTGTTTCCACGGTTATACGACCTATTTTTGTTTCTATCGGGTTTGCAGTGGGCGTTTTCTTGCTTTGTGCCTGCATCCTCCAACCAATAGCCAAAAGAATTACCCCCTTCAGGTCCAAACTACCGGATGCCACTGGGACTCCCCAATTTGCGTTTATTGCTCATACAGTCTTTCTTGTGGGGTTTGTGGCTGGAGCCACATATGCAGGCACATCGAGTCTCTTCGCTGCTTACCTCACAGGTGTAATAGTCTCTTGGTTCGATGGCTTGCTCATAGAGCATAAGAATCCAGATAGTGCTATTGCACCCAACAGTTTGTCGACAGGTTCCTGTTCTTCGAATAACGTACCAATAGAGCTACCAGCTTGTGAGACCACGAAATTGCCAACGGGTCAAGATGTCTACGAGAAATACTATCGACAGCCAGCAAATCGAATCCTCATCCCATTATTCTTCGTCAGTGTTCTAGATGACTGCTGCTTTTGTGCCTTTGCTGACCTTTCATATAGGCATCCATCGGATTTGCGATCCCAATAACAGAGATGTTCAGGGGAAGTGTAATATGGCGCGGAATCATCTATGCTGTCCTTATGGTTTTTGGGAAGATGATTACAGGTTTATGGCTTGTCCGCTTTTCGCTACGCCCCGTGTCTAGTTTTATCCTGGGCCTCGGAAGAACATTTTCTGGTATTCGGCTATTTTGCCTTCCTTCGAAGCGACAGGAAAAACAAGAAGCAAATTCTGCACCCTCTATCCATTCTCCTGGAAGATACTCAGCCCGAATAAACCTTCCGAGTGACCAAGGAGCAGCCCAAGGGGAAAAGGGTCCCGCCGGCGGGCCTTCACCTGGGGAAAGTCTTGCTGCTAGTAATCCTCAGGAAGAACAACAACCAACAGCGAAGTCGTCAGTGCGCTCCGCCATGGCTTTTCCTCCCAAACCAAAATCGCTCTACTCGTCATCCATCCTCGGCCTGGCAATGGTTGCGCGAGGGGAGGTTGGGTATCTTGTTGCATCACTTGCACAAAGCCAAGGCATATTCGCAACTGGATCCTCGGCCGGCATCTCAGAAATTTATCTTGTCGTAGTTTGGGGAATTTCTATTTGTACATTGGTCGGGCCGATCTGCGTTGGGAGCCTTGTGAAGCGAGTGAAGAAGTTACAGATGACGCGCGGAAACGATGGCCCAGATCCACTGGGTGTTTGGGGGATCTAGATGTGCGCACGTCAGCGATTGCCGACCTTGATATACTCTAGAGACTTTTATTTCACGAAAAATCATTAATGGCATCATTAGAAATTTGCACAAGTTTAGAAGTTGCAATATTCAAATTACCAGTCGATCACAGCTGCGGACTTGGGAAGCACAGGAACCTATAGCCGGCGTTCGTTGAAGTTGGCATCCAAAATTTGGCCTCCCTTTACCGTACCTATATATACGTGCGCTAAGAAATACAGTACATTTCCTTCATCCTTGCGTGTTGATCGGTAACTCCCGTTCATATCCTATAGCGGTGCTTGAAAACTTTATATAACTTTTTGTAGACCATCGTACAACTGTCGGGGGATCCCCGTCAATAACTTCTTCTATAGATATATAAAGTAGTACTTTATAACATACAAAATATAAAAGCACTCACTCATTGACTTTTCATACTACTGATATTCTATTTTGTATTGGGAGCCAGAAAAAATGCATTCCCATGCTTCTTTTCTGGCAACTAGTCATTTTGTGACCATCACTACTGCTGGACGTATCGAGCGCCAACGATGGCGCTCCATTGTGTTACGCCCGAGAAGGAAAGAACTGGACATAGACTTCCTGGACGGAAAGTTCCTAGGTAAAACTTAATAGGATGTGAGGCTTTCTAGTCGCTGATTCATGTGGTTAATGTGGGGGCCCTGGAGGCGACCGCTCCCAGCTCTTTGAGGTTTTGAGAGGAAGGTATGAGAGTGTGGACAAAGGAGGTAGTTGCTGATTAGTATAATCATCCAGTCTGTATTTGATAATGCTGTCTTTGTATACTGTGGAAGAGCAAGAGTGCTCACTGATGGCTTTCTTGCGCGAAGACGAGACTGGTGAGCTTTCCACGTCTCAAGGGCAGCGCGTTTCCCAGATTCAATCCCAGTATTTTCTTGTCTAAACCCTAGCAACTCAAGCAATGATGATAATTCTGGTGATAAACTGGATATCAATTTAGTTCCCACCCCGTCGGACAATTATTTGGGTTGAGATGTATACGTGTCTCTGAAAATCACTGCAAGGCTCAATGTGAACATCATCCCATTGTATATTATGTAGGTGTTCAGAGCAAAATTATCAATACAAGCATCGTGGTTGACTCTGAATATAGATGAAAATTATTTTTAATGAACGAAGTCCAGATAGCTTGCATCCATGAGCCCACGGCCAAACAGCATAAGCGACATTTGGAGAAGAGTCGGGCGATGATGAACGAGAACTACGGGCCATGTAATCAAGTCCGTATCGTAATGAAGTTATGGGGTATGACATCACATTTTGGGTGTACTTTAATTAGAAAACGTCTCTCACAATAATAAAGAAATCGCTTAATGGTTGAAAACCTGTTGCGTGGCTCGTCGGCGAGGAAATGGTGGAGATGGAACGCTAAGGCTAAGCGCAGAATGACGCGGCCCGCACTTGGTCCATGTAAAGCGGAGCTCGAAATGGCAGGGCAGCCCGCATTGCAGATACACAAGCAATTGAAGTGCGAATTTGATGAACATATGAACGTAATCAAAAATGCCCTTTGGGACTTTATCCAAGTCAGAATTAACTCAAATCTGAGGTGGTCAAGGAAAGAGAGAGTATACCTTGGTCATTGTGTTCCTGAATTCCCAACGACCCTAATGCAGCCTTTTGTCTAGACAGTGTGGGGCTATTAACTGGGGGATGCAGTAAACTTGGCGGTGGCGTTCTTGGCCCCAAAGCTGTTCAAAGAGCATTAGGGCTCATAAACCCACTCGCTGATCGCAGATGTCATAGGCGTTGAGTTTCCATTGACACCATGTAGCCAACATTGCCGAGCAACTACTTCTTGATGTGATCGGACGTTGGATCTAAATGCCGGTTTCTATCTCTTCAATGTGTTCGTATGAGGCCTCCAGGTATCTTTCGAGGTGATGATATCCTTGTTGAATGCGTCTCTATGACAGGGATCTAATCTTTGGACACGCGTCCCGCACCACGGTGGGAAGTTCCCCGCTACTAACCCATATCTGCCATTGATATGCGATTAATGCCTGCAACTGGCGAGCAATCAGAGGGGTGGGCCAATTGAAAGGATCATCGGGTTGATAGATCCCTCCAAATCAAACGGCGAGCCCGAATCATCATCGAAGATTGCCCAATACCTGTTTTCGTAGCCACCGTGAATGATGCGTAAGTCTTTTTTTATTTATTTTATTTTATTTTTGTTTTCAAAAGCCGAGTCAAGAGGTCAACATTGCTTGAGTGGCTACTTAAACCCCTGAAAGGGTATCAAATTCTCAGTTGATACTCACCAGTTCGTCTACTCATCTCTGGCCGCAAACCTTCGTTTCGAAACAACACTGATAACACTCGCTCGTGAGACTCTTTGTCAATTTTATTCTTGTATAGAACATTGATAGAACATCATGAAGAGCACCATTGCTATCGCTGCCCTGGTGGCTGGGGCCAATGCTCTAGTTGGTCGCAGTGACAGCTGCTGCTTCGAACTGACTGCCTCCGGTGGTGCATCTGGCACACTTGGCCAGCTGAGTGACGGTCAGGTCCGTGTCGGCGATGACAGCCTGTCGGCTGCTGAGTTCTGTCTATCGAACTCAATTATTACCGACAGTGAAGGCCGTGGATGCATTATTACTTGTGAGTATAGCTTGTTCAATGACACTGGGATATCATCAGAATATTGACTGACATTGGTTTCTAGCGGAGGCCACCCAATTTCAGTGTGATGAAGGGGCTACTGGCACCTCTGGCTTCTCGTTGACCTCTTCCGGGTTGCTTAAGTTCGATGGTAGCTCCGCCTTCATTGCTTGCGAGACTGGCGAGAATGATGGACGTAACGTCTACACCACCAACAGCACTTCCGTGTCGCAGTGCGTGAGCATTGAGTTGACTAGTGACTCTTGTGCTGCTGCTGCTGCCTCCTCCGCTGTGACATCCTCTGTTGCCGCTGTTTCAACCCCGCCGCCCATTGCTAGCCCGACCTCCTACCCGGTCATTCCCACTAGCCCTGCTCGGTCTGCATCGCCAGTAACCTCGACCCCAGTTGCATCAACTGCTAGCTCGTCCGCCTCTAGCGCTGCAAGCTCGGTCGCTGCTTATAGTGGCGCGGGTATCTCTGCCCCCGACATGAGCTTGGCTCGCTGGGCCGCTTCGTTTGTTGCCATGGCCAGCTTGATGGTGGCCTTTTAGACTCAGTCCTGAGACTTTTCACCCCATCCATGGCTTTCCCGTCGATTCTGCTATGATCGACGAAGGATGACCATATTCGGAATGTTAGTTGCGAGCAATTCACGCCATCGGTCTCCGACTGTGAATTGATGTTTATAATACGATATGAGATATCAACCGTATGACCACTCCTTTATGACAATAATAAGACAACGATAAATTAATTTACTCTTGGGTTTTGCATTTTATCCGATATTACCGGGTAATTCGGGTCAGCTAGAAGCTCATGACGCGATGTATATATCCACAATTCGCTCAAACATGATTGATGACGATGCTCAAATATCGCTCGACATCGGCTTTACAAGGAACATCAAAGCTGTAGAAGAGCAAATTTATCACAGTAATCGTATTTTCAAAGAGAGGAGATAAACTGCGTGACTCATGAGAGGAAATATGAACCAGAATGTTCGGTTCATGCTCGACCTCCCAGAGACGGCAGATACGAGGCCCCTCCTTTCGGCTCACCGCCAACGGATGGCTTTCGCCTCAAATAAACCCGAGCTGCTGATGAACAAGGAACGCACTGGCTCTGATGAATACAAGATGTCAAGTTCGCACTACACATGCGACATGTGCGGTCATGTGTTTTCTACTAGGGAACATCTACGTCGACATAGAGCATCCCGTAAGTATGGTCGAGCCTTGTAACTTGTAAAAAAAGCGCCCTTTCTATTCTCCCTGAACACTAACATTCTGTTCTAGATAACCTTCAAGCTCAAGTTTCATGCGAATTCTGCGGTCGTAAATACTCTCGAAAGTTAGTCAGCTAATCACAGTATACTGTGGTACTGCTATAGCTGATTTGACTAGTGATACACTTCGTAGACACTACCGGAGCTGCACCCTTATTGGCAGCCACCCTAAACCTCGTGCCAGCAAACCTGGCCGTCGACCCAAGGCATGTGATCTTTGTGTGAAAAATAAAACAACATGTGATGGTGACATACCATGCCATACGTGCCATGCACACAATTTACTTTGCTCATATAACCGTCTGAAAGGCCACTCCAAGGAGCCTGTGGACCTCAGATCTAGAGCCTCTGGGGTCTCAATCCGCTGTCAAAGCAAGCAAAAAACATCAATGCAGGTGCCACAGAGACCCGAGAGAGTATCTGTACCATTCTTGTTGAATTATTCGGCCTCAAGTGAAATTCACCCAGGGAATGTGAACCAGGTCCTTTCTGATCTCGCGACCAAAGAGGATTGCCGCAGAAGCTCCGATGCTAACTTGCCAAGTCTTGAATTACAAGCTAGCAGAGATGAATTGTTCTCTGAAGATTCGTGGAACATATTCTTTGGCTCTTTATCAACCAGTGCCCCCTCCCAAGACTCACCGTTACCAATCGGGCTGGAGGATCCAGATAAACGACACGCGGCCGCGATTAGGATATTGGACTGTCTGGCGACTACATACTCCTCGAAACCTGACATTTCCGAAGATTTCGATATTGATCACGCTCGAGAACTCTTCAATCAAGAGAATATCCATGACTGCATTATGGCATACTTCGACCACACAGTCCGCCCTCGGTCTCGGATTGTTTTGAAGTCCACTTTCAACCTGGAAGTCGTCTCTACGCCTTTACTTTTGTCGATATTTCTCATGGGTGCAAATTGTGGTTTATCTGACACCTTGAGATCCCAGGCTACAGGATACGGTGAAATTGCAGAGGTTGCAGTTCTCGACAGCCCTGCTTTTATACGCCTCATGTACGGCAGGAGAGAGTTGCAGGGTAATGGGCTCGATTTGAATGAGATCGAAATTGTTCAAGCCTCGATTCTGATCATTCTGATCCAACTCTCCAGTCCCAGAAGAGAAACGAGACGTCGTATTCGAGTCCAAAGATATCCGGCTCTGGTATCGGTTGCACGGGCTACACACTTAACGCGGGTCAAAAATCGATGGCATAACCAAGATGCGTCATTGGACCGGACTCAATTTATTAGAAATGAAATGTGCATCAGGTTAGCAAGCTATATTATGACCCTTCAAAATCGGTTACTGACCATTGACCGCGAGTTTGTAGGATGATGGCTTCGATATGTTTAATGGATGGCTATTTTGTTATGTTTTTTAACAATCCTCCAATATTTGCATCCACTGAACTGGATTTTGATCTCCCGGCCGAGGATTATGGAATTGATATCTCGGACGACAAGACCTGGAAATTGTGGGCAACAAACGAGAGAAAGTTTGAACGGCCACCTTCTTTATGCCACTTCATACGTGAGCTGCTCTCTGAGACATGGGAAGGGACCAAAGATGCCCGTTTTCAAAACCTGAACATATTTACTCTTTTTATAATTGTGTCCGGTAAGTCTCCTATCGCATTTTACCTTGCCTCTGAGCACCCAGCCTAATTGGAATGGAGCATTCCATCCAATCATCTTTGGATTGCGCTCGAGTCTCTGCCATACAGGTGATGCGAACGGTCAAATTGAGCGCGCTCTTATGAGATGGATGTCTCTATGGGAGTATCTAAAACCTCTATTGACGAAGGAACAAATATATCGGGCAGGTTTCATGACTCATGCGAAGGATTTGTGGGTCTTCGCAAGACATTTGCTGCAAACACCACTGTCAAAATCCGATGAAGTTGCTAGAGAAACAATGGTATCTGTACATAAAATTTTGCCATCAGCTCAAGGCGAAGAATAAATATCTTCAAGACCTCTCCTGTATGCTTCAAAATTAAGGCGCCGGAGCTAGGAGCTAATTTTCCTCTGGATATGATTCGAAATTGACGAAGGTCAGCATCAAAGATGCGCTTACACTGCATGCCAGTACTGCCCAGGAAGCTTTTCCATTCGTGGTCTTGCTTAACAATCGGCCCGTATCCCATATAAGGTGCTTGAAACCATTGAATCCATGGTATGTGAAAGGCATTGCAATACCGAACTTCAAAGCTGTCTTGATTGTAACAGGCAGTGCGCCAAACGCGGCAATCATGGATTCTGAATCCAATTGGAATCCAATGGCGGGAGCCAAAAGATATAAGGTTGCGAACCCATAGAGCCCTCCTGAAAGCAATATTCCAGTAATTCTCTGAAGTGCGGATACGGACGACTCGTAAGTCCATTTGTAGACCGTCATGGCAGGAGAGACTGGGCGATTGCGACGTTGAGCTGCTAGGCGATCTTGGGCCATTTGAGTGGTAATTCTCTGCGTCGATGCATATCTCCTATATGAAAATTGGTTACTGGTTATTCATATATTCTAAAATCTTGAATGTTGCTCAAACCTGGCAAGGACACGGTGGAAACTGAGTTGTTGGACTCTTGCTGGTCTAGCGTTCCCAGACAGACCCCGAATGATCGTTGACATGGCTGAAAAGATTCGAGTATACGATTAATGGCGAGTCAAAGTCCAATATATGTCTTTGACTAACCTATAGAGTCAACCGTAAAAATTAGTTGTTCGTTATGTCTCGTGGGAACCGGTACAAGAATGAAAGCTGATTTCGGTGTGTACAGATGTAGTTCTGCCTAGCCGGAAAACACCCGCACTGGAAAACACCCACCGGAGAAAAAGTACCCACTTAGAATAGTTTCTGTTACCCCCATTTTGCCCCTTGACTTTCATAAAATAAAGAATTTATCCTTCCAGTCAACTCCAAGGTCATTGAGGGAAAGACTTGTGCAGAGGTATTTCCTTGAGGTTGAACGCGATTCTCGTTGGGAATCTACATCTCAATATACCAGTGCAGCAGGCAAGACTAGGAGTTAATTAGACCTAATGGGCATGGCTCGGAGCATTTCACATGAGCAGCGCTACTGAAACTCCAGTAGAAGAGTAAGTCACCTCTTTAGGCCTACCTCCTGTCAAAAAATTCACGTATGTTGTCATGCTAGCCACGGGCTCAGATTAGCCACATTGGCTGATCTCTAACCTGAAGGGCTATATTTCTCAAGTTATTAGTCGGATCGATGTTTATGATCTCCCCAAGAACTAAAGCTTCTTTTTTGAGCGGAGGGAATGGTAGGTGATAGCTCGCCATACTAGTACATCACAATGCTAGAGTATGGCCCAGACTCTTTTTTGGTAGTGCTCGGATTCAAGAGAACGTCACAGCCACCATATATTTTCCCCTAGCTTGATTTTATCTAAACAAGTCGAAAGAACAAGCTTCCTTCGTTTAGATCCAAGCCTTGACAGCCAAGCCTCGGCATCATTGAGGAAATATCTTTCTTCCAGGGAGCCGCGGATGGACTTAGACTATCAGTGTAATTTCAATGCGCGAGAATAGCCATGTTGCATTTGCCCTGTGAGAAAATAGCAGAAAACAGTAAGACCCTGCGCTTCCAAGTGGAGAAGCAGGCGAAAAAGTACCAATGATTATCCTTCCATGGGCAAAGATTCCTGGAAATTTCGGCCCCATGCTTAGTGGTATTTGCACTGCCGCTAATACAGCCCCAGTTGGACAGATCTGACCAACGACGAATCTTGGCCCCCGCGTTTGCACAGCCGTCCCACTGTACCCTGAGAATAAATGAGAGCCTCTCTTTTAATGTTGTTGATAGTATATTTGAGAGCTGAAATCTTATTTTCTCAAAGCCTCATTTCTTCTATTGGGGTTTCTTTTTGTCTCTTTCAAATTTCCAGAGCATGAAAGCACCACTAAGGAACGACTGGAGAATTAATTTGAAGGTGGAGTCTGAAACAGGATGGAGGAGTCTCTATATCGTTGGACTCTTTTGTGAAGTCACAGCCCTCTTCGTTCTTCTAGCATTTTCAAATGCTATTTATTACGTCCAAAAACAGACAAGAAATGGTTTGGAGGTACTTCCATTATGGGCTCTCCCGGGAATATTATCAACCTACATAGCGTGAGTTGCGATGGTTTTTGAGTCATTTCTCAAGATCATAGGCATTAATCTCGAATATTTTGTGTAGTTCCGAGGTTATCCAGTCTGTACAGGAGTTTTTTGAGCTTCAATTAACACTGGTAAAGCCTTATTATTGTCTAGGGCCGCTGTTTATTGAACTTATTGACACCCTGACATTTTGTGCATTATTCTACGTGTTTCAAAAAACCATTCTACACTTCTCAGAACCTGTCTTAGGAACCGGGAAGAGATACCACTGTCTCAAAGCTGCTAATGGTGGTTTTCTTTGTTTGGTATTCACGTTTTCATTTGTGAATATGGGGTTCTATCTTTCATATCTATCTGGGTATATCCATTGGGTGAAAGGAGACACATCTACAAAAGAATGGGTTGCGCGCACTCAGACACGGGTCTATTTCAACCTCTTTTGCCTCTGTTTGCATATGATGGCTTCATGGGAAGTATTCGCCTTCGTTTTCCTCGTGGTTAGGGAAATGAAAAAGGCACACTCCGCATTGAGAGTATGTTTTTCCACTGTTCAGTTCCGACTCATTTTTGGTACACAAGATTCTAATGGGGCTAATGTTGCTCTGAAAGCCCGCGGCTCTTTTCTTGCTTTTCTCAAGCGTTTTCTATGTTGCTCTGACAATAATGCCAGTCATCATGAAGATTTTCTGGCTCCTAAAATTAAAATCGGCCACCCGATCTCCCTTCCATGTAGATGGAGTTCGCCGGGTTCTTCACTTTTTTTTCTGTATCGGCACATATACAGGAATCTTGATGTGTTGCAAGGAGTTGATACTTCCGACCCCAGACCTACATGATCAAGATCTTGAGCGGCTGCTTGTTCAACCACTCTTGGCTCTTGATGCGACCCCGTCCCAAGAAAGTTCCGTGAAGACAGTGACCCACGACGATTCACATTACCCGATATCTCCTTCGCCCAAGGGCTTCTTGAGTGGGAACTACAAAAAGGAGGTTTAACTACATGTTAATATTCAAATACGATATGAGAAACGACAATCACATTGTTATTTGCACCAGTAGACCTGGTTGTCCTCGGGAACCATTGCAGACTAGTCCTCTTTCCACTCTTGATTTGATCTACGTCCATATTTCTCTGAGCTTTCTTGGCGGAGTTAACCCATCAGGATATCAAGATGCACACTAACGAACATATGATGACTGATAGTACTTTGACCAGGCTGCAATATATACATATACTTAGGTCTCTATTCGCAAATGCCTCCGAACCCTGCCCACCTTCAGATGTGGGGCTCTGGATTCCGGGGTAGCAACCAGGGAACCATTCATGAAATGACGGCTTTTATTCCACCCTGCGCTGATAATTCCGACAACATTCCTGCAAACCAGGCCCAAGGAATGCTTTGATTTGATCACACAAGGCTTGATTATTAATTGACCACAATGGGCAAAGAGGCAGAGCTGGACGACGCTAGGGCTCCACCAGGATTACGGAGTCCCCGTTCCTATTTAGCCAAGTTCTGGGGGCCGCGCACCCCGAGCGATGCCTCCCCACGGGAATACCCCCTCTAGCGAGTGTTTGTCCCACATAGATTCGATTTCCCCTGTCATGCTGTTACGACATGTCGGGACCCCGGACCCGCGCACCAACCCCAGTCAACATGGGTCCGAGGTGAACACACACGCCCAACCTCTCCATAGGAAAGGGTGCTGGTATTAGTGAACGGCTGACCCGAGTTTGCTCTCGGAGAATCCGCCATCGGAACTTACCGTCTCAGGACACCGCGTTCCCCACTCCCCACTCCCTCGCTCGGGGTTTTTACCGCGTCGATGCTGCATTGTGTCCAACCGTCCTGCATGGAGCAAAAACGGACACGTCGGGACTCCGACACAATGAGTCATGATCAACCCTCCGATCAGGACTTTGGTCCATCACCGCTACTTCCTAGGCTTTGGTTTCACATATGGAAATATAGCAAACTCCCCCACCTGGGGGCGCTGAATCCTTGTCGAGGCGGGGCCGAAGTGGGCACTGAATGAAAGTGTGACATGGTAGAGATTTACATGGATTTAGGGGTTAGTCGAGGTACAGGTCTAGCCTGGCTTCCTTAGCGTCAACGCGTTTCCCTTCTCTGCCTGGATCTTTGCCTTCCTTTAAATCTCGGGGGCTTCATCGGAACAACCAAATCAGAAGGAACCTTCAGATCTTCCCACCTTTTTCTGTTTCGATCGGATTGAACTTTGGTACGGATTGAGGTTTATCTACACAGGCTATCTAGAGCTACAGTCTAGACCGAGAAGCTGCAACAGGTGCTGGGGGTGAAGTCCGCTGAAGAAGCTCGGAGACGCGGAGCAACTTGTGAAATAGTGTCGCACCTCAAACAAAGCCCCCTAATAATACTCGTTTTGAACACCGAAATCATGGAGGAGAAGCCCCCTGCGGGAGATGTGAGCACAAATTCGGACACCGATTCTCTTCGGACCACCAGCTATGAAGGCCAACGGGAAGAAATCCGTATCTCCAACCCACAGGGAATGACCATGTCGCAAACCGGCGTTGATGTTGAGAAGGCCGAGTATGCGTTCTCGGAAATGAATAGACAATTTTCTAGCATTTCGCACCAAGCCCGTCAATTATCGAAGCAAGCGTCTCGAGCGTCAAAACCCGCTGCTGCTGCCGAGGATGTGGAAAAAGCGGGAAGCTCTGCGGACTCGGACGAGCCATGGGATCTGGAAGCTACGCTGCGAGGAAATCGAAATGCAGAGAAGGAAGCGGGAATCAAAGACAAGCATATCGGTATGTATTCACGGAAAGCACGGTGATTTATGTGCTGATTATGTGATATAGGTGTGATTTGGAAGGACCTTTCTGTGAGAGGAATCGGCGGCATGAAAACCTTTATAAAGACATTCCCTGATGCCATTGTCGACTTCTTCAATGTCCCCGAGACCATCATGAATATGCTTGGATATGGCAATCAAGGAAAGGAGTTCAATATCTTAGAGGGATTTCGTGGCCTGGCTAAACCAGGAGAGATGGTATTGGTACTAGGAAGACCTGGGTCTGGATGCACCACATTTTTGAAAGTCATTGCCAACCAGCGCGTTGGATATACCGCGGTCGATGGCGAGGTTCTTTATGGTCAATGGTCATACGATGAATTTTGCAAACGGTTTCGCGGGGAGGCGGTTTACAATCAAGAAGATGATATCCATCAGCCTACGTTAACCGTTAAGCAAACTCTTGGTTTTGCGCTAGACACCAAGACCCCAGGAAAACGCCCGCATGGCGTGTCAAAAGCCGAGTTCAAGGAAAAAGTCACGAATATGCTTCTTCGAATGTTCAATATTGAGCACACGGCAAACACCGTGATTGGAAACCAATTCATCCGGGGCGTGAGTGGCGGAGAGAGAAGACGGGTCAGTATCGCGGAGATGATGATCACTTCCAGTGCTGTGCTCGGTTGGGACAACAGCACGCGTGGCTTGGATGCTTCAACCGCTCTTGATTTCGCGAAATCTCTCCGAATTCAAACGAATATTTACAAAACGACCACGTTTGTGTCCCTCTACCAGGCATCCGAGAACATCTACAAGCAATTCGATAAAGTGCTTGTGATTGATAGTGGCCGACAGGTATTCTTCGGCCCGACAGACAAGGCTAGGTCCTACTTCGAGGGGCTTGGCTTCCGAGAAAAGCCTCGGCAGACCACTCCGGACTACTTAACAGGATGCACAGACCCTTTTGAAAGAGAATTCAAGGATGGAAGAAGCGCGGCTGATGTGCCGTCCACCCCGCAGGCCCTAGCGCATGCATTCGTCAATTCCGAATACAGCAAGCAGCTCGATGAAGAGATGCAGGCTTATCGAGCACAGATCGAACATCAAAAGCAGATCTACGATGATTTCGAAATCGCCAACCAAGAGGCTAAACGCAAGTATACGCCAAAGTCATCCGTCTACTCGATTCCGCTGCATCTACAAATTTGGGCGTTACTGCGCAGGCAGTTCCTCATAAAGTGGCAAGACAAATTCGCTCTCACAGTATCCTGGATTACCTCTACCGGAATTGCAATAATTCTAGGCACTGTATGGCTAAAACAACCCAAGACAAGTGCCGGTGCCTTTACTAGAGGTGGTCTGCTCTTCATCAGCATGCTTTTCAATGGCTTCCAAGCCTTCGCGGAACTTGCTTCCACGATGATGGGTCGTTCAATTATCAATAAACATCGATCATTCACGTTCTACCGACCAAGCGCACTGTTCATCGCCCAAATCCTTGTCGATACAACATTTGCAATAGCGAGAATTCTTATTTTTGCCATTATTGTGTACTTCATGTGTGGTTTGGCGTTGGACGCCGGTGCATTCTTTACCTTTGTTCTCATTGTCCTCACTGGCTATATCTGCATGACGGTGGTTTTCAGAACAATTGGATGTCTCTGTCCCGATTTTGACTATGCCATGAAGTTCGCCTCAGTCATCATCACACTTTTTGTCCTGACCTCTGGTTATCTGATTCAGTGGTCAGGCGCCCAGGTGTGGTTAAGATGGATTTATTACATCAATCCCTTTGGCCTAGGATTTGCCGCTCTGATGGTGAACGAGTTCAGTCGTCTCACCATGACTTGCTCCGAGTCGCAGTTGGTTCCCAGTGGCACTGGATACGATGACATTGCTCACCAAGCGTGCACTCTCGCAGGCGGGGAGGCCGGATCGGCAATTATTCCCGGTTCGAGCTATCTTTCGACCACTTTCAGCTATTTCAAAGAAGACTTGTGGCGAAATTTCGGTATCATGATTGCTCTCATAGCCGGTTTTCTGGCAACAAACCTCTACTTTGGTGAAACAATTCAGTTCGGCGCCGGTGGTAAGACAATCACTTTCTTCCAGAAAGAAAACAGCGAGCGAAAAAAACTCAACGAGGCATTGGAAAAAAAGAAAGCCAACCGGCAGTCAAAGTCCGTGGATACTGGAACCAAGTTAAATATCACATCAAGGTCCGTCTTCACTTGGGAGGATGTTTCGTACGAAGTGCCGGTTCCCTCGGGAACCCGAAAGCTTCTGAATTCCGTCTATGGATATGTTGAGCCCGGAAAGTTGACCGCTTTGATGGGAGCATCGGGAGCAGGCAAAACAACTCTATTGGATGTTCTAGCTGCGCGGAAAAACATCGGAGTCGTTAGTGGGGATATCCTGGTAGATGGAAAGCTCCCCGGCACTTCGTTCCAGAGAGGAACATCTTATGCAGAGCAGTTGGATGTCCACGAACCCATGGTAACTGTAAGAGAAGCATTACGCTTTTCCGCTATTCTCCGCCAGCCCTATGAAACACCCCAGGCCGATAAATATGAGTATGTTGAGGAAATCATCAGTCTTCTCGAGCTCGAAAATCTGGCCGATGCCATTATTGGAACTCCCGAGACCGGCCTCTCGGTCGAAGAGAGAAAGCGAGTCACGATTGGAGTTGAGTTGGCAGCCAAGCCTCAACTTTTACTGTTTCTCGACGAGCCGACATCTGGTTTGGATAGCCAGTCGGCATTCAACATTGTGCGATTCCTTAAGAAACTTGCCGCTGCTGGTCAAGCTATTCTCTGTACTATTCATCAGCCCAACTCAGCGCTTTTTGAAAACTTTGATCGCCTCCTGTTGCTCCAGAGAGGAGGCGAATGTGTTTATTTCGGCGACATTGGCTCTGATTCCCGAATTCTTCTGGAATATTTTCGCCGCTATGGTGCCGACTGCCCTCTTGATGCCAACCCGGCTGAATGGATGCTGGATGCGATCGGCGCTGGGCAAACACGGCGAATCGGTGATCGTGATTGGGGAGACATTTGGAGAAGTTCGCCAGAACTGGAGACTCTGAAGAAAGATATCGTACAAATCAAAGGGCAACGTGCCGAGGCTGCCCGACAATTTACATCTGACAACAATGCGCCCATTGAGAAAGAATATGCGTCGCCTCTTTGGCATCAAATCAAAGTTGTTGGGCGGCGAACCCATCTCTCTTTCTGGCGCTCCAGAAACTACGGCTTCACTCGGCTTTTCACACATGTTGTTATATCAGTCATAACCGGCTTGGCATTCAGGAACCTTGATGACTCTCGCTCCTCTCTTCAATACCGCATTTTCGTCCTTTTCAACGTCACCGTCCTCCCCGCTATAATTCTGCAACAGGTCGAGCCACGCTATGATTTTTCACGACTGATCTTCTACCGCGAATCAGCATCCAAAACATACAGTCAATTCGCTTTCTCACTGTCCATGGTCCTTGCCGAGTTGCCGTACAGTGTTCTATGTGCCGTGTGCTTCTTTCTGCCTCTCTACTACATCCCAGCATTCCAGTCTGCAAGTAGTCGCGCCGGATATCAATTCTTTATGGTCCTTATCACGGAAATTTTCGCAGTAACTCTTGGTCAAATGATTTCAGCTCTGACACCTAACAGCTTCATCGCATCACAGCTCAATCCTCCAATCTCCATCATTTTCTCTCTATTCTGTGGTGTTGCCATCCCTAAGCCACAAATGCCTAAGTTCTGGCGAGCTTGGTTGTACCAGCTTGATCCGTTTACTCGCCTGATTGGCGGCATGGTTGTCACCGAACTACACGGACGGGATGTGACCTGTTCTGCAGCTGAATACAACAGTTTTGAAGCACCAGCAAACCAAACCTGTGGCGAGTATATGCAAGCATTCTTTGATCGGGGAGGAGCAGGTTACCTTTTGGAGAATGGGACTCAAGCGTGCAAGTACTGCGCGTATAAGATTGGGGATCAGTTCTACGAGCCTTTCAGTATGAACTTCGGCCATCGATGGAGAGACCTGGGCATATTTCTCGCCTATGTAGCATCAAATCTCATTATTCTCTTCTTGGCGGTAAGTCAACATTGCGAAGCCAGCATTGAATTAGTACTAATATCTGATGGAACAGTCTCGATTTTTGAACTTCAATCGGAGGTAAATAGGACTGTGCAAATTGCCAAAAGTATCCTCTTTCTTATTTCGGGCTTCGAAGAGAGAATTGAAACTTCAAACCAGTGACAGACCCTAAAGCAAAATTGAGTGGAAAAAAAGTTATACGTTCAGGGATACCGTGCATACTGTTTCATCGGGGGGTATATTTAGTGCAGTGACAATAGGCGTCTGCAATATTCGAAGTACAAATGTAATTCATGGCTAAATATCCTCCACTGCGCCACTCGAGGTGTTTGCAAGCCGTCCGAGATCCGAGGGCCTTTCTTATTGAGCGTGTTGTCCCATTAGGTGGCTGTTGGATAGGGATTCCAGAAGGTCTGATAAATCCTTTTCAACAACGGCATCCTATCTGATCGACCCACTTGCCGTCTCAAGTGACTCGTCGAGTCTATACGAGCCCAGCCCGAGTGAGCTGTTGTTCTCCGCACATGGACCCCGGATTCTCTTCACGACCCCCACGCCGCTTATCTCCATGGGGCAGGTTGGGGTCACTAGTCACCGTGCGCGATCGGCCACCCGAGGCACTACCTACCTATAACCGAGCACAAAGATCAGTCACCATAAGAAGCATGCGTCCATCACCCCCATGTTACGTCGCTGGCTTGCGACAAAGCGCAATCGTGTTCGGACTTCTTCCGAGAAACTGACAACTCGCGCTCTCTATTTCGAGGGAGAATAGAATCTGTGGCTAAATCTCCGGCTGGATACCTCACCAATGTTGGAGTCAGCTTTGTGTCAGCTTTGTAGAAAAACGCCCATCCCAGACCAGACACGGTGCAAATCCGATTGTGACAGTCGTCAGCCAAGACCATCGCTTTCCGGATCTTCGAGGGAAACGACTCTTCTGAGCCAACGTGGGGATGCCTCTGGGTCTTCCCCGCAGTTCGAACGTATTGTTTTATCTATTGAGTGGGTCACTTGATTTCTCCTATTTGCGGGGATGGAAACTCCCTTTTCGTTCGAAATGAATCAATCTTTGAGGGGCGGCCGTAGGGATTAAGTTGGTGCCATTCTGCAGACATATACTTCAAAGACCCCCCTGGTGTCGGAAATTTTATTTTCGTTCGAGAATTGAGATTGACTCCTATGCGGTTGATTCCTTCTAGGCTTCCCATTTTGCGATTACGGTTACATGCTCATCAACTTCCCACTGCTTGATCTCACGCATATTTTGACGGCATATTTGAGCTATAAAATATGGCGAACAATCCACCGGCCGGAGAGCCATCCAAGGCGGATATTCTTGATGCCCCGACTATTTCCCATGCGGAGAACAACGCGTCTTCATCGAAATGGAAGGCCGTCAAATCAGCGGATGGAGATACTGCGATGGCTCTATTCAACGACCCGGATGAGCTTCACGAGGAGGTTGACCCTGCGGAGGCAAGAAAAATATTGTGGAAAATTGACTTCATGATTCTCCCCTACCTGGCTGTCTGTTACGCCTTCTTTTACATCGACAAGACAACCTTGAGCTACGCAGCTATATTTGGCATCCGCGATGATCTCAAACTTCATGGAACTCAGTACAACTGGCTGAGTAGTATTTTCTACTTTGGCTTCCTTGCCTGGGCATTTCCGACGAATTTTCTAATGCAACGCCTGCCAATCGGTAGCCCAACCTACTTACCCCCACCCCCAGAATGATTGCGAGCCCTGACTTGGAATATTTTGATAGGGAAATATCTGGGAGCAAATATTTTTATGTGGCAAGTTTCCATATGCTTACTTATAGTTGAATCCTGTTTTTATACTAACGTGTGGAATACAGGGGCGTCTTCCTAATGATCCAAGCCGCGTGCAACAGTTTCGAAACTCTCGCCGTTCTCCGAGCTCTTGGTGGTGCCGCAGAAGCATGTTCCGACCCAGCATTCATGTTAATAACTAGCATGTGGTATACACGGCGTGAGCAACCAGTTCGTATTGGGTTATGGTACACTGCAAATGGCATTGGCATTGCCTTGGGTGGCTTGCTTGGCTATGGAATTGGTCACATTCGAGGTGCTCTCCCATCATGGAAATACGAGTTTATCGTGATGTAATATGACTCCTTCAACTGTGCTCCTATGAATTAAATTTGCTGATCAGTTTTAGTGGCGCTCTTTGCTCAACCTGGGGCATCATTATGTTCATCTTTCTCCCTGATTCACCTGTTACAGCCCCAGGCCTTACGAAGAGGGAACGACGAACAGCCGTCGAACGCATCCGAGAGAACCAAACCGGCGTTGAGAATAAACACCTAAAGCCATATCAAATTCTGGAGGCATTCTTAGATTACAAGCTATATATGTTCTTCATTTTGGGTGCCGTTTGTGAGTGGTCATCAACCCTGCTATTACATGTTCACTGACCAAAAAACAGGCAATATCCCTAATGGTGGTATAAGCAACTTTGGAACTATTATTATAAAAGGATTTGGATTTTCCACCTTGGTGACAACACTGATGCAGGTGAGTATGCCGGTCTTAATATGAATCTGCTTTCCACTAACAACTGGCTATTCTCAGATTCCTTATGGTGTACTTATCGCTCTATCAATCCTCACATGCGTGTATCTCAACGATCGCTTTGAGAATAGACGCTGTATATTTGTTCTGATATTTCTTATTCCCAATCTTTGTGGAGCATTTGGACTCCGGTTTGTGCCTGTTGACCGAACTGTTGGTCGCTTGATCTGCTACTATTTGACGGGCCCATACAATGCTGCGTTCGTTTTGATATTGAGCATGCAGATTGCGAACACAGCAGGTAAGATTTATAGCTTTGACGATTGAGAGCGTTTCATTTTGCTGACGATAATTATCTAATCAAGGCCATACCAAGAAGGTTGTCACCAACGCCGTCCTCTTCCTCGGATACTGCACCGGCAATATTGCAGGGCCGTTCTTTTATAAGACAGATCAATCGTATGATCCCATATCATGATTACCTATGCTGCTCTTACTGAATATTATATAGGCCAACATACGAGCTTGGTATTTGGTCAATGATCGTCTCGCATCTGATCGAAGCTGTCTTAATATCCATTCTCGGCCTGCTTTTGCGTTGGGAAAACAAGAAACGTGATCGTATCCAGTCGCAAATGGAAGGAGGACTTGCAGGAAGAGACCTGGATTCAACTGCATTTTTGGATTTGACTGATCGAGAGAACTTGAAGTAAGTAGAATTTTTCTCCAACTTCCATAGATTGCTAGCAGCTTACATTGACTTTTTCACCTAGCTTCCGTTATATCTACTGATTATGGAAATGCGGCATGAGAATCAGTAATAACGTAAATGTCTACGGGATAATTGAGATCGGGAAATTTGAATTTCCCCTCGGAACATGTTAACTGAGAGAAGAAGGCCCAACATTTTGATCAGCATCAGCCGTAGAAGGCCGTCTGAATGGCATTCCAGTGATTTCCCATTTTCAATTTACAGCTCTATCTCAACTTCGTCTTGATTTCAAGTATAATGATTCATTCTTCTCGTGACAAAGTCACACTAATTAAGGAGAAAGGATGATTGTAGCCACAAAGCTGAAGCTCTCAGTAGGAACCAGCAACATAGTAACCCTGAAAAAATAATGATCCTTGGGGAACCCTTTTTTCGTAGAAGATCCTAGTAATCAAATAACGATTACTGATAAGGAATTGGCATTTCTACCATCCCTGTTCCTCTTTATGATACAAAGCACCTTGAAACAAAGAACTCGGTCTAAAAAAGAGGTATCATGGATATAATCACTCATGCTCTCTCGCTGGTGCTTAAAGAGACTTTTTTATCACCCCTGAGATGTAAATGTTAGAATTCTAGTACCCTAGAAATATCCTTGATTCTTGCTTAGGACATAGTCAAGGCAGTTCAATGGAATCGGCTACGTGCTATATCATTGGAACCTCACCCAAAGCCAAGCCAACATACTTAGATAAGCCGGCTCCAAATGCTATTTTTCTCAGAAAAAAAAATAACGAAAAAATGTAAAAACAAATAAGATTGGAACTGCATGGTATTACGGAAGACCGATAAAGACAGAATATTGTTTAGATAGTAGCCACAACCGTTATCTTATTTTCTCCCCAGTTCATTTTCACTGGAGTTGAAGCTCGACGCCCGTGAATGCAGAGGCCACGGGGCCATGGCGGGGCGGACTTTACTCATTAGTGAACTTTGAGGGCTATAAATCCTTCATAGATGAATTAAGGATGTGTCTTCGGACGCGACTGTTTCTCCAAGCGTATCGTTTTATGTAGAATAATAGTATGATTAGTACATACGCTGTGATTTGCCTATCCAGACAAGCCAACGTGGTCATAGTGGATCCTCGAAAAGATTTCCCGCAAATCTCCACCCGGAGCATGCAAAGGTGGGATGTCATTCTCACTGCTACTTCACCTGCAAGGGTGGACAGTATGGCGTTTGATTGATCAACTTTTTTTTACAGAAGGTTCCGTGAGAGAGATACCATGCGTAATGGTCACTAGACGTGTTGGTACTGTAAGAAGAAACCTGAGCAAGGTTGACAATGAGAGCTGGATGGATGGCCCGACGGAATAATCGGCGATGTCCCACGCAGTGGCTGTGATGCATCGTCCTGAAACTTGCTCGGTGGAAATTGTGAGGAAGCTGATACCTCACCTTATAAGCTATCGGGTCCATTATGCGTCCGACTGTCCGAACAGCGGCCCGTGGGAACCCGTGACCGCAATGAATGCCTATGATAGCGAAGATAGATCCTTGCCATGTAATGAACAGGGAACCTAAATAGGGCTATCACTATCGACACAAATCGGGACCACACCGTATTCTTCGGAAAACTGACAGCCCGAAGCTCCGAAACTATGCACCCCCCATTTCTCTAGAACGCTCGCGTAAACGCAGATCGAACGGCTGCACCCAGTGAGAAGCTATAGTGAAGTTTGCTCGCTCCACCGCCCCAATGGAGATCTGCAGGACCTGAATCCGAGCCGAACAAGTCTTTGTTTCTCAAGAAACAATTGGCCAGGGCTGCCTTCGACTCATTTTAGCTGGGCTCTCTCGGGCGCACCTTGTCAGGCAAAGTCCGAAGCAGAGAAGCTCTGAAGCAGCAAACACCCCAAAGGCTCTAGTGTAAATAGAAATTGTTGATCTCGGATATTTAATCACGCCATCTGCCCCCAGTCTGTCACCATTTTCTTGCATGCTTATTGCTGTCTATACAGTTAAGCTTATTTTTGAGTTCCCTCGATCCCAATTCCATCCACCATGACGGTGTCAGACGCCACTCAAGCCAATGTCGCCCCCACAGTGTATCCCCGCCGTGTTTTGCTTGTCAGCATTCCACGAACAGCTAGCAATCTTCTTTTGAAGGTCTTGGATGTCTATAAACAGCCCAAGGTGCTCACTAGCCCCCAGGGGGGTTATTTTTTCTATCCCGCATTCGTCGCCGCGGCACAAAATGACATGCTGTCCAAGCCGGGTGAGCAATGGACGGAGGAAGAAAAAAGCCGCGTGCAACAGCTCTTCCAGGAGTGTTTTCAGTCTTGGGAAGATTGGACTGAAGAAGCGCAGAAGGAAAAGAAGATCATGTTCGCAAAAGAGCATGCCTTCTGGATCTATAACCCGGCATCTCTTTACAAGATGATGAGTGGCTATGATGACCCAGAGTTCTGGAAATCTCTCCGATGCAATATCCCTAAATCATACGGCCCATCCCAAACTTATTCTCCGTCAAATGAGACCGTCCTATCCGACGAGTACCTGAGATCATGGCAGCTCGCATTTATCATCAGACACCCCGCTCTCAGCTGTCCCTCCTTCTACCGGGCTATGATAAAAGTCAAGGATCAAGGATATATTGACGAAGACGGCATTGCCGGTGCATCCATGGCCAATATGAGCATGCGCTGGACTCGCAAGTTGTACGATTGGAGCATGGAGCAGCCTGATGTGCCGATCCCGCCGCCCGTAGTGGACGCTCACGACCTCATCCACAGCCCTGAAGTGTTGATCAAGTTCTGTGAACAGACAGGCCTTGATAAGGACTCTCTGAAGTTTGAGTGGGGCGGCAAAGATGATGTGAAGAAGTCCCTCAACTGGGCCGCTCCCGACGCAAATGCTGATGCCGCCAAAAAAGAGGAGCACCGAAAGGCTGCTGAGATCTTGCTGGGTACTCTTGAGGCCTCATCGGGCATAATAAAGGACAAAGCCCCTGCCAACATTAATATTGATGCGGAGGTAGCAAAGTGGAAGGTCGAGTTTGGGGATGAGGTTGCTCAGCTTCTTGAAAAGCAAACCCGTGACTCAATGGAGGACTACGAGTACCTCAAGGCCCGACGTTTGACCGTTTGAGCGCAATTGAAGTAGCTAATCAGATGGATATTAATATGGTACTCATGGCGAAACATGAGAAAGGGCGAAGTACAAAGCTTCCATTATGACTGCGTTTATATCTAGTTTAGAATTGACGTCAAGTACATGAACAGTTTCTGTTTTTTCCTTCATGAGAGCACAACTACAAATTATATGAAAGTATGTAGCCTGGAGCCTCGCTCTCCACCAAACACACTGAGTCAACGCTTATCAAGAATATGATACCTTGCGACGAGACACCTGTCGCCAGATCTCGAGATGTCTGGTGGCTCCCCAATGAGACTCTATTAAATGTCTCTTTCTCGAGTACCTTGATGATTAAAAATGAACCACCCTAAGGACTTTCTCGGGTTATACGAGAGTGCTCTTCAAAAAGCTCAGGAAGGAAAGATACAATCATTCTTCCTCCAGAGTCCTCCCCGCATCTGGATTTGGACATAAACCAACCACTTCTTCTTCGAGTCTAAGATGCGAGATTTGTTCACGCGAACACATGAAGCCAAATATGGTTTATGACTATGCTCGGAACTGATTTAATATGAACAGATAATAATACATCTTGAAATATGTGCTAAAGGAACCATGCAGGAACATCGTACAATCACCGTTTGCCACCACCTAAGAAAGCTCTCTTCTGGCGGACGTAGGCAGCCACAACGTTCTCCACACTGCGACGGTCGTGCTTGCGAGACCTGTTGGGATTATGAAAGTCAGTAATCACTAAATTATTTATAAAAGATGCAATGCAGGGCGTATGGTCAGGTAGACGAACCGCATGTAGTACAGTCTTGCGCGGCGGATCTTGCGCTGTGCCCGCTGGACGATCTCCACGCTCTGGACGTTGGGATTGAAAACTTTGACCGACATTTCGACGGCAACGCGAGTCAGTTCGTTGCGAAGGAGGAATGAAGTGTCGATGCCGCGCAGCCTAATGCTCAAGACAACACCGTTGAATGGGTCACCGTTCTTGAACGTGACTCGGACAATATCGCCGGGCTTGATACTGCGGGGATTCCGGCGGTAATCAAACAGGGCTTTGCGATCACCCTTAGGGTCCAGGGTCTCCAATTGCGACTCGGTGACCTTTGCGATTGGGTCCTTGCATACAGCACGAACGGAGGGAGGAGCAGGATAGACCTTAATCGGTTTGGGTGCTGTAATCAATTGTTTTGGTCAATACACGTAGCAAAAGAGAAATGTCCGGTGAAACACCTACCATTCTGAGGCTGCATGCGAGCTGGTAATTGTGACAGGAATTGCTGGGGGAGGGTTGGAGGGAGGGGAACGCGCTCGGGGCGCTGGGAGTAGCGAGTTGTAATGAATCGACGACCTAGTTGTTGCTGAATAGCCCCTTGAGGTTTGATCATTGATCTCAAGCAGCCCAGCTGCCGCATTGCTGGTAACGCCGCCATGGTTGTGATGAGTGAAGGCAAGATGAGAAAGTCGGGGACGAGTTTTGGATGGAGCAAACCGGCAGAATTTCCGCCAAGCCCTGAATTTGTTCGAAATCCAGCTTCTTCTCCGCCTTCACCATCTTCTCGCGTTTTGCTCGTGCGCTGCGAAAAGGACCCTCAATTCCTTGGAGTCTCATTACTGCTCGGTCTGGTCTTTGTGTTACTGTATTTATCGTCGCCCATCATGGCTCAAGCTGTCATGGGAAGTCTTTCCCGATTCTCAAGCACAATGCGCCGGTCGATCACATCCCAAACCCGCAATTACGCATCGAGAACAGGTAAAGCATGACCTTGCTTACAGCTTTTCTCCTTTCTTTTTTGAAAGGCTGCTAATAACCCATTTCTTTAATACAGCGATTCCGACTTTTACTCCAACCTCATCCCCCGAACTGGACAAGCTGCTTGACAGGTTCCGGAACGACAGATTTATTCCAGCGGGTCTTCCGAAACGCCAACGCCAAAGCATGTTCAAGGAAAAGCATGCGCAAAGACTGACTGAGGAACCTATCACTGTTAAAATCAGCGAAAATGAGGAATATACTTTTCGACCGATGAAGATAACTGAAACACCAACCAAACGGGATGCATTTGCGGCCCTGCAACTCATGATGTCCATGAACGAGTGGAAGAACCTTCTCCCCTTCTTGTCTGGTCTGCATGCGGCTGGTTTTCGAATTGGCCAGGATCGATGGGAACAACTTGTCCGTCGAGCTGGCGCTGCTGGGAAACTTTCTCTTATTCTTGAATGTGCCCGGCAGGGAAGTCACACCGGTTTGCACCTCCGATCCATGGGTGTCGTGCGCTCGCTTTTCTACCAGATTCACCTTGCCGCGGAGCAGGCAGGATACAAGGGTGATGCGGTAACCAAAGCTTTCAATACGACAAGACAGGCTGTTGACCTGATGGACCAAGACCCTGTGCTCCAAGAAATAGGCGCAAAGGCGGAGAATGTAAAGCACCAGCCTTTCGTAATTGGCACATTACTTGAACTCAGCGCAAGCCGTGCTATCAATGAGTTTGGTGCCAAGGACGAGACCAATGAAGTCCTGAACTACGCACGAAAGCTCGTCGCCTCTTGGTCCTACTTCTCCAAGGAGGTCGCTACCGAGGACCGCCATGAAGCAGTCAAACGGATTCAGGAGCTGGCCCCTGTCTACAATGGATTACGTCAGAGTCTTTCAATCCACGGACTCGCTGTTGACAAGGATCTTCATTCGGCAGTAACGACCTGCCTGGCCGAGGCAAAGGAGACCCTGCAAAAGCAGGTGGATGCATTCTCACCCGAGGCTCAGAAGCAAACCAAGGCCTATTTCGACCTCGCACAGTCATTGTTGAGCGCTTAAAGGATCCGTATAGAGTCTTGTGTTTATCTATTGGATTTATTTGGAAGACCTTCAAGCATGTGTATATTATTACTTTTTGTCACAACATTTCTGGAGCCGACCTTTGTATTTCAAACTTAATGGAACCTTTTTGGCATCACCAACCCCGCTTTGTGCTAACTATTCAAATATTCACTAGGGAAGACAGTTCATTGATCCCGTCGAGTGACTTTCTTTTCCAACTGCGATATAGCCGAAAAGAGTAGAATGCAGAACGCTCATGGTACAGAAGTTGCTCATTACTACCCAGAAAGAGCAAGTGGATATATTCCTTAGCAAAGCTCTACGGTGTTATCGCCACTAATGCGGGCGTGAGAAGAGAGAGTAACTTTTCCGTTAACAACAGCCGGGCCAGTAACCGTAATCTATCGAGTACCATGTCAGTATGTCTGGGCACTCTAGGGGTGGGGACGCAAGTTAGTCCCCGTTTTGGGACATACCTGACCCTCTGGGAGGGTATCCAATGTCTGACTCTCAGCGATGCCAGTTAGAGTGATTTCAGTACTGCTCAATGGTGATCCAAAGTGGCTGGATCCATCGAGGCGTCTGTAATCAAAGACGTTGGTTTGAGCAATCGCACCAGCAATGCCAGGACCGGTAAGTGCATATACAACACGCGCGCCGGTAAAAACGCGAAGATCTGTCAATTGCTCTGAGGTATGGCGAACTGAGGAATCGGCGTCAACGCGGTGTGAAATGCAAATTAGACGCAACTTGTCCAAAGAAAGCTCGACGGTCGGTCCGATTCGGGCAAGTTGACTGAAAATGTTCTTGGAAGGCATCTTTCCTGCATCCAGAGTTCGAGACTGGACCCAATGACCGAAGGAAGAAACCGGACCGGCATGAGGCTTCATGACGCGGTCATGATACTCTACCATAGTGCGAGAGGACGCAACGATAACAGTAGGAGACACACCAACTGTAGCCAGGCCAAAGTCGACATTTTCACCAGCGACAGAGTTGAGGGCCACCGAGGCATTTGAGAACAAGGCATTCAATATCTGGCAAAGTGGGTAAGACCGAGAGAGAGAGTCGATTGAGAGAACAAGGTCAGACGGAGAGAAACGTTCACTCCGAGGCAGCGCAGAGCCCAAAGCAGCGACAGCGGCCACGATGTTCTAGAAAAAATGTGAGGATCTTTCTATCAAGCCATGATGGAATGTGACCAGATCTTGAAAGAAGCCAAGACATTGTCGGTGGGGAAAAAGCATATGGCTTACCTCGGATTGGAAATTAATGAACTCGCCAGAGTTGGACTCGGAAGGCCAAACAGTGCTGATACCCGGGGTCGGAGTGGTCGGGTCGTATTCAGGGACATCTAGGCTAGCCAGATCCTTGCCTTCCTCAAGCAACTCGTGCCAAACAGTAACTTTCAGAGTACCTTTGACATCCTCGGGAACCTCATGCCAGTCCATGTGCCGATTTCCATACTTGACGACCCAGAGAAGAAGTGATAGCTGAGAGTTACCTTTGCTCACTGTGGATAAATCGATTGAACCGGCCTCGGCAATCAGAGCATCGGCTTTGGATGCTTGTAGATGAGCAGACAGCGTTTCGGGAGCAAGGTTATGGGGTATAATCACAGTGTTGAATCCATAAAATGCACCCGCTTAGATTGAAAAATGTCAATATATGGACTAGTTTCTGGTCGTCAAGTCATTCAAGGGTTACATACCGAAGATAGCGGCCAGGAGTTCAATAGAGTCGGTCAGGCATACAGCAACAGTCTTGACCTCTGATCTGTGTAGGAATCGACCGATTACATTGATTTCCTGAGTTGCTTGAGATAGGGAGTGCTCAACAGCATTCCTCCCCAGCACAGTATAGATCTTGCCCTGCTTGCCAGATACAGAGCCATCGGCGTTCAACGCACCCCGAACGGCAGCCTTCCAGATATCTCGAAGGTCGCCCCGGCGACCCGCAGTCCATTTGGGAGCTTCAGCATCCTTCACGTTCAATCCCTGTCGAAGGGGAAAGCCATAAGGGGTTTCTAAACTGCGATAGGTTGCTGACTCGCCCGATTGCCGAATAGGAGAAGCTGTAGATTGGCGAGCAAGAAGGAATTGATGAACATCGGGATCTTTGGACGATACAATGGAGTAGATAGCAAATGAAATAAGAGCTGCGGCAAAAAACGTCGTGTAGATATTCCAGTCCGCCAGCATATCGGTGATAGCGGCATCGAGCTTCTCCAGAATGGGAGTCTGGTCGGCCATTTCGGCGGCTAATAGTATGATTGTTCGCTTTCAGATGGCGGGAGTGTTGACGGAGTCGTGGCTTTATCGACAGTATTCAGCCCGGCCAGTCTTTGTAAGAGATCGCTTCTTCTAGTCACAAGCTTCGATAGCCACGGACTTCTGGATTGTCGAGTGTCAACAGTTCCAGACACAATGACGTTTGAGGGGTTCCCCGGGAGGCTGACGGAGCGGCTCTCGGGTCAACCATAAAACCGGCGTCTAAACTTGACGCGCGCAGCGCCTGTTTCTTCGGTGATCCCATCCTCTTGCGACTTTCAAAACAAGCTCCTGAGCCATGACTCTTTGAACGGCAACCCCTCTCTCCACAGAACCAATGTTTCTGTAAAGCTCCTCATCTCCCCCCCCCCCTCGACCCCCGCCCAGGTAAGTGCCCGCTCGTTTTGACCCAAAGGTAAGACTTCTCCCCTCGTGCTCTGACTCTTTTCCCCCTCCCCAAACGGCCCAAGTAACTGACAGTCTGCAGTTCCCCTATTTGTATTTGTTGCTCTTTAGACACAATTTCCTCCCTTTTGTTATCTTCCTGGCGACCAATGGCCTCAAAATCTCTTCCGTCTACTCCCAAGGCTGCGCCCGCGACTCCCGCCTCTGGGGGGTCAGGGACTCCAGGAAAATGGCGCCATCCCCAACTTAACGAGATTGTCAGACGCCAAAATGCTGCTACTTTTGGTGATAAGAACCTTCGCAGTGTTATCTGGAATGGTATCTCCTTGGTGTTGACGTGGGTGTTTGGCGGCACCCTCAAATCTTAGTATGTTCACACAGCCTCCTCGAACCCCAGCGTCAAGTTGTGTTCAAAGCGGTTACTGACTGGCGCAATCCTCCAGTGTGCGTTACTTGTTCGGCAATGATCCCTTCTATCAACAGCTGCCGCTACTTTTCATTCAACTCCTCTTCACTACAAACATTCTCCTCGCTGTGCTCCCTCTCTTCAAGCGCAAAGACAACCTCTCCGATATTCCCCTCACCCCCACCCAGCGTGCCCTCCTGGGCCTGGACCCAACAGCCACTCCTCCTGCTACTCCTGGAACAACCTATGTTACGCCGCCCCGCTACCGTCTGTCTACCTCGCGAAAGGCAAGCCCCATTAGTGCAAGTCGGCACACCAGCTCTCCATTGTCTACAACCCCGACCTTTTCTGATCGCCGTGTCTCTTCGGGTACTCCTTTTTCGCCTGCTTCAAGCCCATTGTTTCACAAAGCCATCTCTAATGGAGGCAGAGATTCCGGGCGGAGACAGAGCATTGGGTCCTCCTCCCCTCTTGTTCGGAGCAACTCATTTGGAGAGTCCAGTATTGGACCCAGTACTCCTTCTCCTCTTGCAGGCAAGCGTAGGAGCCTCGGTCTGAGCAACAAGTGGCTCTATGAGAGAAGCCGAAGGCTGTCTGCTAGCAATGGTGCCCTCTGATTCCTTTTTTATTTGTTTCTCTCATTGGTTGCGCGTCATGGAGTTTGTAACGGGTTTAGCGATCCTTTATAATGAATTCGAATACTGCATTAGTAAAATCAGGTTCTTTGGGAGCTCTCCGCCAATAGTTCGATCACCGCTGGTGCCCAACTGGTAGACCATGATTCGATAAAGTATTTCTAAAAACTTTCAAAATCCTAAGGAGGTTGGTAATATATCAAATTAGCATGATCATGGAACAAAGAAAGCAGAATGTGATGAGGCAAACAGCCGATGAGTTGTCGGCGCATGGCGGCTCTCGTACTCCCTACATCATGTGTTTGGGCGGCGCGGCAGGTCAACGCCCGCGTTTAAGATCGGGACTCCGCACCCAGGAACAACCGCAACACCAACGGCACACGGCACACGGCACACGGCAACAACTTGCAGCGTGGTTTTCGCTAAACCTTGGTTCTCAACACTAAGTAGCCTATCTGAAGCCCTCGCTGTGGGCGACTTGTCTCTTCAGCAATGGGGGCCTCGGAGTCCAAACTTGTCTTCAAGCAGGGCATCTTCCGCCTGTCAGAAGAGAAGGAGATCCCCGCAGACGACCCTTACTGGACACGGGTAAGTTGGCCTCTTCACAGGATATCAGCTTTAAAGATGAGTCGATGATGCCATGGTATCTGACATTCTATTCAGTTCTGGGAGCTCCCAGAGTCTACAGAGGACGTCTTCAGCCTGTTCACCCCGGCTGACATCCGCCGAACGCGCGACCAAGCCTTGACTAATTTCGAAACATTGCTACTATCGGTTTCATCTCGTCTGATCATTTTGAAAAACCACCCTTCGTTCCCAGATCCCGATCTTGCTCCCGAAAGCGATGCCCTCAACTGCATCCGCATCCTCACTCGACTCCTCCCCTTTGTCTATGAAGCAGAACACCTGGAAGATTGGGACGACAAGTTCTTCTGGTCACGTCGCAAGAAGAAGACTCGACAAGCACAGATTTCTGGAGAGATCCTGTTTGACGATTCGCAGGCCGAGGATGGACAACAACGAAACTCTCCTCGTGGGGAGGAATACGAAGATGTCAAGCCTCTTGCAGAAGAGCTGATTGACACTTTGCTAGACCTGCTATTCTTCGCTGACTTCAGCATACCGGTGCTTCCCACTGCGAAGAGCAAGGTTTCTTACTCGATATGGCAGAGCGGAGTCGGTTGCAACACTGCAATGGGGTCAAATAAGACCCTGGAGAATAACCGGTGCGAGGTCCTGCGACTGCTGCTGACAATGACCGGAAAGGCAATGTATCTGCCTTCGAGTATGTCTACTCAATCTTGAATTATTGTGATCACTCTCGCTGAATTTTCCAGATACACTTCCCGTGCAGGGTGTCAAAGCTATCACTTATATAACCACCTGCCAGGACAAGCAGTCTGTATTGACTCTCCTCTGCTCTCTCCTGAACACGGTATGTCAATTTAAGGATCAAAATTCTTGTGAGATGCTAATTTGACGAAGGCGATGAAATATAATCCTGCAGCTTGGAGAGTTCCTTATGATCATGTTGTCTGGAAGGATTCTAAGCAAATGTTGGTGATCTACTGCTTACAGCTTCTCCTTGTACTTCTCCTTTATCCCATTCCAGAGGACGGGCGTGGAGTTCCTCCCAAAAACTATTACCGCCATTACTTCGGCAGATTGCACAGACCTCAAGATTTCCAGTTTCTTGTTGATGGCATGACAAGGATCCTAAACCAACCGGTACGTGTTCTTTCCTAGGCATATGGGGCAGATTAAAAGATATTGATAAGAGACAGATGCAGGCGACAAGCTCCTATCTTCCTGGAAGCCAGCGATCTGTGAAATGGGCACCTGAGATATTGATTCTCTTTTGGGAGGCCTTGCAATGTAACAAGCGGTTCCGCTCTTTTATCATCGACTCCAACCGCTCTCACGATTTCCTCATCCTCTGTTACTTCTATGCTATGGAATACAGAATGGACCCATCTAAACAAGGCGTCGTTCGACTTTGTATTTTCATTTTGCAAACGATGAGTGCAGAGCCAAATTTTGGAAAAAGTCTCAACATGAAGTTCGAAGCACAGGAGACCTTACCACCATCGATTCGACTCCTCAAATTCCGAGGCAGCTATGCTGACTACCTCATCATGGTTTGTCCTGCAACCCTCAAGAAATATGGCATATATCCTAACTTCTACAGTCAATTCACACTCTCATGACCACAAGCAAAGGCAAACTCGATACCGCTTATCCTGCCCTTCTCATGATTTTGAATAATGTGGCGCCTCACATAAAGCATGTTTCTCCTACGGCGTGCTCCAAAGTTATTCAGCTTTTCTCTTCCATGTCTGCTCCAAGCTTTTTGCTGGCCAACGAAACCAATCACACCCTTCTTGCATCGCTACTTGACTTTATCAACACTATTCTCGAACACGGATTTAATGGTGGGTTCCCAACCGATTTTCTTGTTGGTTCAACTACTAATAGTCACAGAAAATCCATATCTTGTTTACTCAATTTTAAAGTACAAGGAGCGTTTCGAGGCTGTTCGCACATTTACTCTTGAAAGCGGCCAACAGGAAATTGAGCGTCAAAGGGAGAAACGCAAGGCTGGTGATGCTGATATGATATCCAGCCCAACACTTTCTCATTCTGAAGAAGATCTGCATGCGCCTTCGGGTGCTCGATCCCCTTTGACCCGCATCCCAGAAGAAAACAGTGCATTTGCCATTGGCGATGATGATTCTGATGAGGAAGGAGAAGATGGAGGGGCACAAACACCGTCACAGTCCTCTCCATCCGCTCAGACCTCCCGCAGACCCTCATTCGCATCAACGACAGATGAGACTAACTCCCAGGCCCGAGGTATATCTGAGAAAGCACGCGGCAAGATGCCCGCAGGACGCCCATCCTTCTCCCGCCAGAACAGCATGACTAGCCAAACCAGCATGTCTGCTCTATTCACCGGGTCGTCTTGTGGATTCACTCCAACCGTGGCATGGGTAAGTCCTGATAGGTGTCCATTGATAGCAGAGTTACTAATTATATATCCCAGCTTGAATCGTGGCTTCCGGAGCTTCCACTTCATACTATCCTCACCCTCATTTCCGCCATTGCGCCTCATATTCCCGAGGCCGCCCTTCAATCTACGGCCAGCCCCGAAGCTCGCACATTAATCCACAATCTTCCGTCGTTTGCGGATGAGCCCCAGGTCAAGAGTATTGTCTCTGAGCCAACCCCAGTTCGCGCCCAGTCTTTTGAATGGTCTGCGCTGTCTATGGGCTGGTATGAGTCGCTGCTTTGGGGCTTCATTTTCTCCAGCGAAATGGTAGTTGGCTCTGCAGCCGGTGCTACTCCTGGTACTGTAGGTGTTTGGAACGGCACTGCAATTAAGTTATTCAGGGTGCAGGAAGCTGCTGCCCAGGGCCCAACTCTACTGGCCCCCAAGGGTGCAGTGGATGCTGTTGGTAGCAATCTGGTCCAACGCATTGGCAATCTCAGCCTCCGAGGCCGCAACTCAATTTCCCAGGAGTCTTCGGGTGGTCATTCACCAAGTGTAAGGGAAGTCTAGGGGTATAGCATAGGCAGGAGGTCAACTACGTACATAGAATACTTGCGCGCCATCGCACTCGAGAGGGGACTTCTTTTTCCCAATTTTCCATCATTTGATCTTTTCGATGTATCGATACCTGGAAGGCGTTTATTGCATCACGAGTCTTACTCAAATAAGTTAAAAATTATTAATTCTTTTAGAAAATATTTGTACGAACAGTCCATGTCAGCATCATAATGTTGGTGATTGCTTTCTAGTCAGGTAAAAGCGCTTATTATGAAAGCCACGTGCAGCCGGCGGATACCGCCTCAATCCGACCGGGGAGGCCGTTCATCCCTTCAACGACTCAGACCAATTCTGGCTGCGGATACAATCCTCTCCATATGTCTTTATATCTCAATTAGTTCCAACCCCATTGGTGCCATGATATATCCTATTGTCTGGTTGATTGCCGTGGTTACAGCGCTGTCGGGCGCAGACCCGGTGATCGGCTCCATCACATCCAGTCTGCAAAGTATCCTTAAGAATACGCATGGCAGCAAGGATTATGGGTATCCGACTGATGTTACCCGTGATCTGCTCCCAGTAAGTCAATGCATCCTTTTTTCGACTCATTGACCATCGTTGCCCCCTGGATTCGATGACTCGCTTGGGAAGTTTGATTAAGACCATGCCTCCAGATCCCGGTGCATTCCCATAAGTAAGCAACCTATTTTTATGCGAAAGTTCTTTCTTCTCATTACCCGTCAGCGATTATTGGAGAGAAAAGCCCTTCTATACCGGTATGCATTGGAAATGTTTGTGCATGAATTTTGCATTGACTTGGCTGCCATAGGGCTATCAAAAGGCTGCACTTCTACCGAAGCCGATGTGTGGCTATACAATGGCACCCTTTATGTACGTGTTCAAATGTTTTTCGATTTGATATTCTTGAAGACTTTTTGACGGTTCTAGGTCGGTCATGACCAATCTGCTTTGACACACGAACGTACCCTAGAAGCTCTCTATATCAACCCGATCTTAGAAATCTTGGAGTGGCAAAATCCCAAGAGCCCCTTTGTAACTTCACCTACCAAAAAGTTTGTTTCAACCATGGAATAGCTTGCCAAACACTGCGGCTAACTCACATTCCTCCAGTGGCGTTTGGGACACCGTCCCTGACCAAACACTATACTTCTTCATTGATGTGAAAACATCTGGACATGAGACATTCCAAGCTGTCATTGAGGCTCTAGAACCTCTTCGTGAGAAGGGGTATCTCACAACACTCAGGGGTGGCAAGACACTGACCACTGGGCCTGTGACGATCATTGGAACGGGCGATACTCCATTGGATATGGTTGCTCCTGTTCCAGACCGTGACTATTTCTTTGACGCACCTCTTGCAGAGCTCAAAGATCCAAAATATGCTAGTATCACGGGCCTTGTCTCTCCTATCGCATCAACCGACTTTGATAAAGCAGTCGGTGTAATTGAACTTGATACAGACCCCATTCTCAACGAGAAGCAGCTAAACAGGCTTCGCGAGCAAATTGCAATGGCAAAAAGTCGTGGCATCGGTGCACGCTACTGGAACACTCCCAACTGGCCAGTTCGCCAAAGAAACTTGGTTTGGAGAACACTGCTACGTGAGGGGGTCACCCTCCTCAATGCAGATGATCTGGATGCTGTCACTGCATACTTCTAGGCGTCCGCAAAAATACCAACTTTACTTTAATGAGTGTGAGCCTTTGAGTTTCAATAGATCATATTACCACTTGCACCCCTTCAATCTCCTGTTTGCTCGCAATATCTGGTAGGAGTGCCCATTTCCAAGTTAGTTTCACCCTGCAAACGCCGTACGCCAGCATCATATGTCTCAAAGCCCCAGTCTGATCTTGTCTTCTGCCTATGCCGATCGCAAGCAGAGACGACACTTGTGGGATGATCTCTTGCCTTCCACATAAACTATGTATCTGTTTGAGCAGCGTTCATCTTCCCGACGCATGTGGCGTCGACATTTGATGAACTCTCCACCCAGGGAGTGACCGCAACTGTAATAAACCTGGATCTGAGTGCAGCGCTCGGGAATTTCGGCGTCTGTTCATCGCATTCTCATCAGCACATTTATCTTCACTTGGTTCATAGATTAAGAGTTGAAATCTGATCTGAGATGGTTCTTTCACTTGCCATCATATGCTGGCTCCTCTCGCATCATCAGAAGCCTAATTGGGGAAGCAACTCGTTTGTGGTTCTGTACTATGTCAGATATTTATTATAATGCCATGTCTCATCCCTTTATTCCATACCTATTTCACTATTTGAAGGCTTTTTGATTGATCTGGTGTAGCGCCCAGAGAGGTTGTCGAGCATTTGTGGAAGTTGGAAGGAGAAAGAGAGATGTTTGAGGTAGGAGAGAGGCCATCCATATCAGTCGCGCAATGTCAGAAAAGAGTAAGAGTTTACTTGTAATATCAATGAAGCCAATATCAAGGAAAATATCAACATATTCTTTTATCATTTGAGATCTTCAACGCCACCAAGTTAAGAGCTATATCACAATCTGGTTAGATGTCTGCTATAGTTGCAGAACATCGGCACCATGCAACCTTTCTTGTTTGTGCCACCATTTGGCGGGACATAATACAAAGATATATGTTGAGAATTTAATTTGATTTTCACTTGATTCGCTATATTTGCTAGGCTACAAAACCTGCTCCGAATTGTCGTCAATGATACTGCAAACAAATGCCCCATATGTTGGTTCTGGCACGTGACCTACGACGACAGGGCAAAATCACAGCGCCGTCGAGGTGCGCGGCTGTGCATTACAACCTCATTCAAGGCCAAATCCCACAGGGCGCAAGAACATAATGGCATCTGATGGTGATCTGGGAGATCTTTTGGCCAAAGCGCTCCCTACTGGTGTCGAACTTACCGTCCGTCATGTGTCTTCAACACCAGCCCCTTCAACGGCCCTCTTTGCTGCTGCGCCTGGTCGGGAACCAGAAGCAACTTTCTGTGAAAATCACTTTCTAACAGTCTCAATCGATTCTCCAAAAGTCAATGGTGGGGAGATCATTGTCTTTGGGATGGAAGTTCTGGTCTATAACACGGCCCACCTCACCACTATTTTCGTCTCTAAGGCCGACTCGACCGGCTTCCTGCACCTCCTCAAAGTGGGACAAAAGGTCTCGGTGCTAAGGCTGATCTCAAATACTTTCCTTTCCTTTCTTGTGCAGACCCATCAGCGCCCAGGTGTGCGTCTGGTGGTCTCACTGTTTGCACGCGCCCAAAACCAGTACTTGTTCCCCGGCAGTATCGACAATGCGGAGAAGCACGTCCTCGATGACCGGGGCCTAATTAAATGGTGGTGTCGTGCAGTGGATCCAATTCTCCGCGATCATGAGCCTGAATCTGTTTCAAAAGACTCGAAACTCATGCATCAGGGAGCCGAATCAGCGAAGGCCTCTGCAACCGCCTACTTGATTGTCCCTGGGTGCGACCGCTTTGAAACACGCAATTTCTTCCCGCTAACGGCCAAGTCGGATGGCCAGGATCGTCCACGATGGCTTTCCAGCTACCCTGTGAATCAAATGTGTCATGATCCATCAGCTCCACCTCGTTGTCTCATTCCCCGGCTTCCTGACGATCCCAAGACTCGTTTCCTGATCGACCTAGATGATGAGCTCCCTGAATCTGCTGAAGGTCAAGATGCGCCCCCCAGCACTGGCCTCTGGAGAAGTGTCAGGTCACTAGATCAGTTCTGGGAAATGATGTCTTTCCGTCAGGAATGTTCTGCTGGTCGGCTGGTAGGGTTCCTGTGGCTCGTGGTGAACCCGCCCGGCTTGATGAATTCGACTACCATGGCTAGCCGAATTATGAGCGCCGTCCCATCCGATAAGATTGATAATGGCGTACATGTGTTCACTTCTACAGACAGCGGTGACAAGTTGCCAACGGATGCGCCTAAGCTGAGCGGAGAACATTCTGCAGAGATTCCTGAACCTCAGGCTGTGACACCACCTCATTTTGACCATCCACCAGTTGCATCGTCAACAGAGCTTCAGTCAAACGAGATAATTCCCTTCTACTGGCCCGAAGCTGGACGTGGAAATGTCGTGTTCAATGAAGCAGAATATAAGAAGATGATGGATTGTGTTCTCGATCATTTCTATGATGAAAGCGAAATTGTCGCTAGTACCAAAGACTATATTGACCAGGTCGCCTCCCTCGCCGATCAACTGACCTGGGGTAAAAGGGTTGTCGGAACCCGGAAGTTGGAAAATACTACCACTTATTCAGCCGAAACAAACACCCTTGATATCGGATTAGTTCGCAAACGAAAAAAATCAGCTAGTGGAGGTGAGACAAAGGGTTCAAATGAAGCTATCATTGCCCAACCACGCGGAGCCGACGAGATACAATCAACACCGTCCCAGCCTGTTGCAGTCAATGTGCTAAGTGCAGGGTTAGTGCGGAAGAAAAAGAAAATATGATCCATTTGGAGTTAGGTAGGATGACTTACTGGTTCTGGCTCCGGAGTTCTTAAGGAAATTTGTCTTCAGCGTTATTTATAGATCCTATTTAAGCGGATTGATCTTGATCTTAGTATCCTTTTGCCACCTAATCTATACATGTTATCAAATTTTCTTGTGAAGGTCTACCAAGCCTGCTCCGCTTGCTCAGCTCAATCATAGAGTAGGTCACCCCATGCCAGATCATCTAATATGTCGGCCAGCCGTTCAACTTAGCTATTTTTATCCATAAAAGAGGGGCGAACCTCATTCTGGATATTTTGCTAAATGATCGGCATGTTTCCTGGTTTTGATCATCATGGGTGATCCGCATCCAATGGCGGGAAATGCTGTCGGGGTAATATCCTTCGGCACTCAGGTCTTTCAGGGTCTTGGTTCACACATATGCAGATAGTAATTGTTCGACCGAGAAACCGAAAGTTTTCCATGCAAAACTGAGGATCTGCGGGTTGTTTTTGAAGCACTGTCTGGAACACTTTCAGAGAGCGACCTCTTCAATGACCTCTTATATTCTCCAAGGCTTAGGATTCCAATATGCACTATTGAGGAGAGTAGAAGGAATATAAAAGAGCCAACGATGCTCTAAAATTACGAATGAAAGTTGGCACTGTCGGATTCTGCACAGTCTAGGGGCTCATACTCCTTGAACGATGGCAATCATGAGGGATCGGGAGGCATAGGATATGGGTGCAATTATTAAGACATTATCCATGTTTATCTTGATGAAACATAAAAAACTACCATTGGCGGACAAATTTAGACTATCAAGAGGCTCAAAGTCGGTTCAGGTGCCATTGTATCCAACGGATACACGAAGCCAGGCACCATGGAACAGCAACTCACTATGTCAGGGCCACGATTGCAGGAAGATAAACCATTCCAAACGCGGGACCGGACCTAACTTTGGGTAGAACAGGTGGTCAGTAGGTCGTATATAATCAATTTGCCAGTTTGGCATAAGTGCAAAGCAGCATAAATAGTAATCCTAGAATAAAAAACCACTGTACGCGCAAGACACCCGAAGGAAGTGAGGCGGTGCCGCCGGCAAAAACGAAACCCACCCGTGGCTTCCGAGCTGGCGATGCCCTCGCGCGACTCCACCCTCCGAACCACCCAACCACCCAACCACCCACGAGGGATTTCTCTCTCTTCATCCTAGAATGTCCTTCTCTTTTGGCAGTCGCCCTCCCTCTGTGTCTCATGCTTGAGCCATCCGCCTCGTATCTCTTCGAGTTGCCCGTCTCTGATGGCGCTATGCCCGTGTCTGTCGCGGTGGGTTGGGTCGGCCTGATCTGGTACATTGTTGTGCTGGCCGTCTGCACCCTGGGGTATTTCCAAATGTATGATCTGAGCCGAGTGTGTTTAACTTACCATTGTGTTTCTCTGCGCTTATGAGCACAGGCACGCGGGGGACACTAGCGCTGTCTGTTATGGGGTTCGTGGCTGTGGCTAACGAGTGGATTAATTGCATGGACTTTAGATGGAGATACTTCTTACGACAACCCCGACGCTCGCTACTTGCCAACAACCCGGACGCCCCCCATGTCACCGCAATTCGCCCCGTAAAGGGCCTCGAACCTCATTTGTATGACTGTCTAGCTGCCACCTTTCGCCAGGACTATCCCCGCGACAAGCTCACTGTGTGTCTGTGCGTGGCCACGCGCGACGACCCAGCCTATCCAACCCTCTGCAAGCTCCTTACCGACTTTCCGGATGTTGATTCGCAATTATATATTGAAGAAGAGGATCCCCTCCTACAGAGCGGTGGTCCCGATGCCTATGCCCTTGGTCCAAATCCAAAGATTCGTAACATGAGTCGGGCCTACCGTGAAGCCAAGGGAGACATCATTTGGATTATAGACTGCAATGTATGGGTTGGAACGGGAGTTTGTGGTCGTATGGTGGATCGACTATGTGGAACAGGAGCTACCCCAGGGAAGAAGTTCAAGTTTGTGCATCATCTTCCTGTGGCTGTGGATGTCACTGGCGAAAACAACCTCAAACACGAGCGTCGAGCACTCCTAGATGCTCGTCCCGATGCTACCAATCCCCAATCTGAACAGCCCGAGTGGTCATCTCGTCGACCGGAAGACGGATTGACAAGCATACTCCCAACAGGCGGTGGTCGCCTTGAGGAATTGTTTCTCTCCTCGTCGCATGCTAAAATGTACACGGCTATCAACACGGTTCTGATTGCACCCTGTATTGTGGGCAAGTCAAATATGTTCCGCCGCTCCCACCTAAACTACCTCACGACCCCGTCGCCGAAAGATCCTGTGTTCCGCCACCCTGGAGTCGACTTTTTTCAGACAATATCTGCGAGGATCACTTAATCGGCGACCTTCTTTGGCGGAAGAAAGTCCGCGAGGAGAAAGACTTGGGTGAGCACTGGGGCAAGCATGCTATGGTCTTTGGGGATCTTGCTATCCAGCCTGTCGCCAACATGAGTGCGCGAGGCTATATCGCCCGTCGAGTACGTTGGCTTCGTGTCCGAAAGTTCACCGTTCTCCTTGCAACGCTTGTGGAGCCCGGCACTGAGTCTTTTGTCTGTTCCATCTACGGTGCCTGGGGCATCACCACTGCACTGGCGCCATACCTCGAACAAAAAGGCTTTTCGTACGCATCCGCCTTGTCAACATGGGCATCTTTCTTCGCCTTTTTTGCAGTAAGCATTGCACTCTGGATCCTTGTTGACTGGACTCTATACATCAAACTGCATTCTGCCAAGGCCATTGAGGTAGATGATAACACCCCAGCCTTTGCGCAACCGGTCCGTAGCTCTTCTAGAGCCACCCGCCGGTCTTTCTTATCATGGTTTGCTGCGTGGCTGGGTCGAGAATTGCTCGCCCTTCCGATTTGGATTCTGGCCGTCTACGGTGGCGTCACTGTTGTCTGGAGGGACCGTCGCTTCAAGGTTGGGTTTGATGCGAAAGTCCGAGAAATCGACCCTGATAAAACGATGCCTTCGGAAGGCTCGTATTCTACCGGATCCGTTGTGGACTGGTTCCCAATATCACCACAGCAGAGCAGTGATGGGCGGACGGGAAAAGTCCGCTGTGATTGAGATGCTGATACTCATCTCACCTGTATACAAAAAGTATCAACCGGTATGTGCTGTATATTAGATCAAGCGATATAGAGTTCTCAAACGACATGCATCTAGACTTAGCCAACGGAAATATCAAAACTGTCTCTCGGGTACCAATGATAACTTTACGATTCTCGTTTTCTGATACCAGATATACTCGAACATAAGAATCGTGTTGCTTTTGTCTATAAAAATTTAATCCTTTTCACGTTTATCGTCCCACATAGTAGTCTCACGCCGACCCCTCGCCCTCGGTAGCACTACTTTCCAACGCAGCCGCTTTCTCCGAGCTGAGCAGCCACTCAACCACTTGTCTGCCTGCAGACATTTCCCCGGCAGGCTGCTGTTCGCCCTCACCCTGGCCCTCGGGCTCGCCAACAGTCATCTCAATCTCTTGGGTCTCATCCTCGTTCTCATCAACCTCTTCTGCAGAGGCAGACCAGGCAGCGCGCTCAGCCAAGAACACGGCATCGTGGCCCGCATCATTTTTGATGGTAACATCAGCGCCGGCCTCGACGAGTGCCTTGACACATTCCAAGTGCGTGTTGAGCGCAGCCCAATGCAGCGGTGTGTTGCCGGAGTGGTTGCGGTGGTTGACGAACGCCGTACGCAGAGCAGCGTCTGCGGTAGAGAGTTTTTGAAGCAGGAAGTTCAGGATTTCTAGACCCTGTTAGCTGTGCACGCAAACACTTGCTCATGTGTGTATGAAATGACGCAAAATTGAGATTTTGGAGGAATGGAAACATACCGCTGTTGCCATTCGCAGCAGGGAAGTGGAGCACACAAGAGCCGGTGCCGCCTTCGCTCTCATCTTCCATGTCGATGGCAGATGCAACGATCCTATCCTCAGAGCAGCTGTGTTGGGCAGCCAAGCTGGTAATGTCGGTAGTCAGAGCCTCGAGATCTCCGGCTCGGGAGTCGTAGATGAGGTCGTCAATGGCATCGGCGGAGAGCGCAATAGGCACTGCCGGCTTGGACGTCTGGGTGGGGGGAGACATGTTATGCACCCCGAGAGATCTGAAAATGGGAGTTTCTAGTGAGATCTGAGCTCTTGTGGCAAGATATCTGTCTTTTTCCACGCGAATTGGTGGTAGTGGGCCTTATTTTATGGCCGCACAGAATTTGATATGCCTAGCGGGGTGGTTAGCGAAGGACTCCAAATATAATATAACAACAAAAAATCTCCCGCAAAAAATTAGCAAGATACAAAGTCCGATCTCGACTATGTGCGGTCTTCAAATCTCGAATATGCAGCTAGGATAGGTAATTTTTTTAAGTGCAGTAGGCCGATAAGCGCATCGATCGAATGGAATTTTAGCCGGCCAGATTGACGGCGCAGCCCCGGATCGTTGTGGCCCTCTAGCATGTATAGACAATAGGTGCATTCAACTCAACAGCATTTCCTACCTCTGTGTTTGTTTCTGGTCGTGTAGATCCTGGTGACTGCAAAACCAACTGTCGCCGAAGAAACTTTGATATCGCGGGTCACATGACTGGATGGTGGGGTCGTCGATGAGATCAGACATGTCTATTCCTCCCTACACTTTCTAGAGTAGATAATTGCGAAGATGGACTTCAGACCAATACAAGCTCGGAAAGCATCAAAGACAATATGACCAGGTTCTGGGATCAAGCTGCATAGCTAGCGCTTTATGTGAAGATAATAGTACAGCTGGTGCTCGACAAAGGGCGTCTGATATCAGTAGCGCGCAGGTGCCTCTATGCACATAAAGAAGAATAAAAAAGAAAGGAAAAACGATGTGAAAGAGAAGCCCAGGAAGAAAAATGAGCCACGAACGCCCCATAGTCCCACACCCCGTGTGAGTGGTATCTCAAAAGTCCCAAGATGCAAATGATGTCCCAGTATGCGACAGAAGGAGAGGATGCCTGAGCAGGTTTGGACCAGACGAATAGAATCCCTGTCCAGGGCCATCTAATCCCGCAGCCACGCCCTGCGTTTCTCTTCCTTCTTCTCTCGACGCTTCTCCTTGAACATCTTCAGTTCTTTCTTGCTTAGCTTCTTTGCGCTCCGCTCCGCACGAAGACTCCGACCGTCATGGCTATTCGCTGCGGCATCGACATCGAAAAAAGCATTCATCTGTCGACGAGACTTATTCTCGTCATTATAGTTTTCGGGATTGATCGACTCGGCCTGCCAACGGCCGGTAAACCGGTTGAACGCGCCGGAGGCGCTGTACGCAGCCGCTGGGTCAGCAGACGCGTCCGCATCTGGCGCTTGTTCCTCGTATTGCTGGGCATACGGAGCGGTCGGGTCATAGTCGCCGTGGATCGCAGGGTTGTAGCCTCCAAGCACAGGTTCCTTTTTCTGCGGAGTTTCTTGGTTGCGGGCGTCGCCGTCTGTGCCAGGAGCTGTGGCGGATGCATCTGGAACACGAGGGTTCTCCCACTGAGACATCTTAGTGAAGCGGTTGTAAAAGTAGTATGCCTGAGCATTCCCATCCCACACGGGCTCCCATCCATCGTCCTCCGAGGGGCCTGGCGGAGCTTCGTCAGGGAGTGGTGGAGGGACCTCGTCCGGGAGAGGCGGCGCAGTGGCGGCGGTTCGCTCGTCGTCATCTTCCGGTTGTCGCTCTTCTCCTCCTTCCTTCTGAGCTTTCTCTTCCTGCTCTTGGCTTTCTCGGCTTTCGTGTTTGTGGTCTCTGGTCTCTGTCCTGGCTTCTTCCGTCTCTGCGGCGCCAGTCTGCGACGATCCCTCGGGCGAAGAATCCGGACGCTCTTCCTGGGAAGCCACAGGGGCCTGTGGCAGATCAGACATCTTGAGAGTTAGTACTGTGTTTCCCAACCGAGTCTCTTGTCCAGGATCGGTAAGAGGTAATGCACTAGCTCATCGGCGCATAGGACTCGAGGAGAATCTGTGAGTCGCTGGGACAGCTTGGCCTCACCGCCCTAGTCCCAAAGAAGCTTGGTGTTGTTTGGTTGGCACAGCTTCAGAGCCCCGTCAAGATGAAAGTACATCGAGTGCGGAGGGAATCTACATAGAATGTCTTTGTTGGTATTTTTAAGTATCAAGAATGGTGAGATCGTGAATAATGATTCTGGACGGCCTTCATTCAAGCTCCAGCATGTAAGCACCCGTACAAAGAATTTGGCAAGTCGGTTCATCACTTTATTTTCCAAGTTCAAATCCCAAATTTGTCACCTTCAGCTCTTTCATAGATTGAATGTTTACCAGCTATAGGATATATCTCTTTCTATTATACCTTCTTCTCATATTTGTCAATTACTCGGTCTTTGGGGCTAAGAATGATAAACTCTGCCAGGATTTTATAGAATTGTCCTTCCCCCTTCCTTCATTGGGTTCATAGAATCATGGAACGAAGGACCAACATAGCTTTCATTATTGTCAGCAGCAAGTATTTGATAAACACGATATATATTAAACCAATGTATATGAAGAACTCCCAGATTCGATGTTAGCGTGTAGATGTTGTCGCTAATATTGGTGGTCAGTGCGGTGTTTACTCTCTGCGTCCTGCGGAATCCCTGAAGAGTCTCAAGAAACAAGCTTTAACCTCATGCCTTGTATTCATTTATCTTTCTGTAATGAGTTCCCCCTCTTTCTTTCTTCTGAATCTCACTACCCTCAGAACTACTATCTTCGTATATCCATCATGGGAGCATGTTTACGTCTCAAGTATAATTGATCATCAAAATCTTGCGTCTCATTCGCCATTCAATCATAAATTGCCTTTTCTCCGGGATTCAACAAGATATGCCCTAACTTGGAGTCAATTTATCACCAAAATATGACAAGTATTGGCTGACACAGCCCCCAAAGCTGTCGCAAAAGAGCGGCGCGAGTCCCTTGCCGCAGTTGACCGCAAGGTCGATGCCCTGGCTAGACAGATCAAGAAGAGCCAAAACTTCATCGTCTCAACTTACGAAAGTGAAATCTATGGCCACTGTACAGGTCACAAGTGCTCTTTCTGTGGAGAGCCTTAAATTGATAGTGTCATGGATTTTGGAGGAAATATTCTTAGGCAGAGTCGGGACTTCCCCTAAGGAGACGCGGGACTCGCGAATTATTGCCTCGTTATAGGGTTCTCGGTAAACTTCACCCCTGCCGATATAATTCCAATCTGAGGAAAGGTGCGAAGCTCGCCATGTGCAATCTACAGCACATGTGTATGAGCTTGCTCACCCTCGGGTATTTGCAGAGACAGATATGTTAATGACCAAAATTATGGGGGGGGGGGGGGGATATAATCATCCCTTCACTCATCTTAGGACTACACTTAATCGTCAAGGTGAAGAAGACTCAGGAGGCGGAGAGACACAAGGTCAAGGTCACCGGAGCTGACAGCCACGGGACACCAATTATTTTTCTCCGGTCTGTTCGGCTCGAAGATAGTAGACAATTGGATTGTGCGAAACCGTGCATTATTGCCTATCAGATGACTTCGAAACCAATGGCATGGCAAGTAATTTGGATGTGCATTATTAGCTCCATAGATAACTCCTGCTGACCAGTGTCAATGCCAGAAGAAGACTATGTCATCATTAGTCAGTGACCGAAAGAAAGCATCAGGAAGCAGAGAGCTGAATTGGCCAATAGTAAGAGATTCGAGAGCCGGGAAAATGTTCTAAGGGCCAGCACATGGCACTCATGGGACGTGTTGGAATGTAAACCATCGGGCTATTCTTGAGAAGAATGTATGAAATAGGTATCTGATCTGCACGACCAAACAATGCAAAATTAGTTCTGGGGTGTGGCATTGTGCGTTCGACCGCGACTTGCTTTCCAGAACAGCTCGACTGCGAATGACGATACAGACCCAATGCACAAGATAAAACATTGCAACCATAACAAAAATTGAGTTTCTAGAAAATTTGATTTTGTAGTTAAGTTTAATAGAAAGATTCTGTCTATATGTTGTAGTTCTACTTGCACAAGTACCAATAATTGTGGGAGACAATACTCGAATATATATATCAACACGATTTGGTGGTTCACCGAGATATACGCATCTATCAATGCACCACTTACGCACAGAAAATAAATGTATCAATATATAAAATAAAGCAATTGTGTCCCAAAAGGACTTTTTGTGTGTTTTGTTCTCAAAGAAAATATTATTATTGATCAATGGACAATATAGAGGTACTAATATGAATTCTATCCGGTTGAGGTCATGTATAGTAGTGAGCTTACTGGACATTTAGTCATAAGCTCAAATAGGCTTACAACACAATTGAATATGCTCGGCTACGATGTAACTTAATATATCACATATAATCTCATAGGGTCATCTGTAAATTAAAGTAATACCCTCTACCGGAAGGTGATTTGTCTATACAAGGAGTAGCTTTTGTTGGGTCGAATCCTGGATCATAGAGATATAATCAGATACAGAGGTCTCATTGCTGATAACTGAGAGATCCAATACTGTCACAAAAAAATCAGTTGAGTCATCGATCTAGCCATCACCAACAACAAGGTCGCATATTTTGCGCAGGTGATTCTGGGTATTGAAATGTGATATGCATGGTTCTAGATTATTTGCATTCTAGATCATTCCGGCAAAAAGCCTAGAAGGAGTTCTTGAAGATGCGTAATAATTACTGAGAGGCCTATGCAAGATTTTTGGGATGGAAGATGGTATAGGGATGACGAGACAGGAAGGGAAAGGGGGCTCGGATTGCTTGGCCAGTAGAACAAGGGGATGAAATAGAGCGGCGAGGGCAAATCCCTACAGTATAATGGTGAGGAGACACCGAAAGCACGCACTACTATTGTAGGTATGGATACTAGGCAGATCAATGCCCATAGCTAGCCCTACTTTAGGGCATGGGTTCTAGGACTAGATTCACATAATCCGATCGTGGAGCATAACGGGAGCTTTTTCCATGAGAAGGAATATGATCCCACAGCATTGCGATGTCCAATTCTTTCTCGTGCCCCAGGGGCGCAAAACAATGAAGGGCGTCTTTCCGGAGGGCTCCCTATGGACTGGCTCCGCTTAGTGGCTAGCAGACGCAATCCCTTGCATTTAATCTCCCATACGTCACGAACTCCACCGTCTTGAGGGAAGACCATAGCCCTTGGTGCGCCTAGGACAGTCTCTGCTATGGACTTTGTTTTTGTCGCAGGTCGGCTACATGCCTTAGTGCCCGCACCGCTGCAGGGCAAGGGCCCATGACTGCAGCATCGAGAGCATTCGGGGCCATTCGGGCTCCAAGTGGAGCGGTGTTTAGGTCAGGAACAGAAGGCCTCGAGACCCACTGCAATTGAAGTATGATCTTTAGGCTTGGTTTAGAGTGGGCGAGAGGTTGCATCTCATCGTCAAAACGTGACTATGATAAACATCGACACGCTGCAATGTAGCCAGTATAGCCTACAGCGATATCACCACCGGGATAATAGTATGAACTCATGCTGATAGTTTCTTCATCTCCCATGCTGATAGTTTTCTAGTCTTCCATCACAGTCAGTCCATGGGCCGGGTCCAATCGATCGGCATCAAATATGAACCATCGGAGATCGCAGTTGGACGGCCGGATGAGTGCTGGTGGGCCTGCCAGACAGGGTTTCTCTTCACGAGTCAGGAATGCCAGGGCGATTCAGTCGCGTGCAGTTCACCAGAGCTGTCCATCACGACCCTGGTAGATCCATACCAGGAGGCCTGGGAGGGAGCGTTCTTTGGCCCACCGCGCCCTAGGAAGTGGAGTGATCCCCCCCTTCGCTTTCCCTGTAGGTCGCATTCCGGGGAGAGGGAGGGGAGATTACAGTGCAACAGGACGAAACAAACAAGTGATGATGCTGGTGAATGGTGGATCAAGGTCGACTCTCAGACCGCCAGGGGAGATGTATAAAAGAGTGTCTGCTCATCGTCCTAATCTTCTCTTCATCATCACTCTCTTTAAGCCTTTCATTCGAAGTACAGTCTTCTACTTCTCTCTACTTTCTCTCCGAGACCTTCTCGTTCAAGTCCAACCCCACAGACACAATGAAGTTCACTCTGTCCGCTGTTCTCGGCCTCGCTGCCACCGTCGCTGCCCTGCCTCCCGTCGGCCCCTCCGCTGGTGGTGTTGGCAACGCCAACGGCGTCAACAACAAGGGCAACACCGATGTCCGCTTCCCTGTCCCTGACAACATGACTGTCAAGCAGGCTCAGGCCAAGTGCGGTGACCAGGCTCAGCTTTCTTGCTGCAACAAGGCCACCTACGCCGGTGACACCACCGATGTCAACTCCGGCATGCTCGGCGGCACCCTCAGCAACCTGATCGGTGCTGGCTCCGGTGCTGACGGCCTGGGTCTCTTCGACCAGTGCTCCAAGCTGGATCTCCAGATCCCCATCCTCATTGCCATCCCCATCCAGGATCTGGTCAACCAGAAGTGCAAGCAGAACATTGCCTGCTGCCAGAACTCTCCCTCCAGCGCCGTAAGTGCCCATATGAGACCTACCCAATTATCGATTCATGCTAACAAACACAGAACTCGGACCTGGTCGGTGTTGGCCTCCCCTGCGTTGCCCTCGGCTCCATTCTCTAAACGTTCTACTATGTTTTCTTGGCATTTTGCGAGAAGCACTGGTCACCACGTCGGCTTGTCTGAGACCCTTTCGGGTTCTCGCGGGTATGGACATGAACGCAAGCGCGGATTGTTATCGGTTCTCGGGGATGGAAGACAGGCGTCTCTGGCAATTGTTTTGAATAGTTGAACGAGCTGTTATTTCTCGTTGCCCGTGTATCATTAATTGTGTCGTGTGGCACCTCTCGGAGAAAGAAGACTGTTTTTGCTTTTACGTTGATGTTTTTGGCTGGTTACTCTTGCTTCTTGTTATGATGCACTGGAACCATAGGTCAGCTGCTGTCTGGCCTTGGATTCTTTCGCATAAATATGTTTAATGCATTTAGATTTTGCCTTACTATTTTCCTTTCTTAGCTTGTAGAACCTTATTGCTCTAGGCACCAGAGCAGTTTGTTGCGACTCTGTTACTCCGCCCTTGAAAATTAGATGTGTGTCGTTTAGAATAAAACATTGTATATCGTCACCCAGGGAATGGAGGTTTTTTATTCAAGAAAAAAAAACCACTTTTTTGGGTCAATACATGGACAAGTTGGATGTCGTGGAAAATTTCAACAGCTTCTGTTGCTTACATTGCTTAATATGCATATGTACATGAAACTTTCTATATCGCTTGTAAAAATCAATCCATTTACCATAGTCCCCCACGTCCCTGTCCATTCCAAAAGGTCAATTTGTCTTTTTCATTACTCAAACCGTTTGCTTCAAGCCACTTCTCTTCTCTTTTTTCATCAGCCCTAACGTCTTCTCCCGATACACTCGCCCCATCAAGCCACTTCGGCGAGTGGGGGTTGCGCAACGTTCTCAACGATGGTGGTGACTTAGAGCTCCTCAGCGAGCGCCGTTTAAGCAGACTGGCCATAGACCTTCGTATCCTCGACATCGACTTTGTATTTTCCGTCGGGAGATCTTGTTCAATCTTTTGCCTTTTCCCCTCCCGGCTCTTTTTGGGCTGACTACCGATACTCTTTTTCCGCTTCATATCATCACCCGTATCAATAGGATCCCCCAATGTCTTCGCCGGTGTATCAAACGGCGACTGTATCGTGTCGAGCTTGAGAACCGGGTATTCAGGCATGGACAATGCCCTGATGGCGCGGCTTGTGGCCGGGTCCAGCGTATCGACCTCGTCAAAGAGGGTGTGGATATTCAATTCGAATGGGTTCAGCTGTTTCTGGTGAGCCGGGGACTCGGTCGGGACAACAGGTTCCTGAGAGGAGTGGTGGACTGCCGTCGAGACCGATGCGATGCTCTCTGCTGGAGCAAGGGACGCCGATTGGGAGGTAGTTTTGATCAAATCATTCACATCATCGTCGAGACGTTGTGGTTTCGCATTGGACAATCTCCGCGAGAGCCTGTTGTCTCGCACGCAGCGGGCTACAGATGCAATGAAACCCATGATCTAGACAGCTGGTGTAATTGGTGATTGATTCAGTGGTGTCCTGTGGGTAGTGGGTGGTGGGGATGTATAGTTGATAAACCAAGTCTGGGGCGTTGGATCTGGGGCAAGGGGGATCCTGAGTGGAACTGCATTTTACATCTGCACCCTATGTATGTTATGTACGTTCTGCTCGCGGTGTGATTTGAATTATAACGCTACTAACTAGGCCTATGCAGATATTGATAATAAGGTCTGGGCTAGTGCCTGCAGTGTGATGGTCGATCTTTGAGATGAAGAAACTATCACGAGGGAGGGTTGGAGTACAACTCATGGCTGGACAGACTATTTCTGTGCCTTTATCTACTTTATCAGAATCCCAATCTGCGTTTCCAGCTTTCAAATCGAAAAACTCGAATTGAAAACTGCTTTATTTGCAGGATTTACCTGCAAGCAGACCAGATGCGCCACGACGAGTCACCAATGCATATTGGGCTTTCAAGGGAGAAAAGTTGCAGAAGTTTTGATTACTACCAATCGCAAGCGTGCAGTTTTCTAGCACAAATCTGTGAGGCCGGTCAAAACAAGTCCAATGGGGAAGACCCGGCCTGGTACATTCTCCAGAAGATCCTCAAGGGTGCATGCAAGGATGTCCCCGCTCCCCCTTAGGGTTTGACACGAACTAAAGTCAAGGATCTCACACCATGTATCCTGTGCGAGAACTCGATATTCAGTATCAATGGTATGTGTAAAACCTGCTGGCGACACTTAGGATATTTCGTTGAGGTTGGAAATACTGGACCTCGGAATGTCTGGGGGGGATCTCCAGCCGCACAGTAGAATTACGGTGCGTCTAAACCCAAAGCTGGAGAATGCAGCTCCGAGAATGCCGCGCACTGACCAGCCCAAGCCACCAAATGAAAATCGCCAGGAATCTTCTGAAAATCGGTGTTGATCCCCGCGCAGACATTACCGGGAACCTAAAGAAGATAGCCGGGCTTTCTGAGGTAAAGGAAGCTAGTATATTTGGTTGTTGGGGGAGATTGGTAGGAAAATAAAAATTGCATGGTAGCTAAGTACAGTGTCAACAGAGACGAGTCGTGATGCTAGAGATTGCAGATAGTTGCATATGGCGGTCAATACGATGTTCTACTATGCGCTCTATTGCATCTTTAAACCATAAGGAATCATCAGAAAATAACCAAAGATTGAGACCGTTCCCCCGATCAAATCGCCTCACAGCTTGCTGGCAGGAGCCGGGGTGTATAGAGACTGGGTCCTGTTCATGGCCTCCAGGGCCTCTTTCTCAATGCGGTCAAGCAAGACCTTGCAAGTCGGGATATCGTGAATCAGACCAATGACCTGGCCAGCAGTCCATACCTATTAGGTGATAGTCAGAACCAGCGTTCCAAAGATGAGCGGCACAGGGGAATAACTTACACCATAGTCAGGGTCGCCGTTCAGGAAGACCTGACGACCACGCTTGCCACTCACGTAAGGGCCAACTTCGCTAAAGTCACCAGTTGTGCTCTCTTTTTCGATCTTCAATGCTTCCTGGGTAACCTTGTTGGCAAACAGGCGGGAGGTGTTCTTCCACCGGCGCAGAACCAGGGCCGTGTCGGTCTCCTGGGCGTTGACGATGGTCTCCTTGATCTTCTGGTGAATGGGAGCTTCGACGGTACTCATGAATCGAGTTCCCATGTTGATACCCTCAGCACCAAGAGCCAGCGCCGCGGCCAGACCCTGACCGTCCGCGAAGCCTCCAGAAGCAATGAAGGGCACACCAAGGTCCTGGCGCGCACGGCTCAAGAGAATGAAGTTAGTGATGTCGTGCTCGCCGACATGGCCGGCACATTCGAATCCATCGATGGACAGGAAATCCACGCCTAGCTTCACGGCGGACTTGGCGTGGCGGATGGTGGTGCACTTGTGGAGAATGATGATGCCGGCCTTCTTCAGCTGTTTGATAACCGGGCCCGGGTTATTGCCGGCGGTCTCGACGATCTTGATACCTTCATCGATAATGACTTGGGCGTATGCGCCATAGTCGGGAGGCACCATCGCGGGAAGGAGGGTCAAGTTGACACCGAAGGGGTATTTGGTCATTTCGCGGCATCGTCGGATTTCCTTGCGCAGGTCTTCGGGGGTTGGTTGAGTGAGAGCAGTGAGCTAGATCCCAGACGATTAGAGGTTCGTAGTGATTCAGCCGGGGGAACAGCACTTGTGAAAGCTGGTACGTACCAGACCCAGGCCACCGGCGTTGCTGACGGCCGAGGCCAGCTCGGCGTATCCCACCCACTGCATTCCACCCTGCACGACGGGCACTGTTACCAGGCAGTGTCAGAGCATGAAGCATATACATCTCAGTATCTAGCCTTGACTTACCACGAATGCCCAGCTTGCGGGTCAAGGCAGTGTTGAAAGGCATCCTGGTGGAGGGCGGAAGGGGTTATGGCGGAGGCTGAAAGAGAAACGGTGCTGCGGTGGGGTGATTTATATGCGGAAGACACAGAACAGAAGCACGAAGGCGACGAAGGTATATAATGAAAGGGGAAACCAAAGCCAAGGCGTGCCGGGCAACTTGGGCCCAGGTGATTATAAAAAGCACCGAGCAACCCCATCTTGCCGCGGACCTCTGCTGTGGGGAAAGTCTGGAGTTGCCGAGGTTCGGCCACAACGGCCAGGCATCTTTGAGCAAGGTTAAGTCGATTAGTCGATTAGTCGATTAACTCGTTGCCGGACGAATGATACGCCTAGGCGGCGATCGGGGCCCGAGCAATGCTCAATGTTCAATAACACTTCATGAGAATCTATTAAACGACAGACACTTCCTTTTGAAGGAAGCGGTCGCCCTTCGAGGGGGTTCACTCGCCAGTTGACCAGTTGACCAGGGCTACCCGCATGTGATGGCCTCTCGGCGTATTAAGCACTTCGTTTTCCCACGCCAAACATCTCCAAACATGTAGGGACTGTTCGCGGACTCTCCACTCGATCTCCTGTAGAAGATATACCATGTCCTCCGCGCAGTTATAGTTGAAGATACTGTCGGTCGGATACATACAACTCTGCGCCAGTATAGACAGGAGAGAAGGTAAAGAGCACTCACAAAACTGCTCGGGGAAGCTCTGGAGCTCGCTCTTGTCTACGAAGATAACTTCCACCGGGCGCAAGTGATGGTGGGCGATTGGAAGGCCACGACTACAAGTAAACCTCCGGAGCTGGTATCCAATACCAAGATCCACGATAGTCCACGCTACGGGGTGTGTGAAATGATATGTAACCCTGATATGAAACCCATCCGGCTCATGGGAAGAGACAAATGGGCGATTAACGACGGGAGTCTCCTTCTGCGAGTCTCGAGGTCCCTCGGTGATCGCGACAGAATGCCGAAATCAGAGGGTGCTAAACACGTCAACTTCATCCCAGGTCACTCCGAGAGTAAACCCGGTACATCGACGCGAGCAGAGACTCGTGAAGGAAAAGAAGAAGCTCCCGCAACGATGGGAAACAAAAGCGCTGTGGGAACAAGCGAGACATGGTCATGTGACATTTCGAAACGTGACCCGAGACCCCGGGAAGAAGGATCTTCCGGGTGTAATCGCAGAGGCCGCCATTGGCTCCCGGCCGGCAATCCCGTGATGACTGGGAACCCGAGGTTGTCCGTTCCGATTGCTCGCGACGGGATTCTTCTCTTCAACATCGATCAAGAACTCGACGGCGACGACGACATCATGTTCTCCCAGAAGGTCGCTCAACAATCTATGCGGCGGCGTACGTTTCTTCCTGCTCATCCCGTTCCAAAATGTCAATCGCGCTGACAATCCGTTCCGGTACACAGTTGCCGTCCAGCAGCCGCTCGCCAAGCAGTGGTCGATGATGCGCGCCTCCCCGGCCGCCGTTGCCCTTGGTCAGGGTTTCCAGAAGAGGTCAGTCTCTCTCAATTGGGGTGGCCATCTTATAAACACCATAGCTGTCCGCCGCCTGAACACCTCACGATCCTATACGTCACCCGCAATTGCCGCTCAACCGAAACTAACCTTCCAATCCCCCTCCTGATATAGAGCCGTTACCTCTTCTCCGAACACTGAGGACCCCCATCAGATCCTGGTGAAGCAGCGTCTTAACCGCCCGGTCTCTCCTCACCTTGCCATCTACCGCCCCCAGATCGGCTGGATTGGCTCCTCCCTGCACCGTATCACCGGTGTCGCCCTCTCCGGCACCCTCTATCTGTGGGCCACCGCTTACCTCGCATCTCCCACCCTCGGATGGCACCTGGAGTCCGCTTCCATGGTTGCTGCCATGGCTGCACTCCCCATTGCCGCCAAGGTTGCGCTGAAGGCTACTCTGGCCCTGCCCTTTACCTATCACTGCATGAACGGCGTGCGCCACCTGACCTGGGATCTGGGCCGTGGCCTGAGCAACTCCGCCATCATCAAGTCCGGCTGGACTGTGATTGGCCTCAGCGTCACCAGCGCCCTCGCTCTTGCTTTCCTGTGATTTTACCCGCATACCTCCTGAGTTTTTGCTCCCTTGTGTTATTAAAGTGATTTTGGTCGAACAATCTACACATGAAACCCGGTCCAGTGGCGTGAGCTGAAAAGGCGCAGTTTCTTCGTCCTTCTACCTTTTACTTTGTTTATCTATTTTCTTACACTGTGTCTCGATCCTCATCCTAGGTGGGACAGTAGTCTGGGTGTATCTTCGCCAACGCTGCCACAACCAGGGGTAAAGATTGCCTCTACCTCCCTCTTTTGGAGAACTCGCTGTTTTCATTAAAAAAAGACTCCTGATAACTGTTAAAATCAAATGCACATCTCTGAAAGAAAATTCTTGGAGCGCGAGTAGTAGTCTGTCGCCATTCAACTTTCAATCTAGGTAATTCCAGTCCGAAAAAAAAACAAATAGATTTGAGAACCCTTATAACTCCAAAAGCCCGGCCCAGTCCTGTCCAGTCCAGCTCCAATGTTGAACATCCAAAATACTCTCTCCCCTTGGGTCCTTGGTTACCACAATCGAAATGATAGATGCGAATGAGGACCACAGCGACAGGGGATATCAAAATGTGAGCTTTTCTAACCATGCCTCAATAGATTGCTGGCTCACCAGCAATTGGGTGTTTTGGAATGGTTTCTGTATCATGTTAGAACGGATACTCTTCGTGATAAGTCAGCGAGGACGCTACAGGTTCGTGAGACTTACTTCGCTTGCTTTTTCTCAACGCCAGAAAAGAAAATTCGACCACGACCATCCAATGCATTTAAGCCGGGCTTGGAGGTGGATTCAGGGGCAATGGCCGTGGAGAAGGAGGATCCTGCACCGAATGATCACTGGCAGGCATTCCCCCAGGGCAGATACAAGCGACGTGAATTGACGATGAGCAGGTGGCTCCGTGGCCAGAAGGAGTAATATAAATAGTAAAGCGGGCCATCCTTTTGTATTTTGGAACGAGCGAATAGAAATAAAGATATCAAGCGAAAGATTTAATTAGATGAAGAAATTGGATCGAAGTCTTGTACTGTTTGAGAATAGTCTGTTTGAGTGAGAGACAGCAGGATACGAACAAACAGTGCCAGCAAATGGGAGAGTAAGCTCAAAAGTGGGATGGAAAAGAAAGAGGGAGACAGTTCATCCAAGCCAGTCGAGACCTTCCATTTAATAGTTCTTGGAAACTTGCTGCAGAGCAATCGGAGTCTTTGGAGACTCGCTCACACCAAGTCGTACACCGCCATCCTGTCGGACATCCCAATCACGAGCAGCACGGAGGCTGTTTGGAAAACTTGACATGACACTAAACCTTGCACTGTCAACAGGTCATGAGTGGATGTGGCTTTCCAAACGCTGAGTCTGAGAATTTGTTCTCGGCAAATGGTCCTGCAAGGGCCCGATGGAAAGGACTTGATGTATAAATCGTTGGACGGAGCCGTCACACCCGCCACTTCGAGCACCTCCTGGGCACCATCGCCGCAGTTGTGCTCCATACCTGCAAATGCTGTTCTAAGGGACTAAAAAGAAGAGAAGACCATCAAGATCTTTCCTGTAAAGCTCGGCTTTATTGGCCAATCGAGTGACGGAGAATACACAACCTAGCTTCTTTTCTTTTTGCGCTCGACCCTGGGGCTGATGATCCTTTTCCCAGACCATTTTTTCCCGAGAGGCTGCAGATTCCAGTAAAGTGACACCAGCGGTCTGAAATGTCAGCTTCCGGCTTCCTGCAGCGATCATCTTCGTCGCAGTGGGAGGCTCAGTAGGTCTTGTGGCCGCCAGGACGCTTGTGGGATACCTTCCGCGGCGGCTACTAACCGCAAGACCTCGCCATTCGAGAGTGGAACAGATAATGTTGGACAAATTCGCTATTACTAGATGATTAATAGACGATTTGAGCCATTTGAAAATGAACTTTAGCGCATCGATATATATATATATATATATATGTCATCGATGGTGTAGCTTGCAGGCGTTTATTTCTGCTCAGCTCATACTGGATGAAAAGTTAATAGATAGATAGCGATGGCTTCTCCCATTTAATCATGTATTATCGAGTTTTCTCATCATAATGTTACACAATGATCCCCCTTCAAGATAGAATTATAAAATCTGTTAGGATAACTGTTCCTACAAGAACCAATCGGGACAGACAGGGGATATGCCCGGCGCGAGGGGAGGAAAGTATAGTTGAAGACACAAACAACGCCAGAGCTCGGCACACGTGGATATACATTCTGTGCTTTCCGCCGTGCAACAAACCAAATATGTTACCTTAACCAGAGAGAGAGAAAAAAAAGGGAGCTTTCCGGGTACTACAGAACACAACAGGGCCGTTTTTCTGCAGCGGGAGACAAGGGGGCGCTTCGAGCCAACCATTATGCCTCGACCGGCTCCACGGCTGCCAATATCCGTGCCAGCGACATCAAGCAGTCTCATAATCGGCCGTGCTCCGCATTAGTCGATCTTGTTCAACTGGCCGTCGCAGCTCGGCCGAAGCCTTGGGGGAATGTCATCCCGCTTTCGTGCAGGGTTTTATGGGAAGCCCTCCCACTCATCGAAGGCCGCCGAATATTCTCCTGAACTTTCGCCTCAGAGGGCCATCTAGAACCCTACTACTTTCAGATCTTGTGTCATCTCTTGGCAGCGGTTAGAGACCTGAGCGCCTGGTGGTTGGGCCGCGCTTGGACCTTAGACACCGCTTGCGCCACTCCAGGGTAGCTTTGTATTGCCTGTGCTATCCAGTCAAAGTGCCGGACAAGGTTACCTGACAGTGGTCTCGGACCTTTGCGATGAGGGGTTGAAGAAACATAGAGTTGCCTGGACAGGCTTGTTGTATAGTCATGTTGTCCAGAGAGGATGTTGTTAGACATATGACAAGGCACAGTCTGGTTTTTCCCGGATGCTAGCCCTGGTAAGAGATATTGTGAGTCAGTCCCAAGCGAAGGGAGCATGCAGCGTTGGATTCTATACTCGTCAACTGTTGAAATATCAAATCAATCGTACAGGACCACTGCAGATTGTGTAGAGAAGAGACTCCAGGGGCCCCCAGATGCAACGAGCAATCGACTGCATTCATCATGGGCACATTCGAACAGCGGTATGTGGAATCAGAAATTTCTGATCAATCATTTATTCTCGTGAATACTTGACCGCTAGAGGTACCTCAGCAAGCCATGCCGAGCGAATGTGAGTCATTATACAAAACGATTATACATGCACCTGAAGCATGAGAAAGTTCCGGATCTTCATCAAATATCCACAGCCAATGGTGAGAAAGAAATATTGTGCTCTCCCCATCCAAATACTAGATAAGTCAATTGATTATTCCAGAGTTGACACTGTCCAGGGCAACCGACAGCACAAAAAGAGCAGCAGCCATTTAAAACAGCAGCCATTAAACACAGCAGCGGTGAAGACCGCTGACGGATGCACCCCCGTCGGTTTGCATGTCGACCCACGGGCAATCAAAGGTGCAGAGTATTTCCGCTTGGACTCACGACCTCGAAAAGTCGATCTGTGTCAAGTGCAGGGTTGTTTTCTCAGATCGAGAATAGTCCAGTGCTCCCAAAAACATAGTCCTGTCAACAGATCGGGGAAACCAATGCGGCAGTATCACACCGCCGAAGCCGAATTCTTTCCTCACCTCCGGACTGGCACCCGTTTCCGCAGATCAAATTTCCGATCCCCCTCATGGCTTCTAATCTTTCTACTCGAGCGGTCAGGACCGCCTGTGCTGCACCGAAAGTGGCCCCTTTGGCGACTTTGATCCCACGCCGCCCTTTCGCCTCGGCTCCGGACACCCCAACCGCCGAAGCAGACCAACCCCGATGGTCCTACACGCCGCCGCGCGCAAAGGCGCCCTTTAGCCTCCGGCTTCATGCGCAGCGTCCTGCTTTCCACGTTAATTCAGACCCAGCTCTCCTCGACCAATTCTACATCCGTATGCTTGGCAATGACGGTGACAAGGTTCTCTCGGACGAGCTGAAGTGGTTGGCAGTCACCCACAAGAGTTTTGATCAAGGACGCCGTGGATTCAATGACCGCCTGGCCTTCCTAGGTATGCATATAAGCCTATCTGGTTGGTATTCCGGCCACTTATATGGTATATAGGAAAACGCATCGTTCAATTGCAGGCCTCTCTAGCCCTGGTGCAGAGCTCTGGGGCTGCGAGCGCTCCGGCTAAGCAAGATGAACATGGTCGCACGCCGTTCACCCACCCGGCTCTCGATGGCCTACAAAATCTCTCCCGGAGCACTAAGAGCTTCTTGACCGATCGATCGAAGCTTGCGGAACTGGCTCAGAAATACGATATGCCCAAGATCATTCGATGGACTCCGCGCAAGGTTCGATGATGTAGCCCCGGGTTAATATGTATATCTCGTCGTGTCTAATTTGCTGACCTTCTGCTTCTGATTTATAGCCCGATGATCTCAAGACATCCGGTCTTGAACTCGTTTTGTCACACACCATGTATGCGGTTATCGGAGCAATCTCTTTACAAAAGGGCGGAGATGTTGCCAATAAGGTGGCTCAGGAGCGGATACTCGAGCCGCTGGGACTCAAGACGGTTTCATGAACAAGGAAAAACCTGCCGGGCTGACGACTGGACCCTCCGCAGCATTTTCATGGCGTTTGATATATTTCCCGTCAAGACGGGGGGATTGACGAGCGGCTGAACTGGACTGGGCATAACCTTGTTCGATCGCCGCCGATTGTACATGTATTATTATTACTGCTCCCTGTGAGGGCTGTCTCTTTTTCATATTGATGTTGATTGCTTGTTTTTTCTGGCTATCTTTGCAAAATACCACACCTCTGAGAACTTCTCCAGTCAACTCAGGCCTTTCATATAGGCATTAGAACTCGGACATACTCGGACAATCCAAGTCCACTGAATTCCTTCTCGACTCAAATTGAATCAGTCAAAGACTTCAGAAGGGAATGTACGGTTCCTCTGACACCGCCCGCGTAACAGAGCAAAATACACGGCCAGCTCTTATGGAACCCTCTTTACGATGCCTAGTCTTCGCAACTCTGTATCGCAAGTTTAGCAATGGAGAACTGACAACTGGTCCAACAGAATGTTGGTAGCCGCAGAAAGCCACAAGGACTTTATACTGTCTTGCACTGTCTATTGAGAGCGTTGAAGAAAGAAAGAAAATCCGAAGGGAAGAAGCTCGCGAAGAGATTTTTATTTGGCCGCCAGCCACGCTAGTCCGCTTTGGGAAATGCTCCACTCAACTGCGGGCGACTTGTTTCTCGACTTGCTTCGACCGTCGGGCCTGGCTGCTTGCTACTTCCTGCGACGAGTCCCTCTCTTGCTTCGTCAATCATCGCTTCAGCTCTTTTTTCTAATCTTCAATATTCTCGACCGTTTCGCATTGATCATGTTGCAGTAGATTGCAGCATGCGGCTTGTTGTCAAATCGACCTCCCGCCTCCGACCCTGAGACCAGATAATCCACTCTCGACCGCTCCTCTACTCCAACAACCGCCATCTCCCATTGACACGCCATGGCGTCTGCTCTCTTCTTCCTCGACCTGAAGGGCAAGGTGGGTGTAACCGATAGCGCGAATTGGCCAGACGACGCAACCTCCCCATGCGGCCACCACCCATTGTATGCGGGGGACACCGCTGACACGCCGTACAGACCCTTCTGGCCCGTAATTATCGCGGAGACATCCCTATGTCCGCCGTCGAGAAGTTCCCTATCCTACTGAGCGAAGCAGAAGAAGAATCATCAGCTGTGCCTCCTTGTTTCTCCCACGAGGGAATTAACGTACGTTCTGCTCCTGTTCCATCCGGCCCACGCCCGGACGTCCTGCATCTGTCCCTATTCCCCTCCTTTTATTGTGTGTGCGCGGCCGGAGCCCAACTGACGCGAAACGGGGTCTCGATCTTCAGTACCTTTATATCCGCCACAGCAACCTCTACATTCTCGCCCTGACCAAGCGAAACACAAATGCCACCGAGATTCTCCTCTTCCTCCACAAACTTGTGGAGGTCTTCACCGAATACTTCAAGGTCCTGGAGGAGGAGAGTATCCGAGACAACTTCGTCATCATCTACGAGTTGCTAGACGAGATGATGGACTTTGGATACCCACAAACAACTGAAAGCAAAATCCTACAAGAGTAAGCCGTCCTTTCGATGCTTGAAAGCCCAGGGCACGTGTCGGTTTTACGATCGCAGTTCACTAATCTGTGGGTCTTCCCTTCCAACACAGATACATTACTCAAGAATCCCACAAGCTCGAAGTCCAAGCACGGCCGCCCATCGCCGTTACAAACGCCGTCTCTTGGCGAAGCGAAGGTATTCGTTACCGCAAAAATGAGGTTTTTCTGGATGTGGTCGAGTCTCTCAACCTACTGGTGTCGGCAAACGGGAACGTCTTGCGATCTGAGATCCTGGGTGCCATCAAAATGAAATGTTATCTAAGTGGCATGCCCGAATTACGATTGGGCCTAAACGACAAAGCCATGTTTGAGACCACGGGCCGCGCGACGCGGGGCAAGGCTGTCGAGATGGAAGACGTCAAGTTCCACCAGTGTGTGCGACTATCCCGATTCGAAAATGACCGAACTATCAGCTTTATTCCTCCGGATGGTGAATTCGAGCTTATGAGCTATCGTTTGAACACCCAGGTGAAGCCTCTGATTTGGGTTGAGTGCCTGGTGGAGTCGCACTCGGGATCACGAATTGAATACATGCTCAAGGTAAGATTGCCCCCCCCCCCCTTCCACAACTCTCTATTTTCCACTTTCTCTTACTCATACCTCGGAAATGCAGGCCAAGGCCCAATTCAAGCGCCGTAGCACCGCCAACAATGTCGAAATTCTGGTCCCAGTCCCCGAAGATGCTGATTCTCCCCGGTTCCGGACCAATATTGGCACTGTGCACTATGCTCCCGAAAAGTCGGCGATTATTTGGAAGATCAAACAGTTCGGTGGAGGCAAAGAGTTCCTCATGCGAGCGGAATTGGGTCTTCCATCTGTGAAGGGCGACGACGAGCACGGCGGTGGTATGACCGGTGGTTTTGGAGGCAGCATGGGCGGTGCTGGTGCAACTGGCAAGGCGAAGCGGCCCATCAACGTCAAGTTTGAGATCCCCTACTTCACCACATCTGGCATTCAGGTGCGGTACCTCAAGATCACCGAGCCTAAGGTATGTCACTGCTCCCTACTACGACAAATCATACCCATGATTGACTGGCCTCCAACAGCTCCAATACCCCTCCCTTCCTTGGGTCCGATACATCACACAATCCGGCGATATCGCCGTTCGCATGCCAGATGTCCAATAAGGCAAAGGGTGTTAGTTCATTCCTGCATGATTGATTTGTACAGCCTTTTTTTCACACACTTTATTTCGCCCTTCTTCATCCTTCTGCCATTTCCAATTCCTTGGATCTCCCCTTCCACCAGGCTTTATATTTTTGCGCTGCCGTCGAGGCCGGCCGGTCCGATAGATAATTCAATCCTGACGTTTGCTTGTCCTGGTCTTTGTGTAATTTGTAAGTACCACTGGCGTGAAATATAGACTGAATGGATTGGCTACTAGGGTAGCTTGGAAGTTTTCATCGTGGAAATCAAAGCTGCATGAAATATTGTAATCTTTCTGACTTACCCCCAAGTTGTTGACTTTCGCGCGCCTACCTGATCTCAATGCCCAGAGGGGTTTCAAGGCCCCTCGCCAGGTTGCTAACTTTGGGACATTAAGAAGGACCTCGGGGTAATGGTCAAGTTCACATATGCCTCAAACATCTGGCATGGAGAAAGGCTTTATTTAGTAATTATATGCAAAACTGGTGTTCTTATTATCGACAAAGAGGCTATATGCATTCAAAAGTCAGGTGGCGAAGGGCTTCAGAATCTGATTTCTCTGAAGAAATACTCTCAAGCATGGAGGGTCGATCACCGAGAGTTGTCATGATGGCCTTTACCATGCTTTATTGCTAAAACTCGACACGTGCCTCCGGGGATTACCCTATCAGTATGCCAAAGTAGTATACCGTACCTTTAAATTGAACCCCTTTCAGAATGCCTTTTGCTGCTACTAGGTCTTTCATACTCCCTCTATTGCCACCAGTATCGGTATCAATATCCAAGAGCTATGCAAGAACATATGCAATATTAATTGAAGTAGGAAACCTCTCTGGAGTCTGCTTGGCATCTATGCAATGAGCAATGGTTTGAGCTGCAGCATTGATTTTCCCGGAGTGCTGAGCAAGTGAGGTGGGCTCATTTGTCTCTCAAATAATTAGTCTGAAGCTGTGCCCGTTTCTGGGGAGGCAATTGCAGCCTCTCGGCACTTTAGCGTGAGCATTAAATGACTTACATTCGATACACAAGAGGCAAGGGTTACAGAGCATGTGGAACAGGGGCACTGAATGAAAAAAAAATCATGGGAATCATCCTTGTGATATATGAAGGGATTTAGGGTTCCCATAACAAAGGCTGGGATAGACGCTGCGAGACATTCACAAAAATCACTTAATTTAGTAGCTCATAAGACCTGAGGTTTATTTGGCAACCCCCGTGAGTTCGGAGAACACAAGTCTACCTGATAGCCGCGGGTCTTCATTAAAAGCTAATACAGTCTCAGCAGATATTGTACAGAGTTTATCATGTGTACATAGGACCCGAGGTTGATGTGGCTTCACTAGCAGATCGGACCTACCAAAAATACCCACTGTGGTAGTCCTCGGCGCTTCAGGATTTGTGCCTGCAGGGAAGACGATATATTCATAATTCGATTTTTAAAACAGGAAAACCACCTGTATATGAGCTCCACTCTCCCTCCTTATGTCGACCATGAACTTTAATTGTGCAGTTTCTCCATGAACAAGCTGAAGTACGTATCTCTGAAAGTTAAGACCTTTCCGGCCAACTTAACAAGTCCTGATCTTACTTAAAAAAAATACAATGAGCGGAATAAGAAGGCTTTGGCGAAGTACACGTAACCGCAAACCCTAAACACCCCAGATCATGGGGATCTGAGAGCAAATTGTCTTGGAGGTGCTCTGTCTGGGTTAGCATAGGCGGCAGGGGCAAAGCATTTACTGGATATGAAGATAGCGCGAATCCCGAGCACCCACGACCATGGTTCAGAGCAGCCCGATCGGTCGGCAAGCTTTCACCCGTGAATATCTATATAGATATATATATATAGCTCTTCTATTTGGAGGATTGGCACAGTCGTCAAAAACACCATTTTTGTGCGGAGGGAGAAGGTCAGGGCGCTGTGAGACTCGCGAAAGTTCCGAGACGGGCGCATTAGAGTTGGCCAAATAAGACTAATTAGCCGTGTCCGCCTGCCTGAGACGGCAGGCAGTGCAGTGCAATCCAATGTGAGTGGCCCGTGAAAGCTGAAGGTTGACATCGGTCGGGAGTTAATCGATAATACGAGGCCAGACACAAATAGCCTGGATAGCTTTCCATGGATGAGGGTGGAGCTGCCGCGGCGGTTCTCCCCGTCGACGATATCTGGGTAAACGAACCGTGCGAGGGCAGAGCTACCCTCAGTCTCCTGGGGCGGTAAATCGGGCCAACAGCATTTGCCCTTGTCTTTACAAATGAGGATGCAGACCAACTCCCTCTGTGATGTATAGTATCCACTTTTATTTCCCGTTGCTATGACATAGGTGTACACTCGACGGGTCTTCGACGACAATGGACTACGGAATGGAGGACTCCATGTTCCGATTCGGTGCGTAGTCGCATTACATCGAGCAAGAGACGTTAGCTGATGGGGCCTGTGGCTGGCAAAAGGACAGCCACATTGAACGGTCAGCGTGTACGCCGACACGTCAGGATGTGACGGTATATGCGAGCTAAGGGGACTCTATGTTGGTTTTTTTCCCTCCTAAGTTACAAGTTACTACACGGTATAAACAATCTCTATGATCTCATGAACAAACTCTTCAGGTGGAGGCGGGACCAGGAACTATAAACTGCAAGACACCGCTATGACGATTGACCACCACGATAGCACTAACCATTGCTGCTCTTCCTGCTTCTACATACCTATTGAAATATTTGCTCTTTTTTTTTTTCGCGGCGCGCACCGTCGGCAAGGCGGAGGGAATGGAGAACACGGCTTTCAGCGGAAAAAAAAAGGAAAAAAAAAATCCAGATCTCCGCTTTTCTGACAACAATAGCGGAGCCTTCGGGTAGAAAAGCCGCGCGGTAACGAATGAGAAACCCAGGTGCGTCGGTGGACCACGCTGCGGTACTGTTGACCATGTTGCCCCTGGCCGAGAAACAAGAGAGCGATGGCCATGGACCCTCTGCATTATTACGACAGCTTGCAGCTGCCCGTCTAATCGAGGACCCAGAAACCGACCTTGAGAAAGAGAAACCAGGATAGGAAACTTTATCACGTATGGAGAGATAATGTAGGTGATAGGCGATATTATACTTTCGCCCGTTGTGTCATGTTCATGGCTCTCCTGTCTTGGAACCTTCCTTTCACCACTCTTCCCTTGCTTTCCGGAAATGACAGGTCAAGCATCCCTGGACGTTAACGGGGCCTTCGAACGTGTAACTTGAAACCGCCGACCCAACAGTATGGCCAGGCCCGTGCTTCCCGCGTTAGCTGGGTCCCTTGGCTCGGTTGCTGGCGTGGTTGGTGACCGGGGAGTAGGGGTGCCCGCAACGGCGGAGATTACCAGACCCTCTTGAGGTCGGGTGCGATGATCACTTGTTGGTCCTTGCGAGGGGCCGTGTTTCTCTGGCTCCTCTCCCTGGTCGCCGTGTACGATTTGCTATTCCTTCTCGAGCTTGCGCCGTGAAAGAAGCGGTTGATCGCTAATGGGGGAGCAACCGCTCGAATCCTTCGGCGAATATTCCCGCACTGTCCACTATTCTAACAAGCCTCGTGTGCAGTCGGCGAGCGATCTAGACCGATTTAATTTATTCAATATGGTTAGCTAGGTGGCGAGGATTTTCTCATGTAGGAACGGTATCAGGGGATAAATATTATGATCCCTTGTGTTATATGCAGTACGCAGTACTCACCGGCGGACCATGGACGTCGTTCCGTGGATGGACGATCCCGAGCCAAGATCGGCTGTCGCGATGAAGTGGTACGATGGACTAGAGTTCGCCCAGTTCGCCCAGTTCACCCGCGCTTCGATGAGACAAAGGGAAGCGTGAATTGACACTCGTCCCTTGCATTCGGCCCTCCGATGCTAGTCCTGACTTGGGGACCACGTCCGCTGGGGCAGAGCCAGTACGGGGCCATGGCACCGATCGGACCAGTTGCCCGGTTATTCTACGGCCTCTAGAACCCGCAAATCATTCTGAGTTCTTACCCTGCGCGGCATAGACGCAGGACGAAGACATGACCATGCTGGGGAGGGAAGGGGGGGGGGATTGTGCATGATCCGGTTGGGTCATCCAATCCACTGAATTAATTCCGTACCTCTCGATTCTCCGGACTTCGGACATTTTGCTCTCGTTAAGCATGTGAAACCCCACGAGTCGCGAGGAGTTAATCCAATCCGACGGCGACAACATCTTATGTGAATCCATTGTGTGATATGCTCTTGTCCTCGTGCTCGCGCTTTCGGAGTCGTACGTGGTAGGTGTCGATGTATAGGTCGGTAGTCCTGACGCCACCTCGAGCCTGGAGATGAACGACAACCCACCTTGAATGCTCCTGTGCAGATGAATTCTATTTCGGACCTATGGTTATTTTCCCTCGCTATTTAGTTCGTTGTTCACGGTGAACCATAATCAGAAACCGAGCCAGCTAAACGCACTAAACCCGTCGGTTTCCCTGGTTCACCGAGGGGCATCGCACATCGCATGATCTAGATTCAGGGTTAGGGCGGGCCAGGCGAGCAGGACCCAGAATGGCCCTGGTCGGGGGCCGCCACCCCAAAAATCCTGTGGGCAATGCAATAATCCCTTGACGCCTATAGGTGTCGCCGTACTCCGTCCGGAGTACGGAGTATTGAGGGTGCCCAGGGAACCACACCTACCAGATGGCCCGCATCCCTGTTCCGTCCGTGCGTCGAGAGCCCTCTCTGGTTCCAGTTCCCACGTCGCGGATGGGCCCTAGGCTTGAATCTTGAATGAAAGTGCAAGACGACTGACTCTCATGCGATATACCCCGTACATCGTAGTGTCAGGCTACAGAAGAGGGGAAAAGGGAGGGAGGGAGGGGGGGGGGGGTTCATCGCCTTATCCCCTTTTCCGGAGCAGGTCTGATTGAGTGCCTCTCGCACTAGTGATCTATACACGTATGTACAGAGCAAAGCAGCCCCCCTCTCTCTCCCCCTCGTACAATTACTCTCCGTCCATACATGCAGTTCTGTTGTGCTCTTGTACCCTTGAAAGGGCCAACCACAGCACCAACCGTGGTTGTTGGTTTTGCTGACCCCCCCCCCCCCCCAAATTCCGATGATCCTGATCGTATACCCAGATACCATGTTGGGCCTTAGCTCGCGTGGATGCGGTCCCCCTAGAATCCGATCGGTAGAACCGACCTGATTTCGGGTCGCGAGTGGAGGGGCTTCCTGTCTTCCGGACCTCGCGCGGTCTACCGGTCTCATCATTATTTTGACCCGATTCGACTCCATTATTCGACTTTCGCCGAGCATCCTTGGTCGTGAGAGTCACCGGAACCGAAGCAGCCATCGAGTCCCGTCTCATGGGAAGATTCAGATTCTTAGATATGCCATCATGGTCGGGTCTCCACGATTCGCCCGGTCGACTTGAGTACTTGAATAGAACAATACAATTCACCATAATCAACCGGGTTCCAAGCCACGGCCACCTCGTTTGGGGCCGTACAGCAGTCCAGTAGCAAGTGTGTACTACTTGGAACCTGGCCGTTTCTCTGGAGTAGTCCCCCTCTGATCTCTTTTCCCTGCTTACTGGGTGATCGTAGAACTGTCTATCGTTTGGGGTCCTTATTCGTTCTTCCCCCTCTTCTTCTCTTTCCTTATTTTGCATCCAGGGGGATCATTGGGGTCGCGAGTTTCTGCTCAACTTTACAGTCTCCTTTTCGGCTACATTTGCCCTTCTTTTCTGGCTGCTTCACTCTTCAAACAAGCTAGCCTGGCCTTTTTCTGACGACATTCTGGCGATATCCAATTCATTTATTCCTCGGTCCTGGCCCTTGTGTCTTGACCTCCCCACTTTCTGAAGCCTGGATGGGGCTAGCGAGCTAGATTCGCTCTAAACCGTGGAGATTGTGAAGAGCCCGGCCACCGACCGGCCCCGCTTAGTGGTTAATAATAATAATACTGTAATATTTATTTTATTAGGAGTATTATTGCGATTTCGAAGCTTTGGGAAGGAGGAGAAAAAAAAACAATTCATGGAATTATCTATTTACTAAACCAGCTCGAGCGATTGACCTGGGCGAGGCCGAATAAAACCAAGAGGCGCCGAAGTGGCCTCGTTCGCCTTCAACACTGACCTCGAACCCCCCCCCCCAGCTCTCCAACTCTTCCCTCCAAGCTCTCGGGCTCTCTTGTGAACTCGCCGGGTGCTAGTTGATCTAGTTTTGCTGCATCGCCACCTCCTTGTGACTGTCCTATTTCCACTTTGAATTCTTCCAGCACCAGAGACGAGAAGAAAAGAGTAATCCGACACGACCGACTCATACCGCGCAGCCTCGCGCAAGAGCGCGCCCCCGAGAAACCGCCATGGGCATCTTCAAGCGCAACTCGAAAATCTCCGTCCAGAGTGACAGGGACGAGCAGGAGTCATTTGTCTCTGTCAACAGTGCCCGCACTTCCAACACGTCGCTCCGATCTCCCGGCTACAAGGGCAGTGGCTTGCCGGCGTCCATCCCCGAGATGCCCATCGCTCGACCCCCCGACCCGGCACTGGACCCCGCCGCGTATCTCCGAAGCATTCACGCCGTGCGCGAGCGCGCTACCATCGTCCTCAATCAGGCCAAGCGTAACCAACTCCGCCATTTTGACGTCGATATGTCGAAATTTCAGGCCACGGCTTCGTATGTCGTTTCAATCATTAAGGTAAATCATAGCGATCAATTTCGTCAACTGTCAAATCACCAATTACACCTTTGTACTCCCGACAACATGTAGAAGATCCGAGGAGCACGCTCGGGATCATAAATAACCTTCGTCATTTTTATGTTGCATTTTCGCTTGCTGGAAAACAAACTAACGCAATTTATATACAGCGAGATCATGCTCCAGATTATGAAAATATCCCCCCACATGGCCGCTGGCAACATTTCGATGTGGGCGGCAGGCCGCGCATCAATCAGCTCCTGCAGTCCTGGCCCAGCACCATTGATCAACAAGAGCGCACGCGGCGCTTGATCGACCTCTTCGTGGTATCTGTCCTGCTCGATGCAGGTGCGGGCACCAAGTGGTCGTATAAATCCAAGGAGTCCGGCAAGGTGTACTCGCGCAGCGAGGGTCTGGCCGTTGCCAGTCTCGAAATGTTCAAGTCCGGATTGTTCAGCAGTGATCCCACCGAGCCATGCCAGGTCGATGGGGCCGGCCTGAAGAAAGTCACGATCGAGAAGCTGGCCAAAGGGATGCAACATTCGGAACAAAATCCACTCGCCGGCATTGAGGGACGTGCGGGGTTGTTGGTGCGTTTGTCGGAAGCGCTAAACCATCAGGACTTTTTCGGAGTCGATGCTCGACCGGGTAACATGCTAGGTAAGCTTTTGTGCTCTTCTCAATCGATCTCTCCGTTTGGCATATGAGGCTGACTCCGGAGCTTCGCCATGAACAGACTATCTTCTCTCCCACCCGTCAACACTCGCCTCATCCGTCCCCATCGTCCCAATTACCACCCTCTGGACGGTTCTTATGGATGGTTTCTCATCCATTTGGCCTCCGTCGCGGACGCAGATCGACGGTATCTCTATCGGCGACGCCTGGGAATGCTCTGACTTGCCTCGATCCCCGCCTGCGCAGCCTTGGGAAAGCATCATTCCTTTCCATAAACTGACCCAGTGGCTTTGCTACTCAATCATGGTGCCCATGTCCAAGTTAATGCAGATCCACTTTGCGGGCAGTGACCTGTTGACGGGGCTTCCGGAATATCGTAATGGTGGTCTGTTGATCGACATGGGCTTGCTGAGCCTAAAACCGGACGATACGGAACGCGGGCTCCAGGCTTTCAGGGAGAATGCGCAGATCAAGGGACAGCCTAATATGGAGGTGGTCCCCTTGTTCTCTACAGATGACGACGTCATTGTGGAATGGCGCGCTGCCACGGTGGGCTTCTTGGACGACTTGCTTGACGAGGTGAACTCCCAGCTGGGACTGACCGACTCGGAAGAGCAATTGACCTTGGCACAGATGCTCGAAGCGGGAACATGGAAGGTTCGTAACTTTTGTCTCTTGTGGTTCTTACAGTAGTTCGTGTTCTAATAACTGATTTTAGGGTGGTCGCGAAATCGCCGAAGTGTCAAGGCCCAACACCAAAGAGCCACCCATCATGATCCGTTCGGACGGGACGGTCTTCTAATGCCCTGTATGGACGATTTAATGGACGATTGAATATCTGGCGGGCACCAATTCCATGATTTTGATTTCCCTCTCCACAGATTGGTGCCCGTCCTTATGAACATTGATGACGACCTTTTATTTGATCCCTTCAATTCTTTGTTTTCTTTTTTGCCCCAATTTTCTTCCTATTGACCTCTTTTTGATATGTTATTTTTTTTTCTTTTTGGCTGGATATCTCGGTTTTTGGCCTCTTTCCTTCCATCCTCTTCATGCTCCGATTGAGGCCTTTCGCATGCATAGCGTGCCGTTGTGGCTCGTGTCTGTGTTTCCTTTTCGGATACCATTTCCTGATACCTGACTGAGGTCAATTTTTCAACTTGTCTTTACTACTACTTCAAAATCATTATGACCTTGTTTTTCTGAAAATTTGGATGTTAAAAGTATCTGAATGTACGGGGAATGTTATGACCCCAATTTCATCCCCACTGTATGCCTGAACTATGTCGTCATCCCGCTACCTCACCTATGAAACCAACTGGTCCAAATCGCTGGCCTGGTCGAATGGGGATCGCTGAAGACGAAGAAAAAGAAAATTTAAGTGGTTGAATTAATACTATATTACCTTGAAAGCAAACGCGCTTTGATCAAGCCAATGACCTCATCCCGATTAACGCCAATCTCAGTCAAACCCTGGTCACGTGGGTATTCACCGGGGCGAGGTTGATCCGTCACTCCGCATCTGAAGGCTGGAGCTACACAACTCCTCTCTCCCTCCTCTCGTCCCCCAATTCCTTTGATAAGACCGAACAATGCAATTTGACTAGTGAAGCCAGGCCACATAACGACCTGAACCTCTTGGTATCCTTATCAATTTAGAGGCGCGTCTCTCAGAACAACTCGAGTTGGCCCCCGCTCCTGCGGGGCATCCGAGCTCAGCAGCTACCCCGATCGACAGCATGGACGCCCGCAAAAAGAAGAGGAAGGTCCTGCTTATGGGCAAAAGCGGCTCTGGGAAGTCGTCTATGCGTTCTATCATCTTCAGCAACTATGTCGCCAAAGATGTTCGCCGTCTCGGCGCCACAATTGATGTGGAGCACAGTCATGTCAAGTTTATGGGTAATCTGACCCTCAACCTGTGGGATTGTGGAGGGTAAGCGCCGCTTTTACTCCTTTCTCTTGTCTTCCAAGGATTTCGGGAGTATTGCATGACTGACCGGGTGGACTGCCGCCATCATTCTCCAGACAAGATGCCTTTATGGAAACCTACCTCGCCTCTCAGCGCGGCAACATCTTCTCTGACGTTGCCGTCATGATATATGTGTTCGACATCGAATCCCGTGAAGTCGACCGCGACCTAGACACGTATAATGCAATTATTGAAGCACTTCGTGAATTCAGCCCTAATGCATATGTCTTCTGCCTCGTGCATAAGATGGACTTGATTCAGGCAGAGCACCGGCAGCGCATCTACGAGGAACGATCAGCACTAATCCGCTCTCGCTCCGAGCATTTCCGCGTTGATACCTTCGGCAGTAGCATCTGGGACCAGTCACTATACAAAGCCTGGGCGGGGATCGTGCACAAGCTAATCCCGAACCTGACGGTCATCGAGCGGTTCCTCAGTGCTTTTGCGAAGAAGATCAACGCAGAAGAGGTCATTCTCTTCGAGCGCTCAACTTTCCTCACCGTCACATCCGTCACTTCGGATGTGGGTGACCTGAACCCGATCTACGACCGCCATGAACGCCTGTCCAATATTATGAAAGCCTTTAAACATTGCGCCGCCCGCAACACCCTCACCACCCCTGCTTCAGCCGGCTTCGTTGTCATGCACACCAAAACCCCCCAATTCAACATTTTTCTCGGCCGCTTCACCGATAACACATATATCTTCCTCGTTGTCCCGCCCGGCGAGGCTGCCTACAACTGCGCCGTCTTGAACACCATGCTCGCGCGCGAGGGCTTCTCTAAAGCCGCCGCCGGTGGCCGAACAGACGGATTTCCCCTACCGCCTCCCGAGACGCCCGATGACCACGCTGAGAATGGAATCTCTGCCCAAGCATGAAGGGCAAGTGAACAATTTCCCACTGGTCTCTGTCTGTTTTGAAGCGTTCTGATGTTCATGTCATGTACAACCAGCATGGTTTTTCTTTTTTTTTCCCTTTTGGCGAGGTTGGTTCACAATTTTTGAGGGCAGAAAAGTTTTCCCACTTACGAGCGCTGATACTCAACGGCGTTGCGGTACGAAGATCAATGCATTTCTTCTATTTTCTTCTTTCTCTTATCCTCTTCTGTCTCATATTCTTTCTGGTCTTACCGAGAGCCGAGATACCCTACTTAGCCTTGTGCAAATATTTCCTCACTCGTTCCCTATTGCTTTTCGATTTATGCCATTGCTTTTCTAGTTAGGGAGCTAGTAGTTGAATGATATACTGTGGTTGAACAGGTAGTATTATTATCAACAAAAACCCCACCATCGCTGCTTTCACTAGCTACACTCCTCACCCGCAAACTAGCCCACAGGGGTTTGAAAGAAATCTTCGTGGCCAACCTGGAGTTTCTCGTAATGAAATGGCGGCTGTAGGCAAAGAAAAGAACCCCATGTGTACCTTGACAAGTGCGGTCTTCTAGGCTATTCAGGTAGGCATTAGGAGGTATCGTCGCCATTGATTCACATCTTGCAAGGTAGTGAGTTGACTATATCGTCAATAACGTCCCGATCCGGTCACAATCACATGACCACCCCACGCGCGCGGTCCGCGTCGACGTCAACCGCAACCGCGAATCCCCTGAACGCCAATTCCCCGGTCTCCATCCGACAGCCCACCTGACGAACCTTACCTTTCAACACCTTGCAATCCCATCCTATTCAACTTCATAATGTCCGCCTTTGCCTCTCTGCGTCCCTCGCTGCGCCTGGCCAACAACGCCGCCCAGGCGTCGCGCGGCTTCAGCTCGTCCGCCTCGCGCTCCATTGCCCGCATGATCGTCACCGGCCGTCTGGCCCATGAGCCCGAGCTCCACGCCACCTCATCCGGCCAAGACGTCATCAAGTATGCTGTTGGTAGCTCGTATGGGCCCAAGGACAACCGCCAGACCAGCTGGTTCCGCGTTTCAAGCTTCACGCCCGAGGGCCCTCAGCGGGATTTCATCATGAGCCTGCCCAAGGGGTATGTAATAAATCCGGGGCTCGACTTAAATCACTGATGTGCCTCTGTGAATTGGTGCCTCGTTATAATTGCTAACATCGGTTCTTTTTGATTTATAGTACCCTCGTCTACGTGGAAGGTGATGCCAGCTTGCGCGTCTACGAGGATGCCGACGGCAAGAAGCAGTCCTCCCTGAACATTATCCAGCGTAAGTGCTCCTGGCATCCACACCTGGCCCAATTGCTGGCAAAAAAAAAAAAACTGACAATCCGGCAGGCTCGCTCGAGATCCTCAGTCGCCCCGCCAACATCGAGGAGCAGTAAACGGTGTAAATTGAATTGAATGCTTTACTCACGTTCATATAATACCTATCGACGCTATGAACCGGCCGCGTCGGGAGTTCTTTTGGGAGAGGCGGACGGCTTTAGACGGTTAGGTTGGTGGTGGTTTTGTTCTGGCTGGGCTGCGCATGGTTGTTCGTGGCTTGGCATGGTCTCTTCTCCGGACGAGAGGGAATGAATGACCTCGTGTTTATTTTGCTCTGTGAATCTATTGTACTAGTATACCCTGAATACACTCCGTTCTCCTGGTTATGTGTTTTCTGCCTTGTATTAGCCGGATTGAGGCTTCGCAACCAATCTGGCCATCTGCAGTCGAGGGTTCGCGATTATCCTACTGAAAATGCGGAGCAATGCAATTACAGACAGCATCGACTTTCATATTTGAAAAGGGAACAAAAAATCTTGAAACTAGAGACAACTAATATACATTGGACCGTGCTAAATCAGTCCATGTCTAACTAGGAATCTCTAGTAATTATTAATTAATCCACGGTAATCACGGGTGCACAATAATTCAGGGGAAAAGAGAATGGGGTTGGTTGGTTCATGACGCCAATCAACACAGGCACAACTAAATCTGGACCTCGCTATTCTGGCTTAGAACCTGCTTGACCCGAATGATGTCCACATGCTGGGTTGAACTCGGCTCGGGCGGGATCTCGCTGCTGGGTCGACTCTGGCTTGTTCCGGCCCAAGCGTTGGTGCAGACAGTGGGTGCCGGGCCAGATAGATCTTCCAGAAGGGTGTCTTCATCATGGCGACGAACAGATCTTTTCTTTCTGAAGAAGGGAAGTGAACTGAAAATCCTACGGCGTTTGCGCGTATCGCTACCGCCTGAAGGGTTATACGATGATCTACCCTTCTCGAGATCATAGCTACCGCTGGTAAATTGTGATATAGTACCATTGTGCCGACCACTACTCAGCGTTGTCGTCAGCTTTTTTCTGAAGAAGGAACGGTTATACAATCCCACATACCTAGAAGATCGCTTCTTCCAGTTGAATAGGAGCTTTGCTCGGCTCACGGTTGTTCCCACCAGAGTCGCGGAGTTGTGCGTGGTCGACGGAGCAGTTGTTCGAGAGTCTGCCAGCCGAAGAGCGTTGGGGAAACAGTATCCAAAGCCAAGGCAACGGAAGAATGTTCGGTAGATGCGAGTAGCATCGCGACCAAATCCGAAAAAAATGAACAACAAAAACCCTGCGGCAACGGGGCTCCAGCGGTCGAAGAAAACCACTCCTTGGGCTGGGTATTTGATAATAATATCCCACCGCGGACCATGCATCATGGCCCATGAGTAGCGATGCCACGGTAGTGAGGCCTTGATGTTTACGTAGAGAACGTATCCTTCGACGGGTAAAATAGCTAACAGCATGGTGCAAGCGAGAGCAAGGAGTCGCAGGAAACCCGACTTGCTCATTTTGCTATTGGCAGATCTCAGGATAAATCCGAAGTCGCTTCGATACTTGTGAACGCGAAAAAGGACGAGGCCTGAGAACCAGTCAGCCAATGTCAGCTGTGGGCCACGAAAGGGAAAACCGGGGGGAAGGGGGTTGTTTGACATACAGCAATAGTATGCAGCAATTAAGCAAAGAATCGGTGGCCACATGAAAGCCAACACAAAGCTTACCCAGCTTTCGTCAAAGTTATTTACGCATCCCGAAATGGCGAAGAGTAGATAGCGCGACTTTTGCCACACGACATGTGTGATCATCGCGATAATTGGACCGACAACACAGACGAGCAGCTCAATGGATCTATTGCGCCAACGCTGGCTTCTTGTCGGCACCATTGTAGCGCAGCTAGTATCAAGGACGATTGCAAGACCCCGGAAAATGCCAATGAGGCAGCCCGGGTAGGCGACATATGAACCTACCATGATCTTGATTTCAATGTCACAAAGACCAGCACCACTCCACCACGAGCTCACACTGTCCGTGGGCCAGATGAGAGCGTTGATGATGTTGAATAGGTTGAGAACAATAGTCCAGCCGATGAGACTCGAGGCGGGGAGGTTGCGGTTCTTCGCATGAAGAATGAGCGGCGTGATGCAAACAACTATGGCGAAAGATGATAACACAGGGAGGACCACTGCCGTCGCATAGCGCTTGTTGAGGTTGATTTCGTCCATGATCAGGTTAATGTGATATGGCGAGAGCGGGTTGGTTGTTCCTCGATGTGTCAGAAGGTGGGTATCTCCTTGCTCGATGGTTTCATGGTTCTTTTTCTACAGATGAGGTTGAGAAGAGAAATTCTCTGAGAGACAAGCTTCCTCTCATTTATAGAGAATGAGCCAGGCTCATCCTTCGTTAGTATATTGCTTTATGTCAGGCTGGCAATTCCCAGGGGTAACGGTGAAGAGCACGCCGCCTGGCAGCAGGAGCTCCAGAGACACCGAGGAAGCTAAAACGACCTGAATAGACGAGAAACAGCCTGGATCTCGAGACATATTCTCACAAGAAGAAGGAGACTGTGACAGTGCCGCGTAGGCAGAGTTTCACTTCGGTGTGAGGCATCAACCCTAAGACCCTCGTTTTGCGACAACAGCAGAACATGGCCACTGAAGCAGGCAAGAGCAGCCTATTGAATCAAACAGGCACAGCATTTCAAACGAGGATTAGGGGCGTGAAAGGTGAAGAGCTGAGCCTAGAATTCGAATCGGCCCAATCAACCGGACTAAAGATCAGACGCTAGACCAGATTGAGGGGTCCATAGGATCTATGCAGGCCTGTTTTGGGTGACAAAAGGTGGGCCGGGCTGAAGCCACTTCTATCACCTGACACAGGGGAGGGGACTGCCTTACAACTCTCTACCTTGCTCCCTCTCTCTAAATGGGATGCCTTTTTCATAAGCTCAGATGAGATCAAAATCATGAAATAAAGTAGTGAAAAGTGGGTCTTAGCTGGCCCGGTCAGAAAGTCGCTCCTGGTCGGCCGGTCTGTTGTCCACGTTTTTGGGAAATCGGAAGTCTGGGGAACACAGCTCGATTGGTGCATAGCGCAATAGAGTTACTCGGATCCACTTTCGGGGTCACTAGCTCAGATGGAATCAAAGAACTCCCTTTCTTTCATGCGGAAATACGAAGTTTGAGGCCGATCCAGAGCATGGAGCGCGGCTGACATATATACGTATATATTTCCACGATATCTGTACGAGTGTTCTGGGCTGAATGACATATGTCAGTCCTAATAATTGTAAGAAAGTCGAATAAACTCGAGGAGACTATTCGGTATGTGTTTATTGGAAGTTTAAAACCTTGCATCAGATAGCAGCCAAAGAAATCACACACGCGCTGGCCGTCCGGGTGCATGATTCTGACTCTTTGACAACATCATGATATACGAGGCTGACAGGATCTAGAAACGCGCGAACTATATGAGCAGACGAGGAGAATGCAGGGTTCATGGAGGCTTAAAAAAGATAACAGCTGAGTTCACCGCTTGTTGATTATAATAGCGGATCAAGAATCAGTAGAGGGCACCCGGATAATTCTGTCCTCGTAATGGTTCTTTTAACACTTTACTGTTTGCCCACCCTTCGAGGTGATTGACCAAGAGGTCCTTTCCCTAGCCTTCCATGGCCCATATAGAGGCCTTCCATTTCAGGCAGACGATGATAATCGGAGTTATCCTGAGCTATCGAGAAGAGAAGACTTACCAGCCAACCAGTGGCCGCCCAAAATTGCAATTGCAGCCAGATCGGTGAGTCCTACAGATTCTACCGCCATGGAGGCAGCAGCAGCAGGTTTCACTGTTGGCAAATGGACGGGGGCCATGCGTCTAGTGGGGACTCGGGTTCCAATTGGCTCCGGAAATTGATAACCAGGCTAGTTGAAGAGTCGAGTCGAGCCAAGTCGGGATAAAAAATACGATGGAAAGTGGAAACAGGAAAGAGTGCGCAGTTGGCGAAGAAGCAACGTGACCGGCGAGCCGTGACGCCAGTGACGACGCCACCGAACAAGCTGCAACCTGCCGATCAGCCTCGGCTGGAGTCCCTTACCAATAGCCCCGACGACACTGCAGCTGCCCAACTCCAACGAACCCCTCCACAGCTTCAGACGAACTGCTGCTTGCCCGACACCGTGTCGGATGTTAAATATACCTCGCATTTCCGGCTCATCATGGCTGATCGGCCTTCCTCGCCTCCGCCCTCCACACTGTCGCCCCGCACTACGGGCCCATCCGCCTCATCACTCCGCCGCCGGGGCCTCCCCGGGCGCGCCGCAACTTTCATAGACGGCCCTTCCTCAGACTGGGCACAACGACGCAACTCGACTCTGTCAGACTCGCTCTCTGAGGCACGTAACTCAATCCGATCTTCGACAGATGATCTGTTTCTTCCACGGGTCGCGCAGAAAGACCAGGCCCATGTTGCGACTGAAGAATCCCACTGGCACTCAGCGCCGCTGGGCCTGGCGCTGTTGCCCGCAATCGCCGGGGTGTTCTTTCAAGATGGAAGCTCATTCGTGACTGATATGACCTTATTGGTGCTTGCGGCGATATTTCTAAATTGGTCTGTCCGGCTACCATGGTACGTGCATGCGAACCCTTGGAAGAATGAGAAGTAGTAGAGATATACTCGCTCAAAGCTGACAACATACTGCAGGGACTGGTATCGTTCCGCACAAGCAATTCAGCGCAAGGACGGGAAGTTTGACCCGGCTGTTGAAGGGATAATTGATAATGAGATGGACCAGAATGAAGAAGCAGTCGACGCGCAGGGAGACTCGCAGAGAGACTCGCAGCAGCCTCAAAAGCACCCACGGGTATCTGTAGAAGCCCAAGCCATCAGAGAACTCCAGATCCACGAACTCGTCGCTCTTGCATCATGCTTTATCTTCCCTGTGGTTGGCACATGGCTCCTACACGCTATTCGATCCAGTTTATCTCGGCCGTCCGAGGGCCTTGTCTCAAATTACAACTTGACCATCTTCCTGCTGGCGTCCGAGGTCCGCCCCTTTGCGCACCTTCTCAAACTCGTCCAAGCGCGCACTCTCCACCTCCAACACATCGTAGCATCAATCCACAGCGAGGACTTGAATCCAGAAAAGCTCCAGGATCTCACCAAGCGCCTCGAAGAATTGGAAGCGCATGTTGCTGAGGCTGCTGCTGCTCGCCTTGCCGCATCCTCTGCACCGAAGGCCGACCAACCTCCATCTCCAGAAGCCAACGACGTTCCATCTATAATCGCCCAGGCCGTTGATGAATCTCGAAAGGCCCTGAATCCGGACATCGAAGCCCTCAACCGCGCTGTTCGCCGCTACGAAAAACGCACCGCCCTCGCCACTCTCCAAGCTGACACCCGTTTCCAGCGGCTTGAAGCACAAACTCGCGACGCGATCGCCCTCGCCGCAGCTGTGCAGCGATCTAGTGCATCACGCCGCCAAAGTTACGCATTCATACTTTTTGACTGGGTCTGTGCATGCATCGTTGTGCCTGCACAACTCGCGTTATCTATCCTTAATCTCCCTGGCCGCATCGCAAGTAGCTGCTTACTTGCTGCACAGCGACTACTAGGTCGTCGACATCCGACCCCATTGCGCTCAAAATCTAGCAAAGGCAAAGCCAGATCGGGTATTGGGTCTAAGCTCTCCCCCCAATCTGCACCAATGTCCAAAGCGCCGGCTTTGCCGTCGCTTACCCAACAGCAGCACCAGTCGTTTGAGTCTGCATGGGGTGCATCTCACTAAGCTTGGCTATACATGTATACATGCTTGGTGTGGTATGAAACAGCTTCTTTTTTATGTGACATGAGCATTCTTTCGGAATTTTCTTCTTCTCTTTGGTCTAGATCGCTCGGGAATATTTTGACAGTATTTATACCCGCTTCTTTCTTTCTCTTTTTCAATAATTCAGTGCAGGAACGATATGGTCAGGAATCGGGTGCAAGATGCAGGATATTTTTATTGTATATATACTTTTCTTTCTCGCCTCCTCTACAAGACACTAATGAACCGAATTTGTTCTGGCTCATGACCACTGGACAAGTCTATAAATAACGTTATCTACCAAGAACACTCGCGACAAATACCTCATTTTGACGATGACAAATATTGAAAAAAGCATGATCCAAATATAAACAAGAAAAGTAACGCAAACAGAGCAGATATAACCCCGTGACAGAGAGGAGAGCAGAAGGCAAAGTCTATGAGACCTATACTGGTTCAAGTATACAACAAAACCCAACGCACTCAATCCTCAACAGGGGCTACCGACGCTTCAGACCAGGCATACAAACTTTACACCTCAAATGTCCTGTGCCTCCCGTCTTGATTTCACATTGAGCCCATATAATGACTTTACTATTCTAGGCCCTTCCACCGGACGGGCCACGCTCATCGACCCCAATCATCTTCAGGAATGGCTCGATAATGCTCTTTCGCCGCTCATCGGATGCTCGGCGCTCCTTGTCCTTCCCTGGGACCGGCACGGCCGCCGAGATGAGTACCCGCGCAAAGATAGAAGCTAGGGCCGCCTCAACAGCTTGTCGGCGCGCCACAGCGGGCGCATTACTGGGTGCACCGCTTGCAGATGCATCAGACCCGGTGGAGGAGGCTGGCGAGCGTGGCTTGCGGCGGAAGCTTCCCGCGGAGATGAAAGCAGCAGCAGAGGCTGGCGTTGGTGGTAGTGAGGCTTGAGAGCCTGATTGTGTCAGACCCTGGTCCTGGTCCTGGGCCTTTTTGGCGTCCAAAGTTGATGATTTTTGGCCTTTGGAGGGCGATGAACTTGACGGAAGCTGAGAAGCCGATGGGACCGGCGCTACTTCGTTGGCAATTCGGGCCAGCATGAAAGTGACGAAGGTAAAGGAGACGCTGTGAGCAGGTGAGTATGCCAAGCTTTCGAGGACCCAGGCTTGGATCTCTTCCCAAGACCGGGGCGGGGCTTTAGACTTCTCGCGGGAGATCATTTGCTGCTCCATTGCTTCCCAAGTAGATGCTGTGACGATCCCATCACTGAGGGAGTTGAGGAAGGTGAGTATGGTTTCTGAGAGGATTTCAAGACGGTGGAGAGAAGGAATTTCGGGCTTGAAAATGCTTGATAGAGAGTAGTTTGTGTCGAGGGATTCGCGAACTGCGGCTAAAAGAGGCGCTCGCTCATAGGGATCAGTCAGGGTCCAAGTATCGGGCTGGAAGGGCCAGGCAGTGCCAGCTGGATCCTTCATCCAGGGCGCTTCTTTTTCTTCGGTCTCGCTGTTGGTCATGCTCCATTCCGCGACAGCACGTTCGGCCAATTCCGAGATTGACTCGGTCAGTCGAAAAAGTTCTCTTGGTGCCGAAAGCCGAACTTCTGTGGCACTCATTGATGGGTGGGATACTCCGTCGGTTGAAAGACTGCGGGCTCCATCCTCAGGCATGCGGGTCAATTCATCCACGCTACAACCAAAGCAGGTTGGCAACCAATTACCAGAAACAGGGATGAAGTGGTCACGGCCGCAATCCACATGGAGGACCAGAATTTCTTCCAGCTTGACTTTTTTCAGATTGAGCAGACGAACATGCTCGATGCGCCGAACATGCGCCGTGACATCAACGTTGGCCACTTCTCCGGGGAGTAGAGTATGATCGCAGGCCGGTGCAGTTGTCTTATCTGAGGGGTTATTCTCTGAAGGCTTTTCGACATGGATATCGAGCCAAGAAGGGTTTTCGGTGGTATCATCGGTTAGGCTAGAGCGCTCAGCAAATGAGAATGTGGCCGGAGAACCACCTGTGTTGGCAACGGTCAAGGTGCGGTGAATCGGCACGTCGAAAGGAACTTGACCGAAATCCACGGCATTTGGGTCCTGGTTTGAACGATTTCCATCGGTATGTGTGTCTACTACGACCGTCAGGCCAGGTCGGGCCTCATTCTCAGCCTTGTCTAATTCCCGGACGACTTCTTGATGGACCTTGGCCTTGAGACTAGGATTGACGGCATCAAAAGTGAGTGTAAAGATGGCATCCAAGGGCTTATGGTCTGAAGATAAGATCCCTTGATGTGAAACATAGTGATCCAGGCGGATGGGATCCTCAGAAGTGTCTTCAGAGGCAAGCGAAGACTCATCTGCGCGATCTTCATCTGAGATATACTCCTCCCCTCCTGCGGCACCGTCGAAACCATCAACCTCCGGGTCGTAATCGAACAGGACATTGTCATCAGCAACTGCCTTATCAAACCCACGGGCTTCCATTTCCTTGTCTCTTTTGCGCACCTCTTCCATTTCCCGGTCCAGCTGCTCATGCTTAAGCTTGTCGCGGCGAGTGCGATAAAGGATTCGATCACACCAGCTAGGACCACGATGTTTCTCACTGGAATCAAACATCGCTACGCTTCCAACGTCATATTTGTAAGTTGGCAAGAAGGAAATCTGACCCTCGTTCCATCCTTTGTGGAAGGCTGTTCCCTTCTTCTGTTGTATTCGCAGCTGATCATGGACAATCAAAGATGTAATCGTGGTCTGCAAGGATGCAGGATCGTTATGAGGGTCGATTTCTTCGTCGGTAACAGGCTCAGGTTTCTCTTCTCCTGTCAGAAATGTTGGTGATGACGGAGCTCGATCCGAGGAATCTCCGCATGATTCACGGCGACTAGCAGGTGTGGTTTGCCTTTCTTGACGAGCAGTATCGTAGGCATTCACTGTGTGTCGTGCCAAGACGGAGCGCACATCATCGCCAGGGATATCGTCCAGCCGGTAGTTAAGATCCCCAAACCAGAATGCGAAATCCTCATCGCCAATACTGTCAAATGCATCGCCTTGTTCCGGGTCTTCAGAATCCACTGGATCGAATTTCGCACGCGACGCGATCTGGGACGCATCCCAGTTGCGCCGTTCCAGACTTCCTTTGTCCGATCCTGCAGCCAAATGGCAGTTCACAAAGACCAACCGCGTAGTCTCTCCAAGGACCAGGCGTGTTGCAACACCACCTTTATTCCCCATATAACCCATCAGTCCCGTCCCAACGTAGGTGCTGCTAACGGATGAGACGCTTTCTCTGATTGCCGGGGATGCATAGATGACCAGTAATAGTCCAATGAGCTGGACTTCCGAGACAAGTTGATATCCCGGAGGGAGTGCTTTGTGAACGGCTTCTTTCCACCTATTTGCGGGTCCTGCATCAGTATATGGCCGGAGAGCTTCCGCTGGTGAAGAAACATCCACAACCTCCTGCAGGCCAAGGACATAGAGATCAACTTCCTCGGGGCTACACTGGAATGGCGCCGCGGTGTTCCCTTCACGCTGTCTTTCTTCCTCATTACTTGGAGAAGAATTGCCATCTGTGGTCACATTCTTCTTAAACTGTGTGCCTTTGAAGCCCGAAAACTTCTCGCATACCCCCTGGCCTTGAACGAACCATTTCCCGACATCTTTCTCGGTACCGGAGATGGCGGCCACGTTCCACGTACCAACCTTGACTCGAATCGTCCGCCGTCGAGTATATTCCGCCTTTCTGGCTTTCACGGCGCGCGACAGTGATGACAGATCTAGAGTCGGGTTGTCGGTGTTCTCCACCTCCTCAGACGCATGCTCCCTCGGGTCTGGCCCGGCAGGCGAGGCCGGGGGAGGGTCTCTAACAGACATTGAAAATGAGATGGAAATTCAGGGTCAATGAAAAAATAAGGATATTCGCATGGCTCGGAAAGGCTCGGATGGTGAATGCGACGGGTTTTATATGCTCCGGTTCTATAGAGACGCGCCTTACCGCTCTTCGGGGCGCTTATATGAGGTTCTCAATTCCCAGCCGAAGGAGAGAGCAATATCGCTTGCTTGTTGTAGAGTCGTAATGCAGGAATATTGAGGAGAACAGGTCGTTCTGCGAAGACCAATTGTGTAAGGTCGGTGTTCGAGGAATCAGTGATATCACTTCGGAGCTTAGCGCGGTAAGGTTCGGATCACAGATATCAGCATCATATAGGTTTAGCGGAGCATTTTAAGCAGCGAGAGAAGAGCGTTAGATTAGTTGATCTTATGAAGAACAGCAGCCAGCACGGGGAGTGGAGGAATGTGTGCCACCGAGGCGGTTGTTAAAGAAGGCGGGAGGCGGTGCGGCCAACGATGACGATATGCGACGGGAGCTCATCAGCTGCCCGCAACCCGCAACCCGCAATCGGCGGCCAAAAACCTCCCAACCTCTTCTACCCACCTCTACACCTCTTCGCGCACCCTCTGGCGCTCCATCGCACCCATCATGAGCGCTCGAAAACCCCGGCGATCAAATAATAATCACAATAACAACCAGACTCAGAACCATATTCCTAATCCCACCGCCCACCTCCCCCTCACCGACTATGAATCGGATGCCGCCTACTATTCCGATCTCCAAGAACAGACACCCATCCCACCCCCACGATCCAACGAAGAGGTCAACCTCTCCGTCCTCCGCCGTCATAACCCGTCGATCACTTCAGTCCTCTCACTCGCCCAATATGTGGTGGTATACTTCTTCAGCCCGACGACCACACAATGGGAAAAGCATGGCGTCGAGGGGACACTCTTCGTCTGCCAGTTGACACAGGGCAGCCTGGGCGAGGAGCGATACACAGCATTTGTACTGAACCGTCGTGGGCTCAACAACTTCGATTTGCCTCTCACCGACGGCGCCAATGTGGAGGTGACCGACGAGTTCGTGATCTTGAAGGCGGACAAGCCGGCCGACACCCAAAAGGATACGAACGGCACAGCCACCCGCCCTAATGGTGCCGCCTCAAATGGTGTGATCATCTACGGCCTCTGGATCTACTCCGAGCCGGCTCCCAACTCCACCGCCCAGGCACGCACCATTAACGCGCAGATGATTTGCGAGTGCGCCGCCCACGGCGGCCAGAGCTTGAAGATTGCGCGTGAGCGAGTCGAAGCTATGCGCCAGAATGGGATGTATGTTGCTGCAGCGACTGCGGACACGCAGGCTCCGCCGCCGCAGGAGGGTCAGGGTGGTGTGCCGATGGGTCGCCAGATATCGCTTAAGGAGCTATTTGGCCAGCAGCGGGCACATGATGATGAGTGGAGTGTGCGGGCGCACCATCTTCCTCCCATGGAGCAGCAGCAGCAACAACAACAACAACAACAACAAAAACAACAGCAGCAGCAACAGCAACAATACCCAGAGCCTCAACAGTATCAGCAACTGCCGCAGCAGTACCAGTATCAGCCGCAGCACCAGCAACCGCAGGGCTACCCGGGAATGGCGCCCCCACAAGCCCAACAATATCCACCGCAGCAGCAACAACCTCAATTTCAACCGCCTGTCCCACCGCAGGCTCAAGCAGATGTACTAGGCGCCCTGTTCCGGCGTGCAGGACTTGCATACCAAGGCAATGGTCCCGAGGCCTAGACGGCATTCGGCATTGTCATGATTGTTTTTCGGGTTCAAGATCCGGGGTTGAGTTCACGTCCGGACCTCTAGTTTTTGTTTTTAAGAGCATATCACTTCCACGGCGCATGACTTGGTCGTTAGCCTCTCGGATACATCCATTGACTTGGCTTTGCATTTTCTTCTCCGTTATTTCTCTTCGCCTTTGTCTGAGTCCGGACTGCGAGTAGTGTGAACGGGGAGAAAAGGGAGGGGCGTTCTATCGCTTGAGATACCCGTTGTAATCAGCATCGCACCGATGGCATCTAAATCCAAATATTCTACTTCTATTTGCGCTTTTCTATATCTCAAAGAGAGAGAAGGGAACACTCCTGAACCAGACACATCCAACAAGCCCAGTAAGCCATCTATACAAACTCTCCACCCCCAACAATCTCACCAATCATTCCGGCCACCTTCCGAGCCATAAAATCACTATGTTCTTCAACAAAAACCCCAAGATCAGCAGCATATTTTAGAAACACCCACACCAGAAAATAACTCACTCAGACAGAACGCATGCGGCAGACCCTCCTCGCAAACCACCATGCGCGGACCATGCCCCCGCAACGCAATAATCTCCTCCCGTGTCTCTTCTGCAACCCAGTGATCCCCACGCCCGAAGTAGAAGAACAACTTGGTTAGCGGCTCGCGTGTGTGCGCCACACCCCAGACGTCGTCGGTCCACTTGTCCGATGTGATGGTGCGCATTTCATCGGCGGCCATATGTCTGGTGCGATACAGTGCACAGTCAGATCGAAGGTGCGAAGAATGCATGGCTAATGTGTAGGACAAGCAGAGCAAAAAAAAGAGAGAGAGAGAGAGAGCAAAACAAAAGGACGGAAGAGTAAGGAAGAGCACGTACAGAGCTTGTTGAACGTGGCCGCAGCCGCTGAGAAACGTGGCGGTTGCATCGAGGGCATGGGCGGGCGGATCGTGCATAACGAGCTTGATAGCGGCTTTGAGCACCGCGGTGGGAAGGACCTGAACGAGGAGACGAGCGAAGAGGCCGACTATAAGGGCTAGACTGGGGATTACGGATAGAAGGCGCTGGAGAAAACGAAAAGAGGAGAGAGTGTTAGCGAAGGGGGTTGTGGTCGGGCTGGTTGAGCGGAGGAGGGCCTACAGTTAATTTCTGCCCGGAGGGTGAGGCGGCGATGTGCATGACCGTTGGAAAGAGCATTGCACCGCCGATGATATCGAAATCTGAGCTGGTATTCTGAGCTTGGGATTCGGGGGCTGAGTCGGCCTCGCGGTGGCGTCGGAGAATCTCCATGGCGATGTATGCGCCGACGGAGTGGCCGATGAGGATTACCTTATGCTTTGATGCAGGCGAAGGTTTGGGTGTGCCATTGGCGCTGGTAGAAGCATGTTTGTTTGTGACCATCAAGGTTTCAAGCTTGTTATGAACAAACTGGATCTGATCTTCCAAGTTATAGAGTTTCTGTGAAGTGGATTCGGGGTTGACCTCGAAACCGCCTAGGCTGCATCCATAGATTTGAATTGAAGGAGAAGACGAGGCTGATTTCTCTGTATCATGTTTTCCATTTTTTTGTTCTTCTTGGGCGGGTGAAAGGTGCTGGCCCAGCAGCGATAGGAATGGATGATAGTAGCTAACCAGGCCAGGGTTGCCAGAAATGAAGAAGATGGTTGTATGTGGCACTTCTCCTTGGGAGCCTGTGTATGTGCAGAAAGTGTTTTGGGTAATTTGTGCATTCATAGTATATGAAATTTCAAGCCAAAGGGGCCTGCTGATCTAGATGCGCTTGCGTGGTGCTTCTTGGGACAAATGAATGGGCCAGATCGTAGGGATTGAGGTTATCTGTGGTATGGCATTAGGTCTTGTAAACACTATAATACGTGTATGGACTTAGATACCACCTACTGGGTGTGGGGTATAGTATCCCTTGCGCTGGGCCATGTGCCCTGCAAGCTATGTATGTTTTGAATGATGTTGGGTGCACGTTGAAGTGGAGGATCGTCATGTGGACCCCGTGCCAGCCGAGCTCCGAGCCTGCACGCTTAGTTATGCGTGGGCCGGGCTCACTGTCGGATATTAAACTCCATCTCCTCGACCACATTTACAGACTACACAACAAGCCACTCCAAAGCTACAGCAAGACACAAAGGACTAGAAAAAATGCAGATGTATTGCACCAGATCCTGACTCCAGGCCCCAGTCCAACCGATCCCATAGCACCATTCATCCCTGGACACGCCCCCAGATTTAGGGCTCTAACACCGCATACTGCAGAAACATCCCTGAAGCGCACCTCGAAAGAAGAAAAAAGTACGAGGCAAAAATGGGAAAATGGGCGATAAAGAAGAAACAAGAAGAAAAAAGATGAGAGAAGTTGGCAACCCGGCCTCAGCCGGATCCAATGCATCCATTTGCCCAGAGACGCCGGCAGAGCAGAGCGCAACGCAATGTACATTATTCATTCCCAGGGTCGGACCATCCAAAATGATAATAGCGGAAGAAGAAGAAAAAGAAGAAGAAAGTACAACACCACAAGTATGAGGGACCACCGCGAAGCACCTGGTTTCAAGATTCAGAATGGGATGGAGAAAAGTTAGGAAGACAGTGTGTAAAAGGATTTGAGGGGAGAGGAAAGCAATCAAGTCGCCAAAGCGCAGCACAGCACAGCAGCAAAATCGGCATTGCAGGGCTCATGGAGTGAAAGAATAAAGAAATCGGAAACAGTTGACACAAGGGAGCAAAACACCCCACACTGCGTCTGGTATCTAGCTCGTCAAAACAACAGGTTGGTGAAAAGTAGAGAAAGAAGGATGGTTGGAGGGCAACAGAACTAGCATGAGGTTTGTAAGACCGGGAGGGTCAGGGACCAGAGCCCGACTGCACGAAACAAAAGATTCATGCAATGGAAATTATCTATCCTCGTCGGCTTGGCTGCAGTCTCTATTCTCTTTCTCGTTGCTTTCACCCGTGACTGTATCGCTGCATGATACATCTGTATCTTGTGTGGTGTGTTTCACCGTAGGCCCGATGTTGATGGCGATTCGTTTAGGCGGGGCACTGCTTGTGACATTGTCAAGCACGCCAGCACTAGCGCCCTTCTCAACAGAGCCTATTGAGCCAATCGAAAGAGTTTTCTTGCGGTTCAAGATTCCCGCGCTGGAGTTGCTACTAGTCGAACTCCGGCGTTTTGGTCCTGCAGCGAGCTTGACCAGCTCATCTTCATCCTCTTCTTCGCGGCGACGCTTCTCCGAAAGGCGTTCAGGTGGTGTCTGGGCTGTTGGTGATGCAGGTGCGACAGGTTCCGGAGTCGGGGTTGGGTCGACTTGGATATCACCCACAGTCAATGGCGGAGCTCCGGCCGATTGATCAGAGGAGTCTTCAGGCTTGGTGTCCATTGCATCCTCCTCGTCGTCATCCGGGTAGTCAACCAGCGGCTTAACGACCGGAGACGCAGAGCCGTTGGGCAGTCCCACTGCACCTACCGCACCATTATCGTGTTGCCACTGGAATCGATGTTAGACACTTGGTTATAATGGCTGTTCACATGCAAGAATATACTTACCTCATCATCGTCATCAGACGTATTGAAATAATCTTCTTCCGCAGCATCCATTTCCTTGACGCCCTGCCAGCGCTGGCCGTTCAAATGCATCCGTTGGGGTGTACCGGAATCATCTTGGCTGAACAGCGTGGAATCGGCCTCGGCACCATAGCCCTGCATTTGGTCGTAGCGTAGGGTCAAATTTTGGAAGGTGTCAACGTATGTGATCAGCTCGAGTTTCTCGCGGTACTTTTCCACGACGTGCTGAATGAAAGGTTTGATATTTTCCCGTTTAATGAACTCGAAAAGCTCCAGGCAGGCGGAGTTCAGAAGGTTATCACGAGGCATAGTCTCGAGGACAATGTCCAGAATCAAGCCAAATGTATTATTGTGAGTCATGATATGTTGGTAGAAGGTGTCCTGGAGGCTAATCAAGGTTCGGAAGAACTTGAGTGCAACCAGCTTCAGATGTTTCTGGGGGGCCTTAAGCAGTTGGGCGACTAAAGGCGCAAGGGCTTCGCTGTGGATAGCATTGCGTGTGCGGAAGAGGTGTTGACGGACGAAAAAGGTGAGAATATCAACAAGATGTGAGTAAAGGGTGACTTCTTGAAATGTCATGTCATTGACTACAGCCACAGAACGAATTAGTTCAAATAATTTGCATACTGGAGGAAAGGGGATGCATTGAACTCACGAGAAGGACGGTTAGCAAGCTGCTTGAGAGGATGGAAGAGCCTTTTGGAAGATTCATCGAAGTGCTGTTGGACGAATGCATCAGAGAGAAGATTGGATGAGCGGACTTTGAAATAATCGGGGCCAGCCCGGGCGAGCGGGTCCTGCAGGGGTATCTGGGGGTCAAGGAGAATCTTGATCGCATCGGCAAGTTGGTTTTTGACGCCAAGATCGCTTTCTTGGTGGAGTAGATCAATCAGGGTGTCTGTGAGGGGGGTCTTCTTTTCGTTCACGGCTTTCAGCATATAACCACGCATCATGACGGGGTCGTGGTCTAGGAGGGCCACCAGAATATCGATTCCAGTGGTGCGCATCGCGGGGTTTGGGTGCTTGACCGCAAATGCAATGACTGCAAACAAGCCATGGCTGATGAAGTTGGCAAACAGCTGAGCCCGCGACGGAGCTTGGAGATTCTTCGCAATAGCAGCGCACTGGTGGAGGAATTGGACGGCATCATCTTTGCGTTTGGCATCGGCGTTTCTCGGGTCAAAGACCGAGAAAAGCTCTCGGAGGAAAGGGCCGTTCGATTGGATATGGTTCACGATTTCCATCTGGTTGAAGAAAATCAGGGAGTTGAGCACGGAGAAAGTCGGATCATCCAGGATGCGGGCCAGCACCACGTCTTTCAGGTACTGCAAGCGCCAGGTGCTCCGGATCTTACGGCGGATCAATTGGTCCTTGATAGGAACGACCTCCTTGTAGCGCGACTTGTCATCGAGGTATTGCCGGTGGTTGGCTTTGTGTGCGGGGAATTCGGGGTCATATTCCAGAGCCCCAACGACCCCAAGGATGATCCTATCGGCGACGACGGTCTCAATAATAGTGTTGTCGTTGAGCAGAATCAGGGACTTCATGATGTTGCAGAGGCGATGCAGGTCATCCAGACTCTCCAGATCCTCCGCCATGGTGACCAGGGGCACCAGTTTGCTGATGTATTCGTCGCGGATGATGAACTTGGACAACGCGTCGCGACCGGCTTGGGTCATGCTGGCTGCTCGGACAATCTGTTCGATCTCGGGTAAGTTGCCTAGTTCCGGGGCGGGTAGGACGATCGATTGGTAGCTCTCGAGATCATCGGAGAGAGCGTCGTCGGCCGCGGCCAAGCTGAGATGTTGCTGGACGGTGTTGACAAAGTCCCTAGAGGTGTCAAGGTCGTCAGTTTCCGGGCCAGGTCCCAGGAGGGGGAGGGGAGGCGTGTTTTTTCAAGCACCCACCAGATCACCGCGCATCCCTCTGCTTCCTGAAAACTCAGCGCCATATCCGTGCCATTCTGTTCGGTCCAGACGATCAACGTCTCTGATCGCGTCATAGAGTCAGCCCACAACATCTTTTTTCCTCGGCGAGTCATACAGAAACGCCCGGGGGTCGGGAGAGGGTGGGACAGAAACCTTGCTGTTTTTGATAGCCATCGTCCTTGGAAATCTTGGTTTCCAGCAGCACGCGATTCGGTTGATCCTCTGATTCGACATATATTCGTGGTTCTTCCTATTCGGTCGCGAAAAAAGAAAACAAAATCAGTCTTGGTTCCCACAAGGTGTAGCTCTTTATTTCTATCTTCCTCTCGAGGACAAGATGAGATGGGTGAGTTGCGGATTGGATGGCCCGGCTTGACTCATGCGCCCGGGGTGGAAGCCGGGCGCGAAGAGACAGCGCTATCAGAGGAGCAGGTCGCGCATGCGACCCGAGCCGAAATCGCAGACACGCAACGCCAAAAGGGACGGGCGGATGTCTTACCCCGAGGATCTGTCCGGTACAGAAGCCAGTACCGCGATCGAACCAGTCATTATCTCTCAGCTCGTAGACCTTGACCCGTTTGCGACCGTCGGGCGGCTGTAGGTCCAGCGCCATGATCCGGCAGGGAAAGGGGACGAGCACGTCACTCCGGGCCTCTCCAGAATGAGTGTGCGCCGGGAGGTGAGGCCGAAAGGGCGGATCGAGAGGGGATCGGGGGCGGGAGGCCGCGGCGGTTGGATCGGTGGAATGAGACGAGAGAGTGAGGAGGAGGAAGGTGGAAGAAGGTGGAAAGGTGGTGTGGTTGGAAGGGAGTGGAGATGATGAAAGAGTCAAAGTCTGCGGAGGGCGGGATGACGATCGCGGTGGAAGGGGGGGAACAATGTAATGGAAAGATTGGAAAGATTGGGAAAAGCTCAGGCTCCCTTTGGGGGGGGGGAGGGATCCACTCTGGCCTCGGCCAGTTCCTGAGTGTCCTCAGGAAGACAGTGTCTGCGTTTTGGCGCTGGACCACGCTTAAGCTCGTCAGGGTCCGGTACGAGTCCTGCTGCTCGGGTGTCGCTGTCCGGGCTGACCAGTACCTGTTTGTACGGAAATACAAGACCGGGGCAAGTACCTGCATGGTCGTTTGTCGCGAGTGTCATGTGTCATGACCCATACGGTCATTTCTGGATACCTCCTCCCCTCAATGCAGACTGCGGAATCTCATATACCTGCCCATACATTGCATCAGGGACCTGGTAGATTGGCATACATCGATAGTCATTGATTCTTTGTTGCGTGCTTCGGTCCACTCGATCTCGAATCATCCGGGAAATGGGGGGATCTTCGGGCCATCTGCATTGCCTGCCAGACATACGGATATAGTACATGGACAATGGGATTTCAGTATCATGGATTGCAGTGACTACGGGGGACCTCAGTGTGACCCCCTTATGATATCGTCATCTACTATGGCAGAAACCAGGGATGCGACGTTCTTCCGGTGCCGGTGGAAGCACATAGCATAGATCGCCACACCTGTACCGGTTCAACCTAGCAAAGATCGCTACCAACCAGACGAATATATAGTAACAGCAGATATAGGCAGAATGCGATTCGCGCTCATTCCTTTCTCCCTTTCTCTGCCCGTTCTCTTCATTTCTACGTCCAGGGCGAGAAGGCCAGAGAAAGGGAGGAAGGGAGGAAGGGAGGAAGGGAGGAAAGGAGGAAGAGAAGGAAGCGAAGGAAGCGCAGGAGGGCAGGAGGGAGAAGGAAGCCTACTTGCTGGCCAGGCACTATTGGGCCATTTTAAGCCTTCGTCGAAGCTTCCACCCGCCTTCGGTAGGCCCGCCCAACGTGATCCCCGGCCGCGGTACCCAAACTCCCCGACCAACAGCCCCACCTTCTCTACACCTCCGATCCCCTGCCCAAATCGGATCGCGGAACCTGTCCAGCTCCACAGGGTTGGTTCTTGATAAGAATATTCCTCTCCATAAGGGGATGTGACAAACCGGAAACGATCGGCCGACGACTCAACGGGAGTTGGGCCGGCTAGAGTGAGCGATTCAGCACCCTTTAGCTTCGGTAGCAGTCAGAAATCCGATTTCGACCGGGTATCGACGACTCCTTGCAGTCTGATGATATTATTTCCGAAAGTCGGATTCACTATAAACGATGTGTCCAGTCAGGGCCAATATAGTCACATCACCTACTTTGTTTCAACCGAATCTGGCTCGCTCAGCGACGATGTTTTTGGCTGCAAGTCCCTCTAGTATATACAGACGCCAAAAGGGAACACAATAAATCGCGTCGCAGCTTGCACGATCGATACAAGTGCATTTCTTAGAATTCCCCCCCAAAAATGCTGATAGTTTCAAATCTATAGCAACCGTAAATAAGGCTGAGATTTGAACTGTTTTTCTCGCTGCAAACTAAAGTCCTGTTGGGATCCCGTCAGAGCGGGCATGCTGCAGTGTAAGTCTGGACTCACTAAACTTGGTAAAAGGTATCTTCTTGGATATTTTAACTACTTCCGTGTCATCACTTCGTCTGCTCTGAATGGTCGGGGGAAAGTAATGCGGGCAGCGAGGGTCTCCATTTCCAGAACGTGTTGTGATTGGGGTTCACAAAGTAATGTGAGAACATACATCGTGATCAATTTCCGAGGGCACTGACTGATAGTATGGTATCTTGAATTCCATCCCCCAAAGACCTCCACTCTCCCCCAGATGCGAAGACGAGAGAGATCAAGATCCAGTGACAAGAGATATACTCCCGACTCCTCGGTGGGGGCCCATACTCCACTTCTTCCCGTCCCGCTGCTTCTGATTGGCACAAGGCCCTCACGCCAAAGGCCTGGGACGGGAACAACCACGAAGCGAACAAAAATCTCGTGGCGGATTCTTATCGACGCCCGATCGGGAAAGGTTCCAGACTCTCTCGCTATTTTTTTTCTCGCCATGTTTTTGCCTTTCTTCCTCCTCACCCCCCACCTGTCTCGGTGAACCGCCCCAAAAACGAGCGACTTCTGGGAGTTTTGCGCTCGTTGTTGGCTGTAAAGCTCCTTATTGACGACCCACCCTCGATCGACACTGCGACTGTCCGGTACAGCGGTCATCTTGACGAAAAAGAACCCGCAAACGGCCTTGATCTCCCGTATCGAAGCTTTCCCCGCAACAACGGACTTTTCTTTCTTGGACCTTGTCGCATCGACTATTCGCCATGTCCGACTCTAAGGATCAGGTCATTGTCCAGACGGCCGACGCCATGGATCATTCCTCGGCCTCCGTGCCCAAGAACGATACTGCAGTGGTCGTCGACCCCGCAGTCGAGGAGAGCGTCGCTGCGCCGGCCGACAAGGTCGACAACGAGAAGAAGGGCTTCCTGGCGTTCTTCAAGACGAAGGAGTTCTACATCATTCTTGTGCTGGGGTACGTTTTTATGCCTTTGTCGCGGGCTAGAGTTATACTCCCCGTCAGATGAAGGAGTCCAGAGAATCCAGACTGACGATCCTCCAGACAACTGCTCGCCATTGCCAATACCGCCACAAGCACCTTTACCACTCTCCTCGGCAATGAGAACTGGGCGATCCCCACGTTTCAGGTGATGCTTAACTACCTTCTCTTGACGCTTATTTTCACTCCTTATACGATATACCGTTACGGCTTCATGGGCTGGCTCCGAGTGATCTACCGTGACGGCTGGAAATGTAAGGATCCCCCTCCCCCTCTCTCTTCTTGCTCGTTCTCTCGCGTATGTGACCCTCAGCTCAGGTTCCCGCATCTCCTCTCTCTCTCTCTCTCCTTTTTTTTTTTTTTTTGCCAGCATATACCAGATCAATTGTATAGTCAACTCACCTTCTCTCTTCTCTACACAGATATCATTCTCGCGTTCTGCGACGTCGAGGGCAACTACTTCATTGTGCTGGCATATCAATACACCACCATGCTCAGCGCCCAGCTCATCAACTTCTGGGCCATCGTCGTGGTCGTCATCATCTCCTTCCTCTTTCTCAAGGTGCGCTACCACTTCACACAGATCCTCGGAATCGTGATCTGCATCGGCGGAATGGGCATCCTCATCGCCTCCGACCACATCACCGGCACCAACGGCGGCGACGTCTCCAGCGGCCACCAGCTCAAGGGTGACCTGTTCGCACTGCTCGGCGCTTCCTTCTACGGTCTCACCAACACCGCCGAAGAATATTTCGTCAGCAAAAAGCCCGTCTACGAAGTGCTTGGCCAGCTGTCGCTATACGGCGTGATCATCGACGGCGTGCAGAGCGCCATCTTCGAGCGCAGCAACTACGTAACCTCGACCTGGGACGGCAAGGTTGGCGGCTACCTGACCGGCTTTACGCTGTGCCTCACCCTGTTCTACTGCCTGGCGCCGCTGCTGTTCCGACTGTCATCGGCCGCGTTCTTCAACATCTCCATGCTGACCATGAACTTCTGGGGCGTGTGCATTGGTATCAAGGTCTTCCACTACCACATCCACTGGATGTACCCCATCGCCTTCGTCCTCATCATCATCGGCCAGCTGATCTACTATCTCGGACGGCGCGCCCTTGCCGAGGCCCGGAAGCCATGGCTTGGCGTGAACCAGGAGCAAGGCGTTGCAGGCTTGTTCACGGCGAAGCAGCGCATCGAGCATGCTGTGCCCGAGGCAGCTGCGCAGCACGACGAGCAGAATTCGGCGCGTCCAGCCACAGCAAGCACGAGCGCTGTCTAGAGATGAGCTCGGGGGTGTGGTATTGAGACGATGTTCAATTCTTGATTTACCTTTTTTCCCTGTTCCCTCCCGGAGGTTCGTTCTGACCATCTTGTACATGACGAGGACGGATACCGAGCAAAGGGATGCGCGCGCCGAGCAGTATATAATCAGGGGTTCCACATACACGCACATATAAAACCCGGGAGAGATGGTCGGGGGTTCTAGACGAGGTTAGAGGGTGGTTTTCGGAGGTGGGACGCGGACGTGACACCCGCTGACTCTCCCTGCTTCTCCAACTGCAGCTGGTGATACGATCGGGGGAGAGGGAGGGAGGGAGAGGGAGCGGGGCCCTGACGCATGTGTTAATGCTTAATTTTATTTTATCTGACTTTGACGAATGTTTGAAACGTTGCTAGTTACCATTACGAGAGATACTTTATCCATGAGTGATTTATACGAATGACAATCGGCATTGTGATATGTATACTCAAACGAATGGCCCTGTCCATCTCAATGGATAATTCCAAATTGATATTAATCTGACTACACGTATCACTAGATCCATGCCCTATGATCCGGGTGCAACATTCATCTGAAATAGTTCAACCCCGGCAAAGTACACGACTAATTTTGCCCTTCTGCTCCTCTACTCAAATTTACAGTGGGCACGAGAGGACCAAAATAAAAGAGCACCCAAGATATGTAAACGATCTAGTCATAGCAGGTGGGAATTTCACCCCCCGTCAAGCCCCAAATTGCATTCATATCCAAACTCCTCCACGAGATGATGAAATCGGATCAGATAATCAAACACCGAGAGACGAAACCGGGGTGAAGCCCGCCAGAGATGAGAGGCCCCGATGGATTCAGTCTCTTCCGCCTAGCGCACCAAGATAGAAAGACATAACCCAATAATCCAGCCCGCCGAACCCCGAGGTTCCATCAACCAGGCCACAGGGCAATTTCCCAGGCAAAAAGCACAGTAACACGGAAACCGATACCGACGACACAGGAGAGAGAACCCCCAAGAGGAGGGAAAAGAGGAACAAATTTCGCCAAAGTCGTGAACCAGTTATGTAGACAGATAGTTTTTTGTTTGCTCCGGAACGATGGAAAAAGAAGATAAAAAGGAGACGAAAAGAGACAAACAACCAGTAAGCCCAGCAACCAGGGAGAACCGACTCCAGGAAACGAAAAGAAAATAAATAGCCCAAAGCCCAAGTCCAAACCCGCCCAGTCAGCCCTCGCAGGTCACAACAAAATAGCTCCGTCGTCCGCCCAAGCCAGCTCGGTGAATCCAAACCGAAAAATAACAAGAAGGAAAAACCCCCAGAATAGAGACCAGAAGACCAGAAACAAGACGAGAATGAACCAACCCTAGATCTCGCAGGCAAGAGAAAAAAAAGACAAGTATAAGATAAAAGGCAGGACAGGGAAATGAAGAATGAGGATGCGACAGAATCTGACAACGCAATGTAATGCCAGGCGAGGCGATAATCGCCGACACACTCACCACTCATCACTTCGACCCTTGTGCCCTTCCATGTATATGTACCGTAAGCGGCTGCGCAGTGCTTGGGTCCCAAAAAATAAGAGCAGAGAAAGGGAGATCAAAAAAAGACGCAGCAAAACAGTAAGAACCCCGTAAGTTCACCCCAACGCAATGTGGAAAAAGAAAGCCGAATTTTTCTCGGAACGCCGCAGGATAAGAAGAGCGCAGAGAAACGAACACCCCCACCAACAACCCTCACCACCGCCAGAGTGGAAATGCATGCCAGGTGACTGTTGCGCCGAATTCGGGGTCAAAAGAGCGGACAGAAGAGACGAGATGAGAGACAAAAGGATCAGCCTCAGCCCCAGACCGAGGCCTGCACACCCAATCCGCTCTTGGAGCCCCAGACGCCGCTGCCGTTGCTCCAGCCTAGCCCCACGCCACCGTCCTTGGGACCCGGGCCGTTGGCCGAGGCGGCCACGGCCGGGTTGGAGGCAGCTGATGTGGAACGCTCATTGCCCGCGCCAGTAGCTGCTTCGCCGGAAGTGAACCCGAAGCCGAGAGGGGAGGGCAAAGGGGTCGTTGCACGAGGTTTGTTCAGGGCCGGGTTGGCCGCGGCGGCCACGGCAGTCGCTTGGCCGGGGAGCGGACGAGAGCCGATAGGGCCTACAGAGCCAATGGGACCGGCGCCGGGCTTGGAGGGGGCCTGCCGGGAGGAGGGCGAGTCGGCGCCAGGCGAGGAGGTCGAGGTGACGGGCTGCTCGGAGAAACCAGCGTTAATAGCGGAGCTAGGCGATGAGGTGCTATTAGCGCGGGTCGGAGACTGCACGCCGTCCGCGGAGGCGCCGGAAGCCTGGGTGAGGCCGAATGGATCAACGCCACGGGGGGAAGCGCCGCGGACGCCCGCCGACGAGGGCGTGCCGGTAGCCTGGCTCTCGGAGCGGGAGTTGTCATCGGAGAGCGGACCAGGGGGGGAAGAAGGCGGGACTCTCGTTGCCGTAAAGAGCACGGTGCTGGCGGGCCAGCAGTTCGCGGCGGCCTTCTTCGCTCATGGCTGCGGGACTGACGGACCGATCGGACTTGCTGGCGGACATTTCGGCAAGGAGGCCTTTGGAGAGAGCAAAAATCACGTATTAAAAACCGAGACCTTTCAAAGAAAGAAAAAACGAGAGAGAAGGAGAAAAGAAGGATTTGGAACAAGAGGCAAACCAATATATTATACAGGGCCGACCGATACATAGATGCAGAGAAAAGAGGAAAATGACGGGGGGATATAGCAACACGAGGAGAAAGAAAAAAAAAAAAATCACAGGCTACCACGTACTTCGGTTGTACTGCTGCTCCTGATGGTAGTTGCGGAGCTCCCGTTCACGCTGTGCCGCCATCCGACGCTTCGCCTGCATCATCTGCTCTACTTCATTCGGGCGTCCCTGGTACCGCTGCGAGGCATAGAAGCCCTGTACATTGCCGGACGGGTGCGCTCGAGAGCCCTCGAACTCGCTGATCGAATGGTGACGCTGGGGGCCACCGGAACCGCCCATGCGAGGGTCTGCACGATCGAGTCTTCGAGTCAGGAATGGGTCGAGAGGAAGGATTTCAATACCGTCGACGATGGGAGAGTGACCACCTACCGTACTCGGGGTAGGGACGGCCCATCATCATGGGCATCGAGTCCCGGCGAGGAGCATTCCACAGCTTGCCGCTCTTGACCAGATTGTCGATCGCGCGATCAACCTCTATTTTCCGACCAAGGACCCATCGTCAGCACAATCACATCCTACAAGATTCGAAGCCAAAGCGATCACGGGCGGTAGAAGGAGGGGGGGGAGGGTAAGAAATTGTCCGGAATTTGCCCATTGGAGCGCAACAGTCTTGTTGAAAATCATTGTATGTTCGTCCTCGGCCTTGAGGGGATGATCGTGTGCCCAGCACCTAGGTTTTTTTTTTTTCTCCCAGCTTGTTTCGGCCGAGCAACGAACCAATTTGAACCGAAGCGTTGAAGACCGTCGGACCACCGGAGACATCAGGGGGGAAAGAGGGCAGAAGAAAGGAAAGAGATCGGGATTGCGTACCGTCAAACTGGGAGGAAAAGGCCGGGCTATCCTCGCGCTGGGAGACGGAGCTCGAGCCTGGAACAAGATCAGTGAGTGTCGGGCGATGCAAGGTGTTGAGGGCAAATCCATACCTGACCGGGAGGGCGGCACCGGTTGTTCCCACGAGGCCTGGCGGGCAGCCGGAGCCTGCCAACCCTGAGGTTCGTAGTAGGAGGACATGGTCGAGTCCTGAGGCCTGGTTGAAGAGGGAGGGACGAGAAAGGTCGCGACGGTTCAGGGGGTTTCGGCGATTGTGTGGGTTTTTGGGGCGGGCAAAGGCGGCGAGCGAGATGATCCGTCCGGTGCTGGCGAGAAGGAAAAAAAAGTGAGATCCCAGCACCCAAACCACAAGACACGAAGAAAGAGGGACAAAAAAGAAAGGAAGAAAAAGAAGAACAAAGCTCGCGCAACTTGAGATGCAACTGGAAATGCAACACGAAGCGGACACGAAGCGGATGGAGTTTGGGTGGGAAAAAAAGTGGCCGTGGGTCTCTTTCTTCCCCCCCCCCTCTCCTCGTTTGTCAGAACAGAACGCCCCGGCTCGGCGGGTTCGGGGCGGGATGGGTATTTCGGGGGGGAAGAGGAGGGGGAAATTGATAATTCCAGGCTTCGGATCAAGAACGAGATCGGACTGACAGGAGGTGATTGGGGGAGGGTGGGAGGATAAATATGTAGAACGAACTAGCAAAACATAGACAAGCAGTGCTGCTTACCTCGAAGATTGGCACAACTCCCACGAGTCAACAGTCAACAGTTGGATGAGCGGAGGAGAAAGTCCGAAGGGAAAAAGGAGGGAGGGTCCAGGCTTCGGAGGACGTTCTAGCAGCACTTGACTAAGGACCGGTTGAACGGACACACTAGGCCAAGGACAAAGTAGGTACAGAGTTGCGGAGTTGCGGAGTTACATAGTTACATAGCGACCAAGTGACCAAGTGACCTAGTGGCAGCGGGACAGCGGGACAGCGTGACAAGAGTGACAAGAGTGCCAGACTGCCGCGTCCGAAGTACACCAGCAGAGGGGAGATTGAGATGCGGACCGAGGACCAGCCGCCCAGCGAGGAAAGGGGAAGTCCAAGGGGAAAGAAATCGAGATATTTATTTGGGAATTCGAGTGCATCCAGGCATTACAGATTACAGGAGCTAGTCGGAGTCCAGAGAAACACGGAGAGGAGGTTGTGGGTGTATGGAGTATAGAGTATATATAGATCGCGAAGTATGGGCAAGAGATTGGGGATAATTGATGCGCATCGTGAGACCATCCAAGTTGCACAGTGGGACAAGGAGAAGCAGTTAGCCTGAGGATTGATGATTCTGATTAGGTGTTATTATTGATCAGGGCTATTTTCGGCGGGTTCCTTTTTGCTTTTGAGGGATTTTGGTTCGGTCTCATTTCGCTTGGAGTGGAGCCCTCGCTATTTTTTTTTTTTTTGTGGAAATCAACTGAACGGAGCTGGAATCCAGTGCACGAAACCCTGGAGTCTCGCAGTCTTCCGTGGTCCTCGCCTATTAAATAAGAGGGCATGTGTATGATAGTCCACCAGGAAGAATCCCAGAACCAATTGTATCCATTGTAACCTATTGTACTGATTGTACCTATTATCTCTGTACCAGTGTCAGCCTAGTACTCGACGGACTCCGTACACCCTACATAACTCCATCCTCCACTCGCCGGGCCCCCCCCCCCCTCCTGTCCTCTGTCATCAAATCCCAGCGTTCCAGGCGCGGCAATTCCCGGTCGCCCCCATTGGGCCTTTGACCGGGGCCGGCCACCGGAGATTGGACAGAGACCGGTGTGCCTAAGCGTCGACTAGCATCCAACGTCCCCCCCCCAACTCAAGCACTCAATCACTGATTCGCTCTGGTCCCGGATTTCCGGCCGACTTCTCTCCCTTCCGGGTACAGCAGGACCTCCAGAACAGACCAAGGATCCGAGGACGGTCAAAGTGAGGGGAGAGCGTGCGCGAACTGATGTCATCGTGCCCAGCACGATCGGGGTCAGTCCGAGAGCCCTCATGCAAGTATGGTGGGACTGACGAACGCCCGAGTCCGAGGAACCAGGGTGATTGAGTACAGCATACAGATTTCAGGGCATGGAGGACGGTGTAGATGGACAGTAGATGAACAGTAGAGAGATCATGCCGGCTATTAATACTCTGTTCCACGACTATCAAACCATGATCGCATCCCAAAATCCCTAGATCATCATATATGGCTCCCCCTCGATTCGGAGAACTGCTCGATCAATTCCCGTTACCCCGCGGCTCAACAAACATTGGCATTGTTCCGAGTACCTTGCCAGAAAGGGGCCGCTATCCCCACTCTTCCGGCTTCGATTGGAACACTTATTCGATCTCTATTTCCCGTCAATTTGGCCAGCATCTCCCGCCCGGTTAGAAGCTGAAAAGCTGGAATCACTTGCCGAGTCGAGGACCAGGGGAAGGCAGCTTCATCTCCATACATTCATACATACTTTCGCAGTGGAGCCAGCCTAACGAGAGTATCGATAGTAACCATAGGGCGCTCTAACTTATTGGCCGAAGGAGTCCCGGCGCCGCTTCCATCGCATTCTCACGAAAGTCGCTGTAGATGGCTAGTATTGCTATTTTTTTTTACCCCCACTGTCTCGAGGGCACATTGACCCAGAACTCTACCGGCATCATCGAGACCGCGCTGGCTCCGTACGAGATGAGCGTGCTCCTCACCACTTCCGTACTGCAATGTACCTTCCTGTACCCTGCACTCGGTGCATGCAGCCTGCCCGGCACATGCGAATGACGGTCCAAAAAGCATGTACTTCCAAGATACATCTCCGGTACATCCCTTCTACCCTGCTCCTCCCGTACTGCGGATGTACCAGTAGAAGGCATGACCTCCATGAGATCCACGAGCCCACATAGGGTCCCCGGCAGGACAGGACGCACTGTCGTCTTGCCTGCATAACTCCCGGGCGTCTGCCTTTCCATCTCGTGTCTCGTACAAAGCATGTACTGCATCACGGTGCCCCCCCCCCCCTGGCCACTGACCGAAGACATCTGCGAGGCTGCTCACGGTCTCAGTGGCTGACCTATGCCCCTCGTTGCCCCTCCCTCGAAGTACTGGGAACAAAAACGCTTCAGCCTTCTCCACGCGGCCCCTCATGAGGAGGAATGGCAGGGTAAACCCCCATAGCAGCCTGAGTCCTCCTCTTCCTGGGTGACTTCTTCTATACATCCTCATCCTCTTCGCCTCCTTGTTTTTCCCGTATCCCCCGCTGTCGAATGATCGTTGCTCAATACTCCCTCGCCACAATAGCCCAGCGAGGAAGTCGACAAATGTTCAATCATCGTCGACCGTCTCACCCGATTTCCCCACGCCTGGCCCGTGCTCATAAGAACTATCGGCCAATTCAGGAGTGTCACAGTGGGGCCTCTTTGTGGGCAACAGCTGCGATAATTCCGCTACGTCCGTGTCCCCCCTCCTTTCGGATTATACAGAATGTGCCATTAGCCTCATACAGCTTCATACAGCCGCCCCAAAGACGGGGCCCGCTGACCCTAACAAGAAGGAGCATGTCGAGGTCAAGAGGTGCGCCCAAACATCCATCTCCTATGCACTAATAGGGCCTTCGCCTCAGCTATTGAGGTGTCGGCAGCGACAGCGACAGCAGTAGATGTACGGAAAGAAAAAAAATAGAATCCGAGTGCCGTGCGGGATCGTGATCGCGGGGCCCCCGTCGTTCGGAGTAAATTTAAGATCTATTCTTATTGTTCATTTATTATCTTATGGATGGAGCCCCCGTTGTTGATGCTTTGCCGCCGCTTTTACCTCCCGACTCCCGAGTAGATGTCAGCACGGCGGCCTGCATCATGTGACGGAGAATGTATCGGAGTAGTAAGTTGATGGGAGGTGATGCACTAGGACGGGCCCGGGCCTCGCAAAGAGCTATGGAGTGACTCTTCTTCTATAATTGCACGCTGACTGACTTCAGCGGTCAGTAATCGCCTGGCTTTGCTGTGATCAAATTTCAAGACTGTCTTGTGGATATCGTGCTATCGGGGTCGACGGGCAGCAGTACCTAAAAGAAGAGATAAAAGCCAAGAGAAATTGAAAGTCTAATTCGTCTAGAAGTTCATACGGACGTCATGTAGTGTCTTGAGGGAGAGTGCCAGAACGCGTCCGCTGGAGAATGTGCTAATATTAATCTTTAGTCGACTCCATCGTATTCTCTGATCTATATAGAAGCATAGATTTTTCAATTTGAGTTTGCAGAAGGGTTCGAGAAAAAGACGGCTCAGGGTCTCTGAGAACTATTGCAGATCTCCTCCAGGACTTCACAAAACCGTTTCAGTAGAGCGTCTGCCTCGTCCTGTCGGAGAACTGCGTTGGAAGCCTCAAGCGCAAAACACGCAGTGGTGCTGCTAGGATAGACAAGCAGCCAAACAGTATCCTCAGGAGGGAGATTGAAAAATTGTGTGCTCTTTCGACAGCTCACCGGTCCAAACTGCGTTTGGGGGCTTCTGTTGAAGTTTTGGAACGCAATCACCGAGCCTGGTTTTGTTCCTCGTGGCCACATGGTACAACCCTGCACCATTTCATCCCACCCAATGGTCTCAAAGCTGATGCCTTCAGCATGCTCAGACTGCACGTCCTGGAGGAGATCATGAGGACCCGCAGACTCCAGCGTCTGGTGAACTCGCACTGGAATCGTGTTGATGCAGGGGCCTAAGATTTCGTCGACACCAGGAAGAAGGAGATTGCGTGCGGCTATTAATTGACCAAAGACAACGTCAGAGCAGCCAGTCCATTCTTGCAGAACTGTTGCCCATGCCACCTTGACAACTGTAGCCATAGTCCGCCCGGCAGGGGGCGTAGGCAAAGGCATCTCCCGCTCAAAGCAGACGTTTTCCTCCCGTGCCACCGGGATATTGGAGAAGGGAGCCGGGGTGACTTGTGCGTTCTCGAGTAGGCCTCTCCAGAATTGGTATGCTTCGGGGGTTCTTTGTCGGACGCATTCTCTCGCATATGCGGCAAAATCTGATTCGATATGAATAGCTTGGTCTTGATATCCAGACCACAGATCAAGTACCATCTTCTGAAGACCTACGGCATCGTATTGCGCATGTAGAAGCCTGATAATCAGAATGGTGTCGTCTTGTGAACCTTGAACCAGCTTGAATTCGACTCGGGGCTCATCTGCACAATAGGTCTTTTTCAGCTCGGCCTCGCAAAACGACTTCGTCCACATGTCGGCAGTCATATCCTGTGGACATTCGATAGAAAATGGTACATTCACATGGTGTAGAATGACCTGCATGATTTCCTCTTGGAAAGGAACAAAAATCGACCGCAAGATGGTATGCTTGTCAACGAGCGCTTGGCAGGCACGACGAAGTTGAGATATATCCACAGGGCCTTTCAATTCATATATATGATAGTCGAGCATGTGTGTCGAAGCCAGGATGTGTTGTTCCTCGAGTGTTGGGAAAGCATCCTCAATCTGATCCGCTATTAAAGTAGCAGGGAGATTGGCGAGGAATTTATCCCGAATTGACTTGAATGGATCAGAAGCCTCGACAGGTACAGAGACGTCGTTATCTTTATGGCACCTGGCAAGGGTCAACAAAGAGGAAGATCGGAATAGATCAGCTACCGTAATGTAAAGACCTCTCTGCCGGCATTTGGTCACCAGTTCTCGAGCGGTGATGGAGTTTCCGCCGAGGTCGAAGAAATTGGACTGCATTCCGATTGTTCTCGATGGCAGATTAAGCACCCTTGAGCACGTTTCTTGAAGTACAATTTCCAACGGAGTGACTGGGTCTTGGTGAACAACGTCATGAGTGGTGTACGCCAGCAGATCCTTACGAGACAGGCTGGAAGCTGCCTCACGCAGCATTCGTCGATTCAGCTTCCCGGTAGCGGTCTGTGGTAAGGCTGCAATAGCCACAATGGCCTGTGGGGTTAGATAGCTAGGGAGGGCCTCATGAAGGGTTGACAAGGCCTTTCGGGCTTCTTGACGGAAAGCAGGGGTGGGACACGCGAAAAGATTTTCGACCAGACCGTCTCGCTTGAGCATGGATTGTTGGTCTCCAACAGGTACAAAGGCAACCAGTAAGGGATTTTGGGATGTATCATCCGATGGAATAATCACATCTACTACTGCCGGGTCTTTAGTGTTGAATAAAGGGCACAGGTGGTGTTCAATCTCAGCAAGTTCGATTCGCTGGCCTCGAATCTTAACCTGGGTTCCTTTACGGCCCACCAGGTACAAGGTCCCATCATTTGGGTTGTATTTGACGAGATCACCAGTCTTCAATAGTCGGGTATGGCTATCTGGTCGGATCGACTTCAGCCAAGCTGGAGCGTGTATGAATGTCATCCGATTTTGCTCTGGATTATCCAGATACCCATCACTTACGCATGGGCCTTCAAGTAGCAGCTCACCCTCTGCACCAATTGGCATCAAGATGTCTGGATTATGGGGATTGACTACCCACGGAATGGCACAGTGTGGTCGGTTGTACTGGCGAACGTCACAGCCGGGCTCGTTGCGATCGGCAAACGAGCAGCACTTGGAGTTCTCTGACTGTCCGTAAAGAGACAGGAGTTGTATGCCACGATGCTGCCACCTTTCCAGCTCATTCACAGGTATGGTTTCACCGACAATGGCCAAGGTCTTCACCCCCGAGAGATCTGCTGGATCTAGGAGCCGAAGAACCGACGGAGTCAGCTTGGCCCAGTTTGCATTATGTTCGCGAATGGCTCCTAGTAAGTCGTCTTGAAGCATCTGCTCAGACGGTACACAGATGCAAGAACCCCTTGTAAGAGGGGCAATCTGGTCTATGAGACTGACGATGAAAGCATAGGAGGCATATTGTAGCACACGAGACTGAGTTGACAGGCTGGACTGCTGACAATAGGTCTCTAGACCACTCGAAAATGCCGCATGATTCATCACAAATCCTTTTGGTTCCCCTGTCGAACCAGAGGTAAAGCCGGCGTACATCATGCTATCGGCAGGGACAGTTGCGAATTGTTGCGGTTGCGCAGGAGGTAGTTTTTCTTCTTCAAAATCACGAGGAACTATCCAGGTGGGAAGTTCGAGCTTCTTCGCCAATGCTTCATGCTTGGATGAGGCCAATATGAGCCGTGCTTGAGTTTTGTGAATCATCAAAACGAGCCGTTGGACGGGATGTGAAGCATCCATGAGATAGAAACATCCGCCGGCTTTCAAGATGGCATATATGGCCACCGTCGTCCACATAGATTTCTCCATAAGCAGGCCAACAAATCGATTCGGGCCCACCCCGGCGGCGACTAACCGAGCAGCCATGTTGGTGGCCTGCTGATCCAGTTGGCCGTAAGTCAGCGTACCATCCCATGCACAGATTGCGGGGGCTGATGGTTGTTCCCGGCATCTTTGCTCGATTATATGATGAGCCAGTCTCTCATCACGTTGCGGAATAGCCTGAGCATTCCACTGAAGGATCTTCTCGATGCCTTCAATGCTGTTCCCTTGAATGTCACCAAGAGACGCTTGTGACATCTTTGTGATGCTAGTATAGACATGACGGAGCTGGAACAAGATCATTTTCATCAGTTCGGTTTCCAAAACTTTTCCGTCAAACAGTGCGTGAATTTCGATAGCATTTGGCCGAATTCGAACATGTATTTGAAGAGGACATGTGCTGTCTAACTCTTCGAAGGGTTGTTCCCCATCCTCTACGATCTGGAGAATGTTTTTGAGGGTGCCCGTATCTTGAACTGCATCATATGTTGCAGTGATAGAATCCTGGACTTGGTCAAATGCCGCCGTGATGGAATCCTCTGGTCGGAGTCTCAAAGCACATGGCTGCAGACCAGAGTAGGGTGGCCGTGCAATGCCAAATAGCACATCGTTTGAACTGGTATAGTGGACCAGCACAATTCCCCATGCCAGTGTCAAAGCTTTGGTAAACCTGCCATCCCCCAGAGAATTATTGCAGTTGTCAATAACCAGATTAATTCGATCTTTCGCCGAGCTTTGGTCACCATTGAATGGTGGCAGTGCTACTGGAAAGCTTTCGGGGTGAAAATCGGGAACACTTCTCATTTTGTGCGACATTGTTCCTCTCTCTTTATGACATACTCCTACTGTCAAAGCAAGATACTCTGATTTTCGCGTGGTTGACACCGATCTTCGAGTTCACTTGCCGTCGGTGTTATGCCCGAGGCCTATTTAGTAGTACACTAATTTACACAGGTACTCCGTTTAACGATACATAATTACAGTACACATACATACCGCCGTATCTCAATCGTGTATACACGCGTATTTCCACTATAGTAGTTAGCGGGAAGCCATTGAAACACGGGTCCGCAGTTCAGCTGATTTCCTTCAGCTACAGAAAGTGGATCTGCTGGAAAGCCTGGAAGTGATTTCATGATTCACCCTCAGCTTTCAAGTTCTTTGCTAACGATTAGACCTCCACCAGGTCCTTCTTCGAAAGAATCCGGTTCCTGCAGGCCCACTTCCCAGGGTCAACTCTTGTGGTCTAGGCAAATCTTGCCAAGGAGTACGTAGTACTCTGTCTTTTTACAAACCAGCATATTGATTATTTTTGGTTTCACAGATGCGTTGTATATTGTCAGGCTTCTCTCACTTGGTCCGCTTATTAATAGCACTCAGCTTGGGCTAGCTCGTCTCTAGGTCGCTCTCATTACGTATTTTATCTCTGGAGCAGGGGAGATTCCCCAGTTCTGGAGCTATTTTCTAGGTCGGTTACTCGAATCTCGGTAGCGGGTCTCATGTGAAATAAACATTTGAGGAATATGGCCTAGACAAGTGCCGGCTTTCTCAACACTTCCGTAGTCTAAACAAAAATTGGCTCCCTCAGTAGCTCAGCAGACCTATACCGTAGCATATGGTTGATAGTTTCGGGGTACTTGGCATTCATCTTGGATATGAATTTGTTTTTGTCATCTTTGGAAGCCTAATTCAATCCACCTTTGTCTTTAAGCTCTGGATCCGTCATGGAAATTTTGAAATAGATCTCGCTAAATATTTTCCCTTCTTCTGTCCCATTCATCTCAATTGTTTATTTAGGTTTCGCGTATGCCTACGTCAATCAAAATCCAACTAAGAATGTAGATGATTCGCAAGTAGGCTGTATTGGTGGTCTATACAAGACTGATTCGGACCTTCTTGGCTTAGTGCGGGCCATTTTCATATAGTGTTATGGCTTGAGCAGTGCATACGTTGTTTTCTCTTAACTCTCAACGCGGCTAAAGGCTATCAAGGGCTTTCTGGTCAGGAAGCTCGCACGTTCTGAAATTTTCTCCAACTAGCTCATTTTTACAGCTGTGGATCTTTTGAAAATCGAAATATTCATGTTTCTGAAGCTCCAGCTTTAGTATGGGTAAAGCTGGCTACCGGAAAATTCGCACCCGATCCGATCGGTCATGCAGGGACGGAAAGGCAAGGGACCCTGCCCAAACAACTCCACAGTTCGATTTACGCTTAGTGGGGTTAGGCATGCTTTGCTGGCCGTCCCCCCCACACCATTTTGTTTTCAAATTTCTTACACAAAAATACTGAAAATATTACGCAAATACTTACTTACGCATGAAAAGTACACGGATAAGCTAAGTTACATACGGGTATCTACAGGTTGCAGACAGGACAATGTGGAGTAGTTGTGTATTGCATGCAGATCAGGTTCGTCGGCTCTGATCGAGAGATCGATGGCTGAAAGCGAATAGGCTAGCTCCGTCCCAACAGACATTTCGGTTGTCACCTACGGCATATTGAGGAAAATATAGTTTTCTAGGGGACCCGAAAATGCTCGATGCAGGAGCGATCGACATACTGCCGGAGCTGAGGTTCAGCCCTCAATGAGGGTTTTCGACGTAATTTCGTGACCACCTTCCCATTCAATCACCTTCAGCTGTTAGACTCGGGCCCAACTTTCACGGTCAACTACCGAGGTTTTCAATGACATCAAAGGACACTTTTTACGAAATTTATTCAATTTAGGGAATCTCGGATGTAACATTTTAAGCGATCTTAGAGTTGCTGCATCGTCCTAGTCAGTTGGAATGAGACCAGCCAATTAAGCCTGGGTCCCCTTGATTCTCTTTGGTTATCCTCATGAATTGGCCGATCTTCACTCGAGTGTGATCGGACCTGCCGATTTACACCATTCACCACGTGTATTTCCCCCAGTCCGGATGTCGTGTTTCAAACCCACAGATTCCTCAGTAATTACAGTAATTTCTAAATCTCGTGGCATTTTTCTCCTTTTTATGCATCAAGCCCTGTGATCTAAGAATGCCAAACTAGGCATCCGAGTGCTTTCGTATGTGATATAGCAAGATCAAAGTGTATAAATATATATCAGCACTTGTACTATTGTATGCAATATGCCCCTTTTTTAAAAAAAAAAAAAAAAAATTGATGACCAAAATCCCGAAGAACAGTATCTACACATTTTCATACTAGGATACGCTACAGCTGTCTGAATTCCCAATGTCGAACGAAATTGTGTAGTCTCTTGAGATCTCACTTCATGGACACTGTCACATGGTTTTCTTGGATGTATTATGACTACGAACATGAAGTCACTACATTGAATCGGATATAACAATTAACGGAGAAACAATGTCAAGTAAAAGGCAGATGACATATGAGCTGCGAGCTGAAGGAGAGTACGTAGTCACTAACCTGATTCGGACGCAGATCAGCTGACTTGTTACCGTGAAATCAATTTGAACTTGAACTGCCTATCCTCACTATTTTCAGCTGCACCGCTGAGAAATAATTCTGGCAAAACGAGTACCTCCCACGAAAATATGGAAGAGGCTCGATTGATTGAAGTCTTAGCTTCTGCCCCCTATGCTTGCTCCAAAGTTGAACGATTGACAGGCGGCAATGTGAATTGTATTTGCCGAGGATTTTTGCTCAATCCGCTGCCAGATGGAAGCAATAGCGTGGTAATTAGGCAATGCTTAGAAGAATCTCGATTCGTATGTCCATCTCCCTTCTTTTCAAATCCTCCAATTGAGATGACTCATATTCAAACTGATCTACAGGCTGCTGAGGTGGGTTTCTTGGAGATGATCAAGACATCGGGTGACTTCAAGTATGGTGTGAATAGTGGGGTCATGGTGAAAATCCCATATCTCTATCATTCTATTCCCGAATTCGGTATCCAGCTTGTGGAGGACAGAGTCAACAGTCAGCTTTTGAAGATGTTTCTCCTGTCGCCCCCGTCAGAGCCCCATGTCCAAGAAAAAATCACTTCTATTGGCGAGGCTATTGGGCAATGGCTTGAAATATTTCATGCTTGGGGCCGAGGACATATCGATGAGGATCTTATGGAGAAGCTTCGTCGCAATGAGGACCTTCACTGCAAGGATGCCAACCCTCTATATGAATCGGTGGTCAATCAGTGTGACGATGAAATTCTTCGGCAAGCAGTTTTTATGACTCTGAACAAGAATGACCGACGAGTGCAAGGTGTAATCCATGGCGATTTCTCTCCAAGAAAGTATGTCACACTATTATTCCATGCCCAAGAGTTCTAGCTCCATACTGACGTAGATGAAAAGTATTTTGATTCAATACAACAACTTGCCTACTGGCACAGAGCTCACAGTTATTGACTGGGAGACTATTACGTATGAAAATCAGCTACACGACTTTGCCAACATGATGGGAATCATCTACATCCAGCATTGTTTGAGTGGAGGCCCTTCTTTTAAAACGTTGCTTCAAGGTTTTGTTCGGGGATACCGAAAACTGAGTGCGGACTTAATTGCAGACGCCTTGATCCTCACTGGGGTATGGATACTCTTTTTCCGGCAGATTATTTTTGGGGTTGAAATATCCGATCGGCCCCGATCGCAGGAGCATGAAAACTTGAAGAAATTGGCAGTCGACGTGATCTCCAAAGGTATGAAAGAAGGTTTTGGTTCAATTGAAGACGCATTTTTGGGGCCTTTATCGAGTGTTTGATTCAGCAAGGGATCATCTTTTGGGCTCTAAAATGAAAGTACACCTTGGAACTTGCTCAGTTGCGACACTGCTGAGAATTGGAAACCTATTTTAATTTATTTCAATCCCATCAGCATTAACAGTATAGTGCAGTGAGGTGAAAGAGGAGCTCATCCAAATCGATAGGCGTTGACCAGGAGAGTTCTGTGCCCCTAACTATATCAGCTACTTCTCATCCAAAGGCCAAATCAAATGCGTTCCGTGGCCAGTTATCTGGGTGACCACAACCTATAGAAGACCCTTCATATTCTTTGGCAAGCATCATGCTTGTGGACGGTATCATATTTTCGTTACCAAATAAGGATCGTCTGATTTTGCAGGCTGATGTAGAGATCTGACCTCTAAGCTCTGGCTTGGGAATTTCTTGGCTGAAAAAAAAACACAGTTGAAGAAGTGGAGAAAATTGATCCACTAGAATGACAGACCGAATTAGGACCAGTTCCACTGTCACGACCAAGACAGGCATGATTGACAACAATGAAGCCACACCGTATCGGAAGAGGTGCCCAAGTTACTCTAGTGTGGAAAAATTGGCACGACCTTTGATGGAGTACTCCGTATATGGGCACCTATTGGTTTAATTTACCCTAGTAAAGATCGGGAAATAACAAGCAGGATCGGATCTGGCGGTTCATCGATGTAGTTTGGTCGGGCCGCCCCGCCCCATAATTTCTTTCGTTACTCCAGCCACCCTTGGATTGAAACCTAGCAAAAACCGGGCCAAGAGCCTGGCGGCTCACTTGTATCAAGGGGCAACTTGAGTTCTATGTGGGCCCCAGATTCTGTTTAGTGCATCGATCGGCATGAAAATTGTGGGCCTAGAGGGTTCTATTTGTCAAGTATGGGATGACGAGAAATCTACAGGAGTCGGGTATGGCTTGAAGACGAGCCTTGAGCGCAGGTCTAAAGGAAAATTCCATTTCTTTTTAGTACACTGATCATACAAAACATGAATCACTGAGCAAGGCCGAAATAGCCGTAGGCTTTTTTGCATATGAATCTGCGAGTTTGACATAAAGGCAAAATGATCATATTTTATCATTTAGATAATCAAAATTTGAATTACTTCTTGTTTGAGTTCAGATGAAAATGTCATTTCCAGCACTACAAGACCAGATCCTTGGGCTTCTCCCATGGAAATCCTGGGTTGGTAAAATGGCCATTCTTGGATGTCTGATAGTAAATGGGGCTTGTCAACCCCAATTTTTTCGCAATGGAAGCAGGTCGCATGTCAAAGTTCTCCGATACGATTCGTTCCAATTGCAGATCAGTTGTCTTGCCTGTGCCGTAGGTCTCGACAAAAATACTCAGAGGCTCGGAAATGCCGATCGAGTACGACAGCTGAATGAGACACCGGTCTGCGAGACCGGCATGAATGATTGACTTCGCAATCCATCGTGCCATGTATGCTGCGGAGCGATCGACCTGGGAATCTGTAAGAATCTGCCTTTCATGGCATTGGAGGACAAAATCATCGTACCTGACGATAATCTTTACCGGAAAAGGCACCGCCACCATGGGCTCCCCATCCGCCGTATGTATCGACCACGATCTTTCGGCCCGTGACACCGGCAAATTTGCCAGAGGGAGTCACCCCCAAGTCTCCAGTAGGTTGAATCTAATACCTCAAGTTTAGTTTTGAGAATTGAATCAGCAATCCAGGGTAGACCTACGTGGTAAGCGGTCTGCTCATCTAGAAATTTCGCGGGAACGGCTTTGCAGATAACCTTCTCAAAGACCTCCTGACGCAACTCCTCAACCGTAACATCCTTTGTATGTTGTGCTGTGAGCACAATGGTGTGTACTCGCAATGGGTTGATTTCACCATTTTTGCGCCTGACATACTCGACAGTGACTTGTGTCTTGGTGTCTGGGAGTAACCAGGGCAGAGTCCCATCCAGACGAGCAGCTTTCATTTGTCGAGTAATACGATGCGACAGATCGATAGTCAATGGCCTGGTGTAATCAGAAAATTTGTTATGAGAATAATAACTTGAGTTTTGATGCGTACAGCGATTGAGAAGTTTCATTAGATGCATAGCCAAAGATTATACCCTGATCTCCAGCTGCTTCGGTATCTGTGGGACTCAGAAAGACTGATGGCGCAGCAAAATCTGGAGCAGCTCGGCGCTCAACATGGTCCATCACTTGGCAGGTTTTGTAGTCAAGTTCCTGCTCAGGGCTTTCATATCCAATATCCTTAAGGACCACACGTACAATGGCTTCAATGTCGATTTGGGCCTGAGTGTCCAGAACACCGAATACGAATATCAGGCCGGGACGAGCGGCGGCTTCAATGGCGACTTTTGAGAGAGGATCTTGTTGTAAACACGCATCGAGAATGGCATCTGCGATCTGATCGCAAACTTTATCAGGGTGCCCTTCGCCGACAGACTCGGAGGTAAAAAGAAAGGTTGACTCGGTAGGCTCGGTAGTAAGTAACATAGTGATAGAATTTCGTATCATAGAACCCTATAAGCAAATTCGAAGGCCGCGGAGGAATAAATAAAAGGGTCGATGAAGGAGAACAGGATTCGGCTGGAGTATCTCATATATGGGTGAGGAGTTCGCCTTATGTATTTTGATTCTAACAATTATGTACAGTCGATGCTGGTCATAGTCATTGCAACAAACGAAAAAAAATAACAATACATAACAAAAGTCGGAGCCTGTGGCTGTATTTGGCTGTAAGTCTTCAATACGATTACAGAAAACATGGTATTGTCCATTATGCGGAGTACCTTACTCTTCACCACCCGCCGGGGCTTGTTCCCGAATTTCTAGTCGGTCTTTTACTATCGAAAAAAAAGCCATGAGGAAGATCTAATCCTAATTTGTAGAAGTGGGAATTTAGATCTCGTAAAAAAATTGTTGATCCAAGCAAAGAAGCTATACTTGATCTCAGACTGATCCGGTAGATCTCGCAGCATTTTGATCTTATTTTTTTTATCCATTTGTCTCTTGAAGAATTGCAAGCATGACAGGTGAAAATGACCAAATGAGCAGGCTGCCTGAAAATCAGGCTGCTTGGGCACTTGCCCCCAAGTCCAAGCCATTCGTCGTGAAAGAGGCACCCTACCCTACCCCCGACGCAAATGAGGTGGTGGTAAAAAACTACGCTGTTGCAGTTAACCCATGTGACTACATGCTGCAGGACACCGCATTCCTGGACTATATCACCTATCCGAATATTTTTGGTGTTGACGTCGCGGGTGAAGTGGTAGAAGTCGGCTCGAATGTCACTGACGTGGCAGTTGGCCAGCGCGTGATCGGGTTTGGTCTCACATTGTCCACGATATTTTATACAGGTGACTGACAACCTTTACTTGCAGACATGCTTTTGGAATGGATAGCAGTCTCACTCGACATGCCGGATTTCAACACTACACGGCTCTGCTCTCGAGCTTAACCTGCCCCTTACCCGCCGAGATCTCATTCGCACAAGGCTCTGTTCTTCCTTGCGCACTTTCGACTGCTGCTGCCGGGTTATACCAAGAAGAAGATCTTCATCTTCAATATCCCTCTTTGAATCCCGAGCCGTCTGGTAAGACCCTCCTGGTGTGGGGCGGTGCGTCGAGTGTGGGCAGCTGTGCAATCCAACTAGCCAAGGCGTCAGGCTACGAGGTTTTGGCAACCGCCAGCCCACAGAACCATGACCAATGCCTGCGTCTTGGTGCATCCAAGGTGTTTGATTATCGCAGTGACTCCGTGGTAGAAGACATCGCCCAAACTCTGGGTGGTACCGATTTTGTGGGTGTTTTTGATGCAATCTCGAAGCGGCAAACGGTACAGATGTGTGTGAACATTGTACACACGTTGAAGCAAGATAAAAAAGTCGTTTTGACAAATCCAATTCCAGATGGAGTGGTGCTTCACAGCATCGACGCGAAAGCTGGTAAGTGTGACTCCACTAATTTTGATAACCTCAACCCCAATTAATTCGTGGTTAGTGCTCGCGGGAACTATAGTGGAGAATGATGTCTGTAAAGCTGTGTACCGGGATTTCCTCCCCGAGGCATTGGCGAAGAAAATATTCCAAGCGACACCGGAGCCTCTGGTGGTGGGCCACGGACTGGGATCTGTTCAGCTGGCACTGGATCGAGTGCGCCAAGGCATGAACGCCCAAAAGGCTGTGGTGACTCTGGGGGAATCACCATGAAATCGACAATGACGATTTTTCTCATCCCCACCTTTGATATTTTAGCAAAATTACCATACATGTCTCTATACTTTCGTTCACCGCCGTATTAATAAAACCTCATACACAGTACTTAGTGACGTATACACAAACCAGATACTACTTTGAGTGAAAGTGGATACCAAATATTCACGATTAGTTGAATTCATAGTGAAAAGAGGATCATGAGACCCAGAGTTGCAAAATTTTCGATGATATTCATTCCCATCTCGACTTGCCTCGCCTCGCCGTATCCGGAACTAACTTACGTTGTAGCCGCCTTATCGACGTCAACTTTGCCATCAGCTTCATACTTTCGTTGTTTTTGCAACTCAAGATGGCCAGCATTGATGGCCCCAGGCCTTTGCCTATGGCTTGCGCTCATCAAATTTCTTTGTCGTTTCCTCTATGTACATTGCCTTGTTCGCTGGTAAGCCATCGTGGTTGCTCTTCATATCTAAATGGTGTGCTATGCTTACCAGAAATTATCTATCTAGAAACTTTCCTATTCGGTTTTATCGTTCCCATCCTAGGATACATGCTGGAAGGGCGTTTGCATATAGATTCTTCACATACCCAAGGACTAACCACTGCGCTACTGACCATTCATGGTCTTGCTTCTTTGATCGCCGGTCCTATAATTGGCCACTTCGCAGACAAGACGTCCAGCAAGAAGACGCCGCTACTCGTAGCGCTGACTGGGTGTCTGATAGGCACAATCCTCGTTGCGAGCACTCCTTCACGTACGATTTCGACCCACTGTCTTCAATTCCCATAGTTGTGTGAAATTAGACTAACCGATAGCCCCACGGATGGAATTGCAGTCTGGGCGCTCTTCCTAGGACGAGTAATCCAAGGTATTGCGGGATGTGCCACATGGGTCATTGCCCTTGCTACGTTGACTGATATAACGAGCAAAGAACACATGGGAAAGGTCATGGGAGCCGCCAGGTCTTTTGCGTCTACCGGCGTCATTGGAGGACCTATGATCGGCGGTGTTCTACTCGAGCTAACCGGATATTGGCCAGCCTGGTCTGTACCCATGGCGGTTCTTATCTTAGACATGGTCTTTCGTCTTCTGATGATTGATCTTTCTAAGCAGCCAGTACCGGATGAGTCGTCGTCTTCCGTATCCCCGGTTGAGAGAGTCGCCCATGATGAGACTACCTCCTTATTGTCTGCTGCGGCTGATGTTGAGCCAGGTCCCGAGAGCTCAGGAGCTGAAGAGTCAAATACTTCTTTAACTGGCGGTTTTTATTACATTATGCTTCGCGATCCCAGGGTTCTTTGTAGTCTCGCAAACAGCTTGACAACCTCAGCAATTGTTGCCGGGTTTGATACGACCCTTCCTCTACATGTACGGAAGGCTTTTGGTTGGTACAGCTTGCCTGCTGGTATGATGTTTCTCTGCCTACAAATTCCTGCCATCCTATTGGGTCCTGTGGCGGGGTCGCTTCGAGATCGAACTGGTGTTCGATCAGCTACTATCTGCGGCTGGGTCATCCTAACTCCATTATTTCTCATTCTGGGAATTCCTGGAGACCCTCAATTCCCATGGGCTAGTAATGAAGCTTACGGAAAGCCCATCTATCTGGCTTCCCTATCTGCAATCGGCCTTGCTCTTTGTTTGGTCCGCGGTTCGGGTGGCCAACAAATGTCAGGTACATACACTGTCTATCTGATCCTCGTTATTAGTTCGAATGATGTGCTGACCAGAATCTTAGCTATAACCAAGGATCTTCAAGCCAAAAACCCGCAGGTCTTCGGAGCTCATGGGGGGTCCTCTCGCGTTTCCTCCTTATACGGGGTCTCCTTCAGCCTCGGATTGATGCTTGGACCTTTCCTCTGTGGTTCTCTCGTGGATATTGCTGGATATTTTTACATGAACTTGATAATGGGTAAGCTTGCTGCCCTACAACTTTCAACTGTTACTGATCAATCTTCATTCCAGCACTTATATGTCTCCTAAATGCCGTCTCCTCTATCGTAATGGAGAGCTAGTTCTCGAAACATCACTCCAGTTTCTGCTCAAAAGCTATGACTTACTAGTTGCATTGCGCTCGCTGAGAACTTCATTTTTCCGAAATCCCCCCTTGAATCTTTTGATCACGTTGCCAGAATCTCCGAACATTAAATCAGGCAATCTTCTCATGGTACAATAATAACTATTATCATATATTTTTCGTATTATTCGTATTGAGAACACTAGAGAAATTGAAAGTTCTTCGTACTGTTAATAACTTTTTCTAAAAAGTTGTCGAGGCTATGTATTTTGCTACGCCAAGTATTAATTCGTCCGGCTTTGTTCGGTGCTAATTGTTCTATACGTACCCGCTGAAGTGGATATCGATGTAATGGTTCGGTTTTTACCAGCGTAATTTAATTAATTCGCTCCACCGTCACCTGCAGTTATCTGAGCGTCCGATTTAATGACGACACAATGTGAAAAAAGCTCAGTGCCGGAGTAAAAATAAAGGGAGAAAACCCCTAGCGCGAATTAGCGAGCTGAGAATTGATGTGACTGAAAGGGTCTATTTTGGCTGACTTATTCCCGCACTTTCATCTGTTGATTGTTGTACTCTCAGCAACAGCTCTACTCTACTAGAAGGGACGACGATGGATTTTCCATTCGCCTTATTGAAATTCAAAGGGGAAATTGCCATATTTATCTCCCTTTTATTTGTGACTCTAGTCTTTTACAGACTCTACCTTCATCCGCTGTCTAAATACCCTGGCCCCAGACTCGCAGCCGTTTCTTCTTTATATAGAGCTTATCACCAAACTTGGAGAGATGGTCGGTTGGTGGAGCAATTGACGCACCTTCACGAAGTATATGGTATGCTCTCTTCATTCAGTTTAAATTTTATGCAAAGTGCTACGGCCTCAAGTATTGACTATCAACTATAGGTCCCGTGGTCCGAATTACACCGAACACTGTGCGTGCCGTCTCTCATACAAAGTCACCGAACTATTGACCGACTTCTTGTCCAGCTACACTTTCGCAACCCTCAAGCATTCCATGATATTTTCTCTCCTCAGAACAAGACAGTCAAAGATCAAGAATTCTACCATCATCTTGGGCTGCCTGACTCGTCATTCAGACTTGAAGCAGAGGAACACAGTGCGCGATGGAAGCTCATGTCCCCGCTCTTTTCTCGCAGTCATCTTGACGATGTTCAAGATGTAATTCGTACTCAGGTACAAATTGATCGCTTTCTGGAATTGGATAGGAAAGCTGACTCTTTATAGGTGCAACGATTCTGTGACCTATTGCAATCTAACGTGGAGCTTGATAAGCCCGTTGAGCTGGCTTTGGGATACCGTGGCCTCGCTTTGGATATCATCAATTATTTTATATTTGCTGTCATCCCCGAAAATCTTCGAGGGCTCGAAAACGGGGAATTTCGTAATTCACTCTCAATGTCTACATATTACAGCTTTGACTGGACGATGTGGCTTATGAGAAACTTCCCATTGACCATCTACTTTCACGACATCGCCACTTATCTTCCCTCTTATCTTAAGTTTGGCTACGAGCAACGGAACGTTATGACCGAGGTATCTCTCTTTTGTTTGCCTCCCATACGCGATGCCCGTAGTAGTCTAATGTTTGCATAGTTAATGACCAATCTCCTTCACGTTAACCTTTCGTCGCCCGAATTGAAGAACCGAGCAACTCTTATTGGCAACATGACGAAACCAGGGAGCTCAAGAAATGGCGCACCCCTCCCAGAGTCGGCTCTCTTGGATGAAGCAATTGGAGTTATGCATGGGGGAGTTCTCGACATCTCCAACGTGCTACCTTACGGAACATTCCACCTGGCCCAAGATCTTAAATCCCAGCAGACGTTGTATGAAGAACTCAAGCAGGTTTGGGAAGATCCGGCAGGTCCTATTCCAGACTACGAAATTCTTCGAAAGCTTCCCTATTTGGTGAGTGTTGCATCTACAGGATCAAAACATATCAAACAAGTCTCTAAACCTTTATTAGAGAGGTGTAGTCAAAGAAAGTCTCCGTTGCACGCATGGTGTTATTTCCGGTATGCCTCGTGTGGTTACAGCCAACGGTGCTACGATTGATGGGAATTTCATTCCGCCTAAGGTATGTGCATTGCAGAGCGATCATGGCTGGCCATAACAGAAGATAACCGTCTTTGGCTCTTTAGACCATCGTTGCCACCTCTTCCTTCTATGTTCACATGGATCCGACCGTTTTTCCAGAGCCCGAAAAGTTTGACCCGGAGCGATGGGCAACAGATGATCCTCAACTTGAGAGAGCCTTCGTTCCATTTTCAAAGGGACGCAGAATGTGTCCTGCCTCAAAGTGAGTAATCTTCGACTCGACACTGCGATTCAAAACCTACTCACAGGTCAATTTAGCATATCATATATGGAAATCTCCACAGCATTCGCAGCTGTATTTCGCAAGTATGAGGTTTCACTGTACGAGACAACGTAAGTGACTTGCCATATCTTAACTTATTCAATGTTGAGGTCTGATTTTCTGACACCTTGGACGAAAACGCAGCGAGGAGGATATGAAATATAAAGCATATGCCTCTATCCATTACACCGGTCGACCATTGAGAGCAACACTTCAGCCAAGGGTTGATTAAAAGCTTTGCCTCATTGGTGTTTTGCCTAGTAACCAATTATATTTGAAGAATTGGAAGGGACCTGATGAAGCGGTAATGAATCAACCTAAAACAGTTTGGAAATATATTGTACAACGTAAACTTTCAAGTCAAGCCTGTCGTTCGACAAATTCACGCGGGGACACAACAATCAAGATACTTAGACACGTAAGACGCATGCAATCTGGGCAGATCTCAAAGAAGCGCACAGGCAGGGAGGGGAGAGAGACCAACCCTGCTTTAGAAGTAGTTGAGTGGATTGTTCTGCTCATACGTACCCCCAGATCAGACACGGGAGCAGTAAGAAAACTCCCAATCTGACCCTGCGATGGGTTTTGACAAATCATGAGTTCTTCAGCAGAATCCAGCCTCATAGCCTCAGATAACTGGTTGACAAATCAAATACTATATGGACTGGCGACGAAGGATGAAAGAAAGCCAGTACCTAGATGTTGGACGTAGGGTAATAGCCGGCGAATTTCCTGAACAGTTTCGGCTTCGACAGGATGGGCAATTTCAGAACTAAAGGTATCGGCGGGGTAAGCGGCACAATGAGTAGAGTAGCATTTCATCCCTCTGATAGGATACGGAGTCGCTCTACCTGGTCCGCGAAGGCTACACATCAGTAGCGCGGCCCCAGGCCAGATCCCGTTCCGTCTCTACAGCAGTAATACGGGCCTCCATAGCGGGTTCATTCTCCCTCTGGCGAGGTTCTTAATCCCAACGGAATACCATTAGTGAATACACGACGGTGAATATATACTTGTTTTTAATAAATATAGGCATCTTTTCAATATCATTCTTCATGTCGACCTGATGCTGACTGGATATACCGTAAGTTGTGATCCGGCACTTGAAATAGAATATTTTGCAGAATCAATTTGTCCTAGATGTCTCCTACGGTTCGCAAATTTCCAATACTCCTGGTGTATCTCAGTATAAGGCGCCAAGGACAATATCCTTGGTAGGACATATTTAACATATCGTCCGCTGACTCGATTGGCTTGGCTCAGAATTTTCTTTTTGTCTCATTGTTTTTTGATTCCTGACGAATTTCCACCGATTCAACATCGCAGGGTCACCAATCGTTGAGTGTTCGGAATGATCAATGTATTCAAGTCACTCGTTTTAAATTTATCTTCAAAAATTGTCGAATCTTGTATTACATGAATCCTTCAAGTGAATGCCCATACGAAATCCCTCCAGTTATGGATATATTCACATCAGGTGAGTGTGGTATCGAGTACGAGCTGGGAAAATTATGCGTGTCTTTTCGAAGGGAGGCGTTTCTTCGACGTTGACTGTACGTATTGTGCTTGCAGCTCGAGCGCTTGAGAGATCAGACTATGAGCCAATAAAAACACTAAATACACCGCTCATGATCTAGGTGCAAAAAACACCAGCCCAGGAAAAACCAAGATGTGCAGATTACGCGCATTGTGGCCGTTGCGAGATGGAAGACTTTAGTCTTAGACATGACTCGTAGGCGTTTAATGAACAAACCTCGATAATGAACCCAAATGAATACGAGAGATTACTATCTCTGGACTGGTAGAAGTTTCCAAGCTCTACTTTTTAAGAGCACAACGTCCGGCGCAGTCCTTATGACAACTAGCTATACTCGCTTCCTCAGCCCACATAGCTGATAACCGGAAAGCGTTACTATATACAAGGATGTTTTATGAAAGGGGTAAAAGTGACACTTTATCATCACTGCCAAGTCTTCAATTTCACAGCTAGTTATGATATTGACTTTTCAGTTTACACTTCTTAATACGTTCGGTCATGCTCACATATAAAAAAGAGTCTTGGGCCGTGATGGTCATTTGATTGCCCAACAGATAAAAATCCAAAATGGGAATATGCATGACGATACATTCTTATGTTAAAAATAGTAGCTAAGCTCTCATCATCATCCAAAAAAATACTGATATATCTGTGGTGCAAACCCAGGGATCATATATCTAGCGTAGAGCCCAACAGGACTCTAATCACTACGATACACACAATCGAGGCAGCTGCGTTGCTGCCAGTAGTGGGTTCGCCCCCGCGAATTCGACCTTATATAATCAGCCCTTCCCCAGGCGGGCAAGCGTGCTCAATTCTACCGAGGGGTCATTCTGTGGCTCAAAAGCGGCGAGGGATGCGCACCAACATGGGAAGGGAAAGCCTGGGCGAGATATAGTATGAGACAACTAGCAATTTTGGACCTTGATTATGAAAGTGAATCGTCCAGCGAGGAGACATCATGAGTGTGGCCATCTTGTTATACTTACTGTTCTTGGTACATATGCAAATAGACCCAAAGCTCCAACCTAGCCAGGCAAGTTCACTACATAATAAGGCTTAACCGATCCTATGCCTGACCTAAGAATCATAGAGTCAGAACACATTTTGCGCCGGGATTTCCCCAGACAATCTACTCGGCGCTCGTGAGGCGACACAGAACCTGTCGACTGGTCCAGAGAGGTCCCCTCCCCAAAACCCTCCGTTTGTGTATCACTACAAAGTAGAGTTCGGGCCGGAGCCGATCACTGTGCTAACCATCTTCATGGTAATCAGTACAATTAGTTTGGGGAGGACTCGGACGCGAGAGAAAAAGGGAGGGCTAGATCGGTCTTCTGCGGTACAACCACTCAGCTTGAAGCTTGATTCAGGGAGAGGAATTTTGCCTTTGCATGGCCGACAAAGAGTTCAACATCACCAGAGAGAACGGAAGGAAAGGGTAGGGGGGACGCGAGTGGCGCATAGCACCCAGAGAATCCTCCCTTATCTATACAAGCGCCCGAAGGGAGGGAGGTTGGCAATGTTGGGTGTAAAGAAAACCAACCGTACCCGGAATAGCTAGTCTCTCCCGCCAAACGGGTCCGGTGGAAGAAGGGAGAGTAGAGAAAGAGACAAAGCCAGGGTGTGGGACGGTCGGTATGGGGTGGTGCTGCGAAGAAGCGAGGCAAAACTATAGAATGGCGGTGGATCATGGGCGTTAAGACAAAGGAGCTGGCAGACATGAAAGACTAGTCCAAGTAGGGAAAAGAGGACGCAAAGGAGGGAACGAGAACGCAAGAGAAAGGTGGTTGCAAGAGATGGGAACACCATTGGGATAAGACGACCTATGATACACGAGACCGATAGGCGAAAGAGATGGTTGTACGCCCCATTCATCGCATTCTATTCATAGTCCTCTAGGATCCTATGACGCCAGGTTCATCCCTGAATGAATTGGTTCCTGTTGGACTGTTGGACCAGGAGACCAGATTGGGTTATAGTACTTGTGGATATTGCTGAACACGTGTGCGAGGACGCGTAGGATCGCGGGGAGGGACGATCTTGACCGTGGGATTTTTGGCTACGCAGCCAAAAAGGGGGTAAGCCGAGAGGAGGAGGACAAGAGGGGGATATAGCTCCTCCGCCGCCATTGGCTTTCCCGATGGGACTTAATATACAAGTACTATGCAATAGGATGATGCCCCTTATGGTACCTGCATGGCCGAGCTCGGCGCATCCTGGGGCTATCGGCACACTAGTTATATTTTTGGCCGGTGATTCATTGAATGCAGGAGAAAGGGTCGTCTGGAGACTATGGAGCGTACAGGGGCGTACGAGATATATAGGAGAGATGGGGAAAAAAAGGGGAATTGAGAATGTCTGCGGGGAGTCGGAACCCCATACCTCGACTGTTGATTGGGGGAGAATGAACAGAGCTGCGGACTGTGGACTGTGGACACGCGCAGGAACAAAGACACGTCGAGCCTCCGAGCAGACCGAGCAGAAGAATGAGTTGACGGCCTCCTGGTCATCCAGTGATCAGGATCGGAACTGGTTCCAGGGACGTGGCAGGTCCTCGTTTGGAAGGACCCATTGTCGCAGGTAGAAGAGAAGACCGGCTAGCCCGAGAACACTCGCCGAGACCGTGGGCGGAGATGATGGAGTCTGCGTCTCGTCTTAGGCGCCCTTTCGTATTTGGGCTGAGCAGGGCCTCGCATCAGCGGAACCTGATTTGTTCATTTTTGTATCATCGTGTTCCTCTTATAGTCTGTGTCTTTCAGGTCAATCCCCGCCAGTGAGGGGATTCTGTCCGGTCTCTGGGGAGATCAAGTCAGATCGAGTCCAGTTCTAGAGCAGGTGCAGTTAGTTGCAGTTAAGTTGCAATTGAAAGAAAAAAAGAGGCCAGGTAAGACAAGACAAGGCACGAGCGTCCAGCAACGAGTTGGGTTGTTGTCGAGGTCGGCGGTTGACCTCGTTGGCGGTCGGCGTCTTTACCGCCGCCAGGGGCTGCCGAGACCTTCACGTTCAACCTCACCAACACGCTCTCTCCACTCTCCACTCCTCCACTCCTCCTCGACGACGACTCTCTCCTCCTTTCACTCCCCGGCTTTTCTTCTCAATCGGAACCCCGGTTGGTTCCTTCGTATTCTCGACTCCGAACCCCTCAACTTTCCACGTTCTCCCCTTTTCGTGGTGGGCTTGGGCTCAGATCGCCCGCTTCCTCCGAACCGACTCGAACCCCGTTTGCCCGCCGATTCCTTTTGCTACAAGCTCCTGGTTGACCTTGTTTTATTTTTTTCTAAAAAAGATTATTTTCCTTCTTTTCTTTTGACATTCGTTTTCTCTCGTTTGAAATCGGCGTGCCGGGAACATCCCTTCGTCTACAAATTCTCTCCCGAATTTTGTTACTACAGTGGGAAAAAGAGTGTGAGTGAGAGGGCGATTGATTCCTCCTCCACTCAACGTCGCTAGCCTTGCAATCCACCAACCAACTCTCACAACGTCGACTCGAAACGCAAAGCCCTCTTTGTAAACTTCGGCCTGAATCGATTGGCGGCCACCGGCCAGCGGATACCTCCCCCTCTCTGGAACGAACAGAGATTGTCCTCCCCCACCACCACCACCCCCAGACCGTTCCTGCTCCTCCCACCCTTCGGTCTGGTTGAGGTTCTGCCTTGGGCCAGTTTGATATTTTGAGGAACCCCCAAGGGACCTGTCCTGAGTTGTGGTGGGAGCGTGGTATTTTTTTTTCTTTCGTCTTCGCTCTTGATCGAGTTGCCGAGTTGCTGAGTCGCCGAGCCCGACTGCACAAGAGGTGGTGTTGGAAATTACTATATGGTCCCAAACATCGATGGGAATGCGAATCGTTCCCACGTCCGTGGTGACCTCTCACCGATAGCGTCGGATCAGCTTCCCCCCACGATGGCATGGATGTCGCCGTCCGACGTGTCCGAGATCCCCGCTCGGCCTCCATTGAACTCGCAGCAATCAAACTCCCTCCCGTCCACTCCCTACCAACATGCGCGCAACCTCTCCTTCCATTCTCGGTCGCCATCCCCCGCCCGTGGAAGCACATCTCCCCGATCAACCCATTCCGAGGCCACCCACCTACCTCCCTCCGCCAGGATACCACTCGGCGGCTGTAAATATGAAACCGCCATGGCTTATTTTCGAAGACGAATACCGTATAGTCTGGGCGCCGATATATTACCGGAGGAAAAGGATGGGTTGAAAAAGAAACTGGAAGCTGATGAGGAGCGGAGATTGACGACAGATATTATGGAGCTCTACGATCGGTTATTACCGTCTGCCGAAAGTGACGATCGACGACGGCAGTTGGTTCGGAAATTGGAGAAGCTATTTAACGACCAGTGGCCTGGCCACGAGATCAAGGCCCATGTCTTTGGATCGTCGGGGAATAAGCTTTGCTCTAGTGAATCAGATGGTATGTGAGAGAATTTTGGGACGGAAAGGAGCTCCTTTGGGACTGAAAGCCTCTCCACCCTCCCCGCCCCAAAAGAGAGCAACGAAAGTGGAAGCCGAACATCGTGCTGACTGGAACAGTGGATATCTGTATTACGACAGATTTCAAAGAGTTGGAGCATGTCTGCCTGCTGGCAGAGGTTTTGGCGAAACGTAAGGGATTGATACAACGTACTTGGAACTCCCGAGGCAAAGCTGACGACCTACTGTGAATAGATGGGATGGAACGCGTAGTTTGCGTCTCGCATGCAAAAGTTCCAATTGTGAAAATTTGGGACCCAGAGCTGAAACTGGCTTGCGATATGAATGTGAACAATACTCTGGCTTTGGAAAATACTCGAATGATCCGGACTTATGTCGAAATTGATGATCGGGTTCGGCCATTGGCAATGAGCGTCAAGTACTGGACCAAACGACGGATCCTCAACGATGCCGCCCTCGGTGGCACCTTAAGTTCCTATACCTGGATCTGCCTCATTGTCAATTTCTTGCAAACTCGAAATCCGCCCATCCTACCGAGTTTACAGGCCCGTCCACATAAAAAACGAGCTACCCCAGACGGGTTGGTCTATTCCTTTGATGATGACCTCGAGTCCTTGTCGCAATATGGTCGGAAAAACAAACAGTCGGTTGGAGAGCTTTTTTTCGAGTTCTTTCGATACTATGGCCATGGGCTTAATTACGAGAAAAACGTCATTTCTGTGCGCGAAGGAAAGCTGATCTCAAAGGAGGGCAAGGGCTGGCATCTGTCGGTCAACAATCGTCTCTGTGTTGAAGAGCCGTTCAACAACTCAAGAAATTTGGGCAACACGGCTGATGATACTTCGTTCCGTGGTCTCCATCTGGAGTTGCGGAGAGCATTCAAGTATGCATCTGAGGGCGACTTGACTAATTGCTGTGCTGAGTTCGAGTTCCCGCCCGAAGAAGAGCGGACATGGGAGCGGCCTCCACCCCAGCCGAGGCCCATCATCACGCCTTCTCTTCCGACGAGGGGAAGTCGGGGTGGGCGTGGAGGACGCTATGCCAACCAGTTTTCCAGAGGAGGGTTCGCCGGCGGTCGTCGGACTTCCAACACGGGGAACAAGGGCAGTGCTTTCCGGCAACCAAATGCCACAAATGCCTCTGAACTATCGTTGCATGCGCAACAACAAGCCCAGAGCATGTTGCACGATCAATTGTACCAACAGATCCAGCTTCTCCAGGCCCAGGAGCAAGAGCTGAGGATGCAGCTGCACAATCAAGCCTTGATTACCGGGAGGCCCCCGCCCGTGTTTCTGCGCCAGCCTTTCATCCAATTCCCTATGCCCCAGCAACAGGAATACTCGGTGGATGAAAACTCTCGATCAAGATCAGGGACAGTGAGCCATCCACCGCTTACACCGTCCGGTCGGCAACAATTCTTTTATCCGAGTCCTACCTATGCTTCCGTCAGTGCTGCTGGCACCCAAGGGAGCACCACAAACCCACCATCACCCTCCGCCACCACCGCCATGCCTGATCTTCGTCGCAATCCCCGCCGGTCTTCTGTTGTGAATGGCTCACCGAAAGGGTCTCTTCGTGCGCACTCACAACCCGCTCGACCTCAAAACTCCCCTCTCCAAACCTTCACACCTCTCTATACAATCCCGCAACCGCTGGAGACGTCATTTGGTTCCAAACAACGACCTGTTCCTGAGCCATCAGAGGGCGGAGAAGGTAGCGGAGATGAAAGTGCAATGCCATCAAACAGCCTTCCCAGCAATGGGTCACGATCTGATTCATTAGATGAAAGTCGGGCCCAGGAACTACTGGGTTATTATATAACCCCGCAGCAGTTACAGCTCTATCAACAGAACTCAATGGTCTCTTTAACAACGCCTATGGGATTAGCGCTACCGAATGGCTATGCGCCTTTTGTCTCTTCCCAGCAGGATTATCGGTCGAACGGGTTTTCGTCCGAGGGATTGAGCACCCGGTCAGAGCAAACGCCCACTCCAGGACCAAGGCCCTCTGTGTCAGGCCAGCAGCGTCCGGCTCCACGGCCTGCACCGTCTTCAAATAGGGGTCCTTTGATTGTGGATGGCTCGGTACCACCGAGCGAGAATCGCCAGCAGTACACATCGGATTTGATCGACACATATACAGCAGTTGCGCACTACACGTCGACCTCGGATGATCACAACACCCTTACACCTGCTAGCTTCTCTGATTCACTTTCCCAGGATTTCCAGGATCCGGGCCCCTTTGACATGGAGCAGCAGCCTGTATTCACTCGGCCGCCATTTGAATCGCAAAAGCAAAGCAGTCCGAATGGTGTTGATCCATTGTCCGAAAAGGTGAACGGACAACCGGAGCTTCTCGCAAGCCGATTGCAAAACCTCCATTTGTCGAACGCCGAGAAACTGGCTCAGTCTCAATCTTCGGCCAAGGCCAACTCAGACCGGGATAAGAATGGCCCCACCCATCACGGACCAGTCAAAGAGCCTGCCCACCCTAGAAACCCTCCATCGGGGGGGAAGGCCTCTTCCACAGCCAATGCGTCTTCTGGAAAATCTAAACGAGGGCGGGCAAACGGGGAGGTGAACGGCCTCAGTCGCAACCACAGCCGCAAAACGAAGGCAAAAGGCTCACACGATGCCCCCCACAATTCCTCCAACACTGGGAACAAGCCTGGAGCGGCAACGAACGGGGGACCTGATGGCCACCATGGTGGATGGCAGACCACAACCACAAAGAAGAATCGCAGGAATCCTAAATCGTCTGCCGAACACCGAAGTATAGCCAATGGTCCCGAGCCATTGCCTGCTGATGAGTCTCTGCGTAAAGGCGGATAAGAAAAACAGGTATCAGAGTTGATGTACCAGGACTATCAAAACTGTCTGCTGAAAGCATCTCTTTTATCGCGTCTCGATACCAAATCCCAAAATGCACCAAAGCAGAGGTCTTCACAATAAACTATATCCGAAACTCAAAATCATATCCTCGATAAATGAAATCTTCGGACATCACAATGTCCACCCTTGGCTCTGTCGATATAAATGTCGGCCTCGCCAAATCCAAACGACTGTTTCCATGTCTATCTCAAATGTATCTCTTTTTTCCGCCTTGTTCTTCATTCTATTTCCATCGTTGTCTTTTGGTGTCTGGGGCGACAGGAGGTGGGGCATATGCGCAGCATTCAAATCCATTCATCATCACCATAACCATCATCATTGCCATTGTCATTGTTGTGCGAGCTTTTGCGTTGCGTTCTGTTTTTGAGCAGGGGGCTTGAAATTTCCCGTTTTGGCTGGCTGTCACTGATCTCGTTCTGCCTCCGCCTCACTAACGCTCATCTTCTTCATCTTCGATTAAAACACATTTCCCTGTCCTTTCCCGGAACCTCTTCTATGAAGCCACAATAACAATGCCTGCATGGAGTCCGTTTCTTCCCCTGCCTTGCAAGCTATTTGGAGTTCTTATTTCCCTTGTTGCTTTGCCCTCTCTTTTTTCTTTCTGTGGACGATATGATATGGTACGGCTGTTCTGATTTCCATGCTAGACCTCCGGGCTTCTTTTTTTCCCACTGTCTGCATATTCCTTGTGATGTTTTGATCTTCTGAAAAGCGGGACCGGTTCTGAAGGAGTGTTTGTTTGTGGTTGTGAGAGAGATTCTTATGGTGTTGCTGCCCTGGTCTTGTTTCTTTCGGTTTTGTATAAAAGAGGATAGCAGCTTGTCTTGTCAATGAGAATAATACAAAAAAATATTCAAAAAGGCTCTCAAGTACTTGTTCCTGTAGAAAATATATAAACCCTAATTGACTTGGAGTCTTTGCAATGGGCTAGGAAAATTGCTGATTCCTATCACGATTTGAGTTCTGCTGTGATGGGACGGGCCTTGGGGATAGGATTGGGCGTTCAGATAAGTGTCCTGCATCTGTGATATGAATTTAGTACTAGTCAGGGGAAAATATACGTATATAGCGAGAAAGGGGTGTCTTGTCAGAAGGGGAAGGAATGCAGGCACGGTCTTTATAACCCGGGAGTCATGTCGTATCGCCCATTACGCAATCAACGTCTTGTTTGCCGCCATAGGCCGTGTCACATACGTGGCAAACAGGATCAGAGGGTAGCGAATGCGTGGTAAACCTAAGCCTATTTATCTGTATTTCTCAAATTTGTTTGTTTGAGAAATTGGCTCCTACCAGGCATGGTGTTAAATTCTATTGCAGATGCGTCTGTTCTCCGACTACTACTTTAACTATGATCGAAATTTTATTTATTTTGAATCTGACTGGATGGGGATTTGGAATGTATTTATATTGCACCATCTATCCCGGAAATGACGGCTTTTTTGTGGCTGTCATAGATTGTTTATAGTACATCTGCGTTTCAAATGCAATCCCGAGAAAAACCAGGTCATCAACTCGACGAGTTCAAGGGTATTCAGCAGGGCAGCTTTGATCGGCATTTTGCGTCTTGTAAAAGGAAAGGGCGGGAACCCAGAGATATTAAATCACATAAAATAGTTAGGTGTAACAGAAAGTGAAAGGGGGGGGGGATGCGAAATACAACTATCACCCGCCGCTGAGGAAACAAGCCGCAATAATATGTTCAGTTCGTGAGAAGACAAAAGAAATGGAAACTGACCTTGGTCCCATCCTTCTAGAAAAGTTGGATGAGATCCACGCATACCAGGTCATATCAACTCCAAATTTCAGCAAAGATGAATGGAAAGATTACAACACAGGCGGTCCAGAAGACCATGATAGACCGATATGGGAAGAGGATTAGGTGTTTTAGGGGAGTGTCGCGGAAGAGAACCCAGATGGAGACGAAGGCCACGGTGAAGAAATGGGAGAAGAGGACGAGTGGTTGTTTGATTAGACCTCCGAGAAGTCCGACAGGTCCGTCGACCATACCAAGTTCGAAGTAGCGGAAACAGCCACGCTGGAGAGCACGAAGATTTACGTCTTTTTAATAGACACAGTTAGTGGGAATCGACAGACGCGAGAGAATTGAAGAGACGTACCATCAGCAGCGAATAGCATATAGAGGGCCTGCGCCAGAATATTGATCACGGATGAGGAATTTTTACGCATCCAGTGGAAGCGAGAGAGTTGCTTTATCACAAGCGTGGTGTCTCCCAAGTCTGGCACGCGCTCAGGGCTGAGAAGATCGCGGATGTAGCAGACATCATTCAGCGCCACAGTCATTCCGCCGCCGGTCAGTGGATGCCGCATGTTCAGCGCATCTCCCAATAACATCATACCAGGTGTTTTGTTGGCCGAGGCAGGAAGGAAAGAGTTCGGCATAGAGCGAAGCTGGCCCTTTTCCAGGGCAGCCTCAAACGCTGGCTGTGACTCTTTGGGGAGCGAGGGAAGAACCACGTTACGCAAGTGTCCCTTTACACCACCGTTCTTCACCGACGCGGAGGGAAGGTTATCGGGGATATCTACAAGGACTCGCGTCTCGTGGGTGCCGATCTGGTACATAAGGGTTGGAGGGAGGTTGGTACTGAGAATAACATGGCCGTGCTTGGGCGAAGGAAGTTGGGCGTCGATCATTTCCATTCCCCAAAACTTGGATCGGGACTTGGGCGTGTGCGGGTGGTGCGCCTTGCGCAATTTGGAAGCGTACCCGTTGGCGACGACAGTGAGCTGCGCGAAATAACAGTCCTTCAAATCCTTTGTGACACACTCGACTCCAAGCACTTGCTGAGTATGCGTTGACGTTACCAGTCCCGTCGCCTTTGTCTCGATCACCGTCACGTTCGGGCAGGCCAGAGCTGCCTCGCGCAATTTCATCACGAACCGACCATGGTGGAAAGCTCGACCAATGGGCCGCGCGGCGGACGGGGTTTCCTTAGGGTACTCCATTTCAACCGGACTTCCACCGTATGAGACATAGTACCCGGTGACATCGATCGCATCGATGCCCTCCAAACAATCCCTCAGCCCCAGCTGTTCCAGCGCATTGACACCTCCGGGTTGAAGCAGCTCTCCGACGATGCGATCGGGCTCTTTAAGCGAGGCTTCTAGCAAGATAACGCTGCGACCCTGTCTTCCCAATGCCACAGCAAGTGCGCAACCCAGAACGCCCGCACCGATGATCACGACGTCAGCTTCGTGGTGGTCGAGGCGGCGCTGGGCCGCTTGTTGGGATTTTGTAACATGGCCATTGAGAACGGAGGCCATGGTGGGGGAGGTTGGAGGCGATATGGAGGAAAGAAAATGGAAATTCGACTGTAATCAGGGCGGCCTTGGCCGCAAAGGCATTCCTTCGAGGCTTATAAGCAGGAATCCGTGAGCGCTGGTGGGAAGTTGGAATTGGGAAAAAAGTATGGGCTGATCGATTTGCTAGAAAGGGGCGTGGCGTGACATGTGAAAGTCTAAACGTTGAGCCTCTCCGCCTTTTGCCCGCCAGTTGAAAATCTCGGCCATTGATTGGATCGTCGTAGGCTATACCATTTCACGTCGGATTTCTGGTTACAGAGTTCAAACTGGGCGGTTCTTTGCAACTTTGGAATATTGAGAAATTTGGAGATTATTTTCTTTCAACATTTCTGCTGTACTCGCATTAATTTAGTGAACGTCTTGAGACTTGGCTCTGCGTTCGTAACAAGAGAGATTCGGCTACAACAGCAACTAGATCCTGATAGAGAGGTGATAATTGATCTTCTTTAATTTGATTGCCTCACTAATATTAGCCTAGATATTTCAAGGAAGAAATCGCCTCCTCGGCCGACAACTTGATTTGTGGATTGACTCTTGCTCACTATCATTACAGATATAGTCTCGTTTGAATGATCCCTGTTCCACTCGATTCCAAGTTAAATTCTGTTTCCCCATTGGAAAGGCCTGCTCAAAGCTGTGGTGTGGTGTGACTTAGTGGTTGGTTTGTTCATCTGACCGGCCTATTTCCCTTGTCGCACCTAGCTGCAAGCCTCCCTGGTTCAATATTAATTCCGGCCAAGACAACATCTTACGTGGATCATAGATCTAGGAGGCTAGGCTACATTTAAATAAGCTTGTAAGATCCATTCAGTATTTTATGTAGCACCGAAATTCTTGCTTGTGGTTTATCTATCAGCGTAATGAACCTCTGTGACTACAATATTTATGCTGGCAAGCAACTTGAGCACCTTTAAACAATATTCTTGGTTCAAATAGGGAGATCAAAAGACTAATGATAGGAGTGGAACTGATTATGGCTAATGAGGTAATGAATCAATAAGGTCTACTTGTCTAAGCATATAATGTCAAATGAGGTTGTAATATGAAGTGCTGAGGAAGAACTGAATGTAAGTCCCATCAACAATAACATTTGAGGGATTCATTTACAACAATACCCAGCATTATATTGACACAGCCCAAACCTACATCTAGATACATCATGAAGGGGTGGCAGCCTTCCAGAACAGCCAACCAAACGCAGCAATGAGTTTAAAGCCAGCTGCCATCCATAATGCAGATGTCATGCCGCCACTTGATCGGCTGAGCCAGCCTCCGACAATCGCTCCTATCAGCAAAGACACAACCCCGCCGATTCGGCGGTTCCGCTTGGCATTGGTGGTAAGTTTCTGAGTTATTTTGACATCAGAAGCAATATCAAAATAAACACTTGTCAGGACAACTGTTGGGATTTCATTATAACCCAGAGCGCGACTACAGGCCATTCCGCCTGCCGACTGGAAAGCCAACAATGCGACAGGGATCAACTCCAGAAACAGCCGGCCCCCGGCGAGGGAAGCATCCGCAGATGTGTGTGGAATAAGATCAGCCTGGATCAGCGCCGCGGCAATGATAATGAGAATAGATTGCACCAGGAACGACATAAACAGGGTTCCTCGGCGCAAGGCGCCGATTTTGCGCATCGTGGTCGCAAAAATAATAGCCCCGACAAAGAAAGAGCAGATCGAGACAAGTGACTTTAACCAGCCCCAAGGCTTGTTGCTTGGCTGATTTGAGACACCTAGACCCAGAAACACCGTATTTCCTATTTCAGTGATGTTAGTCGTCGGCTACTTTCCCATCTACTTTCGAGTTCCCTTATGCATCGGAAGCTATATCGCATACCTGTTTGCATACCCAAGAAGCATGACCAAGCATTGTAGGCACTGCTATCGCACAATCCGGTAAGAAAGCAAAGCAACAGGCAAATCAAATCCGCATGCATGCAGCTTAGGTTTTCTTGCCATCGCTGGGTAGGGCTCCGTTTGTCCTTGGCCGCGGGTGCGTGAACTTCATGGCCAGGCAGCATTATGTTCGTAAAATATTGCTCTCGATACAGGCTTTGTTTCAAATATCAAGATTTCTGAGGTCCATCTGGTTGAGGATGGTGAGATCTTTTGAAGGCATGTAGCTCCGCACCTAGTGACTCGGTTTCAATGGGGGGTACGGAAGCGAATAGCGGCCTACCGCGAAACTCTCCGTATAGCAATTGCGCCATCGGTACTTTGTACTTCCCTGCTCGAACAGCTCCTGGTATTACATAAGGAAATATCGCAGGTGTTTTGATCGCCTGTCTTCAATGAAGATGGATAATTTTACTCAATTGACAAGAGATCAGGGCGAAGTGCCCTCTTATCATTTCTACTTAGATTTTTTCTATGTTGATGCCCAATAATATGAGAGAAATTGTCAATTAAAATCTGATCTTCACTTCTTGTATGAGGGATTTGAGCAACTAGCATGGAAGGGTGGCGTCTGGACTTTCTCGAGATGGACAAGGTCAGAGATGCTCAGGAGGTCATTTTCAAGACATCCGGGAAAAGAAACATCAGCTTTTGGGTATCCAAGCGATTAGTTATCATGGGGATATTTGGTTCCAAAAAAAGGGAAAATTTGAGGACCAATCTGTTTTCTTGTATTCACCATTGGCATTTTGTTGCGAAGCGGTTGAGAAGAAATAATGAGAAGAATTTTAATTTAGCAAGACGTAAAATAATGCGTTTCAGTCGTCAGTATATACATTTTCTTGTGAAATCAGCTAAGCCTCAAGTTATTTTCGTGGAGATGGAGTGAGTTTCTCAAACCTCACTGCCAGCACTTTCACGGTGTTCCGACTCTAAGCAGTTTGCTCTCGGCCCTGGCGGTTTTATTATCCTTGCTCTGGGGGGGCTGTGGCGGTGCGATGGCGCCCATTTACAATCGGGACAGCTTCATGTGGCGGTTGACGTCCTTGTAGAGCAGGTAGCGGAATTTTCCAGGGCCACCTGCGTAACAGGCCTGTGGGCAGAAGGCTCGCAGCCACATAAAGTCACCAGCCTCAACTTCTACCCAGTCCTGGTTCAGGCGGTACACGGCTTTGCCTTCCAATACATAAAGTCCGTGTTCCATGACATGGGTTTCGGCAAAGGGGATGACACCGCCTGGCTCGAAAGTCACGATGGTGACATGCATATCATGGCGGAGGTCGCTCGGGTCCACAAAGCGTGTGGTTGCCCAGGCACCGTTGGTGTCCGGCATCGCAGTGGGCGTGATCTCGTTCTCGTTAAGGAAAAGCGGCTCGGGCGCATCGAGTCCATCCACATACTCATACGCCTTGCGAACCCAGTGAAAACGGGCAGTGGCTGCGCCGTTGTTGCGGAGCGTCCAGCCGCTCTTCGGTGGCAGAAAAGCGTAGCCGCCCTCTGTGAGGGTGTGCGCCTGGCCAGCGACGGTAACAGTCACTTCGCCCTCGACCACAAAAAGGACACCTTCAGCACTGTCGTCCAACTCGGCACGGTCACTACCACCTCCCGCCTGCACTTCCATAATGTATTGCGAGAAGGTTTCAGCAAAGCCCGACAATGGCCGGGCAATGACCCACAGTCGCGTCTTATCCCAGAAGGGCAGGAAGCTCGTCACGATGTCACTGAAACAGCCCTTGGGAATGACTGTATAAGCTTCAGTGAACATGGCGCGATCGGTGAGGAGCTGAGTCTGAGGGGGCAGACCACCCGTGGGTGCATAATAAGCACCGACTTTCTTGTCGTTGCCCATGGTGGGAGGAGATAGGTAAACGCAGTAGTATCCAGATGAGTCCCGCCGAGATCGGTAGCACAATATGTTGCTTTAGACTTGGGATGTTGAGCAGGATGGTGCAACAGATATTCGGTAAGTGCGCAGCAGAGGCCAAATTGAGAGAGAGAAAAAGAATGGCGAGCTTAAATTGCCATTCTCCCGCCTTCTCCGATCCACTGGGAATTTCCCGCGGGGTTGGCCGAGTGCTCGGGTGAGGCCGACGACGGTGCCAGCCGTGCGTCGATAAGGCACGACAGGCCACGATAAGATGCGGGAAACCTCCGAGGCCGGGGTCCAGTCACGTGAAGGGTTTGGCGACGCAAATGAGGTCTCGCAGATTACGAAAGGGAGGTGTGCTCGCGTACTCTGTTTTAGGAATCCGAATGTAGATGGTACGACTTCTCCCAGCTCATGATCTACCAATTTTCAAGACAGCGAAACAGTACTTTCAATGCGGTTGAACTTGTGACCAAAAAAATACATATACCGATCGCTAGACAGGCTTGCTCACGGATAACCCAAAACAAGATTAAATAGATGGTAATGCGGGGATGGGAGTGGAGAAGGGAAAGAGAGAAACAGCCAATAAAGATTACTATATATTGTGGCTGGATGAAGATATAGAGATAATTTCCAAGTATAATGTCTCCTTTTGCCCATCCATCCTCTCTTGCAAGCTCCAGCAACGCCATCAAATTCAAGTTGAAGCAACCACCCAGCCCTAGAGATATGTGGATTTCACCAAACAGATACACTTTGAATCCTGAACCGCAACCGAGAACGCCTCCGCTCAATTTCCTTTGTAAATCTGATGCTCCTTCAGCTTGAACTCGCCTTTTTCGCACTCGGCAGCTGACATGTTGTCAGTCTTGACAAATCGCGCCGTCAAAGCGTAGCGAAGGGTCGACTGAGAGGTAACGGCATGCTATATCAATTAGACATCCGAAGTTTCTTGTTCCTATGGATGGAAATTCACCTCATAATGCTTCTGCAGCAGTTCTCCGTGCATCACAACCAGGTCTCCATGCCGCAGGTCCATGGATATCTCCACGGGGGGCTCCCCCTTGGCATGGAGACGTTGGCGCCGCTCTGTATCATACAGCTCACGACTGTGGGCGGAGTTGTCTTTTTCCAGCCTTCGCTTCAAACTCTGGCGCAGCTCCCGCGCCTTGCACCCCTCCAGAATGGCATCGTTTTTAATGGGGCACCCTATACGAGAGAGACCAAAGTAGTCACCGTACTTCATGCGAAGCGTCATTTTGGACTTTCCACCTAAGGAGAGGGTTGCAATTGTTGGGCCCAGGGTGCTTTCACCATCATCATGGTACTATTGTCTAGGTTAGAGAAACAACAAGGAAGAGCGAGATATTGATAAAAGGAAGAACACTCACCCCGATCTTCATCCCTTCAAAATATCCAAGGACCAGCAACTCATTCGGAGCCCGGTACAGATGCCCAGCGTGGACAACTGCTTTCTCAGTCGCCCAGGACAAACGGCCTAAGCATTTCATGAGATCATCGCTGGCATCTTTGAATGCCTTGGAGTCGACAGAAACAATATATTTATACGGGGTACCCTGACTCTATCAATGGATATTCTTCATATATATATGTAGAGGCTCACATAGTTCACGGCAAAGTGGCCGGTCAAAGTTCCAGCAACTGCCCGGGCATTAATTTAGAGATCCTTCGTCCAATACCTTCACAAGACTTACCCCTTGCCTGACCCACGAGGTGTCGCTCAAGACCAAGCTCAGCTCTGTGAAGGCTGCTCAGCAACTCATTGGGCCCACCTACACATGCATTTATGTTGTCATTGGAGATGAAATGTGTGATGGAGCCGATGTTGGGGATGACGTAGGAAATTACACGGTACGGCTTGAACACCCCATCATTGATGTGGTGTTCAATTCCACCATTGGCAAACGTCCGATCGTTTTGACTCGAGATTGAGTTAATAGAAATTGGCTTCATTGGTGCCATTTGTTCAAATCCACAGTCGCATTTCCAGCCTTCCCAGAACGTGCGTGACTGACACATTTGGCATCTGGGACACACAATACCGCGCCGTGCGTCTTTGGTCGTCAGCCCTTTTGTTCGTTCAAAGAGAGCTACTGCATCTTCAACAAGGCGAGGGGCATTGACGGCTGTGTTGATGGGGAAAATATGACTGGCAATTGACTTTGTGTGAAGGCGATAGCTCAAGAAAGAAGCATGGTAGGTGAGTGTTGCAGGTGGCTCGGCGCCATTGATCTTCCAGAAATCTCGACATTTCCGTTGGAGACAGATCCAGCCTTCGTTGTATATACGAGGGCTTTCTTTCTTGCAAGTGGTGCATTTATAAGTTTCAGGCTTGAGATCAAAGTTGATATGATCCCAAGATGGGGAATCAGATGTATTCGACATTGAAGCAGAGGGCCGTGCCCACCAGCTTGTGGTTGCAAGATCAACCTTCTGCAGGCGCAACTTCAGCCCCGCATACTTCCCCGACTTTTCATACCAGACGTCTGTCACCACGAAGAAGGCCATGACATTGTAGCGGTATGGAAGGGTGGCGTGGAGGAGTTCATTTTGGTTCCCTGAGATTCGGTCAGCTATTCACATACCTTGATATCGCGGGCCCTCTAACTTACCCATGACAACAAAAACCGGGTCCTTCGAAGCCAGACCGGCGAAGAGATAATTACCGACTCTTCCATTCTCTTCTTGATCTTTATGCAAGACCATGTTGCCCTCGCTATTCTTCTTATAGCCCCCACCCCTGTTTTGAATTAGCACATAAATCTATTGATGAACCGTTCAATCTGCCATGTAACAATAAAATTCTCAAGACTAACGCTCTGGTGATGATGATTTCATGATCTGCGTACGCCCGTTCACCAGAGTCTTTATCTATCAGAAATCCGATGAGCTTATTCTGATTTGTATAAGCAGCACCCTGGACAGCTTTGAACCGTGGGCAGGATTCGCATAAATTTGTGCGTGTCTGGATTCCGAATCAGAAAATTAAGGCATTGAAAACATGAATATCATAGAACAATTTGGGGGTTTGGTTGCATACGTGAGCCCATGCTGGGGGAGATCCATGAAATTTGCTAAGCAGCGGTGCCGCATCAATAGTGGCGGGGTTTATGTAGAGTTTCTCTACTAGATCATTCACCGAAGAGACCAAATCTAGTCGTTCTACTTATTCCGTATTTCAAAGTCAGACTCATTGCATAGAATGAATAGTGATCAATAGTTCAGATACCATACCTTGCTCTTCGGCATTCTTCGTTGCATGCCCAACGTCATTTGACAGACGAGCCTTCTTTGTTGGAGGCTCATCGTTTCGAGCTTTCATACCTCTTGTGACAGGTGTCATGATGAGGGGAAGGCCGTAAGAGAGATCAAGTACCAGTTGAGGGGATTAGAGGCCTAAAGGAAGAAGTCAGTGTTAGCAGTTAGCACAAGCGATGAAAGGAGGGACGCTTTTGCTCCGACGCGACCACGGGGGATAATTTCGAACACCAAGCACCTAAGAAATGCCAGCGAAGAAAAAGCTTTGAGTCAGTACTCAAGGATTTGCGAGAAAAAAATTTTGGACCGAAGAAATTGGAGGGACAAAGCCGAGGATCGAGAGGGAGTGAAGTCGAAATAACGTCTTCGTCACATGAGGTCGAAACAACAGCTCCGCCACATGTTGTCGAAACAACGTCTCTATCACAAGAAAGAGATTTGATTGCTAAAAGCTTCTGATTCATGCTTATGATTTTATGAATGGCAGGACGATTGGCTTAGAACGAAGGGTTGCATTTGGTGATTAGCAGCTTTTTTCCAAAAAAATTCCCGCCACCCAAAACGGCTTGGCTGCAGGCATTCTCAAATCTTGACTTTGAGGATTCAACTTACATAGAAAATATTTAAAAAGACACTGGGTTAACCTTGATCTATATCATTGCACATCAACACAACCAATCAAGTGCGAAAGTATTGAGATTAACTTGACCACCATCCCCAATTAGTGATCTGAAAACGTAAAATCTCGTCAGGATTACCACTCTAAATCTACGTATTATTACGTACTTGCTAAAAGCACTACTCAATAAGAACGGCGTTGGGTCACCTGATCGAAGCCCTCAACTTACATCTCCCAGTCGATCCGACATGCAAATCAAAAAACCACCGATTGACTCAGCCTTCTATACAAAAGAAACGTCAGCTCAGCGGTCCAGGAATTGCATTCGATAACCGAGAGGGTCATAAAACGAGAAGGATATACATATTTCAGCGGCTCCGCCTCCTTTTCGGCGGATTTCCCGGAAGATTTCCCGGAGGATTTGGAAGACCTTTAGTCCGCCCTGGAATATCATACGTATGATAGGCCTCAACATTCCGACTAACCAAGAGACTTGTCGTTCTCAACAGTCCTGCATATGGCTACCAGCAGTTTGATTCCGCAGTCTCCAACTAGTAGGCCCTTAAGGGTCTGTGATAGGTGTATGAGGTCAGTGCCCCTATCTCTTTTGCTTACCTGGTCGCTAATGACTTGTTCAGGAAGAAAACGACGTGTATTACCGCAACCCTACCTCCACTAAATAATGGATCCACTAAATTCTGCTCATGTTTCTTGGAGATCAGAATCAACGTACCTGCTCTACATGCTTTAAACACGGAGAGACATGTAGCTAAACTTCAATTCGGCGCAAACCTGGCCCAGTGCGATGTTCACGGCGAACTTTGCTTTCATCCCGACCCCGACAGTCTCGGAGTAAGTTATCCCGAATTCGTCCTATTTCAGCAACTCAATCACGAGCATTGAAGGCCATGTATAAGAAGCTGATATTTTTCAGATAACCGCGAATCGGCACAGAATCAAAGTATCTCGGACGCTCAGCTGCAAGGGAATAAAGTAACCCCCACAATCCATCCTGCGGTGGCCACCACACCTTGTTCGATATCTTCACCAAGTACAAGCAGTATCAGTCACTCTTCTGCGCAGCTCAATTTGACTCAAGACAAAGAAAAGCAACTGTACGAGTGCTCATTTGGTTGATTGAAACATTGGCTGACCAATGATACTAAAGTGTCGTAGCGTTCTTTGACATCTTGGTGGATGCAAATCCGATATTTTCTAGAGAGGGATTCTTTCGAGATTATGAAAACTCCCGAAGCAGCCAAGAGCTCGTGTCTACCATGGTCACCATTACAGCAAAGCTTACCGACTTTACATTCCATATCGATAATGCCTCTTCGGATAGCTCTACTCTGGATGCTCAAATTGATCAATTATTAAGCTCAAGTATGCTGGAAATTGACCTTATCGGTGACTCTCCATCATTAGATCAGTTTCGAAAATCATGCATTTTAGCATTTAACGAATTCTATCAGTTTCCTAGGAATCAATCTTGGATGCGAATTGGAAGATTGACCCGCATAGCTTACCGGATAGGGCTTGACCGACTTAAGAATCTCAGGGAGCTCTATCCAGAATAGAAAACTCTCAGCTACGAAGTTCTTCAAGAGTAGCGGGCGTTATAGTAGTTTATTTACCGCCTCGACTTATATTCAAATATCTCTTCTAGAATACTATTTTTAATTAATAATTAGTTAACTAATACCTCTTTAGTGCTAGACTAGTCGCCTCCTACTAGGGAAACTAAGGAGCTTTTTTGCTATCTAATACCTCGAAGCTATAGGAGATTATACTAGTTATTATTTCTAACTCCGAAATATATCTTAGAAATATCTATATTGTTACTATAGCTATTACGCGCTAGGCTAGCCTTACTTTACGACTTTGTTTATTTTAATCCTATAATAGATCCCCCTAGTGCCTCTTTAATCTAGGATATTACTTACCCGTAATACGTCTTACTCTTCTATCCGGCTAGTTTAATCTAAGACGTAATATATTTTTAAATAAGTCTAATATAAATTATTATCTAAGATTAAATATAGTTTTAATATTACTAATATTAAAATTACTATTTTCTATAATAGACTACTTAAGGTGCTAGGGAGAGGAATAGCTTTTGAACTAGTAGAATATTATTAAGACCTACTAAGATATTATAACTAATACTATAGAGTAGGATAGTATATTTTACCTAATAGTAGATCTAGTAGTATATTTTATTATATTTATAGCCTTAATCTTCCTAGATATTTATAAGAAACCCGGTATATTCTCTATATCCAGTCTTCGGTCTATTAAGTTAGATTAAATAGTTCTCTATCTTTATCTCGAATAATTTAGTAGAATTTAGACCTTACCGAGACTTTTAAGTAGTATATCGCTATTATAAGAATTACACCTATATCACGCTTAAAGCACTATAGTGTTATCTACTACTTTTAGTCAATTAGGGTAGGCCTTTCGACTATACCGACATCGTATTAATATTATCACGATTTAAAGCTCTTTTGTATCCTCGTTGGCTACAGTTTCTGTTATCTGCTCAAATAGCTATTGATACCGCTCAATAATTAGCAGAAAGTGACTTGAACTGAAACTTTCCAGAGATCTGCTAGCAATAGGTAAGTAAAGTGCTGTCTGCATAGTTGTGAAAGACGAGGGGCAAGTCTAAAGAGAGCGTATAATCTGCGAGGTTGGACCTTTTAATGGAAACAAATTTTTTTTCTCCATAATTTTACAGCCTAGGCGAGGAACATGTGTTCATTGGAATTGGGAAACTACTTCGCGTTGATGTTGTTACACTATCGAATTATTCCGAGCGGAGATTCCTCCGGCGTGTTTCAGGTCGCTCTACATTCTCGTAGAAGCCAAAGCTATTTGGATCTGAAAGGCACGATTGATTAATCAGCGTTAGGTATTAATACCTTTGCATTCTGGATAGTATTTTTCATGTGATGTCATGTTTTATTTTAAAAACTGTGCTTGGTAGCAAAAGTATGGAAATCTATTAGTACGCCGGATGAATCTTTCTGTTGTCAAAATATGCAGAGGAACGTGCCTTAGGAACAAGGCGTGGAGGCCTAGCTCCCCCTGCTCTACAATAATATATCTGCTTTCAAAGACTTTGTGACCCCGAGGTACTCCCGGTGGTTCGCAAGCCTCACGGGGAGGTTGAATCAGGACTCTGCTTGTGAAGCATTGGTTAATATCTTGGACTGCTTCTTTACGACCTTATTGGTCAAACTTGGATACTAAGTTTAAACTTTCAGAAAATGCAAAAACTGCTTCCGCCAAAACTGGACTATTTATTAACCCAGGTCCTTTTGAGAATTTTTGGGTCATTGGTAGCCCGAGAGGCCGAAAATACGGAGTACATAAGCGAACTTTAAAAAGCATTGCCACTGGTTGAGCGAATAGAAGTCAACAAGTGGAGCTCGGAGTTGAAATCAAGCCCGAGAATGAGTAACTAACTAACATCAAGAAGTCGATTATTAATAGTTAGCATACGTAGGGTTGCATTACGTATCTCTTAAATAATCTGGCAAAGACCTGAATACTAAAGATTAAATTCTGTGCCTCAATATCATTCTATTCTATCCCTATCACTAAGGTTACAGAGGCCCCAATATGGCCCAAGTTATCCTTATAACCGGCGCAACCGGTAAACAAGGCGGAAGTGTGGTTGACGCCTTGCTCAAAGCAGGGGCAGACGTTGAAATACTTGCTGTCACTCGAGATAGGTCCTCCAAAGGAGCCCAGAAACTCCAGGCGAAATCTCCCACGATCCATTTGGTTGAAGGAGATTTGGATGATCCCGAAACCATCTTTGCAAATGCTCATAAGGTCTCTTCTCGGCCCATCTGGGGAGTCTTCAGTGTTCAGGTATGGAATGCACAGTTTTGAGATTGAGGAATTACTCTCCGACATCCTGGCTCACTAACGTGATTAAAGGCTCCTGTTCCAGGTGGATCTCACCAAGATGCCGAAGAAAAACAAGGCAAAGGTCTTGTTGATGCTGCCCTCAAGCACAATATCAAGCATTTCGTATACACCTCGGTAGATCGTGGCGGAGAGGCATCAATCAACAACCCCACGCCCATTCCTCATTTTATCAGCAAGCACCGCATTGAACAACATTTAATTGAAGTGACGAAAGGTACCGAAATGTCCTGGACAATTCTTCGGCCAGTCGCATTTCTCGAGAATTTTACCCCGGATTTTCTCGGCAAAGTCTTCGCTACTTGCTGGACGGTCGCTCTCAAACAAAAGCCACTACAGGTCATTTCAGTGAATGACATCGGCTTCTTTGGCGGACAGGCCTTCATGTTTCCAGACCGATATAAGAACCAATGTCTTTCCTTGGCTGGTGATGAGCTCACTTTTGACGAAATGAGTAAGATCTTCGAAGAAAAGACTGGCAAAAAGGTCCCTTTGACTTTTGGATTTGTGGCTCGACTCTTGATGTGGATGATGAAAGACCTTGGCTACATGTTCCAGTGGTTCTACGACACTGGATATGGCGCGAATATTTCAGAATTGAAAAAGATGAACCCGGCTTTGAAGAACTTTCCAACTTGGCTCGAGGAGGACAGCGGCTTCAGAACACAGAAATAGTCTTTAGCCCTGCAAACTTGTATAATATCCAGTTGTATCTTTTGACATTGAGGCAATAATGGAAGGCCTTTTTATACTGCTGTTAATACTATGATACCGCTACTTATTTTGCTCTTACCACTGCAGCTAAATATGAGATGTTAATTTAGTTGGCAGATTTGGGAGCCCTCAACGGTTGAGTCGGAAAGATAGGAGAGAAGGCTAGGGAGCAAGTGTTTCATTTGGGCAGTAGCTTTTTCCCGAGTGTCTTGCTACTTCTCAAAAGGATTCAGGCGCAAGTCCATTTGAATCTTAATTTTGCTGATCTGTATGATAAAAAAGTGAAATCGGGTTAGTACACTAGGATAGATAGACGGGAGCAATATGTCATGTACCTTCAATATCGCCTTCGCAGAAATATACTTCTCATTATTAGATTCATAGTTTATCGATTCAGATTAAACCAGGCGGCTCGATTGCCCTGTTTACTTTCTCGGATATCCCGGTCGGGGTGATATAGCCCGATCCCCACGGGGTCGGCAAAGAGAAAACCAAAGAAATCCGCCACCGGCTAAAATATCCTCTGCTAGGTTGCTTCTTTACTTACTAACCAAAACCAGTCTAAATCTTGCCCAGCCTTAAATTGACCCCGCGCTCAGTCCTATTGAACTCAGCAATGTCCATTGTCCACCTTTGACAGTCGAGCCAATGCCGTCCCCGGAGACAAAACCAGATTTGACTACTCGGTTTCGATGCTCCCATTGCCCCAAGGAATTCTCACGTCGTGAAAATTTAGCGCGACATGCGCGAATACGTATGCCGAACATAATCTTTCCTAATTTTTGATTCTAATTCGGTCTTCGATTCTAGACAAACCTGGGAAATTGCATACTTGTTCTGTGTGTGGGAAAGAATTCACAAGAAGTGATGTGCGCCAGCGACATGAGGAAATTCACAAAGCCAAGCGTTCTTCTAGAGGGGATTCGTCCCCGACATCTCCAAATACTCCCAATACAGCATCACACTCTAGGCCTGCTTTGTTATTCAATACACATGAAGTCAGCCAGCTCGGCAATCAACAAAATCATCTGCCTTCGTCATATATGTACCATGAGCGTACTGCACAGCATCAAGTCAGTGAGAGGCTCATGACGGATACCTCGATATTTCCCGGTAGTCAAAGACTTCATTCTCAATCAGAAACAGAAGGTCTATCGCGACCTCCCACAAGTAATAGCACTTACCATGATCAGACACCATCCTGGATGACGAATGCGGGAAATTTCGAGAACATGTGGTTTGACGATGATTTGGTTTCAGCCCTGTTGGAGCCAGTCTTACCACCATTTATGGAAGGAACCGGGTCATTGATGGGGAACCTCAGCAATAACCCACCGAGGCATAATACAAATCATGATACAAATTCACTGGACATGGAAGATGTTTCGCCAACAGTCCGTTCGCGATCGCCACCTAATGAAGCTTCCGAAGAGGATAGATGGCCGTATAGGTGGAATCCCGATTCCCAAGCTATCACTTCAGCGAAGCCCATCCAAATGGAGAAATCCCATCCGTTGGTCCAGAGCCATCATAATCGGTTTGACATTTCTGAGACTCGGTACGAGAGGCTAAAGTCTTTTTTGCGGGAACCAGCCCTGAGGGGCCTCGATTTTCATTTCCTACCTTTGCCCGATTTGCATATTGCCAATGTGTTTATTCGTCTATTCTTTCAATACTTTGAGCATCAAATGGCAGTGATTCATCGCCCATCACTCCGTTCATGCGATGACCTACCGGATGCTCTTCTCGCTGCGATGATAGCGATAGGGGCAATCTACAGTCGGGAGCGGCATACATGTCGTTTCTCAATTGTCTTGATCGACGTTGCAAGACTGAGCGCCCAGTTTGCAATGGAATTGAATAATAATCTGATGCGAGACCCGATGTTTGTCTACGCTTTGACTCTGATCTGTTATTCTGGCCTATGGTGTGGCAACAAAAGGCTCTTTGAGCTTTCGGAGAGCCTAAGGGGAACAGTCATTACCTATTGCCGTCACCTTCAGCTGTCGTGGCTTGGTCCTATTTATAGGTCACACAGAACTCAATTTCACAGCTTGGATGTTCAGTGGAAACACTGGGCTCTGATCGAGAGTAAAAGAAGACTCTCATGGGTGATCTATAGCCTTGACTGCATGTTTCCATGCCTGCTATACCTGCCATCGTCGCTCAATATGGCGGAGTTTATGGGCATTGAATGTCCTTGTGATGAGGAATTCTGGCATGCGACAACTGCCCATCGCTGGAAAAGCTTACTTGGCTCAGCTTTAGTCCCTCCTGGCAGAACATTTTCCTCGGCTATTAGTCCATTCCTCGGACCTCTCAACCTTGGAAGTGCTTTCGATGCATTTTCGGATATTCCTGTTGCGCAAACATCATTTTCCAATTCAATAGGACTCAATTCTTGGACTCGATATATCGTACTCATAACAATATTGGTACAAGTCTTTGAGTTCTCTCAGCAAGTAACTATGGTTTCAGAAGCAGTCCTCGACTCTGACATTTGGCAAAGTCCCGAAGACATCACTGGTTCTGCCTCCCACACAGTTCCACCCAGCCATGCGGTGAGCCAGGAGATCCAGAAACACTATGACCAACTACGGACTAGATGCACTTTTCAATCTCGGTCTGGTGACCAGAATCCTTCGGAGCCGGTACAAGAAGTATTATACTCATTGGCAAAGAGAAGAACCCATATAACGAGTAAGGAACTTTGTAATTTCATCTTAATTAACATTAAACTTTGCTGATATCATTCAAGAAATGCTTCTCGCTTGGGAACAGGCCTATTCTACGGCCCCTGCGGCTGATATAGTTGTCTTCCCTGCTTCAGGGCATTTTCACAAGATTGGGCTGGCTCATCTTCAACTCGGAAATCTCATGCTTCATGTCCCAATTCTAGATCTACAGAATGCATTGGGAAAATCCGGGCCCTCTGGAGTCATTCCTGCAATGGAACTTACATACAGAATTCTTGGAGCCCACCCAAATGAAGCCGGGGCCATGTTGATAAAATGCCTTGAAAAGATGAGTTTCATCCAATCTAACTTCAATGAACCTGTTCTGCAAACAGATTCGAGGATTATAGAGCCGCCAAATATCATTGACTGTTTTCTGAGTGGTGTGTTTGTCTGGACTTTGGTGAATTCATCTAATCAAGATCAAGCGGCTTTGCTTCTACAGAAAAGTGAGGAATTTGTTGGCTCGGACAAGTTCTCTACTACGGTGAAGGAAATATTAGCTTGGAAGGCAAATGAGGACTTGGTTCATTCTGAGGAATCCAAAACGAACATCATTTTATATGCTGTCGCAGATATACTCAGTCAAATGGCCCCATGGAGTGCATCGTTAAACATGGCACTGCTCCTATTTCATAGAGGTAAGGCATTTATCAATACTGGACTTTAACCGCTAGCAGAGTACCTCATTTATGTATTATCTTCATTTTGCCAATCTTATTAGCTACTCATTTGTGACCTTCCACTACTATGGACCCCGAAAATTACATTGATAACGTTCGCTATAAAGAATCAAAATGGATATTATGCCTCATTCGAGAATGAGTTACATGGAGAAACACCCTCTCACTATATGAAAGTCGGAAAGAGAAGTCAATGGAAATTTCGTTCCAAATTAATTAACTGAATATTGCGAATCAGGAATTTAATGCCATTTTATGGCTTGCAAATTTGCGGGCCGGCACCTTTGCCTCGTAGAAATTATCCAGATCCTCGGTCGAGAGACCTGTGGTGTCTGGAACAAGGGCATAAACGCCCCAGAGAAGCAATACCGTAATCCCAGCGAAAATAAATCCAGTTCGCGCCCCAAGATTACCCGAATCCACATTGTACATATATGGCACAACAAATGTGAAGAGCCATGTAGTGAATGTCTGCGACATCATTCCCAGGGACATTGACTTGGCACGAAGCCGATAGCTAGAAATCTCTGCCGCAATTGACCAGCCAGTAGCTTGCATAAAACTCGCCTGTAGAGAGATTAAGAGGTTCCTAGAAGCGATTAGTTTCAGCTTTGTTCAAATGACTGCCTGGTTGGGTATGTATCAGTCATGGGTGTCTTACATCAAAATCGCAATAGCCCATTTTGGGCCATCTCCGTGTCCATAATACAAAGCTCCTATCACAATATTGAACAAGAAGTTGATGACTGTGCCCCAAAAGAGTATACGATGGCGCCGCACATTCTTCAACAGGGCTCCACTGGCAATGATGATGACGATTGCGAGCGCAAATCCCCCGACTGAAATATCAAATACGTGGATGGAAGGCAAGCCCACAGATATCAAGAAGTAAATGGACTGCGACAGGAACGGGGCGCCGCCAAGATTCACAATACCGAAAAGAAACATCATAGTTAATGTTCTTTTCAAATTCGTTCCTTGGAAACATTCAATGTATCCGGCTTTGTTTGTCTCCCTCTGGGCGCTTTCTTCTTCGATGGTTTTGACGAGATGGTTATAGCGCTCTTCTCGGTGATTATTATCATCGTAAAGCCATAAAAATAGCTTATGTGCATCTTCTTTTCGGCCTTTCATAATGCAATAGACAGGCGACCTAAAAGGAATCAACATGCTGACAAGGGACAATAACGCAGGGCTACTCACTCGGGGGCCAAAGCATAAGCAAGTGCGACAAGCCCTCCCACCCCCATTGAATTGCAAAGACCGTGCGAAACGCATGCTCTGAAACATCAGGTACAAAAATACGAATCACGCCCATGGCTACAGCCTGCATAATGAGGATAAAGATCACCAAAGCCTGTTGAACGGGTGGGACGAGTCTCGGCGAAACCAACTCAGAGGCATAGGTTGTGCCGGCAGCCATGGCCATGCCAATCCCCAGCCCTGAGACAATTTTTCCACCCAACAGAGCACTGCGCGTTTCAGCTGTGTATTGCACGGAAGCGCCTGCTAGTGATATAATTCCTGCGAGGCAACCGGACCATTTGCGGCCTATTCGATCGGCCAAAAACCCAGTTCCCGTGGCAGCAAGAGCTTGCGCAAGGGAAGACATGGCCGTCCAGAGCGCAGTCCAAAGAGATGGCAGGTATGCCCCGGATGCATTTTTTTCGCCAAAGTATAGAATAAAAGCTGGCATTGAGATAGAAGCACCATTGACTATGGTGTCGTAACCGAAAAGGACAGCGGAGGTGAACGAGATGCTACCTGGAAGACAGCACGGGTTAGATAGAAACGCTGGCATTAGATGGCTCCTGCGGACTCACAAATGAAAAGAGCTTTTCCATGTCGCCGACAAACTTCTCTGAGGCTCAAGCTTTGATCAAGTTGGAGAAACTCAGGTTCCCCTCCCTCAAGGTGGGAAGCACCTGGCTTGTTGCAGTCTTCGCTCATAATGCTCAATGCTCTTGCTTACAAGCGAGAGAATATCAGAAGAATGTCCACTGTTGACAAGGGTTACTTTTATATATGTCTCCATGATATGCTTGGGAAATCTGGGGAAGGTCTGGGGTGAGCATAAACATGGGGGAAAGTGGACAATGGACGGTGGACACTCGGATATTCCGGGATTGGACACTTCCTAAAACGGTCGTGGACAACATTTCTATAAAAGAATGACTCGGGATTTATCAAAGTTTACATTTTCTAAGGTCGCAAAGTATGGCTACTGAAAATTATGTTGAACTTCTTTCACTGAAGGAGAAAATTTCTCTTCTTGCAGGAAAGTCGTACTGGAGAACCGCTGGCTTGACCGAGTTCGATATCAAGCCTATCAAGGTAACAAAGAAGTTTGGATCTATAAATGAGAAAATACTGATGTCTTCAACAGTATAGTGATGGTCCTAACGGTGTACGAGGAGAATCTATTCATGCATCAACTAAATCGACTTGTTTTCCTTGTGCTGCATGCGTGGGGTCAACATTCAACCCCGATCTAGCATTCAAGATGGGGAGGGTCATCGGGAAAGAATGCAATGCAAAAAGCATTGGCCTTTTGCTTGGGCCGACTGTAAATCTGCATCGGTCACCTTTAGGTAGATCTTTTTCCTTTTTAAACTTGACGGGCAAAGATAGGCTTACTTGACAAAGGAGGAAGAAATTTCGAGGCCTACTCCGAAGACCCGCTCGTGTCTGGATTACTCGGCGCCGGTTTCGTGAATGGAATTCAGTCAGAAGGAGTCTCAGCTTGTCCCAAGCATTTTATTGGAAATGAATGCGAAACGAATCGCAAAACCTCAAATACAATCGTTGATGAAAAGTCTCTACGGGAGCTCTATGCCCTGTCATTTCAACTTCTGATGTGCAGATCTAGTCCATGGGCAATCATGACTTCGTGAGGAACTCAACAACATTACTTGTGTATCAAATACTGATTGATTTGAAAGATACAATCTTGTAAACGGTGTCTTTATGTCTGAGAACGAAGAATTGCTACAAGGCCTCCTTCGTAAAGAATGGGGGTTCCAAGGCACCATAGTTTCCGACTTTGAGGGCATCTACTCGACTGTTCCCTCCGTGATCGCCGGCGTTGCCCTCGAGCTTCCTGGTCCAGCTCGATTCCGCGGTGATTATCTTTTCAAGGCAGTTGAAAAGGGTCAGATTACAGAATCTCAAATTGATAACTTGGCCAAGGATGTTGTCAGGCTGGCAAAAAAAGTCGGAATGAGAAGCGAAGCAAGCGCAGAAGAGGATATCGTCAAGAACGATGAAACTGCAACCCTTGTTCGAGAAATAGCGACCGAAGGAATTGTTCTTCTCAAAAATGAGAATAATCTTCTACCAATTTCATCATCCAAAAATCTCAGGATCGCAGTTTTCGGTTCTCCAGCGGCCGCCCCAATCATTCATGGAGGCGGCAGTGCATCACTGACCCCTTCCTATGTTGTTTCGCCTCTTGAAGCTCTGGAGAGGAAATTTGGCAAAGAAAACATCCAACACCATCATGGTGTTCCGATCTTTAAGAAGATTCCCTCAGCACCTCTTTCAAGGATGACAGCTCCAAGCAACGGACAACCTGGGGTGGATTGCTATTGGTATAATGGCTGGACGTTTGAGAACCAAATATATCACGAGATTCTTGAAGCCACTGAGACCCTTGTCATTGAATCCCGCATTTCACAACTCGAGCCGAAGCACTGCAGCCGCATGAAATTCACTATATCGCCTGAAACAACGGGTACTCACACTTTCGGAGTCACAGCATGCGGGAAAACTGTGCTTCGCGTGGGAGATGAAGTCATCCTGGAACATTGCGGATTTGAGGACTGTCGAGTGGAATATGTCATGCAACCTGGTGACTACGAAGTGCGAGCTGACCTCCATATGAAGGCTGGCTGTGCTTATGAAGTGACAATTGACACCCTGTCTACAACGGCGCCCATCCCATCGCCAATCTTCAAGATCACTCCGCAAGCCACTCGTGCGGGTTTCTATGAGAACTTGAATAGCCCTATTGAGCAAGATGTCACAGATTTGGCCTCTAAGAGTGATATTTCTATTGTCTTTACCGCGAATAACAAAGAGTACGAATCCGAATCTTTCGATCGCTCCTCGCTATCATTGTCGCCTCCGCAGGATAAGCTAGTTCAACTTGTCGCCGGTGCAGCTCAAAAGTCCATCTTGATAAACCAGACGGGCTCCCCAATTGCAATGCCCTGGGTTGACGAGGTTGATTCCATTCTTCAATGCTGGTATGCCGGTCAGGAAGTTGGAAATGCGCTTGTGGATATACTTAGCGGCGATAGCAACCCCTCTGGCAAGCTTCCAGTGACTTTTCCACGGCAAATTGAAGACACTCCTTCTTTTGGGAACTTTCCCACTGATCAGCAAATGAAAATTCGTTACGAAGAACGACTCGAAATGGGTTATCGTGCAAGAAACAAGCCATCACCATTGTTCCCCTTTGGTTGGGGACTCTCATACACCCAATTCAGAGTGGAGGACTTTGCTTTGAAAAATAACTCTAGTGCTTCGTCTCTGTGCATCACTGCGACAGCAACGGTCATCAACACTGGTTCTGTCCGAGGTCGAGAGGTGATTCAGGTCTATGTGGATGGTGTGCTGAAAGGCTTTCAAAAAGTCTTTGTGGGTGCGGGTGAAGAACGAATCGTCGATATCGTTTTGGATAAATATGCTTTCAGTGAGTGGGATCCGGAGCAAGGGACATGGGTTGTAAGGGCTAGGCAGTATGATGTCGATATTCGGAGTGATGCGAACATGGTGATTGCTTCCAGAAGTCATACAATAGAGAAGTCGTTTTGTTGGAATGGCCTCTAATAGATAGCAGTTTTTAGAATCACGAAGCACGTTTGAAATACAATCGTTCAATGACTTGAAGATAATATACACTTTGTACAGGATATATACATTAGCATTTAGTGGCCGGTGTAGCAACTATTGCGCCTCGGATCTCGCATGGGGGTATTGAGGATCCTCGGGCTGCAGGCGGGACGCCGTCACCATGCGGTGCTCGTCCCAAATTCTTCCCAATGCACTCCGCTGAACTGGCTTGCGGGACACCAAGAAATCCATTTCCATCTCCTCGTCAAAGCTCCTCGCCACTTCTGCGACAGACGCGGACGGTAAAAGCTTCTGCTCTTTTAATGACCGGGAAGCAGGTTTGGCTCGGCCTTGTGCTTTGAGATCAGGAGCCGAATGGATAGTCGCCCAGTTTCCGAGACCGGAAGCCTTCTGTTCCAGAACAATTAAGACTTTTCTTAAGACGGCCAGGTTATGCGAGTGCTCGGACCCTGGAGATTGATCGTGCAGCTTCCCCTCCAGCGTAGGCATCAGGCGTTTTGCCTCGACAACAAACTCAGGAAGAACAATCTCCTTTCGAGAAATTACGGTGAGTAGACACCACCAAACGCCTCTGGCATCACCAAAATTGGCGAAAGCACGGAGAAGTATCTTAATGAGCACTTGGTCAAAGTCATAGATCTTTCGCCACTTGGATTGATAGAGTGCCATAAGAACTTGGCTTGCGATCCTGGGACGTCTCTGGGAGATCAAATTCCGCGCCAAGGACACAGCAGCGTGATTTTTGACATTAAGATGAGATGCATCGTCGCAGATATTGTAGAATTCGAACAATGCCATCTTGAGCAGGGCCGCCTCGCGAATGCTGTTTCTTTCAATCTGCAAAATCTGTTGGAAAAAAATCGGAACAAATTGAGGGAAGCGTGGGTTATTTTGGATCGTAGGAACTCTGGACCAGTAGTGCCATTCGTCCTTGATTGTCTTCTGTGCGTCTTCCAGGCTTCCCAGGCCGTTGTTGAGAATCTTTGCGATGACAGCTAACTTAATGTGAATCGCTTTGATGTGGTGCCCAGATTTATTTGCCTTGTTAAAATCCTTAATAGCCTTGGTAAATTTTCCGGCATGGATGTAGTGCTCTTGTCGTTTGTGTAATGGCATGTGGACAGCCATTGATTTTCTTTTGTCCACAAGCCTGTTCACGGTCTGAGGGTAAGTTTCACTAGCCTTGCGATTCGGCCGCAGCGCCCCATCTTCCAAGGAATAGTAATCTGCGCTATGTCCCATGAGACGCCGACTGCTGGTCGCCATTCCATACTGTTTCTTGGCTGCTTGCAGCATCCGCCAGAATCCCACGGGTGTACCTTGCATAGATATCCGGCGAGCCTCCAGGGTTCTGATCAAGTCATGCTGGTCAAAGCCAGTATTCCATTTGTGCTCTTCAGCCAATCGGGTGATTTGGCTAATGGCAGATGGGTCGCCTCGTTCGATGAGGGCTTCAAGAATATGTCGATGTAAAACGCGATCAGGTCGTATGTTGAACTGATTGAGACAGGTCATCACGAAATCAAGAATCTGCGGACCAGAGTGAACTGGGTAATATTCGAGCAAAACACGGTCAAAGACTCGAGCGAATTGTCTATGATCAGTCGTGAAGCCCAGTTCATGCATTTCATGCAGTCCATTCATGACAGCCTCCCAATCGCATGTCAGAGCCCTGCTGTATACAAGGAGCCCAAACGTACGGCATCCAGGCTTGACTCCAAATTTTGCCGCCATATCAGCAACCAAGGCTTCGGCCTCTTCGAAATTTCCAGCCTCCGTATAAGCTTTGACCAAGGGGTTGAAAATCTTCTCAGTAGGTCGCAGCTCCAATTCTTCCAGTGCGCTTAGTATTTGATGGAATTCAGCGTTGATCAGATCGATCTTGCGAGTTTTCTTCCACAAACCATCGAGGTAAGTGCCACAGAGACCACCGCCCGCGTCGTGTTTGATTCGAGCATAGAATAAGAACTTAGCACCACTCAATCTCCTCGACTCGAGCAAACATCGGAGAACAACTTCGAGCATGTAGTTCGGAACGGTGAATTTAGCCTGATGTCTTTCGAAAATAGCACCGACGGATTCGATATGTCCTTCCTTCGCGAGCAGGTGCATCATAGTGCTCCAAATTTCTTCATCTACTTCGCTCACTTTTTCCATATGTTCGAAAAGAGCCCGGGCCAAGAAGATGTTTCCCTTCACACAATTAGCGACGAAAAGGGTACGCATAAGATCTTGCCGTTCCAATGAGACTGGAACCCGTTCATCGGTTTCTGGCTGTGTATGTTTTATAAAGAGAGTGGCAGCCTCAATTTCACGGTCCTCCTTGAGCAAGTCGCACACCTTATCCTCGAGTGGAATGTCTCCCGCTGCGCGTGCCTCCGAAGCCTCCTTCGCCTCTCGAGCAAGGGCCACTCGGTTTCGAGCACGAGCAGCTATCTCATCAAGGCGGTCCGGGGTCCTCCGAGCCGATAATTCTCGTGGCCCAGATTGTGCCCATTTCGGTAGGCTGCGGGCTCGTGGCCGCAATGGATCGGTTGGGTTGGTGTTTTCGGTAAGAGGCACCTCCGCATCCCCAGCCCGCCGCGGTTTTCGGTCCTTTAAAGACGCTAGACCCATGAACTCCCCCGCTTCTGCTGCCTCCATCATTGTGGCCAGGCGTTGAGCAGAAGCTGTTGCATCGTAGTTTGGAGCTGACGTGTGCAAGATGCGCTTGTTCTCGATGATCTGCTCGGCGACGCGGACTCGGCGGTGGGAATCGTAGGTGATAACTGCCAGGGTGCAGAAGCTGCCTACTGTTGACCCAGCGAAGGCCAACTGCCGAAGAACTCGAAGTGCATTGCGTGAGGGCACGGCCGGAGTCGAATTTGCGGCTTTGGCGAACATGGTGAGAGCGCTGCCCGCGGATCACGCCAAAACTCACCAGTCGTCCATCAGCGACTCCGCAGCGGTAAATTGAAATGAATGAGTGATATGCGGCGTATTGCGAATGCTCGCTACTGTTTAAGTCGGGGAAGGGGAAGAGATATAGCAGTGGAGCAATTGAAGCTTGAGAGTGCAGGAGAAACTCGGGCAGACTACTTTTTCGGCAAATCACCAAACTGCGTGTTGGGGCCGTTCCGCCCGCCGAACTATTACCGATCGGATCAGATGATCCAACCGCGTGGAGTATGGGGCCATACAGGGTGGACTAATATCCTCAGGAGCTTAAAGATTATTGCAGTATGAATATCATTCAAATGTCTAAGGTTTGCTATAAACCAAAAAATTATCCGAGCAGCAAATGGTCCTGCTCACTTTCTCCACCATAATTCGCCTCCACAGTTGTATCCAAATCCGGCTCGTCTTCGAGAGTAACTGGTGAACAATTAGCCGGTGTGATCCGAAACAAAAACATGTCATCGAGTCTATAAACTTACCATGCGGTCTAATCAGTAGACTCAATAAGAAAGCAATACCGAACACAGCTGCTAAACAAACAAAAACCGCGGGTGGATAAGTTGCGACAGTCATACTATAGATCAGATTGAAGATAGTAGGCGCAACAACTCGGGCAAGGGCATGCAACAGGCCTGTAGCACCAAGCATTTGCCCAATACGTTCTTGTGGGACATGCTTGGTGAGCGAGGACTGCAAGGTTGGTGATCCCATCCCGCCGAGCGAGGCGACAATGCCCGAAAGGATCATGACGGACGGGTGCCATGACAGGGCATAACCAACGTATCCAAGGATATCAAAAACAATCGACAAACGTATCAAAACAACATCCAACATGTCAGATCCGCGGATGGTATCATCATTTTCAACTGGAGTGCGGAAGAGCCGAGCCACGATCGGGAGAACCAGGAAAAGATTGACAACGCGAACCACGTTGATGATCGAGACGAAAAGACTGGATTCCACATTGCCCCAGTTAAACATGTACTCGGCGTAGATGATGATCACCTGCACCGTGCCCATCGCAACGCCAAACGCAGCGGTGTCTATCGCAGCCAACAGGACGATATTCCGTCGAAGCGCCGGGCTGGCTCCACGGCGGTTCGGAAACAGGACACTCGGTCGGCCAACAGCGGGGAGAAGAATCTTCAAAGGTGTGATCAGGTTCATGGGGTTCAAAGACTGATACCAGCTGGTCCGGTTTGAATCGGCCGTTTTTGCCCGGTGCTGACTGCGAGCAGCTAATTGTCGCGCCTTGGAAAGAGACTCCGGAACGATAAAGTACAGGGAGAGACAGAAGACGAAATGTAAAGTCAATCCAACGTAGAATACAATCAGAGTGCCTCCCGTTTTCTGGATCAAATATGCAGCACCACTCGGACCGACCGCGATCCCAAAGAACAAGGCACCATGGAATAGTCCAAAGGCCACACTTCGTCGGTCCGGGGGTGTGCAATCAGAGGCATATGAATGGATCAAGGCTTGTGCAGTGGTGAATGAGCCTCCCAGCCCATCGAAGACAGCTCCGACTAGGAGCATGTTGACCGACATATATTCGGGCCACGAGGCGACAATGACGGTAATCGATTCGTTGAGAACAGCGCCCATTGCGCCCAGCGCGATGATCTTCGTTCTACCATAGCGATCAGATAGATGACCCATCCGAGGACTGACCAATGCAGAAATGATTCCTGTAACAAGATTCAGATAAAGCTGAAATTTGGCGACGAGAGACTGTATTTCCGGCAAGCGACACTGGGAGTTGTCCTCTCCGAAGATGACGGGGAGATAAGTGAACGTGGGATCCTGGGCAGTCTTCTCGACAAAATAGTCGCGGCAAATCAGGGACATAATCAAATTAATCTTGGGCACTGCGAGCCCTCCGAATCCCAGTGTAAAGAGCAAGCCAAAGGGCAGAAGCCACCAAATCTACCCCATGATCAGATAAGCGGCCCGAGGGATATGCGGGCAAGACACAGAAGAATCACTCACATGAGGTCTTCGCCATCGGGAGCGGTCGTCGAAGTCGTCAGGTCGTCGTTCATCCTGCAGCTGCCATGAATCGGTCTCCGAATCGTTGGCCAGCAACGGTTCCGAATGGATCTGCAGGGGGGGTGCTTTGGACGCCGCTGCGATGCGACGACTGCTCAAGGCTTGTTGCTGCGCGTCAAGGGCGGGTTCGCCCGCAAACAGTTCTTCGTTCTCCATGATGGGAGATATGGTGTCAATCGCACGAAACCCCCCAGAGCATGGTATATAAGGAACCAACCACGCACTGCTTTCTGCGAATATTACCCGGGGCAGGGATTAGGCCGGGTTTCGGGATTGAGGGCGGGAGAAATGGTGACCTCTCCCTGTCTTATCAAGCAAAAACAGGCTTCGGGTCGCGGGGGATTGATAATCGCCCGCGGCCTTAGTCCCAACGTTTCTGGCCCAGTCGGAAGCCCGAGATACGACCAAATGATTGGAGGTACTACACCAGTCCCGATACCACTGGTGTATGACAACGGAATGGACGGAGCAAACCCCCTAAGTGGATGACAGTCTAATTTTGGACCTAAAGCTATCTTTTGTACAAAGACCCGATTAAAATCACAGCCTGGCAAACTCCGCTAATCCTCACCCAAATGATATGTACATGCGATCGCGAAACTCTGGGCATCCCAGTATACAAGAGAACAAGGTACGCAAATCAGAGCCCAAATCCTAAACGTTATTTATTACCTTGACTCTTACAGCACCATAGAAGCGAGCTGCTTCCCCGCAAAGAATTTCTTCTGCTCCAGGCATCGGTCACTCTTACAGCCCTGGCAGCGCAGAGTCATTTGCGGCGAGCAGGGCTCCCCTTTCTGCAAATGCTCGCGAGCAATATCGGCCAGAGCCTGGATGAAAACCGGATTTCCGTTCAAGCTCTCCGCGCGCTTAACACCGGGGCTATTGGCCTCATGCATAACCTCTAGATCCAGCTCGTATAGGGTCTCGATGTGGTCGCTGGTGAATGCGATCGGCACAAGGATCAAATCAGACTGGCCACGCTTGACATATTCCATCACAGTATCACTAGTCTGAGCTCCAAGCCAAGCCTTGGGGCCCACCTGGGATTGCCAACACAAGCGGTAAGGGTTGCTGAATTTCAGTCGCTGCATCACAGCGTGGACGGTGGCGGCAACTTCGGCGGGATAAGGATCACCTGCAGCGTCAAAGACATAGATGTTAGAAATCGTTTCCCTGCTTGGGGGCTTCTCAACGTACCTCGGTTGACCACATCCATTGGCAAGCTATGGGCAGAAAACAGCAATACCACCTGGTCCCGCTTCTCCTCAGGATAGGTCTTTAGCTGAGCCTCGATGTTCTGGGCAAATGCCTCTACCAAGCCGGGGTGGGAAGGCCATCGATCGATGACACTCCACTGAATGGCACCCGCGGAGTCAGCATCTCCATTGCCACGCTTGCCCTCTAGGCGAGTGCGCCACTTCCATAGTTCATTGAGGGAGCTGCCTGTAGTGGAACAGGAATATTGCGGATACTGTGTGAAGGCGACCGCACGGCCTCCTTTCCCATTGCCGAATCCATCCGCCAACAGTTGGTTATACATAATCTCTGTCAAGGGCGCCGCATAGCGAAAGGCAACGTAAGGCTTGTGTGGCGCCGTCTCCGGAGAAATTTTATCCAAAATCTTACACATCTCCGCACATTGATATTCAGACCATTTGCGAATGGGCGAGCCGCCACCAATATCCGAGTATTGCTGCTGAATTTTGGGGGTTCGTCGACGTGCGATGAGAGGTCCGAGATAGGATTGAAAGCGACCCAAGGGGATCAAGTCAGCATCGGCCTGTAGCAATACGTCCGACGTCCATATTAGCCGTACATCCCAGGGCGAGATCATAATGTGGCATCCACACAAATTGATGAGAATGCTCAACGTACAAATAACCTGCTCAGAAAATCCTCCACCTCGTCTGTTGTTGATGGACCGCCCATGTTTAGAAAGACCATCGCAGTCGGTCCTTTCGCACCTGTCGCATCTTGCATCACGGGCGGAATTGCTGTAGCTAGACCGCATTTCTGAGAATCATTAATCACCATACAGCCGCGACTTATTGGTCGCACTGCGGAGGTGGCGGCGGTGCTCCATATCCGTCGGGGAATAGCGAAAGGGCTGCGGAATGCCATGGCTAGCAAAGTTTGAAAAGCTGGCAGTGTAGAACAGATGTTGGGTTAAACAATGCCAGTTCCCGATATCAATCAGAGGTCGACCGGAGGGTAGAAAGGTTGCGAGGCAGGCAAAGGGCCAGATTCCCAGATTCCCAGGTCGGCCTTGGAATTCGGCCTCGGAAAGCTTTACGGACCGCGGTCGAATGACCAATCACCACGCTGCGGGAGTCAGCAATTGAGTCTCGCCCCGTCACATGACCTTCGCGTCGCCCCCGCGTCAGTCGCGTCTCAAGGCAGCAGCTCCGATGACGCAAAGGCTGGCCCTGGGGTAGTACGAATTCTCTTTCTTTGACATCTCAAGCTCCTATGAGAAATCGTGAGAGAGATTCGGCAACATGGCTGACCATGGCTATGCGCGAGATGAAGAGAATATTGAGGAGGATGAAGTGGATGACACCGTGAGCAACTATCACCTGTCCGCTATCAATGAACATAAAGACCGCGATTTTGACCTTAATATAACACGTAGAGTTTTCGGGCCGTCAAGGATGCGGTTCTCTTCGCGATCGATGTTAGCAGCTCCATGCTGAATCCCCGTGCCTCATCGGATCCTAAGAAACCTGGTGAAGAATCCCCTACCTCAGCCGCGCTCAAGTGCGCCTACCATTTGATGCAGCAGCGTATCATATCCAATCCCCGTGACATGATAGGGGTGCTCTTGTATGGAACCCAGTCATCCAAATTCTATGGCGACGATGGCAAAAGCAGTGCCGGCCTCTCATACCCCCATTGCTACCTTTTTTCCGACCTTAACGTTCCCTCGGCACAAGAAGTGAAAGACTTGCGGTCCCTGGTAGAGGATGAGGAAGTGGCTCGACAGATCTTGCAACCCTCTGACGAACGTGTATCGATGGCCAATGTACTGTTTTGCGCCAACCAGATCTTCACCTCCAGATCTCCCAATTTTCTGTCCCGACGGCTCTTTATTGTGACTGACGACGACAATCCTCATGGTAACAGCAAGTCAGCTCAATCTGCGGCAACCGTTCGAGCAAGAGACTTGTATGATTTGGGTGTCTCGATTGAACTATTTCCCATCTCTCGGCCAGACCATAAATTCGATACCTCCAAGTTCTATGATGTAGGTTGCTTCGTCGTACTTGATTTCTAGAGAATCACGGAATCAGAAGATCGCTGACAACGCCAGGATATCATATACAAAACCTCCCCTACAGATGGCGAAGCTCCGGCCTATCTGCAGCCGGACACGAACACCTCGACAGTCAAAGGAGACGGAATTTCGTTGCTCAATAGTCTCTTGTCAAGTATTAATTCTAGATCTGTTCCAAGGCGGTCACTCTTTTCAAACGTTCCTTTGGAAATCGGACCCAACTTCAAGGTTTCAGTCAACGGATACCTATTGCTGAAACGACAAGAACCCGCGCGGAGCTGCTATGTCTGGCTCGGTGGAGAAACGCCTCAGATCGTCAAGGGCATCACTACCCAAATGGCAGACGACACAGCTCACGAGGTAGAGAAGTCTGAAATCCGAAAGGCATATAAATTTGGAGGGGAACAAGTAGCTTTCACAACCGAAGAACAGCAAGCACTAAGGAATTTTGGAGATCCCATCATCCGCATCATCGGCTTCAAACCACTGTCTGCCCTACCCATCTGGGCAAGCGTCAAGCAACCTTCTTTCATTTACCCCTCTGAGGAAGATTATGTGGGATCAACCCGCGTATTCTCCGCATTGCAACAAAAACTCCTCCGGGACGAAAAGCTCGCCTTGGTGTGGTTTATTCCTCGCAGGAACGCCACCCCCGTACTAGCCGCCATGATTGCCGGAGTGGAAAAAGTCGACGAGAATGGTGTACAAAAAGTCCCTCCTGGAATGTGGATTCTTCCTCTTCCTTTTGCGGATGATGTGCGACAGAACCCAGAATCGACCATGAACGTGGCCCCAGACTCCTTAATTGACGCAATGCGCGCAGTCATTGAACAACTGCAACTACCGAACGGCGTTTATGATCCTCAGAAATATGCAAATCCTGGTTTGTTCCTTCCAGCATTCATCTCTGTAACCCAGATAGAAACTAATGACCTTATAGCGCTTCAATGGCACTATCGTATTCTACAGGCTCTTGCCTTGGACGAAGACTACCCCGGAACCCCAGAGGATAAGACCATTCCACGCTACCGGCAAATTGATAAGGTGGGTTGCTTTGATGCTGATAACTTTCCCATGCAAAGACTTGATTACTAACATCACACCAGCGCGCTGGAGACTACGTCCTTGCCTGGTCTGAGGAACTTGACACTCAATTCAACAAAATATTCGGTGGCACGGCTGCTACAAAGTCCACTCTGGTCAAACGAGGTCCAAAGGAACGTGTGGATGGTGACAAAGCGGGAGATCCTCCGGCAAAGCGGGTGAAGGTCGAAGATGGCGCAGGCAATATTGATGATGAAGTTCGACGATTTTATGACAAAGGGATTGTCTCAAAGCTCACAATGCCGGTGCTCAAGGAATTTTTGACCGCGCACGGCCGCTCCACGGCTGGAAAGAAGGCTGATCTTGTAGACCAAGTCGAGCAATTCTTCGAGCAAAAGTCCTGAACAAGACAGGATTTCTTTTGTTTGCCTTTTATCTTGTAGCATAACAGATTAATGATTATCGGCTATTGGGTATTATCGTGTGTATTATTTTGTTTTCTCTATTCATTCCGATTACGTTTGAACATGCGGACTGCCGTAATTAACTCGTGCGTCCATTTCGAGCCGAGTACGTCAGCGTTGACTAAACTGCTGAAGCAAACTACATGTGGGGCATGTGGGGAAATCCCCGGGGTGGATTTTTCATGGGGATCCAACTCTCGGATGCTGAGAATGGTACGGATCAACTTCATCACTCTTGAGCTCTTCAGCTGTCCCCAGGAAAATCAGTCTCATATGATTTGCTAGTTTTCAAAAGGGTGCCGATTACACACGTCGACGAAGCGCACAGCCAGACCGCCTCTCATCCCCGAATTTTTCCTGGGCCAGCGATATGACTAGTGTCCGAGCGCGAGAAGATCGCAGATGTTACATGTGCAATAAGACATTTTCCAAAAAAGAGCATCTCACGAGGCATATTCGCGGTCATACCAAAGAACGGCCGTTTCAATGTTCCATATGTGGCAGATTATATTCCCGAAGGTGAGATTGCCTACTGTCTGTAGTTGACTACGGTGCTCACTATTATCACTACTCTCTAGTGATGTGCTCAGACGACACCAAAGAAATCATGACGATCAGAAAGAACAGGGCTTTTCTGTTGCCTCAAAGGGAGAGCTGGCGACCGACTCAGCATTGCTCACGCCTGCTTCAGCCGCTGAAACGTCGCAACAACTGTCCGGCATTTCACCTGTCTCTGTAATAGACTCAAGTTCTCAGCATGCCATTGATTCTGAAATGAGTAATATTGCTCCAAATAACGGTGTAAGCTTCGCGCCATTGGCAGCAATACCGGGGCAGAATGAGATGCTAGGAGATACACGCTCAGTTTCGGAGTCTGGAACATGGTTCCTGGAAGAAGACTTCGACGTTAGTGCACTGGACTTTTCCATTACATCCACGATTTCAGAGTGGGCGCAAATTCCAAGTGCCCTTCCTGCTCCTAATGCACCAGTCGGAGCGCAACGGATATTTTCGCCCGTTCAGGGTTCTTCGTCAGAGCCTAATACCACAGATTCTGGGGATGAGTCTGTCAAACGACAATGGTTTACCCATATGTCGCCAACTCAAGAGCCTCACCCAAGTCGAGGATCTGTATTATCGGTTTCAAATTGGCCAAGTCAAACCAACACAAATGAATCATATCGGGCAGGCCTCTCTCAGAAACTTCGTCCTCGAATGGAGGACGAGGCACTACCAACGTCAGAGCAGCTGAATCTCTTTGCAAAGCTTTATTTCCATCGGTTTCATCCGTTGCTTCCAGTCATCCACACGCCATCTTTCCACCCAACGGCAGAAAATTCCTTGCTCTTTCTGTCGATATGCTCAATCGGCAGCTTGTTCGTGGGCTCTTCACATGCCGCCATGCAAGGTGAGCGAATATTTGAAAGGCTCAACAAGGCTATACTGGCTTCTTGGGAGTCATTTCTTTCGCAAAGCCGACCAGATGCATTCTCGATGGTACAAGCCGCCATTCTGGGACAGACCTACGCTATTCTGGCAGGGAAACCCAAGTATCTCGTTCTGGCAGATGTTTTACATGGAACTGTAGTAGCATGGGCTCGTGAAGCAAATAGGCTCAGTTCTTTGTGTCAGCGGCCCCATGATCTATCAGATCAAAATCATGTTGAGGAAAGTTGGCAACGATGGATTGATATCGAGCAGCGAGCGAGAGTGCAAGTGGCACTCAACATTCACGATGCCGAGCTCGCAACACTTCTACATCACCAGCCAATTAGGAGCCATAGATTCCGTCAGTACCCCCGTCTAGAATCCGATGCATTATTTTCCGCTCCTACGGCATCGAGATGGGCCATACTATACCGCCAGGCACACCAGGAGCAGTCTGCAGAAATGACCTATCCTCGGTTACCACGACCTGCAGACCCATTTCCAAAAACCGCTCTAAACTCTCGGTTTACCGCATACAGTATCCTTGAGAGTATCAGTGCTCGTCTCATTGACTCTAAGCAGTCCCAAGAGTTCGATCATATCACTTGCCAGGAAATTTCAAATCTTCTAATTGAATGGTGGCAGACATATCATACATCTGGCCAGGATGCTTTCTGCCTACCAGTCCTTTGGCATTCTATATTCATTTCACTATACGCCGATCTAGATCTGCTAGAGCAAGCTATTGGCCGAGACGGCCACAAAGCCAGTCTCGAAGCATCGACTCCAGTCCGCGAATGGGCATTGTCGTTCAATGCCAGTCGCTGCCTGTTGCATGCAGCACTGATTACAGAGTATCTTGAATCAATGAGCATCTCTTCTGAGCCAGCTATCCATGTTCCTCGGGCTTTATTCGCAGCAGCCTTGACCTATTCTTGTGTTGGTCATTACGCGCCGAAGCATATAGTGAGTGCAGAGGCTTTTACCTCCCCGGAGATCAAACTGCTCGGAGATGGACCTTCTCGAGTTGCTATCTTTCAAGAGCATATACAAAATTTGAATCGCCCTGTTCCAATAGACTTGGACCATTTATATCGCTTAATTGATTTGTTGCAGCGGGGTGGACGATGGGGGATATCCCAGGCATTTGCCAATGTGCTATCTACGACATTGGAAAATGGAAATGGAGCTTATGCTGCAGGATGAGCTCAAAATAATCAATAACTTCATATCGAGCCAATCAATCTTTCGTTTGGTCACGTTCCCTCTCTAGTATATGGATTGAGATACTGGATTGCAGCTCTAGTCTTGGTGGGGCCAGGTGTAAGCCGAATAAGCACCAACACGACTCATACTACGCCAATAATTATTTTAGACAAAATTACATCTAAAATGCCTGGGATCTGGTTGTTTTGGGCTGAATCATTATCAATTCCATGGTTATTCACTGGCGTTCTAGACACCCCGCAACCGCTTTACAGATCTTGCGGGGTGAAGCTCCACTCTCGTGGGACACCAGCTTCCGTTTCATTTCCCGTTGTTCGCCACAATCAAGAGCAGCATTTGTCTCTCAAGCTGCCTTTTCGCCTCTTTATTGGAAATAAGATCCATACATATTCCAATTTTCTTTTGTGCATGCTAATATTACGCCAAAGCAAGTATTTCTCTCGCATTTTTCGAGTTTCTGGTGGAAGTTAATGCAGGGACCACAATGATGATGCCCGGGTCAAATGAACCATGCCTTAATTCCGCCTGGCAGGCACCGTCTTGTACCCCTCTTCATTAATTGTGAATAATGGACTAATGCATACAAAATCCCCACCTTCCCCGCCACTCCAGCTTCGTGGGGAGGCCCTACCCCATATTATGAAAGAGACGACACAACCGAGGGCACCAAATTAGAATAGTGGGAAAGAGATAATATAAATAGCATAAAAGGCTCTAGAGAATGGGTCAATTATCCAAATTACCCTTTCCTTCCTTTTCTTTCCTTTCCTGTTCCTTTCATACGCGTGTCAATTGAGCAAGATGCCTGTCTTTACAGAGCATTCACTTTCCTCTCGAAACCTACGGGTTCTACCAACTTTCGCGCCTCCGTTGCCCCGGCTGTCTCCTCCATTTTCATTTAGCAAAAGCATTGAGGAAAAGTATGAGGTGGTCATAGTCGGAGTATGTACCAAAGGATCTTAAAGAAGGGCCAATCAGACACGACTTCTGCTGACCATATCAATTTGCAAATAATAGGCCGGTCCTGCTGGACTAATGCTTCATCTCCTCCTTGCTCGCTATGGACTCAACGATACTTCTCTTCTATGTATCGACGCCAAACCGAGCACGCTGAAATCCGGCCAAGCGGACGGCGTCCAGCCGCGCACCTTAGAAGTCTTCAAGACCCTTGGCATCTCCGACGAGATCGAGAACGAGGCCTGTCATATGTGGCAATTTGCATTTTGGAACCAGTCAGATAATGCAGCTAAAATCATCGAGCGCACTGCTGTCGTCCCGGAGGTCCTTGCTCCAGCACGGTTTAGCTATGAAGCGACCATTCACCAGGGTCGAATTGAACGGATTATGGAGACTGATCTACTTCGATACTCAGAAAAAGGTGTCCTACGGAACACCACGCTAGTTGACGTACGAATTGACGAGAGCGGAGACGCAGATTTTCCGGTGCTGGTTACCATGAACACATATGGTCAGGAAAAAACAGTGCGCACGAAGCATCTCGTCGGTGCAGATGGCGCACATTCCGTCGTTCGTCGGTGCATGGGGCTCAAATTAGAAGGCGAATCGCTGGATCATATTTGGGGTGTAATCGATCTTGTTGCTGACACCGATTTCCCCGACATCCGGCGGCGTTGCGCTATTCACTCTCCGGCTGGTTCAGTGATGATCATTCCGCGGGAAAGAATCTCCTCGGGAGAATATCTCACTCGATTGTACGTTCATGTCCCTGAAAGTGTGGCTCCAGAGGACGACCAACTCTCCAACGATGGGCCAGATGCGAAGTCTGAGGATTCACGGCAGCGGAGAAGCAAGATTACCCAGGAAGGCATATTAAAGCAAGCAGCCGATGCATTGCAGCCATACTATATTCGTCCGAAAGATGGGGTTGTCGACTGGTGGGCTGCATATCAAATTGGCCAGCGAGTCTCTCCGGAGTTTATTGTTAAAGACACTAAGGGAGTTCCACGCGTGTTTATTGTTGGAGATGGTAACTTCATCCATTATCAACGAATTATGTAAAAGTCGGTTAGATGCTAACAGCTTGAATGCATAGCTTGCCATACTCATAGCCCTAAGGTAAGATCAGGTCACCCCTTCTAATCACAGAAAATCTTACAATGGTTTCAATTCTTAGGCCGGGCAAGGAATGAATGTCTCCATGATGGACTCCTACAACTTAGCCTGGAAGCTCATATACCACGTCAATGGACTCGTGCCGCAACCTACAGGCGCAGGCACTTCAAATGCCCTACTTGAGAGCTACCAGACAGAAAGACATGAGGTTGCCCGTCAACTCATTGAGTTCGATCGGAAATTTTCCACAATGTTCTCTGGGAAAATTGGAGCAACAGAGGGACTTAGTCAAGAAGAGTTTCAGCAGGCCTTCAAGCTCGGCAATGGCTTCACGAGCGGTTGCGGCGTGGAGTACCCCCAAGGCACATTTGTGGTTCGTGACGATTTGAACGATGAAGCATACCCTGTGAAGGGCGCAGACTATCTCTCTGGTATACTCCGGCCTGGTCGAAGACTATTGAACGTTCAGGTATTGCGGCACGCCGACGGCGCGAAACGCAATATTCACGATGGTAAGTTGCATTTTTGACGCAGATGAGAATGGTAGATAAATACTAACAGGGATTAGATATTCTTTCTACGGGCCGCTTCCGAATCTTGTGTCTAGCCTCAAATGATCTGTTGGATAGGAACAGCGCCTCTGCACAGGCACTCGAGGCGATCGCACTCCTGGCAGCCAAGTTTCCTGTTTCTGTCATAGAACAGATTGTTCTGCATCCAAGCCTGCACCGACATTTCGAGTGGGACGATATCCCTGCATGCGTGAAACAGCATGCCGAAATGCGTTTCCATGACGGCTCGGCCCTTGATGATGCATATTCTATATATGGTGTTGATCCGGCAAGGGGTGCCTTGGCTGTCATTAGGCCTGACGGCTATGTTGGAGTGGTTGCTCGACTTGAAGATATTGCACGAGTGGAGGAATATCTAAAGCAGTGTATCAGAGAATTATAGGTTATCTATCGCATATTAACAAGCTTTAATAATCTAAGTACTGAACCAGGTCGCTCTACGGCAAGCCTGAGAAAACAGGCAGGATGAGATAGGTCGGCGAATAGACCAACAAACCACCACACACCACGGTAGAGGAAGCCTCCCAAAAGGGAAAGCAGAAGCAGATGAAGCGAAGAGAGCGTGAAAGTTGATTCTCTCCCTATCGGAGATGCAAAGCTATATCCTGTAAAGACTGGGTACAAGAAAGATATCCTCCAATCAGAGACCTCCCTAGTATTGGCCATTTCCCCACTACAGTACTTATAAGAAGTACCTAAAGTACCTCATTTAAAACAATATTATGGATTCAGAAGATAATGGAGAATCCATGCTTTGTGGAATAGATTATTCCTTATCTAAATCGGAGACAAAATTCTTGGAAACTTCACAACATGACGTTTAATCCTGATAGATTGATCGCAATCACAAGCTTGTCGACTCTATTCCCACCTCAATCGCTAAATCAGGATCCTGCTGGGATATATAATCCTCCTTCAAATTGAGAATTCTTTTATCTCTCTCATATTCGATTCCCTGAAAGCAACAATAAAGTTTGCCGGATTGTAAATCAGGCAATGCCTCCCCAGCCGTGCCAGCGCGCCGTAATCCCGGTCCAAGTTCGCCCTTATCTCCCCAGAATAACCGCGGGTGATTCCATTCATCCACTAAACCCAGAACCCCTTGAAAATTTCCGTATGTCGTGGGAATACTCCCTTTGGGATTTGTCCTAATCATGTACTCCGTGTAACCGGTCAGGAGCATGAATACCACGGCTAGAGCTATTATTGGAAGAAGAGAGATATTGAATGTCAAGTCTGCCGATAAGGCATAACCGAAAATCCAGTGGATGCTGGCTTTGATGAAGGTAAGCATGAAACCATATCGGCTCAAGTTGGAGATGGCAGAAGGATTTGGGCTTGACCCAACTGTCTCCATGTTGCGCCATACGGCTTCATCGCGTGATAGATTGAACAACAGCTCCAGGCAGTGTAAGGCGAATGCGAGGAACGATTGCAATATGACTTGAACAAGAAGGCCCAATAAGGCTGTTAGATTATCAGTATCAGATATACTGTAAAAGTTCGTCCACATGGCACCGTAGAACTTCCAGTAGCGCAACGGAGAAGGGTCCCACTTAATTTTACTATGCATCGGGTAGTCATTAAGATGAACAAATATCCCTTGTCCAAGAGACCAGATGCTGAAGATTCCACAAAGTCCCCACATCAAATAACGAGTAACCCAAATCTGTGGTGCAACCTTGAGCATGGAGTCTTGTGATTTGATGGCTGGAAGCATTACAGAATCTTTGACTTGGGATCCTTGAGCTTGATGTAGAGCCGTCGCGTTTGCAAGGAGATTGTTACTCCATGTCAGAACCATGCCTTTGTATAGCAGACTATATGTAGAAATGCAGACTTGAATAAGAATTCCAACTCCTAAAGCGATGATAGCGATGAGGTTGAAAATAACGAAATTTGAAGAGGATGAAACTTTGTGAAAATCTCCTTTCTCCAGACGACCTTCAATATTCGCATCCCTCATGATCGATGACATTGCTCCATGAGAAATTGCCAGCGCAATGCCAGATATTATGTTAAAATACCAGCTATTTGGGCCATTACTCTTAGAGCACGTCAGTAATCGGATCTTTGAGTTGAATTTCATTCGATTTTCATGGAAGAGGGTCCATCTGAGAGTCATAGCTTGGATATAATTAATTGAGTCAAGGACCGCGGTAACGAGAAGATTTAACAACAGAGTCAACAGCACAGAAATTCCCTTAGGAAGTTGGCAAATACGTTGAAATGTTGGAATCGAGTCTCCGGGGCGGTAAAAGTGGGAGTAGAAGTTGCTCATGAACTCCAGTCTCGTAAGATTTACCGGTGCCTTGACGCCTTTGGCATTTATTATCAACGACCCTGTCAGTATAAGCGTCAGGGACAGGATACAGCCAAGACCAAGGCCAAGTGTGCAGAGGTCACGAGTCCTTAATATAGTGTCAGATGTTTTATCAAATAGTCGAAAGTCATCGCCATTTCGAGTAGCGGCTGCAATTTTGGTTGAAGGCATTGTTTCTAGATTTCAGGGGCTAAATTCTCGTTGATGCAATTCGTGTCTGTGTACCTTTATTAGCTTATTGTGCCTCGCTTTCATGAAGTGATCAATCAATGAATATAGAGAAAAGCTTCGCACATTAAGAGCGACCTGGACTAGCACTTTAAGCCTTGACATTCAAAGGCCTAGCTGTATAAAGTCTGATCAAAATAAGCCCACTAATTACAACAGTTACACCCCCTATTTATATGGCTAATAAGTATTTAGGCTTCCAATTGATCAGCCGGCGGGATTTTGGGCTAGGCTCAATCCAAATGCAAGATATCCGCGACTTGGCGCGCAAGGGGCCCAGGCTGACATATTCTTTCTATACCAGACCAAGAGAAGGAATGTGCGTAAATTGAATCCAGGGATAGCTATTTTACCCGGGCGAAAAGAGATTGCCCGAAAGAACATAGAACGAGGTTTGAATTCGGAAACAAAATTTTGAAATCTGCGTGAATTTTTCTCAATAGCCTTCGCTTTCGGAGAGGAAATCGAAGTTCAAAAGAGACCTTCATCTGTAAATACTAGAAGCAACCGAAAACGGATTCGTCGGGCGTAGGAAGCAATGCTTCAACAGGAGAGCAAATTCTACTTAAGAATAAGGAACTACGAACTTCATATCAGTCTTCTCAGATACGGTATTTGGCTTCCGTTATTTAAACGTGAACACTCTTGACCATGCGACTATTCATGATTTGTATGGCTCTTGGCCTTCTGGGGGCCACCCTTGCCCTGGGTTTCCGGGGTATGCAGGCGCCGCTGAATCCTTCACAGATTACTTCTACCAAAAGTTGTGGACCAGGTTGTGATTTGACGTGTACATCAGCTCCTTCATCCTGTCTCAAACCCAAAGGAAGAATTTCAAAGCCAACAAAATCTTTCTCCTTCAGCTCGGAAAGTTTTGGGGGAAACACCAGTTCGGCAATCCATGAGAGCGAGGCGCCAAGTTCCCAACCAGGACCAACGTAAGTATTGCAATTTGAACCAGATCTTGAGAATTCTTATGATTTAATGAATAACAGATCTCACAGGGGGGCACTTTCCGAGCATGATGAGCTTTGATATCATTCGTCGATCGTGGTTTCGGAATTGACGCGCCTGTTTTAAGAGAGACAGATCAAATGGAGAATAAGCTCATTGGGCTACCTGGTAAACATTTGTATAATTTCGTTCACTCTATCAATATATTTTTGGTCTAGTGTGCAGCTGCTTGAGTAGAAAGGGTTTACACGTACCCGGTATGCTAAGGGCTCAGCTGGCCATAGACTTTAGGATATGACCAATGAAACTGAACGGAGGACACTGGATGACCATCCTGAGTCCACTCTAGATGTAACTCATCTCGAATTTCGGCTCTCGCTATCAGGCTCTTATATTCGTCTGAGAGGTAAGACCCCTCTATAGCACCCTGTCGAACATCGCGCATTTCAGCGTTATGCTATTAAGGGCATGACGCTTGCTTTAGTTAATGAAGTGGACGGATCATTAGTTAGTTAACTAAGTAACTAACTAGTGCAGTGGGGAAATGGCCAACAATAGTGATGTCTCTGATTGGAGTATATCTTTCCTAGGACACAGCCTTTACAGGAGATAGCTTCGCATCTCCGATAGGGAGAGAATCAACTTTCACGCTCTCTTCGCTTCATCTGCTTCTGCTTTCCCTTTTGGGAGGCTTCCTCTATCGTGGTGTGTGGTGGTTTGTTGGTCTATTCGCCGACCTATCTCATCCTGCCTGTTTTCTCAGGCTTGCCGTAGAGCGCCCTGGTTCACTAGTTATCGTAGAATTTCACTGACACAAACCATAGATACACTTTCTCAAATATTTTAATTTTCTCATAATACCATGACTAGGAAAATTATCCTTAACTAGACTTATTAAGTCGCTTCTAGATTTACATTTTTGACTTAAGTATTGCCAAATGAATTAGATGAGAAAATTACATATGGTTAGGCCGAAGCAAACGAGGGAACACTCTGCGCTGCATCAGATTCTTCGACTAATAATCAAATGGAAATGCCTGTGGTCGGCTATTTCCATCTCCAAAACACCTGCCACTCTCACTAGTAAATCGAGATGCTTTGGCTGCCCAGTTATTTTCGCCCCGTGAGCCTGAGCTGGTGGTTCTCAGCAACGCCACAAGCGACATATTTGGCCAGGCTAACACCGATTGGTCCGTCGCCGTGCCCAAACACCAGTTTGACAGTCCGATGGCGGGGCTGAACCGGAATTTCCGGGAGCCACTTTGCTTCAACTGGCATAGACAGAACACGGAGTCGCCGTAGCAGAACCGAGACTCGTAAGTGCGGACACAGGACGTCTAGAGGATACGATGGGGCATAGGGCGTCTAGAGGATATAATAGGGGGGATCTCCGCATTCAATAGTGAAAGTCAATAGCATCGCAGAAATGGGCGAGCTCGTAAGTCGCAATAGCGACGCATCGTACACGATGACCAAGAACATGAACGTCTTCGGTACGATCACAGACTCGGACAATCACCCGCTCCATGGGGGCGAGTGTGGGAAGCGCCTAATGCCCCATGTCATCGACGCAACGGCTATCGCGACGCCAGACGTCGAATGCTTGTCCGTCCCCCGGACGCATGGCAACCCCCTTGACGGCTGGAAGCCTGTGAGCTGGGCGCAAGTCGCCAACGCCGTCAACTACATAGCTCACCTGCTGATCGAGCAGGCTGGAGTGCCAACGCCTGGTACTTTTCCCACAATTGCATACATCGGGCTTGAAGACCCGCGCTACGTGCTCTTTATCATGGGCGCAATCAAGGCCGGGTATAAGGCTCTGTTCATCTCGCCACGGAATTCTGTCGAGGCTCAGGTGAACCTGTTTGACAAGACGGATTGCAATCTCTTATACCATGACCAGACGCTGGCATCGATGGTCAGGCCGTGGGTCGCCGGACGGTCTGGGATGAAGAGCATCACAATCCCTCCCTGGGAACAGTGGGTGACCACGCCGGTCGCCCCATTCCCGTATACAAAGACCTTCGCCGAGGCCGAATGGGACCCGTTTGTGGTACTTCATACGAGCGGTAGCACGGGTCTACCCAAGCCAGTCATAATTCCCCAGGGCAAGCTGGCCCTGAACGACCTGCATCGCTATGTTCCCGAGTACAATGGGAACATGCCATGGTTGCCGACATGGGCGAAATTCGATAATCCGCGGTACCTCTGCACCTGTCCTCTGTTCCATACCGCGGGAATTATGCCCACAGTTTTGTCGGGCATTTACTACAGCACTCCGGTTATATTTCGCGATCCGTCGGTTCCGCTCACGGGGGATAACGTGGTTGAGTGGTTGCAGAATTCCGGCGCGACGTATACAGTCCTGCCCCCAGCGATCCTAGAGCAGATGTCACGTTCACAAGCAGCGCTCGACGAGATGAAGAAGTTGCAGGTTGTGGCCTTTGGAGGAGGTGCGTGAGCAAAACATTTAAGTGCGTGCCGATCCTAACTTAGCCCTATATGCAGGCCCAATCGCGCCCGCTGCAGCGGCCGCACTGCTCAGCAACGAAATCAAGCTAGTCAACGCCATCGGGGCTACCGAGTACATCTATATGCCATACTACACGCAGCCAGACTCATCCCTCTGGGAGTGGTTCATCGTCCCGTCAGAGTTGTTGGGTATCGAGTGGCGGCCCTTTGGCGAAGACACATATGAGCAAGTCTTCATTAGGCAGAAGAAACATCCAGGACTGCAGGGTTGCTTTTACGTCTTTCCTGAACTAGACGAATACAGCACAAGCGACCTCTATCGCCCGCATCCGACTTTACCAAACCACTGGACCTACGTGGGTCGCGCCGACGACATTATCGTTTTCTCCACCGGCGAGAAACTCAACCCCACGACTATAGAAGGAGCGGTGATCGGACATCCGGGGGTCCTAGGTGCGCAAGTTGTGGGTTCGGGACAGTTCCATGCTGCGCTGCTGATTGAGCCGGCGCATTATCCGGTAAATGAGGGGGAGAAGCAGCGGTTCCTCGACGATGTTTGGCCGGTTATCGAGAAGATCAATGAGGAGACTGTCGCGCATGGTCGCATCTTGCGTGACTATGTCTTTTTGTCTGACCCAGCACGACCGTTTCCACGGGCTGGCAAGGGCACAATCCAGCGTGCCATGGCTGTAAAGCTCTACGCAGACGACGTTCGCCGCATCTTTGAATCCAGCTCCGATACCAACAGCGTCCCAGCCGCAGGCATGGAGCTCGATTTCAGCTCAGATACAGCTCTTGCGGAGGGAATCCGGAATTTGGTGCAATTGACGCTGAATTTGCCTGCACTGGGGGGTGATGATGATTTCTTTGCTGCGGGCGTCGACTCGCTGCAGGTTCTCCAGCTGACACGGGTGTTGAGCGCTAGTGTCAAGGAGACCATTGAGGCGAGGAGTATCTATAATTACCCAACCATCACCCAGCTCAGTTCCTTCATCAATTCTCTAGCAGGATCTAGTTCTAAGGGAACTGCCCTTACAAGCACTGAGACCGACACTCTGGCCCTATGCTCAGCCCTTGTCGAAAGATACACGCAGAACCTCCCTCCACCTAACCCCAAGAAACCACTTCCCGCGGCCACAAACCAAACCATTATCATCACTGGCACAACTGGAACTCTAGGCTGCTACCTTCTTGACTTCGCCATTGCAAACCAGAACATCACAAAAATTTACTGCTTCAACCGAACGCCCGACGCACGCGAGCGCCAGCTCGCTACAAGCAGCGCTCGCGGCCTTTGCACCGACTTCCCACCATCCCGTGTCGAATTCTTAACCGTCGACCTCTCCTCCTCAGCTACATTCAACCTGCCCGAAGAGATCGCTATTTGCCTCGCGAGTACAGTCGACCGCATAATTCACAACGCCTGGCCCGTAGACTTCAATCAATCTATCGCGTCCTTCGAACCACACCTTTGTGGTGTCCGACATCTCATCGACTTCGCCGCTGCCGCCGTCAAAAATATCCCTATCACGTTTGTTTCGTCCATCAGCTCGGTCGAGAGATGGCCCGAGCCAGGTCTCATTCCCGAACAACCTCTTTCAGACTTCACCTACGCCTCCCAGATGGGCTACGGCCAATCGAAGCTTGCCGCAAGCCTGATACTCGATACGGCAGCGACAGAATCGTTAGTGCCACGGAATATCGTCCGCGTGGGCCAGATCGCCGGTCCCCGGGCCGAACAGGGTCAATGGAACCCACGTGAGTGGCTTCCGAGTCTTATTCGGAGCTCACTATCCCTAGGTCTTCTGCCGGGCGAGCTTGGAGTGCTAGGTAGTTTGGGATGGGCGCCTGTGGAGGACATTGCGGGTGTTGTTTTGGAGGTCACTACTGGCCAAGATGGCAATGGCGGGTACTTTCACGCGGTGAATCCGAACCTTCCAGACTGGAAGGGGGTTATTGTCCCCGCGATAACGGATTTCTATGGAAGCAGGATTCAGCGCGTTGTGAGCTTGGAAGAGTGGGTGAATGCGTTAGAGAAAAGCGCAGTTGGTGAGGTGGATCTGGAAAAGAATCCGGGCGTGAAGCTTCTAGATACGTATCGTTTTGCGTCTACGAAGGCGACAAACGGCGAGACTGCTAGTGCAGGCTTTGCTACGGAACGAACGGGACAGGCGAGCGAGACGATGCGGCGAATGGGGCCGGTGACGGCAGAGTTAATGAAGAGGTGGTGTGAGCAGTGGCAGTTCTAAATGGTATATTGGTAATGGCCCGTTGGTATTTTAGACACCCAAACAAAGTCTTTTCCATGCTTAGCGCAAACCCACTTTCAAAGGGATTAGAAGGAAGCCCTAGAGCTAAAATAAGCAGAGTTTTTAAATATAGATAGGAAGGACCACATTCTCCTAGGCCGGAAGCGGTACTGGATTAAAGAAGATAGAATTGAGAAGAAAAAGATACACCTAAAATTATCTAAGAAAAGCTTACTCTTAAGCTTATTTTAAGTGTTAGACTAAAATAAGAATAGGCGTAAGAATTCTAATTAGGGGTATAAATATATTAAGGCTGGAGAAAAATGCTACCGGTCATTGGATGACCCCAGAGAATCCGCAAGGATTGAGTAAGTATAGGTGGACAAATGTTCCACAGCTGCCGCCTGTTTAATTCTGTTAGTAACATTGACGGACATACGTGGCCGCATTGTAAGTATTGAACCAGGACGCTCAACGGCAAGTCTGGCATGCAGACTGGAAGAGAAGGATCAGCGAGCCAACAACCAAACCAATCACACACCGCGGTAGTAGAAGGGCTCCTCAAAAATGAAATACGTAGATGCTGTTTGGCAAAAGAGTGTGTAGAAGTATGTTTCTTTCTATCTGAGATGTATAGCTATATCTATAATGACAGTGTACGGGGAAAAGATCACTCGATTAGAATTGTAGCCTATCGCAGGCTCTTTCCCCACTACAGTATCTAAGTGTCTTCGTGTTCAAAGGATTCAAATTCTAGAAGCTTTTGTCGACTTTAAGACCTCGACAGTCTGGGCTGATAACGAGAACGGAGCCGCTTGCGAACTTGGAGGTATAACTGACAGAGGCACCGAAAAGAAGTGCGATGATAATAGTCAACGTTTAAAAAGGGAGTGATCGGCAGAATGGCCTTGACACCGTATACTTGTAGGAGAATGAAAGCTTCAGAAACTCTCAGGCTGCGATGGTTACACTCTTATTGCGAAGACTTAACTTATCGCACGGTGTGTATGGCTGCCACCTGTTTCATACAGCTATACTAGATAGCAGTAAAACAGAATGATCGAGGTGCGCTTGGAACTGCCATGTTTGGCCAGACCCGACCATAGCATTTGTACGAGCTGCAGGGTAGAAGCCTTGGTTTGTTTGAAAGTATGTCCCAATCAAGGTTACAGGCAGATCGTCAGCCATAATTAAGACCTACTTTGTATCAGGTCCAAGCCCATGGGGCTGAAAGACAGCTGGTGGATGAAAAAAGAGATGGTGCGCAGGCTAACTAACAGGTTTCTTGTTAGAAAGAGCAATACAGCGATTCTTATCTAGATAGGAACACCCTTGTCTCCGATTCTGTCTAAGAAATGGGAGATGGAATAGGAATGAAAAATAAAAAATTCTATCCATTCAAGCGGCCAAGCATTATCAGTAAGGGGACTGTGATCTATGTAAATTAATGAGACTTAGTCCCGAATGCTGCATCAGCAGCACCGAAGGACATCAAAAAGTGAATTTTTCCCCCAACACCAAGCACAAAGTGAATATATCGTCGCATCTTCCAAATCAATCGTAAAAACTGGTATCTCTGGCCAATGACGACGATGCAGAAAATTGATGAAAAAATAGAGCCCAGCTCAACACAATGGGTATCGAAAACGGCGGCAAATGTGAACAGTAATGGCAAGATTGAGAAGCTTGACGTTCAAAGCGGCGCTCTTGTCGGGTATAATATCACGAGCATTCGCATTAAGGCAGGTAAGGGCATAAAGTGGCTGCGGGTAGCGCTCAGCAATTTCCATAAACTTGACAGTAGCAGAGTTGTTCATCAGGACAGCTAAAGAGGAGAATCGGTTAGTCAAGAGTCGCACACAGTCTCTCTGCGTGTGACTTACTAGATCGAGCCCATGCCGAAAATTATATGCCATAAAAACTCCATTACTCGTCCTGACGAGGCATCGTTCAACTCAGTGTCGATGAGCCACTGCCGGAACTTGACATAGTCATCCCGTGGCCGACGCTGCACCTGGCTGCGCGAGACAGCAAACTGTGCGCAGCATGCGGCAGCTATCTGATCAGGCTTGCGCAAGTATTCTTGTGTTGCTGATTCTTGCTCATATGGCGAGGAGACGTTTAGTGGTGGCGTGCTCGTTCCATAAAAGATATCCGACCAGACCTGGTTAGTGACATGTCGATTGAAGCGATGCCCTTCCTTGCAGCCCGGGTTCCAGTTGCAGCGCAGGTTAACGTAGCCATTTTGCTGGACAAAGTCGAGTTGCAACGCGCGCATGGCGAGGACATTGTCGTGGAGGGGCGCATCGACATGCCATGCCAGAAGGAATCCCGACCTATGCGCATGGAGAAAGGCGATTGTGGATGGAAGGACGTAGTAGTGATCGATAACATAGGTGAGATAGGCCATAGCCTCGTGGCCTTTGTTCAAAGGGGTCGTGAGAATCTGGTCGTTGGCGCGAGTTTCGGATGAAGGGTTGACGACATAAAGTGCCCGCTGCCAGCTATTCGGCGAAGACTTGAATTAGTGGATTGAATGTCGCCACGATCAGATGGCAATCCTGACACTTACTCGGGAAGTTCTTCCTCCACCCAATCGATATTCTCCTCCTCCAACCTGGCCATGACAATCACCTTGTCGCCCACTTCATAGCTTAGAGGTGGGCGCGAGGGCCTACTGCGGTCCAGCCAGTTTACCAAGTATGCGCCTGCGCGGTACTGGTTACAGATATCTTGGATATGGGCCTCCAGCAGGAAAAGGGAGAAGAGCAGAAGTAACCCCGCGCATAATGCGAAGCGCAACCCTCCTTTCATCTTCAATACCGAAAATCAGATGTTCAAGGGGAAACCCTTAAGCGGAGCCCCGTGTGTGCCAATCTAAGTTCACCGAGAAAAAGACCAGTAAGCCATTTGAAAGAAAAAAAAAAAAAAAAAGGCCCTAGTTGCAATTCAAGTCTTTGAACGGAAAAAGGATAGGTATCGAAAGAAGACCCCTATAAATCGTCCCTATCGTAGGATGTAGCGGACAGGAAAGGAGAGAATGAAACAAGAAAGTCCCAGTCGAGGAGAGGAGACGATCAACGACTAGTTTATTGCCCCAGTGGCCACGACGCTAAGAGAACGGTACAGTGGAGAACGGGGCAAGCGTAGAAGCTGGTTGACCAAAGTGTAAATGAGTACGGAGAAGGGCCGGGGGAGTAAATATCTTCCTACAAGATCTGGAGGGAAAAGATGGTTGGCTTAAGAGCAGAGGGCAGGACCCTCATCATGGGGGGGGCGGCAAGAAGGCCCATGCTTCTCGCTTTTTTCCCTTCGACCATCATCAATCTAGCGGGAAGCCTAAGCCGCGTCCAACTTAGAGTGACATTATTCGTTCACGTCATTGGCCGCTGGGAGGCGATTCAGGGGAGTTTTGGAGGGGGGGGTATATTGGGGCGACAGACCGCCCGCTCTGGCCCATGGCAGTAAAAGCTTGGCTCGGGGGTTGGAGGGGGAAGAGAGGGTCGTAGCGCCTCCCGCGGCCCATTATCCTATCACCTAGGAGCAGCTTTTAGCAACCTTTTCTACTGTTGTCGCAGTAAAACTAGATGCAATTCTGTCGAGCAAGAAAAGTAGGGCTTCGGGCCCAGGGTTGTGTAAGGTTGACAGCTTATTTTCCAAAGGGGTCGGAACGTCCTCTGTAGGGAATAAGTCCCCATTCCCTGGCTGGGGGTGAAGGTTTGACTACTTGGCGTGGCAATGAGTGAGAAGTACCATGGGTCGCACGTGGCGCTGAGCGGCCTTCTGACGACGTCCTGGGCCAAAAGGAAGTGCCGCCGGAGTACGTAAGCTCCAACCGGCCTGTTGGTACTATTGGTTAATTGCATATCCCATGGGTTGTTGGTTTGGGGTTTGGGGGTTTTGGGGGTTTTCGAGTTGGTGTCTCGCGTAGGCAAACACAATCGAATGGGTGCCTGGTCCCTGGTCCCTGTTCCTAACGTTGGGCGGCTTGTTACTGGCCCCATGTGTCCCGTTTAGGTTAGCAGACCCTCCTCCATGAGCCGTAGAGCGGTGTCGAATGAGGTGCTGAGTGGATTGTGGCGATGACAAGAGAGCAGATCCACCCTGATTAACGCGACAGTAGTCGTGGGAAGCTAAAGGCCACGCCGCTCCTCGCTCTTTTGCGCCATTGCGAAGCGCCAAGGGATGGCAGATTGGGGAAGTCCTAGGACGAGTCATGTGGTTGGTTCCTTCAATCTCCTTCACACGCAATCGGGCAACGATTCGCAACGATTCGATTCTTTCGCAGAGAACCACCAGGACCCACGGGGAAACAAGGTCTCTTCAGGGCAACGAAACCTCGAGACTTTGCCGATCTGCAATTTTATTGCGTCAGTCCTTGCTCTGTCTCCGTTTCTCCCAGTTGCAACGTACGGCGTAGAGGAACCCATAGGATCCCCCCGGTCAGTCGGGTACGGAGTACCTGGGCATTCAACACTGGGACTGCGCTATGCGCCCCAGGCCAAGTTGATTGGGAGCCAACAGTAGCCTTGCGCGCCTGAAGAGTCCGGATTATAGACCCTCCAACACTCCTTAGAACAGCATCATATCAATGCGGAGCTAGTTCAGCGCAACCACATAATGTCATTAACCATTCTTGGTTGGCCGGGGTATGGAATACACTGGACGCCTCGCATCAGCATTGCTCAGGACTGGTGACCAGATTGGGGACAGAGGGGCCGGGAGAAAGTCGACGGCTTGATGTCAAGGTGAAGTCCGGCTGAAGTCCGAGTTGGCTCTAGGGGGCCGAAGCAGATCGGCTCAATGTCGGCAAGAAGATCGGCTATGAGCCCGTCACAACCTTTACAGCGTACGAGAGCGCCATCTAGGCCTCCGAAGCATTTGGCGACGTAACTAATATCAACAAGATCGGGTTGACCTATCTCGATCTCTGATTCTAACCCTGGCTATTTCCAAATTGTTGGCGTTTCATGAATCGTGAGAAATTGTTGGTTGGCGGTCGCAACCCCCAACTAAATATATCTCTCGCTGCCAGCATGCCCTGGGCCCCCCAGCAGCATAATCTCCAACATTATTGAACATGCCCAAAGCTGATACGACCAAAACCTCATCTATGAATGCATGTGCATGTGAAAATTGGGGGCTATCTTCATACAGGCCATTGGTAAATTAATATTACAACCAGACTACAGACAGGGAGAATTCGACATCGAGATCGACTGTCTTTTCCAACATTAGGTGTGATGTTTTTTTTACCCATATTATTATATGATACTGTACTTGATTGGAAGAGAAATATGTAGAGTCTGTGACCTGATTTTGGAATGCAATAGGTGATATTAGGCACCATTCATGAACTCAAGGATGAAAGCGTTTCATGAAGCAATAGACATTTAATGGAACGCATTTGACGCACTCAATGTTCATCATATATACAAAGTCTTTTTATAATCGTAACTTCCCGGTGGACCCTCACGCAGTCCAGCTGCCGGTTGACCCGGGAACACTACCTGTCTAGATGTAGTTCAATCGCTTCCATCCTTCTCCTCTTCTTCTTCGCTGACGTCCTTGCCCTCCGCAATCGCCTTTTCCCGTCGCTTTCGCGCACGCTCCCGCTTCTTGTCCAGGAAGACATTGAGCTTTTTCGCCGTATTGAACACCCCACCCGTGCCCGCACCGCATGCTGCACAGGAGGGGTTCTTCCGGTACCGTTGCAACGCGCAAGCCTCACAAAAGTAGTGGCCGCACTTTGTGATGATGGGGGTCTGGTATGGTTTGCGACAGATGATGCAGGCGAAAGGGATGTTTTCGAGGAGCTCGTCATCGTCATCGTCGTCCCCTTCAGCCATGTGACCCGCACCCTTTCGTTGCGACACCACCCGTCCAGCCTGTTTCTTGCCCTTAGTCTCGACTTCCCACTCGCGATCGAGCTCCCACCCTTGCTTATAATCGGTCCGTTCATGCAAATATATACATGAATCACCGAATCCGCAGCTATTTTCCAGCATTCATATGTTAGCACAGGTATAGAAGTAAGAGAAAGAGAAAGGCCACGACGAATGACTCACTATCCAGTTTGTTTATAATCCTTGCAAACGTCCGGAGCGAAATCAATTGTAGTGACAGTTCGGATATTGGTGGGAGCTTTGACAGGACCGAATTGTTTTGTCGGCGCATCTGGATTCTTCTGAATAAAGGACTGGTAGTTGGCGGCACCTTTGTAGGTGCCGTCGGACGTAGACACCGAGGTGGCGGATGCTGATGGTTGTGGGCGTGCTCGAGTAGATCCAAGCAGGTTCTTTGCACTCAAGTCTTCTTCATCGTACCAATTGGATTGTTTTGTGGCGTCATTGCTGCTGGTGATGGCAACTGGACCTACGCTCGCCGGTTCTTCGTTGGTGGTCTTTGTGGTCGCATTTGCAAGGGAGGAGGCTGTGACAGAAACGTTCTTGCGCCGCTTGATGCGACGTCCTGCTTCGTCATCGGAGGATGTAAAATCGGAGCCGGAATCCGAGGCTGGCGGGGGAGTGGCGGGCTTCTTGCGAAAGCTGGCCTTGCCCTTCGCGCGTTTTTTAAAGCCGAACTGGGGAACAGCGTCTAATGTACTGGTTTCATCGGCCATATCTGGAGGGGTTTGATGATAGAGAAGAGCAGGAGAGAGCTGGGCGCAGTGATTTGAAGCTCTCAGATCCAACATGCCTCGATCAAGAAGACTCTCGAAATCACCAGAGATGACTAAGCCGATCCGCGAGAGCATCGCTTACCAAATCATGCAAAAGATGCAAAAGATGTAAAGTATGCAAACCGAACGCGTTGGGAAAAGAAAACAACAACAAGCGCAAACGAATCGGAGACGTCGACCTTGTTTACCGTGAAGCGATACAAGGTCTCGGACGTGCAGATGCCAATCTGCACGATACAATAATAATAATCAATATCTGTAGCCCCCCAAGTACCCCTCGACGATCCCCCTCTGTCGTACCCTGAAATAGTCAGTCTCCAGCATCCAGTATTTCGCCTGTAGCCCTTCCCGAGGGTCACGATCTCCCCACGGTCGCGATCTCAAACACCGGTGCCAATTGGTACCAGCAGCGCCTTGCTGGCCTCCCTTTTCTCCCCGCCCGAGTCTCGCCCACTTCACTTGCAATCCTCCTCCTCCACCTAATCACGCACATCCACCATCTCACTCTCGACGTTCCCTTGGTCTTCATTTTCAATTTTTTTTTGGTTTCCTCTGCTCATTCCGTCTTTGGTTTTCTTCTTTCTTTCTTTTCTTTTGTCGTATTTGACTCCCACGAGGACGGGGCCCACCGAGTCGAGCGACATCCGGTTGGGTGATAATTCCTGCAGATCGCCGTGTGTTATGGTTGGCGACAGCATCACGATTCCGCGCGTATACCTGGCCAAGAATCTCGCCGGTCCGGGATCTTACTGATTCACTGATCTCGCGGGTTCCATTTCCCTTCCCCCGTTCGCATCGGGCGACGCCCTGTCCTGCTACCTTTCCCGATCTCCATCGCATCCGAATTTCGCACGTGGGAATCTTGACAACTTCGTGGTCGCTGGTCGGCTCACTCATTCGCTCTGCGAAAGGAGACACCTTAGCGCGATTGGATTCTCGGCGACTCGAACGATGCTCGCGTGAACTGAAATACTTGAGTCATAGACAAGCAGACGACGCGCCATTTCCTTAACGTCTCATCGGCCGCTGTATCCTCACCTCTAGGGGATTCAGACGCCGACCGAGGCCCTACGCCCCTCCCAGAGGATGACGGCATCTAACGCCGGGGCGAATAGCACCCTTGCCTCCATGATGGAAGATCCGTTCGTTTCCAATTCCAGCCAGGCTGCAACTGCTCCTCGCGAATCTCACCGGTACTCCTCCTTTGATACGCAGCTGTTCAGTCTCAATGCCTCATCACCGGCACAAGCGAAGCGAGCGCTCGAGGCTCACCTGGCAGAGACCGAGCGCCGGCTTGAGGAGGCGTCCAAGCTAGGCACCGCACTCATTGACCAGCAGCGGGAACTGACCGAGCAGCTCAAGGAGGTTGAACGCCAGCAGGATGAGGGGGAAATGGGACCGGAATTGCGGCAGCGGCTCGCCGACCTCGAACAAGAATATAATGAGATCGGACGAGAGAGCGCACGCGCATTTCTGGCCCCCAAACGACTGGCAGGAGGCTCCGAGGATACTCAATTGGGCACCCCGAGCTTTGACCAGAAGGTTCGTTCTGGATGATCTCGTGCCCCTCGCCTTCCCTTAAACTATTCCATGTGCGGAAAATCTAACGCACTTGATCTAGTCTCCCATCAGCCCTGCTCTCTTCGCTAGCCAAGCGACCAATTCTCCCAGCAAAGTCAGCGTCCCATCCCGTAAACAGCGCAACCAACCATCCAGCCGAGTCCACGATATCGAATTCGCCACAGAGATCTCTACCTCCCTGCTTGCTCAAGTCCGTCAATTGCAGGCGCTTCTTGCCGAGCGAGAGGAGTCCCTCAAATCTGTTAACCTCGAGAAATCGCGACTCGAACTCGAGGCAGAAGGGTATGCTCAAAGAATTCGAACTCTTGATGATAGCGAACAACGTTATAAAGATGAGAACTGGGCTCTGGAGACCCAGACCCATGAGCTCATGGCTGCCGTCAAGGATGCCACGGAGCGTGAGAAGCGGCTTAACACTAGTCTGAGTGCGTCGAACTCGGAGAAGACGGCTGTCGAGCGGGAACTGGAAGAATTGAGACAAGCCAATTCCAAGCTGTTGGAGGAACAGTCTATCGCACAGAAAGCAAATGATGCTGAAGTTCATCTTTTGCGCCGTAACCTGACGGCTGGTGACGCAGAGAAACTTGCTCTTCAGAAAAAGCTTGAGGAACTGACGGGCCAGAATCAAGAGCTGGCAAAAGCGGTGGCTATGCGTATCCGACAATATGAAGGACAAGGCACTCGTGATCTTCCAGATGACAATGACGACGATGAGCAGGAGCAAAACACGCCCGACAATTCCCCTCCTCCGTCCCCCAACAAGTTTACACCGCGACATGGCCATCTTGAATCGGAAACCCTGAAGAGTTCCTTGGGCCATGCGCACCGTATGATCCAGAACCTCAAGAGCACCATTCATCGGGAGAAAACTGAGAAGATTGAGCTTAAGCGCATGCTTCAAGAAGCCCGGGATGAGGTTGAGCAGCGTCGTCGCGAGACCGCTGCTCCCAATGGGTCAACTAAGCGTCTGAAGACTAAGGACACATCTTTCCGCAAACCAGCCCGCCCTGATCTACTAGGCGCTGGTCGTAAGGAAAAGTCGTTTGTTGAGCTTCACGATACCGATTGGGAGGATAATGCTGGGCAGATCAGCCCAAGTCGCTCGGTGATGGCAATTGCAGCTCAAGGTCGGCCTGGCGCTCGTTCGCCAGACGAGCCTAGTGATGTCTACCAGACTGCCACCGAAGCCGAGGATGGATTTGAGACTGCGAACGAGCGGGCCACAGCAACTGAGAGCGAGGCATTCCAGACAGGCGTCGAGAGCATGGCCGATGACAGCAGTGATGATTCCGCCGACCTAACTGAGACTGAGAACAATGTCCAAACCACTCCTCGCAACCGGGTTTCCTCTTTGATGATGGCGAAGGCACGCGATCGTTCTTCCTTCCACAGCACAGCTTCTGCGTCGACCGACGATGAGGAGACAGATGGAAGCTTCCCCTCTCCCAGTCAGACTCACATGTCGCGTCGTGTGCGATCCAAGCGCAGTGTTCTTAGGCGGATTCGCCCGTCTGGAGAAGCTCCAATGGCTTCCTATAGCCGTCCGTCCAGTGCACGTAATTCCCCTGCGCCCAGCTTTGAAGAACAGCCAATGGCTCAGGAAGGTCAGAGTCTATTTGCTGAGCTTGCCGAGCTGGAAGGAGGCGAGGAAGAGGATGAAGAGGATGGTGCTGTGTCTCAGACATCGACCCCACGAATGGGCCCTGTGTCTGACTCCCGTCGGCCTTCGGAAGTCAATCTGGATGTAGTGCCTCGGCCAGTCATGGTTGATTCCGGTGTGATGACTGACCCATGGGAACCTAGCACCTCCATCGCGACGGTTGCTGGTGCCGGTGCTGCCGGTGTTCTCACCGGTGCTATTCTTACCAATTCCCCAACTACTCCTCAGAGATCTCAGAGTCCGGAGCAGGAAATCGCCACGAATGTTGAGCAGACACCGAAACTGGTCAGCTCTGGAACACAGTGGACGCCGTTGAAGCCCCCCACGGCGGACGGCGACCACTTGGCTAACGTGCCCACACCACCGAAGATGGTCTGGGACGAGCGTTCTGTTGATGTCCAGCACGTTGAAGCCGGAACGCAAGCAGAACCAGCGGAGATGGGAGTAGCTATAATCTCCTTCCAAGAAACCGTTCCAACAGCACCCAAGTGGCCTGAACTAGGTGTAACTTTTGTTCCTGGAAGTGTCACTTCTCCTGTGAAGCATGAGGTTCCTGCTCCAGAAATTCTTGATTTGGGATTCTCTTCAATTTCCTCGCTATCAACTGAGCCCGTCATGGCTGTCATTCCCGAGTCAGAGCCCGTGCGAGAGCTTCCTGAAATTTCTTTGTCGTCTCTTTTCACCTATTCCACTGAGCCTGTTCAGGCCCGAGTTCCCGAACCTGAACCTGAGATTGTGGCCAAGGAAGTTATTCTGCCCGACTTGGGGCTGTCAATTATTTCTGCTCAGCAAACGGAGCCTGTGAAGCCTCATCTCCCAGAGCCCGCACCCGTGCCAGAGCCCATTGTGATTCGTGAGGTGATCCGCGAGCCTGCACCTGAGCCGGTACCTCCTGAGCTTTCGATCTCGTGGTTGAATCCCACTTCTACGGAGCCTGTTGAGGCTCGCTTGCCAGAACCTGTCCCAGTGCCGGAGCCTGTTGTGATCCGCGAGGTGATCCGCGAGCCTGCACCTGAGCCGGTACCTCCAGAGCTTTCAATCTCGTGGTTGAACCCCACATCCACGGAGCCTGTTGAGGCTCGCTTGCCAGAACCTGCCCCATTACCGGAGCCTATTGTAATCCGTGAGGTGATCCGCGAGCCTGCACCTGAACCGGTACCTCCAGAGCTCTCAATCTCGTGGTTGGACCCGGCATTCACGGAACCAATTGCCCCTAAGCTGATTGAAGCTGCCCCTCTCGCTAGTCCCTCGATCTCCATCTTGCATTCCGTGGAGACTCAGCCGACCAAGTCCGTACCGCATGTCATTCCTTCTATGATTGACCTTGCTGTCCAGACAGATCCGACAGAGGAGCCAAAGCCCGTTGGTTCAGCTGTGGCTGTCTACGAAGACACAGCCACCAGAATTACACGCAGCCGTGCCAGCACAACCACCAGCGAGCGGCGCACAAGTACAGGGTTGGCTTTGAGCGACATTTCTGGCAATGCTCTCCCTCACTCAGGAAGACAGCAACCAAGCTCTGTCAGCATGGACCAGGGCTCACAAACGATTCTCTCCGCGAGACAGATTGACCAAATCTTGATGGATCGAGATTCTGCTCGTCCAGTCTCTTCGGCAGATAACAGACCAACAAGTCAGATAAGAGACATGGCCACCGCCGGAGCCATTGCGGCAGTCGCCGGGGCTTCGGCAGCCTCGTCGCCTTTTGCCACTCCTAAGGTCAAATCTCGCTTGCAACCCCAGTCGGCCAAGTCGAATGCATCGAGTCAACGCCGACCTGATAGTTCTGCCAGCCAAGCATCCGCATTCAGTCTTCATCCGCCATTGCCAGTCGACCACCGTGAGGCCATTGCAGCTGCTGAGAAGAAATCGATTGATATGCCTCCGCCGTCTCCAACTGTGATGGGCCCGCCTCTTGCACCTGCCTCTGCATACCGCATCAATGTCCAAGCTGCTCCACGAACCCCCAACGAACAAATGAACCGCCCTGGCTCTACCAGAACCGTTTCTACGCAAGCCCGTATGCGGAAGGGAAGTCAAAGCCAGATGTCAAGACGATCCTCGGTATCGTCATTCGCGTCTGAGCTTGAGGAGCGCTTCAATATGAACCCCTATGCTGGTCCTATGCCTCAGGGATACGGACCTGGTACAGATCCCCGCATGATCCAGGCTATTACCCAGACCATGATTGGTGAATTCTTGTGGAAGTATACTCGCAAGACTGGATCTTCAGACATGTCCTCAACTCGCCATCGACGTTATTTCTGGGTCCACCCGTATACTCGTACACTATACTGGAGCGAACAAGACCCACAGACTGTTGGAAAAACCCAGGTCCGGACTAAGAGCGTACCGATTGAGGCAGTTCGGGTCGTTGCAGACGACAACCCATACCCTCCGGGTCTCCACTGCCGCAGCTTGGAGGTTGTTAGCCCCGGCCGGCGCGTACGATTCACAGCCACTACCAGCCAAAGACATGAGACCTGGTTCAACGCCTTGTCATATCTTCTTCTGCGGGAAACTAATGACAACTGCGAAGATCACGACAATAGCGTGACCTTGGATGATATCGATGAGTTCAACCCTGGCTTCCGGTCGTCCTCTCGGCAGACGGCACGCATGTCGCTTGCGTCACACAACAGCCGTACTGTTCGTCAAGCGCCCAAGCAGCAGCGTGCAGCGTCAGCCATGTCCATGCGCTCGACTGGTGGAACCCCGGGCCGCGCATCACCTGCGCTCAGCTCCCCAGGCCCAAATTCCACCCTGCAAGTCCCCGACGAGCCTCCGAGGTCTTCGTCCCGCCTCAGCTCGATCCTGAACAGTTCAATTCGTGGGTCGATCGCCAGTTTGAAGGGACGTCACGGCCAGGCATCAAGCGTTCATAATGAGAGTCTCCGTGACCAACATAGCATGGAAAACTTGGCACAGGAGCTCGATGATGAAGATCGGCTTGAGAATGTACGCGCTTGCTGTGACGGTAAACATGATGTGGGTTCGCTCTCGCGCACCAGTCGATATAGCCCCAGAGTTGACCGTACCCACTCGCACCATTAAAAAGCAACGTTGCATTGGATTTGAATCGGTTTTTTCGAGTTTGCAGGCTGGTTCCTCAAACCAAGATGGCTTGCATTGCTCGTATAATTGCCACGAGTCTCATTATCTTCTTCCCCCTTGTCTAACAAACACCCTCATTCTGCTGCTGCTTCTTTGCCGCTTTGATGTCTTTGATATAAATGGCGCAGTCAGCAGCTGACTTATTCTTCTTGACACACCACTTTGGATGACTTGAGAGCCTTTCTTTGCTTGGAAAACACTTGAAATTTCCGAAGCAAAGCATTGTCCCTCTCAAACCTCCCCCTACTCTACTTCACTTCAAACACTACTACTCGACCACTCTCATTCCGTTCCATCTTTCCAAGACTTCGTTTACAGCCCAACACTTGGCTGATTTCTCTCTCTCCTATCTCTCTCCGTCCTTCCTTTTTCTATTCTCAGTGCTGTCAATGTTCTTCTTTCGTTCAGCCACGTTCCAGTCGGACCAAATCCTTTTCATTATACGTTTCTTCTCCTACCTTGCCTCTGTTGATAATTCCTATGCATCCTCCACTTCCATCATCTGCCCTTATTACCTTCCACTCATTGTATGTGATTGTGTTCGCCTTGTGTTAGTGCTCTACATGCACACTAAATGTGAACCCTACAAGATCTTAGTCTGTGCATGTGCTTGACTTCATTCATCATTTGGCCCTAAGTCGTAGTTAGCTATAATGAGAATTTTGATGTCGGTGTGACCAGTAATTCAAAGCTAGTTGGGTTGATATACCTTATTATTATTCCTCCTGCGGGATAGCCAGTCTATATACCAAAGTTTACTGAGCCATGAGACTGGTCTCAGATGAGGCATCAAATTGTTTTATACAGTAAATTAAAAGTCTTGGAAGACAATACACATATATACTCCAGATGCCCGCTGGCCTCTCCGGATCATTCCCTTCCCGGAATCCGCAACCTATCGACACCTCAGGCCATAATCTCCCTCCGCCCTAACTTTCCTACCGACATAGATCTTCTTCTCTTACACCTTATCTCCCACGTCCCTCCTCATACTTTGTTTATTTCCTCCTCCAACTGGCACCCTTCACTTAATCTTTGAAGCTTCTAATATACCATGTACCATGTCTTCCGAATCTCCCCCACCATTTGCTCAACGAATGGCAGTCCTCTTTGACCCAGCGCAGATCATGGCAATGGCCATACCCTGTACGTGCTACGGACAAGATGTCCTTTACCGCACTTCTTAGTTCCTCCGGGCTATATTTGGATTCAAGATTGGTTTTCCACCTAGACTCCACTTTGTATTGGCCTGTTGACCCCATGAGTTCTCTTCTCTACTTCACACACGAGATCATCATTTCTTCCCCGCATGAAGTTATTTGATATTGACCTCCGTACCGTCATTTTGTTGAACCGTTTCACTTTCGCCTTCATATTATAGAACAGCATAAATCCAGAGCCTCACATTCTAAAGCACCGCTAATCTCGCATACAGATTACATTCGCGCCTGCACCGAGGCAGTCTTCCAGAGAGGCCAGGTTCTCGCTCCCCTCACGCAAACCCACCGCCTACGTGACGAAGCATTTGGTCGATTCTGGATTGCATTTTCCGGTGAGTTCAGCACCCAGCCTGTCCAAAAATGCTGATTTTGGGACACATTCTGTATTCGATGTGTTCTAGAAACATTCAAGCATATTTTCCTTGTCCCTCATTCTACTCTCTCCTCGCGCCAACAAACTATGCAATTCTGCCCTTCACCTTCTTACCAAAATAACCAAGAACGCTAAGTCTTCGATCCCCCTCCCTAGCACCCCGAGAAGACCAACCACCTCCATCTGCAGGGGATGAGGTTGCGGCTACCCCCGCAAGCTCCTCGGATCTAATTCCCCCGCTCCTGAGCACCGCCTCCGGCGTTGTCCTCGACATCGGCCCCGGCACAGGAACCCAAATGCCCCTCCTGCGTTCGCCTGCCATTAGCGCCATCTACGGTGCCGAGCCCTGCGTGGGTCTGCATGCCACGCTGCGCGCTAAGGCCGCATCCGAAGGCCTGGACGCCAAGTACCACATCTTGCCGTGCGGCGCTTCTGCAGCGGAGCTGGTACCCGCGCTGCAGGCTGCGGGCGTAGACCAGGCGAGCGGGGTGTTCGATACGATCCTATGCGTGCGGGTGCTCTGTTCCGTGCCTGAGATGGAACGCACGGCGCGCGAGCTGTACGCGTTGCTGAAGCCGGGTGGGCGGGTGCTTGTTACGGAGCATGTAGTGAATCCGTGGCAGGCGGCAAAGGGGTCGCTGGCTGCACGGGTGATGCAGGGCGTGTATATGCTGCTTGGGTGGTGGTTTTTTGTTGGTGATTGTTGCCTGGATCGGGATACAGAGGGGGCGCTGAGGGCAGCGGCAGATGAAGATGGTGGGTGGGAGAGTATGTCGCTGGAGAGGTCGTTTTGGTGGTCACCTTTGCCGTATATCTCGGGTGCTTTGGTGAAAAAGAGTGCATAGATTGAGTGTAGAGAAGATAGAGCAGGTTTAATTATTGCGAATTTTTTTTTGATTTGGAGTAATAAGTGCTTTGTATGAGTATTTCGCTATGGATAAGTCGTTGGGTATCATAGTTGTTTGACAGAATACAATGTGAATCAGTCGAAGAATGTACATCGTCACGCTCGGTTAATGTAGATTGGGGTATATAATATGCCTGGTGCAAAAATGAAAAGTTGTGAGGCGCAATTTTAGTCGAATCAATTGGGCTTTGGGCGCCCTGGAGGCCAGAAATCAAATAGATCCAGCGCCTCGGACGTCCAGGGGCCTTCTTCGTGTTCTTCTGGAAGTTCTGGCGTGTCGCTCAGCACGCTCCGGGTGAGAGTAGGTTTTGATGGGAGGGTTCTCAAAGCAGATGGATCGGATAATGATTTACGGAGGGGAGCGTCCAGGGGTCTTCTTGTTGAAGAATGTCGTGGTAAAGATGGAGGTTGTCGATCAGCAACTGGATTTCGAGAAGTAATGGGCAATTTTCGAGCTCCTTGACGGCGTTCAGATCCAAGAGCTGCATCGTCGATCATCTCCTCTAGAATAAATTGAGTGGAGTCAGATGGCATAAATTCGGCATTCGTTGACTCGATCTCCTGAAGAGGGGCCTTGGAGGGTCTGAAAATTTTTGGTTAGCCTCTGAAATTGGGTACTTGCCAAGTACGTACTGACTGCGACTCCAAGGGATCTGATAATGGTTGACTTCGGCTAGTAGGTGATGAGAAGGAGGATTTTGGTGTCGACTTCTGTGATGTATCAGTTGGGATCAACGCGCTGTACATTAATTTTCGCCTAGGCTTTCCAGAAACCATTCGCAAGGTCTTAATTGGCGCATTTAAAGGACCATTTTCCGAGCTTTGTCTTGGAGGGTTGGCAGGTAAGGGGTGCCGGGCATTGCGAGCACCTAGTTCGAACGGTGCATCCCTGGTCGTTGTAGTTGTGGTTGGCTTTTTTGTTGAAGTGGCTGCCTCTGTGACCTGATTGCTTGGGTCTGGTGGAGTTGGTACAGCAGGCTTTTTGAAGACCGGAGGATCAACCTTCGAGGATCCTGGGGTTTCTTCGGTGTCTCTCGATTTGCCTGCACCAGACTGCGCCTTCGACGCGGACTCTTTCTGAACCCTGTGTATCTCTTTTGTTGGAAGATGATTCTGGGTCTGCCTCGCAGAGAGCCCATCCGCTTCCGTCAAGTCCACCACCTCGGCCTGGGATGTTCTCTTAGTAAAGGTACCCCTTTCGTCTGGATGCCTTGCGAAAGAAGATACTTTCTGTCGCTTGAGCGCTCGTTCTGAAGATTCTGGTGTATCTGGCGATGGGGCCGGTGGGTGACGTTCTTCGTAAGGCGAGATCAAACGCCCAATTTGTGTTTTCTTGATACCGAGAAGGTCATTCAAGGAGCGAAAAGTCTGTGATGAGCCAGATGAGCGAACGGGCGTTGAGGTACGCGATGGTCCCTGAAACAGAGAGGTGGAGCTAGTCGAGGTCGGTGACCCCTGAATGGACTTTTTCTTGTCAAACAGGTTTGAAATATCGGCCTGTGTCGTGCTCATGCGTTCACCGACCTGAATCAACGCGCCCATGTCCAGCTCAAGCTCATCGCCATCCTGCACCTCATCCGCGGACCGCCAGTGGTGATCGCCAATGTAGTTCCCTTGGTCATCATAGACCATTATGCGCCTGTTGAAGGCGTGATAGCGGAGGTAGCCATCTTGCCAGCGTTTGGACTTGCGACGGAGGTCGTGGGTATAGAGGCAGCGGAACTTGATCACGGACGCGGTAATCTGGGAGGCGTTTGGGGCAGTGCCTCGCGGTGTGGAGGATGCTGGAGCAGACATTGTAGATCAATAGAATTTTTTGAACATAGTATAGCCCCCTCACACATGCCAGAGCCGGTGGGGCAAGAGCACCGTGTCAGGATGAGGTGGATGGTAACGGACGAGGTGCGAGGCGGAGAGGCACCATGGGGACGATAAGCGATAAGCGATAGGCGTATCGGGCTTAGGGAAACTCCGAGTTGTAGAGTTACATTTACTTTAGCTTCGCTTGAATTTGGAGATTGAGAGACTCAATGACATGAGCGAGATATCATGATTGCCCAGTTCAGATTGTCATCATAATTCAGCTAAGGCGCTGGATCTTTTGTTACGCAACTAAGCAGATGCACGAATATCGTCCGATGAAGCCTTACGTCCATCAGGGGACCAGGCGGTATCCCAGACGGGGCTATAAATAAATAGTCAGTCTTCATTTGACTTCGCCTTGGCCTCCTGCACAATCCTTAAATGGGATGAAGGATGAAGGATGAACCCGATGATCTCTTCTCTTGAAACTATGTTCAATCCTTCATGGCAGGCATTGGCCATGGCTGCCCCAAGGTTGCTCGGCCCCCACACGGCATTGCCCTGCACTTCATCTGCAACCCGTTTCCTTTCCTTCGCGCTGATTTGTCTGGACTCTCCACTAGCCGTGGCTGTCCACTGCCCATCACTCCCTCGGTGGAGTGACTTCGCAAGGCAGTTTTGACCCATGTTGCAATACTCAATCCCTGATCGGCTTGCCCACGTCCTGCCAAGTGGAGGTGGTTAGCCCGAGAGCCGCAACCCAGAGGCTGAAACACGCCGGGGCCGTGCGCTCTGTGTCATTCGAGGAGCTGCAGGCGCAAATCGGAGGGGAAGACGTACTTCCTCTTCTACCCTCCTCCCTTTTTCTCTCTTCCCTTCGTATTGCTGACGGCTGGTCCACTCCATCACATAAGAAGCTTGTTTCAATTGATATCTCTCTTCCAACGCCTATTCTGTGCTCCAGTAGGCGGGTGACTTTTCAAGCTAAACTAGGGATCAATCCCGTTTCAACCATTTCCAACCAAATGCTCTGTTTGTGATTCTGGAAACACCTCGGATTCAACATGCAGTCCATGCAAAGACGCTTCGGTCGTATGACCACCAAGCGAACCGCTGATGACAGCCAGGTGGCGGTTCTATTAAAAGATTTTGAAGATGCCGATATGTTGTTGACCAAGGTAGGCAGCATCGTTTCTTGGCCATTGCGAGAGGTTATGAAACTGAATCCATATACCATAGATAATCGAGTCGACCAAAGCCTGGCGCGATGCCTGGATATCCATTGCCACCTTCCAAAGTCGCATGGCCGACGAGTTTGATGGTCTCTATGCACCCATCGCCGGATCGTCCGAGACACCTCCCCGCCACATCCCAGTGGAGACCGACCCCGCGATGCTCGCCCGCACCAACAAGTTCCGCCGTGAAAACGATGAACTACGCGGCGAGCTCACGCAAGAGCTCAACCTGGTCGAGGATCGCATGTCCCGGCCTGCAGAAACAGCGAAGAGTTACCTGGCGCCAATGAAGAAAACAATCAAGAAGCGGAACGATAAAAAGGTACCAATCAACTCCCCAGCGGAGGAAAACACCCCCCTTGGGACTATAACATATCACGATCGATCAATTGAATGATGAAGCTAATCATACTTTATCTTTATCGGTCAAATAGTCTGATTTCGAGCGTTATCAAAGCAAAGTTGACAGCCTCATCCACAAGACTAAACGAACCGACCGTGAAAATGTCAATCTCGCCAAGGCAGAGCTCGACCTCTCCACAGCTAAAGAGGTATATCCATCAATCTCTTTCTCTCCTTCTCTCTTATCCTGATATAACACGATGTCTATCATTAAAACTTGACATTACCTTAACATTCCAATTTACTAAATATTTCAATCTCCAGGCCTACCAAGCCGCCGATGACGACCTCCTCCGACGCCTCCCAACCCTAATCTCCCTCCTCTTCTCTCTCTCCCCCTACATCTTGCGCGCACAAATCGAAATTCAGAACCGTATGCTTGCCCATTACTACACCGTACTCGTCGGTTATTGCGAAGAAGAAGGCTTCCCCTCTCCACCTCCACCCATGGATCATATAATCCACGACTTCGACCTCGCCCACAAGCCCGCCCAAGCTGATATCGAAAGCCTCAGCTGCCTGGCGCATGGCAAAGCCCTGCGTCTTGCCCAAGCACCTGATCCCAGCCCCCAATCCCCCTCCAAACGCCCCTCCATCAGCAGTCGCACGACTAGCAGCATCTCTATTCGCAGCGCTGCCAGCAGCAAGTACTCCCTGCCGCCGCCCATGCCGAAGCCTTGCGCCACTGAGCTACCCCCACCCTCCCCGGCCTCTTCCATCATGACACCACCCATTTCGATCGGCAGCTCCTCCAGCACACCGCCGCTCTCCAGTGCCGGCGGCTCCTACACGCCGCCCGTGCCGAACTTTGCCGCGCCGGCGCCTGCGCCGCCAACCGGTGTTCAGTTCTCCCCGGCTGGCCCGAAAATCGATCATTTCCGGCTGGACCGGGGCAACGGGGCCCCAGTCGTGGCGTCATCGTTTGGCCCAGACGCTTTGGCGCTGGCGGCGACGAAGAAAAAGAAGCCTCCACCCCCGCCACGGCCAAGCATGAAGTTTGTCACGGCACTGTATGATTTCGATGGACAGGGCCATGGGGATCTCTGTTTCCGGGAGGGTGACCGGATCCAGGTGGTGCAGAGGACAGAGAGTACAGATGACTGGTGGGAAGGGGAGCTGCGAGGGGTACGGGGGCAGTTCCCTGCGAATTATGTCGAGTAAGGAAGAGGTTGGGTTTATTAAGCTGGCAAATGATGTAAGGAAAATTCTTTGCCGTGGAGATAGGGGCAATTTGAGCCTTTGGAAAGAAAAGCAAATTGATGTCAAGGCAAAATTTCAGCAAGGCTTCGAGGTGGAAGGGGTGGTGTGCACATTTAAATTAACGTGACGACCATTCATGATGCATTTTTTGTGTTTTATACTGCTTTTGAGTATGACGGAGGATGCAGATAATGAGCGAGAGGGATTAGGATTTAATTGAATACTGGTTGCTGCGAATACTATGTCTTTGGATTCTGAAGTGAGAAGGTACATATATGTCTGGTGTGCGTTATATTGGAGGATTCAAGTAGACGGCACATGAATCTGCATTGTATATTCTTCAAATATCTACTGGCAGCACCTTGATTTTGGGGTGTAGACTTCGTGGATATCTCTGCATTGGAAGAGCCTCCATCTGAGAGGACCATAGACCGCTTGCGCAGAAGATTTCATGTGAACCATTAATGATTGCATTTGATCACGGTATTTTAAATAACAAATCGGACTGAACCGACTTCCGGAATCAGTGGAATGTGTTCCCAATAGTTCCGATTGCGTCTGTTGCTTCTACCACACTCGTCAAAGCAGGATACTGGCGAGTATCTCCTGAATATAACCAGCCCTCCAGCTGGTCTTGGTCTAGTATTTCGCAGTCCCGTGTTGGCCCTTGATGAGGCGAACCTTGCGAGGCTCTTTCTTTCCTACAAAACTAAACAGTATAGAAACCACACTGCTTCAAAATCCCGCCACATCAAGCTCGTATTCACTCGCAATGTCAACACATGTCGTGATGATGACCAATCCAGCTCGATCTGACGGTTGCAACGCCTGAAACTCCCTTTTGCCGTCCCAGGGACACCGTGAACCTTATTGGAGGCGGTAGAAGAATCCGTGGGGAAACGAGCTGTCCCCACATTATAAACAGGGGGAATTCCGGGATCGAGCAACATCGAAGTCACAGTATCACCTCCAACCATAACTTAGCAACTTCACATCTCAGCAGGATGTCCGAGACCAGAGCCATTTCCTGGCCCAGTTCTGTTCAATGTTTCGTCTAGTCGCACCGTAAGAGCAACGTCACGACGATGTTGCCACATTGACTTATCCCTAATCTTGCCAACCGGCTTGTCATTGCAAGACAGAGAGGCCATATTCTCCCAAAGCAACCGCTCAGTCTCAAACAGAAAAGGTAGCGAGAGATAACGAATATATTATGCGACTTCTCGGATGAGATTAACATTCTTGTCATGCAGAGGCGTTGGGTTGGGCGTGTTCGCAGGCCGGTCGTCGGTAGATCACCTTTGCTTCAAGCTGTTTGCGGTCATAACGAAAGTTTCGAATGGCGTAAGTTCCTAGGGCTTTCGATTGAAACCACCTCAAGATTTTATCCAAACATGGCCATTGTTGCCGCCCAATCCGCATCCAGCCCTCCTTTGTCTTTCGCAGTCGATTTAAGGAATGGAGATTTGTCGCGGTAGAGACTAAAAAATCCTCTATGCGGTGGTTAGTTAAAGCCGCGCCATCACTGCTCAGACCTTGTTCTGGGTTGAGAATATAAATCTCGGAATATAAAAAATGATCAACTTATCGTAATCATGCTCGATTTTTCTTGCCTGCACGAGGTGTCCCCAGCTCCATTAACGATGACCAAACATCTTGGGCTCCTCCGATAGCTTTCCACCATTGTTGTCGTGCAAGTTGTTAATGAGCGCTATTGTCGAATCGTCGAGCCCCATATGAGTGATGCACAGTGATCATCATGAAAACGAAGGTTGAAAATTCAGATTTCAGGCTTTCGGGAGCAAAAACAATGAAACCTCCTGAAATTACAGTCTGTCACAACTTGGAATGGATCGGAACGACAACTCCGCTGCTCCGAGACGCCCCTTTCTGAATGGGGCCCCAATCCCAGATGGAACAAGCTGCTGCTGCGCTCTTGGTCAAGGCAAGAAAAAAGAATAGAATATAAACCCCAGAAGAATGGCACAATAACCAACGGAAATTGTCTATGTTTCCCAGGACTACGCTAATGCATGGGAATACTAGACAACTAGGGCCTATGCCAATATGAACGCCGAGCGAATTGCTATTGCTCTCAAGATGTGACAGGACTTTCTTGCAGTTTTGGGGCGCAACGACGTCTTAGCTTGCTTTCTAATAGGCTACCCCCTTTTTCGTCTTCGAAAAAGATACTGTACCAAAACATACGGTTGATGACAGACTTGGCTGCATGTCTGTGGAATCCTCTCCCGGCCTGGCCTTCGTCGGATACAGTGGGGACAGTCTCACTAAATTCAAAAAATGAGATTCAACGCTTGGCAAGTCCCTCAGCACTTTTCTAGAGTACAGTCTATAAACGCTTAGAATATAAAGAGACAAATCCCACCACCCTATTCTGTTTGTGTATAGTAGATGTGAATTTACGATATGAGACAGACAGCATCTATCAAACACACACATGGCAAACGATGCTGGTTTGTTGACTGCTCACATTGGTGCCGATAGAAGCAAATATGGAGTTTTCAAGTACGACTTTCACGAATTATGTTGGGTCCTGGCGGCCCGGGATCGAGTGGCAAAGTTGCTCGGAATCTATGTCCAGCAACCACAGCGAACCGCTTTTGCTGGCACGGACCCACTGCTGAAATCTGGCGATATCCCGGCATGGTATTGCTCTTTACGTATATTAGTGCAGGTCCTCGAGATAGCTGAACCCGTCGAAAAGAATGAAGCCTCGGTTAGGGCTTCTCTAGGGCTCGTGCACTTCATCCCAAATGTCACTAGACTCAACCGGCACATCTATGCACCTTCCCCCCACAGCTAGAAGCTGTGGAAGGCTTTCATCACACACAACAAGATGACGGCAAATACTCCCCTCGATATGTCTCATCTTGGCTACGCTACCGACGCTCTGGGTAATGAGTTGGATCCCATCGAGCCGGAGCGGCCCGCTTCTGGGTTTACCCAGTCTGCTGGTTCCGGCTTATTGCGAAATACCGACCTTGTGTCTTTACCCGAGGGCTATCCTGGATCCAACTTAAGGCTCGGCGAACAGTCCATAAATCCTAAAGTTCCTATCCCTCGAGCTAAACATTTCTTCAACTCGACCAGCACAGGCCGTGTCAGCCGTGCGTGTGTTAATTGCCATGAGCTCAAGGCAAAATGTAGCGGCCATCGCCCCTCCTGCCATCGCTGCCAGGAGGCTGGGATACCGTGTTCCTACGCCGACCGAAAGCACGAAAAGATCCGCAAGTTCGTGGGAAACAAAACAACTCATTCATGGTCGGCACTAATCAAGAACCTTGCATAGGCAACTAGATGACGCTTCTGCTCAGATTAACACCTATGAAACTTTGATACGAAAATTATACCCGAGACTCGACGAGGCGTCGAGGCAGCTTGTTGACCAGACCCTCGGTTACCGTTTATTGACTGTGAGATTCAAAGCCCTTCCATACACCCTTTCTTATATCTGGAACCCGCGTCTCCTTATCCTGTCCCTAACTCGCCAAGTTAATCAAGACCGGTGGAAATCGATCTAGCTATAGCCATCTACAGGTGCCTTCCGCTCCTCATGACAAAGACCTTTCTCAATACCCTTTGGTGACTACAGACTACACGGCAGAGGATTTCAACCGAAGTGGAAAGGTCCAGGCAATGGGTTTTATAGGCGATCACTCGGAGGTAACATGGTTGTATAAGCTCAAACGCTTCTTGGACCATCATGATAATTGTCCAATACTCACCTGTGAGAGCCCGGATCAGCGTTCTGACTCCATTTCATCCCTGAATTATTTCCAGGACGACGCTCAACTCTCGAAGCTTGATAATGTCGACCTTTCTCAGCGGCCTCCCTGGCATATTGCTGACCAACTTGTGAAAACCTATTTCCAAGCTGTACATCATGCTTTTCCTATCATAGGAAAGAACATTTTTCTGCTTCAATTTCGATCATTCTACGAAGATCCGGACGCGCGACCTAGAACGCGGTGGGTTGCTGTACTTAATTTAGTATTTGCCATCGCGTCCAAGTTCCAATTGCTCGTTACCAACAAGGATGAGGGACATAGCGATGACCATCACACATATTTTGCGAGAGCGTGGCGTTTGAGTATGCAGGATGTCGCTCTTATCGATCATCCCAACCTGCAGCAAGTCCAAGTTGAAGGACTAACTGCGTTCTACCTTCTATCTAACTTCCAAGTCAACCGGTACGGTTTTGTTTTTCTGTTCCCAGTTCCTTGATGGCTAGTTTACTATTCTAATGGATCATCTTCCGCTTTGCTAGATCATGGCGAATTACCGGAATTGCAGTTCGATCCGCAGTGGCCATGGGCCTCAACCTCCGCAATGCAGCAGAGACTGTCACTAAAATCTCTAAAGAGACCCGGTACCGCGTGTGGTGGGCATTATGCATGCTGGATACAGTACTTTGCGTACGAACCGGTCGCCCACCTAGTACCGAGGCGGCCTTCTGCACTACCCCCTTACCAATCCCCTACCCTGAGGAGGACTTCGGGCTCCAGGAAATTGTCCAAATTATTGACAACCTAAGTATTCGAAACAGTTTGGTGAACTCTCTCCTACCTGGGACTATTGACGGCAGTGGCGAGACTGTGGATGGGACGAATGAACCCTGGACGAATCAAAGTCCCATCATGGAGACAGTCTCGCGGAAAGGAAAAGAACCTGGGAAGACACAATGGGATATCAAGAAAAATATTACTCCCAACATCTCTCTGTCATTTCTCTATGGCCTTCATCTGGATTGTCTTTTGAGACGGGTCCTTGTTTCTCTGTATGCTCCTGGGGAAACAAGGTGGTCCTGGGTCGAGAAGGAGAGTACAATGTCAGGCCTCAACAATAACGCCGAAAACTGGCTCTCGCGTCTCCCTGAGGAGTTTAATTTCACGAAACTTGACGCCACTGACCCTTTCATTCGACAACGTGCTGATCTCGCTTTCCGCTTCTATACTACGAAGATCGCTATATCCCAACCCTGCCTCCGTCGCATCGCCTACGAAACCTCTGCCACCAATCCCCCGAGCACTTTCTGTAGCAACATGGCATTAATATGTGTGCAAATGGCATGTAAGATGCTGGATTTGCTCCCAAGCACCCCCGATGCGGCCTGGCTGTATGGAATCTCACCTTGGTGGTGTGTACTACACTACGTAATGCAATCTATGACAGTGATTCTCACGCAACTCATTGTGTGTACCGAACCTGGATCTCCAGACGCTACAACTCTCATCAGCAAAATTGGCAAAGCCCTCAGATGGCTTCGAGAGATATCCATCAAAGATCCTAACTCTGGACGAGCCTGGCTTGTCTGTATGCAAATTCTCTCGCGACAAGGCGAGAAGTTTGCTTTTGAATTTGACACGGAGCTCTAGGCTCTGGTCATGTTCTCCACATATCTATATCAATTATACCATGTCGGTTTCCGAGCTACTTCTTAGGTTCATTTGACCCAGACCATGTAACTCACGTCGCACGGATTCTATCTCGAGGAATACTATCATTATGCTAACTAAATCAACAGGAAATAGGGTGGGCTGGCCGACGTGAGATCCATGCTTGTTTGAGGCTTTATAGACATATAAACCTAAATCTATACCCTAAACTAAACTAACCGTCTATTTGGCGAATTACCGTAGCAGTGAAATCACACAGTGTGACTATGATTTGGTCTGTTCGTTGAACTCGGGCAGGCATATAGACCTTTTACAAACAAGAACCCTTATCTTTCTCAAATCTTTGTCTGATTATCTGAAAAGTTAAGCTCCCTACACGTTTAAATCACTATTGGTGACTTGCCAATCATTATCAAATGCTTATCATCGGTAATTATTAACTCGATTCATACTGGATACATGTTATAGCGTTAAGCTATTTTCATCTTCCTATCACATCAGGACTGCTATAGTTACATTCCCAGGTATGACTAAGCAACTTTATTCTCTCGTGGGACATTGGAATATTCAGTCGTCAGGACATTCGTATGGTGATGGTCGAATGACAGCCTACAAAATGTCTCTGAGAGAATGATAAAGGTGAGAGTGTTGAGTGTGACTTGTAATGCACATATAATGGAGCTTTGATGTGAAGTTCGAACCTTTTTAATATGTTGATACTTTTTAAGAAGGTTCTGAGGGCTATGAGACTTCCATGAGACTTTATCGCTATTAATAAATATCGAAAAATGATTCCAGGCAGGTTGCCGACAATAGTGATCCCCAAGCTCCAATGTCCAAGCGTTGTTGCGAGGACAAGTTGAATTGCCGTCTCCGGGATTTTTGGTTTTAGCTAAATATATTTGAGATGGCAATCCCTCACATCAACCAGCACCAAGTGGTCGAGCAGTAACTCGACTAACGCATCTTCCTTGGTCTAGTGGTCATGATTTCCGCTTGTCATTAACACCGATAAGCGCGGGAGACCGGGGTTCGATTCCCCGAGGGAGAGTTCTTTTTTGCGTCCGCAACTTTTGTTATCTCTTCTAAAGTATCTGGTTTTTTTTGGCTTTGCAAATTATTTTTCATTGAGAGCTGGATCATAAGACATATTTATTTGACTACAAACTGTTCGGGATGGAAAACATAGTCGCCGTCCTTACGGACAACATTCCGGAAATGAGTGACCAGGGGAACAATATATTTAATGGTGGTATCCACGAACACCAATTCGACATTCTCTCCAGGTTTAGACTCAAACAAGCACAGCAAAGAAGTCTTTCTCACAACAGAAATGCTTCAAATGAACGCTTCACCTGCAGCGGTATTCTCAGACACCTCCCGTCCGATCTGACGGCGCCGGCTATCCAAGAACATCTCCACCATGCGCTTACTAGACATCGTAGAATGCGAACCATGGAGCGTGTGGTACTCATCCATCATCGCATCGTGCTCATTCAGCTGCTGGCTATTCTCATTGTTGAAGGTCTCCATGTCACGGTAGCTTCTCATAGACCGGAACGAGTTGGACTTTACATTTGCAATGGGGCGGCGGGATGAATAGCGCCGGTACTGCTCTTGAGTCCAAACGCGCTTTTGTGGCCTTTCAGCACCAGTTCGGCGAGGGGTGGGAGAATCTGGAACGGAGTGCAGATTTGAAGATCTCATACGCATTGGCGAGAGAATCTGGTCAGCTTGGGCCGGGTATGATATCGATGGAGCGTCCGGTGCAAATGCCGTTGTAGTGTCCTCATCAGGTAAAGGAGGCAAGTTCTTTGTCACCGTTTCAGGATCAATTGTAGGAAGAATAATAGTGGTTCGAATACTAGATGATCGACTGAATGGACGAGAAAAGTTGTTTTGTGTTGAAGATTGGGGCTCCACAGCCAAGAGAGACTCATCGACGTAATTTGCGGAGTCCGGCGCAACTGAGAGACCGGTCAAGTTAGGGGAAAGTACAGAAGGAGATCGTCGTAAGATGCCCATAAAAATTTCGTCATCATCGGTGTGACATTGTGCGTCTTCACGCACATGTTCTCGGGTCGGTGTCACTTTCTCGATTCTCTCAATCTGTGCGCTCATCCAGTGTTGCCAATCAGCACTGGGCTGTCCTCGACTCTCGACACGGGGAGAATCATTAGCACGAGCAGGTGAAATGTAGGCTGTACGGTGAGAAGCAAATATAGTTGCAGTTCCAGTTTCACCAAGAAGGCTAGGTATACTGTCATCTGAACTTTTGGTTGGTGTATTACCGGTGGTGGTTCGAGAGTAGACGCTCGGGGAAACTGTGCTGCATTTAGATCCCTCATGCCGGGCAATAACAACACTTCCAGTATCATCGCCGTCAGAATCTTCGCCAATAACATAGCCCAAACGGAGTGTTCTTTCATCCAGAGCGTTGCTCGGTGGCTTGCTATCCGGAGCCGATGCGTACTGAGCGACCTTTGATGGGGTGTACTTCAGCGGATAGACATTGCGTTTATGTGGCGAGAGGGAGTCCCCGACACGCGCCGTCGTGAAGGACCTGGGGGTTGAAGAATCCTGACTGGGGACGTGACGAATGGTACGTCTGCTTTGGTGGAAATATACAGACGAGGTGCGCTCCGGAATCACGCGATGCTCTGGAACGGTGCCAAAGACGACCTTCTCTTCAGAACTGTTCGTAGTCTGTCGTCCAATTCGTCGCATCAATGCCGAGTACAAGTCATGGCTGTCAGCCCAAGTATCCAAACCTTGACCACTCACGCCCTTGCCCAAGGCATCAGTTACTTGATTGCATGAGGGTGTCTGCTGTCGAGCATTATCACTTTCAGGCACACGAGGAAGTTGCTTGTTAATGTCTCCATGCTCGTCGATCAAAGATAGTGATTGACGATGCCCTATATTTCGAGTCATGATAGTATTGGCGATTGTGGAATCTGCCCAGCTAGTGACGCGCGAGTTGGACGTACAAAGGCTATGGCGGCTCGGAGAAACTTGGGCATTTTGCTGGTCGCTGGAAATGACATACTGCAGATCCATACTATCTTCCACCTTTTTGGATGTGAGCTCTTCATTTGCGATGCTGCCCTCTGGAGCGATAATATTCTCTGTCTCGAATGGAGACTCGGATGGCGGCCCCGGGGGCCTGGACAGCCCAAATACACGCATGAGTCCATTTTTGATGGACGCTGAAATCGTTCGAGACCTGCTGCGGCTTCGCATCGCTGAATCGTGCTCTGAAAGGGAAGCCAGGCCCAAGCCAGTATCACTTGTAGTACGGAACGTTTTCCGAAAAGGCCGATGCTCTCTTTTGCGACGGGAGAAAAATGAGGAGCGCCGGGGTTGAGATCCCAGTCCACCTGCCTCGTCGAGGAATTGGTTGCGAGCGAGTTGGATAGCAGCATCCTGGCTCTTTGCATGCCGGATCGCTCGTGGGGTTTGACGATGAGATCGTATGAATGATATTGAGGGCCGTAGAGTGCGAGGCAACTGAAACTCTGGGCTGTGCTCCGGATCAAAGGGTTCTCGTGAAGGTATTGATGTTGCTCCATACGTGACGTGCGAGGGTCGAGCTCTCGTAGAGAACATGGATTTTGCCTTACGCAATCGGCGATACGATGAGGGGACTGAACTGTCGCGTCCATCAAGGGCCCTGAACTCGTTGATCGGGGGCAGTGCAACGCAGTCTTGCAAGGGATGGGGTATACTGGTCTCGTTTCTTTCCCTTGACTGGCAAGGTGTCACTGGACACATAGCTGATCCTGTTCGAACGGGTAGACTGTCTTCAGTACTTTGGAGGCTTGAATGGGGCCGTCTCCCGGGTATGGCAAAATGTGCTGGGCCACCTAATCGGTCGTAGGGCTGGGATTCTGTTGACGAACCACTCGAGCGCATGGCACGGGAGGCAGCAGCAGTTGCCTGTGCTCTGGCAAGCTCAGCATTGACCGGCTCGGGCTCTGGAGCACGACGAGTTCTTCGCATTGAACGAGTGGACATGGATTTTTTGAGACGGTCTCGTGTATTGAATGTGGAAAACATGTTGTGAAAGTATGCGCTGTACTGGGAATACAATAGAAAGGTTATAGAAGAAGAGAGGAGATAAATCCAAGAGCTGGAGAAGCTCAAGCTTCAACCGAAGCCTTTCAGCCTGGCCACAGCTGGTGGTTTCCATGGCCACAAACCCAACATCACAGCGAGGGAAGGCACGAGCTGTATATCAACAGAGCAGGATAGAAGGTGGGTCAAATGGACAAGGCGCTTAATGGAGTTGGATCTGTATAAATAAGAGGGCCAGTCGTTCCTGCCCAGAGAAACAGCGACATCAACTCTCGATCACGAGATTTCAGGATCACGAGATCGCTGTCGTTTTCATTACCGCCTGAAATATTAAACTTCAGGAGAATCCTACTTTCGAGTTTGAGATACCTCATATTCAGTCCCGATGCATCTGTGATTGACAGTTAAGATCGACCGGCGTCTCAATGCGGGTTGGGCTGTGAGTCACTGCACAGCCTGCAACCTGACTCAACAGCTGCTCACAGTGCGTCAACACAACATGCAGAAGAAGAAATTGAGTCAAGTTTGCATATAAAAGGAGCATCAAAACCCAAAGCTGCAGGTTCAGATAATATTCAAGATCTCTATAGCTCGACCAGGTACTGACTACAGTGGCCATTGGAAATGGCGACTTCCCCGGGGCCTCAGCTTTTAGCCTCAGGTGGAGCCGCTTCCCCACCTGCAACACCTGCCCACCATGTCCACCTGGACGGACGAACTCTGGAGGGAGGAGGCCAGTTGGTTCGAAATGCGCTGACTCTATCCGTATTGACTGGCCGTGCGGTGACAATCAACCATGTTCGCGGAAATCGGGGAGGCAAGACGGGTCTCAAGGCATCACATGCTGCAGCGGTCAAGCTGTTGGCCGAGATCAGCCGGAGCATCGTCTCTGATGGGCGAGTAGGATCGCAATGCCTGACTTTCTCACCACCAGCTGTGTCAGATATGCCGGGCGGGAAACCCCTGGACTGTTCAGAACTGGCCTACACAGCCGGGGCTGTACCTCTCGTGTCTCTCTCTAACTTGTCCGTGCAGTCGGAATACAATATTCGGTTACCGACACCAGGCTCTGTCTTTCTCGTTTTCCAGGCATTATACCCGTACTTGTTACATGTGGGGTCGCGAGCATGTACGGAGTGTATCAAAGTGAACATCACTGGTGGGACAAATGGCACAAACTCGCCCTCCTATGACTACGCGTCCCAGGTCATGGTCCCGAACTTCATCCGACTAGGTCTGCCGCCTCTTTCAATCAGGTTGCAGAGACGTGGATGGTCAACGGGAGAGGTTAAAATGGGTACCGTCAGCTTTCTGATCCACCCTCTTGCGGCTGGGGAAAACGTAACGAAGAAGACGAATGGGCAGACAATGTCCGATGAAGGGAGGCAATCAAACACAATGGTGGCGCCGGCTCTTGGCCGTTTCCCATCGATCGATCTCATGAATTATGAGCGCGGTCAAGTCACCCGCATTGAGGTCACCGTACTTGCGCCGGATGTTATTCTCGCCCCGGAAAGCACCACAGGAGAGACTTGGACTGTCCGGCAGTATATCGAGCGAGAGACCTCCCGTAGGTTGCGTCAAGCCATTAAGGAGCTGGAACCGTCGATATTTGCATCCCATTCTGCACCTTATGACACTACTATGAAGCAAGACCTTGATATAGAGACTGAAAATGGGGTTTCCCATGTACCCATTAGAATCCATACATCGGAGACGACATCATCTTTCAGTCAACAATATCTGTTGATTGTAGCCCACACATCATCCGGATTCCGAATTGGCCACGATCTACTCTTGGGAGAGCATAAAAGCCAGAAGCCGTTCAAAAGGAAACTCGGAAAGCACCAAAAGTACAAGAAGGGCCAGGGACCACCTGCTAAGAAAGTGAGCACTGAAGCAAATTTGTCGAGGGTCTCGGATCTGATCGAAGACTGCGTGCACGGGTTTGTAAACGAACTTTCCGGCGACCTGACCACACAGACAGCACCAAGCCCGGAGTCACCGGCGGGAAGACGGTCATGTTTGGACCAATATATGCGGGATCAGGTTGTGGTGTTTGAGGCTCTTGGTTACATTCCGCGGAGCCCACTGAGTCCTGCTGTAAGTGAGAAGAACTGGAACCAGGAAGATCGGCGACATTGGACTCTCCACACCCAGACTGCGCAGTGGGTGTGTCGGGAGATGCTGGCCGCGGAGCCCAAGAATTAAATCTTGCCCGAGATTAACTGGAAGGTATCCAGGGGAATTGTGGGTGCTTCTTTATTTCATGCAATTGAGCATTTGCAAGCGACGAGAGCGCTCGGTACAGCTTTGCCACGTTTTAATTGCCAGCCCATTATTTAATGCAATCAATCACTCCCAAACAATCCTAAGCACCGGAAAGAAATCCGAACCAGAAATCAATCTACTATCGGCGACCCCCACCACCAGAAAAATTCTCCGAGACGTCAAGTGTCGGGTCGAGTGTCAGGCCAGGCCCACCCCTGTCATATCTCAAAAAAGGGGGGCCGATCACCAGATGTCAGGTTGCTCGCTTGATTTCAGCTACGAATACTTCCAGCCCGAAATTACAGGAGTCCTGGTCCGTGGCAATCGACTCCATTCTTAGAAGTCTTCGTCTCGTGGAGACCAATAGGAAGATGGTACGAATGGAAACACGGTCGTTTCGCCTGCCCAGACAAGCGAGAGCCCAGGGCCATGGCCACGGGTATGACTGAGATCTCGACGCGAATGCGCAATGACCCATTGACGTGAAAAATTGGCAACAGGACAGCGAGAAGCTAGTCTATCAGGGAATTCTGCATTAGGTCCAAGATCAGGAGACATCTCTTAGCTTTGCTCAAACCACGGACCCCTGACTATATGCTGCACAACACAACGTCAGGGCGTCGGGATAGGCAACCAAAAACCACAATGGTTTTTTTTTTATAACAAATGCATGGTAGGAGCTCCATTTGGGAGCTATCCCTGTTGAGATGTTAGTTCCTAATCCGGGTTGGGCAGTGAGACATCTTTCGAAGGAAGGAGTTCGTTCCGGTTATTTTTCTCGGATTATGATTCGTATGAGTGGACAGCCCAACAGAGCAAGGAAGACCGAGTTTGACTAGCCCAAATATCGCGGAGTCAACATCCCTCGCAAGCCAGGTTTGGCTGTAACAGCGTAACAGCGGCGTCAGAGTGGAAATACCAAAACCATCCACCGGACCTATGAACGGGAACCAAACCCTCCCCACTGGAACCCATCTCAACCCGCATATCAAAACAAACCCAATTGCACATCCCCAAACGCCCGTACCTGGTCAGACTAGCCCACGATCTGTCAATCAGAAACTCTCAAGCCACACCGTCCTAGCCCAACGCGCCCCCTTCTTGCCTGACCACCCAACCAAACCGGTCCATCTCTGCCACCTCTGCCACCTCTGCCACCCAACATCCACCGATCGGCCTTGAACCAGCCCGACTCCCCTGAAGAAGGCAGTGGATCCCCACCAACCACACCCCCCACAGCCCACCCTGAAACAGCGAACACAATGATCTGTGGCTGAGCGGGCCCTTAAGCTCGAAAACAGCAGGGGGAAAAAAAGGGGGATTATCCACATGTGAGGCCGTTCAGACCGCTGGAGCCGTCGGTCTCAGTTCGCCTGTTTGGCGAACGGCGAACACCATAGGGTCCCACCGGTCACCAGAAGCCAAACACCGACGACTCGACAGGGATTTTGTTGTTCGAGGATGTTCTACATCACACGGGATCAGCGCCCCGAGTCCCGAGCAGCCACACGTTCTTGAGATGTGCGTTAGAACGGTGGGGGGTCCTCTTTCAGACATTAATTTGTTTTTGTTTTTGTTTTTGTTTTTCAACAGAAAAAAAAAATTGAAATAAAAATTGGGGCGCTGCGCGACTTAGTGAAATATGATTGCTTTTCATTTTGAGCTTCAGGTAGCAATACTGAAGCAGAGTCTTCCGTTGTTTATTTCTTGAGAGCTCAGATTCGTGATTGATGGGGGGCTAAGCCATGTGAGTGACATGATAGAATCGTTCTGCCCACGAGTGGCTGGGACGCCACTGTTCCTGTCAAACACAGTATTTGCTTTGGGCGTACCATATTATACCAAATACTACTGTGCGAGAGTCGGGTTCTCTCTTCCCTTCCCTCCTCGCGCTTCTCTGTACTCTACCACACAGAGTATACACAACATTCCAATCCAAGGGTGAACATGGATTCTTCCGCAGTTGCTCGTATCAACCATAACCATAACCATACACCTCCGACAAACTCCATCACCTATGAATCAATGGATCCACCCGCCCTTCGCACTAACAGTGAATTAACAGTGAATCCCGTGTCCGCGACCAATAATTATGGCTAAGTGGGTTCCGACGGCCGAGTTTGGAGAAGCGATCGGGCTTTTCCCAGCTTAGTGGTTGGCGTGCGCTGGTCCCCGGCTCTATTTTCCTATGTCCATCCCGCACACAGCAGGCGGAGGAAAAGACAGACAAACAGACACAGGCACACACACACAGAGGAATAAAGAAAGAGAGAGAGAGATAGAGAGAGAAAACCTGCCAACTCGTCTCGAGCCCAGGACCTCCCGTCAGGACGGGCAAGTGGACCTAACCGTGCAAAGGGTTCCCAGCCAACGAGCTGGCCTCGCAATGTTGGTCCCGTGCGTCACAGTGGCTCAGCCGGGCCGCAGGAAGCGATCTGATGCCGTTGGGCATTGCGGACAAGAAAGCGCAAAGCCAGAAAAAGAAGAAGCCTAAAGGATTTTCCAGCGGGGCCGCGGGATGGGTTGGGTGGACGAAGTACGGAGTAGTGGATACACACCAGTGAAGGATGAAAATCGAGAAAATTGAATAGTAGGTCTCGATACGCTGGCAGATCAGCAAAATTCGATTCTGCCTGATGGATTCCACAAAGGTATCTATGTCCTCCCGCTCCTTTTTGTTCCCTGTCATCGTGCATACAGCCGCTGCAGGGGGATCGGGATCGGGTTGAACAAGGTTGCCATGTGGCCGTGTTAGAGCCCCATGTCCACCGCCCGTCGCCCCTAACGCACCCGAGGAGCCCGGAGACTGGGGGAGGGAAGGGCGATCACAGCGGTCCAGAACCCCCCCTTGAAGCCCGCTTGATTCAGTCTGTCGCACTCTGCGACGTCAAACCCGTGTGAGACACCTTAACTCGAAGTATTTGAAACAAGCAGAGACAGAAATAGGAACAGGCCTCGACTTCGCACACCCTGCGATCAGCTCTTGCTTTGCCAATTGCTTCTGGGGAGGACGCGCAAAACAACCTATAGTTTAGCTATCGCACCAAGATTGAGTCATCCTTCCCCCTCCCCCCCCCCCAACCTCCCCCCTTCCCAATCGTGTTCGGAGGTACCGAGTGCCGAAGGAACAAGCCGGTCCCACGCAGCGCCTTGCCGATCACACGGATGCGAGTGCATGGGCGGTTTTACCAGGACGATGACAGGATTGCAAGAGGTGATACAGGGATGAGAAGTCCACGCATTGTATAGAACGTACCTCGTCTGTTCAATATTCAATACACCCATGCAAGTGGGACAATATAGAGAATACCATTCAGGATCTACTGCCACCAATAATCTACATAGATCATAGATCGCCTGCCTGTAATGTGTAAGGACGATGTCACAACGGAGCCTCTAGACCTGAGGGGCAAGAGGGGTCCGCAGGATGCAGCGTGCATCGGAACCAAAGCAAGGCTTGGGGGCTCTTGTGCGGCTCGTGATATAGTTCCGATCTTCCGATCCACGGGCACGCGGGTGGATTGGGGGGGGGCAAAGAGTGCCCTGCCCCGGCAATGGGCGGTTCTAGACACATGGCTGTGAAACGGGCGTCTGCTCGTGACTGGGAGTGGGCTCGGATGAGGGGAGGGGCTGATTTCGGGAACGTCGCATGAGCTGAGGGGGGGCCGCCTGGGAGATGCAGGTGGGCAGATTAGGAATCGGATTACGGATGCCTGATTATGAAGATCGGATACCAACGGAAAGGAAGCAGTCTTAGAGGTGGTGAGATCAGCGTAAGTTCAATGCGATGAGGTATCTAACTAAGCAAAAGCTAACTGAAACAGCGAGCGAACGGGGGAAGAAAGGTCATGGGCACAATCGGTCGGACGCATTAAAACGCGAGTAACAAATGGGGAGGCATATATGGGTATGGCATCGCAGACTGCCGTCACCGAGGACAGGGCAGACAAGAAGACACGGGCAGAGAAGAAAAAAAGAGACTAAAAATATCATAGAACGGACAGGCAAAGAGGCACAAGAAAAAGAAGAGGAAGAAACCGATTGGGAAATCGACATAGGAAAGACGTTGACGCAAAAACAAAATAACGAGGAACGAGGTCAGATCGCCGATCGACCGTAATCAGCGGGTTTCCCCATGTGCGCCACTGCCCGCCAGTGGCAGATCCATGAGTTTCGGGTGGTATCGATGCAATGTTGTTCTATCCTCCATGCAAAAGACCGACTCTGCTCCGCATAGCCCCATATAAGAGACGAGCGAGTGGAAAGAGGGATGCGCTGCTGTGGCTGGAATGCGACACAAAAAAAGACAGATGTTGGAGATCAGGCCATCTCAGTCAAGAAGGTGATGCGAGATGGGGGTTGATCATCCGATCTGCAGCCATTAAAGTCCAGCAGAACGCAAATGAAAAAAAAAATAGAGAGAGAAAATGATTGGTGAAAGACATGGGCGAGAACGAGACGGCCGCCATCGTAATGGTGTGATCAAAAATAAACAAAACTCCCGGCGATGCAAATGAGACGGAGAGGAAAACGTGGGGATTCAGCCCGGAGATGCAGACCAGGCCCAGCCTGGTACAGTATGCTCGGTGTCCGAACGACTGCTGTTGTGTTGTTTTTTTCCCGGGCCATTCCGGCTAAGGGCTCGTGCGTCCCATTTACAGCTCGAGGTCTGACACCTTGAAGGCGGAGTCACGCAGCATCTCCGAGGGCAGCACCCGCTTGTAGTCGCGAGGCTGTGCAAACGGTGAAGCAGATGATGGACGTCGGAGGTTTAGTTGCTGTGAGACCGGTCTTATTAGCATATGTGTATATGCAAGGTAGAAGTAAGGCCGGACGAAATCACCCTTGCGAGTCAGGAAGCGTTGGACGTACTTTGGAAGTACTTTGGACGGCCTTGTCTGGGAGACGGACCCAAACAAGTCCTCGCCAACAATCCAGGGATCCCGACTCGTAAAGAGTGTTGGTACGAACGCCTGGGAAGTGAAGGGGGACTTACCTTGCAGTCAGAGCACTTTTCACCGTCGCGGTTGGCCCGACCTCGGCAACCACGGGGATAGTTGGCGCAGGAGAACATAGTGTGAAAGGTAAATATCGTGTAGATCGAGGTAAAAGCGCGGGGAGAAGACGCAGAAACTCGGAGATTTTAGATCGTGAGAATGACGAGGGTTTATCTGATTCCCCGGGGGAAAGTTGAGCCAGAATGGAAGGTTGGAAAGTGTGGTCGAGTTGAAGGTCAAATGAGTTGAAGTCGGACAGTTGAGAAGAAGTTTCACGTTGAGAGAGATCAACAGCGAGGAAGGGAGGAGTGGACTCGTGGAAGAATAGAAGAATGGAATGAAGCTAGGCGTGAACTTTAAAAAGGGCGTCGGAGATAAACCAGTGTGAAACTAGTGAACTAGTGAACTAGCCAACTAGGGAACTAGTGAAGACTCTGAGAAAAAAGCCCGATGACGTCGGAGAGGGGTTTGCGATTCGGCGGATGGTTTTGGGAGGGGGAAAGTTGGGCTTAGTGACTGGGCCCAAGGGTTGCTTGGTTGTGGTCTTGGGGGGAAAGAAGTGTCGCTGCAAGGGCGAGGCGCCAAAAAGGTAAAGGCGGTTTCGTTGCGAGAGAAGGGGGTTTGGTCTCTAGGAGGGCGCTGGGGCACGAAGGGGGTTTATATCCAGCTCGACTGGAGAAAGGGAAAAAAAGGAAAATCATAAAAATTACAAAATTCCTCCCCCCAAAAATCAAAATGACCCGAATCATCATCATCAGACAGGAAATACGGGAAACAGGCAAAAAAAAAAAAAAAAAAAAAAAGGAGGGCTAGAGTGGTTAGGGTTCCATTGTTACGGGTACCAGAACGGCGCCGTTTGTTCGGGACTGGGGTTGTTCCACCAGGTTTTTCCATTTTTTTCCATTATTGTTCCATCTGTTCCATCTGTACTAACGAGTGGGACCGCGGTATGGTAACTGTCATTTTAAATTACAAACCGTGCCCAGCAACACAACGTATTATCTCCCCCCCCCTAATATCGTAGATTCATCCACAGCTCCCCTCACTCTCAATTCTCAATCCCTCATATCAGGCGTGGTAGGCAATAGAGCCAGGTACAATGGCAGGCACAAACTCACGCTATCCTGGGCTGAATTCTGTTTTGATCTTGCAAATCTATGGTCCTCTACGCTCGGGATAGAAGAAACCATAGATCATTCACAAGAACACAAACACTATAATCTCCAAGGTGGTGGTGTTTTGTTTCTGTATCTTTCACCTCGTATCATCCATTCAGCTTCTGGAACTACGGATTTAATCTGTCTCTGACCGGCCAAATCTGCCTTGCTCGGGACCCTGCACCTAACAATGGAATCAGGTGGATGATTGGGCCCTCCCGGTCAATCGGCGGGCTCCAGAATCCACTATTGTTATTATTGCCTTTCTTTTTTCTTCTGGCGCTTCTCTTTGACAGCTCTACTTGTGCCGATGGGGATAGGCCGGTCATTCTGATCCATCCGCCAGAGTTTCCGATCCAAAGGCCAGACCTCCACGGACCAGCAGCTTCTGTTTACCTGAAGCCAGGCCCTTGACGGCCCATCTCTAGCTCGGGTGCTGTACCTAGCCCAATTGGATTGGAGACTGGAAATGTATAGTCTATAGTAATCCTAATCGTAATCATCATGTAATGATGACTGGATGATCAGGTGAGGTACCCATCTGGGTCGTAAGTCCTACTCCGTATAGTTGCACACTGTAGATCGCATTCTGGGTTCTGTATCTGTTGATGAATTGACAGCCACCACATATGCTCTCGCTGCTCCCCATAGGATATGCAGCAGATCGGTCGATCGCATTCCACACCCCTTTCTTTGGTGCTCCCTGACCCGGCACTGCGGGTATCTGATCTGCTTCACGATGCCGGTCATCCATGCAGGATGCACGACGCACGATGTAGATGGGGAGAGGGGCAGGAGAGGCATGCACAAGAGGAGAAGTTCACGGAAGGGATGGGATCGGGGAAGATGACAGGCCAATCATTTTGACCTCGGGGGTACGGCATGAGAGAAAGGAAAAGAAGTAGAAGAGTCAAGGAATGCGTCGGCCTCATGCATCCCGATCGTCATGGAATGACTCGCAGTCCCAGGCTGATTGCAGGGCCAGGTGGAGCAGCTGGGCGGCTCGAAATGTCCAACCACCCCTTCAGATTGAGTGGCCGGGGGCATAATCACACTTTGTTGTCTTCGTCGTATCCTCATATCGCTGTACCCCTAAGGCTAAGGCTTTATCCATGTAAAAGTATCACTATGGACTTTATGGACAATAAAATGATGACTATGGACATAGATTTATTCTCCATATATTGCGAGGTATTAGAAGGTCTTTCAGTCGCCCTGCTGGCCCCAACCGCCGGCACACTCCCTTGGGCGCTTGGGGTGTTGTCTGGCAGGTTCGACCGCCGGGGGGTTCGTTATTGGGGCTTTCACGGGCCCCCGATTGTTCGTATTCAGCGGGAGTCAGTAAGAGCGCAGCGAGCCTCCTTTGCGCCCGCCCCCTTTTTTTTTTCTACCTAACCAACCATCCCCAGAATGTGATTCTCAGAATGATTACTTGTCGTAAATGAAACTTCCTAGACCCCCTTTCCCCATTCCCTCGTTTCCTCTAGCTTTCATGAGCCCCTCTCATCATCGCCACCTGCCATTCCTCTGTTTCGAGTTGAGGTCCAACAACCCGATCGGGTGGATATTCCCCGTATCCTAGGAAGCTTCCCGCCCATAGTTTACTCGATAATTACTCTTCAGACTTTTTTTCTGCCCCCTTCCCTTCTCCCTCCTCTTGACATCGACTCTTGACCCAATCGCCTGTCGCCGCCCGAAGTGCTTGGCAGGTAGGTCTGGACTCCTGATCCCGTGCCAGGGAATTGCTAGTCGGGCAGGGTTCTCGAATTTCTGGAAATGCTCCACTGCATGCCCACTCCACGATTTTCTAGATCGCCTCGTTCGGATCTGTTTCAAATTGGGTCTGGAGCTGTTCGGGCTTGGGTCTTGGGCTCAGGTCTTCGGTTTGGCAGCTTTTGGCTCCGATCGAGCGCGGCGCCAATAGCAGGCTGCGCGTTTCCGAGCTCAACCAAAAGCTGTCTTTTTTTCTTCCTTTTTCCGTCTGTTTCTTTCTTTTCTTTTCTTTTCTTATTTTCCCCAAAGTGGTCCTCCTAGCTTTCGGCCCTCTCCCCCCTCTCCCCTGGTGATCATGTCCATTATTCTCAAAGGTTCCTGGGTTTGCAGCTTGTACTAAGCTTGCTTGGAGTGCGACGTTGTACGTCTTGTCTGTACATACTTCGGTCGTCTGTGCCCCTCGCGTCCGGCCGATGCCCGTCGTTTGAGAGCCTGGCCCTTGTCATTAGTGACCAAGTATTGATCATTAATGGAATATTTCTCTTCCCTCCGATCCCGTCCTCTGCCCTTGGCACATGCTGGCAGACGCGCTTTCTTCCAAGCCGACGCGGCAACTCGCGCTGCTGTTCTAGTGGAGGCTAGTGGAGCCAGACTCCGCCGTTCCGGATAGAAAAAGAAGAGAAAAAACCCGGCCGCGAGCCAGACAGAGGGATGCTATAAAACAGTGGGGACAAAGAGAGTCACAGAATTAGTGTAGACAGATGTGCAAAATACGTAGGATCAATGTTGCTCCCATCATGATCGTCACGATTTTGACTGAATCCGACTCGGAGTTGGGGGATCCATTCAAGGCTCTCTGCTCGATTCGGGCCTACGATCTATAGAAGCTCGACTCCAATAGCGCCCTCGTGAGACACGTCCAAGGATACTCATCCGACTCCTTCGCGACATATTGCGTTGCATGTTTCTCGCGGGCTCGCCGGCCCTTCAGCCCCCGAGTACCCGGGTTTCCAGGCGAATTTAGCCCAAATGACAGTTTCGTCAGCGCCGCGTGTCGTACAGCCTGGTTTAGGGAGATGAAGAGGGTCAGTTGACGGGCTCAGGTGGTCGCTGCAAGTTGACAATTAATTGAAGCAGGTCGTACTGTTGTGCAGGGCTGACCAGGCGGAAGACGAGCGGATTCGCAGCTCACATCTTCTGGTGTCAAGTCAAGATAAAACTGGATTGGCGTGGGTTTGATTTTTTAAGTTTAGGGGGAATTTGGGTTTCGGTTGGGATCCTTTATTTTATTCTATTTTACACTTTTTTTTGATGGCTTTTGGGCTCGTTCGCTTTTTCTCTCTCTCTCTCTCTCTCTCTCTCTCTCTCTCTCTTTCTCTTTCTCCATCCGAGGTCATCGGCCGTCATTCGTGAGTTGGTAACTAGGGACCAGGAGATACGCGATGTATCCCTAGGTACCATGTCCTATGTACCATGACTATCCATAATCTCCATAGAATCATTTCCAGCTCCTGCTTGACCCATCTCATTCCCAGCAATCCCACCATAACTCTAACGCCAGACCCAGCGTGGATATGTTCGGTGTCCAAGGCCTCCTTGCATCTCTCGGATGCCGCGGTCCGTCCAAAACGTGTGGATCATGGATCATGGACCATGGACCAGACCCGGGCCAGGCACTAACCGCTAACTCTCCCGGAGATGCCCAGCCCAGCAAAGCCCCGGGTAGGCAAGGCGCACCCGGTTAGCGACACCAAAGCCCAGGAACTAGAAGCTCTGTCGAAGCGGGAGAAGCCGTGGGCATGCCGGAGAGCCGCTGGGTATCGAAACGAGTACTTTGGCTACGCTCTCCACCCGTCACGCCGTGACATGGGTTTCGGTTTTTCGTCGTCAGACGGCATCCGGTAGAGACCGGACAATTACAGCCGCGGGACGAAAGAAGCACCCGCGAAGAGCAGCACAAGCAAGATAGGACGCAAGGAATCAGAATCGGAATAGTCTCAATGGTCCATGACTTCATCTGCCGGACAAAATGCCTCTCACCCTGCAAGTCCCGAATCCCCACCAATTTTGTCCAAGAAAAGAGACAGAAAATGAAAGAAGGAAAATAAAATAGAATAAAAAAAACAAAACTAGGGAAAAACAAAAGCTCGCCAGCATTCTACGTCTCATTGTCTCATCAGACTGCAGGCGCCTCTTGCAACGCAGGATTCGGCGCCTGCAACCTCCCTCCCTTTCCCAGAGGGTCAGGCTCCAGCCCTCAGCGTCTCAGTACACTCAGTAACCTCCGAGCGCCGAGGCCCCGGAGCCCAGAGGAACAGAGAAACTCGCCAGGAGGAGAACAAGACAGCTTTGCCGGGTCCGCCGAGCACCGGTGACCTCATCCGGGCCGCGACCAGCCACCGGCGTCGTGTGGCCGCGATGGCGTCCTGCATCCAGACCGTTTGGGGCGGCTCATGTGACTGTCTTTTCATAGCGGGCGTGACCTTCTTTTTGCCTCGGACCCAGTCCAGTCCGCTGGCCCTGGGCAGATCGAGATCCGAAGCAGGGAAGAACGAGGCAGTTGCAAACCTTGATACGGCTGGGGCTGGCCTGGGCTGGCCTGGGCTATCGCCGATCGTAGCTGTGTCCCTTCTTGACCTGTTTTCCCCCTCCCTTTTCGGGGTCTTTTCTAGGTCTGTTAATGCCGAAACCCTGATTTTGAAATGGGCGGGGCCGGGATGCGTTGGGGCTGGGGGAGAGTCCATTAGGCTGATTGGAGGTTTACGGGAGGGGCTTGTGTTTTTCTTTTGAGGATCTGATAGGACGGTGGCATAGGATGCAAGCCCAGGAGGGGTTGCAGACGAGGCTGACGGCTGACGGCTGACGTCGAGCTGGGGAGCAGTTCAAGTGGTTTCCGACATCTAACCGCGAGACCAAGGCGGCCCTTGACCCTGGTCCGAGGCTCTGGTCTGATTCAAACAGAGGCATGAGGGAGTATCTGGGAACAAATTAGGCCACTCTTTGTGAGCCGACCAAAGAACATAGAGACTGGCAAAGGAATATGGCCTGGGTTAGAAACGTTGAAGCCTGGATATCATTGCGCTTGTCCTAAGCCAAAGTATATCATTGTAATCCCGAAACTGAAAACCCCCCCTCCCCGCTATACATGCAATTAGAAAGGGACAAAGCATTCCACAAAGTCGTTACGTCCACATCGACCGCAGAACCACCCACGCGCCAACAAGCCCCAGCACCGACGCGAGGAGCATCCCATTGCCCTCCCAGGTCAACCCTAGGAACGCCAGTGCACCAACAATAATCTCCTTCCGCCGCGCTGCGTCGCGCCGAGACTGCCAGCTGGGATCGATTGCAAATGGAGCCGCGACGCTCGCGTTGGTCATAAGATGCGACCCTGACGCGTTGCCAGGCGTCAGCGGCACGGACACTGCCAATGCGACAGGGCGGTGATCGGAGTGGGGGAACAGCGGCAGAGCGTCGTACACGCGGGGTTTGATGGTGACCTTGCCAGATCCAGCACCATCGGCCGGGGCCGCGGGGTCAAGATAGAGGATGCGATCGCACCAGCTCGGCCAGCGGTGGCTCGACCACTTCCACTCCACAGGGGCAGCGTCGGGGTTCGTGAGGGCGACGCGCGCGGCTGCTTGCGCGGCGCTGGAGTACTTGTAAGTCGGAGGGAAGTCGATCGGGGCTTCGGAGAGGCCGTGGAAGACCCGGCCATGCTGCATCTCGCGTCGCAGCTGATCATCTTGGAGGAGGTGGCAGTAGTGTGCCGAGCTGGTGCGAGGGGCATCACGCTGGGGGAACCGTGCCGCATCACCCTTGAGAGGACCGATGTTTGAGGTACGGTAGTTGAGATCGCCGGCGAGGAAGACATAGGAGTGGGACGCAAAGAGAGCCGTCTGGCTGCCCGCGGTGTGATGTGTCGCCTCGTGGTCCCTCAGCAGTGCAGTGCTCTCGTCGGGGGTTGAGCTTTGTCTCTCCAGAGCTTTGGGGAGCGCGGCATCGCCATGCGAGAAGACCAGCCGCTCGACGATACTCTGCCAATCCAGGTTCCGTTGCGCCAGTGCATTCTCCATTGGCGCCAGATGGGCCGCGACGAAAGTCAGGTCCACCGTCTTCGAGGGACGCTCGTCCACGACATACCCCAATCGTGCTCCGACCGCACCTTTATTTCCCATCTCCTGCATGCCGAACCCAACATGGGCCGTATCCACCCAGGCGATCTTGTCCGTGACATCGGCGCGCGCAAAGACCATCAGGCCCGTCATGCCCGTGTGGTCCTTGACTAGATTGACGTATGACTCATTCCATTGTTTGGCGGTGGCCTTCTTGACCGTATTGGTGAATGCGTCAAAGTATGGAAGGAGATAAGATCCGCCCAGAAACGAGTATGCGATGGGCGCCAGCTCTTGCAAGGAGAGCACGATTAGCTCCGGGGCATCGAGCTGTTGTTCGCTGGATGTGGAAAGCACATCGAAGAAGTGGTCTGCGAACAAGTCAACGTCAATCAAATTCCGCGCGCAATTGGCCGTCAGAATGTAAAGGTTGAGATCCTCCATTCTTGGGGCATCCGGAGGTGGTGGTAATGGGATCGAGATCCGGGGAATTGGAGGGGAAGAGCTGAGCGGTGACGTCGTGGAATGCGGAGCCACGTGCGTATCAGTGGAGCCTTCGATAAGGCGATACACACAATCCGAGCCGGACGGGCTAAAAAAATCTCCAGCTCTTTTCACAGAGATCAGTCGGAACCGACAAAAAAGAAATCTGCATCATCCGTGAATCGAACACGGGCCTCGTCGATGGCAACGACGAATTCTACCACTAGACCAATGATGCTAGTTGATGTAAAGAGGTGAAGAGCAATGTAATATGATCTTCTCTGGCAAATATCCAGTAGTGAAAATATATAGTATATCGTTATACCTGCGCCAGCGGAAGAACATTCATCTTCCTCCACTCAACCAGTGCAATGAAAGGTATCTAGCATGTTTAACGACACAGCTTTCTTTCTCTCATAGCTTCCCTCGCACCTGATCCGCTTCTTGGTGCGGCGCCTTCAATTCGACCAGCAACATGCCCTCTGCCACATCTTCCTCGTCATCTTCCATCTCATGCACCCAATGGACCACTCCCGCGCGCGGGCTTCGCACTTCTAGCTCCATCTTCATCTGCTTTACAAACGCCAACACCTGGTTCTCAGCCACGCGATCCCCCTCCGTAACCAGAATTTCCATCAATTTACCCGATAAGGGAAGGATGATGTGGCTGGGGTTATTTGGATCTCCTCGTCGATGTGACGAGGACATGAGTGCTGATGCCGCGGTGGAGGTCGTATCCAACTGCATACGATACGAGACGCCCGTCGTCGACGCTGGCGTAGTATACATGATTTCTGCCGCCAACGAAGTGGGGAACTCGTTCCGCAGGATGCGCGATAGCTTCAGATGGTGCACGATGGGGGCCGCACCGGCTGGCTTCCCGTTGTCGAGAGGTTGTAGCGTAATCGACCACGCGTCCCCTCGGCGGAATAAAAGGTTTGACGATGGCAGCCCACTTGACGGGATCGACTGAGGCGCCGAGCCGGCGGGTCCAGCTTGGCTCTGGAGACTGTGAGAGATGCGCTCACCCAGCTGGTGTACCTCTTTAAGTTGGTTGCCTAGCCATTGCGTGTCAATATGGCCTGTCATGAAATCGGGGTGCCCCACGATGCCCCGCAGTAGATTGATATTGGTCTTCACGCCGGCGATACGAGCGTCCGCCAGCACGCGCTGGGCTTTGCGAACCGTGGCGGCCCAGGAGGACGCCGTCACGATGATCTTGGCGAGAAGATTGTCGAAATTAGAGCCCACTATTAGCGGGGAGGCTCCGGTGCCATCGATGTTTGTGTCAACCCGGACCCCATGGCCGCTGGGAACGGTAAATTCGGTGACTTTGCCGATGCTTAATGCAAAGTTGTTGCCAGGATCCTCGGCGCAGAGTCGAAGCTGAATAGAGAAACTGTTTGCGGGAGGGAGCGCTGACGCGTTGACCTCTGACCCCAAACCAAGGTCCTGGAAGGACCAGCCTTGGGCGAGGAGGAGCTGTGTCTGAACTAGGTCAATGCCGCTGATAGATTCGGTGATCGTGTGTTCCACTTGCAGCCGCGGGTTGACCTCCAAGAAATAGAATTTCGACTTGCTTTCACTGACGAGAAACTCGAATGTTCCCAAAGACAGATAGCGAATCTCGCTAGCCATCTTCAAGGCCGAATCAATCACTCGGCCGATCAAGGCCCTGTCGTTCATCAATGCAGGTGCACATTCCACCACCTTCTGGAATCGTCGCTGCACGCTGCAATCCCTTTCCCACAGATGTCGTACTTGGCCCGTACCATCGCCGATGACTTGGATCTCAACATGATGGAATCCATCGACAGCAGCCTTTTCGACAAATACAGTGCGAGAGGGGGACTCGCCGATTGCCCGCTGAATACTGTTCTCTAGTTCACCTTCTTCCCGAACAAGACGAATGCCTCGTCCGCCCCCTCCATCAACCGCCTTAATCATCACCGGAAAGCCAACCTGCATCGCGAAGGAGTGCGCCTTTTCCACCTGAGATGTTGGCTGGCTCATGGCCTGCAAGACCGGAACGCCGCATTGCTGAGCTAACTGCTTTGCTTGTAGTTTGTCGCCCGTCCGCGCCAGGTTCTCTGGTCCTGGGCCGATTACCACAGCCCCAGCATCGGTCCACATACGGTGCGCGAACTCCGCGCTCTCGCTGAGGAAGCCATATCCTGGGTGCACCGCATCAATGGAGTGCCGTCGGGCAAGGTCCACAAGAAGTGAGATATCTAGATAGGATGCAGCTGAGGGAATTTCAATTGCGTGTTGCGGGTGCCCTAGATCACAGTGAGACCGGTCATCAGGTGTGTAAAGAGCGAATGTCTCGATAGACTCAGGTAATTCCCTGGCAGCATTGAATATGCGGACGGCGATTTCACCTCTGGAACGCCTGGTTAGTCTCTTGTTGGGGTATGTGGCCAGGGGAAAAGCTTGTACCTGTTGGCGACCAACAGCCGCTTAATCGAATGCGGGGACGACATGGGGGCGCGGGGAATCCGGGGAAAGACAAACAAGGATAAGAGCAAAGAGCACACAAGATGGGAATATGTCGCAAGGCAAATATAGGAGCAGAGACGTAGACAAGATCTTTAATTGGATGATGTTTGTCAATTAGTCCTGTTCGGCGGGTTTTGAATTATTCTCACAGCTTGACAGCGATCACCCTCGGTCCTCGGATGGTCCCATCGCCCCCTCACCAACCCCAATCCCTTCAAACTCGACTATCTTTCTAATCACCAAACTCCCTGTTAATAACCTGCGATAAAGAATTGACGCAATTCCAAACATCGGGACAATGGCAAAGAATAATACTGATGCTAAAGGCCCGCCTCAAAATGGCTCTGACCAAGTCGTCCAGCGCCTGCACCAGGTCTCGTCACATATCACTCCACCCACAGAGACACCCCAAACAAGCACAAAAAAGACCAAGTCTGCCGAAAATCGATTGCCCGCAGACCACTCCGATGTGCTGGGCCAAATAGCCAGCCTGCGTGCTATCGCCGCCAGCCCGGACCCCAACCACCGTGGGTACGTGCGCCAGAAGCAAGCCGGAAAGTTGTGGGTGCGCGAGCGCATCGAGCAGCTTCTTGACCCAGGCTCATTCACCGAGATTGGGTCCGTGTCAGGCACAGTGACTTGGAAGAAGACCGCGCCGAGGCGCGAGACGCCCGTATCGTTCGTGCCGAGTAACAATGTCCAGGGAACGGGCCTGCTTCGCGGCCGAAAGGTTCTGCTTACAGCAGATGACTTTAGTATCCGATCCGGACATGCGGATGGAGCGAGCTCGGGCAAGACTATCTATATGGAGAAATTGGCGATTGCATTGCGGCTGCCGGTGGTCAAGCTGGTTGATGGAAGCTCGGGAGGGGGCAGCGTGACCACGATTCGGAAGGAAGGCTGGAGCTATTTGCCACATGTGACGCCGTTTATGTCAGTCATTAAGCAGTTGAATATGGGGATTCCGAACCTAGGAGCGGTTGTTGGACCGGCTGTACGTTTGTGATGGTCTTTTTCAAGGCTATAGAGTCCTCGCTCTCTTCCGGGTCTATATCGGTGTATATATACTAATCTGATCTCTTTAGATTGGGCTCGGTGCTGCAAGAGTCGTCTCATGCCATTTTTCCGTCATGGCTGCTGACATCGGATCTCTTTTCAATGCTGGTCCCAAGGTTGTGGAGGGTGCGACTTTTGAAGAAGGACTAGACTTCCAGGACTTGGGCGGACCCATGGTGCACTGCACGAACGGCACGATCGACAACCTAGCAGCCAATGAGGCTGAATGTTTCGAACAAATACGCACTGTTCTGAGCTATTTGCCTAACTGTGGGAGCGAAGCTCCGCCGGTCGTCCCTTGCAATGATGCAGAGGACCGAGAGGATATCTCTCTCCGGAGCATCATCCCACGCCGGCAGGCGCGCATGTATAACCCGCGGACTATTATTGCTTCTGTTGTGGATCAAGGGTCTTGGTTCGAAATTGGTGCACTTTGGGGCCGGACTGCTATTGGCGGATTGGCACGTCTTGGTGGACGTCCTATCGGCGTGATTTCGCTTAATTGCGAAGTCAATGGCGGTGCCCTCGATGCAGCCGGCAGTCAAAAGCTTACTCGGCTGCTAAAGATGTGCGACGTGATGAATCTGCCAATTTTGCAGTTCCTTGACGTTCGTAAGTGTTGCTCTCATTATCTCATGCCATTTCTTTCCCTCTCACTTCCATTCTCTGTTCCTTATTTTAACAACATTCTTCAGCCGGGTATGCTATCGGCACCGTTGCAGAACGTACGGCAACTATGCGCTGGGGTGTTGAGCTAGCCAAAACATACTATACAACCACTGTTCCGATATTCAATGTAGTCACTCGCCGTGTGTACGGTGTTGCTGGAGGCATTATGATAGGAAGTCGAGACCCCGTGATGCAAGTCGCATGGCCCTCTGGTCAATGGGGCTCTCTACCGCTGGATGGCGGAATCGAAGTTGGCCACAGACATGAGCTACGGGAGGCCGAAAAAGTGGGCAAGAAAGAAGAGAGGTATAAAGAATTAGAAGAGGAGTATCTGCGACTTATGAATCCGGTGCGGACTGCGAACGCATTTGGCGTGGAGGAGATTATTGATCCAAAGGCCACGAGACAGGTTTGCTGTTCGTGGGCAGCGCATGTCTACGATGTGCTTATGCGGGAGAGACTGGCTGACAGGGCCTGTGGCAAGATACAGCCCTCGTTTGCTTAAGTATGGCTGGCTGTCTGCTGATAATCAATTTTTGATGCTGATACAATGTTTTTAAATAATATAAATATGGAGCTGAAAGTCATTCGGTGATTTCAATGTCTACCTTCAAGATGAAATCCATGAGTTGTGCCCGCAAATGTTGTCTCATGGTAGTATATATCAAAATTTTATAGCTGACTATTAGACAAAAATTTGAATTCTAAATCTTGCTTGCTACGTAGAGAAGGAATATTTGTCTTATTTATAGCCACTTGCCAAAAATATCGTCCTCCTAATTGTCTGCCTTGAGCACCGATCATGATTTTTAAGAAGATTCCTGATGGCTTGAGTTCGCGCGCCTTAAGCATAGATGGTATCCCCCTCTCCGTGTGTTTAAGGAAATAATGCTTGTGAAGAATTTCAAGCGAGGCGCAGATCTTATATTTTAGGTATATTTTTCTTTAACGTCACGGGAGATCCTCGGCTGGAGACATGATTGGCGTGATCGGGAGGCGGCGGATTATGTAACTGCACCGAGCGGAACAGGAATGATCATCGCCTACTATTAATCAAAGCCCAACTCCCCACTACACATATGATCATCAATACCCTAAACTCACGATGGTCTCTGTACAAATTTTAGATGGCGGCCTTGGCACGTCTCTCCAGGACCAGTACGGGGTGAAGTTTGATAGCACTACAACTCCACTCTGGTCCTCTCACATGCTCGTCTCCGACTCGGCCACGCTGCAAGCCTGCCAGCAGGACTTCGGCACTGCAGGTGTGGATGTGCTTCTCACAGCGACCTATCAAGTCTCGTCCGAGGGCTTTGCGCGCACAAAGACCACGGAGTTTCCCAATGGCATCCCAGTTACTGCCATGGGCAAGTACCTGCAGATTGCAGTGGACGTCGCAGAGCGAGCCAAGGTCCGCGATAGTGCCAAGATCGCGCTGAGCCTGGGTCCCTATGGGGCGTGCATGATCCCCGGACAGGAGTACAGCGGGGCTTATGATACCGCACATGAAAGCGAGGAGTCTCTGTACCAGTGGCATCTGGAGCGGCTGCGGCTTTTCCTGGCCGCGGACGGGAACTTGCTTAGTCGGGTACAGTATGTTGCGTTCGAGACGCTGCCTCGGCTTGACGAAATTCGTGCCGTGAGGAGGGCCATCCATGATTCGGGAATCACGACGCCGTTTTGGATTGCTTGTGTGTTCCCTCGCGAGGATGACCTCTTGCCGGATGGTAGTTCAATCGAACAGGTAGTCCAGGCTGCCATCACGCCTATGGAGAATGGGCGTACTCCGTGGGGTATTGGGATGAATTGTACCAAGCTCCATAAGCTCTCGGGACTGATCAGCAACTTTGGTACCTGTGTTAATGAGGCAGTGACCTCTGGTCAGGTCGCTATAGTCCCGAGTCTAGTTCTGTACCCGGATGGTACAAACGGCGAGGTTTACAACACCACGACGCAGACATGGGAGAAGCCGGATGATTTCAACAAAAGCGGCAACAGAGACACGGTACGTATGAGTAGTCTTGTTGCGGGTTTCCATAATTCAATATGATCATGCTGACCGTGAATCAGCGCTCGTGGGAAATTCAACTGGCTCAGATTGTCAATGATGCCAGTAAAAACGGCCCCTTCGAATCCTTTTTAGTGGGCGGATGTTGCAAGGCATCTCATCGCGATATTGGCAACCTTCGACAACAGTTTTCAACCCAGTGATATTTTCACTTTATCAAAATATTTCTTGACTACGCAACAACTGGATGAAAAAAAAAACACAGGCAATACCAATATATATCTATATATACACCCAGGATGGCTTGGAGCCATCATATGCAAGATGCAAGATGCTATTATATACAAATTCAACAAGAATCTAGATGAGCCAGTCAATGAATTTGCCCCAAAGCGTGTTGTGTGGGTTCTTGTGAGGCATAATTTCGCCATCCTGAAGACGGCCAGACCAAAGATCGATCGTGGCAGCGCGTTCAAACTTAAAAAGAAATGTTAGCAGAAATCAAGAGGTGTTATTTAATCATGGGAAACTAACCTTGGTTCGGTGCCAGAGCTTCCAGCCTATGATCGGCACAATGAAGATAGGAATGCCGACGTACGATGCGACAAAGTCTGAAGCGCTCCAATTCCCCTTCAAAAAGACAGGGAAACCTGCAACAAGGGTGATGATGGTGGAGCCAATGAATCCAACCCAAGCAGCATATGGCTGGAATGGCGCCTTCCAGGGAAGCGAGTCTCGAGAAACACCCTGTGCTTTCATGGCGGCATGGAAGCGAATGTAGCAGAAGGACAAGGTGGCCCACGCAATCAATCCAGCGACAGTGCTTAGATTGAGAAGCCATGTAAAGGCCTGAGAAGCACCGCCTGATCCAAGACCTGCAACGTGTTAGCTAAGCGAATTCCAACTTGTGAAATGCGGACGGGTGGAAGACATGATTCAACGTACTCAGATACGCCAGGGGTCCAAACAGCCAGGAGGCGATGACGGCAACATAGGGCACTCCTTTCTTATCCACACGGCCGAAGATCTGAGGCAATTGGCGATCTGTTGTCATGGCCACAATCATGCGGGATCCAACCCAGCAATAGGAGTTACCGGCTGACCAAGCAGCAACGAGGATACAAGCGTTGACAATAGATGGAAGAGCGCTGATGCCGGCTTCCTTGATGGCGATGACGAAGGGCGAGCTATTGGCATTATCGGAACCGGAGACGAGGGCGCTGTTTCTAGGATCGACAATGATGCCGATGAGGAGGGCGCCAAGGATATAAAAGAATCCAATGCGGTAGGTGACACGGCGGGCGGCCTTGGGGATGGCACGGTGCGGATCGACGGACTCGGCGGCGGTGATGACGACGGTCTCGACACCGATGAAGCTGAAGGAGGCATTCACGAAGGAGGACAAGAAACCGAGGAAATGGCCGGTAGGCCCTGTGATGCCGTTATAGTTCGTCCATGGGCCGGGGTCATGCCAGAAACGGAAGCCGATGGTCTCATGATTCGGACCGCCGCCTGCGGTGATGACAATGGACACAATAACCAAGCCCAAGAAACACAGAATCTTGATGGCACCTCCGATGACCTCAGTTTCGCCGTAGAATCGCACGCTCATCAGGTTGATGATCAGGATCAGGACCAAACCAACCGTGATGACCACGGCTGGCGTGAGAGCTGTCCAATATGAAACGATCACCGCAGCGGCTGAAACTTCAGAGGCAATTGCGATGGTATAGCAGTATCCGTACGAGATGGCTAGCGAGAAACCGACAGCCGGGTCGATGAACCGTGTGGCCCAGTGCGGAAACGAGCCCGCAGTAGGCAGCAGTGTCGCCAGCTCGGCGATGCTCTGCATCACACACCACAACACCGCGCCGACGATAATATACGCCAGCAGCAGACCCGCGGGCCCAGCTTTGGCGTAGGCTGAGCCCGTCCCGACGAACAGACCGGTGCCGATGCCACTGCAGAAGCCGATCATGGTGACCTGGTAGTTCCGCAGGCGGCGCTGGGTAGCACCACGACCGCCGACATTGATCTGCAGCTCGTCCTTGGGATTGGCATCATACTCGTTGAGGGCCGCGACATCGGGCTGAGTGGACTTTTCCGCCGCCATGGCTGGTAAAGTATGTCGAAGGGGAGATCTGGTGATCGGAGGGAGCTGAGCCGAGTCACCTAGTTATCTTTCCCCATGTACCGATCTGTTAAGACGAAAGATTTCTTGACGCGACCCATGTGGGAACAACCACTTTTATCGTGATTTGCCTTCCGAAACCTTTAAGCACGTCAATCACGACTTCCAGTGCTCGGGTTTGCACCGTGGAATGGTCCCACACATCGGAGACTGATTGGATCAATGGGGACTCAAATCTCCACTTCTCGGAGAAAGGCAAGTCAATTTTTCTTGGGTGAACAAGCTTTTCTGGAGGCAAAGGGGCGACATCGGCCCGAATTGGTAGAGTCCCCAGCCACTCAGTGTTGTACTTTTTTTGGGCTGACTGGCGGAGTTGGAGATCTCGGTCTGTCGGTCTCCCAGGTTCATGCGGGGTTGCTCGTGTGCTTTGATGGAAGATTCTCGGAGCATTGTCGAGATGGTGGGTTAGATGATGTTTCAATTTTCACTAGCGTGAGCAAAATCCACAGAGTTTGCAGAGTTGGCTTTCAATTCGTTGATTCGTTGATTCGTCGATTATTTCGCCGCCCCGGGTTAAACTATAGCCCCATCTATCGCCCCGCCAAGCGTTCTCCCCCTCCGCCCCCCAATTGAAATATGAGGTTGGCCACAGGCCGAGGCTGGAGCTTCTTGGCCGTTGGAAACTTCCGGTTGGGAATCTGGAGACCCCGTGGAGCCCGTAGAAGGAGTAGAGAGTAAGTAGAGAGTAAGGAGTGCCTGTAGGTAGTGTGGGTAGTAGGATTATGTTGCGTGACTCCTTCCGAAAAATAAGATACTGTTTTGAGCATAGTTGGAGACCCTGGTCAATAAAGAGAAAAAGAAATAGATTGTGGCATAAGTCATCTTCCGTAAGTTTAGCATCAACCTGCAGGTTCCTAGTGCAGAAAATCTGAATTCGTATACAGGAAAGAAAAACCGATCACGTATAATTATGGCTCTTCTCTTTACTACACACGTGATTGGCATAAAAAAGAACTGTCTCGGTGGGTGCATAACTCTTCCGTCCAGGCCCATTTCATAAAACAATGACCGTGGAAATGCCAAGAGCCCAATCCTACTAGAGCAGGTCTAGCGGCGATCCCACGCATTTCAGGCCTTCTAATGGATAGAAGAGCTGGAGGACGAGTCAGTGCCGACCCAAGCTTGTTTTCATGACCCCCCATAAACCAATAAACACCAATAATTGTATCAATGGTGCCGATCAATCGCCAATGGCGGGTAGAACTCAAAACAAATTACATCAGCTCATACTTTAAGTTTCCCCCCGTTTCAGGCGCGCCCTTTTTTTCTCATAAAGAATGTTATATACATTTCTTCCCCCTGCGCAACCTCACGGCACGCCATCAACGTGCGCTTGAAGGGCATTGGCGAATCTACCGCGTTGCGCTCGCCTGATCCGTTTGAATCGGCGCGATTAAGCTTAAGCTTATGTCCGAACCCGCCCGAGACGAGGCCCTCAATGGCGGCTCGCCGACCACAAGCACGGAGCAGTCCTTCGTGCCGGCTAAGGAGTCGCCGGCCTCTAAGAGACGAAAGCTGCCCGGATGGCTGGATCATTTCAATGCACGCGACCTTAAAGTGTATTTCCGATGCTCGGTCGCCGCATGGGTCGCATCGCTGTTGATCTTCATCGGCCCGTCGCTGCGCACAATCGGGACGGCCACCTTCTTTGCGACGTGAGTGTCCCTTTCCCGAAAAAGATGGCAGCAACACATCATCTAATCGGGTCAACAGGCTGGTGCTGTTCATGGTGCCTCCGACAGGTATCGTCTTTATCTTCTTCCTCGGAATGCTGACCCTTATCTTTGGGATGGCCTTGGGCTGGGCCTGGGGTGTCATTGCCATGAAGGCAGCCCTGGCAGCCCGACCTGCGGCAGACACCCAGGCCAAACTCCAGGCACTAGGCCAGCGAGCCTACAGTATCTCGAATTCCACGGGTCAGTCCCTTGCGACCGTTGAACAAGTGCTCGTCTACGAGGGCTTTATGCTGGATGCTCGTGTAACGGCTGTTTACTTTTGTCTCATTTGCTTTTTGATCTATTTACTCGTAAGATTCCGCTGGCTCGCCCCGTAATTCCTAATGGAGAACTACGTGGACTGACCCATCCAGGCTCGCGTACGGGCTAAGAATCCCAAATTCGCCTTGATGCAGATTTTCGGCACCATCATCCTGGACCTCTTCTTGACCATCGGACCGCTGCTTCCATCTTTCAATGGAACCATGCCCAAGGTGTTGATCGAGCCGGCAGCGATCGGAATAGGTATTGGGCTGGCTTGCCAGATCTTGTTCTTTCCGACATCGACGTCGCACGTCGTGCTCGACGGCATGGAAGGAGTGGTGCGACTACTTAAGGGCCCCTTGGACGCGACAGTGGCGAGTTTGATCGCGAATGAGCCCCTGGAACTAAAGGACCTCAACAAATTGAAACTCAAAACGATCGGCGCCTACAAGAAAATTGAACCGGCGCTTGGCTTTTTACAGTTGGACTTTTCAATTTGTCGGTGGAATGCAGACGACGTCAAAAGCCTGAAGGAACCCATTCGCCAAGCTTCGCTCAGTACCTTGTCCCTGCTTGATTTCCACATTTCCCGTGTCGGAGGACAACAGAAACTCGAAAAATTACACGCTCTCACTGCAAGTAGTGAACAGATTTTGACCGCGGAAATCGACGAAAAGAAGCGCCCTCGAGAGGTCGGTATGCGCCAACTGATGGAGAGTGTGCGCATGATTGAAGCTTTGAAAAGCCCCGAACACGATACTACTCGATTAGAAACGATAGAAGCCCTTCGAGAGCCCTGCAAGAAAATCCTGCCAGCCTGCCAGGACGCGAGCATACTTGTCGCTGACTGTATTCATGCTATCAATTCGACTCGCTGGTTTGGTCGTTCATCGAAGGAACAGCTGACTGAGCTTGGTGAACGTAGCCAGACTGCCTTGGAGACGCTCCAAGGTCTGCGGGCTACATTTGCCTCGGAAACAACTGAGCGACTGATTCATGTCAATGAACACATTTTTGACGAGTCCGGCAAATTGAAGGATATCGACGACTCTACAATGCACAAGCTGCGCGGGATTACATTCGGCATGGTTTTTGAGGAACAGGTACTGGGTGTCGCAGACTCCTGGAAAACAGTTCTTGCTCAAGTTGCCGCCCTTATGAAAGAACGCCAGTCGGTCCGACTTTGGTTTCCTCGCGGACTGCGGTATGCATTCGATTGGGTGCTCCACAGGAGTGCTGTCGCGCCTGTCATTGCAGCTCAGTCTCCTGAAGTTGATCCAGACATGGTGGAGGCACAGTCTAAGGCAGCACAACAGAGTCTTCGCATCAGTCGGGGATATCGAGTCAAAAAGCGCAGCGGCCTGGGACGGATTCTTCTTGCCTCTTACCATTCGCTTATTAGCGCCGGGGGCATGTATGCCTTGCGTTTGGTAATTGTGACCGTCGCTCTGGCCATTCCTGCAGTTATTCCTTCTAGCGCTGGCTTTTATTATCGAGAGAAGGGACTGTGGGCTTTGATAATGGGCCAAACCACAATAGTGGTATACATGTCGGATTTTACACTCTCGATTGTCTCCCGCGCCGTGGGAACAGTTGTTGGCGGTGTTGCTGGCTTGGTCGCCTGGTATATTGGATCAGGTAATGGACCTGGCAATCCCTATGGCCTGGCGGCCATCATGGCTGTTGTCATTCTTCTTCTCATGTGGGGCCGTGTCTTTGCTCCCCCTGCATTGCTGCAGGCTACGATGATGGGCGGCGCAACTTGCATTCTGGTAATTGGATATAGCTATGACGATACGTGAGTTGATCTACATTGAATATACGCAGGATGGAACTAACGGACAGCGTATAGACACATTCCATCCTATGGAAATCCCGGGGAAGGATATAGCGTTTTCTGGCGACGACTCGTGCTGGTGTTGGTAGGATCTGCAGCAGCTCTTGTTGTTCAGATATTCCCTCGGCCTCCATCCGCCGCACGCCATATCTGTAAATCTTTGTCAAACTCTATCCGATCTCTCTCAGATCATTACGCATTGCTTTTAACCTGTTGGGGCCAGCCCGGCCGAGATGAAGGTCTGGTGGCCGAGCAGCTTGCCCTTGACCTTGCCGAAATCCTCACCGCGCTTGACGGGCCCGTGGCCTTGCTTCGTCTTGAGTTTTCCAGCTCACCTTTTGATAGTAATACTCTGACACAAGTCAAGTCTCTCTGCCAAGAGCTCAATCAGAACATTGGCCGCTTGCTGTATCTGTCAGCATCCTTACCCGAGGATCTCCAACACAGACTTGCAAGCCGGGCCGGGCTTCTTGATCACAGAAACATCGGTGATGTCATGGCAGTTCTGGGTATTGTGGAACAGGCTTTGAAGACCGGAGATCCCCTACCCGAAGTTCTTCCAACGCCTCTGCTGAAGCGTTGTTTCGAGTTTTGGCAGGCTCACCAAGTTGAAATTTCTCTCAGTAAGGATCTGATTCGCGATGAGAATTACCGCCGCTTCTGCGTCGCTGTGAGCTCTTATTTGAAGTTTTTGGGCGCGGTGGATGACCTGGTGCTTGTGATGAAGGGTACACTTGGCGAATCACATATCGTGAGCCGAGAACTGGTGAATGATTTAAATGTATGATATTACAAGGAGTACAAATAATACCCCAATATTTGGAATATATCAAGCCCATTAAGGGAGGGAATACTGTATCCGTCAACGAATAGAGGCCGGCATAGGCGCATTAATCTTGAGAGGAAGTCTTCTAGAATGGAAGGAAAGGCTTTCCCAAGAGAATGAAGTTGTGTAGACATAATCAAAGTAGAGTGATTTTGTTATAGATTTTATGCGTTCTTTCCCCTTTTTTTCTACCTGGGAATAGAGAAGCTGATTCCTTGCGAGAAAGTATGAGGGATTGGATAGCGAGGGAAATACCAAAATCAACAGGATAATATCAACCGGATAATGATAGATCATGAACGGAAGTGGCATTTTTTGATTCTATTCTTTTAGCAGAGACTGTGATTTCTCAGTCTAGACATGTGCAATGTTGGACTTTCGTACAACTTTGCCGGCCTGGATGGCAGCAACCTGAACGACACTAACGTCCTCGGGAAGAGAAAATTTGGTCTCGAATCCCTTCTTATCAATTTGTCCCAATGACTTAAGAGAATTGCTACTTTTTCCGGCATAGACCTGGTACTTGTCGACATCAGTAGCTCCATTCCAGCTGACGTAACCGCGCAAGCGCGACGAGCTACCTGCACATTGACTCAGGTTGTCTTCCGCAAGGGCCGTGGTTACTACCAGGCTTGGCCGAGTGGAGGGTGTAGCATGCCACTCTTGTTTGTATACGCGGTAACTCTGGCCCAAGTCATAGCCTGCAAATTGGGCTGACCAGCGAACATCGCCTGATGGCCCGTATTCTTTGATGTATGGCTCATCACCATAGCCCATAAGCGTATTGCCGTTAGGCAGCGAAAAGAAGGAGCCCTCAGCAGCGGACGAAACAGGATATAGGTGGTCATAGAAGTCGGTGACGAGCACTGGGGGGTTCTTCAGGCTTGGGGGAAGCGTAAGAAGGAAAGTGAGGCCCTTAGAAGGCACAGTACTTGTAGCTGTGTCGAGATTGTTGGCGAAATAGCTCAGCTGTGCTTGTGTGGAGGAGACACTATGAATTCGTGCCATATGTTGCCAGGACTGGTTTAAGAATATGAGTCAGTTCACAAAGATACTATCCCGAATGGTGATAAGCCTCACAAATGTTCCATTTGCTGGGAGACTGCCAAAATCTCCGCCGTTCTCTCCATCAATGGACCAAACCACCGATCCCTCACGGTCCACTAGGAACGTTCGCCATAAATGGCGTGAATTGACCAGGTAGTAGTCGCCCCATTTCTGAATGGAGTTCATGTGGAACCAATCGAAAGGGTCGGTCTGGTCTGATCCCGTATATGCTTCATGAGTCTCATTGATAGCCACATGAGCCAACGGGCTCCAAATAAACACTGGCTCGTTGGTCTCTAGATCCAACTCGACGACAATCGAGTCATATACCCATCCGTCCTTAGGGCCACCCAACGACGTTAGGTCTGCTTGGGTGGTGTTGTACGCCGTCAATAGAATGGTATTGTCCTCTGTGATGAAGGATTCATGCACGTCGGCATCACAATCTGTAGTGGTTCCGGTCGGCATCGTGAGATTCAATTGCAAACAAACTGACTTTATCAATCGGTACTCGTCATTATAAATGCGCACTTCACCCCAGCCTCGTCCTGCATCTGCGCCATATGCGGCCTTACCCGTGCCTACCCAGAAGGTGATTACAGATTGGTCTCCCCAGTACTGCTGTCGGAAGTTGGACGAGTCACCCTCCGGGCCACTCCAGACCAATTCGTTGTCATCCGTTAAAATGAAGGGAGACACCTGTTTCACGCCGCTTCCAGAGTCATTCTCCTGACCGATGAAGAGCAATCCAGAAGCTAAATCTGCACCTGTACGGTTTATCGACATATAAGGCGGCGTCACATTGGTCGACTGGTATGTTTGCCAGGGCCAAATGTCACTGCTAGCATTCTGGACGATCTGACGATTATTGATAGCGCATAGGGAAAACTCGCTCCGTTTGGTGCCAATAGTACCGGCCAGTGTGGGCCTGGGAACTGCCAGAGCTCCCAAGGCGAGAGCAGATAACCAGTGGTGCATTGGAATGGACTGAAGAGCTCAAGGTAGTGATCTTGCTTGAACCTACATTTTGAAACATGACACCGACCTTTTTATAGTACTCTTGACTCTGCTGTATGCTGGCGACCGTAGGTCAGAAAGTCCATATTTTAATTATCCAACGTATAAGCGAGACAAGCTAGAGATGTTGTCATTGCTGTTACTGATTTCGCCATTAAATATACAGCCGTTTACTGGCACAGCCCTGACATAGGCCGGCGGGATCTTTTAGTTGTCTCCAATCACAATTCAATTCATAGATGTGCTACGGAAGTTCCTGCATAGTGGAATGCTTCTGGGAACGAGCGGCCCTGATACAAATGAAGCTATTATTGCGTGCTCAGCAGAAGTCATGGCGCGATGAAATGAGATCAAGCTTAGTCTCGGCAAAGCTTGTCAAATGGTCGAAGATCGGCAGTTGAAGATCCACCCAAGGATACAAGGACCAAAGCAAACGGCCATTCACTTTTCCTGTGTCAAGGTTTTTATCATAAAAATAGATATTTCATCAAAAAGTACTCAAATAGTAATATAAAAGCTATACAACGAAAAAACGGGTCGAGCCCCTCAACTGCATTTAGGCCTGACGGCTCGAGGTTCGGCTTGACCTAATTTAGGAAAAAGCCGAGTATTATGTACTCCGCAGAGGCGGCAATGCTGCTTTAACTACTATAGTATTGTTAAAGTGGGGTACGCAACCTGGGGAATAAAACCATAACGTCACGCACGTAATATCGGAGATTCAACCCCGGCTGCAGATTAGATATTGGGTGCCAAGGCTGGCTGCTTAACTAGATCGGTGGCAGTTAGAAAAGAGAATCTTCACTATGGAATATACAAGTCTTTGAATCGAACACTCAGCCCTCCTTTTTTATCAACTCTTGTGAGAAATTCTTTCCGATCAATTATCATGCCTTGAAATACACATTATAGAATATGTGTATTTCTTTCACGTCTATCAGATCCCACAGATTGGAAAAGAAGTGTTGAGAAGTAGATCACTAGCTGGCCTGCATGCCTGACTACTAAAACTCGCTCAGCTTATTTAGCCTCCCTTTTTAGCGGACAATTCATCAACCTTACGAATGTAACCATCATCGCCCCCCGAACAAGGAACCAGTATAGATCTATCCAGTCTGGCTACCTACTCTTGATCTTTAAGACCTGGTTCCCGATGTGCGACCTCATTGTTTGATAAGAATGCATGAATCGATAACTAAATGTGACAAAGAAGCTATGCCTAGTATAACGGGTATTGATTCGCAAAATCTATTGATCGCCAGCTTATAATAGGCCAAATGGGGTGTGTATAAAGCTCCGATGGCGTTGCTCATAACAGGGGGTAAAAGGGGGCTAGCTTCAACCCGCTCACTCCTCTTTATAATTGACTAACTTCCTTTTCTATGCGGATCAAAGCTATGGCTCAAGTATCAGAACATCAAAAATATGCCAATGCAGAACATCTCTACTCTCCGTTCACTGAAATGTCTTCGTCTCATTTCGCGGGCCACTTACATGAGTGGGTTCAACACGCCGTGTGGTCTCTAATCCATCCTTGTCAAGTAAAGTAAACATCTCTATGTCAACTGATGCATAACCCGTAAGTACAGATGCCTTGCCTCAAACCCGAAAGGGGGCATGCGGGGACAAATGCTGTTGCTAAGCAGAAATGTTCCTATTACGTGACAAAAAGGCATTGCGGCCCGCAAACATTGCCGCCCCACGGAACTCGCCGCCCCTTCTCCGCACGCGATTTCTCCTCACGAACTTTTCTCCTCATCTGAAATAGCGCTAGCGCAGGGCCTTTTTCTTCATGTCTTTTCATGCTTCTTCTTTTCCACATGGTGGACTGAAAACTATATTCTGACACCTGGAATCACACCGCCTGTCTGGCCATTTTTTGGATGCCGCCTTCGCGTCTTTCTCGCCTCCCGCGGTGGATCAGCCACTGGCTAGGCTATCGTGGCGAGGCTCCAAAGCCACTCCCAACGTGGCAGGTAGCCGCATGGTCCTTCATTACAGCGTTTTGTGGCCTCTCAGTGGTCCAGGCAATCTTTAACTATTCATCTTACTTTACTACACGCCATGTGCCGGGCATCATCGCTTCATACGTAAGTCTCTGCATAGACACTACCTGCATGTCTCTTATGGCGAAATGTTGGAATATCTTGAATATCTTGATGGCTGATTTGAATGACTTGAGCTCAATAGGGAGCGTCTGCAGTTCTATGTTTCGGAGCAATTGAAAGCCCGCTCGCCCAACCTCGCGCTTTGATATTCGGGCATTTCTTCAGCGCGTTGGTTGGTATATGTGTGACGAAGCTATTCAGTCTGATGCCTGATCAGGCTCGATTTGAATCGCTACGCTGGCTGGCAGCCTCACTATCGACTGCTATCGCCATCGTGGTCATGCAACTTACCGGGACTACGCACCCCCCAGCTGGAGCGACCGCTTTGCTACCAGCTACAAATGATGAAGTCTGGGAGCTTTCGTGGTACTACCTCCCCGTAGTTCTGCTTTCATCCACGATGCTTGTGTGCTGTGCTCTGCTTCTGAATAATGTCAGTCGACGATACCCAGTTTTTTGGATTGCGCCTCCTGTGCCACCCAAGCTAGCACCTGAACCCGCCCCCACCGCGCCTCTCACGGCGGAGACGTCGTCAGAGAAGCTACCGAAAGATTCGGTATAAAAAAGTATATTTATAATATTGAATGTGAGATTTAATATATTTTGGAGTTAATCAAATATCGTGTGCATGATCCCAATTTACCTCTGGGTGCGGAAGGTACGACGCTCTTTGAGCCGGGTTTAAAGATTTCAGGCTCTTCACTCGTTGAGAGATTGCATAGATTCATCTCTGTCGAAGGGTCTAGATAAATTGCTCATGCCAAGGAAATATAATCCATAAGTTGTTGGTAGTGTATATAACCTTTTGATGAATTCACACATCTCCATTCATCGTTTTCGCCTAGAATATCTATAGATCTATTATTATTCTGTTGTGATCTTGGTAACCAAAGGAAGTTGAATTGTGGTAAAGATGAAATTCCATTTTGGTGAGAGGTACGAGATAAGCTAAGCTATGGAGGTGGCGTAATCAAATGATAACCGATCTGCAAGGATGCTTCGTTTTTAATCCTGCACTCTGATTGGCACAATAGGCAACTATGCTTATTTTACCGCCATCAGGCTTCCCTCTAACTGATATTGCTGATCGTAAACCAAGAGGAAACTAGCAGAGCATCTGCGAAGATGCTATCCAAATCGTCAAAATAGTCGATGAGCAGGGAATAATCAATTCAGATACAATGACAAAGAAATTTATTGCGCATGAAAACAGGGATACAAAGAACGAATACAAATTGACCATGACATAGATTGGATTACAAAAGAGTACAGTGAGGGACGACAATGACTGGGATGGATGGAGGTCGATCGAGGAGGAAGGGGTAGGAATTGATCATATCATGCAGAAGCATTCGAAAACTTTGATCGCCAATCTGATTTGTACAAAGAGCTAGATAATCGGTGCAGAATAAACGCATAAGTTGAGCACATATCTAGAATGAGGTCAAGCACAGCCGCTTACTAGAAGGGAGGCTGTTTTCGAAACTTTGATAGAGGCACAAAATTGTAGTATCACACAGCTAGGTTGGACGCTATGTATTGAGAAACAAGAAATAGGCATATCATTTGACTTCAGGTATGTTTTGTGTGATTTATCTTGGAGCAACAAGATAGATCGATTGCTTTCCCCGCACATGCTCTGAGGCTATTTATATGTCCCGTGCCTGAGCTCTTGTAGCGACTGAGCACTTGCAACCAGAAAGGTCAGTAAATGCCCCGAATAAACACGCACTAATATCTTGTCACTGCAATTCACTCAGCTCAGCAAAGTTCTCCGCGCTTATCCTCTCCACATTTCGATTCGAGAAACACGCCCCCTCAACTCCCAACACGCATCTCTTCAATATCAACAACACCAACCTCACTGATAAAATTGTGATGCCTAAACGAGTGTTCTTCAAGAATGAACCCAATAACTCTGGAGACCAGATTAACTATGAGGATTTGGTAGGAGTCGAGAATCCTGCAAGATACCGGAAGGGTGGATACCATCCAGTGAACATCGGAGATCTCATCCAAGATCGCTATCGCGTCGTTCATAAGCTCGGATTCGGGACTTACTCTACGGTATGGCTGGCATTTGACAAAGATACAAGCCACTATGTGGCCATCAAAGTTGCCGCCGGCTATTCCAACCCTGTGGAAATGAACATTATTGTTTGTGTTCAGACTTCTCGGGACACAATACCTTACCTCGGAACCAACATGATTCCACCAATACTGGACGCGTTTGACCTGACCGGACCGAATGGTGAGCATTCATGCTATGTAATGGAGCCAGCAGGAGCAAGCTTGGAGCTCGCAAAATCTCGAAGTCACAAAGGTCTTTTCCCGCTTGGTGTTGCCCGTGCCATGGCTGCTCAACTGGTTATTGCGGTGGCACATGTTCACGAAAAAGGTTACGTTCATGGCGATCTTGGCTTGAGAAATATTCTACTTCAGCTACCTTTCAACATCCATAAATATCCAGTCGCGGAACTTTACACAAAATTTGGAGAACCCCAAAGCAAAGAGGTTATCCGTGAGGATAAACAGGCGCTCTCCCACGGGGTCCCGGCAATCTGCGTTCAGCCAATCGATTTCAAAGAAACAAGCGATTTAATCACCCTCCCACAGGCCAGAATCATCCTTACAGATTTTGGAGAGGCGTATATGCCTTGTGTTCAGAATCGGTTCGGCTCCAACGCCCCATCACATTGTGAGCCCCCTGAAGCGAGATGGGAGACAGACAAACCACTTAACTTCTCCGCTGACATCTGGGGGTTGGCCTGCTGTATCTGGGAGATTGTTGGCTGGAGGCCTTTGTTTAAAAGCTACTATTCCGCCCATTATGACGTGACTTGTGAGCAAGTCTCGGTATTAGGAAGACTGCCAACTGGGTGGTGGTCGAGATGGGCTCGGGGTAACAATAACCGGCGTTACAAATTTGACCTTGCCGGAAAGCCACTGGACCGTGTCTGTTTCCCATCCTTGGAACAGAGATTTGACCTAGGTATACAGCAACCAAGAAGAGAACGAGACATGACTCCACTTGAGCCGATGGAGCGCAATGCGTTTCTCACATTGATGCGCTCGATGCTTGCATACCAACCTGCTGAGCGCATTACCGCGAAAGAAGTTTTAAGGTATGAGTGGATGGTTAAGTGGGCGCTTCCTGACTTTGAAAAGATGCGTTCAAGCTAGGAGAAAATGGGCGAGGAAGGAATTAGAGGGAGAATTGCCAAGATGAGAATTCGACTTCAAGGACGAGGGAGGGTGCTTTGCTTCGAATTTCTTCATGAGAATTCAGATATTCTTGGGACGCGCTTTGCGTGTCTGGCAAAAACAAAGAAAATATTTCCTTTTGAGTTCAAAGTTACTAGATATAGTATATTGCCCTTCTGTATTGGAGCTTGGTTGTTAGACATGATCCCATCCCCAAGGATGGAGGACTTGCATCTCATTGATGATGCAGAATTGCCCTGGTTCTTCATTTTCGGGAGATAACTTGACCCAGCGTGCAACACGACTTCGCACTATCATCTCCTTTATCCACGGGGAGGTAGTCCATCGTCTTATCCGGTTCACCCAGAGGCCCTGTAAGATTGACCTCGCAGATAGCCAATTCAAATTAGGATTGACAGCAACATACGCAGGACCACTGTATCCAACTCGTACCAGCGGGTTGAGATACACGCCATGCTGTTCCGTCAATGGGTTATCTGCGTGAATCAAGCAGCATTCAGAACCCTCTACATGGGACGTGGCGAGTGAATCCGGGATTCCGCGAAACCGGAGTGGTGGGCTCGCAATAAAAGGAGCAGCTGGCATGGCAACTAAATAGCTGTTAGTCAGGAGCCTTGGTAGCAGACTCAAAATCTTGCTCTTACCAATGCCATTCCAGCAGCTTGCCACTGGGACGGGTAATAGGTTCTTCATGGCATATCGTGATGCAGAGTTCCGAAAGAAGGGCCAGGTCGACATAATGGCTTCATGGCCATCCGCATCTCGAAGAGCAAATGTATCATAATAGTTGGGAGGCTTTGCAAAATCCAATGAGCAGGCAGCTGCATAATCTCCGTCATTGGTATCTAGAAGTTCAAAAATATCGTTGGACTGGATACACCATGCGTCATTGGTCAGTACTGGCTCTTCATCATCGGCAACAGGAGACTGACCGTAAACACAACATCATTTAGAAATAGGATTTTATCGAATGTGATTCCTTGTTTTGCTAACTCTTTCAACGGCTCCAGACTGAGGTTTCGGATTCGCGATAGGTACGGGATTCGTCGTAGCTCCGTGGTTCCACGTGGAGTGACAATCCACCCGTCGTCTCCTGGGGGTCTGGCTATCTCGTCTTCATGTGTGATGGGGGACAAGGTGATATTATGCGGCACTCGAAGTCGATCCAATTCCAAATCTAATTCCATCAAGGCGCCCTTGGTATTGTCATAGCTGCCGCTCTCATAGATGCTGATAAAGATGTTCTCCGGGCCGAGTTTCGAGGAAAGTTCCACAAGAGCTCTACTCCAGTGACTCCGTAAAATGATCTCATTGTTCCAATTCACACTCGCGATATAGATTCGTTCCCGCCGACGCGGCTTTTCGCGGTAGATGATGTCTGTTTCGGATATACGGCGGAGGATCAGGTGAAGTTCGAGGAGATTCCAAACGATGAAAAATATAAGTAAAGATCGAACAAGGCGATTTCGAGCTATCACTCGACGAAGAGTGCGTTGGTAATAGGGGAGTTTCATAAGGAGCGGACGCCGCAAAAGGCGGCAGGTTAGTGGAGAGATTGATTCACAAGAATTCAAGGAGTGGAGCGAGGATGCATGATGGGTGCGGATACTGCCGGGTAGAAGAGAGCAAAGATCTCAAATTTGCCCAGAATTGCCCAGACATCCAAGAGGGCTCGAGTGCCTTGGGAGGGAGTGATCGAATCAAGGGGTGACTCCAGTGTCGAAGCCCTTCATACTTCCGGCCACCGAAACAGGATCGGCGATCAACCGTCGGCCGCAGCTCGATCTATAGTTACGAAGGAACGACCCAGGCTCCGGCCATTATGTATATTTTGTATTGAACCTCACGGGGAGACGAGGCGTCAAGCATAAAAAGAAATCACTAGGCAGATATTATTAAATTCTTCTCCAGGATGGTATTAGGAAAACAAAGGGGTAGCGCTGGCAGCCACAAAGCCGCGTCATCCCAACTGCAAAATCATTGTTAAGGCGGTCCCGACGGCCGCGAGAGCCATCGCCCTTTTGACCCCCGCGCCGGTGTTCGTCTGGGTCGCCGACGCGCTTGACCCAGTGCTAGTGCCGGTGCTCACTCCACTCTGGAGCCAAGGCTGCCCAGGAAGCGAGTCGGAACTCTCCTGAACCTCCGCCACGCTCAGTAGTTTGTTTTCGAGCGAGTCGCAATCCACCCGGTCAGAACTTTTCGGGATACTGTTGGTGACGGAGATGGGTAGGTCGAACACTGTATAGTAGTCGGTTCCATTCCAGCGGAATGACTGATGCATGGAGATGTTATAAGCGCCTCGGTCCGACCCCTTGCTGTCGCCGTCACCAACCAGGCACTCCGGCCAGATCCAGTTGACGTGTTTGACGGTTGAGGAGGGCTCGAGATCGAGCACAGGCCCGACATAGCCAGTGCTGTTATTTGTTGGCTCAGTGCCATTGGAAATGGTGAAGTTGTGCGATAGCGACTCGGAGGTTAAAAATAGCGTGATGCCAAACAAACGAGTTGGCGCATCGGCAGACTGCGTGGAAGGGGGCCATGACAATTGGCCATTGCCGGAGACGTCGATGGCGACCTGAAGGTTGTCTGGACCAGTCAGCTCGGTTGTCCTTGCGTAACCCTTTCTCCATAGTGGCCAACTCACCTCCTCCGAGAGGGGTGTTGGGTTGTGGGGCGTCGACGATGGCCAGCCCGGGCGTATAGACTTGGCCGTTCACGATGGTAAAGTTTCCCATGATTCCCTCTGTCGTAATGAAGTCCCAGATGTTGGTTCAAAGATTCTCGAGGAATCAAGTTCATAAAAAGGTGAGATTCAAGCTCCAAATACCCTTCATGGGGCTCATCAAAGATTTTCGTAGCGGCGCGCCAAGGGTCTCATTTCCGACGCCTCCGCGTTATCCTTAGCGTTCTTGGATTAATTAATCTCGCTCATTTCGCCTATGATTAGCGCAGGGTCCGTCGGACCCTTGAGAATGTATAGCTAGGCAAGACAAAATAGCGAAATTTGATGCCTACTTGCAATTTACTATCCAGCATTGATTGGCCTCGTTCGCTACACTGATGGGTCCAAAGAATTAGATTGCGGTCACAGCCTGAGCCTGAGCAATCATTTTGAGATATGCCTAGAATCATCATTCCAATTCTTCAAGAGCATTGTATGGTATTCTTTTGCTCTAATTCGTCAGCACTTACAATAGCCAACCGAAGCACCACAAAAGCCAGAATCCTGACGATAGCAAACGCGTTTTGCAGCCCGCTGTAGCCGATCCAGGTTGTTATGATGAATGTCATAGCCCGCCTGATAATATTTCAAATACCCCCTGGTTAGTTCATCCGCAATACCGAAATACCTTTCACTAGCATAGCTGAGTGCGACTTAGTCAATGCGAAGCGCGCTGCCTGTCGTAGCCATCCCGAAAATCAACCCGATCAAATAAGTGCGATCACGCCCTATAGGATTGTGCCTTCGGCCACAAACATGGCCCACGAAAAAGACATAATTATTCGGGGATCGGGCCGCAAGATCCTACGGTTCTTCCGCGCCCATCACACCATAAAACAACCAGTGCCTGCACCACCCAGCCAGACCTCGAAACAGCCTCCGATAAGTGGAGTCTAAATACAGTGGTCGATTCATAGGCCATGATGGTCAAGTCAAACTTCTCCAAAGCCATACAAGATACCACCTCACCAGATGATCGGGCATGACAGGAGACGAAAGGGCCGAAAACCATCCGACGCAGTTGCATTGAAGTAGAAATATTGATGACAAAGTTCATTTTGCCAGACAGGACTTGGATTCTTGCACACAAGATGGGTTTTAGGAAGCCTTTCGGTCAACACAGAAAAGCAAATTACCACATTGACGAATAGGACGATCGCGGAAAACTTATATACCTCTAAACATTCTAAAATCTGCTCAGTCCTCGAAGCCTTCGAAAAATAGGTCCACTTACATCGCCACCCTATGAAATCTATCACGAAAACCACTGCGACTGGACGGATAAAGGAACCCATGGTGATAGCCATAACTCATCATGCGCTATAGAGCGAATGAGAACCTAAGTTCTTGGATTACCGCCTCAAGTAATTGTTTCTTCTCGATTTTGATGAATTAACCCTTCGGTGAAATTTGTACACTATTTTCAGCATCTACAAGTTGAAGTCAATCTATCCTCTGGGAGATTGCAAAATCACGAAGGAACCTGATTCCGGGATTGATTCATTCATCATGGAGATTCTGACCTGACAGAGTCATAAAATAATCGAATTAACTTGCTTACAAATTTTAATTTTAAGGGATTTGTATGGATGTTGGAGTTTGGTCGATGCGGGGTGCTAGAAACTATCGACGAATCTTAGGCCAAAGCCTCTCAACCCCGCTAATTCTCGCCCTCAATAATGAACAGCTGTCAGTAATGAAAATCACTATTTAATAAGAACCTTCTATTCAAGTTGTTTACCCAATGAATGGAGGTATCAAATATCATAATTACACATGTTTGAGATGGCAAAAGGGAGGTCTTTCATATCCTCCAGAAACGCATCGAATTCGGTTCTGATTTTTGACATGTCCTCATCAATGTCATCCGTCCATCGATGAATATAAATAGTCTTCATCCCGACGCCTTGAGCTCCCCGGAGATCATATGCATGCGCTGCAACAAGAATCACTTCTTCAGGTTCTAGTTTGACAAGTTGTAATGCTTTCCGGTATGCGTCTGGACTAGGTTTGTAGACTCCAAGTAGTTGACTCGAGAAAAGCATGTTGAATCTCAACCCCGAAGAACGAGTAAGATCAAGCTGGAGACGGGTCGTACCATTGGCGTGAACAAATGTTTCCAAACCTAGATCCTCCTGAATGTCTCGTATAGCATTCTGCACCTCTGGCCAAGCGCGTTGATGATGCCATGCTTGGATCATTTGTGATTTCGTATTCGAGTCAATGTATGATTTGTATTGTGGAAACTTGGCAATTGTGACATCCAAAACACGAGCCAGGGTTATATCTATGTCTTCCGGCTCAAGGCCCTGAAGAAATCGCTGATTGTTTTCGATAAAATACCCTTTGCGCCATTCAAGAGCAAAGGTCGAAGATACATCGCGAGGTATAGAGACAGGTAGAGCCTGAACTACACTGCTATGCCAATCGAGGCAGGTGCCCATGAAGTCAAAAAACACAGCCTTTATTGTTTTATTTGTGATAGACATGGTGGATATTCGATATAGAGCGGCGGATATTTAGGAGAGAGTGAGATGAAAAGTGTTGAGGATTTGTAGTTGTTCATGCAGTTCAACTTGTCTTGCTCGTGGCACAGTAAGCACCCTGAAGGAAAGAGGCGGGGTTGGGGGATGATAAGCAAGTTTTTACCAATGCAGCTGATTAGAAATACAAACCAAAATGAGGGAGGCCAGCCATATTTGGGCACCACGAATAAATATTGTTCTATTTATCAGCATTCTTGAAAATCCTTTAGAGCCAATATAGGTGGGCCTCAAGAAATCTATAGACAGACACCTATATGCATTGGTAACACCTTTATCTCCTGACTGTACGCACAGAAAAAACAACAATTTTTTGGAGATGATTCTCCACTTCCCCGCACCTTGGCATTTCCGATCAGAGTTAACCGAAATCCCCGGCTATTAACACCATATGGCTTTCGATTATCTTGGATCAAATCTTTTGCTTGTACCTCTGAGTTTCCAATAAGAAATGGTCACTGAACAGACCTGTCCGGAATGTCTTTTAACATTTAGCCGCCTAGAACATCTTAGACGGCATTCTGCCTCACGTAAGCTAGGCGTTTCTACTCTTTATCGATCGCTGATCCCTGACACCTTGCCAGACGGTAATGCGCGGCAGCATAGCTGTGAATTTTGTGGGTCCACCTTCAATAGGAAGTGAGATATTCTTTCGCATCGATGATGTCTTGATTCTGAACCTTACAACAGGGATGTCCTCCGTCGTCACGAGAGAACATGTAAAGCTCGCACTGCAACGGCGCCAGATCAGAACACCGATGAGAAGCTGGACAGAAAATCTAAAAGACAATGCTATTATGGCCCGGTTGATACACTTCAAAGCAGTTCCGAACGATTCTCTTTCGATCCTATGGACCCTACCGCATTCAGTTTTGATTCCACCAGCAACGATTCCACGATATTTGACCAAGTTTTAAATCAGGCGGAGAAGGAACTACTCCACATGTCTCCTTCGCTGGACATTTCTACATTGGATTTTCTCATACTGCCAGGGGGTATCTCAGATATGTTCCGCGCAGAGAACCTAGAATATCTCGCTTATTTCACGAGCACAAAAGGGATGTCAAGCTTCACCGACCAGGCATCATTTTCAAGACGACAGAAAATTATATCTGAGGCCTATGAAAGGAAGCTTCGAAACGAAACATTAAATACGAAACTTTCTAAAACGGGGAACAAGAAAATCCAAAAAAGCCCAATAAAATGGACACCAGACCCACTCAGCTTGAGATCAAATGAGATTGTTGGGCTGATGAGATCTGTGATATCAAACAAGAAGAATGATGAGATTATCAAGCTTGAATGGTCACCCCAGGTTCAGCATCTGTGTTCGTACTTCTTCTCGCCTCGGAACATTCGACGTTTTCTAGAGTACTTCTGGTCTCTCTGGTATCCGCATTGTCCAATAGTTCACAAGCCATTGTTTGATACATCCTCGGTGCTTACGCCATTATTATGCGTTATGGTTGTGATAGGGGCATGTTTGTCTCCATACAAAGAGGAACCGGAGATCTCCAGAACCTGGATCGACAGCATAGAAGAGCTGGTTTTCTCGAATGAATGCTTTGGTAGTGATGCGAAACCGTTCCAAGATGATGAAAATTCCAAGAAGGAAAGAGTTCAATATATTCAAGCATCTTATTTGGTTTGCTCACTTCAGAAGCGTGAGGGGACCGAGGAGGCACAAGCAAGAATGCGACGATTTCGGCATGTATCAATGGTTGCTGTGAGTTTTCAAGGCTGCAAACACCGCCTTAAGCTCTATAGAACTGATTTAATATAGCTTGCGAGACGGATTGGACCCAAAGCAGCATCTCACCGCCACCTAGGCCTACAAAAGCCATCGGAGTCATGGTGGAGACAATTTGCACAGGAAGAGGAGTTGATTCGGTATCATCAATGCATTAAGATCCCATTGAATACCTGTTGAAACTGTGGGCTGACAAACGTAGGACTATTATTTTTATTTTCCTGATTGACGCCGCTCTCACGATACTTCATAATTCTCCGCCTCGGATGGTCGTTCTAGAACTGAAAATGGACGTTGCTTGCCCCGAGGCTTGTTTTCAGGCCGAATCCGCAAATGACTGTTTCGAAGCTCTACAGCCGTGGGCGTCGAGTCGGTTTGGGGCCAAGCGCTTGTCCATAGTTTCTGCTGTGCGAAAAATATGCCAGAGCTCAGTTGAAAATGACCTAGTTTCAGACTACTCGAGATTGGGCACGCTCAACCTATTTACTATTATACAAGGTTAGAGCAGCACGGCTACCGATACAAAGTCCCCTATCCTTTCACTGATTCTTTACAGCAATACATTCATTAATGTTTCAGCTCCACAATTCGCTTGTCTTCGAGTCAACATTAGCTCCGATTCAGACGGGATTGAAAAATTGGCGACGTATCTGGGACGAAAGGGTCGCAGAGGATGCTGAGTTATCCGACACACCCGAAAATATGTGGAAGCAAGTTGGGTTTCTGCAACAGGCCTCTGAATTCTGGCAGCTGGCTCGAATCATGGCAGACAAGATTATGTCAACAAGTCATGATGAGGATGATAATGCTGCGGAAGTTTCTGAACCTAGATATGATCACACGGACATGGGGTATGTGAACGAGTTGATTATGGAGTACCGAAAATTAAATCTCGGTGTGAACTAGGCCAATTTTGATCAAAACATAATAGGCAGTGTAGAATTTTAGCACTATCTCGAATTTTTTCATCCTCAAGCTTTGTTCTGGCGCTCTTTAACCTGGACTTCAAAGTCGGTTGGCTTGACAAACCAATAGTTTGCCGTCTGCCATGTTTTTCTCAGCGGTGTGAAGTTGAAGTCACGCACTAACCGCGGAATCAACTTGGACATCTCAAGAATTGAAATGTGTTTCCCCAAACATGTTCTGGAACCAAGACCGAACTACAAGGACGCGGGCAGTTAGCATCTTGACCGGTTCGAAAGGGACACCAAGTAACTCACCGGCATATACATCTGATTCATTTCTTTGAGCTGCTCTGGATGGTTTTCAGCCTCGATCCATCTCTCGGGCTTAAAGACATTTGCATTGGGAAAGATGCGTTCGTCATAGTGCGCAACCCAAGTGTTGGCGCCGACTATTGTTCCTGCGGGGAAGAACTCTCCACTGATTTGTGCTCCTCCCGCGGGAACGACTCTCCACATAGGCAGACCAGTGGCACTGTGCATCCGTAGAGCCTCTTTCATCACGGCCTGGAAGTAGGGCATATCCTGGCTCTCTTTGAAAGTCACATTGGCACTGCAGCGGCCTTGAGCGGTAAACTCATCGATCTCTGCCCGTAGCTTGCACAGGGTCTCGGGATTCTGGAGTAAATACCACATGATACTCGATAGGCTGATTGCAGTTGTATCAGATCCTGCTGTCACATTCGACTGGCCCATGATTAAGAGATGGTAGTCGGTCACCTTCTCGGGATCCTTGTCGCGGGCTAACATCATCTTTTCCAAAAAGTTCTGCATTTGACCTTTCTCTGCAACGACAACCTTCGCATCTGATCTTTTCTTTTCCTCGAGACGAATCTTCTCTTGCACAAATTTCGTGATGTACGCTCTGCCAGCTGCACCCGACGACTTCAATTTGCCGAGCAGGCCGAAAAGACGTGGGTGCCATTCTGGATAGATACCGACTAGCGTGCTGTACATCATTACTTTATGCACAGCCGCGATAGCTCCATCAATGTCATCACCTCGATCCAGGAATCCTAAAGAATATGAGTACTTGATCGGCAAGGTCACGGTCTCTTCGATATATGACTAACCAAAGCGGTCGCCAAAGGTGATATTCCCTATAACATCGAAAGCATAGCACTGGAACCAGTGCCCGAGATTAAAGGTCTGATTTTGATCCGCAAACTCGGTCAAACGCTGAATGAAAAGATCGGCACAGTGGTCGACAAACGGTTCGTAGTGCACTAGCGAGCTCATCGAGTACAGGCTCGTGAATCGTTTTCGAGTATCGGCTTAATATGTATAAGAATCCCGATTAGGAAAGTAAGAGAGGAGGAGAGATTCATAGATAGTTTACCGTGTCTCTTGATGTCGCGGTCCGAAAACACGGTCCACTGGGCAGGATTCTTCCAACCGTCGTACCAAGCCGACTTTGCGAACTGAGTGCCAGCTCCATAGACAATCTTTATGGCAGATACGTCGTTGATACTGTATTGGTTCGGAGCGACGCGAACAATCGGGCCATATTGACGATGGAGATCAATATTTTCATATTCAAAGCGCCCCTTGCGAACCCGGTTGAAATACCATAAGGAGGTAAACCTGGCCCAAAACGGACCGGGGATAGCTTTAAGAGGGGGAGTGGACGGCTCGAGAGAGCCGCAGGAGGAGCTGTAGTCCGAGGAGAAAGAGAGGGAGCAAAATGAAGGCATAAGAATTCATGTTGAAAGATGAAATCGAGAATTCTTGTCCGCCATTCTCTCTTCTCGGCTGTTGGCATGGTGTTTAAATAGCGACCGGGGAACTATCGAAGCGACTGGACTTGGTCTATGTATTCTGGAGCTCCGCCCCCACCCCCACCACCACTTCGTCCCCGGCTTCTTCGTTGTCGCAACTGCCCTCATCGCCGCCCCGAACGTCATTTGCGGCTGCCTGCGTGTTCGGCTCCGAGTGTCACGACAATCCTGAATTCCCTAATCCAGAAGTTTGTGCGCCCATCGTTTTATGTCCGGGCTATACCCACCCCACTCCAGGTGGGAAATGTTACACCCCCGTCTTTTCTATTCCAGGTATGTTATTGGTCCACGCTTTTGGCCTACTCGGAAGACCCGAGTACATTTCAGCCTGGATTGCGAATTGAAGCGTACGGGGTGTTGTCTACAGTCGATTCATCTAGATATACCGGGGCAAGACAGGACAATAAGAAAGAAATACGAATCAGCCATTGACAGGCATAGGATCAAGCAAAAATTATGTCTTTGAAAAATAAACATGGCCAAAAATTAAGAATAAATCATCACAGACAGAGAAAACCGGGAATTCATCAGAGCGCCAGGAAACAAAGCATGGGATCAGTTGATGTCAGTAAATTACACATAGTTGCCCCGTTGGCAACTCGATCCACATAGATCACGAACAATAAAAAAGATGCTCAATTCTCACTTCTTGTCACCCCATAGGCCCACAATTCCCATGGACAGAGCCATGCCGGCGAGCCAGGCGCGGGCGCGCTGTAGGCGGCGTTCCTTGGCCATCTCACGCTGGACACTCTCTCCATTCACTCCCTCCTCGGATCCGACGACAACCAGATCATCATCTTTCTGTGCAGAAGACTCACAACCAAGGGAAATGCAAGTGGTGTCCTTGAAGCAGCTGATGACCCAGTTCTTGAACCCCAGGTGGCGGTTGGCCCAGAGGTCCAGGCCATAGGAGCTTACTGTGGACAGAACGCACAGCCAAACGAGATATGGGTGCTTGCGACGTGGTGGGGAGACAGAGTACGCAAAGAGGAAGCAGATATTGGCAAGGCTGGAAAGTCGCAGGGCATGTTTGCGGTTCAGGCGCTTCACTTCATTGAAGCAACGAGCAGCCGTGGTGGAGGTCGGGAGGAGCGCGAGTGAGGGAATGGTGATGGCAGTAGTCGAGTAGGAAACGCCCTATGTGTTTCACAAGAGAACTTTATTTAGCTTGTTGCTATAATTGAGTGCAAATCGCCTAATTCAACCTCTGCGACAAACTGATATCGGGAGAGTAGAGCGACTTGGAGAGCGATGTGCTTACCGTCAGCAGGCCGAGAGAGACGGTGCCGACAAACTTCGTGACAGTGATTGGGCACGCCATGGCGCAAGTCCAGCAAGTCAATGATGTGCAGGGGCTGTGAATGAGGTCCCAGGATGTGTCAAATGGCCTCTCGAATGGAGTCGACGAGGGTCCAAGAATCGAGCAAGCCTTTGCAAATCTTTGAGTCCGTTGGATCCGTTGCGACCGGTTAAGTGACGTGTGCCCGACGCGCCCTCCAATCAGCGTCCGGGGGTTAGCGTCCACGTTGTCCACGCCGTACAGCCATTTTCTGTGTACATCTCAAGAAATATGCAGAAGTGAGATCCCCTTAGAACTCTTTCTGGCTGGATCTGACTATGCGACCAAATCGAATATCATGAGATACTCTTATAGTCCTATTCAATACTCTCTACTTGAAAGGGTGCTTTAGAATTGTCAGAATCGGGTAGTTTGTACCTTCCTGGAAATGGAGGGAACCCGCAGAAGATATAGTATGGTAGACAGAGTATGGCAGAAGAGTGCGATCGACAGGGCCGGACTGTTGTGTACATTCTTCGTGGCTCAGCGCTGCTGTGTAGCTAGTTAACTATGCTTGGATGTATGGATCACCTAATCCGCGCTGGGCCGCTGAGCCGAGGCTCCGCGGGTGTGGGGAAATGGCGACGGGCCTTTCGAGCCGGCATATATCAAAGCCCCTTTCACCCTGCGAACTCACCCACAAGTACCCTCGCCAACCATGCCGATGCATAAATCTGAGTATATGAGCGATGTCTGGAAGGACGGCATCTTCAGTATGGAGCCTTCCCCTGATCCCGCCGCTCTACGGAGCTGCGGATGAGCCATGCTTCTGATCGCCAACTCACCACTTTCCCCATAGACAACAAGGTGGTCTTCTGTACAGGCGGTGCAGGCACTATCTGTAGTGCCCAGGTCCGTGCTTTAGTGCACCTCGGTGCCAACGCCTGTATCATCGGTCGCAATGTCCAGAAGACTGAGAGTGCAGCGCAAGATATTGCAACAGTCCGCCCAGGTGCCAAAGTCATCGGTATCGGTGCCGTGGATGTGCGGAAATTCGATGACCTGAAGAGCGCCGTCGATCGCTGCGCGAAAGAACTCGGTTCAATCGACTACGTGATGTATGTAATCTTTTGAGATTTCACCTAGCAAGGGCGTCAGCCATCTCGCCCCGAACGAAAGATCATGCCTAGATGCTCACCGCGATTCTGTAGTGCGGGTGCTGCAGGCAACTTCCTGGCCTCTATTGAGCAACTCTCCGTCAACGCCTTTAAATCAGTGATGGATATCGATGTTATGGGATCATACAACACCCTCAAGGCGACCCTCCCTTATCTGATTGAGTCTGGCAAGAAGCACCGCATGGACTCGGAATCTCGTTGGTTTTCCAATTCTACCTGCTGTGGTGCAAGTTCTAATTCAAATAACAGTTGCGCTGTCCCCCTTGGGCACTGGGGGAAGAATCATCTTCGTGAGCGCGACCCTCCACTATCGGGGCATGCCCTTCCAGACCCACGTGTCCGTCGCCAAGGCCGGCATTGACTCGCTCTCCAACTCTGTCGCCATCGAGTATGGTCCGCGTGGGGTGACATCGAACATCATCGCGCCCGGTCCAATAGCACAAACTGAGGTATGTCGAAACGAAGGTTCTAGATTGAAGAACGCGTGACTAACGAAAGCGGCTGGTTCTTCCAGGGATTGGAACGTCTCCTTCCATCCGACGCCAAAGCGGCTTACACCAAAGCGCAACCCCTGGGTCGTGTTGGACACGTTCGAGACATTGCTGATGCTGCCATCTATCTATTCTCCGATGCCGGCAATTATGTCACTGGCCAGACACTTGTTGGTAAGTTTTTTTACGAAAGCCCCGCTCTATGATCCTCGGCATTCTTCTGGGCTATCTCTAACATCTCATCTCAGTGGACGGAGCAAATTGGCGGATGTCTGGGGGTTTCGCAACACAGGGAAACCTGCAGTACCCGGATTTCCTGCTATCAGGCAAGGAGGTGGCCAACGTCACCGGCAAGAAAAAGTCCAAGCTTTGAACTCGTGGAGAACATGGGCCATGGTTTTACAGAATAGACTCAGAGAGTTAATCCCTCATCATACTCAAGATGCGAATTTGATTTTCTTTTGGAAGAAACCCTGTACATATTTCCAATCTGGGGACTAGATTTTCTTCCTGCACTACCTGTCAAGTATCAAACTACCGGCACTTCCTGGAATCGTATGCAGTGACAAATTATGAGATCATGGATTGAATCAGTAGCTTACAGTTCTCTTTAAGATCAATCGCCTAATAATGAAGGGTATATCATCCGATTTATCTAAATGCCAATGATCGAGTGGGTGAAAAGAATATGTAGCACATGATAGCATCCAAGCCTTCATGCTACCAGATTCACTTCCCACACTCGCTTGTTCAAAAACCATTTGCGTCTTCCGCAGACAACTTCGAATCCAATTTTCCCTTCCTCGGTAATTTTTCACAAAGGCTCTGTCACGAAAGGCTCAAATGCACTCTTCAAGGGTTTCTCGGGGATCTCTCAATGCAAAACATGGGCCAGCTCGGGAGAAGTGAGACTCCCCTTGGCATTCGGGCTCGTACAAGCAACATTAGCCAGTGCGTGGTAGATTTGTCGCCCTCTGAATTCCCTCTGCCGCATATACAAATAGGTCGTATGTGGCAAGTCCATGATCTTGATCCCGTGGGCAGGATACCTGACCTCGCACAGATGGTTGCGCATGACGTTGAGGCTTCTCATATATTCGCCGAGGTCTTCGCCACGCTGTTGCCGTGTCACAAAGCATTTTCTCCGGCGCAGAGAGCATTGTCTTCCTCCATAGGGAAACAAATGTGGTCAACTGCATGGTCAAGCGTGAAGAGGGCCCGGATGGGGGCACGTTCAACCTGGAAAACTTGGCCGTCTCCGGTGGGGAGTTGGCCAGGGCTTGGATGATTTTTATAGATTTGAGTCGCAATATCGGGATCGTATTTTATCAAGTCTGGGACGCCCCCTGTATGATCTCCGCGCCAATGAGTCAACACGATGTGTGAAATCAGCGTTTTCTGCCCAGATAAGCATTCCCTAAAAACAGAAGTTCACTTAGTATTTGACTGATGTATAGCGTGAATATGAACTTGGCGAATCAACTCGGTTCATAATCTCCTCTACATCATTGAGATGGATTAAGTTTGCTTCTTGTGCCGATGGATAATCTTTCTAGACAAATTCAACGAGGGGGACAGGATTGAGCGCCATGGTGCCTGAGTTGATGTGATTTTGATGAAGCAACCACTGGCAACCTCGGAAAGCGACCCCCCTCTTTCAGTCATTATAAAACACCCGGTATGATGTTCTCAGAACATTTGATGATTGTATGGACCGATTTTACTCACTATCGGAATCTGGGGTCACTGTCGGGAATGGCTTGGCTCAAGCTTCGGATTCCGGTGTCGTAACATGACTGTAGTCAAGTACCATTCTGATCCCTATTGGCAGGCTTCATACCATCATGTCTGTCCTCTACTAATTGAGCTCGGTCTCCGGGCTTTAAAGGTTGAATGCTGATTTCACGGAAATGCAAAGGCAGAAATATTTAGAGAACCAGTGATATATAAAACACTTGGGCATACCCCGTTTAAGGTCTAGGAAACTCAATCTTCAACTTATATCTCGCTTTTGCCGAACCTATCTAAGTCATCATGTCGAAAATTCCGGCGAAGTGCGAGGTGTTGGTCATCGGCGGCGGTCCGGGTGGAGCATACACTGCAACCTGTCTAGCTCGAGAGGGAATCGACACTGTTTTACTTGAGGCAGACATTTTCCCCAGGTAAGTGAATCGATTCAAAATGGAATATGGAAGCAACGCTTCCGAATAGATAAACTGGAAAATTGTTTGACATATGGGATCGACCGTCAGATACCATATCGGCGAAAGTATGCTTCCCTCGATGCGCCATTTCTTGCGATTCATCGACCTAGATTCCACTTTTGACAAGTATGGTTTTAAACGCAAGGTACAGGATAGATCCGATAATTTAGATTTTACTTACTGAGACTCTTTATGAAGAATGGTGGAATGTTTAAGTTGAACTCAAAGCCACGAGTTTGTAAGTACATGGCCATCGCTGGATTCAGCTGTCGACTTTATCTAATAGCATTCAAGTCACGGATTTTTTGGCTGCGGGGGGCCCGAAGGCTATACATGGAATATTGTGCGGTCAGAGGCTGACCACATGATCTTCAAGCATGCCGAACAGCATGGCGTGAAGACATTTGACGGTGTTCGAGTTGGTGATCTCGAGTTTCAGCCATGGGACAAGAGCGACCCGGCGGAAATCAAACTGGCAGAGTTCTCCCATCCAAATCCAGGTCGACCAGTTTCTGCCTATTGGTCACGTAAAGATGGAACGAGCGGCATGATATCTTTCGAATACCTAGTTGATGCCAGTGGTCGTGTTGGGCTAGTGAGTACCAAGTACTACAAGAATCGTCGGTACAATCAAGGTCTTAAAAACATTGCTAGCTGGGGCTACTGGAAAAATATGGAACTCTATGACCAGGGTGGACCTCACGAGGACCAGCCATTCTTCGAAGCTTTATCTGATGCTAGTGGCTGGGTGTGGACTATTCCTTTACATGGAGATATTGTTTCAGTTGGCGTTGTACGCAACCAGGCAATTTCCATGGAAGAGAAGAAGAAAATGGGCTCGCCATCTACTCATGATTTTTATCTAGAGAACTTGAAGCTTGTTCCAGGAATCTTAAGTCTTATGAAAAGTGCTGAACTCGTTTCAGAGATCAAGTCTGCCTCCGATTGGTCCTACAGTGCCTCAAGCTATGCCAGCCCACATATTCGCGTGGTCGGTGATGCAGGTTGCTTTATTGACCCATTTTTTTCCTCTGGTGTCCACCTAGCATTTGCTAGCGGTTTATCAGCTGCTGCGACAATATGTGCTTCTAGGCGCGGTGATTGCGATGAAAAAAGTGCTGCTGACTGGCACACAAAGAAAGTCGCAGAAGGGTACACTCGCTTCCTTCTTGTTGTTCTTACTGCTCTCAAACAGATTAAAGACCAGGATGAGTCGGTCTTAACCGACTGGGACGAAGAAACCTTTGATCGTGCTTTCTCCTTCTTCCGACCAAGTATTTATGACACCTTTGCCTTGGGCTTATATTCATAGATGACAGGCTAATATCAATGTCTCATACAAACAGTCATCCAAGGGACGAGTGATGTCCAGGCCCAACTCACAGAATCGGAAATATCTGAAACAATCAACTTCTGCTTCAAAGCCTTCATTCCTGTGTCAAAAGAGCAAAAGGAGGAAGTACTCCGTAAAATGGAGAACTTTGAGAACATCAACCGGAATGATGAAAGCTTTCATCCAAGAACAAGAGCCGATTTTGAGGCATCAATGTCTCCCGACGAGGCTCGAATCATGAACACCATCCGTGCGCGCGAGATGTTGCGATCTGAGGATACTATCAATATTGATACATTCAGTGTCGAAACCATTAATGGATTAACCGTTTATCTTCAGCGGGGCCAGCTAAGTCTTGTAAAGCCCTCTGGTCGAAAAGTCAAAAAAATTGATGCCCTGGGTCTGTTTCATGGTGAGCAACCAATGGGCAGCACCACGAGCTAGTCGACACTACCTTGAGAGAGCGATGAGGCCACACTTATGTAGATGAAAGTGATAGTTTGCTTTACCAATGAACTTATGATCTCGGGTTTTGCTTTGATTTCGCTCTAGAACGGAGCTTAAGATAGGCCCTCTCTCGCCTTTGTCTGAGAATTCTGTCCGTTTCGCAATTTCCCATATGATCTACAGCAACCCGAATTAACTCTTGTCCGAATTGCCTACGACATTAGTTCTGTTTGTATATTTTTCAAAGTAACTGGTCTCTGTCTGGCGATCAAAAAGGCTAATCACGCTAGGGTCTGGTAAAACCCGCAGAGCCCGGTGGCCTGAGCAATCATCGGTTTACTCCAATCATGGGAATGTCTCCACTTATGTCGGCGCGGGCATTCGCTGAACCACCGAGATCCTTGGGGCCATTTTGATATTATTAGCCCTTCTATGTTCCATCGAGTTTCCATAACAGTCAAAATCCATCCAATCAAAGTCGGTTGGGTCGTAGACTGAGAAACTGATCGCGATGGCTGATCGCGCTTTGCGCCTCTCTAAATCCAGAACCCGACCCAGAGCCCGTGGGCCGCAAGTACAAAACTGCACAAAGGTGCTTTTTGGATCATTCTGATCACACTTATATGGCTTGTTTCTTTTTTGATATTTTCAAAGACATTTTCTCCTTACATGTGTATATTCTTCATCAGGAGCATTCCAGAATTTTACCCAGCGGCCGATTCTCGCAATAATGACTTCTAAGATCAAATCACCCCCCGCCATCACTGTATTCCGAGGGTTTGACGATAAGGGGCAGCACGTTTGGTCTCCTTTCGTCGTGAAATTGGAGACTCGTCTACGTTTCGGAAATCTCTCCTATCGTGCTGAAGCCGGGTCTCTTTTCAAAGCGCCGCGCGGGAAAATTCCCTACATTTCGATTGAGCACGCAGACGGTCGCGCCGAGACCCTGGGCGACTCCACCCTCATAACCAAGGCCTTCATAGAGTCGGGCTATTTGGAAGATCTCAATACTCACCTTTCAGCAATTGAACAGCTTCAGGATATGGCCATCAGAGCCCTGTTAGAGGAAAAGCTTTACTTTTACCAGGTAATTTAGTTTTTTTTAATCTAAAACTTTTCTCAGTGCGATCCCCATCTACTTGATTTCTAACCTCTCAGAAATCAGGGCCATGAGCGATGGATCTTAAATTATTATGCCATGCAATCCAAGATCTTTGGCAGTCTACCTTGGCCTATCCGAACTATTTTGGGGAACATTGTCTACAACAAGACCACAAAGGCCATGGAAGGACAGGGTACTCTGAAATTCAGCGCTGAGGAGATTTTGGGCTTCCGTCACGATATCTGGCAGGCTATGAACAATTATGTGGTAGCGATCATGGCAAAACAAAACGACCGAGATGGGCCCGTCTGGTTGCTTGGAGGTGATCAGCCCACTGAAGGCGACGCCGTTCTGTTTAGTTTCATTGCATCTAACTTGGTCAGCAAGGCGTAAGTTGTTGCCTATTCCCTTTCTTCTACCCAGTGATTGTGCTCTCTTCCCTTCCATACTAATACACTTTACAGTGCACCGGATTCAAGACAGACTCTCAAATCCCATCCTCCCCTTATGGATTATGCTAGGCGAATCCATGAAAAATACTTTCCTGATTATGAGCTCTGGGAATCGTAAACAGCGCTTCAATTCTTTCTGCGAGCTGTAGGCGCCGTTCAGCTCTTCAGGATTCGAGTTGCAATTAGTACTCCAAGTATATTTGGCTCATAAAATGTCAAAAAGGCAGCGACACAGGTCCATTACCATGAAGGCTTCTCAATTGAATAAAAGTTCTAAGTCACCGTCCAATCTCTTACTCCTCTACCATTTTGAGGGTCCACAAAACTCTATCATACTATAGTCGCATTTTCACCAAGGTTGCTCTTTACCTATACATACTCTCAACTATATTAATCTCTTCAATAAGAAGATAATTTTCAAGATTTAGCTGCATAGCGGGAGCTGATAAAATACTCCAGTATGAATTGGCTGAACCGGAATGCATTCCCTTTCCTCCTCGGTGGTGGGTAAGACTGAGAATGGGGTTTGACAAATCGGAAGATATGTATCCTCCGCATCATGCGCTAGCACCAAGCGACCAGCCGAACGAAAATGGGTGGTAAGAAGAAATGGAGCGGATGCAGTATCTGAATAGTATTTCATCTGGTCTATATCCATAATAAATTTGAACCCTTTCTATTACATCTCGTGGCAGAATTCCTGAATCTTGAATTCAGGTTCTGGTGGTCTGCTTTTAAGTAATCTGGAGAATGGTTAACATGGAAATCAAGATCAGGAAACACTTACTGTGCACTACAAGAGGATTTCACGAGGCATGGGACTAGCTCGCTTATTTCAACCTTTTGGTTGTTGTAAATATTAGTTGATAGAAGCCTTTCATATTCGGTACGTTCAATCTATTTTTTTCTTTTATTTTCTTTTCAGTGTTATATGTATTGAAGCCGGACCTGTTACTGACAATCTTCCAGCTTGCGCCAATGGGCCTAAAATTTAATCTGGCAGGCCATCATACATCGCATTTCCCTTCTGTTATTGTTAGAGCCGTATGTAAAGAACCTTTCCCTCCTTCTAATCCCTGGAAAATTTGATTATGGCTTTGCTGCCTTTTCTGGTTTCATTTGGTATCATATTGAGACTATTCAGGTGACCTGATTCTGTTCATTGAGTACAAAACAGTCCCGCCCCAGGATTTGCTTCAGAATGTAGGATATATTAATTATCCAACGGCTGAATTCAGGTAATACCCCACGCGGGGAAGTCTAAGGAGGGTGAGCAGACCTCTGAAGACAACTAGGCTGTTGGCTCTGGAGGTGGCAATTAGCTTTCTGACCAGCCCAAAAACATGCCAATCCCGACAGTAACCACTTCGGCCACTCCGTAAAAGCCACATCTTACCGCATACAAGTGCGATGTCAAGAATTTCCGTTCCAAAGACCATGATGGATATTCTTTGCCCGTCGGTCTGGCATTAATTTGATGATACTGTGAAAGCTGATCACGTGTCTTGCATGAGGAAGACCCGCGAAAAAGGCAAGTTTCCTCGGGATAATGCAGCACCGATTGGTTGTCAAGAGAGTCCACATGGCAAGCTGATTAGCAAAAATTGCCTAAACAGTCATGATAGGTGATTTTCTGGATTTTATCTGTTGGCTTTTGCCTTGTAACATCACGATGCATCGGTCCCAGAAAGCAAAAATTGATTAGATTGTACCACTATCCTGACATTTTACGAGGGTCAAACCTTACTCTACGTCAATCAATATCATGTCTGGGCTTTTTTCTAAGCCCCGATCTTCCTTCTCGGGCCATTCTGAAACCTTGATAGGGCTTGCCAAGAATTTACGGCCTTTAAATGACATTTTGCTGACTGTTCGGTCTAATTTGTTAAAAGCAAAATTCAGTTTCAAGCCAACGCAAATATAGCGCAATTCCATCCTCAACCTATATAAATTGTCAGCATTGCCATAAAATGACTATTGGACCAATCATATAGGATATTTCAAAGACCCGAGTAGGCGCACCTGTCGCCAATTGGATATTCATTCCCTGTTACATTGTCGGAACGCCCGCTTCCCTGAGCTGTAGAAAAGACTTTCACCAAGTTCCTGGCATTCTTTGCTTTATTATAGATTATCCAATCAATTTGAGACTTCTAACCGTAATTCAGCCGTCATATACTTTGGATGTCTGTCTCAAAATTCTTCCATCATGCAGGTTTCCACATGCGGCCACCATGCCTTCCATTAATATCGCTGCCAGCAGGTTTACGGAGGATGATCCCGGCCTTGATTTGGCTTCGTATCACAAAAGACTTTTGGGATAAATATTTAATAAATTAGAAAACTGGACCAAATGTCGGAGCGATAGGAGCAAATGTATTTATTATGCATGACGAGACTCATATTATGACATAACCTTTCCAAGTTGAGTAGATGATTAGTTATAGTAGTTATTAGCGTAGGTAGCCATGTAACTCTCATACTATATCATCCCTCTCTCCAAGCATTTCATTTCGAAGGATAAATCATTTGGGATTTCATTACAAAATGGGCCGCAAAGCCTCTACATCAGCGACAAGCCGCAGGTCTGGCCAGCCATCTATACAAAAGCTGAAGGATAGTTGTGATATGTGCTCATCCTCTAAAGTGAAATGCAATAAGGAGAAACCCATTTGCAGTCGATGTCGCAAGCTGGACTACCCGTGCTTTTACAGTCCAGCACGACGCATAGGACGTCCACATCCAAACCGTCTCCCCACCAATCTCAAGTCACCCGAGCCACCCTCAGTATCTTCACCAACGGAAGTTTCTAGCGTCCATAAATTTGGACTTTCGAATTCACAGGGCCTTCAGCCTTCCGCTGTAGGAATACAGATGCGGCAGCTACCACTGCCAATGGGATACGGAGGCGATAATGAATCACATGCGAACTATAGCCACGAACCGTTACCCTGGCTTGGCCACCCCTACCTATCCTCAACTGGAATCTTCTATGAGTGTGGATCAAGAGCAATCGCCACAGTAACTGAGGAGTTATGGCATTTGAATGAATCTTTCATTCAAGCAGACACGGCCGGTATATCGCAGATCCCCCTGGACAATTTGGAATATTTCAATCTTCCAAGTTCCTCAAATGATGGCTCAAACTGGGTCCATACCTCGCACCAGATATTAAACACCCCGATGATGCCGTTGGATGACCCCCTAGCACCTAAGAGCACCCGAGCTTCTAGTACAAGAAATCAAGGCCAGAGTGAATTTCCATCGAGCATCCAGAAGCCCAGGTCGAATTATTCTGAATCAGAGTGTGTCAAAGGTATTATCGAAATTTTGCGGCGTCTTCAGATCTCGCGAAATAGAGTCGCTGGTGTGTTACATATTACCTCAGTGGCCGAATGGCTAACACGCATGCAAACAACTCCATCTGCAATTAATCGACTCGCGACAATCTTAATCTGCCCTTGCTCCCAAAAGCCTTATGTCGCTATTCTGATAGCTGCTGCTTGTATGGCGATCATGGACATATATGACTCATTGTTTCACTTATCCCAGGACTCCAGGTCTAGGGATTTTGTGGCTACTCGCGCTCCTGGGGGGACACCTGCATTCTTTTTCCCTATTTCCATGGATATTTGCATGAATGTGACTATGGAGCAGTGTCTGGATGTGGGGATGGGAATGGATGCTGATTCTTATTCAACGTCAGTTCTAGCCTTTGAAGAACTTCCAAAATTGGCAAGCGTGGTGATACTGTTTGCTCGTCGATGCCAAGAAAATCCACAGGCTCAGTCAGCCAGCACACTTGCTGCTTTAGCAGACTTACTCAAGGCACGCTTGAACTTAGTTACAAATGAAGTGTTCGAAAGAACATGGCATTTGTAAGAGATGGGAGAATAAGCATACGTATTTTTGTTTTTTATATCCTTCGCCAAAATATCGTTTCAGTTCCCAATACTTTCCGGATTTGTCTCCCTCTCGATTCTTTGGGTTTCACATTCCTTCTCCTCTTCGCAACTTCAGACACACATAAACCAGGTCCAAGCAACAGACATTCCAGGAGAGGTAGCTTGGGCGTAGTTTAGTGACGTCCATATTTTCATCAAAATGCGACTCTGGATTGGGCCAAGGCGACTATAGTCACCTCGAGTACCTCATTCTACTCTGCTGCTAGAATATGATGGTATACTCTCATGTGTACTTCGAAGCTGCACTTGAGTAAAAGATTTGCAGATCTGGAAGTGCTATAAATAGGTATCAACAGTTTCCTGAATGCCTATATCGAAGGAGCCTCACAGGCACCACCTTGAGATTACGGGATTGACGTCTTAGTCTTCAGTCCTCTAATTACTCTGATGGTCCCAAGTAAGTTCATTCCGGCTGTCAGTGACTTTCAGGCATCACATCCCAAAATGGGATGTGAGGACTGAGGCAAAACCATGGCCTGGATAGGTTATTGTTGATATAGCTCTTATTTCTCCCAATCAAATCCGTTCTGTCTATTCGAATGATTTTGACTGGAATATTTTAAGAAACTGCCTATTCTTTGTCCGTGGGGTATTGTCGAAACCAGGCTCTGATCGGGGGCGACAATGGACAAAGCCATGAGATGAAACAATCTGCACACAAGGACCTCATTGTTCTCAATTCTTTGGCTGCCTCTTTACAAAGGCAGTCGTTTCAATCTGACTCGACGCGGCCTAAAATTGAGATTGCAGACTAGGGAGACTCGTCGCATAAAATTCCAACTTCCCTCCAATCCTTCGCATCTCTTCTTCTCTCTTTCACCCACTCTCGTTCCAAAACACTCTTCCATATTAGCTTTCATACTTCAAAATCTCTGATACACGTTCATTTTCATTTTCTCCCGTCTCTCTTCTCTTATTTTCTTATTGTATTCGTGATGGCGTCCTCTCGCTCCAAGGCAAAACGTCCAGTCTCAGGTCGGGGTGCTCTTCGAGGTCTCAGCCAACGCTCAGGCGTTTCATCTCGTGCCAAACGTCGCAGTCCAACTTCAAGCTTCCAGATCGATCTGGATGACCTTGAGTTTTATCTTCGGACTCCTTCTCCGGCTTTTTCTCTAAATCTGTATCCCCTTCCTGAATCCCGCTCTCCCTCTCTATCTCCCCCTCTTATCCCACTTCCTGAGTCCCGTTCTCCTTCCCCTCTCTCCCTCTCATGTCGCACTTCCCGAATCCTGTTCATCTTCTGTCTCTTCTTTCCCTTCTCCTTCTTGTATCGCACTTCCTGAATCCCGTTCACCATCTTGCTCTCCTTCCCCTTCTCAAATTCCGCTTCCAGCAAGTCCCCCGGCCTCTTCCAGTTTTCCGCTCAACCCTCTGCATGCCTTGGCTGCCTCGGGCTCGGAGCCCAGACCCAGCATCATCAATTCGGGCGAGTCAATGCTCCGCGCCAAGGTGCTACAGGACTTGGCACACGAAAAGAGCCAACATGAGGTTTTGAAGCTGAAGTTCTTCGAAATGAAGGCGCAACGGCAGTGGCTCGGCGAAAGGCTCGACGAATCTGAGCGACTGCTGGATCTGCACGACAGCAATGTCGAATATAAAGATACGCAGATCAGCCAGCTTCGGCACGAGCTGGCCGAGGAACGCAGGCGCAGGCAAACGACTGAAGAGTACACGACCAGGATGGAAACGGAACTATTTCAGGCCTCAGTTGCCAACGAAAACCTTCGGGGGAGTGAGGATGAACATAGAGTCAGTGCTCTCAAATTGACGCTGCAAGTGATGATGAAGGAAGCTCAAATCGTCAAAGAGTCTTTTGCAAAGTGTCGCCAAGACATGGCTAACTATGCACGATCCATCTACATCAACGCCGATGATTGGGCTGCATTCAGAGCTTTCTTTCAAACTCACCAGTCATCCCAAGAGCAACAGGATGACGAGCTTCGCAACATGGCTAGGAGGCTAGGCGAAAATTTGCAGCTGATGAACGAGGCCATCAGCCAAGTATTCCTCCTGACCAATGTGAAGCAATCCCAACACCGTCTCGATCCAACCTCCTCACAGGGCGCTTTGCAGAAACGCTCCAGCACCTCGGTTGCCAATAGCTGGAGGCCTGTAAAACGCCCGTGTCTGTCAACCGTGCGAGATGGAGCCTTACTTGGCTCCACGCCTAATGAATCCTTCTTCTTTCACTACGAAAAATACCGTCATCCAGTATCTTCAACAAAGAGTGCCAGGAATAGTGGGCCTCGTAAGATATTGCAAGAGGACGAGGCAGAGTTGAATTGGTGGCAGCAACAAGAGCGTCAAGCCCTCTTTGAGGACTTCGCAGTGGCTGAAGCTCGGATGGGCATCGACGCCTTGCACCTTCCCCCATCTCATCCAAATCCCGATATCTACAACAATCCGGGATGGCATGGGGTGGGTCATCTGTCATTCAATACCTCGCCAGGGTCCTCCGATGACGGGAAAGACGAGGACAGCGCGGAGTACATACCTCCTTATGAGGAAAGATTCGAATGGGGGCAGAATGGAATTCGATTGATTCGAGAAGAGCAGTCACTTGAAATTGTTCAAGTGCGTACCGGGCTGGAGTGGTTGGAGCTGGAGTTGAAATCTGCGAGCCCCTCTGCACTGCCTCTGGCGTGGCAACAGACCATTCTGGGCTCACCTCGCAAGCGCGTTCAGTTCTCGGAGAAATATACCATCGCAGAACATGATGATGAGAGCCCGGTTCCGAGGAAACGCCAGAGAACAAATGAATATCCCTCATCCTTTACCACATATCCTCAATCGGCCCTCAAAGGGTTCCTTGGACATCCAGAAAAAGTGGCCAATCACACAGAGGTCGCAAATTCAATACCTCCAAAATTGCCCACTTGGCAGAGAGACATTCCGCTACTGCCATTCAGATCTTTTGGGACACAAACAAACGAAGAAATCCAAGATCCCACGGCACTCCGATATCGACTCCGGTCCAAGCCAAAAGTCCCAACACAATCTCATGCAAAACATGAACGCAAACACAGAAAATTGCGAAGACTCTCCAAATCCAACCCTTATCTTCAAGTCCCGAAATTTATCAGAAAAATGCCAGGTGCCTGGCCAGTAAGCCCTCGAGCAACAACAAAGACCTCTTCTCCTCAAAGCCACAAGAGCCCATCACAGCGTTTCAAGGATACCTTAACGCGGGTGGCACCAATTCTCGCTGGTACAGCGGCGGTAGCCGCGACATTCTGGGGGTTAAAACAACTCAATGCATATGATAAGTGGATCGATTCCAATGACCTCTACAACGGCTCAGTGTCCGGATCTTTAAACTCGCGCTTCTCGGATGTCGGGTGGATGGAGTACAAACTTACGAAGTGGCTCGGTCTTGACCGCACCCTTTTGGGTTAAACAGCCCACGAACCAAAGTGATAATGATAGTTTATCTTCCACGAAAGTTGCGGCGATGGTCTTCGACAAAACTAACGACGATGTAATTGTACAAAAGTCACGGTGGTGTCCCCTGTGCGAAGTTACGGCGATGTTTCCATACGAAGTCATAATTGATGGTTCTCTGCAAAAAATGACGCTGATAGGGTGATGCGGCCCGTACTTTCCCACCATGTACGGCTTGGACGATGGTGATTTACAAGATTTTATAGATAATTTATAGATAATATAACTAATTCAAATGTATATAATATAATCTACACAAGTATGAGAATATATTCAAAATACATAGACAGTCGGTTTTCTAAGGATAGCCAGGATTTGGAGGAAATATCCCCTTATTCTTCTATTCAAACCTCATGAAGCTGGAATATCTGAGGATAAATACCGTCATCAAATGCCCACAACACACGGTCAGGACGGGTGTACTGAAGTTGAATTGGACTCAAAGGTAGCCTGATTCCATCAATAGACATCATCTAGGTCATACATCGGTATATATAATAAGCGTATTGTTTTGAATCAGGTTTATTTTCTCCGATCGCCCCTAATCGCGTTCGGGTCTCTTTTTCGACGTAGGACGCTAATCCTCAAACGGAGTGAATCTCCGACTACTTCGTGGTCAGACTATTCTGCTACGCATCTAACTCCGTACTAGACCCACTTGAGTCTAGCAACAGCCTCTTGAGCCGGCCCGTCTCCAAATCATGTCCGATTGACAGGGCTGTAGGCCAATACCGGTGGCGAAGCAATTAGCTCGCCTGCATGGGGAAGACGACAGACAGATAAGCGGCAATTACCGAGCGAAGGAACGCTGCTTGTCGAATAGTACGACTGAGAAGGCGAGTCGACTGGGGAAAGCCGAACCCTGTCTATCGTAACTCCGACACACGTGGGCTCAAGACAGCCATGACGCTTTAGTTTGAAACTATCCGTTGATTCTGCTTCCTAAGCCCCCATTCAGGAATCTCAAACAATTCAATCACTATTAATATGGATACCGGTTCATCTTCAGAACCCCATAGTCGAGAGAAGACGGTATTATTCAAGAGATAATTAAGTATCAACTACATGCACAATCTAGTACAAAATATGTTTACCGTCCCAGACTCCTCCACTTTTTGATTTCTACTGCGGATCCAGATCCTCGGTCGATTGCTGCGACTATGATTAATGCTGTGGCCTGCAGATCCTACGTAGTTACAACACGCGTCTTTGTGGTAGGCAGTACTCTGTACTCCGTATACACTGTGCGATTAGTAGTAGGCTGGGCGAAAGGTAAAAAGTGCCCATAACCCTGGTGTATTATATGCGTAATATACGTAATATACGAGCCTACCCAGCGCTGGCTGTGTAATATCTGTGTAATATCTGTGTAATCGGTGCGTAATGCCTCGTCCTCCCCTACCGGCCTCACTTGCAGGCCCCACAGCCAATCGTTACGCGCGCCACGCAGTAGCTGGCGTCACCTGCTCCACTTGGCCGCCCCATCCGGCCGCTTTTACACTACGATCATCTCCACTCCCTTTCTTCCCCTCTAACCAACACGACAACCTCCAACGATTGCGCCTCCCTTCAAATGACTCTGTTCTCCCATCTCTGATTCTTGCACCCTGTCTCCTGACGTCCGCTCTTTATACACATACAACCCACCATGTTCGTCCGTTCCATCCTTTTGGGTGGCGCGGCTGCCCTGGGCGCCAGTGCGATACTGGTCGTCCCTGAGATGGAGCCCCAGGTGGAAGCCGTTGAAGATGGCTTCATGAACGTGCACCCCATGCTCTTGGAGGATATCCGCCACGCAGTTATCGATCTTCCTTGCGCAGAGTGTCCCTTCCGCGAAGTCGATGAGGAAGGTACCGTCAGCTGGACTGATGACAAGCCATCATCGCTGGTATGTCGAAACTCGAGAGCTCCATTCCGACATCATCAACTGTAGCGCCAGGATCTCTAACCTCATCACAGATGCTCGATTTCTCCATCGAGGACAACCGCCTGCTGGCCAACGGCCGTCAGATTTTCCCTCCCGTCCCCCCGACCCCCATCCGCGCCGTTCAGCAGTTGGAAGACGGCGAGTCTTCAAGCCCCATGCCCGTCGGTTACGCTCTGGAGGTGATGCCGCTGGGATCCCCATCCGATACTCCTGGCACCGATCTTCTCGATGTCCGCTTCACTGTTCTCGATCTGGAAACCCACCCTGTCCCTGTCGATACTGTCGCCATCACATTAATTCAGGACCCCACCGGTGAGCTGTATATCGCCAAGACGGAAATTGAGAAGACCGCTCCTCCCGCCGATCAGCTGTCATGGAAGAAGTGTAACGGTAAGGCCAAGTGCCTCCGGGAGCTTCTGCTCGCCCGCATCCGTGGGCTGCTCGCTGCTGCCAAGGAACGAGTGCTTGGCATGACTGGCAAGGGCTTCCGGAAACCCTGCCATGGCAAGCCTCCCAAGGGTATGGGTATCGATGGTCCCCACGGTCCTCACAAGCACTTCGACGAGTTTGGTCTCGACGGCATGCCTTTCCCCCTCCTCCGCCACACCCCGACTTCGACGGCCCCGAGGGTTTCGATAAGGAGTTCCACCACCATCACGGCCACTTCGATGCCGAGAAAGGCGAGGGCCATCGCGACCACCACGGCCCTCATGGCCACCACCCGCCGGGTCCTCCCCCGCATGGCGCTTTCGCCCACACCTTTTCTCGCGTCGTGCGCTTTATCGTTGTGCCTGCCATTTTGGGTGTCCTGGCCGGTCTGACTGCTAGCGCCGTCGGTATGCTGGTTGGTCAGGCTATCGTGTTCCTCTGGCGACGATACCGCGGTACCAACTCCCAGGAGCACAAGGCTGCTTGGGAGGAGGGTGACGCCTGTGAGAAGCAAGGTCTGATGACCGAGCACGCTGAGGATGTTCTGCCCCAGTATGGCGAACACAATGCTGTACGCCGATCATCCATGGACAAGAACTAGACAATTTGTTCTAGCTGAAACGTTTCCCGTCTCTCTGATCATTCAGAAGGCTCATATACCACGATATCATACCCCGAGTCAGTCAAGACAAGGGTTTTGGTTTTTCCTACTGCAAGCACAAAACTGCCATGCTTAGTTTGGGTTTTGATTCACTTCCTGATTCACTTCCATGATCCATGTCGTTTTAACCTTCTCTTCCCTTTCTCTTGTGATGTCCAGCTTGTACAGCGATATTTCCTTCAATGCAATTTTTCTTTAAAATCACTGTCATTTCTGTAGAGTTTGTAATCAAAGGGTTTCAACATCTGGGTCATGAATCATGAATATGAAGATTGAACTTCTCGTATATTTTTAATAATTTGGCCAAAAATATTCCGTTTCAAAGCCATTCAAGCCAAGAACAGTCGAAAGCGTTCCAGTTCAACTACGACTCTGTCTCGTAATCACGTGACATTCGGCCCTCCCCAGCGTCCCCCTCTTATCGATCCGACAACAACAACCCCATCCCCACGTTCCCGAGCTGCACATTCAAGTGGCCGGCCAAGGATGGTTGAGGCTGTACAATGACCCTGGAGCTTCTATCTACACCAAGTACGGGTTGTTATCTACCCTTTCAGCGCTGGTCGGCTCGCCGCACCACGTCCCAGCTCTAACTAGCTCCGCACCTACATCATCAAGAACACGCACCACAAGCTCGCCGGGTCGGTATAGATCGACCACTACCAGCCATGATATCATTATCATCCTTCGTTCAGAAGGCTCAATCGCTGATTGACCCGGCAAATTTCAACATTCCCTCCCTCTCTTCATCCGACAACAATCCTTCCAAGGCCTCGCTATTCCGCCAGCAGTTCCGCCTGCCGGACTCTCAGAACCCTCTACAAGAGATCACCGCCGACCTTATCCTCCCACTTCCAACTTCTTCTACAAGCCCCGGAGAAGGTTCTCGCCGGGTCGACCGGGCTGGGAATCGCTATACGGGACGCCTGCACCTCAGCGAGCGATTTATCTGCTTCTCGACGCAGCCAACGAGTTTCCTGCCATCAGCTACTCTGAATTCTTCTACCAATTGGACTGGCCAAACGCATGGTACTGGGCCTTCTGGAAATGGTTTCACGCTACCTCTCGCGTGCATTCGTCGAGTCGAGCGACTTCACAGCGCCAAGGATGTGTTCTCATTAGCGTTGACAACCTGGAACGGTTTGTTGAACAAGCAGCAAGAACCAAACTTTGCGCCGCAGCGTCTCATTTTGCAGTTGGTTGGTAGCAGACAGGCCTGCGAGCGATTTTGCGACTGTCTGAAGAAGGGCTTGCGCGAGGGCATGAAGGAGGTTGACAACCTACGATCCGTTGTCGCTGAGTCTTATTCGGAATACCTACTCTCCGGCGCAAAGACCAAGGGGCAGGAAGGTAATGATGGCGAAGGCCGACAGCCTCCAGATGCAGGGTTGGGCATGCTATTCCGCTATCCCGGTGACGCACGTAAGCTCCGAGATCGCAGCAAAATGCGTCTTTGGGGTGAATATTTCCGAGGTGAGTCAGCTCCAGAGTCTCGAAATGGAGCTCTATTCATTGATAATTTGTTATAGAGAACGGACGAAATGCAACTCTGGTCCGACAACCAACATTTCACAAATTGATCCGTGTTGGTCTGCCAAACCGCTTGCGAGGAGAAGTCTGGGAGCTCACGTCCGGTTCCCTTTTCCTTCGTATTCGATCTCCGAAACTATACCAAGAGACACTCGCTCGGTTCCATGGCCAGGAATCTCTCGCCATTGACGAAATTGAAAAGGATTTGAACCGCAGTCTCCCTGAATATCCCGGTTTCCAGAGTGAGGAGGGAATTGGTCGATTGCGACGAGTTCTCACAGCTTATAGTTGGACGAATGCAGAGGTTGGCTATTGCCAGGCCATGAACATTGTCGTGGCCGCGTTGTTAATGTCAGTTTGATGTCTCTTGCATGTCAAAGGATGCATATACTAACTTCCTCTAGATATATGTCCGAATCTCAGGCATTCTTCCTGCTCTCCGTGCTCTGCGATCGCCTTCTCCCAGGCTACTATTCTACAACAATGTATGGAACTCTCCTTGATCAAAAGGTCTTCGAATCCCTGGTGGAGAAGACGATGCCTGTTCTTTGGGAGCACCTCTCCAAATCAGATGTACAGCTTTCAGTTGTGTCCCTGCCATGGTTCCTTTCTCTCTATATCAACTCCATGCCACTCGTCTTTGCCTTTCGTGTCTTGGATGTTTTCTTTTTGGAGGGTCCCAAGGTATTATTCCAAGTCGGTCTTGCGATTCTTCGCATCAACGGTGAAGAGCTTCTCGACATACAAGATGACGGTTCTTTCATCTCTGTTCTAAAATCCTACTTTTCCCGCCTCGACGAATCCGCACATCCCAGATCGGAGAATCCCAAGCTTCGGGCTATCACCAGATTCCAGGAGCTGATGGTGGTGGCTTTTAAAGAGTTTTCGGGAATTACCCACAGCACTGTCACTGAGCAGCGTGAAAAGCACAAAGATGCCGTGCTCCAAAACATTGAGAGCTTCGCCAAGCGTACTTCGATCCGCAACCTTGGCCCTGAGAGCAAACGTCTTAGTGTTGATGATCTTGGCACAATCTATGACCGTTTCTATGAGACGCTGTACCAGTGGGAACAGCATCAGAAACTCATTGAGGAGGAGAGACTTCGGCAGCAGAAAAAGAAGTCCGAGAGGTTGTCGATTCTTGGTCCTCCGGCTGACAGAGAAGTTGGCCGAGTTGGGCTCGGACCCAGCCCGACGCACATGGACTATGATGCTTTCCGGGAATTCCTAGCTGCCACCTCTAAGTGGGCGGTCTCTGACACTCCCAACCCTGCAAGAAAGGAATCAGCAGGTTCAGGCTATAGTAGTCTGAAAGGTAACGGCAAATCGCTACTTTGGGCGAACCGACGCCAGCCTGCCGACCATGAGTTCATGCAACGCCTGTATCGCAAGTGGGCTACGGATCCCGATGAGGGTTTGAGTCTGCAGAATGTTGTGAATGGCCTTGCAAGTCTTAAGGGCTCGCCGGACATCATGAACAATATCAATTACTTCTTCAATCTATACGATGACAGTGGAAACGGTCAAGTCGACCGTGAAGGCATCCTCAAGATCTCCGAGGCTCTCCTCTTCCTCTCTCGCCGTGGCTTTGAGGGAACTATCACGGCTACACAATCTCTGGAAGATCTCAACAACCCCCGTGACCGTGATCATGCGGAACAAAACCGTCTCACCACTGATGAGCGGTTTCTCGGTAGTGTCAGCGCCTTCATCCGTCGCTGTTTCGAATACGCCGACCCTAGCCATCCGGAGAATCAGAAAGCTGCTGCGCAGGACAGTATTACAGAGACTGCAGAGAAGCTTGATTCATTCGTTATCGGCGATGATGAAGATCTGATCGATGTCGGTGGCGACAATCCCAAGGATTCTCCAGCAACAGAATCTGGCAGCGGCGAGCACAACAGACCCAAGTCAGAATCAGCCAACCCGGCTCTCGACCCCAACAATCCTCTTCATATCACCCTACCTACCTTCCGCATGGTCGTCTTGGCCGATGAGCTCCTCGAACAATTTTTCGAGTCCTACTTCCCGCAATCTTTCCATCTCTCCGATCACCCGCACCCAGCCTCCCTCGCCGCATCATCATCCCTCTCCTCCAATCTCACCACATTCTCCAATCTCGGCAGCGTTCGCCCCTCTGTTTCCGGCTCCACATCCGCCGTGTCCGTAGCCGGGGCCTCGGGCGGCATCGTGCCCCCAGGCAAAGGCCTGCGCGGCGTGCTCGATAATATTGTCACTGACGGCATCCGAATGGCCGCTGAAGTCAAGAAACGCATGGACGACGCGCAGCGCGAGCTGGAGCGCAACGCACTGGGCCGCGACGAAGAAGACGACGAGGATGATGACGACGACTACCCCGCCCGCCAGGGTACCACATCCACCGCCGCAATGGCTGGCGGTATCTCCAGCTGGGGCGCCGGCGCATATGGCGCGGACCCCGAACGCCGCAGCGTCCGTGACGCAGACCGCGACCTCCTTGAGGGCGCGGAGGCCGAGGTTCTATCCAAAGATGAGACGTCTCTGCTGGACGACAAGGTGGAGCTGGGCGCGAGCAAGGCCAGCCACGCGGGGCGCTCGCCACCATCTGTGCATGATGCTGAGGTTGTTAGCAAGGTCGTTGAGTTCGAATCATGATGATATCCCCCCCGAGCCCTATATTTTCTTGTATCTGCGCGGCCATGTCTCGGAGGGAGTGTTTTGTTTATTTGGTCCTTTAGCTATGTCCATGTGCAATTATACACTTGTGTTTCTGATGATACATTTTTCTTGTCTGTTACAGAGACTAGGTAGAAAGGTATATTGCTTCATAACACAGCGCTTGCATATATATCTAACTGAAAATTGCAGCATTCACCATTGTTGAAGATGCCAGTCACGAATATAAAAGGGCTCCATAGCACAGACTCCGTTCAATCAGCGAGAACAGCCTAATTACGTATCTCAGCATAAACAGATCTTGTTAGGCACACATAAAACATTGCAAAAGACCACAAGAAACAACAGTGGGAAAACAATCGATCACGCATTCAAAATGCAAAAAAAAAAAATAAAAAAATAAAAGTAAAAATAAACAAAAATAAAATAAAATAAAATCGTTAGAGTCGTGAGATGGCACAATGACATTTCTATGTACAACCATGACATCGAAACAGCGCTCTGGGGAACTGTCATGAAGCAAAGAGAAATAGGAGAATAGCCGAATGCTAATACATGCGATAAAGTCGACTTGTAGGTGCCTTTGTGCCGGAAATTACAGATGTAGGAACAGGCAAACATGAAATGAAGAAGTGAATAGGAAGAAAGAGACGAGAAGCGCGTATGGAGATATGCAATGGAAGGGGGGTTGGGAAAAAGGTAAAAGCGTCAAAGCCAAGGGTATAAAAACAACGGCACCTTAAGAAGGGGATTGGATTGTCCATTTCCAAAGGTAGAAGAAGCCACAAAGCAAATGCGGAACATGCAGCCACATATCCAGGATGAGCAAGCGGATTATGTAGAATCCTGGACAGCATTGCTGATGCCAAAGGAGGGGAGGGGCAGGGGCAACTAATCCTTTTGTCCCTCGTTCTCGACCAACTCTAAGACGATCTGACTGCGCTCGTATTGCGGGTGCTGCATGCAGATCTTGACTGTATGGCTAGCAGCATCGGGCGAGACACCATTCGAGCTGAACCCACTCATAGAGCCAGGAGAGGTGGCTTGGCCGAGCGAACCTGGCAACTTGCTGCCATCGTCGAGGCGCACGACATTGTGGCCCGGAATGACCTGTCGCAAGCGGCCGTTCATGGCGTTTCGGACTTCGACGAAATCTTCGTTGAAGAGGATGAGGAATTTCCCGTGCAAGGAGGCTGTGTGTGCGCTACCGACAAACTCCATCACCACGCTACGTGAGACGTCGCCGTGCTTGTTGACGTACACCGCACACTCCTGGTAGGCGACCAGGAACTCGCTTTCGCTGAGGCGGAACATTCCGAGGGGTCGAAGATCCTTGATACGCTGGGCGATGCTGTGGAGGGTGTCTTGTGCGTCGGTGTTGGCGGAGCGGAAGTCAGGAACAGACCAGGAGTGTTTCTTGTCTAAAGTGAGAACCTCAATGCCGCGATGTGTAGAGATTGCCAGGGAGGAGTGAAACATGTTGATGCCATAGCTTTCGGCCGGAATATAGAACTCATCATATTCGCGGAAGAACTCGGTTTGAGAGCGCCGTGACTGGAAGAACCGGCTTTTGCTGGAGGCTGATTTTTGCAGGATAGGTTCCAAAACTTTGAAGGTGGATGATAAGCCATCTCGCTTCTTGTACAGCACCAAATAGCGATCCTTTAAGCGACCTGCAGCAAAGAAGCCTACTTCGCGGTTACCCGATAGTTTCTGTGGAGCACGACGGGCAGAGTCTTGCGATTGAGAAGTGACACCGCTTGCAGGGCATACCACATCCAGGTGGTATGCGATCAGAGATCGATCTGAAATAAGCAGGAACAGGTTGAACTCCTCGAACACGGCGACTTGTGTAACCCGTATGATGGGAATAGCCTGAGAATAAATTGTTAGCCTTGCTGCAATATCGCAAATTGTGAGCTAAAACATACCCTGTACCAACCACGCGGGTTGCTGAGGTCAGACATGTACACTCCATTGTCAGTTCCAATCGCGCACATCATTCGACCGGGAGGTTGCTGGAAGACAGTGGCGCAGTTGACAGCGGTTCTACAAATAGGCGCAGGGCGAGTTGGAGTTTCGGAGAACTTCTTCTCGACCTCTTTTATGGCACGATGCAGCGGGGTTCCCTTTATCATGACACTCTTCGAGCCATTGCTTTGGTCCGAGTATGCGAAGGCAGTGTCTGCAAGCACCCGCAGGCGGAAGGGTTCGGCGTTCTGCGAGAATAGTGCTGCAGCATGCTTGGTCTTGGCCTCGATTATCTTCTCGCACCAGTCTGCGCGGCTGCTTGCCGAGAAAGCATAGAGAGTGTAGGTGCCTTCTTTGCCAAGATGCTTGATCTTGAAGGGGTAGAGGATCCCGTCGTCCTTCGAATCAAGAGTTGCGGTAGCACCGTTGGTACCAGTAGCACCGCCATTGTTTAAGGGGCCAATGCCGCCCTGTGCGGGAGTCACTGTCGCAACACCTCGGACAGCAGATTTGACAACAGGGTCGTCTTTTGTGCTCTCGAGAGCTAGAAGATCCATAGGAATGGGCAGTTTTGAAACATCGTAGCGTTCATATTTAATGGCGCGGGTTGCATCTCGTGCTGTGAACGACTTTGCAAGGACAAGGTAGTGGTCAAAGAGAATTGCATGTGTATCGACCAGGAATCGAGTTCGCGTGCCGGGTCGCTGGAGGTCACCTCTGAAGATGATTTCACGGCCCATATGATCGAGGTTAAGTTCCACCTCCTTCTTCATCTCTGGTCGCAACTGTAGTTTGCTTGCAAGGTCCATCAAGTCGGTCTTTTTAGTCTGCTCGCCCACTTTATTGTCACATTCGAGAGCCACAACCTTGATTTCTTCAATGGCCTGCGCGAGGTTGGCCTTTTCCTCCGAATCCTTAGGCATGTTCTTATGCACAGTAGCCAGCAGTAAGGTGTAGCGCTGGATCCGCGTAATAGGGGACTTGAGATAAGTGTCCCAACTTAGACGGTTGGACAGCTTGTGGTCACGGACCTGATTCAAGAATGCCATGAACTGAGGATTGCGATCAGCCTCTTTGCGAACGTAATAGTTTGCAAAGGGGAACGTTGCAGCATAGTCAATGTAGACATTTTTAGCCTTGCGAATCCACTCGCGGAAGATGTCGCTGAAACCTGCGATGAAGGGTCCCTGTTCCTTCTGGCGGTACTTGAGCTGCGCTAACAGATAGTCCTCGTTGACTCTTTTTACCATGTCAACCTTGCCAAAAACGTCAGCCAGAAATTTGGGCAGGCGTTTGATGGGGATAATAGGTGGATTCATATGGGCTAGCTGGTCACGGTAAAGTTCCCGCAGGACATCCAGCTGGCCGATATAAGCGTCTTCGGTGGTCACAATCTCGTGTAGGTTGTTTTGACGATCGATCTCCTTCTTCGGGTGCGATTCCCATATTTCTTTGGGCACCTTGTAAAAGGTCACCCAATCTTCGACCTTCTTCTGAGGGGCCATCATTTGGGTTTTCAAGTTGACTTTCTTCAAGGTCCGCATGCAGTGATGAGAATAGCACCGCCCGTGTGAATCGATATCTTGAATATGCATCTCTTGTTCATGGAGTTTCGGCGAGTAGCACCCAGTACCAGTGATTTGGAACAGAACACCGGAGATTTCTCCGCTGCTGAACTTGACCCACTCCTCGTCTTTGACCAAAGCTTCTTCCTTCAGCATGCCGCTGACGACTCGAGCCGCGAGAGTCTCAGCCTCCGTAATGTTCATCGTAGGAACCTTGTGGGTAAACAGAGCCACAATCGCATCTACCAAGGCCTGTTCTCTCAGGTCTGTCTCGTCCTGACTCAAATCCTTGATCCAAGCCAAAATGGAACTCAGCGCCCAGGGCTTAGTGCACTTCTTGAATTGCTCGGAAGACAACTTTGTAGGGTTGAACTTCTTGCGACGTCCCGCAGGGATGGTCGGCAGGTCCAACGCCATAGTAGCAGCCGCCTCAGCAGGGTCAATCTTGGGCAGATCCTTCTGCTGTAACTGCTTCAAGAACTCCTGCTGCTGCTTGTACTTAGCGCGGTCCGCATCGGTCTTCGATCTGATAGGCGGATCAGTACGGGGTCCAATGGGCGTCGACAAAGACGACGACCGTGGAACTTGAGATGGACTGAGCATCGGCTCTCCATAAGAGTCCACAGATGTAGTCAGGGGTGGGAGTCTATACTGTTGGGCAACCTGCATCTCGCCCTGTTCTGGAGTCCGGTACGTGCCTGCAGGCATCAGATGGCTGTAGAGATCGGCGCCAGCAGCGGGTTCAACGGGGGCGGGGGGCAATGGGCGCATGCCGGGATGGAAGAATAAATCTTCATGAGCCGCGCGGTGCGGACTCTCATCACCGGACTCATCACCTTCTGGGGTTTGTTCATAAGGGCTATCACCATCCTCGCCATAATCGAAACTCATACGACGATGATAATAACCAGGCGCAGAAAGGCCACCAGTACCTCCAGCATCCACCCGAGCATTTGGTGGAATGTGGTGTAAACGATTGGCGTACTCATAAGCGATTGGAGGATGCTCATAGTCGTCATACGATTCTCCCCCTCGTTCGCCATGAGAAAGATTAGGGCTCCTGACAGAGTCACGAGAGCGCTGGAATCCTCCACTTGCTGTGGGATCAGAGAAATCCCCCGAATTGCGAGTCGGGTCTTCTCCATAGTGGAGGTTCCCTTGATAGCCACCCCCATAGAGAGCTAAGTCATGACCAATGAACTCGTTGTCCTCGCTTGGATCCGAGTTTGGAGAGGTGTCGCGTGGAGAATGCGCACGTGGAGACAACTGCTGCGGCGAATAGCCTTTCGCTGACATATGGGAGCCCTGGGAGTGGGAACTATGGACAGACGCATTAGTCTCACGTCGAGCACGGTCATGAAGACGTTCTCGTTCTCGGTCTTGGCGAGCCTGTTCCTCTTCCTCAGCCATACGCAGCATAGCGAGGCCAGCTTCTGCCTCCGCCTCACTTTCATCGCTGTATGCATCGTAATTGACATGGTACTCAGTTCCCGCAGAGACACTCCCGTTGGTATGGGTATGCTGCTCATCGGGTGATAGTCGCACGTTTGCAGCTGAACCGTACTGTGATGTTCGTGAACTATGGCGTCTATTGAATGTCGCCTGAGTATCCATCACTGCTGACTCGAGCTCTTTCATTAGTTCGCCATTGCTGTGGGTCTGAATGGAAGCTGGCAAGCCATTAGAGGCGGTTTCGGAATCAACTGGTGGTCCGGGAAGAGGTCGTGCTTGAGGATGTCGGGTGAGGGTATCAGTTCGCCTTGGGGGTAGAATTGGTAAGTCCTGCTGTACCGGTGGAGTGGGTAGAGCCCGGCCAGAAGTCGAATGAGAAAGACCAGGTCCCTTGCCATAGACTCCATTGCCTTGTGGCTGATGCACTGGCGGCTCTGGTGGTTGTTCCTCATAGCTGCTGCTTGCGACGGGGGGTTGGGTTGGAGTCGGATAGGGCGAGTCGTATCCAAAGCCACGGGCCACCGGGAAATAAGGACGGCTTGTAGATTGAGACATGTACGATCCTGATGAGTTCGAGGTCGGGGACGTCGCAGCCTGATGCGGTGTGGGAACATTCGTCGTGACCTGCTGAGAGGAGGTAGAGGTTGTCAAATATGGGGCAGGACGACTGCCGTAAGGATGGTCGGGCCCACGTGGAGGGATCGGGGGAGGCTGGGGAGAGAAGCCATACGACTGCGGGGTGGCAGGAGCTTGTCCATAATGGGAGGCTTCACTAGGTCGTCGCATGAGGGTGGGCGAATTCAACCCACTCACCGCAGCAGGCTGGTATGCGGCTGGGTTGTATGGCTGATGACTGGACACGGAATTGGAATACGTGATATTGCTGCTAGGGGCGGTATATGTCAAAGGATTATAACTGAGGTTGGGCTGGGTTTGTGATTGAGGGATCCCGTATTGTTGGGGGTTGTATGCTGGTTGATTGGAGGAGACCGGGTACCGATACCCATGGCTGGACACGCTTGAGGACGTATGCGACGAGGCACGAGTGGGCGACATGCGCGACTGGTCGGATGAAGTGTGCGAAAACCCGGACGAGTCATCATCGTATGCCCCCGGTGAGACGCTATAGCCTGTTTGTCCCACGACACTGTTGTGTGCGTTGCTTTGCACCGAGTATTGCGCGTTGGTACCGGTCGCTTGCGCATTGTGCATCCGCGAAGCGTTGAGCATCTGCGAATCATCGCCAGCATTGTAGCTTGGCATTCGCCTCGGGAGCTGTTGGTTTGAAGTTGGAATCCCCTGGGTGAGATAGTTGTCGTAGCGACCGGTGGATGGCTGAGAAGAGGCCGGGGGGTTATTCGGCTGGCCGTAGTATGCCGGTTGACCGTTTGGGTGCGCCATAGTTGCCGAGTCACCAAGGGGGAATACCAGGTATTGATCACAGTCGTCTCAGGCTCAGGGTAGCTGTCTCGGGTGGGTTTATGGGACTCGCCCACGTCGAGCGGAGGAGTTTAGATCGCCAAGTCGACACGCGATTCAGAGTCGCCCAAATGAGGGGGGTGGAGGCGGGCAGATGACGAACTGCCGGGGGAGCTTCGGGCTGTGAGCATTCCCCGAGAAGCGAGCACGCAGTGCGATGTGAGATTCGAAGGGGAGGGATAATCGAGGAAGGGAGGAGAGAGGAGAGAGGAGGACGGGGCGAACAGGAGGTAGGAAGAAGTCAACATCCAAAGGTCGGGGAGGTTTGCGGGATGGGAGTAGTTTACCATGGACTTGGGAGGTTCCCTAAACTTGCACGGTGTCGTTTCCCCACCGCCCGCGCGACCGTCGACTTCTATTTTGGTGACCGTTGACATCGTCTGTGATCGTCATTTTGTTTTCCTGAATTCTCATACGCTACGAGTCAACTACAATAATGCCCGAGGCCCTCCCCCCCGGCTTATTGGCTGGTTTCGATCTCAGCCCAAGCTCGCTGTCTTGTTTCTCCTCCTCCACGCTCACTAACGGAGAGGTACAGAGGACTTGGGGACGCCTTGAGGGCTATCAAACAGCATCCCCGGGTCTCTAAATGTATTAGCGATTGCATCTCGGGCTCCTGATCTGTGGTGATAAGCAATTGGTCTGCCTTGGTTAAGCCACGGAGGATCTGCTCCCCGCCTCCAAGTCTGTGGGCTGTATTACTTTATTTGCAGGACGAATTACGGAGTCTCTGACACACGCCAGAGTCATGCCTGTATAAACTTCCGGCACAAACTCACTTCAGGAGAACAAACCCAACAGAAAAAGTGACCCAAAAAGCCTTGAGCGGGACCGGCTTCGCCCGACGGTTCTGGATCCCTGCCCAACAAACCCTGGGCAACGTTGGATGGTCAATCACAACATGACATGATTGTTGGGGGCCGACAATTTTCCAAGAGAGCACAAGAGCAAAATACAAAAACAAAACGAAGGGGCCCCACTGGCAATTTCTCGACAACACAAGGCTGAGAGCTGAGTCGAGAAGCTGCGCCACTGGCTGGGGCGAGGGTATAGATCCGCTTCGGAAATGGAGGTGGAGTGGGTGCACTGCCTGTTGTCGGGGCTCCGAGCGGCTCAGGGCATCAGCCACTGACATCGTGCGGCCTAAAATAAATTCTAGGGTCTTCGTGTCCGGGAAGTATCGAATAAGGACGATCATGTCAGGTACGAAAAGTGCCATCCACGACCTAGATCTTTGCCTGTACGTCAATTCGACTCTTCATGTTCCATCTGACGAGTGTGAGAACTGAAAAGTATACATGACCATTTCCAAGCAGACCGTACCCACTGAAGCAGTCATCCATCTTGCCTGGCATCGAGGTATAGATCGGCCTCGTCTGGTCAACGGGTATGGTTCACGTGATAGTCCCATTTGTCCTACAAACATGCGACGGCAGCCGATCCCACAGATCAACACGGGATATGGATCAATTATCATATGTAGTTGCCCATGAAGAGACATCTTGGAGTGGTCGAAGACATCTCATTGACACGGCCAAAGGACCGAAGCCCGAAGACCGCTTGGATCCGCCCACTCACCTCGGCACGATATGCATACCCAGCCGACCCTACACGAGAGTCCTCCGTGGAGCACTGACAACCAAAGAGGTTTGGGCCTCCTGCTTGCCATTGTGCGAGAAAATGAAATTAGATCTGTCCCGCCTCGACCGCAATGGAGCAATTTTCCAACTAGAAATGAGTGAGGGCCGTGACAGCGAGGGTTTGGGAGCCGGAACCGGCTGCACTGTCCAACCCTATGCCACTTGTGTACCTCGGTCAAGCTGTAGCCGATCAGAGAAACGAAAAACAAGCCGGGATTCCAACCTGTACACAAAGGTGAAGAAGGTCAAGAAATTTCTATTCGGGAGAACTATCTAGAAGGCGGGATTGCTCGCAGGGCACAGAGGTTCGTTCGTGCATTCTTATAGTGATCGACTAACCCCTACAGTCATTCCAGGGGTTCATCCCAATCCCTCGGTCGCAGCATATCCGAGGAACAAGTCTCCCTGCTGGCGTCATTGGCCTCCACAATACCGGTGCACCCAAGGGCCGGCGAGACTCACTGATTGGCGATCGCCGTCGATCCCCTCGGCTACCCTCATTCAGAATCGGTGACCAGCCGTCGTCCTTGTAGGCTGGTAGTTTTACCGACTTCCCCGCACGGCAACTTCCCCAGATCGCGCGTCTGGTTTTAAAAAGTGCTCGCGCCCGAACTCTCGCTTTCTCTCCCATTGTTGATAGGTCAACTTCGTGAATTTTCAGACGCACTCCAGACACACACTGGTCGCCTTTCGCATTATCAACTACTCGGAAATTTCCTGCTACATTTTGGATGACCTTGGAGCTACCGACTGGAGATCTGTACAGCGCACGAACCCACGCCCAACCAAATTCGAACCACTATGGTGTTCTTACCGGACGAAAAGCTCGATCCTCTCGGGGCCATCCCCGACAGCATTCCAATTAACGAGTTTATGCTCAATGAGCGATATGGACGAGTCGCCCACGACAGCTCAAGGGACCCGTTCACATGCGGTCTGACTGGCAAGACGTACTCGTCCCGCGAGGTGGTGGACCGAGTCGACCACATTGCGCGGGGTCTCGCCAAGGAATTCGGATGGGCTCCAAACGAGGGTACGGAATGGGACAAAACGCTGGCGGTTTTCAGCGTCAATACGGTAGGGCGAACATTGCAGCCAGACTTGCATGAGGCTACCAGAGACTGACCATCGAACTGCCTTTCTCTTACAGATCGACTCTGTGCCCTTTTTCTGGGGTGTCCACAAACTGGGCGGCATCATATCTCCTGCCAATGCCGCATACTCGGCCGAGGAATTGAAGCACCAAATTCTGGACTCGGGCGCAAAGGCTTTGTTCACCTGTGTCCCGCTCCTGTCTGTCGCACTGGATGGCGCCGCTCAGGCTGGCCTCCCCAGGAGCAAAATCTATCTGATTGACGTTCCGCAACCACTTCTCGGCGGGGCAAAGCCCCCGGCCGAGTTCAAATCTATCTCGCGACTAGCGGAAGAGGGGAAGACCCTACCCGCACTAGAGCCGCTAAAGTGGGGACCTGGAGAAGGTGCTCGACGGACTGCATTTTTGTGCTATTCGAGTGGAACGTCTGGCTTGCCGGTATGCAATGCTACAACTTCAATGATGAATTCCGAAATGGTAGGACTAACTCGAACGCTACTCATAGAAAGGTGTCATGATCTCCCACAGAAATGTCATCGCCAACACTCTACAAATCACAGCATTCGATAAAAGTTACCGTCAACCCCTTCAGCCAAGCGATGGAAAGTCCATTTGGTCCGAGGTCGCCCTTGCCCTGCTACCGCAAAGCCATATCTATTCCCTGGTCGTGATCTGTCACGCTGGTCCTTACCGTGGAGATCAAGCCGTGGTCCTTCCCAAGTTTGAGCTCAAGTCTTATCTGGCCTCAATCCAGAATTTCAAGATCACCGGTCTATATCTGGTCAGCTCTGACTCTCTATTCCTATACCCAAGGGAAAATTTTGTTCTGTGGAAGGTTACTTACAATATGTTCTAGGTGCCACCGATTATTATCAACATGTTGCGCAGCCAAGAGGTTTGTTCAAAGTATGATCTCAGCTCTGTGAAGATCTTGTTCACCGGCGCTGCGCCGCTTGGGATGGAGACTGCGACCGAATTCCTCAAGATCTATCCGAATGTTCTCATTCGCCAAGGATATGGTAAGACTAATAGTTGCCTTCTCCCCAGTATCCAATTCTGACTACGGATGTTTAAAGGCCTGACGGAAACTTCTACTGTTGTCTCCTCCACACAACCGCATGACATCTTCCTTGGCTCTTCTGGATCTTTGATACCTGGCATCGAGGCCCGCATCATGTCGCCCGAGGGACAGGAAATCACTGCGTATGACACCCCCGGCGAGCTGGTCGTCAAGTCACCCAGTGTAGTCCTGGGGTACTTGAACAACGAAAAGGCCACCAAAGAAACATTCGAGGATGGATGGATGCGAACCGGTGACGAAGCCGTCGTGCGCAAAAGCCCCCGAGGCATTGAGCATGTCTTCATTGTCGACCGTATCAAGGAGTTGATTAAGGTCAAGGTTCGTGACTTTCATCTTGAACATGTGGCGTGAGCATCAACGCGGATCGTTAACTCTTGAATAGGGCCTACAAGTGGCACCCGCTGAGCTAGAGGCCCACATTCTCACGCACCCCGATGTGGCCGATTGCGCCGTCATTGCTGTCCCCGACGACATTGCGGGCGAAGTCCCCAAGGCGATCGTGGTCAAGTCCCCTTCTGCAGGCACAGACGAAGCCACTGAGCAGTCGATCAAAAAGTTCGTTGAAGAACAGAAGGCGCGTCACAAGTGGCTGAAGGGTGGTGTTCGCTTTGTAAACGCGGTTCCCAAGAGCCCCAGTGGAAAGATTCTGCGCCGCCTTCTTCGGGACCAGGAGAAGGAGGCACGGAGAAAAGCAGGTGCCAAAATCTAGACGGATTGATATAATTATCGGGCGCACCTTTTCCTCTGAGAACTTTAGCATGCTGTATCTTTATCCCGAGCTTGTTTAAGAATATCTTGTTGCCACACATACACTATAACTATCCTACTGACAATCTAACTTGTTCAAAGCACGATATACGGTAACTGACACTGGAATTTATCTAATCATCGCATACTACCGCTATGTCGATGTAGCTCATGAAGCCAGTGTAATGTCACTCTGTGATATCCCGAAACATTACTAGATTAAAACTGGCATATGGGCGATAATGCATTCATATTGTTTTTTTTTTGATCAATTATTCCTTTCACAACCTCTTCGGGCCTTCCTTTCGTTCGAGCTGAGGCTAAACAGTATCATGGGTAAACGGCCGACAACAACTACATTTTTTTAAAGTATGTGGCCGGAAAGAAAGACAGAGAATTTAGGCCTATATGCTAGTTCATTATTAATCTGTATGGTGCGCAAACTGCCTCGGCATTTAGGAATATAGTCGGTTACTATGCTGATCAATGTGCACTTATCAAATATCTATATGTACGCTCAGTTGTGACTATTAGATAAATTTTTGAAAACTAGAATTGGATTAGCAAAGATATCAAGGTATCAAAAGCGACTAAAACACAACAGAAAAAATCAGATGATTGGGCCTCTTTTCCATTTCAGGATGTGTCGGGCCTCACGGTAATCTTCATCCCACTCATTCAGAATGAACTCATCTACCAGTCGGTCAAGGATATCGAGGACATAATCCTGGCAATCCCATTCCACCGTCTCGTTGTCTACGTAGACCGAGGCTGCTATGTTCCAAATATACGGGATGTCGGAACGACGGATAACTCCAACGTACTCTTTGCCCAGAAAATCCGCAGAATATTCAGGCCTAGTGAACCTCACATTGCGTTTGAAGTATGGGTGTTGTCCAAGAACTTCGAAAATGATAGACTCATTCTCGTCATCAATGTATAGGGCCCAATTGGTGTAATTACCCTCCCAAGGACGATAGAACGCCACATAGAGTCTGGGGTCCGGCATTGCAACTAACTGATATCCGATTAGAAAGTTACCTTGCGAGCAATATTTGCAAACTTGATATAGTTTACCTGAATAATCACTTCTAGGGAGTAGCTGTTCTAGTTTGAACAGTGCTTGGTATCTTGCCCAGAGTATCGCCTGTAGGTATTTATAAGTATGTTCATCCCCAATAACTTGATCTTTGTCTGAAGATATATATCTTTGTCTTCACCGTATGCCTTTGTGATCATGAACGGATACTTGTGAAGACAAATGATAAACTACTTTTTGAGAACAAAGAATAATCTGCTTGACTCAGCCAATCAAACTACTTAATAGCCTTCCGACCGATCATCATCATTGGTCACATATTGACTTTGATCAAGCATTTCCTTCTATTATTATTCATCCCTAGCAAGGCAGTCTATCTAGCTCCATTACCTATAGGTCTGCATCTTGTGAGAATTCAAGGAAATAAGAATAATCCTGTGCGTAAGACTTCACCAAGGGCAGTACGTGCACCCAAACCTCCCCATTGAAAAGTTTTTGCTATCCATCTTTCCATTATTTTCATGAAAGCTTGTGATACAAAGCTTGCGTAGGTTATTTTTTGAGCGATTTTTGTCGATTTTGATGCCTGTCCCTACCCTGAGAAGAAGAGACAGGTCACATTTCCCAAGAAAGCTAGATATCGTATTTCCAATGACTTGCAGTAGGGAGCGGGCAAGAGTAGCATGAATCCAGTCCGAATCAGTTAGTTATATGCGCCTTTTAGACCAAGCCAAATCGGGATTATTTTATCTCCACTACAAGCTAGCCGTTAACGTGGTTAGTTTGCTGACCTTCTTGCTTACCAAACTGCAACTCATTTCCGATGTCGCTTTAGGTCTTCGGTCATGATAAGGTGTCGCCTTGTCACAGAAAGAAGAAGAAATATCCATATCTACAACTCTGTAGCTGAGAACCTTTGCTCAGCTAATCGTCCTACAAAAATGGCATCCCAAATCCATAATCACAGCACATTCAAAGACTTTGACATCCAAAATATCGTGTACAAGACTGTCGGAAGCCATGAGATATACCTCTCACTTCTCATTCCCAAGACCCTCTTGACCAGTGAGCATGCTTCTCATGAGAAAATACCGTTGATTGCGCAGTTTCACGGAGGCTTCCTGATCGGGGGGGCCCGCTTGTACTCACCTTGGCTCCCAACATGGTACGCACCATGAATCGACTATCGAAAGCACTCACAAATAACTTAATTCTGGTTGGAGCTGCACTAACTCCTGCTTCAGGCTGTTTGAACTAGCTACTTCTGAGCAAGCGATAATTGTGGCCCCAGATTACCGCTTATTACCAGAATCCAATGGGCTTGACATTCTTTCCGACTTGGCTAGCTTCTGGTCATGGGTGGAACAGAAGTTGTGGTCAACTCTCAGGAGACTGTATCCATCGTCGAAAATCCAACCAGATTTTGACAGAATCCTTGTATCAGGTCAGAGCGCAGGTGGATACCTCGCGGCCCAGAGCATGCTCCTCCATCCTGAAATAGACATCAAGGCCGTCGCTATGGCATATCCTATGGTCGATCTTCGTGATCGCCACTGGAGTGAGAAATATGAAAAATCAATATTCGGGGTCTCAAATGTACGCGGTTCCTCGAATGGTAAAGGAGAGGCTAATTATAGGGTTATAGCTTCCAGAGGACATCATTGAGCAGCACCTCGCTCAATTACCACATGGGCCAATTGTCACATCTGACGGAGTCCTAATGAAAAACGAAGAGTCCACTCGGGCCCCCCTAGCCTTATGTATTGTCCAGAATGGCAAGTATCTCGATTATCTAGGCCGACAATCAAAGCTCTATCCGATGGAAAACCTCGCTCGGGCAACCAAATCGCCTCGGTTTCTCTGGGTTTATCATGGGAAAGGCGATTCAGCAGTCCCAATTGCCGGCACTGAAAGGTTTTTAAGGGAGCTTCGAAAGCATATGCCCGAAGTCACTGTGAAGTTCGAAGCCTGCGAAGGCGAGCATGGATTTGACAACGACATTTCGCCTGAAGTCGACGTTGACTGGATAAGAACCGGAGTAGCTGAGTTGCGCAAATTTTGGTAGACTCTTGCTCTATATTTATCTTATTCTACTTCAAAGTCTCCATGAAATAACCAATCTCAAAGGACATACGCCAGGTAGGGCGAGCATCATAGCCTCCTTAAGTAAGTAGATGTAGGCGATAAACGGTGCGGGGCGCTGATAGGAGGTATGTTTGCAGCGTTTGACTCCCGCGGGGGAATCGCGGATTTCTAAGCGGGGGACATTGACAGAAAAAAAAGAACTAGCTCGAGCTTGCGGGTTCTTCAACGCTGATAAAGCAGTTTGAGAATTTCTACTCTTGCATCTCTCGATACGCTTTGAGGCAAGATCTTGATCTCTCTTTCAACCGAATATCAATCGAAATCGAATTTATTCGAACGCAACGTTTACTCCGAACAGTACAAAGCACCGCGACAAGCTCCAGAACATACATCTTCGAAATGGCCTCCCAGGATCCGCACCGTGAGGGTGACGAGGACGTGTATGTGGGTGCCGACGAGGCAGAAGAAGTCTTCAATCGCGATGACGACCACCCTATGGAGTCCGACGACGAGGAGGACCAACACATGACGGGCTATGAGGAACAGATCACATTCCAGAACGACTCTGCCGCCCACTTCGATTCGCATAATGATTCCGTCTTCTGCATCGCACAGCACCCCGTCCTCAACAACATCGTCATTACCGGTGCTGGCGATGACACCGCCTATATCTTTGACTCGACGCCTCCCGAGAAGCCTCTTCTCCCGCGAAGCTACGAGTCAAACCCCCAGCCTCGCGAGCGCGAGTCGCTCGTCCCTCTGGCCAAGCTCGACGGACATTCTGACACTGTCAATGCGGTGGCGTTTACAGAGCCCGCGGGTGAATATGTGGTGACAGCCGGCCTGGACGGCAAGCTGCGGGCCTGGATGGATTCCACTCCCCAGAAGAAGGGCGGTGCCTGGGAGTTCGTTGCAGAAGCCCAGGAGGTGGAAGAGATTAATTGGGTGGCCGTCTGTCCCTACGTTCAGGGCAATGAGGAAAAGCGCAACGTGGTGGCATTGGGCGCCAACGACGGTAGCGCCTGGGTTTTTCGCATCGATGCTACCGACTCCGCTCAGCCGATCTCCATCATTCAGTCTTTCTTCCAGCACACTGAGTCCTGCACTGCAGGTGCTTGGACGCCGGATGGCAACATGTTGGCCACTGTGTCCGAGGATGGAAGCTTCTACGTTTACGATGTCTTTGGGGCCGCCGCAGCCGCAGGCATCTCCGGGTCTCCCGGTACCAATGCGATTGTTGGCTTGACAGCCGAGGATCAGCGTTTCGCTGTAGAAGGTGGGCTGTACTCTGTGGCCATCTCACCCGGTGGCGGTATTGCGGCGGTTGGTGGTGCCGAAGGTCACATCAAGATTGTCGGTCTTCCCCGACTTTCCGGTGGTGCGCCGGCTGGCAAGGGCAAGGCCACCGGTGCCCAGTCAGCCACTGCTTCTGCCGCGGGTACTATTCTGGCCGATCTCCAGGCTCAGTCCGACGGCATTGAGACCCTATCCTTCTCGCAACCTCCTCTGACTCTTCTCGCTGCCGGCTCTGTGGATGGCTCCATTGCACTGTATGATGCTGCCCACCGGTTTGCTGTGCGCCGTCATATCAGGGAAGCCCATGAGGGCAATGCGGTCGTCAAGGTTGAGTTCCTGCAGAGCCGAGCCCCGACTGCGGCTCCCGCGCGCGGCCCTCTGGCATCTGCCACCGCTGCTGGTCAGGGACGGTCATGGTTGCTCACTTCGGTCGGGCTTGATGGCGTCGTTCGGCGCTGGGATGCCCGTGGCGGCACTGCCGCTGCCGCACAGGGCCTGCTGAAGGAGTGGAAGGGACATATGGGTGCTGCTGAAAACGAGGAAGGTGAGCAGGCCGGTGGCATCATGGGATTTGTCCAAGGATTCGATGGGAAACGAATTGTCACTGCAGGTGATGACGGCATTTCGCTGGTGTTTGAAGAGGAGTAGAGTCATTAAAATTATATAGAGTTATGCTGCCCGCGCATGTGGATGCGATTTATGATATCATGTTACGTTTATAGAGGGGAAATTGTGCACCTTACCCCCCAATGCAATGGAAAAAGTTAAATGCTTGAAGTGAATGCTTGAATGGATATACCGGGCGTCTCTTGGAATAATTGCCTCGATAAATAGAACAAAAAAGGGACTTTGGTAGTAATTGAACATAGACTATGTACACCCGACAAAATCAATCCATAGCGCCGTCTGCAATCCACACTTCCCCTTGTGACAAAGAAAGATGCTCGTGTCGGCCCAACAAAGCTCCCCGAGGAGACAAAACTGCAAAAGCCACCATCCAAATGGCCTGGTTTTCGACTGAGAAGAGATGACTCGACTGTGTCGGTTTGGGTATTCATCTTTCTATTGATTGTATGTCGGTCGGCGGAATTTTAATCTGATCTTGATTCATGACCACATTTAGTGGTGACCCTCACCGTGGTGGGCATCACCGTGGTGGTGGTCGTCCTTCAGGAAGAAGTGCTCGTATGCGCAGTAGGCAGTGAAGGCGACAGTCGCAACACCCAGACCTGGGAACAGGCCCTTGAAGCGGTTCCACCGGCTGAAGGGACCAGTATAACGCCAGGTCTCACTAATATATGGTTTAGTATTGAGTCGCAATTTCATCTCAGAGGTCCGTCAGGCGGAACGTACTTGCGAGCCCAGGGATCCCGCTTAGCGTAGACGGACAAAGGGGAGGCCGCGGCCTTAAATTGGTTAATATCGAAGCCGGTAGGGTTGCGAGCGGGCATTTTGGCGGTAAATGAGAGAAAAAAGGCGAGAGAAGAAAGAAGGGGAGGCGCAATGATGCTACTTGAGGCCGTAGAAAGCGAAGGACGTGAAGCCGGAGCGGTGCGCTTGGCAGAATGCAGAGCCACTAGACCCGATACGGCGGCCATAGCTCTCCCGCCTTTCGAGGGCCGAAACTGTCACTTCCATCCATGCGCAGACTTCCGATTCCACCACAATGCCCCCTCCTCCCGGCAGATACGGGCCTCAGGGCCTAAGTGCTCCCTATACCTTACAACAAGCTCACCTTCAATCCCAACACCCTGCTCACGCACAGTCCGCCAATACCGCTCTACCTCCCCCTTCGCTCGGTGGCCACCCTGGGTTCGCGGGGAACCCCAACACGAACATGAACCCTTTCACATTGTCTAGTGCCGGCGTAACAAATGGCATGTCAGTCGCTGGGTTTGCTAGTGCTGGCGCTGATGGTGGTGGCACCGGACTAGCTAGCCATGCCGCACAAATGGGATTCGCGCGAGGAGCACAGATGCAACAGCAGCAACTACATCAGGGCCATGACGGACGGTTAGCACTGGAATCCAAGGCTGGTGCTGTCAAGTCACGGATACGGGATGTATGGAAGCATAACTTGGCCCATGAGATGGCTGTTCTAAGACAGTTGGTGGACAAATATCCATATATCAGCATGGTAAGGCACACACTCACGAACTACTTCTGAAAACCCACGCGACCGAGATTTCCTGGCTTGGTATGGGCAGCTCTTTAAATCTTTATACGTTACTGATTCGATGTTTTGAAAGGATACTGAATTTCCTGGAATCGTCGCCCGCCCGATTGGATCATTCACAAACAAAGCCGACTACCACTACCAGACTCTCCGATGCAACGTGGACCTCTTGAAGATGATCCAGCTCGGAATTACTCTGTTCAACGAAGATGGGGAGGTCCCTCCTGCCACAGCCACCGATGCCAATGGACAACCATATGGAAATGCGATGGTGCCCGCTCCATGTACCTGGCAGTTCAACTTCCGGTTCTCGTTGGAAGGAGACATGTATGCCCAGGACTCGACAACTATGCTTGCTAAATCGGGAATCGACTTCAATATGCATGAGAAAAATGGCATTGATCCCTTCGAATTTGGCTCATTGCTGATCAGCTCTGGTCTCGTCCTACTGGACGACGTCCACTGGGTCTCCTTCCACTCCGGCTATGATTTTGGATACTTGATGAAGATAATGCTCTGCTCTCCCTTGCCCGAGAACGAAGAGGAGTTTCACAAACTCCTCAACATCTTTTTCCCCTCGCTTTATGATATTAAGTACCTCATGAAGCACGCGGGACGCAATCAAGCCGTAAACGATTCCCCTCTCACCCCCGCCGCCGCACAAATCCTGGCAAACCTGGGTCAGAAGTCTGGTTTGCAGGATATCGCCGACGAACTCGGTGTTAAGCGCGTCGGCATCGCCCACCAAGCCGGGTCAGATTCTCTGGTCACGGGCGAAATCTACTGGAAAATGCGCCAGCTGGTTTTCAATGGGAAGATTGACGAGAGCAAATATTCGGGACAGATCTGGGGCTTGAACGGCCAAATGCCGGCATTAAGTTACCAGATGGCCCAGCAGACTCCAAACCTGAATGGCGCCACGATCTATTCCGCAGCTGGGACCCCGAGTACGCCCAACACCGGCCATGTTGGGACCGGCGCTCACACCCCTCAACATCACGGCTCTGGTTACCCGACCCCTGGCGCGTACCAGACGAGTAAGTCCTAAGACAAGATAATTGAGGAGGATGTGGGGACGGTTTGACACGATATCATGCATGTACATAGGCACGAGGCTCTTGTGCTGGTTTCCTTATGATCTCTTCGGCATTGTCTTCTCTCGCCTGTCGCTTTTGCATAGGTTCCGTCTGTCGAGTCGGGATCTCTCTGCGTCTGGGGGGAGGTGTTTTCGGTTGGCCAGGAGGGTGTACGGTGTTGTCTGTTTCCTTTCTGCTGTTTTTCTGAGTGTTCGATTTGGCTGGTATCTGAATCCATCTCTGAGGCGTTCGGGCTTCCGGGCCTTTTTTTTTGCCTTTTTGCCATGGTCTCGCTCTATACTTTTTAACCTATAGGTAGACTGGACTGGGGGGGGAGTCTTTATGTACAGCGATATCTTCATATTTTCCAGTTTCGATTGAATACTTCTATTGATCTCACAGCGTACCCACTATAGCAGATGTTTGCCTTTTAGCTGAGGCGTCAAGTTTGTAATAGCTATTAGTATGATTTATGACATAGATTATGCGCTGGACCTCTGTGGAATACACGGTTTCCCCATTGAGATGCGAGATGCGATCCCGCAGGCCCCCGTTTTGCGGCCACGAGAACTGCTCGGGCCCGCCGCGCTTCTAATCAACTCGCAAGCATTAAGTTGCCCGTTTCGCTGTCGAGGCGCCGGTGTCTGTTGCGCTAAACCAAACCGGGGCAACGGATCCGGCCTCCGCAAAAGACGGCCTGGTTCTTATCGATTGAGTGATGGATCGCTGCAGGTAGAAAGCCGGCATTTGAGGGGCAAGAAGCAATAGAAGCAATACACTTAAATAGCTATAGCCGCCTAGACTCTGTGATTATCCAAACATCTTTCCCGTCGATTCTTTCTTTGGCCGCTTTGTTGTTGGTGACTCGAGCCCTTTTCTCGGCCTTTTGTTCCATTTATCGGGACGATAAGAATCGCCGCTCTGATCTGCACGCTCTGAACTATACGACTCTTCCCAATCCTCACCACTGAAGACGCCGGAATGGTTCTGGACAGACTCCAACAGTTGACCCATCAGGTCAGCGCAACGTCTCCACTGCCACATCCTTTGGATCCTCTTTCCACTACCGAGATCGATGCTGCAGTAGCCATCGTTCGAAAGGAGCATGGCTCGCTTAATTTCAATGCGGTCACTCTATACGAGCCGCGCAAAGTCGAAATGATGGCCTGGGTGGCAAGCCCCGATACTGCTCCTCGCCCAGTCCGCAAGGCCGACGTGGTTGCAATTGCGCCAGGCGGGAAAATTTACGATGGCGTGGTAGATCTGAAACAGAACAAAATCGAGGAGTGGAAGCACACTCCGAATGTGCAGCCCCTGATCACGATGGAAGACCTGCAAGAAGTTGAACATGTGGTACGCAAGGATCCAAAGGTCATTGAGCAGTGCGGCATCATTGGCATCCCACCACAAGATATGCACAAGGTTTACTGTGACCGTGAGTGTCTCGCTCGATTCTATCGTTCGACCTCCAAGGAACTTGCTAGCTAACGTCTCATTTCTAGCTTGGACTATTGGCTACGACGAGCGTTTTGGAAGTGGCGTTCGATTGCAGCAGGCTCTTATGTATTATCGTCCTCATCCCGATGACTCCCAGTATACCTATCCTTTGGACTTCTGCCCTATCTACAATGCCGAGACCAAGCAGATTATCCATATCGACGTGCCCCCAGTACGGAGACCCATCAGCAAGGCACCCCCAAATAACTATCACCCAGACGCAATTGAGAAGGATGGCGGCTTCCGCAAGGATATCAAGCCTATTCACATTACCCAGCCTGAGGGAGTTTCATTCGAGGTCAAAGGTCGCACCATCGAGTGGCAAAACTGGAACATCCACGTTGGCTTCAACTATCGTGAAGGCATTGTACTCAACAACATTACTTTCAATGACAAGGGCAATGTACGCCCAATTTTCTGGCGTTTATCACTAGCCGAGATGGTCGTGCCATATGGGAACCCGGAGCATCCTCACCAACGGAAACACGCCTTTGATCTTGGTGAATACGGCGGTGGCTACATGACTAACAGCTTGTCTCTGGGCTGTGACTGCAAGGGCGCAATTCACTATATGGACGCGGCATTTGTTAATCGTGCTGGTGCATCGACCATTGTCAAGAATGCCATTTGTATCCATGAAGAGGACGCTGGCATCCTTTTCAAGCATACCGACTTCCGCGACGAGTCAATCGTGGTCACACGTGGTCGCAAGTTGATTATTTCCCACATCTTCACTGCCGCCAACTATGAGTACTGTGTGTATTGGATCTTCCACCAAGATGGCACTGTGCAACTAGAGATAAAGTTAACCGGTATCCTAAACACCTACTCCATGAATCCAGGCGAGGATACAAAGGGCTGGGGTACTGAAGTCTATCCCGGTGTCAATGCCCACAACCACCAGCACCTTTTCTGTCTTCGTGTGGATCCAAACATCGATGGTCCTAATAACACAGTTTTCCAAGTCGACGCTGTACAAGGACCGGGCGAAGTTGGCAGTGCCGAAAACAAGTACGGCAATGCTTTCTACGCTAAGAAGACCAAGTTCACCACTCCGCTGGAGGCCATGTCAGACTATGACGGCTCCACGAGCCGCACATGGGAAATGGCTAATACCAACAAACTTAACTCGTACAGCAAGAAGCCTGTCTGTTACAAACTTGTTAGTCGGGATGTGCCACCTCTTCTCCCCAAGGAAGGTGGTCTTGTCTGGAAGCGAGCAGGATTTGCTCGCCACGCAGTGCATGTCACTAAATGTAAGGAAACCACTCTACATCCCAGACCCATTGAAAAATAATAATATTCTAACAAAATCCCCAGATTCGGATGATGAGATCCACCCTGCAGGTCGCCACGTCCCGCAGACTTCAGGCGAGCCCTCTGCGGGTCTGCCAGCTTGGATCGAAGCTGCCGGTCCGAACTGCTCAATCGACAACACAGATGTTGTGCTCTGGCACACATTCGGTCTGACCCACTTTCCCTCCCCAGAAGACTACCCCATCATGCCCGCTGAGCCTATGACCCTTCTTCTTCGTCCACGAAACTTCTTCGATCGCAACCCCGCTCTTGACGTGCCACCCAGCTATTCCCGGACACCAACACAAGTTGCCTCGGGAGCAGGTGCCTGTGGTTGCAAGAAGAACGATGGATCTAGCGTATTGGTATGAGTTCCAGCGAGTACAGTCATATGTCACGATTCTATTGGTGAGAATTAGGGAATTCTTGTACATTTTTATATAACCATGATCATCTGAGGCTTTCAAATAGTGATGTCTTCTCTTTAAATTGAAATGTATTGTTTTTCGATAAAAGTACCCTCGCCACTTTTCAGGGCTCAGGAGCAAATTCTCAAAATAATCCACTTTGTGTTGTTCGAATGGTGCGTTACCACCAAATCGCACAAATATTTGAGCATAACTAGGTCGTAGATACATTGGTTGTTTTCGGACAAAGATCAGGACGTCGTCACCTAATATATCTGAGTGGATGGTTTGAAGAGCTATCAATACTATTAGCAACCTGCAAAGATTGTGTTTGGGATCTCAGAGGAAGGGACTTGGGTGTTAACAGACTTTACAACATATTCTTACTTAGACTCCTGGTATACATTCTTTGATTAACCTTATCCTCTTTTTCTTATGATGTTCCAGTATCAGAATCGTAATGGATACAGGGAAAGGCACTGCCTGATCCGCGGCAAAGCTCTGAAGCTGGGGGTTGAAACCAGAATATTCTACTATCTGCTCATAATGGAGCGACATTGCAGATGATACACCTGCTATAACACCAGGCAAAGCGGTATGAGACCGTCCAGTCTGAGCCTCGGCAAGGCTCCCAGTGATTACATCCCACGCTGCTTTCGGTCCCGTGGGATTGATATCCTCGCCAGGGGGCTTATCTAGAGAAACATTTGACATGTCTAAATAATTTCCATTTTCCGTTGACGGTTCGGCCTGAAATACAGAGTCTTGGCTTTTGGGGGCAGGAAGAAATGCTTATCATTTTATGTCCATTCTAAGCATTTAAAACTAAAACACATTTATCTTTACGAATATGAATATTCAAAGTCAATGGACAGCCTACTCGAAATACGTCTACTTCTATAAATCCTAAACGTGAAACTCTGATACGTATTATGTTCCGAAGCCATAGCGTTATGCTCGTGTCTGTAACGGAGCTGTGACTGTATCTGAATAGTGAACATGAAGAATTTACCTACTTTGAGTACTTCTCGAAAAACGAGCCATTTTGAGTAATTAAGGATCGAGGCGAGTGAAATTTCTGGATTTGATTTCCCCCACTTCTGGATCAAAGTAGTGTCGGAGTCGCAGCGCTCGTATCTTTTCGCAAGGTGCTTTGGCCATCTTGGGATAAGGCATTATTGATGTTTCCTCACGTTATATCAGCTCTCTATAAAAATGAACATTGATCCTGGTCAAAAACTTCACTTATCTATCTTTATAAAGAAATTGAATCAGTAAAGCTCCCACGGCTCTTGAATAATCAAACTTGAGCTAGTTGAACGTGGAACTCCTCACCATGTCGAATTATTCAATCCACTCTATCATCGCGGCATACGGCCTTGGCATTGCCCCTCATACATTTTATCTCGTTAAAATGATGGCTAATGCCCACGGCCGGTCAACCAATATTCTGTATGTGCCCCAGATCAAGTGAGATTCGTATATCTCTAACATTTTTGCAGCCCACGGGGGAATCTGACCAATTTGAAGGGGCAAATTCCATCACATGTATGGGACAAACTTGCAAGAGCACGTGGTGCGCACCTGAATGCTATGGAAGGGATTCCAATGTTTGCTGCAGCCATGGTACGTTGACTTTGACTCGTAATTTATGCAATCATGTTGACTTTTTTTCATAGTTGGCAGGAAACTTGGCAAAGCTTCCTGCAAAAGACTTGAATAAAATGGCAGTAGAATACCTTGGTGCACGACTTCTGTATACAATGGTCTATATGGGAGTAAAGTCAGAAGCTGGGAGTTATCTACGGACAGGGGTTTGGGCTTGGAGCATTTCCATTCCGATTTGGGCTCTCCTAAAGGCCGGAAGTGCTCTGAGAGATTTAGAATGATGATCACTACTTTTTTCTAGGTCTAAAATAGTCATTCTGATCACGCGGTCTGGCATTTTGCTCATGTTGATCAATTAACAAATTTTACTGTCACAGCTAGCTTTTCTCCAGTGATAGCCGCCTCTCACCCCTACTATCCCTAGCCCGATTACACCTGTCAATAACTCCAAATTCAAATGCCCACCACCATCTTTCAAACACAAGTTGTCCTATCTCCCATATGTTTTCCTCAAAAGGATCTTGGCCGAATATTCTCATGCCTTCTCCACCATCATCCTCCAAGTCATAAACCAATCTGAGAATGCCCATAGGATCGCGAGCATTCTCCGGTCGAAAATTAACAGGAAGATGAAATACTTGAATCAACTTATCTCTGGTACTAGGCCAAGGCAATAAATCTATGATCGGATGGTGTGGAATACGGCGTTGAATTGGTGTGGGTCGCAGATGATATGGAATATCGATCAGATCCACTGAATTTGCTGGCGATGCAGTCGACTTTGGCACGCTACTTTCCAAGGATGGGAGCGATGAGGTCGATGGACTAGAATCAATCCCCGTGTAGAATGGACTGACAGCAGTGAAATCCCAGATTAATTGGCCGATACGTAATCGCTGGGCCACTTTGACAGCAGCATTGAGAAGAGTAAGAGAAGGAACTTCAAGAAGACGATCATCAGGGAAAGTAAAGAATTGGGCATCATCGACCTGAAGCTCTGCAGATATATCATCAAATGGACCAGTGAAGCCGCATTGGATGCCGTCTGCAAGTTGTTTGTCAAGATCGCTGGGTTTGACAGCTTCTGGATTTAGCTCAGAGCTTGTAGCTAGTTGAGACCAGAATAATTCGTCTTCCTTAATACATGCTAAGGACAATAACTCTTCCATTGTGGATTTTTTGGAAGATGAAGTCAAACCATTTGGTGATTTTATTGACGAGTGGGGACGTAGCGAGTCAGAAGATATCAAATTAGATTCCTGACTGTGTGTATCAATCCCAGACGATTCGATCAAGTTTAAGTCCCCATCTATCTCCCTTATTGTAAATATATCATTAGAAGCTCCAGAAGGGGGGCCTTCTCTTGCAGAGCAGTAAGCGTCCCCCCGAGAGCTTCTGGTAGATACTTGATATTTGGCGGTGGCTGCAGCAAAGAATCTTCCTTGGTCAACTGAAGTATTTCCGGATGCCTCGTGGAATCTAGCACGAGTCTCCAACTCGTGCAGACGCTCCTTCTTTCGCCTACCTGTGAGATCAAGTTACTCAGAGTCCATTAGTGGAGGGCGGGGTATGGAATTACGATATCTCCGTTGAGCAAGTACGTTGAGAACGCGCTTACGTTCTACGGTATCTTCATCAAGTGATGGAGGAACCAAGTCCTTTGTTATGGTCCTTGGAGCCATTTCGAACAGCTTGGCAATCAAATATCAGATGGTATGTAGGAGCAAAAGTTAGATATTTTAAAGCGGCACCTTGAAGCTGCTCAGCTTCTTGGCGCTCGTATTCGAGATTACTGAACACTCCTGCGAAGATCATGGGCGGCACTTCCACGGCGCATTCAACGCCATCATTTCTCAGAAAGCATGGGCGAGGTGATTAGATTATTAATGGAGGTATTTTATTCAACGGTTACATGAGAACAGTCATAAAAAGTACTTGCTGTGGTCCATTTGCAAATGAAAGGTAATATGGAAGACAACCAAAAAAACGACACCTCAGGGATTCGAACCCTGGCTGGCGAACCAACGAGATTAGCAGTCTCGCCCCTTAACCACTCGGGCAAAGTGTCTTACGTTATACAGACTTCAAAACTTTATCTTTATCAATCAAATGTTTGCTACGAGAATAAGGTCGTATATTCGCGAAAAATAACAACCCCGAAATAAATCAGACAGCGTGGCTTCGCCAGGATTTTCTGCCGGTAGTCCAAAAATTAAATGTCATTGAATCTGGTACCCTAGTATTCTGTTCTCTGTAAAATAATACACTGTTATCCGCTACGATATATGGGTTCTAGGCTATTAAGTCGCTCACCCGTTGATATGATATAAGGTCTTTGTGGCTCAACATTGAAATCACGCGCCAGGCGTATTCCCTTATGGGTAAAATGATGAATGAGTAAATATTCCACGCTGTTGTATATATTTGGGGAGTTTATTACCCCAGACTGGGAGATGCAATTCAGCAAAATAATCTGATATACAGTCTTCTTTAGACAACAGGCTTGAAAAAGCTTATTCCACATATCCTCGACAGCTGTGCTTAAGAACATTGCTTTGGACGTGCATAGAAATTCTTACCGTGTGAACTAGTGATCGGCCTGACGATTCCCTTTTACTCATATAATACCAGATTATTTGTATACTATGTTACCGCATAAGACAAGCCTAGAATGCCAATATGGACGCGTGTCAAATTTATGAATGAAGGTTTTGTTTTCATCCCTATAATGTCGTACAAGTTGGATTCTGTATTTTAAAGAGATAATTCCTGGGGAGCTTACAATTTCTTTACTATTTTATTAGAAGTAAGTTGCATATAGTCCGAGATTTGGTGTGAGTTTCTGTATGATATTTGCGAGAGCAATAAGGTAGGGGATCCGGTGAGTACCGAAGGGTTAGGACCGAGCTTCAATTACGATACCAGGTGGCATGACCCATGCCGATTACAATAAACATCGATTGATAAACATACTTCATCTATGCCACCCAAAATTACTATACAAGTGAAAGAGGCTTGAGTGACTATCTGCGAAGTTACAAAACAGGAAATCAACCATCAGCTGTACGGAGACAAAATGGTAGTTTGAAATTCTGATCAAGAATATATAGTCTATTGTGGTATCCAAGAAGGTCGAATTCTTTATGGAGGGTCCTTCTGAAATTCTATATGGTAGGTTGTCTATTCTTTTACGGTATAGGTGCTTTGGAGCACGTCGAAGACCCTTATTTTTGACCTAACTGACAATATTTTATATACATCAAGTCCTTGATATTCAAATCAGATAAGACACTTTGCCCGAGTGGTTAAGGGGCGAGACTGCTAATCTCGTTGGTTCGCCAGCCAGGGTTCGAATCCCTGAGGTGTCGATCTTTTTGCCGATCCAGAAATTGCTTCCATGCTTAAGATATAGGTAACATTTTTTGCTGCTTTCCACTAGAAAATATTGCTCTCTTATAGTTTTTTTCTTCATAAATATTGAGGTGGCAGCTATTGTTCTTTGTTATAAATTATCTTGTCAGGTGTAGATTGTGTACAAAATACATGGATCCAAATATATATAATTCACCATGATACGGACATAAGTTGAAGGTTGTACAACCGACGATGGGATCATGACTCGGTGTTATATGACTACAGCTACTATCAGCTATCCGCAGAAGGCCTATTTTGTATGGTCATATATCAATCAACCGGATTGAGTCATCTTCCAACGTTTAAACTCTCAATCCACTGAGTGAACTGACCTTATCTCATTATTCTGTACCTATGTTGGGCCACGAACCAAGGCGAACAAACAAGGGCTCCAACAAGTCAATCAGTAGTACGCTTGTCTTGTTGGGCTGAAGGTAGTGACACAGCAAAGCTGGATAGGTGGCTGTAAATTTATCGCAAGCAAAGACTCATGAATGATGATAATTTAGCTTCATACTTGTACAATGAGTGAATGAAAATAAGGTCCATCTAGAAACCTCTAAGTTGACCATATCTGTACACGTAACTAGAGATTATTTCAGTGGTACCCACGTCCACACCTAAGGATATCATTCTATCGGTGGAGCCACGAGCGGGAGCTCCAAGATTTCTTTCACTAAAACGTTCTTTACGCTTCCTCATTTAAAATCGGATTCCAATTTTAAAAAAAATTTAAAAATAAAAAAATAAATCAAAAGGTAGGGACAAAAACCATGCATATTGTGCAAGGTTGGGTGTATAGTGTATTGAATGGCAAAAAACCCTCCAAAAAACGACACCTCAGGGATTCGAACCCTGGCTGGCGAACCAACGAGATTAGCAGTCTCGCCCCTTAACCACTCGGGCAAAGTGTCTTACGTTATCAGTTCGCCATTTTAAAACATAAATAAAGAGCACAATTACATGTTATTTGCTGGTTCAACGTTATTAATTTCACCAGCAGCTATTCCGCATACCTAACGAAGCCGGTGGGATTGCAGCTAGAAAGTCAGTATGAGTATAGATCAATCAGAGCTCACCATTCTACCTCGATCTGTGTATATTCTGGAAAGGGCCCATGCAGGACGGGTGGCCTGAAGGGTGATTCATTGCCTCGAGCTGTCATTCCGTTGCACATGATATTGTAATTTTGAATTCCTAGTCACAGCTTGCGGATATTGATCAAGGATTCAAATGGCTTCCCGGATTTTTCCAGATGAGATGACATGCGGGTACAAAATTCTAAGAGCGTCGCATGGACCCTGTTTTGTTTTACCCAGTCTCACCTAATCTCTGTCTCTTAACCGCCCGAGGCCTTGGACCCTGCCAAGATTTGGGGCCCACGATCCTGCGATTTGCCCCCGTAGCGCCCATGGTATTCATACGAAGGTGCCAACTTTCTGCTTTAGGCCCGAGATAATTTTGAACCGCTTACAATTATATCTCTTGCATAGATACCTTCCCATAAACCCTTGTAAGGCTTCAAAATTCCGTAGACTAGATATAAGGTTGATTGATCAAAGCCATAACCTTACAGAGAATATCTTTAGGGCCATTATCAAAGCATGGCACCATGCGTTTAAGGAAAAAGGCTCCAAACTTGCGGAATGGAGTAACGGATTTTTAGCTGTCACCGTTCTGCTTTTTCACTTCTAGGCGTCCAATATTACGCTTTCCAACGAGCCACGAAGAGCGATTCGCTAAATTAGCGCCTTGTACAAATTCTGAACAAGGCCAACCTTTACATGGTATTTGAGTAATTCTAACCTGCCTATAAATACTATCTTCATGCTTCAACCAGGCTCAACACTCTATTGGAGAGCTGTGAGAGGACTCCAAAGCTCTCAGTTCTCTCAGCATGTCAGATCTATCCTACAATCAAAAATATTATAGGATGATAAAGCCTGCTCTATATAGTGCTCTTGCTATGCTAGGGACTTTGGGAATACTCACAGTATATTCAAAATCCTGTGTGTTATTTGCTCACTCTCACGCTTATGTTTCCCGGTACTTGCCCTGAGAGTGCAAACTGACGAGATTTATAGCTCCATCGACGGCGTATTCGACTACAGTCCAGACACAATCTAGTATGTTGACCCGACCGCTTGGTCGGCCTACACACTCTGTGCTGATCCAACCGCCTGTCTCGAAAACATTCTTGCACTCAACCGCATCACCAGAACCAACAGTCGCGACTAGCTCAAGTCAACCAATAATTGGAAAAGTAACGATGATATATGGGGACTTCCCAATCTATGAAAAGGCACTAGTTTCTCATGAAGAACATGGCCGCCGGCTCAATTATCCGGTGTCTGTTCTTCGCGATCCGATCATTGATGGGGTATGGAACAAGCCTCTCGCGATCCTATCAATCATACTCCGTGAATTAGAGAAGCCCCTAGATCAGCGATTACAGTGGATCTTGTGAGATTAAACCTGGAAATGATACACAGACCACTTTATACTAACAATACGAATTCTTTAGTTGGTTTGATAGCGATACAGTTCTGATGAATCTGAACTTGCCTCTAGAGACCTTCATTCCACCTCCATATCTATCAGAAATCCACATATTACTTTCCAAAGACTGGAACGGAATAAATAATGGAAACTTCTTTATCCGTGTGCACCCTTGGTCGGTCAAATTACTCAATGCCGTGATCAGCTATCCCTACCTACATCAAAATGCCAACCTTCCCTTTCGGGATCAATCTGCCCTGAGCAATGTTATCAACGAGAATAAGTATTTTACTCGATCTGTTGCATATTGTCCATCTCGGTGGTTCAATCCGTATAGAAGGTCAGAGAATGGGGAGCTACCGATAACTGAACACTTGAATCCGGATATGCGAATACACCCTGGAGACCTTCTCGTTCACTTCCCGGGGATATATGGAGAAGCATTGGATAAGGGTATGAAACCATATATTGATATCTCCGCCGAAGAGAGACCAGAGTGGAACAAGGCCGTGGAAGAAACTGGTTACATAGAGGAAACATCCTCATTCTGGGAGGATTTTTGGCTTCCGCCTATTGAGGAAGGATATCTTCCGCCTTCTTGACCAGTGACACCGTCGAGAATATTCCTTGATATTACTTAAGTAGATGTTTTTGATCCAAAATTCCCCCGCAAAGTACACACAGAATAAGATTAACAAGGAATGAGTATATATATTTCACCTAAGATGGCAGTATAAGACGGTTGAATGCCCTTTCCGAGAAATCATCGAAGTGTCTTTGGAGTGTATAGATCATGATGCGGTTTATTTAAAACGCTTTTGAAACAAATCCAAAAAATGAAGAAAGATAAATAATAGGATTGAAATAAAATAATACCTTTAATAATAAAAAATGGGGCTTTGAAATGATGCACTGGAAATCTCAAGTCTTGTTAAACGTCATTAGCTATGAATTCGGCTATGACTTATAGTTAAGTGAAGTTGCTGGGCCCTGCATTAGGAATATTGTTCATGAGCTTTATAAAATAGTTTCAACTTTATCTTCCCTATTTTAGATAATAAAACGACTAAATGACGTTCTTACTCGACTCGTGAGATGTATAGACTACTTGGGCATTGTTCTCCCAAAGTGAAAGTTAGGACAAAGAACCTATCAAAAATCATATTCCTGGCTTGTATTTCTTTGTTGACATCTTATATTACAAAAATACGTGAGTAAGCTCATGCTCGAAAGGTGAAGATACATCAAAGTATAAAAGCCGTTTGTATCCCTTTCCAAGTATAGTTGAGCCTCCACGTAAAGAACCTGTGCTGCGCGACAGGAGTATTCTTGGGTAATTTGGAAGTCACTGAGATTCCCCTTTGAAATAAAACCATAAAGACTGGTTTATTATACCGAGACAAACAAAAGTACATAATGGGCCCGGCGAGGACAATGGGTGTTAAACCCCTCTCCCTTTACGTCCAGGTCCTTGATACACGACGACCTGAGATCCTCCAAACTCTGAAAAAATATTTAACAGACCCGAGAACAGTCACTGACGGTGAGATCCAGAGCAAGCTAAATCTATGGAGCCGCAGCTTTGTACACTACCGAGATCAAACAAAAAATGGTGCTTTCGCTAGTCAATGCAACGTGATTGCCCTGTCTATGCTTGATCTGGGTGCGAAGATCTACCACGATACCCAAGTTACTTGTGAATTTCAATTTCTTACGTATCAGATTATTGGAATGGTGGATGGAGTTTCAGAGGGAACTTGGTAAGATCTAAGCTATTGAACCGGGAGGAAATTTGAGCTTGCATGCTGCTGAGTCCATTGTCTTTCTATTTTCATGGGAATAAGGGTGTAACTCAGATTGCTTATCATATTGTGTTTTTCTAGATAGCAAGGATGCGTTGTTCTTTGCTTCATAAAATAAACTTAAATTTATGTATTCTAGCCAATAAAGGTCGTTTGCGTAATGAATTTGTTAAAAAAAATTTGTTAATTGATATAAATAACTTCAGTCAGTACAACGGGAACCATGTCGAGGAAAATGATAAATTTCTCCGTTACTCAGGGCCAAACTGTTCCGCTCTCAGAGTTCCCCATCCTCCATAACATTCAAGGAGTATTCAATTTAGAGATGACATCTATCGGGGAAATAATCCACGGAAAAGCAAAGATCGGCATGATGACGGCCACCTTCAGCTCATTTATACGAACCTAGTGGCACATGCACAATAATGGCCAGCTACTCCAGGTGGTATCAGAATCTGGCTGGAATTGTAAACAGGGAAAACTGTCCCTAAAGATCAAAAAGAAGGAGATAATTTTGGCATTTCCGGACCTCACGAATTGGTACGGGGCCGATGGGGGAGAGTATCAAAACACCTTTGGTGGTCAGAAAAGATCTGAAAGAAGAAGGTCACTAATGAGTTGCTCTTTCTTCAGTGATAAGATACTTCTATTTTGGGCTGGAAGTCCCATATATGATAGCTGATGGCTTGACCAGGGCTTGGGATGAACTTGGTCGTTCGTTTGACGAGTCACCCGTCATGAACATATGTTCCACAATATCCCGAAGCATATCGTTCATGAAGTGAGGACCTTGCTAAAGCAAGAAGCCAATTTGTAAGGACATCATGGGAGGCTGAGAAAAAGATGTAACATCTTTTCGTAATTTGGTGTACCCAATCCCGTCACAGGATCCCACCTATTGATCCCCAGTCAATTGAATCCAGCCAAATTAAGACCAACATCCACTTACCCTACAGCTGCTGTGAATCCCTGGGTTCCACATCCTGGATTTGACCCTATCACTATATCATTAAGAACCCATTCATTGTCATATAGCACCGGATTTAGGAACCCAATGGGGCCCTTCCCAATTGCTAATCGCTCATCCACAATACGATTAATTATAGCCGCAAATATCGGTGTGCCTGCAGTCCATATCAGCTAGAAAATCAAAGGTCTTACAATTGCTGCCTCTAGGGTTTCTCACTCGCACTTGTTCCGCCTGTATGGCCGAACTTGGCTTCATACCAAAGCGCTATGTTATCGGCAACTGCAGCTACATCGGGGTAGCCCCGACCAAGACGATTGTACAGACCAGAGCTGCCTCCAGATGTCCAGTTTCCCTCGTAAAAAGGATATCCTGGATTGGAGTTGCTGAAGTATCTTGTTAATGGACCCAGTCAGTATCCCCACAGGGAATGAAAGCTCGTCGCATGAAACGGGAATATACCTAGAGACAGCCGCTTCCTGGTAAGTAGGGGCTGGGAATACATTGCTAAAGCCACCACCTGATGATAGAATGCTCTTTCCATCACTATTGTGTAGTGCAATCTCAGGCTCATAGGATGTATGTTCCGGTAGTACCTTGGTACCCCCGACAGATGTTATATATGGACAGCTAAATAACCTTTTGTTAGCTTTTAATAATAAATTCCATGTTGTGCAGATGAAGTAACTGACTTGGCTGGGAACGTCGGACTGAATATGTCTTTTCTCGGGCCTAGGCAGCCGTCGTGGCCTGCGACTCCGTTGTCACCGGAGGCAAAGAGGACTGACACCCCTTGCAGACCGAGTTTCATGTACCTGCTGGGTGTTCTGATCAGAAACTCCCAAGCTGGTAGTAAAAAGGGAAAAAGTATGATTTGAAACACATGACGTACTCATTGCACTGTCGTCTCTGATATGGAGCCGGAAAATTCTGCTCGGGGCCTCCATATGATATGGAAATGACGTTGGCTGGCTTGTAGATGCCACAGGATACCTTGTCGTCAAGCTCAAAAAGAGATTCAGGATCAGCCATTTTGGAATCATCACATTGTTTGGAAGCACAGTAATTGCAATTTGACTGCTTCATCATCAGAGTCGGAAGAAAATATTCAACCATACGAAGCTTACCCCATCAATTGCATTTAAGAAAGCGTCGAGAAAACCACGAGATGAATTTTGAGCATCCAGGTGATTATATGACTGATAAACTGTGATCGTCTGCGGGTATACAATGGGATACGCAACTTGAAGGTCTAAAGCTGATTCGAGGCCGAATTTTGATGATGATCCTCCATCTTCACCCGTGTTGTCAATCGTGGCCACCAGAGGACGAGTACCTTGAGGAATATTGGTCGTTTGATTCTCAAAAAAGGAATCTAGATCTTCAGCATGGAAATAGTTATCTTCCTGGAATATTCCCAAAGAATTTTGAGGATGAGCCTTAGTGGCAAGCGGAACCTTGTACATAGCTCTGATGCAGTCCGGCGTAATTAATTTTTCACAGCCTAGCGATTGGAGCGCGAACGGGCCATCTGGGTCAGGAAGATGCATGGGCCCTGAAGCACCGTGAATCAGGATATTGTCTCGTTTACGAAACAACGTCTGCTGCTGCCCAGACGCTGGGAGTCTGATACCCGGTTCTATATAGTCAATATGCTCCTGGATGCTGTGCGGGAGATGGTACCTGATTCATTTAGCTTTCGGAATTCAAGACCAAATATTAAGGACTCTCGACATACTTTTCACAAGCAGTGACAAATTGACCGGTCTGTGAGTTTTGATACTGATGATATTGAGTGTGTAACAATTCTTCCAGCTCTTTGGCTGTAGCAACAAAGGCTAGCCACCCTTTATTATCAGTCAAAGAGATACGCACGTCGCTGATCCCGGACTCATTTAGCCACGACCTCGCGAGTATGATGGTGTTGTCCGAGGGTGCGAAGGCATCAATGACCTGATCTGCTGACCAATGCTTTCCGTAGTTTGAAGATTGAGGATGGGACCTTTAGCACATTTTAGACACAATTTGATTGGTCTTTGTGACAGGTAGAGATGGTGGTATTACGTAGCTTACACGTCCAGTAAATACTCACCCGCCCGGTGCAGGTTGTTCTGTTTCAGTCCAACTCGGACCTGCAACAGCGAGTCTGATTTAGATCGACCGACTGACTTCCATTCGGGGAACATCCAATCACGTTTTTCATGAATGACGTGTGTAGGTGGCAGAGCATGTGCTACAGTGCCGACCGCAGTTGCCAGTGCAACCCAGAAAAAGACTCTTGTTCTTGACATCGTTGTGCTGGTAGCAGAGACAGTTAAACTGGGAGGAGCGTAGAGGAACAATGGGAGATAAGCAAAGCCGGGTAAGAGGGGATCCTGGCGGGCCAAATGTATCTTACCTGTTTTACCCGCACTGATTTGAATACGGACACTAGTATTGCCTAGTATCCCTTGCAGATCTTACTGCTTACTGCTGACAAGGCCCTAATTTCCCCAGGCTGCTTCCTCGAGTAATATGTAAAGCATACCCAAAATCTGCAAATCACTTCCAGTTTAGACCCCAAACGGAATGCAGTGGAGCATTTGATGAAACAGGCATAAGGTTGGAGTGGTAGGGCCGGCACGAGAACAAACCGACGTCTCAATTACTAACAACACAGCAAATCGAGCGGTCCTATAGCTCACATTTTAATGGCCAAATATTCATCCCGGTTTTCGTTCCGGTATGCACCGGTAGACCACCATGTAACACACGCTCGTCCCCAGTCCCATTATCCACAACATTGATCCAGAAGAGCGCATTTCCTGGTATTGGTCTAAACATGATTCCCTCAAACGAGCTATTTTGAATGGCCTTGCCTTCAGAAACCAGGCTGGAAGCCGAGGATACAACGCGTGGAAAATATGTCTCTCCTCCGGTACAGTCAGCCTCCAAGAAGACAAAGATACTGGCAACACGATTGCACAGTCGACCGTCTTTGTAGCGCATTGACTCCCGAAACCAATCATAGTGGAGCTTGTATTGCTGGCCAGGCTTATATGTCACTAGTTGAGGGATGCCGAACTCGTCGGAGGCCTCGGTGAGTGATCCCATTAGGGAGAGTGCCCGACTCCCTACGCACGAGACCGGAGGCTCTGACAGTGGCAGCCCTGCTGACTGGGATGATCGATACGCATCACCACTCGTGCCGGTTGACAATTTTGAAGGAGAATATAAAGTTTCCCTGCGGATTGTGGCTATCATTAGCTATTAAAAAAGTAATAACATCGCAAAATTCCCGAATTGGGTGCCGCAGAATAACAAAAACTTAAGGCTCACCCAATATAAAGTAGTTGAGATATCTCCACCTCGCTGACAAAGTTATCTAGGTAGACTAGCAAAGGGTCTTCCGACACAATCTGTGTCTTATAGGGCAGGATCTCGCAGACTGTTTCTTTGGACCACCACCGCGCCAAGTGACTTGTATTTTGGGAGTAAAGATGAAGTCCATAACTGCAACATATTGCGATTAGGACACTGAAAATGTTCCAGATGGACATCATTTGCCTATAGCCAATTGATACCCAGAGGAGGCTTAGGCTGGTGATATCTCCAAAAACTGGGAATCCGAGACACACGGATGCAGGGGAGCTAATTTATATACAGCTGGAATGTTTCAATGGCGCTGATCTTTTTATTACATCAGCGAGGGATTAAATAGGAGTGTACCGCAATACGATTGAAAGATCATTTTAGATGACGGGGTAGGAACTACTTGGTAAACATCATAGTGACAATAGTCATGGAATCTTTCTAGTATGGAATTTTCAAATACGGCCGGTCTTTGACTCGATTCAAGAAATCGGATCTATATTGGAGGCCCGAACACCCGCAGGGTTTCCATTACAGCTCAACTACAGCCAACTGCCAATGTAGCTCAAAATCAGCCAGAGTATAAAAGCCAAAAAGCTTATAGTATATACGTATGTTGCCGAGGCAGCTAATATTGGTACTTTATGAATCTCTTTGTGCTTATAACAGACATTCAGATCCAAAAAGAAAGCTGCTCATAATGGTGTCATCTTATCCGTGGTCACAACTTTCAGTCTCTTGCCTCCGAAATATAGTCCCACATAGCAGGGGCACTCTATCCTCTCAGGCACTTGGGTTACCAGGAAGTTGTTTACTTTTCCTCAGCCCTAGCCACTGTTAGACTCTCAAAACGGAACGAATCCAAAAAGTATGGAACCTACAAGAACCCAAAGTCATCTGGAATAAAGGTTAGCACGGCCTTCGGGGGTTAAAAGAGCTCAAGGGTACATACAGGGATAAGACTCAATATCGACATTTCGCTTTTCCGCGGCATCTCGTTTCTCTTCGCTTCTAGAAATTCTTTATTAGAGTCTTACAATAAAGTTCTTTTTCTCGGACTCAGGATTGTTGCGCATACAAAAACCCAAAGTCATCTGTGTTTAAGACGTCAGCCTTCAAAAACTTCGTGAAGATGAGCAGAAGATCATACAAGGGTAAGACTCAATATCAACGGCACGCTTTTCCTCAGCTGGTGCTCTTTTCTCCTCCCTAGAATGCCGATAATAAAGTCAGGGACTTTTCATTAGGCTCAACATGAGCCATACACCTACAAGAATCCAAAGTCATCTGTCCAGAGTATCAGTAGCTCGTAATGATGCATTCTTCCGAATAAAGTCAGGGTGCAGCTTACATGGATAGCTTTCGATGTCAACATTAGCTTCGCGTTTGGCAGGAGTCGGGGTCGCCAGGCTAGCAGAGGCCATGGCCAAGAAAGCGATACACTGGGAAATCTTCATTTGGGTTTCCGACAAATGGCTATGTTCTCTCGTCAAGTGTGCACGGTGTTGTCCAGGTGTTGGATCTATTAAAATAGACCGGAACAACAGAGCAAGGGCTTATCTTTATATTCTGGGTACCCATTATGACTACCAGTGGTCCCATGGTAATACCATGAAATTGTGGTCAGGTAATCTTTGCTCCATAAGTTACAAAAGGAAGCTGACAAGTAATCACATTTCCCAGGCAGAAGGAAAAACCAAGCAAGGTGAAAAGTGATTTGCAGATCATCATTAAACCAGCAGGAGAGTACACTGTGCGTATTAGGCGCCCAGTATGCGCAATCAGCTAAATTGGCTACTGTGCAGCATCGAATGTGATGGTATGAGATGGGCCGATGTCACATCACTAGCATCATCCGAGCTTAGTAGCTAGCCAATCTGTCTCGCCTTTATCATAAAACATACACTCTCGCTGACATTAAATTGTCAGATCAGCACTGCAAGTCAAGGTTTCACGTCCTACGTCGAGACTATATCGTATGCCCTGATCCGCCCAAGCATTGTGGAATAGAAAAATTGCAGTATGCAAGAGTAGATCAATCCCCGTATTGCTGCTGTTGAGGACTCCATTTTCCTGATTTGTGTTAGCTGTCATTTATAGGATCACCGATAATGCTCTAGCTAACTCATATGAGCGGGGAATGAAGACAGTAATCCTTGATAATTTCTCATACAATTCATACTTGTGCCAGAGGAGGCTCCTGCCGGAACGAAAGTCTCTCAGTATTAATAAGACTCCCTCCGACTGATTATACGTATCAAGTATTTCATTCCCTAATGGCTACTTCCGAGTATCGGAAGATCTCCGAGCAAGCTTCCGATATCGACTGTCCGACGCTCGAAACAGAAGAGACTGAAGAGCTCTTATCCCAAAAAGCACAGTCCCGCAAACTTCTCAGAGATCTTCCAAGCTGGCTATATGCAGTACTTACTATATGTCTGGCTACTTTAAGCTTTACTGCAGGACTGTTCATCGAACTGGATCTCGACAGGAAATGCCTCGTCCGCCATTCTTATTATTGTGGGTAGCACGTCCATGTTCAAACATTCAAACTGCATTCTGAGAACAGAGTCAATAACAGAATTTACAGCTCCCGCACTTAATCAAATTGATGCGGGATATAGGATTGTTCGGTTCAACAGTACCGTTGGTAGTCCCACACCATTCGGTGGGACCCCGCGACCTGAGATCGACAATGCCTGGGCGGCCGTGGACCAAGGTAGGGATGTAGCAAACCATGTTACCTGAACACTTATCTGAGCTCCTTTTAGTTCGAGTGCGGGGTATATCTCAAGAGGAATTGATCCGCATTGGCGGCTCAGTGGATGATGTGAGATTGCCCGACGATCTAGGAGGGGGATACATGGCATCGGATATGTATACCCATGAGCTTCACTGCCTCAACTTCCTCCGCAAGGCAACATATCCCGAGTACTATAATCAGTCACATGGATTCACGGATCTGCCGCATGTGGTGCGCCTGCACCTAGGTACGACAATCTTCATCTCTTTTTGGGCCGCATTGCTTCTCTGCATTGTCACACCTGCTTACTATGCCCCTCCCTACAGACCACTGTATTGAACTGATTCGGCAATTTGTTGTCTGCCAGGGTGATGTCGGACTCTACACGTTTCAGTGGCTGGAGCACTACCCGACCCCTTACCCCAAATTCAGCACATGGCATCAATGTCGCAATACCGACTCGATTGAGACCTGGATCACGCAAGGGGCCATTCAAACACCTTCCAACTATACATGGCCACGTGTTCCTGGATCAATCGTATTTCCTCGACCGGACGCTGATTGACCCTTGTATTTTGACAATGTTGGGTCTATATCAGGATGAGTGCGGGGTCTTTGAACGAAAGCATCCGGTTTTCTAGATTGTTTAGATATGTTGACCGGAATAGGCTATACTCGGCGTTTCAAATTCAGACACAATGCCTGAATCTGTTTAGCGCTTATTCTGGTAATTTACAGAAACTTTCTTTGCTAGATAAATCTCCAATGGTGCGCCAGAAACAAGAATCAACACCCATTCCTGCGGGGTCTGCAGATGATTAGTCGCTGCATCCGTGATATTGGTGTTGAATTCAACAATTTTAAGGACGAAAATGAATCGTAGGTTCTGACCAACCTTCAATACTTATCTTCTGAGGTGATAATGCCACAGAAGATCTATGATCGCCCCAGTATTAACTTTGTAATTCGTTGAAAGTCAGGCTATTTCTTGTGTCCCATTCTGTACATAACCTAATAACTGCCATAGTACTAGATTATTGGCCCCACACGATAAGCCCTTGTTGAAAATCCATTAGATTCACTTTTTTGACGAAAGGACTCCACGCGGGGTCAAGGATACAAGGTTACATTCACTAGTGCATGGAATCTATTTGGGCCATTTAGCTTCAAAGTAAGCAACGGGCTCTCAGTCGGGGCGAAATCCGACCGGCGCTAGAAAAGCAAGGAGATCAACTACAGCCACAGGTACAGTACTGCCTCTTCGTACCGTGCGCGGCGGCGTAATTCTGGCCGCCAACCAAATATTGAAGAGAATCATTGACACGCGAGAGGCAGACCTAAGCTTATCAGCATGTCAGCAAGCAGGCAATATGGATCTTTTCCTGTACTGTAAAGTATATACTCGAGCGGGTCAGTGGGGATGTATAAACCATCCTGTACTACTTGTGATAATGGTGCTTACCAGGCATCGCTCCGGTTTCAGCTGGTTTCATGCACTCTGTCTCGAATGTTATAAAATATATACCTTACATAATTCTGGTATTCATACCCATCAAGCGATTGACTGTTGTTGAACTATTTCACTTAAGATAATTTTGGCACATTTCAACAGGTTAACGTGCGTTGTACCTGCTCAGAAAAACCACGATCCCGTTCCAGTTTCTCACCTGAAAGGCCTAAAACGTTTGCAAGATGGATGACGCTGAGGAGAGTCAACCATTTCTTTCCGAAAGAAAAAGCATGAGAGAAGTTGTCGGAGACCCAAAAAGCCTGAAGCGCCAGCTGGCTGACTGGAGCTGGGTGGTTTCGACAGTGATATTTGCATCATTGTCGGTTTTCTTATACTTCCGATCCACCAGAATCAAGACATATGAGAATGGGTTCTCAACAGACTTGGGTATGGCTACTGAAAAAGACACTAGAGCTCATTCCAAAGGCTAGAAGCTAACAGAAAAAAAATGAAGATGCGCTGAAACCACAAATTCAACTGCATCAAGTACAGTTTACCGGCGGACTGGAGCTAAATGAGACCGGCAAGTTGCACCGCATCATCGATCCGGAACAACCACAGTATGTCGGGCCCCCGACGCCTGAGATTGACGCGGCGTGGGACGAGCTGATGCTGGGTGAGATACCGATCTTGAGCCATTCTACTGCGTGAGTATCCTAATGATAATAATAGCCCTCGACCTCGATCTTCCCGTGACAGAATCGGCAGATGTGAGATGGACAATGGAAGGTCAAGAGAACGGCAAATACAGAGTGAGGTCAGAGGCGCCGATAGCTCTATCTGAGAATAAAAGGACCTGCGCTTATATTAATTCTCACAGCCTTGACTTGTACCATTCGCTGCACTGCTTAGTAAGTATCAATCCCAAAGAATCATATTCCAGCAAACTTATTCAAGGAACAGAATGCGATCCGCCGGGCCCTAGACTCAGATTACTATGAACCGGGGGTAGATCACCCCTACTTCTTTCGGCTACACATTGGTATGCAGCCTACCTACCTACCTTAGTTCTGGTGACCGAGATCTGATACTGACTGTCGGATAAAGATCATTGCATCGATTATCTTCGCCAAGGAATTCAATGCTCGGCCGACCTGACCCCACTTGGCTATGAGTGGAATGAGGATTATCAGGTTCCATTCCCCTTGTTCAAAGAAAAACATACATGCCGAGACTTTGAAAAAATCAAGTCTTGGGCAATGGAAAGGGTTCCACTCCAGAGACAGAAACACAGCCATAGTCATCCGATCGGGCAACCGCAAGCTTAGATATCACGATAAATTCCGCATCTGGCTGATAAACTACTCGCTATATAATAAATATGATCTGTAGGCCATAAATATTTATCTCTTAGGAGATGAATTGACCCAAGCCTAGTGCACGATGGTACCCTTTGCTTGTCTAATTAGGAATTACCCCAATCACAAAAGAGATGATGGCCTAGTGACCTACATATATCCCTAAGCAGCTAGTAAATGCCTAATTTTAAAATTTTCTTTTCAAGTTCTTGTGTAGGTGCCTCATGATTCTGAGAAGCATGAAATGAAGATCAGTCTTAGGTTAATGGACTTTGATTTGATTTTTCATTTGGTGTCCGCCCCGCTAGTGGATTATGTTAGTTGTGAATGACCGATATTTGTCGTCATACAAAACAACCATCCCCTTCATTCACTGCAAGCTCAAAATCATTTGAAAATTCCCATCTCTTCATCTGAAAACATTGGAAATAATGTCTTTTCAAGATTTTCTTCCGTCCTCCACTCCCAGATATAGATACAAGGGTTATCACGAATGTGTTGAGCTTTTCGAAGAAGAGTATGAAAAGCTAGAGAATGAAGAAGATCCACTCGGTTGCGCGTATAACCCTTATTTCATTATGGATATTGACGAAAGCTCCTTCCTTGAGTGCTTTGTAAACTCGGGGAATAAGTTACTGACGCTGTCTTGGGAAATATATGATCATGTCTACCAGTCCACACTATTGAAGATGGAGTCCCCTGCTCACGCTGTTGCCGCCGGCGCGTTCAACACCATCTTCACCGCATGGGCCAGGGGAGTGATCGATCCCATGCTATCCAACACCTCTACCAGAACTGTCCGCGGTATCAGCCGCACCAAGAAAGCCGATATCTCGTGGACACCATCCGAAATGCCGAGTGGCCGATCACACAAGTGGCCAACTTTCGTTGGCGAGGTTGCATGGTCAGAACATCGCTCCAAGCTAATCGAGGATATGCGGTTCTGGCTGGAGGAGCCGAAGAGTTCTGTGAATGTCGCCATAACGATCAGCGTACTCCGCGGTCGGATTTTGATTGAGCGCTGGGAATTTTCCGACAATCCGCGCCTCTCGCCGACCCAAACGATCGAAATTGCCCGCAATCCTCAGCTCGGCCGCCCTCAAGTCAATGGCCAATTGGAGGTCAAATTCTCCGACGTTTTTGTGAGGGAGCCAAGGGCTGAAGCCAGGGAGCAAAATTTCGTCATGACAGAAGCGGATATGCATGAGTTGGCGAATCATATCTGGGAATACCAATACCCAGTCGGCTCAAAAAGGTCATAGCAAACGTAAAATGGCAGTGTGGCAGTGTGGACTGCGAGGGCATTGGGCCTAATTGTTAATCATGCTTATTGCTATTCATATCAAGACCAGGGTTTTGCTTTATAAAACCAATCCAACCCCCCTAGAAACCCCATATCATAATGCCCTGGTGTATAATGATACATGTTCTAGCGGGGGTTTTGAGAGTTCGTACCGTTTAAGACAGACTTCTTGGCCTAACTTTGAACTCTATCTGGCAATATAGTAGGATACGGTATCGGCTAGGAAAGCTGGTATCTATTGATCAGATCAGGCCTGCTATGAGCCCTCTGATTCAACACGACAGGCATATGGAGAAATGACCGAGTAGATGATGCTATTGTACGGTTGATTCTGCCCTAGGTCACTAGATTCTATCTCTAGACAGTGATTATTTGGAATCACAATGCCCGCCTGGATAGGCTGCACAGCCAAAGTTTTACTGCAACATAATGAAAGAAATCATGGCAGATCTACAGATAATGGGCACTAAATCAAAGTGAAAGAAACGCAGAAGACAAGCTTGGGCTTTCCTGACATTTACGTTGTGTTCCAGCTTTCGTGGACCAAGCGCGAAGTGCTGTCAGTTACTCAATAGCCACACTCGAAGCTGCCTCAACATGGCCATTATTACCATTTGCTAGCTTGTGAGATTCTGCGATGGATGCAGACACTGGCTCTTCTTTGCCTGCCAAAGAGGACAGGTACTCTGCCCTGGACACGCTGTTGGGGTCAAAATATGGCCTTTCTCCAACCGAGAGAACGCGCCAGCCACGGCGCTTTCCCACATGATTCTGGATCGGCGCATGGTAGACGGCTCTGTTATCCCAGATCGCTGCATGAAATACTTAGCTTCTCCGATGGCTGCAGCATTAAGGGAATAGGTGATAATATGATCGCTTACCAATGTCGTGGGGATTTTCCCATCGGAATCTGACCTGCAGGTCCGGATTGAGCGCCACCAGGTGGATGATCTTCTCTAAAATCTGATCACTCTCTGGTTTTGTGACATCATTGATATGATGACAGTGCACTCCCAATGCAAAAACTGCTTTCCAACCAGTAATGGGATGGGTTCGTACCACAGGGTGCACTGAGCTCAAAGCGGAGCCCGTATTGGAAGGGGAGCCTCGAGGGCCCTGGAATATGGTAGTCCCCTTGGAGGCTGCCACCTGATTCAATGCCTCCTGAGAGTAGGTCGCAGTCAGACTCTCGAAGAACTTCTGATAAGGGATGCTCAGTTTGTCATAAACCTCATAGGAGGAGGCCCAAAGCGTGTCTAGCAGCCATGGATGAGAAAAAAACCCTCGACTCGTGATCGGTGATCAAGCTTACCTCCACCTCCTCCTGGAGGCAGATCCGTTAATCGCAGACTGCTGTAGTCTGGTGGGTTGTTCTCAAAGGAGATATCCGTATGCCATTCGGTGATGCCAGACTGCTTTTTGTCACCCTTGGCTGTCTTGCCGTAGATTTGAATCACTCCCTCTGGATTAAGAAGCTGGAGCTCTGGATCCGGCTCCTGGCGAATCTGCCATAAAGGATGGACATAGAGTCCATTCTCTTTGGGTTTCCCCCGCGGGCCCCGATCCGGTCGATTAGCTCCTTGTGGCGCTCGTTGGTGAGGTTCGTCTGTCCGCGAAAGAACACTACACCACGTTCAGCAACTGGTCGAAGGGGTCAGCCACCATTTCCTCCATTATTATCACCATCATCACCACACAGGGCATTTGTAAGGGATAGGGGGGTATATACTGAGGATTGAAAGATCCCGCAGCAGGCGATCCGAATCAGGTCTGATCAACCAGTCGGCAACATCGACATTACGAAACTCAGTTCCCAGAATTGGAGTCACGTCAAACCGCTCGAACTCGTCAAGGGAGCCCGATTGCCGCATAGGCACCGGGTATTGCTGTCCTGTCATTTTCCAAATGAAGCCTTGACGAAAGATCAATCTATAGGACGCCCAGATTGTGAGATGTGCCTAGATGATGAAAATCAACCAATGCGAGGACGGTTTCTGAACATGAGTGGTTTCGTCCGAACTGACTATATATCCGCAAGAGCCCTAGAAGTCGATCCCGAGGCAGCCATGGAGATCAAGAGTAACAATGCTCACCTCCGCACGATGATTGTATTTCCGGATGCTCTTTGGACCGCGTCTACTACGCCCAGCCTTGGAGTTTCGGGGTTCGGCCGCCGTGCGTGAAACAGTCTAAACGTCTCGGTCCGAAGCGCCCCGGTCGCTCCATTTGACACATCGAAGCATTTCACAAGCGATAATGAAGGATCTTTTGTGCAGGCCATGTCCCCGGCAAAATTTGAGATGAGCCAAATAAGCTCATCCTACTAGACTCAGTCCATCTATTCTTGCCTATGGAATTATGGCAATCAACCCAAAGACTGAATCGACCTCCCCAGCCCTTATGAAGCCTGCTGCATACAATGCAGAAGGGGGGATTACAAGCCAGCTCTGCACCTGGATCAGTGCTTTGACTTTGGATGACGTGCCAGAACTGGTGTGCACCCGAGCCAAATATCTCTTCCTGGACGGAATTGCGTGTGCCTTGGTTGGAGCCCAGGTCCCCTGGTCGAGGAAGGCATTCGAAGCTTTGTCCAGCTTCGAAGAGCCCGGGAAACATGTAATCATTGGATACGAGCAGGTAAGATGGAGATCCTTTTATCAATCAGAAAAGATAATCTGACCAGCATGCTGAACCTCTAGCGCCTTGGAGCAACTGCAGCCGCTACCCTGAACGGCTCATGGATCCAGGCTTGCGAGGTCGACGACTACCATAGCGTAGCTCCTCTGCACTCCCAAGCGGTGGTGATACCATCATTGTTTGCTGCCGCAGTTAGTGCCAAGTATCATGCCACGCATCCACAAGTCACAGTAGGAAAGGACCTGCTCCTAGCCACCATTGTCGGGTTTGAGGTTGGACCGCGCGTAGGCATGGCGCTCCACGGGACCGAGGTATTGGCAAAAGGGTGGCATTGCGGCTCAATCTTTGGAGGTCCTGCAGCCGCTGCGAGTTCTTCCAAGCTCCTGGGGCTGTCCCCAGACCAGATTGAGAACGCAATCGGAGTAGCTTGCACACAAGCCAGCGGACTGATGGCCGCCCAATATGACGGGATGGTCAAGCGCATGCACCACGGATTTGCCGCCCGCAACGGACTTTTGGGCACAATGCTTGCCTGGAGCGGGTATAAGGGAATCAAAAAGGTCTTTGAGCGGCCGTATGGCGGGTTTCTGACCATGTTTGGACTGGGATCGAAACACACCCCGAGCACCCTTCCCGACGAGATTACTAAGGACCTGGGGCAATTCTGGCATACGGCGGAATGGATTCGCTTAAAGCTACATGCCTGCTGTGGTGGAATCCATGGCACAATCGAGTGCCTCACAGATATGCAAGCGCAATATCCGGACCGCCTCCGCGGCCTGGAAAATTTGGCGCAAATCAAAGAGATCCACATCCAACTCAGCGATGCCGTCTATCATCACTGTGGCTGGGCTCCCGAAGAGCGCCCTTTGACTGCGACTGGAGGACAGATGAACACAGCGTTTGTGGCCGCCTCCCAGCTAGTCGATGGACAAGTGCTGTTGGAGCAATTTGCAACTCCCAATTTGAATCGTGATGAGATCTGGGATCTGGTCTCTAAGACGCGTTGTACTCATACAGCGACTCTTGACGAACCAAACATTGGCTGTGGCTCCATCATAAAGATCACATTTCAGGATGGTACGCAAGTTGAGCAAACTCTGCTGCAACCCAAAGGGGTCGACCGGCCCATCACCAACGCCGAGATCCTCGAGAAGTTCCGTCGCCTAACAGGAAATCTGATCAGCACTGACCGACAGGCCCAGATTGAGAATGCGATACTAGGCATGGAAGAACTAGCGGACATCGAGGACTTGATCAATCTACTAAGTGTTGTGGTGCCGAATCCTTTGGAATAAGATGATAACGAATGCCAATCCCCTGACACCAAATTTACTATAACTCCCTTGACATGTAGCTTCTGTAGAGTCATTGCCTAAAATTTCTTTGATTGAAATAAACCAGTTTTTTTTTAAAATGAAACAGTGGGAATCAGCAAATACGTAGAAAAATTCTGACATGGTGACCTTCTTTCGGTGTTCGGCCGCCGAAAAGTATGAAGCATCCGGTGGACGTAGAACCGAAGAGGAGGTCGGGTATAACTCCACAATCTCCACAATTTGTATATCGACCTTCAAGTAATGAATGTGACTGTCTAGACGGGCAAATAAGAAGACAGGCCATGGCTTCTGTGCTCAAGAACAAAAAGTCTGTGGGAGTCCATTCTTTGAAGGCGGAAAAAGCGATATATGCGGTCGATAATGAACATTAGGCTATTCATTACAGAACGTACAACACATCTCCAGCACGTTTTCATCATGGATTTGCTTGCAATTGCGGCATTTTTCCTTTTCCAAACAACGTCGTCTGGCAACCCATTATCAGCCATTGCGGGCCACTGCAGCGGGTACACCTTCCCCGACATCACCTGCATCAATCGATATGGAGCTGTTTTGCCACACGGGTTCTATCGAGAGGTGAATAATGAAATTGGGAATACAGACACATATTCTTCGACCAATGTCGGCGATCTCTCGTTCCAGAGTATTTCAGAAGCCACCTTCCTTGTTTGGGACCCAGACCAGGCAGCTGTCATCTTGGGCGAGACGCCGACATTCGAGTACATGTTCAGTATACCTCATGCTCCTCATGAAGCCCCAGTATATGTGCCCCGGACCCATGAGTTGTGGTTCTCACAATTGGAGCAAGGCTTTTTGCCACAGTTTGTGGTGGATTTGAAATCGGAACCCCCGCGTCTCGCCCAGAGAACGACGAACCCCCCGCTGTATGCGCCAACAGGGGCTCGATATCGCAATGGATCCATTATCTACTCTTCCGGAGGCTTGAATCACTCCATCGCAGACCGGAACAGCTTCGTGCCAGGGGTGTATAAGGTGGATCCCATTACAGGTGATTCGCAGCCGCTAGTCAATAATTACTTCGGATGGTACTTTAACACTTGTGACGATGTCGACGTGGACGCAGATGGAAATATCTGGTTTACCGATAATTGTATGTGGTTTTATTTTCACTCCCTCTCTATATCGATCGAATGACAAAGTCCATTGACGCGCAAAGAAGATTACTCATGGGCGGATCACACCAGTGACATTGCACCACAGCTGGGAACAGCGACCTACCGATTCGACTCGCGCAGTGGAAATGTAGCCATTGTGGACGATACACTGAGTGAACCCAATGGAATTGCATTCTCTCCCGACGGACGTTATCTGTATCTCTCCGACACTGGGGCGGGGGTGGCCGTGATCGATCCCCAGGTTCAGCCGGTTCCAGGCCTTCAATACAATAACACAGGAAAAAGGACTGTGTATGCCTTCGATGTCAGTGAAGACGGTCGGTCAATCGGTAACAAGCGGCCTATATACCTGGCGTTAGAATACGCACCAGATGGCCTCAAAGTGGCTCGCAATGGAATGCTCGTGACGGCTACGGGTCATGGGGTTGACGTTCTGGACGCTCGAGGGAAGCCTTTAGTTCGCGTGCAGACAAACTTCACGGCTGTCAACATGGAGTTTGTCGGGCCTAATTACGATGAATTATGGATTGTAGGTATAGGAGGGGTGGCGAGAGTGAAATGGGCACTGCAGGGGCCGGTATATACGTGATAATTATGAAATGAATAGATTCGAGTCAGTGGGTCACCATCGGCTGAAGAGCTTGTTTAAAGCTACGGATTACATACTTGGCAAATTATTGTATAGATTTATAGATTTTCCGAGTTATAGCTGTACAATCGTTTGACTGTCTTCATGAACTCTTCGACCTCCAGGTTCGAAGCCTCTCCAGTGAGCATTTTGTCTTGCCGACCAAAAACCCATATTCCGGTGGCGGAAATTCATGTAGCTGCGTGATCAATCTACAACCGCGATTTAAAAATTCTTAAAAAGGCAAAAGCAATAAAATCTCAAATTCTTTAATCCAATTGGATCAAGTATATACTCTTATAATAACAGGTTTCAGTCGATGAATCTAAACACGTCCCCACCACCACGTCGGACATCTATATTTTGATGATATCAACTTCATCCTCACTTGTCACGGCAACTGCAATAGCCATTCCGTCTGTGTGGCTGATACTCAACTTCACCCCCCGCAATCCTTTTTTCTCCGCCAATCGACGCACATCGCCATGAAGCTTACCGCACCTATTAGCTGGTAGGAATTGAAAAGGTGGATCACAGACAGACTTACATGCACTGTCGGTATTCCGCCAGAATTGAGAATCTCGATCTCTTTGAGCGGCGCACCTGGCCCCTTGGAGGGTAATTGCAAACTCTTGAACACGGCTTCCTTGGCCGCCCACCGTCCTGCAAAGGACTGCCGGGGGTTTGGCGCACTGAGACAGTATTGTTGTTCACCTTCTGTGTAGTTGCGCTCTAAAAAACCTCGTTGTCGATGTTGATCGCCATTACTGATTCGATATCAACACCGACATGCGCCGCGCCCTCCATCGAAACCGCCTTCTCCACCCACTTCTGACACCCGTCGACTAACTCGACCGCGTTGGGGGTCGATGGCATTTCGACCGCCGTCCTTCGACCTGAACTTGTCTCCGAACAAGTCTCCGACGGTGTATCGGCCTCAGCAGGATGCAGATTGCCCGCATCGAAGGCATACTCGTCCCCAATACGAGAAACTCGCGCGAAAGGATCGAGGAATACCGAGGCTTCGTCTTCAGGTGACCACGCTGACGCCGACTTGACTTGGCAAAGAGAATTGGTACATAGGCGCTCGATGAACTCACGGTTAGCGGCTGCCATGCGACTAGTGCACTTAATGCGATAGGTCTCATATCGAGGCTTGTCAATCGCGGCGAAAACATATCGTGGCGCCACGCCCAGCATCAAGCCCCCCTTCTGTCCAAATCCAAAGGAGGTGAGCATGAAGGCTTTGATGTTAGAGGTGACGATTGTCTCAGCAGGGTAGATTAGGTGCTCAAAATTCCTTAATTTTGAGTCCACATTGTCGGCATTCTTGTTTCCAGGCACGATCCCGGACTGTAGAATCTGAAGTCCTCCATTGAACATCCAGGCACCTGCCGCGCCTTTCGGATGACCCGTCAGATGCTTCTGGCACACCACGAGGATGGGGTTCCCGTTCGAGCGTCCTAGGTGATCCATCATGGTATTGATGACCTCGGATTCATTCTTGTCATTTGCTTGAGTCGATGTGCCATGAAACGTCGCCACACCGATGTCGTCGATATCGAGACCCCAGACAGCCAGGGCCGCACGAATGGGAGAGATACCGCTATCCTGACGCCGTAATTCCAAACCCCAAAGATTACGTGCATCCTGAAGTCGATTAGCTGTAGCATTCTCGATGACCTCGACCATGCCTGGCGAGAGCTGTCCACTCCGGCTGGCTCGTTCTATCTGCAGATTCCTCCAGTCCTGGATCTGAACCAACCAATCGTCAAAATGCCTCTGGCGGAAGCGGGAATCCAGTAAAGGCGACAAAGGCCCAGAAGCGGACTCCCTTGCGGCCGTCATCACGCCTTTTCCTGGCGCAGGCACTGACCGACCGACTTTATCGCCCGCCATCTGCGAATAGGCGACGATTCCTTGAATTGGAAGGCCCATCTCCAGAGCGAGCTCGGCGCTCATCAACACCTGCACGCCACATCCTGCCGACTCCACGAAGCCGGCTCTGGAGCTTGCGGTGGGCCTCGAGATTTCGCTGGGCGCCCGCCCGCGAGCAAGTTCCTCGACGCTATTGGCAGTGGCTTTCATGTTCGCAAACTCGTAGGACATCTCTTCTTGTAAATCGTCTGTCCCACCGACGATGGCCACTCTGACTTTCTCACACTGGATCGCCTCGCAAGCAATGTCCAACGATTCCAGAGCAGTAGCACAGGTCCCCGAGGGAGACTTGATGGGCCCGGCTGCACCAAGAAGAAGCATGTTCACCCAAGCATCCATAGCATTGGCAAAAGATTCCTGGAGGATGTCGCTTTGAACATCGCGATCAAGATAGCGATCCCGGTAGACACCTCTCATGGCCAACAGGCCTCCTGCCCCCGTACCAATACAATTGGCAATCTCGGACACATGCACATGGCGATAGAGCTCATATGGGTCCTTGATGCCGGCGCTCAACATAGCCTGCGTGACGCAGCACAAGACGTAGATAGTGATTGGGTCAACTTGGGAGATGATTTCGTCAGGAATACCATACTTTTTAGGATTCCAACCCGTAGGGAGCTGTCCGGCCACCAGTCGATTGAAGGGCTGCGATCTGGGAACTAGGAATCGCGCCCCAGACTTAAACTGAACCTCAAATTCATCTTCCTCAATGGATCTTGGAGAGATAATGACCTTATCGCCATGCTTGAGCTTGAAAGCCTGGGCGACAGACTCAGGTGCTTGGAAGACAGGGAGATCTTCCTCTACCACGACCTCTTGCAGGAACTCCTTGCAGGCTGGATCGTACCCATCGAATAGTTCCGGCTCGATAAACCGGAGGCCAGCATGGTCTTTGATATAAGACCCATACCGGTCCTTGAAGTCAACATCCTGAACGGGATCCCCCGACTTCGCATCCACCCAGCCCACGTATGGTGTGCCCTGGATGTCGCCGTCGAGATGCTTGACTAGCCCCATGATCCAAGCCATCTCGACATAGCCTTCGAGGCTAAACTCCCTGGCATGCTCCATTTCCCATCGCGTGCGGGCGCTGCCCCATGGTCCTAGCTCCGAGTAGCCCACCACGACGATTGTTTTTTTCAAATCAATCAGCTCACCAGCCACTTGGGTGCCCGCTGTAACGCTCTCATACTCAGGCAGCTCAGCATGACCAATTTGTATGTTTGCCAACTGCCGTTGAGGGGGAGCAATGTCTGTAGGAGGTGGTCCGAACAGGACAATCTGCTGTTGTTCATCCTCTGCCGCGATGGCCTTTGCTGTCCGAGACTGTGACTGGATACTACGGCGCGCAGCCGAAGACAGTTCCTTCAGCCCTTCCAGTCGTTGCATTCCACCGCCAAGATCTGCATAGATCGGAACCTCTTCGCATTTCTGAATGATTTCGGGTGTCATGAGTAGCAGAATATTCAGGGCCATCTCGGATTGCGAGAAAGTCACCACATCATGAGTCTCGATCGCCTGCGCAACAATGTTGTTCGCACTCATGAGACTTGTTCCGCGAGTCCAACCGATAACCGCGCCACAAATAGTCAAGTAGTCGGACCAGCCTTCTGATTGAAACCGGTTAAAGAGGGTTTCCAGGCCGATTTTTGACTCGGAGTAAAGACCGTCTCCACCAAATGTCCCATGGTTTGGCGAAAGCGGGAGAATAACATGAGTAGGATTAGCAATATATCCTCGAGCGAGCTTTTGTTGCTTGATACAGCCCAACATGCGAAGTAGGTTAACTAGCATGGCCCGGTGAGCGACTTCAGAGAAACCATCAAGCCCATCGATTTCCCGCCCGTTCTCCGAGATGGCCGCAAAAGGTATAACGCAATCAATATCACCCGCGGTGCCCAATGTCTCGGAATACAAGTGAGAAATAAGCATTTCACAGTCCTGTTTGCTGGCCTGGTTGAACGGAAAGACAATGAGCTCTGAGTCGCGGCCACAATAATTACGATACAAAGACTGGTAAAAATCATAATTGGATCGGCTGGTCGTTACAATAACTTTGGCTCCTCCCGTCAACAAGCCCTTGACGATTTCTGCCCCGATCGACTGCGCACCAGCTCCGGTGATCAGCACTGTCTTGCTAACAAAAGTCACCCCATATGAAGTCGCTGCGTCTAAAGACTTGAGCAAGGATAATGTGAGATCCTCATTGTAAGTGAAGTGAAAGCCTTCCTGACGACGCAGATGTATGAATGGTGGTCTCTGTTGACTGGGAGATTCAAAACGGCTGCCTCGTTTCATTAGGGCAGAATATGTATCTGGTCGACCGAAAATGGTTCTTTGGACCTCTTCATACTCCACAATACCTTTTGATGTCACGGTTGTGCGCGGCTCTAAAGGCGGGCTTGTGTGACGGAACAGTGGCTTTTCATGAATTGCGTCTTTGCAACTTTGGAGACAATCCTCTGTTTTCAAATTGTGCAGTCTCTTGTACGGGGTCTCGAGCAATAGCGAGATAGCATAGTCTAGAATTTTCGAGCAGCTGACATCAGATCGGTTCAAAATGCGCAAAATATGGGCCTCAGTGGATGATGCATCAGCATCGGGTGATTCAGTAGACGTTGAGGCTTCCAATAACCATGCAGCAATGTCCACGCGTCCCCAGTTCCACCAGGAATTGTACACTCGAGCTCGGAGGGGATCGAACTTGGGTAATATGCCCGTCAAGTAGTCTTCTCCCAGTTCTGCTCGCCAGGTGTCTAATTGTTTCTCTGCAGCTTGCCAGAGCTTCTTGCTGTGGGACTTTCTTTCTCTGGCATCGCTCGTGTTAGATTGAATAATTTTTGCCAAAGCCTGATAAAGATGCTGGAATGAGCTTCGCTGCTCTTGTCGTAGACTTTCCACTGCTCTGGCGTCGACCATGGCGTTTGAAGTGGGATGAAGAGACTCGGTCCGATCGGCCCCAGTACTGAGGATGATTCCAGCATATTTACTATATCGATCTACGATGCTGTCCATAAACTCTCGAGCTTGCTGCGTATTTTCAAGCCTATTTCTTGGATCCAAGGTCACAGCAAAACATAGGATGGCCGTTTGACGCTGCGGACCAAGCCCCCATTGCTCCTTGACATAAGCACGAGCGGCGGCCTGGTTCCACCCTGCAGGAAGCTTAGACGAGAATAATTTCGATATCAGGGCAGAAATGGTTTTTCCTGGGCGTCCAGTGAAGCTGGACTGCAAGGAAGTTCCGAGAGAATTTAGCGGAAAGTCCTCACAGCCATCCGGAGTTCTGCCGAACTCGGTGACCAAGTCCCCGATAAGTTCATTTTGTAGTGTGGATTTCCCTGGTGCTCTTAGATCAGTATTCATTTAAAACAACTGGATGATTGAATTATTTCAGATTTACCTCCAGATAACTCACGAATCGATTTCTCCGTGGGTACCTGGTCGAATGGTTGTTTAAGCTTCTGGGCTGTCAATGCGACGACAATATCCCCAGCACTGAGGAGGTTATCTTCCACTAGCGCCACCCTGGGCGACGAGGTCACTAAATTGGACTCAGGTCTAGGGCTATCTGTGGCAACTGAGGACAAAGAAGATGCAGTCGAGGAGATCTGCCGCTTTGGTGATTCCTCTGGTGCAAGAGATTGAGGTCTGTCGAATTCATGGCAAATACGGGCGTAATCTTCTGAATAGGACAAAAACTCTCGATGCAGCAAGCGCAGCTGGTCCTGCTGGTGGTACTTCTTGCCAGCCGTCTTTTTCCCCATTGTGGACAGAACCTTTGTTGGTCCTATTTCTATATATCGCTCTACTGCATTGGGTTGTGACAAGAACTCATCTTGAGTTTCGATCCTGGTTCCATGTCAATTCAGCAAGCTTCTTTGCTTTCTCTTCATCACGCTATACTTACCAGTGTACTGGAAAGGCAAATTGGTATCTAGGTGATGTAAGTCTGAATTCGTTTTCCTGATGTCGTTGCGATACTCACGCCAACAGCTCAATGACCAGGGTTCGAGCCAGCGCCCGCTCTTGTTGCTCCAGCTGCATGATGGGCGTATGTATGATTTGTATTTTGGTTATTTGATGGGTGTATTCACAGGCCCAACTTCGACCAGGCCTATATGGACAGGCGGGGTGTATGGTTTTCTGTCTGTCACTCATATACAAATTTATCACGCAGCAGGCTTCCTCTAGCCGTGTTCTCTGAATAATTTACAGACCTTGCATACATGCTGACACAGCTCCAGAATCGACCGAGGTTCCTGAATTTGCCGGACCGTATCTGTCCGACGGAGACATCGGCACCTCGGGGCACTCAACCGTACTCGACTCATGCGGCAGCCGGCCGCCGAAGGCCGACTTCGGGCCTCTTCCGAAGCAAATACTTCCAAGCAATTGCAAATGGGCAATGTGTGCTTCACGAGTCACGATACATGGAATAATACATCCAAAAGACAATAGAAGGAGGTAGTTCCGAAGCAATATTAAGCGCCGAAGCCCAAAGCCGCTCAACCGGCCACTTGAATGAATCGATCACTGTGTGACTAAGAACACGATCACCGCTATATCATTTGTTCTAAACTACAACGCTATGCCTTCTGCAGAGATAATAAAGCCACCTGTGAGCAACGGCTCAGCGAAGGGAAATGGCGTAAAAAGAGAGGAAGAAGACCAACCCGTTTTGCACGTTGTGGACAGTCGCACTGGGCAGTACTACTCTGTTCCTATCGAGCGCAATGCCGTCAATGCCAGTGCTTTCAAGCAAATCAAGGCTCCTGAAGATCCGGAGCACCCAGAAGATCAGACGAACCAGGGAATCCGTGTCTTTGACCCGGGATTTTCCAATACTGCCGTTAGCGAAAGCAAGATTACGTTCATGTATGTACACTGGTATCATTCCAAGGAAAGGTGGGGAAAAACTAAGCTACATATAGTGACGGCTTGAAAGGCACGATTCAATATCGTGGATATGACATTGCAGATATTGTCGGCAAGAAGAAATTTATTGATACAGCTCATCTTCTAATCTGGGGGCATTGGCCAACTCCAGGAGAGGCCCAGGGGCTACACGAAAAGCTAATCAATGTCCCTCTGATTGATGAATCTGTTTTCAAAGTTATCCGGGCATTCCCGTAAGTCTGCTCTTGGGTCACTGGCTACGAAGTGTATCTTCATACTCAAGGGCTACCATTCTAGGCCAAATTCGTCTATCATCGGAATGATGATTTCTGGATTGTCTGCCGTGCAATCAAGTATAATGGACTTTATCCCTGCTCACGCAGCGAAAAATCTGTACTTAGGAAATATGCCTTTGGTGGATGACCAAATTATCCGGCTGATGGCTACCCTGCCTATGGTCACAGCGGCTGTTTACTGCCACCATGTTGGTCGTCCTTTCACACCCCCGCAGCCGGGTCTCTCATATATTGAGAACTTTCTGCTCATGATGGGCCATGTCGAGGAATCCACTGGCCTACCCAACCCCGATTATGTGGATCGAATTGAGCGACTTTGGGTGCTTATTGCAGATCATGAAATGACCTGCTCAACTACAGCTTTCTTGCAAACTGCATCATCACTGCCAGATGTTTTTTCTTGCATGATATCGGCGCTTTCAGCCCTTTATGGGCCCCTGCACGGCGGTGCCATTGAGGTAGCCTACAAGAACTTCGAGGAAATTGGCTCCATTGAAAATATTCCAGCAAAGATCGAGCGTGTCAAAACAGGCAAGGAACGACTCTACGGATACGGGCATCGAATTTACCGAGTGACTGACCCTCGCTTCACCTTTATTCGCCAAATTCTGGACGAGCTGTCGGAAGAAATATCTCACAACCCGGTGCTGAAGATTGCGTTCGAAGTGGATCGAGTGGCATCACAAGACGAATACTTCACTACGCGCAAATTAAGACCCAATGCCGATCTCTTCGCGGCCCTTGTATACCAGGCCCTGTGAGTTGACGTTTGGCTAATATGATAAAGTATCAACAGCTGACGTTGCATATCTCTATGCTTAGGGGCTTTCCTAGTGAATTCATTCTTCCGCTCTCTCTTGTCGCTCGGACCCAGGGGTTCATGGCACATTGGCGAGAGGCTATGGGTGAGTGACGCAGCGGTGGGGTTTCTCCTCGTATTGACACCTTCACTAATGGATTCTCTAGCGGGAACGGCGCGGATCTGGCGCCCTAGCCAGATTTACACCGGCCATTTGAATCGGACCATGGACGGGTAAAGAGCGAATGGCGGAAAATGCCGCTAGATAAGCCTAGGCGTTGGATCCATCAGAAGGTGGAAACTCAAATATAAGATATCATTACGCAAGCGGGCCGTGATTAGAACGTGGAGATCAGGCTTTTCTCGTAAACGTGAAGAATGACATCGCTTCATGCAAACCATATTGATATGAAATAAAGGACGAGTCATGTTGTTAGAAATTCTTCGGTGCCAAGCCGAGCTATCTGCCATGTTTTTCTTGTACGAAAATACTGGCCTGGGTTCGACAATGAGTACAGTACAACGGAGGTAAAGAAGTTTGAGCCCCTTGGAAAGCTTTCGAATCGTCCTGAATGCCCGCCATAATATGAACGACAACATGAAAGGCAATAATTGGAATATCAGGAAACATAAATAAGATAAAAGTAAGAAAGATCCTTTTAAATATGAATAATGGGAAGGTATTCAACTGGGCCATTTCTGTTCGAGGTCGTGATAAGGCCTAACCGTTCTGGGTTCTGTACAAGCAAGCTATTTTGGAATAGACGTGTTGCCCTACGTAGGGTACAAGGCTTCCGTTATTCAATGAAGGTCCACTTCTTTGCATGAATGGGTTGTCAATTATGACAAGTGATAATTCTACTGGTGGTAGTGCTGACCCAGCCGGCCTCGATCTACGCCATTCCGCCACTCACTTTGCACAGAATACGAGATTCGGATATGGGTCGCTTGGAGGATGCAACCATAGAAAGATGTGATTGCCAGCACGGGCCTTGTCAAAAACGCACGTTCTTTGGTACTCACTAGTGAAGGAAATTAGGGGTGATCCCTCCGCGAGTGTGACAATTGATAAGATGATGATGACTCCTTCGTATCAGTGGCATCTCATAAAACTTTTCGTCCAACACTAAAGTCTTGGCACGGTGAACGCTTTTGTGAGCGTTGTTGATACTCAAGATCCTCATTTATCCCATCTACGTTTTCTTTCTAGACGCGGGGTTTTCGGATTGGAGGACTGCAAAAGAGAATATTAATATTCAAATGCTTATTACTGTGCTTTGAAACGCGAATATGCGCGTTCGAATTATAAACTCTAGGCGGTAAAGTAGACGATCTAAAGTATCATGGACAAAATCTTTTGGAACAACACTGTATATCAATTTGGTGCAAATGCCTCATCTTTGGTACCGAGTGGAGGCCAGTGGATGCTATCCGGCGGACCGCGACGCCCTGTCTTGGATTTACCTGGGTCTTTCCGTGCCCAAAAGTCCACACTTTCGCCTGCAGCCATGCCAATCAAGCTTGCCCTGAGGAAGTGTGGGTCAACAAGCCAGCAGCATTGACCTTTGACCCATAGAGATCGACATCCAATCGACGCTTCTACGTCTCTATATTTTACACATGGACACCTGGGAGTTGGCTACCGGATGGATGTCGAGCGATTTGCATGCGGGTCATGCAGGCTCTTCCGCGGCCCCTTCAAGCCGCGATCAAAAAACTTCTTGTTTGAGACTACATTGTGCCTAGACGCGCCAAAAAGCTTCCTTCATGTTCTTGAAACATTTACTATGGAATTGATGTTGTAATGGCATTGGAAGTGAGCGTTATCATGCTAGTTCGACCCTTGTCAACTTGCCTTACGTTTTAGCCCGCCCCGCCCTTGGTTGAGTTTGTCAACAATATACGGGGCCATGCAATCGGTCTAAAGGCACCTGCCAGGATTAAATATTTCGGGCCATTCTCGCTCAGTTTCGGCCTTTTCCTATTTCATGCAGCGGAGATATTTCTGTAACCCAAGTCAGATGGGGCCAAAGGGGCTTGAATTTTATCTGCCAGCCTGCCTCTTCTCTTTTTTTATTCCATTTCCTCTTTGACTTGCTTTTGGTCGTTTCTTTTTCCCACTTTACACCTGTACAAACAATCATGAATGATCCAGAGTCAGCACAGGCCAGTCAGGATAGTAATAATTCGACCACCATGCACCATACGTCGTACGAGCCTGCATGTGATGAATGCAGGGTACGCAAGGTCAAATGCAACAAAGAATACCCAAAGTGCTCCAATTGCCAGAAGTCCAATCTGTCATGTGGTTTCTCAAACAAGGGGAAACGGGTCAATCATACCAAAAGGCTGTATGTGTCTCATCCTTCTCGGTGGAGGCTTCACTGACTTTCCTTGTCCCCTCATAGGATCAATGACGTTGAACTTCTGGGGAATCGCCTAGGCAAAATTGAGGATGTCCTCTCTCGATGTCTCTCTGTAATGGAAAACTCCAGCTCCATGCAAGCCCACCAAAAGTCAACCCCTTCTTGGAATGATCGTCAAGAATCTAGTCCTATGGAATTACCAGATGATGCAATGCAGGATTCTGAACATTTCGATGATGACAGTTTGGTCAAGCTTCAATCTGATCGTTACTACCTGTTTGTCGGGGAACACGGATACGAGCGGTTCTACGGGCTGAGCTCAATGTTTACATTATATGCAGAGGCCCAAAACGCATGTGGTCAGCTCATGGCGTCATTGCCAGATTATAGCAGAGATGAGGCTCTTCAATCATCCACCTCTGCGCTTCGCTGTCGACTGGAGGAGGCAACAAAGCTCTTTGAGATGATGGCACAAGAAAGCCCATCTGTGCTGGAACCCAATCCAGGAGATCTTGCCCCGAGCATTCCTCCTCGTGCGCTGATGGAAGTCTTTTTGGATACTTATGTGTCTGACCTCTGTCCATTGTTACCTATTTTCGATCCCCGAAGTATCTTATCTGCCATGGAGGAGCAATATTCAGCGGATACAGAGCTTCCGGATCTTGCGTGGGTTACCTCGTTCAATCATATCCTTCTCCAGACCCTTGCTGCCAAGCTCGGCGCCTCCAGGAAGTCCGGACTTGTGCGTGGTGGGTCGCTTGAAGATGGCCTTGTTTCAAATCTTCTTCTGAATGCGGAAAGATGCTACAATAACTTCGAAAAACTCCTAAGACCTCGAGTGGCGAATATCCAAGCTCTACTGAGCCTTGTAAGTCTTCGACCATATATTCGTCGATCTCGTGATGACGTGATTAATCTTTGCACAGGCCCTAATTGCTCTCAAATATTTTCGATTCACAATGTTTGAGACCCTGTTTGCTCAGGCATGCCAGCTATCAAAGTCCATTGGCCTCCACCATGCCATTTCTAGACATGGTACGACAAGTGGACATCTTGAAATTGAGCGTCAGAATTTGTTTTGGTCCCTTTTTATTGTGGATGTAAGTCATCCTGTTGGCCTGTTTGAGGACTCTCCGTTACTTCTTCTCTAACCGTCTAATCGTCTTTCAGAAACATGCTTCGCTGATTGCAGGAAAGCCGTGTTTGTTACCTTCGTACGATTGCAGCGTTCCCTTGCCCACAGACGAAGACCACTTCACGGCGCGAGTGCGACTGGCTCATATCCACGAAGAGCTCTACCGCAATCTGTACTCGGCAGAGGTGCGTCGTATTGGCAGAGAGTCCATCAATCGCCGCGGCGAAAAGATTGGAAGGAGGCTTCGATCATGGGCCGTTCAACATGAGCATGTGCTGTCACCTCCTGGCCCTGGTCCTATCTCGCCTCCTAATAAATACTGTGCCATGGAGCTGAGATATGCACTTTCCACCTGTTGGGTACTGATTCAGCGTCGCATGATCACTGCGCAGAGTAGAAAGTCCCGGCTGGGGCACGCTCGGGACAGCCTCACTCTGTTTAAGGGGCTTTGCGCGAGTTATCAGCACGGAGATGGCATATCAGGATTTACGGTATTTGAAAAGTATACTCAATGTCCCATGTCCAAGTAGCTCGTATACTCTTCTGACATGTTATTCTTTTAGTATTTGCCTCAACTATTCTATGCTCTCCTTTCTCGAGGTGTATATTCATTTGGTCAAAAGCCATAATTCCGATGACCAAGCTGATTACGATTCAATTTCGTTCTTCGCATCCAAGGCAGAATGTCTCGCTGCAAATGCATGTGTTGGGTCCTATTCGTCTAAAATTAGACATGTGACTAGCCTCTGTAGCCAAATTTCTGAGAGCCTTCGTTCTCTGAAGGAGGGAAGCCGCGCTCAGTCGCAATCAGCTGCCGTATCTCCCAGACCGACAACTGCGTCGACAGATCAAGGCCCCGGCGGGGATTTGTTTGGAATGGACGCAATGGGATCCTTTCCCGCCAGTTCTGGTGCTCGAGACCAGTTCTGGGATGTTTATTCTTTCCCTTTGGGAGACTCGCTCGATTCGGGCAAGATAAATACGAGTCATGAGGCACAGGCCGACAATCGAGATCTCATGGATACCAATGGGCTGTTCTTGATGTCGGAAGATACCACCTCTCATATTTTACCGACAGACGCAGTTGACTTCGACTCTTTTCTAAGTGGACTTTCTAGTGGTAACCACGAATTCGGTCGAACAATATAGCCGAATCCCCCGGTCCGGCATTAAAAGATGATCTTAGTATGGCATTCGTCACGATGAAGATGAACCGGCTCGACGTTGGGGCAAGATACAGGACCGTATAGCATGTTGCCTATAGAGAGAACTTTTAGACTCATGGTTATTTTGTACGGTTGTCAACTGAAGTTATTCGCATTGTCTGGTCTCTTAAAATGACGAACCGGCCCAAACCCACGTTTTGGCACCTCGGATAATGAATTTCTGTAGTCTATGCCATATGCACATAGTATATACTACTTTTTGAGATCATTATTAGGTTCCCTCACTTGAGAATGCCAGCTTCCTAAAGACAATCGTCGGCCCTGGCTAAAGATGAAACATGTGGATGAATTGACACGCAGGTACCGAGCTAAAATCGGGGGATGCGAGCCGCAGCATGATTTTTTCCACCCTTTCAGCTGGCAGTCGGAGCCCCAGATTCTTTCTAGCTTTGTTGTAGACCTGGCTGAGGGTGTCTTTGCGACGAACGTGGCCCAAGGGGTATGGAACTACCACGTCGGGAAGCTGTGTGCCATCATTTAATGTGACAGACAAGGAATTTGACACACTACGAACATTAGGATCGTGATAATCGCGTGTAAATTCTGGGTCTTCGGCCATGGTAATCTTTTGGCGCAATGCCTCGATCCGCTCGTCGGTGGCCCATGGACTGTCATTCTGGTAGTCCGCCGTCTCAATTTGCGTCCCTTTGAGTAGCACAACGGCTACCATGTATCGTAGACAATGATCGCGGTCAGCGGGATTGTGCAGCGCTCCATGCTTATTGATAATAATCATTCCAGCCTCCTGTGTGCGCACATGAATGCTGCGAATGTCGATAGCCGGATCTAATCCTTTCTGTCTCATTGTCTCAGCGGTTTGAAGTGCTGCTTCGATTGCCGTCATGCCATGTCCCTCTGCGGTATTGATCTTAAAGAGGACTGTTTCGATCACCCATGTTCCAAAGGGGCGTGGTAATTCAAATGGTTTACCTTTGAATAATACGTCGTAGAAGCCCCACCGCGGAGTCGTCAAGGCTGTCGTAGCGCCCGGTTGACCGGCTTTGGCTAGCAATGTCAAATGAACAGCGCGCATACACGCATCACCAGCTGCCCATCCTTTACGAGGGCCTGTGTTCGGAGCCTGTCGATACACCCGCAATGGGTGACCGTCCATCCATGCATGGGAGACAGCACTTTTGGCTTGCTCTGGCGAGAGACGCAACAGCCACGAGATAACGGCGGTCGAGGCCACTTTCACAAGGATGACATGGTCAATCCCGACTTTGTTGAAAGCATTTGCTATCTGAAAGCAGCCCTGGATTTCATAGGCTTTGATCAATGCGGAGAGTACCTGACCCATGGAGATCTCAAGTGATGAGTCTCCCTGAGCAAATGCGAGTTGGCTGCAGATATCCGCCGCTGCCAGGATACCTCCCAAATTGTCTGGTCATCAAAGGTCAGCAAATACCTGACTTTTATTAAGGAGACAGAATACCTACCTGAAGGATGACCCCATTCGGCGCCCGGAAATGCATCATTATGATCCAAGTACCGGATCATCGTTCCCATGTCAAAGGCCCCCTTCAAAATATCTAGCTGGTGAGATGTTCCAGGTAGACGAAAGAGACCTGAAATGCCTGGTGCAAGGGGCAGCGGTGGCCCCAAGAGCTGGGCGCACTCTGGACTTGTATGGACGCTCTCCAAAGCGACTCCGAGCGCGTCAATCAGAGCTGCTTTGGCTCGCAGCCAAGCATTATCATCCGTGATCTGGAAGTTGTAGACATAATCCACAATGGAAACTATAATCTCATCATAGGCATGACTTGAATTATCATCTGGGCCGGATATGATTGTCATGGCGCTTTTTGACTAAGGTTTCTTCAATGCCCGAAAGAAGATGGGATAGCGATGTGGGAGACTGTTCCTCTAGAGAATTTCAATGTTCTCATGGTGCTATTTTCATTAAAATGGAGTATTATCGAAGACTTTGAGGTTATTGAACCTCTGATTGCGACGTAAGACAGGCTGAGAAGCAAGGCCCGAGGAGGGCTGATGCGGCGAATACTTCCTTCGGCGGACGGCCGCCGGGCTCCAGCTCGGGCTTCGCCGCTCCGACTGCTCCAAGTTTCCCGAGTATCCGGCCACGCAAGTCTACTTCGAATTGAGTTGCGGAGTCCAGAACTTCAAAATAGTCATGCATTTCGGATAAATGATGCCACTCCATCTATTTACGGTTTCATTAATTCTCCTGCTGATGGGCGAGTAGCGATAACTGTGTACCTTACCGGTTATCGTCTTATATCGTGAAGCTACACAGGACTCCTCTCCATATTTCACAAACCAAGTTTTTTCTTTTTTATTATTTGATGTTCTTCACCTTTTGTCTGGCTTCAATGCGCTTTTGACATAACACAATCATGACTTCACTGCGGGGAACCAATGATCAATCTCAATCCTCTGGAGAGTGCACACCCGCAAGTATAGAGTTCTCCCAAATCATTTTCTCCCTGCAATACGGGGAGACTGTGGTGTCATTTCCCATAAATACCCATGTTGCTTCCATACTTCATCCCTACAAAATCCATTTCTTGGAGGAGCTGTCGAGACGAGCAGTTGGCGAGGATGAACATACCGTTCCCCTATCAAGAGTCACTCTAGCTCTACGGTTCTTGCGGTACTTGATGGACCAATGCACCTCCATCGACACAACTAATACAATCCTTCGGGCTTTTGAAGAACAGTTCATGGCTTGCTTTGATATTCACAGCATGGTTGCTGGAACATCAGATCCCTTAGCTGCTAGAAGGCAAGCGTTGGGAGATTATTTCTCGGCCGTGGAATATACATCGAGCACTCCTAAGCCGGCAAAGAGCGCTCTCTTCCAATCCGCACATGTTGGTATCTCCAAACTTCTGGTCGTGTTTGGAGGCCAGGGCCCGGCCAACGCCTCCTGCGTAAAGGAGTTACGAACATTGAGTACAACTTATCGCTATCTTTTGAGGCGTCTGATTGTCAGAGTCACCCCGCTACTCACATCGCTATGTCAACACCCCGATACGAAACAGTTCTTCGCGGGTCGAATGATCAATCTACAGAGCTGGCTCACTGATAATGGAGAGCTCCCCGACGATGCTTTCCTGGGTTCAGCCCCTGTGAGCTTTCCCATTATTGGGCTCCTCGACCTAGCCCATTACTGCGTGACTTGCCAGATCTTGAATAAAACTCCTGGCGAAGTGGCTGCATCTTTCCATGGAGTATCAGGGCATTCGCAAGGGATCGTGGTGGCAGCAGCGGTTTCCAAGTCAAGCTCATGGGACTCATTCTACGCGAACGCTTGTCTTGCGGTGGAGATACTATTCTGGATTGGATTCGAAAGTCACCTGCATGCACCTTCTTCTTTTATTTCGGTTGATACACTTCAAGACTCTGTGACGAGCGGAGAAGGTCAGCCGTCGCCGATGCTATCTGTCAGAGGGTTCGAGCAAATTGCCTTGGACGATATTCTGCGACAGTGCAACACCCACCTTCCGCTTAACAGCCAGGTTCATATCGCTCTGGCCAACTCAAGGTCTAATTTTGTGGTCGCGGGTCCCCGGGCCTCTCTCTGTGGTCTTTGCAAATTTCTTCGAGACGTAGTCGTTTCACCCGATGAAGACCAAACCAGGATCCCATTCAGCCAACGAAAACCTGTTGTCTCGTACCAATTTCTCCCTATTAGCGCCCCTTTTCATACGCCTTATCTGAGCCAAGCGGCCTCGAAGATCAAGGAAAGGCTGCACGACAAGACCTTTACTGCTTGTGAGGCAAACATTCCCCTGCTACACACAACCACTGGCGAAGTGATCACTTCGGGAGGACATGTCTCTATCATAGAGTCTCTCGTCGATGCCATCACTACTGGCTTTGCTGACTTTCCTAGGGTGCTGTCTCACCCTGAAACTTCACACTTTGTGGTATTTGGCCTGGGACGCCTGGGGGAGCTGGTGAAACAGAATCGTCAGGGTTATGGTCAACGCATTATATGCGGAAGTGAGACTGACGTGGTTAGTAGCGACACTGGATCAAAAGCAGAACTCTTTTCATCGATTTTGCCATCCCATGAGCTTCCTTGGGGCAAAGAGTACGCACCGCAATTACTTCGGACTCGCGATGGGACACTGGCCCTCCACACAAAGCTCAGTCATCTGCTGCGAGTTCCTCCGGTGCTCGTTGCCGGTATGACACCGACTACAGCTCCATGGGACTTTGTCGCGGCAGTGATGAATGCCGGATACTACGCTGAACTGGCAGGTGGTGGCTACTACTCGGATAGCGCTATGGAGAATGCAATAAGAACCCTTGCTTCCGAGATTTCTCCCGGGCGTGGAATCACTGTGAATCTCATTTATGTCAATCCAGAGGCCATAGCATGGCAGACGCGTTTAGTTCGCAAGCTAATTCACCAGGGCATCCCCGTCGATGGGATCACAATTGGTGCCGGTGTTCCCTCTCTCAGCGTTGCCCGGGGATATATTGACGATATCGGTTTGAAACATATCTCTTTCAAACCTGGTTCTGTCAATGCCATCATGGCCGTGCTGGAAATTGCAGATGATCGCCCGGAATTTCCGATCATTCTTCAGTGGACTGGAGGGCGAGGTGGTGGCCATCACTCGTTCGAGGACTTCCACGCCCCCATTCTGTCCACATATCATGAATGCCGGAAGAGAAAAAACATATTTCTCATTGCTGGAAGTGGCTTTGGGGCTGGAGAGGACACATATCCGTATATCTCAGGGACTTGGTCCAGGCACTTTGGGTATCCTGAGATGCCTTTCGACGGAGTTTTGCTGGGTAGTCGCCTTATGGTCTGCCGAGAAGCTCACACGAGCCCACAGGTTAAAAAGCTCATCTGTGACACACCAGGTGTGGAAGACAGTGGTTGGGAGCGAACTTACAGTGGGAGTGCAGGAGGTGTGATAACAGTTAGATCTGAAATGGGACAGCCGATCCACAAAATTGCTAATCGCGGTGTGTCTCTCTGGGCTGAGCTCGACCAGACTGTCTTTGCTCTTTCACGCCCCAAAATGGTCGAGGAGCTCAACAGAAGGAAAGAATACATCATATCTCGACTCAATAGAGACTACGCAAAGCCATGGTTTGGACGAGACGCGACTGGTGATCCAATTGATCTTATTGACATGACGTACACGGCGGTTTTGAGGAGAATGATCCAGTTGATGTACGTCAGCCACCAGAAGCGTTGGATCCATAGCTCATACATGCGTCTGGTCCACGATTTTGCTCTGCGCGCTCTGAGTAGAGCTTCTACTCATCCTGGCTCCTCCTTCAACATCGATGCACTGGAGGACCCTAAAGGCTTTCTTGAGTTATTCACATCACATTTCACGAAGAGCAACGATCGACAACTACATCCAGATGACGCAACTTTCTTCGTTCAGAGATGCAAGGCCCGAGGCCAGAAACCTGTTAATTTCATCCCCATTCTCGATGAGAATTTCGAGTATTGGTTCAAGAAAGACTCACTCTGGCAGTCGGAAGACCTTGAAGCGGTTGTCGATCAAGACGTTGAGCGAGTCTGTGTTTTGCAGGGTCCAGTCGCAGTTAGACATTCTGTCGACCAAGATGAGTCTGCACATGAGATCTTGAAGAACATCTCAGACTTTCATATAAGCACTTTGCTTCTTGAAGGTTATGCGAATGACTTGACCCGCATCCCGAAGACTGAGGACCCTGCTTCTACATCCCCGCTCTCGCTTGGCCCACCGGACTATGCTGATGAGAGTACTGTTTGTACACAGTCCTTCTGTGCTCTTCCAGGTGACACCACGAATTGGTTGGATGTTTTCGCTGCCAATTCGTTTGGATGGATCCATGATCTGGTGCGTGAGCCTCATATTATTCGCGACGGGGTTCGCAAAAAAATCCTTTCCAGAAAATCTTCAACTTGAAACCAGGAGAGACCCTCAAACTGGATCATAGATTACAGCAGGTTGTGTTAAGGGATTCTAAAGATGTACATACGCTCGCTGTATTGCACCGATCCGATGTCGACAACATCATCAGCCTTCATCTATACCAGCCGAGCAACTTCACGGCCGGGCCAGCTACCTTGACCATCCAGTATAGACACATATCAACCGGTTTATCTACAGCTCTGGAGGAGCTTACTAATGAAAGAGAGGCTCGCATCAAATTGTTTTACAGCAATCTATGGCTCGGCTATGAAATGGATACCAGCTCTCCCGATGCGACATTCACCGGACCACCCATCACTCTGACTCATGATTTGATTCACGAGCTATGTGAGGCTTTAGGCTTCCTTCATATTCACATCAGTGAAGACAATGCTATTCCCTTGGACGTTGCAATTGTTGTTGCTTGGGAGGCGCTTGTCAAGCCTCTTCTGATACCCGCTATCAGTGGTGATCTCCTTCGACTGGTACATCGCAGTAACTCCATCGAATACTGTCCATCAGCAAAGCCATTCCAATTGGGTGATATTCTGCAGTCTAGCTCTCAAATTCAGAGTATAAATATTGAAAATACGGGAAAGTCGTTGGTGGTCAAAGCAAGCATTGAGAGAAACGGGCTCCCTGTTGCAACGCTCACGTCCTCCTTCTTCATGCAGGGCATCTACTCTGATTTCGATGCCTGCTTTGAAAACATTGTTGAGCCTGAAATTGAGATCACAATATCAACAAGTGTGGAGGAACAGGTTCTACGATCGAGGCCTTGGCTCTCGTTGGATGCACCCAAACTTAATTTGGTTGGGAGGACACTATCCTTCTACCTTACAACCTCCACTTCCTGGAGGAGCAAACAGGCAATCGAGCGGTTGAAAATCAGTGGATCAGTGTTTCTCAAAGCATGGAACGGCGAAAAAGAGGAATTTGGACGAGTTTTCTACCAAGCTGTTGACTGCAAGGGAAACCCCGTACTCGACTTCTTGCACCGCAAAGGAGTGCCGGTGGCTGAGCGCAAGATGTTGAAGGAACCCGTGCAATTATTCAACACCGCACAGGCCGTGCAAATCCCTCTATCTAATGAGACTTACAGTCAATTTTCCAAGGATTTCAACCCAATTCATATCTCTGGACTGTTTGCGGAGTATGCAGAGCTACCAGGTACAATTACCCACGGCATGTATACTTCTGCCGCTGTTCGGTCTCTAGTCGAACAGTCTGTAGCAGATGGAGATTCCCGGCGGTTCCGACGATGGTCTTGCTCATTCGTCGGAATGGTCTTACCAGGCGATCAACTGGATGTACAGGTGGTCCAGCTCGGTCTTATTGAAGGAAGACTTCTGTTGACCGTCACAGTGGTCAACTCTCGAACACAGGACCAGGTCCTTCACGCAGAGGCAGAAGTGGAACAGGCTCCCACAGTCTACATCTTCACTGGACAAGGCAGTCAGTCCATTGGTATGGGAATGGAGTCATACAGGTCCAGTCCGGCAGCAAGGAAGGTCTGGGACAACGCGAATCGGTTTTTGCTCGACAAATTTGGTAAGTCAGAAGTATACAACTGGTTCTGACACTCCATTCTCACCTTTTCTGACTATATTCATCTGCAACACAGGGTGGTCAGTTTTGGATCTTGTTCAAAATAATCCTAGGTCAATTACGGTGTACTTCCGAGGTCAACGTGGCAGAAAGATACGATCCAACTATATGGCGATGACAATAGACACATACCGTATAGATGGATCAGTTGTCAAAGAGCCTATCATCAAAGATTTGACGAGTGAGAGCAAGTCATACACGTTTTCAGATCCCCGAGGCTTGCTATTTTCCACCCAATTCGCACAGCCAATCATTGTGTTACTCGAACAGGCAGCCATGGCCGACTTGAAGCATCGCGGGGTCATCCAGGAGGGTGCAGGCTTTGCCGGCCATTCACTGGGAGAATACGGCGCTCTGTCATCCTTTGCTGAGTTCATGCGCTTCGAGGATCTGCTCCAGGTAGTGTTTTATCGAGGACTCGCGATGCAATTGGCCATCGAACGCGATTCCCAGGGACACACCAAATTCTCCATGGTTGCTGTGAATCCCGCACGCGTCGGAAATTGTAGGTTAAGGGCGTAGTTCTTGCATAATGAGTTTTAATTTTGCTAATTTGTCACTATTAGTCTTTACGGAACAGGTCTTGAAAAATCTGGTGGAGATGATCACGACGACAACTGGTACACTTCTGGAAATTGTTAACTTCAATGTGGAAGGTGAACAATATGTCTGCGCAGGAACGGTGAGCCAAGTACTATTCGAGTTTAATGTTCGAGGTATTAATGCCGTCCCGACAGCTGGATAACCTCCATGCCTTGGGGGCCACCCTCGATTACATCGCGAAGGCTCCAAATGGCGCATCCATTTCTCGGCAGGTGGAGGAAAACGCTCAATCAAGGGAAGGTCTCGGCGTCGTCTTGCGGAGTATTGCCGAATCCCAACAGCTGGCCAGTCCCATCACTCTCCAACGCGGTACAGCCACGATACCGCTACAGGGTATCGACGTGCCATTCCATTCGGCGCATCTACGTACCGGTGTGCCTTCCTACCGCAGTTTTTTGGAGGAACGAATCCAGAACGGCGATGTTAACCCTCAACGGCTGATTGGGAAGTGGATTCCCAACATCACGGGCAAGCCATTCTCATTGAGCTCGGAGTACATTCAGGATGTCCATCGGTTGACTGGCAGTCCCATTCTGGCGGAGGTTCTGGCCGCTTAAATTCGAGTTCAACTATAGATATCAATTTTAGAATGTCGATAATTCGCCGATCCTTTCTGTATCTCTGTATGCCAAATATTTTGTTCTACCGACAACTGACAGTTTGCTGCTCCTGATTCAGACTATTGCCAATTCCCCTTGGCTTGCGCACATACACTGGGGTTCATGAGCCTGAAAGTCCTGCAAAACTTTAGAATCTTCTTCCTAGTCATAGTTTGGACAACAGAGTAACAGATAATATCCCCCACTCACTTAATAACCGATCAATAAATATTGAGAAAAAGAATTTTGCAGGGGAGAAGGTTTGAAGGTATTTGGTTGGACGATTTGCCTGCTCTGCGAATTTCCATCGGGGTGCGGCAGCCGAGCTCCGCAGGTTGTTTACATATAGGCGCGAAGGTACCTGGAAGCCCGACTCATGTTTCATATTCCACCTCAATATGTCGCAAAAGAGTACAGAGAAGGTCGACACAATGCCCGACACCGAGCTGGGCACTGATCCTCCCCAGCCGACATGGGTGGTAGAATGGGATGGGCCAGATGACCAGGACAACCCCCATAATTGGTCTCCCCGGTACAAATTATTCGTCAGTTTGGTGCTTGTTGTTTTACCATTGATTGTCAACATCGGATCCAGCATCATGAGTGGCGCTCTTACATCGTTGGAAAAGGAATTTCGCATTGGCTCCGAGGTAGCCATTCTGACGACCACCACCATGTTTTTGATGGTATGCCAACCTTGGATTGATGTATCTTCATCTCTTTACATGAATATTCAAGCTGAACTTCGACCTCATCCACGTATAGGGGTTTGTCACCGGTCCTCTGATATTCGGCCCGTTGTCTGAGAAGTACGGGAGGCGATGGCCTATACTCAGTGGAGTCGTACTATTCTCGACTTTCTGTATTCCGATCGCAGTAGCGGAAAACTTCTATACCATTCTGATATCACGTTTCTTCGGTGGCGCTTTTGGAGCGTCGTCAATGGCGGTGACCGGAGGAGCTTTGACAGACGTGTGGAATACCGCCGTCAGTCGTGGTATATCGCTAGACTGCTTCGTGGCCACAGCCTTTGTGGGTCCTGTCATTGGGCCTATTATCGGCAACTTTATCACACAGAGCCATCTAGGCTGGCGATGGACCATGTGGATCATGATTATCGCCGCCTATAGCTTCTCCATCTTCGCGCTGGCGAGCTTGCCCGAGACGTATGCACCCACGCTGCTGACTGCCAAGGCAGCACGACTACGATTCCAAACCAAAAATTGGGCACTTCATAGTAAGATGGAAGAGGAAGGCGAGACAACGTTCAAGTCCTTCGCGCAATTATATTTGGTGCGCCCGTGGAGTAAGTCCTTCACGACCTGTGACTCCCTTAAATCATTTTCATGAAACATACTCACTCTTCGTGCAGCTCTCCTTGCGACGGAACCCATTATGATGCTAGTCACCCTATATATGAGCTTTCTCTACGGATTGCTATTTCTCTTCTTTGAGGGATTTCCCATCTCATTTGTAGAGCAACGTGGGTGGGAGCCCCAGATTGGCTCTCTCTCTTTCCTGAGTCTCTTCGTCGGTATCCTCCTGGGCCTGGCCGGCATGGTTACTTGGTCGATGACAATATTCGCGCGCCAGGTTGCTTCGACCCCTGGAAAGGTGATACCGGAGCGACGTCTTCCTCCGATGATGGTGGGCGCAGTTGGGCTCCCTATCGGATTGTTCTGGTTCGCATGGACAAGTAGCCCTAGCATCCAATGGGGCGCGGAGATCATCGCGCCAGCGTTGGTGTCGGCATCCATGTTTGCCATCTTTATCTCGGGTCTGAAATATATCGTCGATGTATACCTGATATATGCAAACAGCGCAATATCCGCGAATACAGTCGTCAGAAGCTGCTTCGGGGCGGGTTTTCCTCTCTTCGCCAATTCTATGTACAGTCGGCTAGGTTTTCCTTGGGCGACCAGTCTTTTGGCATTCCTGTCTGTCGCTATGATCCCAGTGCCAGTCATTTTTTATCTGTTTGGGCAGAAGATCCGCATGTGGTCGCGCATGACAGCCAACAAAACCTGAAAAATCGCGCCTGAGGGAACTGCACAAAACCCAATAAGGATTGCCACTGGAGATAGAAAGCACCAGGCTCGGGCAAGCTCCCAGTTGTAGGCGAGGTGACCAGTTTTTGAACAATATAAGGATCCCGGTGCTTGGCCTACGGCAGGTGATAAGTGGTCCTATTATTGTCATTATATACAAGACATCATATAATATCCAGCTAAACGAGCTAGCTTATCGTTTTCAATATACTATATAGTTTGCACAATAGTATTCCTCGGCTGTGATAAATAGACTATTTATCAGATTGCCTCATCACAAACTTCGCTATCTACGTCGTGAAATGTCCTTCTGGGAGCAGAGCTTCAAAAAGTGCCTGGTCAAAGAAGAAATCAGGTGAATCAAATGTCTCGAAAATAGCTGCTTGCTCCTGGGTCAGCGTATTACCAGCACCCAGCCAGTAAGTTTTAGAGTCATGCTCGGCCGACGCAGATGGACAAGAATCCCCCATATCGGTACTGGTCGACGGGGTCAACAGGCATGCTGTTAGCTCCAAGGTCTGATTCGAGTTGGTAATCATGCTTATTAAGTCGATGCACCAAGCAACGCCTAGATGTAGTTTCGTGATATATGCACTTCGTATGTCTTGATGTGCTAAGGAGCTTAACTGGCGGCGGACGTTGATCAGCCGCGGGACTATAGCCGCTACATCGTCCGAGCCGTCTCCAGCCAGGTATCGCACACAAAGGTCATGAAAGGCAACGAGCGGGTAGTTCTGGAAAATTCTACCATAAATTGGTCAGCTTCTAACAGAGAGGGATGTGACAAATGTGAAAGCATTTACCGGCTCAGGACCACGCAGCTGCCTGGTGTCACAGGCCCCTCGAAAACATCAGTGATGGTCTGAAGAGCGAACACGGCATGTTCATGGGTTGTCTGCCACTCCTCTGTCGTCCGATGACAGCGGTGAATCAGAATTTTGCTGACATGATAGCAGTAAGTGATCTCTAGTTGCATCAGGCGCAGACCGGGGTCGCGGGATACCTGCGATGGAACCAGAGGTAGGTACTTGTCACATAGATGGTCCAGCCGATCCACCTGGTTATGTCTATGTTCTGCCCCCATTCTGACTGCTCTCACCGAGTATAATCCAATGTAGATTTCCTCCCAGACAGTCATTATATGTGCCGCGGCGGAGCGGAGTTGTGACTCGACAGACATCTCCGGGGCGGACAGGCGGGGTTGGAACTCCGTATTAAACAGATACAGATCGGGAGGATGTCCACCGAGGAAGACACGGGTTTTATCCATGCTGTACACGATCCAGAAGAGTCGCTGGCGGGCTTCCAGCGCCCTATCATCCACTATCCCAACGGATCGGTGGAGACCCATAGATTGTGCTAGTTTACAGGCTGCAGAACAGACCTTCTCGAATATCGTGTTAATAAAGAATTCTCGCGCCACTAATGCCTGTAATTGTTAACTCGACTATTCGTAACTGACCTATAAGGTCCTATTTCTTACCAGCATGATGAGCGCCTGAATGTTGACAATAGTAGGCTGTAGCAAAGCATCCAAGTCTGCCAAGGCACGATGACAGTTTTTCAAGGAGTCGTCAATTACTTCGGAATGCTTGCTCCAGGCATTCACCTGGATGCCAGATCGTCGGACCACACCGGCGTCAAGATGCAAGGTCAGCAAGACGATACAGTTTAAACACACCATCCATGCTGCCTGAACGGGCGGACCATTGGATTGATAACAATCCGGAATGGTGTCATATAGTATATCAGCCTCGAATACGGGGACATGGAGGTTGACGTGGTTCATGAAGCGATCTAGTATAGAATACACGACATCCTGCGGAGGCGACGTGATGGGTCCTTGGTCAGCGGTAATCGGCTGTTCGGTACACCTCTTTTGAAAAGGAAACTTCTCGCAATGTCGCATCAGCGAGGGCCGTAAGGCGGTATTGGTCAAACTCTCTGCTAGCGGACCATGCAATGGCGGGGATTTGGCATTCAAGCCTGCTGCCAGCAGCTTCTGGGAGGCGCGAAACAGGCACAATGCAGCGGGGTAGCCATACAGACGCTCGCCATACCCCTCGCTCAAAAGAAACGAATTCGAGGTCACATCCGTGGATGGTCGTTCATCTCTGCCTATCTCCGGGCCATTCTGATCATCAGTAGTGGACAAAGTAAGCGGCAATGCGGCCTGGGTGCGATTTGCTGCCAAGGACTCGACTTGCTGCGACAAATGCGCCAGCGACCGGTCCACATCATCTAACCGATTGAGGACGGACGAGAAGTCATGTAATCTGATATTGGAAGATCCCTTTCTCAGCTCTATGCTGTACAAAAATACTGCGATTGATTGAAATCTCACAGTTGTTTGGCGGGGTTGGTCCTTTTGAACGAGGCAGAAAAGTCACAGAGGACGCCAGCTTTGCAACACGCGGAGCATTCTGGCCGGTTGCGATCGCATCGAATCTGAAGTGCGCGGGATTACGACGTGATTCATTCTTACATCTAGAGAGGACTGACCTTGCGCGACCGGCATTGATTGCAAGCAGGTGTGGAGTCGGCTTCGGGGCTGCGACGGGGGCGCTTCCGGGTCTTCTGCATACTGCAGTGAAAGGAAGATTAGGGTAGATGATAACAGAGATGAGATTTTTGCAATGGGAGGGGTCGAATGATGGCTGGGTAATCATTCATCTGGTTCATTATGGTTGAGGGGATGTTGCTTCGTCGTGGTCGGGGCTCGGCATGCGAGCCCCGAAGCGCAATCCCAGCGACAAGATCAACTGCCGCCGCCACACAATCATACGTAAAATTATATTTCGGTATTGACGAGTTCCACTATGACAGGCATCCTCTGTGGATTGTAATCCAACTCCGACACTTCGCGGATAAAATGCGGATGTGGTTCAACACTTGAATACACCAGAGCAGCGATTTGGATTCCCAGGCGTCCGGATCCATGAAGTTGGAACACAGGCAACATGAACGCCATCCACTTTGCAGAATGCCAAAATCGCCATTTACATATGTTGAAGACTTCTTCCATAAATAGATAGAAGTTAGGAATTCCGACTTTGGCGGGCAATAGCATAGCATCAAGATTTCGCAGAATAAGGCGTGAGCTCATTAAGAAAAAAGAATGAGCCTAGCCATGAGGGTGTGAGATAAGCATCGAATGACTTTTCCGCTCTAAGTTAGACTAGAGAGAGAATCATGAAGCTCAGATCTGGATCTGATTACGCAGGAAAAGGCCGATCGGATCAGTGGATCAACTATCAAACCACCACATACCACCACGTTGAGCAGACCTTCCCAATTGGGAAACAGATTTTGATTCTCAAGGAGAGTGAAAAGCTTGAAATCCTAGCTGATTGGCAGAGACTAAGTCTTTGGCTACCGTATATCAGAACCAATATATTAACCAGACTAGTCTACAAGCTGGAGATTTACCTGTCACACAATATAATCATACTGATATACACTAGTTATACAACTTGATCTTTACACTTGACTACATACTACTACTTAGCACTTTCTGAGAATTCTCTGCAATTCTCCTCAATGACAGTTGCCAGGTCAGTATGCCCATAAATAACAGGAGCACGTGCCTGTTGCAAATACTTTGTTCCCAATTTGCCCTCTGGGAGTATACTTTCCGCCATTTCAACCCAATAATCCACAATGCTGGGAGGGAAACATTGCGCGTAGAACTGGTGAAGATGGTCCCTTTCGATGGCCTGCAACTCAACTTTCTTTCCAAGAGCTCGGGTGAATGCTGCTCGCGCGTCAAGTGGGCTATATCTCCGAGGACCATGCAACTCGACTATGTATGGTTTTTCTGGAGGTGGCTTTGAATCAAGAAGCTGTTCTGCAAGAGTAGCTCCGACGTCGGATATGGAGACCATTGGTATTTCATAGTCTGTGGGCGTAATTGTTGAGAAGAAGTATGGATCTGGGCCTCTTAGAGGGTCGAGGTTGATAGTCCAATTCTCCATGAAATAGGAGCATCGAACAAAAACAAGGTGTTCGACTTCAGTACCACGAAATACTTCCTCTGATCTGTTATTTGTCTTGATTTCACCCTGTACTCGATGTCAGCAGGAGTAGGGTGCATGGGATTCAATGATACATACAACACCCTCGCTAAATTCAGCTCCGACACTGCTGAGCAGAACAACCTTTTTAATATCACCAGCCATTTCGATTGCAGTTTTGATGTTCAATGATGCTCTTTCTGCCTGTTGAACTGGATCTTGACCGTCGAAGACTGGAGGCATAATAGCTAGAATAGCATCAGATTCCTTAAGGCTAAACGAGCCTTTTTTTGAAATATCACCCTCGATGGCAGAAAAGTTGGGCTGCGCAAGAAATGTAGCTGGGACTTTAGAAAGATCCCTGTAGACCCCACGGATTTGAACGGGTTTAGAGAGTAACGACCTTATGGTCGCTGCACCTGTGTTTGTGCTTGCTGGTATAATTGTGACCTGCATGGTAAACTTACTGGTTTTATGACAAAGCCTGAGCTGCTAGCAGATCATGGACTGTATTTTTGAGGTTGATAAGAGTCTCTGTCTATCCTTCGAGTTCCCGCCCTATGCCGCCCTATGCTGACGTCACAACTTCTATTGTGCTGACATCGCATGCATCCGGATGCGGCCAGTTTAGGACCACGCACGGTGCCGATATGAATACATCACGCTAACCCTATCAAGGGTCGTATAATCTTGGAACAGACCGCTCGCGCTGAAGAAAAAGGGGTGGCAGAGATTTTGACGATTCTGGTCAACAGTTAAAATGATTCAATTGCAAGAGCGGGGAAGGAAACGCAAAGGAATTTGGGTCCTGTTGGATCTGGAGGTGGGGAAGAGCGCGTACTATCTACATGCACGCACTGTTCGGGCACCGGGCGCCCAAAGTAAAGTTAATTGAAAACCGAGCCAGTCTTTCTTTCACATCAGAATTCGATAATTCGGGATGACGGTGAAATGGCCTCAATTTCTCGTAGCATTTTCGAGCCAAAATCGTGGCCATTTCACCTAGGTGAGCCCTAACTGCTAAGCAGCTACGCGATCAATCAAGCAATTAACCAACATCTCTATTGACCTTGCAGCTAAATTTGTGGCGTAATGACTATGTAGGCGCTTCCTCCGGCGGAAGCAAGAGCTATGCCAATGCCGGTGTGCAGAAAAAAGTCAATAAAGAGGAGAACAGTGTTGCGCCATATGAACCAACCCAAAATCAGTCCAAACTTATCACAAAAACTCGTAATTAATGCCCGCATATATTAGTACCTTACACCCCCCCCCCCCCCCCCCCCCCCTCCCCCCATCCCAACCCTTCCAGGTTGTGACTGCGCCACACAGCAACACAGCATTTCTTTTAGTCCCACTGTGTATCAATGAATTTCAGTAATATCTATAAAGAGAATATCACCTGCTTGGCATGCTTCCTCCGCTCAATCTAGTGCTATATCTTGATTCTATTTAGGGCCTAGTGGTGGTGATGTTCTATACGCGTTCTTCCACTGCTTCCTTGCCCGCTTCCTCTCTGCCTCTGCTTCCTTCTCGTTTCTTTTATTAACATAACGGTTTACAATCTCTAATAGAGAGGACGTCTGTTTTATTAAGCGGTATTTTGACCTGGCGCTTATTAATTGGGCGTTGTAGTAGTTGGTGAGCTTCCCCAATCTTGCGGAGAGCTTTATTTGTTACATATATAAAGATTCTCTATAGCGATTTTATTATGATGGAATAACCGGTTAAGATCCTGTTACCGCCTTGGTTTAGGATCTTCTTCTTGATACCACTTAATCTTCTTTGATTCTTCACTAGACCCAATATAGGTCTAGGTGGTGATTGCTTAATACTAGAAGAAGATATTGGTGGTGGTGAAGGTGTTGATAGTAGTAGACCCGACGCTATCTTGGATAGAAGGGCTATTGATACCCTTACTACTGTTGACTAGATATATTCTGGGATCTTTAAACGATTCACGAATAATTCGTTGGTTAAATACATAGTTTCGAATATCGCCGATTATTCGAAGGAACTTCGACCTTCTAATTTGGCTCCCACCCTAGAATACGTTCGAATTATAAGCTAGCGTGTTATGTATTGGTAGTAGTTCTATTAAGAGTCTAGTCACCTGCCTATCTCCAGTTAAGTATCAAGTAAATAAAGGCCCGTTAGTTTGGCCAAATACTTATAGATATACTATGGTCTTATTCTCGATATATTGTATCCCTGACTCCCAGGGGAAACATGTGAAGTTCACACCAACAAAATCAATAGACAATATGCAACAGAGGCCTTATCCATGTGGCATAACCCTATGTTAATAGGCGTATTTAAAATTTTTCAAATTTATGACAAAACGTCACGTCACCCCTTGAAAGGTTTTAATAAGAACCTCGGAAGTCGAAACTTTCCTTTTCCATATACTAGAATTGCACATAGTACGAGGCTTGGCTACCAGGTCCGATCCATAATAGTGATGCCGCTCTCTAGTCTGTACCGCTCCTTCTATAAATGGACTCGGGCCAGTATCGCTCACAAGGAAAATTTCAATTGCAAGAGTACCCTCATTCTAATGACTTCATCTCTCATTCTCAAAAGGCAAATTTCATATCGGCAACTACATCCTTCTACCTTCTATAGCTCGCCAGAAATCTCTTCAAGCTCAGAATTTCATACACATTCAATTTCCACTCTGTCAAAATGGATGCCTGGCAAATTCTGGAGCCATTGACCTTCATTCTACTATCCATTCTTGTCATATACCATGTAATTGAGGTATGTTGTACCTAGGTAGTTTCAGGAATTCTGATATCGCTTTGACTGGCAATAGCTCACACTAGCCTACGACAGCTTCACATGTTATCGAAACGGATCGATAAGCTGGAAAACAAGATTGAATCCTCTAGGAGAGTTTGACTAGGCCTAAGAAAATCGTCTCTGAAGGCTGTTTGTGTTGGTCGAACTTGTTTAGCCGTGGGAAGATAATTTATTGCTTGCGAGCATTGACCTAGAAGAATACATGGTAGCTTCAATGTCTAGAAATTCAATCGACATCAGGACAGTGCGCTCTTCTAGCTTGAAAGACTGGGGCCTTGCAAAGTATGGACTCTAAAGATGTGGATGGAAGACCTCGATGTGAAGCTACAAATTTTATTATAGAGGGTCACTAGCAATCGTTGTTTCTTTTGACTCCAGCTCTTGGTCTCTCCTTTCCGTGTGTTTGAATTTATTTAATCGTTGGAATGTTGCATCCAAACGATGGCTCTTTTTGCCGTTTGATGAAGAATCCTCCCATACAAGTTTAAGCTCTCATTCGCATCGTCCGTAGATCTGTTCTGACCTACAAGAAGCCCACCTCGAATCCCGAACATCACGAGTTGCGGGAACTTTCCAGGTTGATATACTTCTGTTCCTCTTTCAATGTTTCCCTATCCGTTTACAGACCTTCTATTATCACTTGACCTCTCTCGAACCAGTTTCGATACTTATCAACATGCACTTCTCGGAAAATATACACGACACCAACTATGCTAGGCACTCTAGTTACAAAGCTCACAGGGATCATAGGTTGATGAACGATAAAGAGCACTTGCGTGAGTGATATTACAAAGTTAACTTCTATCTAAGGTGCGAGAAATTATGTACATGAGAGCTTATCTTGGCTTCACCCGAAGGCTACTAGTCACCGGCCCTACGTAGGACCCCACGTATCCCAGCCATTTTAATTCGATCTACTATTACTAGTGGTAGTATTTAGTACATATTTGATTGAAGGCTTACTAGTTGAAGGCTTCATTCCGACGCAAATGTCAAAATGGTCCTCGAAAGACAACAATCTTTATAGGCATCTCAGAGAACCATCCTCCGCATGTCATGCAGCTCCCATGAGACGCTACAAATGTCAGAATAACTTGATGTAAGGTCTGGGGTCTGCAATATAGGTATGAATAGGAAAATAAGCAGCTAGGGGAGAAGGGGGGAGGTGGTGCCCTTTATATAGCTAGCCAGCAGTCAGCTCTATGGCATAAGGTTCTATTCTTAGCTGGTCTAAGAGTTGAATCAGACTTCTAGCAAAATGAATGACTAGCTCTGAGGCCTCAAGAGCGTTAGCGCGGGGGTGGGGGGTAAGGACTTGCAAGGGCGTAGCCACCCTCAGGCGCTTCATATTGTAAACTACTTGCTAATCATCTCATATTTCAGAGCGTAGGGTGAGACCTATAATATGGGCTATCTTGTGGCTTTATAGGCGAAATACGCTTTTAGGTAATAATCAAGCCGCTAGGGAAAGTTCTGCTACTACAACCGTCTAGCTAGCTAAATATTATCAAGAATAGAAGTATTCGAACGGTTGCTAGCAGCTTCTCTTTCTAAGGTATAGACTTTCGCTTCTTTATCGGCCCTAAGACTAGATTTCTCTATTCTATTCCGAGATAATATCTCTCTAATCTAAAACTTGAGTTCTCGAATCAAAGTTTGAAGATATCCACTTCCTCACTATACACAAGACATAAGTTGAAGATTTACTACGCAAAAAAGCGATTAATTCTAGATTTATATAAGGAGAAGGTATTAAGAATATTAAACGAGCAGAGCGAATCAGGTGCTAGGCATACGATATTATACTATCAGGCAGGGCCAGCTCCCAAGACGCTCAGGAGCAAATACTATACAACCCATATTTTCAAGTGGCCTCTTGAGATAGCCATTTAAAAAGGCAAGAAGAACGATCTGTCGCTCGATAAAGTAGCCCCGGAGGAAAACTGCCGTAGTTCGAGCATAATAATAGGAGCTACGGAAGGGCCGGGCTAAACGAGCGAAAGCGGCGACAGCGGCGACAGCGGCGACAGCGGCGTAATCTGCAGGGGCGGTCGGAGCTCAGTGATCCAGTTCAATAGCAAGAATGCCTCAGCGGAGCACAGACAACAACAGGCACGCTAGGAGTAGACGAAGAAACAGTAGTGGACAATCGAGTCGGAGGGGGAGGGTGGTTCTATAAAGCCACGCACGGCAACGCACAAAGATAGGTAACGCTAAACCCAAACCTATGAATCTAAACTAGATCGAGTATTTCACAAGCACAGTCCGATATGGTGTAGTGGCTAACATCGCCGTCTCTCACACGGCAGCCGGGGGTTCGATTCCCCCTATCGGAGTTACCTTTTTGCCAATTCTTTTTTGTCCTAATCTTGAACGTATGCAAATTCAATTGTGTCTGTTCATCATGGTAATTGAGAATGTTTAGGAGGAAAGAGAGTTGGGTTTTATTTAGTGTTAAAAGAGCTGATGATATTTTTTGCTGGGTTCGGATTGCAGTTTGGGTATCAGGATTGATCAATTTCTCGCATGCTTTGCGAAAATATATATCACACAGATAAGATGCAGCAAACACTTGATTGAGAGTAGAATCATGCATTCACAGTAGCTTGCTGGGTAAAGAGTATTTAATAGGGTAGGAAGAATCAGATAAAATAAAAGAGGATGCAGATTGGGAAACCAATCAATTGAGCCGTAGCTGTACAACCCTAAATGCATATACTGGAGAAAGCATGTGTTCGCCCAAAGAACGCCAGAAACAAGAAAAGGGAATCCTCGAGTCTGGCTAGTGGTATAGAGACCAACCGCTAGCCAGCATGCCAAAAAAAAAAAGAAACAGAAACAGGAAGAACAGAATTGAGAATAGAGCTCATAACAAAGAGCCCCACATCGGATGATTCAACGCCCTTCACTATCATCAAGAAAAGAACATTCCAACTTGCCCGGTCACGACCGCTCCAGGGCAGCATCGACCTCCTCCAGTAATTGCAACAATTCTTTCCCACCATCCGACGTCCGCCCCTCAATCTCCAACCCCTTCAATAAAAACGTCCGCGCCTCCGCATACCGGTTCATCTCTGCCAGACACTTAGCGAGGCGCCACCACGCCTTGACGTTCCCCACGGGTTTCGAGTCCACGCTCGCCTTGGCATCGACCAAGCCCTCCGGCCACGCCTGCAGGCCCATCTGCGCCTGCGCGCGGTTCCCAAACAAGCCGGCCAGCTCCTCGCGGGCCAGGGTGACAGGTTCCCAGCCCGGGCGGGAGAGGCCCATCTCGATAGCGTAGGTGTAGAGGCGCACAGCCTCAGTGTAGTTGGACTTGCGGTAGGCGGCGTTGCCGCTGTCGCGAAGTTTGGTGATCTGGGCGCTGCGCTTGGGGTTCACGGGAAGCGGGGCCGGGGGAATGTTGGGCGGGTCGAGACTGATGAGGTTGCGGTGGAGGAGGTTGAGTTCTTGCAATTCGGTGGTGATGGCGGCGGCTTGGGCGGGTGTTTGGCTGGTGGAGGGGAGGAGAGAGAGCGCCTTGGAGGCGGGGTCTAGGTGGAGAGGGTATTCATTGAAGATGTCGATTTCGCTGGCCATTGTGAATTTTGAAGAGCGCTCCGAGGGGTGGCTCTTGAAGGGACCGAGTTGTTGGTTTGGAAGAAAGGGCCTAGTGTTGTTATTAGCTTATGCCGCGGACTCGGTGTGGATGGGCGGAAGTCCATATGGATTGTTGACGGTTTGAGAGAAAGGAGGCGGAGAGGCGAACAGGAGAGAAATAAAACATACCGAAAGTAGATAGCAAGGGAACCACTTTCCAATGAATATACTTTTCGCACGAAGTCCTGGACTGAATATGCTTGCAAAATCCAGGAATTCGGAGATCGTCGTCCGGGGAGATCGCAAGCTGTCCAGATGCCCGGAAGGCGGTGGCAGAATTGTCACAGTTGACAGCCAGGCTCGACACGGAAGTACAAGTGTCGGCATTTCAAGGCAAAGGCGAGAGACTATCGAGAAATCGCAAAAGAAGGAGAGTTCTAGATGTACATGCAATCTCTCGAAGATGCATTTTAACATTCAATCTTTAGATCATGATAGAAGTAGATCAACAGACAACAGTCGTCTCTAAAGGACCCGTCGAAGCACAGGCAGCAGAAAGATAAACCAAGGGCCAAACCCGTGCAGAAGAAATCAACACCAAAACAGAGAAACACAAGTATACGCCAACCAACACCGCTTCAGTGGTCATGTCCAGGGCGCAAAAGAAAAATGAGAGATAAACCCGATGATTTTTGGGGGGTATTCGTTGCCAGCGTTCATTTGCTTCCACCTTTTCCCTACCATTTCCACACACAGTATCCCGTTCTCCACCCTACTCGTCGCCATGCGATTCTATCTACCGCCCGTATCCGCTCATCGAAGAGCCGTATTCGGACGGGGCGCCGTAATGTTGCCCGTGCGCACCCCCGTAGCCAGTAGTGCTGTTATAGTCGTGGAGGACGCTTCCTTGGGTTGATGCTGTCGGGTCGTAAGCACCATGCATAGCAGACTGCGAGTGAGCGTTGCTGATGTCATCCACCTCGCTCTGCTGGAGCAAGGCGTAGTCCTCGTCCCCGTCATTACGAGACGAGGCCCCCATGCCGGCACGGCTGGAGCGGAAGTCCTCCTCATCTTCCTCAAAGTCATGGGCCGGGTTGGAGGAGAAGGCGGCCTTGGACTGGGCGGCGAAGGTTGGATCGGAGACGGCGTCAGGAAGAGTACCGGTGCGACGGAAGTGCATCACATTTTGGAAAGACATCCAAGCGGTGACGGCGAAGAGCAAGCTGTTCAAGGTGGTGGGGTTGTTAGTCTTCTCGGTTCCTTCTGGTTTGCCTCAGAAATTGGAGCGGGAAGGGAGGGGTCTGCGCATACAATATCACAACACCGATGATGGTGGTGGCGGTGCTCAGGTTGCACTTGGTCTCGCTGCCATAGGCCCAGTTGGCGCAGCCCTTCTTGCTGCTGCTATCGGAATCGCTCGCGCGGCGGATCTTGCTGGATGAATCTGAGCTGCTGGAGCTACTGGAGCTACTAGAGCTGTCCGAGCTGCTGCTACTTGACTTGCCGATGCTCTTGCCTTGAGCCACATAGGAGGCGAGACACACCCAAGCACTGAACCAGAAAACAGCATAGAGGATGTCGACTGTAGCGAAGGCGTAGACGTTTCCGAAACGGCGGGTTCGGGGCCACATGGGCACGGCGGCCAGGTAAACAAGCGCGGGGACACTGATCCAGCACTATATCCCGAATCGGTCAGCGGCAGGGCTCACCCCGGAAGACGTGGAGCCTCAAGGGCAAGGGGGAAGTCGGAATTGAGACTCACCAGGACCCAGTACCAGACGGTCCGGCCGTCGATGCCATCGCCCTTCGTCCAGATACCGATCGTCATCGCCCATGCCAGGAAGATGATGAAGCCCTGGACGAAATGGATAATATTCTTGGTCCTCCCCAGGTTACCACCTGTCGGTCGCGGAAATCGTATCATGGCGATGGTGAACGTATGAAGCAGTCGATCAAATAAAAAAAAACAACGAACAGAAGCGCAGACGCAGGCTGCAAGGGTAGTTCAACCCCTCCGAGAGTCGAGCAGGGAAAACAAACAAGGTCTTAGAGAGGAACTGAGTCGCACGCCAGGGGTTTCGAATCAGAGTCAACCGGAAGTCTCGTCGGGCAAGAAGAGGTGAAGGGTTGTGAGAGGAAACGAGACGGAACGGGGCAATCGAGGCCCAGCAAGTCAGAGGGACGCGCAGGCGGGTGGGCCTTGGCTCTGAGACGTCAGCCTTGAGGCTCTTGTTATGCACCACTCCGGGAGTCTCGGGGTGACAGACTGTGGGGTCGTTGAAATGGAATTCGGCGGAGGAAGCGGAGTCGGTGGAATTTTGGGGATTGCAAATATACCAGAACCAGCAGAGCGAAAGAATAGGAGTCAAGATCGAGGCGAAGTTCAATGATCGAGGCCCCGGCGATCGCCCGGGCGACCGTGTGGTTTTCTATTTTCGGCTCCTTCAGCCACGACGTGGAGTCTCGGCAGTCCACTAGGCCTCTGAGCCATCCGGCATGCTCCTACTCGGCGGCAAATGGTTTCTGGAGGCGCCGATGACGTTTCTTCGTATGGTTCATTTATGATTGTCGAGTGAGTTGCCGAATTGAGGCACGATGTCTGGAGGACAGCATTTGCGACCGCACGAGGGATCGGCTCGGCAACTCGCAATTGGGCAGGGGGAAATAAGCTCAGAAAAAGAAATAAAGATCAATAGAGACTTTCTAGGACCCATGGGCTACTTAGTACTATCAGACAATAAGACTCAGAGTTTAAGACTATATTAGACTAGACGGAGGCTAAGCCGACTGGAGCATGTCAGCGCTATAGACGATTGGCGGCAATCCAAGAAGCCCTTCGATCGCCAACAACCAACAGATCATCAGTCTGGGGAGTGGTATACTGACAGGTTGATATACCCCTTTCTGGGGGGGGGGGAAGACGATCTAAACAACATGCGCCCATATATCGTAATTCATCAGCTCGTAATTCATATGTTCGGGCTTCGCCCCTCTAACACCCCATTTGCCAATCCTGCTCCTCGAATCTCCTTCACCAACAACCAGACCTCTCGTAGCGGCTGGTAGACGTGAACATGCCACCACCAAGGGAATGGATCTAGAGCGGAAAATCGAGGATCTCTCCAGAAAAAAAAGGGGTGAGTTCAGCCTCGAGAGTGGTAACCGCGTTCTTCACCAGAACCGCAGGCATAAAGCATGAGAGAAAACCAATCACAAGTTCATGGTTGACAAAGGCCGAACGAGGCTGGAAAGGGGGCGATAAGGTCGCCGGCACGTTCCATGCAGCAGGCGCGACGCGGTCGGGTGACAGAAGCGCAAGGTACCCGGCCACCGGGCAGCGCGCATCCCGCAGTAGATTCTCAACGGCCTGAGCCCCGGGTACACAGTCGGCGATGTGGATGGCGTGTCGCACCGAGGAGGCATCGAACTCCTCGTCAATCAAGAGTCGCACCGACAAGTGGCCAGTCATTCGGGGCCCTCCTCTCGCCGTAAAGCGTTGCATGAGTTGATGGACCGCAGTGGCAAGAGCTTCATCGAGACGTGAGGCGCCCCAGTGAGGAGCACGCGTTTCCACCAGCCGGACTTTGATAGCATGGACATGGCCCCGCACGACCAGCACATCGGCAAAAAATTCACCAAATCGGATCTGTTGCTGGAGGATCCAAGGATAGTCTTTGGAGATCTGAATCTCGCTCACCTCCGAGTAGGTCTTACTGAGAGTGCGTTTGGGCAACACCACAGCGGCGTCGTTTGCGTCGGAACTGAGTCGTCGCATATGGTAAGACTTGGACGGGGCACGATTCAGGATCTTGTGGATGGCGTCTCGTGACTGGACCTCATGACGCTCCAGCACTGGGAGCTCCTTGTCAGTCAAGAACTGACGGAAGGAATCCGGGTGTACAAGACGTGCTGTGAGGTCAGCGTCAAAGGCAATACACCGACATGCTGTTCGACTTTCGATAACTTGGCGGGCGGTAGCGTCTTCAATGGCAGTGGCCTTGGGAGAGCAGGGGATCCAGAGATCGACTTTCTCCCGATGGATGATGTCCAAGACGCCCGAGATGTAATGGTCCTTCGGGACCCGATAGAATGCCAGCAGGGCATTCGACATGCTGCCGCCCGACCGAACGGGAAGATCCAGATCTGCGACATCGACCCCGACAACCCGGTGGCCTTCGGCATCCCAGGCGCGTGCAAGGGCCAGGCCATGCGGTGTACCGACTCCAGTGATGAGGACGGTTTGGGGACAGAATTGGTTCTTGGGCAGTGCTGCCCGATATCGACTTGCGGCCGCCCGCAAACGGGCCCACACTGCGGTTGCTAGTAGGATCGTATTGTCGACGAACAAGAGGGCAAAGGATATGGTGATGCGAAATAGGTGCCAAAACACACGAGACAGCATCTCAGCCGAGGTGGCCGCGCGGAAGGTCTTCATCGTGGGTATGGAAAGCCGTCGCACCGCCGGGGCCGCCATTGGGAGCTCTAGCCTTTAGACCATGTAGACAGCGCGCACGAAGATAACTCGAACGTAGGTCTTGCAGGTAGGGTCGCTTTGAACTCGGATTTCCACTTCGGCGACAACAGGAGCCGGCGAAGCTGTGGCATGTGCGAGGAAAGAACGAGTGACGGGAGTTGAGGTTGATTGAGTGAGGGGCGATCGGCGCCAGCCACCGCATGCATGCAGAGGCGTGATTAATGCCCTTGTGCCACCAATAGGTTGTGTCGTTCAGTTGTAGAGCATGGCGAGCCATTGAAATGGCGAAATTATCTTTGAGCGCCCTCTTCTTGAGTATTAATTATCTCTTGAAATTGGTCTCTGATCGACAGACGATTGACCCTGGAAAGCAAGTATTTCGCGAATACTCGATCCGCATTCTCATCGCCCGGAGTACCTCGGGACCTCCAAGCCCATTCCTCGAGTTCTATGATGATCTTACCTTGATCCTCAAATACATGCATATGTAGAACAACCCATCGTACTCGTTATCTGCTTTCCACTGTAGGTCCAAACTTTGGGAAGCGTATAAGTTCATACATTCGGATGTCTGAACCAGAAATCTCGAAAGTGACAGCTGAGTCGGAAATAGTTCAAGAAGGATTTCTCGCACATCTCATTCCTCTTGGTTTCTTGTTTCCAGTCCTTCGAACTCGATTTATACTGAACCAAAGCAAGCTTCTTTGTGAAGCCCACCAAACCAGGCTAATGACAAAAGTCCTTCGTGAAACCGCACAGAAAATAGACTTGAGAGCTAGTAAATAAGAATAATAGATCAGTTAGCGTTTCGCCCCACTAGTTCCGATCCAGCATGGCGATGTCTCTGCCGCCCCATTCGGAATCCCAGCGCTGTGCGGAGGACTGGCTTGATTCTTCTACCCCGTCAAGCTTCAGAACACCACCCATAGCGACAGGTGTCCCGCGACTCCGACTCCCAGCAGCATCGATCTTCCATTTTTGATCTGATGGCATGCAATCTCGGCTGATGGCCTTCGGGAATTCGATTTCCGACCTGCGAACTTCAGGCCGTCGGATGAGAAGGCGATCGCGCTCGGCGTTTTCGGCGCTAATTGCCAGAATGATTACGTCCGATCCAACGTCCGAAGGAGCTCTCCAAAAGGGACCACTCAACGCAAGGACTGGCGCAAGTCCCGAGGAATCTCGCTGAATAATGACGTCCCTTCTCGGCGGAACGGCAGGTCTTTAAGAGTTTATCCCCGAGCGACTCAATCCGCGAATCGGGTCCAACATATAATCGGCTGCCCGCATTGCCAAATGCCATACGCCCCTCGTCACCCAGTAGTTACCTTGCGCGTTCGATCTTTATTCCTCGCTGAGATCTCTCGTCGACACTCTTTCCTCCTGACAACAATCTTCTCCTGCACTAAAGATGTCTGCAAGACGGCCCTCCCCGCCCCCGCATCCCCGGCCCGGCGACCGTGTGGTACGTTCGGTTGCCCTTGTGATCCCCATAGACATCGACTGAGGTTACTTGATCCTTGATCTGATACTGACATTGACTACGGGTGAAGGATGAACATAGCAAAGAGCTACAGCTTCTTCACTTTGTCTACGGGCAACCAAACTTGGATGACATTCGAGGACATCCGCAGAAGGTGCTTGATCTCATCGACGAATTCGAAAGCAGTGGTCACCGCATGATGACAGTGGGATTAGAAAAGGGGAAGATCGTGACGGACGTGATCGACGAAGTCAAGCCCAAGACTATGATCGAGCTGGGTTGCTACGTGGGCTACTCTGCCATCCTCTTTGGCGATGCCGTCCGTCGCAACGGTGGCGAGCGCTACCTGAGTCTCGAATTGAATCCCGAATGGGCCGCTGTGGCCAACATGCTCATTGAGCTGGCGGGCTTGCGTGACTTTGTGCGCATCATTGTCGGCCGCAGCGACTTGTCCCTCGACAAGCTGTTCAAGAGCGGCGACGTCAAGAAGATCGAGCTTCTCTTTATCGACCACTATAAGCCCGCCTACTTAACGGACGTGAAACTGTGCGAGCACCATGGAATGATTGCACCTGGCTCCGTGTTGGCTGCCGACAATGTACTTTACCCTGGTAACCCGCCATACTTGGAATATGTTCGCAGCACGGTTGAGCAGAAACGCGAGCTGGCAAAGAAGGGCCCGGCCAAGGGATACAACTTTGAAGGCATACGGGATCGCGCTGTGAAGTCCTTCATGCCCGAGGGCGATGCGCCGTTCTTCGAGACAGTGGGGAACCCCAATCTCGTATACGAGAGTACATTGCAACAACCTGAGGGACACCGAGTGAGTCATTGAAATCCCTGCCCTTTTCTTTTCTGCGCTCTTTTTCTTTTTTTCATATAGGATATTTCAGTATTTACTAATCTCATCGTGGTAGGATGCCATTGAGGTGACGCGATGCGTGGGAGTGCAGGAAGCATAGTGTTTTGGTACAGAGGCTTAGCCTATGAGCATGACGAATGAATTTTAGGATCATGACGATGATGACATCGAGTGGGGTACGCAGAATGATTGTGGCAGGAGGAGCGGCTCTAGCCGTCGCGACAGACCAGGACGAAGCCCGAGTCCCCCCAAGCCAATCTAGAATATGAAATCTTTACAATGTCTGATTACCAAGCCAAAAAAAAGGGGAACAAAAAACCGCGCTGGGGTGACAGAATCCCGGGCGCCGAAGTCAAGTAAATACCGACGGGTCGGGAGGCCGAGTCGGCCCAGTCGGGCTTTGCGCTGGAACAAGTGCCCCGCCCGTGCCAAAGCGCGTGCCAGCCAACCCAAGCATTGCCGTCGCCAGGACCTTCCATGTCTCCCCCGCATCGGCGCACGAAATCCGTGGGGGCAAAACCTATATAAGTTCGGCCGCCTAGTTTCTTCCCCTGCTTCACCACTTCACTGCCCTTTACCTACACCTCTTGGATATCTCCGATTCAAGTCCTATTTCAAATCTCATTCTCATCATGACGTCCAAGACTTACAATGTCGGCATCGTCGGCTACGGCTTCAGCGCCAAGATCTTCCACATTCCCTTCGTCAACCAGATCCCTGAGCTGAAGCTCTATGCGATCGTGCAACGGACCCCGAAGCCCGATGACGATGCGGAGAAGGATCACCCGGGTGTCAAGTCCTTCCGCACCACCGATGAGCTGTTCCAGGACTCCGCAGTTGATATCGTCATCATCACCACCGCTCCCGACTCCCACTTTGCTCTGTGCAAGGCGGCACTGGAGGCTGGCAAGCACGGTAAATTGCCCTTCAAGATACTCAAAGATGCTAGAAGGCTACCAGAACGAGCATCAAAGCTAATAATGATGTCCTATAGTCGTTTGCGAGAAGCCGTTCACCCCCACTTTCAAGGAGGCCGACGAGCTGGTTGCTATTGCGAAGAAGAACAACAAGCAGCTCGCCGTCTACCAGAGTACGTTGTCATATATTAGCCTCGACCCCCCTATGCAGACAATTGCCTAACAGCTCCTCTCCATTCTAGACCGTCGCTGGGATGCTGACTTCGTGACCCTCTCGAAGCTGGTGAAGAACGGATCGCTCGGCCGTATCTCCGAATTTGAAACCCACTTCGACCGCCATCGCCCTGAGGAACCCTCCGCCGATGCTCACAAATGGAAGAACAAGGTCATTCCGGGCGGCTCTGCTATCTATGACCTGGGCACCCACCTCTTGGACCAGGCTGTGCATCTGCTGGGTCTGCCCAAGCGGGTCACTGCCTTCATCGGCTCCGCGCGGGCCGTCAACAGCTCTGGCTTCGAGGACTCCTTCACGGTGCTGCTGCATTACGCCAACGGTACCATGGTCACCGCCAAGGCGACCGTTGTCAGCCCTGAGGATGAGCAGCTGCGCTTCTGGGTGCGAGGTGACAAGGGTAGCTTCAAGAAGGTGAGTTTCACCATTAACCAGTTCCCCACCATTTTCCTTTTTTTTTTTGGTTTCGCAGAACCATCCTGCTAACTTCTGATTCTTCTTCCAATGCAGTTCCACCTCGATATTCAAGAAGACCAGCTTAAGGCGGGCATCATGCCCCAGGACAACGGCTACGGCCGCGAGCCAAGCGAGCGCTATGGCACCCTAACCACCATCCAGGGTGACAAGCCCGTTAAGGAGATCGTCCCCACCGTCGAGCCTCCCACTTACACTGAGTACTACCGCAAGTTGGTGCGCGCCCTCGGCGGCGAGGGTGACCTGCCTGCCAGCGGCGCCGAGGCCGCTCAGGTCATTCGGCTGATCGAGCTGGCTCGCGAGAGCTCTGCCACCGGCCGCACCCTGGACGTTTAAGGGGACGCATGCTATGTAGCCGGGAACTCAACTGTACGAAAATGGAAACGACGATTATGATTAGCGGAAGTTGTCTATAGAAAAGTGAATTGAACACCTACCAGTTTCTATCTGCCAGATACCGCCACGACAGGCGTCTGAACCGTAATTTGGCTTCTTTTTTTCAATTTTCATATAGCAAGCACCTTTGACGACATCATCGCATCGACAACCTCGGCTCCTCGACAGTATTTCAAGTGGAGTCTGCGCCGCTGCCTTTTTTGGCCCCCACCCCCGCAGTCCTAGGCACGTCTTCAACGGGTGTCATATCATGACTGTCGCCTAAGATTGTCGTTCCCTCTATTTTACTTTCATGAATCGCGTTTTCCCTTTCCCACGAAGTCTATAGACCACTTTGCGGATTACTGGATACCTTGACCGTAATCTACTTGACGTGAATGTTGAATTTGACAGCTCGAATATACCGAATTTACGATTTCCTGCTATGACGATTATGCGTGCGTCCGAAGAGGGGCTTATAGGAGAATTCAGCTCGCAGGGTGCCGGATTTGCGAGGCTGGTGGATGAATTACTGGAGACATGGCATGTTCCTGGTGCATCTGTTGCCGTCATTGACAGACAAAGTACATTCACGAAAGTAAGCTTGTTTCGTCGACAGCCAAGGTGATTCTATGCAAGGCTGCACAATCCCATGGAACATCCCTCTCAAGTATGGTGTTAACATGGGTGACCTAGGGCTTCGGGATGGCCGAGCTACCATCGACTCCCTTCTCAGCGGAGACCTTGTCGTATGCTGGGAGCACCACCAAGGCCCACGTCGCCGCTCTCTTCGCCCTTTTAATTGAGAGCGGGAGATACAAAGACGATCAAGACCGGCGTCTCTCCTGGCGCACCCCGATTTCCTCGCTCATCAGAGAAGACTTTGTGCTACAGGACGAATGGGCGACGGCTCATCTTACCCTCGAAGATGCGCTGTGCCATCGAACAGGTATACCGAAGCACGATGCTGCGTACCTTCGCTACGTACGCCCAGACGGATTTGACGGGCCTAGGAGGCTCATTAGTTTGCGGGAGATGGTGCGAAACCTCCGACACCTCCCTATGGCAAATGAGCCTCGCACAGCCTATTGCTATAGCAATCTGATGTTTGCAACGCTTTCCCATGTTGCCGAGACCTTGACCGGCCAATGGCTGGGTGATGCACTACGGACCTGGCTCTGGGCGCCGCTCGGCATGAACAACACCTATCTTTCCCTGGAACAAGCCCTGTCCTCGCGCACCCATGTGGCGAAGGGTTATTACTGGGATGCTGACAAGCAGGAGTACACGGCATTTGAGCGTATGCCTACCGAAGAAGTAACCGGCTCTGGCGCAGTGATCACGTCGGCGGCCGACTGTGCAAAGTGGATTCGATTCTGGCTTTACAAGCAGAGCCCACTGACGAAAGCTGCACATGAGAATATACGACACCCTCGCATCGTCATTGGGGAGGGCTACAGCTCGACGCCGTACGACGTGCCGCTTATGTATGCCAAAGGGTGGCAGACGTCGTCGTATCGGGGCCATCGCTTCTGGACGCACCATGGAGGAATGGATGCGTTTGGAGCGCTCGTCACTTTCTTCCCCGACTTGGAACTGGGTGTGGCCGTTATGGGGAATACGGCCTTCACAGCGAATGCGGTCGCAGAAATATCGACCTGGTATCTTGTCGATGCCAGACTGGGCGTGCCTCCACTCGACCGGTTTAATTGGACTAAGAAGTAAGTGGATCCATCTCAGATATGCCATTAGGGTATTCTCTAAATCGATCGGCGATTCGCCGGGGGGTATATTAGGTGGGAGGGTGCCGTACAACAGATTAAAGATAATGTCCGAGACGGCCTCGACAAAGTGTATCCTTTACGCCCAACCAGAACGATTCCCCCATCGCTTCCCCTTGGAAAATATGCCGGGCTCTACTATCATCCCGGGTATAAATTCCTGGATGTGAAGACTGTTGAGGCCAGTCCAGTACGCCCCAGCATCAGACATGATGCGCAACTCGTCACAGAACAACCGGATGGGAACTTTCGAATTAAAGGCGATTTTGTCCACGTTTCGGGCGAGAACTGGATCATGTACGTCGATCTGGTTGACGCCCCCACACTCACAGTGCACGACTTTGCTGCCGTGCAATTTCGGCGGGGGTAGATGGGGAAGTTGAGTGCATGGGAATCGAGTGGCGGTCAAGAAGCAACGTGGAAGGTTGGATCTGGTATGCACGGGTCCGTGGCGGGGCTGTGTAGAGCATGTCTAGTCTAGGGGTAGGCATCCGATTCGATTATATGCTTTTCTTGAATAAACTGTGAAAACTAAATATATTGAGTTCAGGAAGCTCGAAGCTGAATCCAATCACGCAGAAAAGGCCGCTCGGGTTATCAAATACCTAAAGCCAACCACTACATAATACAATGCTGAGCAGCCCTTACCGATGGCGAAATGGACACTGATTCTATGCTCAAAGGGAGTGGAAATATTGTTATTCTAGCTATCCAACCGATAGACACTGTATTTTGAATGACTGTTTACACAATCCCCACCCACCAATCAGGGGGTTTGCCGAGTTGACAGGTTCCCCATTACAATTCTTATCGTCGATAGAAACCCCCCAATTCAAGGGACAGGCTGTCTGACCAGATGAAAATCAAGACGGGTTCTGTGAATCAAATATTGACCGCCAATTTTCTCGCTTCCCTTGTATGAATATGCCGCGTATCGTGCGGGGACCGTGTTCTGGCTGGAGTACAACAAGACCCTGTGGATCGATCCGAGGCCCCTGTTCGAGACTCCACCGGAGAACTTTCGCTAGTTGGGAGCCTCGAGCCTCAGATCTCACGTCCTCCGGAATTCTCACCTCCGGGGTTGGCTATCGGCAGCATCTTGTACCAGCGTCCAGCCCAGCTCACCCCTTCCAGTATTTTTGATTCCATCCGGAGAGGGTCTTCCGGCTTGGATTGTTTACTTTTTGCGGCTCTTGCAGGAGTGGGCCAACCATGGGCCGCCTCCCCCATGACGATCTCCCCGACTCGGCTTCGTCGCACTCGCTACATTCCATTGTCGATTCGGACGACCTCCCCCCTCCTTACTCCGACGAGCCTGATATCGTGCATGTTCCGTCTACCTCACGCTCGGCTGGCGGCCTCCAGCCTCTCCGTCTGATCGAGGCGGCCTACGCACTCCCTGACGGAGGAGATGTCAAGCCGCACAGCAAACGCGTTGTCACTCTCTTACCGGCGCTCTCCAGCAATGCCGACGAGCTCTACCCCATCATTCGCAGGCAACTCAGGCTGCCTGTGCGACCGATCCTATACGTCAAGGGCACGCATACCGAGTCCTCGAACCAGGGGAAAGAGAAGAAGAGCAATACTGTCACGGACTTTGACTTCAAGCTCGACCTGGCAGAGACGATGTTGACCGGATGGGAGGAGGGCAGACGGTGGGATGTGAACTGGTCGCAAATCGAAGTGATGCGAGATGGGGATGATAGACTCGCCTACCGAGGTGGCATGTTCCGCTCCCGCGACTACAAGGCTCCTTCGTCGCGCGGAGCCATTGCTCTTCCCACTGATAGCGAGGCCGCTCTTCTTGGACCAGATGCCGATGGTGACCTGGACGGGGGCCTCCAGCGAGAGGGGTCAGGCGGTCCAGACATTGATGCTGATCTGCGATTGTGGTGTGAGCGGTTCTGCCGCGACCCATCGTCCGTAAAATCGTAATATCTCCCTCCGCCTCGTCTCAAGCTCCGTATTTGATGGATGGCTAACCCGGAAACTATGGTTACAGCTTCACACTCCGCCGCCGACTCGCGGGGTTTGACCACACAGCCATGAACAATGTTCTGTCGTCGCATATTCGCGAACTGAATTACCGCGGCTCGGTCAACCTCTGCTTCAAGCTGGCCCACTCCTCTGTCACAGTCTATTCTCCGCACTGGATCAACCGTCTGAGGCTCAACCGGTTCGTCTGGTGGATTTGTGTGATCCTGCAGCTTTGGATCCTTACGTGGCCTGTCATTTGGCTGCTTGAGAAGCGCTACGAAGTCGCCTACGCCCAGTGGAATGCCGCGCTTGACCCGGGCTCCGCGACCGGCCTGGCCAAGTGCTATGCACGCGGTCGTAATGAGGCGGCGCTGGGCGAGTTCTGGGCGCCGGCCGTGAAGCAGGCGGCTTGGAGTCGGCACTGTGGGGAAGCCAATCTTCTCACACGGTTGGATGCGGAGCGGCTGCAGGGGATGACGACCGAGCAGATCGTTAATTTCCGTACCTCTACCTCGGATGAAGAATTGGATCGCCGTGCGCGCATAGCACGAGGCGAGGGCGGCTTCGTAGATAATGTTGTCGGGCTGGTTCGGGGAATTGGGGAAGTGGGGGAAGCTTATAGGTTGTCGGTTGGATGGGGTGCTAATACCTGAATTGCCGGGCGGCTGTCCACGCTGCGTCCAGTCCCAATCACAAAGCTCTTTCTGCTGGTAACCGTTGTTTTGATTGTTTATTATTTTGTTGTTTCCTTGCATGTTTCTTTTGTTGTATCTTTGATTGTTTATTTTGTTGTTTCTGTGTCTGTTTATTTGAGTGTTCATTTGATATCCATGATATCTGCGACGGTGGCGTGCTTGTCTCGCCCAGGGGGGGGACGCCCCAGGGTCAGGGGAGGACACCCGTCGAGAACCGCTAGAACTGGATTCTTTTTATTGCAGCCCGGAATCAGCCCGGAATACAGAGCGCAATACAGAGTGCACGCCCCTAATTGCCAACCCTCGTCCCCACCCGTTTCTCCATATCGGAAGTGCAGGCTAGGAAGTTGGGTCAAACTACGGAACCATAGACCGGTTTTGGAAGGAGCCAGTTGATGAGAAATCATCGAATCATCTGTCCAAGGAATAAGAATTGTACTAGATTCTCTATTTCAGCTGACAGGGATATGATCTTTTCTTTTTCTGGCTTCGTTTTCATCGGGAAAGGAGGGGGTCCAAGGTATATATGACTGCATAGTCACGGCCTTGGGGAAGCCACCGTGACTACTCCACACTACCCGTGCCAGAGCCCAAGAGAAGACACTGAAGAACCTGGGTGACGGAGTTGATATCCGACCGCATAGAATAATTTTCATTGGTTACCGAAGAATCCCAAAAGTGTCATCAGTGATACATCAAAAATTCCAATCTCCTACGATCCCGACAGTCTGGATACAAAGCCAAACCCTTCCGTCTGTGTCGCGTTGGTTGACAAGCGAATCTGCGTGAAGGGAGGGGGGGGAATGCATCTATTTATCCTGCGCGTTTCCTCCAGGATCTTTTCCTTGTTTTTTAGAATCTTTCCATCCTTCCGTCGCAATGGCTTCCACTCCCTCCCAAGCGCCCGAGGCGCCTTCCGAACCGGCCCCATCTATACTTCCAGCGGATGCCGAGACCCCTGTCAACGCTGAGACCCCTGGCAATGCCGAGACCCCTGCCAACGTGCTCGGGCCAATTGTGATCGACGATTTTGGCGACGTATGTAGACTCGAGTGCCTGGCTCATTGTGACCCGGGAATTAAATCCCCGCCATCTTGTAGGACACCAACAGTGAGTTCGACAATGAATTGTCCGATCTCACTTCCCTGTCATCAAGCGTGCTCGAGTATGAGTATGAAAATGGTCGGCGGTATTGCAGTAACCGCTCCGTAAGTAGTCGTGCTCAGCCTATGCCTTTGGTACTAATCTGCAATGACTGACACTGACTGACCCTACGACTAGGGAAATTATTGGTACTTTCGCACTTCTCCCTAGAGACTCTTAGCTGCGAAGATTGACCAAACTAGGATGCCCAACGATGAGGAGGAACAGGATCGAATGGATATCGTAAGTTTTGCTTCCCTACTTCCTGGGCATATTCATCCACTGACTCTTCCTCCAGACGCACCATATGTCCGTTGTAGTAACCCATGCCTGGTGACCGAGTGTGGCTAACCAGAGCGGTGTAGATGGCTAATGATGCTGAAAGGGGAGCTCTATAATGCCCCTATCAAATCTTCCCCTCAAAACATCCTTGACCTGGGTACCGGAACAGGCATTTGGGCTATGGACATGGCCGAGTACATGAGATTCTCCACCCGCCATCTTTGGTATGCCAGAAAGACTGACCCCGGATGATAGAAAATTCCCCAGCGCCCACGTCATTGGGAATGACATCAGCCCTATCCAGCCCAATTGGGTGGCGCCAAATATCGAGTTCATCGTGGAGGACTTCGAAACTGAGTGGCAGTTTGACGAGAACCATTTTGACTTCATTCATGCACGATGCCTAGCAGGGTATTGCCCTACTACTCGTCTCCCATCCCAATGGCAGTGACACTGACACATTGAGTAGATGCGTGGCCGACTGGCCCGGATTTATCCGTAGGATTTACGACCACGTCAAACCTGGCGGCTATTTTGAATCGCACGAGAGTGCCGTGTGGGCTCAGAGTGACGATGGATCCCTCAAGGAAACTTCGGCGATCATGGAATGGCAGCAAGCGGTCGATGTCGCCGGGAAAATGATCGGTCGGGAGATGAACATCTGCCATAAGCTGAAGAATTGGCTTATTGAAGCCGGCTTTGAGGATGTCAACTTGTCGGTCTACGCGTTGCCGTTCTCGCCCTGGCCGCGCGATCCCTTTCTGAAGGCTCTGGGGAAGTACCAGACGGTGCAATTGCAGCAAGCCATCGATTCCTACGGGCTGCGCTTGTGCACGCAGGTGCTTGGATGGAGCTCGGAAGCGGCCATGATCCATAATGCTTTGGTCAAGCGGGAGCTGTTGGACAAAAAGCTGCATGCTTACGTTCAAACGTACGGTTTAACCATCCAACCCACACCCCCTTCCGATGGCTTTCGTTCATGTGCTAACTATGAGCAGAATTGCAGTATATGGCAGAAAGCCCCTGCATTCTTAATATTTGTTCCGAGTAATAGCCAGAGTAGCCAATTAATGACCAATTAATGATCAAGAACTGATGCAATCAATGCACCTTTACAATCAAGTAACAGCGATCCGATCTGCTTTACGTTGTGAAAAAGTCTTTTGTGAGACACTGCCGTCTCGCTCAGTACGGAACCAATGTTTCTATGATGCGCCTACTCTATTTGGCCTTTCTCGTCTTCTGTTACTTCAATTCATGCTTAGCTCCCCTCTCATTAAATCTGCAGAGGGAGGAAGCTAATCAAGGACTATAGATAGCGGCCCTCTAGATTCTAACTTCATCAGGCATAGCTCTAACCCCGATCATGTTTCGGACCAAGTTCGATGATAGAGATTTATTAGTTTAGTGGCAACCAGTGGGGTTACCATTCTACCATGGGTTGCATTAGCGTCCAGGCATGTGGATACGAGGACACAAGCGTTCACCTAGCAACGAGGCTTCTCGACGGGTCTATTACTCTTGGGAGTCCCCGTGAGACCATATGAGCAGACCATAAATCCAAATGAGAAAGCAATTGTCGCTAGGAAAACGTTGTTGAAACTAACCATTAGTACAACCTCCTATAGCCAATCCCAACACGATGAGTAATTTTTACGTCCTACTGAAGATCGTACAATAACCATGTTTACCTGGTGTGACCTCCTACTGAGCTATTGGCGCCGATCATCTCCTAATATCTCAATAGATGGAGGACTATGCTTTGATATTATATCCGAAGTCAAGAGTCCTATATGAAAATCTGTGACATAATGAAGTACAAAATGTAGCGAACTTTGTCCCATTTATATCAATATTTCATTCTTGCTCAAACACCTCCCTGTCTCTAATCCTTCATCTATTATTCATTGCACACACACCATCATTACGAAGATGGTCTGCCTACTAGCTTTCTGTGGGCTATTATTGATTTGCCTCCATTTTTCGGTGGCACAATCACAAAATGAGAAGACATTCAGTAAGTTGAATCAAAAGCTAGAGAGGTCATAGGTTCAAGAGTATTTACAACGCTCTTCAGGCAAACTATTCAATGATCATCTTGTTGGAGATTCTTTGAGTTCTGAACAAGAGGCACTGTTGTCGCTACCTTGTTGTCACTATTGGGAGACAAATTGAGCGGGTGCTGTATACAAGTCATGATTTCATCAAAATACTAAAACATAGCTTCGAATTTCTTGAAAACCGCAAAAGGTTGCTGGATGATTTGGACCCTGTATTTTCCGCAATGAAAGCCAGCAAGGATGGGAAATGCTCCCGTGACTCGGATTGCTCCTTGATCAGATTCTGCGACTCTCATAAACATAAATGCATGAACGTCAAAGCCCCTAAGAAGAAATGGGAGAGGAACTAAGAATGTTTCACGCAGATATGCTCCTATGGGAAATGTGGAGCTAAGGGAATTTCACAGGATGAGCGCCGGAGGGCTATCGAAGATAAATTAGGCCAATCCTGTGATCCCCCTAAGAAAGGCACTTGCAAGTATGAAGACTTCATGTGCGAGACGGAGGGCGGCAAAAATGTCTGCAAAGCTACATGGCAATAGAATTACCATGTAAAGCTCGCGGTATAGACAATCTTTGCACGGGAGACGATTCATGGTGCGATATGTCGACTCTAGGCGGAGAAGATCGCCTTATCCCAATGTGTCGATAACAGCGAAGGCCTCTCCAACAAATGTGTGCACAGTTTTTGTGGTACAGAAGATGGCAAGGGTGATGCGTGCTTGTCCAGGTAGGAAGAATGCCCCTAGGGGCTTTTGTGCCTGCATAGGAACAATAAATTCGGCGGACCGGCTCGGGAAGCTTTGTGATTCTAAAAAGACAAAAGACCCACGAATTTATCACTACCTTTTTCGGATGGCTCATGTTATAAGGGAGGTTGTTTAGACTTCCGTGATGGGATCGACAAGCTGTGTGAGAGCGACCAAGACTGCGGCGCATATAAAATTGTCAGAGGTATTTCAGTGAGGACAACAAAAATTGCAAGCAGCACTCCCGCACGCTAAATATATTCGAAGGTTTATTCACCTCCCAAACCAGAATTGACTAATGACCTCTGTCTCTCTCCGCTTGATTATGAGGGTAGTGGGAAATCACTACAGACCAATATCATGACTTTCTTTGAGGAAAGTATGAACATGCGGCTTTTGGTAAAGTTATAGATTTTTGATAATATTGATCGAATTTTGCCAACGTCGTATATTGGTGTTTTGAGTATACCCATCATATTCAAAGGCTGCTCTTTCACAATTGCTGTGTAGACAATTTCACCGCGTATATATCGTGTTGAGCTTAAAAGCTATTAGTCAGCTGAGTTAGTAGATACTGGAGGGCTATAAGCGCCTTTCTATAAGAAGACGTGACCGTCGACGGCAATCAAACTAACAAGCTCTTTGAATTTGACACGCAGCAGCACATATTGAAGCTTCTGGGCCTCAACTCGAAGCGTCTGAACGAGCTCACATATCCGCATGCCATACTGGCCTAAGCCTACACCCAAGTACCCCCACAAAAGGGGCACCGGTTAGGATAGGAAAGCCTCACTTGTCAGACATGATGTGGTCTATATAAGTGCATATCCGGCCACAATGTTTTGCTTCATTGCCCCGCTCTGACCTATCACATGCACAGCAGGAGGCGAGTTCCGCCAACTCTTGGACGGGAATAGGGGCGGTTGCTGTACATTTGTACTACAAATTTATTCGATGGGTATGAGTGTGCGGCCTACGTGGCCTGCAAGGGATATATTCATCCTGCTAGTGGAAAGAGCAATAAATAGGAAATCGTATGCCAGTATCTAAGCAGGGATCTGGATCAGGACAAACGAGACATGTAGATTATGGTGGATACTGTGTACCGAGCGCAGAAAAACAGTGCAAATATGTTTAGTCCGTTCGTGTAGAGTACTTTTGTTAGTGTGGCTGGCCAGATCAAGATCAGAGAATTGCGCAGGATGGGTACTAAGTTGTAAAATGTCCGGATGGAACATTCCTCACGCCCTCTTTTTTTCCGTGCCACGTGGAGTCCCGGGTTCCGATCTGCAGTATATTAGTGCCTGATAGAGTAAGTTTCGAGTCCACTCTGCACCGTCGATGTTTTGATAAATGGGCTGCCTCTTATACTTCGGGTCAATCGAGAAAGAAACGCTGCTGATCCACGGGCCAGGATTGATGACATCATCCAACGCCAAGCCGCTGTGACCCAATGAGGAATTTCTGTTACTCAATACAAATTCCATGACTGGCAGACCTTCCTCCACCGACGACAGTCGCGCTGGTTGGTGAAGTGCGACGATGGAAAGACCGTGTTGGAGCCCGGTACGTCGCGCTGGAGTCCGCGGAGATGCTCAGAGACGGCGAGACTGTGGGGGAAAGGACGCGAATTCGGCTCACAAAAGAGGTCCTGGTACCCACGGCATGAGTTCTGCAGACTTGCTTCCTTCATAGGGCTGACTTTCCCCTTTCCTCCTGAGGTTTTGGGGGTATGTGGTTATCCGTGGTACTCTGTACCTAACCGGAAGCGCCAATATACCTCGAGCTCCCCTTGCGCCGTGTGACTAGGCCGACATCTTCTATACCATGGTCTTCATGGCTCGGGCGTCATCAGAATCGATGTCTCTAGGGGACATCCAATCCTGGCATTTCGACCTCGATCGATGGGTGAACCCATGGATTCCGGCGCCGAGATGGCATCTGGTTCCTCGACCGATCGCACACTTCCTTGGCTACCGAGACAGTGCCCCAAGACCGCTGGGGAATGTGTTGTTGGCCTTATGGTCGATGGTGGGAGCTTTCTGCGGCGTGGCCCTGGTGGCCGAGGTCTCCAGCCGCGTGCCTTCCTTTGAGGCACGCAATGCACCGGCGATTATTGGAAGCTTTGTAAGTATGCGGGTGGTCTGAAGTCCCGTCTTTATAGCAGTCACTGACCGTAAATCCCGCTGGAACTAGGGAGCGGCGGCGGTAATCGAGTTCTGCGCCATTGAGTCGCCCTTTGCACAGCCGCGAAATGCTTTTTTCAGCCAGATGATTGCCTGTTTTATGGGCGTTGGAATATCCAAACTTTTCGCGTTGAGTTCTCATGCAGAGAACTACACGTCACTCGGTGGTGCGCTGGCCTGTGGTCTCACCACCGCCGTGATGCTTCTAACCGGCACTGTACACCCACCGGCGGGTGCGACAGCCCTGCTGGCCGTTACGAATTCGCAGACAGCTGGACTGGGCTGGTTTCTCTTTCCCATCATGATCCTGGGGATTACGTTGATGCAGGCGGCCGCCTTGCTCATCAACAATATCCAGCGGCGGTATCCATTGTACTGGTGGACGTCACACCCTCTGGCCCGAGCCCAGTCCACAGATGATAACGAGAAGGGACCTCACAAGGCGGGCTCTAATGTGTCCAGTTACTATGAGGATAGCCTGACAGACGTTCCTCGACGATTGGTAGTGCAACGGGGGGATATCGAGGTGCCCGATGGGGTGTATTTATCGCATGAGGAGCGTGCCATGCTGGAGCGGATCAGTGAAAGGATCTAAAAGCAGAGCAAAGCCCGGGACCTGGAGCACTGCGCGGACCTGATCTCGCCCGGATATATGTATATAATGTAAATGAGACGAGACCTTGTCATTCCACCCCGACATTCCCATCCAGTGAAGTCACCGCAGCCGCCGAGTCAGGTGGCAAATCGACACCTCAGGCCACCGCTGCCCGACTGTGCGGTGACGTCTCAGCCCCAATCAGCAGTCGCAGACGCTGGCCCACCGTTTGAATTTTTGTGTTGGATTTATTCACCGTCAAAAAAGAGGGAGAACACAATCCTGGGCTGATCTTCTCACCTTCCTCTCCTACCCCTCTTCGAGTAGTTGCGAGTGTCCGAGAGATCCCGTTTCGATTCTCGACCTTGTCTCAGCGCCTTAATCGATAAGGGCTTGCTAAAACCAACCCCCCCCACTGGCCTTCGCCCCTCTACTCTCCGCCCCGCCAGACGCTCCACTTCAGTCTCTTTTTGCATTTCTTTGCCCTCAATCTCTTCGGCCTTGTTACGGTCTCTTCCTCCTCTCCCCCTCTCCCCCTCCTTCCTTCCTTCTTCTCATCCTATTTTTTCATACCCACCGCCATCATGGTTTCTGCTTCGAAGGCCGCCCGTATGGCTAAGCGTGCCGAAACCGGCGACAAGAAGACCAAGAAGACCTCGAAGAAGGATTCCCCCGAGGACTCTGCTGTCGATACTGAGGGCAACGCTACCCCCTCAGACGAGCAGTTCGCCACCACCGATGCGAAGATGAAGGATGTCGAGAAGCTCACCGCACAGATGGACAAGCACGGTCTGTCCGATCGCGTCACCACCGGTGTCCTCTCGTCCCTCCCCGCCTCCCGCGACGTGAAGATTACCTCCGCCTCTCTGGTGTTCCACGGCAAGGTTCTGTTCACTGATTCCACCCTCGAGCTGACCTTCGGCCGTCGGTATGGTCTCCTGGGTGAGAACGGCTGCGGAAAGTCCACCTTGCTCAAGGCTATTGCCGCTCGCGAGTTCCCCGTCCCCGAGCACGTCGACCTGTACCTTCTCAACGAGGGTGCCCCCCTACTGACAAGGGTGCCCTGGAGTGGGTTGTTCGTGAGGCACAAAATCAGCTGGATGCCATGGAGAAGCAGGCCGAGGAAATCCTGGAGCGCGAGGGCCCCGAGAGCCCCATCCTTGAGGATCTGTACGACGTTAGTTTAACCCCCATCCCTCCTTCATATACAGCGTGCCGCATTTTATTCGTCTCGCCACGTATTCCTGGTTGAATTATCGAACAACAAACTAAAGTTTTCTTCGTTCCCAATAGCGCATGGACAAGATGGACCCCTCCACCTTCCACACCCGTGCCTCTCTCATTCTGACTGGTCTCGGTTTCAACAAGACCACCATCAACAAGATGACCAAGGACATGTCAGGTGGTTGGCGTATGCGTGTGGCCCTCGCCAAGGCTCTGTTCGTTAAGCCCTCCTTGCTCCTGCTCGATGACCCCACTGCCCATTTGGATCTCGAGGCCTGTGTGTGGCTTGAGGAGTACCTGAAGAAGTGGGACCGCACCCTGGTCCTCGTTTCTCACTCCATGGATTTCCTGAACGGTGTCTGCACCACCATGCTGGACATGCGTATGAAGCAGCTCCTCTACTACGGTGGTAACTATGACTCGTACCACAAGACTCGCAGCGAACAGGAGACCAACCAGATGAAGGCGTACACCAAGCAGCAGGAGGAAATTCAACACATTAAGAAGTTTATTGCCTCTGCCGGTACCTATGCCAACTTGGTCCGTCAGGCCAAGTCTCGTCAGAAGATTCTCGACAAGATGGAGGCCGATGGCTTCATCCAGCCTGTCATCCCTGACCGTGTTTTCACTTTCCGCTTCGCCGATGTCGAGAAGCTGCCTCCTCCCGTCCTGTCCTTCGACGATGTCAGCTTCTCCTACTCCGGTGAATGGGCCGACACTCTGTATGAGCACCTCGACTTCGGTGTGGATATGGACTCTCGTACCGCTCTGGTCGGCCCCAACGGTGTCGGCAAGTCCACTCTGCTGCGCCTGATGACCGGCAAGCTGAGCCCCATCGGTGGTACCGTCAGCCGTCACACTCACCTGAAGCTGGGAATGTACAGCCAGCACTCCGCCGAGCAGCTGGACCTGACCAAGTCCTCTCTTGAGTTCGTCCGCGACAAGTTCCCCGAGAAGTCCCAGGACTACCAGTACTGGCGTCAGCAGCTTGGCCGTTACGGTCTCAGTGGCGAGGCTCAGACTGCCATCATGGGTACCTTGTCCGAGGGTCAGAAGTCGCGTATCGTTTTCGCCCTGCTCGCCATCGAGTCACCGAACATGATTCTGCTCGACGAGCCGACCAACGGTCTCGATATTCCTACTATCGACTCCCTGGCTGACGCCATTAACGCCTACGATGGTGGTGTCGTTGTCGTCTCTCACGATTTCCGTCTGCTTGACAAGATCGCCAAGGACATCATGGTGTGTGAGCACAAGACCGTTCGCCGCTGGGATGGCAGCATCGGCCAGTACAAGAAGTACCTGCGTGACAAGATGGTGTCCGCTGGCGCTGTCTAAACCATTCGTTACTTCAATGGTCCTACGCTTTGGTCTCCCACCACGCACTTCCACGCCCACTCTCCCTCTCTCACCTTTTCCTATATCTTGATGACGACGAAATGCTAGACGTGAATTGAAGAAATTGCACCGCCCTACGCTAAAAAGTTGGTTTCTTAGACCGGTGGTCTCATCGCACTCCTTTGTTCCTTTCTCCCTTCCGTTGTGCTCCCCAATTTAAATTTTGGGATCTGAGCATGCCGAGGGGCGGGGGCTACTTTGGTTGCTTTTTGTTCTCCCTTGGATTTTCTTTCTCCTCTTTCTCTTATATATCTTGCTTGCTGTCATGAACCTCATTCCCCCTCGACGCCTAGCAAGTAGATGCTAGTTTTGTGTCGGATTTACCTTTTTACTTTTTATTGTTTTTTATTTTTTTGATGCATCTTGTCCGATAGAGTGTCTAGTAGCGTCGACCCAGAGGCTCGCCGTGATCCAAGGGCTGCCTGTGGAATGATGACTAGTTCTGTTCTACATTTTATATCGATGTATCTACAGATCTTGAGTTTTGATGAACGTGACTGGCTTGCTGTTCTATGTTCCTTACTCGTATTGTGTGCTTTGGACTTGTAGTTGTAATTTGCATCTCTGCTTGGACGCGACTAGCGAACTGGAGGAACAGGTATCGAGAAATTATAGTCAGGGCTCATAAATCCCGGCCCTCTCCAAAGACACCGCTTTCTAACAAACTCAATTGCAATTCAAGGGCGTTGAGCCTGAAGTTTTCTACGATCTCCTTAGGGTGGCTCTAGTCCAAGCAGATGGACGTCATACACGCTATATAGGCTATGTGATAGGCGCCTGCCTTGAAGCGACGCATGAAGCAAGCATTTGGTGCTCTGTTCAATGTAGCCTGCCAAATGTCCGCCCTTGGAACCCAAAATGGCGGGAAAATCGTCGTTGTAACAGGATCGTTCAAGGACAGGTTATTGATGCTTGGTCCGCTCCGTCACCAACTCGGGGCCAAACATATCATGTGCGCCCCGTTGTTTCCGCTCCTCCTCGAGCTTCCGCTTTTTCGCCAATCGCTCTGTCTCACTCTCAGACGTGACGGTACCCGAGTCGACAGCTGCTGAGATGGAGGGTTGGGTGGAGTCACGCTTCTGCGCTATATTGGCTTTCTCGGGATTTTGGCAATGATATAGCTTCTTTGCGATGCGCTTCAGGCTCTTCATTTGGTCCGGGTCGGAAGAGAGCGGTTTATATGATTTCAAAAGTGACGCGCAGCCGTTCAAAACTTTAATGAGTTTACTGCGTAGCTCATAAAGTGGGTTTTGAAGGTTGGACCGAGGATCGGTGTCCATGGCAGTTGGATCGAGGGGGCCGCCAAGTTTGGTGTCGAGGTAGAATTCGGCTAGAGGCCGGTCGGCGAGGAGGAAGGCTGATAGCCAGATTTGGGAAGGGGTATAAAGGAAGTAGGCGTCCGTCATCTGGGCCGCGGATTTGAGCAATTCGCGACATGTACCGTGGGCACGCCCGATACGGTCTGAGATGGAAGAGGAGGGGGTCGGGGGAGGTGCTATAGAGAGCAGACCCTTTCTGAGGGTTTCGGCGGTTTGGTGTGGAAGGTGAGGAGCTGGTGCGCCTTGGCCTTGTGCGATTGCAGACAGCTCCATGACACCGCCCTCTAGGCCGCGGAAGGGATGTCGGACATCGAATGTGAAGCGAAGTCCTTGCATGATTAGGAATTCTGGAGCAATAACATCGTCCGGGCTCGTGTCGCCTGGAATTCCCTCTGCAAATTGTCGAAGAGACATATAATAGTTGTCGGTCTTGGTTGCGAGGAAGAGCGCGCATGCCATGATTGATTTTGGGTGATATGTCATTGGTGAATTAGTCAGATAGAAACGGCGGAGGTATTGAATAGCAGTCGCCTGAATAACGTATATAAAGTGTGAGACCGAGGGGTTTTTTTTTTCCTTTGGTTGGAAATCTCAGAGTGGTATGCCATGGCAGACTAAACTTACTCGGACCATCGTAGGAAGTGGTGGCTTATATGTTTCGCCTAGTTCCAGGGTTTTCTCACAGTAGTAGCGGACAAATACTAGCTCTTCCTCCGGTGTGAGGCATTCAATATCCTTCTCCTCAACATCGCTTCCCGGCTGTGGTGTTCCCGTCGCAGAAGATGGGGCAGATGCATGGTTTTCGCGGGCTCTGCGGAGTGCAGCGCGGACACGATCGCTTGCGACAGCGTTCGTACTCTGCCGGAGGGACTGAAGCGACGGTTCAGTGTAGGACCATAGTCGGAACTGGGAAGAAGTGCGGTAGATGTCGTCTTCGATCATGTTGACGATGAAAGAAGCCCCTGCTTCGCGCCGCGGGGAAGGCGATTGAATACGTCAGGGGATGCGGTCGCGGAGGTCATTCAATGAATGGGATCAAGCGGCGTGAGGAAGAGTCCGGGGAATGATATGAGGGTGATGATTCGAAACTAGGATGAACAAGATGAAAGAGTAGATCGGCACGCTGGTCGACGTTGGAGTTTGGTAGGCCTTATCGATAAGCGGAACCCTAACAGCTGGGCATTCAGGCCGACTTATCCTTGCAATAGGGAGATCGAGGACTCAGGTATTCAGAATCAAATATTGAATAATATGCATATTATTTACATAAAGATTTCATTTTCATATGTGTTTCTATCAATCGTGGGGCTAGATGTGGTCTGGATGATATTTTCGGAGATTTAAAATCGAAGTTCCAACAAGCTCAAACTCCAGCGAGCAATTGTGCACAGACATCGTCGTTCTGGGTATCGTTGAGCGTTCGGCTTTGACGGTCAATTCCAAGTCCTGCAAATACACGGACAATATCGGGAACCTGGAAACCCATGGCGCCGAAGGTATCAACCAGCGCTTGATCGTAACCATTGTACCTAAGCGTCATCATCAGTATGGATTCAGATTTCATCTAGGAAGCACCGTCCCGTATATCACTTACAGTGCCAAAGAATTGTCTTGAATTGTGACAGGAGACTCTGCCGTTCCGTCGACACACCCGTCGCCACCTGTCGAAGGTGCACCGGCATAAATTACAGCCCATTCGCGCGCAACACGCTCGAATTCTTTCGGTCTTTGAAGAAGCATATTGGCAACCTCCGCATCTTGAGGATCTTTGGGCTCCGGCGTGCTCAACAATGACTGGAGGGAAATCAAAGCTGATTTGATAGTGAGGACGGGTGACCATGCGCTGGAAAGAGTATCGAGGCAGATGGCGCCCTGCAGCGGTCACAATCAGCAGTCACTCTTGAAAGTTCCACTGGCTTCACTTCTCACCGTTTGGCTGCTGACATTCGGATGCCAGACTTTGGTCTCAAACTTCATCACTGGGGGGCGGAACGGGTAGTCTAGGGGGATTTTGATATCGATATTGTATGTACCGCCTTGATACGGGGTATCAGGAGGACCTGGGAATGATCCTCGAAGGTGTGTCACATCATCTTGGTTGCCCACAGGTTCCGCCTTGATCTGAGAATGGGGGTCGGCGTGAATATCGGCCAGTTCTTTGCCAACGCGCCGAGTTCGATTGCTAGCCATGCTTGGATATGAGTGTCAATTTAGACAGAAAAGGCTACAGGGCCGCCTAAAGAAGCCGGCTCTTGTGCTTTCTAGTCTTGGGTTCGCGCTGATCGGAAATGTCGCGTGTCAGTCTGCTTCGGGGAAACGGTCGAAACGGTAGAATTGTATTTGACGCAAACTATTGGATAAAGCCCGTTAACCTGAATCCTTGAAATCTCGAAAAATACTGAAATCAATCAGGCATCTTCCAAAACGAGAAGATAAGACAGTGCGCAAGTTAGACGACCGGCGATCCTACCAATGGAGGGGAAGTATGAGGCTGAGCTGCCGAACTGAGTGGCTTCCGAAAGCTGGGTCAAGCTTCGGCAAAGCAACGCGATGGGCGGTAATGTCTTCCAAGACCTCTTTCAAAAAAGTTGTCAAACAAGTCGTCCCAAATTGTTGTTAGCCGGGCCTGAATAATTGTTCTGCTGGTTGCCGGAGACAAGTGGGAGCCCGCGGCCTCGAACTCAGGCACTCAGGCACTCATGACCGCACCACTGGCCTGAGGCGCCAGAGTCACGTGGTGTGATGGCAACAGCTCCCAGCTCACCCCCGAGCAGCAACACCGTAACTGCATTGGCAGCCCATCCCTTCCAACCTTCAAACTCCATCTCTGCTCGGCATTCTAAAGACCTTCACAAAGCTCTAGTCGAAGCTAGATTGCATCCTCGCTTGGAGATTTGCCCTTTAGACCCTGACAGTGCCTCTGTCGCTGGCTTACAAACATGGTCAGTGATGCGACCTGGTTGAACATATCTTGCCTTTGGATGGCCTTGCTGACAGATAATTGAACAGGGTAACCAGCAGTCTAATATGGGCGGTGGCCCCGGTGGCGATGGACGTGATGACAAGGACAAGAAGGTATGATGCAGTTTGATTCTGGTTGAATGGATGACTCGAGCTGAGACTGTTCTTGCAGAAGGACAAGCCCAGATATGAACCCCCTCCACCACCGACGACCCGCATTGGACGAAAGAAGCGTAAGGCCGCCGGTCCCAGCACTGCCTCGAAGCTTCCAGATATTTTCCCTACCTCAAGGTGTAAACTGCGATACCTCCGAATGCAGCGCGTCCACGACCACCTATTGTTAGAAGAGGAATATGTCGAGAACATGGAACGGCTTCGCAAGGCCAAGGCCCAGGCAACGCAGGGCCCCGTCAGCCGAGAGGACCCCGACATGATGGATCGGAATGCAGATGAGCGGAGTCGTGTCGATGATATGCGAGGCAGCCCCATGGGGGTGGGCAACCTGGAGGAGCTCATTGACGATGACCATGCGATAGTTTCCAGTGCCACTGGCCCGGAATACTACGTATCTATCATGTCATTCGTCGATAAGGATCTCCTCGAGCCCGGCGCTAGCATTTTGTTACATCACAAATCCGTTTCAGTCGTCGGTGTGTTGACGGAGGAATCCGATCCTTTGGTGTCTGTGATGAAGCTGGATAAGGCCCCCACCGAATCCTATGCCGACATTGGTGGTCTGGAATCACAGATTCAAGAAGTCCGAGAGGCGGTCGAGCTGCCGCTACTACACCCTGAGTTGTACGAGGAGATGGGTATTAAGCCACCGAAGGGTGTCATTCTCTACGGTGCTCCTGGAACCGGAAAGACGCTACTGGCCAAGGCTGTTGCGAACCAGACAAGTGCGACTTTCCTCCGCATTGTCGGCAGTGAGCTGATTCAGAAATACCTCGGTGATGGCCCGCGTCTCGTTCGCCAGATTTTCCAGGTCGCTGCCGAGCACGCGCCATCCATTGTCTTCATCGATGAGATTGATGCCATCGGCACCAAGCGTTATGATTCTACGTCTGGCGGTGAAAGGGAGATCCAGCGTACCATGCTGGAGTTGCTGAACCAGCTTGATGGATTCGACGACCGTGGCGATGTGAAGGTCATCATGGCTACCAACAAGATCGAAACACTGGATCCAGCTCTTATTCGACCTGGCCGTATTGACCGAAAGATTCTTTTCGAGAACCCCGACCGTAAGTACACCGAATGTTATTCAGTCTAGATACCCAGTCGCTGACCTGTTTCGTCCCCAGAAAACACCAAGAAGAAGATTTTCACTCTGCACACATCGAAGATGTCCCTTGGCGATGATGTCGATCTGGACGAGTTCATTAACCAGAAGGATGACCTCTCTGGCGCGGATATTCGTGCGATCTGTACTGAGGCTGGTTTGATGGCTCTGCGTGAGCGTCGTATGCGGGTGCAGATGGATGACTTCCGCGCAGCTCGTGAGCGCATCATGAAGACCAAGCAGGATGGTGGCCCTGTCGAGGGACTGTACTTGTAAGCATGAAATCGACTCGGCTTGGGATAGCATCTGCACTAGCAATCTCGTCTGGGCTTGAGATGTGTATTTTAATGGAACCCATGATCTATGGGGAGGGCATACATTGATACTCCTAGAATCCTGAAACTCGCACTTCCCTTGTAGCGGTAACATGACTGTAGTATTTAAGTAATCCCCGATGCCATTTCCAACGCGAATTAACGTGATGCAAACGGGAATTGATTTGAATGTTCGGGTTTCTTGAACCTACATTCGATAACCGTATGCCTAGTTATCGGGGCTTCACTTCACTGGCGCCGGACTGCTATCAGCTGACATGCAAACACTGCAAACGAGCATCCTTATCTCCAGTTGGGCGCCGCGCGCAAGCTCTTCGGAAGTTCATTGCATTTACAGCATTTACACCTCAAAAATGGATGGGTTTGATGAGGAAGCATTCAAGAAGTTCTTCCCCTCCGGTTTCGGGAAACAGGAGAAAACAGTCGACGTTGAGTCCCAAGTCAATCGTTCTAAGCGAGCTGAAGTTGCAGTAGCGAAATCGCCTGCAGATGGCGAAAGGAAGCTGGAAACAGAGGCCACTAGCCTTCCAGCGACAGAGAAGAAAGCAGAAAAACCTCAAAGTAACGACGAGGACTCCGAGGATGATTCTGATGACTCCGATGATTCAGACGACGAGGATGAATTCCCCGTGTCGCATGAACTGGTGCTCAAAACCCATGAGCGCGCCGTGACGACAATGACAGTCGATCCGTCCGGAGCGCGACTGATCACAGGTTCTACCGATTGCACTGTGAAGCTTCACGACTTTGCTTCCATGACTCCCTCCACCATCCGAGCATTTAAATCCGTCGATCCCTCTGTGAAGAAGCATTCTGCCGCGCAAGACACCCATGCCATTCATTACGTTGGGTTCAATCCACTATCTCCAAGCCATGTCCTGGTCGTACCTGCCACCGCACAACCCAGAATTCTCAGTCGCGATGGTGATACTATAACAGAATTTGTGAAAGGCGATATGTACCTGCGAGATCTTCACAACACCAAGGGCCATATATCGGAGGTGTCTAGTGGTGTTTGGTGTCCTTTTGACGAAAACTTATGCGCTACAGCTGGATCTGATAGCACAGTGCGCATCTGGGATGCCAATGTGGGTCGCTCGCAGAAGGAGGTGATAATGCATAAATCAAGAGCTGCTGGGTCTGCTGGTCGGACCAAGATGACTGCCGTCGCCTGGGGCTCTCCAAAACAAGGAGGGTCGAATATTTTGGTTGCGGCGGCCCTTGATGGAAGCTTAGTGATGTGGAGCGGCAATGGGCCTTTTACTCGGCCTAGCGCAGAAGTCCGCGAAGCACACGCCCGGGATACATGGACCAGTGGGCTGGATATCAGCGCCGATGGGCGTCTGGTGATTACCAGAGGTGGAGATGATACAATCAAATTGTGGGACACAAGAAAGTTCAAAACTCCGGTGACCACAGTAACGCACACCTCGACCTCGCGGTATTCCACATCCAATATCCAATTTTCACCAAGCTCTGCGAATGTGATTGTGGGTTCTGAGACTGGCCACCTACATATACTCAATCCAGCTACGCTGAAGCCAGAATTGGTCACTCCTGTTACTCCAGGATCACCATTGATTACTGTTCTGTGGCACGAAAAATTGAACCAAATTCTAACAGGCTCTGCCAATTCTGAAACCCACGTCCTCTATAATCCGACAATGTCCCAAAAAGGAGCGGCATTGGTTATGTCGAAGGCACCCAAGCGTCGCCATGTGGATGACAACCCATCATTCACCACAGGTTTGGACTCAGGACTCGCGGGCGATTCAGTGGTTGTCAACTCGAGCGGTGTACCACATTATAGCTCTGCCACTTTTGCGGCACGCCATCCTACCATAGGATTAACAGCATCTGGTCGCTCTCGAGATCCGCGTCGACCACACTTGCCGCAAGTCACCCCCTTTGCTAAGTCCCAGCCCGATGAGAAACATATTCGGGAAAATATTCCTCTCAGCTCGATGCGTGATGAAGACCCTCGCGAGGCTCTCCTGAAATACGCAGAAAAGGCCGAGAAAGATCCTATCTTTACCCGGGCCTACCAGGAGACGCAACCCAAGCCGATCTATGCAGAATTAAGCGACGAAGAAGAACAGAGACCAGAGAAGAAAAAGGCTCGGAGGTGATACGACATGTTATTTCATTTTGAATTCTGTACAATAAGACTTATCAATCTGCCGTCTAACTGATCTGCTGGCTGACGCGACGAACCATTAAAAAAATCCAGAAGATCTATGCATAATGAAAAGTCGATTTATATCGAAAAAGATCCCGCAAGAGGGAGATCACGGCTGGATCGACCGACATATACTTTGTAGTTGCCTCTCTGCAAGTGCCAGGCTTGGTGAATGGCATCCCATACACTCAAGTCACGCCTGGTTAAAGAGAAATTGAGTAGAGTTCTTTTACCAGCATCGATGCTGACTTTCTCAAAACCACGGAGCTGGCGCACAGGCGCATTGGGAATGCCTATGTACAGTTGAGCCACCTCATCACCGTCAGCTGGTCCCGTATTCTCCACTGTGACTGAAATGGTGGCTATGTTTGTCCAAAGGTTCACGTTACCACCTTGCTGGATCTCTGAGGTTGGAGGAAACGGGGAGAGTGACTCTCTCTGGCTTAATTCGATATTCAAGTTCGAGTATTCGAAACTTGTGTAGGTTAACCCAAATCCGAACTCGTACCTCGGCGTGATGTTCCAGTGGTCGAATGCCCGGTAGTCAACGTAAGATCCTTCCTTGTAATCAGACTGAGGGAAGAGCAAGTATTGTCCCTGTGGCTCTGCTGGATATAGCAAGCCACCATAGTCACTCTCTTTCTTGGCTACGGTATAAGGTAGTCGTCCGAACGAGTTAGAGAGGCCATATAATAGGTTGACCAAAGCCTGACCGGCATCTTGTCCAGGCATGTGGGCGAATATAAGAGCGGTGACATTTGGGTTCTCAATGAATGAGTCTACCAGCCGAATTCCAGAGTTGTGTACTATGACAATAGTATTGTTGCACTTGGCGGCAACATTACTCACCAGGGTATCGCTATAATTATCTCGGAGACCTTTGCGGTCTGCTCCTTCCATAGCATAAGCATTGATGAAGACTAAGCAGACTTCGGTGGCGGGATCTATGCTTGGATCTTGCGAGACGAAGTCCCATGCAATTTGAGTGTTGTCCTGTCGAGCCTGTCTCTTTAGGGCATCAATAGGAGCGTCAATATAGGGTGGATTATTTGAGCCAGAACCATCCGCACACCACATAGTGTAGTTGACGTAGAGAGGCGTGCTGGTATAGACTGCAGAAGAAAAGTCTAAGGTGTTTGGCGCAGGAGCATCATAACCAAAAACAGAAATCATTCGAGGTCCCTTGATAGGGAGAGCGTTGTTGACATTTTTCACTAGAACATGACCCTCGATGGCGCTTTGAAGGAGAGTTCCTTTCGAATTTGATGTCAAAGCACTAACCACCGTATGAGGAGTATCGAGCCTCCTAGGAATACCCACTCCAGGACGCTTGATTGTATCATTCTGGTTCAGATAGTACCAAGTGGCCATGACTCTATCAGAAGCAGATTCATCAGTGAGATTTGACAAATGCAGAATAGAAAGTCAAATCATAATAGCCAAATACCTTGTCACCATGTCATTCAATCTAGACCTTGAAACAGTTCCGTTCCTTACAGCCTTGGTGAGATTTGACATCCAGAATTCTCCGACTGGCATGGCGACATCTAGACCAGCATTGGCCGTTGCCACACCCGCATGCTGTGCGGTCCAGTCAGAGATGACATATCCTTGGAAACCAAGCTCTCTTTTTAGAATCCCGTTCAGGAGCTTGCTGTTTTGGCACCCGTATGAGTTGTTAACCCGGTTGTAGCTACACATGATACTAGCCGTACCGGCAGCAAGAGCATCCATGAACGGCCATAGGTAATACTCATGAAGGGTTTTATCATCAATATTACTGGATATTGATTGAACATATTGGCCGTCAGAATTCGTCAATGGCATCCGGTTTGTCTCTTGTTCATTTCCAACGAAGTGCTTCAGGGAAACAGAATGAGTCAGAACAAAGGGCTCCAATTGTTTAAGGGAGTCAACCATGCCTTTGTAGAAGCTGCAACACCAACAGATTGAACGCCGTATACTGTTTCATAGACAAGCTTTCCTGCTAGGTGAGGGTCCACGGAAAAAGTCTCCCACACTCGTCCACCAGTCGCTATGCGACCCATAGGGCCAACGACAGGACCCAACATCATATTGGCGCCCTTGACACGGAACTCCGTCCCAAGATGAACAGCCCTTTCGCGGGCTAGGCCTTTATTCCAGCTGAGAAAGAAGTGTGAATAAAATCTCCTGCCAAAGGCTTTTAACCGCACCATACCTTGCCCCGACGTGTAAACCACTGGACCAGCCATTCACGAAGTCCGAGTTTCTCTTCAAGATTCCAGGACGCTGAGTGCTATCCAAATAAATAGGACAATCGAAGACTTACCATGCCCTGACCTGCGTCAGTCACACATATGCCTGGAAACCCCAGACGCTCAATTGGTTGGATATTTCCCGAGCAACCATTGCTAACAATCTCCAAGCTAGCCCCAGAAGTTAAATTGACCTTCTCTACTAGAGTTAGTTTGGCGACAAATTCTTTTGCCTTTTCGTACGCTGCAGCCCACTCCCCTCTTCCAGTTCCCCTAGCTACTGTTGGGTCAGCAACAACTTCCCTCATTTACGAGATACACAGCTCCGTACGTGATGGATAAATTGGGGGTGACAGCCCGTAGAAATGAGTGTCGCTCGTGACGTATGAAGGGTTTCCGAAAGCCCTCCCATAAAGCTGGAGGGCTATGATCAACAACGGTTGAATCCTCATGATGAAACTCGAGAGGGAGATTTGAGGGAGAAAGAAATTATTTCTTCGAACGAGATATGCGACCGCAAATATGAAATACTTGTTCATTCTCCCTTCCTCTTTTTAAAAGTAGGCTGATTTTGGCAGCGGCAGCGTTTGTTCCCCTCAGACTAGAACCATTTGCGCTGCGTGATCCACGGAACGCCCAGTCTAGCCCCGACATCAGCAATAAGTACTAGATGATGCCTTAAATTTATATTGATTCCGAAGAAATTACAAACTAATTTATGCCACCCAGAGTAGCTTTCCGACTGTCTTGTTCGGGTTTTGGTGAGGCCTGAGAAATCAACCGTAGTAGGAATGATTTCGCTCTTACGGAGGAGAGAAAAGGTCAAGAAAACCGAGGAAACCAAAGTTGACTGAACTTAGAAACGACAAACACTCCGATCCTTGTATATTCCCGTGCCCATACGGTGCCCCTTCTTCCCTAGGAAATAGCTATCGTGATTTTTCTCGTACTTTGAAGGATATCTCCAAGACGAGGAGACACAGTGGATTTGTCCATGACCTGCTGCCGGCCCTGAAGGCCGGGCGAGGCACGTCGGAAGCATCGCGGTAAGAGACCTGCGCTGATACTAACACGTAGCTCACCCTGTTCCCAAAAAGGGTGTATCTTAATGTCTTATCGGTGCCTTGTTATTATAGCATCCTCCTTTATAGGCAGAGACGCCCTCGGGATTAACATACCCCGGGCATTTCCAATCTGTGGGGAATTGATGGGGCCAGTCTATGGGGCCCCTAATTGTAACCAACACCAAGTAGATAATCAACAGGATAATCAAGAACTGCTTCCTCCTATCATGTAGAAGTTCCCAAAGTAAAAAGTAGAATTGTGAAACAGGAATGTAGTAGAGTGACCACTTGCCAGTTACAGGACCCAGGCACAACCCCCCCCCCCCTTTTCTCCTAGGCAGATCAAGATAGAGAGTATGTTTTACCCTGTAGTCAAACACACTAATAGCTATGCTCCTCGTTTGATTCCAGGTACGGTGTGCTCAGTTACAGAGGAACTGTGAACTATGTGTCATGTTTGTCCATGTTAGACCGCGCCCACCCGAGAGATGCCCCGAGGGCGAGTTTGTATCGTGTCCGACCGCACGGGTCAAACAAGCAGTGCATGGCGTCACTCCTTGCGTATGCTGCTGTGGAATGTGCCCCTCCTCCTGGGGGCTGTTAGATGACGTCCAACAGCCGGGCGATCACTGCTGAATGAGCCCGAGCTACCAATAGCACAAAGGGCGATCCAAAGGAACTCTGACCATGTCGGGCCCAGGATGATTCTATCTGCCACAGAGCTGCAGTTGCCCACCCTTTCTCACTTGAAAGGAGGGTCGAGTGCGGGCTCAGTTGAGGTCTGAGGGTGAGGGTGAAAGTGCTGAGAGGAGTAAGGAGGACACTAAACGGCACTAGTAAACGACTAACTGTCAAGTAACTCTGGACTGAGCGGTTAACCGACTTATCAGTGAACGTCGCTGCTGACATAGCATTTCTCTCCGCTCGCGAGCTGCTTGCCGTCGACTTCCATTCACCTTTCACACCACCTTCCACCCTTCAATACGCGACTGGAGGCGCCGTTGGTGGTGACGGTCAATCCGGATATCCTTGTCTTATCAGATCAGAATGCTGGCTGTCGCGTGGTGAAATGCTCAGTATCCATTTCCAACCTTGCCGCCCTTATCTGAGCCAGCTCGAACTGAATACTACGGCTTAGGAGGATTTCGGTCGGGTCGCCGATTCCCCTTCGGCGCATGCGACCGCACGTTTGTGCTTGTCTCTTTTCGTGTCGCCGTGTTGCTCCCTACGAGACCCGATGGACTCCTCTCAGCAGCCCCTGGTGGCGGGCTTGCTTACTTCTCTTGTGTCCGCGACGATCGCTCCCTCGGCCGCAACCCCGTATCTCGCCTCTTCTTCATTTCATGCTCAGTCCGCCCTCCTGACCGCCACTTCCCAGCCATTTCCTCATCCCAATGGTGAGGAGGGCAGCAAAGAGGGTGAGTGGTCGTCCTTGATCGGTATCGTGACCGCGTTGATCGGCAATGTCTTGATTTCGCTTGCACTTAACATCCAACGCTACGCGCACATTCGAATCGCACGAGAATGGGAGCAGGAGAAGCTTAAGAAGGAAGCCGACGGGAGACGGGTCCATTCCGGGGCGGATACTACAAATCCATATGGGACTGTTGGCGACGGCTATAATGTTACTTCGCGGGGAACGTCGCGCGACCGGCGTCGGCAGAACGGAGACCAAGAATTTCAGGCTTATCGCGATGAAGAAGATGAGCCACCAAGAGGGAGAAATGGGGCCTTGGAGTCACGCGATAGTCAGCGCGATTCTTTTACATCCGATGCCACTGCCCGACCGGAGCTTTATGGGAACCGCAAATCGTATCTTCGGTCTCCCTACTGGTGGGTGGGCATCATTCTCATGTGTCTCGGTGAAACAGGCAACTTCATGGCATATGGCTTCGCGCCGGCATCTATTGTTTCTCCTCTGGGAGTTGTTGCGTTAATATCCAACTGCATTATTGCCCCGTGCTTGCTCAAGGAGAAGTTCAGGCAACGGGACTTCTGGGGCGTGCTGATATCGATTGCCGGCGCTGTTGTTGTTGTACTCAGCGCCAAGTCTTCTGAAGACAAGATCGGCCCTGAAGAGATCTGGCGAATGATCACTCGCTGGGAATTTGAGCTATATTTCGGCCTCACAATGGCTTTGATCATTGGTCTCATGTGGGCGAGCTTCCAATATGGCCCGCGGTCAATCCTCATTGATGTAGGCCTGGTGGCACTGTTTGGTAAGTCTGACAACTCCGGGAGCTGGTTTATATGCTACGATAATTTGGAATGCTGACCACACATAACAGGTGGATACACAGCATTGTCAACCAAGGGCGTTTCATCCCTGCTCTCATTGACACTATGGCATGTCATTACGTTTCCCATCACCTATCTACTTGTCTTCATTCTCGTTTCCAGCGCCTTGATGCAGATCCGCTATATCAACCGTGCTCTGCAGCGTTTCGATTCCACTCAAGTAATTCCAACGCAATTTGTCCTGTTTACCCTGTCAGTCATCATTGGGAGTGCAGTCCTTTACCGTGATTTCGAGTCTATGTCAGCCTCCCGCGCAGGCAAGTTTATTGGGGGATGTTTTATGACTTTCCTTGGGGTTTACTTTATTACCAGCGGTCGGGTTCGCGCTGATGACGAGTCTACCTTCTCAACTGAAGATGAAGAGGAGGCCATCGGCTTGTTAAACGGGGAAAGATACCGTGACAGGATCGATATGTCTCCTCCCGCTCCGCAGCTACGAGTACCAAAGGTATTCCACGGAACTCAGTTTGATGACAATATTGACACGCAGTCGCCACCGGGCTCTCTTCTAAGTCGCGGCATCGATGGGGTTGATGATGATCAGCTCACTCCCCGAGGCGCTCACTCTGCTGCCCTTTCTTCCCCTGTTGACTCATTAACCGCTGAGTCGGCTGTTTCCGGTCCAACTCCCGATCATGCATCGCCGCTGCGACCTCCATCTCACATGTCAAATCCGTGGGTAGAATCTCATGATGCGCCTCTTGAGACACCCAAATCCGACACTGAGCTTTATCGCCCTTTCACACCTCCGGTACAAAACGATGCTGAACAGGAATCAACCGTTCTTCTCCGTTTCCCTCCTGCCCCTGGTCATGAGGAAAACTTGCCAAACAACCAAATTGCTACGCCTCGACGAGCATCTACACCAGCCGCAGCTGGTGAGCCCAATGTTCTTGACAGAAGTCAAACAACCATTGAAACACCATCACGACGCGCATTGCGCAATTCCATATCTCATCGTTTCTCCCCGGGCCCTCTCCTTCCTACTCTCTCGGGCGGTTTCAGTGCTGTTGTCGCGGAATCTTTACGACGGGGCGAAGGTAGTCCTCTCAAAGAACGCCTTAGGCGAAAACAAGGACGCCGCAGACAACTTGAAGGTGCGTTTGATAACGCAACTGTTCGTTATCATGATGGAGACTTGGGACCTCTTGGCAGGCACGATGACGGAGATGGCCCCGATACTCCCCTCACCATTGCCACTGCTCGACTCCAATCGGCAACAAATCTGGGCACGCCACCTACGGAGGCCCGCCGTTCCACTCCCGCACTAGCCACGGAAATTTACACCACTCAGACGCACAAGCCAGACGAAGAAGGGACGCGTCTACGCAGCTTCAGCGACTCTTGGAATGGTGGGCTCGCGTGGCTAGGCGGTGCATTGAGAAAGAACCTCAATAGTCAAAATATTGATAGCGGTGCAGTCACGCAAGGAACCGCGACTCCACAGCATGAGCAAGGCTCTTCTGCCCAGTCCGGCAATGGCCAGCATGATGGCGCTGGTGCCAACTCCCAATCTCGGGCATAATTGCGGCAAGGAGAAAGAGGAGTTCAGGACCCCTTTTTTCTCTAAGCCCGTACATGAAGAGTGACCCAGTCACTCAGTCCATTTATACATACACATTTCCCTTACTATGTCTCTATTTTCTTCACTTCTCTCAGCTTTTTCCGGGCGGGGTCCTTTCTTTGTTCGTTGTTGGCATAACTGGGTTGTAATTGGCATTGCATTCTGCGGGGTATTTTCTTTTTAGGCATCTAATATCCTCCCCTTGCGAGTTTCGTTTTTCAACACGGATTTTGAATGGCGGGTTGTATGTCGCAAGCCTTTCGCTTTAATTTATATCCCCACTCGCATCTTCTATACACTTTTATCTTTCTTCGGCTTCAGCCACAACTACTCTTTGACAGTATACATACTCTCAATTGCCCATTAAACTCAACCACAATGGGCGTCAACCAAATTGCATGATCGCTTAAAAAGAGAGGCAACTGTGCGTTTTGATAGGTGGAAAAAGAGGAGACAAAAGTACCCCTGCAATACCGTCGTGTTCAACTCCGTTCTGCATTGCGGTCCAGCAACACTGCTCCTCGGATGAATGTCTTAGTCTGCCCCAGCCTCTACATGCATTTAGCCGCTATTTAGCTTCCCCCGCCCGAAATATTGCCATAAACGAGCCGTCGCTGCCGGCTTCTCATTCCTGAAACGCGATCTCCACAAGGACTTCGGAGTAAACAAGTTTATTATCGGCTAGGTCCTCGGGGCATTGCTCCGTTTCCCTATCGTCTTAGTGCATGAAACTTGCATTCGGAGCTGTAAGAAGAGCTGCCCCCTGCTACCGGCAGACCGTTCCCCGTGATTGTTCATCTCCGGCGGACATTAGATTTCGAGCTAAATCTCGATCGAATGCCCGATTTGCTCTCGCGGTTGGAGGCAGCGGTGCAGTCCGCCAAAAAAAAGCCCTAGTGAAATCGCTCTGCGGGGTTGATTGAAATTGTCAGACCACATTGCCTTCTTATATGGAGCATTGAGTCTTCGTTGGGGTTCTTGGAAAAAGCAGATCTTACTGTTTTCCCGGATTCCCCGTGGTTTGTTTCTGTAGATCTCCGTGAAGGCGGACTAGCTTGGGAATAGTCATCAGAGGAAGAGCTATTGCCTCCCCTCATTGTATACGATGAGGATTGACGCGCTGTCGGGAGGATTGCTCCTCACGCAGCTTTTTGCAGCCTTGGTCTCTGGAAGTTCGAGCTCTAATTCAAAGACCCCGCTTTACAAAGATGCCAATGCGCCTGTGGAGAAGCGAGTCAAGGACTTGCTGGGTCGTATGACAATTGAGGATAAGATGGCTCAGTTGATGCAAGGCATGTCCCTGCGAAATCTTTCAGGATTGAGCAGGAAGAAAGATCTCGCTAACTCCTTTAGCATTCTAGGAGATGTGACGAATTGGATGAACTCCACCTCGGGAGCTTTCAACTACACCGGTCTAGTCGCCAACATGGAGATGAAAGCGGGCATGTTTTACGGTGCGCATATGTTCATTAAACATCTGCAATGTTATTTGAGCTCCCCTAATTGAATTATAGTCGGATATGCCGTCCCTTGGGATTGGGTTTCTGAGAACATCAAGAGGGCACAAGATTATCTGCTTCAAAATACCACTCTTGGAATTCCGGCCATTGTCCAGACTGAAGGTAAGACAATCAATGAAGCCCACAATCGGTGTTAATAGTTGTACTAAAGAGTTTCCTCATGCTCTAGGAATACATGGTTTTTTAATTGGCAATGCGACTATATTTAATTCCCCAATTGCGTACGGTTGTTCTTGGAACAGAGATGTGAGTCAATTAGAACATCTCTTTTGACAAAATCGTTTCTTACAAGAATTCTATAGCTCGTGCAAAAGATGGGTGAGGTCATCGCCCAGGAAGCCAAAGCCTTGGGTGCCAATCAACTATTCGCACCGGTGGTCGATCTGGCTCGGGAGCTGCGATATGGACGGGTAAAGTGGCCTAAGCCCTTCGATAGTTATATAGTACTGCCTGTACGGATTTGCTGACAAGAGACGTTCCAGGTCGAAGAAACCTTCTCCGAAGACCCCTACCTCGCTGGTGAGATTGGATACAATTATGTCAAGGGCCTACAGAGCAAGAACGTCTCGGCTATGGTCAAGCACTTCGTGGGATTCAGTAGCCCTGAACAGGGACTGAATACTGGTCCAGTCCATGGTGGAGAGCGGGAGTTGCGCACAACGTAAGGGCCCTCTAACCTTTGCTTAATTACGGAAAACTAAGACAGCGCTAGCTGGATGCCTTCCTTTAAGCGGGCTATCATCGATGCCGGTGCATGGTCTATCATGGCAGCTTATCATTCGTGGGTGCCTCCAATCAAAGCATTCCCATCGAGGAATTTATTTACTGATCATTAATAGATATGATGGAATCCCTGCGGTTTCCGATTATCATACGCTGACAGAAATTCTGCGAAATGAATGGGGCTATGACTATTTTGTCATGACTGACGCGGGTGGAAGTGACCGACTTTGTAGCTATTTCAAAATGTGTCAGAGCAGCCCTCTTGATATGGAGTCAGTAACTGAGCAGCTTCTGACTGCTGGCATTGATGTTGAAATGGGCGGTGGTTCCTTGTCAGTATAGGAGTGGCCCTCTTGGGGTATTGTGATGATGATACTAATTGTTATACAGTAACTTCCAGAAGATCCCAGAGCTAGTTAAGTCAGGGAAGCTGGATATTTCGACTGTGAATACGGCCGTGTCGAGATTGCTTCGTGCCAAGTTCGAGATGGGTCTCTTTGAAAACCCTTATCCTGCTGCCCCAGAGAGCCAGTGGCACAAGTTGATAAACAATGCGGACGCCAAGCAGCTGGCAAGAGATTTGGACAAAGAGTCTATTGTCTTGTTGGAAAACCATGACGCGACTCTGCCACTGAAGAAGTCAGGCAGCATTGCAGTCATTGGTCCGATGGCCCATGGCTTTATGAACGTAGGTTCATCCTGTTTTACTATTGGTCCTTTTGGCTATATCTACCCTCGTCTGAAACGGAACGGAACTGACCTATATTTCCGTCCTGTAGTACGGTGACTACGTTGTTTACCAGAGCCAGTATCGAGGCGTTACCCCATTAGATGGCATCAAGGCTGCCGTGGGCAACAATGCTCAGATCAACTATGCCCAAGGATGCGAAAGGTGGAGTAACGATGAATCAGGTTTTAGCGAGGCGGTTGAGGCAGCCAAGAAGTCCGACGTAGCCGTGGTAGTTGTTGGAACCTGGTCTCGAGACCAAGGTCAGCTCTGGCAGGGTTTGAATGCTACGTGAGTGAAACACTGTCTTGGGAATCCATGGTTCCCGACCCTTCAGAAATTAACGTCTCACTAGCACCGGTGAACATGTTGACGAGGACGACCTTGCACTGGTGGGCGCCCAAGGCCCTCTCATCAGGGCTATCGTCGACACCGGGGTTCCGACGGTTGTCGTTCTCTCGAGCGGCAAGCCGATCACAGATACATGGCTCTCTAACACGACCTCTGCATTGGTGCAGCAGTTCTATCCTTCCGAAGAAGGCGGCAATGCACTCGCCGACGTTCTGTTCGGCGACTATAACCCGTCAGGAAAACTGTCGGTTAGCTTCCCCCGCTATGTCGGAGACCTTCCGATCTTTTATGATTATCTCAACTCGGGCCGCTCAATTGGTGACTCGGGCTATGAAATGAGTAATGGGACTCTCGTGTTCGGGCACCAATATGTTCTCGGCAACCCTCTTCCGTGGTACCCATTCGGTTATGGCAAAAGCTACTCCACTTTCAAATATGGCTCCGTCAGTGTGGATCGAAGCAAAGTTTCTGCGTCCGACAATTCTATCACCGTAAGTGTCGACGTGACCAATACCGACACAAGTCGGGACGGAACAGAGGTGGTCCAGGTCTATATTTCGGACGACATTGCCTCCGTGGTGGTACCCAATCGCCAGTTGAAGGGCTTTGAGAAGGTCGTAATTCCCGCGGGCAAGACGAAGACAGTCAAGATTCCAATCCGAATTGAGGACATTGGGCTATGGAACTCTCGAATGAAGTATGTCGTTGAACCCGGAACTTTCACTGTCCTTGTTGGTACTAGTTCGGAGGACATTCGGGGAAACACTACCTTTGTTGTGCAGTAAGCGCGGGATAGCCGGCCAAGTCAATTCTCGGTTGAGTGTATGGAAAGACTGGAGGCCAAGATCCTGAAGAGAATACTATATCTGATGTTTGAAACGCCATTCATCGAATGCTATGCTTATTTACTTAGTTGTATGTTCTGCTAAATCCATAATGACGCATGCTTATTTTGGGATCCGATCTGCTTCATCTCCATCAGTGGCCATCTGGGGTCCGGGTCAGGCTCGACCCTTGTCAGTGTCAATCGCCTGTATGCACGCTCCGTTTCTGCTGGAGCAGAATTCAAGGGCAATATAACCTCTTCGGGTATTGATTCCGCATCTTGTTCAAGGCTGAGCACAACCTGGATCGCTTCTTGGTCCTCGATCACCTTAGGGTGACGTTTGGAAAAGTACCGAGCATATTTATACAGCGACCAATAACAGCTGACAACGTTGATGACTGTCAGTGCAATCTTATAAAACGTGTAGTAAAAAAGCAACACGATCCAGTCAATGCGCTCTTTCTTCAGACGAAGGTGAATTTCGTTGAACAGAATGACGTTTATGATATACATCGCGATTGTAACGCCAAGGAGCATGCCGCAGAAGCCAGGGCGCACAATGAATGAGATAGGCAGAACAAACGGAGCGAGCAAATAGATAAGAGTTTCGTAGACCTTTATTCAAGGAGTTAGTGAAAACATTCAACTAAGAAGAATTCCAAGAAATAGAGACAAACCTCTTGAAAGACGCAGAGCTTTGCTCCTATCTCCCACCAGCCAAGTTTCCAGCTTGTCAGAATATACTTCATATCGTAGTACATGCCGACAACAAAAAGAAATTCCAGCGCTTGAAACGCTGCTGGAAGATAGTCATCTCCCCAAACCCACCCCGACTCCCACTTCCACTGAAAAAGACAGAAGATGGAGTCTCGGTTTCAACAAAAACAGACGAACACATGGTAATGCGTCCCCCGAGACGACGACAACTATCCCCAAAAAACCAATTTTCGGAGACGGAGAAGCCGGGATGCTCGTGGAAGGTTTTCTTCAGGAATTCTGTGTTCCAGATTGAAATTGCGCCGTGGGGAAAAGTGGCGCTGCCTAATTTGCCAAAAAAGGCTCTCTGGAGACCAGACATTTTGTATTCCAAGTCTTGGGCTTGCTGGCAGAAAGTCCCCTTCGAGGAGTTAGGACCCACGCTTTTTATAGTATATCCAATGCATTTGACTTTTCCCTGTAGGCGATCGCTGACGATGGGAAAGTTAGGCGGGAGAGCACAGTCGTCATCAATGAGTAAAACGTTTTCGAATCCCTTTGCAGCATAACAGCCAGCAAACTGAGCTACAATTTTAGAGCCGATTGGAACCCAAAGATGATTGACGCCATACGGACGACACACCTCCTCCGTATTGTCGAGAGGTGTCTCCGAATTTCCATTCGCAATAACAAAGATATTTTTTGGTGGAAATATCTTCAAAGCCGCTTTCAGCGTCGGTCCAATGATATTGGCGGACTTGTAGCATGGAATGAGCAAGGCGGTTGACTCGGCATTATCGGCACTTCGCTCGAGGTCTGCGTCTTCGATCTTTTCAGGGGGGTCTTTTTCGAAAAGAATCAAGAGAGGCAAAAAGGCATACCTAGTGACTTTGTCAGCGATCCCACACACTATGACAAAGAAATGCTTTGGAGACTGACAATGCAGCGAGTCCAATCGTGATTGCATATCCTCCTTGGATTACAAACTTGTTTCGAACAACCCAATAGAGCCACCACACAGCACCGTTCCATAACGGTACTCCAATCAAGACAAAGTAAACGAAAAGAATGAGAAGTATATAAAGACCATATTCGAACGCGAGCCGAACCCAATATTTGCGATGAAGAGCAACGCTCCTGGCTTTGGCCTTTTCATATGTATCGTGAATGCTGCTTTGGCGACTATGCAACGTATGAGAACTAGTCTCGCTAAGATGTGTTGGGCTGAGTGCTGCATTCTTAATCGGCGTTATCGGTTCTTTTTCAAAGCTTCCTGATCGCGGCGTTAATGAGGTTGGGGTCTTGAATTCACCCCATACTAGAAATAGGGATATGTTAGATAACATTATATTGTTCCTGGTTCCTCAATGATATGAACGTACTTGGTGACACTGGAGGGTTGCTTAGGGGTCGTGACGCAAGCTTTGGTCTTTGAACTTTCCGAGAAGACAGGCTGAAAGATCGTTTCAGACCTCCTTGCTGTGTCTGGTTTGCTGCGTCTTGATATAGAATTCGGTCATTTTTTGGGAGAGACTTTTCCCATTTTATGAATTCCCACGGTGAATTGAAATTTGCGGTTGCCAATAGTGGCCTTGGAATGGGAACATCTTCCACAATCGAAAGCCTGGCGTTTCCTTTATTTGCCATTTAAAGTGTAGAATGAAAACAATAATGAGTGACTTATTGAATTAGAGAACGTGACGGTTGAAAGAATGGAAGGCGCAATTGCGACCAAGTGGGAAAAGAAGATGGCAGACGAGTAATGGTGAATTTACATGGGAAACTTGTTTTTGTTATAAATTTTCTGTATTTTGTCTCCGGACTGAGATTGAGCCTGGCCAGGTGGATCTTGCTTCGGTTCTCTGCCTTCTTTTGATCCGGCCTAGATCTGAACTGGAGCCAACATGTCTTGAAGGGGTTCAGGTATTGAAGCTCCGATCTTCGAAACGAACAAAAAGTTACCTAAGAGTATCCCAAGCTATTTATTAAAGACTGTTCTTTTCGAATGCTAGTGAAAATCGCAGGGAACTGCAGGTCATTGCTTAGGTCTTGGATGGAATCTGCCTTGCATTCAGCATATACCTGAACGAACTCGGGAATGAAGGCTGATCTTTCAGCTTCCGAATATCTCCCAGAGTAGGTATTAACGGTAATACGGCATCGCATGGCCGAAAGGCATTGTCTCTGGCAATAAGAACTCTATGACATAGAATTAAACTTAGTTCTCTTCTTCTTTTCCAGCGCATGGGTCAAGAATAGGACAGTCTAAAGTTGAGGGATTTGACTACGACCACCATTATTTTCAATTTCTGAGCCCAAGATGACAACTGAGACTCCAGGCAGAGATTTATGATTAAGAGACTTCTATTACGGAGCTGTCTTTTTTAAGAGGAAAAGAAAAATCTATTCTGGGAATGAGTCGATCAACTGTTGGCAGAGTCTTTCACACAGTAGCTTTTGAAGCCCCTTGCCAAACCTGCCCAGTGGGAAAGCGAGCAGGGTTGACCCCACTTCCGGATCGTCATTGGGATTTTCTTGTTTTATTCTAGAAACCAAAAGGCTTGGAAGGCCTGGTCGTGGTCTCGGTCTCAACCGGATGCGTCGTAAACGAAGTGGATACATGTTACGTCGATTGACTTCATTTTAGCGTAGCTACCTAGGTCCACTATCTAGGGTAAACTACCGAGCGGGTAGGGTTCAATCGAACATTCATAACATGACACCGAGGGTGAGGTACAGAATTAGGTGTTTAGCAGATTACTCTTAGTGTATGATAGGCCGAATTCTTGCTCAGTTTTCTCCTACTCATTTCGATGACACTGGCTGTGGTTATTGGATGCCAAGCGAACATACACTGGCCGGAAAGCCACATGGCACTAAAATATAGTTCCAGGCACGCGGCTGCGCCAGTACCGAAAGCTTGACCGTTGTGAATCACGTGCTTTGGTGTTATTGGGTATAGTGGGACCACAACGGCCTTTGAACTGCGAATTCCACTGCGGCGAATGATATGATCAGCCGCGTCCCAAGGTTCAAGGTTATCTAGAAACCCCTTAAGTTTATGTCAACATAAGAAGATTCAAGAGCTATAGAGAATCGAGACTTCCTTAGTTCATAATCATATGCCATCATGTTGGAGAATGGCCACATGACGTACTCCGTTTCGGCCGCGTACTCCGCTGTGGGCGATCCAGACCCCCGCCAGCGGTGATGGACATTGCAGAACGAGGGTGCGAGTAGACCGTCTTCAGACAATACGGCCTAGTAAGTAATGTAGTGGGGAAACAGCCTACGCTATGCGGTCTCTCATTAGATAGTGTGTTATTCCATACACAGTCGTTACCAATATAGCCTCAGATCTCAGATAGAGAAAAATAACTTCTACACACTTCTCCCAAAATCAGCATCTGTTTCCTCTTCGGGAGGCCGCTCCCATAGTGCGGTGTGTTGTGGTTTGGTGGTTTGTTCGCCGATTCTTCTCATTCTGTCTGCTTGCCAGACTTGCCTCCGAGCGCCCTGGTTCAGTAGTTGAATAATATTTCAATATAACGGAGACCTGTATAGATTTGTAAAGGTGGGATCCAATGGAACACGATTCTCAATGTGATATCGTCTAACTATCTGGACTGGCTGTCAGGGAGTGATGGATATCCCCTACCTCGTTGACGAGCATATTATGGATCTGTGTTTCGAGTATACCCGGGATACTAAACAAAACAAGTAAGGAATCTGGTATTGCTGTAATGACAGGACGCACATCGGAATAGGTGGGTCTTCACCTTTTTGGCGGCATTTTTCCTCTCGATATAACAAGCCACTGCCGGGGTGACGCGCAATCATCGAGCGAATTACGTTCGTCACAGATCGTGTTCCACGTCGGCTAGCTAGCTTGCTAGTTGGTGACGGCAGTCTATCCGCTGAAGTAAACCAAAAATGATAACGCGCGCTCCGTCTATAAATAAAAGTATGTTTATGAAGACTTTAGCTACAATCTTAAGTTATCGCTATGACCAAGAACTTGATTGAACATGAAGATGCCACTGTGTTATATTCGTCACCTCTTTACTATGTCCTTCATCTCTTTTCAGATTTGTGTCAAAGGGACATTTGATCATTCAATTTCATTTTAATAGACAATGTAAATCAAATGGTTTGGACCTAGAATAATTGCTGGTGAAATATTATCAAATCATAGCCCTCCAGGCATCAAGTCCGTAATTTAAAGTCCCCAAACTTTCTCGCCATCTCTCAAATTGCACCATTTTCTCCTATAGCTGTGGCTTGCCACAAATATGAGAGGGGGAGATTGATTCGAGTTAGAAGAGATAGCTGAATCATGAATCACTTTGCTCGACAGTTATACACAGCCACCTCAATCCAAATGAACCCAAATTGGATATTGTTAAGCTTCCCATTTTTCTACCGGATTGCTACACGAATAAAGACGAGAAATATCATGTCTTACTAATTTGCAAGCACCGGCCTGCACTAGTGAGATTTTATTCTCCGAAAAGTAGCTTTGCAAGATATTGCATCAGCGGTGTTGGAGTAGTTTTGTCCTTGAATATTGTGCACCAATAAGTGATAGATAGGTTTTTTTTGACATTAGAGGTGTTAGAAGCAGCCATTTTAAGTGGAGGGAATCTACTCAAATGGGAACACTCCTATAAAATTGAGAATGGGAATTAATATGAGTTATTTCAAGCGAATGTTTTTAATTGCCCTGGGGCGATGATCATTGCCTCCCAGAAATGATAGGAATAGAAAATCGACTTGAGGGGAAGCAAAGAAAACATATTTTCTCGCTAAGAGATTTGGTCGAAAGGGGGAAGAGAGCCTTGTACATGAGCGTAAAGTTACGATGTATATTTGGATTGGTGTAAGAAGGAAGGATTCTGGCTGGAAATGACTTTCAATGGCCGGATCCGTCTAAGTCTCAAGGATTCTCTCATGTTGGTTCGGAGAAACGTTATGACCGCGAGTATGGGTGGCACATGTATGCAAAGATGTAGAATAGCAGCCCTCAAATGAATTCCTACCGTTGATTCTAATATTCGGTTACATAATATCCTCCGCGAGTCGTTGTTTCCAGTAATTTCTAAACATATCCAAGACAATATTCTGTTTTATTTTCAAGTTCTATTTGTCTTTAACCTTTCAGAAATCCTTCAAGGGCCCACTGGAGCGGAGTTAGTAAATTAAATGGTAAAATAGAGCAAGATTCATAATATTCCGTCTTGAAGTGAAAATAGTTACAAGGACTATACTTTATGCAAATGACCAGCCCCCGGTCTTCTCGGCGAAAAAGTTCTCAGGATCATATTTCTTCTTGATCTCCTGTAATTTCGAAAAGGTAGAGAATGTTTGCAAGGGGTTCTGATCATAATTCGCATCATTGATAAATAGTGGAAGACCTTCAGCATTGGTCGTTGATGCGACCATATCCCGGTAGCTAGCTTGGACAGCCTCATAATCTGGCTCGCTCATGCCAATAGGAGTCGTAATGAGGTAATTCAACCAAAACCAAGGGCCATCGGGCATTTGCATCGCATTTCCACCTTGTGCCTTGCTCGCGTCCGTCAGGCTTTTGGGAACCGGTTGGAAATCCAATGAAAGCAACTCATATTTACCCTTATTTGACTCGGCCCAATTGCGCCAAATGTTGAGAGCATTCTCATATGACCCATTTTCTGGGCGATGGACACCAACACGGAACATGTTATTTCCTCGTGAAAGCTCTGTAGACATTGGAATAGGCATATTGACTACTTCGGGATATGTCTTAATCCCAGTGGTGTCAAGTAGTGCTGGTATACTGGTGAAGTTCGAAAATGCATTGCCTGGATCGGGACCATCATAGACAAGGAACATGATTATAGCCTCATCCAGATTCAGATTCAAATCTGGGGTTGGTAACTTTTCATATGTACCGATGATGGCGGCCTTAGGATCGGTATTATATTTGATGAAGTCTCCAATTGCCGCAATGACATTATCCTTCTGTGAGAAAAGATAGATAAGATTTCCTGCCCACAACTGACCAATTGGGCGACTTTGGACGGTATACTTCGTCACAACTCCATATGCATTCCCACCGCCCCCTCTGGATGCGAAGAATAGATCAGGGTTGGATTCTTCAGACGCGGTTACAATTTGACCGTCGGGGAGAACAATTTCGAGCTCCCGAAAGGAATCACAAGCCATGCCGTATTGAGGAGAAAGGTAGCTCATACCACCTCCTAGAGCCAAGCCTGTCCCAACTCCCGCTAGTCGCGCACCGACTACAGTCCGATTGAACTGGACATAATAGTCATACAGGTCGCCAAAAACACCCCCTGGCTCATAGGTGGCGAGTGTTGTATCGGGATCGTAAGATTTTTTTGTCATACTACTCAAATCCAGAAGTACACCTTCATTGACGGACGAGTAGAATGTATTTGGGTTATGTCCACCAGCCTTGATCGCGAAACGACTATCAGCCGCTCGAATTGCTTGGATGGCCACGGAAACATCTGATGCTGATTCTGGATAAACAATACAAGAAGGTTTGTATGCATCCTGAAGTGTGTTCCAGTATTCTGTGCTTTCGATGTAGTTTGAACTATACTCGTTGCTGTTGACTTTGGATGAGCCCAGCTGTGAAGTTATATTTGAACACGCGGATAGGCCCGCAGCTATCGCAGCAACAGGTGTGCAGATAGCTGCCAGGGATGAAATCAACAGAGGGAGCATGGTTTGCTTGAGACTTTGAATACATTGGAGCAAAGGGGATGCGGGAGGCTTCAAATAAGCCGATCCTTCTCTCATAGATTCATGTGAGTAGACTGGAAGAAGGAATGTCCTCGGTATGTGTATACGATAGGAATACGACAAATTTAAAGGATTTGCCGAAAATAGGCTTGGTCAGTGACGATCGTCATCTTAATAGGCTAAACGAGTGTCAAACGCCAGCCTTTGCGGGATATGCATGAACCAAGGACCCTGGCGGCCGAACTTTGTGACTAACAATGAACTTTCCCGGAGAACCCGACAATAGTGCCCTTTTTCAACACGCCAGATACGAGACCATGACCTTGTTGCTCTATTTCCACAAGTCGTCGTGAAACACTGTCAGTTCCAATTCCGTATCTTGGCGTACATCGGCAACGGTAGGGATGAGCAGTGAATAATCTACTAAAGGCTGGTGGTATTTGACGTATTGAACCTAATACTTGGCGCAGGATTTTATGGTTTCCGGAGGCACATTAAACTTATCGACAAGGTATTACTTCTTATCTACAAAGTATTACTTCTATTGCCCGACCGTAATTAAACAGGGCCATGGGCGAGCCAAGGGACATTAATAGCGGTAAGGCTTGCCCGGTTGCCGATCGCAGCCAATAATCACAATGCTACCCCCCTTTCATAAAGTTTACGTTCCGCACAGTGGGTGCCCAGATGTACGTGCCTCCCGTGTTGATCTCCTCGAAATTCAGTCATCAATGTTATCAAGGCTACTTTGTTTTCTTGCTTGAATTATTCAATTCTTCATTTAAGTGATAGTATACTACACTGACAATGACAAGTACTACCTTTACAGGTTATATCTTTATAGTATAATCTTATTTTAGTACTTTCTTCCCTTTTACTTAGCCGGTATTTTCAAGGCCCTTTTTCTTCGATGTTTGTTATAGATTTGTCTATAGATCAGTAAGAATCTGAGAGATGTTTAGCTCATTACTCATTATCTACTTCTCCTTTTACTTCTACCTTACCAGCTCTAGTATTTTGGTCACACTGTCCACTGCTCTGTTTGTATCGGCTGGTGCTACAGCTATTGCATATTGTCTATAGCAAGGGGTGAAAAGTAAAAATAGTGGACTCGTACACGTGCTGAAATAATCTGTGGCAATCGCGATGATTCGGTTCATTTTGAAATTGTGGCTTTAGTGATATCAAATCAGTGGGATTCTTCGGTCTGTAACGCTGCGGCAGCTAGAGCTAATGAAGCAAGAACAATCAATGACATGGGGGTTTCAAGCGTCAGCAGTTTCCACATTGCATTCAGGCTCTGACCCAGAGCCAGTAGGAGCGGTTACTTTGCTAGATGAACCATCTGGCTGCGAGAGTTCTGGGAAATCCGGGTTCTTAGTTCCCAGAGCAGGCGTGGATGGGGCACTTGGACCGTCGCTAGCTCGACCTTTCGCACGTCGAGTTTTGGCGCCTTCCTTCAATTTCTCCCAATTGTCTCGATAACGTCCAAGGACGTTTTTTAGCTTATCGTTCTCACGCCCGACACGTTCTAGCTCTTGCTCGCTGCGCCGAACAATCTCCTCCAGTTCTTTGAGACGGGGGTCCGAGTCTGACATGGCGGGTGCAACGGACATATGTGCCATGGGAGAGTTTGTAGCAGACGAAACATGCTGTAGATTTTCCGGAGATCCGGCATTATGGTGATGCATTGCTCTCAGAGACTGCTGAAGTGCCATCGATGAAGACTGCGCATTTACTTCCCACATGTGTAGCCGCTTTGAAAGGGTATCGGAAAGTTGTTTCAGAGCCTGGTTTTCCATCTGCAGCTCCTCTAATGTCTTTGAATTCTGCAAGCTCATAAGTTTGTCGGCAGCATCTCGGCGTACTGCGCGCGCCTTGGCGTTACCGGTGCTTTGACGCACCTCCGGGGAAGGCGGTGTTTCTCGAGCATCGACGAAGTCATCATCACCGTCCTCTAGACTGTTTCGACGCGCTTCTTTCTCAGCTCGCGACAAGATCCCAGCATACGGCATTGATCCACCCGTCGTGGGGACGACGTAAAATGACTCCGCTGGGTTTCCAGGAATTGCTGCCCCGGACATGTCCTGGACAGATCGTAGTGCCGCACGGGAAAAGAGCCGATTGACATCCGGCTCCTTGGCAGAGGCTCCTCGGTCTGAGGTTGCATGGTGGCGGTCCAATTTAGTCTCTGCGGGGGACTTGCGGGGTAGAGGTGTAGCCTTCGTAGGGTCCTCAGTTCCCAAGGGCAGCCCAGCAAATGCCAGGGGGGCTGAAATCTTGGAGATCAGACCTTCGAATGTTGAATAAAACCGCTGGAAAGGTTCATCCGCAGTGGCAGGCTTGGCTTTCGGATGCGTTGACTCGGCAGAATCTGGAGGCAATACTTGCTGAGCAGTGACCTCGGTATGGCTGGGCAGCGGGGGGGACCATGGTTGTCTTCCTGCCGGAGCACGACTGTTTCGACTCTTTGCGGGAACCTCTCGAAGTCGTGCCTCTCCACTTTTGATCCGGGATGGCCCCTCGGTCATCTTCGCACCGGCTTGATGTGAGGACAGGGTCGGCGACACCGGTGAACCACGACGAGGGTGCGCCGGAATGCCTCGGGCGGAAGCTAGATCGCTTGCAATCGACGAGGATTCACGACTAGGTAATCGAGGGGCGCCTGGGAGTCTTGGGGTGGGATTTTGGGCATCTTGGCTCGGGAACTTGGCGGCTCCAGCATCTGTTGTCGCAGGCTGAGTCGATGGCTTCAGGACGGCAGTAGCGGCTGGGGTTTCGCTGACGGTGCTAGAGGGATGTTCATGTTGAAATCTCAAGATTTCTGCCAGCCTCTTATGGTGGTGTTCAAGCAAATGTAAGGTGCGGAGTGCCTGGAGGGAAACACACGATTGATGTCAGCTCCCGATCACCCGACATGGCCGGTAGGAATGGAACGACTGGGGAGATCCCCTTGACTTACCTCCTGATCCGAGCTGCTCTGCGCAGCCGTTGCAAACTCCCCAGCAGCCAGGTCATGTTCCTCGCTGGCAGCGACCGGGTTAGATTTGCGGGTTTCCAGAACTGCGTTTCGCGCGTGGGTGTGGGCCTAGGCCACGTCAGGACAGTAGGCTTCTCTGGAAAATTTAGCACGGCTTACCAGCGCCAGGGGAGCTGCCTCCATGATTGCAGAGTCAACGGCACATGAGCCACATCAGAGGCACGAATGAGGTCCGCTGGGAAGATTGGAGGGACGTTGAGGTTGAGATGTTGGGTTGTTAGGTTGCTAAAAGGGCTGGAGGTACTGGAAGTGGGGAAGAATGTAGAAGGAAGTGACGCCCGTGACGCGATGGGCCCGCAACGGGCCTGGCCACAGTGTGACCGGTACCGCCGCAGGTGCAGTATTGGCCGTACAGCGATGTTGAGGGAAGGATTTGGCCTCCTTCGCTCCAGCTCAGTACTCTTATTCGACTGGTATCAAACTTCTAATTCGAGTCGCTCCTCCTGTTCTTATCTATCTGAAGACTAGTCGGACGTATGCGTGTATACTAACTAAGCCTTCGATCCCCATAGTCCAGTAGTCGCGACCACACGATCTGGTATGGTCTTCGATAGATTCTTATAATGTAATTAAAATGCGTCCTAGTTATTCATACTACTACTATCGTAAGCTATAGTCAGAAGGGTGGCAGAGAGAGTAGTAGCGGTAGGAAGAGGAGATTCCTAGGGAAGAAAGTGCAGCTGCAGAAAGACTTTTGTACTATTTATAAACTATAAACTACTGGAACCAAATGCTTGTCCATGTAACTTGTCCAGTTCCCAGGTCAATTGGCATGGCGTAGATATGCTTTCTATGTTCTCTCTTTATTACCCAGTCCCCAATACCCTTAGGCGGTCGATTATCTATCATTGGATCTAATTTATTGAAATCAATCGGTAGTTCCTGAACGCAGTCGCAGGCGACCACAGACGTCACATTCGCATTCTGAATAGTGGAGACACGAAAAGCTCCGTGCAACCCGCGCAACCTCGGCGATGAGCGATAGAGTTGAGCAAAGCGGGATCCTCCAATCCATTTCAAAGGGAAAAAAAAGTATCGGCTTTGGAACCTCATGGTTGAAGCCTTAGAACGTGACTACAGTACGTATTCACGATCAACAGCTGCATCTAAACTAACGCGTCGAACAGCGATACGCTCACCTGACCGGCACCTGACCACGGCCTTGCGGAGCTGCTCCCCTCAAAAGTGCCAAGTGGACCCAAACCAGGAGATCCTCTGGCTCTCCTACCTCGATCACTCCGTCCTCCCACCAATATCACCACCTCCCAGCACCTCAGGTCTACACCCTTCGCCCTCTTCGGGGCTGCAGCCGATTCCTTCTCATTCGTTCCCCATGCTGTGCTCGCTCTCCCAAAGTCTCCTGTGATTCTTTTGCATTGTCCGCCCGGGGGCAAATCCCCTCCCCCCACACGCTTTGCCATGGCGGACTCTGAATCTTCTAGTCTAAAAGGCGTCGGCGGAACTAGGTCGCGCCGAGCCTGGACGGTATCGGCAGAGTCGGAAGCGATGGAAAGCTCTGGTCGGAGCAATGGCCAATCTTCGATCGACTCGAACTCGGAACGGCCTAAAACTCAGGGAGGAGAGGTTCCGGACTCCGCTCAGGCTGGCTCCAGCGGATTCTCGAAGCTCCTCAATTCACGTCGCCGGCGGAAGAAGAGGACCGACACAAAACCTGCGGATGAGCCGCCAGTGCCCGGCGTCGTCACGGAACAAGATCTGCATGACCTGCAGGAAAGCCGGTCAAACGAATCCCGGAATGGAAATTCGGCTGTGCCGTCATCGAACGATAGCTCGGTCCCGCCGGAAGGGGAAGTCATCAATCTGTTGACCGATGATTCCGAGCCAGATAGGTACGTTTACCGACTTTATCTTGGACATCTCACCACTGCCGGCATCGATGGCTAATTTCTCTCTTGGTACCTAGAACCCCACCGCTCACCTCTCACAATTCCCATACCGGCTTCTACACCTCGTCCTCCCCACTCATCAAAACGACCTCTGTTGATACTGCCGGCACGATAGACAACCCTGCCGATGTGGAATCTGCGGTCAGCGACCCCAGCGCAACAGGATCGGATTCGGCTCCAAGCGAACCGCGAGAACCCCTCTCAGCTTCGGGAACCCAATCCAGCATGACACTGGATGTTCCAACGGTTTCTAATGGCAAGCGACGCAGTGTTTCACCTGGAAGACGCTTCAAAGAGGCTTTTACCTCATCCGATAAGAAGAATAACGATGCAAATGACGAACTGGATCGTGCGTCATCCAAATCGGGTGGAGGTAGAAGCGGCCGGAGTCTCTTCAGTAGTCGCCGGAGTAGTCTGTCGTCAAAACGAGTTCAGGCGACCCCCGAAGCCCCTCCTCCAATTCCAAGTCCCATCCGCACTGATTTAACTGAGGACAAGCCGCGCTCCTTAGAGGCAAGCCCACTTCCCAACACCCCTCCTCATACCGCAATCCCAGCACCATCCACGACGGTAACTCCGCCGACTCCTACGGAACACCGCCCTCTAAACCCAGAGATCATGTCAGAGAATTTTACGGACTCGCCAGAGTCTATACAGTCTCGAAATTCTATATCTTCTCCGGGCATCACCGTGAGCCCGTCTGGCAATATGATCTCCCACCGAAGGGTGCGCTCTGCCTCTGCAGCTCATGGTCCAAGCAAACTGTCCACGTCCATGACAACATTAAGCCCGCTGGAAGAGTCCAAACCATCGAAGGCTGGGTCGAGCCAGCAAAGTGGCTTCTTTTCCTCGGTGTTCTCCGTTGCCCAGAATGCAGCATCTTCGTTGAGTAACACTCTAAATTCTCAGCAGAGAAGCCGTACTCTCTTCCAGCCTCAATCAGCCGGCCTTGACGGTCCCTCATCAGAAGGTGTTTCAGAGGAGCTCGAACGACCGTCGGAACAGGCCAACAAAAGTGAAGATGGGAAGCCGAGCACAGTCGAAACTCTCGGCACTGGAGACCTCAACTTCAGCCACTTGGACATTGACACACCACCTGGTGAAGTGATTTCGGCTGCAGATGGTGTCGTCGTCACAAAGCCTGTAACACCAGTTGAAAGACGGAAGAATACAGCCGTATACCAGCGAGATGAAGAAGCTGCAAAACTCGAAGATCAACGCGCGGCTCGCGCTGTCAACATGGCCTACGAAAAGCCTTCTGAAATAACTGCAATTGGATCTCCTGGTGACGACGTTCTGGACCTGCAGTCTATGGTCTCTCTTCCCAAGGACGGAATAATGGCAGGGGATCAAACTCCCCCTAGCGGTAGTGTTCTTGATGGCGACATTGGTAGCGGTATTAAGAGGAGTGGCAGTGTGCGCAGTCGTCTAGCCCGTCGGCACCGTGGCTCGTCCGGGGCGACGGCCTCCACAATTGGTGCTATAGGTGCTAGTGCTCTGGCTCTCGGTGCTCCTGGCGTCAATGCAAGCGTTCCTCGCCTCACTGGTTTTGCTGTTGCAAGCAAAAAGCGCAACAGGGACTTTCACCAGCTGTTCCGGAGTGTCCCCGAAGATGATTACCTGATCGAAGACTATAGCTGTGCGCTGCAGCGCGAGATCATTCTTGCTGGTCGTATTTACATCTCTGAGGGTCACATCTGCTTCTCGAGTAACATTCTCGGATGGGTCACCACTCTAGTCATCAGCTTTGATGAAGTGGTAGCTATTGAAAAGGAGAACACAGCCATGGTGTTTCCGAATGCAATTGCTATTCAGACTCTCCACGCTCGTCATACTTTCCGAAGCTTGCTCAGCCGTGAGTCTACCTACGATCTAATGGTCAACATTTGGAAGATCAACCACCCTTCTCTGAAGAGTTCAGTAAACGGAACTCGAGTCACAAATGGCACAGGCGACAAGACAGAGAAGGTTGGAGAAAGCGATTCAGAGAGCGATGTCTCTGACGAAGACGAGATTTACGATGAGGATGAGGAGGGCGACAATGCTGATAGCTTCTTCGAGGCTGGGGCTAGCGCCAACGCAAGTGAAAGATCATTACCGGGACGTGCAGGCTTGAGCCGTCAAACGTCAGGCTTGTCTACCAGCATAGCGACACCTGCTGCTGGCCAGAATGGCAACGGCGATGGCAAAAATGGCGAGAAAGCTGCAACTTCGAAAGAGCCTGACTTCCCTGGCCCAGCCACACATGCACCCACCGAATACACGGAATCCAATGGACAATACGAAAAAGTTATCAAGGATGAGATCATCCCTGCGCCTCTCGGAAAAGTCTATTCCCTGGTTTTTGGGCCGGCTTCGGGGGATTTCATGACCAAATTCCTTGTTGAGAATCAGAAGTCGGGTGAGCTGCAGTTTGAAGGCACGACCAAGGGACTCACCAACGAGAGTCGAATCAGAAAATATTCATATATCAAACCTCTCTATGGCTCTATTGGCCCCAAGCAGACCAAATGTATCAGTACCGAAAACCTGGACTTTTTGGATCTGGAAAAGGCCGTTCTAGTCACACTAAGCACCCAAACTCCCGACGTGCCCAGTGGCAACGTCTTTGCCTGCAAGACCAAGTATCTTTTCACTTGGGCCCCCGGCAACCAAACTCGTTTTCTCATGACATGTACCATCGAATGGACAGGCAAGAGTTGGTTAAAAGGACCCATCGAGAAGGGTGCGATCGATGGTCAGACAACATTCGGTAATGAATTGGTCAAATCCCTGAAGGTCGGCGTCGTTCCCCGTGGACGCACCAATGGTGCTGGGCGGACTAAGGGCCGACGCAAGAAGGGCGATGCTGGAGCTGGAGAAGATATCGCAGCTGCATCTTTGAAAGCCACCGCTGATTCCAATGCCGGACAGGCCGAGTCATGGGGCCTATTTGACCCTATTCGTCCCATCCTGGAGCCTGTGACAAGTATGCTCAAGCCGCTCTGGGGTGGTAACATCGCAATTTTGCTTGTCAGTATCTTAATTTACATGGCATTCTTCCGAACACCAACTACTCCGTCCATGCTCTCGCACGATGTCGGTCGCCCTGGTCTTAGCCTTCCTCAGCGGCTAGCTGCATATGAAGAAATGTGGCGGCGAGAGGAAAGCGAGCTATGGAACTGGCTAGAGGACCGAGCTGGCATGGATGGGATGGTTTTCCCAACACTTCACCACCGTACTCCAGAGTTCCATACCGGCCGCAGATCTTCTCGGTTCAATGCAGGGGATGAACAGGAGCTTGTTGCGCGACTCCGCGAAGAACAAGTCTCAGATCGGGAGATGGATCATGCGATACGTACAACCCGCCAAAAACTTGATATTCTCGAGGAGATGATGAACAAGCGCAAAACAGAGCGCCTCCCCACAGATGAGCCGATTCGGTCCGAGCTCTGAAAACTTTTCTATCTGTACAATTCTCTTATCTCCCTTTTGATCTGGTATACGCCTCCATTACATACCTCACCTTAACCACCACACCTTTACCACCACATCCTTGCGACAGATTTCTCCTCCATTTATTTACCCTCATTATTCTGGATTACCTACTCGTTCTGTCTATCTTTTTATTTTCTATGGAACATGATGAAGGCTAGGTTTTACTAGCCATGATCACATCCATTCCTGTCCTTCACTCACTCCCCTCACCAGCCAAGTCATGGCCTTTCTTTGTTATTGCATGTATATGAGCGCCAACTTTTTGTCCATATCGGCTGACGAACGCCGGTCCGATTCATCATTTCTCTACCACTTGTCTGGAAGTTCTTTTCTTTGTCTTTCTCCTGTGTGAGTCTTACTGTGTACAGCCTCGTCCGAAAATAGTTTACTCGCCGTTTCGTACTTTGGTGCTGGAGCGCCTGTACGCGTCTTGGATGGGATTGCTTTTTAGTGCCGTGTCAGTCCTAGTGTTAATATGTTCAGCGAGCGCCAAATAACGTATATAGATATATTCATTATCCACATATTGAATTTTCTCCTAGGAATCTCATAAATCACACATCACATATTTGAATATTATTTACAGCACATCCATAGCTTCCTGAAATATCCTCTAGCAAACCTCATCAGCCCAATTCACTTGTGAGTTCTTGGCCCTTGGCTTGAAAAATGGCTTTATTTCGTGCAATTGAGGTTTGCCATGGCCGAATGCCGGAATTAAATAGATCATTAATCTGCTCCAGCGACAAAAGAGCGGTTTCGGGCACCAACAAATATGCCAGAACAGTGATTAACACGGTCACACCGGCGTAGAAGTAGCCCACGTTTGGCCCCATGTTACCATAATCGGCATCCAGCATGTAAGGTGTCCAAAAGGCCGCACCGAACGAGAAAATACCATATAACACCGTGGTATTCGCTTGGCCGTACGTGCGAAGCCTGACGCTATGCATCTCCACAGAGGCCAGGCCAGCACTTGGTGCAATCGTTCCCCCGAAAACGAATGACCAAAAACAGAGAAAGATGACAACGACCATTTTGGAGATCTCAGTTGACCCAAGCGCTGTGTTGACCGATGAAAGTATCAACATGCACACTGCCATGAGGCTGTACCCGGTCAGAATGGCGAATCGACGTCCGCCGTATTCCACAACGAAAGGACCCAGACATGATCCTCCCAGGATGCACAGGCCAATGATGACATTGATCATATAAGGGTCGCTGATGCCAACACCTTTCAAGAAAGTAGTTGCGTATGGCTGCACGAACTGAATACCCGTAATAGAAAGACCAATCATGATGAGGGCAGAAGTGAAAGTTCGACGGATGTTGTTCCTCTGGTAGATATCGAGCCAGGAGCTTGAAGCAGCAGCCGTGCGCTCAGCTTTAATATGGGCTTTGACTTCTTCAATTTGGGCTGTGATCTCTGCAGAGTGAGCGGGTATGCGATATAAAAGACTGAAAGCCCTGCGCGCTTCTTCTTCGCGATTAGGGTCATTGTTCAACAGCCAGCGTGGTGATTCAGGAAACATCAAGATTCCCGCCCCGAGGATGATACCAAGAGGAATTTGGCACAGAATTGGAGTTTTCCACTGCCAATTATTCGCAGGTTCTAGGCGCGCAGAGCCTGCACACACGGCCGAAGATGCGACGTTGCCCATAGCTAAGCCGACATTGTAAATTCCAAGCGCAAGACCGCGCTTATGAGCGACGATGCATTCTGAGCCGTAGGTCACAGCGGAGGTTATGAGCTGGCCAATTCCCATGGCACTAATACACCGACAGACCATGTAGTGCCGGAAACTTCCATCTGATGGACTACCTGTTCCAAGCATGCCAGCTGCTCCGATGATGGCCAGCAGGCATCCGATCTGGATGCTTCCCCGACGCCCAGTATATCGGCCTGTCAATCCAGACAGGCCACCTCCGATACCAATAAACAGATAATTCAAGCTAATCATAGACTGCTGAAGCGGCGTGATGGAACAATGTTCAACAATTGCACCTGTCGCAGGATTCATAAGTTCACGGCAGGTGCCGAATGCCTTCCGGTATGACGGCATAATCAAGATGGTCCCAGTATACCCATTATCGAAGTTGGCAATCCACGCCGCAAAAGACACCCATAACGACAGGCGCAGCATTGCGCCGGTGGAATCGGCTTTCTGCACAGGGGTTGACGCGACATCGTTCAAGGGCGGAGCATAGATGTCGGCATCTTTGTCCGATTCTTCGTCGATGCACCGCATTATGAGTCAGCTAGGCAAACTTGCGGACTGGTATTGAATATTGAACTTGCCTTTTTCTTCCCATCATGATCAATGGTTGTACTATTATATGCCCCCTCCCGTCACTCTCTAGTTTTGAGGGTCCACTTGCATACCAAGGCCACGCCATACATATCTAGCTAAATCATCAAAAATGCCAGCCCTCGATGAAAGAGCCAATAGCATTACATTTTAAATTCAGCTGACTGATAAGGTCATTTTAACCTTGCGTTTAATCTTAAGGGTCAACCTGTTTTCTCCGTGCTTTGAAGCTTTTGGAATTAGTATGAAATCACCGCTCAGTTTCTGATAGGCCACACAATTTAGGGCTATTTGAGACCTCCGTCTAGTGCAAATTAATTTTCACTACCTAGTGGAGACTGCCTGTTTCCGATGCCCCATTTGAAATTCCTAAGAAAAAAAGCACCTTTTTAGGAAACTGCCTCCTCAACTCTCGACGTATCCCCACACTCGTTCACGACTACAACGTGAACACTTCCTCGATATTCAGCTATTTAAGCTCCTAAAAATGAAAGTAAACAGAATTTAATTTTTATTTTTATTTTTATTTTTATTTTTTAAATATGAACGATCTTATGTTTCTGATTTCCTAAAACCAAGATGCTGCAACAGTGCTATCACCGGAGTATTTCATATAAACAACCCTGCTATCATCAGTGAGTCTCTTCGCCAATCGCAAATTAGCGCGTTAAAAAAGGGATGATCATCGGAATTAAAGGTGATAAATAGATAGAATACAAAATAAGAGGATGCTGAGAAGGGTCGCTAGATAGATTGACTAGGAAAGGGATACACTGTTGAGCTTTCTGGGGAATCTAGTCACGCCCCTCCGTTTCTCTCCTTCTCTTAGCCTTTCTCTTTTTTATTAATTAAAAAGGAAATCAGAGGATAAGAACCTCATTTCAGGTCACGTTCAATTTCTCTTAATATCAAATTTTCGATATAATTGATTCAGGTGAGATTTCAGGAGTGAAGGATTCTATGCAGCGGGTCCTACTGCTGTGCTACCTACCACCTTGCACCAAACCCCGCACAGTTAGGTCTCACATATAACGATTGCGCAGATATATAAGATAGAGAATATCCGGAAGATGGAATCGAGACTGCTTTTTCACAACATTTTAAGCTTTTCGAAGCGCTTTAAAATAATGAAAACCAGCATGGACAGCGCATGTCAACGCCAATTGGCTGAACTACAGACCAAGTCCCTTCTTACGCGCGAGAGGTATTATAGGGACACAGCACAGTGGCGAAATTTACGTGATTCATATCATCCGGACGCATCCAGGACCAAAATTAAAATCACTTGGTACGGCGAATGCAGCTAGTTACTTTCCAGCTACCAAGTATCTAATCATCAATCTCTGCTTTAGGTTCGAAGGTGATGTTTCGGCTCGACCCACACCATTTTTCCAATGGTCATACATTTCAGCGGGGATCATAGCAGAGCTTTGACTGAATCTTGTGGTAGTATGAATGCTCGGTTTGATTTTGAGGGCCATGAGTACGACTGCACCTCTGATGCACGATTTATTTCGAAACTGGAGAAGGTGAATGGAGAATGGAAGATGTTGACTCTGGAAGCTATCTATGTGAGAGATACCATCACATCATCTCTGCCTATCTCGTTATGTCCCGTCAATTTTGAAATAGAGGGACATAGGCCCAGCTATCGATGTATTGAATGGCTCCTGGCTCGCAAAGGATTTAAAATCAATCGCGATTTACCAGGGATTGATCGGCCGGACTCGATATCTGAATTGATGACCAATTCATTAATTTGGCTGGAGAATTCAAATGTTTTGTACTAATAAGCGATTCTTCCCTTCTTCTTTTCGTTCATCTGCCAAAAAAAAAACTTGTAAGCTGGTAGAGCAATGTATGCCAGTGATTATAGTTAGTTCGCGATCACGTGCAGAGGGGTGATTGGGGAGAGACTCCACCGGCACCCAGACTCTTCCACAAGCAACCCACAATAATGGAACTGTCCACTTTGCTGATCATAACTGCCCTCTTCATCGGTAAGAAACGACACATTTTGCTTTCGAGGCCAGGTCCTCCGTGGCGTTTGAAACGTGGCGAAAATTCAAGATGCAAGGACGAACAAACTAATGGTTTACCAGCTTTTCGCATCTACCAGTCACGACGCGCAGCCTCGACGCCCATCATGTCCCACGGAAAGGTCATTGATATCGACAAGTAAGTTAGGTCTCGTTTGGAATCAAGTTAGCAGCTATATACACGAGAATGGGTGGACTAACGGTTCTTCTCTCCACAGCGATGTCATCTTCAAAGCCCTCCGCTCGACTGGTCCCGTTTTTATCGACTTCTATGCAACTTGGTGTGGCCCTTGCAAGGCGGTTGCGCCCATGATCGGAGAGCTCAGCGAGCAGTACGAGAACATCCGCTTCCTGCAAGTCGATGTGGATAAGATGAGGGATATCGCTATGGAGTATGACGTGACGGCTATGCCCACTTTCGTGCTGTTGAAGGACGGTGAGCCGGTTGGGCTGCCGATAAAGGGAGCTAATCTCCCGGCAATCAAGGCAGCACTGGCGGATATTTCTGCGTGAACGCGATGAGCTTATATTGGAGCTGAAGTCTGCGAAAGCGCCTCTCCAGTGACTCGATGTATTATGTTAAAAAGAAGAATAAAGTACATACGTTAACGAAATGCATTCTGGAAATGTTCTCCTTCTGGCTTTCCCCAAGGGCCAGTAGAATGAAAAAAGTCGTCCGAAAACAAATCTTGATACATCAATACTGATCAAGTAGAGCTCAACAGTAATAGGAAATAGTACGGAAACACCTGATGACAGCGACGGGCGACAACCGATGAAGCTAACTACAGCGCGAACCATGTTCTACAATGGAGATGTTGAGATGCGAATGAAGATTATGTATTATGCGGAGATATTACTGCCTCTATGATCTAGTCACAGGGGCAATCAGCTCTCCCAGAAACAGACACTGAGAAATTAAATATGAAGGTATATCGCAGGACGCCTCCAGCTTCTGAACCCCAGAACCAAACTCCAAAGCGAAGCGCTTACAAGATAGAACCCAGGGCAACGCAAGGAAGACCAGCACCGATGAGGTCGTGGCTCTGTGAGGTGTTAGCAGGCAGTTCAAAGAGAAAGAGCAAAGCGTAACTTACGGCACCGGAGGGAGATCCAGCACAGCAGGCAATGTTCTGCTTGCAGCGCTGGTCGAGCAAGTCCTGGACGGACACAGCAATGGCAATGGGAACTGGAGACATGTTAGACAGCGTACAATGAGAGCAAAAACGGCGAACATACCCTGAGCATCGAGCTTGGAGCACTGGTCGAAGATTCCAGCACCGTCAGCACCGGAGCCAGAACCGATCAGGTTGGACAGAAGGCCACCGCCGAGGCCAGAGTTGACATCGGTGGTGTCACCAGCATAGACAGCCTTGTTGCAGCAGGACAGCTGAGCCTGGTTACCACACTTGGCCTGGGCCTCCTTGACGGTCATGCCGCCGGGGACCTTCCAGCGGATGTTATCGTGCTGCTGGGTCTGGAGGACATTGCCTGCGGACTCGGTGGGCAGAGCAGCAGCGAGGGTGGAGAAAGCAAGAACAACGGCGCTCAGAGAGAACTGCATTTTTGACGCTTTTTGGGAGTATTAAAGATTTAGTCTTTAAAGAAGAAAAATAGATAGGGTTTTTCGGAAGTTTGAAAAGGCAGAGAAGGTTAGAGGAGAGAGAAATGTGTGTGATAGGAAGTCATCTGTGTCACTCAACATCAGCCTTTTATCTTCGAAGATCGCTTTGTTTGCGAGTCTGCTCATCATCAATCTTCTCTGTTGGTTCCAAAAACACAGATCCCATTTTTGTAACCGGAATGTTGTTAGGCAAGGGTCAGCTTCCCAATAGCTTGACTTCGTAGGGTTTACTGCTCATCGATTGGCGACCTTAGAATGCCGGAATTTTGTGAAGCAATCAGAGGCTCCTTCGCTTCTCAGAGGCGTCCAAACCCTGCATTCCACGCATGTTAATGGAATCCATCAAGGCTATCCCGTACCACACGAGCTTTACCGATATCGCATTTCAGGATGAATGGCTGATTGTGGTATCTTTCTCAAAGAGGAATCTTGTTAGTGATGAAAGAACTGGGCATGTGTACTACGTATGTGGGTTTCCTAGTCGTTATCGCGTCTAGACTCGAACTTTTGGATCTAAGCATACAGTTATCCATGGCAACCCTTGAAGAATGTCCCAATCTCGAGAGTTAGAGTTTGTGTGAGCCCAGCTAACGCTTTGCGATGCTCCTATAGCTAACTTTACTAATAATATAATAATGATTAGTTTCACTGGCCACCGCTTCCCTATGCTATGATAGAACAACTACCGATAGGAGTAACAGCAGTCCACTGGTTCTGTAGCTTCGAAGCACAGACTGAAAGGCCCTTTCCCCCTTCAGACTCTACAACTCAGATCTACTGTAAGTTGCTTATCATTTTCCTAAAAAGAAATGTTGAGCCCCATTTCGACTTCGTGGCCTGGCCCGATCGTAGGGCATCCGGCTGTTCCAGGAGTTCCTGACGATCTCTGCCCCATCGCGTCGCCGACGGGTCGAATTGTAGAATATTCGCCATTACACCGGGCGACCGACCTGATCTACATAATTCCGTCCTCAAATAATTAGCATGACTCGATCACAGGGCGAGAATGGGTTATTGATATCGGTGGGAGGGAGATTCTGAATCGAAGGGTTTGTCAATGACTCCAGTACATGCTTTGAGTCCACCTTCCACGAACAAAAACAGGCGCATTATAGCTGTTCATGTGTCCAATTTGTCACTAATAAGAGGCCTGTTTCCTCAATTCTTTCGAAAATTGACAAGAACGGGGCCCAAGGGCGAGAGTCACCTTAGACAGAGGGTGTGGTAGCGTACCCTAAGGAAGAAGCCCCTTGTTTAGGGGTTGTGGTATTTCGTACGGGATAGCCTGCCCTTTCATGACTGCAAATGCCGTAAATCTCTCATTATCTCAGTATCATGAATCAATGTCTATCAAACCGCTGTTATATTTATATTTTGAATTCGAAAAAAAGTCAAATTTCCAAAGCCGCGACCTGTTGCTCGTCATTGAAGTGGACAGAGTGGGCGCCCAAATAGGGGAACCCGCTAGGACGATCAGAGCAGATTTCAACTGGCCTAGGTATCGAATCACAGTCGAGCTCTCACTCTTGAATTCAATGTGTACGATTTGTCTATAAATCAATCAATTTATCATCAGGTAGGCAAGGACTTTTATCACACTTCAGAATGCCGAAGCAGAGTATTCCGTAGTAAACCCTGTACAGATAATATAATTAACCGAATAAGATTAATAAGACTTTATAGTCGACTTATAAAGATAGCTTAGGAATAAAGGTCCTCATGGTTTTATTTCGATGACTGTGCCATTGATGATGTATACCTATTGTCTGGGAGAGTCTGAGCCTGTGCTGTGCTGGTGAAACTCCCGAAAGGAAAAGATAAATTAAAAATCAAAAGCCTGCGAGTCACAGCAGGCTCAATATCATATGCGTCAGACAATGATGGAACTTTAAGGTCCGAGGGATGATGGGGCTGTTATTTTACGACACCAAAAGCCCCCTGGAATGTGAGAACAAGCAGTATCTATGTCCCAATAATTACAATTAGTGAGTAGTTCTGGGAGTGACTGCTAAGCCAACCATGCAGCCAACAACCTAGTTTAACCCTGCCACCGACTAAGATCGATTCACATTACGAATCAACCTAATCGCAGACCATGGCCAGGAGCTGGCCTTTTTTTAACAAATCAAAGCTCTTGCGCAGTGATAGCTTCAGTAGAAAATCTACGTCAGAACTGCATAGACTAGACTGTCACTAGAGTAAAATAGATCTAAAAACAAAACACACTCTCAGAAACAAGCTCTCTAGGCTGTTAGAAGGATGAATTTTCATTATCGCTACAGAAGGGGAATAATACGCTATGCTATTATCATAATTATACTGTAACACCCTCGCTAGAGCTCTCGCCTCAGTCATATATATTTCTTAGACGACGAGGTTAACAAAATATAGAGAGCTTGGATGATCATTTGCCAAGGAGAACCAAGCTTTCTCTGCATTATTTAATGCTCAATTTGACTAACAGACGTCACTAGGAGCTTTGATGCCATTAATAAATCGGAAAACAACTGCTATTTTAAGCCCTGGAGGAGGCAGCGGCAATTCGACCCCAAGTTGTTCCGTCCCGGGGTTCTTGTTCCCCCGCCCCCCAGCCTCTAACCATATTTGGTTTGGTCCAAGTAAGAGCAGTTGGGGGCCATGCAGGCGGCGCAAAATCTGCCAAATACGTTTCTCAGCCTTATTTAGCTTGACTCGGTTCGTCAGCCAGGATGGCCAAACATAGGGTTTGGCGCGCCTGGGCATCAGGCCGCCTCGGAAATGGGTCAATATGAACGGACGAGGAGTTGCAAACAGTGCGCATCGAAGGGAGGCTGTGTCCTTGTGCAAGGACCAGAAGATATAAAAACTGTCAGGTTGCCAGCTACAGAATCGCTGCTCGCTCAGACATACATCAATTGCAAAAACCCCAATTTCCTTGTTTCCTTGTGAATCCATCCTTTCCGGCTAGCGTGAACCTATACCCTAGTCCGTTTCATATCTCACATCTATACATACACATCGGAAATCTGATACAGCTCTTATATATCACAATAAGAGCAAAATACAACAATGATGCCCACCATCGCCTTCTTCGGCCCAACTGGCGGATGTGCCAACGCCTGCCTGGCCTATACCCTCCGCAATGGCTACGACGTGATCGCCCTCGCGCGCACACCCTCCAAACTAACCGCTCAACTCCTTGAACAACCAGGCTTGACCCCCGCCCTGCTCGAAAAACATTTGCACATCGTCCAAGGTGACGCGACGGACGTCGACGCCGTGACGCAAACCCTGCTCGTCCACGACGACGGCGCAACCTGCACCCTGGTCTCCAGCATCATCTCTGGCATGGGCGGCACGGGCACTATGGCCTTCACCAAGCCGTCGCCCTGCGACAAGGTACCCTTGCGCATGCCGACGCTGCCGCACATCACCATCGCAAACCCGCACATCACGGAGCAGTTCACGCGGACGCTACTCGCGGCGCTGAGGGGGCTGGCGGCGCGGTTCCCCTCATACGCAGCGTATAAAGAGGCGTGTCCGCGACTAACGGTGATCTCGACGACGGGAATCCGTCGGGGCGTGAAGGACCTGCCGACACTGATGAAGCCGATGTATGCGATGATGGGGGTGCCTCATGCAGACAAAGAGCAGATGGAAAAGGTGTTGGCGGCGGAGCTGGGGCGCGAGCAGACGCTGCTGTGTCGTGGGCTGGTGATTGTACGGCCGAGTTTTTTGAGCGGGGATCACCGAATTGCGGCCGAGGGTGAGGACTCGGGATATGGGCGGTTGAGGGTTGGGACGGATGGATCACCGGCGGTTGGATATACGGTTGGGCGGCCATTGATTGGGCAGTGGATCTTTGAGGAGATTGTCAAAAGAGGTGGGGATCGATGGGTTGGTGAGGGGGTAATGTTGACCGAGTAAGTAGTTCGATGAGTATTTCGGTTGTTTTAATCCGGCCCTTTTGTATATGATCTGAAGAGTTGTGGGAGAGTGCATGGTCTCGTTTATTAGCGATATATCATTAGGTCTATAGAGAGGTTATGGTCTTAGTATTCCAATATATTTATTCAATTGACGCAAGTGTGATTGGAATTGTCTAGATTCTGAATTTGTATCAGATTAACAGATTAAACTAGAGACCAGATGAGGCAAGAAACAAACAAACAAAAAAAAAGACAAAAGCCGTAGTACATATCTCAGATCCAAATAAAGGAGCAAAAAATCTTCGGTCTACTGCAAACAACAGAAAATGGTCCGAAGGGGAATCGTGTAGAGCTATTGAAACAAGAGAGCCATCAGAAAGCAATATGTCGAGAAATTAAAGCAAAAAAGCCATGTTCCCAAAGCAGTGGTGGGATCCGATTAAACGCCATGGCTCGTGTATAAACGTCGCTGAACAAGATATATTCGAGCAGGAGGCCGGGTTAATAGACTGTACAGTCGGAAACAAGGGAGATTCATCGCACGGTGTCGCGGGTTACACCTTTGAGAGTGATATTCATGATGGTCGTATGACGGTCGTGAAGAAGCCAAAGAAAGCAAAGCAACATGCTTTACGTGCCATTGTAGGGCTCCTGACGATCGACTTGCATGCTGCGACGCTCTTCCTCCTTGACCTTTCGCTTCTCCATCTTCTTCATCGCTTCTTCAGTTAACTGCTGTCGGAACAGGCGTTCCACGATCTCCTTCTTACGTGTCCGTCGGTCACCAATCATGATGAGAACGCCACCAGAGATGTTGCAAGTAATTGAACAGCACAGGATGACAGTAGTCAGAGCGAAGGGCCGCTGTCCGGGGGTTTCCATACTCCAGGTACAGGCACCCAGAGCCATCTGCAGCAGGGAGTGACAGTCCAGTAAGACAACAATGGCCACCAAGATGCGAAGTGGGAACGCATGATGGGTCATGGTTTCGTGGGGTTTATAGAACGTGTGAGACTTGGCGAACTTGGTCTGGTGGTGCATCAACCGCAGCTGCTGACGTGCGTCAAGGACCGAGTATTCATGTTCGTCTTCTTTGGGAGTGTCACCGAAGTCGACATCCGCGTCCTTTTCCCCCTGAACAGGAAGGTCATTCTTATCCTTGAGGTCTGGAAGTTTTCGCTTGCGACGGATCTTCCAGGTCAGGAATGTATAGTGTGCGATATAGATCATATGGTAGGTATCCACAGCTCGGAAGGGAGCTAATCCGTCACCCATGATGGCGAACAAGGCCACTAGGACATTATCGATGACATTGATGACATATAGTTGTCGGCCGCCAACATTAATCCAGCCTAGAAAAATTCCAGTTAGCATGGTGCGCCAATCTCGCAATAGGCGGCGTAAGCAGCCCCCCCCCCCCTCCCAAAAAGGAGCGGAGAACCATACCGATCAAGAAAAGGACCCATGCGAGACCAAACAGCGTGATGAGGGTCGCATAGAGGGTGACGAGAAACCCCAGGGCTGGAATACCGGGAACTCAATTAGGTTCTTGCTTTGTAATGGAGGAGTATAACCGGTGGGAAGGAAAACTTACGCTTCCGCACATATTGTCCGAAGCCTCGCATTGCTCGTTTGAACTTGGATCGACGAGAGTGAAGCATGTGGCGGACGTGGTCATTCAGTTCAATAAAGTCTTCACGGGTCCAGCTTTCCAACTCATGTCCTTCGGGAAGGACGGCATACCGCGGCTCCGCAAGCACGGACGACATGCTAGAAAAGGGGCGCAAGTGTTCCAGGGCCGGCCGCTCCTTGAGCTTAGAATCTTCCGAGACCTCCCCTTCATCGCTGGTAGTTCCTTGTTCTTCATCCGAAGGAGGAGCTCGCGTGAGGGTGTAGGTGGGCATACGGTTGATGAACCCACCCAAATTAGGAATGAACAGGGAGTTCTGCACATTGGTGAGGGTTGAGAGAGCAGACACCTCGGGATCTGTTGATTGGCAGCGATTTGGTCAGTTCTGATGTCACCGAATCTATTGCCGACCGCCCGGGGGACGGGGAAAGGGAACTCACCGATCACGTCCAGCACGTCGACCACATGAGGGCCATACTCATTCGCTCGTTGCTGTTCCTGCTGTGCCGAGAGCGTTGGTGGCACACCTGTGACAGTCGACGCCCGATTGCGAGAAAATCGGTTGAGGGCAGCTTGGCTCGTTCGTCGCAACACATTCCGGGAAGCCGGGCGTGTCACAACAGTCGGAGGTTGCTCCAGCTCCGCAAGAGGAGTTGGCTCCGCCTCCAATGCTGATAACGAGGGTACCGGTGGGGTGGGTTGGGGAGATTCTTCAGAGAGAGGCATCATGTGTAAGGGAGTTGCCACCCGGGAGAGAACGTCCGGCGAGGACCATCGCCCTGGACGAGGCTCGGAATTGCTGCGTCGTCGACCAGTCTGCCATGATTCATCTTCCTCCTTCACGGGCGATCTAATTGATACCTGGCGGGTAAGGGAAGGGCCTGGTTGGGTCTCAGGTTGCGACTGTTGGGGGTGCTGGGTGTTGACGGTGTCCAATGAGGAGATGGACGGGAGGCGCGACAGCCGGATGCTGGGACGGCGCGTACGGTTGGAAAGAGCCCGTGGACGCGACGGAGCCAGTGGTGGTCGTGAAAACGAGGCCTCTGGGGATGGCTCCCTGGACGATGTTTGCGCTGGGGCATCTCCTCGGGCATTCGCGTCCTCCACAGGCTCAATCCGATCCATCGGGGCGACGGGGCGATGGGGCGGCGGTTTCCGGAGGAGGGGAGAGGGTAAAGAAGAAGGCCAGACAGAAATACCAGAGTTGACAAGGGCCACAAAGGGTCACAACACAGGGCAGAGAACCCACAAACCCCCCTAGGCCATTGATGATGCCAAAAACTCTGGACGACAGTTCCTGAGAGAGTTGGGGGTTGGCACAAAAACCTTCCAACCCAATGAGGAACAAATAGTCTTCCCGTTCTCCAATCCCGGTGGCGATGACTCAGCTGGATCTGGCTGAATCTTGTTTTTTTCCACAGTGACGATGGTCGACCGATAGTGGAGCAAGGAGTTGTCTGTGCGGGTGTCGATCGCGTGGTGGCACGACGATCCGTGAAGCGGGATGAAGATGAATCCTCCAACACTCTGTCTAGCGCGACAGCAGAAGAGTGGAACTTGTGAGGGGCCTTACAAAGCTTAGCGGGAAACGGAAAAGGGTCGTGGCGAAGATTAGACAAAGATTATGGAATCCACTGCGGACTTGGTCGGAAGCGGGTCACTGACGTCGCTTTAGTCTCTTTTTACCTCTTTTAACTCGGCCCCTTAGATGTTTGGGGTATAGATTCCCAAGCTCCCAATTGCAGGCCGAGCAATGACAATGGAAGCTACGTGATATCTCAATATCTCAACTATGTCTAAATTATACCGAGATGATTCTGCTTGTGAAAAGAGGGTTCATGTCGTTTGTTGAATTCTTTGGGCGCGGTGGCCGTATAGTAAAGAAGTAAAGAACCCCGCGACACACAGGTATTGCCTGCGCCAGAGATGTATCTTACTAGGGTCTATCCTAGTAGTGCACATCCCTTCAATGTACAAGCATGGTACTTACGAACATTGCCAGATCCAAGTAGGGATATAAGCTATGAGAACAAACACTTGAGGCCTGCTTGGTGGGCACCTGGAGCAGCTAGGATTGTCATCACACCCACGATTTCCACATCCTGCTTGCCTGTCGTGCTTAGAGGCCACAATGGACCTCAAATATGCCAGGTGGTTGACCCTAAATGACCTCTGCCCTCCCGTCCTCTTTACGATAGTCACCAGCAAGCACCATCAGACAATAGAACCAACCCAGGGAGTTGCCTGAGTGGAAACGGAGGCTTCCATAATGGACTATAACATCTCTATTGCACATCCTCAATTGGGTTACTTTCTTCCCTTGCTCCCAAACTCGCGTGTCTCCATCTGCTGGTCAGGAAGGTGTTTGTACCCACTCACATTTCAATCAAACATGAATACAGACTGACGCCTCAGATATTCAGTTTTAAACATGCACCAGATGGCAAACAAGAGTAAGTGCTCTCACACTCTGCCAGAAAGAAGTGATATACCCTGCTAGTTGTCTCTTCCGTGTGTGGTATGAAATCTATCAAATCGTCAACTGATGCCCATGACAGTGACAAAGTCAACTGAGACCACCGGTGGTGTCGGCTCGTCTGGAAATCGGAAGCGTGGGCCAACTCTGGACACTGAGGTCGACCTGCCTCGAAAGCGACGAGCGGTGGAGTCCTCCACCTCTCGCTCGGTCCGGACAGCGTCGGCCCCAGCTCATACAGAGATGGACCGCCTGCTGATCGACATGGCCGCCAGCATCCGGGGGTACTTCCCGTTCGCTGAGTTCGCCGCAGCGCACGGGTGTGCGGTTCAAGATATCCAGGACATCCTCGACCAAGTTTTCTTCAAGGCCTTTAGCAACCCGGCGCTTCATGGCCAGGTCCAGAGCCGAGACCCTGGGAAACTAGGTGGCACAGATGACAAGAAGGAGATCATCATCATCTCTGACGACGAGGATGACGTGGGGAGCGTCAAGAACAAACCTACTCCCTCCTCTCACCAGAGCACCAGCGGATCTCACAAGTTCGAACAGCTTGTCACCCCGACTGGATTGAAGAAGCATACCTGTGAGATCCCTTCTTCGATCTCCTCACCAAGCCCGGAGTTCTCCTCCTCTACCCTGAAGTCACGCACTCCCCCCGTGGGTAACGACTCATCCTCTCTCACCCAGATCTCCACCACGGGGACTGGAGATATCTCGTTCAACCTTGAGGACTATCTGCCGCGGGCCTACCGCAGGCCTGTCCGATCAGTGATTCGACTGCGCCGGCCACACGTCTTCGCCCGCCCTCCCCCATCCATCTTCAACCGGATCCCCCGCGTCACCAAGAAGGTATCCACCAAGCGTCGAGCAATGCGCCGCGATCGGTATGGATCCTTGGTCCCCGTGGACAAATGGATTGAGGGATACCACATCCCACCGCTGACCGAGGAGCCCATTTCGGCTGCAGATGCGATGTCCGATGAGGACTTCCTTCGACTCATGAAGGAAGGGGGTTTCAAGCAGATCCCGAAGGACTCGAATCTTAACATCGCCAAGCAGTCCCTCTGGTGACAGGTGCAGGATGGGAGAGCCGGAAGAGTTTCATTTCTTATCTTCTCTGCTTCTTTCATCTCTTGCTTTTCCCTCTCTTTTTTCTCTTATCGAGTTGTATTTCATTTCTGTTCTCTGGCGGTGCTGGAGATTTGGGGTTTGTATGGGGTCGACTGATGCAGGTTCGGTGGCATGAGATGAGCGGATCCCAATGATCATGGAGTATAGGTGTTGACATTCTGATCTAATGGTGAGATGGAGTTAAAGTTTCCTTTTTTTTTCCTTTTCCCGATGCATTGAGCTCTGTGTACGGGGCCTGCGTGAATGGTGGAGTAGCCTGTCATGCAATGCAGGCCATTTTCTTTTCTTTACGCAGCCAATCGCAATGAAATGAGTGATGGTGACATATCACATTCCTATAAATGATGTGCAGTTGAAACAATTCAGAATCCAACAGCTTGTAGTTGTCATTGTTGCACTTTATGAATCTGCTTTGTTGTAGTGGATGAGTGGCGTGGTTCCATGGGGATCTCCGGCTTGTGACGTGGAGAAGGTGGGCAGAAAAAGTGGAGCGGATGAGGTGGAAGATCCATCCTCACCACCGGTTGCTCTGAGTAACAGAGCGTGTGCGGAAGCTGGTCACACTGGTCCGATTCGGGAGTGCGTATTGGGAGGTCAAATTAGCCATGTCGGTCTGTTTGTGTGTCTGCCAGACAACCCGAAACTAAATGGAACCAGGAACAACGGTGGTGCGGGATCGTATTTGGAGCCTGATCGGTGCCACATCGAAGATCATGGTAGCTCGTCGAACTGGGTCCGGGTCTCCATCATGACATCAAATGACTGAGTACAAGCCAAACGAGGGGTAGGCGAGGCGCATTTGTCCACTGGTTGACTCACCACGGGAGCTCCCGGTCGCTCACCGCCAGCCCCGAGCTCTTGGGAGGTGCTCCCCCCAGCCCTCGGTCTCACTAGCCTTCTCCCCCCAGCCACCTGCCCCCCTCGGGCTGGCCTAGAGCCCAATCGCCCCCTCGACTTGCCCCCCGAGAGGCCCCAGCAGCACCCCCGAGCCCGCCTAAACTGTCCACCCCCCCCAAAACCCGCCCAAACCCGCCCAAACCCGCCCAAACTCGACTCCCCCTAGTGGCTCACCGCCTCGTCTCCTTTCCCTTCTTCCCTCCCTTCCACCTCTTCTTTCCTTTCTTCTCCCCAAGAGTCAACTTCTACTTTCGATTTCCCCATCCCCATCTCTTCTTCCCCCCTCAATCGGTATCTAGGGCACCAAGCTACCCTGCTCCTTCCCTCCACCCTCCCCCCCTCGTCAAGTTTTCCATCCCGCCCCTCTCCCAAGGCACCTATCAACAAACAAATCCCCCTCGGTTTGTTTGCGATACAATCGTTCGAGCTTTTCTCCCATCCATCCGAACCTTTTCGTATCCATTTCCGCCTTCAAGATGTCTGCCGTCGACGCTCTGACTGACAACCTGGCTGCGGCCACCATCAACGAAACTCCCAACACCAACGGCACCACTCCCGCGGCCACGCAGGCCACCGACGCTGCGGCTGCCAGTGCGGATGAGGGCCGTCGCCTGTACATTGGGAACCTCGCCTACGCGACCACCGAGGAGGAGCTTAAGGAGTTCTTCAAGGGCTACACCATGTAAGTCGTGTGACACCGCCGGTTGGAGCTATCCCGAAGATCCACGGCCCCCAACCCCAAAATGACATCCCTCGTATCATATGAAGCTTCGTGATGGAGATCCAAAAGACTGATGAGATTCATAGCGAGAGCACCTCGATCCCGGTGAACCCCCGCACCAACCGTCCCGTTGGCTATGCGTTCGTGGACCTGGCCACTGCGGCCGAAGCTACTGCCGCCATTGAGGGACTCTCCGGCAAGGAGATCCTGTCGCGCAAGGTGTCGGTGCAGTTGGCTCGTAAGCCGGAGCCCGCGGAAGCGAAGGAGGGTGCTGCCAGTGGCGGTGAGGGCGCCAGCGGCAACGAGGGTCGCAAGCGGACTGGCGGTCGGGGTCGGGGCCGTGGTCGTGCTCGTGGCCGTGGCGGCCGTATCGGTCGTGGCCGTGGTGTACGTCTTCCCCCTTTCTCTTTTCGGGTCCATTAGGTCCTGTCGTATTTCTTCAACGATACTGACCGTTCTTTTCTAGGCTCAGGAAGGCCAGGAGACTCCCGAGGCCAGCGTTGCTGAGAAGGCTCCCCTGGCTGAGACCACCAATGAGAACGAGGCCGCAGATGCTGAGGGAGCTAAGCAGCAGGGCAAGCCGCGCGCTCGCCCCCAGAAGCAGCGCGGTCCCCCAGAGGATGGTATTCCCTCCAAGACCAAGGTCATGGTTGCTAACCTTCCCTATGACCTGACCGAAGACAAGGTATGTTCGGCCATGATCCGTTTGGAGCTGTTACAACACCCTTGCTGACACTTTCCCTTACAGCTCAAGGAGATCTTCGCCGACTACCAGCCCGTTTCCGCCAAGGTGGCTCTGCGCCCGATCCCCCGTTTCATGATCAAGAAGCTGCAGGCACGCAACGAGCGCCGCAAGACCCGCGGCTTCGGCTTTGTCAACCTGGCTTCCGAAGAGCTGCAGACCAAGGCTGTTAACGAGATGAACGGCAAGGAGATTGATGGCCGCACCATTGCTGTCAAGGTTGCGATTGACAGCCCTGGCAAGGAGGACGATGTCAACGCGGCGGCCGACCAGTACGAGGAGGCCAACCCCCCGGCTGAGGAGAACGCCGCTCCTGCTGCTCCCACCGAGACTGCTTAAATATCCGCAGTCAATTCTTTCCGACCGCAGATAGTTTTCTGATTGCCTTGTTTGGTATTTGGAGGGTTCTTGAGAGGCCCGTCGTATGGATATACAGTCATGGGCGATCTGCGGATCCAACTGCAACATTTCCTAGCTATACGACAAAGTGGTCCTCGAGGGCGTGAATCTGTGGGGGCGAGGGTGTGATGACCTTCTTCTTTTTCTTTTATTTTAACGGATGTCATGGAAAATATGTCCATGCCGGAGAGCAGATTCCTTGCTGAAGCCTCCATCCTTAACGACCTTTGCCTTCTATACTGTATCTTAGCACCCATTTAACTAACTGATGACGATCTGCCTATGGGATCTATTTCTCTGTAAACATCCCAAGTAACTCGTAGTTGATATCCTCTATCGTGACTCTTCTCGGCAAATTTACCAAGGTGTGGATTCCTTCAAGCTTCGTGGTGGCCTCGCCAACTTGGGCGATGACGCTAAGGTTTGGGGCGACCCTTGCCGATCAGCGGACAAAACATACCGTCGCTCGTCTCAACTTCCTCTGAACTACAACTACAACCCCGCCCACCAATTCGCCTTTTACCCCCTATTGTCGATTGTATATCACATTGTTTCACTCCGCGATCTCGGTGGATCAGTTTGACCAAAAAAGGGGGCGTTGCACACCAAAAACAGATAGTCCCCCGATCCTCAGGCGGAGCCGAGTCCGCCCAAGTCCCCCCATCCTTGGACCCTGTCACTTTGCCGTGACCTGGACTCTGCCAATTGTTTCGCCTTCACTCCACAAAGTCGGTCGCCATGTCGTCTCGCATGTGGGAAGTTGATCCAGAGACGAGGACCAAGGTACGCCTCTCCCTTCTCCCCCCCCCGCGCTCCCTTAGTCTTCCTAGGACGGCCCACGCCATAGCGGTTACTTGAGCTAACGCAAGACCTCGCCTGGCCCTCCAGCTCCTCCAGATCTCCAAGACCAACGGAAACGAAAAATGCTGTGACTGCGGCGCACCATCACCCCAATGGGTAGGAGTCCTCGTGCCCTCCCATCCTCACTACCGCACCTCTCCCCGCCGAAAGGCAATCAAACCGTCCCACGACAACAGACCAAGCCAAATGCTAACCCTTACCCCATGAGGGGGACCGTTCTCCCCTATATAGGCCTCGCCCAAATTCGGAACCTTCATTTGCCTCAACTGCGCCGGCACCCACCGCGGGCTCGGCGTCCATATTTCCTTCGTCCGCTCCATCACCATGGACGCCTTCAAGCACGCCGAGATCCAGCGCATGGAGCTTGGCGGGAACGAGCCCTGGAAGAACTTCTACGACGCCCACTCCACAGTCATCTCCGAAGGCCGAACCTTCGAAGACTCCACCATCAAAGAGCGCTACGAGGGCGACGCCGGTGACGAGTGGAAGGAGCGCCTGTCTTGTAAGGTCGAGGGCCGCGAATACATCCCCGGCCAGGAGAAGAAGAACGCCAGCGCGACGCCCGCCTCGCGCTCCGGCACACCACTGAGCGGCGGCGCCCGTACGGGCTCGCCCGCCGCGTCGTCAATCCGCTCGCAGGACGGTCCACGCGGAGGAGGCCCGTCCTCCAAGAAAGAGCAGAACGAGGCGTACTTCGCGAAGCTGGGGTCCGACAATGCGAATCGCTCGGACACGCTGCCGCCCTCGCAAGGTGGCAAGTTCACCGGGTTTGGAGGCGGGATGCCTGCGCCTGCGGCGGGGGAGCGCCGGTCGTCGCCGTTCGGAGGCTTTGGCGGGTTTGGAGGGGGCGGTGGTGGAGGTGGGCCGGCGTTTGATGAGTTTCAGAAGGATCCTATGGCGGCGCTGAGCAAAGGATTTGGGTGGTTTACGTCGACAGTGGGCAAGAGTGCGAAGCAAGTGAATGATGCATATCTCCAGCCTACGGCCAAACAGGTATGTAGGTCCTATAAGGGCTTTTCTGTCATACGTCCATCCTGGAGGAGACCGGGCGAAGCGCGGCATGGCTAACGAGATATGCGGATGATAGCTCGCGGAATCAGACTTTGCGGCGCAGGCGCGCGTGCAGGCTGCAAGCTGGGGACAGAACTTGCAGACGGGCGTGCGCGGTGCCGCAGACTCGTTTAACCGGTTTGTTGAGGGCACTGACGAGGACCGGACTGGACGAACTCGCGTCGAGCCTGAGCGGAGAGATTTCTGGGATGACTTCTCGTCCATCGGGGCGCAGGAAAGAGCTGGCCACCAGCGCAGCGGCTCCCGGTCAGGTGTTATTGGCACGGCTGCGATGCGGAAGGGCCCTGCTGGCTCTGCATTAGCCAACTCATCTACTCCACCAGCGGCCGTAGACCCTAACCCTTCGGGTGGGATAGACCATGGAGAGACGGGTACGACGGCCTCGACTACTACGAAGAACAAGGATGACTGGGATGAGAATTGGTAAAGGGGGGAGTGGACCGTGTATAGTCTATACGCATTGTTTTTGAGTTGGCGTCTTTGGGCTATACCAGGCTTTGACTTGGGTGCCCGTTGCTGGTCCGGTCTCATTGGACTGTCTGGAGTCATATATACCTCGCTTTGAAGAATTGATTGTGCATGAGGCTTTCATGGCCTAGAATATGGCGGAAGCAATGGGGCTATTTGATCATCGTCTCTTATTCGACTGCAGCAGAGTGACCTGATATTGATACAGTGTAGAGAGTTATATTAAGTCAAACACAACGGTGTTGATAATGAATAGTGTACAGTACGGTGGCCGTGCAATTAGACTCAGAAACCGCCCCGCAGCTCCGCAAGTACGGCTTTTTGTCTCTGCGCAGACATGTTCTCGAATCGGTCCACGCTCATCACGAACGTTCCTCGGCCTCCTGTGAGACTGCGCAGGTGTTTGAGGTAGCCAACCATCTCCTTGAGAGGCACCTTGGCCGTGATCGTGCGTGGGCGGGACGAGGAGCTCGACATTTCCACGCCGACGGAGGGGCCCTCGAAAGGGTCTGAGGGTGCATATACTCGGGCAGGGTCAATCGGGGGCAATGAGTCTTCGGACGAGGCATCAGCGGCCGAGACTTCCTCGTCGAGAGACAGGATGTGGCCGCCCCTAGAAGACGAAATGTCATGCACGACGGAGCCAAGACTGGCTTCGTCGACGCTGATGGATACGTTCATGACCGGTTCCATTACGACGGTCCCGGGGCCGGTGAGAAGGTCCCGCAGCGCGGCAGATGTGGCCTGGCGCGCCGCACCGGAGAGTGCAGAAGCAGTGGTATCGTTGCCGAAGAGGTCTTCGGCCGGGTTGATGGTGAGTGTTACCCGGGTGTTGTGCATTGGGAACGTGAACTGGGGACCTCGGGCGAGGGCGGCCAAGGCACCGTTCTGCAGCGCTGCACGCAGGGACGCCGGGTCCATCCCCGGTGGGAGGAATGGGCTTGTCTCGTCGTCGCTTCTGGAGGAGCTCTCGATCTGCAAGCCCGGGGCACGGATGATGATCTGGTTTCCCTCGATGGTCTCCGCAAAAAGTGTATCTTCGTCTGCGGCTTCAGGAACATCCTCTCCATTGCAGGGTTCCACCACGGCGGTACAACCTGCTTTGCCACGTCGGCCAGCGATCTCCTTGTCGAATACCTTGGTGATAGCGGCCGAAGCGCCGAGTCCGGACTCTCGATATCCGATTTCAATGCGGCCCATGGATGCTTTGGCCTTCATATCATTGATCAAACGATCACGGGCGATCTCAAGGTGCAATTCACCCATGCCGCTGAGAAGGGTTTGGCCGGATTCTTCATCCATACTGACATGGAGGCTGGGGTCTTCTCGCAAGAGCAGGGACAGCGATTCCTGCATTCGCTTCTCCTCGCTCAGACTATGCGGCTCCACGCTGGTGAAGAAGACTGGGGGAGGTACATCGATTGGACGGAGTTGAAGGCTGGTTAGTGGCTCGGGAGGTGTAGGTTTGTTTCCTGCATAGGATAGAAGAGTATCGCCAGTTCGTGCGTATTTGAGACCCACAACAACGCCAATGTGACCAGCTGGGATTGAGTCTACTTCCACCGCTTCGTTGGCGTACATTTTCAGCAGGCGCGGTGCTCGCTCAGATAGATGCAGGTTTGTGTTAAAGAGAAGGCTGTTGCGGTCGAGAGAGCCAGAATACACTCTCACGTAAACCAGGACGCCTCGCTTAGCGTCATTGACCACCTTGAATGCCAACGCACAGCTTTGAAGCTTGGAGATCGCCTCTTTGGGATCGGCCTGGAGAGAACTCTTCTTTTTCTTTTTGCCCTTCGTTGGAACAGAAGCATTCTGGTTTTTCTCGATAATGAGTTCGCCGGAGAGAAGTCGTCGAAGTCCTCCCTTGACACCCCCAATACTGACTTCTGGATCCGGTGCCTCTGGCGGACTGGGCAGGAGATCCACCACCGCATCCAACAAAGGCTGGACACCCATATTCCGGAAACTGGCGCCGGCGAAGACGGGAATAATCCGGCTCGACTGGTCAAGGACGCATCGCCGAAGGCTTTCAATGATATCCATGGGCGACAAGGCAAGGTGGTCTTCATCGCATTCAAAAAACCTTTCAACAATGGTTTCGTCCTGCTCACTGAGCAGTTCAACTAATGCGATCCGTGCCTTCCGAAGCTCCTTTGCCAGAGATGGCTCTTCTGTATCCAATTGCTCTAGACTCATCATTTTCACAGAACGGCCATCTTCGCCTTCTTTCCATCGAAGTCCTTGGAGGTTGACCGCATCAGCGACGCCGACGAAAGATCCATTGCCACCCTCAAACCAAGGAATCTGGCACACTGCTGGATAAACGGCCAAGCGAGAACTCACTTCTCGCACGGTGCGACCAAAGGCTGCCCCATCGCGATCCAGTTTGTTGACATAGATAACTCGAGGAATTTTGTACGTGCTTGCCTGGTGCCAAACTTGTTCGGTTTGTGCTTCAACGCCAGCAACGCCGTCCAAGATGCAGACGGCTCCGTCTAGAATACGCAACGAACGCATGACCTCAAATGTAAAATCCGCATGTCCAGGGGTATCGATCAAGTTAATAGTATGCGAGACTGCCGAGCGCGGTGTAAGCGCTTCTTTGGAGCTTGACTGACTTCCACTTTCATCTCCTGGAGGCCAATGAAAGGTAATCGCTGCGGACTGGATCGTAATACCACGAGCGCGCTCTGCTGGCAGGAAATCGGTGACAGTTGAACCTTCATCTACATCACCGATGCGGCGAGTGAACCCGCTGTAGAAGAGCATACGCTCCGTGGTCGTAGTTTTGCCGGCATCGATGTGAGCAATGATACCAATGTTGCGTGTCCGGTCCAAAGTCTCACTCTGCCATCTGGAGACAGACGTTGAAAAGCATTGCGCCTTTTGGCTTGTGAGTCGTGAAATTTCAGAGTAAATGCGTCGCCTTGTGGTGTTGGTCTGGGACTTATAAAGCTGAGAGGCCATACAACGCATTCCCGGCCGAGGGAGGCGCAACGACTGAGACACGACCATTCCCAAGGGAAGTGCACATGCAATATGTAGAGCACGATAAGATTATATGCAATAAAACATTGGGCTTTGGTTGTGGCCCCAATGGCTGAAGACAGTCTAGTTGGAAGGGAAAAACGAACTCGGAGCTGGTGCTGGCCGGGCTTGGCATGCGCATCCCCCGTCCATACGTAACCCAGTTCCCTTCAACCTCACACCCCCAAGGCCACATTCGGACTGACTGGTTTGAAGACGAGCAACCGCTCTTGACTGCTCTCTGACTGGCTATGCGCATTTAAAAGTACTTCCTCCTCTCCTTTTCAAGCCGCCTCAGGTACGTGTCTGGTCGTCCGCTCGTCAAGGAGCTAGCTTGCCGATACTGTGGGGGTCTACTCCCAGCCATTAATACTGACGCCTGCTATTACTCTCGCAGCTCTCCCCTTGGCCTCTTTGAAAGTGTTCCTTCCAATCCCACACCCAACATGGACTACTCGGCCATCTCCAATGATCCGGACCATTCCACGGGTGCTTCGCCCTGGGGCTCTCCGCGCGCCGACCGCACGACGTTCCCCACCTCCGTCAACACCGACATCTCGACGTCCCCGTTACCCGGTCAAGACCATACTGCGGGTCGCGCGGATGGTGACCGAGATACTAATCCTCAATCGCCAGATCTCTCTGCGCGGCTGCAGAACGCTCAATTAGGGGAGCCCGGCTACCCTGACGAGCACCCCCAGTTCGCGGCGCAGCCATCTCCAAACGCAGATCAGCAGCACTCACAGCTCCCCACAAGGCACCAGGCTGGAATCCGACAGAATTCTCGACCTCCAGCCCCTGCATACAAAATTCAAGGCAAAATTACAGGTCTTGAAAGAACCGGCAAGAAGGATCCTATTCTCCGCTTCGATGTCCACGTAAGTCGCCTCTACTCTGATCTTGACGGAGAGATAGACGACAAGACCGTGGCTGACATCTTTCAATTCCTTAATATAGACCAACATTCCGAAGTTTCGTACCACTCAATATCGCGATGTTCGCCGTACTCACTCGGAATTTGTCAAGCTCGCCGACCATCTGATCTCGGCCAACCCGGAAGCCTTAGTGCCCGCCGTTCCACCTCCTGTCACTCCAGCTGGGGCAGGCACAGATGAAGATGAGATTCGGGTCAAGGCTGCAATGCAGCGCTGGCTGAACACTATCCTGAGCAATGAGGTGCTCATTCAGGATGATGAGGTTGTGCTGTTCGTGGAGAGCGATTTCGGATATAGCCCGGTGCTTCGGATGAAACAACCTGCTACAGGGGTACGACGCAAAATGCTGAAGCAGTTTGCGCCACCGCCAGATGATACCCCTGAGCTTCAAGCTGCTCGGCCGGTTGTGAAGATGTTCTACCTGGGATCAATGGACTCCAGCCACAAGGTTGACCGAGTCGTCAAAGCGCGTCGAGGTATGTTATTTGAATTCTCGTACTTTTTTGATATTTGTCCCAGAGAGTCAGACTGATAATCATAGGCCTTGGATTGGCTGAATCTGATTTCGGCGTGAAGCTTGGCCAGATGCACGTCCAGGAGACCCATTCTGGCCTAAGCACGGCGTACCGCAAACTCGGGAAAATTATACAAACTGTTGGAGACTTTCACGCAGTTCAGGCCACTGCCGAGGCCACTACCTTGGGGGAGCCGTTGAGTTACCATTCGTCGGATGCTTTTATTGTCAAGGAGACCTTGACCAACCGCCACATTCTGTTGCGAGAACTCCTCCAGGCCCAGCAACTTGCTCGGAGTAAACGATCTGCAGCAGACCGATTGAAAGTTAGCTCATCAGTGCGTCCGGACAAGGTGGATGAGGCGATCAATGCTCTGGAGGATGCCCAAAACCACGAGGAATACCTTACCAAGCGTTCCCAGCGAGTGACCAACAATCTCCTCCAAGAAAAGCGTCGGTGGTTCGATCGGACTACCAATGACCTTCTATTCAGCTTACGCGAGTATGCTTTGCGTCAAATTGAAGCAGAAAGACGGACTCTGGCTACTTTGGAAAGCGTTCGCCCTGATATCCGCACCATTGATGCTTCTGGGGGTCTCAGTCGACTTGGGCGTGAAGCTCACCCTGCCGTGCGCCGTGCAAATCTGACCTCAAGCCAGGGCCCCAAAGGCGATGCATGGAGCGGTGTAGCCCGTCGCCCAGATAGTATGGGGCGTAGTATGAGTGGCAGCTTCACTGCGCCAGGATTAAATGACGACGCAGACGAGGAAGGACGCCCAGAGTCTGGCCAGGGACGCCTGCGATCTACCAGCCAGACCGAGTCGATCGCAGAGGATGATGATGACCGGCTTGATGCGCGCAACGCAGCTAGCCGGCTGGCAGGTAGCACGTTCTGATGACGTTTTCGGGTTACGTTTATTTCTGTACATGTAGTAACCTGGACACGATTCCGTGATTCCCCTTTGATGCCATTATAGTTTGTGTCTTCGATTATTTCTTTACTTCAGCTCTTCGAGTCAACTTTATGATCCGTTCGGATACTCTTCATTTGCCATGGTCTGCTGCTGTCTTTATAAAACGTGCATTTGAAAACAAAATCGGCCGACGTTAAGTCCTCTGCCCAGGAGAGAGACTAATATACCCCCCGGCCTCTTGTTCCACTCGTCAAACTTATCTGCACCATCTTCGGGTACTTGGAACCAAGAAGCTTTTTCTTTTAGAAAAATATGTTCTCTAGGGGACGGAATGTGAATTTTGGCGTCATCGAGTGTCCCCGCGGCCACATAAGTTCGATCCGGCTCCTGGTCTAATAACATGGTCATTGTCGATCCACAACGAGGGCAGAAGGTGCGTGAAGCTATGTCGCTTGATCTCCACACCGTAGGCTCGACCTTCCATTGAATGACATCTGCGGGGAAGGCGCTCCACGTCTGATACGGTGCGCCGGCTTGTTTGCGACATTCTGTGCAATGGCAGTTGATGAGCTTGGTAGGCGGGGTTGAGGCTGAGTAGCGAATGTAGCTACAAGCGCAGCCTCCGGATATCATTGTCATTTTCCACCTATTCCAATCGAAGACAGGACGCGTAATATGGTTGAGAAGGCGATGAAGTTGGGGAATTGCGCGGATGTTCATACATCGAAGAGCGGAGCAGGTCATCATCGGATTTTATAAACGCTCGGTTCGTCTTTATTATAAATCAAAGATTTATATCGTGGTCATTGATTGGCCAATTACTTGATCTTCCTAAAAAGATGGTTAAGCACTACGCAAGACTGGACTCCCTGTTTATACCTATTCTGCCAATGCAGCTTTGCGGCCGTGCAATCTATATTTGCTCTTCGTAAAAAAAAATACAACACTCAAAAAGCAAGTCAGACACCATGTCATGAGTGGCGTGTTTAGACAAAATCAAAGGAAGGCATGCTACCATAGACATATCGCTCAAGCGTTGCATGTCTTCAGGCAACATTTCCACATATTAGGACCTTGAAATCTTCGATATATGATATTTTCAACATGCTTGCTAGCATGGTAGTCGGGGATGATATCCAAGATGTGTCGTAATTTGGCTCACGGTGATAGGCGCTTGTCATGCACTTAGATAAGGATAGGCGCCTTTGCTTGCGTAGTAACAACATGTTATGTGACAAATCTAGTTGATAAATACGTATTTGCTTTCCAAACAGTCTAATAGTCGGAAATCCCACTCTGGCACTACTATGTTCATATAGAGACGCACGGATCCTTGGGGTACAAGCCGAATACACCGACCCCGCAGGTCAGCGGCCCAATAAAGTACCTCGGTCCCTTCAAAAGAGAAACGATCCAATTGCAAGATGATGAATTCAGCAGGGATCGGTAAATCCAACCCATGACCCCCGTGGTCCCGGATAAATATCCATAGCACTGAGCAAGATTAGATATAACAGCACCCACAAGCCCTGACATTTTCACCGCCAGACTCATCACCACCTTTAGTTCTTAACCATCGTCGATTTATCGACCTATCATTCAAAATGGCGCCTTCTGCTAAGGTCCTGCTCAATGAAGATCATACCAATGCTGTTTCTGGCGCCCTTGGGCTAGCCAAAAATGGCAGGAAGCTCAAAATTCGGTCATACCCCAAGTTCGACACTTTAGTCGAGGAGCGGGATTATAGAAAGCAGCATCTCGCCGCAGCATTCCGCATTTTCGCCGACAGAGGGTTTGACGAGGGTGTTGCGGGGCATATTTCAGTTCGAGATCCGATTTTGACCGACCATTTTTGTACGTCTTACCTAGCTCTGGCGGGACATGCTCGATGGATGCGCTAATAGTGTCGTGCTCAGGGCTCAATCCGTTATCAATGCACTTTGCTCTTATCAAAGTTTCAGATTTAATTTTAGTAAATGAAGACGGAGAGGTTGTTGAGGGTGACGAGCCTATCAATGCAGCTGCCTTCGCAATCCACTCGGAGATCCATAAGGCCCGACCCGAAGTTAATGCTGCTTGTCACGCACATTCAGTTCATGGGAAGGCCTTCAGTGCTTTTGGTCGAGAACTTGATATGATAACTCAAGACGCACTCCGTTTTTACAAGAATCACGCCGTATACTCAGAATTTGGGGGCGTGGTACTCGATCGAGAGGAAGGAAAGCGAATCGCAAAAGCACTCGGTAATGGAAAAGCTGCAATATTACAAAATCACGGTCTCCTTACTGTACGCTGAAAATATTGCGAAGAAACAATTTTTCTGTATCTTGCTAACCCCTATATCTAGGTCGGTGGAAGTATTGATGAGGCTGCATTTTGGTTTATAAGCTTGGATAAAACTTGCCATGCACAGCTTCTCGTCGACGCAGCCGAAAAAGGAAGTACCCACCAAAGGAAGATTATCAATGATGAAGAGGCTGAGTTTACATCAAGACAAGTCGGGAGTCCGGAGAAAGGATGGCTTGCTTTTCAACCTTATTATGATGAGATCGTTGCCAAGACGAACGGTGCATTTTTACATTAAGCTATTTAATACCATGAAGTCAAGCAATCTTGCACACGCTGAGATTTTCTTAATTGAATTATATGAAAGGATGAAGGGATATAAGGCTTTATATATATCAAAGTCGACCAGGTCTGAGCAGATATGCGTATAAGTAGAGAATTCGTCTCGCCTATACATTCTAAATCTAATTTCAAGTCAGCAATAGGCAAAAGTTTGTATTTAATCAATATAATTTCTCTGATTGAAATATAATATGATACATCCACAAAAATAGCAAATATTATACAGGCATAATGTCGTCAATGACCGTACGATTTATGTTCCAAGGGTATTTGTCATCATGGTAAGCTCTGGAGTATCTCCCTAAGTTGCTTGAGTGGAGTAGGCTTCGTTAGGAATTTGTCAACTCCACTCCTGTTGGCCTCCCGTTGTACATCTGCGGACAGGGCAGCAGTGAGAATGATGATAGAAGTCCGATGGAGATTGTTTGTCTTTTCGTGGTGTCTGATTTCTCGAGTTGCGGAAAGACCATCCATCACTGGCATTGAGATATCTAAACTTCGTGAGCTACTGAGTTCATGGGCCTGTAACGCGTTATTACATACCCATAACGACAGCGTCAAACCTCTCATTCTTGAAAAGTTCAACTGCTTCGAGGCCGTTGCTCGCGGTCCGGTACGTAAAACTAGTATTCTTCACGCATGCCTCGATGATCTAAATGACTGAACCTTAGCATAGAACACAGGCATATAGGATTACATATCAAACCTTCAAGTTGACGTTGTTATCTTCGACCAAAAGAATATTTTTAGCATCCCCTCTTGGTTCTAACTGTTCTTCTGTGCTGGTTTCCTCCTTATTGGCCAATTGAGGGCTAGAATTGTCAGATTCTGTGGTGGGAGATAGATCTCCAGAATTGATATCGCTCTGCGCTCCATATTGACCCAGGCAGTATTCAAACGCCGTTGCAAGTGTTTTGGGACTCACGCTATGGCACATAACAATCAGTTAATTGCTTTCAAAGTGCTTGAGTTTTCCTTGGGCACCACTCACGGCTGTGATAAAAAGATTGCTCGATCACGGTCATTCTCTTTGACCAACTTCCGGCTGCTTACTTGCGCACCAAGCACAATAAGAGGAAAGGAGGTCTTCGACTTTATGAACTTCCTGATATCGGAATCTGTGGGTAGTTGAGAGAACGTTCGGTACTCATGTTCAGTAACAACGAGAAAATCAGCTTTTTGGTACTGAAGTTCGTCGGGGTTCAACACGCGAAGGCAAAACCAGTCGGCGACCATCTGGCTAAGACTATTCCGCATGCTATTGAAGATTTCTGGTCGAATACCCAAATCTCCCCGCTCAAAGCTACTTGAGAAGAACGATACAGTCATGCCGTTCAGGCTATGGCGTAAGGCATGATAAGGGGAGGGGGAGGAGGCTCTGGTCCTGAGGTCTCGACAGGAAGAATCACATCGACATCAGTGCCACGATCTACTTCGCTGTTGAAATTTATTTGACCGCCTAGTGACTTTACGATCTGATGGACCAAGTGAAGCCCCACACCAAGTCCTGGAGCCTGTGTGTCCTCTTGGAGAAACGGAATATAGAGGTGGTGCAGCAGAAAATCTTGAGACATGCCACGGCCAGAGTCGCTAATTGTGAGGCGAACTGCAGACACGGGGGAGTCATCCTTCCCAATAAGCGTGTCTTTTCGCATTCCCAGTCGTATAAAACCTGATTTCGTATATTTCATGGCATTGCCGAAAAGATTCATCACCACCCGGCGCCAAGCACCCGCGTAAACCGGATAGTGCCAGCTGTCCTGCCACTCAATATCAACGATCGTGATCATACGATTTTGGCCGTCATTTTCAATAGATGAAACAGTCCTTTTCTGAGGCTCAGAGGCGGCGTCAGTCTCACGTCTGTGGAATTCGAGTCCAGCCAGGAGGCCTTCCACTACTTCTTGAACCAAGGAACCTAAGTCTTCGTCATGAATCGGCCCTGGTGTAGCCATTTGAGAGAGAGAATTATTGTTTCGTTCTTCATGGTTTGATGTTTGTGACGATCCGAGGGTGTTTATCTTTGCGTAGTCTAGCAGGTGGTTCAGAGTATCCAGCAGAGTTCGACCACAGCTCTGCACGGTATCCAATAAACCTCGCTGAGTGTAGGAGTTGGTAGTCTCTTGAAGTAGCTCCACGGTACCGAGGACGCCGTGTAATGGCGAGCGGAGTTCGTGAGAGATGGAGGAAATAAAATCTCCTTTTGCGCGATCTGCAGCCTCTAGGTCCATTCGTGAAACCTCTGCCATCACACTGTTGCTGAAAGCTGCCATGTATGTTAAATCTTTGGGCTCAGATAGCACACGACCTGGATCATTTGTCCAAACCAAATTCACGGTGAACCAACGACTGCGCTGGAAGTCCCATACTGGGTATATTGCTATGCACCGAGCCTCAGGAAGAATCGCGTGGAGATGCTTGATCTCTAAGGTCTCTTCTTGTAGCTTCTTTCCCCTTGGAGATCCTTCCCTAATTTTACTTTCTCCTAGAGCATATGTTTGGCTCACTTCGTCTGCGAGCCCCTCATAGCTCAATGCAACCGAACCATCCTTTTCAATATGAAATATTTTCCCGCGCGGGTATCTATCGATCAAATGACCAATGAAAGAGCCTGGCAAGGAGACATAATGATTATCTTGCTCATTATCGTCTCGGCTTGAGGCAAAAGATGTTGAATATCCCAGCACAAGGCTTTTTGGCCCGTTCATTCCGTCGTCGCTCATAGCATCCGTGTCCATTGTTAGATCGAAACTGATTTCATCCCTATCCTCCCCACCACCATAATCCGAACCGATCATTTTGCGCCGAGCATAAACTGTGGCATCAATGAACATAGCTCCCTCTACATCCAATGCTTGATCCATTAGACAGGATGCACGGTTAAGAACAGACTGGACATTGGATGGGGCGAGCGATTGCTGAAGATGGCTTGTTGTAGGAGACAATCGAGGTCGTTGACTTTTCCCATCCTTCTCTTTAGGCTCCCGTAAGCCTTCTCCCTCGGCCTTGAACGTGTGCACGGGAGATTGGCTCCTCTGAGACTCTTTCTGTGGGTCTGGAAATTCATCAAATGCTTCAGATGGCCGTCCCCTCTCCCCTGAGTCGCTACGCCTTTCTTGTTGACTATCCGCCAACTTAAGCTTGTCGAGTCTTTGATCGATATAATTGAACTTATCTTCTGAGTACTCTCGGCTGTTGATACCTTCGCTTAAGTCAGATTTGCCCTGGACAAATAAGCCTAAGGCCCGGACCATTTTCTCTTCGCGGTATTCCTCCCGCATTGCTCGCTGAGAGAGCAAATGATCCATGACAGTAGCACTCATCTCCTTGAGAAATTGAATTTGTTCATCTGTCAAGGCTTCGCGAGGCTTGTCATCCAGAACTGCGACGCTGCCAATGACATAAGAGTGCGGTGCTTTTATTGGAACAGAAACGTAGAATCGATGGTGGGGAGGGCCCGTCACAGATGAATGGGACTGGAAAAGTGGATCTTCCACAAGATCTGCCACCATAAACATGTCGACTTCTTTAGTCGTAAACAAAGTCATTGCTTGGTTGCACATCGGTATGTTCTGGCGTGGAAGCTGCTGTACGCCGCTCCATAGAGATTCTGATCCCTGACCATTTTCGCCACCGCGCAGACTGAGAGAAGGTGTAGATTCGGCGATCACATGTTGTGTAGTCCGGTCAAACAAAGATATCAGAGCTCTTTTTGCATTCAATCGCAGGCTCGCCAACTGGGCAAACACAGTCAAGACATTGTCACGTGATGTATTAGGATGGCGGCCGACTGATTGTTGTGCGAACTTCTCTGACTGTGAAAACCCCCAGTATGGGAGATAACTATGTTACATAAATTTCAGCATTAGCTGTTTTCAGTTAATAAGCAGAAGGGGGAACAAGGGTGGAGTTAAGGTGAACAGCACAGGTGCATTTCCCGTTCCCGCGCAGCGTCGATGTTGTAGGCATATTTCCGTGGGCCGGAGCCCCAGCTGCTTTTTGAGATAGATGTCATGGGCGATCAAATAAATCCAGGTGAAAAAAAGAAAACAAAAAAGAAGTATCACGTAATCAAGGGTATCAGGTTCAAGTGGTGAGCATAATTTTACCCTATAGTGCCTATGCACGATTTCGAGGAGTGGTTTCAGAGTTTGGGACAAGTGGCGATGTCAGGACAGAAGTTTTCTTTTTTCAAGTCTAAATATCGAGAGCTTATAATGACATAAAATATTCAGGGACAAGAAATGCTTATGGTTTCTGGCCCGGCTAACCGGTTTACGATCCTCGGTCATATCCCAGTTCCAGTAGCCCTCATACAGGTGCAATTCGCTGACGTCATGTCACTCCGGCCGACCCACTAAAAGCTGCAAAGGCTATTGTTAGCCCCAGTCCAGAGAAAAACTATTTTCAATAAATCATCACTGACATCTATACTTCAAAATTTATGTATATCATTAAAATAGATATTGGAGCCCTTGAGATTGAAGATGGCTTAACCAAGTTTGAATCCCCCAGTACACCCTTTCTGGAATAGCCCGTCTGGGTCATATACCTTACTAACACTTCTGAGAAATTGCAAATTATCCTGGCCGTATCCTTCCAGGGGTTTCTGCCATTTCTCACAGTAGTTGATATAGCGATACAAGTGACCTGCACCGTTGGTCGCCGCAATATCGTCAACTTGGTCAAGTATCTCTCGTATCACTTTATAGACGAGTTCATCGTCTTTAGCTTCCACCCATGACACCGACAAGCTGACAATAATAAGTGATTCTTCATTTTCATGTATTCCGGCCATATTAGGATCGCCCTTCCCGACCCAAGAGGGAAGAAGTGGCTGCATAATCATGCCCCAGAAAATACCCTTTACCTTCAGAAAGGACCCTTTCGCTGCCTCGAAGATATCACGAGCCCCGATAATTGTATTTATATCGTTTTTGATGGTCGTCGTACCAAATGAGTTTCGCTTACCAGAAAAGGTTCCAGAGCCAATTTGAATGATGGCGGACGAGACAGTTCGAACTTTCAAATTGTTCCAATATCGCCAGAGGTTTAAAAACCCCGAATTTTCCCAGAAAGCTGGGCGTTTATTTAGCTCTGTCGACTCTTTCGACACGTCAGTGTAGGCCAGATGCACGGAAAAAAGCCAAATTCCCAAAGTTTGGACATATCCAAGACAAGCAATAGGCCCCGAGGCATACGGATCAACCTTCTTGCCGCTAATACTGGGGTCCATTAGTTTGAGGTTCTCATGCAAGAGCATGAGGCCCTTCGTTGACTGGGATTTCGGTGCATAAATGTGTCCACCCCATATTTTTGAGTTTGGAAAGCAGCGCATGGTGAAACGAGTAACAATGCCGAAATTGTTCGAGCCGCCTTTTAACGCTCGCCATAAATCGGAATGGGAAGTCGCTGTAGCTGTAACAATTTCTCCCGACGCAAGAACGACTTCGTAGCTAATTGTGTTTGAGCAAGCCAGCCCGTATCGAGGGGTGAAGAACGAAATCCCCCCTAGCTTGCTTGTCAGTGGTGCAAGAGTAAATATTGCAGACTGTCTGTGCTTACCTCCCAAAGTAAAGCCGGCCACCCCAACATCACAACTCCTTCCTCCTACAATTCCAAGTCCCATATCGTCCAGAACCTGTGTAACCTCCACCCATCGGGCTCCGGGTCCAATCGTTACACTTTCGCGGTCATCCGCAACTGTCACTTCTCGTAGATGAGTGAGGTCGATTAACACGCCTCTTTCAGCACTCGCAGCTCGTGCGAGTGTGGTTTGGCCACCACCTCGAACTGCGAATGTCACTTGATCGGAATCCGGATTCGATCCAGTTCGGTCAAATTCGGCCTTGATGACCTTAATCGCCTCTGAAACCTCCACGGTGTCGCACGGCTGAACAATTGCAGATTGGGGAACATCACATTCTTGTGCGGCGTAATAAGTACTGATAGCGCGTTGAAACAGGTCCACGTCGCGATGAGGCAGAAGGACCCTCCGTGGTAGGTTTGCCATCAACTTCTCAATCAAGGGGTTGGGAGTCGCTTGAATTTCATGCTTCTGAGTTTGCCCTTCAGGTCTGGATTTTGGCCGATGTAGGAGCCAGATAACCAGAGCTAATACCGCCGTGGCAATACCTAGAGATTGCAGAAAAGGAGGCATTGCGACTAAAAGTCGGACACTCTCCGGCTTCATTGAGAACCCCAATCGGCGAAAAGCAGTGTATTATTGTCTTTTTGAGAAAATTCTGGCGGCTGGCGTTACGTCCCGCAATTTATGTAAAATCAAATAAAAAAGACCTCTATCCATTTTAAAATTGTTTTCCAGAGTTATAAAACAAGCTCCAATCCTGATTCAGGGGGCCGCTATTTTCAGCCTTGCTAGTACGAGTTTGGGGGCTAATTTGGTATGTGGTTCCTCCTGCTCGAAGGTAAAAGGGGGCCGCGGAGCTGTCTGTTGGAGGGCTAGCCAGCGTGCGACTGGCTGAGAATAGCGATGGATCTCCCGAATCCACGGGCGTGGCGGAGTTATCAGCGGCTCTCCGGGCACTGCGACGTTCAAGGCCTACGTATAAAAAACCTCCAGCCTTATGGAATGAGACGAAAATGGATATCCTATCAACGGCCAGGGGATACACTATAAACGGTGTGTGGTGCTCTTTCCACGGGCAGATATCTATCTAGACAGGATCCGCCTCTGACCGCAGAACTTATATAAAGCTCTTATCTCGGATAGAGCTCTCCTGTCTCGTCGTGCATCCGACGACTGGCCTATCCGAGGATGAAAGGATGCTACAGAGGGCGCTTGCCGATATCTTCCGCATACCATATCTGATCTTTTTTTTGAACTTTTCCTTGCCTCTAAAGTAGTATCTTTCGCGCAATGTCATGCCACAAGATAATTGATATCAAATTTAGATGACGCGTCAGTGATTGGACGCCGCAGCCGCGGAGATTTGAGGGAGCGCGGTTACTACAAGCAATGTTCCTTCGACGCCTTTGCCTTCGACATGGATGGCTTCATTTTTTCTACATGTAATCCATATTTATGATACTTACATCACCGCAAGTATTCAACAAGATATCGCATTCTTTCCGAATTTGAAGTGAATAACAACTATTGCCGTTGTAGTACATTCTCATTTCCCGGTGAATCTATGGATCCAAACTTAAATATCGGACAGTTGGATAGAACACTGAATGAATACAGCTGTCTGAATAGCTATAGTGTGCGACCCTCGCCGGCTTGTATTTTCCATCTTCTATTCGGCACATGCCTGCATTGTAAATCCACTGGCACTGGTTATATCACCTTGCTCAAGAATGAAAGTTGAAGTTCCAGTGTAATATGCCTGGCCCTCGACACAAACCACAACTCTATCTTCGTCTGTCTCTCCCAATGCAACATTATCATCAGTGATGGTAGCGACAAAACTTCCTGTTTGGAAATGATTTGACACTAGAGAATTGTAGGCCCACTTCTGGCCTTTCTGTCTTATTCCTTTCGCATGGGCAAGGGCCATGCGGGCTGTCACACAGGATCCAGTGGGAGATCTATCGATCTGATCATCGGCAAAAAAGCAGAGGCCGGTTTCAGCGCCATCAACTCCTTCAGGCCGCGATCCGATTTCAGTGTCCACTACCATGACGGAGTACAAAAATGACAGCCGACTATCTTCAGGGTGGCTTATAGCCTGCACAACACTTGGTTCAGTCGTGAGATAGGCCTTGAGCCTGCTGGCGGCGTTTGATATTTTTTTTATATCAACTTTTTGTAATCCATTTTCAAATCCAAGTTCACGAGCATCCACTAGTACATAGAAAGCCCCGCCGTATGATATATCGATATTGATAGACTTCTTTTGGCCTAATTCAGGCCAGCACACTTCCTCGGGAAGAGAGATTTTTAGATTAGTGGCAGCAGCGAAAGCTGGAGTAGAAAGAAATCTGACCGGGCGAGAGGGATCTGATTCCTCTCCATTGGCTGTAGCTGGCACTATCACACGAACTAGTCCACAGGGAGCGTGTATATTCACAGCAACCTCACGTGTTACCGAGTCAAATTGAAGCTCCTTGCGCTTAGGAAAGACTTTGAGATCATGTGTATCCACCAAGAACCTCCCAAGTGCGATCGTAGCATGGCCACACATAGTAGAGAACCCTCCGTTATGGGTAAAGAGGGTGCCAATGTGGGCCTCGCCCGACTGGACCAGTTCGGTCTCAGGAATAATGATTGCTCCATACATATCGTAGTGACCACGGGGTTCCAACATGATGCGTTTCCGAATGTGATCATACTGGTTCTTGGCTTGATCACGCTTTTCAAGAAGAGTACCCTTGAGGGAAGGGAAACCTTGGAAAACGATTCGGGTTGGCTCGCCAGTGGTATGCATGTCGATGCATCGAATGGGCTCTGCGCCCGGCAGTTGATCGAATTTTTGGACCAGGTCCATGGTGTAGGAGGGAAACAAAATAGCAATTGATATGCAGCCAGGCTCCAGTAGTTCTAGAGAATTGAATCACAGATTCACAGAGAAATATGACCACTTTGAATGTTTGAATTCTTTTCGAGTGGGTTTGGGGTTTATGACTCAGTGGTAGGCTCCGAACAATCGCGGGGCTGGTTGGGCTCTCCGCGGACGGCCCTTCCGAGTATCGGGAACCGGTGCCCATTAATCATCCCGCTGAGACCGATACTTTCCTAAAGAATTCGCATGTCTTCTATCAATATCTGTGGATTCTATGGTTTAAATGCTTCTCCTTGATTGCACGGTATCACAGTTCGCATGAAATATCTACCCGATTATGGAAACATCCAACTTCTTGAGGATATACATCGCTACTGCAAAAAAAAAAAAAGATCAAGCGGTGCTGGAGAAATCCTTCTCAAGATCCATGAAACGTAAATCCTCTGGTAAAGCCAAGTCGCCAAATCTGTCACGCGGGAATGGCGTTGATTTGCCATTCTTGTGATAACCCTGGCGCATGTACCACGAAATGAGTTTCTTTCGCGTTGAAAGAGCATTCAATTCGCCTGTTGTAACCCCCCAGGTCTTTTGACAGTATTGTTCGGCAAAGGCAAGAACCTGTCGTCCAACTCCCGCTTGTTGGTGACTCAGATCGACTGCGATCATGGAAAACCGAGCACGGTTTCCTTCACGTCGGGAGATTTCAATGGAGGCCACGAGATGCCCATCGATATTTGCGATTAGAATGTCTCGGTCTGGGTTGCTGATCGTCGCCACGACATGGTTCAGCTCGAGACGAAAGCGCGATCCGATTTCCATGTCGGCAGTCCATCCTTCTCGACTATCTTCGGCCCGAAATGCAGATTCGACTAGCTGACGAATATCCTCTGCGTCTGCAAGAGTTGCAAGTCGGAATTGGAGGCCGGAATTAGACATCAATGGCAAAAACAAGTGAACAGGAGCCCTTTGCAGCAGTAGGGCGAGTTCAATGCAATGCTTGGCGGAATAACACAGACTGACACTGAGCTTTGAGAGTAAGAATGCTATCAATCGGTGCCCATAGTAGAGTTTCTATAAGTAAGTGTCCTTTGCAGTCGCAATTTGAAATATTGGCTCCCTCGGTCCGGCTACGGCGTAATGTACTGAGAAGGGCGTGAAGGGCGCCCATGGACTCCGATGCGGTGTTCACTAGCCGAGTGGGGCGATATTTTTATGTACTTGGCTAGACAGGACCACGACAGCCTTGTTCTTGTGGCTCTTCGAGCCCTGCATTTAATACTAAAAGTTATCAAATATCATAAGACAATCCTAATCTGAATTGCCAGCTATGTCTCTTTCCCCCATCATCGATGAGTTTTATCATGTTGGGGGGGAAGAGATCGGATTACAAAAGCAATCTGGAAGCGATGCTGTCGGGAATATTGAATCATCGATCCCCAATTACCATGGGATATGCTTGGTCCTGCGATAAAGTTCGCGCAGGAGCTTATTATTTGTCCTTTCTTGTCTTACGACCGGTGTCCCAGGGGACCGAGGTCATATTGATCATGCGATTATCCGGATAGGGCACCCTTGGGATTCATTGGAGATTGCCCTAGATCAACTTACAACGACTTTTAAAAAACACCCACCAACTATGACCGAGTGTGGGCCATCTTAAAGTTTGGTGTCCAGTTCCCGTTCGACGAATATCATAGTCTTCCTGGCAAATTAGGGCAGTCGCTTGAAACCCTGGTAGGTCATACCTAAGAACCCCTTGTCGGCCGTATGGATAGCAAAAACTGACAGTCCTGTCTATCAACTATAGACCTTCAAAGTGAGTTCCCCGGCGAGGTTCTTCGTGTTCAAAAGATGGTTGGCGAATGCAAACACAACTAATGTCTTGCATTCTCTATACATGCTGTTTGTTGAGTGGGAGGTTGACATCATGCGGGGCGCTTTTTCGGTGGCATACTTCATTCAACGACGACAAAAATGAGGCTTTGACTGATAACGCTCATATGCCATGCTTTTCTCTCCTATGACCTTTCAGGTACCATTAATCTGTAAACCCGTCGAGTAGATATTCTGTGGAGGCTCTCCGTGGTCAATTTGGGCCCGTGACGTACGAGAACTGACCCCTCGGCACTCAAACCTCACAACCCCCACTTTGCCTCCATTTCGGACCAAGTTGCTGTATTCGTTTGATTTCAAATCAACGGCATCGTACATCATTTAACCTACCTTGAATCCCTCAAAGCCGCTAATTTAAAGCCGTGTTCTTTCATTCACTACTCCTTGATCATTCCGGATTTACGAAATGACTCCTCCCAAAGTTTTCCTGTAATCAAAACCCCCACTCCTGATCTCGGACTTATAGACTGACCATCACCAGGACTGGTGCTACCGGGTACATTGGTGGCGATGGCTTGTACGCCATTTCCAATGCTCATCCAGATTGGCAGCTCTCTGCTTTGGTGCGTAGCCAGCAGAAGGCCACTCAGCTCGTGAGCAAGTACCCTCAGATCCGCCTCGTCGTTGGGGACCTGGACTCCTCGGAGATCATCGAAGAGGAGGTCAAGAATGCGGATATTGTCTATCGTAAGCGCATTCATCTGCTTGGCCCATGGTCTTTTATCACTGACCCAGCCATCACTAGATTTTGCCGACTGTGACCACGTCCCAGCAGCGGAGGCGATCGCTAAAGGTGCTCAGCATCATACGGCCGAGCATCCTGTATGGATCATCCACACCTCGGGTACCGGTATCCTCACTGTCGAGGACCAGCGTGCCAAGACGTTTGGTATCGAGCGCCCCAAGGAGTACAACGACTGGGAGGGTGTCAGCGAACTGCTCAATCTTCCCGAGGATGCTTTCCACCGCAATGTTGACGAGATCATTATTAATGCGGGTCAACGTGATCCGTCAAGCGTGCACACAGCGATTGTTTGCCCACCCACCATTTATGGCCCCGGTCGCGGCCCCAGCAATACCAAAAGCATCCAAGCCTATCTGCTGGCTGCAGCCGTCCTAAAGCGCGGCAAGGGCTTCCTGGTTGGAAAGGGCGAAAATGTTTGGCATCAGGTTCACGTCCAAGACCTGAGCAATGTCTATCTAGCTCTAGGTGAGGCGGCAGCCGCCGGAGGAGGCAAGGCCACTTGGAACGACGAAGGCTACTATCTAGCAGAGAATGGCTCTTTCGTCTGGGGAGATATTCAGCGCAAAGTTGCAGAGGAGGCTTTGAAACAAAAGCTCATTCAATCCGCTGAAATCGAATCACTCGACGCAGCCCAGACTACGGAGGTCTTGTCGGTCGGTCTTTATGCTTGGGGCTCCAATTCCCGTGGCCATGCCATCCGTGCTCGCAAATTGTTTGGCTGGAACCCTCAGCAGCCGAAGCTGATTGAGTTGATTCCCGAAATTGTTGCACTTGAGGCAAGCCAACGTTAAAATATGGATCCGTTCGTTGTACGTACGTAGGATGTTAATGACGGCCATGGAATAGTTATGAAATCCAGAGACTCCTGAATCCAATCTTGATCGACAAGAATTGCTTTATTGAGAATAGATTTACTAATAAATGAATGACTATGATGGCCCTACTATGTAATGATATAAGTGGAAAGGATTCTAAACAATCCTGGACAATTATTGTCTCGATATGAGTGGCTGGCTAGCTGCAGCCTATTCTGTTCTCAAATATATATTAATACATATAAGAGCATAATTGAAACCGAAGGCAATCTCATCGCATAGACAATCTTATTTGACTACAGATTACAATATTACTTTATTCAAGTTGAGTAGTATTAACGAACTATGGGGCTCACAAGAAGCACATAAATACATGTTCAGTTGCGAGGCCGGCGAATAAACAGTGCACCCGAGCCTCGACACCTGAGGACACCACAGGACCCATCTTGGATCCGAACAAGCTTCCTGCCATCATTGCCCTTCAATTTCCATCACTCACTGCTCGGCGACTTTCTCTACCCTCTTCTTGATGAATTTTTGTCGCTGGTATGACTCTTCTAATCATACACTGTCCTTTGGGACGCATCATCTTCACTGATCTCAATTGCTGACAATCGCCCTGCGCCACTTCTTCAGAGTCAACTCCCATGGGCTTGGATCCTCATCACAAACCACCATCTCTGCCCTCTGCTTCTAATCCGGCCATTCTCTGCCGCCATGGCCCCCGGGCAGGGCGGCAAGAGGAAGCGCAACGAGCGCTCGTGGTCTGGTGATTCAGCGAACAACAACGACGGGTTGCGACCTTCTCCTCATCGCCCCGGCACGCTCAACATGGCTCAGCATCCTGTCCAACAGGGATATCAATCAAGCCCATCACGAGATCATGATAACCGCAACCGAGGACGTCGATATTCAGGCCGTGGCGGAGGCAGTCGAGGCGGGTTTCGTCGGGGCTCTTTTGAGGGGCAGAATTTTTCAAATCCGCAGCGCAGAGAACCCAGCGCAATGTCTCCTCCACCACGCGCCCAGTCGAGAGAAGCCACAGAGACCTCACAATCAAATAGTGAACCTCCAGCAGCTCAACCGACACCTTCCCCGGCACCGAACACTCCGGCTTCGCAGCCGCAACAACAACCTCCATCACAACCTGAATTCGAGACCTCCGTCGCTCCTCCTGCCATCCCTCCTCCTCCTTACAATTACGAGTACGTGACGGACAGCGCCGTGGAAGAATGGGCAGCCTCCGGACAAAAGCAAGTCGTGGAAGAAGGAGCGGCCGCTCGCCTGCAATCTGATTCCCACCGTCTGGCAGCGGTTTATCAAGAACTCATTCGCTCTGCGATCTACGGTCGACTTCCGCCATCGAATGCAGGGACTGCCGTGAAAGAAATCCTTGGTGAAGACACAGCGTCCGAAGATATGGAAACGGAAGGTGAAACATGGAAAGCTTCAACTTCAGAGCTCGACCCACGTTCGTTGTTCCTCGATACTCTCTCGATTATGACGGACGCCGATACGTCCAACCCTGCTCTGAAACCACTCGTTTTTGCGACTGCCATTCCGCCGGCACTTATGCGTCTCCAGCTTGATACCCCTCTTCTGCAGTCGTTGGGCCTGGTACGGGAAACGTTTGCACGGATGGGAATCCGCAAGCAGACAAACCTGCTCTACCGACAATCGAACTATAACTTGCTCCGAGAAGAGTCTGAAGGATATTCCAAACTTCTCACTGAACTTTTCACTACAAGTAACAATGAACCTCCATCAAGCGAAGTGGTCGAGGATACCTTCGAGAGGGTGAAAGCGATGATCGGTGCATTTGATATGGACGTTGGTCGCGTGCTGGACGTGACCCTGGATGTCTTCGCGGCTGTGCTCGTGAAGCAGTACCGGTTCTTCGTGAAACTACTGCGAGCCAGCTCTTGGTGGCCCAAAGAAAACTTTCTCCGCTCCCTTGACGGGCCCCAGCTCAATTCAGGACTACCTAGCTGGGCTCTTCCAGGGTCAATTGGTTGGGTTACTACAGAGGATGAGCAAGTCAGAATCGCAGAATCGAATGAACAGCGTGATCGTGATTTCTGGGATCGAGCACGTCAACTGGGAATTCAGGCTTTCTTCGAGATCGGGCGCAAGCCACTCTCTGAGAAAGAAAAGCAACAGGCACTCCCGGAAACCAACAACTTGTCCGAAGAAGAGGCAGCGACACGGATCTGGATTGAGGAGACTGGTACACTGCCACCAAAGGGTAATCGCGTGGCCGCTCAACTCCTTGGTTTCAAGCTACGGTTCTATTCTTCCTCCGCTCGTTCCAAGGCGGACTCCCTTCCCAACAACCTCATCTTCCTGGCTGCATTACTTATCAAAGTTGGCTTCATATCTCTCCGAGATCTATATGCTCATTTATGGAGGCCCGATGAAACCATGGACGTTCTTAAGGCCGAGAAAATGGCGGAAAAGGCCGAAAGAGAGAAGGCTGCTAGACCCGGAGGTGGTATAAATGCCTTGATGCTGGCAGGGGCTCTGTCCGACGATACAATTCCAGCTCCTCGGATTCGTGAAACGGAGTCGCGAATGGCTACACCATCGAAAGACCAGGAGACCGACAAACAATCCACTGCAAAATCTGAAAATGAGCTTCCTGACCCCTCCGATCAAAAAGTGTTACTTCTAAAGAGTCTCTTAGCCATTGGCGCTATTCCAGAGTCATTATTCATCATAAGCCGTTTTCCCTGGCTGATGGATGGTTACCCTGACCTTACCGAGTTCATCCATCGCATTCTGCATCACTCTCTAAGCAAAGTCTATTCAAAGTTACGGCCCCTGGCATCTATGGAGGGTCTGCCCGGCGAGAAACAAATTTTGAGCGCTGACCAGGCGGGTGTAGCCAAGGGGCAACTCCGTCTTGTTCAGCCTCCCCCGAAGCGAGCTTTGCGATGGGCACAACTGGACAAGGAAGACATTGATGAGGGAATCGCATACCGGTTCTATTGGGACGACTGGGCAGATAACATTCCAGTCTGCCAGTCCGTTGATGATGTGTTCGCATTATGCTCATCATTCCTCAATCTCTCGGGTCACAAAATTGGCGAGGATGCCTCTCTGCTCACGAAGCTTGCGCGCATTGGTAAAGATAGTCTGGCGAATGACAGTTCAGATGGGAATAGGACTCGCTGGCGGGATCTATGCAAACGCCTCCTACTGCCAGCTGTCAGCTTGACCAAGGCGAACCCCGGCGTGGTGAACGAGGTATTCGATCTTATCAGTTTCTTCCCTCGCGAGGTTCGTTACAACATGTATGCCGAATGGTATTCGGGCCAAACATCGAGACTCCCAGATATCAAATCAGCATTTGATCAGGCCCGAGCGGAGACTAAGGATGTTCTCAAGCGCCTGAGCAAGACCAACATTCGGCCCATGGCTCGTTCTCTGGCAAAAATTGCCTACGCCAACCCCGGAATTGTTATTCACGTTGCGATTAGTCAAATTGAATCCTACGAGAACCTTATTGAGGTTGTCGTGGAATGTGCTCGCTATTTCACCTACTTGGGCTACGACATTCTAACCTGGTCTCTCATCAATTCTCTCGGCCAGAAAGGTAGAAGTCGCGTGCAGGAGGGTGGTTTGCTCACAAGTCGATGGTTAAATGCTCTGGCCACATTTGCTGGCCGAACTTTCAAGCGATACTCTGTTATGGACCCGACGCCTCTTCTGCAGTATGTCGTGGAACAGTTGCGGCGAAATAACTCTACCGACCTCATTGTGCTGGAGCAGATGATCAGCTCGATGGCTGGGATTATTACCGACACCAACTTCAATGATGCCCAGATCCAAGCTATGGCTGGCGGCGAAGTTCTTCAGTCGCAAACTATCCTCCAGCTTTTGGACAAGCGTCATGAATCGAAAACCACCTCCAAGCGACTGTTGAAGTCATTGACTCACACACGACTTGCAGGTCAGCTACTGGTTGCAATTGCCCAGGAACGGCTGACTTGTGTCTTCAACGAGTCGTCCTCGGAGCTCAAGCTTCTTGGCAATATTTTCGACGAAATTCATCGTATTCTGACGCAGTACCTTGATTTGCTGCGCAGCAACCTCACTACTGACGAGTTTGACTCTTTTGTTCCCGACTTCGTCTCTCTCATTAAGGATTTTGGTATCCAACCAGAGATTGCTTTCTGGATCAGGCGCGCTAGTGTTTCTCGCAAGATCGCCGATGTGGACGAATCGAGGCGGGCGGAAGAGGCATCTTCGAAGGAAAATGCTGAGAATGCCGAAAATACCACTCCTGTCTCTCAGCGGAATGACGAGAACGTGATGGACGTGGCAGACGACGAAGAGCTGCCTTCCAAATCGGTAGACACCCCGGTCGATGATTCAATGGATGTCGACAAAGAAGACCAGCCCACAATGGTTCCTTCAATTCCCAGCAACATTAGTCCATTGGTCGCCAACCCTGTCATGCAGGATCTGATTGAGAACGTAAAGTCTGCCTTGCCGGCCGAGACTTGGGAGGTTGTCGGTCCTCATTTTTATGCAGCTTTCTGGCAGTTGTCTCTCTATGATGTGCACATCCCTGAAAAGTACTACGAAGAGGAGCGTGGACGGCTTCGAAAACGGGTCACTGCCATTAACAGTGATCGGTCCGACATCAGCATGGCTGGAACACAGCGGAAGGAACGTGAGAAGAAGCAGCTTGTTCAGCTCCAAGACCAACTTCTAGCGGAGCTGAAGATTCACCTGGATGCGTATGGACACACTCGAACTCGACTGCAGAAAGAAAAGGACCAGTGGTTTGCCGGCATGCGGCTTAAAAGTGATGCTTTGAATGTTGCTCTGCTGGAGCAGTGCTTCATTCCGCGGCTGCTTCTCTCACCTATCGATGCTTTCTTCTGTTTCAAGATGCTCAAATTCCTGCACAGCGCCGGAACGCCTAACTTCCGTACTGTCGGTTTGATCGACCAGCTCTTCCGCGAACAACGACTCACTGCACTGATCTTCCTGTGCACCTCTAAGGAGGCAGATAACCTTGGCCGATTCTTGAATGAAATTCTGCGGGATCTGACCAGATGGCATGGTGACAAGGCTGTCTATGAGAAGGAGGCATTTGGTGCCAAGAAGGACCTGCCTGGGTTTGCCAAGAACGTCGACCCTGAAGGAGTACCAGTCACCTTCTTGGAATTTGAGGACTTCCGTCGCCTTCTTTACAAATGGCACCGATTGCTCTTCAGTGCACTCAAAATTTGTTTCAAAGGTGGCGAGTACATGCATATCCGGAATGCCATTAGTGTTCTCAAGGCAGTTGTGCAGCATTTCCCTGCCGTCAACTGGATTGGTACGCAGATGCTGGAATGTGTCAACGACCTTAGCAATAATGACGAAAGGGACGATGTAAAGATTCCTGCCGCGTCGTTGATCGGCGATCTCAACCGCCGGTCAAAGAAGTGGATGCTCCCGCAAGAGTTCAACATGGTCAAAAACATGTCGGAGGGTGGTCAGTTCAAGTCAGGATCCCAACCGCCTGTCGATCAGACTGGCACTCCAAAGCCGCAATCATCGGACTCGTTGCCATTGAATGGTGCTGCCACAGAGTTCAAGCCGGGTGTTCAGATGTGAGTTGATTCAACCAAGAAAGAACCCAAAATATTATTCAAAGCTAACTTTTCAAAACTAGTGCCATGGGAATCTCGAGATCTGAAAAAGGCGATGTTGAGGATGGTGAAATTGAAGATGCTAAAATGGCTGATGTTGCGTCTGTGAAGGGAACAGATGAGCCTAAAGTGGCAACCCCATCCCATACCGAGCCGACAGCAGGCACTGACGCGGCAACTTCTCCCGATGCTATGGATATCAGTACTGATGGTGCAGACCAGCGCGCGCGACCAGGCTCTCGGGCCTCTGATTCTGGTCGACAGCCCGATATTCCCAAGCGACCAGATGCTGAGCGCTCTACGCCGGCTGTGAACCCGCGTGCACAAGCTCGTCTTCCTCGCCATAGCAATGACAACCGGCTTCCTCCGCGCCCCGATATCATGGATGATCGACGTGAAAGACTTCCTGAATTCAACCCGCGTAACCGTCATGCAGGGTCCTTTGATGGCCCTGTGAACGACCCTCGAGGCCATGGACGTTTGAACGAGCGTGATCGTGACTTCGCGATGAGATCCCTACCCGACGATCCTATGCGTGGGCCGCCCTATAGAGAAGGACGCATTCCTCGAGATCCAGACTGGCAAGCCGATCGACCTGGACGTATGCGCCATGAGCCCTTCCATGGCCGGGACGGTCCTGTCCGTGGTGAGCTCATGCCCGACTTCCCCGGTCGTCCAGGTGATGGTCCTCGTCGTGGAGAACCTATGCGACCGGACAAGGAGGATCGCCGCCCCTATGCTGGACGCGGTCTATCACCACCAGTGTCCGATTTGCCTACCCGTCCCGAACGTTTCCCTGAAGACCGACGGTCTGGCAGCTTCTCTCAGCCAGGTCCTCGCCAGGATGAATTTCCCAGAGGACCTCGTATAGACCCGAGAGAGGGCCTGGGCCCGGATTCCAGCCACGGTCGATTACGCCAGGCTGAGCCTCCTTCCGATATTCCATCTGGACCTCGAGGTCGGGGTCGACGCAATCCCTCGTCACAGCAAGCAGCACAGAACTTCAGCAATGGCAAAGCACCAACTCCCGACCGTCAGCTTGCAGCTAGCTCAGGCCGTCAGGGTGGCGGACGAGGTGGCCCTTCTCAGCCTCCTCCCTCAACACCTGGCTCTAGCGAGGAACGTCTTAATGCCTCCGGGATACATCCTGATCGATTGAACCTTTTCAATGAGTCAACACCTCAACAAGCATCTGGGATGGCTATGACACCTCCCTCAGGGCCCCGCAGCGGGATGGCCCAGCCATCTGGACCTCGAGGACCCGGTGGAGAGCGCGGGCGTAGTGACAAACGGTTCGCTGGTATTAACAATATGCTTCAGCAGACTAACGGTCCTCCCGAGCGCGGAAATGCTGTTCCTCCTGTCCGTGGACGGGGCGTCAACCGACAGTCGACCGTGTCCAATACCGACTCGCCCCAGGCTCCAATCCGCGCTCCCACGGGTCCCGCTTCTGAGGATGACGGTTCCTCTCGCATGCGGCCTGATGGCCGAGGTGACTTGATGGACGACGTCGCTGCTGTTTCCACTCCCGACAATCGTCGTCCAGGCCGAACCAACGACCGAGACAACCGAAACCGTGACCGAAATCGAGATCGTGACCGCGAGCGCGATCGTCGTGGCGGGAATCCCGAAGAGGATGCCAACAGCACTGGCCCTCGCCGCGAGGACCGTCGTGACCGTGAGCGAAGCCGCCGCAGTGATATCGGCAGTGCCGGGCCTGGTCGCGAGGAAAAAGAGCGTGACCGACCAAGTCATGGTGAGTCCCGCGAGGCTCTGCGCCGAAATCCCAGCACCCGCGAAGAAAACCGACGCCGAGACCGACGAGATCGGGATGACGGACCGCCGGAGATGGGAGGACCTGCCCCCAACACCAGCAATACCAATGAGAATGAAGGCCGTCTCCGTCCTCCAACCTCCATGGGAGCTCCACCTCCCCCGCCGCCACCTCCACCTCCTCCTATACCTGGCGACGAGACGAATAACACTACTCCTCGTCGTTGGGGCCCTGGCGGAGACCGTGGCCATCGCCCCGACAACCGAGACCGAGAACGTGAGCGCCGAGGCGACCGCGGCCGTGATCGCGATCACCATCGCGAGAGCACCGGCAGTACTGGCACTGGGCATCGCAAACGCGGACGTCCTAATCCCGAAGAGAATCCCGGTGGTGAGGGTAACCCCCGTGGTCCCAGGCTGGGAAGTGAGATCAAGCGTCCCCGGCGGGGCGCATGAGAAGCATCTCTGGAGACAACTCTACCTCAAGGAGCGCGTGTGTTCTGCACGGAGTTTATCCAAAGACTACATGAGCCTGGACTGCTGTAGAACTAAGTCCTCATTGGAGAGCACGTTACGATTCCAATTTGCGGTGGATGGGTGCATCTTAATCTTTTCTTTTCTCTCTTCTCTCTTCTCTTTTTTTTTGTGTGTCTCGGATGAAGATTCCCCTGTTTCCTAAATTTGTCTTCTTTTTTCCCTTTTTTCTCTCGCTTCACCTCATGCTTTAATTGCATGTTGCATCGTGGCCGGTGTTCTGGGTACATCTTCGCTGTCTGTACTTGAAATATTTCTCTATATTTTTCAATTGCTCTCTCTCTCTCTCTCTCGCTGAACATCAACCTAAATACAACCATTTTTCGGTATGCTTCCACATCTGCATAGGAATAGAGGAAGCGCTCTTTCTAAGGCCCCACTTTCCTTCTACTCGAAACAGACAAAACAAATACAAAGGAAACATCTTATCAATTCTGAACAGAGCTGGGGAAGGTTCAGTCTTCTTTGCTAGTAGTCCTGGATGTAATATGAGGCGTGCCACCCCGGACACTGTATAGCGTGCATTCTATTGAGTTATGGAGAGGTGAGAGCATTCGTGATCTCCGTAGGGTTTCATCCTGGCAAGTTCTTCGAACGTGAGCGGGAAAGATGTCCCAGAAACCTGAAGTGAGTCCAAAGTGAAAGTTGGGTCTCTCGTAACAGTTATACTCCTGTCACCGTGATGATCTTTTTTGTGAATCGTCGAACATCCATTTGTCAATGTCGATGCGCAAAGGCTTGATTAGAATCGGGAAAGCTACTTCGACTTCAAGACCCTGGCTTCAGGCGTCAGTAAGCCAAAACTTAACTAACACTCATCATCAGTTGACGTCGTGTTTCAGACTTGGCACATTCTAGAACAACACTCGGAGGTCCCGGAAAATGAGTTCTAGGGTGCCAGGAACCATCAGGTTTCCTTGCCTTGGGCTTGCCGGTGAAACAGAATTACCCTTACCTAGACCGTAACGGCCACTCCTGGTAATAATAATAAAAAAAAAACGCTGCTAAAATACAGGTTGGAAAAATCAACGCCACACCGGTCCTGGTTCTTTGCGAAGTTTCAAATGGGCATGCACCTGAATCTCATCAGAACACGTCGTGTTGCTTGTGGACGCCACTGAGTAACTAGATCGCTGAATGCAGTTGCAGCGTGAGCGTGCTGGGGAGACTCGGCCATCGTGAACTGAACTCTGGATGAGAGACTCAACTGAAGTCACTCGAGATATGATCTGAAGGGAGAGTATATATACGTATTTTGTAGATGTTTCATGCATGAAAAATTACTCCATGTCGGCAATTGTGGCCTCGGATCTTGTTGGGATACCCGCCCGAAGGTAAGCATATCAATAAGCGGAGAAACAGAAACCAACAGGGATTGCGTCGGTCACAGCCATGAAAGGCACCGCCCACTGCCTCACTCGCACGAGGACTGCGATACATATACAGGAATTATCGGTCTCCCTATCCCTAGACAGAATAGATGGAAAATACATGTGAAAGACATGTAAGAGATAATATAAGATATGTAAATATAAGAGAGAGGGAAGAAAAAAATACATTTTTCAAAGAATGTAGTACAGAATGAGGATATGTATATATTATATATACAGCAGACACCGAAGCCATCCTCTCGCCCTCTCCGACAAGATAGCAGAAATGCAAGGGAGGCCGAGGACAGGATTCGGAGGGGTATCATGATGAAAAGAACCAGATAACAGGAAACATATAAAAGCCGGGAAACGAAAGCGTAACCCGCAACCCATGGAAACCCATGAAACCCGCGCGCACCTGGAAAATGCAAGGAAAAACAACGCCGCACAAAGGGACAACAGTCCGATCATTCTAACGCCACACGCTCAATCCACCCGCCGCCGCCCTCCAAGCCCAGCCAATTTGCGCCACAGATGCGATGCGCGCCGCTTGCGCTTGCGCGGTTCGCCGGGCCCCGCGACGGAGTAGAATGCGCGCTCCGGGCCGGACCACAAGCGGACGTCGAAGTCGGGGCGATCTGCCTCGTCGCTGCTGACCGAGGCGCGCGAGCCGTACAGGCTCGGGGTGCGGCTGTGCGCGCGCGACACGCGCTTGTGACGCTGGCGGGTGCTGTAGAAGCGGCGCGGGGCCACGCTGACGACGGGTTTTATGGGAGTGTCGACGTCCATAGTCGCGGAGAGCCAATCCTGAGCTTTCGGGCCGAGCGGATGGTCTTCTGGGTCCTGGTCGGCAAAGAGGATGTCGGCGGAGGCCCAGGGTGCGTGGGCGAGGGGCGGACTGTAGGGGAACATTTCGGGGGAGAAGGAGCGGGAGCGCGGGGTGGTGCCAATGGATGAGACGCTGCGGCTGCGACTACGGCCACGGGGCTCATTTTCGTCTTCTTCGAGGGGAGAAGTGGACAGGCGGGTGCCATAGAAGCGGGCACCAGGGACAGAGGCGGCGTTAGGGTGAGTGAGGGGAGAGGGCGGCGTGGCCGGCGTGGCCAGGTCTAGGGCTCGTGGGGACAGGCTGGCGCCCTGGTAGCGGTACAGGGAGAATGGATGCGGGTCGGGGTGCGATGGCTGTGCAGAGGGCCATACGGGCAAGCCACGGTCGATGCTCTGGACAAGCAGCGAGCAGGCGTGTTTCAGATCATCCTCCATGTCTTCTTCCAGGGTTTGGCGGTCGAGAATGGGCGAGACCGGGCGGAAGTAGCCAGGCTCGTCGATGAATTGATAGCAGCGCAAGGTATCAACAGAGTCCCAATCGGGTTGAGAGACGGACGTGGTGGCTGATCGAGGCCGGTGGTTGAGAGTAGTCGTGCTGGTGCTGGGCGCCGTGAGGGTGGCCGCCCGGGTGCGACCCCGGAAGCTGAAGCGTTGGCGCATCTTTTGGGCCTTTTGCGACAGTTTGCGCTCCATCGTGGAAAGGAGTAGGTCTTTGAGGTGTGAGATATTGGAAAGCGAGGGAACCGAGATTAGTGATAGGACAAATCGCCCTTGTAGCTCGTGTAGCACGTATTGAATAGTTGAATAGACAGGAACAGCACGCCCCGGGAGCAGACAGGTGTGAGATCCCAGGACGAGGGAATTGGGGCTGGGAAGATGTTGTCGAAACGACCAAGCCGGTGCCGTTGAAAACTCCGCGCAAGAGATGTGTCTCGCAGGAAAGTAATGCAGTGGCGAAGGGCGGGTTGCGCCAGGCCCAATTAGAGGCCAAAATGGAGGAGGGGGAAGCTATTTGCGAGTAATGCGAGGGTCGCTGTCTCGTTGCCCGAGTGTCCACGTTCGTGGAGTTTTCAATTCTTTGCTCAGAAGTGGCCAGTGGCCGGTTGTTATGATCTTTCCACAGAGGGAAGTCAATGGGCTCAGCGGCCAACGTTGACCGAACGACGGCGTTGGTATGCAGCGGGGGGGGAGGTAAGTCAGCTGCAAACGAGGGATGCGGCGAATAAAAAGACGATGCTCCTCACAGCAACAAGGAGCAAGTGTCGTGGTGGACGGAATGGAAGGATGGAAGAGTGGCCGAAGTATGCGAGGAGGTGCCGATGGGAAGTGGAGCGATGTCTGAGATCAAGATCACTCGAGGCGTATGTAGATCATCCAGGATCATAGAATCATTGAGTCATTGGATCCGAGAACCAGTATCATCGAACAGCACTATCGTGCTAGAACTTGAGTATATCAATGGTTGGACAAGTGCAGCGTAATGATTCGTCGAAAGCGTGACAGGAGAGTCGGGTCTGTTGCGCTAAGTCACTTTCTAGGGTTTCGGGGGAGTTGATTCTCGTGTCGTCCAACCAGGATCCAGTAGAGGGTGTTTGATAGTCCAGAATATCCAGAGTGTGAGAGGATACTCCAGGAAGTAGTCGAGGGAAGAGCGAATGGGGGAGGAAATGGAAAAAGAACAAGAATGGGAACAGGGACGGATATAGGACCGGAGGGTGGCCAAAGGCCAGAGATAAAGAGCGATTGGGAGATCGAAAAAGAACGAATGATAGCCAGGTCCAAGGCGCCCAAATATACCGCAGATGGGAACAGGTGCACAAGGGAACGCTAGTTCCATCGACAATCTTCACTGCTTCCAGACTAGCCACGGCGAGGATGGGGCTTGAAAGAATAGGCGGTTAACAGCGACGGGCTTCAGTGAGCATCGTTCGTCACATCTATCAGGGCCGCGGGTTGATCGCTCGTCACGGTTAAGGCTGACCGACGAGCTTGGGCCAGTTTGTGCTGAAGGAGGCCCATCCCGGGGCCCATTTGGGCGACCCATTGGGGGGTCCTTGGGGGGTCCCTGGCACAAGCCCCCCAATCATCTGCCCGGAATCCCCTGTCCCTACCCACGGAGTTTGGTTATTACACCCAACCGCTAAGGAATATCAAAGCAAAACCAGGATATCAAAGGACTGCCCGCCCCCTCCAAAATCCCCCCCACCCGTTATTGGGGCGATAATCACTGGTCCAATCCAGGCCGTGGCCCATCGACCCCAGTCTAGGCTTGATCATCCGTGGATTGGGTCCCCATACTCATCTCCTATGTCTCTACCCGGACCACAGCAAAAAGGGGAAAAAAATGAAAACAAATAAAAATCAAAATCAAAAACACCACAACAAAAATTCAAAGCTAGAGAAACGAAAGACACGGAAAGCCGCACCGAACCGAAGTGCCTCCGTACGGAAAGGTGAAAAAGGGCTCGCTTAGGGTGTTGAGCCTTGGCCCCCAAAATTTAGGGGGGCAATTGGCCCTCGGTCTGGACCCCATACAGAGGCGCCGGACAAGAACAGAGCACGGACGCGAGCCGTCACACGATAACTGTCTCTGTCACATTCTGTTGACTCCCGCGAGGCTCTGAGACTATCGCAGCCATCCCGGTCCGTGCAACGAACTTGGTTGGGAGGCGCCCAAGGGTCCTAGGGCCTTCATCCTTCTTCGGATGCCCTTGCTCCTTCTCTGAATAGTATTAAGACCACCCCACTGCAGCCCTCAAAGAGGAGGAAGACTGTGTATGAGAAGAGAGGCGCTCAGCGAGTCATTTTCTTGCGTTAACCGCCACTGACTCATCCAGCGTGGAGGGTGTTTCAATTCTGGAATTGGTGGCGGCGTGGCAGAAGTGCAGGTGTGGGAGGGGTGGAGGACCGAGTGGGTTGATAGGGTGGGTTTCGCCCCTCTCAGCGCCCACTATCATGACAAGGATGGACAAAGCCAGCTGAAAGCAAGGTTTGCTCCAATTTTCCCCGAAGAAGAAGGAAGAAGGATGATGAGGCGAACAGAATAATCCTAATCACGATCTATATTCTCTCCGACAAAGTATAGAAAGCCGTCTTCCATTATCTCGTTCTCACTGGCAAGGGGGGTTATACGTGTCATTCTATGTTGTTTATGATTATGCTTATGGTTAGCGCTCTATTTAAAATCTGCTGATATGAACGGCGCAAAGAGAGAGAGAGAGAGAGAGAGGATTCTACACTGAGTAGGTACCTTCTATACTTTTGTGACGCTGCCTACGATTAATTGAAAATATTACTACATCACATAGAAACGCTTCCGGTAGACACTCCTTCCGAAGCAAACAGTGAACATACTGGATATTGTCAATAGAAGTAAGACAAGTCTCACAAGAAATCCCCGATTTCCCCCAGGTTTGACAACATCCAAGTCTTGCAGGGCACGGCTCAGTGCTCGTGCTACATAGAACACCCCCACAACGTCAACTGTGATACTTTTAAGGATCATCACGAACTATCAATGATCCGCCCTTGCAGTTTGGCCCCAATGTTGCCCCCGACTGCTCGTCAAATCCTGCTAGCAGACCCAGCCCAAACCGAGCCACGCACTGCCACAATGCATTCTGAAGAGTTTCTTTGCCCCTGAGGACTTGCCTGTCCTGCGAAACCCAACTAACAACCAACTAACCAACCACGTTCCCCGCCCAATTCCCATCCCCACGCCACTTGCTGCCACTAGATGCAGCCCCCGTCGAGCAGCAGCCCTCTTCCTATGCCCGCGCTGAGAGCATTGCGAAACTGCTCCAGAGACCCCCATTTCTTGATCGCGGTGGTGAAGAGCATCTGCGCATCGTTGATGGAAATCTGAACAAGTCGGATTTCAAGAGGCTGCGCAGGCAGGGATTGAACAGATGCCAGGCCCTAGGGGACTGGTGGTGCCGGTAAAGGAAGGTAGAAATTCGATCTTAGCTTGGGAGGGGGAGTACGTTAGGGGAATTGTGGTCTCGATGAATAGAGCTTAGTTAGGTGGTAGGTGGATTATAAACGTTATATACATCATGTTGTAGATAAGTGTTGATTGTTGAAATGATCATATCTTGCAGTCGATGGTCGTGAGAATAGTTTCGAATTGAACTTGATTTCAATGCAGGTTCAAGTTGGCAACCGATCCAATTCCTTTCCTAATATCTATCCTTGCGCAATTGGTGATTAGCCCTGCGGATTCATAACCTACAACTCTTGAGTACTCATGTACATTCCACAGTTCTGACTGAGGAGGGCCGCATCATACGTATTAACCTTCCCGGCATCCCAAGCAACGGGATCTCATTACCAAGAGCGGCAACCACTTGACGCAAGAACATTCTACATCCTACGGTGGCTCTGGACAAATTGGAAAAGCCACCGATAACCACTGGCGACGTCCGAGAAAGCAAGTTGTGTCCAGTAAGCTGGCTAAACAGCCCATAAATTGGTAAGACTTGTATTTTTTTTCATTTTTTTTGATATCTGCTTATTTAAAAAGCGACGCGTTCGTCGCGCGAATGACCAAGCTCTCGGAGAGATTATAAATAAAACCGAGGCTGGTCATCGGATTGTACGAAATAGACCCATCAACCCTCGGAGGACTTTGTTGAGTTTCTCCTGGAGATAAAAAGTGACCCGGAGGGCGGGTCGTGATGGAGAGCAGTTGGATGCTTCTTTGGCAGTCTTCTCGACGAGGCGGGTCCAATACTGAACGGCCAAGTGAAATTCGAGAGAGGCAGTTGGATGCACATCTCCCTGACTAGCGAAACGGATAAAAGAACGGCAACCTCTACTTCCCCTGTTGCACCATGGCCTCGGCCCAGACACGAGCACCAGTTGGGACTGAATACTACTCCAGCGGGGAGAGGAAATCCCACACCGGGGAAAAACAGCCCAAAAAAGGGAGTCAAGGGTCTGGCGCGGGGGACCATGGAGGTTGGCTGCAAGTGACTGCGCCAAAATGTGTGGTCATGTTGATGAGGTATTTACCATGCGGTAATGTCCTCCACCTCGGCCTCGCCGAAAGTGCTGCTCTTGGTGAGCTTGTTGACGCTGGCGACAGCAGCGGCATCTCCATTGGTCTGGGCCATGATATCAGGCAAGACCTCGTGGAAGAAGTCCACGATGTGGCGGTTGACCTGCTCAAACTGAAGCAAGAACGCATCGTGACCCTCAGGGCTGTCTATACGCTTGAGACGCGAATCAGGAATGCCAGCGGCAACCTCTTGCTGCTCGGCAAAAGTAAAGAGACCATCTGACTCAATACCAAGCACCAAAGCGGGCTGCTCAATCCGAGAGAGGGCCTCAAGAACTGGGTTCTCGGCATCCGCTCTAGCACGGTGCCTTGACACGTCATGAGTGTCAAGCTTGCGGGTCATGGCGATATAGCAGTTGGCATCAAAACGCTTGACAAACTTATCACCCTGATAACGCAGGTAGGATTGAGCCGAAAAATAGGTCGGCGGACGGGGACGACCGTCCGGCTTGGTTGGGGTTGGGGCAGAGAAGGTCTTGGTGCCTGAGAACTGCGGGTCCATGTACTGGACTTCGGTTTGTGGCACCGGAGATTCCTGTCTGCTCTCCGGGCGTGATGAGTGACCGCCCTTGTGACCGTCATTGTGAATAGCCCAATGCTCATTGGGAGGCGTGGGAAGCTTCTCCGTGCCGTTGATGTTTTGCCGCTTGGAGGGATCCGGCACATTGCGACCAAAGCGGGACTCAAATGAGTTCCGACTGCGGTAGGTCAGCAGTGCCGACATGCGAGCGGCACCTAGACCGGTTGCGGGCGGGTCATTGAATGGGTAGTATCCATCGTCATACTTTGGATCACTGTAGATGCTCTGGCGCTGGGCCTCGCCCCAACTAATGCACCACGCCGAATGGCGTGCAGATGTCGCGATCGGAACAATGGCACGGACATAATCCTTGCCAAAGAAGGAGTACTCCAGAGTGAGCATGCCACCCATGGAGCCACCGACGACAGCAGCAATCTGCTTTACGCCAAGGTCATCCAAGACCAGTTTATGAATATTCACGTCGTCACGAACAGTGGTGAGAGGGAACTCCGGACCGTAGTAGCCATTTTCAGGCTTACCGTCCTTGTAGGTGACTGCACTTGCACTTCCATATGGACTGCCCAAGCTGTTCAAGCAGACGACAAAGAACCGAGAGACATCGAAGGCTTGGCCCGGACCTCCGAGGAGGGGACCCCACCAATCGGCGACGTCGGCACTCCCACTCAGGGCGTGACAGATGACAAGGACATTGTCACCAGTGGGCGACAGTTTGCCTCTCGTAGTGTATGCAACAGGTACATTGTACAGGGTAACGCCAGATTCGAGAGTGAAGGAGGGGATGATGGCGATTGACTGGTCCTCAATCAACCCAGCATAGGGGTTCTCAGGCTGCGAAACGACTCTCTCTACGGGATTTAGTAGCCGTCTGGGTTAATTGGATGATGGGAAAGGGGTGTAGACTGACGGAATTGCGCAGTAGGCGCACTGTTGGTTTCGGTAACCATAGTGAATGGTAAGGGAAACCAAGAAATTGGGGAATGGAGAGAGAAGGAGAAGGACGGGCGAGGCGAAGTTGAAATATTCTTGACCCGCCAAAATGAGTCAGGAACCCCGCGGTCCCGCTCCGACCGCGAGCCAATCATTTGCGTGTCCGCCCGCTAAGCGGCCGAAGGCGGTGTATCACATGACCTTATTCGGGCCTCGGGCTATAATTGTTGGCGTAGAATGCTTCAAGAAAGAATGTTTCTTGACATTTCTTTGACATTTTTCACTAAGAACATTGCTGCATCATATATTACTAGCTACCAATAATCCAAGGGCCTATTCCAGATGCCTTTGGGGCTAATCAAGAGCTTCCGACTCCGGCGGCCCTTTGTAGTCTGCAAAGCCATCAGTATGATTCTGGAAGTAATACCCATCCAAAGGGAAATACTCACGTTTCCGAGCATATATCATGAACCACAGGGCTGATATGACCATGAATCCAACAAAAACTACCGATGCATAGTTCATCGACACTGGTGTGACAGGAAGGGCCGTTGGCATGCTGAAGAGAACAAGCTCAAAGGCAATCCATGCAAGCGCCAATACATTAAAACCCACACCCAGTTTTCCACAATTCCATGGCGCTTGGCTGACTTGCTGACGCTTGTTCAAAAGACTCAGCACAATGGGAAATGCGTAGGCAACAGCCAAGGCGATGACACCGACGGATACGAAGGCAGTGAAAGCACTTGAGCTTCCTAGGTTTATCAGACCAAGAAGCATCTGGATCACTGTCAGTAGCACAAGGGCCCAGACTGGTACACCAAGACGGGAATCCACACGCGCCCATACCCGAGCAAGCGGAATGGCATCGTCGCGTGCTGCAGCCCAGGTTGCGCGAGATGCTGCAACAGTAATGCTAATGGAGCAGAACAGGGTAATGATTAGGACGAGAAAGGTTAGGCCCAACCCGCCCCCTGGAGAACCCATCACACGATGGAAGATATAGGGCAGGGCCTGAGCACCAGGAGAATTATTGATAATATCTTCCATAGGTGGCAAGGTAAAGCATAGCGGCAGTATAAAGAACAGCCCTGCTATGCCTCCCACCGGGACGCTTAGTGCAATCGCACGGGGTACTTTGGTCGCAGGAGACGAGCACTCTTCAGCCATGCTCGAAATCATTCCAATCGCACTGAATGTATATGCAACAGGGAGGAGTCCGATGAAAAAGGTGAAGCTGCCCCAGCCCGCAAAAGACTTGTCATAGTGGCCCAGCGCATATGCGGCACTATGGCGACCCGCATCTGCCTTCACCGATAAGCAAACCAAAACCACGATAATGGTCAGAGCGGTCCAGGTAGCGCAAGCTATATCGACTTGGGGTAGATAACGATTGGCGAAGGTACATATCACCAAAGAGCCGAGACATACTGCGTAAAAGATAAGGAGTAACTGCCAGCTGTTGGCGCTCCAATCTGGGTGGTATATGGCGATCGTGGCGGAGAGCAAAGATGCGAACCCAAAATTCACCGAGAGAGTGATGGTCCAATTGCCAATAAGCCAGACCCAGGCATTGATAAAAGAGATGGTTGACTTCGACTTGGAGCCCGCGAGCTGGAACGTCCAATAATACGGGCCCGCCGATGTAGGATAGCGCGACGCCAGCTCTGCCAGCGACATTGCAACACATTGGTCGAGAATGCAGACCACAATCCATCCGACAAAGATGGAAAGTGGGCCGCCACCATAGATGGCACTCAAGAGAGGAGCGCCTTCTCCATATGGAATTGCTGCAATAGCCAAGGTCTGGAATAGAAGTGTGATGACAGATCGGTTACGCCGCATCTCTTGTTTGTAGCCCAGACGGTCAAGTTCCTCAAGTTCGTTCGCGGTGGTCATCTCCCCAGCTTCCGGTCGATCAAGACCCCGCGCCCCATCTATGAGGCCGGAAGCCTTCTCGTCGGCGTCACGAGAGTTCATTGTGTCCATCGGTACTCAGGAAGTGGCCAAGGGAGTTCAGGTTCGTGATCGCGATGATGTCTAGGTTAGCTTATTCTAGGGGATAAGCAGTTAATGAATGCACAGGTTCATTTCTCCCTGGCATAGGGAAAAACGATTACAGTGGGCAAAACTATGTTGAGCGGACAGATTCGGGCTTATAGGTTTGCGCAAAAGACATGAAAACCATAATTAATGCCTGGCTGCACATGCCACACTACCGGGGCTTTGGGAAGTTGCACGAGTACGAAGAGAAGAGTTTGGACAATGGGCGGGCTTGGAATCTGACCGATCGCCAGTCGATAAGCCGATTTGTGATTGACGTTTTCCATTCAGCATTTTTTAAGATAGGCAAAACTTCCAAATATGCTTCAAAAAGCAAAAATATGCGATAAACAGCATGCAAGATCGAGTACAGTTGCTTTGAAGTGCATTCTAATGCCTAGCAAAGTTAAGCCACGGCTAACCTGATTGAGAAAGCAGTTGCGTGAAGCTAAACTCGGAGCTCCTGCTATCTTGTTTATTCTCCATTTTTTGATCATACCCCAGAGGCGAAAAAGCCCAGGGCAGTATCTTATTTCCAACCCTATTGTGATAAAACTTGCAAGATCGTAAAGATAGAGCGATGATACAGTCTTTGCCCCTGGAGGGCCTGAAAGCGATCGGGGGGGTCGAGGGCGGCGGGTGCGTATAGAGCAGACGGAAAAACAAGAAGCTACAAAGCTGCAGGTGGTGAGTGAGCTAAACAAGGTTCAATGACGGCCTGAGATCGATATTGATTAGAATATTATTGATGCAGTAATCTCCCTCCCCGCAATTATTGTTGTCTTATCACGGCCAATCAGAGTGCCTCGACGCATTTTCTTGCCAGATTGAGCGATATACGAAGGGCATCTAACCTACACTAGTAATTCGCCCGTGGCCCGAAGTGCCGACTGAGTTCCACGTCCCGAGCTGAAGGAGCAGAGGCCTTGCTTAACCCCTCATTCACTGCTTTGGCACTTCTCCTCACGAAGCAAGGCTGCGCGCGCAAAGACAGAAAGAACAAGCAGTGGGACAGAAAGCCTGCCCAAACCAATATGATCAGTCGACACAAAGGGAGAAAGTCTCGGAATGGGTGTAACCTATGCAAATTGCGCAAGGTATGGATCGAGTGCAGGCCCAGGGGCAAGCCCGAAGGCCTCTTATGTATCGATATGCTAGCTGACCCACATCTCCATCCCCAGATTAAATGCGATGAGGGAAAGCCTTTTTGCCAACAATGCCTGAGGAAAAAGAAGGACTGCCCTGGGTATTCGGTTAATGTTCGCTTTTCCTCAAAGCATGAGGTTTCCTCTATTGGTCGCCCATTTCATTCTCAGCTACCATCTCCACCTTCAGTGGTGGAGTGGAAACCCCCGACTCGAGTGTCATCAACGGCACAGCCGAGTCTACTGTCACCTCCACACCTAGCAGATCCTATTGCAGCCGTTGAAAATGACCATTTACATAATTTCCCCAGTCGCTTCGATGCGGATGAAGACATTAGGTCAATCCCAAATGGAGTACATTTTTCTTGCTGCGAGCTCTTAGAATTCACAGCAACTGCTGAAGAGGCTTCATCGGCATCCAGATACTCCGATATATCATCTTCGCTTGGCCTTAGCTCATCTTCACTGTCCTTGACCGAAATTCGCGCCCTAGGAGACTCTGATACGTTATCTGTGGTGTCAAGACCCGCTCAATCCATTGGTTTTCAAAAAAGGCAATCCGCATTGGCGCATCAACCGATACATGGTCCAACATTCCTACTGAGCTACTGGTTCAACCGCATATGTCCTGTATTTTCTACCTTTGATTCTCCGAAGAATCCTTTCAGAAACTACATCGACTACACTTGGCAGCATTCCCCTTCCATATACTTCGCAATGCAAAGCATGGCAGCGGCCTGTGTGAAAGATCAGCTTCCGCGCATTGCCTCTATCTCTATTCAATTGCGTGGGGAAGCTATTCGAAACTTGAGATATGAGCTTGAAAACTTGGAGCACAAAACTGACGTTGCCACCCACCACGCCCTATTCTTAGCATGTTTCATGTTAGGTCTCAGCGCTGCATGGCACGATTCGCAAGATCTAGGATTAATATACTTTGAGACTGCTAAGGGGGTCTTTCAAAGACTGTCTCTTCTGCCATCAGCTCAGTCTGACGGGGAAAGTCTAGGCACCTCTTTTTGCGAGAAATCATTAGTCTATTGGCAGATGCTAATGGCTCCAGTTTGTAAAGATCCAGACAACGAGATGAATCGTGGCGGTCAACTTGCTGCAGCCTCATCAAGTGTTGGAAGAAAGAACTTACCGACACCACCACTTTCCGTCTGTCCAGTCATTCCACATCCATTCACTGGACTAGCTGAGTCCGCTCAGGATCTCCTTACCAAAGTAATTGCACTCACGCGCCGAAGAAGAGAGCCAAGCGCTTTGGATTCAGCAATCAAACTCGAGGAACAAATTTCACGTCTGCCAGTTCCAAGTGAAGACAACATTCAAGATACTCTTGATTCTATGAGCCCAAGCTGGCATTTTCAAGTTGGAGCAGAGGCCTATAAGAACGCTGGACTACTCCAACTCTATAATGCTTTCCCCGAACTTGTAGAAAGCCGTTTGCTGAATGCTGCCAACGAAAATCAAGATAGCGAAAAATGGCTGATCTCACTGGCTGTTCACACAATTGATCTTCTAAAGAGAATTCCGCCAAGCTCTGGAACTCGCTGCACCCAACCATTAGTATTCATTATCTCAGCAGCAGGATTGAAGTTTCCAAAGGTAATCACTCGATGTCAAAGCCTGGAATTTGAGAGCTCTTTCAGCTTTGAAATATCACCCTTTGAAGTGGTTGTCGCGCGCAGCCGGACATTTGTCTTAGATAGATTGACTTGTTTTGAACGTAACCTGCCCTCAAAACCCATCTCTACTGCTATCAAATTGGTCCGTGAAGTTTGGCGTCAAATGGATGATGAAAATGAAGTTTGCTGGATGGATGTTATGGTCGACAATCAGCTAGAATCACTTTTCGGATGATTTGTGCTGCATGTTCTGTATAATAGCATGTTATCTGTGTGTTATAGGTTATTCGAGGCCCAAAGCGATAGGGGCGATGTACTCTTGCTCCAGAGGGCTGTCAGGCATGTGAACGCAAGGCTTGAGCCCCTTTACCTACATATGATTTGGAATAAATATTTCTAGGAAAGAAACGGCCTTTTTGTCGACGATGAGACAACAATCAATACAACAGCATAGTGATAGGAATAGGTAGTATAAACGGAGTACCACTGCTTTGCAGATAATCTCTCGATAGCACAGCGAATGAGAGCAATTATGGCCAGCTCATATTTTCTTCGCTTATTCACTTAGAGATCCTTTTTTCATTAGCTAGCCGAGAAAACCTTGGAGATAAGAGCGATTTGCGTCGCTCATTTTGGTAAGCAAATGCGGCGCCGATCTCATTGGATGAAAGATGTACCTAATCGTCAACAGAGCCATAGTTGTTAATTAGTGCTCATGCACATGTCCCTAGCGGACTTGTTATTAATATTTCAACCATTTTGTGTCCTCCCATAAAATGTTGAAGATTTCTGCTTAATGCATTTCAGCAATTTTTTCTTTCAAAATGGCCAATGCCAGTATTCTAGACCATTGGAAGGAATGTTCCCCAATTGACACCCTCTTCATTCTCATTTGCTGTGTTTTCTGTTGGTTGATTATACCTGCTGTTGGGCTGGGATATTCTGGATATTCGATCAATAGAAATGGGCTTGCATCGTTCTATCCAAGTCTTCTAGTCATTGCAGTATGTTCAATCCAATGGTGGATCTTAGGGTACTCACTAGCCTACGGAGATGCGGGCGGAGTATTTGGGGGGCTCGAAAAGATTTTCCATCTTAATGTCCTTGCAAAACCGATTGGATCTATCCCCGAAATTCTGTTCTCGGAATTTCAGTTGATTTTCTGCGCCACGGTATGCATTATCGCCGTCGGTGGTGCCTGTGAGCGAGGACGGATCCTTCCTTTGATCCCATTTATTTTTGTAAGACGTCCTAGTTGGCAATATTCAAACTCCAGCTCACCAGATAACATAGCTCTGGTGCACCTTCATCTACGAGCCTATTGCCCATATGGTGTGGTCTGAAAATGGTCTCTTAAACAATCTTGGGGTTCTTGATTTCGCCGGGGGAACTCCAGTTCATATCTGTAGCGGAGCTTCCGCGACAGCTATGAGCGTCTATCTTTCGTGGCCTCTCTTTCGTTCCCGCCGATCTTCAACTCGTACTCCACAGCATCTGAAACTCCACAGGCCGCACAATAGTATGTGTCAGCTTCTGGCTCTTATAATTATCTGGAATGCCTGGCTCGCTTTTGATGCAGGTACAACATTAGCGCTCAACTTCAAGAGCGTTTTCGTTGCTTACACGACAAATCTTTGTGCTGCAGCAGGTGCCATTACCTGGGCCAGCATGACGTTCTGGGAAACTGGGAAGTGGAGTCTCGACAGTACTTTCATGGGTGCTATTTCAGGATTGGTGATGATTACTCCAAGTGCAGGGTTTATTGATCTGCCCACTGCATTTTTCTTCGGCATTTTTGGGGCTTTTATCTGCAGACAGGCGCTGAGGATCAAGTTCACCAAGATGGCGGCTCGATTACGCTGGGTAGACAATGGGGACACTTTTGCGACACACTGTATCGGTGGCTTTATAGGAACTATCGCAACAGGGCTGTTTGCTAGAAGAGAAGTTGCTGCCTACGATGGTACCATGGAAATTTTGGGAGGATGCTTCTTTGACGGCCACTGGGCGCAGCTTGGGATACAGATTCTTGAAGCGCTGATTGGGTTTACATGGAGCTTTGCAGGAACATATGTAATTTATGCCCTGATCGATTGTATTCCGGGCCTGGAGGTCCTAGCGCAGGACAGGTAAGTTTGATGGAATTCGTGAGTACTCAAACGTTGAAGATACTAACTCTATTAGTGATATAATCCCAGGAATGGATGCTTCCCAAATGGGTGAATCTTTATACGAGGTACAATGGTCGGGAGAAGAAGAATATTCTCCATTCGCCGGCATGTGTCGATTGAACTAAAATACTTGTGAGGTAGGTCGCGACATACGTATGCATATTCAACCCCAACAATAAGTTCAATATCGAGTCCTTCGAGAACTGGCTTTGGATGTAAAAGATATTTATTTAAAATTCCAAATCTTCATTAGTCCTTACTTAAACAAAAAGTATCTTTGTCATGAACTAGAGAATCACATCCTGATTACCTCACTGCACTCATTGTTAACCAAATTGAGACTGCTAGAGAGAAAAAAAAGCCAACTAGAAGCAAAATACGACGTACACAAACAGGACTCGAGTTTTAATAAAATATGGCATAGAGCCCTTCTAGTAGAAAGGCTCAACAGGCATTTTTGAATCCGCAAAATAAAAATTTAATATATCAGTAGTTGCCTTTACCGACGAATTCGCCGTCAGCATTCGTTCTCTTGTCTTTCTGTGTGAATATTTGGCTTCGATCTTTCCCCAAAAAGTCCAACGGGAACGCTGCACAGTGCGCATATTACCCCTAAGACGACGGTCATTGTTCCCCAACCAGCACTGACCTTGATAGACCCACCAACTATGGGCCCGAGAAGTTGCCCACTGGAAAATGCCATATTATAAAGTGCATAAGCTTGCGAAACGGACTTCTTTTCACCCAGAGAGCCATCTTCAGGATGACCAACCAAGTAGGAAATTTCTGTCATTGCGGCCAGTCCCACGAAAATGAACATAGTCCCTACAATGGCCAAGAGCACACAAAGAATAATTTGGCAAGCCAAATTGTTCTCCTGAACGTAGCGGAGACAAACGGTTGCCACGGCTGTGAGTAGACATATCACCGGACCAATCATGCGAACGCCAAACTTATCCACAAACTTCCCGAAAGGGACGGCAGCAAAGTTCGGTAGTGTCAGAGCTAGGAATATCAGGCCTGCTCCCCTTGTTGACCAATGGTAGGTCTCCATTACAAAGAGTGGAAGTGTCTGTAAAGTGGAATCAGCATTTGAGTTCGTCTTAAGCTATGGGGATCTTATCAAAGAGTAAGGTCTTACTGTCTCGAAAGCCCCGAATGTAGATGTAGAGAGCACCGTGGCTAGCAATGCAAGTTGCATATGCCCCATTTTGAGGAGTTGAAAAATATTGGGTGAATTCGAACGATCGGTTGAGTTGGAAGCGTCTTGAGAGGCGAGCAAAGGTGACTGTTCGTCTCTTTGTTTGGAACCGGCTTGAGAAGATTTCGGTTGCTCTTCACCATTTATTTGGCCTTTCTCCCACCTTCGAGCAACTTTTGATAATTAGCAATGTGGAAACACCATGCCTGATTAAATGAAGTACCTGATTTCTCAATCATTAAGAGACGGAGAATGAAGTCCATAGCAATAATCGTCAAAGGCACGATGAATGCACCGATAAATCCCAAGCTTTGGTATCTGTGGTAAAGGTTAGTAAGGACTAAAGGACCAAGCCAGGGGATGATAATCACGTTAAGCCACCGATAGTAGGACCAAGGAGTGTTCCTACTGTCATAGCCATACTCGTATAGCCCAGAGCTTCTCCAACTCGATCTTCGCTTACAGTATCAACAACTAAAGCAGTTCCTACTACCCACGTTGCTGCAGCAGAAATTCCCTGGATAGCCCTTGCGAGGATGAAGGTGAACGGAGACCTTGCCAGCATGAAAAACACCGTCGAGATTCCTAGAGCAATAAGACCGATTGTGAAAGGGCCTCTCCGCGACTTGCAGTGGTCTGCAAAGTATCCAAAAAGAGCTGCGAAAAGTTTTAGCGCCCGAAAGCTCATTATTCTGGGATACCACTCAGGGTAAGAAGCATACGTGAGCCCACAAGCAGAGTCCCTCCATATACTGCCAAAAGAATGGAAACCCAACTTTGCGCTAGAAGTCATTGGGTCAGTATTCATGGCCTGTGTAGATTGACGAAATCAAATTTACCATCTTCTGGTCGCACTCCGGCACGGTCAACGATTGCCTTCGGTATAATAGGAATAATCTATGGATGAAGGACACTCATTAATTTCCAAAGCTCTCTGAAACCACAACATCATTCGACAGGGATTTCCTCTTTCATTCTTTAAGTATTACCAAAGTATATAGTAGAACATCCTGGTTTACTAGATCAGATTGGTGGCCAGATTTGGAGAAGAGCTAAATGAAAATGGTGCTCACAACAAAGAGGGCTACCGAAACGGTCAACACAATAAATGACTCGGAGGAACGGATATATAAGAAACGAGGTTTCTCTGTCGCATTTGAAGGCATGATCAACTAAAGAACAACAGCTGTAAACAAAATTTAGGTACAGCTTAGACTCACTGATACGGGGAGCCATGGGGTTTATGGCAGGGATTTTCCAGCCGTGAACCAGAACAGACCGACAATAATCAGAAAATAAAACAAAAAAAAATTAATCTTTCCTCATGATTACACTACGTAACAGAGAGCACGATTAGATTCAGTTGTGAGGTTGATTAATGCGATCTGGCGAAGATTCAGCTAGCCTCCGCCATGCATTTTTACAATAATGTTGTGGGTCATATTGCATAAACTCACGCTGTATGTATGTACGGCTTTTACGAACCAGTCATCTTAGCCAATGCACGTTTTAAACGGATGCAGAAGGAAATATCAGCGTATGAAGCCCCGTCCTCGTGCGGGTTACACAACGTACGGCTGATGATTTCTTGATTTTGCCACTTTTCATGGCGCGCGTCTTTTCCACTGTTATATTTTTGGGCAACATTGATTTATTACGGAAAATAATTACGATCTCAGGACCCTCGGATAATCCTCAGCTGTCTCCATCGGGTCTTCGAATATAGGTGCAGTAAACAACCTTGCATACTTCAATTCACCGCTGGGTGCAAGAGTCGTTATCTATATCGAAGTTGACAATCCTTCTATCGGTCTAGTGTGTGTGATACCGATCGAAACAGCAAAGTATCCAGTTATGAGCTCCCTCTCAGGAAAGGACGGTGTGTTCCAAAAGGGGGCGAGCTCGGAATGTTTCACTATGGAGGTTCGACATACTGCGTGTTGTTTGGTCCCAATGTAGACCTGGAATAGAGCCCTGAAGCGCAACAAGGCCGAGGGACAGCTGAAGTCGGAAATATTCCTGTTAACGCTAAGATTGCAAGAATCAGGAAATAAAAAAGCAGTCTATGGGACTGATTTATGTGATAAACAAATGTAAATACTAGCAAAATGGCCAACGAGTTGTTTGCTACTGTAAATTGAACTCTATGGTGTCTTGACCTGGTTTCATCCCCCCTCGCCTCGACAGGTTTTGTTCGGAATAGAGACCCCTTCTTTTGAGCAACGGAAGGTCGTCTTTGCCCATATTTTGTCTTGACGCTAGTATACTCTATTTAATCTCAGCCCATCAACTCGGGTAGTTAACTGTCTTTATAATGATATCCTTTTTCTGTACCAAAGTGTGTGTAATATGGAAGTCTACAACCATAGTTTGGTTGCTCCTCAGTCACACCGAAAATATAAATGTATCGCCAAGCGTTTTAGATAGGCCGGGATCTTCCAGATTTTGGGTACATTCTAAAGAGGAACATCAATAATGTGGATTCCGAAAAGCGTCTGCACACTTGATTGTGGCTCAGAAAACCTGCTCGCAGCCCATTTGTAGTTCGATGGCATTGTTACCACGCCCCGCATCTCAGTTGTCGTCGTGTTCGCCTCTCTTGGTTTTAATTTGGACTCTGAAAAGCACCGTGTCAGGAAGAGGTTGTGATCGCTTTCCGTAGAAGTTCCCTAGTCCGTATGCGGGAGGATTTGTATGGTTTCGGTAGCAGTAAATAGCTAGCAAGCACAACGGGAAATCTCAGTTATTTGAATTTGATGACATTCAAATCTTGGTCAATCTTTTCTTTTAGAATCTGTTCATAATCCTTGTGATCATCTTATTTGAAGATCACTACCAGCGCAAAAGACAACTGGCCAATTTTGACTTGGTGTCTGTTGCTCGAATAACGCTAGCCGGATATCGTTAGCGTCCTACATCATCATCGGCGCGCATTCCGTCGCGTCCCCGGATTTAATCCCTGTGCAGACATTTCGCACTTACCATCCCCACTATCCTCAACTCACTTGCGATTCATGTTCCGGCGCGATGGCTGATTATACGTCATGGAAGGTCACGGACCTGAAGGCAGAGCTCAAGAAACGCGGGATTCCCCAAACTGGCCTCCGTCTAAAACAGCAATTCATCGACAAGCTCACGGAGGAAGACGCCAAGTCGCAATCAGATGGAGCTCCCCCCGAAGCAGCAGCTCCTGAGAAGGAATTATCGCATGAAACGGCTGTCGAACCTGTTCCTCAAGTAACTGAATCACCATCAGAATCGCAGCAACCCGTGGAAAGTGAAACAAAGGTGTCAGAAAAACAAGAACTCTCACAACCAGAAGTGGCATCGAAAGGGAGCTCTGAGGAAGTACAAGATAGAAAAGATACAGTTGACAGTGCCAAGGAGAATGTCCCAGGAGAATCAGAGGAGCTCAAAGCTGAAACAAATGCTTCGTTGGAGGAGTCAACCGAGACCACAGCAGAGCCTGCTGAGAAAACTCCTGGAGACGCCGAGCCTGCGGCGGTTGAAATTTCACAGAGTGCAGATATCGCTGTACCCTCGGCGCTTCAGACATCTGAAGCGAATACTGAGTTGTCAACCCCCCTGCCTATCGAAGAGGCTTTGGAAGATAAGCGGAAGCGAAAACGCCGCAGCCAGAGTCCCGTACCAACCCCAGAGGCAATTGCGAATAAGAGAGCGCGTGCGAAGGAGGAGAACGCGAAGGACATGGTGAAGGATGATCAGCCTGTGATTCATGAAGAGACCCAAATGGAGACCGCCCGGGAGGAACAGGAGACACCAGGAGCCCAAATGGCAGAGGCTTCGGCTCCAGTGCCAGCAAAACAAGATGCTCGCTTCCGGGGACTCTTCGCTGTCGAGCCGGCTCCTCCCATCGCATCTTCGTCAACCCAAGATGTTGTAATGGAAGATGCGGATGTCACACCTGCTCTCCATGCTGCAACTGCGGCACTCTACATCAATGGCCTGATGCGCCCCTTTCAACCAACTGCGCTTCGCAATCACCTCATCAATCTTGCAGCCGCCCCTGGGGAACCTTCAAATCCAGAGGTCATCCAGGAATTCTATCTCGATGCTATCAAAACGCATTGCTTTGTGCGCTTCGGTGATACCGCCGCTGCGGCACGGGTTCGGTCGGCTCTTCATGGAACCGTTTGGCCGAACGAGAGCAATCGAAAAAGTCTCTGGGCCGACTTCATCCCCGACGAACAGATTCAAGAATGGATTAGCACGGAAGAAGCAGCCCGGAATCGACCCGGACCTCCCGTTCGTTGGGAAGTGCGATATGAATCCACCGAGGATGGAACTACTGCCATTCTAGAAGAGAGCGGTCCTGGCTCTCGATCAGCTCCATCACGGCCACGCGAGTCTGGGTTCACCCGGACGCCGCCATTGGGTCCGCGTGGCAGTGTCGCCCAAGCGGAGCATCGCCCATCCAACGCCCCACCCGCTCCTCCGTCGCGTCCCGGGCAGGGCTTCAAGCCTCTTGATGACCTATTTAAGTCCACCACGACTAAACCCAAGCTGTATTACTTGCCGGTTCCTCGCGCGGTGGCGGACAAACGGTTGGACCAATTTGACGATCTCTTGAACAAGGGCCCCTTTCCCCGCCGTGGCGGTGATGAGATGCGCCGGATTACCTTCGAAGATGAGGACTTTTTCGTGGATGTTGGCCCGGAGTACGGCCCCCGAGCTCTCCAACGGCGCCAGGGGCGCGGTGGACGGCCTGGAGGTCCCCATCGCCGATAATGCCGGGCATGCCGGTAATCCACGGGGGTGAAGTCCACGAGGCGCAAGCGAATCACACCCCCAAAAGTTCCTCTGGTCGGCTTTCGACGGTGCAGCCTATCGCAAGCCTATCGCAACCCCCCAGAGCATGTACCATAGTGATGATGTATAACAAATGCGGCGTTGAAGAATAATGGATCTTTCTACAAACCGTGAATCCCCCAAGTCAAAGCCATTAGCTGAAATAATTGACCAAGAAATAATTGACCAAGAGTAGCCGGATAATTGGCCAAGAAATACGGCGTACACCACAAACACAGTCAAACTAGCGCGGAGTCATGGCGCGACACGGACAAGCCTCCCCAAGCTTCGCTGATCCACAACCAAATCTCCTAATCCACTCGCAATAAAAAAAGCGATCGGCATAACGTGGCTGGTGCCTGACGACTGAGAAAGCCGATATTATGCAACCACACACCGGGTCTGTTCTGTTCTCCCTCATCTCGTGCTCTCAACTGTCAAGTGTTTGACCCGCATTGTTGATGGTGGCTGACCCCTGTTGATCGGCCCGGATAAGATAATCGGGGAAAAAAGCACTCTCCGCCTTCCTCCCCTTTCAACTCTCCCAGCTCGATTTCGCGACTCTCGCACGCCAGCCAATATGGGCTGGACCGTGTGCAATGCGACCGAAGAACATGCAAAGAGTGTGTGTTCCTTCCTGCTGGCGGTTGACATTGGGCCGTGAAACTAACTTGTTCCCCGCCAACAGTCGTCGAGGAGGATCTTTGGGATGGCGGTATTTCCTTTCACCAGTTGAGTCTGATCGTTGGTGGCGTATGTGCCCTGCTCGCTTGCGCGATCTCGATTTTCTTGATCATGGGCCATGCCATGCATTACAGTAAACCCATCGAACAGCGACAGTAAGTGAGAACCAAGATTAGTGGTCTTCCCGGGGGCCACCCTTTAACGGCGATGGCGCGAAAGAGACCAGGACTGACAATGTCTTCTTTCTTTGTCACAGCATCATCCGGATCCTATGGATGGTACCCATCTACTCCCTTGTCGCGTGGCTCAGCATCCTTTTCTACAACGATTCGGTTTATTTCGAGGTCATCGGAAACTGCTACGAGGCTTTCTGTATCGCCGCCTTTTTCTCCTTGATGTGTCATTATATTGCGCCGGATGTGCACAGTCAGAAGGATTATTTCCGTGGGATCCAGCCCAAAGCCTGGCTTTGGCCCTTGAGCTGGTTTCAAAAATGGAAGTGCTGTGGCGCTCAGCGCGGTGCCTGGCGGAACCCTCGCAGCGGCCTTACATGGTTTAATGTACGGACGCTTTTTTCTGAATTGAGATTCGGCATTCATGACTGATAAGAATCATTACCTTTTAGGTCGTTTGGGTCGGCGTCTATCAATACTGTGTTATTCGCGTTTTGATGACCATTGTGGCTGTCGCTACGCAAGCAGGCGGTAGATACTGCGAGGAGTCACTAAGCCCAGCTTTCGCGCATGTCTGGGTATGCTAACCACCCTGAATCTTGACCCAACAAAGCTAATGGGATTTCTCTCTGGATGTCTAGGTTATCGCCATCGAATCCGTCTCGGTTACAATAGCAATGTACTGCTTGATTCAGTTTTACTACCAAATAAAGGATGATATCAAGCAGTATCAGCCGTTTTTGAAGATTCTCTCTATCAAATTGGTCATTTTCTTGTCTTTCTGGCAATCAGTATGTTGATGCATGTCCCACGCTTCTATGAAATATCACTTACAAGGACTAGACTCTCATCAGTCTGCTTGTCTCGGCAGGGGCTCTCTCTGCAACCAAAAAGATAGCGATGACGGATCTCAAGTACGGCCTGCCTGATCTTCTGATCAACATCGAGATGTTTATTTTCTCAATTCTCCACCTGTGGGCCTTCAGTTGGAAGTACTATGCCACATATAGCCCAGGCACCGAAATCACTGATTTCTATGGCAATGGCAAGTCTTCCTACCAAGGCGGAAAATGGGGCCTCGAAGCGCTAGTCGATGCGATGAATCCCCTCGATCTCATTAAGGCCATTGGTCGTAGCGCCCGCTGGCTGTTTGTGGGTCGGAAGAACCGTACGCTGGACCCCAGCTATCGGGTAAACCATGAGACTATTGGATTACAGCCTTCCGAATCTGGGACTATCAGCGCCGGAGGGACCGCCTACCAAGGTGCCAGTCCAACCATTTCTGGTGTCCAAGGCGGGCGCTATGGTGGGGGCGAGGAAGGTGAGGTCCTTCTGGCTCACGCGCAGCCGAATCCGTCTTCTACAAGTGTGCCGGGCACTTCCCCTTGGGATGATGACAATGATGATTACCTGAATGGGCAGCCAGCACGCTATTACGGTCATACGGGAACCTCTCCCTATGATGATATCGAGCACCAGAATACTGGATACCAGTCCAATGAGGCTTCAGAGCATCATCACTCCTACCCTGTTGACGGGCCCCTTCGCGAGCAGGCTCCGATGCCAATGCCAGAGCCGTATCAACCCCCACCACCCTACCCTGAGAGTCCGCACCATTCATGATCCATGATTCATTCATGATTGTTTTCATATAATTTTACCATGGTCTCCATTCTGTGTAATGATTCGAGATACTTGGCCGTTTTCCGTTTCGCATTAATGGTACCCATGAGCAGCAGTTGGTCTGAAGAAAGCCTGGTCTTTCCATTTCTATTCATCTCATTTACTTCTTGGATTTTGCCCTTCTTGTCCTTTTTGTCCAGTCACGTTTCGGACATGAATACCCATTTTTACCCTTTGGAACGTCTCTCGGAGACTTCTCTTGATTACCATGCCATTTTATCAATGCCTTCTTTAGTCTTATGTGCAGCGTATAACGCTAGTTGTATAGTAACTTTTGTTCATGAATTGAAGAGAAATGAATACGGCGCCTATCTTTGCCTTGTTTTTTTGAAGGTCGTTACTAGTGTAATAAATTCAAAAGTCGTAGAGATTTTCAGCAGTTGATTGATTCGTGATCTCGTCTAGTGGAGTCGTGAAAATGGGGAATGAGCTCATAACGCCAGAGAAAGGAAAATAAGCCTCCTGCCTTCAGATAATATCCCATCCGATCCTTCCGTCAATAAAAGGCTCAAGAGTCTATGCTAGACAAGCTTCAGGCATACATCCCAGCAATGTCACCGTTTCCAGGGATCATACCCTGAGCAAAGAGTTCATCTTCGAATCGACTTGCCATAAGGCTAGGGTTCTTGCGTGCAATAGTCGCGTTGCGAGAAGATTGGATAATTGCTGACTTGCGACCGAGTTCGCGCATTGCCTTTACATTGTCCCCCATTTGACCTAATAGAGAAACTAGCATAACATCATTGCTTTGGGAGAGAACTTCCGAGGAAAAGCTGCTCTGTTCGTCGGGGGAAAGGATTGAAAGATGAGACAGGAGAGAGTTGGTGTTGCGAAGGATGGCATGCGAAGGCTTGGAGGAGGGTGTATCTTCCTCGGCGTTCCCTGATTCAGAGATGGAGGAAACGTATGATTTGATAAGCGAGATGCGCGATTCCAGGGTACGAATGGCATTAAGTCGGGTGTTAAGGTTTGCAAGCACTGTACTGCTGATTAGCCAAAGAACCATTGGTAGCAATAAAATAGGGAAGATTCATGGTGCATATACATTCTTCTTCATCTTGTGATAGTTCGACTTGGGAGCTCTTCTGTTGCTTAACACCACCCTGTTGGCTCGTGCTTGCCGTAGTTGTTTGAGATGGAATCTCACTTCGAGATGCGGTCCCAGCGACCTGGGCAATGGTATCAAATCCAATCATCTCCGATTGCTCTGTCTCCACAGAGTATGGAAGAGAGCGGAACCGAATATTTTGCGTTTGCTCCTCGCCATCTATCTGCATATCCTTGGATCCATCGCCAGTTGCATCGCCCTCTAACACGCTCTCGTATATCGTCAATGGCAGCTTGGCTCCATTTGACCTCGATTGAAGTTGTGAGGGGTGGAAGGCCAGGAACACGGCCGACTCATTGTAGTCCTGGAGGATCTGCTGATGCAAGGGAAGGTATGAGGCATCGGGACCTGTGGGGGCAGCAGTGGACCACCATCCAACTAGATCAAGAGCCGGGTCTTTATGTACGTCCTTGACTGTTGAGTCGTTAGTCAGGAAACATCAAGATTCAATACGCGATGAGGGGCTGGACATACACTGCTTTAGCCGTTCTTCAAACCATGTTGTAGGCAAGAGAGTTTCGTTATTGGTTCCAGTAGTAACTGGACATTCAAATCCATGCTCCAGTGTTATCTCGCGCCCATTCTGCTGACCCAAGAGAGCCCCAACGATCGGGCCTTGTTGCTGCCGTGCGGTATGCCGGGTAATGTGGTCAGATATGGTGAGCAAGACCAACGGATGCAACTGGATGTGCAGGCCCGAGTCAGAGGACTTCCGGGAAACGAGAGACTGTGCAGTATCCATCATTACTGGCCCTCTAGCGAATTAATGGAAGTGGAAGGCATGTGGAGTTGAAAAGGGAGCTGCCCCGACATAATAATGCCCAGCGATGCGGTCATGTTTGATGTGTTTGGGTCCCTGCTGCCTGAGGCGCCAGCGACAGCTTTCCCCGCTTGTGGGACGCTGTTCCGCTCCGATTATTTACTCGCCGCGATCGCTTTCGAGAGAGAGATACCTCAACGCCCACGATGGCCGTCCCGTCTACCTTTGATGCGGTAAAGGCGCATCTTGCCAAGGTTCAAGGCGATCCTTCAACAGCCCTTGATATTGCACTCATCGACCGGCTGAAGCTGCAGCTCGTCGAAAGCACTGACTCTGTTGTCCCCGCCACTCTCTTATCACTGATATCAACCCTTCTGCCTGTCCTACAAGAGGACCCTACCCCTCTCACAACCCTCGCGATAAAGGCCACCAGTTATTTCAGCTTTACCGAGCTTCGTTCCGTTGAACCCCCCATCAATCTCATCGCTGGCTTTAAGGCCCCATCCGCGCCTGTCAACCTACTTGCTTTATCACTTTTGGCGAAGGCAGGTCACGCATCCAGTGATGCTGCTATAGTCGCTGGAGACCCCACTCTAGTTGCATCCCTGATCGAGTTATGGCTATCCACATCTTCAACAGCGGTTGCACAAGCCGCTCTTGATGCCCTGTGGGCGTTGTTGGAAGTCGACTCAGCGAGTCCCCTCGAAAACGGCGAATATGATCATGCGAGCGAGGAGGGACACGTCGGACAGGGCCTCATGTGGAGGAGAGTGTTTACAGACAGAGATGTTTACGGTCTTCTTTTCGGATTGTGCAGCCTGAAAGAAGATGCCCCCGGGACGTTGTCGAAGCGCGAACGGACCGTGGCCCAAGGCAGATTGTTGGGCTTCTTGGTGAAGGCTGGTCATCTACGCTGGGACATCATCTCAAAATCTCAAGTTCCGGAGGTGGAGACAAGATACGAGAGCCACAGTCTTCTTCACTTCGCGGCGTGCCAGATGGTTGACCTCAGTGATGTCTTATTGCATATGACTCTTCTGAACTTTTATCGGGAATTGTTGGGAATTGATGCTCCAGGCCTGATCGCTAGGAGCTGTATGCAATCTAGATCAACCTTTTCTTCTCCCGCTCTCGATTTTCTCATTGCCGAAAATCTGCATTCGAAGGTGCTCCAGTATTATCTTGACGAGTCAACCTTGGATTCGGTGGATCTAGTCTACCTCTCTGGCCCGATTATGGCCTATGTGTCTAAATATGCCGAGTTGTACCCTAATCACCTTCTGCAGAACCCCTCAACTCTACTTGATGCCATTATTGCACGCATTACTCGGGCTCTTGCCATTCCCTCCACACAATGGGCACACGGGGAAACCCCGACGGGTCATCTTGCAGTCTTGGCCGCCCTACCTCGAGTTTTACTCATCGAAGCAGGCAAGCATGGCGCAAACCCAGTGTTGCATATTCCTACCAGCCCGCCAAATGGCGAAGCTCTGGATATTTTGGGCAAAATTTTTCATGGGCCTGCAAGAACTGGGATACCTGACTCGATGGATCTGAACACCTCAGGTCAAACTCCAACTGATTGGCACCATGAAGCCGCTGCTGCGCGCATTCTGTATTTCCTCTATATCAACCACAACCCAAATTTCTGGACAGACGTTGTGGCTGCTGCCGACCTCATTGCTATGAAAGACACTGCGCTATCGGCAATAGCATTCATGAAGGCCTTTGTCATGTCAAATTGGCAACCTCTCCCTCCCGCATCACATACTATTAACACCTCATCTAAGTATCAGCTACCATCCGAAGAAGGGCTTGGGTCACTTTCCCCTGCATCGAGCGGGCTGCTTCCTCTGTCTGGTCCCTGGGCAGTTCTAACCCCGCCTGCCCTGACCACATTGTTGCCTTACCTTTTCAAACCACCTCGATCCTATGCGGAATTTGTAGGTGGTGGTGCTGGTGATTCCCAAAATGCAGTATGGAAAGTAGCTACCTCCAAGCATGAAGTTCTTGTGGCCCTCTATAATCGGCTCCGGGAAATGGGTGGACAAATGGAAGGATTCGAGGATATCTTACGAACGCTACGGCAGCGTGTCAACGAAGGTCCCTTGGGTCCCATGCGACAGGGTAACGCCCAAATTGAAGCGGTCGGGCTCTGACCAAGTTTTAAAAATGATCAAGTGAAATTGAAGTATGAATCCAAAGATTTTGGGGTGTTCTAGTCCTAGTATGTAGATTGATTCGCTCACTTCCAGAGTAACTGATCTTCTGGTTTCTATGCTTGGTGGGAAGAATAGAAGTATAATAACCGAAAGCAACATTTTGGGTTCAGAGATAAAATATCTCATACAGCTCTTTCGCCCTTTCCAGCTTTTATTTCATCATATATGCTTCATTTCTCCCCCTCCGCGAACCGGTTGCTCTGCGTTCTTACCACGGGGCGGGGTAGGGTTGTGCTCAACCCTAATTCCCCAATCGGGCGAGCGGGCGGTGAGAACGGGAGCAGCGGTATTTTTCTAGACCCGACGCATGTCTTCGCTCCGCTGTCTCTTCGATCATGGCGCGGTGAAAGCCAAGCAATAATTCTTTCCGAGAGCTATTCCCATATATCAGTCTTGGTTCGCCATGTCGCGCTTTGGTGCAAAGGGCAAACGCGCCCCTGGCGCTGAATTTACTTGGGATGCTGACCCCGGCGGCGTGCCGGATACAGCTCCTACGCCCTTGTACCCTGTAAGTTTTTTTCATCTGCTTTGAGCTCCAAGCTCTTGCTGTGATGGTCACTAATACGCTCTTCTCGAATAGGCATATGTCGTTCCGCTTTCTCGTTCTCTGTCTCTGCGAGAAAAAGCTGAGGTAAACCACTACCGGCATCTTCGAGAACAAAACAACGAGGGTCCCTATTACTCTGTCCTCGATTCCTCTGCATCTAGTGCAAAGAAGGGCAGTGCAGCACGCGTCAACTTTGATCCGTTTCACGGCATGCCCTCGTACTCCGGACGGTACCAGAAAAAGCGGAGAACAATCCCCAAGATCGCCAATATTGGTCGTAATTATGGTAAGAGCCCTGGGGGACAGTGTGGTATGAATTCTGCGGCGAAGAACATATGACTGATCAAGTATCTCCTGGTCCTGAAGAAACCAGATTCTGGCCTCGCGAGCTGTGGCCGATTATCATGCCGAACTTCCGACCTGGTGCCTCGATCGACGGCTTCCAGACGAACATGGCGATCGCTGGAATGAAGCGTGGCTTTGAAGATGACGAAGATGATGCCGAGGAGGAGGCCGCCAAGAAACGGGCCACTGGGGGAGACGATGACGAGGGTGATGCCGAGGTTGACGAGGGCGAACTGCTCGAGGGCGACGAAGATGCCGAGGAGGAGATCATCGACGATGACTTCGAGGATGACGAAGAGGAACTGGGCGGTGATTACAATGCCGAACAATACTTTGATGGCGGTGACGACGAATTTGGAGATGACGGGTTTGGCGATGGCGGAGGAGGCGGTGGTGATGAAGACACCTATTGAGACGGTTGGCGATTTGAGATACCCCTTTTCTTCGTTTTATTTTCTTTCTTTTACCGGTCTTTTTTCCTTTATACTGCATTTGAGCGTTGTGGTCTCTTGGATACACCACTCCAATCTGATCTGCATCGGACAGCTCCGTGTTTAGCTGTCCAGGCGTTTTTTTTTTCTTGAAATTCAATTTACCTTCGAGAATTTTAAATCCATTTTCTCTAGATAGTTTTATGCATGTCTCAAGGCTTTTTATTTGAATGTACTATGAACGAAATTATTCAGACTGGAACAGAACTAGCAACCGCTAGCACACTAGTAGGAAGAGCCTCTTTGCATGAATCTCAAATCTCGGTGATCTCGGCCTTGATGACATCAGCCGCCGAGATCGCCCCGCGGCCAAATTTGGGAATTCGAGACGTGGGGTGGGGGAGCGGCGCATTCGCCCTTCAACGTCGCAGACCAGCATGAATGAGCACGGTTCTGGCCGCCCACGGTCAGCACTTATTCTCTATGGTTCCGAGACAGGTAACGCTCAGGAGGTGGCGGAGGAACTGGGCGCTCTAATGGAGCGGCTGCGTTTCGCGACTCATGTTTCCGAGTTGAATCAGTCAAAGCCTGTGAGTACAATTGGACAATACCAGTGCCGTCGGAGTCGCGTTCTGTGTGTCATAGCTCATATATATGAAAACGTGTGTTTGTAGGATGGTCTCCTCTCATATACCCTCACTATATTCGTTGTCTCTACAACTGGACAAGGTGATCTCCCTGCGAATGCACGGGCATTCTGGAAGTTACTCTTGTTAAAGAAGCTTCCTCCGACGTTTTTGAACGGCGTCAACTTTGCCACATTTGGTCTTGGGGATAGCTCGTATCCAAAGTATGATTGAATTGAGAGCTGAATCTTGTGGGTATGATGTCACATACTCATTATCAGTAGGTTCAATTGGGCAGTACGGAAGCTCTACAAGCGATTGCTGCAGCTTGGAGCAAATGATATTTATCCCACAGGGGAAGCCGATCAACAGCATCCCGAAGGGTGGGTTTTTCTCGAATATCTCCTATGTCTGGTGCAAGGCTCATTTAGTTCCATACGACAGGCTCGAAGGCACATTTATACCATGGATGACAGACTTTCGAAAACATTTGATGGACATACACCCCTTGCCTGCCGGTGAACATCCAATTCCGGATGACGTTCAATTACCACCAAAATGGATCCTTCAACCGGTTGATGGGAGTGAAATCACTTTGGCTCCGGAGATAATAACTTCAAATTCCACCACACCCATTGAGTCAAACGAGCACCCTGACTTGCCGCATCTTGACCATGATATTCGGCCACTCCCTGATACCCTCACATCGACGCTAGTCGAGAATAGACGCGTCACCCCCAAAGGCCACTGGCAAGATGTCAGACGTATATCTCTGACGGTATCGGAATCTGTCTCTTATGTCCCAGGCGACATGGTCGCCATCACTCCTAAAACTTCATCCAGCGATGTACAAATTCTGATCGAACTCATGGGCTGGAAAGAGCAGGCAGATAAACCGATTGCACTTGTTCCCACTGGAGATACAGATGCGCCGCCTCCCATACCTGGTCTTAACTCCTACCCTAGGCTCACTCTACGCTCCCTTCTCATAGACTACCTCGATATCAAGGCAATTCCTCGCAGATCATTTTTTTCGACAATTGCTCATTACACAAATGATGCAATGCACAAAGAACGACTATTTGAATTCACAAACCCGGAGTATATCGACGAACTGTGGGATTACACGTCGAGACCGCGACGCAGCATTCTCGAGGTTTTGCACGAATTCGACTCCGTTAGAATTCCATGGCAGCATGCAGTCTCCGTCTTTCCAGTGATTCGAGCGCGGCAATTCAGCATTGCCAGTGGCGGGGAACGCAAGCGAACAGCTGATGGAAAGACGCAATTTGAACTCCTCATTGCCATTGTGAAATACCAAACGGTGATTAAACGGATCCGAGAGGGTGTCTGCACAAAATATCTGTCCGTCCTCCGCCCGGGCAGCACACTTCGTATTCAAATTCAACCGGGGGGACTCAATTCCTCAGTTCAGCAGCTCACTGCCTCGACCGTCCTCATCGGACCTGGAACTGGGATTGCGCCCCTCCGTTCCATGCTTTGGGAAAAGGCGGCACTGGTTCAAGCTTTCCACGAGCAAAATCCAGGTGTTGAGCCGCCAGTCGGACCCACGATCCTGGTTTATGGCGGCCGGAATAAGACAGCTGATTTCTTTTTCGAGGAGGAATGGGGACAATTGAGCAAACGCATTCCTCTCCAGGTGTTGACAGCGTTCTCGCGTGATCAGCCGCAAAAGATCTATGTGCAGGATTCAATTCGTCAAAATTTTGGGCTTTTTTTCCGAATTCTCCACGACATGCAGGGATCTGTGTACATTTGTGGCTCGTCCGGTCGTATGCCTCAAGCCGTGCGGGAGGCTCTAATTGAAGCCTTTGCCAATGGAGGTACACCCTTGTCCGGGCAGTCATATAATCGGGCCCAGGCGGAGGAATACTTAATTGGGATGGAAAAGAGTGGTAGATACAAACAGGAGACATGGTAAACGCTGGAATTGATGTTTTAAGCATAAATGTCGTCTATTTTGATTCATTTACACTTTCTAACATGTGCTTTCGGCAAAAAATATGTATACAATGTGTTCTGCCAACACTCAGGGCACCGCTCGAAGTCACCACTTTAGTAAACACAGAAACATGAAGTCATGACGTGGTGGAGTCAAGTTGAATATCTAGACATGGCCTCCAGGGCCCTTTAGTTCCCCTCATCATAAGCATAGCTTGATGCCATGCTATTAGTCACAGTAGGCTGTATGTGCTTAACCTCGGCAGGAGCGGTGGTGCCAGGAGGGCTACACTCGGGCCGCGTCGGCGTTTTCGAGGTCTTGGCACTCCGTCACCGCAGTCGACTCTTTCCTCCGCCGAACTTCTTCAACTCCAGACCTGAGCTCTTGTCCTCAACGTCTCTCGGAATTGGTCTATTTTGTTCCATTCTACCGACGACAATATTCTCACCATGGCTAGCGGCCTGCGGATTTTGGTCCCCATCAAGCGGGTGATCGACTATGCGGTTAGCAATCCCCCCTCTAATACCGTGCGCAGGCGACCGGTCATCGGAAGCTCCCACGAGGACATCACCATAGATTGATCTGCCCCCAGTCACTCATCATACGTGTACGAAGCTGACCTCTATTGTGCTTGGAATCCACAGATCAAACCTCGCATCAACAAAGCGCAGACCGGTGTCGAAACTGCTGGTGTCAAGCATTCCATGAACCCTTTCGATGAGCTCTCGATTGAGGAGGCCGTTCGGTTGCGTGAGCGCAAGGGCCCACTCAAGGTTGAGAACATCCTTGCTTTGTCTGCCGGTGGCCCCAAGGCTCCCGATGTGCTGCGCACCGCTATGGCCATGGGTGCCGATCGGGCGTTCCATATCGACGTTCCCGAGGCCAACGGCGGCCCCGAGCCGCTGACTATTGCCAAAATGCTAAAGTCTGTGGTCGAGAAGGAGAACATCAACCTCGTGCTGCTGGGCAAGCAGGCAATTGACGGTGACCAGGGTCAGACCGGCCAGATGTTGGCTGGCCTACTGGGTTGGCCCGCTGCCACCCAGGCCAGCAAAGTGGAGGTGAAGGATGAGGCTGGCACCCTCGAGGTGACCCATGAGGTGGACGGTGGTGTTGAGACTCTGCGCGCCAAACTGCCAATGGTTATCACTACCGACTTGCGACTGAACGAGCCGCGCTACGCTAGCCTGCCCAACATTATGAAGGCTAAGAAGAAGCCGCTGGAGAAGAAGACCCTGGCCGATTTTGGTGTGGAAGACACCCGCCGGTTGAAGACTCTCAAGGTGACCGGTAAGTCAAGTCTAATATCATTTTGGCCTCATATCTGCGGCAATGGTTTTTCATGTCTTACTAACATAATTTTCCAGAGCCCCCACCACGTAAGGGCGGCGGCAAGGTCGAGGATGTCGATGGCCTTGTATCTAAGCTGAAGGAGCTGGGTGCTCTGTAAGCACGATGCACGTGAGGGCGGTTACCATGATTTTTCTTATACTTTGTTTCTATACCATCCACCTGTTCTGCTAGACCTGGTTTCTGTCTTATTAAATCTCACTAACGCCTTTCTCATGATATCTTCGGCTGATATAGCATATCTGCATGTTTGGGATGATTTCTCCCTAGTTTTTTTAAGATATAGTCATGGAAATTTAGGGAGATTACCAAGAGATTTATCTTGTAAAACCGAGAAGGGGACCTTCTCAATTTCTTCGTATCAATGTGATTGTTCTCATCTTCAATATCAAGATTTTGCCACCGGGCTAGTCATCCCAGATTATCTTGCGATAACGGACCGGAAGCTGTGTAGTGGCACTGCTAGTATGGCCAGCCTGAGTTCTCTGGTTCCACAAGGGGATGGCGAAGGTCAAATGCAATCTCGTACTGACATTTCTATCCGTGCTATGCAGTCACCCAATAATGATGGAGAAGCTTTTTCTTTTCGGGAATTGACGAATTCCTCCGCATCCAAGATGATTGTGAGATCCTTCATTTGCTATAATCAATTATTGAAGACGCTTGTCACAGGAAGAGTGGATTCTACGCGAGACACTTTTCTGCCCTGTAGAAGATGCTTTGTGGCTTTGACCATAGACAAAATTATGGAATCCAATTGATTCATGATACAATGTATGTTGAGTTTGGTCTAACGTTTGACTTTTTGTCTGAGAAGCTGTTTAATTATCAAGTTTAGATGTTGCCTGACCTTGATAACGACAAATGTGCCTCTGCACACCTTTTTCCTCCGTTAGCAATCAAGCCCGAGTCCTGCTGTCCAAAGGTAAAACGTGCGCCTCATGTATTTACAGTCCAACTTTGGCTTTCCGGTGCGTCGTAAATGTCGGCCAGCCCAAAGTGAGGTCAACCTACTACAAGTCAAGATGCATCGCTTTGAAGTGTTATTTAAGTGATTAAATTTAGTCTACCACTCTACGACAACTCATCGCACTCGCCTAATCAGAGATACTCTTGTTAAAACGTATAGGATGCCGGTATAGTTGATTAACTTTGCAATCTAATTTCCTTCCTTTCGTTACATGGTATTGCCATCTTTGGCATCCCTCCACGCCCTGTCAAACTCTTTCCAACCCCCAGGCGGCGCGTCCCACATGGCCAACTCACGAACCACTGTGTCGTAATATCCATCACTGGGCATATTTCCCTGGCAGACATTGCCTCCAACAGCGATGTTGATGAGGATTCTGAATTCACTCATCTTCCTCGTACCAGGCGGCTTCTCAGCCCTCATGATAGGTTTACCATCAATCAACCAGACCATGCGCCCCCGGCCCGTTGTTTCATCCTCGTCCCAGATAAAATCGTACCTCACCCCTACCGGTGAGGAAATGTTGGGGATGGGGGTTTCGAGGACTCGATGCTTGTTCCAGTCCTGGCCGTTGAAGTGGCCCCAATGCAGACAAGTGTGGTTGACCGCATCGCCATTCCACGCTTCCATTATGTCGATTTCGCCATCCTCGGGCCACTTGAAGGGGTCCTTAGGCAGCAGCCAAAAGGCAGGCCAGATACCTCGAGCCACCGGCGCCGTAATTCTAGCTGACAGACAGCCCCGTGGTCGGCTGAGAGTCTGATGGCTCGACAGTCTGGCGCTGGTGAACTTCTGGGCAGGGTCGGGATGCCCGTGGTTGATCAGAGCGCGCACAATCACGGCATCTCCCTGGATTGAATGGAATGAGTTATGCGGGCTGTCGATATAATTCTGCGCCTCGTTGTTGCCCCAGCCATGTTGGCCCTGCTCGTGACCAAAGTTGGTGAACACCGGTACTTGTGGATGAAGATTAGGCTGCCAGTATATCTGGGGTTGCGAGTGCTGGTCCTGATAAACTAGTGATGGTTTGCTGGAGGTTGGAATAGGCGGTGGGGGAGGCTTGTTGTACGACGGTACCGGCGGAGCGGCGGGATGGCTTATTGCGTCCCAGGCTTTGTCTGCCTTATCGACAATGCCCTGAAGCGCCTGTCTGAATGGCATATCGGGTACGATCTCGGTATGGATGTTAGGGTTGCACAAGTAGCGAAGACACGGAAAAAACAGTAAGCAAAGCTGACGTCATATTGTGGATATCCCGAAAGTTCGGGGTTCTGGAGTTCTTCAACTCCTTATAATACCCCTTCACCCCTTGTCATCCCTTGTTACCATCGTACTTTGGGAAATATTGCTCTTTCCCTGAGACTGGATAGATGTAAGCAGTGGACACATCCTCCTCTCATCGCTAAACCAAAACTCGGGGTATATAAAATCAGCGGCCCATCATTGCTAAGCGCGAAGCAATCGCCAGATTCCCATAGACCATGAAATAAGAGGATATCCCGACTAGGTGGTAGGTATTAACAGGCAATGAGCGGGACCCGCGTTATTCAGACTGTCTGGAGAAAAGGCTATATACATATTCTGGAGCGACCATACACCGAGCCAATCATTCAATCAAACCCGACTGCTCTCCACGCTATTTCCCCACTACACTATTTATTGCCTCAGGCACCAAGAGTATGCAAACCCTACAACCCTCTCGGGAGCGCAATCAAACTTTGGCATTATCACAAAAATTCAAGACCGTTGAATCTCCTAGTATATGGTCTATCAAGTGTGCTGAAACTTAATATTTTCTATCATTGCACCTTTTTTCTTTTGACTCAAACAAAATCATTGCCAACACGTGCTCCTCTGCTTGCACTATCTCCAAAGTATGGCAGAAGCATGCCATGACCACCCCACCCCGACAACAGAACTCTCCAATGCAGAGCGCTTCAAAGCTACACATCTCGCCGCGCGCCATGGAAACTACCACCAATATTATGCCAAGTTTCGGGCGCCCACAGTTCCGGACGAGCGTCTTTCCATTCTCCCATCAGATATTCTCCGCAACGCGCGAGTCATAGATTTAGGTTGCAACGCGGGAAAACTGACCTATGAGGCGATAGCGCACTGCGGCGCGGCCGCTGCAGTCGGCGTCGATATCGACCCGTGGCTGATCGACCAGGCGAAGGCGGCGTACCCAGACGGGCCCTGCACATTTGAGCACTTTGACTTCGTGGATACGTCCGCGTACACGGGTACCGCGCTGGGCAAGTTTGACGTTGTCCTACTGCTCTCTGTGACGAAGTGGATACATCTGAACAACGGAGATTCCGCGATGTTGACGTTATTTGCTCATATACAGAGCATCCTGAATGAAGGGGGTTATCTCGTCGTGGAGCCGCAGCCCATGAGCAATTATGCAAGAGCTTCAAAGAGAAATAAAGAATTGAGAGAGATGTATAAGACGATCCAGATTAAGCCACCGTTTGAGGATGAATTGAGCGCGCAAGGGTTCGAAAAAATTCTGAGAGTTGAGAGGGACGAAGAGGGGTTTGCTAGGCCTGTATATATATGGAAAAAAACTACTATCAAATGATCAATCGAAATGGCTTAAAACGAGTCGGACGAATTGGCTTGCCTCGGGAACATGTAGACGTTTTACTGGCTAATTGTTTGGTGAAAAGGTTATAAAGGAAGCATATTTGACGATTCCTCCATCAACCGATACTTCTCAAAGCACATTATTCCCTCAACATGGGTCAATGTACTTTCCAAAAGTTATGTGCTTTTCTTCGAACGGGGCTCTTCCTCCATGAGAATCAACCCGGGGTCGCCAGTAACGTATATTATTTTACTTGTAGATTTACTAGCGTGTCAGTAGTAGTGCCTATCCGGATACGATTTACCCACGATGTCCCCAATGGGCATTTCAGGCCAATTTCTCCTCCTCGCCTTCACAATCAGGCAATAAGGTTATATCACGTGATACGCCTCGGCCGGGTCTGGACCAGCCGTTCATGTAATGCGCCGTAATCACGAGGCGGCGTGCAAATTCTGCTGTATAGACCCATGTTTCGCATTCATTGGCACGGCACATCCCATACTCAATCATGTAGATCGAGGAGATTTAGGGGACCCTCTCTTCCTCCTCGAATACATTGAATACAAATCTTAAGTCCCCACAGCATCTAGATCGTGAAGTGGGAGATTTGCGGCTTGGCTTTCTGCACGAATTGTATTGCTTGAAACCGCTGCAGGGCCATCTTCAGCCGCGGCGGCGGTTTTTTGGTTGGCGAGCCTGTGATTGCCGGGGGCTGAGTGGAGAGGGGGGCGGAGGCATTGTGATCTATCGTCCTGTCGAAGAAGAGACAAGTCGGGGACTTCGGAAGCTCAGCTGATCGCGCATCATTGGCACTATTGACAACCTGCTGCTTTTTTGAATGCGATATCACACCACGATTTGGAATCACCACGGTACATAGAAGATTCCCGGCAATCGAGCCGAGTCAGAGGGATCTAGTTCGGAACTAGTCGATATCCGTGCGGGACTGTGCCAACTGCTGGTCGCACAAGTGCCGATCGCCCGAGTCGATGATGACGTCCGCGCGCGCGTTCCATGTTCCCTGGACCCGGGGATGTGCTGGAGATGCTGGTCTGTTGGCCTGTTGGCCACGCCAACAGGCCGCCACTCGGGCCTGCGATGGCTTTCCGTCAGACCCGTCATCGGGTTGAATGTCATACATAATCCTCCAATTTAGATGCCTCGCGCCCTGGTGCCTGGTCTTTTTTCCTTCCTGCGTTTCTTCTCCCAGTTTTCCTCCCCCCGCTTCGAACCTCTATACTTCCCTGCTTACCAATTTCCCTACTCGATTACTTTCTCACCACACCAATCTCCCCTGTACATATTCTTGTGCGTATAGATTCTCCGATCTCCAGATCCGCGCCCTCCACTGTTTGTGGTAAGCTTTTTTTTTCCCAACCAGTGTTTTGGGTACATTCTCATGCCAGCCCGTTGGTCCGCCACTGGTCGCCATCGTCATCTCTCCACCGGCGCCCGACATCATTTTATTTCCTGCGATTTTGCCCACTGATAGCTGTCCCCGAACTCTTCAAAACTGACGTCTTCTTTTTCTCCTCCTTCTCTAGAGTAGTGATCCGCTATTGAGTGGTTCCAGCCTGTGTCCGGCGAGTTGCATTCCTCCCCGCACGCATTCCGCCAGTGGCGACCCTGTCGATCTGCGCCGGATTCCTCCAAGAAGAGCCAAATCCCCATCGGCGATCGTCTCGGACATTCCGGATCGGGTTGAGAAGCATTCTCCAGTCCCATGCTGTTCGCAGCAACTGCGCCGCGTGTCAGATAAGTGTGTCGCTTATAGATTGGTGCGACAATCAGCCCGTTGGGTTTGTTTCCCTGGTTCCCCGTCGAAAATAAAGGGCCTCCCCTCCTCTCGTGGTTGGAACGACATCATGTCTCAATCGACATGGGAAAAGACCAAGCGCGTCTCCAAGCAGGGGTTTGATAAAGCTTGGAAGACCGTCGACAAACTCGGCGCCCCCGTCAATCGCCTATCCAACAAATTGGGCGCGGAGGCGTTCTGGCCCATGGCCATCGATAAAGAAAGCGACAAGGCCGCCCGCATTCTGCGGAGCTTCTGCAAAGACGGCTTTTATGCCCCCGAATCCGAAGTATATACCGATGAGAATGGCAAGATCAACCGGCCCAAGGGCAAGCAGCGAGTCATCAAGAAGATCCCCGCACAAGTGATCAAGAACGCCAAGGGCATTGCCATCTTCACGACCATGCGTACCGGGCTCTGGATTAGTGGCTCTGGGGGCAGTGGCGTGCTCATGGCGCGCGTCCCCGAGACCGGGGAATGGAGTCCGCCCTCGGGCATCATGCTACACACCGCGGGCGTGGGCTTCCTCGCTGGCGTGGATATCTATGATTGCGTCGTGATCATCAACACCATCGAAGCGCTGGAAGCCTTCAAGAAAGTGCGCTGCACCTTAGGTGGCGAGGTCAGTGTTGCCGCCGGGCCCGTGGGAATGGGTGGCGTGCTGGACTCCGAGGTCCACAAGCGCCAGGCTCCGATCTGGACCTACATGAAGAGCAAAGGGCTGTACGCCGGCGTGGCCGTCGACGGCACGATCATCATTGAGCGCACCGACGAGAACGAGCGCTTCTACGGGGAGCGGATCTCCGTCCACGAGATCCTGGCCGGCAAGGCCCGCCATCCACCTGCCTCCATCAACACACTTCTCCAAACCCTCAAAGCCGCCCAGGGCGACTCGGACGTGGATGAAACCCAGATCCCACCCCCGGGCGAGACCCCCGGCGACCTCGAGCTGAACGAGGATCAGACGGGCTTTGGTGTGCCAGCCTCGGACGACCCGGATCCTTATGGTGTGAAGGCGTTGGAGGCGGAGGGCCTGTTCATCCGGGAGGCCGGCACTAAGGTGAGGCCAAGTCCTGATGTCTTTGAATTCCGCCCCAATCCTAGCAGCCCTGTGTACGCGACGTTCGCGCGACGTAGCCTCGACAGCTCGCCGCGAAATAGTTGGCGAGCCAGTGTGCAGAGCTACATGAGCGTGGATCGTGGGACTCAAACGGATGATGCCCCGCTAACTGCGACCACTTCAGTAAGCCGAGCTTCCTCGCGGAGCGCTAAGGGATCGACGGATGTGCCGGCCCCGAACCCGTGGGAGGAAGATGGGTCTCGCTGGGACATAGTTCCGATTCATGGTGGCGAAGAGCGCGAGAAGCAAGAGGAGGAGCACGAAAAGCACGGGGTTAGTGAGGAGAAGAGTTTGAAGCAAGCGGATGGACACGCCGATGTTGAAGAGCACGAAGCGGTCGAATCTGACGACGATTTTGAGGTTCACGAAGTCACCAATGCGACCATGACAAAACAGGAGAACGCGGCACAGGAACACACAGATGCAAGCGAGTCCCGCCGGATGTCGCCCACATTCACACGGGCGAAGCTGGTCACGATCAACAAGCGTCCAACTCCGCCAGCGCTGCCTCCTCGTCATCCTCGTCACACTTGGGGCTCTGGGTCCAGCCGCGACTCGACGTCTCCAACTGCCCTTTCTCAATCAAGCCACAGCACGCAGCCGACAGAAGCGACTCAGGAGCCCGTGGAGTCGTTCGAGACTTTCAATGATGCTACTGTTCACCCCTCAAATGTGAAGACCCTTCAGACCAGTGCCGTTCTTCCTGAAGTTGTCGATGAGGATGACCTCGCCGAGTCTGATACCGAAATAACTGCCGACAAGGATGAATTCCTTTCGGCTAATGGCGACCAGGAAGAGGAATCGACCCAAGATGATGAATTGGTGAACGAAGTGGCCACTTTGCAAGCCATCGACGCAGACACAGATTCGAAGCAGTCTCTGCTGATCGTCACCGACCCGACAAAGGAGACTGACGTCAAGGATGAGAAAGAGCAGCTGCTAGTCGATCAGAACAAGGACGAGTCCAAGGCTGACCAAGCCGAGGAGGCACCCGACAGCCCTGAAGAAGCATTGCAAGAGCTCAAAGAAAAGCTGCATGAACCTAATCTCGACACGCCGCAGATCGACAAATCGCAGTCGACAAATGCCCGCGATGACGAAATCAGCCCCAAGACGCTCTCCTCCTAGGCCCCTGCCTCTTGACTCTGGCTCTTACGATCTACTTGCATTGGCTACGAATTCCTTTTTCTTTGTACACATCCTCATGATACCTCGTCTATATTTGCTTGACTAGTTTGGAGTTGGGGCATATCTCCCCATGTGTATTCTTCTCATCGCTCTTCGCCTCATCACCGCCACTGCATCGGAACATGTTTGGGACAAAAGTATGGGTTCGTGGGCTGGTTTTATTCGTTCTTCTTCTAGCGTTTTGCATTTCAGGAAATGGGGGCGTGTCATTTGAAAGATATCCTTCATAAACCCCCTTGATTCCGGGTATTTGTTCATTATCATTTTCGGATACTGCATAGCATATGCATTCCGCTCATTTAAGACTCAAAAATACATTCAAGATTTCACATAATCACCTCCTTGTGTGGCGATACGAATTAATGGGTCGCGGTTGCAACAAATACGAGGCCAAGCTAGTTAGTTAAGATGATCATAATAAGCATATCACAGCCACACCGACCAGGATCCTAGTCGGACAATACTGTTAACGTGATACAGTTTGATTCCTTCGGAACTTTAAAGAACCCTGTTCTACAATTGATTTCACCATGATCAGATGCTTGAACTAACCGTCGATTTGAGAAGATCATTGCTCAAAATTTACTTAGCAAATTCAGCCTAATCACGCACATGCAACAGAATGCCACAGGCAACTGTCCGGGTGGTTTTTTTGCATAAAGGGTCAATGGGCAGACGCCTCTTCGCCTTCCTAATAAACTGTGATATCGGTATCACGAAATGGATGGTGGCCAATATGCTCTCCAAAAAGCCATGAGGAAAGGCAGCCAAGGCCAATGGGACAAGGCTCGCGACAAAAGGTTCCACGTTAAGCGAACACTAAGTGCCGTCCAGCCCTTCACATGGCTTCAGAATGTCCAATAATCAAGATGCTGACTTGAACTTGCAGAGGTGCTAAGACAAGTTTGGCTAGTGAAAGTAACGCCGATGCTTTAGTCAACTCTGCCAAGCCGCAATCACAACCCCGCTCCCCGCTGTCTAAAATAGATCCCACCAATACATTATCCAAGTGGAGTTAAGCTGCAGGATAAGGGTCATTTGCTGGTGGATTTGAAAAATGTGGGTGAGAGCAGACGAGTTACATAAAGCCCAGCCTGGAGCTTATGGATCTTCTTTCTCACCGTCATCAGTCAATAATTTCTTTCTTTCTTGTCCGAATTGTCAACAGTCTCAATGGCTAGTGCGGCAATTTGGGGGGTCGTAGTCGGTGGTTTTCTCGTCTACGTAGTCGTCAAGAGTATCTACCGACTATATTTCCATCCTCTTCACAAAATCCCGGGGCCAAAGCTTGCGGCCATTACAACTTTATATGAATTTTATTTCAATGTAATCAAACAGGGAACCTTCATCTGGGAGGTGGAAAGATTGCATAAAGTCTATGGTACGTGACTGAAGAATAGTCAAACGATAAACATTAATCTTTCATAAAGGACCGATCATTCGCATATCCCCACGGGAGGTGCATATCAAGGATTCCGACTATTACGACGAAATATACGCCTCGAGTGCCAGACGACGGGAGAAGGACCTCATCCATGTAACTCGGCTTGACCTCAATAAGTCTTCGTTCGGCAGCATCTCACCAGAAGTCCATCGGCAGCGCCGAGCGCCCGTGGAAAAGTTTTTCTCGAAAGCAGCAATCACTAACAACGAGCATATCATCAAACGGTATTTGGACAAGTTCATTCAGTATCTCCATCGTGCATGTGAGTCGAACAGTGTCGTCAGTCTAGACGCGGGGTTTTCAGCTTTAACGTCCGATATCATTCACCAATATGGATTTGGTTTCGACAGTGGCAATCTTGAGAAGGAAGATTTCAATCAAGGCATCAGGGATGGTATCAGTGCGCTCTTGCGATCGGTGCATATCGCATTTTTCTTCCCATTTATCCAGACCATCATGAACGCCCTCCCGCTTGAGGCAGTGAAAGTGATTAGCCCATTTGCCTTTGCCCTCAAAGATCAGAAAAACAAAATTCGCAATGTGGCAATCGATGCGCTTGCAGGGAAGCGATTGGACAGTCCCTCAATAATCAGGACGCTGGTCGCTCCCAACGGACCGGCGCATTTACGGGATGTCGAGTGCCTCACCGATGAAGGATTCGCCATGGTGATAGGTGGAACAGAAACAACCACTCGTTCTCTTTCCATTGGTTTTTTTCATATTCTCAACAACGATAACATCCGAAGAAAACTTCGAGAAGAGCTGCAATCCGTGATGCCGACGCCTCAAAGCGAGCCGACGTGGAATGAACTAGAAAAGCTGCCGTATCTGGTATTCTTGTTTCCAATCCTGCATCAAAATTTCAAAATATTGACTGATTCCATTAGACCAATGTCGTTTTGGAGGCCTTGCGTCTTTCCACGGGAATTGCCAACCGATCCCCTCGTGTTGCGCCGACCGAGGCGTTGGTGTATAAAGACCATGTTATCCCAGCAGGCGTGAGTGATAGAATTTAGGAAGATGCGAGCCCAGAAATTGAAGGAAGACTGGTGCTAATTCAATGTTAAATGCAGTATCCTATTAGCCAGATGAACTACTTTGTTCTAATGGATCCTAATATCTTTCCTGACCCCCATACCTTCGACCCAGACAGATGGGCGCGGGCCGCTGCCAGAGGTGAACGGCTAGATAAATATCTGGTTAATTTCTCCAAGGGCAGTCGTGTTTGCGTTGGACTCAAGTAAGATATATATTGACATGCTTTAGTTAGCACCAAGAAAGGGGTTTTGCTAAAACTTACTTATCAACAGCCTGGCCTACGCGGAACTCTATATTACTATCGCAGTGCTAATCCGCCGGTTTGAGTTGGAGCTGTATAAGACAACGATCAAGAATCTCGAATTTGCGCGTGATTTTGGAACGCCTTGTCCCGACGAGGGCAACCCTAGTATTCAAGTGTTGGTGAAAGGAGTTGTGACAGAGTGATGGAATGATGCTGAGTTAGGTGGAAATGACAGCTCCAAGCAGAACGTGTGTTGACTGATCGGGAACCGGGGAAACAGACAGGGACTTTGCCAGCAAATCATGGCTCGATTTAGAATTAGTCTTTGTTGTGGTCGAGTGAAAACCCTCGAGATGTACTTAACCCCGCTTATCTCCGAGTTTAAAGTTCAAGTTACTCAAATTGCTCAAGTTGCTTAGCCTGCTTAACTTCTTTCAGGTTCGCCTTCAACTTCAACGCTCTTGCCTCTTGTTTCCGCCTTCCATCGTTAGTGCACGGTTTCCACCACATCGCAACTTTTCTTCAGTTTGTCAACGCATCCCCCATCACCACCTCTCGCATCTCATCTACATCGTGCAACCAGAACATCAAAATGCCTTCCAGCGTGCAAGCCAAGGCCGCTCTGTCCCTTATCGAGACAGACAAGTCCAAAATTCTCGGCCTCAGTGTGGGCACTCACAAAAACGTCCAGCCAGGAGATTATATTCCTCGAGCGGGTGAGAACCTCTTCACCTACCAGAATTTCCAAATTTGTACATGAACTAAATTTCCCGATACAGATGCCCAGTCGCCGCCTGAGCTCTCCTTCTCGGGTCTAGATTCATCCAAGACCTATCTTGCTGTGAACTTGGATATCGACGCCCCTTTCCCCTCCTGGGGTGTGCTTGGCCCCATCCTGCATTGGATCCAGCCTGGTGTCAAGGCATCCGAGTCCGGTTCTCTCACTACCACTGGTCCCTTCGTCGCAAACTACATTGGCCCTGCTCCGCCTCCGGGCAGCTCTCCTCACCGCTATATCTTCTTCCTGTACGAAGAGCCTGCCGGGTTTGATGCGAAGCAGCATGCTCCTCCGAACGGGCAGAACCTGAGTAACTGGAACCGCATGCGCTATGACTTTGATGCCTGGGCTAAGAAAGTCGATCTTGGTCCTATTGTGGCTTTCAACTACTTTACCAGCAACTAAATGGATCCGATTCTTCGGTGATGTGGTTTATTACTTCCCTGGCTCGCGCAAATGTTTCTGTGGCTATGACATGCTTTCGCGTTTTTCCCGGGTCTCTTCCGATTGAAGAGATATTCAGTTGAATAACCATTCATCCGTGGTAATATTTTCTTAACAGTCGATTTACTTCTCCATTTTTATTCAGATAAGATATCCAAGAGCAGTTTTTCCGTGTCGTGGCACAAATCCACTAGGATATGTTATGAGCGTAGTGCTAAATATGAGATACTCGTGCATACCCAAGGTCGTTTTTTGTTGTCTCCATGCTGTGCTTATGGTATGAACTTCTTTAAACTTGCTCCCAGATTCACTCGGCTCAGGATCTTCCATTCATAATCAAGGCTGTGTGAAAGCTAGACAGAAGCTCTTTAATATATCCTTTCTGGGTTCTCTGCCTTTCATGTCTCCCTTTCCTTGTATTCTCCCTTTTCCACAGTGCTTCTTATTTCTATTTTCAATGTTTTCCTCGGCTTCTTCAATACCCCATTTGAGTGTAGCTCAATGGGTTGGTTCTCTCATCCAATGTTTTGTACCCATCGCCTTGATTACTCTGTGAAACTTCAGGTCTTTTGAGCATTTCTGGGCGTTGAAAACTCTTTGAGCAAGTGCTTTCAATGAAACACTGCATTTCAGGCGCACAAATCGAATATCACATTTGATTTACGGTCTCGAATCTGGAAAATTATGCTTTCCCTCATTCATTACCACGGAAAAGGAGAAAATTGACTGTATTAACTAGCTCTCCAGAGTAGGATATTCTTTGTATTCCAATTTCTGTTCCTCATGCTTCCATAGAATCCGTGTCAATTTTTTTTCAGTAGATGTCCATATGAAACAGGTACCGCTGTCGGATTTGACAAGGGTCGTAAACGATGTATTCATTGTAAAAGAGTTTATGTTCTTGAGCATACGTTTTTCCAGCTTGAATGTCGGGCATCAACACATCCTTGAGCTTGTGGTGAATATACTGCGCCGATCTCAGTTGGCGATGCTGAAGTTGTCCGTGGGCAATAACAGTTGTTTTTTCTTCAGCCACATCGCGATCGCTACTTGTGCGGATAATGTGAGAAGAGCCAAGTTCGACTTCGCAAAGCAGTAAAAATGCCGGGCCGCTAGATGCACAGTATCTTGCAGATTTGCTCGACATGTCCGCGAAATAGATACCCGCGCCAAACATGGCATTTTTGCTCTTGTTAAATAAATGTGCTCGGAGCCCCTGGTTCAGTATTCCAATGATATTGTCACTGCTGGTCCCATGCCATAGAAGTCGACGATCTCTTGCTTCTTCCCTGTCAAATCTCTCCTCTTCTCCAGGACGGCGAATACGGAAAATACTATGGACCTAGAGCTTCTTGTTAATGCTGTTGATAATTTCTAGACCAAGTTTTTCGCATAGAGAAAAAATATACCATGTATTTCAAGCGGTGTGTTGACCCGATAGATCCATTGAGATACTCTGTTAATGCGCTGTACTCCGGAGAGTGAACCTGAACTATTGAGATAATGAGCGCGGCCATCTCAAAAGTTGACAAGAGACTGTGGATACCTAGTTTCATTTTCTCAAGACCTAAAGTGCGAAAGGCCCGTTGCATTAGTGCCTCATCCATGAGTTGTGAGTCTTGTTTGATTATTCTATTGATAGTGTTCAAATTCAATATGAAACGTAAATCCTGAAGTTCCCTCAGAACAGAATCCATGGTTATACACCCGAAACCAAGGGATGTAGAATCAATTCTCCATGGGCCATATTGATCAGAGTTCGATGTCTGATCGATCTGGTCGACTCTCAGAAGATCAAGATAGAAAAGCCATAAGAATTCGAGCCCAAACTCAGTCTTTTTAGAGCTTTCTTTCTCATTTGCTTTCAAGTTAGACCCCGTGCCCTCGGCTAAAATCCGGAGTATCCTTTCAAGGATGGCAATCGCCGTTTGTAATGTGTGCCTTCTGATTTGATATTGTGGTTTTTTGAGTCGAGGCCCTGAGAACAAGTTGATGAGACGTTGATAAATTTCTCTTTTCCTCTCGCTGAAGAGAAATCGAAGCACACCTTGAGCTGTGGTAGGGATTGGCTGTTGAACAGAATTCGACGTTGTTTTTTCGTACTCGGAGGGAGATTGAATGAATATCCAACCATTTTGACCTGGTAGAGAGCGTCGATTTTCCCACGAAAGAGAAGTTGCAACCTGGAATAATTTTTCAAATCTCCTTTTCCCCCATTTCAAGCCACCGATGCCTACTGTGGTTGTCTGTTCCATTGACCCAGCAACGGACTGGCAATACCACACGCAGCATGTATTTTTTTCAATGTCGTAAAGAAGCTGTATGCGATAAATTCCGGCATGAAGAGCACTTTTATCCAGCTGGGAGACGTTCCTGCCTCGAATCATCGTCGTGTCCCAGACTGTCTCGTCGGCATCCATCCACACAACAAGATGAGTTTCTGATCAAATTGAGCTGCCGAAAACATGCAAATTATTGATTCTCCAAGGATATTCTTACTGTCGCCTTGGTATCCCTCATCCACACGATCAGCCAGGTACTCCCTATTGGCCTGGATCATTTCCTTCGCACGCTCCACCGAACTTTTCTCATCTCCTACGCCACTGGTAAATTTGCGTTTCTTCTGTTGTGAGTCGCCTTCTTTTGTCACAGGGCTGACATTTTCAGCTTCGCTCTGGGTTGGCCTAAGCCAAAAGCTCTTCGAAGAAAGAGCCCGGTTCTTTTCGAACGATCTGAGGAGCCAATCAATACTCACGATATTGCAGCTCTTCTGTCCTAGAGCGTGTGCAACTATTGAAAATAATGAATAAGCTGGTTTACATTCCAGATTATGATGATCGTGCGCTTTATACCTTTAATGGTGGGATTATCCAGGTATTTTTGTGTCGTGATAAGGTGTGTGCATTGGCTGACGTCGAACTGTTCAAATTTTGCTCCACACTCCTCGATCAGGCGCTCAATGTCACCTTAATTCAATTAAACATTCAAATGCCTTGGATGATGATATTCGCATGTGGTGGAATCTGAAATAGACATACTTTGCGTGTGGCCAGGGATTCTGCCACTGGAGGTAATCACAAGCCTAGAGAAGGCCTTGAGAACCATTTTTCGTCGTCAATGAGACAATCGCAGCAAAGCGAGAAGATCTTGGAAGCATGAAAGAATGTTCGAGGAAACTAGAAGAGTCAAGTTGAAGAATGGAGCCTCAAAATTTTTCTCACCTCAAAGTTGAAGTGATGATGATAATAAAAATGAAGTTGAAGCTGTATCGATGTGGTCTTGGCAAATGAAGGGGATATTGAAGTTTGAATGGACAAATAATTTGAGCATAACGTATGAATAAATAATTCTTTCTGCCATTCTCCCACAATGCTCTTTCTGGCGTGTCTTGTAGATCTCTTTATTTTCCCAATAATACGTTGAACATTTTTAGAAGGTAGGCTTATTTGCTTTTATTGCTCCTTCAACAGATCTTCAATTCTTCCAGTCAAGTTATAGAAGGCTAGAAGTGATCAGCTTATCTACTTTATAGGTCTTGCGTGAGATAGGTCACTATTCACCATTTGAAGAATACAAATTTTCCTACTTCAAGATATCTAGGAGCCATATTCACGTAGATATCTCACGAAAAAATTGTGACTCGGTGTGACTACATTTTGAGGTTTGGTGGGAGAGGGCATTCGGTAATCAAGGCACCGTCCCTTTTTTTCTCTCTGGTCCAGAGCTCTAGAAACGACAACCCGAATGGACTGATCCAAGGTGATCCAAAATCAGCAGATTTTCAGTATCTTTCGCATCGAGCGCCAGGTTGAGGTGGAGAAGTTCTCCTAGTCGTGCTATATACTCTAATCTGGGGTTAGTGGCAGAAAACTGCTATTGCATGGCACACCTATAAGTACGTTGCGGTGAATTCTGAGTGAGGTATCTCTTGCAGTTGAGCATCCAATTACAATTCCTAGTGACTATCCTGATGAAACGTTCTCACCGACAAAGGAGGAGGGTCAGTCCGGTGCTGTCAAAGCCCTCGTTGGAAGCGAAGCAGGGAAGCGCTGCGCCTGCTTTTTGAAGTGAATATTGCCGCCAAAATATTCCTCCCTAACAAGACTCACTATAGCCAACATAAAATGCAGGTAACCAACTGTCTGTCCGTTTGGGGCTCGGTGAAAACACAATCTTGCCAGTGGCAAGCCGCCCGTTGCGTCCACTCAGATCTTCAGTGGTTACGAGGCCCGACGTGAAAGCTGGAAGAGTAATGGCCGATTGGAAACCCAACGGACTCCACCATAAGAATTACTTGGTTCAAGACCTTCTCGGATTCGATCACAATTTTTAGTCCACTTGAAGCTACTTTAAGGGAGGCAATCTGTCAATTTTTCTAGCCACGTGGATTTGAAGGAAGTAGATTATCGCGCACGACTTTATGACCCACCAAGACTGATATTTTGTATTTGGCTTGGTATAAAATGACAAAGTGAAGCGAGTAATCATTGACGAAGGTCCTTGGGGGATGCCTATTTGAACAGTCCTCATTGCCAGCCTTAGAAGGTGATAGATCTTACGAACTTTACTGGCTGAATACAAGGCTCGTGCGAGGCCTCTGCAGATCAGGATCGGCGGATCTCCATCGGCCTCAGCCGGAGTCCGCGCCGTTGCGGACTCCAAAGTCTATTTCACTCCAGTCAGCAACAGAGCGCTCGAACTAGTTTACCAACTCTTTAGTTTGATCGTATTCATCATGCTGATGCGAGCCATGTCCCCGCAAGTGTTTGGAAGCGGTAGTCGGCTGTTCCCCCATTTCTCCACCTCATCTCTCACTTTCCCCAATTTCAGCTCTTTGTCGTTACATCGAAGTCGTCCCTCTTTGTTGCTCTAAACAGCTGCCTGGAAACGTCTTGGCAGCTGATGTTTCTTAATTCGATATGATCTGTCGTCGCGAAAGGCAATTGATTCATTTCTGCTCTCAATTCGACGTGTTCTTTGCAAGCCGCAATGGTCATTGTCAATTGGATTCGTTTTGCAGCGCTAGCTGGCCTCGCCACGGCTCAGTACTTCCCACCCGCTCCGGAGGGGCTCAAAGTCGTTTGGTCCAAGCATGAGAAGGGGGTTAAGATATCGTATAAAGAGGCAAGCCGTCAGAATTGATTCTCTATGCTGTTGGAGAAATGGTTGCACAATCATCTACTAACATCCGGGTGCAGCCGGGGATCTGCGAAACCACCCCAGGAGTCAAGTCGTACTCGGGCTATGTTCATTTGCCCCCAGGAACTCTTGGAAATGTGCAGGTGAACCAGCCTTATCCCATCAATACATTTTTTTGGTTCTTCGAGGCCCGTCATGATCCCAGAAATGCGCCATTGTCTATCTGGATGAACGGCGGCCCCGGGAGTTCGTCCATGATCGGTCTCATGCAGGAGAACGGCCCATGCCGCGTAAATCCCGATTCTAATTCGACTGAGCCCAACCCTTGGTCGTGGAATAACTACGTCAATATGCTCTACATCGACCAGCCCAACCAGGTCGGTTTCAGCTATGACATCCCCACCAATGGCACCTACGATCAGACCGGCGCCGGCTGGGACGTGTCAAAATGGGAGCATGGAATCCCTATCCAGAACAATACTTTCTATGTCGGCACAACGACAAGCAACGAGCAGAGTGCTTCTGCTAACAGCACGGAAAATGCGGCTCGGTCGCTGTGGACCTTTCTGCAGACCTGGCTATCTGAATTCCCAGAGTACAAACCGCATGATGACCGTGTGAGCATTTGGACCGAGTCTTATGGCGGTCGCTACGGTCCATCCTTTACTGCATTTTTCCAGGAGCAGAACGAGAAAATTGAAAAGGGGACTCTCCCGGCAGCTAGCGAGTCTTACTATATCCATCTGGACACGCTGGGCATCATTAATGGATGTGTCGACCTCCTTGTGCAAGAACCTTCTTATCCAAAGATGGCGTATAGCAATACGTACGGCCTGGAGACCATCAACAAGACTGTCTACAACCAAGCCATGCACTCCTGGGGCCGGCCTGGTGGTTGCAAAGATCTGATCCAGCACTGCCGGGCCTTGTCCGCTGACGGTGACCCTCAGATGTACGGGAATAATGCAACTGTGAACGAGGCCTGTCAAAAGGCCAACGAGTACTGCAGCAACCAAGTGGAGGGTGCTTATCCCAACTATGCTGACCGGGGCTACTACGACATTGCCCACAAAAATCCCGATCCGTTTCCTCCTCCATACTTCCTCGGCTTCCTGAACCAGCACTGGGTCCAGGGCGCACTTGGTGTGCCCATCAACTTCACCGAGTCTGTCGACAGCGTTTACTATGGTTTCACATCGACAGGCGACTACCCGCGCTCTGACGTCCGCGGATACCTCGATGATCTTGCCTATGTGCTGGACTCTGGCATCAAAGTTGCGCTGGTATATGGCGACCGCGACTATGCCTGTAACTGGATCGGTGGCGAGGACGTGAGTCTCGCTGTCAACCACGCCGAGGCAGCTGCTTTCCGGGCCGCGGGATATACACCTCTACATACGAATGCCTCCTACGTGGGCGGCCAGGTACGACAGCATGGTAATTTCTCTTTCACTCGCGTCTACGAGGCAGGCCATGAGGTGCCTGCGTACCAACCTGAGACAGCCTACGCGATTTTCCATCGTGCGCTATTTAACAAAGACCTGGCGACGGGCAAAACCGATACAGCGTCTCATGGATCGTACTCGACCCGGGGTCCGGCGTCGACGTGGCAAATCAAAAACAAGGTACCCGAGAGCCCGGACCCGCTATGTTACGTGCTCTCGCTCGGTTCCTCTTGCACAGCCGATCAAATCGCCAGTGTTGTCAAGAATACTGCGGTGATCAAGGATCATGTTGTTGTGGATTGGTAGAGGCCATAGTGAATACGGAGAAGCCTGGTACCTTGGCTTGGCTCGCATTCTGTTGAGTTAGATTCGATACCATGAACGGTAGCAGGCATATCCGTGTACATGCATAACATGTATATATGGCATATATGGGATCTGTACGATACATCATCTCAAAGTATACTAGTCGAACTCGATCTTGCCGCGTCCAATTAAATGATACTCTATATGAAAAGCTGTCGTAATTGCTCCTTGGGGTGGTGCCCTTGATGCATTGCCTCTCATGAAAAATGGCTCATCGGCTGTGATATTCAGTTCTCTTCTTCTATCTATATCCCAGGACTCATGTTGATATTGAATGCTTGCTATGGAAGGAGTTCGGGTATCAAGGGCACGTGAAGCCCATTGTGAAGGCGCGGATCGCAAGATCTGCAAGCACGTTCGGCCCTTGAGTGTTGATCCACGGTTAATCGGCTCATGAATCATTGGTTCATAAAGGCAGCCAGCACATTTTTTTCCATCATCTCTTGCCCTATACTTCTTCCATCCTCTCATGAGCCCGTAGATCTCACCCCGCGCGCCAAGATGCCAGAGACATAATCTCTTACTAGCCGGGTGGGGCGCGGGCCGCTGATGATGGTATGGATCGCGATACCAGCGGGCGTCAAAATGTAAAGAAACTCATCAAAAGAACGCACATAGCTCCCGCAAGAATGAATGAATAGATCTTTTGGTATTTCAGGGCCCCAAGAGCATCCGGTCTACTGTGAATGGACTGGACGACCGGATCAAGGGGTGGAAGGTTCTCGAAGCTTCCAACATGCCCTGTTCGGTGACTCCGTCGACGTCACCTGAAGCGCGCGCCCAACAACCAGAGTCAAGTTCCAAGTCGTACTTCCCTCCCCGCGCTTGACTTCACTCTTCAAACTTCGGACACCAGAGTTCAAATTGCTCGCATTTCCACCTGCCAAGCCTCTTTCTGGTCCATCTTCTCTTTTTCTTAATTCCCTCGATTCATTAACCACCCCACCACCCAGACCGCTTTGTCTCGGGTGCGGAAGCTTCTACGTCATTCGAGAAACAGTGACGACTCTCCCCAGGAGTTCTGATCGACCTCGTTGAACAGGACCCTTGGTTCTTAAACAGCGCTTGGCTCCTACACGCCCGCGCTGAGTTGGCCATTCTATTACAACAGAAACTTAATTTAACCCCCCACAACCAATCCCACACGCACGATGGTGGCTGAGACGAAGCTCTATGATGCTTTGAGCATCAAGCCCAGTGCCACTCAAGATGAGATCAAGAAAGCCTATCGCAAGGCTGCGCTCAAATATCACCCGGACAAGAACAAGGATAATCCTCAGGCATCTGAGAAGTTCAAAGGTATGCAACTCACACCCGAGCCATCGACTTGCGAGTAACCCCACCCCATCCCATTTATGATACCTCGTGAAACAGCAAAAGCTAACCTCTAATTACCTGCCACAACAGATGTTTCCCAAGCCTATGAAGTCCTCTCCGATCCCGAGAAGCGCAAAGTCTACGACCAGTATGGCCTGGAATTTCTTCTTCGCGGCGGACCTCCTCCATCTCCCAGTTCAGGCAGAGGGGGTGCCAGCCCCGGCGGCATGCCTGGTGGCTTCTCGTTTGGTGGTATGCCAAGCGGCGGCGGAGCACGAACATTTCACTTCTCGACCGGCCCTGGTGGTAGCAGCGGATTCCAGTTCAGTAATGCCGACGACATCTTCCGCGAGTTCGCCAAGGCTGGCGGTGGCGGCGGCGGCGGCGGCATGGGTGGTCTTGACGATGATATCTTCTCGATGCTTGGCAGTGGTCTCGGGGGTGGACGCGGGGGTTTCCGCGGACGTCCCAGTAGTGGTTTCTCGCAGAAGCCGAACCGGGCCCCGACACCTGAACCGATAGTGGCAGAGAAAGAACTGCCGTTGACCTTGGAGGAGATTTTCAAAGGAACGACCAAGACAGTGCCCACGAAGAGCAAGACGTTTGATGCCAGCGGTAAGCGCACCGTACAGGAAATCCCACTGGAAGCGGTCATCAAGCCCGGCATGCGCGCCGGCACCAAGATCAAGTACAAGAATGTTGGGGACGGCGAAGAAGGCGGCCGACAGGATATTCACTTGATCGTGAAAGTGGTATGTAACATCTCCCTGACGTGAACCCAGTAACTGGGCTATAGCTAACAGTCCCACAGATAGATCATCCAGAGTTCAAGCGTGAGGGCGACAATCTCGTGAAAACCGTCGACCTTAGTCTAAAGGAAGCTCTGACTGGTTGGGAGCGCATTGTTCGCACCATCGATGGAAAATCCATCCGCGTCACCAAACCTGGTCCCACACGGCCTGGGCATGAGGAACACTACCCTGGATGGGGCATGCCAAACTCTAAGAAGCCGACCGAACGGGGCGAGTTGGTCGTACGTGTGAATGTCATATTTCCCACCAGCCTCCCTTCCGAGACCAAAGAAGTCCTCAAAGACATCCTTCCCTAAAATCCTCAAAAATCGGCGATCTATCGACTATATGGCATTTATTTTGGCGTTGGTGTGAGCGTTTCATTGGGTGGTAAATAATGACTGCAACGAACAACACTCTGTTTTATTTTGATTCACCCGCTTCTACCATGTTGTTATATTCTATTTTATCTATTCTCCGTCAGCAATCGAGTCAACCACAACATCCATGCGGTATGGGACTCTAACGTGGACGGTGAAGCGACGGAGAAGCCGCTTAGCGTAATTTGTACATAGACAGTCTAAACCCATTCGGGGAATGCGGAGAAGCACCTCGACTTGGAGAAATCAACATCTTGACCTTTCCCCTTCCTCCTCCATACTCCCTGCCAACATTTTGACTTACTGAAGCCATGAAACGGAGAATTACCTTCATTCAGGGTACAGAGAGCCCCTTCGAGCCCCACCAGGCCGTCCTGTCCTCTTCGACGCTATCAGTTCGCGCTCTCGAAGCGGCGCGGGAGGACCGCATTACCTTCGACCTCAGCGACCTTCCAGAGGAGGTAAGAAGAACAGTTCCCAACTACCTCAACAAATAGTCTATTGACCACAAACCTCCATTATTATCGTCTAGGTTCGCACAGTCCTTGAGAAATCCCACGAACTCCGCCTCCGCTGGGCGTCCGAACACTCCTATGACGCCGTCCCGCCCTTCCCCAGCAGGATCTCGCCCGGTTTACATGTACACTACACGCCCTTAGAAGCAGATAAGTCATCGTTAGTTCATTGCTTGGTATCGAGAAGCAAGTTGGGATCAGCGATTTACTGAATCTTATGAGCAGGCAAGGGCTGTGCTCGTTTCTCCGCAAGGCGTTCGGTACTGAAGAGGGGCAATATGCTGTGAATTGCGCCAGACCTCAGGTATATTGATAGCGACCCAAATGAAGACATTTCGCTTCGTTTGACTCTTCCATTTTTGCCAATCTGCTTCTGACAATGTTCCCTGGCTCAGGACGCCTTCATTACGCCCCCGCTTCTATCAACGACGATACACGCTGCCTCGGCCCCCCTTCAATACTACACAGAGCTCCCAAGCCTCAAATCTCTTGTCGCATTTATTCGTCGGTTGGCTTGTCACCAGCTTCAAGCTGGTGGTGCTGAGTGCCACGGCCGCGCAGATTCCCTCCTTACCGCCGACGCCGTCGACATCGACTATGACAACGCTTCGCATACATTAAGGGTGACAGGACTATGGGCCAGCGCCCCCACGGGTGGCTGGACGGAAGATATTCACAAGCCGAGCTCGGATGAAGATCAGGTTGAGTTCGGGCTCTTGGGTGTAGAGCAAGCGATTCATGCCAAGGACATCAAGATGGGCGGCTTGCTGGCTGTTGTCGGTAAAGATAAGAAGCTAAGTAAGCTCTCGGCAATCCATCGATTCTATAATGGTAGCTTCAGAATCGAATATCTAACATGATTCAGAGCCCACAATGTTCTCGTTCCCATCGCGGCATCACTCTCTCCCCATGGAAGCCAGCTATACTGTCTCCTTCAACAAGCCAACTGGCTTACACCCAACGATGGCAATCACCATGTCACGCTCTGCTCTTCATCGACCACCTGCACCAGAAGAGGCAACCTGTGCTCTATACACATACCTCACTCTCCCATCATCTGTATTCGGTGATCAGTACCAACTCGGCACCACCGACCCCCTCTTCCTGCAATCTCACAACCTAGTCGCCCTCCGCGCCCATGCCGGCGAAATGGATCTCGAGGCACCAGATTGGGCCGTGCAGGCCTGGGGCTCGACCTGGCTCTTTGAGCTCTCCACACCCGAGCACAAACCCGCAGACGCAGCCTCGAACTGGACCGCCACCATCCCGTTGCACCTACGATATCTGCGCCCGTCTGAGTCCGGATACCGCGCCGCGCATGTACCCTGGCCCATCATTTTCTGGGCCTGCACGCCAGACGATGACTCCACGATGGGCGTTAACCCTTTTGACCGTACCAGTCTAGGCTGGGACGAACTGTTCGCGCCGTCGACCATGTTCTACCAGCTTCATCCGCAAACTGAGCAACTCGTCGAGAAAATCGATGTCCCCGTTCTGCAGCTCAAAGATAGTGACGGTCTGTTCCAAGCACGAAATATCGAGCTCGGCACCTCCGCTGTCATTGTCCTTGGTTTCTTATGGGTACTATGGCGGCTTTTTCGGGTTTCTTTCTCGCGCGGCTCTACGCGGAACGAGCGTGTTCATGATAAGAAGGAATAGGAGGTTGCAGGAGTGCTCTTATAGACTTTATTAGGGGGGACTATCTTTCTCATTGGCGTTCGAGGGTATATCAGTATCATTTTGTTGTTTTTTGGATTTCATCACATGGATCATTACCACAAGGCGTTTTCCAGAGCGGCGACCTTCTCACCTCGCCCCCGCGCAATACACAATATCATTTCCATAGAACCAGAAAGGGGGTATCACATTCAACCAAAAAGTGCCTTTGCCTGCTTCCACCATTCATACCACCGTAGCACATACTTAAACACACACGCCACACCACACTACTAGACTCCACTCAAATGCCCATCTCAGGTAGTGGCCACGGCACATCCGTCATCAGGAACTGATCCAGATCAAAGTTCTGTAAACTAGGCATGTCAATGACCAAATCCTCCAGCCACGACAACTCCGCCTCAGACACGGGCCCCAAGCCCTCGACCGGCTTCGCCTCCACCTCGGTCCCCGACGCCGCCTCCTTCGGCCGCACCATCTCAGCCTCCGGTGCCGCTGCCGCGTTCGCGCGCAACACCTCCGCCAGCGCGCGGGTGTCGTCCTCCTTGCGGCGCTGGTGCATCGCGATCAGCAGGTACGCCGTGGAGTAGGCCTCGCGCATGACGGGCGTATCATAGGCGGTCAGAACCGTGCGCAGCGTGTGCATGGCGTCCGGGAGAAGGCCCAGAGCGGCGCGGTTGTCGATCGCCAGCAGCGTGCAGACGACCTGGAAGGGGACATTTGCAACCTGGTGCCAGGGGCAGGTAGCGGCGACCATTTTGCAGGCGGCGCGCAGGCTGCGATCCGCGAGCCCGAGGATGTGGTCGAGCTGGTGAGTGGACAGTGGGGGGTGGGCGTTTAAATTGAGGGCGCGGATACGCCGGTAGATGCAGAGCATGAGATTGCATTGGACGAGAATCAGGGACGGCTCGGAGTAGACTAGGTTGAGTACAGAGGTGAGTGTTGATTCGAGGGTGTGGAGATCCTGCGGTACCGGGCCCGTGGGATCGAGGCTTTCGGTGAGCTGGAGGAGGTGGAAGAGGTCGACACGTGCGGTTGGGTGACTGGAGTGTGTAGCTGGGATTTCGGATAGTGCGCCGTCTAGCGTGACGCGCGAGCGACCGAGGTCGAAAGACGTCCAGGTGTTGAGGTGGCGGGCCATGCCGAAGATTCGTCGGCGTAGGTCCGGGCTTTTAGTTGCTTGTGAAATAGTGGTACTAGCAACGTTCTCGGTTTGGCAGGTTCCTGAGGCTGAAGATGAGACAAGCCCATTGGAATTTGGGGTTTCGAGATGAAGACCAGCGGCCTCGATAAGGTGCATGAGCGTGCAGCTAGCCATCCAGGCTGCGTGCGGCGATGCCGTCATGCGCAGATAAGCTGTGCGAAGAACCCAGCCGGTCACATTCTCGACGGTTGGGGGCTCTGCGCCCAGTACGCTCCTTTCTAGGATGATGCGAGCTGAGTCAACAAGATGAAGCTCGGTTGGGGAAATGTGACGCCGCGAAAAGAGATATCCAAAGGCTGCAATACCAAGGAGAACTACATCGTCTGGGTGATGATCTGGCAACACAACACTTGATAATGGCAATGCAGCCCAACGCTCTGCGATGCGTTCATTGACGGTCTTTGAGTCGAGAAATGCATAGCACGGATCAACTTTCTCAAAGTAGATGGCTGTCAACCGCTTCATCTCTTCTTGTGAAATGATATTGGTGATCGATGGCGGTACCGGCGCCAGCGTCGGTCCCGATGTCTCAAGTGCTGGTGACTTGCGCCTCTCACCAACATTCCATGCGAAAAGATGCAGTCGCGGTGCGCGTGCTGGGTCGATCCGCAGGCCGAGCTTGCGAACGAATGCGGCACCAGAATTGGCTTCCAGGGACTGACTCAATCGTCGGGTGTCGTTGAGAAGGCAAGACGCCGGTGATGCAGCGCTGCCACTTGCGCTGGGCACGTGCGGCAATGGGGGTTGTTCCAACTATCTGGAGGTTGCTGGCCTTCCCCTGGCGCTGGTAGAGGAGGGCGATATACATCATTGGATCTGGCTCGTTTCTTACGCGGTGCCGTGCTGTATTGACATACGATGCCAGCCTGGGCGCAGGTGCTGCAGGGCTGCTCGCCCGAGCATTTTCGCTTGCGGGACTGGCAGGATAGGCAAGCTGCACGGGAGCGCTTGCGAGGAGTTGATTCGGCCATGGAACAGAGATAGTCAGCACATTATGGAAAGCGAGAATCTGGAGTGTGGGGGAGTTGCAGGGTGGAGTTCGAGACTCGGTTCATGAGAGACTATGAGCTAAGGTTCCCCGCCAAGCGCGAAAAAAGCCGGGGGGCGCGCGTTTGGCGTCCACTGTGGGCTATTTTTGACAACACTTCGAGATAAACAAGACAACTACATGATACAAGATACTTTAGAAGGAGTTGACCAGGCCACGAATTTTCGGGGATGGCCCTTCGAGCACGGATTCTGGTTTGTACGATGTACATTATAATGTAAAGTATACAATGTGCGACGTACGATGCACAAAAATGCCGCGCTGTCGCTCACTCCTCGTACTTGCGCCCATCCGGGTAGCCCATTAGATCTTCGAGCTGCTTCAAATCCGGCATTCCCGCCGGTCCCGGCATGTACTGGACGTTGTCTCGGACGGTGGTTCCATTCCACCAGATTTCGTTCTTGTATAGAGCGTCCATGATTCGTGGCGCGTCAATGTAGGTCCGGATCTCGACCATCTGCTTCCTAAACCAACGGGTAACCCAGACATTGACAATGTCGAATTCATCGCCTATACCTTCTCGTCAGATGCGGAGGGTTCTTGTAGGGTATCTATAGGTAAAAAGCAGCGGATTCCATGGCAGTAGACCTCAAGATCCCAGATTTGTGTTCCATCGCCAGCGTCTTACCAGAATTCATTACGCCCTTAAAATTGATTTCCTGTACTGACCACTGGCTATTACAGCCGCCATGGATGGCTTGAGGGTGGATCTCGAACTTGTCCACATGGTCGAGGAAGAGCACGCTGACTCGGCGCAAAGCGTTCACGTAGAAGTGTAGTAGATCATGGTAGTGGCCTGCAATGGGATGGTGGCCGACAACGGTAAAGCTGACATTTTTGTGGATCAGCGTAAACAGCTTGCTCATGTCCTTCTCGAGGTCTTTAAAGGAATCCCAGATATGCATCTGCGACACGAATCTGCAGTCCGTGGACGGATTCTCGAAGTGAAATCCTTCCCGGTCACGCGGAGCTGGATCGTGAATGATGCCGTCTCCATTGCAACGCCCATCGGGATCCACCAAACCAGACCCATCGCATCCGGGCTCTTCAACCGTAAGGGATTGCTGTAGTGGATCGCCGAGGGCACGACCAAGGGCGGCTGGGGCCCCGATCGACAGGGCCACGGCAAGATATGGCAGGAAGATCATAGCGGATGATCCTGGAAACTAGAGGGTGCGTTTAATGCGACCAAAAAATTGTTTATTGGTTGGACCAATATTGCAATATCGTCTGGTCGAAATAGGATATAGGTGGCTTCATAGTTTCGGTTTCCTTGTTCTGCCATTAGACCCCATTATATATTCTATAAACATGTATATCTCTCCTTTATTCATGGCGATCAGTCTTCCACCCAGTTTGACTAGAATTAGCCGTAGGTACTCAACTGCCCATTGGCTCTAAGGGTCTTTTGTCACTGCATAGTAGCACAAGCACACCACCCAAAATGCCCCGACGGTAGAGAACAATAAACTCTCAAAGAATGTGGTTAGGTATACGTATCTTAGGTATACGTACATCATACCGACAGTAGTAATGTTATTAATATATTATAGCCAATAAGTGTATTCTCATTGATAACCAAAATTACCTGCACCCTCCATTCATTTTGACTAGCATCCTGCAATCGCGACTGATCCTTCGACTTCTGGTTCGCTTCTCCACCAAATCCCTATGTGGCGGTGTGCGCTACTCCGGCGACGCCCAAATGCCCTTAGCACATCACAATAGCCCGATAAGATCCCTGCTGGGATTGACGAATCACATTGCAGAGATAGTCGACAGGTGAGTCAGCGATCGGCGCGATCCACAGCCGATGTCGGCCCGAATTGCTGATTGGCCACACCGGAGTCGGTGAGACCCGAAGCACGTGCCCGCACTGACTCAACGAAAACCTCTTCTCTCGCCCGCTTCTTCTCTCCTCTTCTTCCCCAAGTCCCAACTCCGCAAATACCAAAACTTCACCTATGTCGTGCTAAATCCACCCCCTTTTTCTTCTCATCCTCCTTGACTGGTAAATTTACAGTCGCGCTTATGTGTTTGGCACCCTCAATCTTCACCTCCCAGGTATGTTTCTCACTGGTTCCTGCCCCAAAAATGACCACCAATGACCGCGAGATGCTAACATCATTTCCTTTCTCAGGACTATATCTCGGGTATGCCTTTTCAGCTGTCAATGACCTATCGGTGGTTTCAATATACTAATATCTCACCCTCACTAGATCACCTCTGGAAAGCTTCCATTAACTGAATTGATCAACCAATCCATCGCTCAATTTCTTCATCTTTATCAATCCCAAAATGTTCATGAATCTGTTCAAGGCCATGCCCACTCGGGCCCCGGCCTTCGCCACCATGAAGCCCACTCAAGCTCGCTTCATGGCCACTGTTCGTCAACGTGCCGCTCTCGAACCCGCCACCTTCACCATCCGTGACGGTCCCATGTTCACCGGCAAGTCCTTTGGCGCTCGGTCCAACATCTCTGGCGAGGCTGTCTTCACCACTTCTCTGGTCGGATACCCTGAGTCTCTGACCGACCCCTCCTACCGTGGCCAGATTTTGGTCTTCACCCAGCCTCTGATTGGCAACTACGGTGTGCCGTCGGCGGAGAAGGACAGCAACGGTCTTCTCAAGTACTTTGAGTCCCCCAACCTGCAGGCGGCCGGTGTTGTTGTTGCCGACGTTGCTGAGCAGTACAGCCACTGGACTGCTGTTGAGAGCCTGGGCGAGTGGTGTGCGCGGGAGGGTGTTCCAGCCATCTCCGGTGTTGACACTCGTGCTATCGTCACCTACCTCCGTGAGCAGGGCTCCTCCCTGGCCCGTATCACCGTCGGTGAGGAGTACGATGCCAACGAGGACGAGGCCTTCACCGATCCGGAACAGATTCACCTGGTGCGCCAGGTCAGCACCAAGCAGCCTTTCCACATCAGCGCTGCGGACCCCCAGTCCCACGTTGCCGTGATTGACTGCGGTGTGAAGGAGAACATTCTGCGGAGCCTGGTTGGCCGTGGTGCTAGCGTCACGGTCTTCCCCTTTGATTTCCCTATCCACAAGGTGGCTCACCACTTCGACGGTGTCTTCATTTCCAACGGCCCCGGTGACCCCACCCACTGCCAGGACACTGTCTTCCATCTGCAGCGCCTGATGGAAACTTCCCAGGTGCCTATTTTCGGTATCTGTCTTGGTCACCAGCTGCTGGCTCTGGCTGCCGGTGCCCGCACCGTCAAGCTTAAGTATGGTAACCGGGCCCACAACATCCCGGCTCTAGACCTGAGCACTGGTCGCTGCCACATCACCAGCCAGAACCACGGTTATGCTGTTGATGCTTCGACCCTGCCCTCCGAGTGGAAGCCTTACTTCGTCAACCTCAACGACTCCAGCAATGAGGGTATGATCCACAAGTCCCGTCCCATCTTCAGCACCCAGTTCCACCCCGAGGCCAAGGGCGGTCCCCTTGACTCCTCTTACCTCTTCGATATCTACCTGGAGAGCGTTCAGAAGTACAAGAACAGCCAGGCCGGTCTCTACCCCCAGCGTGACAGCCGCCCCAGCCCCCTCCTCGTGGACCTGCTGGCCAAGGAGCGTGTGGGTGTTCAGCCTACTATTGGCATGCTGAACGTTGCCGCTGCCGCTGCCGCTGCTGCTTAAATGTTCTCATGCTGGGTTGGGAGTTTGGATTGGTTGGTTTGAAATTTCGGTTTTCCTGGTTTTCTCTGCCTCGATATTTATCTGTTCATAGTCCTGAATCTTCTGGTATATTCAATTGAAATTATTCCATAAGCATAAAAGATTTCTCATGATTCTCAAATTCTCCTCAAGTACATATGTTCTTGGTGCCCTGGATCTATATTCATGAATCACTATTTGATAGTGAAGTATCCGTCACTTCAGCTCTTCATCGTCCACGCAATAAATAAGTGGTCTCTGCCCTAGGCCAAGTTTCTCTAGATGTATCATTTTGTAAACCCATAAGACTGCTCCTACCCCCTTTTCGATTGCTCGCAGACGGAAAGGTGAGATCTTATGCCGAATTGTACGATTTCGCTCCGCGATCTTCAACATTTTGTCTATTCGAAGCTTTCGCTTCTCCTTGTACACTCGTAATCCATCTGCCAAAGAGTTGGCATTCGTGCCAAGGAGCTTTGAAAAGAGGAATATATCTTCAAGAGCCATTGAATATCCCTGACTGGCATGTGGAGGCATCGCATGAGCAGCATCCCCAATGAGCAAACAGCGTCCTTTAGACCAAGGTCTGCCTGGCGGTATCTTGTAAACGGGATAGAACTTCATTGTCGCGGTTTTGAGCACAATTTCCCGCAGACCATCGATCCAGGCGCTTCGCTCTTCGCCTAAAAGATCCAGCATGAAGGCTTTGCAGCTCTCAATCTCCTTCTGGCCACGCTCTTCCCAGCCATCGCGAATGTCGCCTGATACTGGGATAGGTATTTCACGAGAAAAGAACCAATACAGGAAATGTTCACTTGAGTCCGCGGGCGAGACCCCGAATAGCCCATCGGAGGTCAAAGTCATGCAGACTTTATCTTTTAGAGGCGCAGCGGAAGATAGCTGGGAAGTTGGAATAAGAGAGAACATATTGGCAATTCCAGAGTACTCAGGAACACACTCCGGGTCTACCCAAAGTCTTCGTACAGCAGAATGGATTCCATCGCAACCAAGAAGAAAATCTGCGCTGCTGTACGATTCATCTGAGAAAGATACCGTGACCTTCCCATCGTTTTCTGTGATGCCTGAGAGACTCTTGTTGTAAATAATCGGTATGGCTGCTTCTTCTGCAGCGCTGAGTAACACATCCATCAAATCGGCCCTCTTGATCCGTAGATACCCGAAACCTATCTGGTCCCTGGTCCATGAAATCATAGACATTTGGCCCAGGTCGCCGCCGTTGGTCGAGTGAAAGGCCATATCTGAAGTCTCGGCGCCTTTCTGTTTCATTTTCTCAAAAACCCCGAGACGGTGGAGTAGTCGGAGGCCGTTTGGAGGTATTCCAATGGCACCACCAAGGGTAGTAGGCTTTGAACGGATCTCATAAACGATGGGCGAGATGTTATGCTGCATTTTGAGTTGAAGAGCCGCCGATACGCCAGCTGGACCGGCTCCGATGATAATAACCTAATCAGCCACTCGGTCATTAGGTCTCTTGAAACGAATGAAGATTGCAGTTGAGGTGTAATACAATACTTTTTGAATTCTTTCCATTGTTCTGTATTTTCTAAAGTACTTCAAACTCATGCAGCTTTGATAAAAATTGTCGAGAAACAATAGGCAAACAAAAAAAGCAAGAAGCACTGCAGCAGATGGACCTACAAAGACTGAAAACTGAGCGAAAACCTCGCAATAAATGATTCAATTTTGCCCCCACGGAATTATTTCGAATATGCAAGCCTAATTGTTTCCATGTTGCGAGAATTATCCTCTATTATTGGTTAACTCCAGGAGAGATGGCTTGTATAGAAGAAATCACTGTGGCCTTCATGGCCCCCAGTTTACGGCGGACCAATCATTTTGCATCGCCCAAACTACATCGGAACCTCTACCACAAATGGAAAATATAGCATTTGGAGCACCCTCGTGGGTTTCAATATGGAAGTATTTTCGCCCTACGCCAAGTATTAGAGACCCATATGAAGTTCCGGAAAAAGCCAGAGATTGATTTCTAAAATGTGCAAAATTACGGTCAGAATAAATAATGTTGGATTGATAGAAATGTTTGTTTTTTCCAATTTTGGCTTGTATTGATAACAGGGCCACCAGAAGTCTTTATTTGGCCACAATAGATACCACATCCTCGTCTGCAACAACATGTCCCAAACCCACGCGCTGGGGCACATGCCTCGCGCTTGCGCCCCAAACCAACGCATACTTGAACGTTTCCTTGAGCGTCCGGTGAATTTGATCACAGACATCCTCAATTGTTGACTCTCGGCGGACGATAAGAGCCTCGCTGAAATCGGGGTCTTCTCCCTTTCTATACAACATATGATATTAGGCACACTTGATAGCAAGAAATGGCGATGGGTTAACATGGACATTGTCATATAAACGTACCGTTTCGTGTAGAGTCGCATAAGACGCAACTCCTTCCAGATGCGGTCCACAACCGCCTGTACGCCAAGATCGAGCTCGCAACTCATCACTGCTGTGTACGGCTCACGTGCCAGTTGATCAAGGAATTCGAGGCTGACACTGTCGATCTTGTTGTAGACATACAAGCTAGGTATATTGTCAGTAGCGTGTACTTCTGTGAAAACACTGATCATCTCGTGCGAAAGCTGAGGTACTTACCAGCGGATGTACTTCCGGTGGTCTTTCATGATGACATCGATGAAGTCGTCAATGGTGGCTAGCAAAGGACGATTTAGTAGCCGCATAAACCCCCCTATAATGGAGGTTCTACGTACCGTACTCGTCTCGTACCAACACTTCGCAGTTGAGGATCTTATAATCGCGCAGCACGTTGTAGATGATTTTCTCATCTAGGATTTTAGGTGGTGTTTGGAAGGTAATCTTCATGCCGCCGGCCTTCTTAACTTTCAGATAGATGTTCCTGTGACAATAATATTAGACAAAGAAGCTTCACGAGTTTGGTCAGGGTTTAAGCTAGGGCAAAATTCGTACGGAGGCTCCTTATTCAAGCGAATTCCCACAGCATCCAATTCGGCCTCGAGCTGCGCTCTTTGTTCAGCGCGTTTTGTGGCATCCAGGACCATCAAAATGAGGTCACTGGTCTAGATGATCGAGATAATTAGACAACTTCAAGCAAAGCTGAGAAGGATAATCGCCCACCTTAGCAGCTGAAATGACTTGTCGACCACGTCCCTTGCCCTCTGAAGCACCCTCGATGATACCGGGCAAATCCAAAATCTGGATCTCGGCACCTCCGTACTCCAGAACACCGGGAATAGCCGTCAAGGTGGTGAAAGAGTAAGCCGCAGCTTCACTTTTGGTCTTGGTGATCTTTGACAAAAAGGTAGACTTTCCGACGGATGGAAAGCCGACGAGCGCTACACGTGCATCACCACTCTTGCTGACGTCGAAACCGGCGCCACCACCAGAGCCAGCGCCGCCTACTGGCTCCAGGAGCTGTGCTCGCAGACGAGCGAGCTTTCTAGATGCGGTCGTCAGCACCAGAGCATCCAATCAGTCTCGCGGAACCGGCAAGGACAAACCCTTTCAATAGACCCAGATGATATTCTGTTGAATGGTGAGATTTGTCAATTGTCGCTGATGATGGGACAACGTCAACTTACCTGTCGCCTTGTTCTCTGCGGGGCATGTTAGCGGGGTTGAAAACTAAGATGGTTTTTTGGGGGGAAGGACACGACTTACTCTGTGTCCGGCGCATCTCATCCTCAATCCTAATATACAAGGTCCAGTTAGTCGTCATACACATTCATGCATTCCGAGCCATGGAGGGAGTCCGTACTCCTTGATCTTCTCCGTAATGTTCACCATCTTGCCGGTTGGAGGGTCTTCACCCAAGCAGTCGGAAATCGATTCAAGCCTTCGTCGTTTTCTATGATCCCTCCCTGGCCAGAAACACTCCTCGAGACCGGTTCAGATACTCGGTACCTGGATCGTACTCGTCTTGAGAATATCAACGCCAACAAAAAGGTTCCGTCAAATTCGTGGGCGGACAAATGATGGCTGACTAAGCGCCATCGCAGCCTGTCTCGGGCTCTTCAGCGAAGTAGATAAGCAGACACAGCGACGTAGATGCAAAAACTTCTTACTATTCAATCACTGCCCGAACCTTATCTTTTCACAACTCTTTACTCTAGTTTCCCGAAATATGTTTGGTTATAGGATCTGTGTAACTGACTATGCGCGGGTAAGATGAGACGGTATCTTGGGTGAAACCCCCACTGGCCTCTTCCCCTTGCGGTAAACTTTTTCTTTCCCTTCTGCATTATGCGCTACATTTATTGAGATCTCATTTCCTCTAGCACTTGACTTCAATATATCTCATCTTATCATTATAAGTCCACAAACTAACCTGTCTTTTTGCGGGGACTGGAGTCTAAATTCCCCAATTGGGACTGGCGTGTTACAGACATGGCAGGCGGTCAGCTCACATGATAGGCTAAACCTCACTTTTGCAAGCAGCTGTTTCGTTCTTCTGATTATCATCACACAATCATGAGCGACACTCAGCCTGCTCAACCAGAGCAACAGCTCGAAGTCCAAGCTAAGAAAACGAAGAAGATCATTCGCCGCAAGAAGCGTCCTGCCCGCGTCCAAGTCGATCCCTCAACTGTGAAAACCCAGCCCCCACCGCAGGTAAGCTCTCTCCTACCACCACCACAAACCCTTCCCTGACTCCTAATATCATTTGTATCTAATCGGTTTCGCTAGACGGGTGATATATTTAACATCTGGTATGCCAAATGGAGTGGAGGAGAGCGCGATCAGCAATACGGTCTCAACGCCCACGCGCCATACAGGGTGAACATCGCAAACGACTCAGGATGGACACGCGCGGATAAAGTCCCGGGCTCTTATTTCTGTTTGCACTTCGCCAGAGGTTCTTGCTGGAAAGGATCGGAGTGCGAGTACCGCCACACATTACCCACCGTTTATGATCTCTTTCCTTCGACCGAGGATTGCTTTGGAAGGCAAAAACACCAGGATTACAAGGATGATATGTCCGGAATTGGATCATTTTCAAGGTATGAGGCTACTATCCAGAGAAAATGACGCTTTTCGCAAGGGATTTGGATCTGACCGGTATCAGGCAAAACCGTACCCTGTATTGCGGCAGAATCACAGTATCCGACGATATCGAAGTACGTTATCTTTCCTTCGCAAACTGCCTTTCCCTTTATTTTCGTTCTTCACTCTGACATAGATAAATAGGAAGTTGCCGCTCGTCATTTCGCAGAGTTTGGATCTATAGATCGGATTCGTGTCCTCACAGCCAAGGGCGTCGCATTCAGTTCGTGCCCTCCGTTCCTTCTCCGATAGTGCTATATTCTAACAGAGATGATCCAGTTACCTATACAAACGAGGCTAATGCCCAATTTGCAAAGGTATGAATGGTTCATATAATCCGCTCCTCGAAATCATGAAACTAATACAATCTTCAGGAGGCGATGTCATGCCAAAGTCTAGACCACGAGGTACATATTTCAATTATGAATTTAGCTTTAAGATCAATCGTCTAATTTACATATCTAGGAGATTTTGAATGTACGCTGGGCGACAGTGGATCCGAATCCGCTCGCACAAAAACGTGAGGCGCGGAAAATAGAAGAGCAGGCTGCAGAAGCAGTACGACGGGCTCTACCTGCTGCCTTTGTGGCAGAGATTGAGGGCCGTGACCCCGAAGCTAAGAAGAGGAAGAAGATCGAAGGCAGCTTTGGCCTAGATGGATATGATGTCCCGGATGATGTATGGCACGCTCGCACGCGCCAGCTGGAAAGTGCCGCGCCTACAGCTCAACTCCAAGCGCCCGAGGAGCCGCTCATGCTTGAAGCAGGATCATCCGCTATGCCAGAGCCCGAGCCGGCACCCGAGAGCGGTATCTTTTCAAGTTCTACCGTGGCAGCGCTGCGAGGACTGGCAGGTGGTAATGTGACCACGCAAGCGGCACCCCAAAGCTCTGGAGGTCCACTTGTGGCTTACGGGAGTGATGATGACAGTGATTGAGTGATTAGTAACTACTAGAGACGTTCTCAAATATTCCATGTATAATACCAGCGATACCTGATTGCATTCAAAAAAAGATGAACACTTGCAGCCTTTGTTGCGTCAAACCAATTTGTGCTTCAGCAAAACCATACTGAATATTCCAATGTATGTTGGTATCATTCATAAATGTATTCGTCACGGGTATCATCCCGAATACTTGGCTAAAAAAAACATGAGAGGAGACGAGTGACATAAGACTTGTTTGAAACAGGAAAAGAACCACCCCACCACCCTCCCTACTGCTGATGCGAAAATGCAGATAAATTGAGCTCCACCCATGCAGACAAACAAGAGAAAAGCAAAGCGAAAAGCAGATGCAAAAATAAAAAGAACAAGCAACAACCCTTTGTACCGTAAAAATTTTGTCTCGGTAATCGTTAATTCATCGGTCATTGGGCCCAAGATCATAATAAACGCAGGACCCAGTACGGTAGTTATAGATAAAAGCATTGCTGCAGGCTTCCGTACCATCGCTCATGCGATTCTCCGATGCTAGATCGGTGAGAAGCTCATATACCTGACTCAGGTATTTGCGTTCTGTCAATGGTGCATTCTGAATAACAGTGCGCCAACTGTCAGGATCGGAAAGACGCGTATCTCGAATGGCGTCAAGTACATCGTCACGGGTATCGATAGCAGCGATGGGGCCATTGCGTGCATTTTCGACGACTTCGCGGGAACGGAAAAGAGCTAGAATTTGCGACTATTAGAGATATTTTATCAAAGATTCAACATAGAGATGACTGCATACCTGACTCGACAACGTTTCTACGATTGGTCTTCTTGCTGCGGTGCTGTGGAACAAGAATGCGTACATCGTTTGCCTTCTCGTTAGACAGCAAGGGATCTTGCTGTCCTGGTTGGCGAACCTGTCGTGAATCAAAAGTACCTTCACGGTGGTGGCGAGCTTGTACCTCGAATCGAAGCCACGGGACCAATTCAGTGCTACGTATGTCGAATTCTTCTTTTCGGACCAAATTTCGCACTTTAAAGCCACGATCCTTGCTGTCTTGTTTTGCTATTACAATCCACCGGTGATTGTGTTCCTTGTATCTGGCCATCAATTCCTCGAGAGATGAGGCATCTACGGCGAGCTCGGCACTGATGCCGTTTGCCCATAGATCTTCGATGATCTTTACACCAGTCGTGCGGAGAACAGTCGCGTCAAAACTTGCAACAAGGACGTCACACTGGTATGATTAGTAAAAGATAGGATTGGGAAAGTGGGATTCAATGAAGCATCACTTACCCTGCGAGTTGTCCAGTACAGCTCGGTACCAGTCTCGGAGTCTTTGAATAGGGTCTTGGAATTCAGGAATTCGGTCATTGAAGAACCAAGTCGGTCGGAACTAAGGTTGAATCCAACCGCATGGGCTTGAGGTCGATTTGAGAGAACTTTAGGTGCAAATTCCTGAATCAATCGGTCATACCGACCTCCTGCCGCGAAAACGTCCCGTCGCTTGCTGTCAAAAACACACTGGAAGAGGATGCTGCCTCTGTAGAATTTGTCATGCAAACTGCTCAATGGGTTGATGTAAACTTTGCGCTTCACGCCGAAACTCTGCAGGTATGTCATCAGCATGTTCAGTCGAGCAAATATCGGAGGGATCCGCTCGGCATATTCCGACCCCTCCATGATCGTTTGCAATCTTCGTAGAGTTTCCTTTGGGGTGTCTATTAGTCCGGATGTTAGCTTAATCTTGACCAACAATAAGAGAGCGTTGCATACCTCGGAAATCGAAGCGGGCAAGGTCATCTAATGATGTCGAAGCAACACCTATTGATGGGGACCGAAGTTCACTTCTGATTTTCTGCATGGTCCATTTGCCAACATTCAGCTTGCTAATGACGTCCTTGACCAATGGAATTTGGGAAGGTGTGATGCGACAGAATTCCATAATGAGTTGAAGTAAGTCCGAATGGTTGACTAAGAAACACATTTGAGCAGACCGAAGAGGTGGGAACTCTTCAATAATTTCGTCGAGAACTTTAATCACCTCGGCTTCTTTCAGAGCCAAATCCAGGGTGTTGTAAGAAACAATATCGAAATCCACTTCCCGATGAGTGCGAGGTTCACTGCCATGGGTTGATTCTCTGTATACTGTACCAAATGCAAATGTCTTTTCCAGTGAGGAATCCTGTCTTGGAATTGCTCGAGCATTCGGTACTGTTAAGTCAAATGGCATCTGGAGAAGATTTCCCGATGCATCCAACAGGCGTACTGCTCCTGCAGAATAATGCTGAGATCTTGGGAATAGCATCTGTCTAGTCGATTCCACTGCGCCGTGTCTGCGGAATATGGACGTCAACTTCTTCTTAACAAGACCTTGAACAAGCAGTTCATTTGCCGCTGGTACAGCATGGGAATCCATATCCCAGGCAATATCCTCGAATTTCTTGGGCGACTGGGAAAAGATCGCCGAAAGAACCTTCTTGTAATCGGGGGAGTTTGGGTCAGAAAGCAGGTGAACAATAGCTCTTCGAAAAGTCTCCTCCTCAACTTGAAGAGGAATTTTCCCGCTGGAGAGAAGTTCGGAAGCAGTTGGCCGCTCGCTCGGCGTGTGACTTAACAAAGACTCGATGATCTGACCCTGTACAGCCTTTTCGGATTGTTGAAAGGTAGCTGGTAGAGTATGATTCTTTTCCCGGATCGCCCGCAGGGTTTGGTCTCGCTCCATTCCTGTTGGTAATGGGTGGCACATTTCGAAGAAAATGACCCCCAGCGAATACATCTAGCGCTCGTTAATATCGAATTACGAGCACAAGCCACACTTTGATTACTTACGTCAACTTTCTCATTATAATGTCCTGAGAAACCCGACTTCATCTCCGGAGCAACATAGTATGTTGTGCCAAGGCTTCGTGTAAAATTTCCTTCGAAGTCTGCAGCTGCAGGAGAGCGTACAGCAGTCGTGAATTGACCACTGGTAGCAAGGCCGAAATCACCAATGCGAGGGTTATTAGCAACATCGATGAAAATGTTATCAGGCTTCAGGTCTCGGTGAATGATGCCGTGGCTATGGATATGACTCAACCCATCGAGAATCTGTCGAAATAGACGCCAGGATCGATCAATATCATCATACAAGCCATTTTTGATCAAGTCGCGTAGTGTCTTCAGGTCTAATTAGCACAAAATCACAAAGGCGGGAATTTTTGCAACCTACGTGTTTCTCACAGTACTCCATCTGAATGTAGAGCGTAGTCAAAACAGGCCGGCCATACGAGCCAGATCGTGCCCGGCTAAACTTAGAATCCTCATCCGTGTTCGCTCCGTATGTTTCAGGAGTGTCACCGGGCCCCTGGACTGAAAAAGATCCCTCATTTTCTTCATCGCTGTCTGAGGCAGCAAATTCAATTTTCGGATAGCCGCTAGAGCTGATGAAATCAAGACCACCAGTGCTAAATCCACGGTGATCCTGACTTGCAAAAGGGTCACCTTCAGTGGATGACATAGCTTCTTCTTCGATGGAATTGAAATCTTCTTCTAGCCAGGCGGTATAATATCGCACGACATATGGATGATTCAGTCGAGAAAGAAGCATTATCTCAGAAAGTGTGTCTTTCAATGCAGCAGCTGAACTTTGAGAAAGCTTCTTGATGGCATAGAAGCGGCCATCGAGTTTATTTCTGGCTTTGACTACTTGTCCAAACCCACCTCGACCCAATTGGCCAGCCTCGTCAAAGTCCTGGTGATATCGCGAAAGCGCTGGCATGGCCCCGAATGAATCAAGACGCGGACGTCTTTGCAATGATATTGAATTTGAAGATCTGTCCCGCATGGTCAATGGCGCATCGACCCGGAAAAACTCCGAAGGCTGAAGTTGAAAGGCTGTCGGGCGTTTTCTAGGATCTGGTCGGAAAAACTCGTGAAGCAAGTCCTGTAGGGGAGGGGAAAGACCCATGGACACCATCAGTTGGTTGGCCGAAGTGTATCGAAGGAGAACATCCTTTCCAAATGCCATCTGGAGAAGAACGATGCCAAGATCCCAAACGTCGGTCTTCATGGTCGGCGATGCACCCTCTTGTGTCAGCTCTGGGGGTAACCATAGCGGAGACTTGGATGTAGTTAATGAACGTTTTACTTCTGGTGAGTCTGGGAGAGCTTCCTCCACACTAGATTGTAGCTTGACGATAGTTCCTCCAGAGAGACTCCTGCAGAGCATGATCCGACCACAGTGGATATTCCCATGGACGAAGCCACTCCGGTGGTAGAATTCCAGGGCTTCAAGAAGTTGAATCATCCAGCCCCGAAACATTTCAACCGCAACGGTACCCACGAGGTCGAGGAGCTCTGACAAGGAGCCTTTGTTCGCAAATTCCGATAGGGCGAGAATTGTCCAAGTGTTTTCAGGCGAATCGTAATGGCTGACTGGGCGAATGATCTTAAACCCCACAAAGTCGATTAGATTAGGATGTCGAAGTCGTTTCAAGCCCTCTAGTCGATCTTCGCTGGTCCGCATTTGCTCCCGAAATGCTAGAGTATCGGAACCTTTCTCGTTCAAGCTGATCTCCTTGAGAACTAGTAATGGAACATTGCAGCGCCCTTCAGAGACAACTGGTCTCACTGTGAAGGTCTTTTTCCCTGGCTTGCACCGCACTAATGTCTTTCCATGGATGGCACAAAACACAAGTGGCTGCTCATTGGTATCATTGACGGCTATCGGGGGATCAAAGGATATCGCTCCCGGGGTATTTTCAGCGAGATCCTCCAGATCGTGTGAGTCAATCCCACCAGTACGACTTTTGCGTCTGAGAATTCGAGCTTTTGTCCGTTGCCGTATCTTATCTTGAAGCATGAGCTGAAGAGCTCGTTCCTCTTCTTCATTTGCGGCCTCCTGCTTCCGAATTTCCTCTTGCTTTTCAAGCGCTGCACGGTGTATCGCTGCTGCTTCCTGCTCCATGCGTTCCTCTTCCAGACTGGGAAGATCCTTGTCCTGTTCCCGCGCTTGGGCTACATCCTCCAAGACATCTTGGATTGAGACAGCCAGCTCATATATCATCTCACTCCCAAGCAAAGTTTTGGGCTTTTCGCGAATAATTTGTTGAATCCGCGAGCGAGCTCCATCGCGGAGGTCGTTAAGGTTCTCCAGGGAAAGGTTGGGTATGGTTTTGGGATACGTGGCAGGCAGCTCTACTTGTAACACCAGATGCACATTAAGATTCGAAGAGGCTCGCAGATTGAGCTTGAAGGTCACGTTGGAGGATTGCTATGGTGTCACAAATCAGGTCAGTTGGGTTGAGGGCCGAGCACAAGACAAAGACTGCAGGACACCCACCTGCCAAGCAGAACGGCGAGTTTCGATATCTTGATAATCCTCGCCATATATAGAGCGCAGGGCTTCCACCTCGTTGAGGTGAATCTCGCGGTAATTGGTTGTCGCTATCACGGGGGATGTTAAGGAAGACGAGTCGGAAGATGTTTGCTTTTTCTCACGGGAGACTTTCTTCCTCTGTTTGGGAGACATCGCGGGGCGTGGCGCGAAGTCGCCCTACATCCGGGATTGGGTGTACAACATAGAGTGCGGGTTTAATAGTCAAAATAGAGAGAAGAAGAGGGAGAGATCGCGGTTCTTTTTTCGTGCACAACAGGCGGTCAGATACCAAGGCCTCGTTGGCGGGCCCTCTTGTTATCGGTTATCGATAGCGAGTGGAGCTGCTTAGTATGGGATGATGTCCCGTTGGCACGTTCGCGCAGGTATAATTGAACAACAGGCATTTGACACGCTCTATATAAATTCCAATTACGTCCAATATCTTTGTACGTGCCTTTTAAGACAATTCTATTGTTCGGTAGGGAACAGAATACAATCAGGTATACAGTCTCCCTGCCCAAGAGTGGATATTGGGCCTGCTGTGTTGTCCCCTAAAGTGTCGGTGGCACCAACCAAATTCAATTGGCATTACTGCAGCCCGTGGAGCCACAGATTTGTAACAGTTCTATTTTGAGTATTTCGAGCGAATTGGGATCGCTCTAGTCTCTATGTAGTGGGCCTATTTGCGTGTCAATAAATAACTGAGCAACTACAAACATAATTGCATGCGGTTGGTTCATACGAAACAAGACAAAAAAACAACCAACAATATGCCATTAATCATTTTAAAATTCCTTGCTTTCAATGAGAATTTATCACTCCAACTGGAAAATCAATGTTCTTCCTAGGCCTTTTATGGACATTGAAAATACTCTCTGCCTAACTGAGCGAGTCATTAAATACAACTGGCAGAGACAAGATAGCCAAGCTGGTGAACAAAATATCCCGTAGCCTTTACCCCACGCAAATTACTGCATTCTACTCTCATCCCTGGCACATAGCTAAAATATATTTTAATGGCCATCGAATGCCATATTCTCTTCTTGGTCTCCAATTTTCCATCGCTTTTCTCTTATTATATGATTAAAAACCCTCACTCCTTTTTGTTGATTGGGGGGGGGTGGTTGGAAAGTTTCTGTCTCTTTCAAAAAATCCGAATTATGAACTCCCAACTGTCATCTTTTATGATAGTATACTTTAACATGCTTTACCTCACAGGGCTTTACCTCACAGGTCTGGTGGGTCCAAGAGAGCATCTATTTTTACACCTAGAGCATGAGGACTGTGAAATCGAAGCTGGAAATGACAGCCTTTCCACTTGCAGCTCTGAGTGATGAGGTGAGGCAAGTGGTCATCTCTATTTAATGATTTTACAATCACTGAGTGGTATCGGTCATCGTCCTAAGCTCCCACTAGCAGGGATGTTAGTGCACAACTTCCAAACACTTGACTTGAGATCAACTTCATCTAGAGCATTTTCAGTCTTTTCTATGTTTCCTGACAAATTTATTGCGTGAAAGGTATCTAGCCTCTCATAATATTTGTTAAACGCTTCAAAATCTCATCGGTAAAAGTTGGGCTTCATAGATTGAAAAAGTCGGGGCCTATGTTGTGTTTGTTCCAGAGGGGGCATATTTTCTGTTCCAGCAAAATTTATGGACTCAAGAGGCAATATAGATTCATGGTGGAAGTCAACGACAGAAAAGGCTTAGCCGGTTAGCTATAGAGTATGAGCGCATGTACCCATACCAGCAGCTATCTTCATATCCCCCTGGGATCACTCAATCAACACAACTCCACTCTCACCGATCAATTTCCTCGCCAGATCCCTAATAGAGTCTTCCATATCTACATATATTAAAAGACATATAGGGGAACCGTTTGAAAATATCAGTTTAAAGGTCAGACCATATTCATGCTCTTTGGTATTGGTTCATTGAGTAGGAGAAATACTGAGTAGAAGAAGCCTATCACGAAAACAAAATGAATGAGTATTCTATTTTCTAACACTAACTGGTAATCATTGTAAAGATTAATCCTTGAGTTCGGATAGATAATAAATGAGAATGAAAAAATCCATCTCACTCCATGTTGAACAGTTCAAGTATTCTGCCATGATCTTCCAGTCCAAGACATGGTCCACTCCAGGACCTTCAAATCAATTTCTTGTCTCGCCCTCTGTGAAGATGCACATGCTTGATCAAGAACGCCAAGGATCAAGCTCCCAGTCAAGGTGATTGCAGGGGCATACTGCCAACGGTGCGCCCACTGCGGGTGCCCATGCGTCCAACAAATCGCCCCATGTTCGAACACAATAGCGCTGGCAGCAATCAGCAGCATCCAGCCTAGGATCGAGAGGTGTCCAATCCAAAGCCACATGAATAGCGAGTCCTATGGAAATGTTCCGAACGCCATACACCGCCATTAGACTATTGATTAGTAGTCGATCTTGCGGTGGAGCGGGTAAACTGGAAGATCGCCAATGCGCTGTCGGGACGCAAAATTGAGTTGATGCCACAGCCTACGAAGGGAGCCGCGAGGCCAATTTCGATCATGCGAATGGCACGGGATTCTCAAAAAGGTATTCTAGCTGGTAGTTGAGGTAGAACCGGTTCATTATTGCAGCAGGAAATAAGCAAGTAGGCTGTGGAGCTTGCGCTGGTGGGCGTTCGTAGGGAGACAGGGATGGGTGGCTAAGAGACCTGCAATTGCCCCAGATTTATACGGCCTTCGCAGTCTTCATTCTGATTCCCTCGTCCACTTCGCCCAGGCGAAGATCTCTCTCTTATCATCTCTTTAGTCAGGCAGCATTTGCTAAGTATATCAAATCCAAAGCCGTGTTCGGGGTCCGAGCAGGCCCTCGTTATCGATAAGCGCTCACCTCATCTTTTAGCTCCCGCGCGTCAATAAACAAACCCTCCACCCATCAAGCATCACGAAAACCAACGATGTTGGACTGGATAAAGGGGAACGAGGCCGACGCCGCAGGTTTGTGGGACTAAATTATATTTTGATCTCATATGCTTATTGAACCTTTTGGCTCAGACACATCCAAGGTGCTGGAGGCCCCCGAAACACCAGCTCCCGTCTTTGCGATTCACGCCTTCAAAAGCGCACTCTTTGGCACGCCTGGTGCAGAGGAGGAACATGAAACAGGGCCTACATCAATGGCCGCATCGCAACCGAAGCCCGGCCACCAACGCAGTAGAAGCGACACTGTGAACCCTATCCCGATCGATTCGAAGGAAGACGCGAAATTGGAGTTGGATTTGACCATCAACCCCTCAGGCTCCCCGACTAAGAGCATCCTCGTCACTCCCGGCACAATCTCAAATCGGCGCAAGACCGTGTCCTTTGGAGAAGGCGTAGTTGACAACGAGGGAAAACGCGATAGCCAGTCCAGCAGGGCCGTGAAGACGCCCCCGAATCCTTCGGGCAGCCTCAGCGCCCAGTGGATGTCGGGCTCGGCTGATGGCAAGCCACGAAGCAAACTTACACAGACTCTAATGGATGCGCGTGATAACGCGTCAAAGAATGCTGAGTCGGCCAAGAGCAACTCGGAAACCTCTGACTCGAAGTCCCCTACCAAGCGCCTTCAGCTGAAAGAGGAAACAAGTATGGAGGACATCACCACCAACCTGGAGGAACCGCGTTCGGAGTCGGGCAAGTACTGGAAAACAGAGTTCGACAATTATCGCGTCCGCACCAACCGTGAGATCAAGAAACTCATCCATTACCGGTCCATCGCCAAGTCATACGCTCGCAAGAAGGACTCAGAGGCTCTACGACTCGCGGATAAGCTCAAGGAGGAGGAAGAGAAGGTCGTTGAAATGGAGCGACAGGTGACACGACTGGCCTCTACAATTGCCGGTGAAGGATCAAAAGCAAATAAGGAGCAATTAATCCAAGACCTGGCAAAGCAGACTACGATGGCTCTGCAATATAAGCAAGAAGTTACATCCCTTCGCAACCTCCTTAATGAAGATCCAGGCGTTATCGAAGGAGGAAAGTCCAACGACATCACCAAAGAACGACAATTCGATGAAAAATCCACCAATTCTTCGGAAGAGCTGCGTCAAACTCAGGAAGAACTTAAACGAGCTAATGCAAAGATTGAGGAAATGAAGCACCAGCACCTAGACCTCGGCAAGCTCGAGAGCCTTGCCCAAAGCTCTGAAAAGAAGGCGCAGGAGCTCGAGAAGGAAAACCACACGCTCAAACAGACTCTGGCAAGAGTGAAGCAAGAAATGTCCCGATATGAAGGCCGGCGCAAAGAGAAGGAAACGAGACTCAAGCAAAGAGAGGCCAAGCTTGAAGCACGTGTCCAGGAGTACCGTGAGCGCCTTAAGAAGCTAACACAAGAACACCGAGACTCAGAAGAGACGGTGCGAAATAATTTCAATGAAGAGCGTCGACGCATGCAGAGTCAAATTGAGCTCCTGAAAACGAGGGTCTCCGCTGCAGAATGTAGCGTTCCTACTCTCCGACCCCAACAACGAAATTCTCTCAGTCCCCGCAAGGAGTATACAGGCGTGCAGGTGCACGACTTTGCCGCACAGGACCATCCCGAGATAGACGAAGAAGTCACTGAGGAAATTGAGACACCGCCAAGTCCAAGTCCTCGCTCCAAATCTCGCGAACTGCGGCCAGCCCTGCATGGCTCGGCCACCACATTAGAGCTGAAACGGGCTTCGCGGGATATTCCGGCTGACGACGATGAGGTCACTCATTATCTGAATGAGATACTGCCACAGCATGGCAGTCATCGCTTTAATCTGGACCCTGTGCCGCCTTCTTCGCCTCCAGAACTCTCTGCCCTAAAATCACTCGGGCGTAACACTACAAAGTACTTGAACACGGGCGAAAATCGTACATACCGGTCCCTCTATCGACGTGACCGTGGCACTGTTGAAGGATACAGCCATGGCACCCACCGTCCCCGAGCGCACATCAAATCTACTCTTGACTCAATATCTGCGCGTCCGAGCTCGCGACCGGGTGTATACGCTGGCTACACCATTGCTGGTGGGGAGCGAACTACTCGGCGGACCGCACTTCCAGATGTGAATAAAGAATTTCCGAATCGCGAGCTTCTGTCTCCAGAGCGGCTTGCCGCGGCCCAGTCGCGAATTCTCCAGAGGCAAAATAGCCAGAAAATGAAAGCGCTGGGCAAGGAGAATCGTCGAACAATAGCTTCCTTGGGTGCAGACAGAGATTGATCACACGTTGCATGAAACAAATTTAACCTTTTCCTAGTTTGGCAGCGAATGACAGCAGGCTGTCTTTAATTTTGATTCTGCGGCTTGGAGGTCTTTTTTTCCTTTTAAGTGAAGGAATCATCCATAGTACAGAGACTCCAGTCACATAAGGAACGAGCTCTGAGGAAATACAATTTCTTCGTTTCAATGCATCCACAAACGTCTTGATTTACTTAATTTATGGACGAATCGAGAATTTTGTACTATAAGACCAGTTTCTATTCGTCTAACAAAGCGGCATGCGTACTTGCTTCTCGTCATATATTGGATTCTTCTCGATCCATCTATGAATGATCCAGCATCAGATACTGGCGCAAAATATCATAAGGAGACGGTCATGCCATTACATCCCCAACGTCAACATCCCCTTCAAACCTTCCATTTTGTTCCACCGCCGCCTAGGCCTTGCCGTCAGAGAACGACACGACAGCCCACTTTCCACCCCATGCCCACTTGCGAGCGTCGGGACCGCCGCCGTTGGGCAAGGCCCGCAGCTTCTCGTCTTCGCCGGCAGGAAGTCCAACAACTACATCTGCCTTGCAGGTGCGGAAGGCCATGACACGAATGCCGGACTTTGGGCCCATTGGGCCGATGGCTGTTGTGAAGGGCGTGGTCGGGTCCCACATAGCCTGTTCAAGTGGTTAGTAATCGATGTATTTACCCAGGGAATCATGGTAGAAGGGATATATGGAAATGCTCACGTCGTTGGTCAATTTCCGATAGTTCAAGTCACCCTTGAACAAGACGAGTTCACTCTCCTTCAGATCTTCGAACAGCTCCGGCGCCTCGTTGGGCATGCGCCAGTAGCAGCCTTGGGTAGTCCAGAAAGCATGCGGACGAATGATCAGCTTTCCGTCTTGATGGAACTGGCTCCACTGCTCGAACAGAAACTTCACATCGGCTTCCTCCTTATCCGAAAGCGCGGGATGGACCTTGCCCGAGTCATCGGGTGCGGTGTAGAAGGCTTGCGGGTCGAACATTGAGCTGAGTAGATCCGAGAAGTCCTTCGGCGTGACATCAGACACGAACCAAGGGAGACGCTTCGGGTGCAGAATGACACTGGTTGCTAGGCCGGTGGACAGGAGATAACCGGCCAAGATCAGGTCGACGAACAGCTCGAAGCCGGAATTATCGAGCACGATATCGACGCGGCGCTCGCCGTCTTTCTTCTCGGAGCGGGCCTTCTGCATTGTCTCGAATGCTGCATCGAGATCATTGACAAGGATATTCTTCTCCGATGCCTTGCAGGCTTCTGAGCCCTGCAATTTCTGGATATCCTCATAGGTGAGGGAGGTAAGGAGTGACAGGTCAGTGGCATTGCCCCACAGACAGATCTCACACATCTCCGAAAAGAGTAGCCGCTCAGCTTCTTCGATTTCCTTGGCAGATTTGTCATGCATTGCTTTTCCAGACTCGGCCTCAAGTGCTAGTTCACGATACCGTGCAGCAAGCTCGAGAACAGCAGGGCGAGAGGATTTGAAAGTGGATAGCTTCTGGCGGGCGAATACGTCGTACCCCTTCCAGTGCTTGGAAAGCGCGAAGAAGGTTTCAAGGCGGCGGTCTAGTATTCATCCGTCGGTTCAGCGCTGATCTATTATTGTGATTGCGAGAAGAATGCGAGGTGGTGTGCATACAGAGGTAACATTCGGCGTAGAGCCAGGCTGCGCTATGCCAACTAGGGTTTCCGCGCTGCTCGAGCTCCTGGTTGTATGAGGCGATATCGGGATGACCATCATCATCGAGGGGACTAAAATTGAGATTTCCATGATTAATATCTTAGTATCGACTGAAAGATTCCTTTCCGATAGCAACTCACGTTAATTTCCGGTCATGCTGCAGCTCATACTTCATCGCCGCAAGCTTCTCGATGATGCTCTTGCCCTCCTTTGACTTCTCCTCATCTGTCACAGCTCCCACAGACCGGTGGAGATCATCAATGGCACCGGTCTTTCTTCAGATCAGCAATCCGAACCTCCCCACGGCAGACAGACGCAAAGCTCACTATGATAACGGGCCATCGCTCTTTGGCCGAGGTCGAGGCGAAGCTCGACGGATCCGACGTAAGATATTGAGCTTCTCCGGCTTAGTTTCTTCGAGTCTTGCAATTTAGGTAGAAGACTTACGAGTCTTTGGATCGAATTCCATCTTGTCTGGTGGAGTTCGACTAAAAGTTGGGGAAGCCGAAGCTCCTGGAGGGGAATCGCGGGGCACAAAAGCGGTGAGCCTCGGAGGAACTACATACCAACAGTGTAGAGAAGTGGACGCAGCTGGCCTCGCTTTTCTTTGTGATTGGATTACTGGATTCTTTTTGAGGGATCTGCATGACACCTTCCTATATTCTGCTTCTTCTTCTTCTTTCTTCTGCAGTCGGAAAAAGCATGTTCGTAATACTTCATTGGACCATAGCGCGTATATAAAAGCCATCGGACTTTGGAGTAGCGAGCCGCCTGAGCGAACTACAGAAGCCAAGTGGGGATTAAATGCTCATAAATACAACAATAGATCTCCTCAATAGATCTCCTCTAAACTCTTTTAAAAGACAACGCCCACGCTTGCAAATCAACTGGGTTGGTTGGTTCATCACATCGTCGACAAAATCGAGTTCTGAGCATAGGCCTGGTAAACAATTAGCATGAATAACTTCAACTCAAGTTGATGCAAAAAGATTAGCTTACCATTGGCTTGATGTCAGGATGCGGCACAGCCTCAAACACCTCATAGTCGAGCTTGAGTTCTGGTCCGATGTTGATATATGCGCCCTTGTTCTCGGTCGAATCACAGTACCTAGGGGCCGAGAAGACCGTGATACACCGACCATCGTGCTCAACCTCGTAGCCCTCCATGCGCACTTCGTGCGAACGGATGATGGCGTCGAGACCATTGTTCTCACAGAAGCGCTTAGTGACATCGGGGCCAAACTGCAGACCAACACCACGCTTGCTGGGCCCACGGCCGGGCTGAGGTTGCGGGTCAGTCCAAAGCATCTCCATCATCAATCCCTGCTGGCCGGGTTGCCGCTGGTTGTGGCGGTTGAGTTTCCGAATGTCATCCAATGTTGTCTTGTCATCGGAGAAGAGACCACCGTGGAGAACAAGATACTTCTCGCCAATCAGAGTTGCCAGCGGCAAGGCTGAGAAGGACTCAGAGAAGACCTTAAACACGCGCTCGTTATACTTGGCCTTGCACTCGCCCTCGAAACCATAAACCTTGTTCATATCATCGGTCTCGTGGTTACCACGGTTGAGGAACAAGCCGTTGGGTCGAAGCCACTTATATGCGTAGAGAAGCAAAGCAATTTCACAAGACCATGAGCCACGGTCGACAAAGTCGCCATTGAACAGGTAGGCGTGGGTATCGGACGGGCTGCCATTCCGACGGAAGATTTCCAGCAGATCAAAGAATTGGCCTGTTCTATTAGCTTTGGTTTTCCAGCAAGAATCAATAAGTCTCGAGGGTTGAAATACCGTGAGTATCGCCACAAACCGTCAATTTTTTACCCGCATCCACACCAATTTCCACCATAGTGGGCTCGTTATAGACAAGATCCTTCACAGCTTTGATGATCTGGAACACATACTTGCGGTGGATGTTCTTGCCATTCTTGAATCGTTCAATCATATCGTCGATAAACTCCTGTGTCATCTCCTCGCCGAGACGCACGCCGTCATAGTTATCTTCCACTTTCATAGAGGCAATATCCAGGTCTTCAAACGCAGATGGCGGGTCAGAGACCTCAATCGCTTTCTCGAATTCTATGCGGCGCACAAGCTTCTCGCATTCTGCCTGCTTCAGCTTGGCGTTTTGATTGCCTGGTTCGCGTTTCACCACGGCCTTGAAGTCCTTCAGGGCGGCCTTATAACTGAGGATAGCGGTATTGGCCAGGGCACGTCGCCAGTAGGCCTGGAACAAAATGCAGCGTTAACATGCATCCTTCACTCCAAATTGATATTTCCAATACAGGCTTTCCCTCCTACTCGTTCTTTTTCTAGGTGTTTTTGTGGCGGCCACTCACCTTGACATAGTTCGGGTCCAATTCTAGCGCTTTGGTGGCATCTGCGACGGCGTATCCGAAAGCCTCAAGTTTGATTTGTGCCTACCAAATGGTACCATGAAACGCAATATTAGCTGAAAAAGATCCAACTTTGAGTCCGCAATCTAGTCCGGCGGGCAGGGCCCTAACGAAGAGACCGACGTACCTGAGCCCTGTTGCAGAAGAACGACGGCTCCTTATCATATTTCTCGATCGCCTGGTTGTAGAAATCGATGGCAGTGGGCCAGTCGTGCTGAGCAAAGGCCTTGTTGCCTTGTAGCTTGAGGGCGTTGGCCGCCTCTTGGTCCGAAGCCATCGCGCGGAGACGTTGGTAGAGGGGCACGAGACAGCGGCGTTAGGGGACGGGGATTTGAAAGGGCGCGAAAAGCGGGTTTTGAAAATAGAAAAAACCCAACTGGAAGAGAGGAGAGTGAGAGACCCAATGCTTCGGGTGAAGGAGAGCGCAAAGGGAAAGGAAGAGAAGGGAGCAGAAGCAAAGACCCAAGGGCGAAACGTGACGAGTTTGGTTCCTGGCCGATGGAGGTTCTTTTTTTCCGATCACAACGGGCCTTGGCACGATTCCAGAACCCTCGACCGCCGCAATCCCCGGACTCTCCTCCGCCTCTCTCAGACTACACCAGCTTCGCGGAACCACCTCGTCCACACATGTCTTTCTACGTTGCTCCTAACCAGCAGCGCATGCTCCGCGCTTGCATGGTCTGCTCTGTTGTTCAGCAGCATAGCGTGAGTTCCCCAAAACCTGAGGCAATTGGCAGCCCGATACTTAGTGCTGACTCTGGCTTGCGACAGAAATTCATGCGCGACGGCTGTCCCAACTGTGAGAACATTCTCCAACTCCGTGGAAACAATGAGTCAATCCAGGAATGCACTTCACAGGTGTTTGAGGGCTTGATCTCCGTCCGTGACCCCGCGGCCAGCTGGGTGGCACGCTGGCAGCGGTTGGACAACTACGTGGCGGGCACATACGCAACGAAGGTGACCGGGACGGTAAGCGGTTTCTTCGACAACGAGGCGAAAATATTCTAAGCTAATTGTCCATTTATAGCTTCCGGATTATATCATCAGCAGCTTGGAGGATTCCGGTGTCAAATATGTTCCGTACGTGCCCATTTACCTTGAAAGCAAAAGTGGACTCTTTTGCCCGGCGCGTTGAAAGACGCGGCTAATACTTTTTGTTCTTTAGACGAGACGGAAGCACCGGTGACGAGGAATAGTTGGCCTATTAGCCCTTGAATTCTTATCCAGCCTCCGCGACGTACACCGTCCCTGTCAATAGCAGCCTTGTTTTCGGATACCCTCACAAAAGATTGCTGTCTGTCAGGTGGGCAGGCTGGATGCGATCTTATGATGAAACTTTGCTAGTCTTTCAGGAGTTATTGGTCGGAAGCATTGCGCTCTATTTCTTTCTTTCTTTCTGTCTTTTAATTTTTCAAGCATTTCGGATGACCCTTCAAATAGAGCAGAGAAGATTGAAGATTGAAGACAACTCATGTTCTTCAGCTACTAAATTCAGAAACACACAATCAATGATATCTACATGGATAAATTGTTTTGAAACTTATTTGTCATTTTAAATTGACTGGCATTGAAGACTTCTATGGATGTACAGGGGCCCAATTTTTGGTGGCGTGATTCGTAGCAAAGGGAAAACAAAAAGAATATATCAGAAAGAGCCTGGAAAGGTAGCAGGCAAATACTGTCAAATCAGAAAATCCGCTCATTAAACTCAAGTTGGAAATGGGAAAACCCGCGGGCAATTGGCGGGTATCAAAGGCCTGGGAATTAAAGGAGCTTGAGAATCTTCTCGATGCTCTCGAGAAGGATATCGGCTGGAAGCAAAAAAATCAGCATACTAATTCAACTCAAGGAGAGTTTTCAAGGAGGTTCTTTGGAGTACATACCGTGGTGCTTCTGGAAGACCAGCATGGGGCGCAGGCGAACGGCCTGGGCGCCGCTGCCACCGATGTTGACGCCGACGGACTTGGCCTTGGCGAGGAACTCGTCCCGCTTGGGGGTATCCCAGGCGATGAATGTACCCTGGCCCTTGCCACGCAGGTTCTGGAAATGCTCGGGATACTTCTGGGCAAGGCGCTCGAGGCCGGCGTACAGGTAGTCACCGGTGATGCGAGTGTTCTCGACAAGGCCGAGACGCTCAACCTCATCAATGATGCCACGGAAGATCAGGGCGCGGGCGGGGTCACCCATCCAGGTATTGAACTGGCGGTAAGGCTTGTTGGGGCGTAGGGCCGGGTTGCCGAAGTAGTAACCGGCAGTCTGGGCCTTCTTGGAGAAGGTAACCATGTCGGGGGAGTCTGGAGGTTCCAGTGGTCGTGGGCCCAGAACTTGCCGGTAGCACCGACACCGGTCTGAACCTCGTCGACGATGAAGAGCACGTTATTACGCTTGGTGATTTCACGGAGACCCTGGAAGAAGGCGGGTGAAGCGTGGTTGTCACCACCCTCGGACTGGATGGGCTCGACCATCACGGCGGTGACGGGGTTGTGGAACTCCTTGATGAGGCGCTCAACCTCCTCCAGGCAGCGCTTCTCCTCGGCGGCGTTCTCCTGGACATGGTCCTCAAGAGGATACTTCAGCTGGGGGAAAGTAGCCTGGGGCCAGTCGAAGGCAGGGATGTCCAGCTTGTGAATGGGCTTGGAGCGAGTGGTGGACAGGGAGCCGAAAAGACGGCCGTGGAAGGCAGACTTGAATGAGAGGATAGACAGCTGAGGGGAGCCAGGACCCTGGTTGTTCATGGTGGACTGCAGCTCCTCCTCAGTGAACTCAACCTCCGGGCCACCACGCTGGAGCTGACGGTAGTACATGAAGGCAGCCTTGTAGGCGGTCTCGTTGGCATCAGAGCCGGCCATGGCAGTGAAGACCTGGTTCAGGCCCTTGGGAGCAGCCCGGAGGATACCGCTCTTCAGGATGTGCGACCAGTCAGCGGAGGGGAAGTTACCCAGAGCCGGACGGTTGATCAAGGCGCGGATCATCTCGGGGGACTGAGCCACCTGCTGGAGGTGGGGGTTGTTATAGCCCACTGGGATGGAGGCAATCTGGGCATAGCTATTGAGTTGATATTAGTCTCTACGGTTTCAATGAAAGCAACGCAATTCCATTGCACGACTTACACATCGAGAAGCTTGTTGCCATCGAGATCGGCGATACTATTTAGGGTCTCGTTAGTTATCATTCCGAGTATCCTTTAAGCTGGGGATGGGGAAAGGGCGGGATTGCCATACTAGTTACCGACAGACTCGGAGTAGTCAGTGAGCATGTTCAAGCTGCGCACATCGAAGACCTCATCGAGCTCGGCCGCGGCGGCCTTGTTCTTGGGGCCGGGGATAGCGGTCGAGAGCGAAGGGGCGGTGGGCTCGTTAGGGAAGTAAGGCTTCTCGGCTGCGTTAAGACGCGCAGTGGTGGAAAGCGCACGAGCGGCGGGCATACGAGCCGCCATACGCAGCTTGGGACTGCAACGGAGGACGGAGGCCATTGTGAGATTCTTTAGCTTTTTTTTTGGAGAAAGCTTGGCCGAGTTGGGAGACAATTGACCAGGGTAACAGTAGAGGCGGGGAGGAATAGCTGGTGGGCTATTCTCTTGCACGGTCCCGGGCGATTGGCAAAGGAATTGAGGTTCCTGGGGACTGTAGCTGAGGTGTGAGTAGGAAGAAAGAAGAGCACGAGCAATGGGTAACGCGGGGCATCCGATTTATATCAGCGGTGCAACTGTTCGTTATCGGCAGGTCACCGCGGAGCTCAGAGAGCTTTCCTTCCCCCGCGTCGATACGATTGGCGTTCGGCGGCGTCGGCCAATCAGATACCGCTAAAGTTGGTGAAACGCCGAACTGGACGAATTAAGAAAGTCTACGCAGAGTGGGTTTTCGGGGTTGTCGGCGCCTTCAATGGCTTCAATGGTCTGCAATGGGGTCAGGTGAGCAGAGAAGAGGACCAGCAGAGATTCGATGTGGTAACAGCTCACCGTTAATCGGGTCAATCATTGTCCTTCCCAATACGGGAACGTGGAAGAATCCACACGTCATGCAGACATCGGCCCGCTTATCGTGATCGGTCGCTTATCGGCGGCTGGGGTTTGCTTATCGGGGTGTTGATTTTGAAGTCAGGGTTAGGACTGATGGACAGTGATCCAGTCCTTGTTTGATTTCTAAGGGGTAGAAGAAGGCTCATGGGAAATTTTCGGGGTTGGTGTTACTATTGTACTTTTTATTCGTAAGTAGGGTACATTACTCTGGTACTCATGGCTTTTATTTTCTTGGTTCCACTAGACCTAACATCCGACGAAGACTTTTTAAAGTTGTGTACTAAATATATATATCACTCAACAACCACAACCTTGACAACTGTTCATCCCTTTCGTATGAATATACCTACAGAGTCAAGATTAAAGAGACAACACCTCAATACCTCCCTTGTATGTACGATATTCAAAACAAGTGCCGCATGCAATTAAGTAAAGTTGAGCGATTCATAGTAGGTGCTGCAATTTCTACGCTCACGTCCGTCTTGACTTTGAGCCCTACTTACTATCTACCGACCCACCAACAACTCAATCTGGCTGCCTGAAGAGTCTTCTTACTCCATAGTCGAAATGTTCCTTTTCTCTTACTCAGAGAGCACACAGTCTCCCGGCAATCGTTTCCGTCGGAGACACATTCCCAAAGCGAAGCCCACCTAGCCTACCCAAACTTACTCGGTGGGGCTCGGCACGGTGTGTCTTCCCTCGACAATGTGCGGTTCCACTCTAATAGCATCCAGAGCCACGGTCTTTCAAGCAATTGGGCTTGTGGTTTAGTGGTATAATACCCCCTTAGCATGGGGGTGGTCCGGGGTTCGATTCCCCGCGAGTCCATATTTTTGCCCTGTAAATGATTTGTTGCCTCTATAAATCGTACGTTGACTGCAATTTTATTTCTCTTTTTGTGGGGGTAGGATTTTGATGAGGCGGTGAGAAAAAAAACTTTCTGCAGAAAATTTTTGATAAGAGACCCTCACAACAAGGTTATGATGTCAAAAACAGTCGACTTATTTCAACAAGGTTCCATAACTCAGTTGGTTAGAGTGTGGTGCTAATAACGCCAAAGTCGAGGGTTCGACCCCCTCTGGAACCACGTTTCCTTTTTTTTGCTTTTATTTTTTCTGTCTCTCATTCGCAAAAAGCCCTTCCATTTTTTTTGAACTTCACAGTAATTCTTCCTCCACTGGCGTCGTTTCTACTTCAACACCCTGCCGAATCAAACGTCTCACCCTACCCAGGAACACTTTTCTTTTTAATGCTATTTGCCTTAGGTCTAATAATAGGATTTCGTTACTTTCCAAGCTTGAATATCCGGTTGGCGATCCTGCGCACTGAAATAAAGTCTATATACAAGTAGTGTCTGTCATAGAGCGCTATATGACTGAATTAATCTCTAGCATAGCCCACCTCTGCCAGCTGTCGGAGCTGGAGATACGACGATGCAGGCGTACATCACCACGGAGCTGTATCATTCCTCGATGCTGAATTGCCTATCCAGCGATTTGCTGCAAATTCAAGCCACGCGCATCAGATTGCAACGTGGACATATACATATATATCTATATGACAGAGACGTATATCAGGACATAGAAAGACAGACATATTGTATAAAGAGCCAAACTTCAATTAGAACATAGACGCTGGTAAAGGTATTTAAAACCTATGAACCCGGAAGTGCGATCATGGCATCAAGGAAAACAAATATACAAAGAGCCGCTCTGCTCCTACTATCCAAATCAAGTATAGTCGAAAATCATGAGGGATATCAAGTTTAATATTTACATAGAGAAAAAGAGAATGAAGGCAGCAGGCGAATGCAACGACCGCATAATTAGTAGCGGCCTGGGAAGTGCGGATCTTCTCGTCGTAGGGAGCTCGATGATTTTCCACTCGCAGCGGACGAGAAGACCGTGCCACCCTGCTTCATTTCAATGCTTTCAGGCGAGATGGCGCGAGTATTTGTTGAAACACCATAGGCCGGATTAATTTCATCATGGTGTGCGAGTCGCGATTCGGTCCAACTCTCCATTTCCACGGTGCGCATGATCTCAAAGCGGTCGCTTTCGTAGCCACCGTGGCGGGCATCATTGGCGGGCATGTGGGAGGTGCGTGATCGACCGGTGGAGGACCAGAGCTTCTGCCCGTGGCTGCGTTTGTTGTAACTGATGTTTTGGGTGGAGTTGAGGAGACGGGGAAGGAAGGTTGCGATCAAGGGGCGGAGGGCTGGGGCTGAAGAGCAAATCTATGGATTTACTTATTAGCCCTCGTATAACTATGACCCCGATACAGGTTGAAAAAAACTTACCAATCCGAGGTTGATTTCCACCGAAGCGGCGATAAGTACTGGCCATCCCACCCATGTCGTGTCGTACCCAACTACCATACTCTTCCAAACATACACGGTTCGGACGGAACCAGCCACGTTGACAACAATTCCCAGGGCAAAGATCGAAATGACGGCAAGGCGCTGTCGGGCAGGAAGCTTGAGGCTCCAAATAAGTGGCATAGGCAGTGCAGTCACCATGAAGTCGGTGAAGATATTGATCACGCTCGCAGAGAAGACAATGGCTCCGTTGTCCATACATTTATTCGGGTATGTTGGTTCCACATCCCAGTATGCCTTGACTGGCCTGTGTTCAATGTTAGCACGGTTTCATCCGTCTCATCACAAAATATACGTACGAGCACTGGAAGATACTGATAAATGTAAACAGCAGGCAAGAGAGCCCGACGAAGATCATAGAGCCGATAAATGCCCAATTAAATACCACGAAGTTGCCCTTTCCAGCCCCAAGAAGTCGGCGGCAGAACCATAATAGGGAAATCTTGGTAATGGAGGAAGACCATGAGAACATAATCTGAAACACGAGATTCATCTTCTGGACGATTGAGAGCCAGGCCGTCGGAACATCCCAGATATGTCGATTCCAGCCCCAGTTCTCAGTAGCAACCGAAGTTATCACCACCATTGCAATGGCGAACACGAGGCCAATGACGATGAGAATGTCGTCAATGCCGGCGCTGCACGTAATTCGAAGACGGGTATATAGACGGAGCATGACCACCAAGAATGCCAAGCCTATGCAGATGATATTCACGATGAGGACTCCATGACCGCGAGTGGTAGGATCGGTATAGTTTGGCGTCGGCCAGGATGCCATAACAGCGAGCGGGGGAAGCTGCATGGCGACCGAGAGGGATGATGTCTTCGGGAGATGCGATCTGTATAGACGAAAAGAAGTCGGGTGTCAATGGCTCTCTTCCGATTGATTCACTTATGAGCAAGCACAGAAAAGAGATGGCGCCATATCCCTCATTAACGGAGAACGTGATATATGTTGATGTTGTGGGATTGTAGTCCGAATCGTCAATTCAAGTCGGGATGTATTTTAAGGGAGAGGGCGAGAAAGAAGAGAAAAGAAGCCCTCTAATGTGGCCACCCCGCCAGGGATCCGGGGAACAGATATATTATTATGCAGATGCAACCGGGGATGGTCTAGATGTTGCTCGTCAGGGTCTATGTACTACAATAATTTAGAGCATACGGTAAAGACGAACAGACGACCGAGCTGAACCGTGGGAATTAGATTAAATTCCGGGACATCCAGGTCCTGGCTATTGATTCGTGTTTTAAACCTTACGAGACTTTACGGCTGCTGGAGTCCGACGAGTCAGGGCAGTCGATCAGACGACTCCATCGCGCGCACCATGGTTTCTTCCCTAAGCCCGAGGGCGGCGAGCATTGGGCCGCATTAGAAAAATCCACTTTCGATGGACGCGAGTTCAAAAGGAGTAATAAGGCCGAGGACTTGCGGGGGCTGAAGCGACCGATGGGCGACGAGAGGCAGATCCAAAGCCCCATAGTTCAACAACTTGATCCACCCGGAGCGCGACTGATCTGATACAATTCGCTGTGGGAGGTTGAAGCTTGTGAAAACCAGGCAGCCAGACCCCTGGCTTCGCTTCAGGGACGGAATGTCAAAGCATCCCGCATGAAATACGGAGTATGAGTCGGATTCTCTTTGGTTCGCGATGAGGGCCACCGACACTCTGCCATGCAAGAAATTAATGATCCCTGTCGCATCCTTGTAACATTCTTATGGGTGGCGGAGAATTCCATGCCACGGGAAGCCCCCCAATTTGCGGCGTGAGCCGAGGTCTCAAGGCATTGAGGGTTTTTTTGGCCACCGTCTGTACTCGGCACCGAATATGCAGTAAATTCTGTTCACACCCTCTGGTTACACCTGCGAGACCAACCACTGTTATAACTCTTGCTCGACAGGATATGAAAATTAATTTGCCTTACCGAATATGCGGGGGTGGCAGCGCCATAATCAACGAGTCACTGTCTCCGTCGACGCGAACTCCACATTCGAGCCCTCGGTTGCGGTTCTCCGGTTTTCTGGATCCGCAACAGTGGAAAACACAGCCCACTCCAAACCGCTTGGAATTACCCCTCACGATGTAGCTCTGATTCCAGAACACGGAATCCTATGTGTCGTCCGTATATGCTGTACAATTGCATTTGACGCACTGGAAGAAATGCTCCCGTAGATGGAGATGCTCTGCTTACGGGGCACATACAATAGCCGAGAATTTCTCTCACTGAGAAGTGGCACACTTAACCCCCGAGCGGAGACAACTTATGTGTATGCTACTGTATAGAGCATGAGTATTGTCGCGTCCCGCTGAACTATTTTATAATCCTTCATTGGAGAGTAATCTCATAAGTTTTGCTGCATTCAATACATCCAGGCATCCTAATTATCATGCGGTCCATTTTTTGATTCCTTTCCGCCATCACCCAAGCGGTGCTGCGTAAAAGTACTGTCATGTCTGCTAACAATTCCTGTTCTCGAGTGGGCATCGATAATGCAAAGCTAATTCAAGCACTCGGATGATCCAATTATTTTCGGCCGATGACTGCACCAAAAATGCTACTCGAAGCCAGCCTCGACTCTTTAAGTGGAGACTGGACCAAGGGGACGGCTGACCGAGCCTCACCGGAGTGTAGGGCGGTGCCGATCACAGCCCCAAATTATTGTGAACCAACCCTATCACTCGTAGACCGCTGGCTTCTGGCCCAATTTGTGAAGATCTTGGACGGCTTTTACAAGCTAGTGGGCAGATTTTATCGAACCCGAAAACCAGGCTCCGCGATCTGCAGCCGCTATCGCGTTATTCTCCAGTCGGCTAGGCTATGTTGGAGGTTAATGATACAGATTGTGTGTAACGGAGCATTGGAAAGATTTCAACTAAAGGCAAATTGGAATCCTTGATTCTCGAAGCATGTTTGACTCTGTAGTTCAATGACTAGGAGTTGGGATAGGGAATATCGCGAAAAGAGATTTGCACTGGTGCAGTAGTCTAAGATGAGTCTTGAAATCCATAATTTTGGGCAGTAAGTTTATTGAAACTAGAAATACGGTTCCCTCATCATTCGAACAAATAAAAAGGGCAGGATAATATATAGCAAACGAATGCTCAAATTTGTGAACGACAAACTGGTAGCTTTGGCAGTCCTCGCCCATAGCTCTGCGCTAGCATGTGACAGCAACGGTCAGCCAAAATAAAAATCGTTCTCTTTGTTGAACCAAACAAATCAGATTCAGTTGGGGAGCAATAGATGAGAAAAACTATGCCAGTGTGCGACAATTAACAAGACATCTCAGGGGCTAAGACAACACAAACGCTTGTTCTAGAAACCAATTAACACGCTCTGACGAGACTCGTCAGGCACCGGCTTGTGCCCCTGCCTGCTCCCCCTGGTGCTTTTTGCTACATGCACCACTGAAAGAAGAGAGGACATGCAAATTTGGAGAATTTAAAACAATAGTCTTGTGATGTTCAATTGTGAACCCGATCTACGACTCCACGCGACACAAGCAGCCCACAGCGAGTTTCCGCTGTAGAACACGACGTCAATAAACTGCTTCCAAGAATTCCCAGCTTATTCCCACAATGATTAGTCTTTGACTTTGACTGCCACCGTGGAAATTAAAATTCATAAAGGGTCAAAAAATCCTCGCTGCATAGCCTTGATGTTTCAGCCAATGCCGGACTGAAGGGCACGGGGCTAGTGCAGCCGAGTGGAGTTCCTGCATGATATCACGGGCGCTGCAAGATCATTGGATATTTTCCCGATAGAAATTTTCCTGTAGTAAGCACTTGCTGAGATCCCGGCCATTTCTTTTATGCAACAGAAAACTGAAAAGATGGAATCAAGAGATGAGCCACATTCAAGGAAAAGTGTCGGAAACATATATGTTGTTGCTGAAGCCAAAAGCTGGACCTCAAAGAGATGGAAGTCAACTTTCTGTTTCTTAGGAATTGATAGACAATATCATTATGGACCATGGTGATTCAATTGAACACGCAGGCTATAAGTGAGGAGAAGAGAGAACACCCAGTTCGGCATCGCAATTGTCAACACATCGCTCAACCATTTTATGGAAAATTCAAGCTGGCTCAGAGTTGTAGTAAAGGTCTTGGCTTCTGTCAAAGTCCCTTCGACCATATCTTCCCCAAGGCACCTAAGACATGCCTCTGTGTATATATTTCCAGTTTTAGAATTCAACTTTGCAGTAGTCCTTTTCCTCGGCCACGCAAGAGGAAGCTTCGAACTTCTGTTGGGAAGATGACTAGTGTTCTTACAACACCGATATCCACAACACTCTCCACAAGGTAGCGCAGTGCCCGTCATTCAGAAATTTTGAGAAGAAAAATACAGAGTGAGTATGTATCCATGACAGCAATGCAGCTCTCTGTACCAAGTACAACAGGATGTCGATAGATTTCATGCCTTCCGATTCCGCTATTCGCTTAAGTGATACCTGAAGAGTGGTCTTTCAAAATATAGAGAGGAACTTTTCAGTTGAGTCATGACAAAGGCTGCTAATTGGAATGCTCTTTTCAGGAATAGCCGCCATTGGCTTCTTCGCACGTCCAATTACCACCGAGAACATGTCTGCCACTTTGCTTGGGTTTCTTAGTGGCATGTGCTTCAAAAAGGGAAAGACCAGTCGAAAAAGACCATTGTTTAATGCCTAGAAATCTCTTCGCACAAAGAGCTTTGAAGCAAAACTAGAAAAAGATCAACCTGCGAGCCTTTTGGTCAACAGGGTGGATTGACGTCGCTATCGGAAATACGGTATATGAATTGGTTGTTCACTAGATATACATAATGTTATCGTTTCATCAGTCGTTTTCAAGATTCGGCAAATGGCGTGTATTGACGTATCTTGCCCTGGTTTATCGCTTCTTTTCTTGAATTGGTATCAAGGATTCTCTTAGAGAAAAACGCCTTGGCACTGACCCAGTCATTGGTCTTATGCGCCATCTGGACCACATCCCGCGATTGCAACATGAAGTCAATGATCTTGGGGCCCCGGCGGTCGCCGAACCAGTGGTCAGGAAACCGGCCGTAGTGGTTGAACTTGAGAAGCCAGCTGTTATACGAAGGGTACGGATAGTGCAATACCATCGCCTCTTCATCTGAGGGCGTGAAGATACGGCCAGTGTAGCCCGAGAACGCGTGGGGTCCTTTTGGCTTGACACCTGGGCCGAGGCGGACAGCACTTTTGCCATTGCCGTAGGCGGCAAAGTTGGCGTTGCGATCTACCCCGTTCACCCAAAAATATACGCAGTCTTTGAACGGATTTGAAGTTTCGAAGTCGACTGGAAGTGCCTCGTGATTGGAGAAGGTCACGAGGCCTATCTCAAGGTCACTAGCCCAGGAGCGTGACTCGACAAGAGGCCCAAAGAGCAACTCATCCAGGTCAATATGGATGAGCCATGTGTAGCCACGCTCCATGAGATAAGTGATTGCATGCCTCATATTGGCCATCTGGCGTCGAATGAGGCGGCTTTCCGGCGTCATCCTAGACTCAACTTGAGACCCATCTAAGAGCGTGACGGGTCTGTTCCCACAAAGGCTCTCAAACAATGGCCGCTCATCTGGGTCGTCCATGAATATCACGACATGGTGTACCCAGCGGAGATGATAGTCAAGCCAAACTGGAAGGATGGGCCCAGGACGTAGAATCGTGGTGGCTATTGCAAAGGAAGCATCGACTCGTACACTTTCTAAACCGGCTGTACCGTATTCCGGGCCGAGAATGTAGGACTGATTTTGGTTTAATGAGTTGCCATTGGATAGATCTGAAATGAAGAGAAGCGAGAGTACAGCTAAAGCAAGCGTCCGAGAAAAAGCGAGGAAAAAATTGTACATTTTATCACATATTTGAAGGAAAGATGTGGACTTGGTCGGGGTTGTGAGTGAGAGAAAAATGCTTGTGTCAAGGAGAGTGAGGGGTCGATTTTTGGAGCAACGTTTTCTATCCGGAAGAGCCTTACCTAGCGGCCCCAAAATAGCCACATTTACCCGATTCGTAGTAGTGCGGCGATACCCCTTATCTAATAATGGGTCGCATCCGCTTTTACCCGCCTCGACAAGGCTTGTTTGTCTGGGCGGCCCCTTTCAGTGAGCGCGTCCACCTACGACGACACAGCAGAATTTAGCACCCATTCAGATTCGGTGATCTTGCTCAGTCTAGTAGAACGCACAGCCCTACTTGAAGACCCTTCCTCTCCAAATTTTCGGCTCGAAGTTGCCGAGAAAAATTCCCTATATTCCGCACTACTCCCAATTTCTATGTTTACTATGTGTAAGTTGCCATCGAATGGCAAAGGATTTGGAGGCTGGTAATATCACCAGCTCTCAGTCAAATCCCAATGCATTGCACTCAATTGATCGGTGGAGATTTCTATGACCAAATATGGCACAATGGCACACTTCCGAGCTTTGATTTGGGTCTCTTGACACACCCTCCCCTCCCCGCGGCGTCGTCCAATAGCGGATCCATCCGAGCTCTCTAGCGTTCTATCCGTTGGCTATAACTAGCCCTGTTGTATATTTATCACATAGGGCGACCGATCAATTGTAATCGATTCCGTCGGAGCTGGCCCTTTTACCGGAAATTTTGAAAGTCACTTTAAGCCTTCTCTACCACGACTTCCCCTCTTCAAATACCGGGTCCTCGCATCTCTCGCATCTATAAGTGCATAAAATTGACACACTCTCATTTCTCCAAAAAATATGGCTGTCGAGTTAAAGGTCATAATTCAGCTTCGTGATGGCTGCATCCATGCTGTCCAAAGGGAAGGATTAGTTATCGCTCGCGGCGTGAAATATGCCGAAGCTAGACGGTTCGAGGCTCCGCGGCCTTCCCAAAAATGGGATGATATTATCGACTGCACAAAACCGGCCACGATATGTCCCCAGTTACCTTCGCGTCTTGAGATGATCAATGGCCCGATAGCTGCAAGAAGGACGATGGACGAAGCCTGCTTGCACGTCAGCGTTTTCTCGCCCTCGCTTAGCCACTCCAAGGACGATGGCTTGATCCCTGTTATGGTCTTTCTACACGGGGGTGGATACTCGTCCGGGGCGGGCGATCTTGACTGCTACAGTGGCGCTCCGCTTGCTTCTATGGGAGTAGTGGTCGTTAACATCACTTACCGACTGGGAATATTTGGATACCAGCCCATTGAAGGAATCGCCCCACCCAACCTGGGCCTTCTAGATCAAATTGCAGCACTTCGCTGGGTCCAAGACAATATCCAATGCTTTGGTGGCGATCCTAAGAGAGTTTGCCTATTTGGAGAGTCAGCGGGTGCAGATTCAATCTTCTGTCTACTGGGTTCGGATGATGTTGAAGGTCTTTTCCATCGTGTAATATTGCAGAGTGCTCCATGGGCGTTCAGGTATATGGACCAAGATAGCCGACATAAAATGATCGAGGCACTTTCGTCGATGGCTGGCGATCTTCTGCCAAGAAATCACGATACTGCATCGATAGAGGAGCTTTTGAGGGTACAGCAAAGGCTCATGATTGCAGCGACATCTTTTCCCATGGCAGTGATACCGTTTGGGCCCATTATTGGGCATTACCCCCTGCCGCAGAAGTCGGAATTTGATGGAAGGTTGGAGTCTGCCATTCATCGCGTGCCGATATTTATCGGCTACACGAAAGACGAGGGCCGAGCGTTCGAGGGCATGTTCAATCAAATGAAGCCTAGACCTGTAATTCCCGTGGGAAAAACTGTCGCTAGCTTCATCTCCAAGCATTGGTTTCAGGACCCAGCGGAGCAGTTTTTTAGGAGGATCATGGACGCTGGTAGACAGCCGTGGTTTTACGTGTTTAGCCTGGCGCCCGATCAGAATCAGTTCGGTGCAATTCACACAATCGACATGCCCTTTCTGCTTGGAACATGGGATAACTGGAAAGAGGCGCCAATGATGAGTGGGCGAAATACGCAAGAACTCGTGGAACGGGTTGGCTCAGAGGTCAAGAAGCTCTGGGTAGCGTTTGCCGAAGGAAGGAATTCTGGGACCGCGCAGTTTGTTATTGACGAGCACTTTACTTTTCACAAATAGAAGATGATGTTGTAATTTGAAAAATTTCCAACATCTATCAATTTAGACCTAGGAATCTGAGTATAGAGCATTTTACAGTAATCTCGATACTAGAAGTTATTACCATGGTTCATACAGCCCCGTTTCGAGAGGCCGCGAACCAGGTGCGGATGGATACTACGTAGTGAACTAGGGCGCTCTACGGCAGACCTAAGAATGCAGGCAGGATAAGATAGATCAGCGAACCAGCTAACAGTCTATACTATAATACGATACAAGGAAGCCTCTTAGAGAGGAAAAAGATACTGCTTTAGCGAAGGATATATAAAAGTTGATTCCCTTCCTGTCGGAGACGCGACGCTATATCCTATAAAAATTATGTACTAAGAAAGATATCCTCTAATTAGAGATTACTCCTCGTCTAATATTTCCTTAACATATATCTCTCTCCTCTACACTTCGACTATCCCTTAGTTGAATAATATTATCTAGTATCTATTGTTGAAGCTGTTCAAAACGATGCTATAGAGCTTGCTCAGCAGCCTACTACTAGGAGTGTTTTTCGGTGTTCTGCATGTGGTAATAAGGGGCATAAGATTAGCCATTGCCCTAGTAGATAGGATGAATCAATACCTAGTGTTTTGGTGGAAATATAGTGTTTTCAAAAAGTAGTGAGTAGTAGGGTGCGCGGAATACTGGTGAAATACGTTCTTCTCAAAAGGGCAAAGCTAACCGGAAGCAGCAATTCACAGCTTCGCCTCCCCTTATTGGTCTGGCTTGCATGTGAACCTTTCAGCGCCTAAACATAAGGGCTGCTGACGTGTCAGCACCCTGAATCTTTCACTTATATATGCCTTTGGCGGAGAAAGTCGCTTTCTTTTACGAAGGAAAAGTCGATACAAGAAACGAAAGGATTTCACTCTTTATTTCCATGCCTTCTATGTATTGATAGTCTTACCATGATTACAGTCTCGGCCAGCTAGCTGGATATTGTGGGTTTGATAGCATCTCCAGTCCTGCTGTGTGACATGGCCGCTGCTAAGAGACTCTCGCATGATGCTTATACGGTCGGATGGATCTGCGCCTTGCCGCTTGAAATGACAGCTGCCATGGCAATGCTAGATGAAAGACATGCGAACTTACCACAACACGAGACTGATAACAACAGCTACACTCTTGGGGAAATATGTGGTCACAATGTTGTCATTGCATGCCTGCCATCTGGTGTTTATGGAACATCGTCAACAGCTACGGTGGCCACGCATATGCTTTTTACATTCCATGCGATCCGGTTCGGTTTAATGGTGGGAATTGGAGGCGGAGCACCCAGCAAAGAAATTGACATCCGCCTGGGTGATGTTGTGGTCAGCAACCCAACTAGCACCTTTGGCGGAGTAGTACAGTACGACCTTGGAAAAACTATCCAAGAGGCCCGCTTTCATCGAACCGGAACACTCAACAAGCCGCCACAAAATATTTTGACGGTGCTTTCAAAATTGAGGGCGGAGCATAAGATCGGAAACAGCAGAATTCCAGAGTTTCTTTCTCAGATAGCAGCTAGATATCCTAGCTTGTCTCAGTTTACACATCGTGGCCAGGAACACGATCGTCTCTTCGAGGCAGATTATGATCATATTAGATCGGAGAGTACGTGCGACATGTGTGACCGCAAGAGACTGGTTTTTCGAGAAAGTCGAGCCTCGGATTATCCTAGTATCCACTATGGCCTGATTGCGTCTGGCAACCAGGTAATGAAGCATGGCAAGACTCGAGACCAACTTGCGCGCGAGCTCGGCATTCTCTGCTTCGAAATGGAAGCGGCTGGACTGATGGATCACTTTCCTTGTTTAATAATTCGAGGAATTTGTGACTATGCCGACTCACATAAGAACAAACAATGGCAAGAGTATGCTGCTGCTGCGGCAGCAGCGTATGCAAAAGAACTGTTGTCTGTGAAGTCAGGGCCTTCTACAAGGACAACCACACCAGCTGCCAACACCTTGCTAGAAACTGGTATGTATATTCTCATTTCACTTGGAATTAATCCTTTGAAGATGGAACTTAGTATTCTAAAACATGTTTTCCGTAGGAACGTACCGTGACAGGTATAACCGTGATAGCGTTATACGACCTCCTCATCGAAATTGGAGATCCCATGGAGACCCTCCTGTGAGGGCTAACTACCGTACGCCTGGCCGCCAATCAGAATTCTTTAATGAGCTACCGCAGAACTATGGTCAAGACAAAGGCGGCAGCAGTCAACTACCGCATCTGCGACATAGACCTACGCGGCAAAGAAATTCCCATGGACATACATTTGACCACTACCAAGGTCGGGGAGTACAGCTGCCCCTTGGTCGAAAGGATGGACTTGATAGGGTACCCCGACATCAATTTTTTGATATTCCTCTACCTAGCAATCCCCACTTCACAGGCCAAAGAAAATTGTTAGAAAAGCTGGCCAGAGCCTTGCGTGATTCAACTTGCATCAATGGCCCAACCCTTCAACGTTCTATTCTCATAGGACTTGGAGGCGTTGGCAAGACAGAATTGGCAATCCAGTTTGCAACTCTTTATCGACAAAGTTTCTTTGGGGTCTTTTGGGTGGATGCTACAACTGAAGCATCCTTATTTTCCTCACTTGACCGACTCTCTCAAATAACCACAAGCCTCAGGCCATGGAGATCAAATAGCTTGAATCCTTATTCTCAATCCCGGATAGACCTTCCCAGTTTCAGGCCTTGGAATCGGCCCCAGACTCATACTTTTGTCGATTGGCTTGTCGGTCTCCAGGCTCCCTGGCTGTTAGTGGTTGACAATTTGGACGATCCTGACATGGTAGAGACTCTGGAGTCGATCTTGAGAAAGTTATCCAGAGGATTCGTCTTGGTGACAACTCGCAACCGAGGGGCCGAAAAGCTTGGAGACCGTATCGAAGTTTCTGAAATGGCTGCAGATGACTGTTGTGAATTCCTTCTACGGCGTACGAGCCTCTGGGAAAATCGAACAGATGCCAAAATTCTCTCGGCAAAGTTACTGATTGAGAAACTTGGTCGTCTTCCCCTGGCGCTCGATCAAGCTGCAGCGTATATCAATTTCTGCGGTCTTTCTTTAGATGAGTACCTTGATCTGTTCAAAAATGAGGCGAGCTACTTGCTCGGGAAGTCTGCCAAAAACCGTTATCATAATACCAAGATGGAATATCCTGATGATAAATATGATACAGTCCTCAAGACTTGGGAGATATCCTTCAGATATGTCAAGAAAAGCCACCTCTCTGCGGCCTTCCTTATGCAGCTCTTTGCTTTCATGGACTCTGAACACATACCAGAAAGTATCTTCAGGAAATTTCATTTCCCAAGGAGAGAGCGCTGGTCAACTTCAGGAGATATCTCCAATTTCGATACAACTGGACTCGATATACCGCCACCACTAGTTCAATGTTTGAACTCCAAGCATGACTTCATGGAAGCCCGCGGTATGCTCCTTAAGTTTTCACTTGTCAAACGCAGATCTGACAGTAAGAGTCTGTCCATACACCCCGTGAGTCATCTCGTTTTGGTGAACGAATATTACTTTCTTGAGTTGCCCAAGGTTAATGATTGTCCGAAAACCCAGCTCGTCCATTATTGGACATTTGCCAGAATGACTGCGGCGGAAAAATCACAGTGGCATCAAATTACCGCAGCTCTCCTTAACGTTGCGATCCCAATAGAGAAGCAACTGCCCGCACTCGAAAACCAATGTCTTTTAGATGACAAGGTCCTCCCTCACGTACGGAAATTGATTGACCTCTCACAAAAAGTCGAAGTAATCACAGCCGTGCGTGGTTTGGTGTGTTTGCTCTGTTTCTCGCCTTATTGCGAAGATGGTATTGAGTCACGCCAACTATGCGACCGGTTGAAGGATATGTCAGAGAGTTCTGAAGATAGATTCTCCGAACTCCTTAGCACTGTATGGAGGTTGACTGATGCTTGCCTTCGAAAGCCAGTATGCTGTGATCAGACACTCCGTCTCTTGTCAAATGCGGTGGGACTTTTACGTGCTTTAGAACTAGGGTGCGAAGAAGGGGGAATAAACGCTCTCCTTCTTCGCCTTGCGTTTCGCCTTGGACAAACTTTAGAGGAAAATAGTGCTTGCGACGTGTCAGGCGGGACGAACAACAACGCACATATTAACGGTTGTATTGAGGACATCCGCCGCGATTCGCTCCCAATGATCAGAGGGGTCATTTGTGGGTGGAATCCCGTAAGCAACCCACTTTCACAGATGGAGTCAGAGGCAGTCAAGTTGAAAGAGATATATGTTTCTGCCATCATTACCGACAGTGAAATCCTCGAGAAGACCACCACCGTAATAACGGACGAAGAGAAGAAACTTCAGGAAAATCTTCTAGACTTCAGATCGATCAGCTCAATTTATGTGCCAGTACTGAGGAGGCTGTCAGAGTTTGCTGTTGTTCAGAACCGTCCTGTCGAGCATTCCATTAATGCAGTTATCTTCCTAACGGAAGGATATAAGCCAGCTGGCGAGGACGTTTGGAGACGGATAGCACGTGCAATGGCGGAAAACGTCAGCCGACTGTTGGGTGATGAAGACATTGGATTGATCAAATCGCTAGACGTCTGGGAGAAAGCGAAAAGATGGGGCAAACTCAGCAATCTGCTTGACAGAGCTCGGGAATGGGAAAGATTGATCGGTCCGCCCGTGCATATCAAAGACAATGCATGGATGGGCACTTGGAACGATTTCACTTCACGTGTTGATAAGGCTTTGGGGCTCGCCGGAGACCCTAGAAAATTCTTTTCAAATGGTCATCTGAAAGAAGAGCTTCTCCGGGAGGGAAAAAAGGAAATCAAGAAGATTTTCTGGCCTTGTGGTGGACTTGGTTCTTCATCTTCCGCAAGGGGTCTGATTGCAGAGTTTGTGGCTAATCCTCAGGATTTGGATCTCAGGGAAAGTATTGTGGATGACCTGAAGAAGATGTAGTTCATTGCAGTTTTCCTAATTGTAGCACCTGAATACAATCTAGAGTCTTAAAAAATCTGTGGATCGGTTGTTTGGCCAAGTCTTTTTAATCACTCTAATTCACTACGAAAGGTGTTGTTTAAACTAGTTCACCGTTTTCAGCATTGTTTGCAGCCCCGTTTAAGCTTCGAATTAAATGTTAATTGCTGCTCCACCTCGTCCCGTCGATTCTCGTTGAACTTGCAATGAAAGGACCAGCGCGTTTAATTCAATCAACTAATAGGGAGTACATTAATTCAATTAATTAAATATCAACAGTATTCATGATGGACATCCCTCACCAATTGCACCTTATGCCTCACAAACAATGGGGTAGTATTAAAGCCGCACTAGGAGCTCTTCAAAACTACCGAAACGGGCGGTGCTGCGGTGGTACCTCGGAATTCGCAGTTTCAAACCGCCAAATAACCGGGCCCAATCAGCCCTTCAAAGAACCACGATTTCCCCATTATCCTGTGTTCGAGGACCCGCTCCGGAGTTCAAGCATCCTTAAGTTCGCGGTTCAGAATAACCTCATTCAAAAAGCGGCTCTTTCTGTCTTTGCATGTTATGCAAGGCTATTCAAAGGAATAATCTTCTCCCTCTTTAACAGGTCGTAGTAAGTCAGGTTAGTCAGCTCGGATAGGCAAGATTTCGTCTGATCTCGAAATTGCTTGAGGAAGCAAGTGGGTGACCGCGGACGATGAAGACGAGCTTGTGTGAGCTGCGTTGATTAAATAGATGTTTAATGGCTATGAAGCAACGCGCAAAGGCGCAAAATTCTTTAACAAACACAGTTTGACGGTATCAAGGAGGGATCGCAGACACCCGTCACCTTCCGAGGATCATTGCTTTTGGCGGGGTGGGTCGGTCCCCACTCATCTAAATCATTCGTCGATTGTCGGCTTGAGCATCGCAATCCCTTGAGTCTCAAAGGATCGAGTGAACTTCGACGATAGGGCAGATTTTGATAAGAGAATATCGGAGAGACGGACCGAAGGTTTGCGTTGATCGCGGATGCCTTCCGGATAAGATGCACCCCCTAATCACCTTCTCCCATCCAGAACTTCCGCAGCATTTATAGTATCTCAATTTTACTGCCTTTGACATTCTTTTGCAACCGTTTATTAAAAATGGAGACCTCTAATGATCTGAAGCTGCCATCCACCCAGGTTGACGAAGCAAAACGGGCCCCTATACAGATCATGGAGCGGGATCTTAAGGAGTACTCAGCAATCCTTCGCAAAGTGGACTGGCATATTGTCCCTATTATGCTCGCCTGTTACTTCTTAGAATTCCTTGACAAAGTGCTCATCAATTACGCAGACGTCATGGGCCTACAAGAAGATTTGGGCATGACAGGAAATCAATTCAGCTTAATGGCAACACTCTTTTTCGTCGGTTTCGCAGTGGCCGAGGTACCTCAAGGCTATCTTCTACAAGCGTTCCCTTTGGCAAAAGTATTGGGGTTTAACTTACTATGCTGGGGAATACTAGTCGCTTGCATGGCTGCGGCGCAGACCTACGGCCAAATACTCGCTATTCGCATACTGCTCGGCGCCTGTGAAGCTGTCATTTCGCCTGCATTGGTCTTGATTACATCTACCTGGTACACCAAGCGCTGCGCAGCTCCTCGCTACGGGATCTGGTAGTACGTACTCAATTATCTTGCTATTACTATGATGATAGGATACTAACACTAGATGTCACTAGCTGTGGTCTCGGTGTTGGCCAGATCATTGGAGGCCTCATCTCATTTGCAGCTCAGCATAGTCCAGAGACTGGACTCAGCGGATGGCGTATCATGATGATTGTAGTTGGTGTTTTCAACATTTGCATTGCATTTGTAGTCATCATTTTCCTTCCTTCGACTTTGGAATCGGCCAAATTTCTCACAGAAATCGAGAAGGAATCGCTCCGAAGCATGCTGGTTCTCGATCAAGCAGGAAACGGACTTAAGGTATTCAAGAGGGAAGGTCTTTTTGAAGTTTTCATAGATCTGCAAGTCTGGTTATTGTCCCTTCTTACTATCCTGACCGTTATCCCAAGCGGTGTCATAACGACTTTCTCAGCAATTTTGATCAAAGGGTTCGGATATAATTCCAAGCAATCTGCGCTACTCAACATGCCATCCGGAATCGTCAGCATCATTGCAACTTGTGGATCCACGTACGCCGTCCTCAAGAAAACACCACGCTGGATCAGCATAATTATCGTCATAGTACCTGCGCTTATCGGTGCAGGTCTAATGTCATTCCTTCCACAATCCAACCAAGGCGGAAAATTGGCTGGCATTTATCTCCTGAATACCACCGTTGCCCCAATGGCGCTCATATACTCCTGGGTGGGAGCCAACACTGCCGGATATACGAAGAAAATAGGAGCCAACGCCATGATCGCGGTTGGATTCAGCATCGCCAATATTATCGGACCACAGACTTTTCAAGCTAAAGATGCACCGAAATATACGCCAGCCACCATAACCCTCTTTGCAGTCCTAGGAGGCGCATTGCTTGTTTCCGGCCTTCTCAGGTTACTATACGCATACCGCAACGCATCCACAAGGAGGAACCGGAACGAGCAACTTGCGAGTGAAGTTGTCGAGTCGGTGATTACAACAGAAGAGCAAGAGGATCTGAACGACCTCAAAAATCCGGCGTTCGTCTACGTATACTGAGCAGAAGTCTCATTTTCATAGGATTTAAAATCATTTAAGACGGCCTTTCCTAGCAAGCTTAATATCCAAGCCGTAGAAATAGTGTCTTTCTGGTTATATGAAAACCATGATGTTCTTTTACGTTGTATTGCTTGCCTCTTATGGTGTAAACATGCTGTATATGGGACAAGAAGGAATCGGGAGCGAATACGAATTTTGTGATGATTTGGTTCAAGACATGCAAAACTGGATCTTTCATTCACTAAATTCAAAGCTACAGTGGGCAGCTCAAATACATTTTATAGCGAGCCATTGCGTCGCTGTGTTCCACCAGTCTCAATCAAGCGTTCGAGTTCCTCGCACACCTTCTGCGGCATCTCAACACTCGGAAAATGGGTTTCGCCTTCTAAATCCGTATATGAAAACCAAGGATGTGCCTTGGAAAAGCTGTCGTGTATCTGGCGGTACTCGGGCGAGTCGAGGGGATGAGAGAAGACATGGCGTATCGGTGGTGGATTGACCATCCTTCGCATCCGATCCATTGGAGAACCATAGGTCTGGTAAGCAGCTGCAATTACGCGACACGAAAGCGCCCACATCTGGTGTCCGTAACTACCCATGCAATAGGTCAAATGGTCTTGAACGCCTGTATTATTGCTTCCTGCCAGCCAGTTTTCAAAGAGGCTCTTGCGTGCTGCTAGCCAGGTCTCCGGTATCTGCATGGCTTCTAGTCCGGCTGCAAACTCTTGCGGAGGGGGAGTCATGATCTGATCGATCATCAACAATCGAATGACTCGGTCCTTGCCCAGCTGGTCCGCAATTTCTAGCGCTGGCCATCCACCATGAGAGTGTGAGACGAGGTAGAATCGATCGACTCCCAGTGCCTGTAAAAGGCGCAGAGTGTCGTTGACTTGCTCATCGACGCCGAAGTCGTCTGTATAGTCCCGGTTTTGGCCATGGCCACGCCAGTTGATACGGATGACCCGGTGGTTTCGAACAAGGTAGGGAAGCATGGCATCGTAAAGACGCAAGTCGTGTGCCCAGCCTGATACCAAGACAACCGCTGGTCCGTCGGTATAACCGGACTCGTCATAGCATATTTCGATACCGTTGACCGTTTTTGTGAGATACATGGTGACAAGAAGCGGTCTTCGTGGCTAGGGAGAATTGAAGCTGTAGGTGTCTCATCAACTGTGATATAACTAGCAGTCATGTCCAAAGCCGTCCACGACGTCTTTTTTCCGGGGGAAATTAATTCGGCCCGCCCACCCGTTCGTTTTCTCCCTATTGAATAGTTGAAGCAGTGCGCATAGTACGGAAATACCTGAATTGGCCTAGATTCTACGGGCCGAACCTCCGCCAACGGCCCGGCATCCGGAGGCCCAGTGATAAGTGATAAGGCTACATTCAGTCCTGTGCAGCTCTTGATGTACCGTTTTATTTATGCACCTTATTTGCGAGTTTCATTGATTTCTGCAAGCAAAATGTCGCAACCGCCTGTCATCATCGTGGGTGCAGGCATCACAGGTCTGGTGCTGGCGCAAGCCCTCAAGAAGCACTCCGTCCCTTTTATTGTCTACGAGAGGGACCCCGATCCGTTGTATCGGGGTAAGGGCTGGGGTATCACCATCCATTGGGCCCTCAATTCGCTGATGGAATGTCTACCTCAGCACATCTCCGATCGTCTGCCAGAGGCATATGTGGACCCTGAAGCGACCCGCAACGGCGAGAACGGACACTTTTTATTCTTCAACTTGCGCACCGGCGAGGCTCTTTGGCAAGTGCCGCCCAGTAAGAGAATTCGGATGGCCCGTGAGAAGTTCCGAAGACTTCTTATGGACGGTATCGAAGTCCAGGTATGTATGCAAATTGCCTTAACTCAACAACTCTAATCGTTCTTGCTCATCCAGTGGAACCACACCTTCGACTCTTTTGGCCCGGTAGATGATGGCACTGTGAAAGCGACTTTCACCACTCCCAATGGAACACATATGATAGAGGGCGCGATAGTTATCGGATGCGACGGCTCCCATTCACGCGTTCGAGCTTCACTATTTCCTAGCCCATCAATGCACGAGAATTACCGTTTGCCGGTCCGACTTCTCGGTGTGAGTACTATCTACCCCGGCGAGCTTGCCGCCAAAATGCGCAAATTAGATCCCTTTTTCTTCCAAGGTGGCGACCCACTCACGAATGCATCCCATTGGTTTTCATTTCTGGACAGTGTAGAGACAAGCGGCCGGGGTGATGATAGCCGAGACTGCCAGATCCTCGTCTCGTGGCCGCACCGCCGAGGCTTTTTAGGTGAAGATGCGCCATTGGACGTTCCTGCAGATAGCCATGACCGTGTGGCATTCATGAAGAGGGTGGCCAGCGGCTGGGCTGAACCATTTCATGAGATTGTCCAATCCATACCGGAAGAGGCGCAGCCAAAGACAATATCGCTCGAAGACTGGGTGCCACCACGCGATCAATGGACGACTGTCCCTGGATCAGACCATGTCGTGCTAGTTGGTGATTCTGCGCATGCCATGACTATGTACAGAGGCGAGGCTGCAAACCACGGTATTTTGGATGTGGAATCGCTCCTGTCAGCGATTCTGCCAGTTCTGAGGCCAAAATATGATGGTCTTGGAGAGCACCTGAGGGAGGCGTGTAAGATCTACACACAGGGAATGGTTGAGAGGACAGCGCCAGCAGTCCTGAAAAGTCGGCAGGCGTGCTTAGATGCGCATACTTACAAAAGGATCAATGATGACAGTCCTTTGATACAGAGAAGGGCTGCTGCTGTACAGGAGCCGATGCTTGAGCGTGAACCTGTTTTGGCTGCTTAAGGTCTTGGTAGATAATCACCTCATTCATATGAGTCCCTTTATTACAGACATCTGGATCGGTAATTTGTATAGGAAATAAGTGACTACGAGAATATCCTAACAAAAGATCCGATTCAAAAAAAAGAAAAGAAAATGTATATCTCAGGCAAGATGCCTATAAATTCCATCATTGGCGGGAAATATCTTTATCGTATTTTCCACTATGTGTGTATGTGACCAATGGAGAACGTTAACGTCGCATCATCAAAAAGATTTACCGACGGTGAATCTTCTAGAGACATTGACAGGGAAGGAAGGTCAAGGGGAACAAAATCGCCAATGTTCATCGTCTGTCTCACCACAGAATAGCCATCTGGCTCCTCACTTCGTAGAATGTTCAGTGCCGAGGAAGCAGTAGAATCAGACTCATCGCGGACAAAGTTCCGTGGCAACTTGTATCGCGTTGGTTTGTATTCCATAGATTGCCAATCTTGATCCATATTGGTATTTGGTCGACCTTCATGGCCCTCACTATGTTCCCTTCCTCTCTTTCCGGCTGTCTTTTGCTCATAACGATCAAACAATCTATGAAATAGCTTGTGCTTATTGAAGTCACTCTGCGTCCGCTGCATATCTCCCTCAATAAGCTGCTGGTATTTCCTAATTTGGGGCCACTGGATGTCAATCTTGCACAGCATGTCAAAGCCTGCCTCGACATCGCGCCAGGCTTTATCGTTGAACGCTACGTTTTTGGCCAGGCGCATACAGTGCAAAAGGACTTTTGTACTGGCGTAGAGAGCGCGGCTCTGCTGTATCACAAAATGGCTAATAGGCACGTGCGCAATCACTCCTGGAGTGGCCTGAATACAGTTTGCTGCGGCTTCCGCGCAGCGGAGAAATCCTTCTGGATCCGCAGCATTCGAGTGCTCAATAGATGTCCGGTAAAGAAGAACGATCCCGATGTAATAGGATGATACGGCAATGGTTTGTAGCGCTAGAGGTCTCACTTGCCTGTTTGGCTCTTCCATTTTCGGTAGAACCTGTTTGGTATAGTAATTTTCCAGTTCGTCATCATACCTTTTTGTGCATACCCGAAGTATATCCCACATCTTGTCATTATGGGCTCGATGGGACTTGCGAATCCATCTTATCGACCTGTAAATGCGGCTTATGGTAACATGAAAGCTTGCAATGACCGAGAACCAAGGGTCTGTCTTGGTCTCAAGCCCAAGTGCGGGACAATTTGCCTCCTCGTAGTATCTCAGGTCACTCTCCGTATCAGAAATTGCCAAGGGCTTGGACAGAGCCGTTGACAGAGAGCAGTCTAAAATGTATAAGCACCACCAGACATTGCCACATGGGCTCCAAGTCTCGCCTGCATCTGGCACTCCATCTGCATTGTCTTCAAGCTCCTCCAGTTCCAAGCCTTGATATAGATGAACTGCGTGACCCGCGATGGCCCATGCACCACTCACATTACCGACTCCGATCAGGTAAAGGCTGAGAAGGCCCAGCGCGATGGCGGAGTTCATGGAATTTTTCCCATCTTGCTGGAATGGCAGTCCTGAACAATTGGAGGTGGCATGGGAGTAAAGCAGATTTCCAAGGTTTACACGTTTATAAAATTGTAGGCCAGGTTGGTCAAATACCGTGTGCTCCGCCGGGATTGCTGACGCTGCCACGGCGAGCAGTGCGTATAATAGAAATGAAAAGTTGCTGGCATCGCCATCGCCGCCTTGACGCATGGACGACCAGCGATCGTATTCCCATTGAAAATCATGTTGCTCAATAATAGGGAATATCGGGTAGTAAGAGGAGTAGAATGAGTCAACCAGAGCTTGTAGCAGTGGCTCCGGTAATCGAGTTACGTCGACTGGAGTAGGCGCGGCAGGATCCAGGATTTCCCCAAGCAGAGTATCAGAGCCGTCAAGAGCCGATCCCCCTACTCGATTACCGTCATCACCCTCAGAAGAAGGCGACTGGGATGCTAGCAGCGGCGCTTCCGACAACCCTGTACACTGCTCATCCTGGAGCTCTTCTGTATAACAAGAACCCACACCGTCATGAAGAACAAATGCTGATCGACCTACTGGCGCCCCAGAAGTCCGATTATTCTCCCCTTGTTGCTGGCGTGTAAGCTGCAGCCTTAGTGTTTGCTCCATCATTTGTATTCGATTCTCGAGCCTTATGACATCTCTATAGCTGGGTAGTTAGTTATCTGCAATGCCGACATATATAATGAACCAGAGACACACAGTGGATCCGCTGACCCTGTCTTGCTGTTCGGCTCCTCATAGACACATGCTGATTGCTTCCGACTGCAAGTTTGGCATGGAGACTGTCCATCGCATTTTATTTTCTTGCGGCGACATGGCTGACAAGCACGCCACACTCTCTGACGCTCATGCATGAATGATGTGATGTGACTTGGATTGTAAAATGCACGTTGCAGGAAATGGCGGAGAAGACCAGACGGGGAATGGGCGGGTCCTGGAGATAAGGGGAACTGACTTGCGGAGTAGAATGAACCTAACCGTTTTTGAATTAGATGGAAAAGGAGCTTCGATAAGGAGAATTAGGCTAGGACAATGCGTATTTTTGGGGACGCCACTGATTGGTTGGGTATGATCTGTCAATATGAAGCCTGGAAATACCACTTATACACTATGTTTCCAGCCAACGCTAGGTAAAGAACGGAAGAAACGTGTCTTCTCAAGCAGATCAAAAAAATAAAACATAATTCGCTAATGAAGATATGAAACTGAATAGGAACAAAAATTGTACAAGCAAGCTACGCAGATATGTAAGTAATTTTTGTAAAAAATAAACATATTTAACTAACACTGCCTACGTTGTGGGTGGGCGTAGGCATTGGTAGCTATCGAAGCTATACTGGATCGCTCAGCGACCTCCCCACGCCAAGCAGCAGGGATGGATCGTGCTGCTTACAACACTACATGATCGAATCAACAACATTCAGAATCGCCAGGAGACACGATTGCCACGTCTAAAATTGACACTGGAAGAAAAAACAAAGCTTTGCTATTGGATTCTCTCACTGGATTCTCCAGGTGCATCTCCAAGCCCCTCCACGATTACATATATGGCAAATTTTCTACTAAAGCGCGTGTTGACCGTTTCTATCTAACGTTAGCATCAACTGGGTTACATACTGGATTCAAAGCCGATATGAACTCTGCACACAATACTCGGCGCGTTACCACTACCAGCGTGCTCAAAACGAAGACCCAGCAAGCCTACAGAGTGATTCGATTAGTGCAACGTATAATTTGATGAATGAGGATATCTATAACTTTGACGAAACAGAATTCGTAATGAGCAATATATCCATTACTAAAGTGGTCAATAGCAGAGATTTATACGGTCGGAAACCTCTTCTACAACCGGAAAATTGGGATTGGGTCATATCAATCAAATCTATATCAGCAACCGGACATTTGCTTCCGCCATATACGTATAACCTTCAAAGGCAAAAATTATATTGCAAGCTGATCTGACGATCTCACAAGCGATTGGCGAATCGAAACATCACTGACTGGATGAAGAATTAATTGAAATCAGTATACAATGGCTACAATAATTATTTATTTCAGCAACGACTAAGCATACGCAAGGCAAATATCAATTATTGATTCTTGAAGGCCACGGTCATCATTTAAAACCTCAATTTGATCAAATTTGCGAGAAAAAACAACATGATACCAATTTTTATGCCCCTGTATCCATCACAACTTCTAGAATCACTCAATATGAGATGTTTTGCATTTAGTCACGTGTTGCAAGGGGGACTGGTCAAATCGCGAAGCATTGACCGTCTTCACATCAACAACATCCATGATCTGTACGAGAAAATCGAAATAGACCAGATTATGAAGAGCGCAGATACTTAAATTGCCTAGATCTAAAACCTACTTAGGTCAAAAAGACTTGAGGCCGCATCAACTTATCGCAAAACCTTTATTTTTCTCGTTAACTCGGGACTTCGCGAGCTTGAAAATATCGTTGCCATTATGAGTCACACTACAAATGATCCGCTACGCCCTAACAAATCTATTTCATTAGAGATCTTATCATAGTCCCAGTCTAGCTGGCAGAGACTATTCACTGGCAATCTGCCCTACTTGCCGCCAACTTGCGCTGATATTAAATCGCTTCTGAATCAGACGCCTTCTATCCCGGGATCTCCTGAAGTTATTGAGATTATTAGAGATAAATCGCTTGCTCTGGAAGGTTATGCAACCTGGTCTAATTCTCCAAAAGAGGCAGCTGAGAATCATGATTGTGAGCTACCTACTACCAAGCAGACAAATTTGCATAGAATCTTTATTGGTGTATCTGATCAATCGACTTGTACCCTCTCAAATGACTACATATCCAATTGGCCGGGGCTGGAGCTGATATCTCAAGAAGTCGGCAATTACTTATCAATTCTAGTGCTTAGTTAGTCTTACATACTCTCCGCGAGAATGATAGAATTACGACAGCGAACGAAGGAAGATAAAGTTACCTAAACCAATTTTGCCGCACCATTAAAATCAATGCAGGGTTCAACACCAGGAAGCTCATTTGATTTAATTTTCGGGTCCGATCAAATCGCCGAAGCGAGATGGTGGGCTGCGATCCTTGCAGGTGGTCGTGGTTGGCAGGCTATCTTTACCCGAGAAGGCCGTGTATATTACCCACCCTGGGAATGTCACTTAGCCTGCAGTCCTTTCCGAATACTACATCATACCGAGTCTTCTGAATTGATGTCCATTCTCAGCCCTCCTTCTTCGGCAGAGGCACAGCAGTATCTCATCGACTTCGCACGGGAACATGATGCTTTCGATCAACTGATCTATGCATTAGCCGCCACCATAACCCTGCCAATGCAAAATAGATTTAGTGCTCCCATAGTTCTTCCTCGACCACTTAAAGGGGATTCCCCACCAAGGCGAACAGAATAGGAGTATGCGGATCAAATACCCGATTTCATGAAATACCTCGGTATATAGCCTTTTCCACCACTTCAGATGTGCTTGCATCTTGTCTATTTAGCGGACTTTGGGAGGAAAGGATTGCTTGCAACTTGGTTAGCGAATGGCTGAACCCTGCTATGGAGAAAATATCGTCGGCGCTTCGTCAGCCGAAAGGGGCTATTTCTGTTATACGGGCTATGTCTGAACGGCGACCAAGATTGGCTTCTTTGTGGATAGGTGCCTCCATTTCCGGTCTTTTACCACAAATATTTCAAGTATCGGCGACTTATATCCCCAGGATCAATCTGGAAGCGGCAGTATGGTCCAAATCTCCTCAATCATTCATGGATCCTTCTCAATATCACTCTATCAAAACACGGAAGATTGATGATCGGGGTTTGATCGCACGGGAGGACGAGTTTCGACTGTTGTTCTTGACAGATACTCTATCAGAAACATATGGCGATCCACCACTTTGTCCATATCCTCCCTTCGGCGAAGTCGATATCTTGCCCACGTCCCTCCCAGTAAGGCTGCACCTTTCTTGTGGCCATAGACTGATTTATCGGTCATGGCAATGGCAATGTCAGAATGGGGTATCGCTCCGTGATTTTGGGGACTTATCATCCAAACCCGTACTCATTTTATCGATGATGACAGGCGTTGCTTATGCAAGCTTTGTCAAGAAAATTCCTCCTATGATCAATTTAATGTAGCTGGTAAGATACTATATAAATGAACCTTTCTATCGACTCTCTGTTCCTTTCACTAACAAAGTAATTAAGTCCTACTGTGGTCCCGCTCTTCTAAGCTGCCTTGCTTTCGCCTGTCTTCTCCAGAGCCCTATAGAGCTGCGGCCACATCACCAATATCTACGGTTTCGCTCTTGGGCAGCGAAGAGAGCTTCCGCAGTCTTTTACAATAAGCAAATACACGCTCGACAATTAATGGAAAAAGTGAATTTCAGTGATCGTTTATCCAGTCTTGCAATGCCCAATTTATTCTCGTGGACTTATTTCACTGAAGGAGTCCGAATAGAAGAGAAGAAAAGCCATTCTTGGATCACGAATGGCTGGAAAGTGTCGTTCGAAGAGACAGTGGAGCTGTTTCTAGCAGTTCAGGCTCATCCGGAAGCAACAGCGAATTGCAGAATCAGAAGGTCGAATTCATAAAAAGATGGCTGGCAGATAGCGCCATTTCGGACGCAAAGGATTGAAGCCTTTGATTTTATTTAATAATCAATATTACTCCTTGAAACGCTACACGTGTTCATCTAGTGAGATGGATCTTATCCAACCTCCAGGCTCGGTTCGTCCGGGGCCACTACCAGGGTGATCAGGACACTCCTGGCCCTTTTCGACCGGATGAATGTGAGCGCTTATAGTCGAGTGAATAAGTTTACGTTAATAAAATACGATAATGTTTACCAACCATTTGAGAAGAGAATGGTCTCGATGATGACTTGCTTCAGTCTCAAACCAAATATCCTTTTCAATATTTCGATAGAATCTTTTTGTTTATCCTGTGAAACCTTATATTTCTCCCTATTCAAGTTTTGATGGTTTAGATGTAGGCTCTTGGTCAAAAATCTATGAAAGAGGGACTAGGCAGTTATACGATATAAAAGCACCTAGGTAGACATTCTTGGCAAGCTATGTCCCGCAGATGACCGACCACTTATGATCTTATATCTGTCCTGAAAAATATTGCTGCTGTAAACCGTAAGCCCGAGCGCTATAGGATTTCTATTCCAACCGAAAGCTAACATGATTTAGGTCCTAGATAGAGCAGAAAGGGTCCGTGGGAAACCATGTCCAGCCAATGGTCCACAAGAACAGTATCATCACAGGTTTAGCACGTGGATTTGGCGTACCTAATCAGGCCTAATACTGCTTAATATAGTGTTAGGAACGCTCTCAAAGCTTATCAAGAAGAAGCTCCGATTCTCTGCATTCAGCATATGAGCAAGTGCTATATGCCTATCACTCTTAGGATAATAGAAGCGCGGGCCAATAGCGAGTGTCAAGGTACTGGTCAACAGCGTGTTAGCAAGATGTGGGCGTATCACTTTAGCCTTCGCCACCTTTGCTGGGGATGATACGGTCGACATCTCGGCAGAAACTGAGATGAATGTGACAAGGGGACGAGTCTGATAGCGAGGCAATGTTTAAGGTGAGAGCAAGCTGAAGCCGAAGTGAGAGGTCGTTCAAAGTGAGAGGTCGTTCAAAGTGAGAGGTCGTTCAAAGTGAGAGGTCGTTCAAAGTGAGAAAATAGGTCAATAACCGAGCGCTCACCGATCCTGAACTGGGCGACCTTCCGCCGCCTGTGCCACCTGGCCTTCCACCCCAAGCTGGACACCTTCGTGGCGCGCTCCGTCCGCGCCGTGCTGGCCGCCGACGTCGGCCGCTTCGTCGCCGAGGGGGCGACCGCGGCTTCAGCTCGTTCTGGTCCCGCAGCCACGTCGACCGCGCGGACCGGATCCCCACCACCCGGATTGCGCAGGCGTCCTACCTCGCGCACGAGTGTCCCCGCCTACGGTATCTGCTCCTCCTCTTCCACCAGGAGGGCCTCTGGAAGGCTACCGGCGCCCCCAGCCGGTTCCTGATCTTCTGCCACTGGCCAATGACCATGTGGGTGGTTGAGATGTTCCTCGACGCGCTGTCGCTCGACTTCGTGTCGATCCGCGCGGGTATGCCCAGCGAGATGCGGACCGCCGCAATTGCACAGTTTACGAAGGAGGTGTCGACAACAAATGTCCTCGTGACCACGTACAACTGCGGTGCGACGGGGCTGAATATGCATGCAAACTGCAGCCGCGTCGTGCTAATGGAGCCTGCGCTGAACTTCAACTCCCTGTTTCAGACAATTGGTCGTATCCACCGGCTCGGACAAACCGCTCCGCAGCGGGCCTGGGTCTTCTTCCAGGACCACACCATCCAGCGCTGGGTAGAATACAACAACACCACAAAGGTTCTACCTCAGGTAGCCGCTCAATTCTACGACGCGCTCTCTGAGCGAATTGTCGCGCAGAAAGATGTTCAATTCCCTAATGGAGGCGATGAGGGGCGATTCCTAGGTGGTTTATAGGAGAAAAGCTCAAATTGTTAATAAACAGTATCTCGATTACAGCAAAAACTTCACTACACAACCAAATAAAGAGAAATAGGCCTCCCAGAATTCTTTTTTTCCCCGGCCAAATACAAAGTCGCCCTAGCATGAACTTCTCATTCAGCCTGAGTCGATTATCATGGGTGAAAAAGTCGTATAATTAGAGTCTATATTCTGACATGGCAAACCGTTCCGGTGTGATATATTTCATGAGGACACCTTTCCTCACTACGACATATTAATGTTTGCAAGTGAGTTTTGGATTATTCTGTCTGTTCTATCTCCCTTGCAAGGTCTATATCGGGCGAATAAGACTTCTAGCTCTAGCTCTAACGTTTCGGGATCATTGGTTGATCCTTGAGACATTCCAAGGTTTCAACCAAAGCCATATCAGTCGTCGGCAAAGCAAAGAATCACACACAAGCTGATATACTACGTAATTCTAACGTCGTCTATTATATTAATTCTCTTTCTAGCTTTGCAATCTTCATACACAGCTAAGTCTTCCTCTACATCCACTTCAATACACCTGAGCATCAATTTCGCTTCAATGGCATCAGATAAGCCAGAGTGCAATCAGCTCGTGAGATTCTTCAATGCAGCGATCGCAGGGATCCTTGCATTTATTCTCGGTAGAACTGTGGAGATATGCTACAATTACTTTCAACGGCGGCATGGCTCTGCTAATACCATATTATTCAACGCGAGCACTGCCAGCGGTAATGATAACCGCGCACTAAATGACCCAGACAATACTCTTTATCTTCCACTTTACAATGAACATGTGACATCGCCGGGGCATGTGATTTCGGATATGGATCGAGATATCGAGAAGGGATTTGCATGTAAGGAGGATCTACAAGACCCAGGAGGGACAAGATCGTGAAATGATTCTGATTAATATCTCAGACCTTTAAAAGGGAGCCTAAAACAGGACGTGAAGGGGGAACTTATTTTCAGTATTTATTTGGAGATGAATATTATGATATTCTTCCTGTCTAATTAGTTGAGCTGTTCAGTAAGCCCGAGTTCATAATGAAAGTAATTTAGTGAGCCCGAGAGCCCCCATTTAAAGGGGCGGCAACTAGAATGAGAGATCCTCAATTCATCAAAAACCAAAGAATACCCAGTAAATATAGCTATTCATAACCCAAATCGTGCTATAGGAGAGTAGAATGGTAGATAAGACCAAGTTTTGAGACGAATAGCAGTAGATGTGAGAAATAGTTTATTGCAGATTTGACAATTATAATTCTGCAGACCTAAACCCCTTCTATTTTAAGGCTTCCCGGACTTTGGGCAATACGTAGCGCCCATAGTCAATGGCATCATTAAGATTGTCGTAACCGCGAATAGAGATAAGTTCAGCACCGAGTGCAACATAATCCAAAATGGAATCAGAAATTGTCTGTGGTGAACCGACCAACGCCGTTGATGCTCCACGTGCATTAGTCGCGCTCACAGTAGGATACCAAAGGGCACGATCTTGAACTTCTCCACGAGCAGCGATTTCGAGGAGTCGCTGAGAACCCACATTCTGAGGCGGCGGGGCATTTGGCGGCACTTTGCCTTGGCCGTTAGCTCGATGTTTGTTCAGTGCATCCAGCGTCTGGTGTGCTTTTGCCCAAGCAAGCTCGTCGGTCTCTGCAATGATAGGACGGAAAGTAACCCAGATTCGAGGCCGATCGTTCTCACTTCGCCCAGCCTTGTCGGCCTCGGCATAAATGCGGTCGATCTGTTCCTTGGTTTCCTTGAGTGGCTCTCCCCAGAGACCGAATATGTCGGCTAGTGAACCACCAATGCGATACGCCTCGTCGGAGGATCCACCAACCGAGACCGGAATAGATCCGTTGAATGGGCGGACTTTGTTGCTAAATTGTTTGAACTGATAATAATTTCCTTCCCAATCAAATGGATCTGCAGACTCCCATGCACGGCGCAGAATAAGAATGTATTCTTCTAAGCGTGCGTAGCGTTCGTCTTTGGTCAGAAAATCGCCCTCTTTCGCCTGTTCTGTGTCGCTACCACCCGCAATAAAGTGAACGACGGCTCGCCCTTTACTCAGTTGGTCAAGGGTTGCAAGCGCCTTTGCTGCAACGGTTGGATACAGGGTATTTGGGCGAAGTGCAATGATAATTTTGAGATTTCTGGTCACGGATGCGATGGTTGCGCCGATGGTAAAGGGGTCAAAGTATGATGAATCATAAGGCACCAAAGTGTAATTAAATCCATAGTCATCCAGAGATCGTGCATACCGGACGAGATATTCTGGGTCAATCTTAGCATCGGGGATCGGATTGATCTCCGTTGATGCGTTGGGGAACGTGACGCTGATGAATTCTGTTGGCATCGTGACTAGTCTGTAACTGCAGCTTAGATTGCTTCAAGTGAGTCGATGTCAAATATGCAACTTGGAAAGCTTATTTATAAGATTGGGATCAATTGAAAAAAAGATAAGAATCAAATAGCAGCACATGGCCTGATTTGGTTATATGCTTTTCAGTTAAGATCACGCGAGGTTGCGCACGATGGCGTCTTATCACGAAGCGACCGGGATGCATGTTGAATTAATCAGCGATTCACAAAGTCAACTTGAAATCGACAGTCGGTCGGAGGAACCCCAAACCTCCAATTGAAGAATAAGACTCCGGTAGGTGGGGTTTATCCCTCTTGGAGCGGCCAGGCAGGTTTCCACCATTCTCAACACACCCCGCAGCGGCCTCCAAAAGAGGACCTACGCGGCTGGTAAGAAAAGAAAAAGAACGCATAAGCCAAAGCGCTATGAGGTAAATAATATCTCATTATTTGGCATTTCATTATTTAGCTTGTGAAGCACTACCGTCCGTTATGAACACTAGCATTGCACTATAAGAAAGACCAGAGCTTGATTCATATTAGAAGGCTCTAAAGGTATACACTACCCGGGTCTCGATATTTCGGAAACTGACCCCCTGCCTCAATGATCTGGACGTCAAGTGGAAGTTGATTTAATAGCATAACAGCCCACAGTGCCTTTCAGAAAGTAAGCTTAGATCAGATCATAGAAAATGGTAGATACGCACCTGGAACATCGCCTCCAAGACGATAACATCTCCACCTTCGATTGATAGCAGCCATCTCTCCCAGTCCATGCCGCAGAGGGTATTCGGACATTTTTTCAGAGCCATTGGACTGATTTCATCATATGCACCAGAGCCCCCGCTTGGGCCAGCGATCCTGATGCTCAATTGGAGCCGAATGATTCCCAAGTCGGAGCCCCTTTCACCGAATCGAGCGTAAAATGAGTCGCGCACCTCAACAGGTACTGCTAGTTCCAAAAAGTCCCACTCAATACCCTGGAAGCAATCAGGTTCTTTTGCAAGCTGAGCAAAGACATCGTGGACGGCGTCAGCAGCCGCGATGCCATAGGTTTTGAGATATTTGCGGGGGATTTTGCCAAAAATATCAAACGAGCGCTCCTCTTCAGGAGTGAGTCTACTTTTGTAGGTGAAGTGGTCAATATAGCCAAGCTGCAGCGCTTCACTGTCGTGCTCATAAACCCACTCGGCAATGATAGACCAGAGACGAGCCCATTCGGCCCAGTAGCGCTCTCGGCCGCCTTTCTTGGTTACAGCAAAAGACCCTGATAAAACCTGGTACTCTTTTTGTCCAAAGCCGTATAACTCATCACCAACATACCGGACCGCGGGGTAATGGCCAGGCGGTTGGTTGGCGTACGTCAGATCCATATAGGACCCCACGCCAAAAGCAAGGCCGATGGCCGGCCCTATGGCGCATGGTTGTGGATCTGGGCCCATCAAACCCGAGCGCGAAGTTTCGCCTGCTGTCGCAAGGAGAGCTGGAAAGTCTTTCGGCAGGCCAACAGAGCTGCAGTCCGTTTTGATGGCAATGACGGTAGGCTTCTTCCATGTCGACTGTTCTTTGGGCGGATGCAGGGTGCGGATCGCAGAGTCCACCTGTCCCTGCTCTTTGGAATACCGTGCGCTGAAGAAATCATAGAGTTGCGACCAGTCCGGGTGGTCAAAAATGGCTCGCAGAATATCTGCGAAGAGAACAGTTGCTTGAATTCGGCCGGAATGGGCATCGATAAAGGCGAGATCATTTAGAGAGCGGCGATGGAATTTCTGTTCTTATGCTTGAGCTTCTGATGACTATCTTTTGTCATGCTTGAAATAAAATACCTCTCCAGGCTTCCAGTGCTCGTCTGTCAAAAAATTGTACGTTTGGGGACTGCGAAGATGCAGCGCCAGCGGGAGAGAGACCTGCATGAAGAGTGAAAACTCGGAGGATGGAGGGGAGCCAAAATACTCTATTGTAATCACCTGCGAATATTTTACATGACTAGATCTATATATTATAGATGTTTTATCAAAAAGAGGCTCGGCCGCGCGCGCCTTTTTGCATCTGTCCTCTTCTCTCTGTAAGCCCTTGTCTGTGGGCGTGGGTATGAGCGGGGGCAGTGCTTGTCCTTGAGCGGGAGGGGAGATATTACCACGCCAATCATATTGCCTTGGGCATTCCCAATTGGAGACTAGTCATACTGAATACGAGATGCACAGAGAATGAAATGGGAGATTACAGGTGCCACAAATTTCAGAGGGAGCAGAGATGGATTTAATTCAACCAACCCCAATATGATATTGCGTTGACCATTTGCATCAAGACCGTCAACACCCTGAATTTTCTTTTTGGCAGATATGGATCCAATTGGAATAACTATTGGGGCCGCATCGCTTCTCACGCTTTTCAAAACTTGTCTGGAGTTATACGAGGCTATCGAATGCGGGCGAAACCTGAGCAAGGATTATGAGATACTCGCAACAAAGGTTGGAATTGAGCGTGTCCGCTTGGCGCTCTGGGGAAGTATGGTCGGGCTTTATGATCTTCCAACTGATCGAAGTACCAAAGCAGGAAAGCTTGACACATCCGCCCATACTGTAGATCCTAGACTGAAGGAGCCGCGCATTTTTAGGGCGGTTTCGGATATTTTGAACTGCATGCTCCGGCTTTTTCAAGATAGCGGCTCGCTTACTAGAAGATATGGTCTACAGCAGATGACTTCAAGCGATCTTGCATTGCGTGGAAGTGGGAGGAACGTCATTACCACAACTTTCAAGAAGACATATGCTCATTTACATGCATCGGCATCGTTGATCCAGCAAGGGTCCTCATTGGTTACTGCAGCACGATGGGCAATCAAAGACAAGAAGCGATTCGAACGATTCGTGGATGACCTCCGCAGCTTTAACGACAGCCTAGCACTATTGTTTCCAGATGTAGACGTGAACACACGAGTGGCCATGGCCACTGAAATCAACGACTCAACGGATATCGATGGCCTTCAGATGATTGAAGATGCGGTCTCTGATTTAGCCGGAGGTGAACAACTTGTGGAGGCAGCGAGTCTACGCATAACAGAGTTATCTCAGTATTCCAAGAGTGTGGCAGAGACGAAAGAAACCGAAGCCACGGAAGATAGCATGCCTGATGTAAACGTGGACCGAATGGCTCGGCAGCTCGAGAGGATGGAAATTTCTATGAGCAAACGAGCTGAGCTGCGGGGATCATTGATTTTCTCCTGTTGGGGAGTCGTTGGAGGTGAATACTATGCTCAGAATCATTTCTATGGTATTGAGGAGGAAGACTTTTTGGTCGAAAGACAAAAGAAAGCAGAATATGTGAAGCCAACATATCAAGCATGGTGTAGGTCGTCTTTTCTTACTATGGAATGATTTTTCTAATCAAGAAGCAGCTTTGATGTATATGTCTACGAGAAAGAGACACGATCAATGCGACTTCAGCAGACAAGATCTAGAGGTACAAAAAGAGTACCCTATCACATAAATAGTTTGAAATTAGCTTACATCAACATAGAGCCATCATTTGTCCGAGGGAAAGTACCCTGGAACGAATACTGTGAATGGATATATTGCCGAGCTCAATATGTGGATTCGCAAGAACAATCCAACCACTGAGCACTACTACAGCTCTGGTGGAGCTTTACCGGAGATCTCCCTCCCCGAAATGGGTGAAAGAATACGTCGCATACGACTGCAAGGCGATCGATTCTGGTACCCTGACAATCGCTCCGCAGATCGCGAGGTTGATGAACTCCTTGGTCCAGCCCGCTTGGGAGGATCTGAGATACATGATCAGGTAAGGGATTTGCTGGCCACTCTGAATCGCCGCAGAATGTTTCCAGATGTTTTGGACGGAGCATCATTGTGTACCACGGCGCTGTCAACCGAGGGTAGCCTTGAAATATTTCTTTTTCAAGTTTTGCTAGCCAATGCACTACATATGCGCATGCAGCGTGCATCTGACATCGCATTTGGTAACTTGAACAATCGAGTTATTGCGGCTATGCATGCATCTGAAAGATGGATCAATGGTGTTGATCTCAAATTTCCCGACCCCGAAGAGCAATCTGACTATGTTGAGATACGCAGCCTCGTACACGAGCAACAGGCCGAGGGATTGGTACGTTTTGCGGAGCTGATGGCATGGCCGGCAATTGGAGAGATGCGTAGGCTCGTGGAAGAGGCATATCCTAAGATACTGGCGGGCGAGAACTGCAATAGACATCTATATGACTGGCTCTATGGCCTGATGCTGCCTGGAAATGCCTTTGTATTTACGATAATGGCAGCCTTGGTGGCAGCCACTCCATCTATACAGCATCTCGAGTCGGCACAGTACTATATGTCAGGACTAATCCTTCAAGATCGATCATACTGGCGGGTGAAGAGTGTACTCGGTCGTGTTCTTGGTGGCATGAAGGGGGTCAGAGCTGGAAATGGCTGGGCAGGTCCATTTCCGAGACCTGTGGCTTCATCTACGGAGGAAATTGCGGACGGTTGGTGGCGTGTTCATGCGAGAGATGTGGCTTTCAACCGATTTATGCCTCGGGATCAACCAGCAGACGGGGGAAGGTTCCCTCCTTTCTTGCGTCGGGAAGAAAATTCAACCAAAGCAGATTGGATACGCGGAATTAACGACCGCTCAGAATGGGTCGTACCTCTTGGGCCTCGCAATTTGTCCGACAAAGTCGAGTTTCAGGCGATTAAACTCAGGAAAATAGGACTCACTTCGCCGGAACCTACACAAGCTTCGACGACAACCCTGCAGAACACAAATGAGCAGCAACAGCCAGAGCCAGAGCAACGGGCCGTTCTGGAATTGCGTATCAACGATAAACTGGTCGAATTCACCTTATACAGTAACCCAATTTTTGTTGCAGCTCCTCAATGTGTTGACGGACCACATGCTGTGCAGAAGCAAGATTATGAAAAGCTGCAAAATGTCTTGAGTGTCAGTCAGTTGCCGGGCTATGTTCATAATGAGAAAAGAGTGTTGATTATCGATGCATCTGGACAAGGAGAATGTGAGCTTGCGGCACGAGCCTGGTGTTCTGAGAATGGGCAACATGCTGTCCTAGCTAGAGGGCATGGAACTTGTTTGGCGTGTGCTGTAAAGGCTGCCAGTCAAGGTGGCCTTGCAATTGGATGTGTAATTTGCACAGGGTTATAGTTGATTTAAAGAGTAATTTGCTACGATACTATCTTCAATATGGTGATTAGGAATTCAAGCATGCAAATCAATCCAGAAAAATGGCATAGTCTCTTATAGGTGGTTGAAATATTTTCGTCCCGTTCCAATACGAGACACTTTTCCTGATCAAATCTAGTGCGAATTCTAGATAGCCGGGTTATGGTTGGCACGGATGCCACGGCCTCGTTTATGTGCTGCGCCACGATCGTCTATTCTCAAGGGCATAGACTTAATCATGTAGCTGATATTTTGGAAATATATGCCTTCCTAGGACTCATTTTCTCGAGTCTATGACACATTGCATCAGGGACTGCAATTTAGAAGATCTTCGTATTTACTCGCTTTGATGGAGATCGCAAGTACGGCTATCGGTGTGATTGGTCTAGCTAGTCTTTTCAGTACCTGTATCGAGACTCTTGACACACTCTCCTCAGCCGCACGGTACGGTGTCGATAGGGAGATTCTGCAGACGAAAGTTGAAATAGAGCGACTTCGACTTATGGTTTGGGGAGAGTCAGTTGGGATTACCGAAATCGACCCTGAATGCACGGAGAATGAAATCACTGAGGATGACCTCGCCATCCTCGACGACTCAATCCGCAGCCCTGCACTTCGTCCAGCCATAATCGGTCTTTTGAGTTGCTTCACGCACTACTTCGAAAATATAGAGGAACTACAGAGACGATATGGCCTTGCTGCTCGACAGGAAACCAAAGGCAAAGAGAAAGACCTTGCATGGACAGAGAAGCCAACAAGAGAGATACTATTATCTTCATTTCAAAAAACATATTCTCGGTTCCAAGAGCGTACAGCAATTGCTCAGAAGAACACATCAGCCTTTAAGAAAGCTACATGGGCCATAAGTGATGAACGGAAATTTAGAGCCCTTCTTGCTGAGATCAAGGCCATCAATGACTCGCTGGTCTCGCTACTACCAGCAATTGGAGATAGAACAAGAGTTCAAATGCGTGCTGACATCATGCAGAGCAAAAACATAACCCAACTCCAAAATATCGTCTCTGCTGCGGATGACATGACTGATTTAGTCGCCGAGACAGCCAGTCTGAGATTGGAGATGCTGTCAACATCCAGCCAGCACGGGGGCAAAAGACAAATACCCCAGGTTCAAAATGTCACGCCAGCTCCCAAAGACACACCGGAGACGCGTCCAGTGAATTCAGCTGCACTGACCCCTGCTTCTGGGTCTGTTGTAGAGAACTTGATTACTGCAACGTTGGATAATCCCCAAAATCCAAATGTGCGCACAGTCTCACCGAGAGACTTGTATGATGATACAGGTGCACTTTTTATTCATAAAGCCTACTATAAACCCAACTGCTTGAGATACTTCTCGTGGGTTGTTGGACTGGACGAGATCACAGACACCTCCGAGCTTCAACCGGGGTCAGACTCTGCATTCTGTAATATATATCCTCTGCCTTTATCTTGGAAGATAGCATTCTAACATCAAATAAGCTCTTCAGTTTGTCCCGGAGGCCATTCTCAAAATCGCGGACGATTTACTTGAAGCGGACGTCGAGGCTGACCGGAAGTACGCCGGATGGTCCCCCGGATCCACGTCTTTGATTGGGTTTGGCAGAGAAATATCCTTATGGAAGAAAATAGTAAAGGACGAGAAGAAAGTCGAGAGAATATGGGGCTCCATGGGTTCAAAACAACTGACCTCTGAATTTATTCACCAGAAGTGGAGGGATATAGTCAAACACGGACTTGGCGATTACTTCACAGACGAGAAAGGTCACGAAAGAGTACGAGACCTGGTTGGTCCCAGTAGGTAAGATTTTAAACGCGAATCACAGCTTGAATCAATACCGTCGTGACTGATAAGTTTCTAGATTTAATTGGATTGACCCAAATGAAGGTGCGAAAATGCGACATCAGATCACGGACCTGCTCGCAGGCATGAGCAGCTCCCCTTTACCCAGTCTCGAGCTCCATGGCAGTATATGTACCCTTGCCTACTATGATCAAATTCAGCCCAGCTCGAAATTCCATTTTGTTGATTTCATGCGTCAAATGCTTCTGGCACGGGAGGCAACGCTACGCATCCAACAAGCTGAGCGACGCTGGTTCGGTGGAATTACTGCCCGGGTACTCTATGATATGGCTGCAGCTGATCTTTGGGCTCGGAGTATGGAAATACCAGATAAACCTGATCAAGGGTATACTGTTTCACCTGGTGTACTCCGAAGACAACTTGATGGAATTGTCAAATTTGCAGACGAGATGCAGTGGCCGCATGCAAATGAAGTCAGGAAGACAGTGGATCAGCTGCGCAAAGCAAAAATTAGCGACCTCAAAGTCGATGTACGAGTTCACGATTGGATATGCGGTTTGATTCTCCCGGGCGCAAGCTTCCCCCTCGTTCTTCTCGGGGTTCTTTATAGGCTCTCACCGACTCTACAAGCCAATCTGCCAACAATGACTGTTAAGCTGCGGTTATCCAACTACGGCATCGTATATGCCAAAGCCTCCTATTGGAATTCTCGGTCCGTCCTGGGCAAAGTATTAGCACCGCTTGTTCTTAGCTCAAGCCCAGAACGCCCCCAGATCCGTTCTCTGGGTGGCTGGGTCGGGCCATGTCCTTCTCCCTCGCTTCCTGATTGCCTCTACGGCGTTGCTGTCTCTATATCCGGTCACTCACCCCCTTCTGTTGATGTGCAGGGTAGAGAAGCAGCACAAACAGCCCCCTCGGCAATGCTGGGCATACCGGATCAAAGTGCTGACTGGATTCTCCCAACGCCACCAGCACCATCCACTGAAACAGCAACATTCCATACCATTCGCCTCTCCAAGAAACCAAAAACTGAGGCAAATGCAAATGATGCTGAAAGCTACACTGCCCGACTGGATTTCCGTCTATTACGCAGTCGATCCTTTGTTACGTTTACCCTCTACACCAACAGTGTCTTCGTTGCTGCGCCACCTTGCCAAGGCATACATCGAGTTGATCCACAAGCGACCAGGAAATATACTTTTGCTGTGCGAGGTATAGAAGAGCTAGCGCAAGTTTCGAAGAAAGGCGACAGCTCCACAAACATGGCTATTCTGGTTGTGAATGCTACGGGGGGTCCATCTAGTGAGGTATTTGCACGCGCCTGGTGCTGCCACACGGGCACGAATGCTGTGATCTGGAAGCTTAAAGGAGGGAATTCTTGTTTTAAATGTGGTTTGATGGTTGCCTCTACGGATGGGATAGGGTCTGGAGTGTTAATTGCTATATAGCAAGGGATATTATAATGATTTATATCTCGCACCTAGGAGAATTTCCTGGCAATAAATCTATCCACATATCCACAAATTTTCAGGTTGTGTTGAGCCCTGGGACGATACAACATAGTGTAGATATCATCTATTTCAGACGCAGTGCAATTCAATCCACATGGTGACGTTGAAAAATACTACTCCGGCGATGGCATATGCCGGAAGATAACGCGCAAGGCGGTGGTTGTGGAATTATATAGCTTTTTAAGATTTTTATTTGGCTCATAACATGAGGATTATGTATGCTGAGATCTGCCGAACAGGACTTTATGCTGTGTGACATATTAACTTGTGGGGCGCATCCACTGAATCCGGGGAAACGTGGATTGACCCTTGCTGAACAAACCCTATCGATCTCGCGCACTTCGCCGGAGCCCGTGCCGCAAAGTACGGAGTAGAGAATTCTCCATTTGACAGTATTACCTGACATGAGGGGGAGCTTAATTAAGTGCCCATGCAATTATTACTAGGTTGGAACCCACGGCGAATCACACAAATCGAGGATAGTCCCCGAGCGCGAGCTTTTATGTTATGCGCCACTTATGCATCTGTCGGCCTTATCGGTCTTATGAAGGCGACGCGCTGTTCATCAAAAAGTAATCTTACAGCGGCAGATTTCGTACGGGCATAAGCCCTTCATAAAGTAAGCATTCTTGTGCTGTGCCATTATTCTCTCGATCCTGCAATTCTCGTCTCTTATTCTGCTGTGGACAGATCAGTATACCAGTGTACCAACCCAACATAACCTCGAAACCCGACTCTCAAAATAAATCGGGCCCACATATTCGGTGCGACTTGCCGATAATGGAAACCGCCAATCAAAATCCGTCGGAGAAGACGATCGCAGAGTCGTCGCTCGACCCGGGAACACCCAAGGACGAAGCGGCCCCGAGTCAGCCCGTCGAGTGCGACCCGGAGAAAGCCATCCCGGAAACTAAACGGTATCCCGAGACAGATCTCGACCAGGGGATCGTGGGCTGGGATGGCCAGGACGACCCTGAGAACCCTCAGAATTTCCTCTCCAGACAGAAATGGGGCCTTCTGGCGCTGATGAGCGGTATTACCTTTGTTTCGCCTCTGGCGTCGAGTATGTTCTCGCCGGCCGTGAGCTACGTCGGCAACGATCTGGGGGTCACGAATGAGACAGTGCTTTCACTAAGTGTCAGCATCTTCCTTCTCGGATATACAGTACGTTGGTCCTTGTCTCCTTCAATGCCTGTTGTGTTGTTCAGCGCACGGTTGAATGGAGAATCGAAAATAGGCTAACACGCGGGATGGTATGTTATCCTAGTTCGGACCTCTCCTTCTTGCCCCATTGAGTGAAATTTATGGCCGGCGGATCGTGCTCAGCTGCGCGAACTGGTTCTTCGTAGTCTGGCAGATCGGCTGTGCCTTGGCGCCAAACATCGAAACGCTCATTGTCTGTCGGTTTTTTGCTGGCTGTGGTGGTGCCGGGTGTCTCACGCTTGGCGCGGGAGTCATCGCCGACCTGTTTCCAATTGAGCAGCGAATGATGGCAACAGCCGTCTGGAGCTTTGGTCCATTGATTGGACCCGTGGCCGGTCCGGTTGCAGGCGGCTTCATTGGCGAAACAATCGGCTGGCGGTGGGTGTTCTGGGTCGTCATGATCGCGAGTGGTGTGATGTCGACGGGCATCGAGATTCTCAACCGGGAGACTTATGCGGCAGTCCTCATTCGCCGTAAGACCGAGCGGGTAGCCAAGGAACTCGGACGGAATGACCTGCGTAGCGCCTATGACACCAATGCCAGTAAGGTTTCAGTTGCCCACTCGCTGAAGGTCGGGTTGAAGCGGCCGCTCCTGCTGTTTTTCAAGTCGCCGATCGTCCTGCTCCTATCCGCCTATATGGCGGTCGTCTACGGGCTGCTGTATCTGTTCTTCACGACGATCCCCAGCGTCTTCAAGAACCAGTATGGCTTCTCGACCGGCCTCGCCGGGCTCGCGTATCTAGGCATCGGCCTCGGCTTCCTGCTGGGTCTGCTCGCGAATGCGCTCACCAACGACCAACTCGTGGTGAAGCTCACGCAGCGCAACAATGGCAAATTCGAGCCGGAGATGCGACTGCCGGCCATGATCTTTTATGCGTGTTTCTTGCCGATCAGTTTTTTCTGGTATGGGTGGACGACGGATAAGGATGTGCACTGGATTGCGCCGATCATCGGGATGATGCCGTTTGGCTTTGGGATGATGGGCATCTACCTGCCCATCCAGACATATATCATCGACAGCTATCCGGCCTACGCGGCGTCGGCGAATGCGACGCTCACGACATCGCGTTCGCTGGTAGGTGCTCTGCTGCCGCTGGCCGGGCCGAGTCTATTTGATTCACTTGGGCTGGGCTGGGGGAACTCACTGCTGGGGTTCCTCGCCCTAGCCTTCGTTCCCATTCCCATCGTGTTCTCGCGATACGGCCAGCGAATTCGCGAGAAGTTCCCGGTGGATCTGTAGGGATCTGTCAAATTGGGCGTCAGCGGGCTGAAGATCGGGTTGGATGTGGCGTGCGGCTGATCCGGACGAGGAAATGAACCATGCAGACGCCCAACGCCCCTACAACAAGGCTCCGACGGGTCGACCCGGGCCCTCCGCGGTGCCGATTCGATCGGCGAAACGGAAAAGTGTAAGCGGAACAAACATGGCGGGGTCCGGGCTTTCAGGGGGAAAAGGGGGGAAGGGGAAGTATGAAGTATGAGGTCAGAGAGTATTATGTCAAATAGAAGTACTGCATTTCAGCATCGTAGCACTGCAGGACAGACAATCCATAGACGAGCCCGTGTTCTCATGTTCGATGGCACTAAAATCCGCAAGACCCCGTCGATCGTCTAAAATTATCAGCGGCCAGACCGAGTAGCGTGAGGAGTGTGAGTAGTCCCAGTCCGTAGTACGTGGCCGGAGCTTTCGTCTCAGGATTCGTCTCCACTCTTTTTCCCTCGAGCGTGGCTTTGAGGACCCACTTGTACCGGCGCGGGCCTGTGACAGCCAGTCGAAGTCAGGGGTCCACGCCAGTGGCGGCGAGTCGACGCCCCCGAACGGTCCAGCCGGGGGGGTTAGGGGGTTCTAGATGCCCGCTGGCTGCCCGGATGCGTCCCCAATGGCCTGGTCGGACGCCCAGGAACCCCCGTGAAACAACGCCCCCTGTCCCGACTGACATGGCCGGGTTTCAGATTCCCTGGTTCTTCTCCAGGTTTTTTTTTTTGCTATTTTCCTGTGCTCTTCTGTTCCCCTCTCTCCTGTCATTCTTATTCTTTCTCTCGCTCTCCTCGTCGTCCGTTTATGTTTCATTTCCTTTCGTTGCACTAACTCTTCTTGATTCTTTTATTTCTCCGACTCTCGTTGAATACCATCCCGGTGCATTATCATTCTCTCGAGACCACCGACTCGACCCCGATCTTGACGTTCCTTTCTTTTTTCTCTCCACATATTCTCTTTTCTTTCCTTTTTTTCTCCCTCTCTAATTTCTTCGCTTTGTGCAATCCATCATGACCGAAGGCCACGCCCCCGTTGTCGACGCACCGGCACCTACCGCGGGCGACAGCAGCGGTGCGGCCCCCGTCCCGGTCGATGTTCGGCATGCCGCCGACCATCATGTCCAGCCCGCCCACCACAGCTTGAAGGAGCAGGACTCCGTCGAGCGACTTACCCCACGACCGACCTTCATGGAGAACCTGGCTCACTCGCGGGATGCCCAGTTCCACCTCGACCGACGCGACTCGAGCGAGCTCGAGCGGTACTTTGTATGTCGAAACCCTCTCCCGCCCTATACTTCATCCTGTCCCCCCGCAATTCGACCGCGCGAGTCGGGAACCCGGGAACCGGGAACTAGATCCAACGGATCCAGAACGGCAAAGGCGAGCTAACATTGGCATTTGACCATCTAGCACGGGCCCCGGAACATGGATAAGCACTCAAAGTGGCCTATCTTCATGCGGATGCATGGCAGCGTCACCCCCAAGATGATCCTGCCGATCGTCATTGTGGGCGGCTGGGCAACGCTCATTACTTGCATCTGCCGATTCGTGCATAACAGTGAGTTGTTTCTCCTCCCGCAACGTGACATGATCCCCGTACGCTGACAGATGGCTCCCCCTCCAACGGGGAGCATACCAGTCGGCGTCAACAACATCCTCCTCACCGTGCTGGGTTTCGTGGTGGGTTTGGCATTGTCGTTCCGCAGTTCTACCGCGTACGAAAGGTAAACGGTTCCTCTCCGATGAATTGGGACCCGCGGCATTGCCGTTAGCAAGACAAAGCAAGCTGACTTGACAATGGTAGATGGGCTGATGGGCGCAAATACTGGGCCCAACTGATTCAAACCTCCCGCAACATGGCTCGTACCATCTGGGTCAATATGAGCGAGCGTGAGGGCGAGGAGGGTAAGGTGGACTTGCTTCGGAAGATGTATGTGGAACCCGCCAACAGGGATCGCCTCTCGTTGTTTCTTCTGTGGATGTATGGCTGACGATCTGGGACAGCACTGCGATGAACCTGATCCTGGCATTTGCCGTGTCTTTGAAGCACAAGCTCCGCTTTGAGCCTGATGTGGCATACGAAGACTTGGCCGGCCTCGTGGGCCACCTCGATACCTTTGCCCGTGACGCCCATGACCGCCAGGTCGTCTCGCCGAAAGCGAAATCGATGTGGAAAGCTGCGGGAGAGTACCTGGGTGTCTCGTTCGCCGAGTCAAACCCGCGCAAGCTGATCAAGCGTTCGAAGAAGCCACTGGGCCATTTGCCCCTGGAGGTTCTGAACCATCTGACGGCCTACGTCGACTCGTGTGTGAAGAACGGCACGCTGTCCTCCGCTCTGCACCAGGGCCAATTGAGTAAGTCGCGCGAGAGGAGCCGATGTTGTTCGACAAGACTAACCGCCGCTGTTTAGTCACCATGGTTAGTACGCTGAACGAAATTTTGACTGGCTCGGAGCGAGTGCTGGATACTCCTCTGCCGACCGCGTACAGCATTGCTATCTCCCAGATCGCCTGGATCTATGTCCTTCTCCTTCCCTTCCAGCTCTGGAAAAGCCTCGAATGGGTCACTATCCCTGCTTCCATGGGTAAGTCTAGCCAGTAACCCGGAGACGAATCCACAGATAGGAGAGAAAGAGAGAACCCTCCCTCTAACAGTATGCTCTACAGTGGCCGCGTACATCATCATCGGTCTCGCCACCATCGGCAGTGAAATTGAGAACCCCTTCGGCCATGACGTGAACGATCTTCCGCTCGACACGTACTGCCGCCAGATTGCTGTCGAAATCGACATCATTACTGCTACGCCACCCCCGGTCGTGGACGACTTCATGGCTCGCCCCGATAACCTGGTCCTCTTCCCCCTCAGTGAGAGCGGCTTTCCCGAGTGGGTCAACCGCAGCAAAGAAGACATCCGGGCGGCACTGCGGGCGAAGGTGGTGACGACCGATATGAACCCCGCGGTTGCCGGGTCTGATTCTTCTACTATGGCCGCAAGCGTTCCTGTCGAGACGAAGCAGTCTGTCTGAGGCGTCAGCCCGACCAAAAACATTAAATTGGACACCGACATTTGTCAAGTTCATTGAAGGCGGCAGAAGACAGAGCATTTGCAAGCGAATTAAGCGAGACCCGGTTGTTTTGTACTTGGGTTCAGCAGCGTAAGAGTTACGGCGTTTTTATTTCTCTATCATCGGGCTCTGCTTTGAAACAAAAGCACCACTCCCCCCAAAATATTCCGAGATTATGTTTTGCATTAAGAAAACGGCTTTTGCTTGAGATTTTGATTGTATTCATCTCTATGTGACATCGATCTGTCCCTCGTGTAGATAGCGGTATCGAAGATAACCGCAGGTGTAGACGACTCGAGAGGATGCTCAGATGCCTGTTGTCCGAATCCTGAAGTCAAACCCCGCTCTTGGAATACTGAATATTTCAGGGGATTTCTATATGAGATTCCCGGCAACCTGTAGCTCACGAAATGAGCACCGTCAAGACGTTGCAAGAGGAAGGATCTTGTGGTTTTCACGGGCAAATCTTCTAGCGGGCTCAACAACCTGCTAGCTATGAGCTGTCGACTCATCGAGCCCGTAAAATAAACAGATCTGCTCATGTATCCCACTCAAGGACATCACATGGCTGAAGTGTCTTCATTCCATGTTTGCGGCCCGGATTTCTTTTTGGAGAAAGTGGGTGGGAACCGAGGGGGGCTCCTAGACGAGATAGAAGGTACGACCATAGCCCGTTCCCTCAAGGAACGAACAGGTCAGCTCCTGATCCCGCTACCAGAGCGCCCAGGTGATTGCCCTTCGCACAAATCCTCCAAGCAACACTGACGCCGCTCCCACTGCCTCCAATCCATGAGCTGAGTGCCGCAACGACGGCCGCACCATCATCACGGGGGACACGAACCCAAACGCAGTCGTATTTGGATCTACCGATCGAGCCGGGAGCGGAGTCCTGCACACCTGTGGCAGAGGTTGAAGATCTGGGTTCGACTTTCAAAATATCAATGGGAATCGCAGTCCCTGTGAGACCCAGAAATTGCGAAAGCGCGGAGGAGAGATAAGTACGAGCCGAGAGAGGATCGAGGGGCTGAGGCGACGATTCATTTGGCGGTGGGATTCTGTTGTAGAATACAGTCATAAACCTCGCTCTTGAGGTGGATGGGAGAGGGGGAAATGCCTTACAGTTGGAGCTTGAGATAGGTCCATGGCGAATTTCGCGACGTGAAGTGGATCGTGCTGGAATCGGCGCTCGCTAGGGGAGCCTTTCGTTTTGAAGCGCCCGAACACGATGATTTCACCTCTGACTCTTGAGGGTGTACCTCTGCCATTGTTGGAGGCTGGTGGGGGAGTAAGGTAATTGGACTCGCGATGAGCGCAGGTTGTTGGGCACTGCAGAAAAGCGGGAATTTTACGTCACGGGATTGAGTTGCCGGGATGATTGTCGCGACTTGAGGAGCTTCACCAGCTCATCAGCCTGCTGTTGCTATTTTGGCAGGGAATCACCCGCAGCAGCTTGGACCAATATTTGTCGCACACGTAGAAGGAAGTCGTCTTCGCTATTGTTGCCAATCGCTAGATTTACAATGCGTAGGGTCTTTTCACGCGCCTTGGTTCCCCGGATAACCTCGACATTCGATTTGGGGACCTTGAAAATCTGGGGCCAAAATTTGATCAGAAGAGCTCACAATTATTATGAAGTGAAGAGAATCCTGGAAATACAATAGAGAGACCAATTCTAGATGCGTACAGACCTCTGCAAACACTTGCGACACAGCCAAGTTAGCTGCTCCAGCGCGGGGAGCCGCAGCCACCGACACGTCAACCTTATCGGCCCCGACTCCTGTGACACCCGTTCGCTGGGCGGACGCATTGGGTTTCACATGGCAAGAAATGTGGAGATTATAGGTCGTAGGGATTTTGAGTTTGGACTCGTTGGCGACTAACCGCAATATGGGGGATGTCCGACCCATTGTGTTGACAGTGTTGCGGACTGGAGAGGTAGAGAACGGGCAAAGTCAAAGGCTCAGGAAATTTGGAAGCTCTTTAAAGGCAGGTCGCAGCGGATTGAGAGCCGTCAACGGTTGAACCGGACTTGTCCACAATTGGGACCGGGGTTCGCGTCATTATATTTCGATATATTTCGCCAGTGTTACTTACAGCCCATTGGGCTCAATTCTCCTGAAGTCTACCGATTGATGTACGAACAGGTGAAGTATGGATCGAGTGCAACGTTGATAATGATATTGAATAGTCAAAGGCTCGAAACACGTTAGTTCACCTGACTCCAGCTGAGTTGACGAGAAGGCTAGATAGCACAGTAAAGAAGGGAGAGCATCAAAGCTATGGAGTGAGAGGAAACCCTAGATATCCACTCGGCCAGGTTGGAAAAAGATCAAGCCGCATCCATCTCCTGGGTTTTGTCTGCAGATACCTCAAGGACGTCCTGCAACGCACGGACTTCTTCACCGTGTGGGAGGGTATCTGATCCACTGATCTTGTACAACTCAGGGCAAACAGCATCTTTGTGGAGGAAAATGTACCGCTTGATCCACCACGGCAGCACCTGAGTCAACTGGTATTTTGCATGGGTTCGAGTCGGGACCCCGAAAACATAATCCAACTCCTCAAGCGATCGCTGTTTAGTCTCAGGCAAGAACAGGAAGATTAAAACCAAGGCAAAAATATTGAGAGCAGCATAGAATCCAAAGGCACCCTGAGGCGTGAGGGCTCGCACCATTCTTGGGAAGGTGAGTGAAAGGACAGAAGCCCAGAAATTGTTGGTTGCCACAGCCCAGGCCATGCCAACCTCCCGATGTGAGAGCGGGAACACTTCGGCTGAGTAAGTAAAGGGGACGGGCCCTTCGCCTGGGGAGTAGAAAGCGTCGAAAAGATAGATAAAGAAGGCAATCATGCCCAGATGTGCATTGCTGCTCTCTGGAATCCAGAAGCAGAATCCGGCACAGAGAAGAGTCCAGCACATATTGGGAAACGTAAAGATAAGAAGGCCCCGTCTACCAAACGTATCAATTGTCCACACTGCTGGCCATGCAAAGATAAAATTGATGAGTCCAAATCCAAAGGACGCCAAAAGAGAATGGATGTTATTTGCTCCAGCTAGCGAGAAAATGGTTGACGAATAGAATGCAATGATGTTGACTATGGAGATTGAAATCGTTAGCAATAAAGGTTGTACTTTGCCTAATATAGAAATGATGCTACTTACTTCCGCACATTTGCTGAGCAATCATCACAATGCCAGAAGCTTGAGTGGCACGGCGCAAACGTGGAATCGTAAATATCTCAAAGAATCTCACGAAAATGTTGTCAGTTTGGGCAAAACCAGAGGCCTTCAGCATGTTGTTCTCCTCAACAATTTGAGAATGGATCATGTAAAGATCTCGCGCCGCCTGCAAAGGACTGTTCCGGAGGCGGAGGAGGGATTGATAGGCTTTGCGTGGTCTTCCCTTGGTGATCAGCCAGCGAGGAGATTCGGGACAGAACCAGATTCCAAGTACCAAAGGTACTGCAGGAATGAAAGCCGATCCCAGCTGTAATCGCCATGCGATTTTACCGACATTGGCAACGGCAAGATTGGCACAAGTTCCGAGGAAGATCCCGAAAGCAGTCCAAAGCTGCCACGACATAACCAAGCCACCTCGAATATTTGTAGGTGCATTTTCTGCCGAATAGACAGGGACCGTAACTTCTTTGAGACCCATTCCAATGCCCAAAAGAACACGACAAGCTACAAGCTGTCCCCAGTGCTGTGAGAGGGCGGATCCGATTGGCGCCAGCAAACTGAAAATGGCAGCAATAAGGATAGTGCCCTTTCGGCCGAGCCAGTGGTTGAGAGGGTCTGAGAGCCAACCGGCCCTTGAAAAATAATGAGAATTAGAAATATGAGGAAACAATGTAGGACGACAGGAAAGCGGCTACTAACAGGATACAGATGGTAATGTAAGGCGTGGAGTTCACAAATCCCACAATCCACTGGTTCCGATTGCAAGTGGCTTCATCTTTACAGTAGGGTGAGCTGTTTGGAATACCGAATTGAATATCGAAAGTCAGATTAGCACCATTCGAGCCTAGCGAAGGACACACCCAGTAAGTATATAGATTTCCACAGCGATGTCACACATACCAGTCTGATCCCAGCCCTGGATAGCAGCCGCAATGGAGTTCAGGATGATCGTGTAATACAAGGCCCAGGGGTGATGCCAGCGACGTGTCACCTCGTCATGGAGGACTCGACGATCCTCCTCGTCCAACTCGACAATAGAATTTATGTCTGTTGGCCTCTGCCCCGCCAAAGCGCCCTTCTTTAGAAGCGGAACAATATCATTGAGGTCATTCTCATTGGCATATGCCTCTACGTCCCTCATCAACTCATCATAGGAAATACCTTCGAGGGGGTTTTTGATCCTAGATATATTATGAGCGCATGGTGAACGCATCAATTTGGAAACGCAATACTGACTCTCCCGTCAGGTTCTCATTCATGCTGTATTCATGTCAATTTGTGTTAGCTTCTCAACATAGGTGAGGGTTTGCTGTGTAAGCTCACCCCTTCACCACATCACGCGTGGCTCGAGCGGACATATTGAGCGACGATCTACTTGCAGATTATTTTCAAAAAAAATAGATCTTGAACAATATTTTTGAGAGATTTTGAAAAGACAAAGACTGGAGAAAAGGTGGTTTGCTAAGTTGTGAAAGTGTGATGGTGGAGGAGGAAGTGAAGTGGATGGAACAACACACTAGGTAAGTGAGACCGGGCGCTTGTCTTTAAAAGCAGTACTGATATTTAGATGTAGTGTGAACTAATATGTAACATCCAAAGATTACCGAACGAGTCTGCTATTTATCGTCAGAGACTAGGCATTTTTACAACTATTCTGAAGAGGGAAAAAGGCCTTCATAGAAAAAAAGCAGCCACCTCGGCATGACGAATAAGGAGCTAGGCATGAGCTTCATTCGGTCATAAATCTGTAGACTTGATGACTAGAGTATTGCTGAGCTAGTGAAATATGAGTGGACGAATGCAAATGTTATCTAGAAATCTGTCAGAAACCAAGGGTCTTGGGGACAAGGACTTGCATTGTGGCTTGGCTAGAGCAATTTCAGCTGACGCAGTCAGCATTCGAATAAGACCGGAAAGCAATCAGCCCGAATTGTGTTGCACCACCTGCAAAAGGTATAGAAGAGAGGTCGAGGATTACCCCACAATAGAATCATATGACGGCACTAGTGCGTGGCTTAAATTATAGCCAAATTGAAGGAGCGGGGAAAGCCGAGAGCGTGTGAAAAAGGCTTGATGGTTGGAAAACGGCAATGTCTGGGCTCATTATCCTCATATTTCATTGGACGAACTACTGCATGGCGACTTTTAGGAATTCTGACTACTCAATACGAGCTTCTCAGAGAACGTGGGCCAATAGGGGAATAAAGGAGGAAATACAAGGTAGTGGAGAAACGAAAGAAAGCTGACTTGAACTTGGAAGAAGAATTCCTGACATTGAGGATGAAACTGCCCCAAGTCATGTGAATCACTCTTATTTTCCCCAAGGTCCAAGGTGTGAACAGCTGGAACACGGAGATGGCAACACCGTTGAGTACTTACTGGACTGCTGAGCTACGTGATATTAGATGCCGATAAAGAAGCAGATTAGGAAATTTAAGTTGTATCTGTACCGGCTGCATACTGGTGTATAGTTACTGCTATTACCTCTGCAGCCTCCCAAAACCATGAACTCTGACCACATCTTTTCGTCGCTGGTACTTTCCAGTTCTTTGTAAATGAGGGGTTGCTGGATACGCTCAACGCAGGTCCTGGTTGGGATCGGTTTCACTCCTCACGATATGAAGTATTTTTTGTCCTCTAGGATATAGTATGTTATATCTATTGTACTAGAAAAGAACCATGCTGTCTAAACTAGAAAATCCAGCAGCTACACCACCCTCATTCACCTCTTTGCCTTTGGTTCTTAACAACCATCCACCTTGGTCATTATGAAGAATCTTTCCTGTATTGTCCCACAAGATCGTGCCGTAAATACCCAGTTCAGAAATCACATTACCGCGTAAAACTTCTCCGTCATTTCGCAAAGCAACGTTCTCGGCATTTGGCGTTGGGTTTATGAGCTCCATAAGCACCCAGCCCTTCCAATCTGCCTCAGGTATAGATCGAAGGAACCCTGGAATCTCAGCCTTATAGATATTGTTGCCCCCACCCTCTCGCTGGGGCTTAAGAACATGGTTCATAGCAGTCTCCGGATTCAGAGCCAAATCACGACCTTGTCCATTTGGTGAAAGATCATACTGAGGAGCAAAAGTTTCTCTTAGTCTTGTGATCACCGTGGAATCAATGCCACCGAGGAATTTTGATAGATGGTCGAGTCCTGTAGGCTCTGCGAGGACTTGTTGGACCTTCTTGCAGCCAGCTAACTGGTTAAGAACACTCGGGCACTTAATTGCTGCAGAACGCTCAAGATGTAGTCTCGCCTCCCAGTCGCGACTGGATTTGTATTCATCAGGAGAATAGTAGGCACGAAGATAGACTGTGGTGACTTCAAAAGCGGATGCTGGAGAGTGAGCAGGGCGATAAATCAAGGGTCGAGAGGAGTTATCACTAGGTATTGAGGTGTGATCGAATATATGATTGCTGGGTACTCGGAAAACAGGGATTTTATGATGGCCTGTTAGACGTTTTTGAAGCGCATGTTGATCGAATACATTCCGCTCGCCATCCTGGACTATGAAAAGTACACACAAAGGAAGCTCTGGACTGGACTTTGATGGTCCATACGCTTTATGTGCGTTTGCTAATCCTCCAGAAAGTGTCTCCACAGAAGTATTCTCAGGCGGCGGCCCAGATTGAAGCAGGGGGTGAGGTGGATAACTGATCGGAGAGCCGGGTGGTGATGCCAGGAGTTCCGTGTGCAAAGACCTCACGAGCGCCGAAAGGCCTCCAAATGAGGAGGAAATTGTATTGAATTCAACTTGCTTCAAGGCAGGCGCATGGCTGGGTGTCACATGTGCCATGTAGTCGGATCGGTACAGACCCAGTGAAAGGGTTTGCGCATAGCCCTCTTTCTGGACTGCTAGATGTGTATTCCACAAATTTGCAACAAAGTCATCAACACCAATCAACCTAGAAGAGATACAAGTTAGCTTCAAAGCCCATTCATGTGCAATTGGTGATAGCTATCCTACTCTTCCATGACCTTCCCGAGCCATTTTTCATCACAGGTGATCGAGGCATAGAGTTGGTTGTATGCAGTTTGCAGTGCCTGCGCCTCTTCAAAGCACGCTCTAGGGAACGGGCTAGGGAAAATGGTCACGGGTGCATTGGTTGCTAAAACACGATTTGGATCTGCACCCTCCGGTAGCATATTCGGTGCGGGACGAACGGCCAATCCATTTTGGATAGCCCAGTCCTTGATAGTGGTTACCAGATACTCCTGCTGGGCTGTGGACAGGGAAGGCGGATAGTTGTTGTAGATTGACTCAGCCATTTTCCCACAGATGCTGCAAGGTCCTTGATCAATGCAGGTAAAAAGTGCAAGCTCCCTAGACAAGTTGAACTGGTGCCCTGAGGGGTGCTGATTTATCAGCAGTGAACCCCGCATCACCGCCCTGATCACCGCCTTTTATATCCAGCAGAATACATACCGCCTTCCAAACAGCTGCTTTATGACCCAAGCTGCTCAACTTTATTTTATGAGATCTTGTTCGCCAACCCATCACTCTATCTCTTTACACCGCTCCTGTAATCCATATTTATCCTTCCCAAAAGTCTGGTATTATCTCTCCTAACTACTTACTCACCTTGCTGTCCCATCCACAACCACAAACTTGGCCATAACGAGGCGAGTTTCCGAATGGGGGCCAGGACCTGGTGAGTTTAGCAATGCACTGAGTTGAATGCTGCGATAAATACTGACAACCTAGGCCCCCAAAAATGAACAATGGTCATCAGTGATAATGATCCAATTGATTGGGACGTCGATGAAATAGTGGCTTTCCTCTGTGACCCCGTGTCAGCACCTTGGGCAGCGTCTGCGAATTCCTTACGCCCTAATCTTGTCGAGCTTGAACAAGCTCTTCGTGAAAATTTCATTAATGGAGAGGTACTCTTGTATCACGTGGACAAAGATTCCCTCAAGGATGACTTGCAAATCAAAGCGCTAGGCCATCGTAGCAGCGTTTTGAGGGCCGTTGACTGGCTGCGAGCCAAATCTGCAAAATATCGCATGTCCATGGACAAGTCTCAAGAGGCTGACAACATATTTTTCCATGAACCGACCCGATCACCGTCTCATAGAACTGCTGCCACTGCTTCATTGGAACCACCGAGTCGAGTTTCGGCCCAATCACCTCAAGTGACCGCCCCTTCAACCAAAGGCTCAAAGCCAATTCAGCGAGTGGCTCCGATTCAAATAAATTCAATCCCTAGACATGGTAGCAGCAACGAAGCCCATCCACGCCAGGCTAATTCAGCAATTTTCGTCACCGAAGATAAGTCTAGTGAGCTGACGTCTCAAGAGAATGCCTTCTATGACAGACTGCTTCAGAAGTATCAGGTCGAGGATGATCAACCTCTCCCGGGATATGGAGAGTCTGGCTCAGAAGGTGAATTTGATGCCGTGACTTGGGAAGAAATTCTCGAAGAGAACCCAATGCTCAAAGACCCTTATCTGGTTCACAACCCCCTCCCTCTCGAGGAGCGGAAATCTGTCCTGTCGAGATATATCGAGGAACAAAATCAGAAGTGGCGAATCAATTATCTGCCTCGAGAAGCACCCTATGCCCGAGAGCTATGGCTCCAGACCCGGGACCAAGCCGTTCTTGAGGCATATAACCGTGACTGTTCCGACCACCTTCGTAATCTCGAGGGCCGGTTGAAAAAGCTTAAAGAGGCAATAATATCGGTCGAACACAGATCAAAAATCCCTTTCCAGAAGGCATGTGGCAGCCTCGATACCACCCTCAACCAAATATTTCATGAAAGGTGGAAACTGTCTGTCATGGCGCTTGCGCTGTGTCCGCGTTCCGTGTCTCATCCACCTAAAGCCCCAAGGCCTCGGAAAGAGCCCCCTGATGACGACGACGACGACGACGATGATGATGCAGAAGAAGAGTCGCTCGGGTCTGATACAGAAACTGCCTCCGAGCAATCATTAACCACTGACAGCGATGTTCGATCCGGCGATGATTCATCAGAGGAGTTTCTAACCGAGAAAGTAAAAAGCCAGCCTTGGTTGGCCGTTTTTCAATCATCTTCGAGCGATGACAGTGAGACTGATCTACATTCCAACAAGCGGCGCCGAGTCCTTGACAGTGAAAAGCAAGACGTGGCCAAAAGCAGACGACATACACATGGCCATGGCCCTTTCATGGATCTTGAAGATGTCGATGTTGATACCATTGAGTCTCTAGACACAAATTCGAACCTGCCTTCAGAGGCGCCGGAACCCAGCTCTCACAGGGCAGTTGAATTATCAATTGAGACACCTCCTCTCAACCCAACCCAAACAGATATCCGAGATTCTGACGTACCGGACGATATGCTGGTAAAAACTCCTCCGTTGAATCCGACCCATCTAATGCGCGTGAGGCAGGCAATGCCAAAGCTCAACCTGTCCCAGTGCTCCGCAACGCGAAACAACAAAAGTCATTCGCCCCCACCCCAGAACCATGGTATCAACACCCCAGCACCAGCCGACGACGATATCGAATTATTTGATAGGATGGGAAATATGTCTTGGAAGGAAATTGAGACCAGCAAAAATGGCATGCACCTATTGGCCAAACTTCTCATGACTCTGAAGTCTCACGAGATCAAAGAATATCGTGTTTTCTTGCACGATATGGTAGAACCGGAGTACAGAAACATCGTTGAGGAGGCGCTGTACGCGATGGTTAGCAACGACCGATCCTTACAAGATAGAGACAAGGACGAAAGCGCGCTGATTATGCGACTGGCGGCTATGTTTATGTCCTGGTACCACTGTATCCAGTTGAAGCCCGCGGGGGTTGGAAGTGGCTTGCTTGAAAGGACCATTGACGCAATTGAAGATGAAGGAATGTTTCTGAAGTTCTTCAGGAGGCTCAAGAGGCTACATTTAGCTTACGAAGTGTGGTATACTGCCCAAGGATTCCCAAGCGATGACGATGAAGAGGACGGGACTCATAGCTCTCCTAGTGGTGATATCAGCTCCATGAACAAGCCCCAAAAACGAAAAAAGAAAGGGAAAGGGTCTAAAATCAAAACAAGCGGTGCGAGACCACTCAGCAATATGCAGAGAGAGGCCCAAGAGCGGCAGGCAAGACAAGAAAGAGCCAGAGACCGTCTCCTTCGTGAGCGAGAACTACAAGGCCTGAGTACAAGCGACCCAGATGGCCAAGCTGTTACCTTCAAAGAGCCTGTCATTTATCTCCATCCGCATCTTGGGAAGTTTGTGAAGCCACATCAACTAGCAGGTATTCAGTTCATGTGGAGAGAGCTGATCGAAGCCAATAATCAGCAAGGTTGTCTGCTTGCTCATGTCATGGGGCTAGGCAAGACTTTTCAGGTGTAAGTTGGTGGGTTTGGAATGGCCATGAGACATTTTGAAAATTCTTTGGCCTATTCACTAACTCCTCTATAGGATAGCCCTGTTGGCCACTATTGCTGCATGTGCTGCCTCAAATAACCCGCAGATCCGAGCACAGGTGCCAGAAAAGTTCCATCGCCCCCAGTTCTTAATCTTATGTCCGTCCTCAGTGGTGCAAAATTGGACAGATGAGTTCGTTCTCTGGCTTCCAGAAGGTCATCACCTTGGACCAATCAGAGAGATCATCTCTCGTGGGAAACAGCTTGAGATGAATGGAAGAATTGACACAATCAAAGCCTGGAACGAAGAAGGTGGCATTCTCATTATGAGTTACGAGATGCTGCGGATACTTATTCTCAACAAATCAACAAAAATTGGCACTTGTCTTGACCCATTGGAACATACAATGATTCAAGACTGCCTGTTGTCAGGCCCCAATATTATCGTTGCAGATGAAGCCCACAAGCTGAAGGGCGAGAGGTCTGCCATTTCTCAGGTTGCCTCCCGATTCAAATCTACAAGCCGCATTGCTTTAACTGGTTCGCCTCTTGCAAACCACCTCTCAGAGTATTTTCAGATGGTGGAGTGGGTTGCAAGGGGTTATTTGGAAGATCTGACAACTTTCAAACGGAAATTCGTTGAGCCTATTCAAGCTGGGTCTTACATTGACAGTACTATGATGCAACAGAGAGAAAGTTTGAAATCTTTGCAGCTCCTCAATGGAATCTTGCAGCCGAAGGTTCTCCGCGCAGATACTTCGGTGATCGCATCAGACTTGCCGTCAAAAACGGAATTCGTGCTTGTCGTCCCTTTGACTGGTCTACAAAAAGAGGCTTACAATCTTTTCGTGGAGAGTACACTATCGGGTAGCGCAGATATCAGCACCAAATTATGGTCCTGGCTTGCGATTTTGCAGCTTTGCTGTAACCATCCGTATCCTTTTCGCGAGAAACTCTTTGATCGGTTGAAAATCCCTGAGGATTCAGACGGCCAGTCTGTGCTTCCACAGTCCATACAAGATGCCGGGCTCCCAAGAGATTTGTTTTCCAAAATGGAAGAGCTTTTCAACCAGTTTCCCAACCTCAAAATGGCCAGCTTATCCAATCGAATTCTTCTGCTGGATGAAATTCTAGACCGCTCGATCAGGTCTGGGGATAAGGTACTGATATTTACTCAAAGCCTTCCTACAATGGACTATCTAGACTTCTTTTTGAGAAAAGGCACACGCAAGTATCGACGTATCGATGGCTCCATGTTGGGACCTAACCGTCAGATCGCAACCAAAAACTTTAACACCAATTCGGATGAAGAAATTCTCCTCATTTCAACCCGCGCCGGTGGTGTGGGCTTGAATATGTTTGGGGCAAATCGCGTTATCATCTTTGATTTCCTGTTCAACCCTATGTGGGAAGAACAGGCTATCGGACGTGCTTACCGGCTTGGTCAAAAGAAGCCAGTCTATGTTTATCGGTTCATCGCCGGTGGCACATTCGAAGAGCTCATTTTCAACCAGGCGAAATTCAAAAGAGAACTTGCGGTTCGCGTGGTTGACAAGAAGACTGTCGTGCGCCAGAGCACACGTAACACGCACACAAAGTATCTCTTTCCTGTGAAAGACGTCGAGAAGGATCAAGATTGTGATGTTCTTGGGAAGGATCCAAAGGTGCTGGACAGAATCCTAGCTAGAGACGGCAATGAGATTGTTCTCAGGGCGACATTGTCCCACATTCAGGACAATGAAAACGATCGCTTGACCGAGGAAGAAAGCCGCCTTGTTGAAGATGAGCTCAAATGCGAGCGGCTCAAGCGCTCCAATCGCAGAGCATACGATGCTGAGATGACGAGACGACACCTTGCAGATCAAGTTCGATTCCAACAGGAGATGGCTCAGAATAAAATGAAGTGGGGATTTCAAAGAATGCCACAGGGGCCAACTTTGATTCAAAACCAGTCAAATTTCCCGCAGGATTACCAAATTTCTCATGCAGGAGATGATCAGAGCGCCGGTGTACCAGCACTATATGCCGATTCATATGATGCCAGTCCGATGGGTGGATCGACGAGTCAGATGTCATCAGGTTATGAGACTCCCAATTTTGACCAATCTCAGCCGCAGTCGCAGAGCTACCATCCAAGTTCAACGTCTTTGCTGCGTGATATTTTCCCTGAGATGTCAGCATCTGATTCCACATATTATGCACCCAGCTCCACCTCCGTGAGCCAAAAACCTCGCCACATTCCTTCTGACCTGCCTTCACTGGAACCCAATTCTATAGATGCCACCTACGTTAACCTGGTGGACGAGGTCTCCGATCCTATTCTTCACACACCAGGAATGCCACAGACAGCCTCGATGATGCCATGTACTAGCTCAACTGCTGCAGTTGCTCCTTCTCAGACCACTCAACCACAGACTGGTCTAGACGGCACAGATGACGTGGAATATTCTGGTCAGGGGACTTTGATGCTGAAGGGCCAGGAAAGCTCCGCTCAGTTGCCTCCGGATAAACTGCCCAAGGGAATCAGTCACAAGCAAACCACATCTACAGCGAATATTTCCCAAGACAAACCCGATGGCTCTGACTCCCAAAAGCCCATTGATAACAGCCAAGCCAATATCTTGATTCCCAGCGTTGAAAATACGCAGGTTTCCGACCCAGTTCCAGTCTGCCAAGCTGGCCCTGGCACTGGCCAAAACAAATCTTCGGACCCCTCCATCGAAAACATGCAGGTCTCTGGTCCAATTCCAGCAAGTCCCACCGATCTGATAGAGCTCTTGCGTACGCCCTCATCTGTTGCTATGGATATCAGCGATGGAGATTGACAAGCCGCAGCAAACATCGTTTGCCTTGCATGTTCCCAATTCTCCAACATCAGTCCACCATGTGCTTCTTATTTTCTTTTCTTTATTTCTTTTCTACCCTTTTTAACTCCGGTGTATTAGTGATACCCCTATGCGACGTTTGCTTCATTTTTTTTTTTTTTTCGAATTGCTCTATTCTTATGGCCTGCTTTGCATAATTTCGGACTCTGCCGATGTGATGAGTCTGGTCTCATGATTTTCCTATCCATATTTTATTTAACCTGCATTAATCAAATTGTGTGAAAAATACAACTGATCCTAAAAGTCCCTGCATAAGACTAGAAGACTAGAGGAGGATGCTCGAACAATGCCCATTAAGAGAGTTTGGGCTTTTTACTGTAAGTGGGTCAAGTTAGGTACTACTGCACGCTCGTGGAGTCGCTTATCTTTCCCTTATCTTCCCCGCAAACCCAGTCCGTTGGCTTAGCCTCTTTGCCCCGACCATTGCTCATCCATTTTTTCCCCGAGCATGCATAATGCACTATGGCTGCCATTTCAAGAGCTCGAACAGGCTGCTGGACATGCCGTGCCCGCCGAATAAAGTGTGATGGTAATCATTCAAGATCCCTGCCGGCGTTATATCGCTATTCCCTTGCCAGTAGTTCTAACTAGGATTTTCCAGAAACACACCCCATCTGCCGCCGATGTGCCCGTAGCAATAGTCCCTGTGGATATGGAATTCGCCTTGTTTGGCAGGAAGAGTCGATAGCACGTGGGGTATGCCATGGTCGGGTTGGAGTTTGGTCGAAGCGAGGCGATGCAGACCGAAGACGAGACTGCAATGCCCGTCAGGGGTCAAACGCGAAGAGCCAGCCGATTCGAGCTCCAGGGAAGGCGAAATGCACTTCAAGAGTATGGATGTTCTTGAATACAACTACTACCGACCTTGAGATTCATTTTAACAGCGTCGGGACCAAGATTGATCGATTAGCTGCGACCTCTCCAAGAGCCGGACTGCTGTCGCCGTCCCTGAGCGTGATTCCAAGGAGTGGCCAACGACCAGAATATGATCCCGTTCTCATGTCATATTTTGAGCACGTAATTTGTAGCAGTTCCACTCTGGTGGACAATGCTCACTATAATCCTTATCGGTACCTCATTCTACCTATGGCTCTGGAGTCCGAGGGACTATACCATGCCACTCTGGCCATTGCTGCGAATACACTTCGACTGTCCGATCCACGGTACAGACTTCCAGCCTTAGAGCATCATCATCTTGCGCTCAGTCACCTCAGAGGTCTCTTAAACTATGATACTTGGGAAGAGAAAGAGCTGGACGAGATGTTAGGGCTGGTTCTTATGTTATGTTGGTTTGATGTAAGGCACCACCTCACCATGCTCCAAAATGTTTCATAATACTGACCTGAATCAGATTTCAGATAATAGTCGACCATCATGGGTGACACATCTAAATGGATTTCAAGATTTGATCCGCACTCGACAAAATCGTCCAGGTCGCTCTGATCATAGCAAGGAGCTATCAAGCTTCTTCAATCGTTACTTTGCCTTCCATCTCGTTCTTGCCCGTACAGCTTTCAAGGTCAATCCCGAGACCTGCCAGGCATATGTTCTGCCAGATACCCTACTCGAGACTCCTGACACAATTGACCCGTATATGGGATTCAGCCCTTCGCTTCTCCTTTTGATCAACCAGGTGACCGAACTAGCCGGGCATAATGAACGAGATCAACAAGTCATGGGCGCTCAAAGAGTTTATGATCTGAAACGCCGCCTAGAAGAAATTCAACAGAAGCTCCCATCGGAACAAATTGACCCTGATACCGAGTGTGCCTCGATAGCAGAAGCCAATAGACTCGGAGCGCTCCTTCTTCTACATGAGACCTGCTCATCAAAGGCGGGTTCAGCCAGCTCGACCCAGCTCCCCTCCCTGGATTCCAAAGAAAAGAGCCAATACGTGGATCAGATACTCAAGCTCATACTAACCAAAAAATCAAACATGATGCGCACTGCTGTCCTGCCACTATGGCCATTGTTTCTCGCGGGGTGCTGTGCACGTGAGGAAGAAGAGAGGGTCATTGTGTTACAGTTATTTGGAGAGCTAGAAAGCATCCGTCGGTTTGGGGTAAGTTCCTTCTTCTTGGTTGCTGGTCGTCAAATCCAAGGGAGATAAATAACTAATCTAAATCACTAGAACATAACACCTGCAATGGAAGTTGTTGAAATGGTTTGGCGGCAGCAAGACCTGGCGGGGTCAGATGATAGAAGGCCCCAGAAGAATGGAAGTCCGGATCTAGAAAATGATCCTCTGCAAGGTGCCCGTTTTGCATGGGAGCATGCGATGGCGATGTTAGGTGATTGGAAAGTAAGCTTGACATGATTATTTTGCATTTATATCAATATTCCTGGCAGGCATCAATAAGTCTGCGGCACAAATATAAAAACCAAAGCCAATGGAAGCTATATATCTCTTTAAGATTCGTCTCTTGGGATAATAATTTAGAGCAATATCAAACATTACAGGCTCCGACCTTTTTTGAGCATGGTTACAGTTTAGAATTAGGGAGTTTCTCACGGAGCTGTCTCCCCCTCCACCCAGTAAGATCATCCAACTCCAGCTCAGGATCCATGTGGGCAAGATTCTTCGCCGACATCTCTTGTCCAGCACGCCACTGCCACTTACTCGCAATGGCAGGTTCGAGTTTCCCTTCCAGCATATCTGCCACATATTTTCCAATGACGGGAAGGAATTTGAATCCATGAGCAGATCCACCAGCAGCAACAAATAGCTGCTGATGAATTGGGTGAGGCGTCACAAGAAAGTGCCGGTCAACAGTATCGGCATCCCAGCACAGACGAGTGTAGCAAAATGGTCGATCTGCAAATTCAGGTAGAACTCGGCGTAGGTTACGACGCATAGTGGCCTCGATTTCGAGGGGAAGGCCATCTTTCGGTGCTTGTAAAAATGTGTGTGGAATCGAGGTCGTAATACCGGAGCTGGTGTCGGTCCGCATGTTGGTGATAAATTGGCTGTGTGCCATCTTGAAGATTCCATCCGCTTGAGGAGGGAAGAAATACCCCAGCTCAAGGTTGTCCATAATCGGCATTGTCGAATAATATTTTGTCTCGGTGGCATCGAGCTGAATATGTGCCACACTATGGCCCTTCGCCATCAGTTGACCTTGGAGGTCTAGTAATGATGGTGTCCATGATCCAGCTGCAAGAATGACTTTGTCGGCCTCATGCCTAATGCCATCTGCTGTGATGACACCTTTACACTCGTTGGAAATCTCATCCAGGATTAATTGTCGAACATAGCCTTGAACACCCGAGATATAATCGACGCCATTCTTTTGTGCGGCCCTAGCCATCGACTCCAAAGCTTGGCCTGCAGCCGCCCAGCCAGCGGTCGGATTCCAGACGTTCATATTCCAACCATCAAGCTTCCCCGTCACCACAGGAAAACGTGAGCGGACCTCATCGCAAGTGAGTATCTCTATGCCCTGGACGCCGAGATTCTTGCATGTCTCAATGGAGCCCTCAACAAATGGCAGCGACAAGTTGGCGGCACTCAGAATCCAGCCGGGAACATGGTATAGTCCGCTGAACATCGGCCATGACCGCCATGCAGCAATCGACTCGATTCCTAGGCGCGCATATAACGGCTCATTATAATCACTTCGGATGATCTTGCTGATATCGGTCGAAGCAGCCTCACAGGACGGTGGGGGATACCGGTCCAGCACACGGATGGACTTGTAGCCACGTTCCGAGAGGTGATAAGCTGTCGAAGTGCCGAAGCACCCACCGCCGACAATAAGAATTCTTGTGTCCTGGTCCATTGTCTTATCTCAACCGGGACTCCTGTCTGTTTAATTGAATCGTCACCGGAGTCGCGGCACAAACATCTATTTATTGCGACATTTTGACGCCTCGGGGCTCGTTCTGAGCTTCCTCGAGCGCGCAGCGAGGAATATCAGCAGCAATCCACTCTCATCCAGGACATGTGGAGACATACATCTCGGAGATCTAGTGTCATTCGGTCCGACCTTCACTTGATCCCTTGATAACGCAGATAAGACGTGGGCGATGTCGGTGACACTCCGAGGTGAAGTTCGTTCCGACCTTCCCAATGATGTTTCTTCCCCGCATTACCAAAACGCCCCCCTGTCCCCATTCATTCCCGTGACACGCCACAAGATTATTGCCAAAAACTTACGCGTTTGAAAGCAATAAGTCCAATAGTCAATGTAGTGTAATCCTGTAGAGGCTTGTGAAAATGGGATATAATGGATGTCTAACTAACTAAGCTCGCTGGCAGGGAGTATTGACCATCCACTACCACGTTGACTAGAGTGTTACGACATAGGGTTATGTGGGTCTCCGCCTTATTTGGCGGCATCTTTCTCTCGACAAGAATAGCTTGGTAGATAGTTCAAAGACGATGGAGAATATTTGTTCATATTAAGGGGCAGCCGGTTGTACAATCTACTTTATATGGATTACAGTACTTTTACATTGCGCATATGGAGTACAAATGGCATATGGTGATATGGAGCTGGCAGCGCTCATAAGAAGTATATTCATGGAAATGAATACTAGCAACTCCCAGGCTAATGCACTAGCTAAAATATATTTTATCTGTATAGAAAGCATAGCCTAGTATGTATACCTGAAGCCATGTTTTTCGTGATCCGTTTGGTCTGAGAATGCACCCTCGGATAGTTCAGTACGGGACTGCGGCCCTTCCTTTCTGTCACGGCGGGTGTTCTCCCATCGGCATAGAACTCCATATGCAATGATAGATGCCATTGCCACGACTAGACAAGCGAGTAGGCCCTCATAGCCTCGCGAATACGAAGGAGCTTCTTCCGAGCGAAAGACCTGAGGGCCAATGATGTTGCCGGTGCAGTAAGCTAGGAAGAATATGGCGTTCATGGTCAACTTCTTAGAATGACCACTAGTATTAGCCATTGGAAGGGATGTAGAAAGAACATAGGGTGCCCAGTAGGTGTAGAAGACGTAGTATGCTGCCAGCAAGCCATGTTGGTTCTCTCGAGGCAACTTCCACATTAAAATTGCACAGACCATTGGTACCAGGTCCGCCAGAGCAATAATCGCGCATCGAGAATTCTGGACATTGGCAGCGATGAAGCCTAATAGAATTTGCCAAACAGTTGCCAGTACACCGGTTGGAATGCCCAGCACCGTGGTGACCAAGTTTGAATAGCCCAACCCAGTCACAATGATAGCGGAGAAAGTAACCAGGCCGCCATTCGGAATGTTTTGAGCTAGAGAGAACAATGCTAACAGCCACGTCTTGGGATCAAGTAAGCATTCGCGTACTTGATACCATTTGATGGTTTTGTCCTCCATTCCGGTATTGTTGTTCTTCACACGCTCAAGGCATACAAATCTCTCGCGATCGGAGAAATACCAACACTGGACGGGCGAGTCGGGTAAAAAGACGTAGAGTATTGCGGCCCAGATGAGAGAAAATCCACCCAGCACCAGAAAGAGCAGTCGCCAAGGTGCCACGCTAGTATTTGTCTGGCCGATCCCATAGCTGACAAGACCCGAGAACACAGATGACAGCTGATTGAACCAGAATGCAACCCGGAGTGGCTGCTCGCTGGTTTTCCACCACATCACAGTCAGGATGCTGGAAATGGGAAAAACGGAAGCCTCAAGCATGCCCATTAAGAACCGAACGGTGGCCAAACCTGCAAAATTCTGCGTCGCCGCTGTGCAAAGCATCAACACAGCCCATCCAGATACCATCCCCACATAGAGCTTGGCGACTGGGAGTCGCTGAATGAGGAGTGCAGCAGGATATTCGAAGGCCAGATACCCGAAATAGAAGATCGATCCCACCCATGAATATTGGTTGCCAGTCAGATGGGTGTCCGTTTTCATGCCGTAGATTGCAGCATTAGATATAATGACTTTATCGATCGCAGCCAAGACGACTGTAACCATGATGAGTGGGATCAGAATGAGGTCGATCTTCCATAAAACGCGTCGAGCCTCGCTTTCCGAAATGGGCGTCACTGCAATAGCAGGGTCGAGTCGTGCGAGGAATTGTGCCGCGACATCTCTCCCACGGTCTCCATTTATTGCGTCTATGATATCTCCGGATTCATACTTCTCCTGGTCCGGAGGAGGCTGGATATCTGGTGTGGGAGCTCTTTTCTCGTCCGGCGTCATCTTAAAATGGAAATCAATGGTTGAAAACAGATGGCAGAATACAGTCAATACGAATTAAAATGGGTATTGTGATCCAGAGAACAGTGTCAATTGGTGACTTTTATAGAAACCCCCGAGGGAACGGGGGACTCTTGACCCGATACTCTGGGTTATCTCGATTTAGGGTTTGCGGTAGGGGAAGGTCGGAGCGAGATAAGACACCTTCTCCAGACTATCCGCTCATCCAAGTTCGGAGGACCCGGTTCAACCCCAACGAGCCTGTCGGAGCAAACCACACAAGATTGCTAGCAGCAAAATCGTTCCGACCTGCTAGTAATAAACTCCGTGCAAGCATAAAAGCTGGCCTTGGCCCGCGCTCCCTCATGCTGCATCAATCACATCAATCAAATCGCACCATGTCTCCTCATAGGGCGGATGGGCAAAATATCAAAATCGCCATCGGTCAGTTTAGTCAAACATTTTCTTATGAACGATGAAATGGAACAAACATGGAAACCTGCCAACCTCATTCTTTGCGCACTCTGCTAACTGATACAAGATCGTGGTGGTACCTTCACCGATTGTCTAGGTATTATTGAAGGTCGTGACGAGGAAATCGTTGTCAAACTGCTTTCACAGGATCCTGCCAACTATGCAGATGCCCCCATAGAGGGCATTCGTCGTATTCTCGAGCAGGCGACGGGCAAGTCTTTCCCTCGCGACCAGCAACTTACAACTGCCGACTTTCGCAACGTGAGTATTCGCATGGGTACGACTGTAGCCACAAATGCACTACTAGAGCGAAAGGGCGAGCGTCATGCTCTTCTGATCACCAAGGGATTCAAGGATGCTTTGCGTATTGGAACTCAGTCTCGACCAAAGCTATTTGCACTCAATATTCAACGTCCAGATGTCCTGTACGAAGATGTTGTGGAAATTGAGGAGCGTGTTACCGTAGAAGATTACCAGCAAAATCCCAACCCCGACAAAGAAAGCCTAACCAAGGCACTTCAATCTGATCCTTGTTTAAAACGCGGCGTCAGTGGCGAAGTGATTCGAATTCTAGAGCCTCTCGATGAGACGAGCACAAGGAAAAGCCTCAAAAAGTTATATGTTAAAGGCTATCGATCGATTGCGGTTTGCTTGGTACACTCATATACATTTCAAGAACATGAGTTGGTCATTGAAAGAATTGCAAAAGAAATTGGGTTCGAACAAATCTCATTGTCGAGTCAGCTGCTACCCATGATTAAAATGACCTCCCGGGGGGCATCAGCTACTGCAGACGCCTATTTAACGCCTGTTATCCAGCGTTATATCCAGGGGTTCCGATCCGGGTTTAAGGATGGACTACGCTCGGCTAATACACGTTGTGAATTTATGCAGAGCGATGGTGGTTTGGCCAATTTTGAGAAGTAAGTCACAGACCCATGAGAGATATTAAACGATTGAAATGTCTAATAGTACATCGTAGATTCACCGGCTTGCGAGCAATCCTGTCAGGTCCAGCTGGTGGTGTTGTAGGGTACGCAGGAACGTCTTTTGACGAAAATGACCGAACTCCAGTTATTGGGTAAGTGGCTCTAACTTCGACCACTGTTATTCACAGCTAACGAGATCATCAGATTTGATATGGGCGGTACCAGTACCGACGTGTCTCGTTATGATGGGAAGTTGGAGCATACATTTGAAAACACTATCTCCGGTGTCACAGTCATGGCACCCCAACTGGACATCAATACCGTCGCTGCAGGTGGTGGTAGCATTCTATTCTGGCGCCACGGATTATTCGTTGTTGGCCCTGAGTCTGCCGGCGCCCATCCAGGGCCTGCTTGCTACCGCAAAGGTGGTCCTTTGACAGTAACAGATGCCAATCTGTTCCTTGGGCGTCTTTTGCCGGAATACTTTCCTCGGATTTTTGGACCTAACGAAAACGAACCGCTTGATGTTGAAATCACTCGTCGGAAGTTTACTGAGCTGGCTGATCAAATAAACACCGAAACGGGACAGAAGAAGTCTCCTGAGGAGATTGCTTTGGGATTCATTCAGGTCGCGAATGAATCCATGGCAAAGCCTATTCGTGCCCTGACCGAGGCTCGTGGATACGATACTTCTGCCCACAACTTGGCTTGTTTCGGCGGAGCAGGAGGGCAACATGCCTGTGCTATTGCGTCCTCTTTATCCATTGGAACAGTGATTATCCATCGATATTCCTCGATTTTGTCGGCATATGGTATGGCTCTTGCCGACGTTGTCCATGAGGCACAGGAGCCGGCATCTGGTGCTTTGGACCAAACAGCAATGGAAGCTATCGCTGAACGCATTATTTCGCTAAAGTCTAAAGTTACTGCAGCTCTAGAGAGTGATGGGATTGAGGAGGCCCAGATCAATCACGAAGTCTACCTTAACCTGCGCTACCAAGGTACTGATAACACCTTGATGGTACTGGAACCGTACCATGGAGACTTCATCGCCGAGTTTGTCAAAGAACATCAACGGGAATTCTCTTTCATATTCCCTGGTCGCAGCATTCTCGTTGAGGATATCCGTGTACGTGGAATTGGTAAGGCTACTTCTGCAACTCCAGAGGCGCCGCAGAAAGAGCTCAAATCAACGGCCAGCAAGCCCGTGGGGAGCGAAGAGCAGGCTGAGTTTTCATCTGTATACTTTGCCGGGGTTGGAAAAGTCACCACACCAGTCTTCTTTCTTGCAAACCTCCAGCCAGGGAGTTTCATTCAAGGCCCCGCAATGATCATCGACAATACCCAAACGATCGTTGTGGAGCCCAATGCAACAGCCAAAATTCTGTCGCGGCACGTTATCCTCAACGTGAAGTCATCAAAGAAAGAGGCTGATGATGCGACCGTTGTGGACCCTATTAAATTGTCCATCTTTGGCCATCGCTTCATGTCTGTTGCTGATCAGATGAGTCGCATGTTCCAAAAGACATCTGTATCGACAAACATCAAAGAACGTCTGGACTTTTCATGTGCTGTATTCTCACCTGACGGCAAGCTGGTTGCAAACGCTCCAAATGTGCCAGTTCATTTAGGAAGTATGTATTGCTTCAAAATACTTACATCAAATTTGGCTTTGATACTAACATACATTTTCAAGGTATGGAGTATTCTGTTCGATATCAGCATGAGCAATATGGGGGCGACTTGAAGCCCGGCGACCATATTCTAACCAACCACCCCCTTGCGGGCGGCACTCACCTTCCCGATATCACTATTATCACTCCAGTTTGGGATCAAGATGGCAAAGATATTATCTTCTACGTTGCATCTCGTGGTCATCATGGTGAGTCCAATATCCGAGGTCTCTCGCAAAGGTTTTGTTCTAACAAAGCGTAGCTGAAATTGGTGGTATTGCCCCTGGGTCTATGCCTTCAAACAGCAAGATGCTTTATGAAGAAGGCGCCATGACAATGGGCTTCAAAGTCGTTTCAGAAGGCCGTTTTGATGAAGAGATAGTTCAAAAATTCTTGTACGACGAACCAGCCGCTTACGCCGGTTGCAGCGGTACTCGTACCTACAATGACAATGTCTCCGATCTGAAAGCTGCAATTGCCGCAAATCATAAGGGTGCACAGCTTCTACAAGGCTTGGTCGCCGAGAACACCCTGGAAGTGGTCCATTTTTATATGGATGCGATCAAGCGCAATGCCGAAGTTGCTGTTCGAGAGCTGCTCAAGTCCATTGGGCGCCAAAATCCCGGTCAACCGCTCCGGTTTTCTGACTTTATGGATGACGGAACCGAAATAAAATTGGAGATTCGCATTGATCCTGAAACCGGGTCTGCCGATTTTGATTTCACGGGCACAGGCCGCGAGACATTCAACTGTCTCAACGCGCCGAAAGCCATTGCCCATTCAGCCATTATTTACAGTTTGCGGGCTCTGATTGACGTTGATATTCCTCTTAATCAGGGCTGTCTCGCTCCGGTAAATGTGATAATTCCACCTGGAACATTGCTGAACCCATCCGGTCACGCTGCTGTCTGCGCAGGAAATCCCATTACATCGCAGCGTATCACAGATGTCGTGCTTGGCGCTTTTGGAGCTTGTGCGGCTTCTCAGGGCTGTTGTAACATCATATCATTTGGCATGGGCGGCGTTGATCCTAGGACAGGCAGCGAAGTGCCTGGATTTGGTGTTGGCGAGACTATCTGCGGCGGATCAGGGGCAGGCCCATCCTGGAATGGCACCTCAGGAGTGCACGTCCATATGACGAATACGCGAATCACAGATGCTGAAGTCTATGAACTCAGGTATCCAGTAATATTGCGCCAATTTTCGATCCGAACTGGATCAGGTGGTCAGGGCCAATTCCGCGGTGGTGACGGTGTGATCCGAGAGTTGGAATTCCGAATGCCATTGTCGGTTTCGATGCTTAGTGAACGCCGAGTCTACCGACCATATGGATTGGAAGGAGGCGAGTCGGGCCAGGCCGGAATGAACTTGTATCTGAAGAAAGAGCTAGATGGGACTGAGAGAATGATCAACATTGGAGGGAAAATGGAACTTCAAGTCCAGCCAGGAGAGAGGGTTATCATTCATACGTGAGTCACGTACTTAAACTCTTCTGGACATGATTGCTAATTTTATTCAGACCCGGAGGTGGTGGCTGGGGCAAACCAATAGTTGACGGTGCACAATCATCCACGGCCTCCTTTGCTTCTTTCCAGGCGAGGGGTAGTGTTCATACATTTAACCAAACCGCCGAGGCAGCATCCTGAGGATCTAATGCAGACCTCATCAGTGGAACTTGAGATGAGATGATATTTTTGGCATTCTTCTCCCTCTGATTTAGTATTCTGTCTCAAATAAAGTTACTTCATGAATTCTACAGAATGATGGTTCATCTTCCTCGGCCTCTGTAGACGGCGAACATCGGCTGGTTCAAATCCACATTCACATATTCCCACATTTTGTATGAATTCTTGATAATTGATTGGATTGATATATCTATGTAATGATCTTCGCAAGAGGAACAGATGGATCAGGCATGCCATTGAGATTAAGTGAGGGGGAGCAAAATAATCAAATAGAAAACGGCCCCTTGGATATACTCTGAGCTTGCCGGTTTACAGGGAGTTCTTCAAATCCATCACACTCGCTGAGACTGTGTTAGTGGTTCCAGATAATACTCCGCCCCCATTGATCAATAGATATCTTCCATCTCCCTCTGAGAGCACCCGCAGTGATCGCGTGTAGCTGATTGATTCTGGAGAGGCGATCTCAGTCCATTCACCTTTGCCGAGCGCCTGATTAATAAAGAGCGTGCTCTGCGAACCGGAGCTAGCGATTATGGTGCCATATTTGCCCCCATAAGGTGTCCATACCACATATGGAGAAGAGGTCGGGACAGTGCCACTCGAAACGACTAGCTGATGGTGCTCGACCGAGGCAAAATCCTCTGGGTTTGATGACAAGCGGTAGTAAAGTGGGAAGGAGTAGGTAGATGTGTTGAAGAACGACCCATATTCATATATGTAAATATATTGCCCATTTGGAAGCTAATTATCATTAATTTCAATTGGAGTTCTGGAAATGGAAGGCGCTTTGACTAACCTTGGTCACAATGGGCATTCCAGGTCGGTCGGTATAAGTTGGATAGGCACTGTTTATATCGTCAGTAATCAACTAGGAAAGAGCGTATATAATTCTAGATTCTTACACATCGTCCACGACGGGACCCCACTTCTTCAAGTCAGTTGTGACTTGGTGCACCAGCTTTTGTCCATGGGTGGTATTCGCACGTTGATCTGAATAGTAGCAAATCAACTTGCCGTTGCTGTAAACTATATTAGCCACCACATAAATTGAAGAATTGATGCCGACCTACTGAGCAAGTAAATAGGGTTCCCAGACAGGCGTTAGTCCATTATTAGGCACTGCCTCTCCGCCAGCTGCAATGTGACTCAAAAACTTCCATGTCACGCCATCATCTTCTGACGCATATAGGTCAAGTTGAGTGGTGGAGAGATCGGTCGGGATGCTGTTTCCAGCAAGCAGCAGTGTGCCTGCTTTAAATGAACCAATGCGCTCTGGTAAGTAATAAAGGAACGGTTGGTACCGTAGCCCCAGGTGGTTTGCCGTATCTTGGACCTTTGAGATCTCCGACCAGGTCTTTCCGTAGTCTTTGGATCGATAGATGGGGAAATAGACTAGTGGGGGCTCTGGTGAGTAATTTTCCCATGTTGCAAGAAGATCACCATTTGGCAATTGCTCATTGCGGGCATAAAGAGTCCGCGGAATCGTATAGTCGGAAGGTGGAGCAAAGATGGTGATGTTGGTGAGTGGGGCAGGGGAGGAACGGGGAAGACTCGCTGCCGTGGCAGCCCCGATGAGGGTGAAGAAATGAGAGGCCGTAAATTTCATGGCGATCTCGATGGTTTGTAGTTTATAGTTCGGCCACGCGGGTTATCCATGAGCCTTACACACAGCAGTATGGCATTCTTATATAGTCCAGAAATTTTGATCAAATCATACATTCGATCAATATGATGCCAAGGGTTAGCTTCTTGGGCATCCCGCCGGGATTGTCCTGATTTTGGATCTGCGGGGAAATTTCCATCAATCGTCGCTTTGAATACCCATTATCCCCGCTAGCCTAAAATTGCACTAAAAGCAAAATAGTTTAGTCAAAGCCAGCGTCTTGGTGCAGATTACCTTTTCCTTCCTAGCTTTGAAAAGTAGTTAATGCTCTTCATCTCGGCTACTTGTGCCCAGCGCTTCATAGCGTCGATATGCCAACAACCACAATTATCGGCAATTCTTGCTCAATTTCGGGCGGGATCATGAATGACTCCGGAGCGGCGAAATATATGAAGAATATATCTAACCTGCTAGAAAAAGTAGGATCAGGTATTACACGTCCACCCCAGAAACAGTATGTTGTCTCCGGTATGGCCTTTTCTATGGGTACTTTTTTTATACTCGCAAGCCCCCTCGCTTCCGACCCAACAATTCTAGGATACTCCAATAATTAGTCTTTTGTGTCCCCAAGACTCTGCTAATAATCCGATTGCATTGTAATTTGATTGGTATAGATCGAGGACGATCTCTCAATTAAACTTCACGCATTACCACGGAACGTCAAACCTTGGGTGGCAAGTCACATGCTCCCACGACTTGGGAACGTCGTCTGAAAGAATTGGACTCGATGCAACATAATGTATCCTCCTCAATTTTCAATTAACAAGCCACGCCTGATGTTATTACTCCCGGGACAATGCTTTCAGCATGGTCAGCTGTGAATCACCCGTCGAAGGCATCGTCGGAGCATATAAGGGCAACAATTTTGCCGTGCAGGCCTCAATTGCCAGTCTCTTAGGATGCGCCCTGTACAGCGCCCTTGAGCTAGTCGTGCTTGTCTTTCTTACATTTAAGAGATACCATGGCTTGTACTTTTGGAGTCTTCTCTTTTCGGCGTCTCTAGGCGTTGTTCCCGACGCGTTAGGCCTACTGCTCAAATACTTCGACCTCGCCCCGATCTGGATCCCCGTCACGTTGTCCACGGCGGGATGGTGCATCATGGTTACGGGCCAGTCGCTCGTCCTGTATTCACGGCTTCACCTTGTTGTGTTGAACAGATTAGTCCTTCGTTTTGTTCTGGGCATGATCATCTTCGACGCGATCGCGATGCAGGTGCCTCAGATCATTGCTTCCTACGGGGCTGTCTATGCCTGCAGGCTAGAATTCCCGACGTTTTTCAACAAGTGGGAGAAGGTGCAGCTCACTGTGTTTTTTGTGCAAGAGATTATTATCTCAACGATATTTATTGTCCAGACGACGAAATTGCTGCGTCTTTATCCCAATCAGAGCGCCCGACGAGCAAACATCATGTACCAGCTTCTGGCGATCAATTTGTTGATTATCGTGTTGGATATCACACTTTTGACACTGGAGTTTATGGGTCTGTTCATCACTCAGACTGTCCTCAAGTGCTTCTTTTATACCGTGAAACTCAAGCTAGAGATAGCGGTGCTCTCGCGGTTAACATCATTTACTCGAGCGCATTATCAGCAAGGATCCTCGGAATTAAGTTGATAACGAAAGTCTTGCAGATTCGACCTGAATATACAGCCAGGACATGTCTCAAAAGGGTATTGTTGTAACTAAAAAAAACTAATGTAGAAATTAATTACTGAATTCTAAGAACTACAACTTGAAAGAGCGAAGCTCGAAGTTGGTTGAGCAAATGTACAAGAAAGGGGTGGGAACAGGCATACATTGTTCAGAAGCACCAAAGTGACCTGAATTTCCGCAAGATACTGACACACAGTGCCGTAATCGTAGGATTCGTATCCATTAACGCAGAAGGGTTTCAAAGTCAACAAAGCGAGTGGCTCGATCCTCAGGTCTCTTCTTAGCTGTCTCGCGAAATGCAGCGAGCATGAGTTTACGTTTTCGCTCTTGGATATCAAGCACTCGCTCCTCAATGCTGTCTTCCATAACGAGACGCCAAACGGTGGTTTCGCGCTTTTGACCAAGTCGATAAACTCGATCCACTGCTTGATCTTCAATCGCAGGAGCCCACCAACTGTCGACAAGAATGGCCTGGTTCGCTGCCACAAGATTGAGGCCCACACTGCAAACGCTTAGGCTGGCGAGGAGGACGGTGCATGACGGATCGTTACTAAAAGCATCGATCGAGCGGTCGCGCTTCACAGACTGCATCTTGCCGTCAACGCGCACAAAGTTGATGCCTCGTTGCTTGAGATGGGGCTCAACAAGGTCCAAGAAAGAGGTCCACTGGCTGAAAACAACCGTTTTTGTGCCTGAAGCCTGGCCTTGTGCCGTGAGAACCTTCATCAACGCCTCGATCTTGCTGCTAGGCTTATCGGGATCGCCTATGGGTGTCTCGGCAGCCTCTCCCAGCTCCGCAGCGGGAGGAACAAGTACTTGGGAGTCCTTGATCTCTGCACGGCAGAGCGGGCATTTGTGCTGTCGCTCGATAACTTGGTCGATGCAGCCTTTGCAAAATGCATGAGCACATGCTGTTATGACAGGTTGTTCGAAGTTGTCAAGACAGATCGCGCACACCTCCCGGCTCTCTATCTGGAGCTGGAGCATCTCCTGAAGAGCCTTCACATTCTCTGGTGTCAGAGGGACAACCTGATGTTTTTCCAACGTATCCATGAGACTGCTAATGCGATCTTTGCACAAAGCCCAGTGATTGCAAACCTGTCGAAGGCGCAAGATGACTTCCAGCAGAGACGAGTAGCTGCCATCCTTGTCTTTGAATTGTAGTAAAGCCCCTTTCGCTTCGCTCCTATAGTTGAGTTAGAAATTGATAGTAATCAATGCTTAAGATAACAAGAAACATACTGCAAGGCGCTGTATTTCTCTAATTCCTGTGGATGGAACTTGATGCGAAGAATGCGAGAAGTCATTATCGGTAAACGGAGGTTGATGAAGTCCATGTCCTTTCTGCGACGCAGGCAAAATGTTCCCATGAGAGCCTCCAGAAGCAAACGAGCTTCAGGGTTTCCGGTTGCGAGAGGCCGCATCAAGACACTGTTGAAGACGCTGAATTCCTCCAGTCCACCTGTCAGCTTCAAGAATCGAATTTGGGAATAGAGGTCCTTGAGAGTGTTGATGATTGGTGTCCCAGTCAAAGTCCAGCGAGAGTCCGCACGCAGACCACAGGCCGCCAGGGAAGACTTTGATCGGGGATTCCGAATTGTATGGCCTTCGTCAAGAACCACACGACGCCAGTGCACGGAGAAAATTCCTTGGGCAGGCGGCTGTTTCGCGTCAGGGCTGAACTCCGTGCTAAGGGCTCCGTAAGTTGAGATCACAACGTCATAGCTGGCCAAATTTCCCTTCTCCTTTTTGCCGGATCCGTGATAGATCAAAACACGGGGAGCAGATTCGCGATGGGTGTGGTCTTGAATCTGATTTCGCCAATTGCTCATTAGCCCAAGAGGTGCAATGATCAGAGTTGAGTTGCTAGAATATGGAGTGTGGGGTTTAGGATTGGCCATGATAAGAGAAATGATCTGAATTGTCTTGCCGAGACCCATATCGTCTGCTAGGATACCACCGCTTGCAAGTGGTGGAGCAGTTGCTGTGGAGAAATTGGTCGCGACATTCGTGAAACCGTTGCTACTGCGTCTCCATAGCTGTACAATGTCATCTGATCCGGGGGCAGGTAGGGTAGGAGATTCTCGATCGATCATCCATGCTAATCCCTGTTTTTGATATGCAAGTATTTCCGTGGATAGACCAGCAGGAGATTCAGCCATTGGCATTTTGGCCAGGTCGCCCTCCTTCTGCCCGAAAGTTTCGACCACTTGACCAATCTCTCTGGGGTTGAAAAAGCGGCTTTGGTTGAGGAGTTCATCGAAGCTTTCATTCTCCCCCATGCCTGTGGGAGTAGAAAGATTCGCAAAGTTGGGGTTATCATTGGATTGCCATTTCTGCGCTGCTTTCCCAAGTGCCATAGCACGGGCATTTTTTGCAGCTTGTTTCTCTGCTTGCTCTCGTTCCTTTTCCAGTCTCCGTTGTTCCCGCTCGGCTGCGATCAGTTCTTTTACTGGTAGCCTATCTGCCTGCATCCGTTTCTTGAGAGCATTTTTCTTGGCAGGATCAGCAGTTCCGTAAAGCCGCAGTTGAACAGGGCAGTTGAAGGCGCCAATCAGTCCAGTCAAAATGCCTTCAGCAGAAAGGTCTTTACCATCCTGATAACAAGTCAGTTCATATTCAAGTGAAATCGGGGAATGCATAAGGTTAAAGGTGCCACACCATGTAACTCGCAAGTTTGGCAGCGAGCTGCCGCGGGATGTGTCCAATTTGAGAGCCCATAACATTATCAACGCGAATCGCATTGCGATCGTATTTATTCTCTGGCTCTCGCTTCAGGATAACATGCTCTCCGGGAGTAGCACGACCGTTATAGTAGCGAACTCCTACGATTGTGCCCTCGATGGTCCCTGGAGAGTTCTTTAGTCTGGCTTTCTTTCACCACTGCAGAATTGCGTGAGAGACTACCGTAAAGGGTCGAGATAGACCCTGAAGAATCATCGTCCTGGCTTCCTTGGATCACATCCGCAGCACGCTCCTCCTCTTCCTCCTCTTGCTCCTCTCGCTCCTCTTCTGCTGTCCCATAGACTCGTGCGAGCTGATTCAACGGGAGAAACTCAGTGTTCTCTCCAAATCTCTGGTCAGTACTGACACTCAACAGATCGCTGGAGCTTGGCAAAGTTGGAAGCACGGTTCGGTTCGCTTTGGAGCCGCGATGGCTGTCGCCACGTCCGTCCTCAGACAGGCCCACCACGTCCACGTCCAACTTGCGCTTTCGTGACCCTTGCGTCATAGTTGCTCAATTTGGGACAATAGTCGAAAGCACCGGGGGGGGGGGGGGGGGGGGGGGAATGAGAAATTTAAGAACAATCTTGAAGTCTCGCGGAGATGGACTGCCTTCTATCAATATACTGAATTCAATCGTCCAAAGTGGAGGAGCTTTCGAGCTGCTGGTCGGTCAAAAGAACAGCTTCGAATTGGTTGTCGTTTCTTGTGGGTCGCAGCCCCTATACCTCCGTCCATTCACCGCCCGGGATTCGCGGACGATCGTCTCCAGAACAGTTCCGGACTATTAGTGCCTTACACCCCCCCCCCAACCCTTCCGGGTTGTGGGTGCGCCACGCACAGATGCATAACCACACACAGACGCATAATTTTCTCCTATCTCCTATTTTTTGCTTCCCTATCCAACACCACCATCTAAATATGCCTAAGTTCGATGAATCTCGTATGGCCGAGGCCTGCCTAGCTGCATCACGCGTTGAGAAGCCGAATATAGCGCGTTTAGCACGCGAATTTGGTGTTAATCAAAGCACTCTCTATCGCCGTGTTAAAAAAGGATCAGGGCCTAATACAGCTAAACGCAATGCTAAACAGGCCCTAGAAGCCTATCAAGAAGAAGCCTTGATTCGCTGGATTCAATATATGAACGATTGCTATATGCCTATCACTCCTAGGATACTAGAAGCGTGGGCGAATCGTGCATGCCAACGCGTCGGGAAGCCGTCGGTTAGCAAGATGTGGGCGTATCGCTTTATTAATAGGCTTCCTAAACATCTTCAATTAGGGCCTACTAAGCAGTATACGAAGGAATCAAAGCGAATACTAGCAGAAGATCCAGCAGCATTACAGCACTAGTACGATCTACTAGCCCAAACGATCAAGAAGACAACGCCTGCTCGTCTAGTCTATAACTTTGATGAATGCGGCTTTCAACCAGGCGAAGGAAGGTCTAGAAACGTTATATCTACTACTACTACTACTACTACTACTACTACTAGTAGTAGTAGTAGTAGTAGTAGTAGTAGTAGGAAGATAGTAGACCTTCCTCAGCCAGACCAAGGCGAAAATATTACGTCTATCGAGTGTATAGCTGCCGACGGGTGGCAGATGGAACCCTGGTTCATCTTTAAAGGCAACGGCATCTTTATGGAATCTTGGTTTAATCAAACAGAGAACCTACCACTAAGAACTACTATTACTACATCGCCAAACGGTTGGATAACCGATAGTATAGCAGTTTAATAGCTTCGATTCTTTATAGAATCAACATACGACCGTACGAAATCAGGTGAAAAACGTATCCTAATATTCGACGGTCACGGTTCGCATCTTACATTCGAATTCCTATACCTTTGCGAAGAGAATAATATCCTACCGATAGGATTCCTACCACATACTACACATCTTTGCCAGCCGCTAGACGGTAAGCCGTTTCTAAGCTATAAGCAACACTTCCGCTTAGCGAATAACGACTACGCGTTTTAGGGTAGAAGCCCTATCGGAAGATCAGAGTTCCTTCGAATAATCGGTGATATTCGGAATAGAGCGTTTAGCCAGCGAATCATTCGTGAATCGTTTAAAGATCGTGGGATATATCCAGTCGATAGTAGAAAGGTTATTAATAGCCTTCCTATCCAAGATCACCTAGGTCTTATAGCGCCAGATCTACAACCGCTTCATTCAACGCTTCATACAACACCTTCACCACCACCTATATCTTCTTCTAGTATCGACAAATCGCCGCCTAGATCTATACAGGATCTAGAGAAGAATTAAAGGAAGATTGCTAGATATCAACAAGAAGATCTTACACCTAGGCAGCAACGCAATCTTGACCGGTTATTTCATCATAACAAGATTGCTATAGAGAACCTAAATCTAGCGAACGATACTATTCGCAAGATTAGGGAAGCTCAACAACCACTACAGCGCCCAATCACTAAGCGCCAGGTTAAAACACCGCTTAGCAAAACAGGGGTACTCTCTATTAGAGATGCAAACCGTTCTATTGCTAAAAGAAATGAGAAGGAAGCAGAGGCAGAGCGGAAGCGGGTAAGGAAGCAGTGGAAGAAAGCGTATGGAACATCACCACCACCAGATCCTACACAGGAATCCCAGGCATCATTAGATAGAGCAGAGGAAGCACGTCAGGAAGGTAATATTTTCTTTATAGATACTAGTGGTATGCAGTAGTAGATAGGGGAAATAGGAAAAATTATGCGTCTGTGTGTGGTTATGCATCTGTGCGTGGCGCACCCACAACCCGGAAGGGTTGGGGGGGGGGCGGTGTAAGGCACTAATAGTGGACGCTTCTCCAACCGCCTAAACTATATCCTCGAACGCCTATCCCGTCTGGATCACCCTATTCCAAAGTCCTCATAATGCTTCGTTTTCAAGGAGCCAAGTCCTGTGACCGGATTTGCGAGGAGCATAAAGAGGCGGGGTTAAATTACTTTCGATCATGTCACTGAACGCACCTTCGAGCTGTACTTTGATAAGCGCGCGTGCCGCGTGAACTTAGGAAATGGGAAAACCTATGATTATAACTTGCAGACGATCGATATTATGCCTGAAAGCGTATACTACTTCGGTGCCGCTGCGGAGTTTGCGCAGATTATTACTCGATGGGGCCCCCAATTCGAACAGAATCTACTCAGATCGTACGGTCCAGCGACTTATCAGTCGAGTTCATAAGCTAGGCATTCCGATAATGCTTGGTGCCCCCAAGACGAGGAACGACCACGCTGGCCAAGCCTGGTTATTGAAGTCGCAAGATTGCAAATAAACTCAAAATTTATGGACGATGTTCGGTTCTGGATCTGTGAATCTGAATGACGGGTAGATAACTCTGACAATCGAAATTACCTCTCGTTCGATGGATTTCTAGCAATGGAAATACAACCCGAAACCCCCGCGGAAGCCGGCTTACACACAATCTATGAAGATCGTGCGAGATGCATCTCTTTCTTCAATCAAAGTTCAAGCAGCTAAGCCGAAACGCCTTTTCTTCACCTAACAAGAGCTCACCCGAAAGAGCCTGGAGCCTGGCATTGAATGCTCTAAACTTACAACCAATCAAGAGCATGCTATAAATGGCCAAATATATCTGGGAAGATTGTAGCGGGATGAGTTATGACTTTCTTCAATAATGGTAACATAACATGAAAGTTATACGGCGACATAGTATTATTGAGGAGCACAGTTACGTAGATGATGAGACCATGCTGACCTAAACAGCACGTGTCTATATTCAGTCACGTGATTCTGTATTACTTTGACCTTACTTTGACCTTTGTATTGAGATAGAAACACCGGCACCGTTAGAAAGAGGTACATTTTCTCTTTTCCTTTATTCTTGCCCTCCTTCTTTCTTTTTCTTTCTTGGGGATCCCGGATGCACTGCACAGATCCCCTCTAGATCATTGGTGCTCTCCCTCCTATTTCTTAGCGCCTTCGCGGAGTGTCAAGCTCCCAATTAGCGTTCCCCGAATGGCTGATCCCCGCCATGGGTCCTACAAGGATCTGGTCCAGGCCCATGGAAAGGAGCTAGATGTGTTACTACGACAGGGCATCTATAAGCCGGTTTTTGTTTATCATATTCTAATATTCCACTTTCTACCTATCATTGGCCTCATTATCCCACGATCTAGAGCCACCCGGTACGTGCGGCCGGGCATTTTCGTGGTATGCCTAGGGGTTTCAATTGAGACTCTCAAAAGCCACCGAACTTTACTCGGGGGGAATGGATATATGATCGGCTTGATGACCGCGTGGTGGCTAGTATGGACCGCCACTCTCTTCATGTTTACCGACCTGGAGCGTGACTTTCAACGAATTGAGCGAGGATCCGCGACGGATCATGAACCGGATACATCCTCCTCATTGCCAGAGGATACGAAGTCAAATATGAATTCCATCTTGGCAAATGGCCAACGGGCGAGTCCTGTGAGTGGCAAAAAAGCGACCCGCAGTACATCGACAATCATAGACTGTGCAAAGCAGCGCAGCCACAATACATTTCATTGGCAATCTTATCCTCGGAAATTCAGACATCGTCTCGACTGGTGTGCTGGGCTACTCTTTAACCTTCGAGGTCCTGAGTGGAATTGGAGAGCACCGAGACTAGGTCCCCTTCCCCGGTCAGTACATGCACAATTGGATTTGGGCTTTGACTCGAACCAGATTTGCCCGGAGAATGACGGCGCCTCCATGAGCCCCAGAAAGACGCTCGAGTCAGCCTTTTATATGTGCCTACAATCCTATCTTCTCTTAGACTTTCTCAAGGTTGTAATGATGCGAGACCCGTACTTTCGAGGCTACGTTTCGAGTGAACTGGGCCCGCCATTCCCATTCTCTTGCCTCATCCCTTTTCCTGTTCTGGTGAACTTCTATCGGTATTTCCTTAGTGCGACGGGCGTCTATGTGGCACTCAATTTTGTCACATCATTTAACCCCATTTGCTTCTTAGGGCTGTCGCTAGCCTTCCCGAATGCTTCTCGCAGGTTGACAGCTGCTCCGCTGGATGAATCTTGGCTTTACTCTGACAACTTTGGACCCATCGTCTTTCCTGTTCTTAATTATGGGCTAGCCGGATGTTGGGGAAGGTGGTGGCACCAACTTTTCCGATACGGATTCACTGCTAGTGCGCGGTGGGTTCTGTCACTGCTTCCGACAAGCGTTTCGGACAAGCCACATATCAGGCGAATAGTTCATCTCGTCGTTGCATTCGCCCTTAGCGGCTTCATTCATTCTTGTGGCAGTTTCACGCAGTTCACAGCTACTCAGCCTCTTTCGGGGCCATTTTTATTCTTTTCCCTTCAGTGCATGGCCATCTTCTTGGAGAGCGTCTTCAAGAGCGTGATTGTCCCGAGAACGCCTCTTGCCCGCGTTCCTCGGTGGCTCGGACAGACAGCTAATGCATTCGGGGTCATCATGTGGTTTCTCTACTCTGGTGGATTTATTGCAGACGACTTTGCAAGAGGCGGATTGTGGTTAATGGAGCCAGTTCCCATAAGTCCACTTAGAGGTCTCGGCCTTGCGCGAGACAAAGGATGGTGGTGCTGGGACTTGCCATGGTTTGGGTACTGGAGTGATGGAACCTACTGGGGCAGTGGAATCCGGGTTATATAAACATACACATTTTGAATTCTCAATAGACTCATTTTTCGGATACAAACTCACGTCAAGGTATATGTATATATATTCCAACACACAATGGCTCTATAAGGGGTTTAATACAAAGTTCATTCATTTTTAACATATTTTGTTAACGCTTTTTGGTTTTAATCCTCCATTGTGACATCGTCGTTCTCCTCATCGTCATCATCAGTATCCGGATCCATGTTCAAGGTTGGCAGCTCATCATCGCTATCATCTACTGGCAAGGGTCCTTCTTTGGAATTGGAGGGCGCACTCGATGATTTCGCTGTTTGTGAAGTCCCTTGGACGTGTTGGGGAACCATGGATGCTTCAACCCTAGCAGATGGAGTAGCTGGCGGGGGCACCACAGGTTGAGTCTGCTCTGCAAATCGAGCCTTCTTAACCTGCACAGGCTGCGTTACTGACGCAGGAGAAGAAGCCTGTACTTCGGCTGTGGTCTCCTCAAAGAAGGTCCGCTTATTCTGGGCTGCCGGGACCTCAGACTTGGGGGCTGCGACGGGAGCCATGACCGGTCCCTTCAGGAACTCGGCCGTGTTTGGAACATCGTTGGATGTCTCATACTCCACCTCGTCGTCTTCTTCCTCCTCTTCCATGTCAGCATACGAATCAAGCTCCGGTACTGTCATCAAGACAGGCATTCTCGGGCGAACCAAAGCTTCAACTACCATCTCATCAGAGTAGCTGCGGACGAGGAACGGCATGATGCTAGAGCCCGCCCCACGACCCTTAGCGGCTGGAACAGGGTTCAGCACGCTAGCAAGCATTGCATCCTTATCCGAGGTCAAGATGATTGTACGATCAATTTCGGCGCGAATCGATGCCGCCAAAAGCTCCGCCGGAGCAGACACGAGGAAGGCTTGGAGGAATGCAGACGCAGCCTGTTCAAGGTCAGGGAATTTTGACTGAGCCTTGAATTGGCGACTCTTCTGCAGCTCCGGGTTCAAGAAAGAATCCGCATTTGCTGTGCCTTGGCCCGCCTTAGACTTCGACTTGGGATCGGATTGAGACTTGGACGGAGTCGTAGAATCGCCGGTTTGAGGAAACAAGTCGTGGCAGCAGGCATGAAGAACATTTGCAACGGAAGCCACGCTCTGCTTCGTCATTCCAGGTCCATTCAAGATGACCACAGAAGAGAGCAAGTCATATGTGGCCAGCCGGACATCTCTACTGAACTTTTCGTTTTTGAAAACCCAGGTGACTTGATCGATAATGTTCTGCGCGATGGGAATTGTACTGGTTCCCAACACATTGGCCACATGGGCCAAAAGGTCCATGCATGCAGTGTGGATGCGAGGGAGTTCTGCCCAAAGCAACTCCCGCTCGTCACGGCTGATTTGAGAATTGAATTGAACACCATTCTGGGAAGCCTCACCATTGGGTGGAACGACCACCGACGTGAGTCGAGAAGTCAAGTCGAGGATCGGACCGAGAGGAATGGCAACGGTGGCGGTGGATGGCATGGAAACAAACCCAGCAAGAATGTGCAAAACTTTAATCAATTTGTCGGTCCCCGCATGAATTCCGCTCCAACTGGGGAGTCCCAAGGGGTCAGAACTTTCGTCAGCCAATTCCTTGCTGTATATTTGTCGCGTAGAGACCAAAGTAGTATCCACAGATTCCCATTGCTCCACAACCGATCGGAAAATATGGTCGGCTGCCCTATGGGCGGCCAAAATAGCCGACTTGCAATCCTCGGTCCAACCAGAACCCGACTTGTCCTTTGGCGCGCACTTGTAGAGAGACGCGAATAGTTGTTCTGAGACATCCAGCACTTGCTCGGGAAAATACACCAGCGCAGACGAGCCTAGAACCTCGGCAAGCAAGGACCGAAGCTGGGGACCAAACGGACGGAAGATGGTAGGGTGACGGGGAACCAATTCTAGCATGGCGTGCAGGACAGTCTCCATGAAAGGAGAATTGGGCCTTGGAGTCCGGGTCGATCCAGAAGGCGATTTTACCAGATTTGACACTAGATTCAAAGCCGCCGTAATGAATCCAGGTAGGTGAGGTGTCGTAATCTCTCGGACAAGGGTCGGATACTGGTAAGTCAGGTGGAAGATGCGAGTCAAGGTGATCAGACACATTTTTTTCGTGGAAACAGGGTCGGGTTTCTAGAATCGGGATCCAGATCAGTCCATTGCGCTCTCAAAAGAATGGAATACCAGATGCAATACGGCATCACAAGAGCTTCGTACCGCCAAAATTCCAACCAAACTGCGAACAATGGGTTCATAGCCCCGCAAAATTTCCCATTGCCCAGCTTCGACGGCAGCTTTGACCAAAATGACCGCCGTCCATCGGCCCTCGACGCTGCGGTCCTGCAGCAGGCTCGCCAAGCGAGTCTTCAACTTGTGGATTTGCACGGCATGATCGGAGTCGGATTTGCCGGGTTTCTGATTCAGTGGCGCCGAAAGGAGCTCGGCACAATCGCTCAACGAAGTTGCGAGGAATGAAGCGATCGAGGGCAATTGGTCGACCGGCGTAGTAGTCAACCGATGCGTCACAGCGCGCAACGTGGTGGAAGTCATGATGCCAAAGTCGCGAGCCTTCCTCTCTCTTTCTGTAATCGTCTCCCTCTCCGAACGCTGTCCGCTCAATTGCGCACGAGCAAATCGTAAAAAAACGAGGGTCGATATCGTTGTAGAAGAAGGAAGGTTCTTATCGGTATTTTTTTTTCGCAGTTGAAAGCTCGGGCCACATGAAGCCTCGGTAAATTACCGTCACGGCGGTACGTAATGGCCCTCTCCACCCCTGGGCGATCATCGCGGCCTTGAATTGCGCTGTTCACTGCGCATGGTGGGTTCTCCTCCTGCATCTCTCTCCGCGCTTTCTTTGCAACCCTCCTGATCACCATGGCGGTGAGTGTGCTTGCCCTTGCTTTTTCATCTGCCCTCGTACCTCGTTCCTCGCTGGATCGGCGACGATAAACAAACTAACACGTGCGAGGTAGGGAGGCAACGCCGAGAAGGGACAACGCTACATCGCTTCATTGGACCAGGCGCGGGCTCAGGGTAAATGGCAGGATGTGCCCGAATTGATTCGCAAGGTGACCAAGCATGCACCGCAACGGACGTGTAAGTGCGCGCCACTGCCGTGCCCTCGGTGCCCTTGGATTGCGCTAACGCTGGCCCCATCCCAACAAAAGGTGTCATTCAAACCGCGACAGCAGAATCCCGAGTCGTTGCATATCTCCAGAAGAAAACATCCTCCGAGTCGAGCGAGACGCCTAATTTGCCCGAACTCATCCCCGCCCTCCTGACAACCATTGAGAATAATGACGGTTCCCCGCAAGAGATCTTTCAGGCACAGGTCTGCTTGGGATGGATCCATTGGACCTTGAACGAACCAGGGCTGGCAGCCGCACGTCTGCCCAAGGACCTGGCCGCGACATTAGAGGCGCTCACAAATGAGGGCAAGGGTCTGTCTACCTGGACCGAAGTCTGTCTTGTCAAGGGATGCTTTATAAAAGGTATATCAATTCACCATCAACCGCGGCTAAGCGTTCTTTGCTCATGACTGTGCTTCTAGGAATGGCACAGTTTACTGTGACTGGAATTGACGAGACCTTGGAGACCTTCGCTTCCCTCATACCATGGCTAGGTAGCTTGCACCTGGACGCGGGTGCCAACCCCCAGTTTCTGAACTGGACTGAGGCATTGCTTTCAAAGGGTGCTGTTATGGCTAGCGATGAAGCCGTGAGCACGACCCCGTACTCTGATCCAAGGCACGTGGAGATTGCTCTCCGGATGTTTCGGTTGTGGGCTAGTCTCCCCACGCCCAAGGGCATTTATGAGGATCCGGCTGCTGACTTAGTCCCCCGCAAATCCATGTATCAATCATATTATGCGTTCCTTACAATTGTGCTCCAAGACGATCTCATCTACACGGCGCCCAACGATGGCCCGGATCGCCCCCAGCTGGCCAGCGAACTACGCCGTGTCGAGTCCATCTGCGAAAACCAGCTCCTGCGCGAAGTCAAATTCCCTACAGCCAGTTCCAACAACTTTCAAGTCGAAGCATGGGTGGAGCAAGTCATCTTAAACTGGCAGGTTCTCTGTGGCCCCCACTGGCAAGACTCAGATCTTGGTGAAGGTGGCCAGAATGCTGTCGGGCGCAATGTTTTGGACGTAAGTACCAGGAACACAAATCCATACTTGTCTAGCTATTTGACTGACAATTTAATAATCATAGATTCTATATCGAGCTGCCACCAAGACTTATCATTCACATCTGATCCTGCGGCGTTTGTTCCACGTTCATTCCGCGTTGGCCGATTTTGACTTGGCGATCCAAGCCCTCGATTCCTACATAGAGATTGTTACTGCAGCCAAGGAGCGAGCCGAAAAATCAGCCGAGCTGGGAGAGTTGGAAAGGGATGAAATTCTTCTGCAAACTCTCTCCGAGGGCGTCACCTTACTGAGCTGTCTGGGCTCTTTCGACGAAGCAGAAAAAGCGAAGAACTTGACCGGGTTGATTAAAGAATACATCAAAAAGCAGGCCACCAGTCAAGCTAACGACAAAGCGAATGGAAAACTTCTGCTAACCCAGGACCCTCATTCTCCGAGCTCTCCAGAAATTGCCAACACGGTTCTGGCTGCTGCTTACCGCGCAGTAGGTGTAGGACTTGCAAACTGGGCAAGCTACACTCCTCAGAACGAGGCCCGAGATGAGATCCGCGGGGAGGCAGTGCAGTATTTAGTCAAAAGCATTGCGCCTGAGCTGGGTAATGAGCTGAGCTATTCTTCGCTATATACGCTCTCTCTTGTTCTTGCCGAAAACCGCGATTTGGATGCTGCGATCAATTATGTTAAAACTGCTCTTACTTCGCATGGTTGTTCCGATTCCTCTGCGGAACTTTCCAAAGAGCGGGACCTTGTGCCATTGTGGCATTTGCTCGCTCTGTTACTCAGTGCAAAGAATGAATTCGATATCGCCGAGCGTTCATGCGAAGCAGCATTCGAGCAGTTCCCTTCAGAATTGATTCCAAAAAGTCTTCATGAGCGACGCTCAGATAGACGATCATCGAGACAGTCATCTCACTCCAAGGAACGCGGCCCCAAGCGTTCCTTAGTCAGTCGATTACAAGGTCGGGAGAAGGAGAGGATCCTTCAAACCCGCATCACTCAGCTCGCATTTATTGAGGTTCTCGAAGGCCCTGAAGCTGCTGTGAACCAAAGTGGTCAGCTACTGGGCCTCTTCGGCACGCTGTTCAGTGATCTCAACCTTGACAGCGAAGGCACCAAGCCCAAGACTGAACATCTAGTTCCACCAAAGAGTTCTGCAGGTACCACAAAGAGCTTCCGCAGCAGCATTTTCAGCCGCAGTCGAATGTCTCAACTTCCAGATCGTCGAGCGGAGCCTTCTGTTGCACCACCTGTGCCATCGATTCCTAACGCTCACACTGGTAGCACCGATGCACCGGCCATCCAGGTCACAGACGAAGATCAGGGTCATGAACGCGCCTCTACGCTAGGGAGGACAGACTCGAAGAAACTGAAGAAGCGCAGCAGCAGCTTCCACAGGAATGAGAGACCTCGAATCCAAGAGCCTCCGCTACCAAATGGGACAGACTCACCAGACATGGTTGGCATTGCGGTATCTGGCAACTCTTCTCCAATATCAGCAGCTCATTCACCAACCGGAAAACAGCCGTTGCAACCTGTGGCGCATAACATCCATCATAAGCAACAACCTGCTCCCGCTGGTCATGAGAACCAACCACCAGTACAAGATATCCGACTCCCATTCTCCCATCGGTTTGACTCCCCTACCAAAGCCACTACAAGATTCTCTTACGCCCAGTCGCAAAAACATGCTCTTGGCCTGCTAGTCAAGATTTGGCTTATCATTGCCGGTCTCTATCGCCGAGCCTCTTTGTTCGATGATGCCCGCGAGGCCTGCCAGGAGGCTATGAAACAGAGCGGGCGAGTGGAAACACTGACTGCATCTTTTGAATCCTCGGCGCGTGCCTTCACCAAGCGCGGTTGGGACAATGCCAAGAGCTCAGAGGAGCTTTGGGCTGATGTTTATGCTGAACAAGCACTGCTCTCTCAGGCTCAGTCAAATCCTCACCAGGCCATTAAGCTGTTTGAGGATGCGCTCCTGCGGTGTCCCGATCATCCAACCGCCACCATCGGTCTTGCCAATTTGCTCTTAGATGTCTGGGACCAGAAGCTCCCGCTTGAACCTTCGAATGCCGATGTGGATCTCGACATCTCACGTGTGTCATTATTGTCGGAAATGCCGAAGCCGAATTCAGCAAAGGCGGTCTCCATTGAGGAACTCAAGGCCCCTGATGTGGAAATTCCACCCCCTGCTGAAGTCTCACCGTCTCCCCACGATGTTGACCCTAAGCACCTTCATCGTCTAGCGGCTCGAGATCGCGCATATGCTCTCCTATCCGCATTGACCAAGCAAGGGAGCTCGTGGGATAATTCAGAAGCCTGGTACGCATTATCGCGAGCCTATGAGGCTGGCGAGCAGGTTGACAAGTTGAAGGATGTTCTCTGGTGGTGCATTGAGCTTGAGGACCGGCGGCCAATCCGCCACTGGTCCAATATTGGCTCCGGGCTGTATGTTCTCTGAAAAGGAAAAATAAACGAAAGAGCGAAGACGCATTCTTCTTTTTTTACTATCTTCTTGTATCTACTTTTGATTTCCCTCTCACTGATCTCGCCCGCGTTCACCCCTGTTTACGTCTTCAACATTTGAGATACCATGTTTCCTGCGGATTAGGGACTTGCTCGCATGATCAGCTTTTTTAGTGTCGAGTAATTGAAAATGGAAATTTTATCGAAGTTCCTGGACTAAACTCTTCTCATAAAACCACATAGCACACAACTTTATATACATCTCCCAAAGACACCCGACTAGGGCACCTTGTGGGTCCAGAAAAACAAAGTAAACGGACGAAACGGGTAGATCAAATTCGATAGTTGGATTCATTTTTCTATTTGTTGAACCAACTCGTCTACCGCGGCGCAGCAACGGGGGTCCAGGCGGAGTACTTGGGACGGGTGCTACATCGAGAACGTTAGTCAAGCTCAACTTGCTATTTGAGGGCCTGGGTATTGCTTTCTAAGCGCACATACGTCGAGTACGTCTTGAAGGCAGCACGGCTGAGCGTAGGGTTGGGACGATGCTCAGGCAGCTCCCAGGTACGGACGCCAGTCTGCAGGATCTTGTCGGCGTGCGGGGGAGAATCAACCATGTAGGAGATCCAGGCGTGCCTAAGTCAAACGTTTAGCTTATGTTGTTACCCAGCATGGCAGCGCGCCCCCAAATTGAAAAGACAAAAAAAAACCTACCAGCCAGGCTCAATCTGGTCGGGCTGGTACTCGGGCCAGTTAACCTTGTAGTCGACCCAGCGTGTGCGGACTGTCGACGAAGACAACCCCGGTTAGCATTCTGTATCCTTTGGCGCCAAAAATTCCGCATGATAGGCCTTACGAGGCAGCTCCTCCTCCATGTTCTCATAAAACTTGTTTCCGAAGCGATCGACTCCGACAAGAGTTCCAGCCTTGGTATCACCTGGCGTCGCACTGTTAGTTTCAAACTCTTTCTGAAGCTCTGATCAGGAGGACTTACCGATGTTCTATTCCAATCAGAAGGGAAAAGAGTCCTTGTCAGTTTTCTGGGGGTTTCATCGATTGGTATTCGTGTATCTGCGGCGAAAGTCATACCTGCATCTGGTGGCCAAAGTCCTACACAAGCGCGTTAGCAACCCCGGTTATCACGGGTGAGAATCGACAAGCCACCTACCTTGACGCCAATTCGGCGCAGATTGCGCAGTGTCCGCAGAATAGTCGACATCTTTGCGGTGCAATTGAGGAGGTTGAGGTCAGAGTCCAGCAAGAGGAGCGATCCGGGCGAGGTCGAAGTCCGTGTGTTTGCAGTGTTTGCACATATCCTTTGGAGGGCTAGATTTCCCGATTCAGAAATCCTCCTGCCCGCGCAACCCAGCAATGTTCGGTCGCATTGGAGGCCAGGCGCTTCGCTGCGCAGCTCGTCGTCCTTCGGCCCCTCGCAAACTATGCGGCCGCAAGTTCTCGGCCCATGCTGGTGCCAGCGCCCCTTCTTCCGCGCCGTCACCTCTCGGAAGCATCACAATCGAGCTGGATCGCATCGCACCCCGATTTGAGATCCCGGCCTCTCGGATTACGATTTTGGATTCCCCGGCCAATTTCTACTCTACATTGAAGGTATCTTTCTCTGAGATGAGTCATTGTTTCTTCTGCATACTCCTAGGTCAAATTTAACTTGCGATTGCGCAGAACAAAATCCGAAGTGCCAAACGCCGCGTTTACCTCTCGACCCTTTATATCGGCAAATCCGAATATGAGCTCATCGAGACTATATCTTCGGCCTTGCGTGACAATGCGGACTTGAAAGTGTCGATCCTCACCGATGCCCTACGCGGTACCCGAGAGACCCCAAATCCTTCTAGCGCCTCGCTACTATGTTCATTGGTGTCGGAATACGGTCCGGAGCGAGTTGAGATTCGAATGTTCCATACCCCCAACTTGACAGGGTTGAGAAAAAATGGATCCCTCGTCGTATCAACGAAGGATGGGGTTTGCAGCATATGAAGCTGTATGGGATCGATGATGAAATCATCATTTCGGGGTATGGAGTCCCTTTCAGCATATTTGGAGACGATAAACACCATGCTAATCAATTGCGCAGAGCAAATCTCTCCCAGGACTACTTCACCAACCGACTAGACCGGTACCATGTCTTCGATTCTAAGGCCTTGACGGATTATTATGCTCGCATTCACCATGCGATTTGCAGCCTGAGCTTCCAGGTCTTGCCAGACCCTCACAACCATGCCGGCTACCTTCTAGACTGGCCGACTTCCAACGGTGCTCCTTCGCCCTTGGATGCTCCTCAGGATTTCATATCTTACGCATCAAACTTTCTCAGCCCCCTCATACAAGCATCCGACAATAAACCCGCTCTCCCGTCGTCATCAAGCCAAACCTTCGTCTACCCTGTTGCACAATTCACTCCGCTCCTGAAACCCGACACATCTACCGAATTTCCGGCTGTCACAAGCATCTTGCGTATGTTGTCTGAGTCGCCTGCATTTACAGGAGCCCGTTGGCTTTTTACCGCCGGATACTTCAATATCCATCCCGTCCTCTCCTCCCTCCTCATCTCAAGTACTTCTACCACCTCCGAAAAAGCCTCCACCACTCAAGGCACCGTTTTGACTGCTTCGCCTTGGGCCAACGGTTTCTACGGCTCTCCAGGCGTGTCTGGTATGCTGCCCGCTGCATACACACATCTCTCGGCTCGCTTCCTCGACCGCGTCGCTGCTGCGCAGGCCACAAACTTCATTCAGCTGAAAGAATGGCGCCGTGGTACAGTTGGCACTCCAGATGGGTGGACATACCATGCTAAGGGTCTCTGGATCGCCCTACCACGTGAAGAGCACCCTAGCCTCACCTTCGTTGGTAGCAGTAATTATACCAAGCGGAGCTACAGTCTCGACCTCGAGGTTGGCGCTTTGGTAGTGACAAATGACCAAGACCTGAAGTTCAGGCTTGGTGAGGAGACTGAGTGGCTTCAGAAGGACTCTAGTCCAGTTTCCAGGGAAGACTTGATGCGCACAGAGAGACGTGTCGGCTGGAATGTGCGACTCGCTATGTGGATAGTCGAGAAAGTTGGCGGTGCGCTGTAATCCTCTCTATGTAATTTAAATTGTATATATAGACGCAAACACACCATGAGATATCCTCTCGCCTGTACTTCTAGAATACTACATCTTGTCCTCCATGTCTTCACATCGACCCCTTCTATAACAATTGTATCAAAAGTTTCCAACATGTTATCGAGCCAAGAGACCATAGTCTATCCAAATAGGCCTGCAATTACAGAAGCAGCATGAAGAGACAAGTGTGGCAGAGTGCATTAGAGCATAGACCTCGAAATCACGTGCATATGCCTGCATTTATGGATCAAAAGTATTTGGAGCACGCAATACACGCTCTATTTTACAGTATACTATTCTGCCGGTCGAAAACTTCGCCGGTTTCATGAAAAGAAACTGAAGCATAAGGAGTTTATTGAATCGCCATGGATAATTTAGCTCCCGATATACGCTCAGAGCTTGCATCCAAAAAGTGGTTCGGGTTCGACCTGGACGACACGCTTCATGATTTCCGCAAAGCAACTGGTCAGGCCTCGCTCACGGTTTTCGAGGCCATTCACGACCAGTATGCGATTGATATCGATGTCTTGGAGGCCTCGTATCAAGGAATTCTACAGAAATCTACTGCAAATGCTTTTACAGATGGAAAAACCTCGACAGAATATCGCCGTGACCGCATTAGCCATCTTCTCCAGACCCACGGAATTGACTCCGATATTCAGATCGACAATTTCCTAGATATTTATAAGTCTTCGTTGGAACGCAACCTCAATCTCAAAGCTGGTATTCTCGATATTTTGGATAAGCTTCAGCAGCTCAATAAGAAAGTGATTGTCGTGACTGAAGGCCCTGCCGATGCTCAGGAATGGACTATTCAGAAACTAGGCTTACAGCCCTATGTCGATATTTTGGTGACAACAAATGAGATTGGAAAATCAAAGGTAGACGGCATTTTCCAAGTGATATTGGACAAGTATGGAATTAAGCGAAGTGACATCGTTTTTCTTGGTGATAACGCCGTTCGGGACGTACAGGCAGCACAGAAGGAGAGCATCCTGGCGATACTCTACGACGAGGGGCAAGAAAGCCAGTTGGATGATTTAAATTACCTGAGAATTAAATCTTGGGAAATATTGCACGGTATTCTTGAAAACTCAGAATAGAGTGAGGTATCAAGTAGTAATATCACTTTTGATCTAGCTATCATATCACCCTTGCAGATATGCAAAAAAGAACATCTAGAAAAATTGGGGGAAAAATCAAATCCAAACGCCGTACCATGACTGGGGGGAATTTCCATTCAATGTCGTATCATGTATATCATGTGTATACATCTAGGCTCTCCCGGGGACTTTGCCAGAGGCGCCCGAAAAGCGAGCCGGCCCGAGACCTGAGCGCACTTCGTCCAGCATACGAATGCCGATAGCCTCGTTGCCGTTCTTGCCACGCTTGTTCTTGGCTCCCTTGCGTTTGGCCTGGGCGCTAGTGTTGTCATCCCAGCTGGCAAGGAAGTCATCCATGACATTGTGGAAATCGCTGCGAGAAACAGCCGCGCCGTTGCCATCAACCAAGCTGGGTGCCTGAGACGAAGCGGTGGACATGCCTGTCATACCTGTAGCACCGGTCATACCGCTGACCATGGACATGCTATCGTCATATTCATCTTCCTCATCGAGAGAGTACAGAGCCTCAACCCGTTCGAAGCGATCGTCCAACAGCCGGTGGCCATCGGTACGCGCCAACGAGGAAGAAGTCATTGAATATGCCGAGGGATTGGTCAAAGCACCCTTGCGCTTCTTCCGACGAATAGGGGTACCACCAGCAGTAAAGACAGTAGACGCAAGAGTACGTTGTTCGGATGGCGCAATTGTTGGCGCAGCAGGACCGGCCGTCTTGCCAGCTTTGGCGTCCTTCTTGAACTTGGCGAATTCGTGCATCCATCCTTGATCCGCTGGTTGCATATCTGGAGCGGGAATATCATGCTCAGGCATTTCACCAGGGGCCAAGTCATTGGTGACACTTTGCTCAGACGCGGCCTCAGCATTTGTGTATCGCTGAGCTTCTGTGGTATGTGTCTGAACAGGAGCCTTCTCTGTAGCATCCGATTCCCATCCATCGTCATCCTCATCATGATCGAAGAGCGTATCTTCCCAGTCGCCCTGATCCAGTTCCTCTCCGCCCTTCGTCAGCTCACCAAATATATCATCGTCGTCGTCATCGACGAATGCTTCGTCTTCCAGAGCTTCAAGAGCCTCGCGCAAACGGGGGTCCATGTCGGGTTGGAATCCAGCAATTGCATCGGGAACATTCTGCTGATCCTGGTAGGTCGGCTTCCGAACATATGAGGACACGGTCGAGCGCATATCGCCATACTCCGAACCGTAAAGACTCTGGCTACCGTGGGCACTTTGCGAGTCGTCCAAGGAGACCTGACGTAGGGCATCTTCGAGTTTCATGCCCTTAGCCTTGGTCTTTCCCTTGGGAGCCTTCGCCTCCACGAAGTATGAGTCTCCACTGCCCGTACCAAGTTCGCGCAGATGCTGCATGTAATCATATTGAGAATCGTCATAGTAAACGCCGTAGTTGGCTGCCTCGCCCTCGTTCTGGCGAATGCGCTCACTGTCAAATTCATTCTGAAGTTGAGAGAGGTTTCGGGACGGTTTTTGCGAGGTCGTTGATGCACCAGAAGGCACAGGAGCAGGACCAGAGACTTGGTGAAGGACTCGATCGTCCGCTTGGGGGTCGTGAATTAATGGATCATGCTGAGAGCGGTGAAAGAGCTGGAAAGTGCTCGCGTTTTTCTTGTCGCTATAACGGGGAAAAGTCAGTAAATTTATCGCCTGGGGCCAGGGTTGTCTTCAGCATAACTCACATCCACTGGCGAGGAGGCATTTTGGCGTGCGATGATTGACTTGAGTGTCGCGCTTCAAAAAAAAGCGAAAAAAGTGGGATAGATAGGGTCACGTGGGGCTTATCGATGCCTGAGCCCCTCGGGTCCTCAAAATGTGGCGCCTGAAAGAGCCCGATTTAAACGAGTAAACCGGAATAAAATATATGTGCGAGCGTCAGATAAACCAATAGCATGAGAATAAGAGATCAATTAAACCCCAAATGGTTGAATAGGTCAAAATTTGAGATTTTCACACTTCGAACCCGCTGAGTCAGCGCTATCTTATCCGTCTGAATAATCCAAAAGATTTCCCTTTTTCAGGCGGGGTTGGATTCTCCCTCTACAACACCAAAAACACCATCGCACCCAACACACGGATTCAAAATGGTGTTGGCTAAATCCAAGAACGCCGTGGGGCTGGGCAACAGCCTCATGAATGACCGCTTCGGCAAGGGCAAAGCCTCGAACCAGAAGAAAGCCTCGCACAACAATGCCATTGCGCGAAAGGGCATGAATGGTGAAACCTACATTACAAATGAGGCCCAAGAAGCATCATGGGTGAAGATGCGCTCTATCACTGAACAGGCTGCGCTTGACGAGTTCCTAAGCACTGCCGAGCTTGCAGGAACCGACTTCACTGCCGAAAAAATGAACAACGTTAAGATCATCCATTCCGACCAGAAGAACCCTTACCTTCTGTCCGCGTCCGAGGAAAAAACGGCTGTCAAGAAGCATCAGAAGAACAAAGGTCGGTTGACCGTACCGCGACGACCCAAGTGGGACTCGAATACTACGCCGCAACAACTCGAGATGATGGAGCGCGAGAGCCTGTTGGATTGGCGACGTGGGTTGGCGGAACTGCAGGAAAACCACGACTTGTTGATGACTCCATTTGAACGCAACCTGGAAGTTTGGCGCCAGCTGTGGCGTGTCATCGAACGGTCGGATCTTGTGGTTCAGATTGTTGACGCTCGCAACCCGCTCCAGTTTCGCTCGGAGGACTTGGAAAACTATGTGAAGGAGATTAGCCCACTCAAGAAGAACCTTCTGTTGGTCAACAAGGCCGACATGTTGACTCTCCAGCAGAGAGAGGCCTGGGCTGAGTACTTTGAGAAGCACAATATCAACTTCCGTTTCTTCTCCGCCCATCTGGCCAAGGAAAAGATGGAGGCTGAAATGCTGAAGGAGTCACAGGGCGAGAGCGATGATGAGGACCTCGTCACATCAACAAAGAAGATGAATGTCGAGGACAAGAGCGAGGATGAGGTGGAGTCATCCGAGAACAAGGAAGACAGCCTCTCCAAGATTGTCGACCCAGATCAATCGCTAGGCCCGCACATTCTCGATGTGGAGGAGCTGGAAGAGCTTTTCCTGGCCAACTCGCCCGAGACTCTCCCTCAGGCCCAAGACTCAGAGGAGAAGCCGAAACAGAAGACGACTATCGGTCTGGTCGGTTACCCCAACGTGGGTAAGTCGAGCACTATCAACGCCCTCCTGGGCGCAAAGAAGGTGTCCGTCTCTGCCACCCCCGGTAAGACCAAGCACTTCCAGACCCTCTATCTCTCGCCTGAGATCATGCTCTGTGATTGCCCTGGTCTGGTGTTCCCCAACTTTGCCACCACCAAGGCCGACCTGGTTGTCAACGGTGTGCTCCCGATCGACCAGCAGCGAGAGTTCACGGGTCCCGCCGGCCTCGTTGCCAAGCGTATTCCCCGTCATTTCATTGAGAACGTCTACGGTGTGAAGATCAAGATTCGTCCCATTGAGGAGGGCGGCACGGGCATTACCACTGCTAGTGAACTCCTCCGGGCCTACGCCCGTGCCCGTGGTTTCTCGACTCAAGGCCTGGGTCAACCTGACGAGTCTCGTGCTGCTCGGTACGTCCTGAAGGACTACGTGAACGGCAAGCTTCTCTTCTGCCACCCGCCACCAGTGCCCGAGGGTCAGGAGCCTATTGACCCGCAGGAGTTCAACAAGGACCTCTACGACATTGCCCACCTGCCCGCAAGGCGCCAGGCCCAGCTGGCCAAAAGCATTGTGGACTTGGATGCTGAAGAAGACTCCGAGGTTGCGTCATTCGGCCCCAACAACGACGCTGCCGAGCCTGGTCAGCGGTCTCGCAACATCGACAGCGGCTTCTTTGGCACTGCCACTGGCCCCTCGGCCGGACGTTTGAACATGCCGTTCAACCACAAATATACCCAGCAGGGTGAGCAGATGCGGAAGAATTTGACCGGCCGCAAGGAGCGCATGATGATCGCCCTGGAGCGCGGCGTTGACGTTTCTGAGGTGCGAAGCGCGGGTTCCAAGAAGCATTTCAAGGGCAACAAGCGCCGGGAAAAGGCTAAGCGCAACAACGGCGAGGATGTCGAAGATTTCTACTAAAAGTGATTATTTGGTTTTGTTGTTTTTGCCTTTGCTATGTGATCACGCTTTAAATCCCTTGACTCTTTGTCCCGGTGTGGATCTGGAAATAGGAGGGACTTATGAGGATGGATGATATGGAATACCTCTGTGCATACCCCCATTGATTCGGGTTCGATAGACATTTGCAGGCGTTTCGGGGGTGCTTTCAGTAGCATGGAATGAAAATACATTGACTTCTATATACAATTACCTATATCCAATTCCTTCTACATGTAGACTTCGCTCATACGATTTGCCGCCATAGAGAAAGGAAGTGGATGTAGATCATGGTATCTCATTCTTAATTGCAGTAAACGTGACAGTGCTTGATCATTCCCGTCGACAGACCTTCATATAGTATATATAGGTATAACAGCTAAGCCACATCCTCGATTCCCATTCTACAGGTGGCTCTTAGCCTTGAACCCCGACGCAATAAGCAACCGATCCGACTCCTCCTGCTGCCACTTCAGCTTCGCCGAGATGGCGTCCTTGCGGGCGCGATTCTCCCGGCGGCCCAGCTGCTGCAGATGCACCTCGTCGGGGCCGTCTGCGATGCGCAGGGTGCGGATGCCCGCCCACAGGTACGCCAGCGGGGTATCTTGGCAAACGCCAGCAGCGCCGTAGGCCTGAACGGCGCGGTCGATGATGGTCAGCGCGGTCTGCGGCACGAGCACCTTGGCCTGGGCGATCTCCTTAAGAGCGGACTTGGCGTCGCCCTGGTCGATCTTGATGGCGGCGTTGAGGACGATCAGGCGGGCGGCGTCGACCTCGATGCGTGACTTGGCGATCCATTCAAGGATGACGCCGTGCGCGGACAACGGCTTGCCGAAGGTCTGCTTCTTCTCGTCGTTGACGCGCGCGATCATCCACTCGAGCGCCTTCTCGGCCGCACCGATCGTGCGCATCGCATGGTGGATACGGCCGGGGCCCAGGCGGCCCTGGATGATCTCGAAGCCGCGACCTTCGCCGAGGACAATATTGGAGATGGGCACGCGCACATTGGTGAAGGTGATGTGGCCGTGGCCGTGGGGGGCGTCGTCGTAGCCATAGACGTGCAGCATGCGGTGCACGGTGATTCCTGGCAAGCCAGCAGGCACCAGCACGACGGACTGCTGGCGGTAGGTGTCGCGGTTGTTCGGGTCCGACTTGCCCATAACCAGGTAGATCTTGCAGCGAGGGTCGCCGGCACCAGAAGACCACCATTTCTAATTGCAGGGGTAACTCGTTAATACCCAAGCCTTTTTTTGATAGATTGAGCGAGCTAGGCTCTGCGGGGATGGGGAGGAGAGCGAGCATCATTCAGAGACATACCGAGCCATTCAGCACATATTCATTGCCCTCGCGGCGGATATTCAACTCGATGTTGGTTGCATCGCTAGACGCCACGTCGGGCTCGGTCATTAGGAACGCAGACCGGATCTTGCCATCCAGCAACGGCGTCAACCATTCCCGCTTCTGTGCCTCATTACCATACTTCGCCAGGACCTCCATGTTGCCCGTATCTGGAGCAGCGTTGTTCGTCGCCTAGAAAAGAAGGAAAATCACACTCGCATCAGAATGGCATTCACTTCACATATGCCCATCTGCCCTCGGGCATCGGGAATCTAGATCATGGCAACAACTCACCTCTGAGGCAATCTTGCTCTTGCCCAGCAACTCCGCCATCAGACCATACTCCACATTGCTAAACCCAGCACCTTGGTTGAAGTGGTTCTTGGGCAAGAACATGTTCCACAGACCCAGCTTCTTAGCCTTCACCTTCAAGCTCTCCATCACGGCCGGGGTCGTCTGCCATCGCTTTTCGCCCTCGCCGAGCTGGGCGGAGAATACGGCGTCGGCGGGGACGCAGTCTTTCTCAACAAATTCCTCGACCTAAACAGCACCGCATCAGAATCTATTAGTCTTTCTTGTACATGACACGATAGATGGGCAGCAAGGTGGGACCAGGGGGGGAGGGGGGGCAAGTATGCGGCCTAGGGATCCAACATCTGCCCACTCGTAGCCGGAGCCCGAGGGGTGAGGTCAGAGAAGTCGTACCAGATCAAGGGTCTTCTTGGCCCGGTCGCTGACGAAGGGCTGAGCGATCGGGGGGATGCGAGTAGAAGCAGACATGTTGTGCAGTGATTCAGGGGAAATCAGTGGCGGGAGAGGGAAAGGGTCTCGAGCTGGAGAAAGCTGAATATAAGTCCGGCCATTGAGAATTGCGGAGAAGCCACCGCGATTGTGGAGAAGCCGAGCGCCGCAGCCTTTTGCCTCGGCCCAGCGCCCGGTTTAGCAACTCTCTGGCCAGAACATCCCCGGTAAAGGGCAGCTACGCCCAAAAACACCTAAAACGACCGACTGATCAGGCCATCGAGAACTCTCTACAGCTTAGAAATCAATACATTCCCGGTTATTATTGGCTGCAAGGGAATTGGCTTGCAGGCTCTGTTGTGTTTCGTGGGGGATGTACGCATTGAACCTCGGCGAAGTGTCCGAATCAATCGACTACTAGACGAAACTATCAAGTAAACCCGATAACCGAGAAGGTCTCTACAGGTACATTTGGCATTGGTCATCCAATTTCTTCTATAATCCCCCGGTATACAGAGGTTACCATTACCAGAACCCCAAAAACCCCCCTCTCCCCCCACCCCCAAAGAGTCCATAAGCCCTAACCAAAGCCCTCTCCCATGGTAGAAGTCACATAAAAATCAACACGGACCAGGAGACAAGAAAAAAACAAAGTAAAAAGTCCAGTGTTATAAAGAGAAGAAGGCATTGCGGGTCATCACAAAGGAAAAAATGAAAAGCAAAAGTACAACCACGAGCCCCCATGCGCCACAGTGCGAAGCAACTCGGCCGCTCCTGAACACCGGCATCCAAAACCCACCGACCATCTAGAGTCTAGCAAAAACGTCCAGCGCCGGTGCTATGTACTGTGGAATAGCCAGTGTGGTTCTTGTATCAAGGACCCCGTCGCAGGGCGGATGGAGGATAACACCAACACCCAAGACAGCGGATTCGCAACGGAGAAAAACAAAAACAGGTCACGCAATATCCACCGGCTACTCAGCCACCGGAGCTTGCGATGCAGATGTCGATTGCTCGTAGCTCTTCTTTCCGAGCTTGGCGAACAGCGATTGAGGCTTGCCAGCACTGCAGAAGGGGAAGTTAGGAACATTATTCCAGATCCAGATTCCAGATTTGGTAGGGGCAGGAGAGAAACATACTTCTTGAAGCGCTTGCCCTTGATGTCACTCAGTTTCTTGGTACACGGGCTCATGATGTCGTCTGAGGGTGAGACGTAGGCAGAGGGTTGTCTAGGGTTTGGTTAGCAGCTTGTCACGGTCTCGGCGACGGAGCGAGAGACACTCACTTTTCGCCGCTCTCAAGCTTGCCCTGCAGAATTTGGCGATGATGCTCCATGGAGGAGAGGTCCGCGGCCTTCAGGTCCGACTTATCGCCGGTGTTTGCGTTGGCGAGGTGTGTGTTGGTCGGGCGGTCCGCGAGGGGCTGTGCTTGTGTTGTCGAGGCGTCCATTGTAGGAAGATGTGTGTATGCGAAAGCCAAACGGGATGCAGAGGAAGGGCAGGGACAGCAAAGACGTCAGGTCTGAGAGGGTTGTTTATGTCAAGGTGAATTCGGACGAAAAAGCAGATGGTGACTCGAACGGTTGATCGGATAAGAGGAAAAAACGTGTTGTTGGTGCAGGTGGCGAAGGAAAAATGCGGGTTTGATTGTTGACCGGGCAACCACCATATCGCACCACAAATGACGCATTTGGCATCGACATTCCAGGTTTTGTATGCCAGATCATGTTTGCGAGATCTCTGTTTGTTTTTGTCTTACTAGAGATATGGAGAGCACGGGCGATACATTATGAAATACAAAGGATTTAGGTTCAGGAGAAATGAGACTGGGGACCGAGCGGGCACTTGTACAGTAATTCAATTGTACTGAATAACAAAGATAGAGAAGATCAAAAATTAAAACAACAGTGGGAATCATGTCGTAAGTCAGTCGTAGAAAACGTACACTCTCCAGATCGAAAGCGAGTACAATGCCCAGGCAACGCCAATAGAGTTATAAATTCCGACCGTAAGATGAATGCAAAATGCAGAAGCGTCGCTAGAGAGCAGGTGGTGAGAGTAGGTATGTGAGATAATTTTGGGACCAGCCAATGTCGAATCCCATGCCCTTTTTGAAACTTCAAGTATAGCGCTACTCATGACGTCCGCGGGGGTTCGTCATAGGACGGCATCGGAGGATCCACGGGGGCAATGATAGTGTCATTCCCTTCCCGCTCCAGCTCGAGGTCCATCGTATGACCCGGCAACACAGGCGGAGTACTTTGAGATCGAAACTGGGGTGTCTCAAGCGTAGGCACGGACATCGAGTCCGGTGACCGAGGCTCCTCGGGCTTGTCACCTTGTTCCTGCATCTCCTGCGAAGCATCTGACGTCGGAGTCGGCGGAATATAAGCCACCGTCGGACTTTGGGGGCTATCCTGAGATGAGCTATCCGAAAGGTTCCGCCGGTGCCCAGAAGTCTCGCGATATGAAGAAGCTGGCCGTGTGGACCCAGGACTGGCTGACGGGGACACGAAAACGGGGGATGATGACCGTAGGCTGTAGGAGCGAGCGACCATCCGCTGAACCCGTGGGAATTCCATGTAGTTGCCCACGGAGCCACGAGAGAAGAGCACCAAAGCAAAGCAGCAGAGGACCATGACACTCTGAATCACAGTGACACGCTTCTGGAAGACCAATTCGTCGGCGAGCACACCCAATTGACCGCTCAGAGAGTGGACTTCCTGATGATACCGCATGCGCTGGTGCTCAAATTCGAAAGCGACTGACTTCCACACAAGGTCGTACTGTTCGCGGAACTCTTTAAGCTCACTGAGCACAGTAATATTCAAATTCTCGAGGAACGTGGAGGTCTTGGCAAGCTGGCGTTTCTCAACTTTGTTAAACGCATCACGAAGGATGCGGGACTGCTCCTCAATGTAGAGAAGAGAGAGCGTGGAGTTGGACTCCAGCATCTGTAGCCGCTTGTGGACGGACTTGAAGAAGGATTCTTGGGTAGTCGGATTGGAGGCGGGAGGTTGGGTGGAGGTCGGTCTAACAGACTCGGGGGGAGGGACAGGAGGAGCACTGTTTGGCTCCTCTCTGGAATTGGTCGTAGATTTTCCGGGGGTTTCAATGGTAGAGTTCTGCTGGGCAGACTCTGTGGCCGGGGCTGAGGCGTCAGAGGTTGCCACCACCATCTTGGACGAATCACCTGGCCTTCGAATATCATCCGCGGGTTTAGGAGCTTTAGGTGGAACTGGGGAGCCAGCATGAGTGGCAGGATCAGCACCTCCAGTGGTAATGGTTGGGTTCGCATTCGACAACTGGCTGGTTTGACCTGTCGAAGCGGCTTTCTCTAGCATGTCTTCCACCGACAGAATTTCATGAATGTCACAGGTCTCAACCAACGCTTGCGGTAAGTCACCTTTAAGAAGTGATATGACCTCGCTTAGCGGGTTTGGACACATTCCTTCCACGAAGGTAGAGTCTTTGCTTTCTGGAATAGATTCCGGGACCGGAGGCTCGATCTGCTCGGTCTCCAAATCAGGAATCTCAGCAGTCTCAACCGTCTCAATGGCTTCGTGCTCGTTACGACTAACACTCTCATCATGCTTGTACTCCTCCAGCATGGTAGTGCCATGGACACGGATCAGGCTGACCGGACAGTAGAATTCATGGCCATAGTGTGTCAGAAACTCGATACGTAAGTACCGGGCCCAGATAAGTGAATTCTCGACCGCGAATGCTTGGACCTCCCGGGTATTCCGTGCTTCATACACACCCAGTTCCTTCCATTGATCCGGCTTTGCCGGGTAACGATCCGATACACTCACCCGGAATGTATGGAAGATGGAACTGAAAAATTCGTAGTTGGCCAAAACGACCGTGTCGACCAGAATATCGTCACAGAGTTCTAGAATCAGGAACTTATTCTGGGCACGACACTCGTTCAACATGTAGCTATCCTTGTTCTCCACCAGGACAGACGATGAGCCTTTGCACTCAGGATTCGTCTTGAGCACTGTCGCCGCACAGTCAAAAGAAGCATAGTTGAAACGTTCCTTGCAAGTCGTGCCGGCGTCTTTGCGGCGTGAGACGTCAGGCTGAGGCACACTCTGAGTCCGCGCATCCCCGTTCGCAGCCCCGTCCATCTGGTCAGCATACTGCGAAGGAATAGGCGTACCCCAGGCTGTAGGACTCGCCTCCGGGGTCTCAGCACCAAATCCACCAAAGTCCAGCTCAATTTCCGCGTCGTCGCCCAAGGAGTCCAAGGCATTGTTGATCCCTGGCTGTCGGCGGCCCTCTTTGCCGGCCGCCCCGGAGCGTCTACTGCCTCCCACGTTTTCAGCCGATTGGCCCACCTTGGCGAGGTTCTGCTTCTTCCAATCTTCAAATGAGAGAAAGCTGGAGCTATCCAGTAACGAGTCTGTATCCTGATCAAAGTCCGCATTCTGCGCACTCGACGCGTCTGCAGTTCCCTCCGGAGCAGTCACAGAATCTGAATCAATGGGGGCCGTATCATTTTCCACAGGAAGATGATGTTGCGTCGAAACCACCGGAATCTCTTGGCCCTGGACCCTGTGCGTTTCCAAACACACCGGGTACTGAAAGATGGCCGCTTGAATCTCCCCCGCGCTTTTGACTGGGCATGTGGTCTGCCCGGAAGTCGCCGTGTCGGCGGGTTGTGTAATGTTCTGCGCGGCGCCGTTCTCGAGCACACTGCCCGCCAGTGCGAGGAAGATCGAAATATTTCGGATCGAGCCTGGCCATGACCAACCTACGGCCATCCTTTCGGCTTCTTCTGGGCGATTTCACCCAGCCACGAGGATATCCTAAGACACGACCTCGCCACAGACTAGGAGGGCGTTGGAGACCACAGAGGTCTGGATTGAGAAGGACCTTGCTGAGTAAAAGATACTCCAATCCCACTGGCAATTATGGATGGAACATCGTCGTTATGAGCGGTAAACACGACCAAGCTGTGTTATCTGTTATGTGTCGTGAACGGGCTCGGTCCCACAGGTGGCAGGGTCACAGAGTCAGGGAGAGAGGGAAGGGCAGGAATGGACCAGGGTGCGATCGTAAAGGAGCTTAGGTTATGAGGTCGACGTAATAGCGGGGCTTTTTATCGACGGGTGAACAGTGCGAAAGGTCGAGAAAGAGCCGAAATGTGAAGCTTGGCCCGGTGAGAAGTGGACCAGTGGCATCCCCAACGGGCGTGACAGCTGGGGTCACCGCCCTCTTCACCGCCAATTGACCCTGGGGAACATGCCAAAGAGCCGATTCCTGTCCCTTCGTTGAAACCACGCTATTATTTGTAAGATCAGTCGAGGGCTTTGTTGACGCTTTCTTTTTTTTGCCTTGGAAGCGTTGCACGCGACAGTGTATATAGCTGTCATCTTGCATGGAGGCTCATGTAACCCTTGACGGTGCTGCATCTTCCCTCCCTGCACGGGCTGCCCACCGCTCCTCCAGCCCCACTGTGCCCGCTAAAGGCTCGGTGCATCCACGCCTAGCCTCCCTGGGTCATCGGCAGCCCGGTTTTGCCATATCGGTTAGGGTTTAGGTTGCAATGTGGCTGGATATGAGAGGCTAGGGACGGGAGAATCGCTGTGTATTGTGCCAGCAGGATGGTATGGGTTGAAGGAGAAAAAGAGGTGAGGACATGGCCGTCAGGTACAGAACATTGGGCAGCCTTTGAACCTGCATCTCATGCTGCATAAGCATTCTTACTTTGTAAGAGCGGCACGAAAAGCTTCACCACTAGAGCGTCGAGGTGACTCCAAGGTGCCTACTACACTTGACTACGAAGTTACCAAATACATAGAATGTTGTAATGAACGTATTGTCTACAATAAACGGAGGAAAAAAATTCTTCACGGATGGTTCTCAGTTTTCCTTTCGACTGTCCCACGAAAGCTAGTTACAGTACACATAATATCAGGGTTCAGTACACTTGTCAGGAAAAACGGCCGCGTTATCCAGAATATCGCAGTCGGCGCCTCCGCCTCGCAATGACCAATGCCACCAGTATCACGCAATCCAATTCCCAATTTCCCCCCGCTTTTGATGCGTTTCTTCCCCCAGGTCGTTTTCAGTCCGTATGCATAAAAATATGGAAAAATTTCCTCCATAAACAATTCCCCCGCCGTTCTAGTCTTTTTGGTGCTCGGTGCCTCTGCCGGTGCTCTGGTGCTGACACTGCCCATCGCCCACAGCTCCATATAGTACAGAATGTGTTGAAAAAAAAAAGGTGAAAGCGAAAAGGATAAGCGGCTGTGGGCAGGCAGAGCAGGGTAAGGTTGGAAGAGCGAGGCAAATGAGGCACCAGCAAACACTCCAAGCTGAAAAGAAACAAACAAGACCAAGGTAAAAGAAGAGTAGAAAACAAATTACTTTATCGTTGGTAATTTTTTGAACTTTTTTCCCAACTGAAATTCAACGGCGCAATGAGGACGTGTGGAACGACGGAGGAAAAAAGGCAAAGTGGAAAGCCGAGAGGGTGTGTGAATTGAATGGCATGGTAAAGGCAATGGTGAAATATTGCTACAGATGAAGGTCATGCCATCCGCCCACCAGATCGAGGTCTTCATCGACACTGCCATCATATGAGGGAATCTTGATGGGAGAGGACTTGGTCACATCTTCGCGACGCCAATCCTTCTCCATGAACATCCGGCGACGACGGTCGAGCTGAGGTGACTCACGTTTAGCCCGGGGTGCTTGGTCGAACCCGGAGGAGCCCAGCCCCCAGTCCCGTCGCCAAGTGTTGGCGGCGCGTTGGGGACCAAAGAGCTCACGACTCTTGAAGTTGCGACGCTTGTCACCCAGCTCGGCCCATTTGTCGACGTTGGATGGTTTCTTGGGTGGTGAAGATTGACGAACGGGACGAGGTGTGCTATTGGAAGTTCCAGTGTCACTGTCGACGTCGAGAGGAGTGGCATGGATGGCACGAGGTGCGGTAGGTTCGACATCCGATGCGTGGATGTTCTTGAGTGGGGAAGCGGAGGCCGGCTCGCGCAATCCCGCCAGAGTATCCGAGGAGCGGGCATCGTGGCTTTCCTGGCTCCAGCTACGAGCGTTCTGTTCACGGCGTTGCTGGAGTGCAGATTCTTCATTCTCCGATTCCTCCTCGTCCCAAAGATCACTCCAGCTCTTGGAGATCTGATCGTTCGCATTCTTACCAAATACCATGGAGAGAGATGGCAAGGGCTTAGTAGCATGGCTGGGAAGAGACCCAGTGATTGGGACCGGGTCGGATCGAGGCAGGAAGGGGCTTTCGCGCTTGCGAAGCAGGTTGAGCGAGCGGAAGGACTCGCCCATGGCCGAGTCCAAGACCGAAGCCATCGACGGAGTGTCTGGGTGGACTGAGAACCACGAAGAACCAGCAGCCTCCGAGGGAGGAAATAGATCTTCGGTGTAGCTCTCATTATCGGGGATGGCAGACAACTGTCGGATAGCCTGTGGCGGGCTGGATTGCAACGCCTTGGCCCAGGGGAAGGAATCGCCTTGGTTGATGTGTGGACTCTGGATGGAGGGAGTGCGGAGGGGTTCACGGTTGGCACTGGCAGTGACAATCTCACGGTCCTCGGTGCAGAACTCATCCAGAGACTCGTCATCAGTGGTGAAGGAAACCGCTCGAAGAATGCATTGGCGGACCTCAGCCAGCGACCGCTTGGTGGGGTCAATGGCCAAGGCGTGAGTCAGGATCTCAAAGGTGTCCTGAGACATATTGGGGAAGATGTCAAACAAAGACTGACGGTCTCGCACGTAGTCCGAGAAGAGCACGTCGGACTCCGTGGGTGTAACGAAAGGGTTGCGAGCAAACAAAATGTTTAACAGACAAATACCCACAGACCAGACATCAGCCTGGGCAGGGGAGTAGCCCGTGGCCATCGGTTCATATTGTTCGGGAGCCATGTAGCGGTCGCTCCCGACGCAGCCCTCGTGACACCAAGTCTCTTTGGTGGCAAGACCAAAGTCACCAAGCTTCATGGAGCCATCGTGGGTCAAGAAGATGTTCTCCGGCTTGATGTCACGGTGGTAGAGGCCGTTGGCGTGCATGAACTCGACGGCGTCGAGCAACTGGAGCATGAAGTCCCGCACATGCTCGGTCTCCAGAGGACCACGGTTCAACCGAATGGCTTCGTAGAGATCCCCATTGGCGCAGTACTCCAAGACGAGGTACATGTGAGCCTCCGTCTCGAAGGAGTGAATCAAGTTCACCAAGTTGGGATGGTAGCGGAAGCGTTGGTGGCATTCCAGTTCCTCAAAACGGTCGTCGATGGGGAAGATGCCGGACGTGTCATTTGAGGTTGCCTTGGTAAGGCACTTGATGGCAACATCCTGGCCGGTCGTTGTGTCTGTTGCGAGAAAGACCATTCCGAAGGACCCGTGATTGAGCGGAGCCACGGTTCGGAATCGACCGTCCAGGAGACGGCCCTTGACGAAGTTGTTCTTGAGGCACTCCATGGCAGACATCATGTGTGAAATGAAGTGATGATTCGGGAACCAAAGATGATAAGAGGGGGAAGCAGAAATGCAAAGAGAAGAATGAGGTGATGTGAGGAGGTTCAACCAGCAGGAGAACAACAATCTATGAACCGCTCAAAACACAGCACGGAGAGTAGCGTGCCAAACAGCAACCAGGCTAATGGGGGTGTGATTAATAGTCAAGAAAGGAAGAAAAGAATCAATCAGGCCAGTAATCCCAACGACAAGGGACCACCGAAGCGAAAACGAGGATAAGAGCGAGATGGAAATCAGGTCAAGCAGCGACAGATTTCTGATCGGCTCCGAGGTCCATAAAAATATACCGGAACAACAATAAGATGATGGACAAGGAAAAGAGATGAGAGGCGCGTCGGCGCGGCTGTCAAGATAACCCGAGGGAAGGGTGGTATGGACGTCAAGGAAAAGGTGTAAAGACCGTTATGTGCTCATTTGGTGTCTTTTTTTTCGTTTGTGAATGTGGCAGGGGCCTTGAAAAAAAAAAAAGGATAAGACGACGAAGGAAGGTGATAAAGAATGTGGAAAGAATGATCAGAGGATAGTAGTTGTTGAGAAGCGGCCTGATGAAAGGACGAATCGAAAATGGAGTTTCAGGTTTAAGCGCTGCGTAAGATCGTGACGAAAAAAGGACAAAAGTATCGCAAAGAAGAGACGTAAAGAGAAGCCTGTGAACACCGGGTTCAAGGTGGGGATCGGCCGTGACTCAGGAAGAGAAGCGTTGAGATTAATGAGTCATGAGTACACCGATTGATAGTGAAGCGAGATGAAGTCGAAGGAACCGAGTCGAGATGAATCGGATCGAGTCGAAGGCAGCCGCCAGTAACCACAATGAGATGATCACAGTCGACGAAGGGGAGATGGGAGGAGAGTTGATGGGATCCTGGGGAAAGAGAGAGCACCTTTGCAGTTCCAGGGGGCGGAAGCGTCAGAGGGTACTCAATGCCAGATTCCCACGCGATCGAAGCTCTCCAATCGCTCAGTAATGCTCACCAGGCACGTATTTAAAAGTACGCAACTGGAAAGGGGAGTCGAGTCCTTCGTTAAGTATTGACGGGACGAAGGGGGGTGACGTGGTGGTTTCCCAGTAGCTCGAGGTCACGGGTGGGTCCGGAGAGGGCACCGCTTGACGGTATGAGTCAACGAGCAGAAACGGATTCGACGAGGTTCTGTTGTGCCAAGTCGAAGAAACCAGCGACCAGACGATAGCAAAGATGAGTGTCGGGTCTTGGGAGGGGACGGGATGGCAACTCTCGAGGGGAGTGGTTGGTCGTCCGCGATCGGTCGCGAATGTAGTGACGAGGAAGAGTGCCGGGAACCCGAGGAGAAGGGAGGTCGGGAGTGAGAGGAGTAGCAAGGAGAGAGAGAGAGGAGTCGGAGTTGAGGGTGATAGGAAGGCGACGGAGAAGTGAAGAGAAGGAAGGGAAGTACGGGAAGGGGAGGAACGAAGGGAAGAAGTATGAGGAGAGAAGAGGAGAGAAGGTGGTGGTCGAGTGGTCGATAACAGGAGCAGACAGGAGGAGCAGGGGAGAGCAGGAAGCACGTTATGGACTCAGAGTCATGGGTGGGGCGCCAATCATGGGGCGTGGGCGTAGTTGGCTCCGTGGGCTCATTGGCTTCCGCCGCGGAGAGTCAGTCACTGGCATGGCCGGACAGGCCAAAAGTATGGGGGATGGGCTGTGTCCACAGCGACCACCGTGACCCCAGTGACCGTACCAATACCCAGTGCCGGCCCGTCCAGAACAGGATCCATACGGATACGCAATGGTATGGGAACGATAAGCTGGGGCTTCATCCGTCGGATTGGCCGTCGTCAACGGAAACAGGCGGCCCAGGCAGACGGAAACAGAACCCTCACCAACGTCACAATACCGGGTCCGGTAACTTTCGTAGATTACGGATACGCCACGCAATCCGCGTCTTCATGAACCTTCCAGACATTCCATGACCTCGGACGGCGTCACTGTTTGGAGCACGCCAGCCTTCCCGGCAATGAGGACCATCCGAGGTCGAACGCATTGCGGTCACGCCAGAGTCGACTCTTTCCAAGTGCTACGATCCGGCTGTCTCTCGCAAGTACGATAGCTTTTTTTCCCCCATCTCTCAGGATCTCGGCTGGACTGAAGATCGTTCGTCGAGGGTCCTCTTGTACCCGGGTACATAGGTCCATGGGTACCAGGTACCGCAGTACCGAAGTACCGGCAGTGACTCTGAACCTATGAAACGACACACGCTGAATCCCAACAGAGTACTCTGCGACAGTCAACAGGCGCCGGACTCAGTTCTCCCGTCCTCCGTGCCCCCGTTCCGGACTGTCTGAAGTTTGAGCAACTCATATATGGATCGGCATGCCCTGTCCGCATGACTGTTTCCTCCCATTGACAAGTGGGGAGTTCTCCCCCGAAGGAGTTGGGATAAATTACAAAACTTCAAAGCGCTACGGATAGGATGATAGGTAATAGGTAAAAGGGTAAGGACGTCGTTGCTGGCAAGTGGAACAGATGGGATCTGCCGTTCATCGTACCTGGGACTTGGGGAGGACATGGACTGGAGAGTGCCGAGTACTCCAGAGACCCGACCCAAAACACTCCCTCCCAAAAGCCCAGCCCAAACGCCCAAAAAGCCAGAACAAGTCACGGGCGCAGACGGATCAAGGTGGCGCGCTAGGCCGAACACGGTGGATTGTGCAGCGGGACTCTGGGGCAACCATCCACTTGCATCAACCCACCGCCAATCACCGCCCGCCACTGAGACACTATTTCCAGCGTGCATGACGCGATGGTTCGACCATGGCGTGATACTCTCTGATTGGAATCATTGCCCTTCCTCCCCCCCCCTCCCATGCACCTCCCTACTGCAGGCCCCGGAGTTTCTTTGCCGCTGTGTTTTATGATGATTATGCAGCCTGCAGGGCCGGTACTTGCGTGCTCGCCCTCCCTCCCCCGTGGTACCTTGGTACCTTGGACGCTCGAGGTGTGCCCTGCAAATCCTCCCCCCCTCCCCACTATGGTCAAGGGGGCAAAGGCCAGTGGACGGAAAGTGCCTGCACCTGCTGCTCCTGCACACCAACGGGACCCGCCATGGGACAAATGCGATCGGCGGAATGAATTGGCCCCAGTCAGATCCCATCCTGGACTAGCTCCTCTTGCTCCCCCCTGGTGCTGGTGGTGCTGGTGGTGCTACAACAGGAGCTGCAGCGCTCCCCTACGCGCCCGTCCTCGATGCAGTGGGTAAGGGGTCTGCCGATTCGTCACTCTATCCTCCGTTCCTCTACATGGTCCCTGCGAGCTTGGTTGTCCAGCAGACAGCAATTTCCCCATCACATCAAAACATCAAATATCTGATGGGAGGGCGTCCAGCATATTCATATCACTTTCCCCACACTTCACGTACATCGGCGCTTCCCCTGCCCTCCCCCCGGTCTGTTACACGAACTGCGGCATTAACGTTGAAAGGCGAGAGTCATCGGCCCACGCATTTTCTTTGGCGCGCGGAATCCTGAGACACCAGGCGTCGCATCCCAAAATGGCATAATGGAAACCCAGTGCGGGGGGGCGGCCACACGGAGCGCCGATCGGGGGGGGCTATCAGGGGCAGCCGGCATCTTACTTTGCACTTTACCTGGGACGATGGGAAATGTGAATGATAATATTGAAATGTTGATCCGGTCCATTGGAGCCGGCAGCGGGGTCGACTCGAGAGGAGGCCTTGTCCTCTGTAATCCATTGATATTGTAACTTAACACCCCACTCTACAGAGGATCGTGAACGACCAACGTGCCAACGTGCTAACATCGAGGACGGTGGAGAGGTACCTATACGGAGACCCTGTTAAAGATTGATGGGGGGCCTAGGATTTTTGATGATCTTCTACGGAGCTCCTGTCATCTTCTTTGCCTCTCTTGACAGGCACGAACTATACCATCCTTCGTCGGATTCCCGCCCGGCGAAGGATTGCCGATGACGTCCTGGAACATTTTGAATCAGATCTGACCACCAGGAATATATATCTCTCTCATAATGAATACACTATATCCGACGGCCTCGACAACCCAGCACATATAGTTCGAGACCTACCTTCCCTGTATAGTATTTCATAGACACGTAGGAAATATATTCCCGAGGGGGGGTCAGGCTGCTCCATCGTGACTAGATCCTCCCAATCAATGTTCATAGACCTAGCTCTACTATACAGCGTTCCTCTCCGTACTCCCGCCACGTTCAATTGATAGTCCAACGTTCGCCCGAACTATTCACAACGGCGACTCCAAAATCCCATCATGACACGTACCACACCTTCATCCCAAAAATGAGAAACCGAAACTCTGCCCAACCACAACGGTGGGTGTGGAGTGTGTTCCCAACTACGACTCCCGACAGAGAGTTCTGTCGCCCGCACGACTAAGTTTCTGTTCCAATCCCCCTTTCCGCTTGCTCTCTCTCCACTCGGAAGACGTGTGTGTGTGTGTGTGTGTGTGTGTGTGTGTGTGTGTCCCGATCCTCTACTCGCTCAGCCCCGACACGGGCTGCACTTCCTTCCACTCTACCAGATACCGGACGCCCTTTGGTAACTGGTCAATCCGTCCGTCTCGAATCCAGCGGTGAAGGGCCAGCCGCTCCCAAGCCCTGGCCCCCTCCCTCGGGGGCTGACCGCCTCCTGTGAGGTGGCCTGCAAGGTTTGTCCTTGCAGCAGCCGATCGAGGCATTTTGGCCTATGCCCCGAGCATTGCTCATGACGTGTGGCGGCCGGTGTTTACACGATGGATGCGGTCCGAAGCTAAGGGGGGGAAAAAATGAAGGGGTGGGGGAATGGGGGACGGATGTGATTCATCGTGCTGGTCCACGGTGGTTTCACGGCCATCACGCGATGAGCTGCTCTGACGGAAAGCGACTGCCGGGGCCTCGCGGGGAAGGACAGGGCTTTACTTTCTCGACTGGAGAATTCGCGATGATCAGGGCTGATCGGCCGTCGGCGTTGTCTTCCAGCCTCTACGAGAAGAACGGCAGGGACGTGGGGACAGCTGTCTGTTACAGTAAATTCTATTCTACTCTCATGGATCGACTCCCACTCTCTCTCTTTCTCAGTTTGGCCGACGCCGATCAATAGCGCTCCATGCATGTTGGTAGCAGCCAGACGCAGACCATGGCCGATATGCGTCGATGCCCTGCCTCGCCCGGTGATTCTGCCCAGCAGAGGCCGCGCAGTGAGATGCCGGGCCTGTGGTGCCTACTTCCGGTTGGATAGTTTGATAGGTATCCTGCACGCGGGAGAAAAGGGCACTTTTTTTTTTTGCTTCTTGAACTCGGACTGGACCAGACCATGCGCCTGTGAGCCTGGGAAACTCGTAGACTCGGAATACATCTGTTATCAACCCCATCCGGCCCTTTTAGAAACTCTCCTCATGTTGCTGCATACTTGCCCCCCATATGATGATCGTCGATGACCGCACGAGTTGGGATGTGTCCCGCTTTGCCAACCTCTCTCAGTCCCAGGAGATTGGGGATTGGACCTTGGGTGTGACTGATAGTGAACCTTCTTTTGCGTGACCCCGGATAGGGCCACCCTGATATGAGTTCCCAGTTGCGAATCACATCGGACTGGATCCTAAATCAATCTGATACTCCAATACGGGAGGAGGGGAAGGAGGGAAGGGAACAAGGATTCGGTTTGACGTTCAGTCTGATCCGACCCGCTCCTATCAGGATCGTCTGAGTGAGAATGCTGGAAGTAGACTCCGGGCCCTTTATCGACGTCGTGGAGTCTTGACCAAGAGACCGGTAATCCGTAGCCCGTAATCCGTAATCAAAGATACTCTATTTAACGACTTACCCACGGTCCCATGGGATAGATTACAGAGGAGATGAATCACTTCTGGAGCGGAGTCCAACGGGTTGACTCCAGAGAGCGAGATAGCGAGATAGCGAGATAGCGAGACCCGATAACCATAATTCCCCGAACCGTGGGCGCGCGTTTTCGCCCATTTTCCAGACGATACCCCGCACGCCCGTCCTGGCTCCGACTCCCCCGACGCCTTCCACTGTGTCCACTCGTTCCCAGCCGGGAGTGAAACTATCGATTGTTGACTTTTAATGAATGGGCCCCAAGAAGGGCGGAGGGTAAATTAGATAGGCTATGCGACGACCAAACTCCTGTAATGGGTTCCTTTTCCTTCTTCCCCCCGTCCCCCCCCCGGGACCCTAGACTGGACTTGACCCGACCGGGGGTAATCAAAAAGGTAATGGAAAACCAACAACCAACAGAAGACCAACAGAAGACCAATAGAAAATGGAAAAGCAAAATGAAGAAGACATCGTCATCCCTGAGACCTGGGAAATAATGATGAGATCATTTGCTTACCCTGGCCCCCCGAAGGATGACGGCCAGCGTCCCCGAGGGGGAATCGTTCCCGCTCCCCTTTTATCTTAGTGTGCTCCGTATAGTATAGTAAGTTTGAGGTATGTGACTACTAGTTGACCGATGTTGTTTACCCCGTAAACATTCTTCGGTCGCTGTCTTCTTTTACGGATATATTATCAGAACAGAGAACTAGTCATCCCGGAGACAAGAGAGAAAGAGAAAGTGGGGACCCCCTTCCCCGGATTTTGGTCTGAACGGGGTAGGCCATCCTCCCATCGTCTCCTCCCTTGGAGGATTCTGAGATATATCATCGTCGCCATGTTCTCCGTTCTCCGTCAGATGGCAGTAGATGTGTGAGATGCAAGAGACAGAAATTGGATCTTGCTTGTTTTTTTAAGTTTATTCCACGCTAGCGAGGCTTTTGTTGATTTTCTTCCGGGACTCCTCGTCTTTATTGGTCGGTCTCCCCTCACGACTCGTCCTATCAGCCGGGAACACGAGAGCCATGGCCTCGTTCGGCTCCCCTAGGTTCATCTTCCGCCAGGACTGACGACCAAGCTGGGACGTTGGGGGCCGGGGTCTCGTGCCCCAGTCCTCTTTTACCCTAATGGTCTTGGTCTTGGGGGAAGGGGAGACGACTGTCGGCTTGGGGCAGGTCTGGAAGAAAATCGGGAAAAAAAGTAGCAATTTCCCGAAGCGACATTATGAAGAGTGGTCACATACAAAGTGAGGTCAATAGAATGATTAATGTAACACCCGTCTGGAATTGATTACGCTGTCTAGGTCCATCGGGCAATGCTCTGGCTTTTCCCGAGGGATGAGCTCGACAATGCAGACGACCCGGCTGGGATACCAAGGTGGGATAAGGTAAGGTCCGTGATGGGACATAATATGCACGGTTGTATGCTATGTATGCCGTCCACCTCAGCCCCCGGTACACCTTTCTCTCTGCCTTCTGTTCTGGTTTGTAGTTTTCTTTTTTCTCTCCGTGAGCTCCGGGCCCATCTTCTCCACGCTGCGGACAACCAGAAAACGGGCAGAAGGGAGGGCTTTGCCGGGGAGGGGGGAGGAGGGGCCGCTTAGAGGAAATCTATATCGATGGACACGGAGTACCAGCTGGATCGTTGGTGAGATGCTCTGTAGAGATCCTCGACCTAACCATGATTATAGCTAACAGAGTCCAGTGTACAGTAGTTTTCGAAATCAGTCTGACCTTGCACTCTTCAGACTTGGTTCCCGGAAAATAAATCCGGGATACGCTAATGCTTTTTAGGGTCACCGCTCTATTAGTCGGGCAGAACTATGCTAGTAATACCTATAACCCTTCTAAGGACGTATTATATTTATCTTGTAATTATACATCGAATCCCCTAGAACTATTTAGTAGATCCGGCGATCTAGTAAGATCGTTAGCTTTCCGCCTTCCTACTAGTCCTGCCTAGGTTACTACTTTGTCCTTATTCTTCCCGTACGTAGTAGCCTTTTGTCTATCTCTATAGGCCTACTAGTTATTACGTAGAAGGCTGTGTATATACTATAGACAGCTAATCCTAGTAGGGAAGGATATTTACTTTTTCTCCGTAGATCTTATTACCTACAGCGCGTCTTATTCGTGTATTTATTACTACTCTCGAATCTTATATAGCTTATCCTGTAAGCTAATATAGACGTTCTAAGGATTGTAATACTTTTAGAATAAGCCTATATTACCTCGATTATAAATCTTAATCTATCGAATATAAAACGTAGGAAGGTAACTCGGATTATACGCCTACCCCTAGCTACTATATTAGCCTCTATACTATACGGTCTACCCTAAGCCTATCTCTATCCGGTATATAAGAGAATAGTATCGAACCTAGGAGTAAGCGTAGCCTATATTATCTCCGATTCCTCCCGTTATACGAGTAGGAAGAGGGAAGGGCCTATAACGAGAATCCCCTAGTCTATATTTACTATCGTATAGAGTAGCGAGTAATAGTTAATAATCGGGAAGTATCTATAGATACCGAGGAAGATATCGTCTTAGCTCCTAGTACTTTCTAGTAGCTATTACTAGAGAAAAAGCTAGAGAAAGCGCTTCGATAGAAGACCGCTCGCTACTATCGAGTAAGACCCGATAATACTATTATTATTATATTAATAAGTAATCGTACTAAACGTAAACTAACGAAACGATTTAATAATACTAATATTACTTAGTCTACTATCGAAAAATAGTTTCTATTATAGTCCGAACTTTTATCTAAGGGTAAGGAACTTACGCTAAAGATTAGTTTCAACTATATAGACAATTATTATTCTTCTTAATCTATTAGCCGGAAAGGAGAGAAAAGAGGAAAATCTTCTATTATATAAAGGATACTTAGTAAGCGAGATATATAGCTTAATATAGAGGAATATTCTTTAGGCGAGAAGCCGATCTAGCGTAGCGTCTATAATTTAATACGATACGATTCGTTAATATATTAATATAGCCCTTATTATTAGGTAGACCTAGTAGGGAGAAAATACTACCTAATCAAAGCCTATTATATTAAACGCCTTATTACCTATATTAAGAAAGAAGAGGTTTTAGAGGGCTATAAAGACGTGCTAGAAGTAGTCTACGACGAATTATATAGGGAAGAATAAGAGAGATATAAGAGATAGGGGAAAGATAAGCCTAAAGGAGGTCCTATCGTTAGGAACGGGGTACTATATACTCCTTATAATATTATTAATATCCTACACTCTTAGTCTACTACCTAAGGCCTAAATATCTCGATACCTAAGGCAGCGATTAAACTAATATCTACTAGTTTACTAGATATTCCTAGTCCTAGAGATATAGCGGTGAAGTAGTATAGTAAGTAGTAGATATTAAATATCGAGAATAATATACTTAAATCGGTATTTCGGTAAGTATATAATATAATACTTAATAATAGTCTCGACCTTAAGTAGGTTTATAAGGACTAGGACCTAAAATTCTTTATTAATAAGGGGATAAAAATAGGTATCGCTCGACGTTTCGTCGAGGATATTATAAAGTAGGCTATAGAAGTTAAGAAGGTAATCCCTATATATAAAATACTTTAGATTAGAGGGCGGGGGGTTTTTAAAGGCGTTATAGCGTTTTTCCTAGCAGAAATAATAAGTAGCTAATTAATTAGACTATATAACCTTCGATTTAATTTAAATTATTAATATAGTACTAGGAAGAAGCTTTTTATTTATATAATTACTATATAGTAGCGTAAAATAGCCTTCTATATCGGAAATAAAAATACTCTCTTAGAGCCTAATTATATAATCCTATATTATTAAAAAGAAATTATTATTCTAGTTTTATAACCTATTTTAGGCGACGTATCTTAAATTTATAAAAGCTTATAATTATACGATATTACTAATCTAGGAATACCGTATACTACCCTTATTATCGTCTTAAGTTAAGCGTCTAGACCTAGATAAGAATCGACCCTAAACCCCTTATAAAACGGTACGAAACCTAGGTCCTATATAGCGAAAATTAATTATATATTACGAGTTAAGCAGTAATTTACTCTATAATTATTCTCGAAATCCGCTTAACCGATATAGTTAGCTACTATTCCCTCTTCTTAACGCCCTATAATATAGAGAATACCTTAAAACGGGGGAATAGAGTAAAAATAATTACTATAGTTACGTATAAGGCGGACTTAAAGTAGGCTTAACGCTAGGGAGACTTTTAGTCTAGTAAGTTACTTAGGAATATATAGAGCGTATTAGGATATACCTACTATACTTATATTACGTTTTCCTATACTTACTACGTTTTCTATCCTTACGTATTCGCCTCTATTCCTTAACTACTCTCTTAGTATCTTTTCTAACTAGGTCTATCCCGGTTTATAACTCTTCTAATATCTTATATATTACGTATATCCGCGCTTTTTACTTTATCTATCGCTATTATTTAAGCGTTCTAAAAGTCTATTATATATTAGCTTATAGAATAGGTTTAAGAATAAAATCGTACGCGTACTTCGAAAAGCTAGCTTAGGTTTTATATTCTTATACTAGCTAAGGGAAAACCGAGTAATACTAAAATCTCTTACTAAGTATTTAGGAGAGATTAAAATCTAATTACTATACTACTACTAACTTATAGGTACTAGCTTTTTCTATTCTCCTTTTATATCGTATATAGCTGTTTAGGACTAATTAACTCTACTTATAGTCTTAGTAGTAACTTTCTTAGCCTAAGTAGGGGAAATCTACTAGTTATATTATACCTAGAGCCTAGAAAGGTATTAGATATTATATATATAGTATCCCTTTATCTCTTCCGATAGAGGGCGATCGTTAAATACTTTATAGTTCCTACTACGTTTAGGATTAAATAGTTTTAATCCTCTTTCTTTTAATACCTTCTAAATTTAATATTTAGAACTCGTAAGACTAGCGTCTCTCTTAATATATTTATCTAGGCTACTAATATATCGTCTACGGAATAAGCTAGTTGCTAGTTATATTAATTAAAGGTTAATAACTCCGGCAAGTTTAATATTAAAGTAACTAAATAGTGTATCCGAGTCGTTTCGAATATCAAAGAAGACCTTAGGGATTTTAGGCGATTCTAGTATACTTAGAAGATTCTAGCTATTAGGGGAAGTCTCTGGTAGGAATACCTTCTTCTATAGGGTCTATATATCTACTAGATACGTTTTATTAAGTAGAAGGATATAGATTTATAAAATAGAAATACAACTATATCTTGAAAAGTTTACCCCTTCAAGATTAATATAAAGAGATAGTAGCTTAATAGGTAGATCTTAGAGCTACGTAATAAGACTCGCTATCTTCGATTCGGTATTAATAAATTCTAGAGATTAGTTAATATAAAGATATAAATCTTCGAGGGACGTAAGAAGAGAAGAAATTTCTTTACCCTCTTCGGAATTAAGAAGCGGAATTTCTATTACTATTATAAGAAAATTAAGATATACTTAAAATATAGATCGGCTTACGGGTAGAACTTACTTAATATCGTAAGAATCTAGCTAATAGAGCCCTCTTAGAGGACTTTTCGAGGAGGTAATCTATAAAGTTCTAATAGCTAAGTATATTAAATCGCTAACTTGATAGTTAAATAAACGATAGAATAAATATATATATTACTACCTAAATATTTACTAGATTAGCTAACTTAGCTACGTTCCTTTATTTTAACTAATATAGTATAGACGCGGAGGATAGTAGGAGAAGCCTTAGCTTAAAAGGGATTTATAACTACTATAGTAAGCAGCACGAGAATAAAACGACTATTAGCTTAAACAAGGCTACTTATAGCTTAGTTACTATATAGATATACTACTAGTATATTTACTATCTTTCTATAACGCTTCGCGCTAAGCGAACTTTCTACTTAATATATATATTCACGTTTCCTTCCCTAGTTATACTTTATATTTAGCCTAACGCTAAATCCTTTTTCTCCTCCCGATAATAAGGTAAGTCTTTTAAGGCTAATAAATAATAGACACTAAAAGGGAAGAATAATAGGGATAGGGTTAGAAGGGCTTTAAAGCCTTAAAATATTCTATATTTAGGCCTATATATCGAAAATAGCCTCTAGCACTCTCTTCTTTCGCGCCTACTATATTAATATACTATTTAAGAAAAGTATTAAATCCTCGCCCTAGATCTTTCTCGTAGTAGTCCTAGTTACGCTTAATAAACCCCTTAAGCTTAGTAAAGAACTCTTTAATTAGGTTTAGGTCTAGCGAATATAGTAGTAAATAGACTAGCTTTACCTCTATATCCGTATATATTTATTTAAGATCTTCTAACTAGTAAAATAATACGTTATCTATAATAAGGATAGATTTAGGCTCTAGCTATCGTCCGTAATATTAGAGTAGTTAAGCTATAAAGCCTTTAAAAATAGTAGTATCCGTAGAACTACGGAAGATATATAATAGAACGATCCTATCCTAGGCGTACGCGGGTAATATCTAGTATCTCTAATTATAATAGAACTACGTTACTTATAAAGGGGATATACCGCGTAGTACCTAGCCTATTCGTCTAAACCTAATATATTTATTATATCTAGACTTATTAATATAGACTAGGTAGTACGATTTAAAATTAGAGAGATTATATAGATAATAGTCTTGTAAATCGGTATTTTATTCTCTAGTATATTTCCGTGTAGTCTTTTTAGACTAACTTTCTATAATAAGGGCTCTTCTTATACTAGAGGTTATAACTATAGCCTAAAACTTATCCTAAAGGAATATAACTATCTCCTCTAGGTAGAGGCCTAGTTTCTTATATAGACGATCGTAGAGAGCTTCGATTATTAAGGGTATTACGGTATATTTTCGTCCTACTCGGGTCTATAGTACGTATAAGGTTCCGAATTATTATAAGTTATTACGGATACCGATAATAGCCTACTTACTATATTTAGCCTAGTTAGCTATTTTAGAGGTAGTAAAAGATTTACTCTCTATTATATTATAGATAAGAATAAGCTTTAAAGGTAAGAGTCTTAGAGCTATTCTACCTAGACTAATAATAGTAAGTAGGAAGCTAGTATATAGGAAGTTGTAGCTTATTACGATTATAGAGAATAGGGAGTAGGTACGATATACGGTAAATAACTACGGGGAAAGTATAGATACTACCTTCTTAAAGTAGTATTACCGCCCGGTAGTCCCGGCCTTTAATTAGTAGTAGCCTACTAGCAGAATTAGGGTATCTAGGCTTTTACGTAGTTAATAGAACTACGGATTTCCTATAAAATATAGTATATATAGTTCAAAGTTCGTATTAGAAAATATATAGACTATTATAGAAAGCGGTCTAAATTAAAGTGATTAAAATAATATCCAATCAGACCTCGTATATTTAGGATTTATTTTCCGGCAATCAAGTCTGAAGAGTGCAAGGTCAGACTGATTTCGAAAACTACTATATCCGAACCCGATAATATTATCTAATATGTACAGCTACACTCTAGCATATCGCGTGATAATCTGTCTGATATCATGAACCTTACTATTGCCCCCAAGGAGAAATCGCTATAGTCGTTCTCGAAATCAGCTTGACCGATACACACTCAATCACTCTTTCCTGGCCCCACTGCCAAGACCTTAGCGTTGATAATTCATTGAGATAATTCATTGAGGGGACCGTGTTTAATCGAGGAGCAACGTAAAATACACCTTGTATCGATGAGTATCTTTCTACTATGCGAAAACTTACGCAATGTATAGTCCTGGAGGAACCTTATGGAATTTCATATAAGAAGAGAGTGGGGTCCCTGCACATCATGCGAACCTGCCATCTCCCAGTTGAGGGTTTTTTGAGGTCAGGGACTTTGTAAAACCACCTCGTTATTGTACTCAGGTGTTTTATTTTTAACCTCTAATGCCGTGACAAGATCGATTAGCTAGACCCTAAAAATCTGCCTTCAACACCTGAGTGTCATGGGTACGGAAAAGCACGTGACAACACCCTAGCAATTGGGCTCCTTGTAGTGTAGAGAGGTGGCTTGTACAGGCAACGTGCGGGGAAGGGGTTGCCCGACACAGCTGGCGCTGACATCGGCAGCCATCATTCAGCACTCGGCTATATGATCGCTTCCGCATCCTCATTTGTACCTATGTCACTCGAAGCATCGCGACGTAATAAACGGCATTCATTAAACAAGAACATAGGAAGATATGGAGTCTACAGTGTCCTTTAGAGGCTGTTCTGAGCCACTGAGAATCCTTTCTCTTGGTAAGGCTCCTGTCCAAATATGAAGGCCCGCTAATATCTTACAGATGGGGGCGGGGTCCGCGGAATCTCAAGTTTGCTCATCTTAGAGAAGATAATGGAGAAAATCCGCGAGGTTAAGCACCTTGACGGTGTCCCTCGACCGTGTGACTATTTTGACTTGGTCGGAGGCACAAGCACTGGAGGGTGACTACTATTGCCCTATATGTCGAGATCACTTTCCTACTGACACAACAGGATCATCGCTATCATGCTCGGTCGGCTCGGAATGACTGTGGATGAGTGTATACGGGCCTACCGGAAGGTTGCACAGCAGGCGTTTACTCCTAAACGGACCTCTATTCTTCCAGCGTCGCCCCGCGGAGCCTTTTCCGCACAGGCGCTTGAGGATGCCATTAAACAGATAGTTCGAGAGTTCTGTACAGATGGGGATTGCGTGAACCGTCGGCGCCAAGGCCACCCGACAACCGGAACGTGTCCACACTCTAATTTAGTCTTCCGTGACCAGGCTTGCACGAAAACGTAGGCCTATAGATAATGTATCAATGCAGAGTACAGGAGAGTAGCAGCTAATGGGTTATAGGGTGGTTCTTGCAATCACAAAGGCCAACGTCGACGCGAAACCGACGCTCTTCGGGACATACGATACATCGGCTGACTTAGATGAATGCACCGTATGGCAGGTAGCACGTGCAACTTCGGCTGCAACTACGTTTTTCAAGCCTATCAAGGTTGGCCGGGATGCCATTGAGTTCATTGATGCTGCTTTCGGGTATAATAACCCCTGTGATGAGCTCATTAGAGAAGCTCAGCGGGTGTTTCCTGGTCGCCAAGAACTACAGGTCCTGAGTATTGGAACTGGTCTTGGAGATGTGGTCAATATAAAGGATACCCGGATATCGATCATAAATGCTCTGAAGAAGATGGCCACATCATCAAAGAAGGTTGCCACCAGCCTGGACGGCCGATTCGGTGATGGTGGCCAATACTTTCGATTCAATGTGGATCGCGGTCTCGAGGATATCACGTTGTCAGATTGGGAGAAAGCAAGCACAATATCAGCGCATACCCGAAACTATCTTTCTGAGCAGACCAGATCCATCGGGAGGTTTGTCGATGTTTTAACGCGGGCGGATGCCTTGTCGGTATGTATGTCTGGCATCAAACCGACCTACACTGACAGATCCAAGATCCAGCAAGCAAGTCGGGCCAAATGTGGTGTTGTAAACTACAATATAGTAACTGGGGATGATAATAACAAGCCACATAGCTGTTAGTTTGAGAATGATCATCGCATCGGTGTTATCACTTGCTAATACGGTGCTAGACAGCCAAGTTCGGGCCTATTATGTCATCCCCTCTATAGTGAACCGCCACTTTACTGGACGTGTAGACACACTTGACTCGCTCAAACATATTTTTGTCCAAAAGGAAACACCCAAAGTGGCGCTGTTTGGCCTTGGGGGTGTTGGCAAAACCCAAGTCGCTCTGCAGCTTGCATATTGGGCAAAGGAACATATGTCGGAACATTCTATTTTTTGGGTTCCTGCGTTGAGCGAAGGAAGCTTCAAGCAGGCTTATGCCGAAATCGTGAGGCAGCTCGCTATACATAAAGCTACAGATGACGAAACAGTCTTGGAGCTGGTGCAGCGGTACTTGAGCTCGGAGGCAGCCGGACCATGGCTCTTGATTGTGGATAACGCAGACGACCTAGACCTACTTTTTGGTAGCGCCGATATCCCAGGTGGACTCTACAAGTATTTGCCCGTCAGTCGAAACGGTGTGATGCTGTTAACCACTCGCTCACGTGAAGTTGCGGTGTCATTTGCAGGAAAAGACATAATTGAAATTCAGAAAATGATGCGAGCGGAAGCCACTGCCTTTGTCGAGAAAGTCATGGAAAAAGATTTGCTCTGCGACCCAGAGACAACAGTACAATTGCTTGAGGAACTCAATTTATTGCCCTTGGCCATAACGCAGGCCGCTGCTTACATGAATAGGACCAACATCTCAACTTCACGATACCTTGAGTTAATGCATGGTACCGAAGATGATATGATAGCCTTGATGAGCAGGCATTTTCATGACGATACTCGATATCCCGGGTTGCAAGATGCTGTTGCCACGACGTGGCTGATTTCCTTTAACAAGATAAGGGAATCTGATGCCGCTGCTGCTAAACTACTTGCGTTCATATCGTTCATTGAACCGAAGGCAATTCCGAGATCACTCTTCCCACCTTTTGATTCTGAAGAGCAAATGGAATTCGCAATTGGCACTCTATGCGGTTATGCATTCATGACAAAACGGGAGGATGGCAAAGTATTCGACATGCACAGCCTAGTGCAGCTAGCGACGCGATTATGGGTACAACAAGAAGGAGATACCCAACGAATACTCAAGGCCACGACGCAGCATATGGTAGTGGCTTTTCCATCTCATGATTGGACAAATCGTGAACTATGGAGAGCCTACCTGCCGCATGCTCTTAAGATTCTGTGGAAGAATGAGACACATGACATAGAGGAGAGGTACGATCTATGCTTCAAGATTGGCATGTGTCTTCTGGAAGATGCGCGGACAAAAGACGCGATTCACTGTTTCAAAGAAGACTTAAGCTGGCAGGACAAATGGCATGATAATGAGCACCCCCTCCGACTGAGAACACAGCATGAACTAGCACGGGCATATCACTCGGAGGGCCGGATCAAGAGTGCAGTGGATCTACTCGAGCATGTGGTTGCGATACGACATAAAATTCTACCTGAAGATAACGTTTCTCGACTAAACTCTCAGCATGAGCTCGCACGGGCGTATCAAGCTGACGGTCAGACGAAGAAAGCAGTGGCGCTACTGGAGTATGTTGTCGTAGTCCGCAAGAGAACACTGGCTAAAGACCATAAATATCGACTTTCATCTCAGCATGAGCTCGCACGAGCGTATCAATTGGACGGCCAAATCAAGAGAGCAGTAAGGCTGCTAGAGTATGTGGTCGCAGTCCGCAAGAGAACACTCACTGAAGAACATCCTGATCTACTGCTTTCTCAGCAAATACTCGCAACGATATATCATTCGGACGGTCAAACAAGGAAAGCAGTAGAGCTTCTTGAGCATGTGGTCGCAATACGACAGAACACACTCGATGAAGAACATCCCTCTATGCTAGCATCCCAGCATCAACTCGCTGGAGTTTATCAAGCGGATGGCCAAATCGAAAAATCTCTAGGTCTGTTAGAATATGTGGTCACAGTGCGAGAGAGAACACTTGCTGAAGGTCATCCCTCGCGTCTGGCATCGCAGCATGTCCTCGCAAGAGCATATCAAGCGGACAGCCAGATCGATAAAGCAGTGGAGCTACTCGAGCATGTAGTCGCAGTACGGGAGAAAACGCTTGCCGAAGGGCATCCTGATCTACTAGCATCACAGCATGTCCTCGCAAAAGCATATCAAGTGGACGGCCAGATCGAGAAAGCAGTGGGGCTACTCGAGCATGTGGTCGCAGTACGGGAAAAAACGCTTGCCGAAGGACATCCTGATCTACTAGCATCGCAGCATGTCCTTGCAGCAGCATATGAAGCGGAGGGTCATTTCATGAAGTCAGGGGAGCTACTCGAGCAGAGAGTCGCAATACGAGAGATAATACCTAGCGGAGAGCACCCCTCTCAGCTTGCAAAAGCCCAGGAAGACAGTACAACGAGTACTGCGATAGAAAATCAAGACCGTTCTGTTCATGTGACATTTGGAGGTTCTAACGTTGGCATTCAGGTGGGCATAAATAGTGGGTACATTGGCGGATTCGCTTTTCGGGCGAACGAACAACCATAGAATGACCCAAGTTCTTTCCGTGTTATTTCTTTACACTAGTCTAGTCATTTTCATCACCCGATCACAAAAAGGCCTTTCGGTAGCAAACTATATTCAACTTTCGCTCTAAGAATGTCCCGTAAACACTAGCTCATTTTATTCATCTTAAGAGTCACCGTTGATTCTGACCGCACGGAGGGTCCCTCTCCAGCCTTTCATCTCATATTGCTTTTCTTACCCCAACTCAGACGATTATAATAAAATCGACCTTCTCGGCTACAAGACAAGGTAGCGGAAGTACTGGTAATCGGGATTTTTGTCTTCTCCAATCTGTACCAAGTCCAGTCCATCATCTAGAGCTACATCGCACGCCTCTTGGGCCTCCGCTTTCAACGCCTCATCACCCAAACGCCACTGCTGCCAGGTCTTGTATTTCTTCACGGCGTCATCAATTAGGCCCAAATTATTGAGGCTAGGGAGGTCAATTGAAGAGGTAGTGTTCTCCGGAACTGGGTTAGTGAATAACATGGCTGTCTGTGGGGTCTGTGTATGGAATTCCGTGAGGTCCCTTCAGGGCTACATATTGTTTAACTTTTCGCATAGTTGGTTGAAAGATACTTAATGATACAAGGTGCATTTTACGTTGCTCCTCGATTAGAGACAGTCCCCTCAATGAATTATCTCAATGAATTATCAACGCTAAGGTCTTGGCAGTGGGGCCAGGAAAGAGTGATTGAGTATGTATCGGTCAAGCCGATTTCGAGAACGACTGTACTCACAGCCGGAGATAAACTCGCTTTGCTGCAACGTCTTATACTACGTCATGACTATCTCGTCCACTCGGACTATGTGAAATCGGCAAAGTTCCATAAGAAGCGCCTTAAATGCCGGTAATACTTAGCTCTTTTGAACTCAGGTTTACCCACGGCCATAACCAATGCTACCTAGTCAAATATGAGAGACAAAAATCTCAGACAACGATCTAGAAAGTTTTCACAATATCTGCTAAGGAGCACAATATGGAGGAGAAGGGGGGTTGTTAGGGACGCTGGTCATGCTGAATTCCTACGAGGCCTAATCAAGGAGAGAATTTATCGATGTTGAGTACTAAAATTGCTTTCTTCTCAAAGACTCGGAGAATTGGAGGCCCGACCTGAAATGATAGTCAATTTTTTCTTCCTCTTCTATTCGTCTTTTTTTTTCATATATAGTAGTTTTCGAAATCAGTCTGACCTTGCACTCTTCAGACTTGGTTCCCGGAAAATAAATCCGGGATACGCTAATGCTTTTTAGGGTTACCGCTCTATTAGTCGGGCAGAACTATGCTAGTAATACCTATAACCCTTCTAAGGACGTATTGTATTTATCTTGTAATTATATATCGAATCCCCTAGAACTATTTAGTAGATCCGGCGATCTAGTAAGATCGTTAGCTTTCCGCCTTCCTACTAGTCCTACCTAGGTTGCTACTTTGTCCTTATTCTTCCCGTACGTAGTAGCCTTTTATCTATCTCTATAGGCCTACTAGTTATCACGCAGAAGGCTATATATATACTATAGATAGCTAATCCTAGTAGGGAAGGATATTTACTTTTTCTCTATAGATCTTGTTACCTATAGCGCGTCTTATTCGTGTATTTATTACTACTCTCGAATCTTATATAGCTTATCCTGTAAGCTAATATAGACGTTCTAAGGATTATAATACTTTTAGAATAAGCCTATATTACCTCGATTATAAATCTTAATCTATCGAATATAAAACGTAGGAAGGTAACTCGGATTATACGCCTACCCCTAGCTACTATATTAGCCTCTACGCTATACGGTCTACCCTAAGCCTATCTCCGTCCGGTATATAAGAGAATAGTGTCGAACCTAGGAGTAAGCGTAGCCTATATTATCTCCGATTCCTCCTATTATACGAGTAGGAAGAGGGAAGAGCCTACGACGAGGATCCCCTAGTCTATATTTACTATCGTATAGAGTAGCGAGTAATAGTTAATAATTAGGAAGTATCTATAGATACCGAGGAAGATATCGTCTTAGCTCCTAGTACTTTCTAGTAGCTATTACTAGAGAAAAAGCTAGAGAAAGCGCTTCGACGGAAGACTACTTGCTACTATCGAGTAAGACCTAATAATACTATTATTATTATATTAATAAGTAATTATACTAAACGTAAACTAATAAAACGATTTAATAATACTGATATTACTTAGTCTACTATCGAAAAATAGCTTCTATTATAGTCCGAACTTTTATCTAAGGGTAAGGAACTTACGCTAAAGATTAGTTTTAACTATATAGACGATTATTATTCTTCTTAATCTATTAGCTAGAAAGGAGAGAAAAGAGGAAAATCTTCTATTACGTAAAGGATACTTAGTAAGCGAGACGTATAGCTTAATATAGAGGAATATTCTTTAGGCGAGAAGCTGATCTAGCGTAGCGTCTATAATTTAATACGATACGATTCGTTAATATATTAATATAGCCCTTATTATTAGGTAGACCTAGTAGGGAGAAAATACTACCTAATTAAAGCCTATTATATTAAACGCCTTATTACCTATATTAAGAAAGGAGGGGTTTTAGAGGGCTATAAAGATATACTAGAAGTAGTCCGCGACGAATTATATAGGGAAGAATAAGAGAGATATAAGAGATAAGGGAAAGATAAGCCTAAAGGAGGTCCTATTATTAGGAATAGGGTACTATATACTCCTTATAATATTATTAATATCCTATACCCTTAGTCTACTACCTAAGGCCTAAATATCTCGATACCTAAGGCAGCGATTAAACCGATATCTACTAGTTTACTAGATATTCCTAGTCCTAGAGACGTAGCGGTAAAGTAGTATAGTAAGTAGTAGATATCGAATATCGAGAATAATATACTTAAATCGGTATTTTAGTAAGTATATAATATAATACTTGATAATAGTCTCGACCTTAAGTAGGTTTATAAGGACTAGGACCTAAAATTCTTTATTAATAAGGGGATAAAAATAGGTATCGCTCGACGTTTTATCGAGGATATTATAAAGTAGGCTATAGAAGTTAAGAAGGCGATCCCTATATATAAAATACTTTAGATTAGAGGGTAGGGGGGTTTTTAAAGGCGTTATAGCGTTTTTCCTAGCGGAAATAATAAGTAGCTAATTAATTAGACTACGTAACCTTCGATTTAATTTAAATTATTAATATAGTACTAGGAAGGAGCTTTTTATTTATATAATTACTATATAGTAGCGTGAAATAGCCTTCTATATTAGAAACAAAAATACTCTCTTAGAGCCTAATTATATAATCCCGTATTATTAAAAAGAAATTATTATTCTAGTTTTATAACCTATTTTAGGCGACGTATCTTAAATTTATAAAAGCTTATAATTATACGATATTACTAATCTAGGAATACCGTATACTACCCTTATTATCGTCTTAAGTTAAGTGTCTAGACCTAGATAAGAATCGACCCTAAACCCCTTATAAAATAGTACGAAACCTAGGTCCTATATAGCGAAAATTAATTATATATTATAAGTTAAGTAGTAATTTACTCTATAATTATTCTCGAAATCCGCTTAACCGATATAGTTAGCTACTATTCCCTCTTCTTAACGCCCTATAATATAGAGAATACCTTGAAATAGGGGAATAGAGTAAAAATAATTACTATAGTTACGTACGAGACGGACTTAAAGCGGGCTTAACGCTAGGGAGACTTTTAGTCTAGTAAGTTACTTAGGAATATATAGAGCGTGTTAAGATATACCTACTATACTTATATTATATTTTCCTATACTTACTACGTTTTCTATCTTTACGTGTTCGCCTCTATTCCTTAACTACTCTCTTAGTATCTTTTCTAACTAGATCTATCCTAGTTTATAACTCTTCTAATATCTTATATATTACGTATATCCGCGCTTTTTACTTTATCTATCGCTATTATTTAAGCGTTCTAAAAGTCTATTATATATTAGCTTATAGAATAGGTTTAAGAATAAAATCGTACGCGTACTTCGAAAAGCTAGCTTAGGTTTTATATTCTTATACTAGCTAAGGGAAAACCGAGTAATACTAAAATCTCTTACTAAGTATTTAGGAGAGATTAAAATCTAATTACTATACTACTACTAACTTATAGGTACTAGCTTTTTCTATTCTCCTTTTATATTATATATAGCTATTTAGGACTAATTAACTCTACTTACGGTCTTAGTAGTAACTTTCTTAGCCTAAGTAGGGGAAATCTGCTAGTCGTATTATACCTAGAGCCTAGAAAGGTATTAGATATTATATATATAGTATCCCTTTATCTCTTCTAATAGAGGGCGATCGTTAAATACTTTATAGTTCCTACTACGTTTAGGATTAAATAGTTTTAATCCTCTTTCTTTTAATACCTTCTAAATTTAATATTTAGAACTCGTAAGACTAGCGTCTCTCTTAATATATTTATCTAGGCTACTAATATATCGTCTATAGAATAAGCTAGTTGCTAGTTATATTAATTAAAGGTTAATAACTCCGGTAAGTTTAATATTAAAGTAACTAAATAGTATATCCGAGTTATTTCGAATATCGAAGAAGACCTTAGGGATTTTAGGCGATTCTAGTATACTTAGAAGATTCTAGCTATTAGGGGAAGCCTCCGGTAGGAATACCTTCTTCTATAGGGTCTATATATCTACTAGATACGTTTTATTAAGTAGAAGGATATAGATTTATAAAATAGAAATATAACTATATCTTAAAAGGTTTACCCTTTCAAGATTAATATAAAGAGATAGTAGCTTGATAGGTAGATCTTAGAGCTACGTAATAAGACTCGCTATCTTCGATTCGGTATTAACAAATTCTAGAGATTAGTCGATATAAAGATATAAATCTTCGAGGGACGTAAGAAGAGAAGAAATTTCTTTACCCTCTTCGGAATTAAGAAGCGGAATTTCCGTTACTATTATAAGAAAATTAAGATATACTTAAAATATAGACCGGCTTACGGGTAGAACTTACTTAATATTATAAGAATCTAGCTAATAGAGCCCTCTTAGAGGACTTTTCGAGGAGGTAATCTATAAAGTTCTAATAGCTAAGTATATTAAATCGCTAACTTGATAGTTAAATAAACGATAGAATAAATATATATATTACTACCTAAATATTTACTAGATTAGCTAACTTAGCTACGTTCCTTTATTTTAACTAATATAGTATAGACGCGGAGGATAGTAGGAGAAGCCTTAGCTTAAAAGGGATTTATAACTACTATAGTAAGTAGCACGAGAATAAAACAACTATTAGCTTAAATAAGGCTACTTATAGCTCGGTTACTATATAGATATACTACTAGTATATTCACTATCTTTCTATAACGCTTCGCGCTAAGCGAACTTTCTACTTAATATATATATTTACGTTTCCTTCCCTAGTTATACTTTATATTTAGCCTAACGCTAAATCCTTTTTCTCCTCCTAATAATAAGGTAAGTCTTTCAAGGCTAATAAATAATAGATACTAAAAGGGAAGAATAATAGGGATAGGGTTAGAAGAGCTTTAAAGCCTTAAAATATTCTATATTTAGGCCTATATATCGAAAATAGCCTCTAGCACTCTCTTTTTTCGCGCCTACTATATTAATACACTATTCAAGAAAAGTATTAAATCCTCGCCCTAGATCTTTCTCGTAGTAGTCCTAGTTACGCTTAATAAACCCCTTAAGCTTAGTAAAGAACTCTTTAATTAGGTTTAGGTCCGGCGAATATAGTAGTAAATAGACTAGCTTTACCTCTACGTCCGTATATATTTATTCAAGACCTTCTAACCGGTAAAATAATACGTTATCTATAATAAGGATAGATTTAGGCTCTAGCTATCGTCTATAATATTAGAGTAGTTAAGCTATAAAGCCTTTAAAAATAGTAGTATCCGTAGAACTACGGAAGATACGCGATAGAACGATCCTATCCTAGGCGTACGCGGGTAATATCTAGTATCTCTAATCACGATAGAACTATGTTACTTATAAAGGGGACGTACCGCGCGGTACCTAGCCTATTCGTCTAAACCTAATACGTTTATTATATCTAGACTTATTAATATAGACTAGGTAGTACGATTTAAAATCGGAGAGATTATATAGATAATAGTCTCGTAAATCGGTATTTTATTCTCTAGTATATTTCCGTATAGTCTTTTTAGACTAACCTTCTACGACGAGGGCTCTTCTTATACTAGAGGTTATAACTATAGCCTGAAACTTATCCTAAAGGAATATAACTATCTTCTCTAGGTAGAGGCCTAGTTTCTTATATAGATAATTATAGAGAGCTTCGATTATTAAGGGTATTATAGTATATTTTCGTTCTACTCGGGTCTATAGTACGTATAAGATTCCGAATTATCGTAAGTTATTACGGATACCGATAATAGCCTACTTACTATATTTAGCCTAGTTAGCTATTTTAGAGGTAGTAAAAGATTTACTCTCTATTATATTATAGATAAGAATAAGCTTTAAAGGTAAGAGTCTTAGAGCTATTCTACCTAGACTAATAACGGTAAGTAGGAAGCTAGTATATAGGAAGTTGTAGCTTATCACGATTATAGAGAATAGGGAGTAGGTACGATATACGGTAAATAACTATAGGGAAAGTACAGATACCGCCTTCTTAAAGTAGTATTACCGCCTAGTAGTCCCGGCCTTTAATTAGTAGTAGCCTACTAGTAGAATTAGGGTATCTAGGCTTTTACGTAGTTAATAGAACTACGGATTTCCTATAAAATATAGTATATATAGTTCAAAGTTCGTATTAGAAAATACATAGACTATTATAGAAAGCGGTCTAAATCAAAGTGATTAAAATAATATCCAATCAGACCTCGTATATTTAGGATTTATTTTCCGGCAATCAAGTCTGAAGAGTGCAAGGTCAGACTGATTTCGAAAACTACTGTAGAGAACGAATATAGGTAGATACGGTGTATTTCCGAACATGAGAGCCTTTTTGGAAGGGCTGGCGTGCGAAATTCAATAATAAGCCGACTTTATCAAAGATCATACAATATAGAATCCCATCATGATCTGATTACATATGTACACCTGTACACCTGTACTGCATTCCGAAAAACATGCAGTCCCATGCCTTTAGATACGGGCTACAAGCAGTCTGAAGGAAGGTCTCCTAACTGTAGTCCAAAATCTGTGTTTTCTTGGGCTATTGAGAAATGGAATCTGGAAGACAGCGACACCACTGGTCTTGCATGTATACCTCGATTTCCATCCCCCGCGTCCTCATTCCAACCATGATACACTGACTGTCCAGGATTCCTCCACTCTCTGTGCAACATGGCCAGCAAACCAGCCGGGACGCAAAGACCAGCCGTCCGTTGCCTCGCAAGCCATGCATAACACCGCCATCTTGTGTGACGGCCACGGCCACGGCCACGGCCACGACAGCCTTCCTCCTCCTCTCCCTTCCTCCAATATCGATAGAGGTTCCAGGTTGGGCGCAGCATGTGGTTGTCAAGTCAACAACCAAAAAACAAAAAAACAAAGCCATTACTTTGGGGAGGGGGAGGCGAGCATGACCGGACACTACCGGTGCAAGGAGGTGGTCCCCTCAATGCATGCATACAATACATCATGCTCCTACATCATACACACTTCCCCATCTTTTGACACATCATGTACGGAGTACCCGAGGTGCATGTCCCTCGATGGGTGGACTGATCAGTTCACTGCACTAGAAATCTCCATATTGCTGCAAACATGCAGGTCCATCGCAATGAGCTCCCTGACTGAGCACGAAATATAGTGACACCGAACCCGTCATGTCCGTTGTCGAATATGATTGACCAGGATCCGCGACTTCATTCTGGTTCGCCCCCCCCTCCCCCCCTTTGCCCCCCTTTACCTTGTTTGTGTCCTGTGTGTCTTGTGTTGGATGAGGAACCGGAGGAGGGGGGAAAGCACATTCTAGACTCGCGGCTACCGTCCTCGGCACGATTTGCCACCCCGATGCTCCCGCAACCACATTCCCCCAACGTCATTCTGGGCCCCCCTGGGGACTTGTCTTGATACGGTCGTACAGTATCGTTTGTCGGACAGTAATGTGAGTCGCGGACATCTCTGAAAAAGGTCCATAGTGGATCGTTTCCATTGTGACGTCCCACCGGTACGTGGACGGTGTTGATGGGTGAAACGAGGCCGATGAGGGGATTGTTTGGGATTGGGATGATGGGGCGGAGCCGTGGAGCCGTGGAGACCCGATGCCAATCGGCCTGTCAAGTGTGTTTTGTTGGCATACAGTACGGAAGACGGAGGATGTTGCTACTATTTTCGTCGTGGATCCGCCGCTGATGGCATTGGTTCCTGATGCTCTACCGGGAGCTTGTCGTTGATGCAATGATGGCGACTGTCTCTTTCTCATTCCGTTTCCTGGTTGGTGGAAGGTGCAAGGTGGAACGGACGTTGCGAATGTTTCGGCGATATGAGGAGGAGGGGGAGAGAGCTGGTTTGATTGGCAATAGGCAAACGCATTCCCATGAATCCGGCCCGGGGGGGGCGTCGGATGGTTGATGGAATTGAAAGCAGGGAAGAACAACTCCGCATTCTGTACAGAGCACGGAGTACAGAGACACTACTCAGGGTGGCGGCCAGCTGCTTGGCTGAGAGTGGCCTGTCTTGATGTCTTGACTAGCTGAGTATTTCCTGCATTCTATGTCCATTTCTATACTCCGTAACTGTGTCGAGGGGTCAATCCGAAGGGCCCCGGCAGCGCGATATGTTCTGCTTGAAGCTCTCTCTCTCTCTCTGCCCATAGCTGTTCGTGTGATTCTTCAATGTTTATCAGACTCATTCCCTCACTATTCAATGAGCGAGCACCGGAAGAAGAGGCCGGTTGAGGATCGAAAAAATCACGACTAGCCTGAGTACTAGACACACTATATCATGTGATGTGCCTGTGAGCGTATAACTCTCTAAATTGGATATTTGACAATACTATGAATCTTGAATATCCCAATATGGGGAGATTCAAGGATTGACAATATGAATCGGATCCAATGCTGGAATGGACGGACCACATTCGGATTCTAAGTCCCTTGAGGATGGGATAGCCAAGTGGTCGTCTTCCTGTATACTCCCACTTTTACTTCTCTTCTAAGGAACCACCACCCAACCATTGGAGCCACTAGACAGAGAATATCTCAAGCCATCTACTATACAAAAGGCATGGAGTCTCACCATAGCGATCTCAGGCAGTTCTCTCTACTCCATCTACTTTCCCAAGCCGAGATGATGTGCTGGTCCCCGTCGCAAATCGCGGGCGCGAGGAAACCCCCGGGCTGCGACTTTTAATTGGCGGAGAAGCCGCGGCGAGCTCCACCGAGGAAAAAAGACCGCGAATATCAAAGGAGTCACTAAGCTGGGGAACAACTCCAGGATGCACCATGAGCAAGCGTTCCTTCGAGGAATCCCGGGCCAGTCAGCCCCCCGAGAGCGATAATAATGGCCTAATGCCCATCCACGATCTGCTGTCGCCCAGCGACGAGCACGATCCCACTCCGCCCTCCGGGTCGAGTAAGAAGCCCCGGAACTTCATAGCCACAGTCGTATGTCACTTCTCCTAGGATGCGCCTCATATTCCCATGGTATTCTTGTATTCAGGAGCTTCGCCCCCCACCGCTAACGATTGGGACTAGGCATGCGAGACATGTCGTCTGAAGAAAACGCGATGCGATGAATCCCGGCCCAAGTGCGGCCTGTGCAAGTCGCTGGGCCTGGAGTGTGTCTATAATGAACGAAAATCGTCCAAGTAAGACCCCCAAGACCTTCATTCGGAGGATGCGCTAATGATATTGGCAGACGGGACCAGTCTCTCACGATGATAATGAGCACTCTGCATCGGCTCGAGACCAAGCTGGAAAACATCCCCTCATCCATCTTGGGCGACCTCCAGTCCTTGCGCGGCTCCATGCGCCAGAGTATAGACCACGGCCATGAAGCACAGTCGTCCCCGGTCCATCGTGACGAGGGTTACCGGAGCTTAGGGATGCCGACCTCGGCCACCCCGGGCTTCACACCCGCTGCGCCGGAGGGAGACGAGTTCGATTGGGAGGAGAATCAATCGACCCCCGATGCATCTGGTCGGATCTCGATCTCCTTCAGTCAACACGGAGTCATCTTGTGGCCTGGAGCGCGGCAGATCCTTCCGACGCAGTTGCTGACGGCCCATGAACTGCTGGGCAAAAATTATGTCGTCGAGCTGGAATCGACGCGCGCTGCCCTGCCGATGTTCACCAGCCCCTTTCCCTTACACGCAAATGACCATTGGCTAGAAGTCTTGCCATTGGCTATGATCAAAGGTCTTGCCGATGCTTTCTTCAGTGTGTTTAACCCTTTTACTCCGATCATGGACAAGACTTTCTTCTTCTCGTTTACGCTGGGTTCCGCCATCGAGAGTGGCTTTGGCTATACGATGGAAAGCTGCCTCGTCCTGAACGTTCTGGCGCTAGGATGCCTGGCTGTTTTGGCTCATCAGGAAGGGAATTACCCGCTCCCAGGGACCCAGAGCCATCGCTTCGAGCCTCCGGAGTGGATGAATGTGGTGTATGAAGAGCAGCCGGGCCTGCGATTCTTCAACGAGGCTCGACGGCGCATTGGATTTTTGATGTGTGACAACAACATCCAAAGCTGCCAGTTCTATCTGCTTTCTTCGTATGTGACTCCTTGTTCTTCCTCCCTGAGAGATTCGGCCTCGCTTTGAGATACTGACTTGCCGTAGGGTCTATTATAGCCAGATTCTCCGTCCCATGGATGCCTGGGCAATGATTCATCGAGCGGCAACCTGTTGTCTGTCGATGCTAACCAAGTATGTCAATCAATGGAAATTCCTTTTTCTACGGATATCTCGCACTCCGGTCGAGCAATTATTCTAACCTGATTCCAAAGCCACGACGTAAACTTCGACGAGTGGGAAGGCGATATGAAATCTCGTGTATACTGGAACTGCCTGATGAACGAAACCATCCTCGTCCAAGAACTACATCTTCCCCCCAGCGGACTCTCACGCCTCGAAGAAAAAGTCCCCATCCCCAAGTTCATCGGCTTTGAAACCACTGGCTACGTGTCTACCAGATACCCTTCATCCACCGTCGTCGACGATTCCTACTTCCAGTATCACTTCCTCGCCCAAGTCGCGCACCGTATCATCCTGACTCGGATCCGCCATTCTCTCTACTTCTACTGTGCGTGGCTTCCTTTCTCTATACTCTCCCATTCCCTTCAGAACCTCTGAATAACTCCGTCCTAACCTTCTCTTCAAACCCACAGCCGATTCTGGCAGCATCCCCGTCCCTGCCGTCAACGCCGAACTGCACCACCAACTCGAGCAATGGCGCACCAACCTGCCAACCGCCATCCAATTCACCGACGCGCAACTTCTCCCTTCGCACGCCACCCCGACCAGCCACTCCATCCACCAGCCCTCGCCCAGCTCTGCGGCATCGCCCATCCCGTCCCCCCGCCCAATCGACCCAGCCCACCCCGTCTCCCCCGCCGTCGCCGTAACAGACGCCATGCTTCGTGGCCGCTACATGATCGCCCGCTTCCACATCGGCCGCCCCTATCTTTACAAAGCGCTCCGAATCCCCGCCCTCCTCACGGACGACGACCTGGAGCAGATCAAAAGTGGCTTGCAAAACGCCATGGACTGGCCCATCACGCAGGGTATCTTCCGCAAGATGAAGAGCTGCATCCCGATCAAGTTCGCTTTCTGTTCCCAGTATGTTTTCCCTCCCCAATTACACCCCCAACCCATCCGCTAGGATCATCGAACGTCCTGACAATTGTGCGCAGATTCTTCGGCCAGGTCCTTATCTTCTACTGTATCGCGCACTCGCCGAGCGCGCGCGTGCGTGAGACGCTGCCGGCGGGCTGGGAGCGCTGGAACGAGGAGATGATGCGGTTTCTGGAGGACTGTGCACGGCAGAGTCCGGCCGTGGCGCAGGATCTGGACCTGCTGCGGTCGTTGTGGCCTGGGACTTGAGAGAGTGGAAGGTGGCAGCATTATTCAAAACATTGGGTTTTCGTGTTGGATATAGGGACTATGTATCTATTCTGTGGTGGCTTGTGGCTTGTGGATTCTGGCTTCTTTTTACTAGTAGCCCTGGGTTTTTCTCTTTTGGATGTGGGTGCATGGTGTGGGTGGGTCTCTTGTTTGGGATGATTTTTTTTTTTTTTTTGGATCTGGCATCTTTATATGTTGAGTGGGATGTTCTCTGTTACTTTTTGCATGCATGGTGTTGGGTGTTGCTGGGGAACATGTTTTTCGTTTGTATAGAGACGGCTTTTATGGTCTTCTATTCTTCTCTTATAATGTGACACAAGGAATTCATGAAAGAACCCGGATCTAAGAGGTATATATATTGATGATTTATTGACAGTAAAATGGATGTTTGGTCGGGGAGTATGGAGAAAAAAAGAACATGGGTATTGCAAACACGAGAAATTGCCCCTAAGAAACGATGATGCACGACGAAGGTTCTGAAACTATAGAGGGTCGGCATAAAAAAAGAGCAGACAAGGGATTCTCTTCTTCCTGGGTACCATCGAATTGGGGTGAGCGGATAGTTCAGAGAATTTCCAGAAATAAAAAACGATGATCCAAAAGTAGCCCTGCATCGTGGATTAGAGGGCCCATTCATCTGCGCTATCCGCGGTGGTGATGAAAGGCTTATCGATCTGCTTGATGGCGTGGTCGCCGCACAGAATACTGTCATATCGTTAGTGTGTGTAGAAGGTTGCATGGTATAACCGTGTCGAGCAGGACCACTTACCAAGCTTCAGCAACCAGTCCATCCAGTTCCTTGACAATCTCTTCCCTCCGGGCAGATGAGATGTCTCCATTGCTCATTTGGTCCTGCAAATCCCGGATGTACTTCTTCTTGCCCCCGGCCCCTTCCAGGACCTCCTTACCGAGACAGTCGCTGTGGAAGGCATGCTGACATGGGAAAACAAAGAACTGGCGACTCAGCAGAGGCAAAGAACAGATCCAACACTTCTCCCCGGGTTCCACAATCGCATAGCGAGAATCCAGGCCGGCGATTTCAGAGCGGATTTGGCGGGCTGTCAGCGCCGAGTTATCCATTTCCTGCCGAAGGTTGTCGATCAAGCGCGAGTAGTCTTCTAGGGCGGTGCAGATCTCGTCTTTGAAGTCGTCGATAACAGCGAAGTCGGGGAAGAACGGGATGAGGTCCTCAATGTGGAGAAGCTCACAGCGATGCAAGAAGTCAATGGCATCTTTGATGCCCGTGCCGGGTTGGCGGATCTTCTTCTCCGCAACGAGAAGCCATAATTTCTTGCGAAGCTTGCTGTTGCCTTCAGGTCGGTCTGCGACGATGGCCGCAAGCTCGATGTCATTGTGTTCTAAAGCAAGCTCTACCGCTTGTAGGTACTGGCCCATGGCGCTGTAGATGTGAATACATGACTGGACTCTCTTATGCTGAATGCAGAGTCGGAGGGCAAAGTCTGCATCATATGGGGGAGGCGAAGATGGCTGCGATTGGAGGTATGTGAGAAGGCCGGCTTCTGAGGCAGAAGAGCTGGAGGCATGAATTGAGATGAGTGTGTTGTGGACAGCTGCCGAGGGGTTGGGGTGGTTGACAATGATGAAGTTCAGGTAACGGACCGCCTGGTTTTGATTGAGGGCCACACTGGCAGTCTTGTTATAGTTCAACAGTGCAGGAATCAATCGCTCTGGATCAAGGTTCGTCTGCCGCATCAAAATTTCGATCAGTCCCGTAGCAGCATGCGTCATCAGTACACTACTGTACTTGTAGAACACATCGGGTTGGCTCTGGCGCTGTAGAACGTTCAAGGCTTCTGACCACTTTTCTCTTTGGATCCAATAAGACAGAACATAGTTGTGGTCGTTCGTGGCAGTGGCAAAGAACAGAAGCTCTTCTTCGCGGCCATGACTGCTTATAATGTCGTAAACCGTCTTCTTGTCCAGATCCGCTTTATGCTTGTTCACAAATTCCTGAAACTCGGACCGAATACTGCCTAGTTCATCTTTGATGTCTCCCTCAGTTGCACCTTCGTTCAACTCCGCTTTAGTAGCAATGCTATCATCAAGGGAGTTCAGCTTCGACATGAAAAGCTCAACGAGCCAGCTCGCAACCATAGTTCTCTGCATAACAGATGCCTTCTTGTAGGTCGAAAGCTGAGAGAGGAGGTACTTTCGCAGGGCATCGTACTCCTTGTTGTCTACCATTGTCAGGCAAACTTCCTCGAAGCCTTTGCTGCTTTTTCCCCATACTTTCGCAGCCTCGAGGAAATCGCCCTTGCTAGCTAGAAAGTCACCCGATGCAGTCAAAACAGCATCGCGCTGAGTGTTCCCTCTAGCATATTGGAGTGCCTCGTCGAATTTCTTTTCCTTCAGAAGAACCTTCCACACATCTCGATCTTCGTCGTTCGCAACGATCTCGAAGATCTCCTGGTGGGTGAAGAGCCAGTAAGTGTTTTGCGTTAAATCGGTCAATATACCAAGCGCCTGTTGTCGAGGCTCAAGAATTGGTTGATCGTAGACGATCTCCTCGCTCAGACGGTTGATGGCAACAACTCGGCCTTCGACTAGTGCAATGACATGCCATTGTGACAAAGTCATCGCGGAGATCGGATCTTGTATTAATTTTCGCCCTCCACGTGCAGATTGGGAAGCGGGAAATTTGGATCGAGGCAGCATACTGGCGTGGTCGAAGGGGGTGTCAGATGAAAGCTGACCATGATAAATTCCCTGCGCGCTAAGCCATGCAAATTCTTTGTCTGTATATCCTTCCGCCTGATACCCGCCGGTAAATGATGAAGAGAGGTTCAAGGAAGAGGGTGCAGATCCAGACGGGTTTGAGATCTCATGGATCAAGGGCGTTTCGCGCTGAAACAGGTCTGTGTATATCGACCCGCCGCCATCTCGTCCGTGTTTTGTAACCCCGGCGTGGCCAAGGAAATGAAACAGCTTTCCATATGTTGCCACAAGTATTCTTCGCTGGTTTGATCTCGAGGCCACAGACTCGGCACTAATTCCGGTCACCGGAGAGGCGTCCGGCACCTTGTAGACGGCCGTGACATACTTCTCTTCTCGCCGATAGAACTCCGTGGAGGGCTCGATGTACGTCTCGTAAACATTACCATCTGTCGTACCTAATAGGATCTCACGTGTGGACGCAGTCGGCAGAGAAGGGTTCCAGGCAATGCTTTCGATCGAAACGCCCTTCAATCGGGACAAGGCCTTAGGTTGCCGTGACTGGGTGTGGAGGTAATAATTTTCGCCCAGAGTAGTACTGACAATCAAATGGGATGCAGAAGGATCCAGGAACATGCGCCGGATGAGACCAATTTCAGAGGACTTCTTAGGAAGATCGATGTCTATTGAGAATGATCATGGTCAGTTCTCCGTTGCAACACGGCCAGTGCGCTGCGGGGCGTCGGGAACGGTATCTTCATACCATCAATGTCTTCAGGGGTATCAAGGTCTATTCGAAGAATGCGTCCGGTCGATAACGCGAGTATGAGAACATTGTTGGCCACCTGGGCGGCCACAAAGTCCGCCGCGATCGGGAACTGCAGCTGCACTCGCTGGACGTCGAAGATGGGCAGAGAGTCTGCGGGCTCCCCTAGGTTGCTGGGAGCCACATAGCTGCTTGATCCATCCAGCGCCATGATGCGCAAAGCTTTCCCACTAGATCATGCCGCGCGGTTGAGACCTCAGGGTTGGCTGCAGGGGAGCTTGATGGAGCTTGGGGGTTCGAGGGGACGCGAAGCTGCCTGGGAATGCGGAGAGTGTTGTGCCTTTGTGCCTGATACCTAAGGCTACACACGGCTGGGCGCGCAACAGAACAGCAACCCTATTCTACGAACAAGTAAATCACAACAAGGACTCCATGTCATAATTAATGGTCAGGCTACAAAGAAACACTTGGTTAGATATAGCTGGAGATTACATTGAATCCCTTTGATATCCCCCAATAAGGCTAGTTCACAAGCCTCTTGCACAGTCGAGATCCAATGTTCTCCATCCCAAACAATAAACTTCATTCATGGATGCGAGCCATTTTGTATGGCACAATGGCCTTTTTGAATGGCAATTTCAAAGATAGGTCCTTTCAAGATGATGGGCATATCAATTAAATGAATGCTGCTATGCTGCGGATGACAAGCATTAAAAGGGTCTCCCTTCAGGTCATGTCGCTCTTTTCCATCCATCCGATAGATACCTGCTCAAGACACTGAATTCAAGGATTGCCTTGAATCTTTCGGGATATAAACACCTGAGTCTAATAGTAAAATATCTCATAATCAGGAAACAAGGCCGCCAATCCCAAAATGTGTCGCTATGAGGTTCTCTCTCACACCGGCGTGAGCAGCTGCGGCCATATCTACATCAAGAGCATTGAGAAATGCGATGATGCTTGGAAGCGTCCTAACAATGAGCCCTGCGAGGATCCCAAGCAAAATAGACTCCCTGAGAAAGGTATCTGCGGTCGCTTGAAGGCTCTCTTCAAGCCGGGGTACAAGGCATTGCCAGGATTTTGCCCCCAGTGCCTGGCAGATGGAGCTCCCAACATCATCGTTCCACGCTGGTCCAGTTTTCTTTACTAGGAGAAAAAAAGGAGACGCAAGTAAATTCAACATATTATATTTGTGCCGAAAAATCATGAAACATCATATTTGCGCTTGATGCATTGCAAAGGGTATCCATCATGAAAATGCAATCCACAGCTGTAACAAATAATAGAAAACATCAAGTCGCTTATGGACTGGGGTATCTCAAGACCACGATGTAGCTACTAAAATGTCCCTCTCCCTTACCTAAAATGGAAAGCGTCACATCATAACACATTCTCGATCCGGTTTCCAGCTCTTTTCCTTGGATTTCTCTTTGGACTTGCCCCTGAGACTGCGGTCTTTTGTGCGGCCCCTCCCTCTCCTGTCCTTCAGGTCATAGGCAGATGGACCGAGTTTCATCTCGTCCGGTGCGGCTTCATCAACCTCAGCGGCCGAATCATCGCCTTCGCCCTCCCCGTCACTAGTGAATCTATCTTTGCTGAGCCGGCCAGCAAATCGAGCAAAGGCGGTCCCTTTCCGGGTTTCTCCGGATTGGCTTGCAGCACGGCTGCCAGAGTTGCTTGTAGTAACCCGGGACCCACGACGAGAAAAGCGGAACGGCTCCCTATCATTTCCTTCCTCTCCCGTTGGTGCGAGTCGAGGTGACATCGAAGGCATAGAGCGTGGAGGACCCACAGGCACTTTATCCGAAAATGCGATGCTAGACCGTCTGCCATTTTCGTTGCTGCTTGTGACCGGAGTTTCATTATCAGGACCGGTAATTTCAAAGCTTGGCCGAGCAGAAGTAACATCCTCGGTGGTACTGCTATCGGTCTCTTCAACAACCAACCCTCGTAGTTTACGAGATATATCAGTCATGTCCTCCACATCAAGAGTAGCATCGGAGGCGCGGGAGGAGGGTGCTTTGTTGCAGAGGTTTGCCATAGATGCATCTTGGTCAATTGGCAAGATTTGATAGAAGAGAAGATATGGAGACTCAGTCTTCAGCGCAGTCTCGATGTCAATAAGAGTCACCCGCTCAGCGGCCAGATCATCGAAGCGCATCCAATGCTTCGGTGATTCAGTTGGCATACAAGCGGAACTGCCACTCGAGCCAGGAGGCACAAGGTTAGGGCTTGTACCACGCACAATGGCGATATAGTGTCCTGAATCAACCGAGTCACCGCGATGGCAAACCATTGCCTGTAGTGACAACTTGAAATTTCCGTAGATAGGGGCATCCGCATCCAAGTTATCGTCTTGGATGAAATGGGGCAGGCCAATTTCAGTTGGAATGTCAATATATGTATTTAGTCGAATAGCCTTGCCATTCGGAAGAAATGAGTATCGTTTCAGACACATCCCGAGAATAGGTCTTTTCGAAGAAAAATGCGCTGCAACTTGGGCATCATTCGTCGGTGTGTTATCTGTGTACCATGCTGCAGTTTTAATTATATACGTTAGTTGAAATCTCTTGGTTTCGGGTTCAGAAAGAGGACATACGGATCAGACTGAAAAACTGCCACGCAGGCATCATAACCTCCTTTCTGTAGGCACCCTTTCGATTTTGTGGATCGGAAGCAGACAAGTTGTTCTCCCCTGCTTCCTCGTCTGCCGAATCTGGGAAGAATCTCTCACGAACAATGCTATCTCGTCGGCCAATCTTCCGGGCAGCTAGAGCATCATTGATACCTGAAAAGGACGGCCAGGGATTGGACTTGTCAGCCTGTGGGGAGTTAGACTGGACTGGAGATAAAGTTGGGGTCGTATCGACTTCCTCAACATGTGCACTAAACCCCTTGGAGATAGATAATGAATCCACAGATCGAGTAGAGCCCACGGTGTTCCGTCGTTCAAGATATCGCTTCACTTCAATGCGGTTATTGAAATAAGCCTCCAAACAATCTTCAAGGGTGAGGGCATGTCCATCGGCAGGTTCCGGTGGGATTGCCACCTCGAGCAATCGCTCATTGATGAATTTATGGTCATCACTAGCATCTTCCTTCCCAGTATGATAAATGTCCATCTTAAGTGTAAGGAGAGGTAATTCGAGTTTCTCGGTTATGAATGTAAAGGCTTCAGAAGCATCTTGCTGTCGTAAGTTCGCTGCGTCTTCCCAGCCACACTCTGCGAGCGCATCTTGGATGTGTTTTGTCTGTGGAAGAGGTACCGATCAGTTCAAAAGCCTAAATCTTCCAAAAGAGAGGATTGACTGTTTAATCAAAATGACAACATACAACATCGGTAGTAATAAGCTTCCCTGTTCGCAGCATATTTACCCAGAATCTCAGTAAGACAGCAAGCTTCCGACGAGGCTCGTCGTTGAAGGATTTGTACAAAATCGCTTCAAAACAGTCGAGTCTTGCAAACATGGCGAATAGTAGTGCATCAAGATAACATGTCACCCCCTGGCGATTCTCCGCACCGAGTAATTTGGTGTTGGGAGTATAACTCCGAATGATACCTTCGATGGAGTCCTCAAGTAGGAGCAGAAGGCTGATCGCCTTATCCACATCTTCTTTGGTAGAGTGAAGAGCATAACTAAAGTGTCGCACTTCTAATGTAGTGATCCCTAGAGATCGAATTCGATTCTCAACCGTCTTAACCTATGATTCCACCAAAACGAGTCAGAAAATGGTCATCTGCGACCGGGGAAGAAATGTCCATAGTACCTTCTTTTCGTGATCCTGGCTGTTTTCCTGAGTAGGCTGGGATGTGAAGAAGCCTCGAAGAAGCGGCAGTGAAAGCGCATGCGATCCCTAAAAATAAGGCGAGATTAGCAACTGCCTGCTACGAACTGTGACGTCGAAGCGATGATTGGAGTTCTTAGTCCGCGCCAAAGAATTTGAACTAGAATTACCTCTTCTTTGCTCTGTCGCGCCGATCGGTGACCCCGATCACGACGAGTAAGAAACCGATGGATCCCACTCATTATCGATCGATCTCCCCGGTGAACAAGGGGAGTTCCGTTGTTGGGGTTTAAATTGAAGGAGTGGATGTCTTGACGGAGAACGACATGCGGGGGAAAGAGGAGGGAGCTCTAGTAGTCTAGAGCTTAGTCGAGGCTGCAGCGTTTCCATGAAGGACAAACATCATCTGGCTTGACGAGAGAAAGGCTGCTGATGAGTGCACGGGTCGGGGATCAATGCGATTAATAGAGAGCGACCACTGAGAATCGCGCTGACGCGTTGCCAACAGCGCAAAAGGATCGTGACGATCAGACCTGTTGATCATTCGCGGGGCATCATCAGGTCGCTTGCCAGCGGCAACATGGTAGCGCCTGTTTGGTAAGGCCGCAAACTCTACACGTGACATCTCCCCGTTCAAACAATTTTCGGCCGGAGAGCTTGGCCTTGATGAACCTCCGAGTCTAGTCCTCGACCTCATTGCATTCAAGATGGCTGCCAGGGGGCCATCAAGATATTTGACAAGGGCCTTGCCCAGGGCATTTACACCTTCTGCTCGTCCACAGGCCTTTCTTGGCCGTCGCAATGCCTCCGATGAGGCCCCAGCTAGGCGACTGTCGGATCACCTGGGCGATCTGGAGATGGAGTCTTCCTTGACCACGCCTGTCTCTGAGGGCACAGCCAAGTCATTTGACCCCGCTTCTATGGCTGAAGAGCGCAGAAAGAAGTTGCGAAACAGTTTGTCCACGAGGAATCAGCTTCCTCGAAGTCGGTATGTCAAGTCGCGTCGACATTGTTTCCCTCTCTGTCCCTTTCCCTTAGCTGTGCAAGAAAGATCCCTCCCAAGCAACTAACCGCAATTGTTCGACCTTTATTAGATACCAATTCCGCTCCCCGAAATATGATCGTGGTCCTCTTCACCCTCACCAACCTCCCCCTCCCTCCGATCCCTCTTCCCGCCTGTTCGTCCCCGGCCCATTCTCCCTTCCCCGTGCTGAGCAGACGTATAACGCCACTGTCGCATCCGACATCATGGCGCTGTGCTACGTGCACACTCCGCCAGGCTTCAAGCCCCCAGTCAAAGCGGCCCGTCTGCGGGAATGGGACGACAGTTCCCCGTACCACAAGAACCGTCCCCTCCGCGGACCCCGTGGTGGTGATGTTCTGCGATTACTCCGCAAGCCCATCAAGTTCAACAACATCCCCAAGATTGAGCGTATCACTGTTCACAGCTATGTGAAGAATGCAGCGCAGGAGAACTCTTCCTGGCTCCATGTGGCCGGCATGGCTGTTCAGGCCATCTCTAATATGCGAGTGGAGACTTACAAGTCGAAGAGCAGTGTCGCTACCTGGCGCATTGCCCCTGGTCGTGACACTGTTGCGGTCAAGGCGGAGCTGCAGGGTGAGACTATGTACCACTTTCTGGGCAAGTTGATTGATGTTGTTTTGCCTCGACTGAAGGATTGGCCGGGTGTCAAGGGTAGCAGTGGTGATAGCAGCGGTAATATTACATTCGGTCTGGAACCGGAACAGGTCGCGATGTTCCCTGAGATTGAGGTCAACTATGATATGTAAGTCTCTTCTGTGTTGTCACTGCGTTGTCACTGCATGAAGAGTGTTTTCACTCGTCGTTGCCGCTGTATTCAATTTGCCTAACTCGGTGCTTTACAGGTACCCTCCTAAGATGATTCCTGGTTGCCACATCACTCTCCACACCACTGCCAAGGCTGACAAGGATGCCCGGCTCCTTCTCAGCGCCATGGGTATTCCTTTCTACGGCAAGATCGTGCATTGAGAAGCCTGAAAGGCAACGCACATGCATCTGCGTTTGTTCTGTCTGGAGTTGGGCATGTGGCTTTCTTTTCTCTGCTATCATATCTCCCGGGGTCGCTTTGTCTTTGTCCCTGTACAACCTGTAACTTTATAGAACTGTGGCCTGCATAGTGGTCTCAAATTCACCAAGCATGTGTATTATTTCCCATCCTTTGAAATATTCTGCTTCAAGCGAATCTACATCTGAAAAACTTGAACTCGAGCTCAGTGGGCTCTCCTTGAAAAGCTAAAATTATAGTTTACTTTAGACTGGTGGGGCTTAAAGTAGTCTCGAAATTTTTAAAAGTAATCCATAGATGCTACGTTCGCAAAAAAGGAATCTTTACCAAAATTGAAGATATCAACTGTCCATGTATCAAGTTTGATTGAATAACGTAGCACCGTATAGCTCATAAATCCCTTGCTCTTTCTATTCTAACCAAGCCAGGGCCATAGACATGACAAAAAGAAGCTTTGAATCACTAGAGACCCCACCGAAAACCGAGAAGGGAGGTGTCAAACCCCCAGGCCTCAAGGCATCATACCACAAGCTCTCTCGATGCTCCCAAGAAACTGCCACCCTACATGAAAATAACCCATTGTACAGAGAGAAAAAGAAATAGAAAAACAGGAGGACTTGCGGATCGGATATCATGTCGTAGGCATGGCCAAGAACTTGCATGTGAGCAATTCATCCGCAGTAGGCCGCTTCTCATAGTCGACTTGGAACGTCATGTCGAGAAACTCGACGGCTTCCTGGCTGACATGCTCAGGGGCCGGCGGGCGTGCCTTGTTACTGCCAATAGCGAAGATAGCCTGCAGCTGGCTGCAGTCAGGGAAGGGATGGGCGCCGATGAACATTTCCACGACCAGGCAGCCAAGACTCCAAATATCAGCTTTCTTAGTGTGTGCCGTTTGCCGTACGACTTCGGGCGCCATCCAGTACACACTTCCCTGGAGGAGGGGCGGTGCAAGTGGCCACCCATGCCGCCGGAACTGGCTTTCGAGCCGAGGACAGTGGATGCCTCGACGCGCTTGGAGATACCGAAATCAGAGATCTTGACGCCGCCCTTGTTGTCGACAAGAATGTTGGCACCCTTGATGTCTCGGTGAATGATGTCTCGGCTATGTAGATATGAAAGACCGGCGAGGATCTGCCGAACAAAGTTCTTGACCAATGGTTCTTGGAAGGTGTTGTACTGCTTCAGCATAGTGGCGATCGATCCACCAGGGACATACTCCAGGAAAATGTTGAGATATTGGTCATCAGCGGAAGTGCCAAGGTACTGCACAATGTTGGGGTGGTGCATTCCTTGCAGCAGCTCAATCTCGTGCTTCAGAGCAGTGACCATGCTATTCTTGCGCTGGTCAAATTCTGTGCCTTTGGTGGCTGACGGAATCTCGACTTGCTTAACAGCCATAAGCTCTCCGGTAATAGAATGAAGAGCCAAGAACACGCTTCCAAAGGAACCTTCACCGATCAAGGATCCCTTCATCCAGTTGTTCGAAGAGAAATTGTTGCCGGCCAGGAAATCGCTCATCAGGTTTGCATCATCTTCCTCATCCTCCATGTCTTCTGCTACATCGTCCTCGGCCATGATAGAGCTTAATCGATTATCAGAGGAACCAACATCGGTGGTAACAACGCTAGTGCTCTCATCGATGATGCTCTGGCGCGAGGTGGTCGTCGAATCGGAGCCCTCGCTGCCAAACGATACATAAGATTGGCGGTTCGGTTCAATTGGGGATTCTTCCTGCAGGGGATGAAGAGAGCTGGAAGCAATTGAATCGCGATAAGAAGCCTGGGGTAAATTAAATTTAGACATTGAGACAGGTCGCGAGGCACGTGCTGCTTGTGTGCCACCAGTCTGGCCCTGGAACCAGGTGTCGGCAATGTTGGGCATTGGAGGTATTGGGGGCAACGGGGGTAGAGGGGGTGCATCTCTGAGGCTTGATGCGACACTAAAATTGCTAACAACGCTGAGTCGACTAGTGGCACGACTGAGACGTTGAGATCTGCGCATCGTTTTCTCGATATCCTCCCGGTCATGACTTGGGAAGAAGGATTGAAGTTCGTGAATAATCATCTCACTGGGAGGTCTCTGTCCGAAGAATGACCTTAGTTTAGCTACCGGGTTGCGGTCACTGCTGGGTGATGGCTGGTCCTGATCATTCGGACCAGGCGATGGGCGATGGCGCGGGCCCACGGGAGACAAGGGCTGTTTGGTATTGATGACATTCCATGATTCGCCGGTGAGCTGTTGGATCTTGTGCTTCTGGCGCGGGTTGGACTTGTTGAGGGCATTTTGGTGTGTCACTTGGCTTTCATCATATGCAAGCTGGGAAGCGCGACGAAGCTCGTCGAGATCCGGCTCTCCGGAGTGTATTTTCCGTAAGATCAAACGACCACGTTCAGACTTGTTCACACCACCCTCGCAGATTTCCATCAGTTCGCTTTCGGTCAAACGTCTGCAATTCGACAGATCTGGATCTAAGCCATCCAACACATAAAAGCAGTAGTTTCTGAACTGATGTTCCGGGAGCTGCAGCTTCTTGAGCACAGATAGGATCACTTCGTCTGGAGTTTTACAATGCCGGATATCGAGTACTTTAGTCTGACCACCAGTATATATGACGCGAATGACCGGAGAGTTTGGTGGCAGGGGACCCATGGTCAGACCGTCCAGACTTGGGTTTCGTGGATGCGAGCTTCCTCGGCCACCGTCACTTGGCGTGCTTGGGTTGCGGCCAGATCCTGCTGATCCTGGGTGGTTAAGATAGCCATCCTTGCGCCATTCGCTAGTCGAAGGCGAGACAGGTTGGGATGGTGATTTTGAGTAGCCAAAGCCATCCTCCATTAGCTGGGACATGCGGCGGTTTGGTAGGCGAAGACGAGAGTGGTCTGAAGACAATGCTGCAGCTTCGAGGGAAGCCAGTGTGTCCTGCCATTGCTTGTCAGCGTCACTAGTAGGCAAGATGAAAATCAAATCAAAAGAGCCTAGGCCTATCATACCAGATTCTTTTGTCTTGGGTTGACCATGGTTTTGTTTCGCAGTTGCTTGATCGCCACAAAGATGCGCACTCGATCACCAACTTTTTTTATGCCCATTTCCTGTAGGATCTTTTGGTCGCATTCGATCAAATTATCCCCATTAAAATTATTGGCTACAAATGGTCGTCAGTGTGTCTTCATGCCTTGGTCATGCCCAAAGAGGAACAAACGATACCTCTGAAGATCGATTCATACTGGCCGCATTTGATGCTATGGAGCCACGCGACCACTCTTTTTTCATCCCATGCTCTGTGAAGCCGTCAGATATTGTTTCCCTCCTTCTCTGGCTTGATGATTCGATGTTTTAGGTAGGCGCATTGGGGGAGACTCACCTAACTGATAAAGGTGAAACGTCCTCCTGTCCGTCTGAAAACTCCGATTTGGTTGGGCTGCTGTACCCAATGCCCTCCGGGACTTTATTCGCGGTCGACGGTCGTTGCGAGGAGTAGGTGGAAGAGGGTTGGGAGGTGGACACCCCTAACGGGGTTGTGTACTGGGGCTTCGAAGCCAGCATAGCTGAATTAAAGGGCGTCGCTGCGTCGCTCGTCACTGTCGTGTTGTTTTTGTGAGGGGGTAAATTGATGTTCCTCCTGCTCTCGTTGGACTGGCCGGTTGGGGCTCAGATTCTTGATACGCCGTGCTCTTTCCTCCGCCTGCGGACAAAGAGTTGATGGCACCGATCTCGATACAGGGTGCGGTCAAAGGATACCAAGGACGGTCAACGCATAGTCTCGGGTTTTTCTGGAGGAGGAGAATGTGTCAGCCTGTGTGTGTTGTTGGTTTCAACGTGTTGGCCCCCGTCGCGAAGGAGTGGGCGGCTAACGATACCGCAATGCCCTCGGTCTGAGCCTCCCGGCCAGATCGGGAGGAAAAGAGAGTTCGAAGGAGACTGACCGTGTCGCACAATGTGATCCCAAGGCGCCGGGTGTCCTTCGATCTCCCGTCGTGGAATCAGGCGGTACTTTTGCACAACTGGAGGGTTCGCGAACTCTGAGCTTCCAAGTCGGGAGAAGATCGGGGGACGGAGGGGCTAGCCGGGTCGAGACTTAAGATTAAGATCACGCTCCCCACTCGTTCAGATGAGTGTTCAGAGAATAGAAGGGGAGGCCGGGATACGAGAGATGGTGTAGGAAAGGGATCTGGGATTTGAGGGGGGAAGCTGTCACCAGCGTGTTTCAGAAGTCTCCTGTCAAAGTCTCGTGTCCGTCCTTCCGTGACCTCCATTCCCGTAGTTACGGAGGTAATCCGTCCTCCCTCACTGACGCGGTATCCCTTGCTGCTGCTGACTGGACTGCACGATTAGACACTACGTGTTGAACGGGTCTACCTATCGTCTAACTAGAATCGCCTGGCTTCCTATCCTGCTTGGTGCTCGGTTGCATTTTCGACTCTCCTAAGGGGTTCATCGGACCCGGGGCTCGCAATGACCATTCCGTGGGACCGACATTGGTTCTTCTCAATATCTCTAGGGCTCCTCAACAGGGCTTCTCTCATTTGAGAAGCACGGGTACTTCCCTCCCCGCTCGGTTAATCCTCTAAATACAGTCATCGATCGTGCATCCAATTGTCGCACAAAATGGGCATGTGCCTGGTTGAGCCCCACCGGTGAAACAGCGGCTCCAGTGGATGTGTCTTAGCAGTCGGCGCCGATAGGCTTAGATAGCGACTTAAAATACTCAATTATTGATCAAGCCCTTGGGCCGGAAAGACTCAGAGAGAGAGAGAGAGAGAGAGGCGCTCGATCCACTGCATCAGACCTGGTGGGCCTCATGATACATCCATGGGTGTGAAGTCCTAGGTGGTTTCGGGTGAACTATTCTTGGGATCTTGAGATCTTGGAATCGATATCCAGGTCTTAAAGATCTTGGTGGGACCCGACATCGGGGTACGGAGCACACCGTATCATGATGATTCTGAATAGGCTGACCTCCCTTTCCCGAGCTAGTTCAACTTTGTGGGAATCCTTGACTGGGGATAAAGGGTGTGACGCCGGTCAAGTCTCGTAGAAATGCTTGTCAAACACTTGCATTCTGACTCGTTCAGCCAGTCTAGTAAGGCGTGGACCACCCTTCACCCTCAATAATTGCTTCCACGCGATCTACCATGGTCTGAGATAGATACTGAAGATTCTGAGGGTGCTGAAGATAGTGCTTGCCTCGCCGCCCGAGCTGGCTACACTAATCACGATTGAAGACCATCGCACCACGTTGGAATCAGCATAGCAGTGATGGTAGTAGAAGTAGCAGGGACAGCAGGGGTAGGAGTAATGCTGAGAGCATGAATGCGATGAAATGAGAGCTAATTGTTTGGGAATATATTCTAGAATATTCGCATGTGTCCTACCACACATTTCCATTAGATGGTGGGAACGATTTGAAAGTCGGCAATTACGGGAGCCGTGGGGGCGGGAGGGAGGACGAGTAAGAGAAGGAAATAGTTCACTATAATAACTGTACATGAATGATATCTAAGTATATGTAGTTCATACGGCTGCGTCCTTGATTGTCAATGAGATATACGTATTATATCTACTTCATATCAAGGGCTCTCGTTGATATCGATTTCGGCTAGACGGGGTAACAATGGTCTCATACTGACGCCTATGAAAATGGTACATCTATAATTCATTAGTGAAGGGCCTAGCAACTTGGATTTACTTAGGGATAAATCCTTTTAATGATTGTTTCACTGATAATTTGAAAGCAGCATGCCTCAAAAATACGTAGATCCCTTCGACGATAGTTGGAGGTCCATCGCTTCGAAAGTCATCCTACCCTCTGACAGGCTGTATTATAACCTTATCCTATACATTTTCATTTTAAGTAATAGAGTAGATTCACTCAACTTGAAGACCACTGCGCCATGTATTCAGATAATTCCCAGTTAACAGAAGTAACTACTAACTACCAACCAACTAGTTGCCAGGCACAGTACTGGCAGGATCCCTTAGGTAATCCCTTACATAAGCCCCTCGGGAGCCGCGATCCCCTCACCAGCGCCCGGGCAGCACTCCGCTTCCCCGCTTCAAAAACCCCAACTCTCAAAATGGAAGAGGACAAGGCCTCCAAGCCAAAGAAGAAGGGTGCCACTAAAAATCTACAATGCACAATATGTTCACGCTACTTTCATCGCCTGGAGCATCTGCAAAGACATGTCAGAACCCGTGAGTACTTGTTTTTCCCGGCCACAGCCCGCCGCCCCCTCTCTCTATTTTAGAAGAAACATATTGCTAACGTGGATCAAGACACGAAGGAAAAACCTTTTCTCTGTGAACGCTGCCACAAAGCATTTGCCAGAAGGTCTTTTTACCTCCACATCATTCCTTTCTCCCTCACAAATTCCCAATTGCTAACAATCATATAGCGACTTACTAGTGCGACATGAACGATTGGTCCACCCGGCAGAGACAGCGGCAAGTCGAGAAAACCGCTCCCACAATGGAGCCGAAAACCACCATGATATCCCAATGCAGTCATCCTCCATCATTCAACCTGCCCACCATGAATCCCGCATGCTAGAGCTAGCAGACGCTATTCCAGTCCATAATCAACTGCCCCCTCCCGAGGTACAGATCCAGCCACCACCAATAGTCGAAACCACGCACTTTAATCCGTCATGGGGCTACGACTTGAACCTCTTGTCGCATGCTGCAAGTCATGTGGCATTAGAAGGGCAGCAGGAGAATCTGGAACCAATGCGAAAACCATCCCATTCGGTTGGCACCCCGTCACAGCAATCTCTTCCACAGGTTGCCGAGAGAACCATCACCGACAATTATGGAGTCGAACCTTCCATTCTTGACCTCACAGACCTTGGTGACCCAGTTCAGGATTTTACGGTCTTCCTTGAGAGTGTTGGACTCTCAAGCGATTGGGATTCAGGCATATTCAGTTCAGTGGAGGAGCCAATGCTACCACCGGGCCTTGCAATTGACTCGAAGCAGCATGTTCGGGAAGCAACCGCATCAACGAGACTCGGAGGAGATCTCATGAGTGACCCGCGTGTCCAAGCTGATGAGCCGCCCTCGTTCTCCAACTTTGGATCCCGGTTACCCTCGTTGCAGCCGGAGTCGCATGAAATGGAGGATCGCATTGGTCTTTCAGACGATAGCTCCCGGCCTGCATGGGACATCACCAACGCGGATCGTCAGGCATTCATCTCTAAGCTGGAGGAGTTCTCATTTGTTCTCCCCAAAGGATTCGTCCCGCCCTCACGACATGCTCTATCTCGCTTTTTCGCAGGGTATATCAATGGATTGAATGAGCATCTACCTTTTGTTCACGTTCCGACCCTTTCTATTGCGAAATGGTCTCCTGAGCTCACCTTGGCGACAGCCGCTGCAGGGTCGCACTACCGGTTCGAAAATGGCCGTGGAATCGATCTTTTTCATGCAGCTAAGGCAATTCTACTAGAGCGTCTTCGCCGAAGGGACAGTAGACAGGTGCCTCAACCTTCATGGAACTATATTTCTCCCCCTCTGGTGGTTTCCATACCTCACGAGGCTCATCGATGATTTCAAACACGGCGAGCAGCCCATTCCAGCCCCCGCATATGCCACATCCGCCGGTGAACGTGTCGATATATACACCTGATGATTCCGATGCTCATATGGAGGTAATCAGAACCTTCTTGTTGCTAACTGTCTTCGCGTCATGGGAGAAACACCCAGAACTGCTTCGAGAAATCCTCTCGCTGCAAAGCACATTAGCAAGGCTGGTCCGGGAGCATGGTCTCGCAGAGCCACCCCCTACTCCCGACCCTATCAGCTGGGAGGAGTGGGTACGGCGAGAAGGAAACCGGCGAACGAAACTCATCGTTTACTGTTTCTTTAACCTTCACTCGATCATGTACAATATACCTCCCCTCATCCTCAACGGGGAGCTTAAGTTGAATATGCCCTGCTCCCACGATCTTTGGAAAGCAAGTAACGCCTCGCAATGGAGGCGTCTCCATCGCAATCGCCAAGGCTCAGATGTTCCTTTTCAGGAAGCGTTTGCTCGCCTTTTCCTCAAATCTTCTACCTCTTTCCCTTCGGCGCCCATTTCTCCCCTCGGCAACTATATCCTTATTCATGCCATCATCCAGCAAATTTTCTTTGCCCGTCAACTCTGCCTTTCTGCTCCAAACATGCAAGGCACCAGTCTGAGATATGAAGATCTCAACGTATTAGACAATTCGTTAAGTGCCTGGAAGGCGCTGTGGAAACGCACGCCTGAGTCCAGCATTGACCCTCAGAACCCCGCAGGCCCTATTGCATTCACCTCAACTGCACTGCTCGGCCTTGCCTATATTCGACTCCACGTCGATCTTGGCCCTGCCGTCACCTGATCACTCAAGACCCGAAGCAAATTGCAGGAGCCTTGAGCGAGTCACCCCCAATAGTGCGGAGTCCTCGACTGATTATGGCATTGTTACACTCTGCTCATGCTCTTTCCATTCCTGTCAGGCTGGGAATTGACTTTGTTGCGCGGACTCACTCGTTCTTCTGGAGTATCCAACACTCCTTGTGCAGTTTGGAATGCGCCTTTCTTCTCAGTCGCTGGTTGCTTGCCATCCCTGCCACACAATCGGAGCAAAGGCTATCAGAGCATGAGCGCAAGCTTCTTCTGTGGATCAAGAGCATGATGGATGAAACCGACATGGCTGTTGACCCACCGGGAGCGCCGGACTTGGAGTTCATGACGAACCCGTACAAAGTGCGCCAGCTGAGTGTAGCAATTGTTCGTGTCTGGGCCCGGACCTTCAAAGGAAATACCAGCTGGGCTATTGTTGATCTTGTTGGGTCAAGTTTGAATGATTACGCCGATCTTCTGGAGTGCTGAGCATGTCCTTTCTCGCTGAATTATGTTCCCGTTTCTCTCTTTCACGTCAAGGGAAGCAAAAACAAGACTGGTATTCACGCTTTGACCAGTAGCACTACACACTACCCCCTTAATGACTTTATTGCTTTTTTCTTTCTTCTCTTCTCGTTTGGATGGACATGATATTTTTCTTCTTCGGAGTTTTGTACATGCAGGGCTTTGGCTTTTGGCTACCTCGGGGATTTTTCTGTTTTTTTTTTTTTCTCTTACTTTCAAGGCCCGGTTTCTTGGTCTGCATGTATGTATGTATTATGATCGGCTCTTGTTATTGCTGTCTATACCCGGTGATGCGCGTTTCTCAGCCAGGGCATGAATGATTTGTTTTTAGCCCCGTCTTTTTCTTTGGCATTTGCCCTTGATTTGGATGAGATCGACTTGGTATTTTTCCAAGCCAATACTATCCAATTAATGTCAACTACCTCGAATATCTGATTGTTCTAAAGATAGGTTGGATGTTTTAGGCTGTCTCGGAAAGCGGCATGAAATGTTGTCGAGCATCTCTCAACCAACCATTGTCTGCTCAAGGTCGAAAAGACATCTAAGACAATGTACCTGGAACCACTTCCCCACTGACATGTCACCCCGCCTGAAGAAATTGATTTGCAGTGTATTGGGGGACGATGAGGACGTGCTTTTCGGTACCGGTAAAGGGCGCAAAATCCTGAACATGTGAAGCGAGGCAGCCCCAACGGAGCCTTTATTCTGTCAGCTCTTGTCAAGTCAACTTAAAAATGGCAAGAAATGATTTATGGATTTATGAACCAGTGTTTCCATGAAACGAGATAAGAATGAAAATGCGCGCGCCTCGTGACAGAGAGAAAAGGGAAATTTAGTATGGATCGTATTTTGGTATCTTTATATATTCGTAAGTAGAATCATGTGGGTCATCATCAAGTGCGAAGTTTCCAAATAGTTCGGTATCATAAGGCCTAAGACTGCTTCGGTGGCGCTTTGGGCCCTCGGTTTCTCGATAGACTCGCAGGCACAAAACGGAGGGCCGACATCGACCGTTCCAGCTCGTCAATTTCCATATCATCAGATTCATTGAGAGGAGAACCATTGGGTGTGTTCTGGGAAACTTGACCCGCCGCAGAAGGGATACTGGATTGGGACACCGAGCTGCGCCGGCGTAATCGACCCTCATGAGCGGACGATATAGACGCTATGGAGATGCGTCGTCGTCTGTTCTGGTTATTTTTCGTCGATGAAGGTCTCAACAGAGATGTTTGCTTCCCGATGCCATCATTGACAATGTAGAAGTTGTAGTCCTGCCCAATGGATCAGTAAGTCTCTTCCTGCGTTACACATTTGGACCAAGAGGATATGGATATCCCGTACTCGAGGAAAGCCATGCTTGTCTATGAGATGCATTCGACGTTTGGATGGTGTGGAACATTTCTTCGCGCAATCTTCAATGAAACAGCCATACTGTGATCGAATAAGAGATTCCATTAGCGCTGCGCCTTGTCTCTATTCTCCCGGGAATATTCCCAATTCCTCACAGTCTTTTCTCCGCGGGCCCGACGGGCCTCGGTCAGAGCGTCATGATTTTCTTCAATGTGCAGATCCAGCAAGGTCTGAGAGGGGAGATTCTTCAGGCATTGCATGCATTGGTTGGTGTGCACCTGGTTGTAGTGCACTTCGTAGTCTTCGTAGGAACTGAACCCGAGGGTTTCGTGGGGCGGGAGGCTACAATGCATGACCTCGACCGGTTCGGTTTCCAGGTGAAGGATCTTGCTGGACTCCGGGGGCGATGAGGTAGATGTCACCGGTAACGTGGGCCTTGCACATAACTCAGGCTCGGTCGACGGCGACCGTGAGGACGTTCGCGAGCGTTTTGTCATCGTGCAGGACAGACCGCAAAGCTGATCCGGGCGGGGCTGAATGCAGTCAAGACTAGCGGAGAGTGCAGCTCGCCATGGTCGGTGGATCGTGCTTGAGAGTCAGGGAAGACCGCCGTCGCCTCCCTTTCGTGCTTTGTTCAATGCTTCAATGCTGCAATGCTTCCATGTTCCTTCGTCCAGCTGGACTTTGTGGAGCGTTCCTGAGCGTCGAGTGTACAGCCACAAACGCGCGCCAACAATTGGCCGAGCCACAGGGGGGGTTCCGCGGCAGTTTCTCCACGCTCTCGACGCTTTTTCGCAATCCTCCCTCCAACCCCAGCTTTCTCCTCTCTTGACTTCTCCTGGCGACTTCCCCGAACTGATGGCTTGTTCACCGTCTTCGCCCGCAGACGTCCTTCCAGTCGCCATCTGACGGAGGTCTTCGGTGGGCATTCGGGACGTGCCAACCTGAGAGCATGGCGTCCTTCCAGGATGCGTGGCAGTCAGTCTTTCTTTTTTTTCTCCCTTTGAGATTTCCCTTTCAGCCGCATAGCATACAGAGCGGTGGTCTGAGGGAGTGAATGAGCGAATAGTGAAGGAGATCTAACGGAAGCATCGACAGGACTGCGCTCGCCGCCGAGCAGGAACTTATGCGCTGCCTGGCTGAGAAGGAACCCACATTCGGCGAGGTCACTCACTTCCTGGGGGAGTCAGTTACACCCATTCCCCAGTGCCCCTCTGGCGCACGCGCTTCGTTGGTGCTAACCTCGAGTCTCTCTCCAGATTCCGCCCGGCTTGTCAGAATGCCATACTCCTCGACTTCGATACCTCCCGTAAAAATGACGTCGAGGGTCGTCTTTGGGATGCGCATCTGAAACTCAACACCCGGTTTCGCAAACAGCTCTCTCGTGTGAGTACACGGCCACCGGAATATATTGAGAAAGGCCTCTTGGATGGACTCGACATTTCGCTGACGAATGCGACCTCGACATTTAGTTCCGCGAGGAAAACACAAAGAAGAAACCAATCGAGAAACGAAAACTTGAAAAGCATTACCTGGACTTCATCAAGTCGAGCCAACGATTCTACCGAGGATATATTCAGCATCTCTCGTCGCATTTTGGAGGCATTGTGGAGTTGGAGAAAGTCGCGCGCAAATTCAATTTTGAGAGTGCGCATTTACCCTCCTATCATTCTGTGTCTCAAAAGTCCCTGTGCTGACTCGGAGTTCTCTGTGATCTAGGTCTATCAGTGAGCCGACGCTCGAAGATCACAACAGACTTGCGTAAACATATTCTCCAGTCTTGCCATGCGACCTTGATCCGTCTCGGTGATCTCTCCCGATATCGGGAGACTGAGCTTGTTAGTAAAGACCGCAACTGGGGTCCCGCCATTGGATACTATGACTTGGCCTCTGCGATTTACCCAGCATCGGGTGCGTCGCACAACCAACTGGCCGTGATCGCACTCGCGGATGCCAACCATTTTCGAGCTACATATCACCTCTACAGGGCGCTGTCCGCACAGGAACCTCACCCCTCTGCCAAGGGGAATTTGGAAATCGAATTCAGAAAGGTAATGAATTTATGGGTCAAACGAGAGCTTATCCGCCTCGAGGATGCTGGTATTCCCGGTCGAGCCCTGGCCCCGTGGTTCGTCTATCTTCATGCACAGTGTTACAGAGGGAACGATTTCCCCGAGCATGACGAGCTGGAGAGTGAGGTCATGAGCCAATTGGCAGTGGACATCAGAGAAAGGTCCCTTGAAGGAACGCTGCAGAAGTTCTGTTTGGTCAATATTGCCGCAGAGGAGTTCGCCAGAGCTCGATCAACTCAGGAGTCCGTCTCCAATGCCCGAGTTTTCTTCCAGCGTATCAACGTGAAAACATTTTTCACGTTCCTGCAAATCCTCCTGGTGGAGTTAGAGCGTTTCGCGGCTGAAGATTCGAGCAGTACGAGCAGCAAAGAACACAAGAATGGCCCCGACAAGGTGACTGTGGTTGCGCGGCGAATCCTGCCTGCACTCCGGAATTATAGTTCCTGGCTACTCACGACTAGTGACTTCCTCGTCGCCCAAAAAGAAGAAAAGGATTCCTCGCTTTCGATCCAAATCAAAGAATTTTGGAAGATCTATGCCGGCACTTTGACTCTTCTAGCGTCCACTTTTGATGTTGTGCACCTTCCTGAAATCGACTATCTTCTGGAAGAGGATGAGGAAAGCCTTGGATTTGCGCCTCTGGATCAGGCCGCCACTTCCCGCCGATATATCGGCGTGGGCAACAAACTTAAGCCACGAATGAATGATCCAGGTGTGGAAAGAAGCCATCCCAACATCGAAATGCTTTATCGAATCCGCGAGTTCGTCATTGACGGTCTTGATCTGGTGGTCAGAAACGTAAGTCCACAGCTGCAATTAGCAATGTCGCTCGCTTTACTAAGTCATATCTCTTAGAAAATCCCTCTTGCGCTGGTGGATGATGAAGACAAAAAGACATTTATCTATCAAGAGGACGGATTGCCAACTCAAATATTTTCCAGTCCTCATGGCCGTCAAAACACCTTAACGACGCCTAATATTGAGCGAGAGGACATCCCACAAGCCGCCGCCGACTCCAACTCCGTCGCTGAGGCTCGTAGCATGTTTGGTGGCTCTCAATCTGCCTCGGCCTCCATGTCCGCCAATATGCACCGAATTGTGGAAGACGTTGAACGCTTGGTTGAATCAGACACGTATGAGAACGCACCTTCTGTGCCAGATCATTTCACTTTCATGCCTGATAGCGAGGACATGCCCACACCCTCTATCGGAACTAGTGCCAACGCCTATGCCTTCACCGAAAATGTACAGCCCCTGGGAACACCAATTGCGCCTCCTGGGCTTCGCCCACCCGTTGTCAATGCGGCAGAGCTACTTCGCACCTCTTCCTCGCAATCCTACACACCGTTGCCCGCACTTCCAAGCATATGGAACATCTCCCCCGCTTTAAGAGGTAGTACCTCTCCGCGCACACCTCCTGGTCTCGGCCAGCCATCTCCAATGCACGCAATGCCTGTGGACCGATCTCCATCCCAGGACCAGGTCGCAAATGATCTGCTTCGGCATAGTTTGATGGGCCAGACCCAGCTCTCTGGATCCCTTGATGTTTCAGGTTCGCTTTCTTCTTCATGGCTTCCTCCATCGAACAATACGGGCCCTGAAGCAAACCACTGGGGCCCAGATCCACGCCGGTTATCGTACAATTTCCCTAGCCAGCCATTGTCAAGCGGTTTTCCAAATCAGTCATGGGCAAATGATGGTTTCATTGCTAGCAGCCTCCCTTCAGGTACGGCTTCCTATGGCTCTGGTTTCAACAGTCATCGCAAATCAACCCAACTTGGTGCGATCGGCCAGACCCCGCCTTGTGGCCAAGGTGGTTGATTAGAGGCATTGGCCAATATACAACCAAAATCATGGAATTCACCTGCCCACGTGTCTAGTACCGATACCAATTGAAAGGAATACATCGGTTCAAATGAATTGCGACTCTCCTTGGTTATCCCAGTCCTAGCATGTTGAGCAAGTACAATTTTTCCAATGGACAATGACCCCTTAGTGGGCCAGGACAAGAGATGTGCCCTACTCGTGTTGCCCTGCATTCTTCTATGGATTGCACTGCCTCGTTAGGTCCATCCAAAAGCCTGTTTTCCACGGAACGATCTCCAGCTGGGAAATATTAACCCCATCTCACACTGATAATGAGATCCGTTTATTCCCACTGGAAACCTCCGCTCCTTGGTTTAACTTTTCTATCCCCTTTGGCAGCTCCTTACTTCCCGTGCACGGGATAGGTAATATGTTCTGCGCGTTCAACACGCAACATGGCGGGAAACGAAGATCCAAGCGAGGTCTTTATGTCCTCCCCTACATGGCCTGCGCTATCGGAGGAAGTATTTATCCAGTTCAATTGCACCTTTCTTTTCTTTGTACCGTTCCACGCGAAATGATGCCTTCATGGACCTTTTTTTTCTTGCGTTCGCGCCTTTTTTCCCAAGTTTTTCGGGTGGAGGAAGATGTTAGTCATGGAAGCAGTGCTTCCCAGTGAGGAATGCTTCTTTGTGTATGTTCTTGTCAGAATTGGCTACTGGCTTCTCAGTCTCGGCTATCTCGACGAAACTAGCGGCGGTTCAATGAACCGCAATCCTACAATTTTGAGAGCCATTTTCCTCAATCTTAAGGACCAACTCTTAGGTCGAACGAATATGCTGTAGAAAGAATCAAGTAACAAAAGGCTTTTTTGGTCTTACACTGAATATAATTCAGGTATTTATTTCATGTTTATTCGTTACATCGTTGTTGAAAACGGGGCACTTGTGGTAGAGCGCATATTCCCCAGGATTCGCCTGCTTCCTCTCCGATCTCTGCTCTCTCCTTGCTTTTATCGCACATCATGCCCGCGCCGAAACGTAGGGTAGTCATAACAGAAAAAGTGCATGTGAGTAGATAAGGAAAGAGGGGAAGCAGGATTATTTCAGAAAGGACATAGAGCCTTTCCATGGTTGAATTTAATCGACGTTAAGTCGAGGTAGGAAATTGGAAGTAAAGAGAACTTGAAAAAAAGGAAGTTGGAAAAAAGAAAACGAAATTCGGGTATAGAGGGTTGAATCATCCAAGATTGAATAGTGCATTGTGCCAATCAGTAATTGAATTGATTGGTGCACCGAGGTCTTCCAGTGAGAAGATCTTTTGTGTTGAAGGTCTTTATTTTCTATTCTTTTATGAAATGCGCATTGGGAATAAGCGATTAAGAGCGGGAGTAGGTCTGCTTGGGGGAGGGGAAGCTGCGGATTTCAAATTAGCTTTTCGGGCCCGGATATAATGAGATTATTTTTCAAAGGAAAACTCACGAAGGACCCAGCTCCTGAATGCTCTTGCTGGCCAGCCACTGGCCCATGTCAATGCTCTCATCAAGAGACTTGCCCGCAACAACACCGGCGCAGAAGCCACCAGCGAAGGCATCACTAGAGAAATATCGTTAGCATGAATGCATTTGAAACTGACATCTGATTTTCAATTCTTACCCGGCACCGTTGGTGTCGTTGATAGCATCCTTGGAGATCTCGTGAACGTTGAACTCCTTGATCTCGACGGTGCCATCGGCAGAGGCAACACCGACAACAGTAGGAAGGGTACCCTGGGTGACAATGGCGACTCTGGGGCGCTGGGTGTTCTTCTTAGGCAGGAGGGCGAGCTTCTTAGCGATCTCAACAACGTCCTCGGTGCCCCACTCGTGGCTGGCAGCGTAGGCACGGGCCTCGGTCTCATTACAGAAAGTGTAGTCGGTGTAGGGCAGAACGCTGTCCAGCTGTTCCTTGAAGAATTGAGGAATGAAGGGGGCCGAGAGGGAGAGCATGAAGATCTATAATTTTTTTTCAAGCCGTGAGAAGGAAATCCAGTGTATATAGGGAAGTGTTTTATATTACCTTGTTCTTGGCAGCAGCCTCTTCACCAAGAGCCAGAATAGCGGGAACGCAAACAGTCAGGTGATAGCCACCGACATAGTAGACCTGAGCCTTCTCGACGAGAGACCAGACCTGGGGCTGCTTCAGGTGCTCAATCTTGTACTCATTGGCGGCAGCGAGGTGAGTGCACATGCTGCGGTTGTGACCAGTGATGACAACACCACACTTGCCAGTGGGCTGAGCCTCATCAACACGGTACTCGGTGTGGACACCAGCCTCCTCACAGGTCTTCTTGAGGATGTCGCCGTACTTGTCCTTGCCGATACAGCCAATGTAGACAACGGAGTTGTCCGGGAGCATGTACTGTGGGGAAACATTGTCAGCAAATAATCAAGTCAAACTCATCCTGGAAAATCTCGCATTTGGAATGAATGGTCCATACCTGGGCACCACGGGCGGTGTTCTGGGCAGCGCCACCAGGGATCAGCTTAGCGTCACGGGAGAGGAGGTCCTCATAGATGCCCATGTGCTGCTCCTCGGCAAGGATAGCATCGTTGTCCTTGAGACCATATTTCTCGAGCAAAGCGGCATCACTATGAAAAATCATTAGCTATTTTGTTCGTCATCCTTAGATTGCTATGTCAATTCATACCCACGAGCCTGGATGTCTACAGTAACTGTCAGCAATCTATTGCATCATCACTATTTCCGAAACACGGAGGCACTCACCAAGGAGAGGGTTCTCCAAGCACAGCAGAGGGTAACCTTGAGGAGCAGCCATTTTGGATGATAGTTCAGGGATTCAGGGGGGAATTGGAGAGGGAAAGGAGAGAAGTCAAAAGGTGGGACAGAATGGAGTAAAAGCAATGGAGGGGTCGGCGGCAGAAAATGAAGGGCGGAAGGTCTGAAGGGAGCTCCACAGTGGACAACTACCGACTCCGGACCAGAAGGTCCTCCGGATTCTCTTCGTCAACATACACCCCCAGCTCAACGTTCCCCTTCGCAAATTATGGCCGATCATACCTTGGGGGTCCCTGAGACTCTTCAATCATTTTCTATCAAAGCCCATCCGTCTGCCGCCCACGATGTCAACCCGGCTACCGCAGCCTCGGAAAAACAACCAGTCGTGGCCAGCCCAGCTTCTGATGCCGGTAGCCTGTCTTCAGATATCGTGGATCCCAGTCGAGTAATTCGTCCTATTCGTCGGCGGCAAACGCTTCCTCCATTGCCAGATCTGCGCTTCGAGCAGAGCTACCTGGCCAGTTTGAAGGATGCCGAGACATGGGGACGTGTGGCGTGGATTACCATCAGGGACCAGGTACGGACTTCCTCCTTATCAGATGACAAAAAGAAGGGAAGCCAGAAGTAGGAATGGAGAGATCGGTCAGGCTAACAATGTACTATGTATCTCTCCTTCAGGTCCTACTTCCCCTCATCCAAGGTACCGTCTGGACACTCGCGCTTTCAGGGTGGCGCTTCTGGAACCGCAACGCCTCACTCAGCGGACATACTCTCGGAAGTCGGATCCGCAGATGGTGGTACGAGGTCAACAACTGGAAGTTGCCCCCAATGCGTTGGACCAAGGATCCGAAAGTAGCCACGCAGGTCGAAGATGTGAGTAAATCGTTTTAACTCGCCTGGTCTAGAGCCGGGTCTGTGGAATATGTGCAGCTGACGATATTGGAGTTCTTACAGTTCTATGAGGCGCAGTTTTCGAATGCAGGCTCGAATTAAGCCCTTTGGTCGTGTTTGGATTGGGAAATAGGTAAAGGCAGCAAGGATAAGCAAGGATATGATGCTGTCTTTCTTTTTATCAGCATTATCTTTGGCGTTGGGTTCCGGCGTTTCATTTGACGGATGTCACCTCTAATTCTGTTCTATATCCCAATACTTTAGAGTGTTTTGTTTCCTCTTTTTCATCGACCAAGGTCATTGGAAACGTGTCCTATCAAACCAAAATGAAATTGCACATATTCAATAAAACGGATGTCCCATATAGGTCTTACTCTCTACATATATACACATATATATTTCTCATTTTCCTCGTAGGAATGGGTTCCGCTCTTGTTTATAAACGACATTTCTCTCACTTGAACTTCACTTTACGTCGAATCAAGTGAGAGTAGTAGGCAAGAAATAAAACTCCCATTCTGAGCAAGCTCCATACTTGGCCTATATCTTCGAACAAACATAATTAACCCAAATTCGGGGCATTCTCGAACAATAGCAAGAACAAAAAAAATGTAAACGATTAGCTGGTTGAATGCCAGCCCTGCGTGATAGCTGTCGGCGCATAATGCATTCCAGAACCAGGATGGCTTCCAGCGCCAGATCCAGGCCCAGTGACCCCATTCGATTCTGCAGTTTGACTGGCCTTCGGCACGTCTGATAGCGCAGAGGCTGGATTTTCAGAGGCTGAAGGCATGGTAGATACAGAAAGCAGGTTGTTCTGGGCCTGCGGAATGACCTGAGTGGCGCTTGGTACGGAAGGCATAGAAAGAGCAGTCATTGTCTGAACCGGAGGCGCAGCCTCCGGTGGTCGCAACGGTGCAGATTCTGGCGCAGAAGCCAATGCTGATGTTGGGGGCTGAGCTGGTTGTTGTGTCGATGATTCAACTTGATCGGCATCTTTCATCAAGGTATCTTGTGCCGGAGGGGGCTCATCTAAGACCTTAGAATCATTCGACGCATGGGTTTTGTTGTAGCGAAGCTGGACCACAAGACTGGGGGACTCTTCATTGATGATCGATTCATCTCCACTCGCATTTTCACCTTCGTCATCACCCTCAAAGTCATTCTCATCGTCATCTCCGCCATCCCATTCTTTACCACTGTCGTTGCCAGTTGAATGAGCATCCGATTCTTCTTCTAGGTCTGCATCGCCATATCCAGAATAGCCATTAGGGTGTGTCGATGTCCGATTTCTTTGCGGTCTCCTGGTGTCTTCATCCTCGCCATCGTCCTCGGTGTCTTCGCGTTGGCCACTGAGAAGGGTCTCCCCATAAACACCACCGGCTCTGGAGCGAATTTGTCGACCGCTTGCCGTGAATTGGGGACGCGAGCGCTCAGCCAATGCATCGGTGCCAGATACGTTGCGAGTTGACCGTCTTGTTGGCTGGTCATCAGAAAAAATATCATCATCATCATCATCGTACGTGTACTTCAGCTTTTTGCCACGGGTGCGGCCCTCGTACATAGAAAAGCCAGGTTCAGGTCGCAAGAACGCCGCCTTGCGCGCCAAACGATAATCACGCCGCTTGCGTTTCTAGAACAATGATAAGCACAATATCTCCCCTCTTGCGGGCGCAGTTGATAGACTTACCTCTTCTGATGCCTCAAACCGAGGAATTGCATTTTGAATCCTTTCGCTGAGTTTTTTGGAATTTATACCTTTCTCCTCCTGTAACCGTTCTGCAATGGCCTGCATCTCAGGAATGCTTCCGGCAACACTCCACCAACTGATATTTTTCAAAGCGGGGTTACTTTCCCGGTATAAACGGAAGTGTGTATCATCTTGGCCTTCGGCCAGCCAGTATCGTCGTTTTAAGCTGTCACGACCCCAGTGTTGAACAGAAAGCGGTTGGTTCAAGTCGTCATCGTGGCGCGACTGCTTGTATGACTCCTTGAGCTTGGCTTGGATCACATCGGATGAGGAAAGGGACCAAAGAATCAAAGACCGAAGAAGTTCGAGCTAGAAGACAGAAAGGAAAAGAAGGAAATGATCAGAATGGTAATCTGGCTTTGTAGGTCTTGTTTCAAAAGCATACGCGTTCTTCGGGCGACATGGTCGCAAAGCTACGCCCCCCGTGAAGGGGACTCTTGCCCTCCCATGCCTTGGGCCATTGCGACTGGTGGCTCTGTATGGCCTCTTCGAGAGGTCTTGTATAATGAGTGCGCCTAAACGGTCACGGGTGGCATTAGCGCTCCGTTATGGGTGCAATTGAGGGGGTTGGAAGTGCCAGGTGCGCGCCTTCCGGGACGCCGCGCGGATCCAGCATCGGGTGGCGACCATACTCAACATCTTTCTTGCGGTTCAAAACAAGTCCCAGCAAAGCGCATAGCAGTCGCTCAATATATTCGCCTGGGGTGGTGTCTTCCACTCCCTTCTCAATATCTTGTGGCCCGAAATGGGGCACGCTCCGAGGGAACGCTTCGTGGAAACGCGCGCGAAACATGACGATGAACTAGAAGCATTGCGATAACTCAGCACACGTGTCTTCGGGAGGACTGAACGCGTCGCAGGCGTGTTCGTATCTCAAGGAATGAATTTCATCCCATGGATTATCACAAGAACTCACAGGTATATGAGGGTTATCAGCCAGGACATATTCATGCGGTGGTGAAGGCTCCCGTTTCGGCGGAGGAGTCTCCGACTCCTTTTTGAAGTATTTAGCAATTCCGACAGGTTCATCGATCGCCATGGCTGCTTCATCATCTGTCGGTGGTGCCGAAGAGAGAGAAGAAAGGTCTGAGTCGGAGGGGGCCATGTTGGATTGAGAGTGGGGAGGTGATGTGAAGGGCAAAAGTTGGAGTCGGCGCAGGAAGCGTCACTTTCGGCATTGGCACCCTGCGCCCGCAGGGCGGTTATCCAGTGGATTCCTTACGCGCCTGATAGCGGTCTAGCATGCGATTTTTACATACAAACTCTACAGAGTGATATCGAGAATGAGCCATGAAATTCAATGGTTCATGCTGTGCTTCCATTTGGATGGCCAAGAGACTTGGTGATCTATAGACGGGCATCGTCCGGAAGGATGATATAAACCCTGAATTCCACGATTGACGCCACGATCAATGCGAAAGGAGCCGTTCACTTGTTCTTTACGCATGCAATGGGCGAATGAGATTATGTTCTGATGTTATGGCCAACACTGCAATCCTAAGAGATCTCTGGGTTGAAAATATCTCCCGATGTTGATATAAACTTATATCAAATAACGAACTCTGAATGCTTGATGTTGATCAACTTAGGATACTAGCATAGACAGATCATAGGTCAAGCCACCAGCTGGATACGTGGCAGATCGTATTTCTCTATGCTTGACATCCGAGGAGGTTCATGCCAGGTCGGTCTCCGCAACACCCACACGCACGGGCGGCAGTCACTTGGCGGCGTCAGGGCTAATTCCAAGCTCGGAGACCATCACGTGTTCGTGCTTATGTCACCCGGATTCATGGGCTCGTCATTAGCAGTGAGAAGTTGAACCAGCCTGCGGAGATAGACAAAATATGGAGAGCCTTAATATAGGAGAAGAGTAGACATAGCTCTGCTCTCTTATTTGATTCTTCATGAGCTTAGCCGATTTCCTCAACAATATCCAAGTCACCATCAAATCCCCCCATACTAAACGGGTAGCCAGGGCTATTGTTCGGGGCTCTGACCATGAGTATTACATAATATATGGTTACGCTAGCGCGGATTCGGTTAGGTTAGCGACCGCACCCTAAAGTCCACACAGTCCCATTCTCCGACGATTTCTCATCTCCTCAACGACAAGCCCATCTTCAATTCGAGGTACGCCCTTTTACTTCCCACCCCACGATTCTGTCTTCCTCGCCGGCAGTCGCCTGTCTCTCGAAAATACTAATACAGGTTTCTCTTTCCAGACAGTCGCCATGGGTCGTGTGATCCGCAACCAGAGGAAGGGCCGTGGCTCCATTTTCAGTGAGTGCGACCGACAACACAAATTCATCCCCGGGCACAATTTTTTCGTCGGCGCTATATACGAACGCATCGAGGATATTGGAAGACCCAGGAGGAAAACACACTTGAACAAGCAGGAACTGGAGTGCTGATATCGAACTTTTTCTATTTTATAGCGGCCAACACCCGTCTCAACAAGGCCCCTGCCCAGTTCCGTACCCTCGACTATGCCGAGCGTCACGGCTACACCCGCGGTGTCGTGAAGGAGATCATCCACGATGCCGGCCGTGGTGCTCCCCTCGCCAAGGTCCAGTTCCGTCACCCCTACAAGTTCAAGATGATCACCGAGACCTTCATCGCCAACGAGGGCATGTACACTGGCCAGTTCATCTACGCCGGTAAGAACGCCGCCCTGACCGTCGGCAACGTTCTCCCCCTCGCCTCCATGCCCGAGGGTACCGTCATCTCCAACGTTGAGGAGAAGGCCGGTGACCGTGGTGCGCTCGGCCGTACCTCCGGTAACTACGTGACCGTCATTGGCCACAACCCCGAGGATGGCAAGACCCGTGTCAAGCTCCCCTCCGGTGCCAAGAAGGTCATCAAGAACACCGCCCGTGGTATGGTTGGTATCGTCGCCGGTGGTGGCCGTACCGACAAGCCCCTGCTCAAGGCTTCCCGTGCCAAGCACAAGTTCGCTGTCAAGCGCAACTCTTGGCCCAAGACTCGTGGTGTTGCCATGAACCCCGTCGATCACGTACGTTTTTTTCTCTCTCCTGCTTTTTATGTCGAGAATTGGACCTAGACTAACCCCCTTATAGCCTCACGGTGGTGGTAACCACCAGCACATCGGTAAGGCCTCGACCATCTCCCGCTACGCCGCCCAGGGTCAGAAGGCCGGTCTTATTGCTGCCCGGAGAACTGGTTTGCTCCGTGGTACCCAGAAGACCAAGGACTAAGGGTGATATTACGCGGAGTTTTACTTGTGACGGGTTGAAAATGGACTTCTGCTATGAGACATATGTACTTAGGCGACTGAGGATAAGCGTGCCATGCGCCCTTAGCGAATTAAGGTTGTGGCCACCATCATATTTCTTGTCGAGCTAAAAAAAAATTATCAAAGGGGTGATGGAATGGGGTCCGGGGTTGGCCTCATGTCAAGGCAGAACGGAAAAGTCAAAAGGCCCACTAGGGCTCTGAAATGATACACCTTTCGAATTTTTCATACCCGTTCTGCTGCCATCAACCCTATCGTCGTAGATCCATCCAAGTAGACCCTCAGACATGGGTGTCAGATGCTTTTGGTCTTGTTGCAGCAATGACTAGGCTACCTATGGGATCTCAAGTGAATCAATCCATGGGGCTACTGATCCATACTAGACCTATTTAATTTCTTGTCTCATCATCCAAAGACCACCCTCGGATGTCTTGTGGATGTAGCAGGAGGATCAATTCGAAAATCGTGTTTTTTTTTTGCCCTGGTCCATTTTGAAGCAATGTCCGTCACCATAATATTGCCGCGGTGTGATCTCACCCAATGCCGCTCAGGTTGTGTGTTATAAATACACGTCTTCAAGTCCACAGTTTTTAGTCCTGTGGAGGCAGAGTACCTACATGTAATTTTAAACGGGCTTTTCATTTCCTGGATAAATCAGAAGTACCCCATCTATATATAAGCTGGTAGATTATGGTCTATATGCTTGCGTTGGGAAAGGCTCTGCAGTGGTCAAGATATATTTTCAGCCAGGACATTCCGTTCGAGTTGTCCTCAACTGAATTAACCTTAAAAACTTTATCCTCATCGCACAAGCAGTATTGAAATTCACCCTCACGATCGAGGTCACCCCATAAAATGTCCAACCCCACATCCTACGAGCCCAGGGCACCAGGTCAGTGGTGGTTGTACCGTTGTACCACCCCTCTACGGCCATGACGGACACTGACCTCAAAGTGGCCAATCAGCGGGCTCCAACCAATTGGAAACCCGGATTCTCCAGACTTTCAAATATAATCCCAAGCCCGGGACGATTCTACGTCTCCTCTCCACCTACTTGTAACTCTTGTCTTTGTGCAGTTCCTCATGTGACCTCTCAAACCTCTGAAGCTAGGTTCCATCCACCATGTCCACCTCCAAGAGTGCGCCTCAGAAAATTCCCCGTCTCACCCGGCCGGGCGACACCCTCACTTCCGCTCAGCGGTGGCAAGCCATCACCACGCGCGATGCCACGATCAACAGCTTCGTATATGCCGTCCTCACGACGAAGATCTACTGCCGACCGTCCTGCGCCGCCCGGCTCGCGCGCCGCGCAAACGTCCAGTTCTACGACACCCCCGCGCAGGCCGAGGCTGCAGGCTTCCGGCCCTGTAAGCGCTGCCGGCCGCAATCAGGCCGGACGGCGGTTGAGAGCAACCCGCAGACAGCGATCGTGCAGCAGGCCTGCGCGGCCATCCGCGGCAGCCTCGCGGCAGGGCTGAAACCGCGACTGCAGGACCTGGCGGCTCGGGTTGGGCTCACCCCGAGCCATTTCCATCGCGTGTTCAAGAAACATACAGGCGTCACGCCTGGGCGGTACTATGCAGACCTGGCGGAGGGCCGGGCTAGCGAGTCTTCTGGGGCTGGGACGCCGGGGTCACTGTCTGAGCTTGGCACGCCGCGCTTGGACATGGAGGAAGGGGGAGCGAAAGGCGTGTTGCAGTTGGATGCGGGCGAGAGCCTACTGAATTTGTTATTCCCAGAGACCGGGGCTGGGGTAGGGGTAGGGGATGGGTTGTCGGCGGTTGCGTGTGAGCAATCGCCTTGGATCTTGGCTGAGCCTGATTGGAATGAGTTTGATGTTTTGCTGGCCGCCCAGCAAGGGCTTGGGGGCTGGTCTTCGGATTCGTTGTTTACTGAGCCTTCTGCTGGGACCACCTCGGCACTCGAGTGATTGCGTGGAAGGGAAGTTAGCGTTGTTCGGCGGAAAGGCAAAACCACAATGGTCACATTTGGACAGGATACAGACGATACTACTGTTGCTGCCGATGCTAGGAGACAGGGCATCCGGACCAACGGGTGACCCATGATGCTGCTACGACTAATGAAGATAAACAATTCAGATCATACAAGCCTGGATAGACGAATGTATTAATTAAACTTTGGAGTTGATCTTAGTGGGACCGAAGCGTGAGCCCATTGTATACTGTGTACCCTATAGGTACGGGAGGGTACCCTCGGGCCGCCATGGACAGTCACTTCGATGCTGCGGTGGAAATGAAAGCGCCCCGCCTCCCCCAGCCCCTCTTTCGGTTGCGACGCCAAGGGGTGTGTCACTCCAGAAAGTGCTGATTCCCTAAACTCAATTACCACGATCGACGTAGTCCGTTATCGCCTATCGCCACCAGGCCTCCCTGTCGGCAAGGAACAGCTGAAACAGCCTTGAAAACCTTGGCCACTGATGCTCCGTGCGCATTTGCCCTGGTGGGGGAGGCTGGGAGGGCGCGGTGTTCCGTGCGAAGTATAGAGTACAGAGCCCGGAGTACTGTGTGGAGGTACACCACTGAATACTCGCTGAGAGACCTCCCTCAGGTACCGTGCTGTCCCCTGCGGTACCTCTATACCTCTTTGCCCCTAGACCGCTTTACCGGTATACACTCGAGTGTCCCTTGCGATGGAGTGTACGTATGCAGGTGAGCAAGCTCCGACAGATGGGAGGGGCCGATCGGCCCGCCACCGCACGATCTCATCTAATCTGTGGGCATGAGCAAGATGAGAAAGATCGGAGAAAAAGAAGAAAAACGAGCCAGGACATCTTTGGCGCTGAAGCCAGCCTGAGCCTTTGTTAGCATGTCTCCTGAACCAGCATCGTTGGACCCTGGCCGCGGTGGCAAAGACGACAGGAGGAGAAGAGGAGAAAGAGGAGAACGAGGATAATTATAGTAGCAGGTTACTCCGTACCAAAGGTTCAACCAACTCCGCGACTCCACGAACGGCCTGAGACCTCCTTAAATTCTCGAATTATGATGGACGAGGATCCGGCCCGCCGTTCCTGGCCCTCCAATTGGAATGGTCGATCTCCACCTTCGCTCCACCAACGCGTGTCACAAGTTTAGCCGCCATCGAGGGCCCGGCCATTTGGCCATTTGAAACACGGAGGGTCTCGGGATGGAGGGAAAGACGGAGTGGAACAGATGACGGAGAAAGAGAAATCCAGAGAGACCACAAGAACTGCTGGACGAGACTGGACGAGACAAGACGAGACGAGACGAGGCTTCGAGCCGAAACATGGGCCATCGACCAACAAGCAGGGCCTGTCGCGCATTCCCCACCGATCGACGACAATGTTGGCCTCTGCATGCAGTCAATCGCATTGAGCGCAAGTCCAGAACCTTTTTTTAAATATTATTTTGGTTGGGGATTGTAAAAATACCCCATAACCCGACCGAATACAATTGATAACCAGAATAATCAATCACGAATCACGAATCACGCATCCTGGTGAAGTTGCGCGGGGACCGGGGCATGCTTTAATTTATCGCCAAACTCACCTGCCCCATTTCCTTCCCAATCTCTCTCTCCCCCCACTGCTTCTCCTTTCTTCTCAACGCTCGTTTTCTTAACTCTCTCAACTCTCTCAATTCTCTGTACTCTCCTCGTCGCATCGACAACTTCGTCAACTTGTATACGTCCTACTCCAACCCCCTGCGTCGATCTGGTTCCAACCGATGAGCACCAGCCCCCCTTTCCCCTCGGTGACCCTGTGAATTTGTGACATCCCATAAACTTTCCCCATCCCTGGTGGCCGTCCATCCTTCCTTCACACTTATTCCACAAGACCATTTTCGTTCGCAACCATCCGACCAATCGCGTCGAGGTGCGCACCGTTTCCGGCGGAGCTGTCTATCAGATATACGAACACACTCAATCTTGCAACGCCCCTCACTTTTGCTATAGCTATAGCTACCCCCTATTCACCATGCATGTGAACAAGAGAATCGGCCGCTTCAAGCAATGGGCCGGAGAACGGATGGGAGGAGAGGTGAAGACCAACCAGACTGATGATTTCAAGGCCATGGAGACAGAAATGAATGTGCGACATGAAGGTAAGTGGTAGCCAGGTCATTTCACCTGAATCTGCCCGTTTTCTAAAGAAGAAAAAGAAATATGGAGCCATGAACATGCGCTAATCTAGGACACTCTTCTGTCAAAATCGCAGGTGTGGACCGCATTTACAAGTCCATGACCGCATACGTCAAAGCCATCTCGAAGCGCAGCGAGGGTGACGATAAAGAGAAGACCCTCCCCGTCGCCCATTTGGGAAGCGACATGGTCAGCCATGGAGAAGACTTTGACGGGAATTCGGAAATCGGGCAGTGCCTGATACGTAAGTCGTGACTCCGTCGAGGCCAGGGCAAATGAAATGACTGACCCGGTATGCCATAGTGTTTGGGAGGACTGAAGAGCGCATCGCGCGCATCCAAGAGAGCTACATCGCACAGGCAAACTCGAGCTGGCTTGAGAGCCTGGCTCGATCAATGACCCAGATGAAAGAATATCAGGTTCGTGACCTCACAAGGAATGTGACGCATTCCAACATTTGACTGATCTTGAACCGTCACAGCAAGCACGCAAGAAGCTCGACAGCCGCCGCTTGGCGTATGATACTTCGCTCTCCAAGATGGAGAAAGCCAAGAAAGAAGACTTTCGAGTGGAAGAAGAGCTTCGCACTCAGAAGGTCAAATACGAAGAGGCCAATGATGATATACTCCGCCGCATGCAAGAAATAAAAGATGCGGAGGCGGATAGTGTCATGGACATGGGAACTTTCTTAGACGCTCAGCTAGAGTATCACGAGCGATGTCGCGAAGCGCTCTTGCAGCTTCGAAATGAATGGCCTGGCGGGACCGACCAGGGGCCGGCGCCGACCCGTCGCGCGAGCCGCGCTCGCTCGAACACAGCGCAGTCGTACCAGGACCGCTATGAGCCTCTCCAGGAGGAGATCGCCAGCACCATCGAGAGCCGACCCGCGATCCGATCCACCCGCACTGTCTCTATGTACATGACTGACCCTCCAGCCCATTCCTACCCAGCCAGCAATGGCGCCCCTCGACCGGGAATCAACCGAACGCCCACTTTTGAAGGTCCGACTCAGCTTCGTCAGGAACCCGTTCCGATCGCCGCTCAATGGATGCAGCGCGCCGCGAGCGAGAACCTAGCTAGCCGTCAAAACAGCACGCACTATGCTAACAGCCGAGCGCCGATTGATCCGTATGCTGATTCCGAGGCTAGCTCGTATGGTCGATCCAGCCCAGAGCGCTCCTACGGTGGCCGCTCAAGCTCCCCGGCGACGTCCCATGGCAGTGTGGCATCACGTCGACCTAGCTGCACAACGTTGAACTCGACCGGAGGGAAGAAAGCCCCCCACCCCCACCTCCTTCTCGTGCAAAGAAGCCCGCTCCTCCCCCACCGCCCGCGAAGCGAAGCTTGATTGCCGTTGCGGATGCCTAGTTGGGCGGCCTTTTCGGCTGGAAAAGTGGGACTGATGGTTGCGTTTGTTTGATAAAACTTGAGCCTGGGGGTTTAGGGAGTTCTGAATAGCTGCCGAGATCTGATATCAGACCGGAGGATGCTTGCGGGCCCGATTGTTTCCTTTTTTTCTTCTCTCTTTCTCTCTCTGTTTGGATTATTATTTTTATCTTCATATTTCATGATGATTCTTGCTTGGGTTGCAAAGGAGTCTACTCTCTTATTTCTTGCTTTTTTTCTGTTTTTCTTGAAAGGGATTCTTCTCTTGTTTCGGAATCTCTCCCTTTTGCTGGAATGGGAAATCCAGTTGATTCCTTGGGCGTGAGCTTTGCGACTGGATCATACTGATCGAAGCAGTCTTTCGTTGTCGTGTACTTAGGTAGATTGCAAAAGTTTCCTGTATTATCCGGACTCGGGGTATGAGCCCGTACACGCCTTGGTCTGAAATTTGTCTATTTGTAGTCGGTATTGAAGCTGGTCAGTGCCTGGTATCACCTGGCAGCACTCTATACTTTGGTTCTTTGGATAAGGCAACAACAGCCTGGGCCTTGTTCCTGCCTGAGAATCTGACTCCCAACAGTCCTGATTCTACGCCGCACGGCCCGTGACTGGCAGTGGTCCCCAGCACGCTGAGTCAGCGCCTAGTGCCCGGGGGTCCCGTGACCCGCGCACGAAATCTCCTCCTCTGCTCCTGTTGTTAGTCGCCTACAAGCAGCACCAGGTTTCCCCGAGTCGCGCAACTCGGTCCCTCTGCCCTTTTCCATCTCCATCCCATCCACTTCCAACCCGCGTCCCCCCCCAACGCGTTTTTGCGTGCCTCTCCACCCTTTTTTGCACGCGCTTTTTTTCCTTTGATCTCGCCATTCTCCAGTACCCGCCCCCTCTCCCCATAATCCCATCGATCGCATCTCCCCCCCCCGGAGCTCCGAACACGGGCCTCAAACATCTCTCTCCCATCGCCAAGAGCCTCGACAACCCTATCCACCACGCCTGGTCAACCCCCAGGCTCCCTTCCCGCGTCGCCTTGCTCACCACCATCGCGCTCCCTATTCGACCACACCCCCCTTGGAGTTTCCGCGCGCGACGCCCGTGGTATCCAAAAGTGGAGCCGGTAACCTCCAGCCTAGATCTGGCTTCACCCGTCTCGAATACTTTTTCCATCGCGTCAGTGATTCACGAATGAATTGAGGACAATCGCCTCTTACCATGGCTTCTCTGCAGTCGGCGCCAAATATGGCGCCCGGCAACTTCTCATTGCCCCCGAACCTGACACAGCAACATGTTCAGGAGGTACTACAGGTCAGTATTTCTACCCCCCTCTCCACCCCCGAACTTCGCATAAGTGGCACATCGACAGATTTGGAAATGTTCAGCTTGACCCATCGACATGTCTAACTTCATCGCAGAAATTCAAGCAGATGCAGGAGCAGGGTGTGCGCTCGGATGACCCCGAGTATCAAAAGGCTCATCAGCTTCTGGCTATGATTCAACGTCAACAAATGATGAAGCAGAAACAGCGCCAACAGCAGGCTCAGCAGATGAACGGTGCCGTGCCTGATGTTGCTACCAATGGCGTCCATGGTAAGACTGCGCTGCCTAATTGCCTAATCCTCTCTTCCTTCCACTCCTAATCTGGAACGGTTCCTAATTGCTTTTATTTCTAATTTATAGTTCGCAATGCCTCTGCTTCTTCTGTTCCCAGTGCTACCCCCGACGTACAATCGGCGGCATCTCAGTCGCAGAACGCCGCTCGAAAAGGGCCTACTGTAGGAAGTGGAAGCTTTTCCTCCGAACAGCTTGCCACTCTTCGCAATCAGATCATGGCCTTCAAGACTTTATCCAAGAATCAACCCATCGCACCGGCTCTCCACCAGCAGCTTTTCCCCTCCAAGAAGGTGCAGACCCCGACCCCAGCAGACAAGATAGCTTCGGCGGAGAAGACCCTTGACAATGTCGACAAGAGTGCCTCTGGTCAGGCCCAAGACTCCACTGGTGCCACTGCTCCTCCCAAGGATTGGTATGAGAGTGCGCGGCTACCTGAAGAATTGTTACACAAGGTGATCAACTATGAGCACCATAGTCACCGCATCAATCGCCCCCGGGTTCCTGCTTTTGAGACGGGTGGACTCGACTGGCGTCAGATTCGCGAGAACCGAGAAACCCTTGTCTACAATCGCATGGCTTCTCGCATGAAGGAGCTCCAGGAGCTTTCTGCCAGCATAGGCGTCTGGGATACTGGCAAGAGTGACGCTCCTACGGGCGACGATTCATTAAAACTTAAAGCATTGATTGAGCTCAAGTCCTTGTCTCTATGGGGCAAACAGCAAGCCCTCAGAGAGAAGATCCGCCGCACTGGATTCGATTGCAGCGAGACGAATCAGACCAATCGTGCCAGTCACCGCCGCATGAAGCGACCTTCTCTTCGTGAGGCACGAATCACTGAGAAGCTTGAGAAGCAACAGCGCGATGCTCGTGAGACTAGAGAAAAGAAGAAGCAGTATGATCAGCTGCAGGCAATCCTCAACCATGGCGCCGAGCTTGTCAATGCCTCTGCTCAGAACCGCAGTCGCTCGGTGAAGCTGGGCCGCATGATGCTCTCGCACCACCAGCACATGGAGCGTGAGGAGCAGAAGCGCGTGGAGCGGACGGCTAAACAACGTCTGCAAGCACTGAAGGCCAACGATGAAGAGACCTACTTGAAGCTCTTGGGCCAGGCCAAGGATTCACGTATTTCGCACTTGCTCAAACAGACCGATAAATTTTTGAAAGAGCTCGCCTCTTCTGTTCGGCAACAACAGCGGAACCAGGCTGAGCGGTACGGTGACGGTGAAGACTTCGACGATGAGGAAGAAGAGATCGCAGACAGCGATGATGAGGAGGAGGAGGAGGAGTCTGGAAAGAAGAAGATCGATTACTACGCCGTGGCACATCGCATCAGAGAGCAGGTTACAGAGCAGCCTTCGATTCTTGTCGGCGGTACTCTCAAGGAATACCAGTTGAAGGGTTTGCAGTGGATGATCTCGCTGTACAACAATAACCTGAACGGTATTCTGGCAGACGAAATGGGTCTTGGAAAGACGATCCAGACCATCAGTTTGATCACCCACATCATTGAAAAGAAGAGGAACAATGGACCCTTCCTGGTCATTGTGCCTCTCAGTACACTGACCAACTGGAATATTGAGTTTGATAAATGGGCGCCGTCAGTAACGAAGGTTGTTTACAAGGGTCCACCCAACGCTCGCAAACAGCAACAGCAGCAGATTCGTTGGGGCAACTTCCAGGTCCTCTTGACTACTTACGAATATATCATCAAGGATCGGCCTATTCTCGCTAAGATTAAGTGGGCTCACATGATTGTTGACGAGGGTCACCGTATGAAGAATGCCAACTCCAAGTTGAGTAGCACCCTATCGCAGTATTATACCAGTCGTTATCGTTTGATTTTGACGGGTACTCCGCTGCAAAACAATCTTCCTGAACTGTGGGCCCTTCTCAATTTCGTCTTGCCGAATATCTTCAAGTCAGTCAAGTCGTTCGATGAGTGGTTCAACACTCCATTCGCCAACACCGGTGGTCAAGATCGTATGGATCTTAGCGAAGAAGAGCAGCTGCTCGTCATTCGCCGTCTACACAAAGTGCTTCGTCCCTTCTTGCTCCGTCGTCTGAAGAAGGATGTCGAGAAGGATCTACCGGACAAGCAGGAGCGTGTCATCAAATGTCGCTTCTCTGCCTTGCAGGCTAAGCTGTACAAGCAACTTGTCACCCACAACCGGATGGCTGTCAGCGATGGCAAGGGCGGCAAGACTAATGTGCGTGGTCTAAGCAACATGCTCATGCAGTTGCGGAAGCTTTGCAACCACCCGTTCGTCTTTGAACCTGTCGAGGATCAGATGAACCCCAGCCGCTTGACCAACGACCTCCTCTGGCGAACGGCCGGAAAGTTTGAGCTGCTCGATCGCATCCTGCCCAAGTTTCGTGCCACTGGTCACCGTGTCCTGATGTTCTTCCAAATGACTCAGATCATGAACATCATGGAGGATTTCCTGCGCATGCGAGGCCTGAAGTACCTTCGTCTGGATGGTTCTACAAAGTCTGATGATCGTTCCGACCTTCTGAAGGTCTTTAATGACCCCGGTTCGGAATACTTCTGTTTCCTGCTTTCTACCCGTGCCGGTGGTCTGGGTCTCAACTTGCAAACTGCCGATACCGTTATCATTTACGATTCAGATTGGAATCCTCACCAGGATTTGCAAGCTCAGGATCGTGCCCATCGTATCGGACAGAAGAACGAGGTCCGCATTCTCCGACTGATCAGCTCGAACTCAGTGGAAGAGAAGATTCTAGAACGTGCGCAGTTCAAGCTTGACATGGACGGCAAGGTCATCCAGGCCGGTAAATTCGATAACAAGTCCACAAACGAGGAGCGAGATGCCCTTCTCCGTACGTTGATGGATAGTGCCGAGGCTGCGGATCAAATTGGCGAGCAGGAAGAAATGGATGATGACGATCTCAATGAAATTATGGCCCGTTCCGAAGAAGAAATTGGTATTTTCCAGGAGATTGATCGGAAGCGACTTGAGACCGACGAGTACGGTCCTGGCAAGCGCTATCCTCGATTGATGTGTGAAGAGGAGCTGCCTGATATCTACATGCAGGAAGACGAACCCGTTGCAGAAGTTACGGAGACTGAGGTTTACGGTCGTGGCGCTCGTGAACGTAAGGTCAAGCGATACGATGATGGTATGACTGAAGAGCAGTTCCTTCGGACCATGGAAGACCTGGAAGAAAATCCGAACGCGGTCAGCTTCGATGAGCGTGCCGAACAGTTTGCTCGGGAGCGCGAAGAACGGCAAGCCCGAAAAGAGAAACGGAAACTCAAGGCCCAAGGTCTTCTGGAGTCCTCACCCGATCCTTCCATAGCCGAGGACGCCGAGGTTGAGGTTGAGGTTGAAACTCCACCGCGGAAACCTCGTCGTCGTGGTCCTCCGCCCAGCAAGCGCAAGGCTGAGGAACCTGCGGAGGAAACCCCTCAGCCCAAACGTAAGAGAGGTCGACAGCCCAAGGTTCCCGACACTCTCAGCTCTGCGGAACGGGCGACTCTTACTACCATCGTCAACAGTGTCATGCAATCCTTGAAGGACATGGAGCAGGAAATCCAGCTTGATTCTTCCGATAGTGAAGAAGGACCGATCATGCGTGCCGTGATCGAGCCCTTCATGAAGCCTCCGCCACGGTCTCAGTACCCTGACTATTACAAGATCATTCAGAATCCGATTGCAGTGGAGACGATCGAGAAGAAAATCAAGCGCGACGACTACCAGAGCCTGAAGGAATTCCGTAATGACATCCACCTGCTTTGCCAGAATGCTCGGACATACAACGAGGATGGTAGCATTTTGTTCCAGGATGCCAATGATATTGAGGTATGTTTTGCATTCTACCCGAGACCCAATGAGGGGTTTTCTATCTTTCTTCTTGACTTTGACTAACACTCCTACTCCCATTTGATAGGCCAAATGCTTGTCCGAATTAAAGAAGTTGACCGAAGATTACCCTGACTTTGCCAACTTTGACGGCGATTCCGCCGCGGATGGCCAGTCGGTGGGCGCTATTTCAGGTGCCGACACCCCTTTGACAGCCAGCACGCCGGGCCAGCCGAAACTGAAGCTGACTTTCAGCAACCCCAATGCTGAAAGTGCAAGCAGCCTGAACGGAGCCGGTGCCGATGACGAGTGATCTGTTCCTTTATTTCCTTCTTTGATGCCTTGAGGAACATGTTGGATTTTAAACCATCACGCATTCTACATTTGCCCTTCTCCCTGCTTTGGTTTTCGAGTTATCTTGATGTCTCCCATGCCCTCACCCTTCTTGTGTCTCTGACACGTGTAACCCGAAAGTTTATGTGTTTTCTGTTATTCTGTCCTGTCTTTTTTCTGCAGTCAAGTCTGCCATTGGGAACGGGGCGTTTCTGCCGTGGTTTCAAAGGGGTTGGTTCACCTGGAGACTGGATGTTTCTTCTCTTATTTTTTTTTCGGGAATCGATGGTGTGCTATATGCCCCTCCTCTCCCCCGTCCTTGATGAGCGATCTACTTGTTCTTGTTCCGGAGGATTTTGTTCGTGCTGGTCGTGGATGCTCACTTAGATGTCGGCCGAAGGGCAACTCTCCTCCCGTATTATGTTCTTAGTATGTACGGACTTTTTTTCTCTCAGTTTTCAGGACCTGATTCCAAATGAATTGAATTGAATCTATAAACGAGCTTCAGCGAACGGTAAACCCGCTGGCCCCAATCTCAATGTCTGGAGGTCTTGATGTCCCGATCCGGTGGGAACACGAGCCAAGAGTACGGGACGATCCGAGTGGAGTCCGCGTCCGTGCAGCCCGTCGATTCGTCGTTCTCGGTCAAACACACCGGCCATTTGCAGCAATCCCTTGCCGGTCCTTGGATGTTTGCGTATATAAGTGCATTGCTGAAATATACTCCAAGTCCCGCCATGGCCACGTCCCACGCAAAGCTAATCTCAACATCCTCTCTTGCCCCAGTAAACCCCTCGCCATGACCGCAACCCACGATCTAGATGGCAAAGTCGCAGTCGGTACGATTCTACTCTTCTATACTTCCTCTCCATTAACCCTCTAACATCTTCTTCTTTCCTCACTCCCCACAGTCACCGGCTCCAGCCGCGGCATTGGTGCTGCCATAGCCCTCAAACTCGCCCAGCGTGGCGCCGCCCTCGCCATTAACTACCGCACCTCCGCGGAGGCCGCCGACGCCGTAGCGTCGCAGATCCGCGCGCTCGGCGTTCGTGCCATTACCGTGCAAGCCGACGTCTCAGACCAGGCTGCCGTGCGTGCGCTGTTCGACACAGTGGTCCGCGAGCTGGGCCGGGTGGATATCGTGGTCAGCAACGCAGGGATCGAGCACTTCGGTGCCGTGGACACCGTCACGGACGCGGACTTCGACGCCGTGTTCGCGGTGAACGTCAAGGGCCAGTATTTCGTGGCACAGGCGGCTGCAGCGCATATGGCAGATTTCGGGCGAATTATGTTGACGTCGTCGATTTCGGCGGTGAAGGTGCGTTGTCCCTGCCTGTTTTCTCGCCTTATTTACTTTGTTGCTGTCTCCACGCTGCGGGTCTCCCGAGACTAACGAGAGGTATATGGTCAGGGCGTACCCCGGCACGCCGTTTACGCCGCATCCAAGGCGGCAGTTCAGGGCCTGACGCGCTGTCTGGCGGCGGATCTGGGCCCGCGCAACATCACAGTCAACTGCATTGCAGCGGGTGGCGTAAAGTCGGACATGTACGACGAGAACGCGCGCAAGTATATCCCTGGCGGGGCCGACATGACGGACGGGCAAGTCGAGGCGCTGCTGTCAAAGTGGTCGCCGCTGGGGCGGGTCGGGGTGCCCGAGGATGTGTCGGGAGTGGTGGCGTTGATTGCGAGCCCGGATGCGCAGTGGCTGACAGGACAGACCTTCCATGTGTCTGGAGGAGCATATATGACATAGGAGAGCCAAACTTTCCAATTATGCTATCATTCTCGTTTTGTTGAAGAGGGTATTTTTCATTCTTGTAGCGAGTGTATATAGACCTGTATGCTGTGTATTTTTTAAGCCATAGAGATTCTTGGTATTTGGGAAACTGAGAAGATAGGTAGAATGGGTGGTCTGTAGGGAATGGTATTGGTGTAATTGCATATGTAAGATGGGGTATGTAGAACAGGAGAAATGATAGCAAGAGTATATACATGATGCGATGGTGGTTTTTATGAGAGAATGTAAAGGTAAGCAAAAACCAAGGGTCTAAGTCGTTCCCGCGAAAGCTGCATCTTTGTGGCGGATGCGCATTGCTGAGGTATTCGATATATGACCATCGACCAGCAGCCGTCCGTCGAGACGAGACTCAGGGGGGACAGTCTCGACAGAAGTAGACTCATCGCGGCTATGAGTCGCTAGCGCATCAAAAACATACCCGAAGACCTGGTGGTCCACATCCGAGGCCCACAAGAAGTCCAGGTGTTCGTAGGATGGAATAGATTTGGCCACGGTACCACGCGGCAGGCCTTGTAGCATCACGTTAATATCGACCAGACTGTCGCTTCCGCCATACAACAGCACAATCGGTGTCTTGATGTTACGAGTGGGGTACTTGACGGGCTTGTAGAAACGCTCGCTGGCAACGATGCTGAAGGGGGCGTGTGTTTCGTCGTCGTAAAATTGAAAGTTCTTATTGCGAATGATTTGGAACCAGTGCACGACAGACTTAGTGCTGGTGAAGGAATAGAGGTGTAGATAGGCGGCTAACTTCTGGGCACGAGTGATGTTGCGGCATCGCCAGTTGAAGAGGGCTGCAAGGGCGGCATCGATAATGCGGACATAGATGGGAGGATAGAGAATAGTCTGCCACATTGTGGTGGAAGAGAGAATGCTGCGTCGACCGAAAAGCAGGAAGAGGAAATCCGGGGAAGCCTTCACGAGAGAGTCCACGATGCGGTTGCGGAGCCCCGAGGGCGCCATTGCAGGGGCCAGGGCCACGAAGACGTCGATCTTCTGGTTGAGAAGAGGGTGGATGGAGAGGGTGGCGAATGCTTGGGCGGTGCCCTGAGAGAAACCGATATATGAGAGAGAGGGCTGGCCAGTCACCTCGAGGATGTACTCGATGCTGTTCGGAATATCATGGAAGGCGAATTGATCAATGGAGAAATCCCAGAATTCGTTCGACCCCGGCGAAAAATTGACGGATTTTTTTGCATATTTATTGCCGCGATTGTTACCCAGCCATACATCATAACCCTTCTCGACCAACTGGAAAGGTAAACATCGCTGCTCATCGGTCAAGGCGACCCACACTTCGCTGGACATGAGAAGACCATGATGGAGATAGACCACTTTCTTACTGATTCCACCCGCACCCTGGTTGACGCGCATTCTCTCCTCACCTTTCCGGTACGCCAAACGGTGCAGTCCAAGAAGATAACCATCGCCAGTTTGCACGATGTGTTCCTCGGCTTCGTAACCAAAAAGCTCACAAATCTCAACAAAGTCCGAGGCTTCGGCTACCGAACTGGCGAAAATCTCCTCTTTGGTTCTCTTATCGCGGACATCCTTGGAGATAAACCTGTTGAACAGTGCCTTCGATTGGACATAGCAGAAGCGAATGATAGGCGTCGCTGGAAGCGCAAGTCAGTCGTGGGCCTCCTACATGAGAGAAATATAGAGAGTCACGGTTCTACTCACGAAGACAGAACGTGATCAGATGAATAATAGTCTCAAGTAACACAAGAATCAGGGACGCAAAGAGCGCCAGGTACTCGTACCTGGGATACATCTTAGTTTGCCACGGCGCGTTCAGTTACAGGGTACTTCCGGGGGAAAAAGGAGGGATTTACCAGAACAACCTCCCGATCAGGGGAACTCGTGCCATTATGAAGTTTGGAACGCACTATATCTCTGCATGAAAGCGCAAACGAAGCATATAATGTATTAAGAACAGGATATTGCGAGTCAGGAAGAATCGCCCGAAAGCGAAGCAGCGCGACGTCATGTTCATGTGAAAGGCGCTGCTGACTCATCCGGGGTCAACCAATCAGCGACGTGTCGAATGATCGCCCGAATTTGTCCTTTGCCGTTGATTGTCACCGGCTCGAGAAGAACTGGACATCTGAACTGGACTCGAACGCCATGCCCAGCTCGTGCCAGGACATCAGTAAGTCGTACCATTTTCAGTGCTACCACACTCTCGGACCCTGCATTGTTTCCACCCTCTGTGGCTGGTCCGCCTGCCATGGCCATCTGATGGGCTAATCGCAATACCACAACCTCTAGGAGAGGCGCTGGCCCAATGCCTGCAAGAATCGGACTGTATCATGGTCCAGCGGCACTCACCGCGTGAATGTCTCGCATCGCCACTGGCTGAGGAGTTGCCTATGAAATGTCAGCAGCTGCGCAAAGGGTTTAGCGAGTGCAAGTGAGTGGAATCGTTCCGTGTCATTGGACCCAGATCAAAGACATATACACGTGGGACTAGAAGACGAATCGATGGATTGGCTGATATAATTGTTTTTCTCTCTGCTGCAGGCGCGGTATGATCGACATGCGCAAGCGATTCCGCGGAAATCACCCTATTTCGGTATCGAAGGAAATGGACACCCAGTCGAACTCCCCGGGGCAATTATATGCTGGTGGTCCGGCTTTCCAGTCTGTGAAGGAACTCAGTGGTGATGAGGTACAAATGGATCCGGAGAAGACCCGCGGCCTGTGAGGAGCATCTACGATATCTCCAAGATCCTGGTTGAGAGGGGGTCCATCGAGCAACTGTAGATGGAAGAGAATTGCCATTGGCATGCAAGTGATGCTGAAAGGAAAGCGGACGATCTGATTCATGCTGGCATGGTCTGGAGTTTTTTTCTTTTCTTTCCTTTTTTTTTCTTTCCTTTTTTGTTTAAATCAAATACATGGCGCGATCTCCAATCACAAATATACCTGACGCTACAGAATACATATAAACCATGCGATAATCGACCACTTACAATAAATTGCCCTTTCCATGGGCAGTGAAGATGGAAAAGAACCAGGTAGAAAAGAATATAAATCCACATCATCATTGACAGTACAAATTGAATACAGATCTACTGCGTCTTCTTGGTCTTGTCGGCTGCAGGAGCCGAGTAGAGCCACACAACCACAAATGCCAGGAAGCCTCCAATCACCGACCACAGACCGGCAATCCAGACCCAGCCACCGGTGATTGCCCAGCTGCGCGGGTATTCATCATGCGCGAAGTGGCGCACGGTCACTTCGTGCTTCTCCTCGATGTTGGTGAGGAAAGGTCGCTTATAGTTGATGCGGAATGAGAAGATGCCGTGCTGGTCTGGAGTCACGAACTTGGTACTGTACACAGCGCTGGTCTCGGTACGCTTGGTAGGCTCGAGGGCCAGACGGTGAAAGGGCGAGAGCATGGTGAATTCCAGCTGCAGCGCATCTTCGGCGGGGATCTCGAAGGGCACCCACTTGTCATAATTGTACTCAGACACCTCAATGCTGAAGACCTAAAATAGGGGAGCGACGGTATTTTAGTAAATGAAAGACTACCTAGGACACCGGGTGTTTGTTCGGGTTCAGGTTTCACATACGGTCTCGTTCTTAATGCGGTAGATTTTCGGGTTCAAGTCTTCCGCGGTAACCTCACCATCAGTGGCCAGGTGGTGCTCAATCTTGCCAACCTTCAGAACACCGGTTTCCTTGAAGGTCCACGCGGTCAATTGCTTCGCAAAATCACGATTGACGGTGGTGGTTTTCTTGCCATTGGGTGCCTTGACTGAAGCCGAGAACCACTTGTCCTCGAGCGCCTCAACGGAGCCGAGTACAGTGAAGCGAGCGGCGTTGCGGGCTTGCATGGCTGAAACAATGTTGAGCTGGGAGCCAGTGGCCTCGATGTCATCTGCCGCCGGCATTTCCTCCTTCGGGTTATAAGCGTAGGCAGTGGCAGGAGCTCGCAGGACCGGCGCAACCAGAGCGCTATCACTACCCAGGGTCTGGGGGGCAACCCGGGGCATAGCGAGGACGCCTTCACCGTCGAAAAACGCCTTCACGTCGGGGCGCAGCGGTCCAGGCCGCTGGAGGAGGAGGACATCATGCTTCTCGGCGGCCGATACAGTGTCATAGTTGAAGTGGTCGACAACAACGGCGGAGCGGTCGTTCGAAAGATGGATATCAATTTCGAGGAGGAGGGAGCTGATGGCACTAGAGGTCGAGGCCTTGCCGGAGAGGGCGAGGATGATATTGCCGTCCTTGTTCATGAAATCGAGGATGTTCTTGGGAGTCAAGTTGGGGCCAAGGCCTAAAAATTAATGGGTCAATTGATATTTCTAGGCCTCAGAGAAGAGAGAGGAGCCCACCTTTGGACTTGGGAGGAAGAATCAAGAGGTGGTCGTAAGCTCGCTCGCCATGTTCGAAGAGGGACAGTTTGTCACTCTTGGGCGATTCAAATGACAAGTCATATCCCCGGGCTGTAATGGATGTCAGCGAAGATTTCTAGCTCCCAGCCCAGGTCCAATTACCTTCCAAATCAGACCAGAATGTCGAGAAAAGGCTCTTTTCGGTGGTCTCGTCCAAGACCACTAGCAGGCGGCTGCCGGAGCTGCTCAGAGCGTTTACCGCAGCCAAGAAGCCGCAGAGAAGCAACGCGAGGCACCACCGCATCATGGAAGAATTCCGCACGGCGAAGTGGACGCCAGGCTGGAACTGAGAGAGAAAAAAGGTGGAAATAAGGAAAGACAAGGTGGTGGAGGAGGTGGGCTGCTTGGAGGTGGTATAGATAGAAAGGGCGACGTGTTTAATGGGCGAGTGCCAAGACTTACTGGACCCAGCGCATCTCCGAACGTCGAACTTCACCTCGTCCCCAGGCTTTCCCGACTTTGAACCTCCCCCGCCGGTCTTGCCCTTGCACTCGATCAACAACTGGGTGGTTATCGTCAATTGGCACCTTTTCCTCGCCTACACTGTGGTATTGCTGCCTTTTTTGGCCCGTGAATACCATTTCCCCGCCAGTCGAAAATCTCCGCCCGCAAAACGTTGACGTCCGACCCTGCCCGTCATCATGTCTACCCCTCAATTCTGGTCGACCCCCCTCCGCTACTTGCGCTGGGCCTCGCACGAGAAGCCGGCCATCTTCTACTCCCTCATCATCGGCTCCATGGGCCCCGTGGCGCTGGTCACTCTGCCCCCGCTTCGCCGCGCGCTCTCGGCGACGTTGACCCGGAGCCTATCCCAATGACATATCCCAGTAAGAAATCACATCCATCCTCTCAATCGTGAATTGAATGGTTAGACCATGATCTGAAAGCATGCGACTGACCATGATACCTCCGGCATACAGTTCCGAAGGGTCCGCGGGTGGTCCCCAAGGGCTATGAAGACTAAAAAGAGAGACCCAACTGAAGCCGAGCAAACGCCCAAGGTACAAACTGATAGAGACGTGGTGTTTGGCTTGCTCTGGCTTGGGACTTGGAAAGGATGTTACCGACGGAGTAAGGAAACTGGGAGGGAGTTTAGAGCGTGTGTGTCGCCTACGCCGATTGCGGAATATGGCGAAGGGTTGTCGAGCAGATGCTTCCTCGATGGCCCTAATATCAATTTAGCGTTTTAATCGTATCGCTCGTCTCCCATGAAGAGGCGCATTGATACCAATCTTGTTTGCGTGCGGTTCTCAGCATGGTCGGGTGCTGAAACCGACGCGATGCCGTCTATGTACTATGTTTTGAGAGTGATCATATAACCGACACCAGGTCGCTTTCCTCTGTTCAATCAGTGTACCAGAAATGATATAAAGACTAGAGATAGACTTGAGTATTCCGCATTGCGGTACTAGATGGGATTTCTTAGAGGCTAGGGAAATCGGGGGTTGTCGGGGTTTGTTGGTGTTTTTCACCTACGTTTCTCAATGGTAAACTTCTAACATATAACAGGAGAAGTTTTTCGAGACTATATTTAGTGCATGTCATGGGGAGCCTCCAATGCGTAGACATTCCTCGACTGTGAGGACCCGTACAAGTAGTTACATGCAAGCCTATCGACCCCGCTACCAAAAAGCTTCATGGGTCGAGCGAAGACAAATTGGAAATTACCTGGAATTGAACCCAAGGTTGATTCTGAAGATCTGAAGATACTAGCCATACCAGGCACAATGTTTTGCATTTCACCACAGATGACTTGAGAGTCAGACATAATTCAACTCGAGGTTGATTCCGTAGACAGAGCAGTCTAGGATGATATATAAGAGCAAGATCCAAAGTTATAGTGAAAAGGGGTTCAGATTAAGTTGTTAGAACCAGTCTCTCATCACAGCCAACGCGTCAACCACAGATTTGGTAAACGCCGTATATGCTCATATCTACATGTAGTTCATCAGCATCGCTTTATCAAAGCAGTCTCTTCCAGTATCCACGAGGAAGAAAAACAAAAAAGATAAAAAGCAAACATGAGAAGAACATGCCCCATGGCCCACCTGGGATCGGGGCAGAAAAAAGAAATAAAGGTTAACAGTAGCAAAGTTGCTGAACCACACAAATCCTGTACACCGTCCAAAGGGAAAGGAGCCAAAAGAAAAAAAAGCAGAAGGTAAAGGGCCGAGGCAGGAAGAAAAATGGGATCCCCGAGAAGATGGCGAAATATGCGGAAATGCCATGAAAGCCCGGCCAAAATGTCAAGTTCCAAAAAAACGCAAGCCACCTTGTCCTAAGAAAAAACCCCGTTCAACGCATAATGCTCCTACTCCTAACCGGCAGCTGCACCATAGCGCAGAGAAAATTAAAGATGGAAGTTCCCGTGGAGGACCTCGCCAGCGAGGCGAAGGCTGATTTGATTTCCAGTGGGGAAATTTCCAGTCCATGGTAAAGGAAATATATAACGGACCGATCGTGGGAGGTTTCCTCCCGACTTTACCACAAAACGGTCCATGACCTAGGAAACGGCCCGATCCGGCTAATTCCTGGACTTCAAGAGAGAAAACGGGCAATTTCGACGGGTTGGAGACAGACGGAGAGGGGAGAGAAGACGACATGAAATGGCCGACGTGAAGTGGATGTAATGTGGAGAGTGTTGTCCAGGAAAAATTTTTTTGTTGAGCTTTTTCGTCGAGTCCATCATACTTTCTCCGGGTCTATCACAGTTCAAGGGGGAAATAAAAGCAGATTTCATCCAGTGGCCACAATAGAAAGGAAGAAAAACGTGTCATCATAGTTTGCGAAGTGCAAAATTTTGGATGCCAAATCGATTTTTGGGACGCTAGCTGGATTACCGCCGGCGATGAGGGTCCCGTTCCCGGGTAGTTTGTTGCGGTCTACTGCGCTCGTATTCCGGAGTATATCTGGCTTCCATTCCTCCACCTCCTATCCGGGGATCCGGAGCAGTGGTAGCCGGGTAGGCCATCCCGGAAGTCACAGGGGAATAGTCCGACTCGGCATCATAACCTGGTCCCGGATACCTGGGAGCATTTCGGCTGCCACTACCCTCGTAACCGTAGCCGGAGGCCGAGTAGGTATAGGAAGAGGGGTGCATATCCGCCGTCGTTACAACGGGTTGGGAACCAGAATAAGTGACCTGAGGCGGAGGGTAAGGAGCCTGGGTTGATCCATAAGGCGAGTGAGTCGAACTGTAGGAAGAAGGGTTGTTGTAGGGAGCATTTTGGGATCCACTGTATTGACTCTGGGAATACGGGTCCATGTAAGGTTGCGGCGCCGGTGCGGCACTAAATGTAGGAGGGGAAGGCCCCTGTTGCTGGCGAACCTCATGAATGGCCGATGTGGCATAGTTCGCTGGGACAGTGTTAGGTGTGTGAGATAAGTTCACATCTTGAATGTAACTACCTCGGGGATAGCCTAGGTCAGCCCGACGCGATACATCCGCCTCCCAGCGGGCAGAGTCAGCTTTTAAATCAGCAATCATCTCCTAGATGTTTTAAAAAAACCCAGTTAGATGGCTGTTCCTTTTGTTTGGTTTCCCCTTGGACGCTGTCCCTTGAATGACGATGGCCTCGTGGTTGCATTTGACAGGAGGGTGGCTACTTACAGATGTGAGATTCCGATAGGCACGGATGAAGAAACCTGGGCGGCCCTGTGGGACGAGTCAGTGATGATGTTCGGGATTACCGATCAAAATACTTGAATCCCAGAGAGAAACAAAAAAAAAAAACAATAACAGGGGAGAGAAGACGGACACCATGGCTGCCAGGTCTCACGAGGGCATCATTTCCCAGATAGCGGCAGATATCTGCTTGGATCACTTCTCGGCTGATTCCGTCGCCCGGGATAAAGTATTCATTTTGACGGCCTGTCATAATGTGTGTCCAAGGCAAGATATCCGGATGAAAGAGGGTCCTGAGGATTTCCGACGGGTCAAATCAAGAAGAAAATGAAAATAATCCGGGCTGAACCGAAGAAATTTCCTTGGGGAGAGAGATGAGGATAGCAGATGGTGAGAGAAGGCGTCCGATATATGGAGGAATATACAGTGGATTTTCTATGAGGCGACCGTCCAGAGTAGAGGAGAAATGTCGCGCCCGTGATCACTTTAGAACAACGGGAGATGAGTGGGGTGGGGAAGGTCCTGGGGGTCTGAGTCCTTGGAGGGATTTAATCAAGAACCGAGAATAACAGTCCACGGAAAGAATATGGCCACGATAGTGTATCAGGTTTCAACGGACAAGCGTCAAGAGAACCTGTGTGTCCTGATTATCCGGGGAAGTCCTTTCTGGTCGGGATAGTTTCAATGGTGTCCTTCTGGAAAAACAAATCCGGAAAAATCCTGGTTGCTCCTGGGGTTTCTTTGTGGTTGTCCGCTTGGATTGACACCGATAATATCCTGGGTAAATCGAGAGAAGCAAAAACAAAATATCCTGTAGATTGCCGCAAGACCAAATCAAGTCTGCTCGGCTAGGATAGAGAGGTGAGGCGGAAGAAGAGCGGTTCAGGAGTATGAGATTGCGGGACCGAGGAGGAGGGGGGCTGAGATCCTCTCGGTGTGTTTAGGTGACCACGCTGGGTTGATTATCCTCGGAGAGTCCAGGGTAATCGGGGAGGGCGGAGAGAGGGGGAGGAGAGGGAGGAGAGGGAGAGGAAGTTCAGGAAGTCGTTGTAAGAAAGAAAGACCAGGTGTGCCAGGAGAAGGGGAGGGGCGAACTAAAGTGGGCGGTTGGGCGTGGGTTTTCGGATTCGTGCAGCGTCACGGGTTTTTCCCTTTGGGTTGAGGGGGGTTTGGGCTGGTGCCACGACTCTCCACTCAAGTGCTTCGACAACCTGCCGAGCCCAGTCTACGGGGTCTACGGGCTCTTCGCTGTTTCGCTGGTCACCAAAGCATGCACGGTCAAATCCGGCTTAGACGAGAGACGCTGCAGACTGTGCGACCTGGTCGGGCTGCTGGGGGCGACCTGCACCCTGTCGGTAACCGCCTTTGTCGATGATTACCCTCGGGCCCAGTCAGGCACGAGAAACCCTGAGTCCATCCTCGTCAGGGCGTCCCTCACTTCTGTGATGCGTGGTGCGGACGAGTTGGTGACTCGAATAAGACCATAATGGAATCCCAATCCCAAGGGTCAGGGCGATCCCCCGTGGTTCCGTCCACCTGGCAGCTTGGATTGCTACTCAGTCTGTGCCCTTTGGGTTGGGCGTAACCCCCCACTTGGCCAGCCGCTGGGTGGATCAAGCAGGCGAGGCGGTCAATCTTTATCGATCGTCTGGTCGCAGAGTAGACTCCAACGGAACAGCAGGAAGGACGGTACAACAGGCAGGTCGTGCTAGACCTGCTCGGGAGGGACGAGCCGGGCTCGCGAACGTACCAGGTTACCGAACAAATTGCGCCTGACGAGGGGCGTCCTTGGATGTGAGTGGGAGGATGTGGATGATCCTTCCCCGCTGGCCATGCAAGGCAGCAAAGCGCCAATCTGCTGACCGAAGGGGACAAGACGTTGCCACAGTTTGATGGGCGTTGGGCAGGAATGCGTGGGCTTGGGCACCCGTGGCCGCCACTCAGCAAATCGGGTGTGTCAGCATCCGATCGGAGACGATCTTGGGCCCTGTCAAAAAAACGTTGATATGACAAGGGGGTTGGGCTTTGACAGGGGTTGCACAAGTGGATTGACCTCATCGGTGTACATCGGTGTACCCAGCCAAGGGTCAATGTAAACAGAGCGAGAGGGGATTGGCATAGAGATGAGACGGAGAGAAAGATAGAAGAGGCGGTGGTGGAGGAGGATCTTGAACCATGCTCACATGACCTGGTCTATCCTGCTTTGTTCCTTTCAAGAGCATTTGGCTTCATGTGGGACGTCGCCCTGTCCATATACTGTCGTTGACTACTAAGTAGTTATAAGTTAGTCCACGGCTCCGTTCTGAGTCATGATCGATGCTATTAATAAGATAAGAGTCCAGCATATACACATATCAATCTCGACTGGGCAGCCATCTCAAGATGGGGCCCTGACTCCTTCCAAATGCTACATTGCTAGCTATGTGGGAATGGAATTGAGGTGTGTCTGATGTGTACTTATCTGATAGGTTGGGAACCCACCCAGGATTGTTTACTCTCTCGAGGTACACGAAGCTCTCAACCATGGAAACATGGGAAACAGAAACCCACAGGCTCGACGCTTCGACACCTGAACACCTGAGGCTCTAATACTTAGGCACGTGAAGGCACTAGCCCGATCGGGCCTCTATTCAAGATCGAAACCACCCGAAACTCTCCCTTCCCAGCATCCTGGCCGTGCATTGGAGGGATATGCATCAGTCAGACAGATCAATATTGGCTTGACCAATCCTCCTTCCAATCTGACCGGTCGCCATGCTACATCCTCGAGCATGTCCTTCGAAGAGCCGCCCAATGCGTCGCCCGAGGTGAAACGCTCCCGCTTCACCCACCGCCAACTACACCTGCTGCGCCAGGGCTCGACCGCAACCCCTCTTCGCGCCATCGCGCATATCGACCTCGATGCCTTCTATGCGCAATGTGAGATGGTCCGCCTGGGGACTCCTCGCGACTCACCGCTCGCCGTGCGCCAGTGGGAATCCCTAATTGCCGTCAATTACGCGGCACGATCGTTCGGCATCACCCGGATGGTCACCGCCGCCGAGGCGCGCAAATTGTGTCCCAACATCATCCTGCAGCATGTGGCCACATTTCGAGAAGGCGAGGGTGGCCGATGGGCCTACCGAGAGGATGCGTTCCGGAATATCAAGTCCGATAAGGTATCGCTGGATCCGTATCGGGCTGAGTCTAGGAAGATCCTCAAGGCGATGAAGGAGGAGTTGGAGAGGTGGTGCGTCGAGGAGGGGTCTACAGAGGGAAGCACTGAACTATTGAGTCTCACCGAGGGTCTATCGGCAGGCTTGGAGAAGGCCAGTATTGATGAAGTCTTCATCGATCTGTCTCCCCTCGTCTATCGAGTTCTACTCCAGCGATATCCTGAATTGCGACAGGGAGCACAGGATGTGATTAGAGATGCGGAATTGCCGGTTCCGCCAACCACAGCGGTGCAGTGGAATCACGAAGACTGTTTGATTGAACTAGATATGCACGAAAAAGAGGAAGATAACCCAGATTGGGATGACATCGTCATGCTGGTAGGGTCAGAAATCATCCGATCGGTCCGCGGTGCGGTCTGGGACAGGCTCAACTACACCTGCTCGGCGGGTCTGGCGCGGAACAAGATGCTAGCTAAGTTGGGCAGTGCCTGCAACAAGCCCAATAAGCAGACGATTGTGCGAAATCGGGCCATCCAGCACTTCCTTGGGACCTACAAATTTACCCAGATCCGGATGTTGGGGGGCAAGCTCGGGGACCAGATTACATCTTTCTTTGGGACCGAGAAAGTCAGCGATCTTCTGAATGTGCCGCTGGAGCAACTGCGCACCAAACTCGATGACGGAACGGCCTCATGGCTATATGGGATTATTAGGGGTGATGATCGAAGTGAAGTTAACCCGCGGACACAGATCAAATCTATGCTCTCGGCCAAATCCTTTCGACCGAGCATCAATTCGGTCGAACAGGCGGACAAGTGGTTGCGTATTTTTGCGGCCGACATTTACGGTCGGCTGGTGGAAGACGGCGTGCTTGAAAACAGACGTCGTCCCCGCGTGATCACTCTTCATCATCGAACGGCACAGACACGATCGCGCCAGATCCCCATTCCAGCTTCAAATGCTATCGATGAGAACATGTTGTTCGAACTGGCGAAGACCTTGATGCGCCAGGTCCTCACCGACGGACAAGCGTGGCCCTGTTCCAACCTGTCCTTGAGTGTGAGCAGTTTTGAAGATGGCGTGAGCAAGAATCGCGCGATCGAGAGTTTCTTGCTCCGCGGCGACCAGGCCAAATCCATGAGCCAGCCTGCGCGGATTCGCGATGCCGATAGTCTCGGTGACGTGGCTCCACCCGAGAAGAAAAGAAAGATCGATGACGAGGGCATCAAGCGCTTTTTTGCTCAACCGCCGAATGAGAACCAGAACCAGAGCCCCGGCGCTACAGAAGAGAGTCCCCCTGCTGAGCTTGATCCGACACTCTCTATAGGAGGTGTGGGAATGAACGAGGATTATGAGAGTCTACTTGGCCATGTGGAACCTCCACGGTTCATTTGTCCCCGCTGCTCTAAGTCCTTCCCCGAGTACGAACGGGAAGAACATGGTGACTGGCACTTTGCCAAAGATCTGGAAATTCAGGAACGACAGGACGCGCGTGACGCCCAACAACCGCCGCGCACGACGAATAGTCTCAATAGCGCTGGTACTTCTCGAGGCTCGACTCGCGGCCGAGTGGGCCGCGGAGGAGGTCGAGGCAAACCCGAGCGAGGGCAGATGCGCCTAGCGTTTCAATGAACCGGTGCAGCCTAACAGGATGAAATATACAGATCGCCTGTCGACCGGAATTTTTTTTTCTCTGGTAATGACCCCTCCCCCTTCCAAAGGGCGTACATTCTAGATGGCTGGCGAAGCCTAGTCTAATGGGTTGGGGTGAGTGCTTCTCCTTCTCTGCAAATCAACTTTGCAATCACCAACTCGCCCCGAGCAACTATCCACCGGGCGATTATGGTACGTGTTGGGAAATACATAGAGATATTCCAGAATTTCGCGGCTTATTCCAGCATGTTAATAACCAGGAGGAAACTGAAGGTTGTTATATGCCCAACTTTTATCATAATATATTCCCTCATCCCGAGTCTATAACAAGAACCTTAAAAACGCTGCCGTCCAGCTTCGTCCTCGATTTTGTCTCTGCTGCCTCGTGATCGGATGCCTGAGATGATCCTAGATCTTGCGGACAGATCCAGTGTTAGTAGAGGAGAAGTAGACGTCATCTGGCCCACCATCAGCCTGCATGCCGCATTGTGTATTCTTGCGTGGACAGTCCGGGTCGACCCAACAAGACCGTGGATCGATCCATGGAAATCCAACATTGCTCTCGGCCAAGGATACATCCCAATCAACAAACCAAGTTATCAGGATATGGCAGAACTATTGGATCTTCGTGGCAGGCTGTTCGAATGTTAGGCTGCTGTTAGTGTTAGAAAGTTGTTGTCCCATGCAGCCGCCAAGGGCGCGTGGGCCGTGACATCAGCGGACTAGCGGTCCGATGTTCACGTTGGACATTAGTTTCGGTCGTATGCCTCCCTCCTTCGCGGCACTGAGGGCCTTCTTTCTGGCTCTGTACATATTGGGTATTGTGTTTTCTTTATTTTCCTGGGCCCTGCGTCCTTGTTCCGGTGTTTTCTCACGAGAGTTCTCGACTACAAAACAGAGAAAGACACAGAGAAAGAGCGTTCCCCGCTGGCGCTGCCCCGCCAATTGTCCAGAGCCTCTCGCCCCGATCAAAGGCCTTCGACAAAAGCGAAAGAATCCACACAACAGGCGGATGTGAGGGTGCCTAGAAGCAACGTGGAACGGGGCCGAACTAAACACATCCATCTCGTTCGTCGCAACAGGCGCTTTCGCAGAACCAACACCAGAGCAGCCGCCTAGGTCCCTCCGATCACATTCCTGGGGGCGACAAGATCCCGGCCAGCAACTGCAGTTTGATCAGGGCTATCACACAGCCCGAAGAACCAAAAAAAAAATTCAAGGCATCGAGCCCTGTCTTTCTTTTCGACCGGAAACCCGACTTTCCTGTCCTCCGCAACCCCATCGATATCCCATTGCGGCGCCACTCTGGGAAGGCCAATATCCAATATCCCCCATCATCCCCCAAACGCCATCGACAAAGGCAGGGCCTGAATATCCTTCCTACTCCCATTCGGGTGGATCCTTAAGCCAGGTACTCATACTCTCCAGCCACCATGTCTCGCCGGGCACCCCCGCGCGAGTACTATGAGGAAGAGGTATATGAGCGGGAGCGCTCCCGCTCGCGTGAGCGCGATCCTCGCTCATACCGGCCGGAGCGTGATTTCGAAGATGACATTGAGTTCCGCCGCCGGCGCTCCATGCCCCCGGTCGAAGACCTCGAGCGCTTGCGGGTCCGGGACCGGCCTCCGCGCGACTTCATGCGTGAAGCGTTCACAGCCCCACGGGACCGCGGCTCGCTGGCGGTGCGACGGTCGATGGAGGAGGTTGACGAGCGGGAGGCGGAAGAGATGCGGCTGCGGATGCGGCGGCGGGGCGGGCCCTGGACGCGCGAGATCGAGGAGGAAGAGGAGCTCGTCGTGGACCGGGACCGACGGCGGCATCGGCCGCGGCCGCGCGAGCTGGAGCAGGAGGACGTGGTGATTCGGCACCGGGAGCGGGCGAGTGAGGGCGACCTGCGGACGCCGATGGAGAAGGTCTATGAGGATGAGAAGGAGAAGATTCTCTTCCGGCCATCGAGGCGGCCCCGGCGGCCGCGGCATGAGGAGGAATTCGAGGAGCGCATTATGATCGATAGAGAACGAGACAGACAGCGCGAACCACGGCGTCGCAATGAGCGCGGCTTCGAGGAGGAGCTCGTCATGAAGTGGAAGGATCGGCCCTCGTCACGGGAGCAGGAGGACAACGATGAGATCCGGATGCGCGAGACGGTGCGGCTGCGCCAGTCCCCGCCGGCGCCTCGATATGTCCGCGAACTGCCCCCCGGATCATGGCGCGGGGGTCGCGAGCCTGGCGAAGAAGATGACGAGGAAATCCAAATTCGGAGCCAAAGGCGCTCGCGGCCTCGTCGTCGAGAGGACGGGGACGAGGTCGAAGAGAAAGAGCTTACTATCAGACGAGACTCGCGTGAGCGCGGCCGTCGGGGGGATAGTGTTGAGAGAGAGGAGCTGACGGTTCGCACGCAAAAGCGTACTCCGCCGCCTCTGGAGCCCATTCGCGCGCCTCCCATCCATCAAGATGTGATTACACATCATCGGCATATTGACCACGGTAGGTGTCGAATACGGATCTATAGCCTGAGAGGCGAGGATACTGCTGCTGACCAGTGTCTTAGGGTTTGATCACCCCCGGTTACCACGAGCACCGAGTATCGAGGTGTCGACTAGGAGAACCAGTGTTGACGAGGTGGACATTCGCCGACGGTGAGTCTCTCAAGTGGTCAGCTTCTTGAGATAAGTCTAACAGAAGGTGTAGAAGCTGTATGAAGGGCAGCCGCGCAGCCGAAGAAGATCTGATCATCAAACGCCGGATTGAAGAAGACGATCTGCCCTCAGTCAGTGGGCCCTCAATTGACTTTCGCGATCCCTGGGAGCGTAGAAGCGTGTCTTCACGATACAGAGAAAGATCGCTGGATGAAAGCGACTCGCTTGCAACTGCAAGCACCCGCACCCGTTCGCGGCGAGATATCTCGCGCAGCCTGACCATTGACGACGACGGCGAGACAACTGAAGAAGAAATCGAGACAGAGGATGAAGAGATTGAAATCCGCACGAGGCGAACTAAGCCTCGCTCCGTCATTGATGAGATATCGAACGACGCCACAGATCAATGGTCCGTGGTTCATGCTCCGGCCAATGCAGATGCCATCGAAATGTCTGGCGCGCTGGACATCGTTGAAATTGCTCCGAAAAACACAGTCGAGATCGACGAATTGGAGCTCCGAGGGCGGGTTGGGCAACAGATTCTCAAGGAGCCCGAGGACGAACGCTGGACGGAGATCACGAAGGACCTTGTTGTTAGGGAAGCAATCGAGCGACTTGGCTACGAATTTGATGAAACACGAACATTCTATTATATCTTCTCCTACCTGGAACCTGTACGTGTTACGCCCTATTGCTACTGGTACGAACATGACTGACTGGTAACTCCTGCAGAGCCAAATTGATGAAATCGTTGAGCTCTCAGATGAGATCCGCAAGGCACGACGACGACGTATCAAGCAAATGCATCGTGAGCGCGCAACCTCTCTCATCGATAGGATGCCTCCGCGGCGACGCCTGAGCAGAGGACGGTATACCAGAGAGCGAGAATGGATCATCTAGCCCGAGTGTTGATAGTTCTTTATGATGTTTTCTAATGATGTTCTCTTATGATATTCTCTTATGATGCTCTCTTATGCAGTTCTCTGATGATTTTTTTTTAATGTTATTTTCAGAGAAAGGGTTGAAAAAGACATGAGGTCGAGCGAGAGCGCGGATTGACATTGAACATATCAATTGATCTCACCATTTGCATTTATCCTTCATGTTATGAGACCAAGAATCATGTATCAGGAAAAACCTTTGAATTTAAACCGTATCTGGCCGATTACCGTCTGCAGAACATTGACAGCAATTTTGCCCCGTAGAACACTTGATAGGCCAAGTTCGTTACCTTATACCGAACCTATATTGCACCGAGCAGAAAGTCTATAGCCACCGCGGCACAGAATCTCTAGTTAGTGGAATTTCCATTCAATCCATGCTAAGCCTACCCCCGAGCGGAGTATTATTCTCTCCACGCCGAGATTCATATGGACTTTGTAGATATACTCTATATGGAGGACGGAGCATGGAGTACCTTGGACCCAATTCCCAATTTAGATTCCCGAAAGTGCCCACAATCTTGCATGGTCAGTTTCCGCTCTGAATATTTCGCCAAGCGGATCTGGCTTTCGCCAATTCAATCTTCGTCGCGACCACAGCCGCGGCGCCGAATCATCGGCAGACGCAACGAAGCCAAGACCAGGTCTGCAAGCCACAAAGGGGCGCAGGCCAGACAAGTTTTCTATCTATGAACCGCGCCCAGGAGATGTCCCGGGCGCACTTCCCTGCAGGACACGTCGGTATACCCAGGGTACACATAACACAGTACGGGTGGAACGGAAGCAGGGACCTGAAGGGGCCGTCTAGACTGCTGCTCCGTGTTGTTTAGATTAAAGCCGACAGGGAGCATCCACAGGCCCAGATGGAGTCGAGCAACGCGTCTGCGAAGGATTTTCTGACGGGCGATCATGGGGGGCGTTGGTGTGTGTTGGGCCCCCCTAGTACGACCCGATGGATTACAGTACACGCATCCCTGCCGCCACCCGCGATGTTGTGGGTGTGATGTCTCAGACAAATGAATAATGGGCTTGGACTTGGATGGTCGGTGTGGAGAGGTCATTGTGGGGAGAGAGGGAGGCGCACTCAGGCACGATGGAATTGTCATTGGCACTGGTTCTTGAAGTGGACTTGGGGGGTTTCTAGATTCGAGGGCCATTATTGGTGAGGGCGGATTCGGACTGAGGCTGGTCGGGAAGTTTCGTGAGCTCCAAATGATATAATACAGTGACGATCGGACGGGTCGCTCGATCCGAAGGGGTGTACTCCGTATGATACAATGCGAGATGATCTAAGAGAGAGTTACGGAATATGGGATTGGACGGAAGACACTATAATTTTAAGCGTGTGTCTTGAGAGTGACGGAGAGTCGGAAGTATAGATGTACGCTCAAGTGTCGGTTGGGATTGATGATGTTTCAGCGCCCGGCATCATCGATCGATCGGTGGGATTCTGGGCCTATGTAATGCATAATCTGTCCTTAATAGTCCTTAATAACTTTTTCCGCCGACCGGGATTGCCACAACGTCCTGGCCAATTTGCGGCCAGTGGAGCCGTTGCATCCACTTTGGCACAGGATTCGCCGTCAGACGGCCGATCTGGCCTGTCCAAGGTTTTTCACTGCGGATCTGATATCAGAAAGGGAAAGACCCAAGGGAGAGAAAAAAAAGGGAAGATAGACAAGGCAAAGAAGCAAAGGAAAGGGAAAACAGAAATGACAGGGTGGCAAGCGTAGCGCGAGTGAGACGATTATTGCATTTGAGAAGCTTCCAAACCGGGAGAAACTGGGATCAACTCGGCCAACGCAACAACCACTGAGGGGGCAACCGGCAACGGGGGCACGACGAATAGGTGTACAGCACCGGAAGATCCCACCCCATTTCACCTGGGCCCGCGGCACACAATGCAAGTATTGTCACATCCGGATATCCTTTCCTTGCACGACACCGATCGTCGCCTCTGGCGTCTACAGGTATCGAACCTCGGAGCACATGTGGATGAGCGAGACGAAAGATACGGAGTACACTGGACACATGGATCGGTTGTTAGAGACTGAGCTCCTTAATCAAAAGCTCGTCTCTAGAGTCTACTTTGATATTGCGGTCGGTTGATCTCTCGGCTCGACGCTCTCGATCATGATCCCGGGATGTGAATGTGAAAAAGTTGATAGATTAGAAGCGGCCTTCTGATTGGGGACCATTCCTCCCCCGAGAAAGTATGATGAGCTGATTGTGAGACGGCCTGTAAATAATCAAGGCCCCGAGCCCTCTGGCAGAATACCAAGTAGACTGCTGAGCATCTACCTGCTCTCATGTAGATGGCATGACAGGCTGGCATTAAAATTATGGGATTGAAGGGTGTTTCTGGGCTGGATGACTATATAATAGAAGACTGTTGAGAGGGCGCTAGTATGACTTTTTTTTTCTTGGGTTGAATGAGTGTTCTCTCCCCTCTTTTGCTGGTATGAGGTTCTTACTCTGTACATGAAACCCGGTCGCTATCAATATCCTTGACCGTCCGAGTGTGCTGCTCATTCTCACCACGATAACATGGCGACGATGGTTCGGAGACCAATGTACGGAGTAGAGGCGGCCGCTACTGGGCTTTGGCATGTCTTTCATGTCATCGTGTGGCTTGCCGGACGAAGCTGGTCAGTGGCTTGTTTGGACCACTTGCACTAACGACTTAGAAGGCCCCAAGTCAGAAGCTAAGAGAGCAAGAAAGAGCCCGAGAGACTCTGAGACAGGGCGACGGCATCGTGTGGTCCACACATTACGTATGCTGCACTCTCACTAGTTCGCGGCCCCCCCTCTCTCTTGTCACACAGATAGTATTTTTTTCCCTCCCAGGCCCTGAGGCCATGAGAGACACAATGGTTTCTGCCAGAGATAGGTGTGACTAAGTCGTTTGCTATTCTTACCTCCCTAAGCAAGAGGAAGTATGAAGGGCATGGGGAATGCTCGAGGAATGTGGAAGGGGCCCCGGTCATATTCTTTGGTTCCGAAGCTTTTTCCTCAGCCACGCCAGCCAATGTTACGAATCGTAGTGGAGCCCTGATGCACCAACCTGGTATTCCGTTTACTGGGCTGAGTCTGCTGTTGGGAGGGGAAAGCAAAACAAAGTCAAAATCTATGATGCGATTGAGGATCGTGGTGATGCTCTGAATCGGCTGGTAGAGCCGGAAGTATACCATGCCTCACCTACCTCCTCACCCTATTTGGCCCATTGCGGTCAGCAAACCACCTGAACTTCCTCCAGGCCAGGACAGAAGGATAACCAATACAAGTAGGCAAACGTCCATAGGCAAACTAGTAACAGAGTAACCAGTACGGAGTAACAAATAACAAGTACCGCAAGGACGTGCTCGAGCAGGCCCACCAAGCTAGCGGCATTGCCGGGATGCTCTCCTACAACTGTCCGAGACTCTTGGGCTTGGGAGTCCACCCCGTGACTCCCCTTCTTTCAAGCTTCTTTCCACCATCACACCTTCAACAGCTTGCAACTACAACCCTCTCCTCTCACCCTCCCCCCTTACCCTCCCTCGACACCTACACGGGAGGGGCGATGCGATTGTGTCTCTGAACAGCCTTGAATTTCTGCCGGTGGGGGATCGTCACATCACTAAATCGTCAATCGTTAAACTCGTCCCAAACACTGGTTCCTCGTTCCTCGCTCCCTATCTACCCTCCCCACGCCGTCCTATCGTATAAGGATCGGCATTGCCAACCACCGGTCGGCACACAACCACTTATCTGGATTTTCGATCCCATTCTATCGTTTCTACTGCGTTCACACACATCCCCCAAAATTCCGCGAGTCGGGCGGAATTGGAGCGGATCAGAAAATAATCGGAATCGGGGTGCCTGGTGCTAGCCATCTGTTGAACCCAGACCAGCACCACCATGCGTCTCGCGCTCGTGCTGTCGACTGTGGCCCTGCTGGCACAGCCCTTGGTGCAAGCGGCAAGTTCACTGGCATATTGTGCCACAGAAAACACTGGATCTTCATATTCAGCCGGTATGTGAAGCACAGCCAAGAACCAATTCACAAGACCTGAGGACTGACCAACACCCCCTCCCCCTCAAACAGTCACCGATACTTATCAATCTAACGGAGCCTGTGAGGGAACTTGTGCCGACTACGCTCTCGGAGTTCTTCAAGGAAAGAAATGCTGGTGCAGTAATGTGGCCCCTGCGGAAGACACGCGAAAGAATACGACAGATTGCTCGACGGGCTGCCCTGGCTACCCCTCCGATAGCTGTGGAAGTGCCGCGAAGGGCGTATGGGCATACGTGAAGATCTCTGGTAATAGTGTGACCAGCACAGCCTCCGACGGCTCAACCACTTCAACCACCTCGGTAAGTCCATGCCTTGCTCTTTCGAGACCTCCCCTCTTCCCTTCTGTTTGTAAACTGCCTTTCGTGTCTTGGACCCTTTTTTCATGCCTGGGGTTTTGCGCTCTTTCATGGGAATGTTGTCTTATAGACGCTACAGGGCAGTTCATCGTCAACGACATCATCCTCCTCTACTTCTACAAAAGCACAAACTGTATCGCTCGAATCCTCCATAACAGACTCCGTACCGTTCGGATCGCTAATAACCCTTCTCTAGTCATCCTCGGACACCACTACGGCTGGGAAAATTGTGAAGGAAACCACATCGGCTGGCCAAGTGAAGACAATCACTGTTTCTGCCGCGAGCGCTACCGGGCAGGATCTATCGGCAGATAGTGCCAGCAGTGACAGCTCCAAGCTCAGTGGAGGATCGATTGCCGGCATCGTTATTGGTGTGATTGGAGGTCTCGCTCTGGTCGGTGCGCTTATCTTCATGATCTTTTTCTACCGAAAGCGTGCTCGTGCGGCAAGTCCCATTCCTAGCAACGCGGATATGGCCGAGAACCGCACAAGCCGAGGCTCGAGTTTCCCGGGCGTTTTCCCTCAAGGGAATGACCAGTCAGGGTCGTCGAGCCTGGGTCGCAAGCACACTTTTACCGACAACCGTCTGAAAACCGACATCTACCCCAACGGTCGTCGGGATAGTAGTGTGTCGCTCCAGGACAACGAAGATTACTCGCGGCCTGTTCTTCGAGTAAGTCATATCTCCAGCTGTCATTGGTCACGAAAATGAATATGGCACTAATCTCCCTATCCACTAGCTTACCAACCCCGATTAACCTCTGAACCGTATTGACTATCCATGCTTTTCTTCGTCATACTCGCGCCATCTTACATTCATCCTCTCTTCCATTAATTCTGCGCGACTTTTGCCCAAACAGCTCTGTTATGATACCCAATCTTGAACTGAATTATTTTACCTTCTATCCAAGGCAATGGTTGTGGAGAAGAAGCAAAAAACAACGAAAATGAACCACCCAAACATCGAGATGGAAGAAAAACAAGTTGAGCGAGGGAGGCGGTTGAACTCAATTATCATCCTATTTCCGCCGTTTCATTACTCGGGACGACTATTAAGGAGGAATGGGAATGATCGAACACCGAGAAGAAGAAAAGCAAGACGAGAGTTGGGCCTCCATACACAGCCTTGGAAGCCTTGGTTCGCCGTCGAGACGAGTTCACGAGCATCTTCACATTACATACCTTGCATACATAGCCATGAGATTGGCGCCCAGCCCGTGCGGTTTTTCAGAGTACATATGCGCCCCTCCAAGTCGACCTCCACCATGTTCCTCGACCCTCCTGATCTTTCAACCCTTCTTTTTCTTTTTCTATTTCTGATTTCCTACTGTGTACCATCTAACCAGGTCTTGTTTTATCTTAATCCAACTGGTCTTTGTCTCTTGAATCCTTGTCGAGGCGTTCCTGTCTCTGTGTTTAGAGCGATATATCTACGGTCATAGCTCCAACAAAGTCCAATTCTCCTCAAGTCAATGCCGTCGGCGATATTGGTCCTCGTTCGATTGTCAATACTCGTAGGTAATCTGAAACGAGCCAACTCCCCTCCCGTCCATTTCTGTGTGATTCCCCGGCCTGAAAAGAAAGATGCCATACTCTCAGATCGGGCCCCATTGGCTACTCTACTACCACTACAACTTGGTCTGCCTGTTTCGATTTGAGTCATACCAGACTCCTTCGGAATTGTCATTGTCCTACCCCCTTCGAAAAGGACAGGCCTGACAGGTATACCCGGCTGATCTATTTGGATGAGTTGATGATCCTTGGTCCTTTTAATGTCATCAGACTAGATCCGTAGGATCTACAAATATGGAAATGCTTAGCTTTGGGCGTCAACCCCCCTCCCTTCTTTGATACAATACAAAAGGAAAAAAAAATCGAACTCAATAGTTTATGTGAATATTGAAAGGTTATGGTATCTGAACATGCGAATAATCAATCTCAAAAGGATAATCAAATATACTGAAAGTCAACACGTTCCATATCCGCCCTCTACGATGGATACTACATCTCGGCTCGGGTCAGAAGAAAAGGGAGAGTAGATCCGGCTGTTGATAAGTCAGTGCTAGCTGATGCGTAGTACGGCCATGCATATCCCTCAGGCCTAAATTAGGCGCCATCAAGGATTCGCGAAGAAGAATGGCGATAAGTATCGTGTTGCGCCGCTGCATTGCATAGTGCAAAGGGGTTCCGGTAACGGGGCGAAAGGCATTGATATCGGCGCCACGCTGGAGCAAGGAACGCACGATGTCATAGTCGCCCATTACAACCGCCAAGTGCAGCTCAGTCTCGCCATCACTGGTGGTCAGATTGACGCGGGCGCCTTTCTGGAGCAGCAACTGGGCCGTGTCGAAATGGCCTCTTTCGATCGCTCGGTGGAGGGCGGTGTACCCGGTGACATCCTGGATATTGAGGTCAACGTCTTGGCTGCAGAGGAACGGGGCTACGAGAAGCTGGGGCGTCTGGGAGAGAACAGCCATGTGGAGAGCTGTGTGGCCCAAGCTATTGAGGGAATTGATCAAGCCAGTTGGCAAGCGAGGCATGATCCACGCCAGGACCTGCGGGTCCCTGCGTTCAACGACATTGTGCAATATGGTCATCCCGCACACGTCGTGCTCTAGACATCTGGCGGAGGCGAAATCAGCTCCTGTGGTCGCAGCCATGGCTAAGGTCTGGAGGGTGCAGAACCTCGCCATCAACTGCATCACAGCCCGATGGTTCACGTCTGCTCCTGCCCGGATAAAGCGTTGCACGCACTCGTCGTTGCCGGCCGCGGCCGCATGGGCAAGAGGATTCCGCTGGACAATTAGGTCTAGGAGGGATGCATCGGCTTTGAACTCCAGAAGGAGATCGATCATCGGCATGTAGGAGCTTTCAACGGCTAGGGTTAGCATGCGCATTCCACAGACTGTGTATGCGTTTGCGCTGATACCACTCTGCAGAAAGAACCGTACGGTGTGCAGGTTACGGAAAACGATACCTCGTCCGAGGAGCTCAGTTGCCAACGGGCCGAAGCCTCGCCTCGGGACGCTGATCGTGCGTCCGAGACGCAAGACCGGCTCGTCAATACCGGGGTGGTCGTCGTCGTTGTAAACATAATTCTCTTCGTAGAGATCTCGCGGGGCGAGAGCGGCAAGCCGGGCCCGTTTTTGGAGGTCAAGGGTTAAGAGCCACTGGAAATCACGGCACGACTGGACCATGTTGGCCAGGGATCGATCATCTAGGTTCTTTGCGATCTCTAGGATCAACTCGGGGGGCAGACCGCTGAGATTAAAGAGGGTTTCTTCCGGTGGGTTATGGGACTGGGCTGACTGAGTGAGGGAGAGAACCGAGGACTCCATGGCTGAGGTAATGTTGAGCATGTTCGGTGCTGAACCTAATGCTGTGTTCAAACGCGCGGTATAGCTATAGCTGTGACTGTGGGATAGTACTCTGGCACAAATACTCTGTGAGGCGTCTATGGAGAGAGAGCAGACGAAGCGATGCAGAGTGGCTAGATATAGATCTGCGCCGACGCAGGGCCCCTGGGAGCCTCTTTCAGCCAGCTGATATGGATCATGCCTTCTTCTGTTGCATGAGACCTTGTATCGTTTTGCGTCAAAAGGGCAAATTTGAAAGGACGAGAAGTGACAGAGAGCCGAATAGGGCTGGTGTTGAGAGGCTCCCGAGACATTTGCACAAAGGATTTGATGGACATCCCAGGGCCTCTCTCCGTGGTTCACGTCTTTGTGGATCCATGCTTTGAATCTTCGGACAAAGGGGATGCTATGGCAGAGCAGCCGCAGAGCAATGACAGGGTCCTCGTGCACAATGGCAAAGATTGACCGACCACTCCTGCAGAAACCGGTGAGATGAGTCGTATGAGACAAATATTCAGAACTTGACTTGATTGCAAACAGGGCATCTTATGTCTTTAAGAGAGAGAGAGAGAGAGACAAAGAGGAAGAACATCACAGAGACCATCGAGGTTGAATCCCTATTCTGGGTCTCCAGAAGCCTTGAAAAGACCAGCCGCCAACGATGACTAGTAACTAGTCCAGCATTAGTGAGTTGACCAACTGCCTAGGCCAGGTTGCCGTAACGCAACCATTGGCATCTTCGTGCAGAACGGACCAAACAGGCATAATTCATAATACTGAATGCAACTTTTATTCAAAGGTGACATTCCTGGATGGTCGCAACGAGATAGGGGCATCTGGCGACTCAGGCATGTCTCGCTCGGAGTCACCCGGTGGCTTGTCCATCTGGAGCCATCCTTAGCGGGCACTGACACCTTGCTTTGTGACTTTGGTGATAATGACATGATTCAGGATGTCGATACTCGCTAGCGAACGGATTTGGTTGGATGCTGGACACCCCCGCAGCCTGCGCATACGGTTAGGGCTCTACTTGGGTATGCACCCCATATGTACGCAGGAGGTTGGAACCCAGCATTTTCGGCGTAGAGCACCAGTTGCGCGAAGAATCATTGGTCTGTCTCCTTTACACAGACGCTGAATCAGGCGGTCCAAGCAAACTGCGACGGTTCGGATTTAAGTGGATATTATTCCTTCCTGATTTCCCCCAATTCAGCATGTTGCTGGTCGTCTTTGGTTAGACCCAAGCCAGGGACGGAGGCTGGCCTGGACTCCCATTGGCCGGGGTTCCCCTAGTGAGAGCCATTGGGAGCCCAACGCCAATTCATTTCGCGTTGGTCAGTGTTCGGAATTTAGCAGTCATGCTGGATGGTCTCCGGCACCGGAACGACCGGCACAGGTTCGGTTGCCCGAAACCCCCAAATCCCCAACTAACAAAACACTAGCTGCATCTCATCTCCGCTCCCTGAGGGGAGGGGGCCGGAACAGGCAACTCAGGCGTTCCCCAGATTTGCCTCCCCGACTTTTCCTGTGCTCACCGGGCATCTGGAACTGGCAAGGTTGCAAAAAACAAGTCGTGAATCTCCAGACCCCAAACCAGAGTCCCCGTGGGCAAAACACCATGCCACGCGTCCCTCCGATATACTTCGGTTCCCCGAGGCTTGGCAGGCTGTTTCGGATCCCCACAGATGCCGAGATCCACGGCCTGGTTTGCCGCTGACACAGTGTTACCTAACTTTCTTCGCGCTGGGTCAATCGTCGCGGCTAAGACTATTCGGATGGAGTATTCGAGACCGGATGCTTTTTTTTCCCCTTGCCCACCCCCTTTCCTTTCGATGGGTCCCTAGATTTCCCGTGACAAACCCCAGTAGGCGATCCAGTAGGCGTTCCAGTGGGCGTTCTAGAAATGCTACGGTCCCTCGCCAGTTCTCCACGCCCTAAAACCTTGGCTTGGGAGAACGATTTTGAGTCGTCGTTTCGATCTAGGTGATGCCCAATGAGCTGACATCTTCTGGGGCCCCCCGCTATACCCTAATGTTTTTTTTTTTTTTTTTTACTCTGCTGGGTGCCTGTTGTATGGCACGGGTGTGAGCCCACATTTGAGACCTGAAAATTTCTGCTCATCACAAGAGCACGACGCGGCCTCCCCGTTTGACGCCGTCTATGTTGGGATCGAGGCTTGGATGGGCAGGGCGAGCATACGAAGCCGCGTTTTCAATTACTCAATCGCTGCTATGAAAACACTTTCGGAAGAATCGAGAATACCAAGATCCTCGTACTCAGTCCGGAGTAGGACATCCATACATCCCTACCTCTCCTCTACTCCATACCGAACTATCTCCCCAGATTTGTTGCATGAACGCTAGCACCTCATCGGCCAAATATCGGGCCAGCGGGGGCATTGTGAGGGTTCTGGGTCTTATCTCCCTGTCAGCACTAGATATCTTGCTAGGAGACACCAGCCGTGACTCCGCCCCTTGAAAGAAAGGATTCCGTGCGGGCAAGTTGGGGCCAACAGCCGTGTGTAGACCATATGTCAGCCAATGCGAGGCGTTTTTGTCCCAGGTTTCCAAAGCCGATTCGTACGGTTGCTCGGCGCCCATGCGCCATACTTACCGCCGAGGCGTGGGACAAGAGTGCTTCTTTTTGGCCAAAAAAGCTTGGTGGCGTCCGTTAGCCCCCGTGAGGCTTGTTCTCGCGCACCTGGTCCGGATGTCTCTCAGCAGACCCGGAATATGCCATTGCCGACTTTTGACTTGCCTCCGGGTCTAGCCAACAATCTATCTAGCGCCGTGCTAGTTGGAGGAGGGGGTCTGGCACTGGAAATTCCTGGGGCCCAGGGTCCCCTCTTTGAAGGCATCGTCAGCTTGCGATTGGTGCCATGGCTAGAGACGCTACTATACTTGGTCCGGGGCAAATTTTTTTTCTGGGATCTCAAGCGCTAACCCCCAGAAAGCGAAATGAGACGAAGGGGAAAAAAAAAAGAAGAAAGAGGCGAGCACGAGAAGTATATAAACCCGCGGTCCGCCCATCGCGGGGCTTCTGATTGACTAGGATCCCGATCGTTTCTTTGCTGCTTTCCAGAAGTTCCTCTCGAAACCTCTCCACGATGGCGGTTAGTCAGTCGGTGGTTGGCCGCAACAATGCGGAGAAGCCTCATGGTCTTGCGGGTATGCTGAAGAACCCATATGTCTTCGCAACCTGTCTGTTTGCCTCGCTGGGTTGTATCATGTACGGTTATGATCAGGGTGTTATGAGTCCCGTCCTGGTGATGGAGAACTTCGAGAACCACTTTCCCCTGTTCATGGGATCGACCATTCAGGGTTGGCTCGTCGCTGCGCTGGAGCTGGGTGCCTGGGCTGGTGCTTTGATCAACGGTGTGTTGGCGGACCGTATCTCCCGAAAGTATGCCATGATGGTCGCTGTCATCATCTTCACACTCGGCACGGGCCTGCAGGCTGGTGCTCAGAAACCTGCATACTTCTTCGCCGGCCGTATCGTCGGTGGTATCGGCATTGGTATGTTCAGTATGGTTATTCCCCTCTACCAGGCTGAGATTGCGCCCCCGGAGCTGCGTGGCTCGCTGGTCTCGCTGCAGCAGCTGTCTATTACCATTGGTACCGCCGTTGCTTTCTGGCTCGATTATGGTATGCAGTATGTCGGCGGCACTACTTGCAACCCGGAAGGTATCGCCAACCCTTACCTGGCGGATGGCACCTACAATGCGGCACAGAACCATGGCCACACTTGCCTGGGCCAGAAGACTATCGCCTGGCGTCTGCCCTTGGCCCTGCAGATTATCCCAGCGTGGATCCTGTTCTTCGGCATGTTCTTCTTCCCCTTCTCCCCCGTTGGTTGATGATGAAGCACCGCGAGGACGAGGCTCGTATGGCCCTCTCTAAGCTGCGTCGCCTGGAACCCACCGATCCTCTGCTGCAGGCCGAGCTTCTCGAGATTAAGGCGGCTGTGATGTTCGACGAGGAGACTGAGCGTGAGGCGGTTGGTACCGGTGGCCCCTTGGCGCCCTGGAAGGCACTCTTTGCCCCCAACATGTTCAAGCGTCTTATGGTGGGATGCTGCACCATGGTTTTCCAGCAGTTCACCGGTATCAATGCTGTGCTTTATTACGCGCCCCAGATTTTCAGCAGCTTCGGCTTCAAGTCCACCAAGCAAAGTCTTCTGGCTACTGGTGTGACCGGTATCCTGCAGATCATCTTCACCCTGCCTGCAGTCCTCTACCTCGACAAATTTGGCCGTAAGACCTTCCTGATTGTTGGAGCTGTTGGCATGTTCCTGTGCCACATCGTCGTGGCCATTGTCGAGGGTCTCTTCAAGCCCAAGTGGGACCTGAACGAGGGTCTAGACGTGGCTCAGGGCTGGGTTGCCATCGCCTTCATCTGGCTGTTTGCCGTTAACTTCGCCTACTCTTGGGGTATGTTCTCTATATAATTGTACACAACTGATACAAACAAAGAAAAGGGTCGCTAACATATATTTTCTCTCTTCCAGGTCCTGTCGCATGGGTGCTCACCCAAGAAATCTTCCCCAACAGCCAGCGTTCCCGCGGTGTCTCCATCGTCGCCTCCACCAACTGGATGTTCAACTTCGTCATCGGCCTGACCACCAAGGATATGCTCAATAGCATGAAGTACGGTACCTACATTTTCTTCGCCATCTTCAGTGCTCTAGGTGGTCTGTTCATCTGGAAGTTCGCGCCCGAGACCAAGGACAAGACTCTGGAGGAGCTGGATATCTTCTTCGGCGGAGGCATAGACAGCATTGCTGAGGCCGATCGTCTGCGCATGCAGAGAATCAACGAGAGCCTCGGACTTGCTGGTGTCGAGACTATCGAGGACCTGAAGACCGAGAAGGAGCGCATCGCTGCGGAGCAGTTCGAAGTTGAGAATACCTCCAACTAATCTTGGGGTCTGGAATTGAATGGAGTTGAGAGGGACATTTTATGGACAACGATGTTAATCTAGTTACGTCGTGACGGAATTTTCTTGGATAATAATTATTATGAATATGTGAATATGATATTATAATCTCATTCTCTATCCTCTCTCCGCAAATTTCCACTTTGGATCAGTTTCGAACTCCGGAATCTTGTCGTCGTTGCCTGTCGTTTACTCTTGCAGCATAACTAAATCATGTTACTTGAGGCCGTGCGGTGAGGAGAGCATTCCAGACTATTCAAGCGCTTTTACCCTCCTGGCGAGGTCAAACGCCACAATTCCATACCCCCGGACTAGACCATGAATCCTGCCACACAATACTCGAAACTCAAGGTCATACTCCGTCACTACCTTTGCCCGGGAGGCTATCCCGAAAGATTAAATCTCGACTTACCCGAAACTGGCAGCCCAGCCCGACCCCGAGCCGCCAAGCATGCGCCAAGGCGCCCAAACAGCACTTGGACACGACGCCAGACAACAGAAAAGAAGCTTTAAGGCGTTCACCCCTGCAATACACCTCTTTGTGCGGAGTTAGAAGTGCCCAAGCCCTTGTGCTACTGTCTGTTCCCCGCGCTTTCGGGTCTCAGATCTGCGGGGGTGCATTGAATAACCGACTGATCGCGTCGTACCTGCGGAAGTAAACGAACAGCGCAATAGGTTTTACCCGCGCTTGTCCCTCGCGTTGTGGACACACTTGCTCGCAGTCAAGATCGAAATTATGTCCGAGAGGCCCGTCCTCGATGTTTTACTTCGCTCGAACCGGAAATGGTGCATCATAGTTGAAGTGAATGCGGAGTTCCTCGCTGGTCGGATTGATGAACGGTGAATGCAGAATATGCAGAGAAGCTTGATCTTTATAAAATCACATGTTCTGTATTTTTTTTATTTGAAGTATATGTTTCGAGGAAGTTGAGGCATATATCTGATGTTCAACACAGGGGCCACTTCCAAGCTATGTAAATTGTCGACTAGGTCTTCATTTCACAAGATTGAGGGCTACTATGGACGCATTGCCTCCACTCAGTTGAAGTTCCAGTTGGAGAATAGGCCGAACCTGATTATTCCGCTTTTGCATTTCCCAGCATGGCTAGCCTTGGGGTGCTTTATAACGAAGGTAGTAATTGATCCCCATGCTCATTTCGCTCTACTGTATGTGTTTGAAGATTCATAAGCTTTCACGCAGAGCTAGTGGAGCTCGGGGTTCATATGAACCCCCTCTTTTGAATTCAAGCCTGACGAAAGGCATATAAATTAGAGAGAAACCCCATTGTTGACCCCTTATTCTGCATTCCGATTCAAGCTCCAGACATTTTCTTGTTTAGATCCCCTTTCATCCAAGGATCAAAATGGTTCAATTGTTATCATCCAAATCTCTTCTGCTTGGCTTGGCCACCACTACTATCGCGGTGCCACACTCAACTCGCGGTAGTTGCGATCAATCCTCGCTCAACACAACCACCTTCACTTATACCACCACGTCGGAGGATACTATCTTCAGCATCGCGAAGAAATTCGACCGTGGAGCTTGCGATATCGCCAGAGCAAACCGGATGATCGATGCAGAGCATATATTTGCCGACTTTACCCTCCGCATCCCGGGCCAAGTCTGCCATCCGGACAGCACAACCTGCCTCTTGACCCGGCAGAACGCGACCGCAACCTGTGTTAAGGGCGGGCCGCACGACTACAAGACCATTGCGGGCGACACTATTGAGAAGATTGCGCTGTACAAGCTAAATGTTACCGTGGACACTGTCTTTAGCGAGGCTCAGCAAGTAGGAATTTCCTCTATAACGGAGGAGATACCTGCTGGAACGTTCATTAAGGTCAAGCAGTGTGTGCCGAGTTCCTGCACTGTCACTCCCTTCCATTTTACCTATGGAGTTTATAAGGACCTCGCTGAACAATTTGGGACAACCGTTGGCCAGATTATGTCTTCCAATGGAGGCTATAACTATAGTGATGCCTCGGATGCCTCGGCGGCGTGGATTACTGTGCCGATGGGGTGCACGAACTTAGCTTTGAACGTCACCGAGGAAATTTAAAGTCGATCAACTGTACTGGATAGCAATGACGGCTGTGAGTTTTGCAATTATTCAACTCGGCGAGCTAGCAGGAAAGAAAGACCGACAAGGACAGGTAGACTGTGTATCTAGGGTGGATTATTCCTGTTTCGTGACACTCTAGTCAGCTTGGCTCATACTATTTAAATTCAATACCAGTGGTGCTCTACCGGGCACTAAAAACCCTTGAAGGCTTCCTGAATGCCATACATCCCATGTTAGCATTACAGCCAATATAAGCACCGAATCAAACATAGAGAGTCCACTCATGCGTCAGCGGATACCCATCCACACCCTCTGCATACTCTACAACACGAAAGATACTTCGAACCAAAATCAGTACACTAACAGAGTAAAGAGCCCGCAGATGGCCCTTCCACCTGAGATCCGATCATCAAAAGCCTCCGTAGTTGGTGATTGATCCATGCGAACCTGGAATACGATGGACGTGACGATGAACGGACGGAACATCAGAACTGGATAGCAAGACCGATGAAAGTCACTACGCGAGCCCCGATACATGGAATGAATCAATTCAAGAATGGTATCAATACTCTATCCAATCCCTTCTCATTTTGCAAGGGCGAAGATGGTGAACAGAGGCAATGTCGGGCTGGTTGGGAAAGGCGATCGGAGCGCATAGTAAGGGAACCAGAATATTCGCCTCCAAACTACGTGCATTATGCCGTTTGGAGCAAGTATGAGGATGTTATATATCCCCTTTAACATCTCTATCGGGTTGAAGGTCTAGGATGTGGACAGACTCTCTCTGATCTGGCCGTGGCGGATCTCCATGTGGTCTGTGCATACGCGTATTCTGGCGACCCACTTGTGGGTATTACGGATGAGCTAAAGTTTGAAAGGTTAATGGAATGCTGACTGGGCCCGAAAATCCAATGAGCGATTGTAGCCCAGGCTGCAGAGTTTTTATGCCAACTTCGATCGAGGAGGATAGTACATTATCGAAGTGCATGGCCTATGACCCCTTCTATGACCCTCGGAGGCTGGAAGCTCGACGACCACTCGGGGCGCGAAGCCGCGTATTGCCGCGATGCCGCGCCGAACACACAAGAAATCCCGCAATGGCTGTATCGAATGCAAACGCCGCCATATCAAGGTAAGCGCATGCTGATTGGCCCCAAGGATTTGTTCGATCTCGTTGACGTCGTTTAGTGTGATGAGCGTCGGCCCATGTGCTCCAATTGCACCGCATCTGAACGACGTTGCGAATTCGGTAGCCCTGCCCTTCTCGTACGGGCTTCACCAAGTACCAGCCAGGGTCAGGCAAACGCCTCGCCTGCAACAAGATCTCCGACACCATATCCGGATTTTCAATCCAATGGAGCCCCAGAGGGAGCCCCGGTAAACATGCTCCACGTGGAGCTCCTCTATCAAATCACCTTGGAACTGCCCGATTGGATCAGCCCGTCAATCCAACAATCGGGACTTTCTTTAACCGAGATATTTAGAATCGGAATGGGCGCACCATATCTTATGAATATAATGCTCGCCCTCAGCGCCTTACATCTCAGCATCATTAAGCCAGAAAAGCAAGACTTCTACCGACACCATGCCACTCATCTCCAAACATATGCTTTGAATAGCTTCAACAATCTGTCTCCAAACATTGACGAAGGAACATTTATACCAGCTTTTATTTTTGCTGCTATTTTGGGACTATATCTACTCTGTGACACGCTGGTGTTTCGTGAGAATAGCTTTGAGGATTTTCTTGATCGATTTGTTCAATATGTGCGTCTCCATCAAGGGATACGAACGATAACAGGAGAGGGTAGATGGGAATCTTTGCAGCACACAGTGCTGAAGCCAATGTTGCAAGAAAATCGGCATTTTCTTCAAATGGATGCTGACCTTGGATCAGTATGTGCGTCGCTACTTGGGCGTATCGAAGAGTCAGAAAAAGACACGGCAAGAGTGAAAGTGTATGGACAAGCTGTCCAGGCCCTCCAGGCTATAATGATAGCCATTGATAAAGACCATACTGCCACTGGAGCCATGCGTGCTCTTGTTGCGTGGCCGGTCATTGTCCCTCCCGCCTATGTTGACCTTGTCTCGTCACGGCGGGGAGAGGCTCTTGTGATTTTGGCACACTATGGAGCATTGATTCATCGTCTTCGGGATAAATGGGTTTTTCGAGATGGGGGTCAATTTTTGGTCGAATCGATTCATACATATCTGGGCTCTGCATGGTTGGAATGGCTGGAGTGGCCAAGAAGCTTCATAATGCATAATGGTTCTTGAGCAAGAGACCGTTGAAGATAGCTTACCTTGGAACGAAATTCAAAGACGCACGAACAATTATTTTCATATTGCACTGTAGTTGTGGATAGAAGAGAGACAATGCGGTAAAGTATAGAAGGTTTGGCAACTATATATAAAGGTCATCCGACTATCATTCTGCTGCAAGCCTTTTTTAATACCTCCAGTAGAGTGATAAATCTAGCCTACAATGTTTCGTCATCCATGAGGGAAACGAATGGGCTCCACATCCTGCCTATTCTAGAAAAATACTTGGAAGCTATCAGTAAAAATGTACCCGCCTATCCTGACATAGCGCACAAAAAGTCATCGTAGCAAAGACGGGTCAGATTGAGAACAATCGGTGACCCAGATGTATATATAGTCTTGGCGTCAGTTTAGAGGTTTGGAACATGGTGGAAGTGCGGCTTCAAGCTCTTCAACCCCAGATCTTGTCCGCGCGAAGATTTACGTATTTGAGGGAAATATCTCGTTGAATAACTGAAAGACCCGTGTTTGAAGTCGCTTCACCGTCGTCTTTGCGACTATCTCTCAGCTTGCTCGATGCAGGTCTTATTCTTGACCTGCTGAAGTTCACATCTCACAGGACTAGCAGCAATATGTGGGTCGACCAAGCTCCCTTAGGAGCAAAGCTAATCATTGTGTAGCATGCAAGATCGAGATTTTACTGGAGGACACTCGCTTCGTTCGTCTTGTAGACGACTTTGGTGAGATAGATTCCGAGATCATTACCAAGGTGCTCAGGGTGGCATAGATATTCATAGAATCTTCTTTCGAACTTTCAGTTCATTCTTATCGAAAATTTTGGGTAGTTGTTGCAAAGCAGATGCCGTCGATTAGACCGACGTGGGACATAAATTGTCACAAGAGATAGTACAGCCAATGTGTCTGTATCTCAGACACAATGCCAGTGGATAGACGATAAAAAAATGAGATACATATTGCGATGGAATATTGATCATATTGGACTTGCTGATCAGCTTATTGGGGTACCTATCGATGAAGCTCAATGTACGTAGTCTATAGAGCGAACCCTCAAAAATTTTGTAGGCACACAAAGGCATCATTGAACAAGGTGAAATGCAATGCAGCTGGCACAGCTTACTACTATACTTATTTAAAGTTTTCTGGTTGCCAAGCATATGGACATTTTTGCCGTTTTGGGCATAGCGGGTTCAATCTTCCCATTCAGTCTATCAAGTCCAGAGAGCCTTATCTCTGTCTGCTTGGGAATACTGGACTCATTTCTCTATCATATCTTTTGAAATTATCTGCTTGAGTTGCATGACTGATAGAGCCTAGAATCCGCCAAAATCATACTAATGCTGGGGTCGGGACAACAACCGGTACACCAGTCAACTACTAACGAAGACTGATTAGGCAAGACCGAGCTCGATAAGAGGAAAACAAGATAGGATACTTTCAGAATCATAGAAATTCAAGCTAACATCGTCATAGCTGAGGGGCTTGACCAGCGTTTCCTCGCCAAACAAGGAAAGATCAATCGAGCGAGTACAACCGACAAATCCAAAGTAGCTATTCGATGCGTGTATACCATCATTGTATGGGTTTCCCCGCATCAGAGATCTCGGTCTGAAAGCAAAACAGTAACTTCCGCGGCCCCAAATTATGTGTGAATCGGCGAGTACTTATTACCGTCATCTCTCCCTCCATAAGTCGCTTTGATAGCGCCTATAAGAATAACTCCTGGTTGGTTATGCCGTGATATCTATTCCAAGAACCGACACCCCCGCCTCATATCACAGCCCATATCGATCGAAATAAACTACAATCATTTGCCCCAACGCGCACTCAATCAACACCCATGGAGTTTTTGAGAGATCCCGAAAGCGCCTGGAGAATCGGTCGGCTCCTAATAGCCGCAACCACATTTTGTTCGATTCTGTACCGATTCTTTCCAAAAGCCCTTATTAACAGAGTGAATATACGGGACCGACGCAATTCCATAGCCAAAACCCCACCGCGATCCCTTTCTCCAGCCAAGAAGCAATCCAATAGTGCCAAACCGCCCATAAACTATGACAATGCCCTACCACCCCAGCGCAGAGAAGCCCTGTTGCAACTAACGGGAAGTGGTATCCCCTGCCGTGAAGTTGATGAAACCGATGTGCACGAGAATATTCTTCCCATGACCGCCGACTACAGGTCAAGCCCAGACAACCTTTACACACCAACGGGTTTCTCCGTGGGTGAAGTCAGATCCCTCGGAGATTTCCCAGACTATGCGACGTTGAGCGGAGTCCCCCTACCCAGCGCTTATCCTGAACATGATATTGAGAAGGCAAAACCACGGCCGTACCGGCCATTTAGATGGGCCTATCACCAAACAATGTGTATGTTCTCCGTACTCCAAGAATCGGGACAATTACAGAAGCGTGCGAGTCTAACGGAAGTTGATCCTTTGTTCCATAATAGCGCTAACCAAAATGGAAACGGACTGGTGGATCGAGTTGGAAAGTACATACAGGAGTCGCATTGCGCAACGTAAAGAGCTTTATGCCAAGAACGGCAAAGAGGTTCTTGACGCACTTCCGGGGTCAGAGTTAGCCTGCAAGGAGCTTATGGAAATGGTGTTGCAGTTTATATGTGCTCGATATCCTCAGCACTTCACATTGGTAGATAAGGACACTCTACGGAACCATATCCTAGGGACTCAGCAAAATATTCGAGCCAAACCTCCGCTGGAGGTTCTCCTTGACAATGTCCCCGAGGACTTTGGTCTAATGATGCGAGATGATGAAACAGGATACTATTTCCTGCGCGCAGCTGTTATCTGCTCTGCATTAGGATGGAATGTTGGGTCAAAGATTGGAAAGCAGTTGCACCAGATTCATGCGCCGATTCCAGACTACAAAGAAAAAATGCAATTTTCGATGGATCGGTACGTTGATATTTAATTGACAGCGTTGCTAGAGAGGACAATGAGCTAATTGGCGTACTATGAACTAGCTTCTTCACGAAGATGCCGACTGAAAAGCCCATTCAGCGTGGCTCGTGGGGCTTTGAAGTTGGAGAGCCCTTATACATGCCCCCAGGAGACCCGCAAGAGGCACTCAGATCATCGCAGAACCCCGACTTGCAAATTGCAGATTGCAATCTTCGTGTGGACTGGCAGACTCTTCGTCGTCTGCCGCTATCCGCTTCTATCGTTTTCAATTTCAAGGCACTCTTCACGCCGATTACAGAGTTCCGCGATGAACCGGCTATACCACCATTGGTAGCGAAGATTTTGAAGGAGGGCAAGAGTCATCTTATGGAGTATAAGGGAGTTTGGCATGTTCAGCATGTAATTTTACCTCAAATGGAGAAGTGGGCCAAGGAGCAGGAAGAAAAAGGTCTTGTTCCAAAAGACTGGCCAGTTGCTACTCTGGATGAAAGTCCATGGTTCCAAGGGTGGGAGAAGAAGTGGCATTGCCAGCAAGGATTTTAATGTTATAGTATTTGTGATTTGGCAGTCGTTCGGAACATTTGTTGCATTCAGGTACTGGGACTAGCTCTGGGCTGGTATTTCAAGAGCCCGAGGATATAAAATACACTCGGCTGCATGTATTTTCCACGAACATGTTTCTGGTGTTGGTTTGTGCACCGTGGGCCATTCCTTCGGAGACCACAACAGTGCCACTGGCACACGGCGCTGGTGGGGTCAAAACTGCCTTATTTATGAATGCATCGCCTGTCGATATTGAACAGACTTGGCACAGAATTGACGAGCGTACCTGCAAAGAAGTCATGCAACTTGCTTTGGCGTAGTTCAATAATGCCTGCACTCATGAACCGACGCAAAGACGCATGTTCTGAAGGTCCCACAGATGGGCAAAAGCCACCTGGGAGTACGATAACGGATGAAAGTGATCCATTAGATCCTTCAATCATCGCCCCCACTTCGCTTGCCGGAGGACTCGTTGTCGCCGCTGTCATGATCAGCGTCATCTCTCTCCTCATCGCTGTCACGATCCAATTCTTCCAACTCATCCGCCAGCGGGCTAATCCTTTCATCCAACATGTCCAAGTCCTCTAATTGTTGTCGCGACGGCAGCTTCCACAGACTCGTACCGCAAACACGGTCCTTAGTGAGAAGATCATCGATAAACTGGTCCATGTAGGTAAGGGTGTATGTGTCACGGACTCGGCGCTTTAGTTTTCGGTAATCGAGTAGTAGAGGTTCCAAGGTTTTGTAGACGTCAACAGCCTCAAAAGTAAGTCGCACATAGAAGGCACCTAGGGCACGAAGGTATTTGAAATCCCCACGTCCTTTCACCACCCCGTTGTGAGCCGGGTCGTCACCCTCATCGTCGCTTCCTGGGTCGGTAAAATTGAGGTACTCTAGGACCACATCTCGCTCGGGGTTGAGCTGCAGGAGCTTGAATGCAAGGCAGAGAAAAGGCGAAGGTTTTTCAGAGATGCCATATGTACCCCCAATAGAGGAGAGTTCGACTGCGCGATCGCAGAGAGTGGCGGCGTTCAAGCCGAAGCACTGTTCCTTCCAGTAATAAGAGTCTGTGATGCGGTCTCGGACTGCTTTCTCGAAGAGAGTGACGGGATTGACGCCCCGTACAAGAGGACCACTGTAGCCCCGATTGTCCAGGAAAGTGCTGGCGTCCGCCCGATGCGTGGCCATTGCGGAAGCTGGAGTCGTGACAGGATTGAAGGGTGGAGCACGGACAGAAGTTGCAAATGGCCCGAGCGCCAAGACTCCAAGCCTCTCAAGACCGCCCTTATCGATAGTCGCACGGCCAACCCCGTAAACAATCCTGATGTCATGCAACCAGCGAAGCACTAGGGGTAACACTAGAGGGGTTGAGACCTGAGACATCGAAAAAGACGGCTTTTTTGGGGGCAGTGCATGGTTGACATTTCAATCTCACCTGTTTCCTTCATTCCTCTTCCATGTTGCCGCTATTCCTTCAATCATGGTGCTGCTCACTTCATCGCAGGTCTCTGCCATTGTGTCGATGGGGGTGGTCTGCATCTTCACTCTGTTATTATTCGTCTCTGGCTACGTTTTGCAGCAGAATTCAGTGAAAAACATCCAGCATGCGCTGCGAAGGCCTCCTGATATCGCAGGAGAGCGTAGACGCCCCGAATCCTCATTCCAGAAATCGGCGCACAAACGTGGTTTATCAGATTCGGATATCCGGCTAGGGGCCGATCAAGGAATCTTACAAGGAGGTCAAGATCGCCACGGAGTATCAAGAGGCAATTATGCATATCTGCAGCTACTTGCGAGGCCTGACCCCTCCGACATCTGCTCTGCTGTTCTGTTCTTCAAACAGCTCGCTACAAATGGCTCTGCCATTCAAGACCGCCTCTTTATGTATCCCGAGGAGTGGGACCGCATGTCTACGAAAAAGCTAGGAAAGCCGGCGTCCTTAGCTTTATCAATTCTTCGAGCCGCAAGTATGAAGTATGGTATTTGGCTTTTGCCAATCGATATGAGTGCTGCTACGACGCAGGGCTTTTCATTGACAGATACCAAATTACTCCGCTTAGGCCAAATTCAATTCATGCAGTATGACAGTGTATTATATTTGCAATCGCCTGGATTAATTCTTGATACCGAGAAACTCGACAAAGTGCTTCTTTCGCAGCCGCTGCCACTCATACATGACCTGAATCGGCCTGAGTCATACAACAATGAGGCGTGGACCCCTATGGCATTGCGCCCTGACCGTGACGCTGAGCTTCCACCTGCATACCTGATCACGGTCAATAATGTCGACGGCGGGCGCGTGCAGACCCGTACTCATGTTCCAAACACCGACCTTGACGGATTCGGAAATTTGATAACAGGGCCATGGGGAGTGCACTCAGCAGTCAGCGATAGTGGGGCCTTTGATCAGCAGGGCTATGTTTACTTCGAGAATGATCGCGACGGGCAAGTCAAGTGGGCTGGAAATCCGCTTTTTGGAACATGGCGATCGCAACAGCACGAGGTATGCGAAGGACTGAACTTTGATGACGATTTTTCTCATGACGGGCAATGATTGCTGGCCTTTGTTTTTTTTTTTGTTCTATTGGATTTATAGCATACCCCTGGAATATACATGCACACGGGCAGGGCCTTGGTTCGGGCTATGGCGTTCGATTTGTGAATTTCTTTTCTCAGATATCACCCATGTTTTGTCTTTCTCTTATTGCCGAATGAACATCATCTGTTTGGATGAGCATGCCTTCACTTCTTATTATTTTGTTCGGAGACAAATGAGGCTATTTTGAATAATACATCTTTCATCTTTCCAAGTTATAAAGTTCATAGGCCACCATCAGACTCTTGATAAATGGTCTTCTAGAGGTATGAACTCAGATCATTGTGGAACCCCAATTTCGTAGCCTAACAGCACTTCGGTGGTGTTGCCTTCCCACCCTCGGTTTCCACTGGTAGAGATCATGAACCGACAAGCGTTGTCAATGTAGAGTTGAGAAATAGTTCCAGTCCGATGGCCAGGGATAATGAGGAAGGGCACGGTAGAATGCTTGGATGTCTGCTCATGCCTTAAGTCATAGAGACGCAAAATGTCATGAGAAGCACTGTAGAGAATTAAATACGGTATTTGATTCAGAAGAGAAGAGATAGCTTACCAAACGAGATGTTGGCCATTAGGCATTGCTTTGAGTGCTGTAACAGGGCCACTTCCTTGAGGAAATTTGAATGTCCGCTCGGCCGCACGAAGGCCCTTGTGTAGACTGAATTCTTCAACGGTACCATTACGGCGCCCAGCATAGATATAATTCCCGTCGGGAGACCAACAGGCATTCATACACCAAGGTGGCACATTTCGAGGGCTAATACGTGCAACCGGGTCAGGCTGCCGCCGGTCCCATACTCGAATGGTGCCATCGATGGACGCGGCCAGGAATGTATTGTCGGAGCCGGATGGCTGATCTGTTGGCATAGCTTCGGGCATAGTGTGGTCATGTGATGAGATTTCCAGATCCTCTGCTCGAGGAAGACCATTTACAGCCGGTTGGGATAATTCAATGGAATTGTTGCCATGGGGTACCTCGAGATTTGCATCAGAGCTGTCAGCATTGATGTTTTCCTGATCTGACACCATGTTTGGTGGGGGAATAGCGTCGTTCTGCGGCAGCTCCGTGTCGGCTTCGCCAGGGGCATCCGCATCAACTAGTCCATTTGCCATTGCGCGGCCAAACTCATCATCCTCGTCGACCCCAAAGACACCACCAGAAGGTTCTCCGCCGTCTGCGGCTCCTCCGTCGGCATCACCGAATAATGAATCCGCACCACCAAAAAGTGAGTCTGTCGGGGAGCCCGCCTGCGGGTTCTCCGTGGCATCTGCCTCTGGGGCATCCTGCATCGTATCCATGAAGTTGTTTTGCCCAGTACCACTCGCACCGTAGTTCGAAGAGAACGTTCCATTTGGCTGCGAAAAGTCGATAGTATCTTGAGGGACTGGCAGACTGGATTCTGGTCGAATTTGAAGAGCAGAGATCTGACCAGCGCTTCCACCAAACGCACGTCGAGCCTGCCCGGTATTGAGATCCCAATCAAACACCCGTTTATCCCAGCTCCCGGATAATAGTGTTTGTTCATCGGATGTCAAGTTGAGGGAGGAGACAGCAGATGTGTGCTGTCGCAGCTGTATGATTTCCCTTCCTTCGTCATGGCGTAGTGTTTGGAGTCGGATCGCACCTGATTCTAAGCCGGAGAGCAGCCAAAGCCCTTCACTTTGGCATGCTAAAGAATACACTGGCGACAAGTTGTTCCCATCCATGTTCTCCCAATATGTCATCAATACACCAGCCTTGACTACGCTATCCACGAAAGGGTGTCTTTGGGCCACCGTTAACATGAGCTTGCTGTTTATGGAATCGGCCCAATTGAACTTTCGGACGTAACCATCTGATCCGCCACTAAACACCCAGCGCATATCCGCTGTAGCAACAACTGCGTTGATGGACGTACTATGCGGCGCGGCTGTGGTAGGAGCAATGTCATAGGTTTTGGCAGTGAGGCATTCGGGGCGCACGCTGGGGTGGTAAATCGAGAAGGATTCGGACATGGCGTTGGGCATGTTCCCTGGAGATGTCATAGATGTATCCTGGTTGTTTTGCGAGGCCATACCGGCTCCTTCCGAGGCTTGGCTGGCATTGGAAGGGCTGTCTGGATCTTGGTCTTGGTCCTGGTCTTGATATTGATCGGCGTCTGGGTCAGCATCGGCGTCGTTGTCGTTGTCATTGTCATTATCGTTGTCACCCTCTCCATCGTCCACATCTCGCATTGAGTCATCAATCTCATTGTCAGAGCTGCCGTCCTGGGACCCTAAAGTAAGAGAAACGTATCAGCTACCTGAGTTCCATTGCGGGGAAGGGGGCCAGCCTGGGCAGAAAATGCGACACGAGGGACTCACCCGCCAGGTCACGATCCTCGTCCTCCTCAAGCGATGCCATGAGTCCGGTTTGATATGTGTGATTTCACAATCACTTATACAATAACTGCAATGCTTGTTGTATGGCAATTGGCCGGTCAGGCTCTTGCTCCGGCGCCGGGAAAGCTTCAGCGCCCGCGCGCAGCCTAGATCAAAGGTGTCAAGGCGGTAGTTCTGCTTGCAGCCGGAATGTCTGTATATTTCTCCAAGGTTGCCAACCAAGCCATAGGGAGGCCACAACTAGGTCAGTCGGACAGTAGACAGCAAGCCGCAGAAAAGATAGTATAGAAAGCCCACGGCGCGCGGAAAGGGAGAACGAAGCCCGTTGAAGGCGGAACAGGCGCAAGGCGGTCGTGATCTCCGACCCACCGACAGCCAATCACATCACGCCGCCATAGATCGAACCTCCGCAATCCCACGCCAGCGACATCACGCTGATCTATCATTGGAAAAGACGATATATACAAATTGCCGGACCTCTGCCTCTCATGATCTTCTTTTTGACCCCTTCAATCCTCAAAATTCACTCACATATCAAAAAGAAGTGAGTTAGGCTACAGTGAATTCCTTCCCATTCACCAACCTGTTCTATAGGCCTCTCCTTTTGATTCAACAAATCCGGATCATTCACAATTCAATATCTTGTTACATCCCAAGGCAGCAATCTCACATCTTGTTCACTAAGTCAAGATTTTGAATTTGGAGCGTTCACCTTTGAGTTGGTAGAGTGGTTTCCATATCCTCATCCTTTGTGACATACCCTGCCACTTTCTTGATTCGGCATTCTACCCAACTCCTGGCCCATTTGAAATATTTGGGCTCCCACCACATTCTCTGCTTTCCTGGAATCAGGTAATTGGAGAAATTTCGATAGCATAATGACTCCACCAAAGTTTATTGGGCCGCCTCGCCCTCGAGAATTCTCTAGGCGGGGTCACGGTGGTCGGGGGCCAACCCCCCAGAGCGTGGCCAACCGAGCGATCCGCGAATATTTCGGCAATTATGGCTGTCAGAAGATCGGTTCCAATACAGACTGGCTTATGAAGCCGGAGCTGCCCACTGCAGATGAGATTCTGGGGATTGATTCCCCAGATAATGATGTGCTACTGGCTCCGAATGTAATCTCGGAAGCATGGTCTTCCAGGGACGACTATCTCAAAACTCATTACAACCTCATTCGAGAGGATGCTGTTGCACCACTACGTGATGCAGTGGCATTTTTAAGGTCCAGACCTTCCATGAATGACACGAACGATGTGGCCATCTACGAAAAGGTAGTCCGCGAGTTTGTTGACTGGAGATAACGCCCTGGCTGACTTTTATCGGTGGGAAATAGGTCTTCATCAACCGAGTCACCTTTGCCCACAGAGGTCTAGCTTTTCGAATATCCTTTTCTACCCGACGCGCCGGTCGAAAAATTCTTTGGAAATACTCTTCACGCCTTATCACTGGATCACTAGTCGCTCTCACCCCAGCGAACGACATGTTCTCAACCAGATGCGTGGTTGCAATAATTGCTGCCAGAGCCTTGGAGAATCTATCAATGGAGCCACCTGAAGTTGACATTTTCTTCGTGTGTCCCGATGATATCGACTTTGACCCACAGCAAGAATGGGTAATGGTGGAGGCGCGGGCTGGATATTTTGAGGCCTACAGACACACCATGACCGCCCTGCAAAAGCTATCCAAGGAGAGGTATATTCATTGAGCTATCCCGGAAATCTATACATTGCTAAGGAAGAACAGATTTCCGCTCCATAACCACATATGCCAATTGCAGGCTCGGATAGGCGCACCGGAGTACATCGGTGCAAATCCCGTTATGGATTTCCGAGGCATGGTTCCAAAAGACTTCTACGGCAATACACGATTCAGTGTTCTTGGCGGCTTGTCTTCTGCCCCTCTGGGAAGCTTGAATATCTACCAGCGAGCCGCTTTGAAAGAAATTTTCTCCAAAAAACTGGCGATTATTCAAGGGCCCCCGGGAACAGGCAAGACTTTTGTTTCAGTTGTTGCATTGAAGCTTTTACTGGCTCACATGCGCCCTGGCGATCCTCCAATAGTTCTTGCTACGCAGACAAATCACGCCCTCGACCAGCTACTCCTTCATCTTTCGGACTTTGAAAGTGACTACATACGCCTGGGAGGCAGAAGTACCGACCTAAGGGTTTGCAACCGCACACTGTTTTCAGTCAGAAAACTTCAGTACCAGCCCGCATTGCGAGGAGGTCTTCTAGAGCCTGCCCGGAGGGAGATCTCATCCCTGGTCACAGCCATGATGAAGATATTCAAGCCCTTTGACAGAGAAAGAGGCGAGGGTGCCTTGACTGGGTCGATTTTTATCCAGTATGGCTTATTGACACAGGATCAGATTGATTCTCTCGAAGACGGTGGCCAAATCTGGACACACACAACTACAGGCCAAGATATCGATCCCCTTATGGTCTGGCTAGGGGACGAAGTGGTAAAATTCAAAACTAATCACTCCAATGAGAGTTTAAGCTTTACCGAAGATGAAATTGACATGGAATATGAGCTACTCCGGGAACTCGAAGCAGAGCAGGCCCCAGACTCCGATGAATGGGAGGCCCTCAAAGGCAGTTTCATCGAGCTGGGGGCAACCGTCCGAGGCCGGCAATGGAACACTGTTCCAGAGAACACCATGAACAGATACCTCCAGACTACGGACTTGTGGAAGATTCCCGCCAAGGCCCGTGGAGCAGTCTACAATGAGTTGCGTAAACGACTTTTCAAAATCGCCCAGGATAAGCTTGTGGAGGAAGTCAAGAAGTATAATGAATGCAGCAAGAAACTTCTCATCGGAAAGTACGAACGCGATTATCAGCTGCTGCGTAAAGCCAAGCTGGTTGGGATGACAACCACAGGACTGAGCAAATACCGCGCCCTCGTATCCAGCTTGAAGCCTCGAATTGTTATGATTGAAGAGGCTGCTGAGGTGATCGAAGCCCCGGTTGCTGTGGCCTGTTTTGAGTCGCTGCAACACTTAATCCTTGTTGGTGATCACAAACAGCTTAAAGGCCGCTGTGCTTTGAAAGACCTGGCAGGCAAACCTTTCTACCTAGACATTTCAATGTTCGAACGCTTAGTTCAAAATGGGATTTCGTTCGTGATGCTGCGAGAACAGAGACGAATGGCTCCAGAGATACGCCAGGTGTTGGATCCAATCTACGGAGATCTTCATGACCATGATTCCGTTCAGAATTACCCCTTGATCCAGGGAATGGGAGATATTCGATCATTCTTCTTCACCCATGATTATCCAGAAGCTGGTGACAGTCTCTCATCAAAGATTAATGAGTTTGAAGCTGTCATGGTTGTTGAATTTTTCAATTACCTGTTGCTCAATGGCGCCTCTGTGAATAAGGTCACCATCTTGACATTCTACAATGGTCAGAGAAAGCTGTTGCTCAAGATTCTGAAAACACATCGATACTTAGAAAAGCAATCTCCGAGGGTTGTTACCGTTGACTCCTTTCAAGGCGAGGAAAATGACATCGTGCTACTATCGCTGGTCAGAAGTAGTAATGGACACGGCATCGGCTTCCTGTCCGTCGACAACCGAGTCTGCGTGGCTCTATCTCGTGCCAGATATGGGATGTACATTTTTGGCAATGCCGAACATCTGGTATCTGGGAGCCTACTCTGGCGCGATGTTGTGGAAATCATGACGGGTGGAAAGAATGAAAATTCACGAGTTGGCAGTGCACTGCCTCTCACTTGCCGCACTCATGGGAATAAGACTCTTGTCAGCAGTAAGTACATATCAATATGGCTTTCTCCTTCCCAGAATTAAATGCTTCGTTGGAATTACAGGCAGTGATGACTGGGAGACGATAAATGGCGGCTGTGCAGCAATGTGTGAAGAGCCGCTTCCATGTGGACACCAATGCCCGCTGCAATGTCACGGGTGAGTATTTCCTTGAAATTGAAAGATGTTTCCTTCATATACCATAACAATGACTCTTAATGAAATAAAACAGCTTTGCACATTCGTGGGTCAGCTGCTATCAGAAATGCCTTCACGTTCGCCCTTGCTGCGGTCTCGCATGTTCTCAGATATGTAGCGAGCCTCATACCCACACCTGTCTCTGCTTGGAAAGTGAGGTGAAAGACGTTCCAATTGCTGTATTGCCCCAGGCTCTTTTGGCATTACCAGCCCCTACAGAAAGCCTCAAAGAGGAGGTCCTCCTGATCGAGTTTTCGGATGACGAGGTCACTGGAGAACTGAACTCCGGGCAGAAGGAACCCAAAGGTAAGGTGGAGCAAAAGAGCTTGCAGTCTGATAGCTCTGCAAAATCCAAACTTTCCCCTTTGGCACCCGAATTCTCGCCAACTTCCCAGTCATCAGGCGGATTTAGCCAGAGTGAAAATTCACCGAGATCAAATCGGCATCGGACGGGTACTCAAGTCAATTGTAAACCGATTAACACATCTATGAGCTCATCTACTATGCAGCCTATGATAAATTCTCCAATCAGGAAACAGGACGATTCCCAAAAATGCGATGCCCACGACAAATGGCAGAGATTTGCCCAAGGTGGAGCCCGCAAAGTTGATCTTGTTCTGGAGAATTTGGCCAAGACGGCTGGCGTGAATACGGATGAAGTTCAACTGTCAATGACTCAAGTCGACGAGGACTTGATCCCCTTGACTCTGAGACAATCTGATTCTCAGCCTAAAACCATTCCCACGGCGATGGATTCCTTGCTTGACTTGGATTGAATTCTGGCGGGGACCAAAGACATACAAAAATAGCCACTTTGGTCATCGATGATACGTATTATCATGTTCCTATCCATTGCTTCTTTCCCAGATGATGTTTAGAAACTTTTTATTCTCCTTTTTGGCGCAGAGGTCTAGGTTTCCTACGTGAAGTGATTTGAAATGCATTCGGATAGTCAACCTACTTAGCATTACGCAATACTGTATGACAAAACCACTCCTCGAAGACAAATTATTATCGTAGAAAAATATACTCGTATCAGGTTAATATGTACCTATTTACAATCACCAAAGCGTACAAGATGGTATAGATTATATCATAGCCATGTACTGTTCCAAGCTTTGCCCCAGGATATTGATAAAAGGCCATTGCGTGTTTCGACGGAAGAGTCTTGCCCATAACCTGAGAACCGCCATCCCCAGAGTTGATGGCTCCAGGTTCCGTGGTGCCTCGGATTCATCTTCCAGATCGATGGATGAATAGGCTTCTTCGACAATGCATTGCGTCCAACGAAGAATACGACTCTCATTTTCTAAAATACGTCAAAAGGCGCCACTTTCTGAAATTGAGTGGGTGGAGAATATCAGACACTTACCACTGAGAGCCTGATCTGGTGCCGCCTCTGCAAGAGTGAACAGCCATTTGCTCAGCAATACGGCACATTCAAGACTTGCAAGTGAGTGCCGAACACTCCAGAAGAAAGCCTGACTCATGGCAATGTGATCGATGCCAAGACGAACAGGAATGCTGAGAGCGTGAGCAGAATATATGAGAGCTGGAATGAGACGATAGCTTCGTTCCGGTTTAGGTGATCGGCACAGGGTTTTAGCGATGGTTGTAGGATCCCGAGTTTCAAGTCGTCGGTATGGTCCAAGATTGAGGGATAATCGTACGTAGGCAAGCCCGAGAAGGGCGCTTGATGTGAATGGGATCGGGCCATTGGCATTTTGTGGATCGAGGCTTGATTCTGGGGCTTGCTGCCAGACAGAAGTCCATGAACGAAGAGCTCGCCTAAAAGCAATAATAATCAGAAAAAGAATGACAGAGATGCATACTTTGACGCTTAAGGGTTACGTATGGTTGCCAGAGAGCCTCTAGACTTACTCAATCTTATTGAGTTCTTCAGTTGGGAGACTAGTGGAGTGGTTCCCATTTGGTAATGAGAGCTCACTGACAATGTGAATTCGTTGTAGTAAACCGTGGAGTAGCATGTAGTTCCCTAGAGGGGAAGGAATGGGCTCTAGGGGTACTGCAGAACGGGACTTTTGAAGTAGAAGAGTTAAAGCATCTTGGAATAATAATTGCTGAGGTCCCCTATCACGTTGGGCGACCTCCCATTCAATTGCATTATTTGCGGTCCATTCTTTTGTTGAGCATGGCAGCCGCATATGAATTTCATTGCTCCGGAGGGATGGATAGGCGTTATATGCAACACTGTGAATATGGATAAAGCAGAAAGATATGAGTTTTGTCCGTCGAATAGACTCTTGGTCTGCCCACTCATACCAATCTTGCGAGGCGACACGTGAATCTGGGTATGACTCCGAAAGTCCAGCTTCGCGTAGATGTTGGACTAATTGAATTTGCAATTGGAAGGCTTCCTGGACAAGCCCAGCTCGCTCCCAAGTGGCATAGCTCATAAGCACAAGAAGACACCGAATGACATCCATTTGCCTTGATGAGCTAGTCGCAGTTCCGGTCGTAACTTGAGTATCCCCAGGATATGACGAAACCCCTGGGGGAACAGAATATCCAGCTGACGAGGCCATACGCGATTCTCTAGACATCCGCTCATACAAGACCGCTTTTGAGACATGAAATATTCTTTCTGCGTTATGGTGTTCGAACCGGTATTGTGCTCCAATGGTCATGATTGCTAATATAAGCTCTGGAGAACACTCATTGAAGCGGAATGTCGGGATGTGAATAAATGGGATATGGGGATGAAAGCCTTCAAAATATGATGTAAGATATCGGGTCAATGTATGACGAGATGGAAGGCTAAAGTCAGGAATGACATTGCGGAAGCTTTCAAGAGCAGCAGCGAGTCTGAAGCGCTGATCTTCCGAGACATTGAATCTTGAAGATTTTGAAGCCTGCGGAGGTTCTGGAAAATATGAATTTCATGTCGGTAGATATATATTCATGGTATTTTTGGTTGCTTTTGAAACACATACCTGAATCAGACAATGTCCCTAGACTCTGGTCCCCCCGTGGCACTGATGGTAACCATGAGCGGAAGGGTGAGTCCCCTCGCGACCCCTCTCTCAAGCTACGTCGAGGCCTTGATTGTTCCAGCGTTGATTGGCAGGCCTTAGGAACATCTTCTAGGGCAATTTCCTGCATCTGGTTCGCTTCGCCATCGCTCGGAAGCCACTCTGCTGGTAGTCCAATCGAATCAAGAAAGTGAGTGAACTCTTGAAAGTGATTCAGATCTTCTGGTAAATAAGGTAGTGCTAGGCAAGGGTTAACAGCAATAATTTCCCACGAATTGTTTATGGAAACTTACAGGCAGTTTGATAGTCTGCTGGAATAAGCAACTGAGCAGCTTGAAGCATGGCGGGATCGTGCATAGCTGGATGTCCATCCGAAGCCGGATTGGGATTAGGTCCTCCTGCAGGCATCATCCCCCCAGCTTGACTCTGAGGTAGATATGATACATGATCAGTCTGGGAGCCAGCCCATTGGTGTACATCAGAAGGGCCCGCAATCGGTACGACTGCGCGAGTCGATGTATCATATTGCGGCGCAAGGGCTGTAGGTGCTACGTTGGGGGCTTCGAGACTGGGCTTCCCCATCGGCGCTTTGGAATCTGGCGACCCGATGCCATCTTGATGAGATATGCGGGTGTGACGCTTTAATAGATCGCGCCTGGTGAAAGCTGCCCCACAGAAGCATATGAATGGCTTCTCTTTAGTATCTAAAATGGGGTTTAGTGGTGTTAAATGGTGTTTCGTCACAACCAGACCCCAACGGTATCTTACGGGTTCGAACATGGCGCTCCAAGTGCTCCGTCCGTCGAAAGGCCCGGCCACAATGGGTACAGATCCGTGCCTTCGTCGCACGGCCAGGTTTCTGGGGGGATGGGGATGGCATACTCCGAGTCCTTGGAGAAAAGAGGGACAAGCGGGCATGGAGGGTACGATGGAGAAATGAGGAGAAAGCGGCGGAGACGACTTCTCCAAAAAGTCCGGTGACTCCAACCGCCCCACCCGACCGCTTATCGACTTGTGCGTGTTATCGAGTTATCGATAATCGCGACTCCACTCTTTGGTGTCTCTTATCTAGTTGCCGCTGACCCTCAAGAGTAAGACAGTTTATACTGAAGAAACTAACGTGATTGAATCGGTGAGCCTCCTCTTGATGATATTATGCTCACCAAGACTCTTTTTCCGGGCGTGGCGGTGGTGACTGGTGCTGGGGGAACGGGTACGTCCCTCCGAATGCGGAGCAACCATGATCAACACAGGCCGACACTTACGCTTATATTTGACTAGGGATCGGTGCAGCAGTTGCAAGAGCGTTCGCTGTCGCAGGATGTGAGCATATAGCCATCACCGATTTGAATGAGTGCACCTTAGAGCACACAAGACAGGTCGTTGCCAATGCTCATCCCAGAACCCAGCTGTTGGTTTATCCGGGGAACGTGGCACATGATGGATTTGCACAGTCTTTTGTCGAGAAAATAGTCGAATCATTCGGCCGCATCGACTATGCCGTTAATTGTGCAGGTGTACTTGGTCGGCCTCTGCGGTCGGGAGAAACAAGTCTGGCCGAGTTCGACCGCGTAAACAATATCAACTACCGTGGTTGCTGGTTGTCTTCGCGTGCACAGTTAAAACAGATGGTCAGTCAAAGTCCTCTTCCTAGCCATGATCCGGCGCGCCTGCCCCAGCGTGGAGCAGTGGTCAATGTTGCGAGCCAGCTAGGACTTGTTGGTCGGCCTGATGCGCGTGAGTTCATACTCCATGTTTACCAAAACCTATCCACTAAGCACATAATTCCAGCCGCCTATTGTGCCTCAAAGTCTGCCGTTATTGGGATGACGCGTGCCGATGCAATTGATTACTCTAAGGATGGAATACGCGTAAATTGTGTATGCCCTGGTGTTATTGAAACCCCTATGATTATGGATGAGACTGAGGTCCGCGAAGCTATCATGCCAGCGGCAGAGATCGCGCCATTAAAAAGAATGGGCAAGCCATCAGAGGTAGCTGATGCAATCTTATTCTTGTGCTCAACAAAAGCATCATTTGTTCAAGGCCATGCTATGGTTGTTGATGGTGGGTATATTACAGTATAAGTTATGTGCCAAATCAAATAAGTTATTGGGGGACCATTTCAAAATAGCCAAAAAAGACTTATACAAAGCTAGCAACTTCGAACATCAAATCATTGGATGTGAACATCACCATTTATTATACTCTATAATACATCGGCCACCGATAATTAGTTCTAATTTTGTATATACAGGAAGTAATATTTCTTGCCCTAATCAACATTGTATCCTATCAAAGCAATCCTATTGAGGCCCAGCCAGAAATATGGGCTACATCAGTGAAGCTAATAGAAGAGGAAAGATAGTAATGTTACTACAATTACAAAGTTATGCATGGATAATTTGATTAGCCAGGTGCCCATTCATAATTTCTAATATTGTTGGTATCCTTGTACTCGAAGGCAAATTTGGACCAAACCTTGAAATGACCAGATCTTTGAAAGTTCATCTTTAGGAGTGAAGCTGAACATCACAGACACTCAACATCGTTCGAAAGATCAGACCGGATCTCAAATCAACCAGTAGGCAAAGGATCTATCCGTACAATTGACTCGATTATTTCCCTAGCATGGCCCCCGGTGGCGCCGGCATCAGTGCCCCTGGCGGCACGGAATTCTTTCTTTTGAACTCGTCGCAAACCTGTTCCATTGTCACAAACTCTACGCCCTCATGCTTCATGAAGTGTTCAATAAGCCTGAACATTGTCAATATCTGTATTCTTCTTCAGAAAGTGAGCAAAGCCAGCATACCTTTCATGCATCAACAAGACATGCGGTCTCCCAGAAACATCCGGGTGGATCGTTATTGGGAAGATAAATTCGTCATACTCTCGATAAAAGTAGTCAAAATGATCGCGCCAGATATCTTCGACGTCTCGAGGGTTCACAAAGCCGTGGCTATTGGGGGCTTTTTTGATGAACATCATTGGCGGTAAGTCATCGATATACCAGTTGGAGGGGATTTCGACCAGTCCAGTTTGTGGTCCAGCTTCTAGCGGCTTCATCCACGTTTCGGCCTTTTGGGCATAATTAATTTTGGTCCAGCTATCACCGGTGCGGAGATAATAAGCTTGGCAGTCCTCGTGGCTCATACTATGATCATACTCGATTCCGTAGTCAAGAAGTAGCTGAGCTCCTTCTTGGCTTGTTTCCCACCTAACAAATATTAGCTTCTAGTAATACGCAAATGAAAACCTGAAAGCAGCTGGCTTACCAGGGGGCAACGCTTCCTCGCGGTGGTTTGCCCGCGAACTCAGTCAACATGCGATATGTCTTATCCAACACATCTCTTTGTTGCTCTAAGCTCATATCCGTAGGATTTTCATGGGAATAGCCATGCAATCCAATCTCATGTCCTGCATCGCGGACCGCCGCCATATCCTCTGGAAATGTCTCCAATGAGTGGCCCGGAATGAACCATGTCGTCTTGATTTTGTATTTGTCGAATAGTTTGAGAAGGCGCCTTGTTCCAATTGTTCCAGCCCAGACACCTATTTTCCGTTATTTACTTTTTCTGAGAGATAAGGAAGCCACCTTACCTCGAGAGATGTCATTTGTTGAATCTTCGCCTCCATACGAGCCGAGCCATCCGGCTACAGCGTCAACGTCCACACCGTATGTGATTAGTACTCGCTTCGGACACATTATATCGTGTTTCTTATAGCAATTGATGTGAGAATGAAACAATTGAGATGGAATGGAACTTAGAAGAGTTGCTTATCTGTCGTCGTATTTGTGCAAGTGAGCAACAGCAAGGTAGTGAAGGCTAAGCCAAGTCTCCCCTTCGGAGTCGTCGGAGTCGCCATGACATCTACGCCGAAGAGATCGTCGGTCGCGCTCCACAGCCAACATTAATGCAATACAGTACTTGTCGTCTTCAGCTATTTCAGGCCTACCTCGTAAAACGTTCCCCGCTTTTGCATGCTATCACTTCAACCGAAGATAAACCGAGACCCTGTGTGGGTCTGCAGTGTTGGAGTAGAGTTGGGGTCAGATAACACGGCATTCTCACGAATGGAGCCAGGCACATTAGGTAACTGGTGAGCATTTGCCGACGATCTCCAAAGAAGAAGATGCGATCTCGTCGGCAAGTGCTGATGAATTAAAAACATGTTGGTACGGCCCCGGCGCATAAATCTTCAATGGCCCCCGAAATGCACATTCATGAGCCAATCTAACCAATCTCCTTAAGAGCTATCATGTCTGTTCTTTTCACAAACATTTCAGAGTAAGATTCGAAGCCCCTGTGCACTTTGGAGACAGTAAAATGTATGCTGACATCATTCAAGCAATAACCCGGTCAAGCCCGGCGATGCTGAAGCACTTGTTGAACCCCTGGGCTTAACGATCGATACTGTTGAATCAGGTGATTTCCGTACCCTGTTAGCTGCTGTACATGATTGTGCCGAAACTGTGTCTGCTCTGCCAGATTATCAGCCGGTCTCGAACCAAATTCAATATCCAAGGGAAAATATACGTCGCCCGGGCAAAGATGAGCAGGTTCTTGGACATGCATGGGCTCATCGATTTCTCATCCGCGGAAATCCAGAAGGAGGCATCTTGAAAGGAAGGTCTGTGAGTCTTAAGGATGTTATAGCAGTAGCTGGTGTTCCACAATTGTTGGGAAGTGATATCACCCCATCATGGACCCCTACTACCGATGCTACCGTCGTCACACGAATTTTGGATGCTGGCGCAAATATTCTTGGAACTTCAACTTGCGAGAATTATTGTCATTCAACGTCTTCATATACAAGCGCTCAAGGCATCGTGGAGAATCCTCATGCTACTGGATACTCGGCAGGTGGAAGCACATCGGGGGGAGCGGCACTAGTTGCTGCTAACTTGGTCGATATTACGATCGGGGGTGATCAGGGTGGAAGTATCCGAGTACCGGCTTCGTTGTGCGGGTGTAAGTTTTTTGATCACTGGCATTTAATTGCAGATTCCGACTTTAACTGAGTCTAGGTGTTGGTCTTAAGCCAACGTATGGGCGAGTTCCATTCACTGGGATTTCAAGTGGTGATTCCATCAATGATCATACAGGGCCATTGGCCAGGACCACTCTAGAGGTAGCACAGTGCTTGGATGTGATAAGTGGCTATGATGGGATTGATGATAGATCAGTTGGCAGCGCAAAACCAGGTTCGACGCGCTTTGCGGCGAATCTTCAAGCTTGTGCACAACGACTGGATGGTCTCAAAATTGCGATCCTCAAGGAAGGTTTCGAGCATAGTGCCGTTAGCTTCAGTGTCAGAAGTTCTGTCTTGGCAGCTGCAAAGAAATTTGAAGATCTTGGAGCGACAGTAGAAGAAGTATCTTTACCCGACCATTTGCATGGACCGGCTATCTGGACCATCCAGCAGCGGATAGCTGGAACACAGACTCTCCTGGGACAAAATACCGGACGACGAGGGCTTTATATGACAGAGATGGAGCATGCAAGATTACCGTGGACTGACGACGGTTTCCAGCGGGCTTTCCCATCAACCAAGAATGTCATTATCAACGGGCTATACCTCATGAAAAAGTTTCCCGGTCTTTATGGCAAAACCGTCAATTTCGGAAGACAGCTAGCTGACAAGTATGAATCATTGTTTGAAAACTATGATGTGATGGTGATGCCCACGACCCCTGTTGTTGCTCCTAAGCATGGCAAACGGGGTCTTCCTATGGACTCCCTTCAGCCCAGTATGGGCTTAACCATCAACACTGCCATCTTTAATGTTACAGGACACCCTGCGATGTCTATACCTATTGGACTTGCGCCCGCCAAGGAAGATAAAGAGATCATGCTTCCAATCGGTATGCAGGTTGTGGGAGGACTATGGCAAGAAGAAAAGATATTGAGGGCTTGCCACGCATGGGAGACACATTTTGACTGGCACAAAATGCAATTTGCTACAAGCAATAATTAGCTAAGATAATCGATATGAGAACTTAGATCTCCCATTTATGTCAAAAGCCAAAAGCCTGGCATGTTTCGTGGGTATCTCAAATTTAGCATCACATTCAAATATATAGCTCTGACTCAATTAGGCTTGTTGGATGAATGCCCATATTCTAAACTGATCTTGAAGATACTCAGTTATTGATCATTCGTAATATAGCTTCCTGTTTCGATTCAATGATAATTTGAGTTTGTGATATATCATTATACTGCCCAATCAACAGTCTATCACCCTGCAAGTAATACCCTTACATTATGCCTACTCTATGGTGGCCTTATACAACCTAACCCTAGTTCAGATACAAATTATAATAAATGGCTCATCTCGGACTATACTTCTCTGATGACACAGTAATATCAGTTTATGACCCCTTCCCCGCTCTTCACAGTATTTATTTCTTTAAGGATTCACAAGCGAATCGTATATACTGAATTCTACTAGTATTGAGGAATACCTTCATATTTGTTATGTTCTCTTTTACTTGCCTAAGAAAATCAAGATTTCTCCCTTATTGTATTTAACTTTATAAAATAAAACAACAAAATACCCCCTAATTAATCCCTGATATGATCAAGGACTAAATTACTAATATCGGCAGAGCATGCAATCAGGATGCGAAAAATAGTAAATCGCTAAGGTGTTGGGTCTGCGTGTGGCTTATCAAGCCTTGGCTGGGAGCAATTCTAAAGACTCTACCAATTGTTGAGCCTGATTAAGGTGATTATTACCTCCTTCAAGACCAGGTGGCTTGAAGGTATACCCAACTGCAGGTGACTTGGCACTATCTCGACCGTCTAGTTGCCTAGGTCGTACCAGAACCTTCAAGTTGTCTCCAATTTACTTACCCCAAATTGTTACCCCTCGATTTGGCTTGGTCGGGTTATTGTCCATTGTCAAATCGATTTGCCACTTACCCCAGCCTTATCTACTACACCTCATTTGCAGATTACAGAGCACAGCAAGGACAAGCAAGCATATCTACCTTTCTCTCGGGCTCTGCCATTCGCTGGAGCCATGTTTCCCCAACATCTAACCTCCTTTGGAAATTCCACCGGAACTTACCCCAACACAATCGACGCAGGCTCAGCACCCATGCACCTAGCTAACACAAGCTAATCCGTGTTATCAGGTAGCTTGAGTTCGTGAAGAATAGTAGAGTGGGGAATCTAGCTTCCTTGTGGCCAACCTCGTTATCACGTCCCGACAGGCGGAGAACCCCAGAAACCTTGATGGGCGACCGGCAAAATAAGGAGATGAGACTTCCACTCCGGAAATAAAACCGAGATCTGAGATAAGTGCGTTTGCGGATGGTCCTTACTATATATTCTATTCCGAAAATCTGCTGTATCTTGCGAATATTCCCTTCATGGCTTTCAATTACCCGATTTCTTCCCATTAAATTCCTCCTGGTGCTTTGCCATGTCGACGTCAGATGATATCAAAGAAGCCCCCTGGTACAGAGGCGATGCCCATGCACTCGACTGTGACACACAGAAAGCAGAGATGGAAGACCAACATGAAGTTTTCAAGAGAGGTGATGGTCAGGTTGACTTCCGCACTGTGAGCTGGATTCGGGCTGGAGTTATCTTCCTAAAAAGTAAGGAAGTTTTTCTACTGCGTCAAACCAACCGAGAAGAGTTGTAGCTAACCATATTTGCCAATTTGACAGTTATTTTTGCGACCGGTGTGCTGTCAATTCCTTCTTTGATGTACGAACTTGGTGCATTCCCTGGTGCTGTCAATGTCGTTGGCTGGACTCTTTTGAACACATACTGTGCCATCCTGCAAGGGAACTTCCGGAACAAGTACCCTGGGTGCCACTCAATTGCAGATATGGCCCAGGTCGTTGGCGGCCCTTTGTTGAAAGAGCTAGTTGGTCTGCTTTTCACTGTCAGCTATGTAATTGTGGCTGCATCAGGCATTATTGGTGTCTCGACTGCTCTGAATGCATTGTCGCTGCATTCAATTTGCAGTGTGTGGTTCAGTTTCGTTGCGACAATCATTATTGCGGGATGTGCGAGTGTCCGGAAGTTTTCGCATATTGGATGGCTGACCTGGGTTGGGTTTGCCAGTGTGTACATCGCTGTGTTCATCATTGTGTATGGTCTTGTCTTTCCCCGTCGTCTGGCATTCTGTCGCCTAGAAATCCGCTAATACCTGTCAGCATCGGTGTGACTACAAGAGATCGCCCTGCAGCTGCACCTCAGACGGGTGATTTCGAACTCGGATATCGCGTCATTGGTAACCCTAGTTTTACGACCGGGATCACCGCTGCAGCTACGATTTTCGTGTCGAGTGCCGCGACCTCCGCTTTCTTACCTGTCATTTCGGAGATGCGAAAGCCTTCCGATTACCCCAAGGCCGTGTATATGAGCATGAGTTTAGTGACCGCGTCCTATCTGACCTTTAGCCTGGTGATCTATGCGTGGTGTGGGAAGTGGATTGCATCTCCTTCGCTCGGCAGTGCTGGTACTACGGTGAAAAGAGTGGCCTACGGAATTGCCCTTCCTGGATTGATCATCAGCGGCTGCCTTTACGTGCATGTCGCAGCTAAGTACTTGTTCGTCCGTATCCTGCGGTATTCGCGGCATCTACAGGCGAACACAATAGTCCATTGGGGCACTTGGCTAAGCTGCACCCTTGGCATGGCTACAATCTCTTTCATTCTGGCTGAAGCGATTCCTATTTTTAATTATGTGCTGGCACTTGTGGGTGCTTTATGCTTTGCGCCACTGGCAATTAGTCTTCCAGGTTGGCTCTGGCTGTATAGCCACCCACAGTATCGGAAAGGTAATAGGGTCCAACAGTCCATCTATACGCTGCACATTCTATTGATCCTCTTGGGACTGTTTATGACGGTCGGTGGAACCTACGGTGTAATCATCCAGATCAAAGAGGCCTACTCTGATGGGCAGATCTCTTCTGCGTTCTCTTGCGCAGATAACAGTGGATCATCATAGAGTATTCGAATCTTTTCTGCACTCTAACTAAATAAATCATTCGTGTTTTAACGAGTTCGGTAGACGTGCATACACGTGTTGTATGTTCTATTTCAACGTTTCTGTATTAATTTCTCTATCTTGCCCAGCATAAGGTAATATTTATTTCGGGCCTATCGGTTCCTGAGTCTAATTTCGAGTTTCAGCCGATCTCCCCGGTATTGTATTCGATATCCTCGAGCCCAAATCCCGGTTTTTAGATTTTAGATCCAAAAAATACCATCCTAATAGACCAAACGACGTTGGAACAAACACTCGAAAAAGTATCGCCCGAGGGCTATTGACTGCGTGAAAATGACCACGACAATCCTGGCCTGTGCCGCCGAAAAAACATTGATTACTTGAGTCCTGCCCCCGGGGGATTTTCGGTAAGTAAGATTACTCTTACAAAAGACATTCTTGATCCTGATCTTGTTTAATTTCAGAATTTTGGTGAGCATATTTTGAGCTTCAGCCTCTTGTCCCACAGTAGACAACTCTGCTCCACGTCCTGGTCACCATATGATTTGTGAATCCCTTACCTCCACGTCCATGAGCGACCACTTGCCAACCTGAGCCAACCTTAACCGAAAAGCACCGACTCAATCTAGATAGGCGGCTTACCCATACACCTATCAGATCCGTCCATCAAAATGCGACACACCTCGGGGTTGGCGACTAAGCGTCGCTGCTTAAGTCCGGCGGACCCATGCCAAGCCCACTGGGTCCGCAACCAGTGCCGCCGAATCCGATCAGTGACCTTATCTTGCTCTCCCCTCCTCCCCTTCGACTTCATTTCCTCTCGACTCCGACGGTTTCATTCTCCTGTGCTTGCTTCTGCCATGCACTCATGAGAAAAGCTGATCTGTCGTGAAATCCAGCCTCCTCCCAACCTCCCCAGTGATGTGATACCGTTCCAACCGCTTATCAGCCCCGTTATCAGTGCAAGCCCCCTCCCGGTCGTACTTGTACCCCGGCGCCCGGACACAATACACAACATGCTTTTTGTCCAGCTTTTCCTGGCATTGTGCTGCTGCAGCCTGGGTACTACAGCCGCCATCCCATTTCAGTCCCTGGATCTCGAGAGAATCGACTCCAAACTTCCTCGGGAGTGGTCATCATCCGGGGACGCGTCATGGGGCCCATCTGCCCAGCCGGAGACCTCGGATGAGGATGGTGGTCGCCTTACCAAACGAACCCCCTACTATTTCCCTGAGACTGTGCCGGACAGCGAGGAGATTGCCAGTCACCTGGGTGCGATGCGTGAGGCCGGCCTTGTGGCCAGCTCGCAAGAGCCCGAATCAAAGTCAATCAATCCGTCCGGTACAGAGATCGACCCCCGTGTACAGATGCGTCCCATGCGGGACTTGATATCCGAACTCGACCAGTTGGATGCGACACAATCTGTTTGGGATACTCTCCCTCCCTTCGGCTTCTTCGTTGTCGCTACTGCCCTCATCGCCGTCCTGACCGTCTTTCGAGGCTGCCTGCGCGCTCGACACTGAGCGCCACGAGACCCTGGATTCCCGAATCCGGAAGTTTGCCCGACCATCGTGTTCTTGTCCCGTCCTGTCGTTGGTGGAACCACGCTTCCCGCGCTCTTATGCACTCTTATGTTCGGGCTATACCCACCCCACTCCAGGCGCTAACGCTGCATCCCCCCGTCCCGAGCTTGACTCGACCCCAGCTCCCAGCGCCCATTTGCGCAGCGGCATGTTGAATTCGTCCTAACAAACCTAGCGACCGTGCAAAAAATTGTACGACAAGCGCTGGTCGATTTTGGTCCGAATTTCTCGATTGGGGGCCAAATGAATATATACCGCACCGCTTATCTGGGAGGTATCCCCTCGCTCTCGGGTCGCACAACCCCAGTCCCGGCAACAACGTGGCCCTACAGATTAGGCCGCCGGGCTACCCATTGAGGAAACCGCTCCAGGGGGGGGTTTTCAAATCCCCAAACTTTATTATGACCGTGGTGTGACTATTTGTGGCCAATTAATCAATGCCTCCTTCGCTCTGGGTGATACGGGCAATCGCGATGCTGGTCATTGTGGATGTCTCGTTTCTGCGTTTCTTGCGATACGATCCCTCGATGAAGAGTATTATTTATACCCGTAATTGCTAAGCAGTCTCTGTAGAGGAATGAATGATTTTATGCTCAATATACTTCCAGCAATTTACTGCTTCTCGCCGGTAGTTTTAGCCAAATGGAGTTTTTGCTATCTTTTCAAGAGCCACGTTCGAAAATAATCGACCCCGAAGCGTGCGATAGACGGAAGGACGGAGGGCATATCATTTGACATGATAGGCAAACTTTCCTAAGGATGTCCAAGTCTTCCTGTCAGATGAAGAAGCTTCCACTACCTCCTCAAAAGAGGTTGGTGCATACCACCTGTAACCCCAATTCTCGGCTCAGGTGTCGTAGCAAAACGAACCCCCTTTATCTTGCTTACCCCACAAAGCATTTTTGCCATGCCCTCTCCCTTTACTTCATGAACAGCTGTTGAGTAATGCACTCGCGGCATAAGTAATTATTTTGCATGGATCCCCATTATTGGGACCCATTCGTGGGCCCAGTGGGGCCAAGATGGTAGTAACACCGTTACAGGAGTTGCTAGCGAGACGCTAGCCACGATGCCGAGACTTTGTAGAAGTAAAGATAGTAGAAAGAGAAGAAGCAAGTTTAAATACCCTCATGTGCCCAAGAGTTGCACATAATAATAAAGATCACTTATAACAAACCATTCTGTAAGTATGAATAAGTCTACCTTTACATCCAACAACAATAGGGGCCAGAGAAAGAATTACGAAAACACGCGTCTAGGCGCTGACATCGATACTATTCAAGGCGGAGGTTCTGCGGGAAGAGAGATATTCTAAGATCAACACAGTCCAGATTATCTATTTTTCGCTACAGACAGAAGGATAGAGATGATGGGCAAAGAGAGAAAAAAAAGAACGGGTGCAAATGCATGCCCTTGACGCCATGGAGAACAAAGTATCAAAAGGACCAGATAAAGATTTTTCACAAGAGCCGCCCAAGACAGAGAGAAAGGGGAGGGAAAAGGGAGAAGAAAATTACATGAAACTCTTTTTTGCAAGTCCCTTTCCTTCTCAGATGCATCTGGGGTGAGGAAGAGGGGGAGCGAAAAGAAAAGACATAGACAGGGAAAGGATAGCGAGGCATAATAATAAAATATGTACGCAGTATTAGGAAGAGAGAAAGGAGAGAAAGGAAAATGCACCTAGGAGTCGTCAACAAGGCGCTTTTGAGCCCAGGCACGCTTCGCACCATCCAAAAGGACATCCATGTTCCCGCTGTTGTCACACATGCTACGGAACAGGCCTTCCTCCTTATTGATCAGGGTCCAAGGGTGGTCATATTCGATGACGCGGCCATGATCGAGGACAAGGACCTTATCGTAGTCGATGATTGTTTGCAGACGATGGGCGATGGTGATGATTGTGCTGTCATGAAGCTCGCGCAGGGTTTCCTGGATTTTGGCGTCGGTGGCATAATCAATTGATGCGGTGGCTTCGTCCATCATCAACACACGAGGTTTCTTAAGTAGAGCGCGGGCGAGACACAAAAGTTGCCTTTGACCCTGAGACAGATTTGAGCCGGACTCGGAGACTGGGCTGTCGAGGTTGTGGAAGATGTTTTTGTTGTCTACGATGCTGACGACACTGCCATTCATGCCGTTGGCCTCATTGGCGGTAAACGTGCTTGTTGTCATCGGGGTTGTAGTACCAGAAGTTTCGGACCCGATCAAATGCACGCGGCGAAGAGCAGTGAAGATCTCTTCGTCCTTGAACAGACCGAAAGGATCGAGATTGCTGCGAATAGTGCCAGTGAACAAAGTGGGATCTTGAGGGACGATCGTGATCGCTTCACGCAGATCTCGAAGCCCGATAGAACCAATGTTAACTCCGTCGATCACGATCTCGCCATTTTCGGCCTCCAGACCGCGGAACAGAGCCAATGCAAGAGAACTCTTGCCCGCACCAGTGCGACCAACGATACCAACCTTCTCACCGGGTTTCACAGAGAACGAAACCTCTTTCAGCACAGGATCGAGGTCTGGCCTATATCGAGTGGTGTACCCGTTAAACTCCAACGCACCCTGACTAGGCCAGTTGGGCTCAGGGCGTGACTCAGGGATAACAGGGGCAGCCTCTTGGTCAACTTCGAGGTACTCCCTAACTCTCTCAACAGAATTCATATTCTGTTGAACCTCCGAGTAGAGGCGGACAAGCCAAAGAACATTCTCCGTAAAGGTAACCGCATATGTGAGAGACAGACCAGCAGCACCAGCGTCAATCTTGCCGACATTGATCAAAACAAATGTGGCGGAGAAAAAAGAAACCAAAGCACCAGTCCAATCGACACGAAGAGCAAGCCAGCGGTTACTAGCCCACAGATAAATATGAGGCCGGTTATAGGCATTGATGCGGCGGTGGTTATCAACGATAAACCGTGGACCATCGCCATATGCACGAATGGTGACAATACCATTAAGAGTCTCACCAAACTGCTGGTACAACGGGCTGCGCTGAACAGATTCCAATCGCTTCAGGTCTCGAGAGGAGTTGAGGTAGATGGCACCGAGAGCAGTATACACTAAGGTAATGAAAACGCCGGCAATCAGGAAACCAGGGGTGATGGCGGAGATGAGGATGACAATCATGATAACCGAGGCCAAGCTGTGGAGCATGCCAATCGCCACGGGCGCAACTTCTTGGTCAACAGATTCAACATCCTTGGAGAAACGGTTCATGAGTTGACCAAGAGGAGTCGAGTCAAAGAAGCGGAATTTGGCGTGCATCACCGTTTTCAGAAGACGATCATGGATCTTCCAGGACGCATGAAGCGAGCCCCAGAAGAGGACGGCCTCTCGAGAGAGCGAAATTGAAATATAAAGGACACCCAGAAGCGCATAAACACCCAAGTAATACCCAACGTTGACTTCTCCATTGGACTCTGCAGTTATACCCACCGAGCGGGAGGTAAGCTGGGGTGGAGCCCAGGTGCTCACCTTTGAAACGCTTCCAACGTTAAAAGTCGGCAGCTTCAAATGAGCAGCAGCAGCGTAACTACCGACGTCACCCTCGACACCAACATTGGCAGTTTGGTAGGCATTGGCCCACTGGCGGATCCAAATATTGGTGGACACGGAACCGAGTTGCTGCATGCAGAACACGGACACAGCGACGACCCAATAGTACCAGGAACCCATGGAACCGAGGTACATCATGATTGTCGACAATTTGATGCTGCCAGTGGTTTTACTCTCTTTCAATCGTGACTTCTCATCTTTCTGGGCCTTGCTAATATTCCCGTTTGCTGTTCCATTGGCGGAGGCAGAATTCTCATCTGTTGCCTCTTCTTCGCCTTCCGAGGCGCGACGAGATAGGCCACGCGAACTGGCTCGGGAACCGGGGCGGGATTTGAAGAATTCATCGCCCAAGGCACCAGTCGAGGCAACATCATCAGGGCGGCCCTGGGCGGTAACCTTTCCGTTCTCCAGAACCACGACATGGTCCGCCTGGGGTACGGTAAGGGCCACATTATGGGTAACTAATACACAGGAACGGTTCAACATCAGCGGGCCAGTGAGAGCTTGGCGGAAGATGTGCTTGGCAGTGTGCGAGTCGACAGCAGAGAGACAATCGTCGAGAAGTAGATGGCGAGCACTGCTATACACAGCACGAGCCAAAGAAATTCGCTGCTTCTGGCCACCTGACAAACTGATGCCTTTCTCCCCAACGAGAGTCTGATCACCAGCGTCCAGAATCTGAATGTCACGTTCAAGAGCACAGGCCTTTAGCACTGCACGGTAGCGCTTTTCATTGTACGGGGACGCAAAGATGATATTATCTTTAACAGTGTCGTTGACCAACCAGGCCTCTTGGGCACAGTACGCAACACTATCGATCAAGCCAGTCTCAGGGTCAACAGGAAGATCCGCACGGCTCGTCATGCCTCCAGGAAGGTGAACACTGCCCTCTACCAGTCTCATTTCACCGAGTAGTGCCATGAGAAGCGAAGTCTTTCCAGAGCCCGTGGGTCCCGCAATGATACTGAGACGACCAATGGGGAAGTTTACGTCAACATTAATCAAACGGAATGCGTCTGTAGCATTGTCCGAGGAGGAGGAAGCGACCTGGGCCTGAGGTGCAGAAGTGCCCCAAGTAAGTGTGGCATTCTCAAGGGCAATCTTGGATGGGCCGTCGGCGATGCTGCTTTCCCGGAGTTGATCATATTTCCCAGTCTCCTCCTCATTCAAGTACTTATCAACTCGGCCCAATGAAACTTGGGATTCTTGAACGTGTGCAACCATATCAGCAAGTTGATCCAAAGGCACACGCAAAAGAGAGAACATCGACAACGCAGGGAAAGCGATCGATGGGGTCAGCTGCTTCTTCTCGACAACAGTGTACAGGAAGAACGATAGGAACGTGATCAGGATCGGCGTTCCATACCAGACCGTAGCAGCGCAGGACCAAAGGATATAGCGGCGACGCAAAGACTTGAGTTCCGCTTTGCGCTTCTCATTGACAATATCCTGGAAGCGCTGCTCCCAGGCAAAGTACTTAATAATGCGAATGTTCTGAAGCACTTCATTGGTAGCGTGAATGCGAGCGTCGGTGCCCTTAAGAATCATATTCTGGACTTTGTTGAATTGTCGTGCGATAAAGAGGTTGACCGGCAGCATCAAGACCATGATTGCAATGCCAGCGAAGGAGCTGAAACCCATGATCTTATACAACAGGGTGACCGCCATGATGATTTGCACGGGAACACTGGCCCACAGAAAATGGAGATACGCTCCCACCTCGCTGACTTTGAATGAATCAATGGCCATCAAGTTGATAATTGTGCCGACATTAGCCTGTGTGGAAGCATCATCCAAATCAGATTCCGGTTTCTTTCCAGACTCGGTATCGGTGCCGGTACTGGTTTTCTTCTTTCGGCCAAATGAGAGGGTTCGGAGCAGCTTGTTCTTTTTCGATTTCCCATCCGGGGCTGGCTCTTCGGCGGCTTTTCGAGCAGCATCTGGCGCGGCACCTGCTTTACGTCGGAGGGCTTTGGCATAGATCTCACCGATGATGATAGCCCGGACCTTGACACCCATTTTGCGACCAATGAAAAGGGCCTGTCCATCCGCAACGCCTTGAACAATGGCGGAGCAGAAGAGGAGAATTGCGTAAAGCCAGGCGGCATTGGGGGTTGTGGAGCGGGGATCTTCGACATATTCCAGGATCGCCTTAAGAAGCAAGCTGGGTACAAAGACGAAAAGGTTGGCGAAGACAGTCCAAGCACCTTGTTTCAAAAGGGTACCCGCGAAGAATCGAAGTAACTTCCACGCCAAAGAGCCCTTCATCTGCCGTTTGCGAAAGTCTGACAGGACCGCGGCGGCCTTCTGCGATGGGGTTAAATTCCACACATCCTCCAGTTCCAGCGGCTGTCGATAGCCTTTCATGACGAGCGGGTCAAGCCAGGCAAAGGTTGCGAGCGACAACAGACTGGCCATGGGGTGCCGCGGAGGTTCCAATCCATCCTCGCGCTCTACCAAAACTGTCTTGTTGCCCCGACGAGTAGTCAAGGCGATCAAGAGGAGTAAGGTGCTGAGAGCAAATTGGGCGCTGCTCAAGATGACCGCATGTCTCGAGATCGGGTGAATGATTGCAGATCGGAATACCATAATGTTGAAGAGCCATTGGGCGCTATATAGCAGAGCCGTATGGGTCCAAAGCCTGGGGGCGGAGAACAGATCCATAGTGGACAGAAGCAGTCGGACCAAAACCAGAAATAGAATATAACCCCAAGAGATGAGGCCTGCTGTCGCGGGCAGAGTTCCATGACGACCCCAGCCATGGGTCGTCAAGATGACCACGAAAAGCGCGACCTGGGCAATCAGCGCCACGATCTCGATGGTGACAATCGTAATCTCTCCTCGTGGACGATCCATTTCGAGGTGCAATTGTTCACTCTGTACGGCTTGGAACAGCATGGGATCGGATTCGGATTCACGACCGATTGGAACGTTCTCATCGTCGGAGGCATCGTCGGGGAGGACCTTGTACGCAACGCCTTTGCGGGAGGTGACATATCGATAGATGAGACGCAAGGTAATCAGGAGCAGAGATAAGGCGCACGCGCCGATCGGGAGAGCGACTTGCAGAATGCTGTATCAGATTATGATGATCAGTTCATGTCAAACGGGGCCCGATTCAACGGTCAAACGGTCAAACGGTCAAACGGTTTGGGGTGGGAGGCACCAGGCAAATGATGTACTCACTTGCGTTGGAAGCAGTGGGACAGGTCATCGATGGCCCAGAGAGGGCCCTGGCACTGCGGGAACATGGTCTGCGGGGAGCGCGGAAGAAGCAATGAGGGAAGCTCCCAGCAGCCAACGTCGCAGAAATTGAGAAACCGACGCTCTCGGGACGACCGTGCTGGAAGATCCAGGCAATGCGACCGGGGAAGAGAGCAAGGAAAAACCTCCGACCCCTTACGGGTTAACAACAATCGAACACGACTACGCAGAGCCCGACTAGCATTGCAAAGTTGAGCGAATCCGGAAGGACGGCGTTTTCGGGCGAGGAATCCGGGACTGAGGACCGTTTCGATGCCGAGGCGAGACGGGGAGGGGAGGGGGAAAAGGAAGGGTCGGTCAAGTGGTGGCGTCCAGAACAAACTGCCGAGAGGTTCGAGACGTTCTAGGGGAAATGAAATGATAAATGAGCGAGGGGTATGATTATGGACAAGCGGGGGAGGATTCACGATGGGATCGTGACTAGAATTTGCTGGCGGTCTCGACTGCTGATTTGCCCCAAACCGGCGGTGGACAACGGCGGTTGCAACGAGCCTCCCGTTGGGTTTAAGGCCCACTTTTGGGTCCAGGTGACATCGGCTGCCACCAACCCACCGCAGCGCAGCAAGGTACCAGGTACCTATCCACCGGCGCTTCCAATTGCCCGGAACCAGGAGCTGTTCGACCTATCGCAAGAAGTATGACTCGGCATGACTCTTCAGGGTGCATTGGTATGCATCTGAGGAGGAGAGAGGTGGCGCACGGGGTTGGGGTTGGGCTTTGGATGTATGGGTGAGCCCGCCCGCCTATAACGTACCTACATTAGGGAGGAGTTCCTGTACGATCTAAAATGTATTACGTACGATATCACGATATCACTAGTCCCGAGCACGCTAAATTCATCCATTGCCCTCAATATGCATGTTCTGGCCAAAATAGAGCGACACACAATTTTAGTCTGCTCCGAAAGGATGAGAGGCCACGCCAGTCAGATGGACTCAGATCATCTTAGCCGACGCTATTATGCCTCAAGCCCAGGATCATTGCTGACCAACTTGGCCCCTCCTACAGCGTCGGTGATTACCGGGCTCCGGACACGAAAGTTCTATAAGATGTGACCATCCGCTTCCAGTCATCCGTCCGTGGTCTCATGCACCTCATCGGAGCATTTCATCTGATGACTCTCTGCAGTGCCGATCACTGCTTATCAGGGACAACAGTGTCCCGTTATCGCACGGCTTATCGCAAACAGTGATTGCGGAACAAGACATGAGGTTGATGTTATTATATAGATTGGAGCCGGGCCTGCCTGTGCATGAATATATTGAATCGATTAGAATCAATGCATGTACCATCCTACCCAGGCCGTCATACTCTATGCCGAGTCAGTGCCTAGTTTCCAAGTACTCAAGATTGAACTCACCATAGTCGCAGAGCTTCCCTTCCTGTAGACATCAGCCCTGTCTGCAATGACCATTTGAGGTCCATGCCTTGAATTTTCAGCTTGAGCTAGGCAGAGTCCACTCTCTAATTACTCCCATCAGAACAAATCATGCAGGGTGGTTTTCCTCTTTACATTTTCTTGTTGCGGAAGGAACAGAAGAAGTTAAACTATCTTTTAGGACGTCGCAGTGATTCATCCTTGAGCTAGTAAATTAGTGAAGGAACTATATAACTTGGTAATAAGCTAGCTACTCGTTAGTTAGATAGTTAGTTAGCAATACATAATGACTCACCAGACCCCATTATTTCGTTGTCTAATTCTGTGATATCCCCAGAACCCCAAAAAATAAGACAGAAAAATAGAAATAAAAATAAAGCCCAAAAAAAGAAAGGAAAAAAAAAAAACTCTAGCCGCCTCAGCCCGCCACGGGTTGCCGCCATGAAGAGTCGCCACCAGCCACACAGGCTTCACTTGGTTGACTAACTACCCGAAGCGCCCCCCCCCCTTCTCCCTCCAGGGACCCCCGACAAAGGGCCCCCCCCGACATCATCGTCCGATCCACCTTATCCGCTCTCCTTTCCATCCTTCTCTCCTTCTCACAGCGTTCAACATCCGGCTCCTGCATCGCCGTCTCATTATCTCTCTGCCGAAATCTGGATCAATCCATTTCTCATTGCCGTTCGTTTCCCTACCCGAACCCGTCATGGCGGAACGCATTCTTATGAACGAGTTCCGCACGTTGTCATCGGAGCGATGGGTGAACATCGAGGTCGGTCGCTCAAGGCCCTTGATAGACTGGCTGCCCAGCTAACGTTCTTTACCTTCCTAGCTACACAATGACGACATTTTTGAGTGGGATGTGGCACTGCTTGTGCTGAACCAGGACTCCCTCTATCACGGCGGCTACTTCAAAGCACGCATGACATTCCCCCAAAACTACCCCTATGCACCACCAAGTAAGGATGACCCCTGCCTCCTCAGGCCCCCCCCCCAGGCAGGCTATCCAACATGATATGTATCACTTTAATCTATACCTCTCATGCTAATCGGTTTACTGCGTAATCACCAGAGTTTCGCTTTGTTCGACCGCTGTTTCATCCAAACATCTATGCTGACGGCAAGCTATGCATCTCTATCCTCCACCCGCCTGGTAATGATGAGATGTCTGGCGAACTCGCTTCTGAACGCTGGTCCCCCGCCCAACGAGTCGAGTCTGTCCTGATCTCCATCCTGTCCCTGCTCGATGATGCCGAAGTCTCCTCTCCAGCGAATGTTGATGCGGCGGTGATGCTGCGCACCGACCCGGCGCGATATCGTACGATCGTGAAGTCCGACGTGGAGACCTCTAAGATGGACACCCCGCCAGACTTCAAGATGCCGACAGGGGAGCCAGGGCCGACATCCCGAGAGGTAGAAAAGGAGGACGCCGATCCTGACTTTTGGGCTGACTCCGATGTCGATAGTGACGTCTTCGGAGGCAGTGACTCGGACAACGAGATGGATATGGACAACTTCAGTGGAAGTGAAGATGAAGATGAGGATGACGATATTTTGTGAGTGTGCTCGGCCGAGGCACCTACCAAGCTCATCCTATGGGGTGCTCGCACTCGAACTCTCTTTCTTCGCCCGATTCATTTTTCAACACTGGGATACTAGCATTTGTGGCGCTTACGGGCATGGACATGGGCATCAGTCATATTTTTCTTTAGCATGGTCTTCTATGTACGGGTCTTGTTTTCTTTTCCTTTTCTCTTCTCCCAGATGAGCGGCACTATTTTATCTGGACGTGGTTTTTTTCATTGCTTTATTCCGCACAGCATTCGGGGGCCAATCTATCGCATTCCATAGTACCACATATTTCAAGTTTACCAAATGTTTACCCCAACTCGTCTTGTGCCGTAGCTCCTATCCTATAACTCTCCATTTAGAACCTTGCAAAATGGGTCGCCCCTCTCCCAATTCTTCTTCCCCCCCACATCTCCGGCCCACTCTTAACTCCGAGGTATGCCACACTCCTATATCGGAGAATCCCCAGCCAACTACTATACTACTGTGTTCTGATATTTAGAGCATCCAGCACTATAAAAAACATCAGCCCCAACCACATCAAGAGCAACATGGCCACACAAGCCCTTGCCGATTGGGCTGTCGCCCTCACATTTACCTCTCTCCCTCCAGAAACCATCCACGCCGCCATTCGTAGCTTCTACAATTGGGCCGGCTGCACCATCGGCGGCAGCACCCACCCCGCAACCACAATCGCGCGCACGGCACTCGCCCGCTTCTCTGGCCCGCCTACATCGCGGCTCCTCGGCGCGCCGGATGCCCATGCCGTCGATGCCATGAATGCCGCCCTCCTAAACGGCATCGCCTCGCACGTCCATGACTACGATGACACGCACCTCGACACGATCATTCACCCGACCGGCCCCGTCGCCTCTGCACTACTCGCCATCGCGCAGACCCTGGACCGCCCCATTTCCGGCTCGGAGTTCCTGACCGCGCTGGTTGTGGGCATTGAGGCCGAGTGCAAGGTCGGGTTGGCTGTGTGGCCGAGTCACTACGACGTTGGGTGGTGCGTTATTCATCTCTCCCGTCGTTCTACGAGTCACGGCTCACGATTGAATCGAATCCTAACTAAGAACAAATTACAGGCACATCACCGGCACAACAGGCTCCATCGGGGCCGCCGTTGCCGTTGCCAAGCTTCTCGGCTTGAGCGCGGGCCAAACGGCCCATGCTATCGGGATCGCGGCGACGCAGGTCACCGGGTTACGAGAGATGTTCGGTTCGCATACGAAGTCATTCCACGCGGGACGGGCAGCGCAGAACGGGCTGCTGGCGGCGGTTCTAGCGGAGCAGGAGTATACGAGTTCAGTGCAGGCGCTGGAGGCGAAGCGCGGGTGGGCGAGTGTGGTAAGTGCGGCGCATGATCTGGAGGCGCAGATGGCGACGCTGGGGGCGGCGGGGCGGTGGGAGATTGAGCGCAACGCGTTTAAGCCGTTTCCATGTGGGATTGTCGTGCATCCGGTGATTGATGGCTGTGTGTGGGTGCATGGGGAGTTGACGGCACGGGGGTTACAGTAAACCAAGTGCGGGAGATTGAGGCGCGGGTGCATCCATTGGTGGTGGAGTTGACAGGAAAGACGGCGCCAAAGGATGGCCTGGAAGGCAAATTTAGTGTGTATCACGGCGGGGCAGTTGGGGTGTTGTTTGGGAAGGCCACGCCAGCGCAGTATGAGGATGAAGTGGTCGCGGACCCGCGGGTTGTGTCTGTGAGGGAGCGGATCACAGTGACGGTGGATACGACGATTCGTTCCGATGAATGCCATTTGGTTGTGCGAGTGGATGGAGAGGAGGGAAGAGGAGAGATGGTTATCGAAAAGCATGTAGATCATGCTGTGGGGAGTTTGGAGCGGCCGATGACCGATGAACAGTTGAAGACGAAGTTCAAAGATCAATGTGCCTCTATTCTAGGTCAAGAACGGACAGAGAAAGCCAGTCAGTGGTGCTGGAGTCTTGACAAGGCTGTTGACATCAGGCAAATCAAGGATATACTCTAGGGATTCATAGATGTGAAGACTGAAGAAATCCAGAAACATGGTACCGTTATTAGATTATATATCCTACGCAAGTCGAGATATATAGGTAGCTCTACATAACAGATTTCCTCTGCCGGGTGGAGCTTTCCTATCTAAGCCACTGCCCCTGCTGTGAGAGCACTCAAAGTCAGGCTCACTGAGCTGCTCGGAAAATGATTAGATATGTCTATGGAGCACTCAGTCAACACGCATTCTATACCAAAAGTAGCTCTCTGCCCTACAAGACCGTTTATCTTGGGAATTCAAAATAGCCTTCACTTACGCTCCTTTGACATCTAATAGAAGGCATCAGTGGCTATATAGAGAGCTGATACTGCCAAGCAAAACTTTTGTTACCCACTAGGATTGAGATATAAAGCTCGATGTCTACGGTAATGTTCAACATTCAAATAGGATTATCAGGTCTCTGCAGTCGCACTATTGTGTCAAAAGAAGTGAGCAATAAGCCAGTCTGCGAGAGCATCAGTCCTCTTATTACTGAAACTTGTAGTGTCGTTGATAGCATACAGCCTGAAGGTTCCAACGTCGAGTTTACTTGAAAGGATCCTATGGACATTGGATCTGTTAGCGCCGTACTGTATGTAGGTCCTTAACTCGTTTTTCCACCATCGAGAAGCATCTTACATGACAGTAGTCTCCATAAGCAGCGGGGTTCGAATAACAGTCTCGAACTTCTCGTTTTCAAATTGATGGTCATGTTAAGCATTGCTGTTCTTCATAGGGTTTGCCACCGCAAAGCTGGCAAACATGACTACGGAGATAATTTCATTTTGTGGGTGATGTTGGTCTTAGTCTTTAGAGGGTTTGGAATTGAGAATAATGATATGGAGGAAAATCTTTATACCAGGAGAGAGCTGCTTTTTATATTATACTGTCTGTTGGTGATATCAATAGAAGCCTGCATGTCGCCCAAATCAATGATGTATCCTAGTTTCTAGAATATGCATTCAGTGTTATGCACGATTAACTAGTCGTCGTTGTGTTAGAATAAACCTGGATTATATGGTCACGGAATAGCCGAATTGATGTATTAAATTTCAAGGACTCCGTAGCGTATCAACAACACTATGTCACAGCTTTCCCTCCTCAGGTTAATTATTGAGAGGAAGTCAAATGAGAAGGCTACATATATCATCATTTTTTTGCAACTGCTTTTGCTACACCTCCAAACATAACAATACAAAAATAATACCATCAAGATGAAGGTCATGACTGTTCTTTGTCTAGTTATCTTCGGTACCTTTGCCGTAGCAGGACCCGCATATGCCTATAGTCAAGATAAGAACAGAGTTGAATAGAGAAGGTGTGATCCTCGATCTGGAGGAAAGCCTCCATGTGATGAAGGGTTTGAGACGCCCGAAAAACTTGCTCCTTCTTGTGATGGAGATCCTATATGGAGTTGACCTTTTCTGTTTGAGACAAGCTGAGAATACATAGACTGACGTAGATGGGATGCGGATAGTGCTGAGTACCTTGTCAGATGTGCTTGGTACTGCATTATGGGCAAAGTCTTATGGATCATGTCCGAATGGCACCCCACTATTTTTTAAGGAATGTGTGTGAATAACCGGGATTTGGGTTTGCATTGGATCTTTGTACGCCTTGGTTCAGGTTTTTCCTATTGAATTAGGTTTCCCTTGCATGCGAATGTGAAGGCTGCTTTTATACAATTTTCTCTTAATCTCCCATATGAATGCTCCTGTGTTGACTTTGCTTTGGCTCATTGAGTCATACACATTGCTCAAACAAGGGGTTTATCCAGAAAGGGCAACCTTTGCGTTAGTATACGTTGGTATATAGTGACGGTATTCGATATGACAAGACAATGTACTGGGTGTCAAAACAGAAGCATCTAAAGAGAACCACTTAGGGGGAAAGGTTCCAAAGAGTACGAAACATGGACGAAGTATAAAATTACGTCGGGAGGGCATCGAGCCTACGTGAATGGTACAAGAGACAGCTCGTCAGACCGGAATCCTCTTCATAGATGAACACCCTAGAATCTAGATCAGGTTAAATGTATGGCTGAACAAGTATACTACGTGTAAAGATAAACCGCAGCGTGGCAAGAGAGAGAGAGATAGAGTGAGCAAAGAACAGTCTGAGGCGGGAGAGGAAAACCCGAATGTGTTGGTTAAACCACCCAAAGAGCCGAGAAAACAATATAAAACCAAAAAAATGAACAATAATCTGCGCCATTGTTAATCCATCCAACCAAATGCCCATGTGAGAAGCTCTGTCACAGACAGAGCGTCTTTAGTTATCTACTCTAAGCGGAGACAGCATCCCTGATCTCGCTGTAGATGGCACCGAGCTCATGGATCTCGTGGTTCAGAACCTCCTCAACGTGGTTGACAAGCTCGTTCATACGGCCATCGACCGCACCGGCCTTGTAGCCACCCTTGGCAACGATCTCGCTGTAGTTGGAGGAGCCACCGCCGTTCCAGGCAAGAAGCTGCGAAATAAGATTAGTTACTTGATTGGGGTCTGGAAGATATGCAATGTGGTCACGATGTGGTTACTTACGTTAGGAGTGTCCGACGGAATGTCGGTCAGAGCGCCGGAGGTGGCAATGCTAATGATAGTCTCCTTGAGCTCCTTGGGGCTAATTTCGGCAACGGCGTAGGCCGAGTCGCTCGAGGGCTGGAGGGAGACGTAGTAGGCCAACAGACCAGCAATGTGGGGAGAGGCCATGGAGGTGCCAGAGATAGTGTTGACAGCATATTTGCTGCCAATCCAGGTGGACAGGATGTTGAGACCAGGGCCGAAGATGTCAGTGCACTTGCCGTAGTTGGAGAAGTAAGCACGCTCATCAGCCAGAGTAGAGGCACCAACGGTGACGGCGTTCTCAGCCGCAGCAGGGGAGTAGTTGCAAGCATCGGCATTGTCATTGCCAGCGGCGACGGCGAAGTGGATGCCAGCTTCGACGGCAGCGTTCACAGCGAGATCAAGAGTGCGCGAGCTTCCGCCACCCAGACTCATGTTGGCCACGCTACCCTTGAAGCCCTTGCTCTTGCCAGCCTTGGCGGCCTTGGCCTTCTTGATATGAGCCTCGGCCGCCCACTCGACACCCTTGACAACATCGGACATGGTGCCAGAGCCGTTCGAGCGAAGGACCTTGACGGCATAGATATTGGCTTTCTTGGCAACACCGTACTTCTTACCAGCGATGGTGCCGGAACAGTGGGTACCGTGGCCATTGCCATCCACATCCTCATCGCCCTGGGGAATGGTCTTACCCCAAGAGGCACGGCCCTCGAAGTCAACGTGCTCGGTGTTGGTACCAGTGTCAATAACGTAGGCATCCACGCCCTCACCACCATCTTCGGCATACAGGTACTTATTGAAGCTACCGAAGGACAGGCTTTCACGGTGGGAGATACGGGCAAGACCCCATGGGGCGTTCTTCTCCACAGCGGAGTTCTCAAAGTGGTGGACCTCAGAGTCCTTCTCGATGTACTCAACCTATGTATCACGAAAGGCGGGAATCAGTCAGCGGTAGCTCTTGGAATCTGCCTTTTTTATACATGATAGAGATGCAGAGAAGGCGGCAGGGTGAATGTGAACAGAAATACTACTTACATCCGGATGCCGGCGGACCTGCTCGATGACGTCCTCGTGGAAGTGACCGGCATAACCCATCAGGGAGCCAGCGACATGGAAGGTGTGCTTCATGCCCAAAAAGGCATCCGAGTCAAAGCCGAAGAGCGAACGCTTCTTCAGCTCCATGCGGACATTGTCGGTGTGGATGTCCTGCACCCAGCTGTGATGAGCCGCGGCGGCCGAGGGATCGACATGCTTCTTAAACACGACGATGTAGGAATCTGGGATCTCCTGAGCATTCATGGAGGAGAGAATCGGGGCGGCTCCATTGTGGATGGAGTCGATAGCTACGGGTGACGCAGCTGCGAGGAGCGGAAGCACCGCCAGGCCGAGGAAGCCCTTCATGATGGCGGACGGGGTTGGAAGGGCAGAGGAAGGATGAAAAGCAGGGCACGGGGAAGATGATAAACAATAGTGGGTAAACGATGGATGAAAGGGGGAGAAGAGAAGACTTATAGGGTGAGATGGAGAGGGGAGATGGAGAGATGAAGAGAGGGAGAGATACCGAGAGGTGAGGAGATGAGGAGGCGAGAGATGAGGAGGTGCTCAGAGTCACTGGACCCGGGGCTTATCTAGGGAGCAAAACGGCAGGCGGAGAAGGATGATGCAAGCGGGCGATGACGGGGGGTTACGGGGGTGCAGGGGTTACCGTACGGTTACGCCGTCCGATGACCAGTCGATTGACGCCGGCTGTCGATCCTGGTGGGGCCTGGGGGGTCGGGGCAGGGCGATACGGTCAGGTACGGTAACCTGGCAACCGCAGAGGGCTGGACAAAGCACACGAGCACCGCCAACCAAGACGGTTTTCTAGGCGCCTGAAGGAGATTGACGGGCTGGTCACTCAACTGGGTGTAGTGCTTCCAACCTGTACTTCTGTCATCCACGGTTCCATTTCTGGGGAGGGCCTGAGGCGAGGGTTTGCGGCGGCGGTCGTCTTATCGGGCTAGGGCATCTTGGGAATCTGGGAACCCCGGGGGCGCGGTGGATGCGAGGATGACTCGATCGGCATTAAGCTGGGTTTGGAGGACATCCTTCACCCCATCTTTTTTCTATATATAACAATCTATCCTTTTATCAAACTACCACTCTGTCGCCACCTACCACCTACGCTGTATAACACCTCAAAGTCAATCGACAGCCACCTGTACCCTAGCTAGGTGGGAAATTACGCTTCTTTCTTCAGCAGGTCTCACGCGAGGAGACGCCGGGTACCTGGCAGCCCGGTCACTTGAGTAGACATACTTGCCGATCCTCCGAAGTCGTGTGCAGTGCCCAAATGACGCGAGGTCGGTGATCGGATACAGCGTATGGGTTATGTATTCGTACTGGTGACTGTGGCGCAAGGACGGAGCTTCGGTGCTTCAGGCAAAAGCAGGCTTGGGGGCTCAACCCCGTCAACTTGAGGAGGGGGCGGTTGCAGCGGTCTCCACCCGCAAGGCAGCCTAGGGGACCGGCATCTGCGCGCTATCGAGACTGACGCAAGAATGCGAACGATCATAGAAAGAGATGGCCATAGCGTATTAACATATAGCAGATGGCAGATGGCAGATAGCAAATAGCATCCCGAATTACCGAGGACTGGGTACATAGCATGGTATTGAGAATATCGAAATATCGAAATATCGAACATCTATGATAGACGAGGGGGAAAACTATAGCAGTATAGAAAGTAGAAATCCCGCGTGACATGTATACGGGTACCGCAGTACCGGACCCAGTAGGGAGGAGTACTCAGCCGTACGTACTCTGGAGACGGCCCGGGCCCCGTTTGATCAGGACTGAATCGTGACTGTGCTTATCGGGGGTGCCAAGTCTGCCGGGCTTATCGCTCGTGTGCTCTTATCGCGTATGGTAATTCCGATTCCCGGACACGGACCCCATCCACGGTCATCCAGTGATCCAAAATAACTGACCTTCAAAGAGGGGAAAACAGGGCCCCCAACCTCCATCCGCGGTCACCTGATTCCTCCCCGGTCCATTGCGGTCTGTTTGGACCGGACGTCGATCCATTTTTGAGCCTACACCATCGGGTCACGCCAGTTCGGAGCGACCGTGAGAGCTCGCCGCTCCAAAACAACCCCGTCCACCCAACGTCCACCCCTCCTCGTTCCACGTCGGATGGTATGTGTCTCATCCGGACCCGCTAGCACAACACATACCAATGCAGACCGCCTCACCCGTCACGCCAATCGCACATTCACGGTCTCTGGTGGTCACCCGCCATCGGTCCGGTCGTGGATAAGATTCGGCCATGTCTCCGCCGCCCCTCCCTCCCTCCCCCTCCGGATCGACCGAGCGCCTCGCCGAGGAGCTGGCTCCCCTCGTCGACCAGCTCAAGAGCCTCATCGCGAACCCCCCAATTACTCTGGCACAGGCCCTGGCGGCCACCGAGCCCCTCTTACGTTTGCGACACACATTCGTCGATGATGCACGACCACGAACCGCCAAGGATGCATTCCGGCATCTGGCGGGGTTCCAAACCCTGCTGACCCTGGCGGACCAGCTGGCGGATTTGTATGATCCGGTCAATTTCTCCCTAGAGGAACGCAAAAGCGTGCTGAGGCTCGTGAAGGATGTTCTCGGGACGTTGGCGGGCGGACTGAAGGACCATCTGGGCAACCGGCGATACCTGGCCCGAAAAGTGCCGGGAGGAGGCACGGCGGCTCTCGAGCGAGCGCTCACTGTCCTTGCCGGCAAAACAAATCAATTTCGGGGAGATGCAGACCAATTGTACGGAGCCATCCTGGCTGCCGCCCTCTGCCAAGAGACCGTGGCCGATATATTTGTCACCACCAGGACCAAGTTCCCGCAGCCTAAGAGCTCGCCTTCGGTCCAAGAAGTTCAGGTTACCGTGAACCAGTTCCTGCGGCCTGCAGAGACAGTCGAGGTTGCGGAGTTGTTGGGCCCGTTCCTCCGTATGTGGGTGGTTCACTCGGCGTCTCCGGGAATCGACATCGACATCGACATCTTGCGCCTGGCATTGCCGGCGTGCCTTTGCCAATTGGCATCGCAGTCGCGGAGGAACGTTGTAGCTTTGCATGCCACGGGCATGCTGACCTCCATTCTGCCGGTTCTGTTCGATGACGGCCGGTCCGATCCAGAAAGAGCTCTGTACCATGATTTGGCACGCTGCCTGAGCGTTCAGGGCATGTGTAACTTGGATGATGCCGTGGCTCTGTACCGCCACGCACATGGCAATCCACAAGTCTTAAAATTCCTCGTCTCTGCGCTTAAGTATTCTAAAGAACCGCCCTCTATCCAGTTCGATATGTCCTTGCATGGATTCTGTTCTGTCGAGTTCGCTACTCTAGGCCGCGTGTTTCCCCCAACTGCCTCTGCTGGCTACACTTTGGCTGCCTGGGTTCGCTTTGATCAGTTTGATGTGAACACACATACTACCATTTTTGGAGCCTTTGATTCCAGCCAAACCTGCTTCCTCCTTGCCTATCTGGAAAAAGATACAAGGAATTTCATCCTACAAACATCCATTCGAGGGCCACGGCCTAGTGTGCGGTTCAAGTCAGCCAAGTTCGAGCCAAATCACTGGTATCATATTGGCCTCGTCCATAAAAGACCCAGGCCGGGGGTTTCCTCGCGAGCTTCTCTGTTCATAGACGGTGAATTTGTGGAACAGCTGAAGATTGACTACCCGTCCGTTCCTACTAGCAATCACCCAAACCGACCTCCGCGGATTCAGGCGTTTTTTGGCACGCCTCAAGATTTAGCCATGCGCCTTGGAAAGGGAGTATCTACCTCTCAATGGTCTCTCGCAAATGGCATTCTCTTCGAAGAGGCATTCAGCGATGACATGGTGGCAGTCTTCTATAATCTTGGGCCTCGATACTTTGGAAACTTTCAAGATTGCCTGGGGTCTTTTCAAACTTATAAGGCATCCGCGACCCTCAATCTACGGAATGAACACTTGCATCCTGGAAAGGAAGAAAGTTCAGATATTGTCACCGCCATCCGGAGGCGAGCAAGCACACTGGTCCGCGAGACTTCCATTTTAATCAATGTTACTCCAGTTGCTGTTCTTGACGATGACGATAGCAATAACGTGGACGAGTCAGAGCTTATCAAGTGTCTTTCGAGGCAAGCGGCAAAAAGTTTACAACAACTGACCAAAGCCGGTGGCAATGCTGTGGCGATCAACGGATCTACACCTGCTATTAATGATGGGTTAACTCAACCTCAGGGGGTAGGCATCCTGACCGGAGAACCTGTTGTCGCCATCCCCTGGTCTCTGGATGATGCTAGCTGGTGTTTGGGCGGCTGCGCCGCCGTTCATCTTAGCTTGATCCAGGCCGCCGACTCCGCGCAAAGCACCCGCCTGGCTGTTGAGGCCCTTTACGAGGCTGTTCAAGATAACTGGAGAAACAGCGAGGCCATGGAAAGAGACAATGGATACGGTATACTGGCATCTCTGTTGCGCGACAAGCTAGGTTTCCAGCTCGGTACTTCCACCCCAACGCTCAGAGCTGTAGCTGTTAGCCCTAACCAGGAGGAGCAAAATTCACTCGCTCTTGATCTTCTACGTCTTACGCTTGCTTTTGTTGGGTATGATTTTGAGAAACCAAGCCATTCCATTATCTCCAATCCGCTCGCCTACCGTGTGCTGCTTGTTGATCTGGATATCTGGCGGTTTGCGGATGTTCGGACCCTGGAGTTGTTCTATTCGCAATTTCGCGTATTTGCATCTGAGGGTAATTACCGTCGATTCAATGCCAGGAGACTTGGCCGCATGCGTAAGTTCAACTTTTCTTTCCTCTCAAATTTCAAGGGCCGATGTCTTCTAAAATAATCTTATGGCTAATTCCATTAACACCAGGCGTCAATAAAAAAATCCTCGAGACCTTGAAGGGCAATGAGATCACAAATGAAACTCTCATCCCCTGTCTTGCCGCCTTTCGAGGTTTGATGGAAAGCAACATGTCTCCTGATCTCCTTCGCTCCCTGGCTCTATCTATTACCTATAACCTCCACCGACCAAAAACCCCTATGGGATTGCAAAAGAAAAAGAGTCTCAGATTTGCCACGGTGACCTCCAGACCACCTTCATCAAAGTCTGACTCCGAAAAATATTTGCCTCCCACTACCTTGGGTGTTGAGATGCTACGTCTGTACTCTACTGTGCTCTGTAATAATCTTGACTCTTCGCCTTTGAAAAAGTTTGCCAAAGCAGTCACTAATAAGGTTTGTCCCGAATCATCCAAACTTGCAACATCTCAGCTGACCCTGCATATAGTGGCTTTTATATCTGGCATGTGAGGATGACTCGGAAGTTGTTGTTCATGCTGTCAAGATTCTATCTCGATTGCTGGTAATTCATGGAAGTAGTTACAGCAAGAAGTTTTCCGAGAAGAACGGGGGTTACATAATTCTAGAACACCACCTGAAACGGTGGTGGAATATCCCTGCACTGTGGCCCATCTGTTTTGGCATTCTCTTTGGACAAGATGTCGCTGTTTTGGAGCTTGATAAACCATTCGACGCTTCGGGTTTCATCAACATGTTCCTGTCAGGGGGCGACCTGCGTATCGTGTTTCCCGAAATGCTCACGGTAATTATGGGTATGCTGAAGAGCGGACTGAGGAGCTCAGTCCTGGCAACTGAAACAGCAACAGAGACAAGCGGACAAGAGAGCCTTGAGAGTCGCGCCGCTGCATTCAAAAAACCGCTGATGTCGACATGTAATATAACGGGTAGGCTCGAGAACCAAAGTCAATGCATTACCCCCTCTTCTGTTACTAATTGCTTACTTTAGATCTCCCGTCCTCCGACAAGCCAGTGCATGGCTTCTCCGTCATTTCTACGATTGTCGAGTTTTTGGATGGACTACGCTCACGATCCCGAAACTTCCAGGACTTCACGGTCACCTTCGGTTACGCTCAAGAGCTTCTGATGATCCTCTATCCCACTATCGTGGGCACCGATTCCATCGGACCCAACAATGAACTTGTCTCCCCACACAGTGGTATCAGTTTCGACGATAGTACTTTGGTTTTACGGCCTCGTTCAAGTGCTGCCAATATTGCCTCTAGCCTTTTGACTAGCACTGTTGATGCTCTAGGCAATCCGGAGGAGAGCATCGGTTCTTTGCCTCGGAGATCCTCTTTTATCCTGGTTTCATCTGAAAAGGCAAAACACCAGCCATCCTCTGCGCGCATCCGGCGCGTAGTGAACCCTATTTACTCTGGAGACGGAGGTGCGGCAGATCATCCTATTGTTAAGGCCATCTCTGGACTTGTTCTCGCTGTCTTTGAAGATCAACTTTTGGAGCGAAAGGATTTTTCGGGTCTCGGGCTGTATCACAAAACCCCACCTGGGTTCCTGGAACAGCAGGCATATTTCAATTCGTGGATTTTCAATAGTATTCTGGAGAGATTGAAAGACATACCTTCGTCCAAGCCTCGCCTTCTCCATGAACCCCGGACTCTCACCAACCTTGCCCGTTTTGCAACCCATCTGGTTGAGGCAGTCTATGAAGGGTGGTTCATAGATGGCGCTGCTACCAGCCTTGAGTACCTGGGTACAATCCTGGAGTACCTCCAGCGTCCTGATATTTCCCCTCTGAAGAGTATCCGGCTGTGTAGCCAAGCAGTTGCGACGCTTCACACTGCTCTTTACAAGATCATTTTGTTTCAGCTGTCGGAAGCAGATGACAGCGAACCACTACCAGTTCTGAAGCGCTTGAATTACTGGCAAGTAGTGCTTCTCGGGGCAGCGGAGACTCAATCGAAACATCTCCAATTATTGTGCTATCTTCTTTATACGAAGCTGATCAGCAAAGAAGAAAGTATTCGCTTGGCAGCCGCAAGTCTCTGGCGAATCATTCTGGTTCAAAAGCCGGATGAGGTAGTGAATCTCTTAAGTCATGGCCCCGTGACCCTCCAGCGTCGACTTGCGGATGGATTCGAAGCGCTCGCCGGCATGGACGACGAAGCCTTCCTACAGTGGATTGATGATCAGCGAGATGATATGGATGCCTTGTTCTTCGGTATTCTCTTTAGACAGTGGGAGAGCTTTGTCCTAGAAGAGAATCTCAGGAGCGAGGAATCTGCTAGGAGTCGACTCTCCAGACGCAAAGATAGGTTACGACAATGGTCCCAGCTGGAGAAGTTTGATGAAGAGGTCATTCGCAAGCACGATGCCACGTTGCCCCATTGGATCTCGAACATCTCGGCATCGGAATTCTTGAAGTCCCAGAGATTTCTGCAAGACCTCCAAGATAACTCCACTTTCATGTGGTCTGCATTTTCCAATTTGCTACTCGACTTGCGACGCCCTGGCGGTCTTCTTGCTGAAGACAAAGACCGAAAATGGAAACTGGATCAGACGGAAGGTCGAAGTCGGATGCGTCTACGAGTCGTCCCTGATGATTCTGGCGAGCGGCAAGATTACCAACCTAAGCGGAAGGCGTCTGAACTTCCTGCACCCAAGCTTGACACCCGTCTTCGAGCGTTATCTGCAGGAGAGGCTGTCTCGACCCCTGTTGGACTGGCTGCAGAACAGGAACCTGTGGATAGTGATACTCAAGAGGCACATGACGTTGATGGTGAAAGCCCTAGCATGCTGGAGGAGAACTTCGAGATGATCGACGATCCGAAGTTTGAGATTGGAGACTACGAAGATAAGAACCGGAAGGTCATGCGATCTCTGCATAGAGGTGACCAAGTCCAGAACGTGTGCAATATGTCGAGAATTATCGGTCTGGAGGCTGTGGAAGGCCTTTTGATCCTAGGAAAGGATTGCATTTATATCCTAGACAATTTTTTCCAGCGAGCTGATGGCGAGATCGTTAACGTCTGGCAAGCTCCCTCCGAAGAGCGAGATCCATATGTGCGAATGATTGCCGGACGGGAGTCTAATGATCGTCGCTCCCAGGACCATGAGACTAGAAGCTGGAAGTGGTCTGACCTGGTTAGCGTGTCTAAGCGACGCTTCTTGTTCCGTGATGTTGGATTAGAAATCTTTTTCACTGATGGTACGAGCTATCTTCTGACGTTCTTTTCCGCGCGCGTTCGAGATGAATTGTGCAATCAACTTGGCAACAAAGCGCCTCAAGTTACTGGAAGCGCGGGGCATTCTCGACCCGAAGATATTTGGAGATTTGAAACTCTTCGAAGTCAAGAAGACGCACCTCAATCTCTTGGGTCCAAATTTGGCAGCCTCTTTGGACACCTGCCAGCAAACCCAGCGACACGAAAATGGGTCCGAGGCGAGATTTCTAACTTCCATTATCTCATGTTGATCAATACCCTCGCTGGACGTACGTTCAATGACCTGACGCAATACCCGGTTTTCCCATGGGTCCTGGCAGACTATACAAGTGAGGAACTGGACTTGACAAACCCCAAGTCTTTCCGTGATTTATCCAAGCCCATGGGTTGCCAGACTCCAGATCGCGAAGCAGGCTTCCGAGAGCGTTATAATGCCTTCGCAGAGATGGGCGATGACAACTCCCCGCCATTCCATTACGGAACCCACTATTCATCTGCGATGATCGTCAGTTCATATCTCATACGTCTCCAGCCTTTTGTGAAATCATACCTTCTTCTCCAAGGTGGCACCTTCGATCATGCAGATCGACTGTTCTACTCTATTCGCAAGGCGTGGGAGTCCGCATCGCGGGGCAACATGTCCGATGTCCGAGAACTGATCCCCGAGTTCTTTTACCTCCCAGAGTTCCTGACAAACTCGAACAAATACGATTTTGGACTCCTACAGAACATGACTGCAATTGACTCCGTTGAACTACCACCTTGGGCCAAAGGTGACCCTAAGATTTTCATTGAGAAACACCGGGAGGCACTTGAGAGCCCCTACGTGTCGGAGAACCTGCATCATTGGATTGATCTCGTTTTTGGCAGCAAGCAGAACGGCGAGGCTGCTGTGGAGGCCGTCAATGTTTTCCACCATCTATCTTACAAGGGAGCGAAGGATTTGGATGCAATTGATGATCCAATGGAGCGTTTGGCAACGATTGGAATCATCCATAACTTCGGACAAACACCTGGCCAAATCTTCCAGCGAACACATCCCCAGCGCGAGGACTCCCGATATCGTGTTCCGCGACTAGATACTCTTGCGGAATCGTTGACTCAGATGCCACTCTCGCTTCTTGGTAAATTTGAAACTTTTCTTTTCTCCTCGTCTGCATAATCAAATTATCAAATAACTGACCACCTTGCCCGTTTCTAGATATTGAGGAACGAGTCGCGACGCTGTCCATGAAACAGGATCGCCTGTTATGTACGGCTTCCCTGAGACTGAACGTCCCCCCTCTATACGATCACTACATGGAGTGGGGCTTTTTTGACGGCAGTGTGCGCTTCTATGCAACAGATAGTCGCAAGGTATGCTCAATGATAAATATTGAATGAGCACTTCGGTTCACTAACAACGCCTAGCTCCTCGGACATTTCGAGCACCTTCATGTCGGCCAACTCTCCCACGCCAGCTTTGCCGACTCCCGCACGCTCATTACCTGTGGCACGGACTGTACTATATCTCTGTGGACAGTGACTACAACGCCGAGGGCAGTTGATCTGCAGCCGGTGGGATCACTATTCGGTCACCGTTGCCCAGTAACAGTTCTCGCCGTTTCCCGGTCCTTCAGCGCTTTGCTCTCTGCATCTGGAGATGGCCGTATCATGCTATGGGATTTGAACCGGCGATGCTTCGTGCGGGAGCTTCCGGCAACGGGGATAGTTAATGTAAGTAATGCTTGAGGAATATGAAGGCCCTCCTGGAAATGGCTTTTACTAACCCGGTGGCCAGTGTGCTCGCATTAACGATGTCACTGGAGACATCATCATCTGCCGCGGCAACCGCATCACGATGTACACGCTCAACGGTGATCTTCTGGTCGACCAACCGGTCTGCGACTCTCCTGATGATCACGTCCTGTCCTGTGTGTTCTACGAGGGTGTTCAGAACGAATGGCTGGAGCGTGAGCTTGTGCTCACGGGTCATAGCCGCGGTGTGGTCAATATCTGGAGCAAGGTCATCCATGGCGGACAGTTCGAGCTGGAGCTCATTCGACAACTTCACCATACTGACAGTAGTCGGGACAACGGAGCCAATATATCGTCTGGCATCAGTTGCATTCTGGCCCTCCCTCAAGTTGTTTATACTGGAGATGAGGCAGGTCGAGTGGTAAGCAGCAGTCTTCCCCTTTTATCTCTTTTTTTTTTTTTTTCTTTCGCTTCGTCTCCATTTGTTCTCGAGTCAATGGCGAGTTTTCAAGCATGAGACTAACGATTGCCATAGTATGAGTGGAATTGCATCCAGCGACGCTGACTCCCGAATCCACCCCTGATTCCGCCCGGCTACTGAAATAGTCACAACATATTCCTTTTTGATGGGATTGAGGTTGTACACCAAAAGTAAACTCAGTTGTAGAGAAAACATCATGGCGTTCTCATTGGGATGGGTTTTGCTTCTCCCCCCCCCCGTTTCTCTTCTATCTCGTTCCTATCCCCTGGCCTATTCGCTCAAATACCTTGAGAGCACGGAAATGAGTTTTAGCATGCATCGATAGCAGCAATGATATGGCATCCATATGATCGTCCCCTAGAAATGTGTCCCGGAGCAGTAGTATTAGTATGCTACCCTTCAATCTTTCATAAACTCACAGTGATGGCTTGGCAGACACATCGTGTGTCTCGAGCCTGTGTCGTAGTACTAATTCCACTAGCCCTATCCTTTGCCTTATTATGATGGCTGGTCACGGATAAGTAATTATAAGTAATAGTTTTCTCACTTCAATTGCATGTATATCGATAGAAAAAAAAATAAGCTAGAGAAAAAAAAGGGGGATTTATAGGAAGTAGGTAAGAAATAGTATATAGTCAACACCTAGAGTAGTACATAGAGGAGAGAATACCTCAACAAGGGAGCTGGAACTAGGTGCCCCCTCCAGTAGGGTGGCCGAGACAGGCCATACAGCGGTTATGTTATCAATGGGATCCTACGAATCGCGGGGGCGGGGACGCCAGCGCGATCTGAGCAGCCAACCGAAGCGGACAGAAGAGGTAACATTGTGACTATATGATGCCAAGGCTGTTCACAGATACTCTGACCCTTAAAATGGCAATGAAGGCTACAGTTTCTATTCCGGGACCACGGTCTCTTCTGCTTAATAGTCGTCCAAATTCCCAGGCGCAGTCTGTAGTACTCCGTAGATCGCGCGATATTTAACCGGGCCCCGGTGAGCATGATGCAGGCTCAGCGCAGTCAGTAGTGGGCCGTTGGCCGGTCGACCATACTCCGGTTGGGTAGACCGGAGCACACTGCGCCGAGTCAGGGTGTCCCTGGGGTCTCTCAGCGGGCATGACAGAAAGCTGGGAATTTCGCGGGGATGGCATCGAGTGGTCGCCGTGCAATTGTTGGCAAGATGGGGGGTGGGCGTCTCTATTGAATCCTGGGGGGGGGGAGGCGTTGCAGTGTTGGCTGTTGAGCTTCACGCAGCGATGGAGGGGCATCTTTCGGTGATTTCATTGTGCAGCGTCATTTGCCCCACCTTTTCATCCCACTTGTTGGCCGGCACAGACCAGGTACCTGGCGGCACTATGGGCGCCTCATACCCAGCACAAGTACCGTCCAGGGATCATGCTTCTTGCTTCTGGCCCATGGCTCCCCCCTCCGCCTCTAAATACCGTCTGTTGCCACTTTTCTCTCCTCTCCCTTTCTCCTTCTTGAACCATTCTTCCTTTGCCCCTTCTGCAAATACCTTCCCTGGACCTGTCTAGATCCTTTCTCTCATCATGTCTTCCTCTCTTGAACAGCTCAAGGCCACCGGCACTGTTGTCGTCTGTGACTCTGGTAAGCTCTGATCCCGTTCCACCGGTCCTCCGGGGATGCATGCATTGAACACTCCACTGACAAGCGATTTGCAGGTGACTTTGCCAGTATGTAACTCCCATCGGATTGCCCCCTGTGTCCAACAAATGATGGCGCCGGGTCCAATCCTGCTTTCTCCCCTCTCTCAGTGTTGGGGACTACCCTTGAATGGAGCAGAAGCGCTAACACGTCACACCAGCCATCGGCAAGTACAAGCCCCAGGATGCCACCACCAACCCTTCCCTGATCCTGGCTGCTTCCAAGAAGCCTGAGTACGCCGCTCTGATCGACTCTGCTGTCGCCTACGGCAAGCAGAAGGGCAAGACCGTCGATGAGCAGGTCGACGCCACTCTCGACCGTCTCCTGGTCGAGTTCGGCAAGGAGATCCTGAAGATCATTCCCGGCAAGGTCTCGACCGAGGTCGATGCCAAGCTGTCCTTCGACACCCAGGCCTCCGTCAACAAGGCTCTGGAGATCATCAAGGTATGTTCCATGCTCATCCCGGAATTACCGCCCCCCCCCTCTTTCCTCCCTTGTTCTCGCGCAGCGAGAATTGGATAGCTGGCTAACGTTCGATTTCTTCTTAATAGCTGTACGGGGAGAACGGTATCTCCAAGGACCGCATCCTGATCAAGATTGCCTCTACCTGGGAGGGTATCCAGGCCGCTCACATCCTGCAGTCCCAGCACGGCATCAACTGCAACCTGACCCTGATGTTCTCCCTGGTCCAGGCCATCGCCGCCGCCGAGGCTGGTGCTTTCCTGATCTCGCCGTTCGTTGGTCGTATCCTCGACTGGTACAAGGCTGCTCACAAGCGCGACTACACTGCCGAGGAGGACCCCGGTGTCAAGTCGGTGCAGGCCATCTTCAACTACTACAAGAAGCACGGCTACAACACTATCGTCATGGGTGCCTCTTTCCGTAACACTGGCGAGATCACCGAGCTGGCTGGCTGCGACTACCTGACCATCTCCCCCAACCTGCTGGAGGACCTGTTTAACTCCACCGCCGCTGTGCCCAAGAAGCTCGACTCCGCCGGCGCTGCCAGCCTCGACATTCCCAAGCGCAACTACCTCCACCACGAGGCTGAGTTCCGCTTCGACTTCAACGAGGAGGCCATGGCCGTCGAGAAGCTGCGTGAGGGTATCTCCAAGTTCGCTGCCGATGCCGTCACCCTCAAGGACCTCCTGAAGGCCAAGATCCAGGCTTAGATTGCGAGATACTCCCGCCTGGATTGAAGCTTGATGCTTCCCTTCCTGTTGTCTCTTCACTCTTATGATTTTTATTTGTAAATTGGCGATCCCCAAAATGGCTTTGGAATCGGTAGATACGATTTGATGAATCTATGTTTCTTTTCTCTCTGGTCTCACTCCTGTGCTTTGGTATCAATCCTATTTATCCTGTATAGTAGATTGATTGTATAGGAATCGTGTGATCCTGGTAAAAAATGTATATTATTGTCAGGATGTGCTGTGTGACGGGGTGACTGGCGACACAATGCAGTCACAAGAACCGCGATATCCGCCCTTTCTAGTTTTTACTTCTTCAACACGTGCAATGTCCCCTCCGGTGTCGGGTTTCGCAAAGGCCGCGACTTCCGAGGGCCCCAGCGGTGCGGAATCTGGGCTGGTCGGCTTATTCACGAATCCCCGCAGGGCATGGGAACACCCGTGCGACGATGGTGTCACCGAGAAAAAACAGCCCCGGTCTACCATGGCCGAGGGATGGAATGGTTATGTTGGCAACTGTGTCTATTCTAAAGCATCTCCATCTGTAGCCAATTGGAGCGAGGACTTTGATGTCTTCATACCTGGCATTGCTTGAGGCGAAAGGCCTTTTGGCATTATGTCATTTCCCCTCGTTCCGCCCGGCGCCCGCTTAGGAAGGTGGGGGATGTTTGGGCACGGTAATTCTGTAGTTTGTTCCGTATCAGTGGGTAACGGAGGGGTACTCGGTACCTCCCATCCCAGCTAGCTTCCAGGGTGAGCGACCGTAGAGGGGACTTGCTCTCGACTGCCACCTCATGTAAAATTCCTGTTATCTCGTGTAATTATGGTACAGAGAGGAGCTACCGTACTGTTACAAATCCTCAGTCACGTCAACATCATCCGCTTATTATTCGTGCCTCCTCCCGCCGCTGCTTCTTCTCTTTTCCTCCCCTTTTCTCTCCCAACTTCATCTTTGATACTCCATCCCGATCCCCGTATCCCGACACATTACCGACAATATGGTTAAGGCTGGTAAGTGGTAGATCTTGTTATCCTTGACGAGCTTCCCTCCCCACCCGCTTCATTGGCTGTGAACGAAGGATCGGCTGGGGACCTTGAGCACATTTGAGCACCTTGGAGATCCGTCCGCATGGTTGGCCTGCGGTGGCCTGCTTCATGCTATCCGAGCCTATCGGGAGGCTGCTTCAGAGGAGCTCTCCACTACTGCAGAAGCTCTTGATACTGCTGCCCGCCAGTGATCTTACCTCATCAAGTCGCCGAGGAGGGGATGAAGAAGCTTATTTGCTAGGTCCCAGTGGCGCCGCTTGGTCCCTGGAGCCAGCAGCAAGCTTATTCGGCTTCACCGCAGCGGATATGGACCCTGATCACGGGCCGAGCCTGCCTTCCACCCGCGTTGGCCGCCTGTGGGACGTGGGCGTGCTTCAAGTGCTGGCCAAGGCAGAGCATAGAATCGCGATTATACTGTGGATAAGTCAAGCTGACTGGGTTCGATAGTTGCTGTCCTCCGCGGTGACGCGAAGATCTCTGGTACCGTCACCTTCGAGCAGGCTGACGAGAACACCCCCACCACCATCTCTTGGAACATCACTGGCCACGACGCCAACGCCCAGCGTGGCTTCCACGTCCACCAGTTCGGTGACAACACCAACGGCTGCACCTCCGCCGGCCCTCACTGTATGTAGACTCCCGCCTCTGAGGACCATTGATCCTCGCCCACTTCAGAATCTCCGCGACCAGTTCGATATTAACTCGCCTGCCTTCCTCTTACAGTCAACCCCTTCGGCAAGACCCACGGTGCCCCCGAGGACTCCGAGCGTCACGTCGGTGACCTGGGCAACTTCACCACCGATGCTGAGGGTAACGCCGTCGGCTCCAAGTCCGACCCCCTGGTCAAGCTGATCGGTGCTGAGAGCGTCCTGGGCGTAAGTGATGAACCCCGAGGGCGGAAACTTCCCCATTGATTCGAATAATAAAACTAACTCCTATAGCGTACTCTGGTTGTTCACGCTGGCACCGATGACCTCGGCAAGGGTGGCAATGAGGAGTCCAAGAAGACCGGCAACGCTGGCCCTCGTCCCGCTTGCGGTATGTTTGCGTCTCTGATCCCTGTAAACAAGGATCAAGTATTTGCTTAGGGAACAGTACTAACTGGAGACTCTTAGGTGTCATCGGCATTGCCGCTTAAATTACCAATGACTTTATGTTGACGTAGTTGGGTTTTGATATCCCCTCCCATCTTCTGCAATGTTAAAAGTTTCAGATGATGAAAAGTTCAGGATTGTTCCTGGCTAGAATGAAATGAATGTCAATGCCATTTGAATTTACTTTGATTCTTGGTCCTGTAGGGTACTGGTATTCTTGTCTGCTCGACACCCTTTATACTCTCGATACTCTGTCGCCCATGACCCTTGGTCTCACCGCCCTCCACACCGCCGTTGTAGGTCCAGCTCTTCGGTGTGTTTGTAGCCCGGCCGCGAACGCCCAGACCGCTTTCCCCACAAACACCGGCCACGTTTCGCCTCCGGAGCAGCTCGCCGCTCCCTTTGAACAATTCCATTCTTTTGTGATTTGTGCTGTTCCTCATCTCCACTGGGTCTCGTTGATTTTTTTTTTCTGTGTTGAAATTTGTTGCTGCCATTGTGTGGTAGCGGTGTCCCCATCCAGCATGCCTTTCGAAGCCCGTGTGAAGTCTGTCCTGTCGGGCGATACGGTCGTGCTGTCGCATGTCACCAATCCCACACAAGAACGCATCCTGTCTCTGGCCTATGTCTCAGCTCCCAGATTAAGGCGGGAAGGTGATGAGGTATGTGCTTCCCTACTGGTTATTTGAGACCAATTACTCCTTTCGCTGGGTCTCTGGAGTCGGCGGGATCGGCCCATTCCAACCTGGTCTTTTTTTTTAATGCATGCGTTCCAACGATATGGCCAGGACCACATAGGAAACTAACATGAAATGCATTTTCATTAGGCCTACGGCTTCCAGTCCCGCGAGTTCCTTCGCGAGCTTCTTGTCGGCAAAGTCATCCAGTTCCATGTCGTCTACACTATTCCTACAGGCGCCAAGCGCGAATACGGTATCATCAAGCTGCCTGGCTTCGATGCTCAATTGCCCGATATCAGTGTCCAGGAGGGCTGGACCCGCGTTCGTGAGGAAGCGGGTAAACGCAGTGATGACTCTGGGGAAACCCTGGCCTTGTTAGACCGTCTGCGCGCACTAGAGTCGCTTGCCCAAGATGAGAACAAGGGTGTCTGGGCGGCGTCGGACAAAGGCCAGATCGAGACAATCTATGAGTTGTCAAGTGGCCAGCAGCTGGTGAGCCAGTTCAAGGGCCAGCAACTGGAGGGCATCATCGAGAAAGTCTTGAATGGTGACCGTGTTGTGCTGCGTTTGCTGCTCGAGCCCCAGGAGCACCTGCAGACTGTCGTGGCAGTCGCCGGCATCCGGGCTCCTGCTGCGAAGCGAACGACTGCCGATGGCAAGGAGCAGCCTGCGGAGCCCTTCGGTGATGAGGCACAGCAATTCTTTGAATCGCGTCTGTTGCAACGAAAGGTCAAGGTTTCCCTGCTTGGTGTCACTCCCCAGGGCCAGCTGGTTGCCACCCTTCTGCACCCCAATGGAAACATTGCTCGATTCCTGCTGGAGGCCGGTCTGGCCCGCTGCCAGGATCATCATTCCACCATGCTTGGAGGAGACATGGCCATTCTGCGCCAGGCTGAGCGCACTGCCAAGGATGCTCGCCTAGGTGTCTTCACTGGACATGTTGGTGCCAAGGCTTCCGCCGGCGCGGCGGCAGACTACACCGTCAGCCGTGTTTTGAACGCCGATACTATTTTCATTCGCAACAAGACTGGTGAGGAGAAGAAGATTAGCCTCACCAGCATCCGCCAGCCTAAGCCCTCTGACCCGAAGCAGGCTCCTTTCGCTGCCGATGCCAAGGAGTTCTTGCGTAAGCGTGTGATTGCAAAGCATGTCAAGGTGACCGTCAATGGCAAGAAGCCTGCCACTGAGGGCTACGAAGAGCGTGAGGTCGCTACTGTGGTGCAGGGCAATACCAACGTGGGTCTGGCCCTTGTGGAGGCCGGTTATGCCTCTGTGATCCGACACCGCATGGATGATGACGACCGATCTCCCGATTATGACGACCTGCTCATCGCCGAGTCTGAGGCACAGAAAGAGGGCCGTGGCATGTGGTCTCCCAAGCCGCCTAAGGCTAAGCAGTATCAGGATTACTCCGAGAGTGTCCAGAAGGCCAAGCTGGAGGTCGGCGTCCTGCAGCGTTCTAAGCGCGTTCCCGCCGTTGTCGACTTCGTCAAGTCCGGCTCTCGTTTCACTGTTCTTGTACCCCGCGAGAACGCCAAGCTGACCCTCGTTCTGTCGGGCATTCGTGCCCCTCGATCTGCCCGCGGGCCGGGCGAGGCGGGCGAACCCTTCGGTCAGGAGGCGCACGAGCTGGCCAACCGTCGCTGCATGCAGCGTGATGTCGAGATTGACGTTGAGACCATTGACAAGGTTGGCGGCTTCATCGGTACCCTGTATGTCAACAAGGAGAACTTCACCAAGGTCCTGCTGGAAGAGGGTTTGGCCACGGTGCACGCATACTCGGCCGAGCAGTCCGGTCATGCCAACGAGTACTTTGCCGCCGAGCAGCGGGCCAAGGATGCCCGCAAGGGCTTGTGGCACGATTGGGACCCTAGTAAGGAGGCCGCTGAAGCCGAGGAGTCTGAAGCTGCCAACACCGGCACCGAGAGCGACGCGGCCCCGCTGTCTCGCAAGAAGGACTACCGCGACGTGATGGTCACGTACATCGATCCGGCGTCTGGCAGTCTCAAGCTTCAGCAGATCGGCACCGGCACCAGCGCGCTGACCGAGTTGATGAGCGCCTTCCGCGCCTTCCACATCAACAAGGCGAACGACACGCCGCTGCCCGGCCCTCCTAAGGCCGGTGACTGGGTTGCCGCGCAGTTCACGGAGGACGGTAACTGGTACCGTGCCAGGGTGCGCCGCAACGACCGCGAAAAGGAGCAGGCCGAGGTAGTCTACATCGACTTCGGTAATTCCGAGTCCCTGCCATGGAGCAGCCTGCGCCCTCTCACCCAGCCCCAGTTCTCCGCCCAGAAGCTCCGTCCACAGGCCGTCGATGCTGTCCTCTCCTTCCTGCAGTTCCCCGCCTCGCCGGACTACCTCGCCGATGCCATCGGATTCGTCGGCGACCAGACCTTTGATCGCCAGCTCGTCGCGAATGTCGACCACGTCGACCCCGAGGGCAAACTGCATGTTACGTTGTTGGACCCTGCCGTGTCGAAGAGCCTGGACCAGAGCATCAATGCAGACATCATTTTCGAGGGCATGGCCATGATTCCGCGCAAACTGAAGGCTTGGGAGCGCGCGTCTGCGGAGACTCTGGATAACCTGCGGGAACTAGAGGATGAGGCCAAGGCTGAGCGCCGGGGTATGTGGGAGTACGGCGACCTCACTGAGGACTAGAGGCTCACCGTTAGCTGTCTCCCGAGATGCGGCGGCGAGATCGGGACGTTTCTGTATAGAATATGGGAAAAGGGTCCCTGCGAAAATAACCTTGTGCCATAATATGCATGACATTTTCTTTACTCCGGTTAATTTAGTAATTCGCTTGTGTCTTTTTTTTTTGCTACGAAGTATACAACATATATCACCATAGGCCCTTGGCAATACTTCGTGTGTGGGTGCTCTCCAATATGAGATTAAGGAACGGGTGCTGCCCTACTTGACGTGAAGCTTGGTAAAAATATATTTTGATGCAAAATCTGCCAAAAAAAAAGTATAGGCAACTATATAGATAACCTAATATCTGGTGGGTGAGGCTTTCCTATCCTGACTGCCGCCGCTTTTGTGAGGGTGCTCAGGCTCAGACTGAGTGATCGCCCAGTAACTAGCCAGGGACACAGCATTCACCCCGGATTGTTCAGTGATCAGTCAGTACTTAGCCACCTCCCGATACGCGGTGTCCAATCATGTATGTCCGTCAGCATATCCTCCTATGATTATCTTCCATAGTGTCATTTATCGAGTGATAACTCGCGCGTCAATATTCACACTAGAAAACTAAGCGTCTCCGATTAAACACTGTACTAAAGGATCTCCAATCTGCGTGGCATCAAGTCCTCGTGGCGGGATTGGCGGCCCGCAGATACCGCCGCTCCCGCCTCCTTCATAACACTATGTACCTGCAAAGAAATTCCGGCCACTGCTCGATATTAGTGCTAACTTATACATACGATGAACAGCACTGATACCAGACCAAGTACTCGGAAAAGGGCTGCCATAGCCTGTGAGTATTGCCGAAAATGGTATTGCACCACCCTGGGTTACCTTTCGCAGCAGGTATTATGGCGCTGGTCTGATTCCATACAAGAAACGCCGCTGCGATGGAAAGCAACCTGTATGCTCGATGTGCCAGCAGTCTAAAAAATCTGATTGTCGTTATGGGCCCAATGTCTCCGTCCAGGAAGAGGGTGAAGCTAGAAGTACTGTGGGTAGTATGAGACCAGATCTCACATTCACTAATCGCTTGGCTCAGCTTGAAGCGGTCATGGAAAAGCACACAGCTTGCATAAGTGCTATACATAGTCAGTTGCAACAGTCCAACACTCTGTCGCATACCTCAAACTTTGATGATGCCTCATTGGCAACATACATTCGCGACGACAGTCCATCTAGCCGACCACTCTCCCGGAAGACCAACATCTTCACAAGCCCATGAATCAATACCAATGGCAATTCCTCTTGGACATGGATCCACTTCGGAAGATATTCTTCATACTCGTAAAGTGAAACTACTGATCGGGGATCACCCGAAAGACATGCTCCTCAAAACAGAGCAAAATCGAGGACAGCCACAAGAATTTTCACTTTGCTTGGATACATGGGACAATCCACTAGAACAGCTCATAGATGGAGTTAATACTGTTGAACTTGTTGAAACATACTTTGCCAAAGTAAATCCCAGGTTCCCAATCCTGGATCAAGAAACCCGCTCGCAATTATCTTCAACTCCATTGACCTGGGGTGTTCAATGAACGCAGTTTCCGCCTTGCTGTTGATGGTTCTTGCACTGGCGAGTATCTCACAGGAGTCACCAGAGGATATAAGGGATGAAAAAACTCGGGCAGCCAGTTTAGCTAGGCCAGCTATTTAATTTCGAACTCATATTATTTTGCTTCTTCATCGGCGGGTTGGGGATTGGCTGGACCTACCTTGCTGTCGTCATGATGGTCGGCCAAGCATTTCCAAATTTTAATCTGGCTCGGAGTGCAATAGGACCTCTGGGCTTCTCGACGGGCGTAGCTACTTGCTTTTATCTTGCATCGTCAAGAGCATATGTTTTGAGTCAAGTCAATGCAGAAGGAGCTGGCTGGGCCCTTATACTCGCAGAAAGCACAATTGGTGCGGTCGGTGCAGCCACACGGTTGCTGATACCAGTATACACAAAAAAGAAACTGGCACCAAATTACACGTTGGGGTGAAAACAGTGGGGTTATTGAACCGCACTGAACGCGCTGAACAAATTTTCTCGTTTCTGCTGTTCACCAATGCGTTGCCAGGCATGGCTATATTTGCTGGCCTGTTGCCTCTTTCATCCTACTTTGTGGGTGAAAACGGTGACTTGAGCGTTCTACCGTTGAGCATGTTTGCTCTCGCATCTGGCGGTATATTGGCGCCTTCTATCAGTGTATTCCTGGGAGCAAGATACACATTCATAGTTTTACTCTGCTTGCGTGGATTTCTACTGGTGCTTCTGTCGCAATTTGAAAATCGTGCGCTGGGCCTCTACACGTTGTTGGCTGTCCTGTTCGCTCATGGTACTGGGTTCAGCATCATACCTGGGTTAGTTAAGGCTCAATGTGTCTCTCCTAGGTTATTTCCTCATAGCTATGGCAAGGTTCTCGTCAGCTGGGGATTTGCGGGATTCATCGGTTGCCTCCTGAGTAGCACAGTCCTTTTAAACGGTGCCATATCCATGGCAAGTCTCGCACTTGGCTTGTTTACGGCATCTTTCGGTATTTTGTTACACTTTGCGCCAACCCTGGTGGCCAGCTTTCTCGTCTGATCAGCAATAAATTTGCCTGACGTGGAAATGGGCTTGTTGCAACATCAGCTCCTTCACTACCTGTATGGCCTCTCGCCTGCCGCTACCGGCAATCGCAAAGAGTCCATGCCAATTCTGGCGGTCGGAATTCCCCGATCTGGAACTAAATTCCTCCGCCAGGCTTTACATACCCTGGGTTTTGACCATACACACCTGACTTCGATACGATCTTACCATCATCGTCACTCGAAGCAACTTATCGACTTCTTCAAAAGAAACATAAAACCAAGCCGGGCGAAGGCAACCTAAAACTTATTGCGAAGGACTTTCACATAGTTCTGAGTGACTGCATGGGCGTAAGTGATCTGATCGCGGCCGAGTTTGCGGCCCAGTTGATTGCAGCATATCCAACCGCGAAGGTCATTCTCAATGTTTGTCGCGATCGGGTTCCCTGTTACCAAAGCATGTAGCAGACTATAGGATATTTCGATTGAATTCCCATTTACTAGGACTAGTGTAAAAGCCGGTTCAGTGCGGATTTGTTTTGGACCCGTCAAATTATGTGCCACACCATGATTCCGCCTTTCTTTGGGGCCAGTATTCATGTAGTAACTAATTCTACAAAGAGCATACTACTATGATATAATAAATTTCGAAATTATCTCTAGGGCCCTTCGGAGGAACACGCTTTACTTGATATACTATTTAGCAAGAGTGTAGAGGTTGTTTCGTGGAACTTACGACGTACTATTATACGAGCTATAAGTTACAAATTCTGAAGATAAAAGATAGGTAACTGCTTATTGCCGAATAGTCCTAAATAATAGTGGATGTTAATTAACTCTATACTATTAAGTATAATAAAGCCTGCCCACGTACGTATTAAACTCCCTTGCCGATCGGTTAGAAAACTTTATACTTTATGTAGGAGCCGATCATCACCAGAGTAGTATAGATGGAAATAAGGTAGAGATGGCTTTATGCATGCGGAAGTACTTCCTTATTTCATACGCCGGGGGTTTGTTCGCTTCGATGTCTTACTCTTTCCACGCCCCAAAAGGGTATTCAAATTGAGCACTCTACGTTACTGAATGGAGATCCTGGTAGAAATTGTCTGATGTCAAATAAACCAGTGAAGTTCTGATCAACGTGATGCGGTGGGGGCGGGATTACTGTTTGAGGGGGACATAATGAGGCAAAACCATCTTTCGAGATAGGGTCAACAAATAGGACCTATTGATAATGAGTGGATTACACTCACTCTCTTAGTTTCAATCATTTGTGGCGCGAGCACGGGGATCCTGTGGTCCAACCGTAGTGCGCCTCCTGACCATCGCCTCCACCACTCGGCATTTCTCTGCATACGAACCCGAGCGCCCGGCGTCCGAAACATGGTTCCCGGCGCGGGTCCCAGGGTCTCCGACCAGACTCCGCAAGATTTGTTGCTGACCGCCTCTCCTTCCCCCATCTCCGCCACCACCGATCTTCGATCTTCTCGAAGCCTGAGCACGTTCACTTGGGGACGTTCCGTACATACTCGGTCAGCAACAAGACCCTCTAAAAAGGAGCTACTCCGGAAATAGTTCCAGACACAATGCTTTGGAGGACGAAGTCCCACCACAGCCAGGCGTCTGAGCAGGATGCCTCGCTCACTCGCACCGCATCCGCCTCGAAGAATGACCCGTCCGCATCCGCGACTCAAGCGGCGGGCACCGCCTGGCTGGCCGGCCACTTGAACCACCTTACTCCCGAACAAGAGGAGAGACTGACGGAGTTCAAGGCACTCTGCGCCGAGCGAGAGTACTACACACCTGCTGTGGAACAGGCCGAGGGAGTCGAAGCAAAACCCGCGAGCCATGATGATGCGACTATGCTGTATGTAGCACCGGTACCACCAGGCCGCGTCCTGTATGGCAACGACACAGATGCATGCGCTAACACGATCACCTAGGCGTTTTCTACGGGCCCGCAAGTTCGACGTCGAGGGTGCATGGGGTCAATTCAAGGATACTGAGGAGTGGCGCCGGGAAAATGCTATCGAGTCGCTGTACGAGAATATTGGTGTCGACTCCTACGAGGCGGCGCGACGAATGGTGCGTACATTGTCAATAGCACTTTAGCGACCCTCCCCGATCGTCTGTTAACAAATACTAATCTCTTGCCTTGCTGCGCCTTTACAGTATCCCCAGTGGACTGGCCGGCGTGATCGCCGCGGTATCCCTGTCTACGTCTTTGAGATCCGTCACTTGAACTCCAAGGAAATGGCTGCTTACAATTCGACCATGTCCACGGGTACCCCGGACACGCACAAGTCATCCTCTGTCCCGGCCCGTTTACTGAACCTGTTCGCCCTGTACGAGAACTTGCTCAACTTTGTCATGCCACTCTGCTCGTCCTTGTCGCGGCCGAACCCCGAGACCCCGATCGTGACTTCCACCAATATCGTCGATGTTAGTGGTGTCGGCCTGAAGCAGTTCTGGAACCTGAAGAGTCATATGCAGGATGCCAGCGTGCTCGCGACGGCACACTACCCGGAGACGCTGGATCGGATCTTTGTATGTTTGGCATTTTCGTCTTCTCCTTTCCCCTGTCCTAATTAGTTCCTGCAGATTATTGGTGCCCCGGGATTCTTCCCTACCGTTTGGGGCTGGATCAAGCGCTGGTTCGATCCGGTGACTACCTCGAAGATTTTCATCTTGTCGGCAGCAGAGGTGAAGCCCACTCTCACCTCATTTATGGACCCATCCAGCTTCCCTAAGCAGTATGGTGGCGAGCTCGAATGGCAGTGGGGCGATATGCCTAACCTGGACGAGTCCGCACGAGCTCTGCTGACGAATCTGGAGCAACCGGCCGCCGAGGGCAAGACAAAACCGGAGATTCTGAAGGGCCCGATGTTGTTCAAGGGTGATACCATCGAGGTCCTGGGCACAGAAGATGGCAAAGACCGCCGGGCGACCATCGCGGTCCCGAAGCAGGAGCTCCAGGAGCATTCCACTCCGGAGTTACCTGCCAATGGTTCTGCCGAATCAGTGAAGGAGGGGGAGTCCACAAAGCCCGTTCCCAATGGCGATGCTGAGCCCGCGCCCGCGCCCGCACCTGAGAACGAGAAGACTGGCATTGATAGCGTGGCAGTCAATGTCAACCAGGTGACTAGCGAAGAGACCCAGACCACTACCGTCGCCGCATAGACAACGCAGATATACATAGACAGCTGGCAGCGTGGGGTGAATGTGGGGTGAGTGTGGGCGTGGTGAAGTAATGAGACAAGAGCCCACCGGGGGCAGACGCAGATCTCATTAGGACGACTCGACCGAGGCATCTTTTACATGATTTTTCACTCTAAGGCGTCTGCCTGGGCTAGACTGTCGAGTTAATTTTTTTTGGGCTTGCTTGTGTTTGATTTCTCTTCTTTTTTTTTCTTTTTCTTTTTCTTTTCTTTTTTTTTTGATTACTATGCCCGTCTATGCGTCGGATAATTCATTGCATGTGCATGTGCTGCATAGAAAGAACGATCACCGGTTGTTTGTCTTATAAATCACCCCAACAGTTTCATGTTCTCATGTTCTCATTTCTTTTTGCTTTTTTCTTCGGCCGAGCTGTTTTCATGTGGCCGAGTGTGTTGGACGGGCCTATCATCCTACCCCAGGACAGGAACGTTATCCTTGGGTTCTCTTCGACGACGATGATTATGGTGGACGTCCGATGTCCGCCCATTCTGCTCTGGTTTTTTTTTTCAGTCCTCTCGTGACTTTTACTACTTGATTCTCCCTCTGTCTATATATCTGTGTCAAGGTATCGTGTGAGGAAGGAACAATAGGCTTATGATTAATAGAATACATCTGTCTTTGGATTGCCCTTCCCATTCTGCTGTTTCCGACGGAAGTCTTCGGTTGCAATAGCTTGGTGCCTAGATATCTTTTCACATGGGGACTTACTTGAATATGATCGGTTCCTGCGTGCTCCTTGCCTGAATCGGTTAGAGTGGGTTGGGGGAACACATGTATGTACCGCATGTTCTGGGTAGTAGTAGTAGTAGTAGTAGTAGTAGTAGTAGTAGTAGTAGACCGTGTCGCAGGCATGAAGAGGCTGAGGCATGCCTGCAGATTGGACTCGGTCGTATCTCTTCATCTTGATTTCCTTCTCTACGATCTTGTGATGGTCATCCTCTCTATTGCGCCCTGGAAGAACAAGGAATGACTCCCAGTTGTTGTGATGTGCTGAGTGTCCGAATCACCTGATCCGGTAACTCAGCAATCACATGACTCCATCGGAGGCGCCAAACCCTACTTTTTTGTCGGAGAATTCGACGTTGAGCGACATCCATCTCGATCTGTCCGGATCCTTCGATAGCGTCTATAATACCTCGTCTGAGTCGAGATAATCCGTCCCGGTTAATCCCTTCTCTCGCACAGACTGAAATCATTGTGCCATCATCTCCTTGTAGACCATCCATTTAGCGGCTCCGTGAGGCCCCGGCGGCACCCGACGGGGCCTAACGATTGGGGTTAATTCGCAGAAGTCAGGCAACCCCCATTCGAGTCCAAGCGCCCGTTCGTGGATTCGACGTTCGGCACAGAGTTTGCGAATTGTTGGGGAAGATGCGCGCCAGGATCAGCTGGGATCGACGTCATGTTCGGGGTTTCAGGGTGTGTTTGGGGGTCTCCGAGGCTCATTTTTGCGGAGAGTGGAGATTCACATGCGCCGAACGGGGAACGGGGACGATCGACATGGCCAGCGCCCTCGTCGAGTCCAGCCCGATTTAAAGCCCACAACGCCCCCCTTTAGGCCAAGTCTCGTCCGGTCTCGTGCCCTGGAATCCTGAAGAACCTTCAACTGCTACTGCCATTGCTGCCTTCGACTTCATCGACATGGCGGAACGCAACCCAAAGGACTCCATGAAGTCCACCTGGCGGCAACAAGCCCGCTCCGAGTGGACCCTTTTCCACTGGTTCTATGAACTGCTCGGCATCCATCCGGAACATATCGACGCCAATGTGCCCATCCACTTGAAGGAAGACTCCGTGCCGTACGTTCCAGACTGGTCGATGCATCGCTGGGTCATCACCCACGCCATCATCCCTATCTTGTTGCAACATGCGTATGTCCAGTTCACCGGCCATAATATCGGCCCCATCGGCGCCTTCATCCTCTATAGCGTCGCTTTCAAGGCCATCGCTATCCACGAGCTACACGTCCTCCGTCGTCTGGGCCACACTCACGGCTTCCTCGATGGCGATAAGCACGCTCGCGACGGCGTTCCAGACATCGGCGTCGCCAAAGTCGTCCGCTCGCTCATGTCCACCTCGACTTTCCGTCCCATGTTCACCGTCTTCTTTGCCTACCGGACCGCGCAGGCCCCCTCATCCATGAGCTTTGCCTGGCTACCGCTTGAGATCGGCCTCTACGGCATCATCCTCGATTTTTGGTTCTACTGGTATCACCGGATCATGCACGACTTTGACGGTCTCTGGAAGTACCACCGCACCCATCATCTCACCAAGCACCCTAACCCACTTCTCACGCTGTACGCCGACATGGAGCAGGAGTTTTTCGATATCGCCGGTATTCCTCTGATGACCTACTTCACCATGCGTTTCCTCGGTATGCCCATTGGTTTCTATGAGTGGTGGATCTGCCACCAGTATGTCGTCTTCGCCGAGTTGGCCGGTCACAGTGGCCTGCGTCTCCATGCCTCTCCGCCCTCGACTCTGAGCTGGCTACTGCGCTTCTTCGACGCGGAGTTGGTCATTGAGGACCACGATCTGCACCACCGCAAGGGCTGGAAGAAGAGCCACAACTATGGCAAGCAGACCCGCCTGTGGGACCGGATCTTCGGCACATGCTGCGATCGTATCGAGTCGGTGCCCCATAACGTCGACTATGTCAATCAGTCGCCTATGCCGCTATATTGATATATTCGCTATATGATTGCTCCTCTCTTTTTATGTTGATATATATGTACATATGTCTCCCTGCAAACCTGTCTTGACGCTACAAGATCCTTATGTAAATGGCTTGGCGACACAAATTGTGGATGGCGTGGTGTGGCTTGATCGGCTGTGTCTCCGTTGGCAGGATGCATTTGCTATTGTCTGATTTATTTTATACATACGCTTTGATACCACGTTAGATATATAAAATCTAAATGATTGAATGATTTTACCCTTGATGATGGAGCCGGCATGATGGTATAAATGGTTTCCGGCGAAGGGCGGGGCCGCGAATCGACCGGATGTCGTCGATGTACGTCACCCCCGGGCATTCTTGTATCGTTAAATAGTCATCTTTACACGATATTCCTTAATCTTGAGAATTGACAAATCGCTGAATCTGCACCACAAGATATGAATGTCGTACAGCGTCGATAGATCGGCGTTGCCCAGTATATTGCTTATGATGTACGTGAATACTGCTCTTGTGAAACATGGCACGCTATATCGATTCTCCTCTTTACTTTATTCAAGAAATGGGCATCTTACCCAATTTGAACAAAAGGAAAAAAAGAAAGAACACTGTACTGTGGACCCAACGTGCTCGAAAATAAGATAACAATGCAAGCATACCGGAACTTCATCACAACAGCTCATATACATATTGCCCGACCTATCTCTATCCGGCATTTTAACAACAAATGAAAAAGGGTATTGGTCATGGAAGTCGATTTATTTCGCCGCAATTTACAAGTAAAGAAAGAGTCCGTGCGAATACGCATGCAGAACATTGTACCACGACACCTGGACTACTTGCCCCTTAGTTCCAGCCCACGTCATTATTAGACAGCAGGAATTGATTTACTGATCAACAATTCATACCTGTTCCGATGCAGATATTGGCATCTATGGATAGACTCAACACCGGTTTGATTGGTATAATTGCCCTGGAAGAAAATTCAGGTACAGTTTCATCCTCTGAGATTGGGGAAGTTAGTCAATTGTCGTCTAGGGAACAAGTGATAAAGGCCCAACGTGCTTTTAAGAGGCTTCTAAAGAAGATTGAAGAGCAAGTTGCTCTGTTATGGGAACACAATATTCTTCCTGCTCTTATCTTGCTGCGAGCGGCCTATTTCATTTGTCGGACTTAGGTCAGTGTATATCGTCTCTTATCAATCAGGAGATCAGAATGGTTGACAAAAGAATTTGATGACCAAACGGAACTAGCGTAGATGAATCAATTTTCCAGAGATATCGTATATCAAATTTCTGTTGTGTTATTTGCAAAGTTCGCCGCTAATAAAGAAAATGTGTGCCCATCTTCCATTATTTCCACTTTTCATTCATTCTGCAGGTAAAGATGGATAAATGACGATGTGAGGTACCCACTCTAGAGTGTTGAATCTCCACCTCCCTCATCATCTTGCATTTGAGTCTCTTGTAATTTCGCTCGGGATGAAAGCATAGCATTATAGACCCGATGAGCGAACTCAGTATCCTTTGCTGCCTCGGGGATCTGACCCTCCGCAGCTACAATGGTTTGTAGATCAATCACAATGGAGTCGACTTGCTCTGTGAGGATAGGCTGCAACTTATTTAAGTGTGAAATGACAGTCTTATTGAATGATCCATTAGCCCGCTCGATATAGGCCTCGCAAAGTGCCGAGTTTTCCAAGTGTTCACGAATAGCAGCTTTGCGTCTTTTGTGAGACCCAGCTCCTAGTCCAAGTTATGTGGTTAATTATATGAAAATTTAAAGTACGAAAACAGAATAAAGAAAAGAATTGTGCTCAGCCCACTAATCTACTTACCTGAATCTTGATTACACAAGTCATAGACTGGATGCATGAATTCTGCAATAAATGAGGTCGTATGCTTGGACTTAAGCATGTTGTGTTCAATTATCCTAGCGTTTATATCTCATGGTGAGGAAAGAAAAGAACTAAAAATGATTGAGTGTCTCACATAGTGTCTGTTTGAATTTTTTCTAGTGCTTCTTCAACTTTGTATATGATCGTATCTCGTCGGGATTGCATGCCTCTTAGTAGGGTTTCGAATGATTCCAAGGGGACTTTCTGATCTTCTGTTTTAGAATGGAAAGATCAGTAATCATCAGATAGTACGACGCTGGCTTGTATGAGAAAGATCATGTACCTCGAAGTCTTTTTGAAATGTTGTCAAGCTTTCGGGCGAGATCTTGAGGAGTTGATGTGATATATTCCTTCAACTCTTTTTTCATTATATCCCATTGTGGAATTAGTACTTCAATAACATCTTCAATCAATTCCTCATTCCAGCAACGAGGCTCTTGCCTGCGAGGTTGGTGGGTGCCATAATGACTGCAGAATGCCCTGTACGTTCCATGTGGCCACTGGAACAGTGTTCAGTTACATGAATGTCAGAATGTGAAATGGAGGGGCAATGACAAGCGAGACGCACATGTTCCCATTCCTTGAGAAGCTCATTGCACGCATCACTCCATTCCGGTTTGTATACCCCTAGTATAATCTCAGCCACCAGAGCCTTCCATCAGAGTAAATAATGACTCACGAATTGGGCTCAAAATGTGCTCTTGGAACAAATGATTCAGTCCAGCATGAATTCCATCTAGCACGTCTGCTACAAGTAAATCCTATTAAAAATTAGTTTTTTCCTTCCTCATGTGACTTGTTGTTGGAGGGGGTCGGGAATTTAAAAGAAGTAAAAAGCCTACTTACCTGGCGAAGCTTATTTTGTGCTTCTTCTAATACTCTGCGGAGGTCGACCGCTTTTTGAATATTCACTTGATCAAACCCCGCATGTGCCCATAGTTCAAGAGACGCTAAGTTGGCTGGAACTTCTCTTTGAAGAAAGGCAGACACTGAGCCGTGTCGGAACTTTGCCAGAATTGAATGACAGTGACTTTGCAATTGAGGAATTCCACTGAGCTCAAGGTAGACCTCCGAATTATCGTCCTCTCTTTCAGAATGAGAGTTATATAGTGTGTTGCTAACGCAGAAGACCAGCAGGTCTTTTCGCTTGGGCCTTTTGCTTAGTTCTGCCTTCACCTTGGAGTTTCTTTGGGTTATCAGATATTTGGTTCTTCTAGTGGAAAGGTCAGTCGGAATAGTGAGAGAGGATTTTAAAGGTCAATTTTCATACTCAAATTCAATTGCGGTTTTTTCATCGCTAATGAATAATCAGGCAGTGTTTTGTATAATAGCTGCGATTGCTGACGTACTGGAGTGCGAGCTCTTCCACTGCATCTTGATCGGCTGCATCACACCGCAGCCGCTTTCTTTCAGAATTCAGCTTCTGAATTTTCGTGTTCAGTTTTATGATTCTCAAGTTCATTTCTTTTACGTGAAGGGCATCTGGTGTGGTGCCCCGGGAAGACTCCCCTGGAGAGACATCCTTGCATTCTTAGTTAAAACATGAGCCACAGTTTGATAAGCGTCAGTCATTACCTCTGATCTGGTACACACGAGGGTTTTTTGCTGATCAGGTCTGCATGCTGAAATGACTTGTTCAACTGACTTGTCTGAGAGATACCGACTGATATCTGCCACAACGAAGACTTCGTCGCAGCTTTCAATCATGTACTTCTCGCTGGCACGTATTCTAGCATAGTTCAGGTCACGGAGTCCTTTATTTTGTTCATTATTATCTGAGTTGTTGCTTAGCGTGGCATACATACCTGGCATATCTGCCAATATCAAGCCTGTAGACAAAATTGGCGATTGCAAGTATACCCTGGGCAGATATCAGCGGATGGATGAGGGGACTGGGAAGGAAATGGGGAATTCCACGATACTTTATCAACTTTACGAATGGCCAAATTGCAGGTTTGTCTTGAAATTGATCAGTTGTAAATAAATCCAGCGTTTCTTGGCAATCATCAAGATTTTTGTGGACTTTGAAATGTCGATGGGCGGTGGACCGCCCTGGCCGGTTCGTTAAACCGGCATCAGCCCAGTGCATCAACTTTTCAGTTACGTTCTCGACAGTTTGATGAATGGGATCGCCGATGAGGAGTTCTTCAGTGAAATCACTTTGGTTTCTGAATAAAGATTCAAGTGTTTGAAATGCTTGTTCAGATTTGGTGTGAAATTCAGACTCTGTTTCTGAAATGTTACTCTCGTTATCTTCATGCGCTTCGGTCACATGGGAGGCTCGGAACGTTTGTACGAGATCAAAAAGCAGCTCCTTCATCTCGTCTTTATTCATGTAAGAGACTTCAATCGAATATGGCTGTGTGTGCTCTTGGTCGAGAGGCCTGTATTCGGTTATCACGCAAGTACAAGCTTGTCCTGCTCGACTCTAGTATAACCAATTAGAGAGTGATTATTATCGAAAAATGTACATATATCCGAGCAGCTTACTGTGCGGGCAAGATCCTTCTCACGCAAGAGTGAGTTAATCAGAGAGCTTTTGCCTGCGGAAGGGTTAGCACTTGCATTTATGACATCAGATCATAGTGGGAGGTTATATGGAAGTACGAACCAACGCCAGAGTCGCCGATGAATCCGATTATGCGCCTTTCTGGACATTGATATTCACTCAACTTTCGAGTTTCTTTATAGTGCCTGTGGAGCTTGGTTTCCAAGTTCCTAGACAAATCCGAAGATGAAATGATGTCCGCGAGTTGTCTCATGCTATTGGTAAGGACTTCTAGCCCACCGCATGGCTGAGGATTTTCCGTGGGTAATAGATCAGGAGATTTGACATGGATGTTGCCCTCATCTTCCGAATTTGCAGCCGGAGCACTTTCTGACGAACGGTCGTCCATAATGCCTTCCAAGTCTTCTGGGGCCATACTCTGTAAGATTTTGGTCTCTTGGGGGACAATACTGGATATTTGTGAGGCTAGAAAAAGGTCGGATGGTAAGATTTCGAGAATATTTTGGGACAAATTGTAAAGTTTTGGAGCTGAGAGCCTCTCCCGAAGGGTAATGGATACTCTCTAAAACGAGTGAGATTTGATAGACTGTAAGCAGTTCAATGGTTGTGGTGATAGATCGTGATCTGGGAAAAAAGAGCTGCGCCTGGCACCTGCAGAAAGTAGACAGTGAGCTCAACACCCAGAAGAGTCGTGAGGAAAAGGAGTCACAAAGAATTTAAAATTGTTGTCAGAGTGTAGAAGATGACATGGTCAGAGCCGGAATTGAAAGGGACCATGAGTTTAAGGGGGAAAAATTGACGTTAGCTAAGCGTGGGTGGGTATCGAGGAATGTAAGGATATAAATGAAAAATGTAAAGGTGAGAGGATACTAAGGTTTCATGGGTGCGTCTGAAGAACCGATGATGAAATAGAGAGCCTGCAGTGCAGGAAGGGACGAATATGAATGCAAGTAGTGCCACGTTCACCACCGAGTAGTAATTTTAAGAGCATCGTGGACAGTCGTTCAATAAAGCGAAATAAATCTATCCTCCTTTTTGTTTCGAGAATACCTTTTACCAACGCGAAATATATACTGCCACAATATGAAACAGCTAGAATTAAACAAGATGAAGTATGTATTCGTAAGCTCTATCTAGTGCTAAGTCGCCTTCCACAGAGTATCAACTTGCTTTTTACGGACCTGTGACCAGTGTTGTTAGTAAGGAAAACTGGACGGAAGGGCACCAAAAACTTACTATTGGCGCCAAAAATGTGACACCACCGGTCAAAGCGACTACGGTCAACACAAGTTGGAGCTTCGAAAAGGCCTTGCCAAGAATATCAAAGGCCTGGCTAGGTGTAGCACGGGTTCCGTACACGTCACTACCAAACGCGAACACAAGACTTGTACTTTCAAGTAAGGTCGAATGGGACATGACAGTGGCGATACCTGCGACATCACGCGAGTGCGAAATATACCACTTGCCATCGAAATCAAGGAACGGGGCGTAGCGGAACAGACCTTCTTCGGCCTCAGCAGAAGAAGGATCCCGGTCAACAGGACGGCGGGGGTCAAGCACGGGACGAGGGATGCCGACGATGGAGTTGGAGGATGGAAGGACACAGAGGAGCTGGCGGGTGGTGATGCCCTGGCGCGTTTGGGTAACGGACATGTGCGAGATGGGCTCGGCGATGATGAAGGATTGGGAAATAACATGAGGAAGAGGAAGCACATCTCCACTGCCCCTGTGCAGGCTGGAGAAGTTTCCGGCGGAGTCGAGAGGACCGCGGTCATTAGGGAGATGAGACTCGTAGAGTTCGGAAATGACGAGTTGGTAGCCCTTGGCGGATGACTCGTCGACAGCATCGCCGAAGAAAGAATACGCGAACCAATTTTCGGACATGACAGAGGCAATGGGCTGCGTGGTATCAACTCCAGCCTGGGTGACGGAGTGCAGAACCTTACCCGAGACGCCATCAAGAAGGTAAAAGCCAGCCGTGTTGTCTTTCTCGTTGACGGCAGTCACAAGCACAAGATTCGGGTTGAGATACTTGTAGAGAACCGATCGGTTTCCAAGTACTTTGCCGATGGATGCAACAGGGTCGTGTGAAGGACGGGCCGTGGCCTTGATAACCGTCTGGCCAGAGGGAGGAACAAATTCCCACACGGGCGACTTATGATCCTTCTCAATCCAGCCAAGAACACGGCCATCGTTGCTAGTTGTCACGAGGAAGCCTGTGATATCGTCAAATGAAGTGGCCGGGGAGCCGTCTTGTTGGATATCCAAGACACCCAATCTCACCACCGAAGATCCTACCGGCTGCTCGAAGGTAGCAATAGTTTGAAGCTTGGTAGCCTTGGGGGCAGACCGCGCGATAATCTCCCCAGTGGAAACGTTAACCGTTACCGAGCTGCCATCGCTCGGATGGATAACTGCGGCTCCAGGAATGGAGAGAATGGCCTTTACATCCCATTCAGCGGTCTCCTCAACCTGGACACTCCACGAAACAGACCCGTGACGACCAGTGTCCAGAGAATAGAGACGGCCGTGCTTGGTGGCTAGAATAACTGATTTGGCAACACCAAAGCTATCCAGGTTGGTCACTTCATCGGACAAGACACTGCTGATGATTCTCTGGGGCAACTCCTTCAGCCAGTCTGGGAAGTGCTCTAGGTCTCGGAGGTGACGCTTCACACGATGGATGTAGGCTGCAACCAGGTTCTCATGGCCTTCGACTTCCAGTTCATGTGCCAGGTCTTCTTGGTCTTGCTCTTCAACCCAAGCAGCCGCGACAGCATGGACAAGGCCCTCGGGACGGGTCCATTCAAGTTGGCCATTTCGGATCAGCTGCCAGTCACCAGACTCACGCAGTATAGCAGATCGGACAGCAACAGAGCTGCCTTTGGTGACAACCTCCGAAACAGCATGCGATGCTCGGTCTACCGATGGTCTGTCCACGATCCAGCGTCCCAGAATTCCATGCGACGCGGAAGAAACCACGACGGCCTCCGATTCGGTAATTCGGGTGAAATACACATTTGCATCAATGTTATTGGTCGCAACCACGGACTTTCCCTGGAGATAAGGCAGAGAGTAGGCCTTCGTAATCGCAGAGGACTTCATATCCACATGGTAGACATCAGCCCACGCTCCGGCGTCCGTCTCATAATGAACTAGGAAGTGCGGGAGCGAGTTGAGCTTATGCGGGGCATGAACGGTGATACGCTGGACGTCTCGACCGGAAGGGTTCTCGATAGCAATAGTGTTGATATGCTTAGTTCCAATCACGTTTATCTTGAGCGACTTAAGTGCCTTGTCTGCCCAGACGATTAGGGGCGACGCAGTATTGGCACCCACGTATAAGACCGCCTGGGGGAAGCAATATCACTCTCGGAGTTCAAGACCTGCTGGCTGACCTGACGGCCTGTGAGGGAGTCCAACGCAGTAACCTTGATCTTGTAACCCTTCAACATAGCCGACTGGAGCGAGACGTAGAAGACCTCGGTGGGAGAGGATGACACCTGAAACGGTACATCGCCGCTTATCCCAAGAGTTAGCGAGGCTACCAGATAATCACAAAAACCGCCTACCTGAAATCCTTGTGCTCCCATTTGGCCTTGCCAGACTCGCCGTCAAGCCGTCTTACAACCCCAGCACCCTCAGCGCCGGTGAGCGCAAGTGTATCCCTCATGCCGGGTGTTGCACTGGCATCCTCGAGCTCCAATAGTTCGAGATCTGCCACGACGCCACCTAAGGCTGGAGTCTCCCAGATCAATTTCCCATCTTGGGCACTCCATGATGAGATGGAGTCGCCCGCTCCCCCAACGACAGCATTGTTCCCATCGAGACCACGCAGAATACCTGCACTAGGAGCCGAGCCACCCGGGCGCGAGATATTCTGTCGCCAAACAAGCGCACCGTCACGGGGATTCACAGCGCCCAAAATTGACTTTTCGGAGATGGTGTAGAGTAGGGAGGCGTTCGAGGAGGAGGATGGCTTGAGGAAGAAGGTCGAATCGGGGGAGGGAGCGCCGAGGAGGGCGTGGTGGAAGTCTATGTGATCGACTTCATCGGAAAAGATGGCCGCCGCGGGCGACACGCACGCGGCCAGGAAAATTGCCGCTTGGAGCCGCATTGTACTATGGTCTGGGCATTGACGGACGGGGTCGGGATGAGGTTGAGTTGTCAAGCTTGGACGGAACGCGGGCGGTGATCGTCCCCCGGATGAACGCCGCACGAACACCGCCAAACGCGAAACACCAAACACAACCCTGAATCCTCATCCCCAACGACATTTCGACATCGAATCCGACGAATACCGAAGCCGATCACTCCTATGACTTTATCGACTTCCGCGTGTATTCTCCTGAATGTCAAGTAGAAGGACCTTGATGGAGTCCTACATCTAGTTCGACTCGTTTGGAGCTGTGATAGATAGCCTATGTCATGATTTGACTCAATACGGCACTTAGCAGCCATCAATCAATAGCTATAAAGAGGGTCAAGGACGCTCACAGTTTTTGATCATCATTTGAAAAGATCTTTCAAGGCCCATTGAGCTGGAACAAGGATAGCAGATCAAGTCTAATGCCAAATCTTGTGTGAGTTAACTCTGGTATTATTACTCTGTTATCAACTTCTCAGGGTAGCAGGCACGAATATAAATCTTTTATGAGGATTATCTAGACATACGCTATATAATACGTAGCATATAGGTGACCAATTTGATCAGTAAAGTGACTGGGGATCCTGTTAGATGAATGAAGGATATTCTCTCCACGCAAGTATGTGATTTCGTCCACTGGATATCCGTCTGTTAGATTCGTTCTAGTTGTGCCGGTGTACCTGCTAGTCCTCTTCGGCAATGGCATCTACTTCGATTTCCACCAGCATATCATCGTCCACGAAACTATTGGCGACGACGATCATCGTCGCGGCAGCCCCAACCTGGCCTCCGTTGTGCTTGCCTAGGATCTCCCGGAACGCTTCGCCGACGACTCCGCAATCGTCCTTCCTGCTAACGAACATCCGGCACCGTACCACGCTTTCTGCTCCGCGGCCACCAACGGCCTGAATGGCTTGAATGATTTCCTCGAGCGTCACTCGAGTCTGTTGGCGAGCATCTCCTGGGAATCGGACGCGAGGTGCTTCAGGTGGAGAGGTCGGGTCCGCAGCAGTCGAGCCGGACACGAAGATATGGCGGCCATGGCGAACGGCACGATAGTAGCCAAAGCGGGCCTCCCACGGGGACGAGGTACTGTAGAAATTCTTTTTGCCGGAGGACATATCCGAGGCCATCTTTATTTTTTGAAAAAAAAAAAAAAAAAAAAAAGTCACACGTGGTGAATGTAACGGAGATCAGAGTCCTTCTCTATTTCGACCAGTCAATTGCAAGCGAGCATACCACCCGTAATACTCTTAGTAGTACCTTCTGCACAATTTGAAATGAATCTTGAATGGCTTTTGCAAGTGATGTTGGATTTTGCGAAGACTACCCGTTATATACTTTCGCAGGAGCCCCGCTATTTGTTGTCGGCTATTACTACCCGCCCGAGGCCAACCAGGAGTGACTCATTCTTGATGGTAACAATTCTCTATTGAAGATATAGATAGATACCGTCTTCCGCTACCTCTGCTTACGAAAAGCATTCCGCCACCTGGGACGACAACATACCGAGAGTCATTCAAGAAATCGAAATGTAGATCGGTATTAGCATTCTGCTTAAACGTGTATGGCTCCTATCGCCGCCTAAAGCAACACAGAACTCCAACTTTCGCTAGAAACCACAACGCCCCCAGAAATCGAAAGATTGATAGGCCCGAGGTTGCCCAAAGGATGACCCGGAAGTACCAGGCTGTACGCAGCGTGGAAGTTGTCTTTCAACTATTAGCCTCTGTGCTTTGGGCTCCATATGGGGCGTAGGAACTTACGGTTAGACAAAGCTGTTTGATGCCGTCATTGTTGATGCATAGCGCCAATAAGCCATTGCTAAAAGTCCATAGCAGGACTAAGTTTGTTCGGAAGGCTTTGTATGAATCTTCCAGACTGGCTTCATCGCTGGCTTCCGATTGGCGCATCGGGGCAAGGGCCCGTCGGACAGTCTGCTCGAATTGAACGTCAATATCTGCCTGGGGCTTGTCCAGCTCTTCAACGAACGATGCTTGAGCGTCTGTTTTGGTCTGTGCCGATGGCAGTGCATCTGCCTTATCGGATCCTTTCGTGCCCCAGGAAACGTCGTGCCAATTGCAAAATGCGTAGACCATCAAGATGTTGATAGATGAGGGCATTCCGAGAAAATAGGCCCAGGACGAGGTAAACATATGCCAGGGATCCCAATACAGAAAGCTGGCAATGAAATAGATCCCATACGTGGAGATCAGCGCCACGAGGACAACACCCCCTGTGGAAGAGACGAACTGGGCCAAAAAGTTTCCGATGCCTTTATGGAAGTTGAAGCTGAGGTTCTCCGGGGTGAGGGCCTGTGCAACGAGGTAGAAGGAAAGCACCAAAATATAAAACTGCACGATTGAAAAGTAGATCAAAGAGAGTGTATAAGGGATTTTGGATCTGAGTGCGGGATGTCAGCGAATACTCTGAATCGTATATTTGTCTTGACCATGGCCGTCTTACCCCTTAGGACGATTGCCAAGTGCGAGGATGAATTGAAGCATTAGGAACGCCAAATAACCGAATTTAAGGAACGTGTTGAAGATAGGTGATATCTCCGGTCCAAACGGCCATGACTTGTAATGGTTCACCGCACTTGGTATGCCAACGATATCCATGATGACGGATGTTGTTAGCCAGTATGAGGCTGCCGGATGTTAGAAATGATTCATCGACCAAAGATTGCAACGGACGTACCAAGCGCGAACCATGTCATGATGAGCTGGCAAACATTATAGACGAACTGGATGTGGAGGAAGAACATCCGGAAAATACTGTGACCGCTTCGGTATATTCGATTGAAGTGCATCATTGCATAGAGTCCAGCCGCGAAAGACCCATTCAACCAACGCCGTCTCTGAGAAAGAAACTCAGGAGGGCTCTCTGGTACGTCTGTCTCTCCCTTCGACGCTTTCACATAGGTCAGCTTCCATCGGCTGCCTGCCTTGGCTACTAGCTCGAAGCATAGAATGCGGTCTTCTGCTAGGAACATGTTTTTCTTGAAAATGTTCATTCCCTCAATCCCCTTCTTTCCCAGTCTCTGGGAAAGCGTATGGTCACCATGAAAGTACTGCTCGAGAGGGCGTCCAGAAATTGCATGAAATCGATACGCAGAGAATGCTCCTGGCAATACACTCACGTAGCCGAAACTGCTTTCAAGCGGCTTGTCTAAGATATTGGAAATCTTATATTCGAAGTTTTGTGCTGCGACGATCGGATTCAAGACCTTTTTCCATCCACGGCCAAGAAGCGCATGGATTTCACCGCATGCGCCACCAAGGTCTTTATCATTGTAAAATGCCTCCCATAGGGTCAACAGGGATTTATAACCAGGTTTTGTTCCAGCGTCAATCAAAATGCATACTTCGGGCATTAAAATCCTCCCAAAGGCATTAAAAAGCCAACGATGGGAGTTGATTTTCTTGCTGTTCTTTTGTTTGAGACAAAAAATCATCTGTACTGGGGGTAGATTCGTAGGGTCATTTTCGCGGGGGCGGATGAGTTTCTGAGAAGGCGTAACCGAGAGTTGAGTCGTATATTCGAACTAGCCAGAAAGGCAGTTAGGTGAAGATTCTCCAGTAGGATTGGGTATTATTGAACATACGATGTGCGCCACTGTCTCTCTTCCATCGAGATCATGTTTCATCACTCCGTCTTGGTAGATTCCAACCGTGGCAAGGAGGTCAAGGGTGTTCTTGTCGCACGGTTTGATGCCATCGAATACGAGACATACGACAATCTTTTGCCATGCCGGTCCACCCTTGTTCCAGAACTCGGTCTTTTTGAGGTTGACAATATCGCGGACATTTTGCATCACTCCATGTAGAGTTCGTGCCGTGAGGACTTTATCCTCGTTGTAGTAGGTGATGGCGATTAGCATCTCAGTGTGCCGATTATACATGGATGGCCGAAGATTGTAACCATGATCAAGGGTGAATTCATCCGGATCGCAGGTGGCTGCAGTGTCTATTTACGGTTATTAAGGTTATCTTCCGGAACTAGCGCTCCGTCACAGAAATAACGTGCACTACTCACATCGCATATGCGTAAATTCCTCGTTTTGCCCTCCTTCCAAATCCCGATACTTTGGTTCGATGGCGTTTTGAATCGCGCTTGGGACCGGATAGTCGACACTCAAAACTGTCCCTTTGACCAACTTGATTCGGCGGGTCGGGTATCGACGTAGTGTACTCAAGGCTGGTTTCTGTCGTAAAGCCCATCGCTTTGATACGGTTGATATTGCATCCGGATTTATCCCCTCCGACAACTCAAACTCTTGCGCTCCATGTGTGCCTCGATAGTAGGACCCTGTTGAAATGCTGGTAGTGTCACTGTACGGAGGGAGGTATCGGTTTTGATTGTTGATGACGGGGTCTACCGGATGATCGGGGAGAACTGGATGTACTAGTGATTGCATGAATGGTTCTTGTTCATCGATTTCAGGACTTGCCTATTTTTTTTAGAGATCTGATCAGCCTGTGAAAGAAATTCAAGGGCAACTGCTGTTACCTACTGAGGGGGGAGGCGGGTCATTTCTGATCCGCTGGGTGAAACGGGGTGATCGGGGAAGGGTGTGACTCTGGTCGGGAGAGGGTTCCATGATGGGCCGGTCTTTTTCAAGATGATAGTAGGATGGAAATATGGAGAGGGAGAGGAAGATAAATCACAAACGGCTTCGTTTGGACTCTGGGAAGAAAGAGAAGCATCAAAGGTACATCTTCGGCTACGGGCAGGAAACTGGATGCAAGAGACATATATGGCAACAATACCACAGGCACCCTCACCTGAATGAACTCATTTGAGGGTGTTTCCAATCGGGCCTTTTGTGGAGCTTACTTATCATGTCAAAATAAGAAATAGAAGACACCCGGCCAATCACTGGACAGTCTCAATTGACGGGAATGTCCAGCGATTTAAAATCAACAGGCCCCACTAGCTTGCATTTAAGACCGGACTGCCACTGTACACCAACGGAAAATGGGACTACCAGGTAATTGCTGAGTACATGCCACATGTTCATCATCGGCAGAAAGCTGAAGCAGTTTGGTGGGACAGACTATCGGACCTGGGCAGCAGTTCTATTCTTATCTCCCTGATTAATCGGCTCTCATAATTGCTCCAAACCTGAAAGTGCCGACTCCGATTAGAAAAGATATGATTATCAAAGAAGCTTAGATCTAATATTGTGGTCAGTCGGCTAATAATAACACCAGCAAAGAAAGCAAAGAAGCAAATTTTGGAGTATTCCACAATTCGTGCTCTGGTGATAAACACCCACATGAATGCCTAAGTCAATAGGAACTTCTTGATGCAAAGTCAATTATATTTAGACACTGTAAATTATATATAGATCTTTTCTTTTCAGTCTCCTCTAGTGGTGTATCGGAAAAAGGGGCGGGATACTCTCCAATGTTGGAAATATCCTTGGTGTCCCCCTTATAGTGACAGAACCAGTTCCTTCAGCTTCTGGAAGTTGGGTGTACCCAGGCCAGTAACTGGATCCCATCCTTCAGTAGCATTCCAGTGCGCACCAGGGATGACCAGACTACCCTCAACAGCCTCGTCACTCTGAGGATCAATGCCGCCGCACCCATAAGAAGATCCACCGGTAATATCGTTCAGCGCTTTGTATCCTTTTGAATACAAGAAGGGGTTCAAAAAGCCCAAGGTTGACTTTCCGGCACGTAGACGAGCATCATTCAACAAGCCAATGATGCCAGCAAATGTAGGGGCAGCAGCAGAGGTACCACCAGAGGCAGCCTTCTTACCAACGTAAATAACCTCAAAGCTGCAAATTATTAGTCTTTTACTGATCCTCTTGTGCTCAAGTAAATCGGGATATCAAACTCACTCCGGGTACAGACTGTGAGCAGAGACGTCCGGGAAGCCACGTCCCTCGAAATCGGTATATTGCCCATAGTACTCCTTGGTCTCAGAGCTGACCTTGGTCAAGTATGTCTCAACAGCGGATTCCTGGTACCAGGCGCGGGAGAATATGTTGGAGAAACCACCAGATGAAGCATTCCAGGCAACCTCAGGGGTGACATCGGAGGTGCCTCCCACAGCAGTCACGTACGGGCAGGTCGCAGGGAAGATGGGGTTGAATTGGGGGGTGACGCCATCGGTTGCCTGACAGGCTGAGCCAACACCTAATGATGGTTAAAACCATATTTCATATCTGGTAGTATACATAGATATCCACTTACCCTCATCACCAGAAGAGTGAATGATAGTCAGCCCACGCAGTGTGTTGAGGCCGATCAGATTGCAAACACGCTTGGCATATTTTTCTGGGACAGTCTGCACAAAAGGTCTTAATAAACAGATCCGAGTGTTCAATGATCGGCATGTCTTACTTGTTCATCATCACCGTAGGAGTTTGAGATCACCTGGGGTAGCTCAGAATTGGCCTTGGAGAGCAAGTACTCGTAGTAGATCAAGTAGGGTTCGTTCTCATCGTCAGATGCAGTAGGCTCATCCGCATCGGGGATGAAAGGGCTAGGGAACAAGTCAGCGAAAATGACCAGCGGTGCGAAATCGGTCCTCTTACGCAACGCCACCGGTTATAAACTCATGTACGGGTAGCGGGTGGGACACGGCAACAATCAGTTGCACATCCAGATTAGCTTCACCAAGGTCAGCTTCGTCAGCGGCTTGGTTATTCACACCGCCGTTAAGCAGCTCGACGGTGAAGTTCTGAGATGGGATGTCGAACAAGGTTTCGTATTTTGCCAGATCTGAATATGAGGCTGATTGGTTCAAGAAGCTGCCAAACCCGACACGGCTACCAGCTGAAGGTTCTGGAGTATAGTCTCCGATGTTGTACATTTCCTTCAGACACGACGGGGTAATAGAAGTCTGACAGGCGGCTGAAACATCGGCTGATGACGCATCACGAGCCTGGATCTTTGATGGCTTGAGCGGGACTGGGACTGCGCTGCGCGTCTTGCCAAAGTAGACGGTCGGCGAAATCAGATCGATATAGTCGGTCAGGTCGTTGGGGATCGAGTATTCGGTGGTGCGCAGCTTGACCGAATCGCCCTTCTGGTAATAGGCGAAGCTTGTGTTTAGGAGTTTGTTGATCTGCTCCACGCTCCCAGTGAAGTCCAGCAAAGCCCCATTGCGGGAGACTGTCGAGATACCAGCGTCCTGCAGCCAGCTGATGACCGATGCATCATCCACAACGGGAAACTGGGTGTCTACGTCGTCCTTTTCCAGCCATTGACCATAGGTCGATTGGCCGGGGGTGGAAACTTTAGACAGCGTGGTCTCGAGTTGATCTAGGTTCTGACGACTCAGCGCAATCGACAGAGTCATGGTAGCGTCTGCGGACGGGGTGCCAACAGCGGACCAGCTGCTCGGCACGCCGCCAGCTAGGCTCTCCAAGACCACAGCCAATGCAGGGGCGGCGAGGCCGCATAGCAACCCAGTATAGACGGTGGAGTGCATCGTTGACGGTCTACCAAACCTCATGGGCCTCCAGAGATTGTACCTGAATGAAGCGACAGAGAGCAGGGATCAGCTGGCCTACTTATCTGTTTGGGACTGCGCTGTTATCTCGATTGCGGGGATGCATTCCTCATACATAATATCATAATACGACGAGCTTGGTCTCTGCTATCGACCGGCGGGACTCCGCATTCTAGAGTTACATCGTGGGTGGAGGCCATTATCGAGGGTGAAAGCGTCGCAATCATGTTGCGGGGTGCGCGATGATGCGGGATTTGGTGGTGTTTACAGCCTGCCAGAACCACATTGACCGTGACGCGATGGATATTGGCCAATGTCAACAAAGTCTCTTTTCCCAACTCATCATCAACACTTAGCCAGCTTATGAAGGGTGTAACAATTTCTAGATCTTGGGGGTTCTGGCCGTCCTTAATAATTACCGGGAGAACGTGAAATGAAGTAATGGCGATCGTCAGGGGATTGGTGGGGGGGGGGCTCTCGTTTCCTCGCTTGGATAAACTCCGGAGTCCGCCGGGGTCTCCAGCTGGGCTTCCGCTGCCCCATGAAGCTTGTCCGGAAGAAGCTTCGCCGAGGTAATTTAGCTCTCGGAAAGGTCCAACCAAGCGACAATGCGATTAGGGACGAGTCATTTTATTGGCACCATTGCCGATTTGCCCGAAAACAAGGAATGTCATAAAAAATTCTAAGTAATCGGGTGCCTATGCGTACGGGAAAGCCGCTCCCGACTAAACCCCATCAAGTCCTTGGACATGGATACTAGATTTAATGCATGCTTTGTATGGAAATCCGGGTGGACTCGGAATACAGCGCCGTAACGCGCTAGACAGCGAGACAGGGGATATTCAACATTCCCCCGCCTATACACACTTAGATAGTTCAGTCATCTAAGACAACATCATATTGAGCATCTCGTTCCATTGGATCCCAGCTTCCCTAGCGGATACCGCATTCTATTATTGAGAAGATTCTATGATGGAACGGTATGGTATGGGGGCGTATTGGAGCTCTCTCTCAAGCTAGATACTTCGTATTTACAGGCAAAAGGGACGGCGAGGAGGGGGCATGAGAGGAGTCTTTTAGAAACGGTCTTCAGTAACCCAAACCTATGGATTCGATGCAGTCTTGGAGTATGGTCCCTTTGCAACTACCGAAATAAATTCTCACAGAAAAATTGGAACCAGAAATTCATTGCAGATCTCTCAATCGACAACCTTCCAGACCCGTTCACTCCACCAGCTGGTCTCAATATTTTGCCTTGGCCAATTTCTTACAGAAAACAGGCGTCCCCTGAGGCTGTTGAGGTGGCTTTTGAGCCTCCATATCGCTTTCTCGCAATATACGTTTTCCTTATCCTCCCTCTCCTCACCCAGCGTTGTTTCCTGGCGTAATGCATTCAACTCTGTTGAGCAAGTGCTTTCGCATCAAGAAACCTGTGGTATCCCGTTCCCTTATTACCTTAGCATCTACATTCTCCTCCGTCTCCACCCGTTTTTTTCAGCCACTTCTGCTTCTGCTAATCCTTGCTGTGTTTCTCCGTTCTTGCGTCAAAAAATTCTTCGTCTTAATTCACCCTGATGTCTTTGATACCTACGCAACAGGCTTTCTTTTTCTGAATCGCTCGAGCAATCATCTGCCTCTGGCTTTATTACTGTGATCCCTGGTCTAACTTTTCTAGACGGTGGAGGGAACGGAGATAGAGAGTCACCACGAGAATGAAGAGCTGTCGCTTGGATCCTCGGTCTATCTTGTCCAACCGGTGGAGGAGACGGAGATAGATAGTTACCACGAGAATGAGGAGCTGTCGCTTGAATTCTCGGTCTACCTTGTCTAACCGGTGGAGGAGACGGAGATCGAGAGTCACCACGACGGCGACGAACTATCCTTTGGATCACCGGTCTACCTTGTCCAACCGGTGGAGGAGACGGAGATCGAGAGTCACCACGACGGCGACGAACTATCCTTTGGATCACCGGTCTACCTTGTCCAACCGGTGGAGGAGACGGAGATCGAGAGTCACCACGAGGGTGAAGAGCCTGACCTGCTGGCATTTTGCCATTTCTAGCCCCCGATGTTGAAGCGTGGATGTCATTTGGATTGAAGTAGGTGTAACCATCTTCCCCCAAGGGTATTTCGTCTAACAGGTCTTGATTCCTGTCGTGCACAGATAGCCTGCCTATCATCCTTGTCATGTCTCTTCCATCTCTTCCATTTCTTCTTCCACGTCCTCGGTTCATAATACAGATGCACTCAAACGCAGCGCGGCCAGGTTGCTCTTACGCTGTCGGATTTATGTTTTAGTAAAAATGCAACACGAATGCAAAATTGAGAACAGATAGCGAAACGCTCAAGTTATTAAGGACTGATACTTCTCACAATTTAAATCATTAAGGGGTCCGCTATCCCTTACTATATTTAGCGCTGAGGAAAGTGAGCCTATTAGCGAGTTCACCTACACCTCAGATATTGCTTTATTTATCTCCGAAGATAAGATATTTGAGGCGTTATAACCCACTATTATCTTATTATAATATAGCGTATGAGAGATAGTCTCTGCTAATAATAGAGTCATAATTATACGATTATACCTGCTGCGCGTAGAGCGGGATTTCTCAGCCAATCGCATTCGCGATCCAACGCGCGCTAGAGATCACGGCTCCGCTCTTGTTTGCTAAGGTTCTCTATGGCTGCTATATTAGGAAAGAATTGAAGTGGATGATAAAGAAGGCTAATGAGGCAGCAGTTGAGCTTCTATATCACTTCCTTGACATATTCCTTTTCTTTTACTCCCCCTTCCCCGGCGTTCTTTTCTTGCGCAACGTATTCAACTCTATTAAGCAAAAGCCTTCGAATCAAGAAGCGTCTCGTATCCTGACCCGTTATTTCCTTAGTATCTACATTTTCCTCGTCCCCATCCGTCTTTTTATTAGTTAAATGCATTTATATTTGCTCAGCGAGTATTTCATTTACCGTAACCACTACGTACAAGAATGAATATCTTTACATCCCCCAAGCTTAGTTTACGAAGACTTTTTAGTTGCTTCTGCTTCCGCTTCCACCAAATCTTGCCGCTGTTGTATTTTGATATTTCATTTCCTCTAGTCTTTGCTATTCTTGTTTCAGTTGATACTGACACAATTGAAATTCTCTTTCTGAACCGCTCTCGCGATCATCTGGCTCTGGAACTTTCACTTTCATGGACCTATCACTCTGAAGGTGGGAGGAGGCTTGATATATCCTTCTTCTCCTCGCGCTGAACGAGACTGAGATCGTGAGGCGGAAATTTTGATGCTTGGAGTTCCGTCTTTCACAGGAGTTCTGCCTCTTACAGCTGAATGAGACCGAGATCGCGAGGCAGAAATTTCGATGCTTGGAGTTCCGTCTTTCACAGGAGTTCTGCCTCTTACAGTTAATGGAGACTGAGATCGTGAGGCATCACGAGAGCCAAGAGTTCCGACAGGGTGCATTCTGGCTTTTGGCGGTGGAGACCCATCTAGTGCCTTACTATGAGTCAGAAGAAATTCGGATCTTCCCCTGTGCATAATATCTCCTTCTGTTGAATTGAAAGGTGCAGACAGATATCCATTATCCTCACTGACAGGGGCAGAGCTAACTTTCCCTAAGGGTCTTTGGTCTTTCGGGTGAAAAGTTCCGTCGCGCACCGTAAGCCTGGCCATGCTGCTTGTGATATCGTGTTCTTCACATCTTCCGCGTTTCTCACGTAGTCCATGTGTTCCACGTGTCCCACCTTGGTTCATCGTGCAGATATACTCAAATGTAGCCGGAATAGATAGCTCTTGCGCTGTCGGGAATATGCTTTAGCAAGAATATAATGCAAATACAAAATTTTGGATAGATAGCGAACAGCTCAGGTGATTTACGGCTAATGTTTCTCACAATTTAAATCATTTGGGAGGTCCGGCCTCCATTACTATCTTTAAGACTGAGGAAAGTAAGCCCATTAGCAAACGCGCCTATACCCAACATGTTGCTTTTTTTATCTCCGACGATGAGCTATTTGAGTCGTTATAGCCACTAACTATTGCTTTAGTATTATATAATATGGTCAAATATGGCCACGGCCAATTATAGGGTGATTGTGACAGAGTCAGGAGATGCCAAGATGATCTTATTAGTTACGCTCTGAACTAGCTAAGAAGGTGCACTAGGGTCAAATGCCCAGCTTAGAGGGTAACAGTTATAGTTATTACAGTAGGGAAATGGCTGACGAAGGGCGACCTCTGATTGGAGAATATCTTTCCTAGTACACAGTCTTTATAGGATATACGTAGCTTCGCATCTCCGATAGAGAGAGAATCAAATTTTTCACCTCTTTCGCTGAAGCAGTGTCTGTTTTCTCTTTGAGAAAATTCCCGTCCATCATGGTGTGGTGTGGTGTGGTTTGTGGGCTGGTTCGCTGATCCATCTCATCTTGCCTGCATCCGCAGGCTTGCCGTAGAGCACCGTGGTTCACTACGTTAGACTCTCTTTACATACATTAGCCCCACTGTCCCATCCAAAATTTATTTACATCAATAACCTGAGGTTTCATTTTGGTAGTCACTGCGCCTCGATGAAGCCTGATAGTTAATGCCGAGATGGAAGGCCGCATAATACAGGCGAGACCCAAATACTCCCTATGTGCTTTAGATCTTTACAGGGATACTCGACTTACTGCGTGTTTTGTATGGTATCCAGGGTATGCTTGGAACCCGGCGCCATAACGTGCTAGACAGCAAGGCAGGGAATATTCAACATTCCGCCGGCTACATACTCAAATAGTAGGACATCATCAAATTGAGCATCTCGTTTCGTTGAATCCTAGCTTTCCTAGCCGATACCTTATCCTACTATATTGAAAGTATGCTCTGGATCACATTAATACCGTTTAGTTCTATAAGGTAGATGATAGAGATATTCTTATTACATATTAGCTCTAGATATAAGATGTAGCGCGAGGAAATAAGAGGAAGGAGCTTGCTCGTACTTTATGATTAATAGAAAGGTAACCTTAGAATAACGACTCAAAGTAAGAAACGGGCTTACTGGCGATAGGTCCTATTAAGTGGAGAACTAAGGAGTACAAACACGGGTGGAGATTAAAAGGCTATTGGAAAGAATCCGTAAACTCGGTATCGGATTCTGCGGCACCTAAATTGGCGGTTTTGGAAGGGCTAAGCGAAATATATTTAACATGGAAAACACTCAAACCGTAAAGAAATTTGCTCTTCGTTCTTAAGCTTCGGTAACATAGGCCATTTCCTTCTCTTCCAAAGTAGTTGGCGTGGGTGACTCGATTTGATAAGCTACACAATCCCTTAATTAGCTTTCTTTTCTCATCTATTTGATATGGAGAGCAAAAACTTGTTATTGAGACTTACCCTTGAACTGGCGAGCTGGCACACCGTTTTGAAACAGAATCTGGATCTCTTCGAGCGTCCGGCCCGATGTTTCCGGGAGGAAGAAAAACACCCAGACGGCTGCTGCAATCATCAGGGAACCATAAATAAACCCAACTCGGGCACTGAGGCCGGCAGCATCCGCATTGAACAAATATGGGAAGGTGAAAGTGACCATCCAGCTGCAAAACCAATTGGTCGCGGTCGATGTCGCCATTAGTTTACCACGGTTTGACCCAGTGGAGATCTCCGAAGTCACAACCCAGACAGCAGGTCCTAAGGCAAGGTTAAATACTATCATGAATATGTAGACCATGCCCACAATGGTTCGATCCAGTGCTAAACTCTTAGAGGGAGCGGTTCCAGCTCCGCCGACGATCAGCAACACGGCAGCAACCATACTGCATGACAAGAGCAGCATTAAACGACGGCCAAAGCGCTCAACGCAGTACTGGTTGAGCCATACAGCTGGCATTGGGGCTAGGTAGAGACCCATCTGGATTAGGAATGAGTTTGTTATTCCAATAGCGCTGAAGAAAATGATGCCGTAGCTTGTGATAAAATTGATGCCAGAGCCCTGTTGCCATGCTTCAATCCGGTACGTTAGCAACATGTGGTCGTATCCAATGTCAAAAAGGGGTAATGAAACTCTAGTTACCTTGAAGCGCGATTCCAAGATAAGCTTTGCGGCCGTCAACATTCCACTTCAGCAAGTCTCCCCAAGAACCCTCGACACGCCGCTCATCTTCAACAAGCCCGCTCAGGTACGTCATCTCACTTTCAATGATATCCGGACGATCACCCCGCAGCCGTAGAAGAGATTCCCTTGCTTTTTCAATCTTCCCTCGCGACAATAGCCAGCGAGGGGACTCTGGCGCAAAGGTGAGTAGGCCTGGAACCAAAATGACCGGGAAAATAAGCTGCACTGCCATTGGAATGCGGTACGCCCCGCTGTCATTGCGGTCTTTGGTAGAGTTATCCACAATCACTCCGAGCAACAGTCCGAGGCCGACGTTGAACTGATACAGAGACACAAGAGCGCCGCGGAATAGGGCTGGGGCACAATCTGCGACGTATAAAGGTACCAGGCAAGAAATTAGTCCCACCGCGTAGCCTGTAGGATTGGGAATGTATTAGCAAGTTTCTTATCAAGCAAGAGCAGACTCATTCACCTAGGAGCAATCGTCCGGTAATCAATAACCCCAGATTATCAGCAGCGACCTGGAAAATGGTACCGATAGCCACAAAGGCACTCGACACGTACAGTCCTCCACGACGACCAAATTTGTTGTCTACCAAAAAGGATGAAATAGCACCCGCAAACTCGCCGACATTGATGATACTAGTCGTCAGGGATTGTATGCTCGAGCTGAGGACATAGCCTCCCACTGTGGTGTCATAGTGGCCATATGCCTTGATGAAAGGCTCCATAGCCAGAATACCTAGACGACGAAATTTAGTAAATCGCACCGACAGGCAACAGGCTTTCCGTCCGCCACATACCGGAGTAATAAGAAGAGTCAAATCCGAATTGGAAGGCTGCAATTGTAATGAATAGGCAGATGCTAATAGCACGCCATTCAGCGCGGATAGAGGCGACCGCTGACATTTGAGCCATCGAGTCCTAGTGTCCCAATGTAATTCGGCCAAGCGGACAACAGGAGAGGTTGAAGGGTTAATTCAAAATTGTTGTGATAATAGGAGCCATTATGCTGGCAAGCGAAGGCCCCTTTTATATTGCTGAGTTTTGCAACCCCAGATATCCCCAGGTTGTACGGTTAGGTTTGTAAATCCTTCCTGGAGACCGGGGTAAATTTGTAGCCGCGTGGAAAATCGCCGATTCCCCCACACCAAATTCGCCGATTAGAGTTTGACTACCCAATTTAGTGGCTGTTAGTGCGGTGTTCCTCTGGACGATTGGCTGTTGATGGATGAATGCTCTTGTTAGTTGAACAGTATCTAGTATCTTCGAGCTAACTCGTCTATAAATTATTTGGCCTGCGCCGCAGCGAATTTTACTAACAAACTCACAACGTAGCTGCTTCACGAGACTTAAGCCATGGCTGCTCGAGGAGGTCAGCCACGCGTGGCGACGAGGGTTGATGGCGATTTCCCCCGAATCGTACTCCCCACCCAAACGATCCCTTCCTACGAACAACACCTGATCGGGCAAGACTCACTGGTCCCCGGAATCGAGGAATTCCGGGGAATTCCGTATGCTACAATTCCCGCAAGATGGCAACACGCGCTTCTTCGCGAGCGTTTGCCCGAAGACATCTTCTATGCAACTCAAAATGGGTACGTGCGTCGAATAGGCATTTAATTAACTGTGAGGTAGAGAGCTAAACTAATCGTATGTTCACGCACAGCTGTCGATGCCCGCAGCCAAAAGAGCCCAACAATAGCGAATTCTATCAGTCCCATCTCGAGTTCCCTAGTGATGTCACGGAATCAGAGTTTGACTGTCTCAACCTGTTCATTACAAGGCCAAGTGCATCCACGCTCATTGCCGCTGGATTTGATCCAGAATCTGTGAAAATACCGGTTTACGTATATATCCATGGTGGAGCTTATAGCTTCGGTGCGGGGACCGATCCCATGTGGGGTGAGTATGCAAAGTCATCTACTCCAACTCCAGAATACTAAACTTTCTGACAGATCCTGCCCGCTTAGTAGGGCGATCCGTTGGATTGGGTACTCCAATAATTGTTGCAACCGTCAACTACCGGCTGAACATGTTCGGCTTTGCGGCTTCATCGGAGATCATCCAAGTCCAACCGGACGGCCAACTAAAGGGATGTAACTTTGGCCTGGGAGATCAGCGCACTGCTCTCTACTGGATACAGAAAAATATTGGCGCGTTCGGTGGTGATGCAACTCAAGTCACCGTCGGCGGCCAGTCTGCTGGAGGAAGCTCCTCACATGCCCATGTTTTGGAAGCCATATTGGGACAAGGTGAGCCCTTGGTCCAGCGCGGAATTATCCAGTCTGGTGCCGTTGGTGTACTTGGACCTATCAGTATGGAGGCTGCCGATCAGCGATGGGCTGTCTTTTGCGAAGAAATCGGGGCTCCCAGTGGTGATTATGTCTCTCGGATGGAATTTATGGCCACTGTCCCGATAGAGAAAATCCTCCGAACAAGCCAAGAATTGGGCTGGCAGGTCTGTCCTCTCGTGGTAGACGAGCTTACCATCTCACAGAGACCAAATGGTCGTTGGAGCATCCACTTAGCCGGCAAGAAAGAGCGAGTGAGAAGTGTGCGGGATACTGCGAATTCTGCAGTCATTTCTGTGCTCATTGGGGATACGGATCTTGAGGTCAGTCAACTAGATGGTCACTATCGTTGAAGCCAAGACTAATGTTCGTATCCATGCAAAAGGGGTCCATCCACTTCTCTCAAGTATCAAAAATCGAAAGCTTTGAGCAACTCAATGGACGGCTCGCGATCAAAGTCAAGTCCCCTGAATTTTTGGATAGATTCTATCGGGCTTATGCCTTAGAACCAGATATGTCCGTGGCCCAGCTCCAGGAAGGAATTCTTCACTTTTTATCAGATATGCAGTTCGGCAAGCCCGTACAACTAGCCCGGGAAGAATTGATGGGCTGGGATCTGTCAAAGATAAATGTTACAACGGACGATACAAATGCTCGTCCAACAGCTGTGCAATCATACCGTGTAAAGTTTGGAAACCCGTTCCCGGGTATCAATTACGCAAAGGCTCACCACTGTGTCGATCTGATATACATATATGACTGCTTCGAGGAAGCATTGCGTGATGTCGATGAGGCCTTGCCGGCACAAGCTGTCACACATGCTTCCCTGGTGGAGCGCATTCAAGCTGACTGGATACAATTCATCACGGCCCCATCAGACGGGGACCAGTGTGGTCTTGCCACTGTCTATGATGTCGACAGAACTGCTGTGTCTGTTTCTATGGCAATGGATCGAGACTTTATGGCGAGGAAGGCTAGACTCGATCTGTTGAGCAGCGATGGCCTTGCTGCACAGCAGACTATCAAAGAGCTGATAGGTAGTGGGCATGTCCTCTAGATTGTTATTATGCTATGCGGGAAAACAAAATGTAAGGTTGCAGATACCACCGCAATGCAAGGAGAGTTTGTTGCGCAAGAAACCCGAGGAAGAGAAAGCGAAAAATAAATCAATCAAAAATGGCAGTAGTCGAATATGAAGGGAGGTATTTGCGATGGTCACGTAGAAAATTCCTGAATTGACCGAATACCATAGTCCAAAGTTATCATTCTGGTGGTGGCGAGCTTATCTGTAAACCTCTATAGCCCGAGATCCACCGATAAGCAAGCACTTCCGGATCCAAGTCCGCCACAGTTTGATGGCGTTCTGCTAAAGAGCCTAGGCCCATGTTATGGGACAAGGCTCGACGAAGAACCTTGGCAAAAGTCCGCTGATAGTCCATATTTGTAGAGGCCACAAATATGTCCAAAACTTGCAAATTGATGAAGCAATTGCGCAAGATCAAATCGTCAGACTGTCGACCCAGTTTTTGTGCCAGAATCAGAAAGATGAAAGACGACTGCAGAAAGTACGTCCCGAAAAATCTGTACATCAGGCACAATTGAGGATCGGCTTCTAGGATGTGATGTGCGACCTTATTTCATTTGACTTGTAAGCTTTTTCTTCATATTAGTTAGAGATGAAGTTGATCTGTGAATAGGCTTACATTTGCGCAAGCAACGGCGTGTTCGCCTGCGATAAGGAAATCCGAAGAGAGTTGCCATTCAAGATCATGATGCATTCGGACTAGATCCATTGGGCCGTAAAGTAGAATAAACATGCAATGGTACATATGCAAGCCATAATATGCGACTGTAGGGGTCCCTGGCGGCCGAGACGATTTGCATTCTGCTTCGGCAATTGTGCAAAAGTCTTGACCAACAAGGCGTGAGAATGAGGAGAACCATTTATCTAGATTTTCAATGATGTTTTTGCGAATCTCATCCAGAAATGTTTCCCTCTTGTTGAAAGTTGGATGTTCGCAGAGGAATTGATGTTCCAGGATCTCGCCCAGAATCCTAATCAAGTTGAGCTTGAAAAGTCAAACATAATGTGAGGAGTTCTCAATTTCGTACCTCGACAGCGGCAGAAAAATACCAAACATATCTAGACTGGTTACACGATAGCCGAGACAGTTGGTCTTGTTCGCTTGATGATCAGAGCAATTCATCATGGGGCCCGGTTGCATCCACCGCTCGTCTGGACATGGAATCGGGAGAAGCGGACATTCTGTATCTGCGAACTGTGGCCGTGTATTGAAGGACAGTGCCGTATGTCGGTCAATTATGTACGTTGCCCACCATAGCCTGCCCAGAAATAAATATCATTAGTAGAGAGACAAACCTAGTCTTACTCGGAAGAGAGCTTGCCTCCTTCTTTCCTCTTTGTCGTCTTGGGTTAACCCTTGTTCATCTCTGTGCAGCTGTAATTCCTGTACAATGAATTTGAGAAGAGAGAGCCAGTAGTGTAAACTCGATGCTACTGACTGCTCGCTTGGGGAAATGGTCGTCATGATGAAGACTGTCAAGCCGTCATCTAAAGTATAAGCGGCATCCGGAAATCCAATGGATTGAAAGTGAGAAACTAATTTTTGGAACAAGTAATGTCCCAAAGTGGTATGCTCCCTCGTACTCTTTCCTGATACAATGGGTGCCCCAGCAGCCAGTGGCATGAAACACGCAACGCCTATTATATGATTGGTATTGAGTGAGATCTTGAGCTCCGGTCACCACAAGTGAAAGCAGAGACATACATAAGATAGATAGAAGTAGTATTGGCTGTGTCGGACGAGGGACTTGTTGATTTAGTAGTCTGTCTCTCCGTAAGAGTACAACATGGAATTCTTGGTTCGGTGAATCATAAAAGTTTTCCAAAAGACGACAGGCCTCATAGCGCGTGAGGCACACTGCAGGAGGGCTGAATTTCATCGATGGTTAGTAAATTCCATGACTTCCGGCCTTCTTGGGGTTCCTAGTCTCCTCACTCCGCCTGTTCTCCGTCTGACTCCAAGATAGACAGATCACGCAGACAGTCTAAAACTGGATAATCAATCGTATTCTACGCTAGGATTTAGCATCCATGCAGAAGAGGGTCCAAGGTGACCTAGCACCCTACCGGTCTATTCTCCGGTAAACTGGGCAGGATAGTTCGGGTTGACTTCCTGCCCCGCTTTTTGATAAGTCGATTTGAGGTACATTGAATGCTTAATCCTAGGAAAAAATTTGAGCTACAATCGCTGCGCAGCTGGGAGAGGAGCATACTGTTGCAACGCGAACATCCCTGCAACTGTGGAGTGCACCTCAATTTATGGCCATGACACTGGTCACAGGCGAATCCTTTCCGGGTTTCCATTTCCCATTGAAAACAAGGTTCTAGAAAGTAGAGCGACGAGTGAGCGAGGACCCTTATGGACGGCGCTTGAGAGTCATAGTTGTGGACTTATCAACTTAATAGTTAGGGGGTCTATGCAGTAGTGTAGTTACCGGCAGCTCCTCCGCCTATCCCTTCCCTTCAAATTCTGCCACTCCCCAAAAACCTGCTTACCAAGCACTCCATGACCAGTCACGTGAGTGCACTCAGTCTGCACTTAGACGGACATCTACAAGGTATAGTGGGGAAATGACAGACAATGGGTAATCTTTGATTGGAGAATTTTCTTTCTCGCATACAGTCTTTACAGGATATAGCTTCGCATCTCCGATAGGGATAGAATCAACGTCTACCCATCTTTCGCTGAAACAGCTTCTGTTTACCTTGGGAAGCTCTACTTGATGGTGATTTACGGTAGTTTGTTGGCCTGTTCGTTGATTTATCTCGTCCAGCGTGCTTGCTAGGCTTGATATAGAGCGCCCTGATTCAACAGATATGGCCACCCAGAAGAATCAGATGTCTGGAACAAAGCCTTGTCGATAACCGTACTAAGTATCACACAAGACAAATCTCCTTGGATACTATGCAAAATTGAAAAGTTATCATTCAAAGCAAGGATATTTCATGTAAAAGGCGAATCATAGCCATCAAACTTATCCAAGCCATTGTATAGTCGAATGTCACCGTTCGTGTGTCTAATCATTTCTCTCGCAGGATATAAACATACTTAAGAACAAAACTGAAAATTGAAGGGAAAAAACGAGATTAATGCAAACGTATCAACAATCGCTTAGAATCCAATCATGACCATACTCTCTCTATTAACTTTCAGCCCCCACAGATGTCCCAGGGACCACCTCAAAAACCACCCCAACAAACCCTTCGAAGCCAGACATCGGCACCATTCTACTGCCATTTGCATTGTCAGCACCGGAACCAGGAGCAGAAGAAACAGAAACCCCAGCAGAAGTAGATATGAAAATGCCCGGCATAACCAGGACTTGTGAGCCGAGCTCAATCCATTCAACAGACGTTACAAGCCCAAAATTAATCTTGGCATCCTCTTTGAATGTTTCAGACGCACCAGGTTCATCGCCCGTCCCAGAGACTACCTTGCTGATATCAGTAGCAGACGGGCGCCGCCACATAACCCATCCATGCCAGCAATACTGCTACCCTTCTCCCTCCCAGGCAAAGACAAGCTCTGTGTGTCGCCGTCAAAGCTGGAGAAATACAGGTTCGGTCGGAAACGGGGATGATGAGGCTGAGGGGGAGCCTGGCTCGTCGCCTGTTAGTGTCTGATAAGAGCAGAACACTTTTTTCTACGCTCATGCATGGTAGGCGGCCTAAGCCCTCCATTTTTTCGTCATCGTTCGTTATTTTTGAGGAAGAAAATAGGTTGGAGGATCAAGTACCTCACGAAACACGGGCACGGTGAAAATGGACGTTCGTCAAAAAAGTAGGTCGGAAAATAACAAGAGCTGTGGGGCAAAGGGCTCCTTTGGGTATGGGCTGAGCGTTGACTGGGTGCTGAGTAGATACCTATGTTGAATATCTGAGTAATCAGTGATTGTACTGACCAGCTCAGTGAGTCTGATTCCCGGACTGAAATTTACTCAGTGAGTCTGACTTTGAGCGCCCTCATAAAAGCGGCGGCAGCTAAAATAGGAAAGGCCCCCATGGCATAGGAAACATGGTACATATAGTGTCGTATGTAAGAGCGGTTGTACATCTTTCAGGCAAGACTAATGCACAAGACCCCACACTTGGCTACACCCCCAGCCCCATAAACCCCTCAGCTTGTGCAGACTGGGATAATTGGCATGCATTTTATTGGGTACCAAGACGTCCCTTTAACTGCACGTTAGGGGCTGCCGTATTCAATGTCGTATTCAGAACCGCTGAGCTGGACGTGGAGACTCCGTTACGTACAAATACTGCTTCAGGGGTGGTTAGTTATTACGCATTGCGCATAGTGGGGGTCTCTGCCAACAGCCACATGCTGTTTATTCTAAATTTCTTTATCTTTCTTCTACTATTTTCACGTAAATCAAGGAGAAATCATGATGGCGCTTTCTTTCAAGGCTTATGCCGTCTACGCTATAGTAACGACCATTTTCATACTCTTGTTGCGGAATCGGTTCCGGAAGGCCCTGTACGACATCCCAGGTCCTTCCCTTGCCAAATATACGAAATTATGGAAGCTCCATAACGTGTGGAAGGGCAAGCACCATAATAGCGCCATTGCCCTGCATCGGAAACACGGACATCTCGTTCGTATTGGGCCGAATCACATTTCGGTCGGTGACCCAAATGCTATTCCGATAATATATGGGTTGAATAAAGGGTTTATAAAGGTATTCAGCAATTCTTCAACTCAACAAACCTTTTGAGAAAGATTGCTTATTGGAACTTCAGACAGCATTTTACCCTATCCAAAGCATCTCGTGGAACAAGAAGCCGCAGCCGAATCTATTTTCAGAACGTGACGAGAAGCTCCACCGTGAACAGAAGCGACTCGTAGCAAATGGATACAGCTTGGGCTCCCTTCTGGAAATGGAATCCGGTGTTGATTCATGCAGCGAAATACTTGTCAACAAACTTCGTGACTACGCTGACAAGAAAAGACCTGTTGATCTAGGAAAATGGCTGCAGTACTATGCTTTTGATGTGGTTGGAGAATTCGTTTTTGCCAAAAAGCTTGGGTTTCTGGAGGAGGGACGAGATATCGACGGAATGATCAAAGCCATACAAGGCATGCTCACCTATGCTAGTCTCTGTGGGCAAGTTCCTGAGTTGCATCCATTACTCCTTGGAAACCCCCTTTTTCCGTTGTTTTTGCCTCAAATGGAAACCTGGAACCAGGTGGTTGTGTTTACCTTGAAAGCCATTAATTCCCGCCTATCCATAAAACGCGATGGTGAGATAGAGAAGAAGGATTTGGAAAGCGGCAAGGACATGATGTCCAAGTGGCTGGCAATACATCATGCAAGCCCAGAGAAGCTGACCACGACAAATTTGATGGTCCATCTTTCTGGAAATGTGTTTGCTGGCTCTGATACCACTGCTATTGCTTTCCGAGCTATCTTCTATTTCCTCCTTCAAAATCCCGCCACCATGGGGAGGCTTCGAGCCGAGATTGACACCGCTACAAGTGAGGGGAAACTGAGCCGTCCTGTGACTTATAAGCAATCAGTGGCCCATCTTCCTTATCTGGGTGCAGTTATCAAGGAGGCAATGCGTCTGCATCCTTCGACTGGATTGATCATGGAGCGTGAGGTCCCCAAGGGGGGGTGCTTTTATCTGTGGCAAACATATTCCTGGTGGGACCATTGTGGGCATCAACTCGTGGGTTGTTCAAAGAAATTCCGAAGTTTATGAAGACCCAGATTCCTTCATCCCAGAGCGCTGGCTTGAAAACTCGCCTGAAAAGCTCAAACAGATGGAGCAGAGCTTCTTTGTATTTGGCGCTGGAGCGAGAAGCTGCATCGGAAAGTATGTTTCTCTCGTGGAGATGCATAAGTTGATCCCAGAACTGCTGCGCGAGTTTGAGTTCAGTCTACATGATATTAAGAACGAATGGACAACTAAGAATGTCTGGTTCGTTCAGCAAGAAGGACTGGTCTGTGATATCACGCGAAGGAACATCAGACTATGAGAATTCTGCCTGCGATTGGTTATCCGAGAAACTGATTCATCGTACATTGTATATTTTATGTTTGGAAAAATGGTTTTCCTTTCCAAATTTCTTTAAAAGTTTCAACGGGCGTACGATCGCATCAACTTTGACATGCGACCAAAAGTCTAATGGGATTTCCTAGAAGCAATCAGGATGAGGAAGCCGGCTACTATAGAAGAACATGATTAACCCAAAAAGAGGTGCGATTGAATGTTGTTGTCCATAATATTTCATATTACCGAATTGGACCACTACCTGAAAACCCTAGGACGACGAATAAGTTCGAACATAGAAGAAGAGGATTGACATGGAGTGGCATTGGTGACATATATAAAGAATCAATCAAGCCGATAAATATATTCCTCATGAAAAATGTTTGCCACTATATACAGATGGAAAGAAATGATTCAAGGCCCTTCAAGGTCCTCAAGATGACTATAGAAAATTTTCTTACACGCCGAAACAAATCTTATTCGCCGACCGAACGGCCTCCTTCTCACCCTCCGTCATGGCATCAGTAATTTCCCAGGACTTCTTGCCGAGACCCATGGCGCGCTGACCATCCTCGTTCAATGATGACCAGTCCATCGCGCCTTGGAAGCCCGCTTCTCCGGGACCTCCTGCACCCGGGAAGTCCCATGGGGGCGAGTGCGTGAGCGCAGCCTGACGCTGCTTCAGGAGGTATTCGGCATTCATGTCACACAGGGGCGTAGCAGGGATATAGAGCACACTTGAGTCGCCGGTGCCACGGTGTTCTTTGTCAACAGAGTGCAGCGAGTCACAATGCCAAGCGACAAAGTCGCCGGGCTCAACCTTTGGGACTGAAACCATGGTAGTCTCGAGCTCTAACTGTGGGTGGGTCACAGGGTTGAACTCCTGGCAAGCGCCAGGCACGGAGCCGGGGAATGTCGCGTCGAGGTTTGGTTGATGACTCTGGGCATCAAAGAATGGCCTCAAGATGGTGTACGCGGTACTGTGCACAATCATAGGACACACGTGCAGCGATCCCTCTCCAGGGGCGGTGTCAGACATTGAAAGCCAACCCTGGAAGAACCGGAGCATAGAGCAGGAACCGGCGCCGTTGTAAAGGTCCATCTTGGCAGTCAAACGATGCTTTGCATCCCACGCATCATACTGCTCCCACTTTCCTTCCAGAATCTTGCCGTACACGCTTGAGTACTCGGGATCTTCCCATCGTTCGAGGGAACCACCGTCGACATGCGGGCCAAGTGTGAACTTCGCGTCTCCGGGGCTTCTGATACGTAACCGATCGCCATATGTGAGAGGATTGGACGTCGATAATTTTATGTTGGGGTCGGAGGAGTGCCATAAGCGCTGTAGGAAGCGCTGGGTATCGAGCATATTAGGGTGAGCGCGGGCTTCAGCCTGCGCTGGAGTCCAGTAAAGTTCATAAACAGAGGGGGCGTCAGGAGGAAAAGCTTTCACGCGCTCTTGATTTGCGGCAACATAGTCTCTGATGCGCTGCTTATAGTCCAAGGCCTTGTCGCGCGGCAAGACATTGCGGATGACAACGGTGCCTCGGTGGCGAATCTCTCTAACAGTCGCTTCAGACAACCTCCCTGAAACAATGTCGGAGTAGTCCACAGAGGGAATAATCTAAAATCCGATATTAGTCTTCTTTTTCTACTATCAACACCAAATCAGACGGATAAAGCCGCAGATATTCAACATACGTCGCTGCCTTTTGTCCGGATCTTCTCGATTTCTTCTTCTAAGCTGGGCAACAGTCTCTTCCAGCTGTCTTTTAACGCCTTCTCATTTTTTTCAAAAAGTCGCATTTTCAAATCACGAAAACGTGGAGGGAGAGGCTCTGGCTGATAGTCAGGTCTCAAACTGGGGAAGACCGACGAGATGTCACCAGCGGCTTTTGTAGTCTGGGCCGCGGTGGAAGTTGATGCTGCCCGGACAGCAGTTTTTGAAAGAATTCTTGACATCGTCATGATTGATTGGAGTGTATTTGTATCACGAATCCTTTCGGCGGTGTACTGTGTCTTATATACATGTTGCCGTCGCGGGGAGTACTTCGCGTCGTGGGCGGCAAGTTACTCTTCTAGGAAGTCTTCCCGCCCTATGGCGGTCTGATTTCCCCAAGCGGACTAACGCCACACCTCATCAGCATTGTGGGCTTTATGATTCGAGTATGGAGTACGCATTGTATACCGATCATGATGTGGGAATCCAGAATAGTGAATGAAAGTTCTGCATTGCAAGGGGGAGCGACCAGTAGAAAAGGCAAAATTCGGCATGGTAATTGTGGAAGAAGAAGTGGCTATTATAGACAGGAAAGAGTTTGGACTTACTTCTACTCCTACTCCTAACATTCGGCACCCCAGTGGACGTCCAGCAGAAATACAGCCTAAGAGAAACAACAAAAATAGTTGCCCGGACGAGGCTCGATTTCAGCTCCAAAATTCCGAACAGAAGGAAATCTCAATCTCAACTACAGGACAATCTTATAGGATTGAGGCAGTGAACTATATCAACTGGCCCGGGATGAACTCGTTATTCTTCTTGCCATGCCTAAATTTACACTATAAGAAGGACACGAGAAATCCTTCTGGAGGCGGCTTGAGTGATATGGCCGGGATTTGTGCTGTTTGCCAGGAGTGCATCAACTGCAAGTCCTTTGCCTGTCCTATTTGCCGGTTCTTGTGGTGGAGAAGCCCACTTCCCTTTTAGGAAATTTACCCGTCACAAGTTGATTGCTGCCGAAGAATGAGGTCATACCAATTCCCGAAGCCATTTGACACGATGCAGACTCGGCTGCCACGGCAATTATGTCGTCGTTCGAATGGGCGTGGAGATGAGACTCTACTTGAAGGACAAAAATATGGTTTTGCTCGCAAGACATGCAACGGCTGTCGCTAGTTCTATATAACAGATAAGGAGTCTCTAAATCAAAGTATGCACGGAAAAGGAAATCCTTGCGGTAGCCACTCAATGCTTTACTGTCGATCCAAATGCAAACTCAGACAGCGGAGGGGGGGACTGAGGCTTGCCGGACTGTCAGATGACTTTGTTGGAAAAGAAATTCCCGATGAGGCCAAGAAGGCTTAGAGCCAAATTGACCGGCCGCCGCTCGTTGTCTCTCTGGTTGAAGGTTGGTAAAGGGCAGGGCTCGGTCATTGTGCCGGTCTCGGGGAACTTTCCTGGGCGCAGCGCCGGTTAAATTCCCCGCAAATGGTCCCCTCTTCTCTAAAACGGTTGTGCTACGCGCTGCAATGGGACCCGAGGTTCCACAGTCTCCAGGCATAAAAGAACTGTCGTTATCCAGTGCGGACAAACCACTTGCGGTCCCTTGATCCTACTCTGCAGCACTAGAAGCATGGCACTCCCAGTCAAAGGAAGAACTGCTCTCATCACTGGCGCAGGCTCTGGTATGGGCTCTTCTCTCAGTTGTCACGGGTCGAGACGTGAAGGAACCATATAGGCTTACAGCTATTTAGGAATCAACTTCGCCTACGCCAAACTACTTGTCGAAAACGGATGCAATGTCCTAATCGCAGACATAGCCCTACGGCCCGAGGCCAAGGTGCTGGTTGAGGAGCACTCGACAGGGTCTCCACGAGCCATCTTCCAAAAGACCGATGTGCGGGATTGGGTGCAGTTAGAGCGGATGTTCGAGGTTGCCGAGCGAGAATTCGGCGAGATTGATATTGTTTGCCCCGGCGCTGGGGTTTACGAACCGGTACGTGTGACCCGGAAATGGCAGCCAGGCCGCAGAGGAGAAGAGTCTCAGAACTGGACAAGCTGACCGGATATCAAAACAATGCCCAGCACTGGAGCAATTTCTGGCGGCCTCCGGGCTCCGACATGAGCAAAGATGCGCCCGATGGTGGCAGATATGCGCTGGTCGACATCAACATCACGCACCCTATCCGGACATCCCAGCTCGGGATAGCACATTTTTTGCGCTATCGCGAGAATGGCCGTCCCAAGCATCTTGTCCACATCTCCAGCATTGCGGGTCAGAACGCTGGGTTTGTGGCTCCGATTTACGTGGCAACCAAACACGCGATCAATGGGCTGGTGCGGTCGCTAGCCAAGCTGGAAAAGCTTGGCATTCGGGTGACGGCGGTGGCACCGGGAGTTATCAAGACGCCGTTGTGGACCGACCATCCTGAAAAGATCAAGATGGTGGACAGCGGGGATGAGTGGGTGACGCCCGAGGAGGTAGCGGAAGTCATGTTGGCTCTTGTGCAACAAGACCAAGTGAGCGAGATCATTGGCGATCGGTCGGGACGGGGCCCACAGTTCGCAGTGACCGGGGGAACGATCCTCGAAGTGTCAAAGACGGTGCGTGTCGTGGAGCAATTCAACGATGCAGGACCGGGGAACCGACCCGGCAACACAGCGTCTGACCATGCGTCCGTCGAGGAGGAAAGTTTTGCTCTATTGGCACAGAAGGGATGGGGTCGGTCCAAACTGTAGTCCAAAATACTATCACGCCATCAGTAGATTAAGACGGTCATGATGCCATCCGAGCCGGGGTTGTGTTATCTCCAATGTACTGCGTAATCGGAATCGTAAGGAGTTGGGGGAAGGAGGCCTGAGGGCGGCTAACTGAAGTAGGCAGGCCAGTCCACCAAAGTCAGGTGCCGCCCTATCGGACCTGATAAGAAAGGCCACGCCTTGTTCTTCTCTTCCCACTTCCTACTCTCTAACGCCCCTTCACAGTCCAATCTGCCCGGCTTCGCTGGTCGCGGTCGCTTTTAGGTCGGATGACTGGATTGAATCGTTTACTGCGCTGGACTTGCGACATCTTCGAACAAAATGGATGAGGAGGTGGCGATCGGGGTTGGTTCGGCTGCAGCCGCCCAGACCGGGCTGCGACGGTAGGTCTTGGAATTTGTCGCTAAATAATCGTGTAATCGTTGACATGCGATTGGAATTAGACGTGTGGCCCGGGGGAAACGAGCGATAGGTGTTACAGGTGCGGCTAGTTGGTCTAGTAGCGTGATCAACCTGGTCAATACCAGTGAGTCAAGCTGAAGTGCCGTATAAAGAAGCAGGGGACTAATAGACCTTTCTTTTCGTGCAGTCATCGGAGCCGGAGTGCTAGCAATGCCGCTGGCCATCTCACATATGGGAATTGTTTTGGGAGTGTGCGTTATATTGTGGTCTGGGGTTACAGCAGGATTTGGCCTTTATCTTCAATCTCGATGCGCCCAGTACCTCGACCGTGGAAACGCTTCCTTCTTTGCATTATCACAATTGACATACCCCAATGCAGCTGTGGTCTTTGATGCAGCCATTGCGATCAAATGTTTTGGAGTCGGCGTGAGCTACCTCATCATCATCGGTGACCTGATGCCAGGCGTAGTTCAAGGCTTTGTGGGAGGTGATCCCGCCTATGACATGCTTATCGACCGGCATTTCTGGGTTACAGCTTTCATGTGAGTTATATTCCTACGGGGAGCAAACTCATGTCGCTAACATACATTTCGTCAGGTTGATTGTGATACCTCTCTCTTATCTACGTCGACTAGACTCATTAAAGTATACCAGCATTGCCGCCTTGGTTTCAATGGCCTACTTGGTTGTCTTAGTTGTCTACCACTTTGTAAAGGGAGACACGATGGCGGACAGGGGTCCAGTTCGCGTGATCAATTGGGCAGGCCCAGTCCCGACATTGAGCAGTCTTCCCGTCATTGTCTTCGCATTTACATGCCATCAAAATGTATGCCTTTCTGCACACCTCTCTTATCATGAGCTTATCTAACAATCATTTGTGCCAGATGTTCTCCATCCTGAATGAGATTAAGAACAATAGCCACTTCCGCACTACGAGCGTCATTTTTGCCAGTATAGGCGGAGCAGCTGCAACCTACATTCTCGTCGCCATTACGGGCTATCTGTCTTTCGGCAATAGCGTTGCTGGGAACATCGTGGGCATGTATCCTCCTGGTGTGTATGCCACGATTGGACGTGCAGCTATTGTCATGTTGGTAGTGTTCTCCTACCCACTCCAATGTCACCCATGCCGCGCCTCCGTCGATGCAGTATTGAAATGGCGCCCCAAGTCCCAGGGCAGTGGTACTGAGGGCTCACCTCATCGGCACCCATTGTTAGGCCCGCGAGGTAACCGTACCCCGGAACCGATGAGTGACCTCCGTTTTTCGGTCATCACCACAACCATTCTAATCCTCAGCTACCTCGTTGCGATGACTGTTTCTTCCCTTGAGGCAGTGCTCGCTTATGTGGGTAGTACTGGGAGCACCAGCATCAGCTTCATCTTACCTGGCCTGTTCTACTACAAGATTTCCTCTCCTGATTCCCCTACTCACCGTGGCTTATTAAAAGAGGACGACGAGGCTGTCGAAAACCTGTCAGATGAGGATGAACCCAATGACGACGGCGAAGGCTCGCTTGCTCGCTCGCTTACTGAAAGCGGCATTCTCCTCCGCAACACCCGCCACTGGCGTAAAGCTCTTCTGCGCCGCCTTAGCTTAGGCCTGGCCTTGTATGGCGTTGTTGTCATGGTTGTATGTCTGATCACGAATACTTTTTTCATCGCATCGCATTAATCACTACATTTTACTCGACCTGAAAGATATACTGCGTGATAAGAGTGATGAGACTCGGATTTCTTGATATTTCCTCGCACTATACCGACAGAAAAATGTCTCTCGCCTTGCTATCTCTTCCATTCTAGATGTTTTCTTTCTTTCTTTCTGGGATATGCCATTTCTTTCAAGCGATTTTTGATATGCACTGGTTCTAACATTGTGGAGTTTGATTTTTTTTTTTTTCTTTCCAGGTGTTTGGAGCGTTGTTCAACTTGTAAATTTCGCAAATCTTGCTTCCTTTTAACAAAGTACAAATTCGTCTTGTTCCTAATGCCGCTTCTTTCCAAATTACCGCAATACTGGTTCGAAAGACGAAGTTGGAAGCTTTCATAGCCCTTCTCCATAGCCTAAAGAGCGAACAAAGATGTTGCCATGTGGCTCAAGAGCTTACTTTTAAAATTTCAACTTATGTTCAATCGATCTTGAGTCACATCAAAACACAGTGGAGATAGATTGAGTCTGTAAAAGGGAAATGAACAGAGGACCTAACGACATGTACAGCAACGAAACCAGGTCGATCAAGCCGATAGTAAAAAGAAACTAGAAATGACACCCAGTCCCGTGAAGCCGGCTCTGAGGAGCGCCCAAAATTCAATGCTTACGAACGTATATCGTTGAATTCCATTCGACCAGTTATTCCGTGAGCTGGTGGATGATATACAATAAGCTTTGGGTTTAATTGTTGTTCTGTCCGTTGAGGATTCGCAGAATTGACAGGAACAGGTTCAGCACATCGAGATACAATGAGATGGAAGCGGCAATCTCCTCTTCAACGTGGTAGTGTCGCATAACCAGCTGTGTATCGACTAGTATATATGCAGAGAAGATGAGCGCACCCAGAACACCGTATACAATGTCCAGTGTGTTGTTAAAAGGAATGAAGGTAGCCACAAATCCAAACAGGATCAGGAACCACAATGCACCGAACAAATATGGCATCCAGTTGGTGAAGTCATACTTGGTCTGGCAAGCGAAGAGCGTGAGTGCGACAAAGATGCCCAGCGTGAGAACCAGCGCTTGCACGACAACCCGCGACTGGTAGTAGGAGGTCACCACGCTGATAGCATAGGCTTCCATTAAAGTGAAGCCAGAGAGGAAGAGGAGATTTGCCGGGTAGGACTTGCGCTTCCAGTATGTTGCAAGCATAAATCCTAGGGCCCCAAAGATGGAGATAAACATCAGCCAGACATTGCCTTGGATCCAGTCACGATAGCTGACATTGAAGAAGGAAACGGAGCTGAGGACGGCAGTGAGAAGGATCTGGGCAGTCCTGTTTAGGTATTAGCTGTAGTCTTGAGGATGAACACCGCTTATATGAGCCATTCCGGGGAAGAGAGGTAAGATGGACTAAGACTTACAGGATCGAGTATACCTTCCGCACAAACTGCATTCGGATATCGATAGTCCCCTCCGCAACCATACCGCCAAACTAAAGCTTATGATTAGATTCTCTGGAGTTCGAATGAACTGTTTGGGATTCACATACTTTAAAGTCGTCTGGCACATTGTCATCCTCAGTTCGCGGCTCTGCATACGCCGCGGTAGCTTGATAAGAGGGAGGCGCTTGAGTGTATCGCTGCTGCTCCTCAAAAGAGTCCCGCTGGGGTGCAGGCTCATATCTGGCGTTGGCAGCCATAGTTACAGCAATACTTCTCGTATTGAGCTATAAAAGAATGAAGGATGTGCTAAGTATGATGAGGGGTGTAGGTGAGAAAGCGCGGAGGCCTAAATGACCTTGGAGGCGCGGGTGCCATGTGACGTGACATCACGTGTACATTCTTATCGATAAGACGATCAGCAGTTCAACAGTGGACCCGTCAACAAAGTCCGGCAAGCTAAATGCTGCAGTGGGGAAATATTTGGCCAACACTAGGGAGGTCTCGATTGGAGGATATCTTTCTAGTACACAGTCTTTACAGGATATAGCTTCGCATCTCCGATAGGGAGAGAATCAACTTTCACACTCTCTTCGCTTCGTCTGCTTCTGCTTTCCCTTTTGGGAGGCTTCCGCTATCGTGGTGTGTGGTGATTTAGTGGTCTGTTCGCCGACCTATCCCATCCTGCCTGCATTCTCAGGCTTGTCGTAGAGCGCCCTGGTTCAACCTATCTTGTGAGCAAAAACATTTGAAGATACGTATCTACCAGATCAGCGGTAGTAAAATATACGGCTGCGATAGTGTGACCCCAAGAGTTATACCCCTTGCATTCACGTTGTATGTACGAGTTCCATTCTGTAAAAGCAAGATGATTTCTTTGTCGAGAGGAAAATGCCGCCAAGTCTGGCGGAGACTTTTACGTCCCTATGTGCGTCTGGGCACTTTTTTCGCGAGTCTTTCAATCAGTTTCTCTTGACGATATATAACCTTCTTACGACGGATTAACACAACTTGAATTTCCACTAGGCCTCTCATTATGGCGATACGGTATCTCTCATGGCCCGTGTTAATTGACCAATGGCAAGATTCTAGCCGTCAAGCGAAAGTCATATTCATCCTGTTGATCTTTCAAGGGCCATCAACTCTTAGGGGGAAAATGGGATGGGATTTAAAGAAGCTAGCTAGCCTCATCGGCAGAATTGTTACCAGTCCTATAGTCCGACCGAGCACACATACGAGACTCAATATGTTATAGAACAACCAAATGTATAATACTGGATGCTATTCCGGCCGACTTCGGGTACCAATCGTATGCATGACGATATAGGTTCACAGGGAACAACAAATTGGTATCGGACTCCTTCATCGTCATACCTCCGGCAAACAGCGGAATGACGATATTAAGAATATAGAAAGAGAGTTCCCCTTTCTTTTGAACTGAATCTCTTTGAGATTCAGTCATTGGATTGGAATAATTCACTTTCACTAGTCTTCTTCGATTCTATAACGATTCAATATTGTATTCATTTTCCTTACCTGACCAACAGGCCACTACTACCCTGTAAGTAGCACCCTAAAATATAGACTAGACATGATAGTGTAGTCTGCTTAATCGTTTAATCAGTAGGTTTTACTAATACTATAATGCTATCAGATCTTCTACTAGGATTCACTTCAATTCCTTCGTATACTAATTAGTAGACCCTAATTGAAAATGCGTAGGAAGCTGTTTAATAAAGCGATAAACTTATATCTTGCTAATCAGCGGCTTTCTAACGCGTTAATATACGCTATTCGCCTATGCTTCCAGTATCCTAGGAGTGATAGGTATATGGCAGTCGTTTATATACTGAATCTAGCAAATTAATACTTATTCTTGATAGCCTTCGAGAGCACATTTAGTACTGTATATGGTTGTTTTAGGCCTTGTTTTTTTTGATACGATCCGAAAGCGTTATCCTAGGTACGCTAAATTCACGTGTTAAACGCGCGATATTGGGCTTCTTAACGTGTTATGCAGCTATCAGCTATACGAGATTCATTGATTTTAGGCATATTTTGGTAGAAATGTTGGATAGGAAAACACAAAATAGGGTAGTAAGAGAAAGTGACAGTTCATGTGTAGTGACGGTTCATACGTCGCGGCGGTGTGGGTGCGTCTGGCACAAGTAGTGAATTACATTAGTTAGTTTAGCTTCACTTGTAGACATCATCACATTAATCATCATATTCTATTGAATCCCACCTTTACACGCTCATTTAGTATCTTACTTTATTGGCAGTCCTAACCGAGGCTATGATTTCAGCAATCTTTAGTATTGGGGTCGTTTGTATTAAGGCCTATCAGGATCCGGACACATGTCCAAATCCTATAGCCTTTTTTGGACCCTCTTTTTGGACCCCTTTTTTGGACCCCAAATTCGTTTGGCAGTGAGTTGAGATTCTAGATATGCAAAGCCACAGTTTGGATGTTCTACGGTACGATTGGCACCGCGATATATATAAAGTCGATGAGCTGAGAAACCTTAAGAATAATTCTTTCGAACCGCCCTCATTGATCATCCCACCTCACTGTACATGGAGCAATGTGCTTCGTACCAGACTTAGAACTTACAACAGAAGGCCCACCATAAGTCAAAGTCAGCCGGACGCTAAAAAACTTATTGCATACCTAATTAGGGCTAGTCAAAGAGAGCGCCACCACCACGACTGGAAGGGCTACCGTTGCCCGCCCCCGTTATACAGGCTGGAAAATAATACAAGAACTGACAAAAATTCCACCAGAGGGGATCAGGATTGCAGGACAACTCACTTCCAAATACTTAACAGAAACGAATGCATAAGACTTAAAAAATGGGAGAGATTGACACACCTTCCTCAAGGCCTATTGTGGTCATTGCCTGTCCCCCAGAAGAAGGACATACAAGACCTCTGCTTCCCTACGCCACCTATCTCATCGAACAAGGATACTATGTGCACTTCATCGCAGGCACCGGATTTGAAAATACCATCCGAGAGATGGGCGCGACATATCACAATGTGCCCAATGTTTTTACAGCTGAGCAATTCGAACAGATGCAGGCCATTGAAGGCCCGGCGCAGTTGATTTTTGCCATGAAGCATAATTTCATCGATCTTACCCCAGTAGCCATGAAGGTAGTGCAGGATGTTCTTGAGAAGATCCGAGAGGAACACCCGAATCGCGAGGTCGTGATTCTCCAGGAGTATGTGTCTATGGCTGTCTGGCCATTCCTCCTCGGAGCGCCATTGCCTAAAGGTTATGACCGCTTCCCAAAAGTCATCAGCATTGCGACGGTACCTTTGACTCTCTCAAGCATCGATACTGCGCCCTTTGGACCTGGTCTGCCGCCAGATTCAAGCGAAGAAGGGCGTACGCGCAACGCAGATATGTACAAGGCAATGGAGGCATTGGCGTTCGAACTTGTTGAGTATGCGGATTCCGTATATACCGCTCTTGGTGCAAAGTCGAAGATCCCAACAAAGATGGTGACGGACTTTTGGGCTATCGGGGCTGACTTGCTGCTGCAGCCTTGTAGCCCGAGCCTGGAGTATCCGCGAAGTGATTTATCTCCCAAGATCCGGTTCATTGGGGCAACCCCTCCCCCAAAGGTCAACCCCTCGGTGCTGCTCCCTGAATGGTGGGAAGAGCTGGTTACATTGAAACAGGCTGCAGCTCCTAAGAAAGTGATTTTTGTGGCACAAGGGACCTTTATTCTTGATTATCGCATGCTCCTCATACCCACAATCCAGGCGTTTGCAAATTGTGACAAGTACATGGTAATTGGGGTCCTAGGGAAAAAAGGCGCCAAGCTAAATGGCATCGAACTTCCGAATAATGCGAAAGTGATTGATTATTTCCCATATGATATGATTCTCCCGCACGCCGACGTCTTTGTGACCAACGGAGGATATGGCGGTTTTTTACGCAGCGTTATGCATGGAGTCCCAATGGTCATAGCTGGAACAGGCCGTAAGTTCTGTATCTTGCATTTTCGATGCCCCTATTCTAATGACTCTTTTGATACTCCAGAAGACAAGGCCGAAGTGGCAATGCGTGGCGAGTGGGCCGGGATTGCGGCAAATCTACGATCAAACACTCCTAGTATTGAGGCCATACGAGACAGCGTTAATAGTATCACCGAGGATGACAGATTTAAACGACGGTGTTTGGAAATAAAACGCGAGAATGAGGACTTGAAATGCTTGGTACAGTTAGAGCGCTATATTGACGAAATGGTGTAGATAGTTTGTTTCAATCCCAGTCTTTAGACCAGGTGTCCCGGAGTTTGAACCCATACAACGCTTTCTTTCAAGCTCGCATATCTGTATACACTGGATTATCAATTTATTCTCGTCCTCTTTCTCTCCTATGAACAATTATATGGCGTCAGTGTCTTGAGATTGGACTTCATGTCTCATATTCTATATCACCTAACTAATAAAGAAAACAACGATTTGCCCCCCTCAATCCCAAATTCCCATTTCACTTCTTCGTATCCCTCTCCTGTTCTCACATCCATCGGAGCCCCCTTAAATCCCTTCCTGTTCTTTGTACGGCTTGAGCGGTTCATATGCAGCATTCGTACTAGCAACGGTAATCGTATCCCGATACGACACGTACCAATCGATCTCTGGGGTGCTTCCTAATTGGTCCATGAACAGACTTTGTAGCTTGACTGTGCATGGACTCATTTGGTCCAAGCCCTCTCCAGACAGATGTTGGGCTGTGGTGTATATGATTCGATTCGAAACGTCGCCTCAATCAGCCCGTTTTTTTTTTTTCTCCTCGTTTGGACGGTCTTCTTGTTCTTGATGCTTGACATAAAACTGACGCTGAAATCAAAATTTGCATTGATATGGAGAGTCTTTTGGCTCTGATTATCCTGCTAGAGGTCCGTTGAATGAATGACATAGAATTAACAGACCCACCCTTGAAGATCGGTAGATTTCGTTACTTTCACCGTTGTAAGGATCAGGCATTTTCTGGTCATGACCATGATTGGGCGAGTCGCTTCCGCCAGTTCTCCACGGCATTCAAGACCGCCTTGTATCAACCCAGTGTATGACCAATCACCCGAATAGTTCTCGATGCAAATGAAGGCTCACGAGGGTGTGATGCTGTGAGTTGCGGATGGCCAAATATCCAAGTGCCACGACGACACCTAAGGCAGAAAATTGGCTGGTTTCCAACATGAGTTCAGATGGTTTTATATCAGAAATATTCTTGAGAGACGGCTGCAAAGATACGAGTTTGGGTCCTGTGAACTTTTTGAATGACCTCTGTCACGGGTCTCATTCCTAATTTTCTTTTCTGGAACGGGGTTGCAATCGATAACTGCGCCTGCTCTTTTTATGTGTTGGCCGGACCATTCGTAAATGGGGTAGCTCTGCAGTGCAAACCCTTCAAATTTAGGTAGCTGTACCACAGGATTCCTCTGTACTTGCTTGTACACTTCATTAGTGTCAGGGGAGGCAATGCCAAGACCGCGAAAGCAGGTGCAGCATGTTTAAACGACTTTTGAATAAACTCCATAAACACCAAAATGATAAGAGATCCCCACCGCCCCTGGGTGAAACTCGAGATGTCTGCGCGCACAAATGAGCCTACATGGTTATCTTGCGGCTTTATGTAGATGATGTGGATGGATCGGGTCGACCTCAACACTTAGTTCGCTTTCCAGATCGCAAAGATCGCAATCGGAGTTGATCGTCAGGGCGCTCCACTGAACATCCCAGATCTCAGCCACTAGAAGTCGAAGACTTGAAGAGATGGGCCTGTGGTGGAAACCCCCCTTTCCATATAAACAAAGTGAGCACCGCTGTTCTTTCAGCTCCCCATTTTTCAGCGCGGTTTTCAAGAAGAACAATGGGGCACTTTCAGTCGCCTTAGGTGCACAGGACAATAGATAGACGCCTACAGGGAATGGCGAAAGACTGGAGATGTAGCAAAATATTACAAGATCCAGGAACCACAGTAAAAGCATCAAACTCCACAAAATAAAGTAAAGTCCGCTACCTAGTGCAGTGGAGGGCGTTTATATGTCAGGAGGATGGCCCCCCACTCCGCAATTAAACCGTGGGTACTTGACGACGTAGTAGAGGGTGGTGCATTTCAGAGCCAAGTAGCCACTTTTCGGGGCCAATCACAGACCTGTCGGAGCGATCAAGCACTTTCCAAGACCAAAAGAGACCAAGTTAATCCGAGCGATAATTAGAAGGTGAGGTGGCTGCAAGGAAAACAAATGGGAGTAGAGCAGCCCAATCATCCTAAAAATGACAACATATTGGCTTTCGCAACGGGTAGCTTCGGGAATGCAAGGTAATTAGCAATCTAATTAGTATCAAAGTGTCGAGAGACAAGACAAAAATTCCACGACCCTCGTTAGAACCTAACGAACTTTACTTTGAATACAAATTGAGTGATTTGAATATACAGTATCATAGAATCTTGGGAGATATTGGATCAGAAGAAAATTAGAAGCTATGCGGAAGGTTAAGTGTTTTTACACAAGATGTTTCTAAGCGAGCTTCACCCTACCTGGGCTCAAATTCCTTCACTCGAAACACGAATATATCTAGAAAGATGGTCATGTGGTATGTAGTGTTACAGATATATGTATATATTTGCTGGTGGTGGTTGAAAAAGTGGGGTCAGAAAATACGTAGTACGTACTGAACTGGGAACAGAAACGGTCGCTGTCTGCGAACCAGGCCCGCCTCTAGAGGTTGTGGAAGAGAAAGAGAAAACACCTAGGGACAGTATAGAAGATAAATGGATATCTGAGTTGCTAGAAACAACGGGGTAGGCCCTATATGTCACATCTCCTGTCACACCGCTAGTTTATGCTTATATGCTACTTCCCCACTGTAGTACGTTACATAGCACCACAATTCGATCAAATGGACACAACAGAATATTATCCTAGTCTATATACCAGCGCATTTACCACATGCTCCACAATATCTCGATTTTAGATGTTTTGCTATATTAAAGAGATCATACAGTCATTTAATCGAGGCCAAAGTTCGCCTAGAATATAACCATATCGATAAGCTTCATTTCCTAGAATCCTATATTCTTGCACGCGAATGAAGCCTTCCAGTCAAGCACACTTCAATCTAGTATGGCCAGCATTGGTCGAATTTTGATAGATACCGACCACGGCCTATCTAAGCTTAATATATCGCTTCGAACACCTACACCACCAGCAGGCAGGTCAACTAGCAGACCTAGACCTTTTCGTGCGTACAACACCACACACAGCAAAACAGCTTGCTGAGCAATCTTTCTCGTTCAAAGCTCTGTTACAAAAGGGCCCACGATCGTCAGGAAGCACCACTATACAAATGCTAGATCAATTATTCCAAGGTGCCCATAGTAAGACCTGGAAGAGTTCATTATGTACATTTATGACCAGGTCGAATTCCGTAGCTAGTCATATAACAGTCGTATAACTTGGGCCTGAAATAGCCGGCTCAGACCATCTCAAACGTTTATTCTTCAATACGATGCATAGCAGATCGTCCTTCAGGGTGCTCATGCGGCTCCTCATCTCCAGTGCCAGCAGTGGACCCGGATTCATCATCCGAAGTGAGGCCAGCCTCCTCTTCCTCATCGCTCGTATCTTCCGTGCTACGAGTCAGATCTTGGGCCACAGTCGCGCTGGAAAGGTATGACGGGAGTCGTCGCCGCTCAAAGTCCTGGGCATGGGCAGATGCAACGATGGTGCCCATACGACTGATACTTGCGGAAGGACGGCGGTTCCGAGCGCGTAGGCTAGACGGCAGTGGCGATGGCGCGGTTTCGATGTCCCCTGGAGACATAAATGGTGTTGTGACATGTTGTTCCTGTAGTTGTACGTCGTTTGCGTTCACACCATCCAAGCCCGGGGTAAGCGAGGGGATATCGTATGGAAGGGGAACATCTCGCGAGGCACGGAAAAGAAGAACGTTTGTGCAGTGTTCGTTCTCGACGCGAAAAATGGACCACACGCCACGGCGGAACACTTCGGATAGCGAAACGCAAAAGCTAAGCACGGCTGAATGCTGGATGTCATTGCTGAAGATGGCGTAGAAAATCCAATTAAATCGGATGATAACATCCAGAACCATTGCCGCATAGTATACCCACACTCGCCGAAAGGCGAGGACTTCACGCAGGAGAGGATGCTTGGCGTATGCGTTACCTAGACTCCAGTCCATGATAAGATCCCACACCGAAGTGTACACGGCATTCAGCAGGGCAAACGTGATGAACGATGCTTGAAAGCGGGTATGCTTGTCGATGCGGTACATGCTCAGGGTGGCATAGTATAGAACACTGAAGATGTACTTCCCTAGATTAAGAAGATGAGGGAAGGCATTCTTTGTGTCCACGTAACGGCGTATACATTGGAAAGCTCTCCAAACAGCAGGCAAACATGTGAAGAAGCCGAGCAGTCGCGAGTGAGACGAGTTACATTGGAGAGGGTCGTGCCAATACGAGGCGTAAAGACAGAAGAAGAGCTCGATATTCTGTTTTTGATTAGATGTAGTCTTGCGAGAGGGGGCTTTAGTCTAACTTACCCCCATGGCATAGGTCTGAGAGCAGTACATATCACCGAGAAAGAAGTCACGAAACTCAACGGGGTATATCCCAGCAAGTAAAAGGCGCCACTGTATGTGTTAGAAATGCTGAAAATTGTGTTTAGCAAGAATCAACTTACATTCGAAAAGGCCCACCACTTCCGGCTGCGATGATATAACACCCGGGCAGGTAAGAAGACGATGATGAGAGTTATGCCGATAAGCACAACAGGCCAGTATATGTACATGGCATTAAACCATGAGAAATTAAGCCACATGAAAAGACCCATGAGAAAAATGAAAAAAGATGGAATCTGAATGGATGTTAACCAAATAACCATCTCGAACGCGGAGACGAGAGAAATCCAACATACCTCTAGCAACTGGCGCCATTCTAAAGTGTGTCTGGTGTCATATTCAAAAACAAATGCATGGTTAATTTTTGATTTTGTCCAGATCATGCAATCCAAACAAAATAGCAAGAAATGAAACACAATGAGGAAGTATCCTCCATAGATCTGCAAAACTCCGTTAGCGACGCCCATGGCCATTTATACCATCGGTGGATGGAGCAAGGAATAGTAGTTTCACGAACTTGTAGCAAATAACTAGTCCAAACTTGCTTGTATACTTCAACGGCGTGTAAATTCTGCGATGCGTATACCAGCGCCTGGGCAGCGAATAAGGCACCAGCCATCAGCAAAAGACCCGCGCGGAAGGTGCTTGGCGAAAAGTCGCCGGTCTTCTTAAGGGTATGACGAAGTTTCGATGCGGCGATTTTGCGGTTTCCACGCTCGAAATATCGTGCATATAGGTCTTCCACTGCCACCATCAGGCTTTCAATTACTTCACTCTGTACAAAAGTCGCCTTGTTGACTCGATCCGACATGTATCGTAGCGGGGGTCGCGCGTTAACCGCCTTGTCATACTTCTTGTTGATCTTGCGGAAGGCAGTTCGGTTGAGATAAGCATATCCCTTGAGCAATTCGATACCTCGATAAAACTCTTGAAGGGCATGTTTAAGCTTCCGCTTCGCAGATCGATACGATACATCATTACTTGGCGGGTCCTGCCGCCGCATAAAGTCTCTCCGATTCAAGATGAACTCTCGGTCCCTTGCATGCATCCCCGGGGTTGCCATCTGAGCTAGCGCCTCTGAGTTCTTACCGATCCGAGTCTTCCCTGTGAATGTATCCCTAATCCGTGAGCTGTTGAATTTTCCAAATCCATTGGATCCGTTCGAAGAGTCATGGTTGATTCGTTTGTTGGCTCGTTTGGCAGCGAGCACCTCCTGAATGCGCTGATCCCTCATTATGTGGAGTTGTTGGCGCAGGACCTTCAATCTGTCGGTAGCCTCCTGCTCCTTCATCTGGTAGAACGAATCGATTTTGTCCAACTCGCCATCAAGGAAGGCAAAAAACTCATCCTGCCGACGCTCCACCTCCAGGGCGGAGTCAGCAAGCCCCTTCTTACCCATTGCTTGACCATCGGGGTGAGATAGGACACGACGCAGGAGCTGAGAGGTACGTTTCACTGACGTCGTCTTTGTCAAAGGTTCATCTTGAGGACTCTGGGTCGTGGTTTGTTGAAACCCCGGCAGCGGTTGGTTTGGCGGACTACTGGACACAACATGGGTCGGTGGTGTGCCAAAAGTTGCATGTCGGGCCATGACTGGCGACGGAGTTCGAACTTCCGGACGCCCTGGGCCTTCCTCTGGTGGCACAGATTCTTCTAGGTCGAGGGCCGGGTCAGGTAGCTCAAAGGAGCCGACATCGGATGGTGCCCCAGGTTGTGGCGGTGTGGCCAGTATACTCCCATATGTGCCTAACGTCTCCGAGAAGCGCGACCCCGGTGTGCGTAATGGCTGGCGTTCGGTCCGCGGAATAGGAGTCGATCGATTCGCCGATGGAGAGTTCGAATTGGTCCGCCTGGGCGTCACGGAACCGTTGAAATCTGTCGCTTCCAAGGGTTTGTCGGAGTTGGACGGCGTGAGAGAGGGATTGATGGCGCCATGGGTGGATGGAAGGTGCTGCCGAATCGACGGAGTATGAGGGCTTCGGTTTGCCTTCTGGAGGGCGCGAGTGATTGCCTTGACCTTTTTCTTGCCGGTCTAATTGGGATGTGTTAGCCAAGATCTCTCGAGGGATGGTCATTGGTCCTAAGTTAGAAGACTGCTGAGTCCTCCTACCTTATAGTCCAGATACTTCGCCCTCCACTCAGGAACGAGCTCCTGCTCCAACTCTCTATATTCGACCGAGTCAGCCACTGGGGTATTCCATTGGAGGGTATCATGATGGGGAGGAGGGCGACTCACTTGGCAAATTTCATCCTTGCCAACGAACCACCGTCATCGCATACCTCTCAGTGGTTGGGGAGGAGAAAAAGAAAAAAACAAACCGGGGCGGGCTGAGGTCGAGGTTGAAGAGGGGAAGATCGATAAAACCACAGCTCACAAGAGAGGGGAGGGGGAAATCAAGAATTTCCACAAGCTCGCACCTGGTCAGCGCTTTGCGGCAGATAAGCGCAAAGTGCGGGCAGCCAAGGGTGGACTAGACCACTATGGGATCCCAATGATGCGCCGACGACCAGAACAAGATCAGGGCGGTTCCCACCCGGACGCAGAACAGAAAAACAAAGTCTCTGCAGGGCTTGTCGCGCGTCTCGTGTACCCGTGGATCGGGCCAAGCGCCATCGTCTGAACCGGTTCTTGGTACTTTGGACGATACATCGCAACAATCAACGAGCCCTACGCCCGCACGTGCGAGTTCGATGAGCTCATGCAGTTTGACGCCACCATTATCAGGCAGCCATCGATGGGGCGATTGGTCAGCGGCCCAAACGGGCGGCTGCTGACTGGTCCGGTCACGGGCCCACTGCGCGGATTGCGACGGCGGGAATTTGAGATGAAGTGATTGGCATCGCCGCTACGCCTGGCCTCTGCCTAAGTGTCACATCCACGCCTTGCTGAGCCAGGCATCTTGCAATTTGAAACTTATCGTATTCAATTTCTTGTCTCTTTTTTTTTTCTTTTTCTCTCTTTGGCTATCTTCCTGAGCCACTTTGTGCAACCTGTCCTGGGACCTTGAACTCACACGGACTCGGGATCCAAGATCTACATGGGGATTGGGAATGCAGCCCTGGAATGTGGCCGGCGGGTTCTCATGGTGATGACTGGATAGGAGAATATCTTAGTTTGTAACCCTATGCTCCGCCCTACGTATCTCTCTGTTCGCCATGCAATTCCTATAACGCATGCCCACGGACAATCAGTGGGTGCCCTCCTTGAGTCCGGGCAGATCCATAGGGAACGGCATCTTCGATCGACAAGCAACCTAGCCTCGGATCTCCAGATTTAAGATAAATCTAGTATCTGCCCGGCCTATCTGGCTCACAATACCTGACAAAGACTCTTAATGCAGCATACTAGATAGTTCTTCGATCCTTCCCTTGTACCCGCGAGCTTTAGGTTGGGAAAGAATCAGTGTTGTAATGGGTCCCAAATTGTCATCACGAAGTCGCTCATGATTTTTTTCGGCCTTTGAGACTGAATATATCAGGTCGATCTCTATAGACACCTGGTAGGACAGGAGCCCAGCATCAACAGCTCTCGTCATCCCAGCGGGCCTCCCTTGCTTTTATCCTTTCCCTGAAAATTCATCATTTGTAGCCTTTCCAGATCGCCTCCATCCCTGTCTATCGCAGATATCGTCAAACTGAAAAATGCGCTCTTACTTCCAACCCGACAACGCGGAGTGGGAGGTAATGCGTCAAGAAGTTTTAATGGGCAAACCGGAAATCCAACCGCTTGTTTCCTTCTATTTCGTATTCCGGATATAGTCGCTTCGCTCTTTATCAGTCATGACATTCCAAACCCGATCGTGTCTTCAATTCTGGAACTCATGATACGCCTTGGCCGCCAAAAATAAACCGGTGGCCATATTGACGGCCCCCAACTACTTATTACGCCGTCGGCATTTCGGCATATCGTCGTCTCTGTAGAGGAAATACGCTGCCATATCGCCTAGCTGAACCGATATCTATATCATTCCGTCATGAGCATTCTAGTCCACCACTCTATAGATTCAGATCTATATAAAACAAACATCATCTGGGCTGCCGAAGCGGAGCAATGCCCGACGTTAGTCGAGTTTCTCGAAGCCCATGCCCCCACAATAGCTATGACTCAAATTAGCATTGTAATCAAATCGATGTCCCAGGAATGAAGAATCCCACAGACCCCGGCAAAATAAATAACTCAATAGGATGGTCATCACTGCATGTGGAGGTTCTGGTGACTGAAGGCGATATGAGCTAGTTTGTCGCGGTACATCGAGCTACGTCCAGTTACATCCCTGGACATTACGACTCGCTGGGACGCCGAGAATCCCGCGAGGATGGTGAGTCAACTGTCGCTGGATGGATATGCAGATGCAAGATTTCAAGGGCTTTGGCTCCGCTGCCAGTGACGAAAACGAAGAAAGAAGTTTTTACTGAGAAGGATCAGTTTTTACAAATACAGAAAAGGGCTACTCTGCTATTAAGCTTTATGTATACTGAGTGAGGAATGTCTTATCTGTGCTAGCATTATCATAGGGATATGTATTACCATATACAACCCAAGAATGACGCCATACAAATTCCTCGACTTGGCATCGACAATGAGGCTTCGCCAAGTCCTCTCTATTCTCCTTCTGGTAACTCCAACAGAATATTGTCCGCTTGGCAGGGCTTTGGATACGTACGAAATAGTACTGGGCTACAAAGTACAAAATCTTTGGCTTTAAATCACACAATTGGTCATATATATTTCCTGTCGCTATACATTTTACACGAGTAGCAAGTACAGCGAAGTAATCGTGGCTAGAATACCTTATCAAAACAATTTCATGCCGTCGTCCATTTTAAAGGCTCCGCGGAAGGGCCTCCCAGATTATGAGTGGCCCCCCCAGTGCCCCGAAAACCCGATATCATCTCTGCGTATAGGGATTGCACATTTACCAGCGGCCGGGGCGGTCGAAGCGCTCGTGGCGGGGGTAGCGCTCGGGGTCCCACTCCTCAGCGCCGTGGCCGCGCTCGTAGTGCTCCTCGTACATGTGCTCAGCGTTCTTCTTAGCGTGCTCGTGAGCGCGCAGGCGGTCAACCTCGTCCATTCCCTTGGTCTCGGCCAGTTTGTCGATCTCGGCGCCGACCAGGCCGGCAATGGCTTCCTTGGCGAACGCGTGCTTGACAGGCTTGCCTGTTGCCCGGAGATATTAGCTTGCGAAAGATTTTGGACAGTTTGGGAGGGGTTCGGTGAGATACATACCCTCCTTGCGCTGGTGGTCCTCCCAGGCCTTCATACCGGCAAAGGAAGCGGCACCGGCAATCAGCTCATGGCTGAAGTGGCTCTCATGGTGCTCTTGGCCGTACACCTGACGGTGAGCGTCGTCGGATTGTTCTGTGTCGATGTTAGTAAGGACTGTCATATAAATTGGACGACCAATCAAGAGTCCGATATCCATCGAAGAAGTCACTGCGTGCATACGCCGGCATCTTGCATGTGGAGACAAAACATCGAGGAATCGGATGACGTCCGCATCGTATAGAGTACATAGAGAGTAGAGACTTACCCCAGCCCCAGGCCATTGTGAATGTATACGAATTGAGATGAAAAGGGAGAAAAGGGTGATAGGAGGGGTGTGTTGATAGAATAAAGAAAGAAGTTCGATGAGGGGAGATGAGGGGATTCTTATAGCCACGACCGAGCGAACACTCCAGAAGAGCTACGTATTCTTCTCAGGATATTTAGGCACAGCTTCCCTACCTTTCCCCCTCTTCTCCCCCTCCTCTTCTGTCTCAGCTCGCGCGAGCCCCACCCAATCCGCGAAGAGAGTGGCTGAAGGGAGGTTTCCTAGGGAGTTCAGGGTGTTATCTTCGGGGCGATGGAGTCAGGGCCCCTCCGCCCAATATGGCTGGACCATGGATCCGATGTACCAGCTCGGTGGAGCGAGCAGATCGCATCGCCTTCTCCAATCGCGGGGCGCTGGAGGGGCAAGGAAGAGACGGTGATCCAGTGAGATCATCGACGGCAGGATGATGGCTTTCGCGGATCACGGCCATAGGAGGATCAGAAGGGTGCATGGGGCTCGAGAGACCTCCCCGGTGTCTCCAGCATTGTGATGCCCGAGTGGTTTGAGCATGCACAGGCGGACAGATGTTTGACCCGAAGTCTGGTACCAAAGATGTGTCCAGGTACCAGGGGGAATTCCGCTTCCCCTGCTTTCTTTCTTCCGGAACTCTCGATGAAAACTCCCAACGAGACTCAGCAACCCCAAACATCCAGTGAACCTCCGCGGTCTCTATGACGCCAGGGTCCCAGGGTCTGTTTCCGCCCCTCTCAACCACTTCGCAACGCTGTCCCGCTCTCTATTTTCGCCAAGATACGGGACACAAGGCGACACTGCTGTTCCTCCCCAAACGCGAGACACTCGAGAGGAGGAGTGCGTGTTCCACTAGGTCCAATGAAGCGCCGATCAGGCCCGGCGGGGTCCATTCAGCCCTACTCCGCCTGCATGTGAACAAATCAATGGCAAGAGACCGCCGGTGGATCATTATGAGACTTTACCATTTCTGACATTAGCGGTCCAGTCCACGTACCTCCGGAAAACACGGGTACAGAGCCCCTCCCCATTTACGGTCAAGAGCAACAGATGGTAAGTCCGGCGCACCCGGGCCAAGCTTCTCTTGTCCGAGGCTTGTCCGCGCCTTACGAGGGTCGGAGTGACCCTCCTCTCTCTTGGCACTCGCTTTCTGTTCAGAATGGCGGTGAACTGACGCCAGCAAAGTTGCAGCAATAATTGCCTATAGTCTCCATAATATGATCTCTTGTGAGCGGAGTATTTAGTCCCTGAAGCCCATCGAGAACCTCTTTTCAACAGGTCGCTTACACTTCACAGGGTGTAGGAGTGAACTGGCAGCCTTGGCATTACGTATTGCACCGCCCCATGTGGCACTGCGCCACATGGCAGAAAGGTATCATGGTTAAGAGGATAAAGATGCATAAAGCGAAATTCGGTGGAATACGGCCGTCCTTGAAGCCATGGCTTGATTTGTCGAGCATATCATGGATTGCTTCTGTACGGTCACTTGCTCTATTTTTTTTAACACATTCGGGACAAGTCTGTCCAGTCAGAATTGAGGAATATCACCCTGTATGTAAGAATAGAGCGTGGCCCACCGCTGGTGGTGTCATTGAAGAATGCCATCCCGTCTCTTCTGCATGCTGACTCCTCTAGATGGAGTCATGAAACACTTCTTCTTGGAGCTGATGCCCATGTTTGGCCTCTGAAGGCTTGAAACACTTCTTGAGGCAGGGATTAGCGCCAGGCAACGACGATACCGAGAATGAAGCCAATCAGTCCACCGCCCCGCCGTCGGCTTTTTCGACAGTCCCGAGTACAGAGGAGCCCGATTTCCCTCCTATGAAATCATACAGCCCTTCTGATTATTATTAGTAACTGTAAGACCAATACCAGCCACACCTTACGCAACCCCATTGACCCACCAGCCACAGGCAACAGCCACTATCTGCTGGAGCTCGAGAGCTTGCCCCTCCATTGCTAAGGCTTCAACCAGAATAGTCTCGGCGACGCCGAACAATTGGCGAGCATTGCAAAGGAACCAGCCTCCCAGAACTGGCCCAGCAACAGGCTGACTGTTGCTGAACATCGCCAATTGGGTCTCTCACCTCTCACCGACCCCCCAAACACCATGCCTTCCAAAATCCCCATCCCGGCTGACTTCCCCTCCAAGCTCACCGTCACCATCACGTCCCCGCCCAATGCCTCCCCCTCCACACCTTCTCCAAACATCCTGCTCCTGCTCCACGGTATCGGTGACACCGCCGTCGGCTTCACAGCCTTCGGCCGCGCCATGAGCCTCCCGGAGACTACCGTCGTGACCGTGCAAGCGCCAGCCCCACTCCCCTTTGACCTGGGAGGCTTCCACTGGGGCGACGATGTCGCCTTTGACAGCACGACGGGCGCTCTGGACATGGATGCCGGGCTGGCGCGCAGCACGGCCACCCTCGCGGCCGTCGTCCGGGATACACTCGGTCAGAAATGCGGGTACCGGCGGCGCGAGATCCTGATCCTGGGCTTTGGGCAGGGCGGGATGGCCGGGCTGGCGGTGGCGCGGGAGCTGAGTGCGGACGGGGGAGAGGCGCTGGGCGGGGTGATTTCGATCGGGGCTCCATATGCGCTGTCGGGGGCGCGGACAGGCGCGAAGAGTCGCACGCCGGTTTTGTTAGTAGCTGGGCGCGATTCGAGCGTGGTGTCGGAGGGGGCGGTGCGGAGGACGAAGGACGTATTTGAGTTTGTCGAGGTGAGCTGGTATGCGCGGCGTGGGGATGGGATGCCGTCGAGCCGTGAGGAGATGTTGCCTGTGATGCAGTTCCTGGCAAGGCGGTTGCGCAGTCGGCAGGGGGTGCCGGAGGGGAGTGTTGAAATTTGATCTGGAGTCGGATTGTTGGCCTTGGAGAAGTTGAACGGAAATGATATTGTACAAAAATATGTTATGACTATAGATGAAAATATTAAGTTTTACTCCCTCGCTCAATTGCTACATGTATCTATCCTGTGTGCTGAAGGAGCAGTTGTCGAGCACGGATCTGTCAGTCAATCATCAGCTTGGGCTATCCCGGTGCGCATGATGTTGGCTGTTCTAATAGGCTGGTTATAAATTCTTGTTCTTGTATGCTTTAATAGAATGGCAGCTAGTATGATTGCTAACTTGCATCAATAAATGGGGGAATGATCATTGCCTGTATTGACCGGGAATTGGAATTTCCTCACATGACTTAATATTACTTCAAGGTCATTTACCATTGGCTTTCAATTCCGAAGGTATTGGCAGGGCACTTCATCCCGAAAATTATGTAGGTCTGGATAAGAATATATTAGATAACAATCATTATTTCGGTAGGCTCTCGCCAGTGCATGATCCTCGTTGTCCTCCCATAAGGTATTTGCCAAACGGCTCCCATCCGCCCTCTTTTGATATGGTGGATCCTTTACGCCAACATAAAAGTACCAATCGCAACGCCCGCAACAGCCATCAGCGAAACAGCCAGCGAGCCAGCCGCATTGGCCGCGGTAGTTTGAGTAGCAGTGCTGTTGGTGCCGGAGGCCTGTGCACTGGCTGAGAGAGTAGCAGCCGGTGTAGTCTCAGGAGCGGTACTGTCTCCACTAGTATTGGTTCCTGTGGCACTGCTGGTCTTGCTTGAAGCAGTTGCGGTACCTGTCAAAGTAATCTCGGCTGCATGGGTGGCGGTCGAAGACGCCAGGGCAGAAGAGGGTGTCCAGCAGGAGAGGTAGGAAGTTGTCCGAGTCTCGGTGCCCGTGTATGCCGCACAACCGGGGACGTCGGTTTTTATAGGAGCGCGGCCACCACCACAGTCGAGCGGGTCGCACACCTCGCCAGTGTTGGGGTCGTACCAATGGACAGTCTTGTCGGAGCAGCTGGTGTAGCTGTATGTGCTGCAGTCGGCGGCAACGGCACCGGCTAGCATGAGTAGCGAGAGGGCACTGGACAGCATTGAAGCATGCATTGTGACAATACTAGCTGTATAAAGCGGTTCAAGTATGACAGTAGACGGTCGTGGGGCTGAAGGTATTAGATTGATATGATGCAGATGAAGATCACCGTAGACAAAGAGCGTGAAAACGGGGGCACTGTCTCAGACTTATAACGAACGGATCGGCATAGTCTCAGAAACCAGTGGCTCACTAAGGAGTCAATTCTATTCTACCGACCGGCTGACTAGCAGGATCAGCCTTGGAAAATGCAATGTCGCATTAGCAGGGGCCATTTTCTCGGTCTGCGCCCAAGAAGAGGACCTCCCGAACCACACAGGCCCACCAGTACCTGGATTGGTGTGTGTCGCGTAGGGACATAGCCTTGCGTTATGGGCCGATAGGGGTTCAAGATCTCCACCTTGGAGCAAATTTTCAGGGTCTGGCTAACAAGCTAATCCGAAGCTAATCCGGGGTCCAATTTAGATAGACCCTAGGTTGACTTGGCATTGGGGTCCAAATGGCCATCTATGGTGCCGGTTGCCGATGAATTGTGGAGCTACCAGCGAGTATATAGCAATTTTCAACAAGTATCCCTTCTCCCTTGATGCCATCTTCTATCATTGAGAATGTCTCGATCAACGTAGATGTTCATCGATATAAATTTCTATTGCTAATGAAACTCGTCGTGAATCAAACTACATGATACGGGTGCGATGCTCGTTGGCCTTCTATTAAAGCGATATGTGACAATATTTGCCGATGTGCGTTGCGAGTCTCAATGACGTCTATTCGTATATTCTTTATAAGCAATTGTCTATGAAAACAGTGTCTGACAGTGGAGGAGCAAAGTCAAATAAGCGCAGGCGCAACCTTGCAGAAGATAAGATCCAGATAGTCCTATTGAAACCACTTCCAAATCTTTAGTCAATGAATGTAGCGATTTGCTTTCGGACGTTGACTTTCCTCTTGAATGAATACTTGAAGTTCACTCTTCGCTCAAAAACCATTACACAGTCTGAGCCACCAAACTGGAAATACGAGATATTATCTCCCTTTTCAACTTCTTGTCCTTCATTCACACAAAGAACAACAGATGATACTTGAGCCATTCCGATGGGAAGAATGGCTACCTTGCCATATTTTACAGTCTGGATCACAATCAATCCGCGAGTTTGACACCATTGGTATCCAGGGTCATTTGGCACATCGAGGTCCTCTTTCTGGTGGCTATGAGGATCGTCATTCTCACCATCCTCGCCTTCAGTCTCGTATTGAGCCCTCACACCTCGCCGGTGTGTAACTTCATTTGGTGCACAAATTATGGCTTGGTCCGCATAGATCTTGCCTACGGTAGTATTTTTTGCTACCTGTAGATATACTTGGCTTTGTATGACTCTCGCCTCAACTACCTTTCCACTCACTGGGGCATGCTGACGGTGATAATCAGTGGGCCCCAGGAAGGAATGGGTAAAATGACCCTCGTCCCAGGTCTTTGCCGTGGTTTGCAGCAAGTCTTTGATGGGCCACTTATAGTTGATACCCTTTATTTTGAGATTGAGGTCAATCTCTCCATTCTGAATAAGCCAATTTCCACCGTAGAACGAGTCTGCTGGCATGCTAATGACTTTGTCCTCATGAGGAAAGTCAATCGGGCGAGCCAAGTCGATATTTCTCCAGCAACGTGCAAACCAGTGGTTGAACGATAGCCAGCCACTGTCAGGTTGCTCCCATAGTGCTGCTTCTTTGTTGTATTTGGAATTTAGATAGAACGTATGAATCGCTCCGGCCGACTCAGAGGTTGACAAGAATTGTCCCTGCTGTCGAGCAAAGGAGACAAGCCAGTATGAGAGCCATGAAAGGTCTGTATTTGATGTCTCCGGTCTAATGGGTGTTTGTAATTCAAGGACGGCTGGTTGATCGAAAACCCAATAAAGGACCAAAATTTTGCGCAGAAGTTCATCTCCGCTAGAAGTCACATTTGGCACCCATCGCAGGAGGTTTTCACACCACCGGAGGTAACTATCAACATCTGCGATTCCTTCGGCTCTCATATCATTAGGTCCATCTTTGAGGGCACTTTGAATTGCAGAGTTAAACTTCTCCACTCGGGATGTGTAACGGCAAATAAAGTCTTTTAGGTCACGAACAAGTGGCTCTTTGGAGATGTACGTCGGAGAGGTTAGAATTCTCATTTTGGCATACTTCGAGGATGAAAAAATACCAGGGTACTGGAACTAAGTACTGTAAAGGTTAATGATGCTTCAACAGAGAAGTGCTTTATTCTGTTGGCCCTGCTGGTACTTATTTTGCAAGTCAGCCGTACGCAATCCTATCGAATTGCTTTTTTTTTCTGATTTCACTTTCCAAGATTTGTCACAAAACATGATAGACTGTGTCACTGTAAGACTCAGGGAAAGCACCTTTATGAGTGTAACATGATTAAAGTCTATCGTGACTATTAGCTATTCAGAGGTGAATGTGCTCACCGGTTAGATTGGATGATACTATGGGGATTTGTTGGCAGCCACTTTCGCTTTCGTCTCAGAAGTGGTTGCACAATACTTCCTCAACTTTTAAGATATGGAAATTTTGATCGAAGACTCTCTCCCCAACGCTTAATAAATGAAAATGCTGGGCCAAACATATAACATTCGAGCTTCTTTTACACGCAGCTGCATAGAAAGTATGTGATAAGCGGAAATGATTTCCCCTCAAATCCAATAGCAGGCACGGCAAGATGTTGAACACAGTTAAGTCATATATTGTGGAACTTGAAAGAGGCAGGTGGCCTATTTTGTCGCCTATAATGACTCACTTGGCACACTGTTACCAGTTCCTTATTCTTGGCGACTATGGGATCGTTTCAGTGAGCATTAATAGCAAAAGGATAATGATTGTTCGCGGGATAACCAAGTTGCTGAGCCGAGCTGGAACGCCACATTTTTCGTTTGATTTACCTCGTTCTTGGTGAGAGATTGGTGTAGAAGCATCTCAAACTACATATATTTTTTATTGACATTCAAAACAGGCTACTCGCTGTCAATGAAACAACTTCGAACTATAGTCATTTTTTTTTGCCATGATATCCAGCTGTATGCAGTACATATTGCCACTTCTTTCGTACGTTTATTTGAAGTCCTCACATCCTTGTTCTGAAAATCCAACTAACAGCTTCCGTTCCTCCGTCTCTTACATCATCCAATGTAGGAGCTCCGGGATTACGCCTCAACTCTTACTTTATGTCATAATATGTCTTATTCGATATTCTGTTTTCCACGACTATATAGTAAATAAATACATTTCCATTCTGGACTTTGCCAAAGTGTATATAGTCTATTTTAATTCTTGCATCTATTTTTTTTCGTAATAACAAAGGTGTACAGCTCTATCTTGTATTCTGCTCACCTGGAGCACATCCCAGCGTAAATGCCACAGTTATTGCGCCTTTACCTTTATACATTCTCAAGTCGTCTCACATAACTTGCATATACGATCATCACTTTTTGAGTCCGATGACAGCCAAGTTTCGCGGACTCTCGCTATACTCGAACACGGGCTCAACCCAACACTCTTTGACGGAATCATGCTCGCGCAGAAATTGCCACCGGTCCACAACAATCACCGCTTCCACAACCTGCGCGCTGAAGGCCATCAAACTCCAGACTAGGCTGAGGTTTTTCCTCGTGTGGTGGTACTCCGTCTCATACTGGGCGATTTCCTCATCCGTCAGGCTCGCGATGCGCTCCTGAATCTTTGAGCCATGTGCCGGATCGCGGAGGAGTTTGACCGTGGCGGCGCGCACGTACTCAGTGAAGGACGAGAACGCTGTCTTACGGAGGGACCCAATGATCAGAACGGGTGGCAGGCCTTCTGCATCAGAAGGGTCGCCACCGTAAGGATCTTTGGGAACCCGGGGCTTGGGTAGGACGCCGCGGTCAACGAGGATACGCTGGAGAAGGGCACGGAAATAATGACGCGTAAAGAAAGACTCGCTGTCGGCGTAGCCCCAGTTGTACGGAGCCTGCACGGCCATCATGCGGGCGGTAATATTGAGTTTCATGCCTGTTACACCGGGAGATTCGTATTTTTCGAAGTACTTGGACATGGGGAAGCCGTGAGGGTCGTAGGCTGTTCCAGTTTCTTTGAGACGAGGGTGGAGAGATCGAAGAACAGGAAGTTTATAAGTTGCGGGACCCAATCTTTCTGTCATGAGGTTATAACAGCAGCCTATCATAGCAATGGCTACTACCGATGGGTTCAGGATCAATGATCGCACACCGTGGTGGACGAGGTTTCCGCAGGAATGGAGTGATACCACCATCACTCGAGCGTCACTTTGTTTCTGCTCGTCTGATTCTAGGATCACGGATGTGTCTCCAGGTGTATCCTCATTTGGAGTCCCAATTGGCGATGGATTAACAACATGGTCAATGATTGGTTCCAAGTATCCGTCTTGAATGTCATGTTCGATGTAACTGAGAGTTCCTCGCGTATCGATTTCATCCTCAGGCTTCGGTTTGTATGAATGTTGCGTGGTAGACGTGGGTAGGTCCTCTGGGCCGAGGCTGATCTCACCGAGCATTTTGAATATAGTGACATCTTCTTTATCGCCATTGGTCTCTTCTCGGAGCGAGGGTTTTTCGGTGGACTCCGGCACTGTAGTTTCAGGTTGTAGGCTACCCGTCATGTCGGGCGCGGCTCTTTCAGGGGTCACATTGCAGCCATCACAGGACTTCTGACGATTATGCACGTAGACCGTTTTTGTCTTCTGCTTCGCCGCCAGCTTAGCAGCCACATCCATATCCCTGGCCCCGTCGATGTTCTGGTGGCGACGTTCAATTGCAATGATGTGCTTGTGGTAAGGAGAGCTGGCCAGCGTGCGCCCCAAATAGTTCTGCCCGGATCCAAAGTCCACAATATGGGACACTGGTTCACCGCGGTGCTCACGCACCGTGTCGGAGAGCGAGGCGACGTAGCGTGAGAAGTATTGGACCTCATGCGCTTTCTTTTTGTTCATGCCTACGGCGACATGTCGAGGCAATTTGGTTTTGTTGGAATAATCCGGAGTAAACTCTCGTTGAAGGGCCAAGCGGCGAACGTTGTAAATGTAGTCCAGTAGGGTCCGCGGAGGGAATGCGCCGCCGTTCCACGTGCGAGTGCTCTCACTGGCATTCTTATTTTCCTCGGTATTTTCGCGCAACGGGCTGATATCTTCTCGTAGCATGAGGCGTAGAATGTCGTGGACATCATGGTCATTGAAGAAGGTCCTCCATTCTTCTGGAAGAAGTGTCGTGTATAGATCGGGCTCGCGGGTGAGGAAATCGAGGATATGCACGCCGCCGCACAGGTTCATGAATAGAACTGAGGAGGTAGCGAAGGACAGCAGAGCCTCAACGTACGAATCCGGGTCCTCCCACTCATCTGAGAGCGGGAGAGGGCAATTGCGAGCCATGCGAAGAGGATTGTCCCCTGTCCCGCACGAAATGCAATTGAGGCTTTATCATGGGCTGTTATCTTTTTTTTATCGCTGGACCGATGACACCCGCTGAGTCAGCTACATCAGTTCAACTTTCTCTGGTTCATGGGATCGATGGAGATGTTTTAACAATCAAGACTTTTGTGAATACCTTTGCTTAGTGGTAGAGCATGATGAGAGAATTGTTTCGACTTGGTCTACTAAGGTGTTCTAGGCTGACTTCGTGATTGGCCCCGGATTCATGTTGTTCGATGTATACTCGGTCTTCAAGCCCACACTACCACGTGATCAACTCCGGGGGACCGGGGAGGCTGGCAGCTCTCCGTCGATGGTCCGTCATCGCCCAGGGGTCAACTTCATACATCACAGCCATGGAGACAGCAGACCCTTTCCTTCAGGTCCAGTCGTAAGCCACCGCTTTCACACCGCCCCTCCACGCACACCAGAGCCCCAAAGGCTAACCATTCCCTCTACAGGGACGTCCTGTCTACATTACAATCCAGCCGGCCGCTCTTCTCCTCATACCTCCGCATCCGCTCGTTAGCGAAAAGCCCCTCCAACCCTGAGCTTAAACAAGCGCGCATAGAGCTCGAAGCGACCATCACAGAGCTCAGTGCTGACCTAGATGACCTCGTCGAGAGCGTCCGCGCCATCGAACAAGACCCCTATCGCTTCGGCCTCGAGCTAGAGGAAGTCCAGCGCCGGCGCAAACTCGTCGACGATGTCGGGGGCGAGATCGAACAGATGCGGCAGGAGCTGCAACAAGCAGTGTCAGCCGCCCCGGAGCCGGAGCTGCCGAACCCGACGGAGTTCGACGCCGCGCTGGACGAGGAGGAGCAGCAACAGCGCGGGCGCGAAGGGGACGACTACTATGCGTCGCTGGAGCAGCAGCGGCAGTCGGAGCTGATGCATGAGCAGGATGAACAACTGGACGGAGTGTTTCAAACTGTAGGCAACCTACGGCAGCAGGCGAACGATATGGGCCGCGAGCTAGAGGATCAAGCTGTCATGATTGATGAAGTTGATACTCTGGCGGACCGGGTGGGCGGAAAGCTGAGCAATGGCATGGCGCGGATTCGACATATAGTGCGCAAGAACGAGGGTAAGTGGGATCTTTTCTCTCTTCAGTTTACAATGGAGATGCGGTTGTTACAGGAAAAACAACGGGAACTTGGAATGGTCATGAATTGCAGGGAGCTAACTTTTCGATCCATTTCTTCTAGATACATGGTCATCCTTTTGCATAGCAGCGCTGATCTTTGCGCTCATCCTATTATTATTTCTCGTTATTGTTTTGTGATAATACATTAATCGGGGGGCGTTGCAGTCGGGTAAACCACCAGCATCACAAGGAGCATGGCGTTTTTTTTTTTTTTTTTTCATGGGGGCAGGCAGATCGGAATGAATGAACGATTTTCCTCTTTTTAGTTACGGGCCTTCTTGCGGGGGCGCTCTTGGCCCTCACCCTCGTCCTCGTCCTCCTCGAGATCCTCCTCAATGTCTTCCAGACCCTCGAGCTCCTCCATGTCGAGGTCATCAAGATCATCGCCGAGCTCGAAAGATTGAGCTATAAGCACAAGGTTCAGAGTCAGCGCGGTTGTTCACATCGTGATACAATTGGGGGTTTACATACCGTAGTACTTCATGGCATTGGTATAGAGGTCCTCGGAAATGGCAATGGCGAGCTCCTCGCCGTCCTCGAAAATCTCGACATCCTGAAGCTCATCGATGAGGTCTAGGTCCTCCTCATCATCGTCCTCATCCTCGTCGTCGACCTCCTCGCCCTTGAGGATCTTGGCATACCGCTCATCCTCCTCCTTGGATGCCTGCTTGGACTCCTCGACAGAGACATCCCGGCCACGATAGCCGAAGAAAGAGAAGAAGCTGGTACCAGCGGGGCTCTCGGGTTCCTCATCCTCGTCATCCTCCTCCTCCTCGGCCTTGTCAGCCTCAGCTTGGATCTCAGCAATTTTCTTCACGAGGGCTTCGAACTCGGGCAGCTTCGTACGCTCGCCACCCTTCTTCTCAGCATCGGCCAGGTTGCAGGCGGCATCGAGCAGACCCTTTGTGGGGTCGGCATCCTTCTTCCAGTTGATGCGGACAGGCTCTGACACCAGACCCTCCCAGGTGCGGCGCTTGCCGCTGGGGGTCTTGAACACCTGCTTGCGCCAGTAGAAGTCCTTGACCAACTGGGTGTTCTCGAACCACTCGTTGTCCTCGGGCTTGAAGTCGAAGGTGAAGCGCAAGCTGCGGGGTTCGCCATTGCCTTGGGCATCGACCTCGAATCGCTCAATGGTCAGGTTCTTGAGGGCCTGGCCAAGAATGCCGGCATCCTGGGGCAGGATATAGTCTTCGATCTCGCCGGGAGCGCTGGAGAAGACGCGCATCCAGAAGTCACCCTCGACCTCAGGGTGGCTGATGATCTCATTGCGCTTCTCGAAAAGGGGCTTCATCAAGGGGACAGCCTTGCGCACTGATGGAGAACAATTGCATTAGTCCTGTATCTCTCTTTGCTTGAATTGATGTTGTATTTTCCTCCACGCCAATTTTGGTGTATTGAAAAATCTCTCGGTAGCTCGACACAAATCCAGTGATGCATCGCATCCCCATTGAGGGGGGGTAAGTCATCATTCGCCTGCAGTAGCCGGCGTCCCAATTGAGGGGTAAGAGGGAGGGACGAGCTTTGCGAGTGGGGAGATCGTAGGGGATAATGGGATGCTAATCGCAAGCATCTCCCGCAACGAGTGCCAACAGCGCCCAAAAATGGCGCGACGCGGGGAGGAAAAACGGGGGAGGGATGGGACTTACTCTGCTCAATCTCAACGCGGTGGAACTGCTCCTCGAGATGCGACATCTTCTTCGCAACATCGCGGGGGAGAGAGGGAAGCTCGATGTGCTCGATGCGATCCTCAAGAGGCTGGTCTGCGGACATGATGGAAATGGGTATAAAGTCAAAAGGATAAAATGAAAGGTGTCGTCAGAGCTCAAGATTGGAGCTTATAAATGAAGAGCAGAAGTGGCCGGAGGATATAGGGATATTAAGACCACGAACAGAAAAGTGGAAGGAGAAAGTGGAAGAGAGAAAGAAGGAAAAGGGAAGGGGACTCAGACTAAAAAAAAAAAAAATTCTGCCAGAAAGTCCGGGATCAGCGCGAGAGGTGTTCGATGCGCGCATCAGAAACTGTCGGGCGGAGAGCTCTGGTGTACTTGTGGCGACCTGGCGAGTACATTCGAGAACATACTGAAACGGCAGTGGCAAAAAGTAGCTCTTTGGTAGACTCATGTACCCCACATGGTCACACCAGGCAACGGAGCTGGACGGATTCGATGGCGGTGGAGCATCAGTTGGCACGGACCGTGACTACGGTTCAGTGGGCGCCCGCTGAGCGCTCAGTAGGCAGAATACGGCTCAGTGGGACCCTACTCACCGCTCAGTAGGATCCTTACGCCAAGAATCACGTGCTATATGAAATATGTGGTATTCCGGTTAATTACATTCTTGAATCAAAGTGTTTTTATTTACAGCTTACGGTCACTATACTATCTTTCCTGTATAAATTCATTTTCTACATCACTATCTACTGAACCAGGGCGCTCTACGACAAGCCTGAGAATGCAGGCAGGATGGGATAGGTCGGCGAATAGACCAACAAACCACCACACACCACGATAGAGGAAGCCTCCCAAAAGGGAAAGCAGAAGCAGATGAAGCGAAGAGAGTGTGAAAGTTGATTCTCTCCCTATCGGAGATGCGAAGCTATATCCTGTAAAGACTGTGTACTAGAAAGATATCCTCCAATCAGAGACCTCCCTAGTGTTGGCCATTTCCCCACTGCTTTACCTACTACCACTACGACCGAGTACGAATCTAGCTGGTACCGCTACCCAAAGTCGAAAATTAGTGAACTTATTCATTCAAGACTAATTCTTTCTATTGAAGATACGGTCAATAAGAGTGATAGATATTTAGTCGATTTAACTAATCAACGTATTGTTACGCACTCGCTGACTGGTAAACGTAAATTGTACGTTATAGTAGATATAGTAAATAAAGGCGGTAAACAGTGGCAAAACTTCCACATGTGAACATTTGTATCCTCCGGATCACAATAGCTTTAGTACTAGACGGATATGGACTAATTTCCCTTGAAATTATTAGTTTTCACCTTATTTCACCTTAAATCTAATCCCTAACAGTTTTCTAGCTCGAGTTAAGGATATACCTGTTAGTATAGTGACTGATATACTTAAGAACATTTGTTATACTATCAGAATGTAAGGAAACACTGTAAAAACGTGGTTTCAGGTAAGGTAGGGGGTAATAGGAGAGGGTAAGGTAAGGTAAGAGATAGGGGCGAAAGAAAAGTTCAGGCAACAATCAGGCGCCCACTTTTAGCGCCGCCTACTGAATGGTGAGTAGGGTCCTGCTGAGCCGTATTCTGCACGGCCTGAAACGGGCAGCTATGGTGCCTGATGCTGCCTGATGCTGCCTGATACATCCTGGTACTGTAGCTCAGCACCAGTGGAGAATTGCTATGTCTCATTGTCCAACTGCCGCGACCGTTGGCCGATCATTATGGGCTTCAGCGACTGTTCTCAACGGCCTAGAGCCTTGAGATATGAGATCGTAGTTGATATCGCCACGCATTACCTGCCTCGGAATAACATATCTCGCTTCGACTCATGTCTATAGTATTATACTCATTTTTGGCGTGGGGGCAGTCCAATTTCAAACACTTTCTGTACATGTTTGGGTCCCTTCTTCTTTTTTTTTGGTTTGCTCTCTTTCGAATATCTTGACTTGATTGTTGAGACCCTGAGCTTCCAACGGATCTATCCAATTGCCCCAACGGAGGCCCTCCTTCACGATATGTCCAGCTTGGGCTCATCCAGGACTGATTTGCGAGAGCTATTGACTGCTCATAAATTACGATAAAGTAAGTCCTGGAGTCCTGCAGATCCATATTCAGTGCACGAGATGTAGTCGATTGAGTATCAAAGAGAGAGATACCGTAGTCCCGTCACAGGCTCCGTTTTAAGTCACTCTAGATTTGTCCCCTCCGAACAACCCCGCCCCCCCCCCAGCACATACCAGCAACTACAAGTGACATGCACCTACCGGATTCTGGCCATCCAGCAAATACAGCGCAAACAATGTGACGTAGATTCCTAGCGGCCCCTTGCCCCCTCCCCAGCAAAGCAACGACAGATCGAAAGATCAAAAGAAACAACCCCATTAAAGCCACTCTCCCCCAGTGATTCGTCAATCCACCAAATCCCTCCCGATCGCAAATCTGCCCACGTCCTCCAGCAATCACAACCCCAGACACCGACCTTATCGCGCCTCGTCCATTGGATCGCCTGCACATTGCTTTTTTTTTTCCCCCGACCCATCTCTCTATTCCCCTTCCTGCGTGTGCGGGCCCCAGGGGAAACGCAAATAAATAGCCTAGACTACTTTATTTTAACCTCGCTCGCCACGCCTCTATCTACACGTCTCGACAGGGTCGCAGTCGAGAGATTTAACGAGGAGCAAACTAGTAAACCCATGCCCATGGAAACACCAGGGAAAATGGAGCCACGTCCATCGCGCTGGAGCGAGAGCTGGCCATTCCCATTTGATTATGCACCGCTCGCGTGCTCGCGTAGCCAGGACGTCTGCGATTGGGGGGGAAGGGAAGGGGGGAGGAGCCGGTGGACGCACCTGATGAAAGGAGCGGTCTGCGATAGGGAAGTCATTGGTGGGATGCGAGCTGCGGCGAGGGTCGCCCGCTGCACGTCAGGCACGTTATGCACGTGTAGATAAAGGTTAAGCCGAGGGGCTGTGTTTTGTCCTCTTTCGAGGGGAACGGATTCTCATGAATCTGAGCCGCCGTGGCAACTAGGAGAAGAGGCGAGAGTGGAAGAAAAAAATGTAGACAGAGAGAGATAGAGAGAGAGAGAGAGAGAGAGAGAGAGAGAGAGAGATGGAACATGGTTGATAGATCGGTGGATGGCATTCATTGGAGGGCCCCGCAAGGCCTCAAAAATCCAAGGAGTAAGGGATAGAGAGTATAGAAGTCTGGAAGGTGGGAGAAAACCAGGCCAAGAGCTAGGAGAAAAGGAAGTAGTCGTGAGATCTCATTCGATATTTTTATGGTGGGACGGGATTAGGCATCGTCATCGCAGGAGCCGGGGAATAAAAGAGCGAAACAGAAGCCTCGAGAAAACAAGAGGAGAGAAAGATCAATCAGGGAAACTTGAACCAGACACCAGGTTCCAGTCGCGAAACAAAAGAAACTTTTAGGGGATCAGAAGGCAGAATGTGTGAGATAAGGTGCGTCTTCAATGCCTCAATCCAGGGCATTTGTCGGCTTCAAAAAAAAGGCGATAAGAAAAAAAAATAAGAATAGTCATGATGTCCGATATATTCCCATGCCCATTCGCCAACAATGCAATGATTAGGGCAAATTTGGATAAGCAACGAAAACAGAAGAAAAGACATGCTGCAAGGCAGGGTTCCACATGCACAGGCATCATCACCATGCACGTCTGCCGAGGGGAGGAAATCAAACAGTCGTATAGAAGAAACAGGGCGGGCGATATGGATGGGGAAGAAAAGACTCTGATCGGTGCCTTGTCGGGGAACAAAATATCAGAGTGCACACCGCGGAGAGAATAAAGGAAAAGGCACCAGAAAAGACCGGATCGGGGGCTCAAAGCATCCAATCCAATCCGTTCGCCTCTTCTTCCACCGGGAAAACCTCGCGCGCATACTCTTCCATATCGCGCCAGCCCTGCCAGAGGTGCCGGGCCTCGTCGGTGACGCGCAGTGAGACCACACCACCCGGTCCTTGCATCATGCCGGCACCGGCGCCCTTACCACCAGCCGGTCCGAGGCCCTTAGGCGATCCAGCCGCGGGTTGTGAGAACTCGGGTTGCGGGAAGTACGGGGCATTGAACTCGCCGAACAGCGTCTCGAGCGTTTCTAATTGTTCCCGGTATCCCGGCGGGATATTGACTTTGATCTCGATCCGGGGCACGCGCACGTACCGACAGGGCCGGCTGAGAGCGCGGGAGAACGCGGCGCACACTTGGTTGGGGGAGAGGGTTTCAAAAGTGAGGGCAATGCTAGAGCGCGGCCCCGCCGCGAGTCCGTTAGCAAGGATTCTGGTTTCAACGCCAAGGAATCTGACACTCACCGATGGCCATGCCACTTCTTCGGCCCGTCCTTGAAGATCTGCAGCAAGGTTGGTCCAACATCGTGTTCCGCATCCAGCCAGGGCAACGGGGTCTCCGGGTCAAAAGGCGCGCGCCACTCGAAACTGCCGTCATCCAAGAGTTCCATCTGGAAGAGCGGGTAGGGCAGACTGGTAAAGTTGTTGTTGTAGATGCCAGCGTAGACAAATGTGGCGGGCAAACCCAGCTGGCGCACGTAGTTTTCGACGGTGAACTTGGGTGCCCACTGAGGGACGGCGGGCCACGGCCCGTGAACGGAGTGATCTGGCATGCTGCTGTAGATGTAGTGCTGAATGGTGCCGGCGCGCTTGGCGGCGTCGGCGAGCGCACGGCCGATGGCGACCTCGTCGCCGGCCTGGGACATGGTATTGATGAAGGCCAGACTGGCGCCCTTGAAGAGCGTGTCCATCAACTCCGGGTTATTTAAGAGGGGACCTTGGATCAGCGTGACATTGGGCAAGGTCTGCAACTCTTCGGCGATGAGGCCCTTGAGTGAATGAATTTGCGCGCGTACCGCATAGCCGACGGCGGATGCGACTCGGATGAGCGATGCCGCCTGTCGCCCGGCCGCGTTGACCACGGCGATAGTCTTCTGCGGTTGTGTCATCCGGGTTTGCGAAAGAGAAGGGTTCAGGACCTTGGGAGGGGCAATTTGGCAGGAGACAGATCCAGGAGAAAGAGAAGAATAGCAGCGGAGAGCCGGGCAGAGGATGCGACGAAAGAACCGTACCGGAGAGACAGAGAATGCGGTCCGAACCACGGAAGAGGGGGCACAGCAGGAGGGGGCAGAGGGAGTTGAGGTTGCGGATAAGTGCTAAGTGGATACTAGGAAGCAGACTGGCAGGGTAGAAAGGGGAGATGAAGGGCCAGATAAAAGAAAATCCGGAGTAACCGCCTTGGCGAGAAAAAATGGAGGTGAGGGCTTTGCGATGGTGGGGTACCTTGGGAGGGGAGCCCAAAAGTTGTATGTAACAAGAATCGCGATCAGACGGCGGGGACGATCCAGGTTCCACCGAGGCAGCCCAGGGAAATAACAATTAGGCGATGGAAACAGTCAGCCCCGTGGCCGAGATCTGCAGCGGACTTTGTCACTTTGTCACTTTGTCGCTTGGGCTTTGTTAGGATTCGGGGTTGAATGTGGGAGAATGTTGGAACGAGGGCAAATGCGACAAGAGTTGGAGAGTCCAGCGGGCGGTTTTGGGGCCCAGGAAAAAGGCGGAGGCTCAGGATCAGAAGGATAAGATAACGGGATGCAGGGCCGGGGGGATCGGACGTTCTATATATTCTCTCTTTTGAGCCTATTCCCGGAATAATCCCATCATTCCGACGTGGTCATTCTGGAGACCTGTCATGTCATGCTTGGCCGCTGGATGCTCTGCCAGCGCGACGGGAGTATAGGCTAGGGCCTGTGGTGCGTCATTCGACATTGCCCCGACGGTCCATTTGAAACTATAGAGGCCGGAGAAGAGGTAGCTTCCCGACGGTCGAGAAAGCCCGCTTCCACCGTGATTCTCTCGTATCCGAAGCATCAGAATCGATGCTAGAGGGGGGAGCTACGGTTATTGTTTATCGGCCGCCTCGCTCGATACACCCATCACGTTCTGATGGGATGGCCCCGAATCCGATGTGGTGAAACCTCGTTTAAGGTTGTTCCATCCGCCTCGATCTACTTTCGATATCCTGAGTCCCCGGTCATCTTGCACCACCTGGTTCTGGACCTACTACGATTGACATCATTCGGGATCCCCCGAAGATTCCTTCTCGTTTTTTTTCTTTTGCTTTTTTGGCCCCTCTAGTCCTCGTCTCTAGTCCTCGCATCTCCAATGACACCATCGTGCCTTCTCGGGGCTGGGCTGGGCGGTCTCGACGCGGTTTTCCTTTACGTAAATCGGCACCCAGTCGGCCGCCAACTGTTGGACGGGAAGCTCCTGGTTCGGCCACGCATCGGTACTCGGCCCCATTGGAGTGGAAAATTCTGATAAAAGTCTTTTTTTTTTAAGAGGGAGAACCAAAAAAAAAAAAAAGAATATCTTCTTTGCCCCCTCCTCCCCTGAAGCCTGATACTGTTTAAGCTCCCGCCAAGCCCTATGCAAACAGAAATCTTGAAAAAGGAGAAACTGACGAGCTTACGTCGAGCGAGGACTATGTAAACCCAGTCACGAATGATGCCATCCATGATGGAGTTCACTCACCCTTCTCCTTGTATGGGACGAAGTATAGAATACGTGATCTGTGATCTTTATTATCATGCTATTCACAATATACCACGAGGGAGATGCCTTTCCTTTCCACCCCGACAGAAATGGTAAGTCCCCCCACTTCAAAAAAAAAAAAAAAATGAGAAGAAGAAAAAGACCCAAAGGGGAAAGAAAAAGAGGGTACAGGTACGGGAGGTGCATTGGTACATCGGGACCGACTCCATCACGACCGACGAATGCCCCCCTCTCTCCCTCTCTCACACGCCGTAGAAGGCGATAAAATGGCGCACGTCGTCAGGCAGAGGCCGAACTGCGTTCGTTCCACCAACAACCTGCCAGGGGCGCCCTCACGTGGTGCTGGGTGTGGGTTCCTGGACCTCCAATTGGCACGCATTCGACCGATTGGGTGTGCGTCCCAAGAGGACTATCGCCGAACTGCTCAATTCCCTCGCATCACCTGGACAGCCAACACATGGGCTGGGTTCGGATGGGGAGAGACCTGCCAAATGGAGCATCGGACGGCCGCTAATTCTACGCTGCTCCTGATCCAACTAATACAATGGGATAATGAGAATCCCAATCGCCACTTCTGCTCCTCATAATACGCCCTGCTAATGAACTATCGGTCCGGCGGGAGCTATGGATAGCTAGGTCGGGGCCATCGAGGCCACCTGACCTGGGGGAGAGGGAGGGGGCAGCACGTCCCCCGGAACAGATACCCAGCGGCGAGGTCAATGCAAGTGCAGCACCCAGGCAGCCCTGCGCGAGGGGGTCCGGACTAAGACCAAGGACTCAACCTGCGCTATCGAGCTGGCGGGGTTTTTTCTCCGCTGACTTGCCTGTTCGGGCCTCCTGAATCCCTCGCCGCTTTGTCGTCGCGGCCTCGGCCACAGAAGCCGGTGCTCGGCCAGTCCACCGGTAAACAACTTCCGACAGAGGAAGGACGGTGAGTCGCTAGTCCTGAATGCTACCCGTCCATTCCTCTGGAGTCACAACACGTAGAAGGATAGATAAGAGGGAAAAAAAAAAACAAAGGGGGTAAGAAAATCATTGGCACTCTCAAGGGGCGAAACATGGACGTCTCGTCCGACCTGATTCGCCTAGTGTCAGTCGGAACAGCAATCCTATCGCACAAGACTGAATGATAATTACCCTATCAGTGTGCCCTTGATGGCATTTCTAAGAGGCATTTCAAAATGTTCTAGACCAATGTCCCGTTCAGACTTGAGATTCGGGTGAAGGCAAACCTGGGTGCTTTCTCCAATCTTCAACCCTCACATGCGGGGATCCGCGGGGAAGGATAATGCCTAAGCGCCGCTATCTAAAGCCAAATGAACTTAAGATAACCAGTGAATACAGAGCATATCACGATAAGATTATTCGCCAAATTCCAAATGTCTCACCTGCGATAGAATTGGATCGCCGCTCGTCCCTCCTGGGCACATTTTGTGGATGACTGCTGGTTCCGTTCGCCAGCGGGAGCGCATCTTTCTCCGCATTCTTGTTTTGTTTCTGATAACCAGAGCACGATATCGCCAGGTCCTGTTATCTTGCTATCTATCCCTTTTCAGGGGTCCGCCTGCCATTGGGGGAATAGTGGCAACCGCAGCCTCGGCACCTGGCGATGCTTATTTATAGGATCTCGATGGCATGTAACGTCGCACATCGATTCTACACCCAATCCGCACGATCCTTGGAGGACTCCAAGAACAGCCATCGACATCGATTTAAAGCTTCGTATCGATTTCACGAACGTGAATCTCTTATTTAAATAAAAAGTCGGGGAGCAAAAGCGATGTGATTCAAAACAATCTGGGCTATTGCACAATGAACGCACGGAAAGGTATCGCAAGACTATTGCGTACCTCCATATTCATCGGTCAAAGTATCTGCAAGGGCTTCATAGCCTGATCATAGCTCCCACATCCGCCAGTCTTGTAGATAGCCGACCCCTTCGCGGTCGCTTGACTGTCGAGAATGCGGTCGGTTCTTATTGTCCAACAGCTTCTACAGTACCTGCCGCGGCGCCAGTATTGGAAATGGTAAGGCGCCGTCGGCTCTCATGCGGATCCATGTACCTTTTTTTCATTTTCTTCTCGTATCGGGCATGATCGCGGAGATACTTATTGTGGTCGTTGTACTCTTCCTCACAGAGCTCGCGCGGTTGAACCGAGCCAAAATCTCCAAATTCGAAACATATCTAGCGAGCTATGACAAATGGCGGGAGTTGATGAAGGAAAAATACGCCGAGAAGGATTGTTTATAGAGAACGATGAGATGTATTGACACCAGTTGGGTCTAGGGGTTCAAATGTCCATTCAGTGTCTTCGCGGTTAGCTCTTTCTAACCCTGGATGATAGCTGTGTTCTGAGCCTCCAATGGCCTTCCAAACACTGCCACGGATGATCCCCCTTGGCCCTCGTCATGAAGGAGTTGGCTCATGAATGCCAATTCGGCCGTCCGTAAAGGCAGTGTTACTATGTGTATTCTCAATATGTCTCGGGCATAGCGCATAGATAGGTTATCTTGTGTTACTATACATAGCATCTCGGGTGCCCCTGCGTCTGGTAATCTGAGGATGCTGTGCCTGTTCACTCGACACCACGACTATCTGGCGTTTGCACTTGTATCCGATCCTGCTTGTGCATATGCCCTTCCATAGCGTGCTCTATCATGCTTATCAAGAATCATGTCGTGTAATCACCAACAGCCTGGTCCATCGATTCCGCATGTTGTGGCTGGGAATCAAAGCCCAATCTGAAAGTTTTAATACACACTGTTCGTATCACTCAGTCGGCCTCTACTTTGAGTACACGCGTTGCATGAATTTGAAACGCCTAGAAATGCCTATTTTCTATTGTCTATGGCTCTCAGCCGAACACCGCCCCTTGTCAGCAATCGAGTTAGCATCCGGCTGAACTGGGGTTGGTTGGGGGGTAGGTTTCTTAAAGCGGCGGCACCTTTGGGGCCAACTGCGTCCCCTCGACAAGCAAAAACCCGCGATTCAACGATATTCAGGTCCTCTCCAGCAGACCCCGAGCCTGCATGCGTCAGATTTTGACTTCCTTGGACTGTTCTCCAATTCTACGCCAAACCCCGCAAATTCTATCGCGTCCCCCCCCCCCCCCCAACCCGCACGCCCGGCCACGCTTGGACGGCGCTATCCGAGGGGGAAACCGACGCGAACAGAAGGAAGCAGTCACGGGACGGATGCTTATCAAGGGAACGACACCGAAGGTTCTCAAGCGAGCGCTCATTTTCAAACAATATGACTAAATGCTATGGGAATCGAACTCGTCATCCCCTTTGCCTCTCGGCAGGTCCCCAGCTCGAGCCTAAGAAATGCGGTGACCCCCGGACATTTTGTTGAGCAGGTTCTTATCGTGTCCCCACTCGGGGTCCGGTCTCGACCCCCTGGCGGCAGTGCCCGATCTCCGCGGAAGCAGCATCCTGCACCCAATGGTTCGATGGCGTTCTGGCGTGATCATTGCGCTTAGCGGAGGAGCCGGTGGACGTTGTACTACCGCGATGATGTGACCAACGTGAGATCCCTCGCTCGCAGATTGGGAAGAGAGGCATGTGAGCTGTGCGACTGAAATCCCTCCCGCGCTCCCCTGTCTCCCCGTTCCTCTCTTCCGACTTGAACTCGTCTGCTTGTCTTTCATTTTCATTTGATTTTATTCTATTTTCATTAGCTCACGGCGCTGACCCGGCCATTGTCATCCGACTCCGCCCGTCCCGGCTATCCTCGTCGATCTCACGCTGGCTGTTCGCACGGGGATCGATCCCCGCAAGACCCCAGACGCCAGGTCGGCGGCGGGCCAGTAGCTCTGCGGCCGGTCGCTCGTCGGAGTGCAGGTGGGCACCCGATCGACGGAGCAACAGGACATGGTCGGAGAGGCCGGCATTGGCGGCCAGGAAGAGCGGGGTGCGGCCATTGCGATTTCGCAAGTGCACAGAGCCTCCGTGCGATAAGAGGAAATGGAGAATCGCAATGGATGGAGAAGTTGCCGCCAAGTGCTAGCGTGGAAAGCAGAATTAGCACGCAAGAAAAGAAGAATGCAACGGAGAAAGACAAGAGCAAACTGTCGTAATCGGATTGAACTCACAATCGGCGTGTTTCCCGAATAATCGGCATCGTTGAGTAGCCAGTGGTGTTCGGTCTGCATGATCGTCTTGACTCGCTCGAGATCGCCCTGTGCAATGGCGTAACCCATAACTGTGAGGGTCTGCACCCTCTCGGGCAGGGCCCCGTCTGGATGACGGAATATCGGCAGTGTAGATTCAGTCAGCTCGCCGCGCAGGGACACGGACATGTTCTTGGTTACTGTTTCTGGCGTGGCGTCTGGTAACGCCAGCAGGTACGCCAGTTTCGTCAATGCCGCCTCAGTGGTCATATCAAGACCGGCTACGACCCCGGCCCGGGACAGACTCATGCCTGTTGCATAGACAGGGCTCACGCTGCCGGTAAGGCCTATGGGAAGGGATCCGATCACGTTAATTGGGCTCTGATATACGACTAGGGGGCGGGGTATAGCTCACATTGAGTAACATTGACGATAACGATACCGCGTTGAATGGCACTAGCCAGAACGTTGATCATGGCGTTATCTTGGCCCGATGGAGCATTGCCAGCTCCAAAAGTTTCCAGCACAAGTCCCCGGAGGCCGTCCAACTTCAGCACAGCGTCCACCATCTCGGGCTTGATACCAGGGAAGATGCGAAGACACGCAACATGAGCCGTGTCCAGATTCGTTTGAATACGGAAGTGCTCCAAGCTAGTGGGTCGGTGCACCATATCCCAGTTCACGTTGGTGCGCATCGAAGTGGTCACTGCCAGCGGTGGGCAATTCGGGGCATCAAAGGCCGCAAAGTCGCTCGCAGCCACCTTCGTCGACCGATTACCACGGAACAGCCTGTTGTTGAAGTACAAGCACACCTCGGGAATCATGAAGTGACCGGCCACGACCAGAGACCCGAGCAAGTTATCAGTCGCGTCATTCTGGAGCTGGAGCATGGGTGCTTGTGACCCGGTGAGAATCACTGGCTTTCCTAGGTTCTGCAACATAAAGCTCAGTGCGGAGCATGTATATGCGAGACTATCGGTGCCGTGCAGCACCACGAAGGCGTCAAACAGGGTGTAGTTCTGGAAGATCGCCTGTGCGATCTCTGCCCAACCCTTGGCATTGATGGAGCTACTATCCAGCAGTTCTTCAAATTCGAACACCGTATATCGCACCTGACGACCATACCGGGTAAGTGGAGTGCGTAGACTGGGATGAGCCGTGATATCACCCGTGGCCTTGGTCACTACGTCCATGGTGGTAGGCGTAGATCCGTCGTTGAACGAAGGCAGGCGCGCCATGCATTTCTCTTGAAAGCCTCGAGCCGGCACAAATCCAGACGGCGATGGCTGCATACAGATCGTGCCTCCAGTCATGATGATGAGGACCCGGGATTCTTGAATGACATCCTCGGGGATCTGTTCCCCCACAACAGGGAGCGAGACTTCTTCCGCAACCATGGTGAAATTGTCCTCGCGCGCTGCGATATCAGAGGGAGGACGGGTAAGATTGCTGCACAGAGGCAAAGAAAGCCCAGTGACAGTTGAATCGAGGGCAGCGACACTCAGTTCCCCCAGAACTCTGATGCAATGGCGATATTCCTGATCAGCACGATGGCCCTGGATGCCCAGATGATAACCCCAACTGCCCCTCCAATAGACCGTGGTCGCTCACTTCGGTGAAATTGCGGGGAGATGACGTTAGGTTAGAATTTTCACGCTGCTAGTTTTCCAGTCTGGCGATAAACGGGACCTGAAGTGAAACAGAAAAAATCCAAGCGTAGAATGCCCTCTCCAACACGCAGATCGTGATTGAGTCTTTTGGCCGAAACCCCAAAATCGACTCCGATCGTATTACGTACCGGCTGCTCATTGGAGAGAGATTTTCACGGGCTGAGCCAACTCTAAAACGTGGGCTCCACTGGACGGGTTCGGGCCAATGGTGTGGTGTCTCGGCGTTGGAGTGGGTGTCTTCCCGATGAATAGCGCGGTGAGATTGTGCAAAGAATTGAATATCATGGACGGTAGGATTGGCAAGCATGCAAAAAAGAGAGAAAGCGTCGAGAAGGAGAAACTACTGAATTCGGCGAGGATCCTCATATTCCTCTGTGCGTCCCGCGATTACAGGAATACTCGATTCCATACTAGTTTTATTTAGTATTCCGGGTCGGCTCGGAATCCGACGCTGTAACACGCAGTTAGTGAGGTATGACATGTTCAACACTCCCTACTAGATCGTGCATGCTCTTAAAAATGATTATATTAAGCATCGCATCTCTTAGATCCTATTTTTACAAGCCTATACTGTATCATGCTACATTAATAGTTAAAATCCCGATCCGTACGCTTCAGGACTAAATAGAGAATATCCCTAAGCACCTATAGAGCGCCTATACATTATATTCAAGCAGTGAGAACCTCTTAACTCCTGGTATCCGAGTATTACCAGCGACGCTGAATCCTTCCGATTACGCCTAAGTATTATGTTCCGAATCTTATAGTATGACTATATATATTCCGGACCAAGAAATAGTGTGTATTGAGAAAAGACGCTTGATGTAGACTTAGTTAGAGATATAATAGAGGATCTAGATAGAACTATATATAGTGTAGTGGGGAAACAGCGGTCTGCAGGATGAGTCAGGATTGATGTATATAAGGCTACGCTGCTCGCAGAGGCAGACAATCCGAGACCCTCTCTTTATTTCATGTGCCATGTGTCTCCTCCCAAGTACTCCTACTATCCCCTAGAGGCTGGACTTGGTTCGCAGAAAAGCGTAGACTACCCTCGTTCAATACTTGGTAGCTATTGCGAAAGATATCTAGAATTAACTAAACTGCGTTGCTAATTATAGGCGATATGGATAGGGGAAATCTATCAATACTGACCAGTCATTCATGTCCACTATTTTTATATCTTCAGAGTGCAAGACTGCTAAAAAAATCCAATCCAACGGTTGGTATTTACCTGCGCGGCACAAAACTTATAAACCAACTTAAACCAACTTAAACCAACTTAATGATAACAATGTAACTACTTCTAAAAATATCCAGACCGCTGAAAAAATCCTATCCTAAGCGCCTATAGAGTAATTTAATGGACTCTGTTATTTATAGAATAGGATATCGTTGGATGCTAACGTTAATCAAGTCTTTAATTACCGATAGTAGGCGACTGTTGGATAAAAAGTCCAGAATTTTTAACTAACCCAACACTCCAAAGATATAGCCTTCGATAGCTATACGCGCGGGGATACTACTCTGAAACCTAACTTATTAACGATCATACCTGTTATGAATATCGCCCCATCCACGTCGTTTTAAGTACGCATGGAGTGCCCGTCCATATCAGTTCACAAACCCAACCAACCCTCTATACAAATATCTCTCACGGCTTTCGCATATACCCCTACTATCTGGCCCTATCGACTATTTGAAAGCAGTGGAACGTGCTTTTTTCATTGATTTTTTATTAGACACATCCTGACAGGAGAATTTTCAGACAAATTTGACCCGCCGCGAAAATGTCCTCTTCAGAGACAGCGAATTCTGAATCCATTCGATTTTACAAGCCGTACAAAGAAATTGCCAGTGAACGATTGAAAAGTGCACTCTGGGAGCTTGAAACGCAAATTGTAAGATACAAGCAAACACTTGAGAATGTAGAGAGCAAAGCTCAAAAAGACTCCAATCACCCAATGCTCAGGGTTGTCAGGGCTGTGGGTCGAATGTTTAAGACAATTCCAGACAAAATAACGTTACGGAAAGGTCTTAATGAATTGTCAAAAGCTATTGATAATCTCAATGACGATCAGCTAGTCAGGAACAAAAGGCTTTTGGCAGATTATGTACAAATAGAGTTGTGTAAGATCACACGGGCCTTGGTGGAAGCAAAACACACTCGGTTTCAGATTGAGATTGCATGCTGGGAGACAGGTGACTGGGGGGCAGTTTTCTTGATTGTGACGTTAAGACCTAACACGCAGCGAAAAAGGTTGGCCTTTCAGGGATGGTCAGATGTAGAGCCGAACAACATAAACAACATTCCGAACAGTATCGGACCGGAAAGCGATGGATATACAATAATCGAGTATAATCCTGTTTTTTTTTTGATCCATTACTTTTGGGGGAGTGAGGTAGGCGATAATAAAAAAAAGCGTCACCATGGGGCAAGGTGGGGGTTAAATTGAGCGGAAAGATGAGGAGCGAAGAAATGAAAAGCTTGCGGGAAGCATGGGAGCGTAGGCCGGTTCAGAAGTAAGACGAACAGGCAGTGCTGTCTTTTTTTTCTTTTCTGTTTTTTAAGATATCTATGAAACTTTTCTTGCATTGTCGTGCAATATGCTGACACAACATGCTCTATACAAAAAAAAGCCTTAAGAGATTGTTAGCCAGATATTCTGTACTACAGAGAAGGTCGGTTGAAATTAATTGTCCAAGAGTGCTATTTGGAATTTCTGGAGCCGCGATGGTCGGACCAAAGGCAATTCTTATCTCTTTCAAGCAGGTGAAGACCTAGTAGACCAGTGTGGCCTCGAAAACATTAAACTTCACGCTTTGTATATCCGACACCAGGCTGTCCGTTCGGGCTGGTGGACCTACTACCATCCAGATTTCATCTTGAGATATGGCCGGGACTCCGGCTGGAAGGGAAAGATCGCTAGAACTTTGAGCAAATCTGATGTTGAGACCATGATCTCTGACCGAGAAGTAAGAGAAAGAGGAGAAAGACAGGGTGACGAAGGAAAGCGCTTGTTGTGCCGCGCACTACAGAGTAGTGATTTCTAGGGGCCATTGGGGCCATTGACTGACCTGAATAGATTAGCATATTCCTCACCAGCGGAGAGCAAAGCCCGGCTACTTCCACGGCCATCGTATACATGTATACTACATAGAAGAAATGACAAGTCCGTGTGTATCTAGCCAAGTGATGCAACGGATTCGATTGACGAACTGGAACTGGATATTTGCGCAACCCTGATACCACAAATTGAGAACAGAAATTGGACCAGACATATGAGAAGAGAGATGCAAGCAGTCATCGTGTTGTTGAATGCCGTGGAAGAGACACAATATAGCAGGTCAGGGAGACCCACAACGAAGCACCTCACTGAGTGCGCTACAAGGGAAATATCCGGCGTCTCGTTGACTTTGACGACTACTGGTGTTTCGAAGCACCGCGGTCACAAGGAAGGACTCGGCTTCTCTAGCATGCTAAGTTGTACCTTATTTGTTATTCCAAGGTATTTACGGACAGAGGGAGAGTAAAGGTGATCTGTGAAAGAAATTAAAAACTATTTGGCTGCGCTTTCAATCATGTCAGGTATTGCTGCGTGAGGCAACTGCTGTCCCCTGTGCATCTGCCTGCCTATAGGTTTCATACTTCTATCTCGAGGATGGTCCGCTGCAAGCGCAACTTTTTAACGTGTTATATGCGCGGAATTTGTTCTCGAACGAAACGAGATCGTGTTTTCTAATTTCTTTGACCATGTTGATCTTCTGCTCGTTGGGGAAGTATAGCAAGAACATCGAATCTCTGTAACCGTCGGCCACCGTGAATGACCATTGACCTGAATGGAAGACAGAGAAAAAGGATAGTCATTGCAAGACCTTGAGAAGAGAATCTTGTTATAATGTTTCCCGTGAGTGTAGAGGGTGCGAGTTGATGATGGCTGCTTTCATCATACATTAGGGTTGATCTGGAACAAGTCCTCCTCCAGCAGACCCATCATATACTGGTTCCCCGAGTACCAGTTGCCTAGCTGTGCCGCCTGTGACATTTCAGCCAGCGACATGTCTTGAGCAGGAGCTTGACTTGGAGCACCTGGAGCAGAAAAGCCAGTTGTTTGCAGCGATGGTGCCGAGTCGCCAGTCGATATGATAGGAAGATCTGGTTGAAAATAACCTTGGCTATTGGTCATCACACTCCCTGGAGCCAGACCCAGGGCACTTAGGTACACGTCAAATTCCTGCCCCACAGATGCTATCCCCTGACCTTCGCCGGATTTATCTTTTGCTCTGGCTTCAACATACAGGCGAGCGACAGTGCTCAGCACAGAGCAAAGGGTGTGAAGCCGGTCGATTGATTGAGAGAAGCGGCAGAGCGGGTGCAGAGATGCGACGAAGTCTTCGAGACGAGTGAGATCTTCATTATCAGATGTTGTAATGACATGGCAAAATATGACGATGAAGGGAACAAATGGGGAGAGGAAGATTGCCCTGCCCGTAAATTATTTGTTAGGAAGAGGCATGACTATCATGATTCATGTCGGAACGAGGGATGATGTGCACGGAACATCACATTGAGTGAAACTTTGGGGGGGGGGCGGGGTTAATGGAGCGTACCAATGCATATAAGAGCACCTTATGGCCTCACTGGCTTCTTTCAATACGGCAACACAGTTTTGATGATATTCCAATGAGGCTCGCGCGGTGTCGATGCATTCTGGTATGAACGGGGTAGAGGAGCCAGGCTCCACTGGAATGGCACGATATATCAGTGTGAGAACTGATAGCCGACTGACTTTATCACATCTCAGGTAAATTATATCAACGTCCGACAGATTTGACTGGGATGTGATGAGTTGCTGCAGAAGTTAGATGAATGATTCAGGATAAAACATTGCGCTGTGGATGATTTTCCTACCTCGAAAGGATCCATCACATCGGTCTGCATGATCCCCGCCAACCGACGGGCATGAGTGGCTCGCTCACTTTCAGGCTGATTTAAAGCCTTTGGACTGTAAAGGTGAGTGTAGGCTTCGTTTTGTATCATAGCCTGTCTGCACCATAGAGCACAGATCATATCCCATGTGCTCATGTTCACAAAGCAATCGAATGGCGAAGGAATATCAATTTCGAAGTCTTGGGCTATGGAAGCGCGACCTAGACGCAAGGATAACAGACTAGGAATGGTATATACGGACCAGAAGAGAGCCTGCTTTTTGTTTTGCAGATCGGGGGGATCATTTTCCATAGACGAGAGACGATGATACCCCAGTGTTTGGCACATCTGTACAGCCGTTGAAGCAAGCGTCCAACTAACAGACGGCTTGGAAATTTCAATCCCATGCATAGCCTAGACCGGTCAGCACTTTCTCATTCGATTAAAAATGCCTAAAACTTACACCGAGCACAAGTGCAACAATAGAATCGAAGGTGACAGGCATCAAAATGGTTAGATTGGCGAGCGCTGCCTCGAGGTTGTCCCTGCACATGTGCACATATCGATTATACTCGTCCCGTGTGGCGAATTCTTTCTCAAGAAATCCATATTCAACAAACACAATGTATAGTCCAAAGTTGGCCGTGATGAAGGATGCCTCGGAATAATCCTCTGTGCAGAAATAAACTTCCTGACACTTTGTAATGAAGTACTCAATGTCGAGAAAAGGAACATAACCCCCAAATGCCGACGGTGGATTTTCTGCATCACGTCAGACTTCCAACAGAGATCTCTCACCATCTAGTGGCCTCAATCATACCTTTCATCTTTCTCAACACTGACAACACCACCGGTAAAGGCGGCATTTCCAATTCACGGATATCACATCGACTGCCCAGTCGACTAATCTGGCTGGAGAATTGGCCTCGCTGAGGCTCATTTTGTCGGCGCTTATCTTGCAACTCCACGATCTGCTTTAATGATGAGAGTGCTTCATTGATTCTCGGGCTAGATAGTACTTCGGGGGTGCTGTGAGAGACGGCCGATTCAAGGAAATCCCGGGCATAAACCGAGTGAATGGCCAAGGAGGAATTGCCCTCAAAAGCAGAACTTGAATCATGCTGCTCAATGGTGGCATTAGATGTATAGCCTGGTCCTTTTGTATGCGGCTTTTCCTGCTTGGATGCTGGAGACTGCGTCTGAGCCAGAGTTAGAGGGGATGAATGAGAGGACCCAGAGATTCGGGACGGAAGCCCTTGCTGCCGCGATGAAGCCAAGAGCTCTTTCAGGGATTGCTCGATGCCGCCCAGGCGTTGGAGGGTTTTCTCGACTCCCGCAAGGCGTTCCTCAATCATGTCGATTTTCTTCTCACTATGGCCATATTAATGTCAATTCCCCAGTGGGGGCTGCATCCTCCCCTGACTGGGATCAAATCTACATACTATTGGCTAGAAATCAGTACCCGTCGCCGAGGCTCATGTGGCCGCTGCCCTTCACCAGTTGACCGGCAAGATATATTCGAGCTGCGACAATTCGAACATGGCGAGCGCTTGTCACACCTGATCTGCGGGACGAGTCAATCACCCGTGCCACTACGGGATTTCATGCAGTAAGGGCCACTTACTTTCCGAGCACGACACTGGTCACACTAGAATAAGAAAATGTGAGTAATTTTATATGAATTATTCTTTTTCATGGTCTCCTTTTCCAATGCTCTGTCTGCCAATTGCCCCTCCGTGGGCGTGGGGAAGTGGAGTACATACTGCTCGTCGGGCCATCCCGCTTGGCGCATCGTGGTCGGAGCCCTCGGGTTCCATGACAGCGGTGCGGTTGAGGCACGTGAGATGGGCTGCGCTAACCTGCAGGAAGTTGTTGGTGAATCCGGTATCGACTTGGACTCAAGAGCGGTTGGAATTGATGCTGCCTTGTCGAAGTGGTACCTAGGGGATCACGTGCGGGAACCGAAGGGCAGTTTGCAATCAGGCGATCAAGCGCAGATAGAGGGAGAAGCTGAGTGGAACGAGTATAGCTACTACATATATTCCTACTAATCAGGCTTTATAATTCTGGTAAATACATAAAACTCCGAAAAAAAAGGGCTATCAACATAATATCTTCATTTAACGTAGTCGGTCATCAATGAGTGTCTTTCAGCAAAAACACATTTGCCAAGGTCTACCACTCAAGTGGATAGAGCGCGTCCAGCACACCCAGCATCGTTGTATCATCTATCCAGCAAAGATCAAAAACAGCGCAAGGTTCGAGAGTACAAAGAGATAAAAAATCACCAAGAGGTGCGATGTAACCTGGGGACTATGACTTGGGGGAAGGCGGTGGGACCCAAGACCCGTCGCTTCTCCAGACCCCAGCGGGACCGTAGGTGCCAGCCTCGGCACCACGCAAGAATGCAAATCGGAAAAATAGATCCTCAGGTTTGTCATCGGGCTGATCATCGGACTGATCACTGGATAAAATGACTGACTGGGGCTCTGGTTCAGATGCATGAAGGCCACGGTTTTGGAGAATAGGCATCTTGATCAACTCCAAACCCTCGTGGCCATGACGGTGCCAAGTGAACTCGCCGTCCTTGTCTTCGTCCAAAAAGCCACGCCAACGCTCCACATCATTCAGCAAGACTGATACGCCGTCCACGGAGAGCTGAGTCATAAGTTCAGGCTCCCACAGGGAGAAAGTGATGTTTCCGTTGCCGCGATACGTGGCGTTGGAGTCCGGTTCAGGAAGCGAGATTTGTACTGATGAGTTAGTGACATTCGGGTATGTGTTGCCCCACCAGCCGTGAGAACCACTGCGACCAGGAGCAAGTTCTCCTAGGGCGGCTGGAGTCTCAATAATCGATGCAAATCCCCACCGGGCGACGCCGTTGATGAAGAGACCAAGGAGCAACCCTTGATAGATCAAAGATGGGCGTGTGGGGAAGGCAGTGCCCGGCATAAGCAGAATGGCAAGTATATAGTGGTGAATTCGAAGCCGTAGACCAGGCAATGGAAGGAGAATCAAGATGATCAGGCCCATGGAGCAGTAAATCTTGAGATACCTGGGAAGTAGCCCTCCCTGTCGGATTTGCCAGGCCTGGCTAAGAACAATGCCAAGAACAATTGGAATCACGAATGCGAGGGCCACCTTCGCCCCCGGCTGTTGCTGAATATCCATCGGCGTCAGGCGCTGCAGAGGGATCAAGCGGGCAAAGGTATAGTTGTTCAACGCGCCGATGAAAAGTGTTGGCAGAAACAGCAACAGCTTCTCTAGCTGATAGATAGGGGATGTGAGTGGCTGAAGAAGGGGAGCCGCGCAAAACTTATACAGAACATAGATCACAAAGGACGCAGGCAGCAGCCGGGAAAGTAAGGTGGAGACCAACTCGGAAAGGTAAGGATATGATGGCGGGTCGGCAACAAGTCCAGTGTGGCAAAAGACCATAAAGAATGCACTGAAGAAGAGTACGGGCGGAGATGTACAGAAGAGCCAGAGAACTCCCACAGCAGCTGCGGTCACCCCAAGAAGCGGCCAGCGCGGGTCGGCTGGACAGTTGGCTTGCGATGAAGACAGCTTGAGAAAACTGAATGCCTTAGGGAAAGTTGACGGAAAGCCCACTGACAAAATCCCGTGCTCTTGCACCGACGGAAAGGAGTGCGCTGCGCCTTCAAGTTTCGCAACACCGCAGCCACCGTCGTTCGAGATGGCACCTGCATGAATGGCCGCCTGGCAAACAAAACTGTCAGCCCGGTAGATAGCCTGGTCGGATGACTGCGACTGAGAGCCTCCAATCACAAGCCCTTGGTAGTTGAGACTTTGGTTTCCCACAACATGGGGTTCCAGCAACTTGGTATCGCGACAATTTGCAGGACAGCGGAAGGCAACGGCCGAGGCGGAAAACGGTCGGCAGTCGTTGCCATTCATCCCACATCCATTGTCAAATGCCCTACATGAGATGATTGAAGGTTAGCGGATTTCAGAAGAAGAGCGCGCGTTGGATTTCACAACGAACCAGAAATTGGTGGAGCATGAGAGTGTCTGAAGTTGACCATAACCTTCAATGTATCCAGCAGACCGAGAATGGAGCAAAACCAGGAACCAGGGCAAGAACCAGGACAAATATAACACGAATAAAAGGCCCATCTTCTGCTTGCGCTTGGGGAAGAAGTGGTCCAGATATTGGACGGGCAGTTCTTGGATACGCGGGAACAACGGCTTCAACAAGAGCATATGAGGTGGATCAGGGCCTTTGATCCAGCTGGCGGTGACACGACCAGCCTTCCTTATTGGCAATGGCACCCATCCCCAGCGAAAGGATTTGGATGACTCCTGCAACCACACCGGGAGGGCATGGCCTGCTTCCACATCGGGCGGCGGGAGATCTTCGGAAGCGTCGGGATTGGCAAGGCGCTCATCGTCCTCGAGGAGCGGAGGCACATAGAGCCGGGTGCCCTCTTCACGACCGTCTCCCAGCATGATTGAGGGTAACTCTGGAGAGTAAAGAAAGACCGTTGGTGAGATTCAGAACGAACGAACAGGTATGTCGGTTGCCGGAGCGGTCGGGAACGCTAGGCGCGCGGGTGGAGATCTTCCCCAAGGCGGGTTCGTTAGGGCCGATCCGCCAGAACCATGAAGCGCTCTGGGCAATGCGAGAATTCGAAAAGGATCGTCAAAAGGAATGGAGAACGGAGGATATATGGCGGTCTAAGGGTATTGTATCCCAGCAAGAGAGTGTTGAAAGAGGTGAAGGGGAGTTCGGCGGCGGAACACAGGTGACTGGGGCCGGAGATGCGCAGGCTCTCAGGCAGCCAATCACCTGCCCTGCCGAGCCCCAGTGGCGACGGCGCCACTGATGGCAGGCTTCGTTCTCTGCGCGACAGGGTCTTGGGGTCCCTGGGTCTTGCGACTGCTGGGACATGGCACGTCGTGATCCACCGCTATACAGTGCGAGAGAGGTGCGGCTGCGATCAGCGGATACGGGGACTTGCGTAAAGCCAAACGAGCATTCGGGGCAACACTAATGCAGGACGGTGCAACCCATAATCGATCTCTGGAGGTTCCCCGCAAGGGTTTCGGGTTTCGGGAGATCCAAGCTTTTTGGGTGCCTGGAAAGACCATCGCCACCGCGGAGGACCAGTACCGAGATGTACTTCGGCGTCCTAGGCCATACTCGATGAAGGTTAGATTATCTCGATAGATTATCTCGATAGATTATCTCGGTAGATTATCTCGAAAATCTCGATCATCTCCGATTAAATAGTCGCCCTAGGGTGGTCGGAACAGGCCTAGATCCACGTTCGACCTGAACATACTATAATGTCTTATCTTTCTGTCCCAGAGAACCCTCGCACGGTCCAATCGTGCCGTTCTCCGGCGACCTAACGGTGCTTATCAAGCACACGGCGAGTGGGCGTCAGTGCGGGGCCCCCGGAAGAGAGAGAGAGTGGGCGGGAAGGAGGGAGAGATTAGCTTAGAAATCGAGAATTCATTGATTAGTTCACTAGTTCGCGAGCTGGAAGGTGGAATTGGCATAGATAGGTGCCACGGTCCATTTTTCACCGTTTTCCACTCTCCGTGAACAGGCCATCTGCACGACCGTTAGACGTTGAGACAGGTGGATTCGTGATGGCCGCCTGCATAGCTCCGCCCGTGGACATTTCCCACCATTTTTCCTTTGCAGCCAAGAATCGCACTCCGAGCGGTGTCAAGAGCTTCTACAAGTACTATCTCATCCCGAACATTGCCAATTTTGCCGGTGGTATGGATATCTATCGTGGTGGAACGGTATACGATGACTATGGGAAGATGTGCCGGGGCTAATATTCCACATCACCGAGTGATCTACAGGCCTCCCACATCCTTCGTACTTCCCCTATGACACCCTCGAAGCCACGGTCGCTCGTCCTCAGCGTTTGCAGCCGTCAACAAAAGATGATTCCAAGGCCGACCGAGTCACTGTCCCCAAGCAGAGCACGCAGACCGACCTATCGCGCAAGATTGATCTGAGTACCGCCCTGCAGTATGGCACAGCCGAAGGGTACCCGCCACTTCTCGCCTTCCTGCGACAGTTCACCCGCGACCATCTGCATCCAAATGTGCCGTATGCCGAAGGACCCGAGATCATCCTCACCTGTGGCAACACCGATGGCTTCTCCAAGGCAATCGAGCTCTTCACCAACGTCTGGAATCCCGACCGCGATTGGATCCAGCAGCGTCAGGGCGTCCTGTGCGAAGAATTCGCCTATATGAATGCCATCCAAACAATCAGCCCGCGTGGACTGAACGTAGTCAGTGTGGGCATGGATGGCCAAGGCATGAGAGCCGCGGGCAAGGGAGGTCTGGCGGATGTGCTGGAGAATTGGGATTTTCGTCGTGGTTGGCGACCACACCTGATGTATACCGTAACGTGAGTGTTTGACATCTCTCGTCCTCTCTCCCCCTTCTCAATTACTTGGAACCGTCGCAGCTCATCCAGATCGCACCGGTAGGATCGGGCAAAATCCAACTGGAGGTACGCTCTCGCTTGAGCGGCGAAAGGAAATCTATGCACTCTGCGTCAAATACGATGTGATCATCGTCGAGGATGAGCCGTATTGGAATCTGCAATTTCCCTCGGCATACGAATCGGAGGCTAAGGCTCGAGGCACCCGGGAATCCACTCCATACAAGCGAAGCTATAACCCCGATGGTCGGTCCTCGGGCTACGCGTTTTTGGACTCGCTGGTCCCTTCCTACCTCTCAGTCGATACCGAAGGTCGCGTGGTCCGGCTGGACACCTTCTCCAAAACAATCGCGCCGGGAAGTCGCCTCGGCTGGATGACGGCACAGCCTGCCGTCATCGAACGCGTGGCTCGGATTACCGAGGTGACATCCCAGCAGCCCTCCGGCTTTGTCCAGTCCGTCGTGGCTCAAACAATCATGGGAAGCCAAGACGATGGAAACCCATTTGGTAGCACAAAGAAGCAAGATGGCCAGTCTTGGCAAATGGATGGCTGGGTACGCTGGCTGGAGGGTCTGCGTGGTGGTTATGAACGGCGCATGAAAGCCATGTGCACGATCCTAGAGGAGAGCAAATTCTTGCTCTCCGAAACTCCGGATACTTCTCATGTTGACGATCATGTTGATGGGTGGGAAGTAGTCGACCGAGTGCAGATGTTTGATTTCGTGTGGCCCAAAGGCGGCATGTTTGCCTGGGTGGAAGTGTGCTTCGATACGCATCGCTTGCGATCGCAGTATAGCGCCGAGCGATTATCCAAGGCATTCTGGATCCATCTCACTAGGAAGCCGCACTCGTGCTTGGTGGGCCCGGGTAGTCTATTTGCACCAACTCCAGAGTCGGCCAAAGTAGCCCACAAGTACATCCGCATCGCTTTTGCCCCAATGGATGCCGAAGATGTGGTGCCGTACACCCGTCGTCTTGTTGAGGGCTTCCGATCGTTCTGGAAACGAACGGATTTAGATGGATTGGATGACGAGGAGGTTTTGGCAATGCAGACAAAGAATTTGGGACCTGACGCTGTGAGCTTTCTAGGACCTGGATGCTAAAGAGGTCTTGTGGGGTCGTATTAGATCTTTTTCGATTGCGAATATTTCTCAGATCGTTGTCTTCCTTCTATTCTGATAATCAGTTGTCCCGTTATATGCCTATCTAATCAGGTCCTAGGTCTTTAGCCCACAGAGTGACAGAGGCAGTACAAGTCTGTTTTCCTTCGCACATTGTGATCTCCATCAGATCGAATTTTCCCGCAATTTTAGTTCGGATAGAATAATTAAGATACGATAGTAGCCCACTCGTGCGTGGTGCGGCCATACATGATATCGTGGAGCCACGTCCTCAGTTTACCAGTAATCTCACCAGGTCCGCCGTCGGCCCCCATAGGAACATTGATATCTTTACCTCGGTGATGGATCTTTGCGATGGGAGTAACGAACCACTGTCAAAAGAGCAAAAAAGCAAAGAAATCATTCATCAGCAAGGGATTTCATCAGCGCAATTGACATGACCCGAGAGAGTAACTTACAGCCGTGCCAGCCGAGAACGCCTCCAAGAGACGATTCTCTTCCGCTGCTTCGAGTAAATCACTGATCGTGAACCTTTTCTCGGTAATTTCAATCCCCTCACTCAGGCGCTCCCTCGCCAGATCGAGACAGCTTTGGCGCGTAACGCCCTCTAGAATCAATTGATCATCCAGCGGTGCTGTGATAAGCTCCGTTTTGCCATCTCTTCGCTTCCAAACAACAAAGAAGTTGCTTGCACCGGCCTCGGTGCATTGGCCTTGCTCACCATATAACCAGAGAATCTGATGAAACCCTTGCCGGGCAGCTTCCTGACTGGCCAGCACTGACGGGCCGTAATTCGCGCCGACTTTGGCATAGCCAAACCCTCCCACCCACGACCGGACCATGTCGTCTGGCGAGGTGAGTAGGCGTTTCCCGCCCTCAAGAGCGGTTCGCGGCCCTAAAAACCCGAGGATAATGTATAGAAGGGCCTGTTTGGGCGGGGTGACGGCGATGCTGGGGTAAGAGCCAATCAACGTGGGTCGGATGTAGAGAAAAGCGCCGGGTCGGTCTTTAGGCAGCCATTTCGGGCCATCGACAGCCACCAATGCAGTGATGAGTTGTTTGAGCTCGTCCGGGTTGAATCCCGGCAGCGCGATACGCTCGGCCGACATCCGGAGGCGCTTCGTGTTGCGATCTGGCCGGAACAGGCGGAGTTGGCCATCGTACCCCCGGTATACCTTCATCCCCTCGAAACACTCGTGCGCGTAGTGTAGACAGGACGCCGTGGGCATTAGACTGAGCGGTCCGTACGGCTTGAGTTCTGGTGTCGACCAGCCTGATTTGGCAGTCCAGGGAACCGTGATCATATGGTCGGTGCAGATAGTCTCATCGCTGCTGAAGGCAGTATCCTCATCTGGGACCTGTTGGGGGGTTTTGGTATATTCGTAAGTTAACTTGGATGCATCGAGTGGCTGAGACTCTCGGGAGCTTGACATGGTGACAGTTTAGGAGTGATGGACAAGAAGAAGAGTCGAAAGCGTCTCCGGCGCGAAAGATGAACAGCAAGTCGATTTCTATTTATGTTCATAAAGCTGTGCTCGAGTCATTGGGACTTATCAGGACTCGGGTAGTTCGAAGTTGGGGCTGTCGATCTTGGGGCCATTGAGCCCGGGGCCGTCGGGGCGAGGGGTGGGTTCAGTATCAAACAAGCAATCACTGCGGTCTCCATGCTCCACTTGGTTACATGGGGGTGCGGGAGGAAGTTCGGTTGCGCTCGCGGAGGCCAGGACGCCAGTTCACAGCGAGGGTTTGCCGGATGATTGTTGCTGTTGGAGTCCCATTCCGAGATCTGATTGCTTAAATCCTTGATTCATTCCTTCCAATGTGAGTGGTATTGCATTTTACTGCTGCTTTGAATTCTACAGAGCCTTATATAGTAATGATTGGCCATTCGTTCGCTAAGATTTTGGGTGGCGGGGTTGCGACCAGTAGGCATCCTGCTAATCCGAAGGCCAAAGCGACAACAGCTTCTTGCGGAAAAAGCTTAAGTGAAATATTCGATGCCACGTCGTCCGTTCTCTGGAATCTAGACTGTTCACCAGTCATCAATTAATTGTTAGTTATCCCCCATTCTTACTAACCGTCAATCCACTAGGTAGTGTTCCTGCGTGACAATATCGTCACCGCTATTTTAACATTAATTTCCTCATAAGAATGAATATCACCTTTACAACTCCTATGGAACTTAGCTTCTTGTTACTAATTCGTATTAAACCCAAGTTTTTTCTCTAGGGAGCTTATCCCTAGGAGTCGATTTCGAGTCCCTTTTTGCAATATATTAATTATTAGTACTATTTTATCCGAACGTTCTCCCCTTTTATCTTGTTCGGCTAAAAAGCCGCGCCCGAACGCCTTAACCCTTCTACTAATTATCCTTACTCTATCACTTTGTATCGAAGCTCTAATAGTCGACCGGACTAACCGAAAACCTAGTCGCTTTCTCTAGATAGCTAGATTAGCGTATATGATCGAGCTCGCTTACTAGTTCTAAAACTTTCTAGGATTATATAAACTACTATCTATCTCGCTAGCTGATTTCAATACAAATATATATTGTCAGGGTGCTGCTTCCAGTGCAACGGCCTTTTTGGTCAGGTAAGAAAAAATGAATACAATATTGAATCGAAATAGAATCGAGGAAGAATAGGTCAAGGCAAATAAATATCGGTGGAAACACTATTGACTACAGTAATAAACCTATTATATGACTACTAGTTCATTATATCAGCTGTATTACTTAGCAACAAAGACTTAACTTATTTTGGGCTTAAGAACCCTTGTCTGTAAAAGTAACGCTCAATCAGAGGCCGATTCCTGCACCATTGGTCCCTTCTGGATTTAGTGCCCACACTGCTCCTGGAATGTCCGGGAGCAAGGTGAAGTGGCCCGTTGGTTGTTGTCTGGGGATGCCTTGAATGTGACTGCGCTAATGCATGGTTATAGACCTCGCCAAAACCGCGGGTCTGGTTTCGGCCCTTTCAAAGCCCCCCAAGACTTCTGAATACACGTAACATATACCATATAGCGGATCTTTGTCTGTAATAATTTCTTCCATATATTATTTTGTAATTTAAAGGCTCCTGGGTTCTTGGCGGGTTCGCGGGTACCCGTAGGGTACTCAAAAAAACAATATGGGGCCATCTGTAGGCTGCGGCCCCCAACTTAGTGAGGTCCGTAACAAGGTACAATTGATAGATTAACGGATTCTAGTATTACTCCGCTCCGGTTGCGATCCTTATTCTTCCTAAATCCGGGCCGATTATTCGTCCATCCCTACCTCCTTAAGCACTAGGTTTCCTCTTTTCTAATCACTAAGATGGATGTAGTCGATCATCACCATCAACAACAACACCAACGCCAATCTCGTGAAATCACTCGATCTCATCTTTCCCTCCAACAAACATCATGCCGACAATTAAGTACAACCCGGACAGTATGCCCGATTTGTCTGGAAAGGTCATTCTCATTACTGGCGGTGAGTTCCACTACACCAATAACGAACCTCAAAGCCCCAATATCTCCATCCAGTCTTTTTGTACGATGAATCATGAGCTAATCCTTGTCTTCTTTATGTGCTCGGCCAGGCACTGGAGGTCTTGGGGCTGAGAGTGCACGGCAACTAGCGCAAAAATCGCCAGCGCATATCTACATTAGTGGTCGGAATGCCGCCAGTGCGGATGCAGTCATCCAGCAGATCCGACAAGCTGGTAGCAAAACGCCGGTCACCTTCCTTCCCTGCGACCTGGCCTCCTTGGCTTCAGTGAAACAGGCCGCAGAGACTTTTCTAGCCCAAGAATCCCGCTTGGATATTCTGATGTGCAACGCGGGCATCATGGCCACGCCACCGGGGCTGACGGCGGACGGATACGAGATCCAATTCGGCACAAACCATCTCGGCCACGCGCTGCTGATCCGCAAGCTGCTGCCACTCCTCCAGACGACAGCAGAAGCAGCGGACGTGCGTATTATCCTACTCACCTCATTGGGGTTCAAGATGCACCCGGGTGGAGGAATCGTCTTTGGCGCGGTACGCACCAAGCAGGAGTTCAGCGCCTTTGGTGGATGGATCCGCTACGGCCAGAGCAAGTTGGCAAACCTGCTGTACGCGCGTGAGCTCGCACTTCGATACCCGGCCATGACCAGTATCTCCGTCACCCCCGGAGTCGTGAATACCGGGCTGGTCGAGAACCTAGGGTACTTCAACCGCGCCTTTGTCTGGGTGACCAACTTGGGCCAGCTGATGAAGCCGGAGGAAGGCGCCCATAATCAGCTCTGGGCTTCGACAGTCGCCAAGGACACCCTGCAGAATGGCCAGTTCTACGAGCCGCTTGGGGTGCTCTCTACCAAATTAGACAAGGCATCCCAGGATGCAGCGTTAGCTAAGCGGTTGTGGGATTGGACTGAAGAGGCCTTGCAGGCGTACCTGTGAGATAAGAGATATATAGAAAGAACCTATCTCACTCTATTTAGCGGTCTCTCATATCACGTCAAGTCGATTTGGTTTCAAGATGACTTCTCAAGTATCAAACATGTTCATACTACAATAAAGTTTCAAAAGTCTGTTCCGATCCCCACTCTCTATCACCACACTAGCCACCCACACATATATTCTTTCCTTCTACAACTACCTAGATTTTGGTGGTCATCGCAAGATAAATAGTGAGTTAATCCCTGCTCAACGTCAAGCTACTATATATGCTATTAGAAAAGGTGATATTTCGCGTGCTTAGCTAGCACAGGATTCTAGGTGTTCGTCGAAGACTATAAATTAGGTCTTTAAACGCTACTAAAACGAGTACACCTTTGATTTAGCGCTTCGCTTAGGTAGACCAAGAAAGCTTAGTAGTCGTAATTATATCTTTCTATAATTGCAACCTCGCCGGTCTCCTTTTTAGACTATAAATAATAGCTATCAGCCTACTTACCTAGTTATCAATCTAAGTCAATAATTTGTCGAATTCTTCGCTAATTCCGACTTTCTAAGTGTTTATCAAAAAGGAAGATTCCTTTAGGACTTAAGACTACTTTAAAACGACGGTATTATATATTCAAATAATGAAAGATTACCGATTCTTTGAGGATTAAAAATTAGATATTTTTAGACGAGTGTTCTATTCAACGAACGTCGAATATTAGGCCTAAATAGTGTTGGAGATTTGCTTCTAAGGCCTATAGGCGTGATCTTATTAAAAGTAGATTTATATTAAAGATATTTTATAGATAGTCTAGGGTGCTATCTAGCTTAGTAGTCGATCGGAGCTTATTATAATAGAATAGGAGGAATCTAATAGTCGGAAGCGAGGTTATATAACGAAATCCTCTATGAAAGCGTTAAAAGAAGGTCTTTTGCCTATCTATAAGCCTAACATTATCTTTTAGCAAGATAATACTAGTATTGATTGTTATAGAATAACCACATTTGATGTTATTCCGGCCGACCGGCTTGTTTCGGGTACGAATCGTATACATAATGATATTTGTGCATGAAGAAGAACAAGTTAGAATCGGACTCCTTTATCGTCATACCTTCGGCAGTCAGCAGAATAACGATATTACAGCAAAAGAAAGAGAATCGCCCTTTCTTTCGAACTCAACCTCTTGAAGATTCAATTATTGAAACAATATACCTTTACTATTCTTCCTCGATTCTATTTTGATTCAATATTGTATTCATTTTTCCTTATCTGACCAACAGACCGCTACCCTACAAGTAGCACCCTAACAACCTACTACTTATAATACTAATCGAGAAGATATATTCTAATCTCGGCGCCCCGGATAACGAAAATAAAGTCCTAAACTAAAGTCCTAAGAAAATACTTGACGGAGTATAACAACTATTAAGAAGCTCTAGTAGTCGCTACTAAATATAATATAGAAATCCTCGTATTAGACCTTTAACTACGCTACCTAGGAATCCATCAAATACTTAACTTACCTAAGCGTCTTTAAGAGCTGTAATAGGAAGGTAATAATATCTTGGGAGCCTTAGAGCTAATAACTACTTAAGAGACTAATATTATGATAAGATTCAAGAAAGAGGAGAATACCGCTGACTTTAAGAGCTGTCTCCTAGATTGAAAGGACTAGATAGCTAAAGCTTTTTCAACTAAAAAGGAAGCTCGTCTAAGAAGCCTAGGAAAAGGAATAGATCGCTACCCAAGAAGCCTAGCAGCTTACCGCTAAAAAAACCCTAAATCTCATCTAGACTAGGATAACTATGGAGATATTCGACTCTATAACTAAGACCATTACCGCCGAAGGATCTATTATTATTAAAAAAAGATATTACTATCGACGAAGCTACTAGTTCACAGAGAAAGCCGTCCCCGATAGAGCTGCCGAAAAGATAGTCGACGAGGTAGTAGCCGAAGCCGAAGCGGCTGTCGAGTCGGATAGCCTAAGAACCCCGGTATAAAGAACTCACGATAATGCCTCTAAGGAGAGACCTATCACGGCTCTCGACCTAGAGCAATTCAATATTCGATAACTACTATAGGACGTTAGAGCTCTTTTGACTAGCTCGTAGTACTTTTCCTTTTATTTTCCTCGGATTTATATTCCCTAGCTTTGTTTCCTCCAGCTTCTTATGCTTCCATCTATTATAACAACAGCGCAATGCTATTTTTCGAAGGAAGGCATTATGTTACTACTTGACAATATCTTCACCACTAGCTTATCATTAATTCATTCATAAGAATAAACATCACCTTTACAACTCCCATGAACCTAGCTTCTTGTTACCAGGTAGCTAAGCGAGTTATCCTGTGCGCTCGTTGAGGCATCAAGCTGTCCGCACAGCTGCTTGCGGAACGAAGCGATCCACTCGGGATTATCGACAATGGTTTGGTTCCAAGTATCTTCCGAGTCATATAACACCTGTCGAGCTTCCCTTTGGAACATCTCGTCTGTGGGGAGAACTCCAAGGCTCATTTGTTGCCTCGCATAGCGACTCAGGTGTAATATAAGAACCTCCATAAATGATTTTAAAGGGATATCTCGGGTCTGAAGTTGTTCAAGCGAATGAACCAAGTCGACGTCGTCCGCAGCATTCGTCTCATCCGGCATGATCTGTTGGTTCTCGCAATTCTCTATTCCATCATTGGCCCAATGAGCCCGTGACGAGATCTGGGCAAAGTGATCAACCGTGTTGAAGTTGGTGGCCGAAAAGGGAACCATGGAAACGGATTCCGATGCGATATAGTATGGCGGCAGAGCACGTTTAACCTGTGCGGCAATGGCAGGTTCAAATTCATGATCGCCTTGCCAACTCTTCATTGTCGAGCCTTTTCGAAAGTGTGCGGCCAGGTGCTCGATTCGTTCCTCCCAGCTAGCGAGGCGGCAGTTACAAAAGCCGCATCTTGAGGTTACTGATTGAGAAGCGGTCTTCCACTCATCAATCATGGGCATGTTTTGAAGGCGATGAACAAGCCGAAGATGTTGAACAAGATGATCTTTTCGTTGGAATGTACGCGCTCCGTTAGAACACCGATGGTAATTATGCTCTTCAAGATGTTCAGGAGAAGGGTCCAAACAATGGCAGTAAGCACAATGTCTTCTGCCACTCAGGGGAGAAGCTGGAGCTCCTCCAAATGGCGTACACACCCACGTTTCCAGGTTCAAGTGAAGTGCTTTCTCATGACGGATCCAATCGTACTTGGTTTTGAATTTGTCACAACAGAACGTGCAACAAAATTGGCGATCTTTCTCGGTGCTAGACTTGACTGCTGGCTTTTGACGCCGTTTCTTGCCCACACGACTGTGTCCTTGATTTTGAGCTGCGAGTGGATCCTGTGATACTGCTGATGCTGTGGATCGAGTGGAAGTAGCAGACTGCCACGAGGATATGCTCGTGCCACTATTGGAACTTGCCAGAGAAGCTGGTCGGCGATGATGACGGAAGGCACCATATGTTTGGAGGGTTGAGGTCTTTTGCTCAGATGTATTCACGGCATTCATAATGGCGGACATTGAAGCCGGTTCATCTTCAGGAGGAGATTCTTGCCAGCGTTGCATGGGATCAAGATCACTGGAAGGCTGAAATGGAATTGATATAGGAGTTACAGTCTCCCTGGATCTCGAAAAGAAGTATCGACTTCGCCGCCTCGGAAGGCCAGCGCGAGGATTTGGGGTCATCACGGGGCCCACAGCCCGAGAATTGCATGCAGTTTCATTACTGCTGTTTTGATTGAAAGGGTCGTTAAATGTATCATAAAATGGCGTATTTGTGTTTAAATATGGCATTTGAGGGGTGTCAGTAGCCATAGGTGGTAGTATTAGTGGAGTATCTGTTGAAGATGCCGAGAAAAGATCCCCGTATGATGCAGAAACATGTTGCTGTGATTCACCGAACTCAGAGCCCGTGGTGCAGATCTTGTAAGACTCTGGTAACGATGGCATAGTCCTTAAATCCTCAAGAGAATTCCAGTTTCCGATGACGCCCTCATCTGTTGGATAGCCCGGTTGGGGATTGATGGGAGGGCCAGTGATTGAACTCAGTTGCCCGGCAGAAGCTCCCCAAAGAGTAAAGCTCCCATGGAAACCCTGCTGAGTCCAAGTAATCGACCTCTATTTAAAAAATTAATTATCATATAATGCTTTATCAGTGTCAAGAGCACGTACCTGATGGGGCGCCAATGCCGTGCGTCGCATCGGAAGGCAAAGACTTGGGAAGATGCCCCGCTGAGCCTTCAAAGCATTCCATCTCCTGTAGCGATATTGCTAAGGAAAGACTGCGGCTCCCTGAGGCGACAGCCTGTCGACAGTCTGGGAGATTCCAACAACGATTTGGAGTTATTTGGAGTCTTCGATGGTGCATTTGCTTCCAAGTAATATTTGCCTCTCGGCCCGTGTGGGAGCCAGACGTGTTGCTCGTGCCGAAACCCGATCATGGAATGACTAATCGCCACATTCAAGATCTCTTGGAGGCAGGGTAAGTCTATCCGGTTTCGAGAGCAGTCTTGTTGGGGCCATTATGGCGAAATAAAGAAGAAATTCATATGAGAAGTCCTCCTTGGGCTAATGCGGTTCTCACCAGGCGAGAAGGTTGAAATTCCTTGAGATTGTCTTTTTCACACCCCGCGCGATCAGCATGACCTAGTATATCGGTCTCCTTTTCGGCATACTGTAGAGACACCAGCAGCTTAAGTTTTTGGATATACAAAACTATCAGGCTTATTTGAACATCCCTAGGCTTCAAGATGTACGCAGTATAGAGAAACCAGCCGCTCCAGGCGACGACTTTCACCCTCGATGAGCGGCTTTCCGTCTTCTGCCTTACTGCCTGAGAAATTCCAATGCGGGGAAATTCTCCGCACCTTGCGATTTTCACACCTCATCCCACGGAGTATGTCGAGCCATGTCGCTGCTAGACGATCTCCCCAATCGAGACCTCGCCGAGGAAATTGAAGCTATCAATGCTATTTACGAGCCTGACACCATCACGGTGAGCCGCGTGGCGGGCGCGCAGCCCACCACCAACAACACACTCGACCTGGGAGGCACCGTCGTCTCCGACGACAATGCGCAATCGTTAATCACACTGCAAATACCTGGCCAGTCACATCTCTCCTTTCGCCTAGGCTTCGATGCCGCCTACCCTGAAACTCGACCTGTCGTCCTCGGAACGGCGTCGACCGCCGCACGCGGAGAAGGCAAAATCGCAGTCGATGTATTGGAAGAGATTGTGCAGCGGATGTGGCAACCCGGTGCAGTCTGTCTATTCGATGTCATCAGTGAAGCCGTGGAGGTTTTTCCGGAATTGAGCATTGGAGATATCAAGGATGGCGACCCGATTGGAGCAGCGCATTCCTCTGCGATGGCGGGGAATTCGACTCAGGGCCAAGGTGCAAACGAATCCACAAACAGCGCCACGGATGCTCTCGCTATGCTTTCGCTTGAGGATGCATTGGGACTCAAACACCCACCAGAATGGATTCTGTCTGATGTGGTCACAGAAAAGAAGTCGGTGTTTCTGGGCCGAGTGGTGAGGGTCGATAGTCTAGCGCAGGCGCAGGCTTTCCTGGATCATCTCACAGCAACAGATAAGAAAGTAGCGGTGGCAACGCACAATATCAGCGCTTGGCGTATTAAGCAAAAGAAAGAGTCCGGGACCCGCGTCTCAGACACCCAACCTGACCCTGAAGCGGCCGAGACGGTGATTCAGGACTACGATGACGACGGAGAAACGGCTGCCGGTGGCCGTCTACTCCATGTCATGCAGCTTATGGATGTTTGGAACGTCTTGGTTGTGGTATCACGGTGGTATGGTGGGATTCATTTGGGCCCTGCTCGGTTTCGACTGATCAACGATGTTGGCCGAGATGCCTTGATCAAAGGAAGCTTCACCCGCGAGGAGAGCCCTGGTGTCGCTGAAAAGAGCAAGAAAAAGGGGAAGAAATAAGATATAGAGATACATCATGATTCGACATCTTGCGCGACAACCACTCAAGACTTTTTTCCTTCCCCCCAAGGCTCGCTCATCTGTCTTGGGCAGATATAAATGGCAGGGGTTATACGAGCCAGTATATACAACCCTGCACACGGCAGGCTCCGAATCTGCCAAGCATGATGAGAATTCTACCATGACTTCATGATGCTTCATGACAGCAAAAACACTTTTCCAAATAAGGAACAATACCTAGGCTAGAGCGGCTAAACAGTACCCAACAGTACCCACTTACTTGAAACTCAATTTGTGAGGAAATCTGCATAGTCAAGATTCGATCCTGGCTCCAATGATTATTTTCAGGTATCTAGAATTTAAGCCAAACAGTGGAATGACTCCTCTGTAACAAAGTTAATATGCAATTAGAAAATCACTTAGAAAACTAGAACACAGAATGCCCTCCATAGCAAACAGTATACCGTCTCATCATTCGAGATTTGAGAAGACTACGAAAAGTCCAAATGCTATAAATGCAGCGATCGCTACCGGAATTTACTTGCAGAGGCTTGCATCACTTGCACATTCTTTGAAGCTAAGGAATCGGAATATAGAGAAGAATAAGAGCTTACTTTGGTTCTATTCTTTGCTGGGGCAATTTCGATCACGGTTAGCCTCTGCTACCCTTGCTTCTATTATCTAAGGGTATCCTTCGGGTTCTGTTTCTATCGTTTTCTTGCTTTCGTTCGACCGCTGATTTATCCTCTCGAGTCCCGAGAGACCTTGAACCGCCTATCCCCTTTTGTAACAGAGTAGGTGCTATCAAGCTAATCGGGCTAGCTAACCGTAGCTACTAAGCGGCCCTGCTACTATTATACTATCTCCCGTCTATCGTTCTATAGACGCAGCGATTACGCTTGATCCTATTAAGTATTTATCTTATAAACTATATAGATAGCTAGACCGATAAGCTCCTCCGTCATGCTATTAAGCTCGTCTATTAATTTACTAGGTATCGGGAAGAAGCGCTCCGCTAGTCCCGCGATTTCGACCTCCTTACCTAAGCTCGATCCGACTACCTCTAAGTATCCTATCCCCTACACCTATCTATTATAGAAGATAATCTATTCCTACTATCTTAGGGAATCAATAGACTAGTTCTATCTGCTATAGTAAAAGAATTCTTAAGTAATACCGAAAAGCTCCTAGAAACTACCTATCTATCCCTAGTAGTAGGCGAAGAACCTAAAAAGTCTCTCGGTATAAGGAAACACTATAGCTGTTCCTAGTTAACTGTCATATAATATTACAACATGAGGCTATTCCTAACTCAGTGCCTTAGGTGTCAGTTCAACCCCTTGTCGGTCAGGCTTCGTCATGACAGCCCTACTTCTCCCTAACATAGATGTATAACCTACAAGGCCCTGAGGGTTCGGTGCCCTTCTATTAGGGATTCATAAACCCCTCTTTCCTATAGCCTTTGCTTACCTCTATTAGATATAGGCTACGTTAGTCCGTATATTATAATATAATCTATCGCCTTTATTTGGTTATGTGGGAAAGTGTTGAAGCCTGTACATAAATTGAGGATTATGGAGAGATCTATGATAGCAAGAAATAGTGTTTTGCCTTCCTTACTTGACGTTTATCTTCCTACCTAGTTGACAGGCTTTCTACCCTGTACAAGTAGTTATTTTCTAACACGTAATCTTTCTAAATTTACTAGTATTACTGGGTTTCTAGCCTACGCTAATAATAAACACAATACGATATTAAGATTAATTTACATTATCTCCCTAGAATACTATAGTTGAGCCCTAGCGATAGTCCGTCTAGAGACGCGTCTATAGAGTCAGAGACTCGGCAAGGTACCGAAATACCCGCCTCCTCTCTCGATTTTCATATAGCAAACATTAACCCTCGATTGATAGAACTAGGTCCTATCATAGTTATAGAGCTATTAGCCTGCCCGCTAAGCACTAAAATTTCCGCCTTCTCTGCTGGATATCGAGTAGCTAGCACCGATTTAAACTTGACGGAGATTTCTACAGGGCGAGGGACGAGAGGAGCAGCAAAGGCGGCAAATCTAGAAACTAGTCCTCAGCTTCTATCACCGCATACGACGCGCTCGTCTCGAAAACGCGAGCCCCTAGAAGAGCAGCTTGGTAGGGAGCAAAAGGGAAAAGGGCGTCTAGGCAAAATGAAAGCGTCTACTGTCAAACCTACTCCCCGTCGGTCCAAGCGATTACGAGCCCGGTAATTTATAGTGTTAGGTTTTTGTTATCTTTTTTGTATACTTGGATATAACCCAGAATGTCTCAATAGATTGTAGATTCCACCTTAAAAGCCAGCTAGGCAATGAAATCATCTCTTGAACACAGTTCCTCTACGTAAGCACGTTGTACAGTGACTTCTTGGCGGAGGGTCATCGATAAGCTCAAGAAAGGCGGTACTAATGCCTTCCTGGAGGGTAGGGAGTTTTCCATGTGAGGCTCTCTACATCGATCGGGTCATGATTGGGTTCCAAGGAGATGGCTGAACATCGTGTGTTTGGAGCTTAAACGCCACAATCCATCGAAATTACCGATTCCCTCTATCGAAACAAAAATACGGAAGAATTGCCAGGAAGGCATACAGAAATCTTGGAGATATTTTCAGAAGTATAAAGAACAATTCCTTCCAGTTTTCAGGGGAATGGCTTGAGCGGAGGGCAAGGTCCGGAAGCCAGGTAAAATCAGGCTGCTTCATTTCTCGTAGGAATCAACGAGGGCCATATGTTGACCATTGTTATGGTGACTAGTTTGATTCATGGTGAATTCTGTAGATATTGGAGCAGCGGCTAGATGGCGATTTCCCCACTCTGTTGGTATTCACGGAGATGAGGGATCAGAAACGGAACGCCGGGGTTCTCAATGTAGAGACTTCCCAGGGTTAAGGACTCTTGCAGGACTGCAGTCTCTGACAGGATTAACGTACTCCTCTGCCGAGCGATTCACACAGCCGAGTGGAACCCCCCAAAACACAGTAAATGGGATTTTTCAGGTCACTATACGTCAAAATGAGAAATTCATCTTCCTTAATTTTTAGTATGATATTGTTTCTCCGCGTAAGAAATAGAGTAGCTTAAATGAAATATAGGATAAATGATTATTTACCTATAGTGCCATACCAATAACGCTCCCGACTAGTCTCTGCGTAGCAGTTGTCATAGAATCAAAATCCCTATCTAAAATTTCAAGCTTCTTCCTCTTTGCCATCCATTTCTCGCCAGTAGACCAACTTTCTGTGCGCACCGATCGGTCGGAACAAAACGTCGTGATGTCATCGGCATTTGCATGCTGGTCGCTCTCTTGGCAATCCTCAACCACAAATCGAACCCACCTATCTTGTATTTCATAGCTGAGATCGATGTTGGACTTGCGATACTTGCTAGCTTCAGTGTCCATTGAGGGCTCATCAACGTTAGCTTCCACATGAGCTTGGTCGGGGTCGGCATAACCTTGCAAAATTCCTTGGTCAGCCTTCTCTAGCGCATGGTAAAAATTACCGAATGCATAGATCAATTCAACGCCGTGGTGCGCGATTCCTCGCAGAGGCCCTGGAAAGGGATTGCCAATTTCAAAATGGGTATACTGTACACCCACACGTCTGGGGTCCTGGCCACGTTGGAGAGCTTGTTTCCCACGGTGAGCCTTGAAGAATTCGTATCCGCGATATACTTTGTGCATCATGGTGCTATCAGATATGAACTGAGAGAACGCTTCAAGTAGCTCTTCTTCAGATGATGTAGGCAGGATGTTATATGCTCGAAGAACCTCCTCGGCTGATGCCTTTGAGGGATAACTTGAGCTGAGAAGAGAGTGAAACTTGGTGTAGTCCCAGTTGGCCATCAAGGCAAAGCCTCTGAACTCCTCGTCTGTTGAACTTAGCAAGAGTTGAACCTTTTGGTCAGAAGGCCTGGCTTCATCGCCCAGTCCGTCGTGTCCGAGATGGATGGAAACGCCACAGCCCAAGTTGCTTTTCCGAATCGTCAATTCGTCCACAATCAGTGTAAAGAGCTTCCAGTGGAGCTCCGAAACGCTGTTAAGTAGATCCTTTGTAGGTATTCTTCTCAACGTATCAAATCGCTCAACTTGGCTTTGAGCTTGGACTGACCATAATCGGCAGAGATCTGCCCAGCGCTTATCGGCTTTCTCCAGCGATGTCAAGTCAAGACCCCCAATCGGCCCTGAAAGCACACCAGCCTTGCGGAATAGCGGTCTCTCCGTGCCTAATTCCGACTGGAGAAGGTGAAGATAACATGAGATTCCGCCAGCGGAGTGACCCATGATTGTAATCTTGGTGTCATCTCCTCCGAACGCAGCAATGTTGCGCTTCACCCAGATGAGAGCAAGCTTCTGATCATAGAGGCCAAAGTTCAAGCCCTTGATAGGGACATCGCTGCTTTGGGCTGCGATCACGTCAGAGGAACCGCCGAAGCCAAATATGCCCAGACGATAATTGATGGACACGGCAATAAAAGGGGTTCTTTTGAAAAGGGAACGCAGAACAAGCCGGGTGGGATCTGCGTACAGACTTGTGGTTAGCGGATACCGCATCCAAGTTGATTCGAAATGTTATCTTAAAACACGCACCAGATATTGGATCTGTCCCCGCCCCATCTATGAAGCCACCACCATGAATCCAAATAAGAACAGGCAGCTGAGCCGTCTCGGCATTGATGTCGTGCTTTGCGAGTGCTGCCTTACTTGGACGCACAATGAGAAGGTTCAAACACTCGAACTCGTCCTGGCGGACGTCCGGGAAGGGCAAGTATGATTGAAACATCCGCGTGTTGCCTCCCTGCGCAGGACATCGTGGACTGTGGCGTGGTCAGCTCTAAAGTGTTGCCGGGATAATTACCCGCGTAGGATGGATGAGGTCTTACCCGTCCTCCGTAGAGTCAAATATATCCCGCGGTAAACGATCCCTCAGGCTAGAGTGCTCCCATCTTCCTGGCACATGAGCATATGGTATGCCACGGAACTCCTCTATACTATCCGAGATGGCCGATTGCTTGCCGACAACGGTTTGTATGTAGCTGGGGTCCGAGAATACGGGCAATCGCACAATGGGAGCCTGTTCTGGCTGGAATTTTGGTGACATAGTAATAGGGTACCTATAGTCACAATAGACAGTGCAGAACAGAAATGATAGCACCGAGTGTGACTTTTACTATTTACCTTCTCTGCTGTGGCCTCTTCGGCGACAAGTATCGGCGGTCAGGTACGGTGGTCATGACCCATCTGCCATTCATTCTGGGCAAATATGAGTCAGGTATTTCCACCAATAAGCTGACTGAGATTGACCGACACTCTGCACCATACAAATAAATGACGTAACTAATATCTTTGTTGGTACTCAATGGGCTCGTTGAACACGGAGAAAAGCGCACCCTTACCGATTTTTCAATATGCTCTTCTTCCTGCTCGGATTTTTCTCCTGATACTTAAATCCCAAACCTCCAGCTTTTTCGGCCTGTCAAGATGCCTTACTCATTGCCTGACCATGCGACTCCGTTCACTCTTTGCATCCCCAACGACGACTACAAGCAGTTCCAAGAGCTTCTTCGTATCTCGCGCATTGGACCTTTGACATGGGAGAATCAGCATAAAGATCGCCGCTATGGTGTTCCGCGCGAATGGCTTGTCTCAACTAAGGAATATTGGTTGAACCAATTTGACTGGCGCGCCCAGGAGAGGCGTATCAATTCGTTTCCTAACTACAAGATGTCGATCAAGGATGAGAAAGGCAATGTCGACCTTCACTTTGTTGGACTTTTCTCAGAGAAAGAGAACGCAATTCCAATTGTTCTTCTCCATGGCTGGCCGGGTAGCTTTCTCGAATTCCTACCAACACTCGATCTCATTCGGAACAAATATGAGCCGGCCAAAATGCCCTTTCATCTTATCGCACCATCTTTGCCAGGCTATACTCTTAGTTCAGGGCCGCCTCAAGACGAAGCTTGGGTAGGTGAAGATGCAGCACGAATAATTGACAAAGCCCTCAAAATGCTCGGCTTTGATCACTACGTTGTACAAGGCGGAGATGTCGGATGCCTCATAGCTTCCCTTCTAGGAACAACATATGATTCTGTTGTTGGAGTTCATCGTGAGTTCTAATCAGTGCTTAAAATTCATTATCTAATATGACTAGTCAATTTATTGCCCAGTCTGGATCAAGTCGAGGCCGATGATCCGGATCTTACCGAAATGGAGAGAAAGGCCGTTCAGCGAGGCAGGGAGCGCTTCCAAACGCCGACATTAGGGGCTGCTATTATGAATAGTACACGGCCTGCTACTATTGGGGCCGTAATTTCGTCTAGTCCCCTAGCTCTGTTAGCTTGGTAGGCCTAACATATCTTCGGCTCTCTTTTGACATAGCTAATTATTACAAGGATTGGGGAAAAGTTTCTAGAGTGGTCAGAGGAAGACGTTAGCATTGACGAGATTTTGACTGACGTCTCCCTTTATTGGTTCACCGACTGCTTTCCACGCTGCATCTATACTTATCGCGGCACCTTTCTCGTTAAACCTCCCTTTTGCTTGCCGTTTATCGACAAGCCTTTTGGATATTCATGGTTCATGTATGAACTAGCGCCTGGCCCTAAGAAGGTTGTGGAAAAGAAGGGCCGGTTAGTTTTTTATCGGCAACATACGAATGTAAGTCACACCCCTCAGCTACTCATTTCAATGACGCCCTGCTGAATCCGGAGTAGGGTGGACACTTCGCGGCCCTTGAGCGACCTGTTGACTTCCTGCAGGATATCGAGGATTTCATGGATGTGGTTTTGAAAGAGCAGTAATTTTATTGCTGGATCAAGCTGCGCTACAGTAGAATGTAACTTGGTCCTTTCTTCGTCCTCAACTTGTATGCACTGAAAGCGTGCTGATTCTAGATTTTGAACAGGGTTCCTACTTTCCAACGCCAGTTCAGAACCGAAAGGAACCTCTGGACGGCACGAAAGATTTTGTAACTTGGTATTTCTTCAGACGATTTAAATTGATGCGGGGCTTCGTAAACTGAGATCAAGTACAAATGTTCCTTAAAAGAGTTCAGACCCTCCATCTGGCTAATGATCAGCTTCCAGGGGGCTGATAAAGTTTGTCTTGAAATGCGAAGTAATAAATAGGCCTGTAGGAGAAATTGAGGAACGGAACTAAGGAAGAATAAACGCTTATAAGGAATCACATAGGTAAGTAAACAAGTGGAAACTAAGATAATAGTCTTCTTCTAAGAATAAGATAAAACTACAACAACGTATAAAAGTCTTTAGGTGCAATAATACTGTTAGAGAATAACTACTTATACAGGGTAGAAAGCCTGTCGACTAGGTAGGAAGATAAACGTTAAGTAAGGAAGGCAAAACACTATTTCTTGCTATCATAGATCTCTCTATAATCCTTAATTTATGTATAGGCTTCAACACTTTCCTATATAACCAAATAAAGGCGATAGATTATATTATAATATACGGACTAACGTAGCCTATATCTAATAGAGGTAAGCAAAGGCTATAGGAAAGAGGGGTTTATGAATCCCTAATAGAAGGGCACCGAACCCTCAGGGCCTTGTAGGTCATACATCCATGTTAGGGAGAAGTAGGGCTGTCATGACGAAGCCTGACCGACAAGGGGTTGAACTGACACCTGAGGCACTGAGTTGGGAATAGCCTCGTGTTGCAATATCGTATAACAATTTTACGTTAACTAGTTAGCAGCGCGTAACACTAGAAATACGTTTATAGGCGCTATAAGTAAAGTTCGGAGATAAAGGCTAAGGTTTAGATTCTATAATAGGAGACTTAGGAGTTAAGTATATTAAGATTAATCGAGGTAGCGGAAGTAGGATAAGTAGGTTATATAAAGACCCCCGAGGGAGATAGTAGACGAAGTATCTTATAACCGCTTGACTAGGCTAGGCGAGAAGGAGGGGGGCTTAGGTTAGAATATAGAGGGGAGCTAACTTTAGCGTCGTTTTGGTCGTTAGTGGAAATAGGGGGAACAATCGTTGAAGTTAAGCGTTAACGTAATTCACTAGCGAGTCGTACACACTAGCGAGTCGTACACCCCACCAACCACTACTTTTTGAAAACACTATTTTTCCACCACAATACTAGATATTGATTCAACTATCTAGTATTACATTGATTAATCTTATGCCCTATTGTATTGCATCCAGAACACCGAAACACACGCCTAGTAGTAGGCTCAGCGCCTATAGTAGGCTGCTGAGCAAGCTCTGCATCATCGTTTTGAATAGCTTCAACGCTTGCTGGCAGCGTTGAAACTAGAGATATAGATTCGCCGACCGTAGGATCTTGCTGCCTAGATATCTGGCGATTGGAACGTGTGCGTTTTTGACGCTTCTTCTCGTTGAATCTATGTAGTTGCCGAATCTCTTCCGCTTGCAAAACAGTGTTATAAAACGCTAGTTCAGCACCTTTAACTAGTTGATCTAGCGCACGCTCTGTAGGGCTTCCTAGCGACCGCGAGCGCTTGCGTAGTAGAGCTTTGATAGATGATACTTGCTTGCTAAGCTGCTTAATCGTATGTAGTGTAGTAGGCACGAAAGCACTACTCCTACTACTAGGCCTACTAGTAGTAGTAGTAGGTAGTGTAGGCGTTCGAAGTGATATATTAAGCTTTGATAGGACTCGCTCGGCATCTAGCGGAACTAGGCCGGCGCTGGCAAAGCTTGATTGAATCGTGCTAGGTAGGAAGGCTTCCTAGCGTGCTAGGAAATAGGATTCTAGGAAGTCGACCTTATCGATATGGTTGTATCCTAGGCGAGTTTGGGCCTCAATTAAGCGACCGTATGAGCGTTTTAGGATAGCAAAACATCCTATATCTAGCGGTTGTAGAAGATGCGACGAATGCGGTAGCATACATAGTGGTATAACGTTGTTTTGCTAGCAGATTTGATCGAATTGTGGTGTTAGATGACTACCATGACTATCTAGTATCAACAAGCGATATTTGCCTTGCGTACGACTAGTAGTTGCTAGTATAAATAGCTTCTCTAGCCAACGTAGGCCTATATCGTCGTTAGTCCAACCGTTTGGTGATATTTCAATTCGCTAATCGCTAGGAAGGTTATTAAACCAACTAGCAATATAAACCTTCCCTTTGAATACTATACACGGCGGAAGCGAGTAGCCGGTTGCCGATATAGATTCAATTGCTGTTACCCACTCTCTATTTCCTGGTTATAGAAGAGCTTTCCGACCGTATAGATCCTTCCGTGTAACAACTTTACAAGTCGCTATTAAGCCTATTGCAAAGCCGGTTTCATCAAAGTTATAGATATCGCTAGGAAGGATACCGTTATCGTTGATTGTTGATTCAACAAGCCTAAACCACGCGCGTAGACTTGCTAGGTCTTCGTTTTGGGCACGTTGATAGTCGTAGCGCCTACTAAAGCGTGTGCAAAGCTCTGGTCGACGTTTAATATAGCGTGTTACCCAATTAATGCCGATCGAAGAAGATTAGTTATCACCACGCGTTGCTAGTAGAAGATTTGCCATATCTTTAATATGCGAAGGCCTAGGGGAAGCACCACGCGTATCAAGCGATAGTATCCACTGGCAAAGCGAATCCTCTTCTTGTTGTGTCAATTTAAAGCTATTAGCACGCGTTTCCTGTCGATATGTTTTGCCATTAAGCCGGTCGCGTAGTGTAGTATGTGGCACGTTATAAACCGCTGCTGCTTTGCGCATAGATATAGTTGAATCCTTTTGAATAGCAGCGATAGCGAGTAGTATCCTACCCTCCCTATCTGGCGATTTTGGAACGTTTTTAGAACGATTTGGTGGCATAGTGTGTGGTAGAAGATAGTAGGTGGAAGATAGGAGACGCGTTTTAGGTGGGGTGTACGACTCGCTAGTGTGTACGACTCGCTAGTGAATTACGTTAACAAGACAGAGGTGGATGACTAACAGTCCTGGTTAGGTGCAAAATAGGGGGCGGAAGCAGGCAGCGGGCGGTCAAGCGGCGGCTCGCTGTGCAAAGTTACGGGTGGAAAGGCGGCCGTTTCTGGCGCCAGAGGCTATCATTTTCGGCGTCGTTTTCACAGGTCCCTATATTCTAGTTGTAATATAGCGAGGAGTTCTCAAAATATCGAGGTGCGAAGGCCATAAGAGAGAATCTTTCAGCTAGCGGTAAGATAACACACCACACCATGATGGAGGAAGGCCTCTCAGAGAGGAAACAGATGCTACTTCAGCGAAACGTGTAAAAGTTGATTCTCTCCCTATCGGAGATGCGAAGCTATGTCCTGTAAAGACTGTGTACTAAGAAAGATATCCTCCAATCAGAGATCAGTCAAGCTCACCCCCATCGCTGGTCATTTCCCCACTACAATAGGTTGAGTATGGCTAAGCGGACGGGAACTCCTGTTCTCCACACCCTATGGTCGTATGTACCGGAATAATCCAAAAGTAGGTTCAAGTAGACTAACTAATGGTAAAATTATTAAGAGAAGGCACTTCATTTCTCATTACAGCGTCGGTGAACTGATTGACCTTTCATGATACTTCAGCTACTGCATCATGATCTGTCCACATTCAATCCTCGACAACGAAGTTTGCTTCAGTCCCCGCTCCCGCTTTTGTTTTTTTTTCAGGCCCCCTGCCAAGGCACTAGTGCATGACTTATGCAGGACCCTAATTCCAGCGATGGTCCTAGACGTATTCTCGAGTATTTTACGATGAAGCTTACGCATTGTGACATATGACAGGACTAGACTTGAAATATTCAAAGACTTGGCGGGGCGCCCAGGACGACTGTGCCACTCATAACTTCCTTGGCGCGCTTCGTATTCAGAAGAGACTGGCAAGTGGGGGCCAAGAAGTACGGCTTGCCAATGATCCTGGTCAGAAGAAAAGAAAGATTCATGAGTGACCCCGAGAGTCGTTATAAAGAGGCACGTACCCCAATCTGGAACATTGAAATATCAGATTAACGCCAACGAGTATTATGACACTAGAGATACCATTGTATAACTAGAAAAAACATTGTCAATCTACGGTACATGTCGGGTTAGGCCCCAGTCACAGGAGGTAGGGAGGTATCAAATTAGCATCCTTTCAGCAAGTTTTATGCTTGAGGTCTCGATATAGTTGCTCCCTCTGATTCTCAAATTATTTTAAAAGGAAATGGTGGGTGATATATCATCGTGGTCATCAATGTGTATGCATTTGAATTATCGATTGGAATATGCCTCTAATTCAGCACGCTGCATAGTCGCCGCAGGGGACTCTGATGCCTTATGTGAATCCAGTTCAGAAGGCTGCGAGTTCTCGGCTGCGAACTCCGATATGTTCTGCACAGATAACTCACGGGGCTCGTTGTTGACTCCCGTAAGTTCACTTGGCCGCATGCTTGAAGTTCCCCCTCCAGCTCTTTTGCGTCGGAATCGTAGGATCCAAAATAAGATTGCCGCCAGAACTACCCCTGCAACTGCGCCGATGACGATTCCTGCTATGGCACCCCCCCCTAAGCCTGAACTCTGGCTGTCTAGAGAAGTAGCCGCAGCTGTCTCTGTGGATACATGATCCGTCTGAGTCGTGCTAGCCGTTGTGGTGACCGGAAGTGAGACTGTTACGCTGTAGATATTCATGCGCCATCTTCCACCACATTGTACATCGGGTGCACCATCGCAGCCTATACTACAGTCTGTAGACATGGCTGTAGTCGCACTGCTAGTGGTACTGCCACAATAGCAGTTATGCCCATTTTCCACCCCGCACCACTGATAGCCTGTACTCACGCCTAGACAATAGTCACAACAGAATTGTGGATCATTGAGCTGGAATGACCGCTGCATCTCGCCAAGAACTCGACGAGTAGAGTCGGTATAGCAGCCGTAATAAGAGTAGCTCGACATGCTCGAGATCTTTGTTATGCCCGTTGTTGTTATGGGAGTGAAAGATGTGGTTGCACTGTATAGACCAATTGCCCCGGATCCACCGCAGGCATACCGGCCATCACCATAGCACTGCGCATTGCATGATGATTCTGGGAGCAAAGTTTGGTCTGTCTGGGTAGTCGAACCGCAAAAACAGTAGTTTCCGCCACCGACGCCGCAGAACTCATATGTTGTTCTGACATTCCGACACCACTCGCAGCAGAACTGTGGCTCAAGTCGGTCAAAGCTTATGTGAGTCGCATTCAAAGGAGCCTTGGGCTTATTTGAGTAGCATCCCAAATAGGAGTAGCCCTGGATGGATTGTGTCGCAACATCACGGAGATATAACGCATGTTCGAAAGAAGGTCCTGCAGTGGGCTCGGGGGGAGAATGTGTGCTGTCTGCTTGTTTTCGAGTAGGGTAGGTCATGTTCCGGTGCTTGAATGATGATTACACCTGAGACTAAATGTCCGATTAGTTCAAATTCAAAACACAAACATATTGTAAACGCTATGACAAGGCGTTCACGTTCACTCTTCAGGGGGGGGTTCCTAAAAAAGGGTCCAAAAAGGGTCGCACTGGATGAAGTCACGTGGCGTATTTAGAGCCTGTCCAACGTTGACAATTTAAGCCAACTTCATATCATTTCTGTGGATATTCAATCATAGTTTCGCGGTCTCAATTCGGGCCACACTAGTCAATACTCAAGGTATGGTTACCGTATGTTGTTATGGACAGCTGATTACGCTAGCGTCTTGGCAGGTGGACTTCATAAAAAACGCAATCGTCAAGGCGGAAGCAATTTTCGCTAACGAATATATACTACTGGAGAAGACCGAAAATTGACATTGATAATTGTGAAAATATGTTGCGACTTTCTTTGGCCGTCTTGCTGTCTTATAATATTTAGTTCAAACAGGAAGATCATGGCTGGCTAAGCTTGGCCCAGCCAAGACAGCTCTGAGAAAACAGTCTGAAAAATGCATTGCTTCTCTAGAACCACATGAAAAAGTCTAAGCATTTCGATGGCAAGTTTTGCCGATGTTAATTATCCGATTGTGATCTAAGGATTATTAGAAAAGGCTTCAGCGAGTGGAGAAGTCTATGATATATATAATTAACCAATGACATGAACGTTGATCTATTTTACTTATTCTAGGGCAAGAAAAACAAAATTAATTCAGGTAACTTAAAACTTCTACTCTAGAACATAATTTGATGAGCTCTTGGAAGACAAACTTTATATTTTATATAGTCGTGACAAAATACGGATCATTGTTTTGGAAATTTGATACATGTATCTACAGCCTTTATTTGATTATGATAATACCTAAGAAATTGAGACTGGCTGCTAATTAAGCTTCTCGTGGAGATCCTCCTCTACCACATGTAAGATATAATACGTTCAAATCTGAACACCCGAAAGAGAAGTATATATTTCATGCCACACAGATTCGGACAATGCCTAATGTTATCGGGAAACGAGGAGTTCATGACTATCTGGAGAATATGGAGGTAGGGATTTCTTATTCATGAAGCTCGTTTGAAATCGCTATCTTGGCTCACATGTCCTCGGACCCAGGGATATCGAGAAATATTTCTATGCAAGTATTACTCGGAATAGGCTTCTCGTGTTGACAAACAGGACAGACAGCTTAAGCACAGGCCAGCCTCGTCAAACAGCAGGTGACAGCATAATGAGCTGGAGCACGGTATCAAATTCCCTGTCCCGATCAGGATCTGATAAAGCCAGAGTCATCTCAATCAAATACAGGTAGGCGCTATCCACCAAATTTATAGACTGCTGCATCTTATTCACAAGCAGATGGTCTTTCCGAGAGGAAGAACTTTTGAGGGATCATACCAAACGGCGAAAACCCCCCTTCTCCACTGGAAAGCCTCCACTCAAAACAGTGATATTGGGCTAATAAGGCTTCAAAGCGGTTCGTATTTTGAACGACATCCTACGACATCCTACGACATCCTACTACATCCTACTACATCCTACTACATCCTACTACATCCTACTATAATACAATACATGTGGCGATCGGCCAGGTATGGTGAGTAGACCAGAAGACTAATCAATGGGCATTCCTCTTGTCGAAAGATGAAAAGACGATGCCACAGTCCAAAGTCTACCCGCAGGGCCGGGAAAATGACCGGGAATGAGTTCACCTGCCCCATTTGAGCATGGTTGCGGGGTTATAGAAGGAGAGAAATATTTCAATCAAGCACGAAATTTATTGTTTCTTCAAACAAAACTGGTTGTCTCACACATGAAAAACTTATAGAGAGAAGCAGGGGTGATATGAATAAGTACAAATGCCAGTTGAAAGTTCCCGGATCGGTTCCTGGTCTCTATGAGTTGTCAGAATTTAGATAGAGAGGAACATCGATCGGTGTTTGTCCTTTCTTAAACCCCGGGCCAGAGCTGGGTATCTAAGAGATATTTATTGGCCAGACGAGACGAAATCTTCACAGACGCCTGTTAACGACTACTCTGCATGTGAGAAATTATCAACTCCTTGTCGGAAGATATCTGCAGTCCGTAGACATCAAATAATATCTCTGTTGCATCTCATGACAAATTGATTGCATTTCCAAGATTTTTGCCAGGACTCATCAATATCCGGCCACTCAAATTGATAATCTATTACCGTTCCATAATGTTCACTCTCATCTCATGCATATCGATCATGGATGCGACCTTGGGGCCAGGCAGAATCAAACAGAGACATTACTTCCCACAATCACGAACTTGGGTTACCATCAGGAAGACGAGCCATAGATGATCCCAGCCATCATGAATCTCGGTGTATGAGGGATTTGTTGTCTGCCCAGGTAATTTCCGATCATTCCGTGTCTACGTTTGACAGCTCATTTCTGAAGCTATACCCACCTTATCCGCTTAATCGAAATAGTCATGCCCATGCGAAAGGACGAGTCTGAAGGGCATTCTAAGCTCGGAGCTTTGGCAGTTTGATTGCGATGAACAGAGCTATTTCGACAACGATTCTCAACAAAGTAAAAGGCCTGGTTTAAAAGAGCCTGTCCGTTTAACAAGAAGTTTATACCAACTAGTTTAATCTCAGGGTCAGCTGGGGTTTTGTTGTACCATGGAACGGAGTGGTTTGGCTTTCCATCACGAACGAGTCAGAGCAGCGTTCGACAGGGCTCACGATCGAGCTTTCGGAGTATACTGCTCTGTGGCTGTGGTCGCATGTCATACTCCACTCTGTTCTGGAGTCGGCTTAACCGAGATTGGTGGGCTTGGCTTTTGGGTTTTGCTGGGGAAGCTACCCACGAGATTGCAGGCTGGTATGTCAACAGGAACGGTTCCAGATGGGTCCGTCCTTAATATGAAACGACTATGGCAAGTCTTCGATGGACTCTTGTGGATCTTGAGAGGATCGATTGTATGGATGTGGAGAACAAGAACCATGAGCGGGTTCCCGGCATGGCGTTTCTAGGCTGCGGAAGCAAGATCCGCATGGCCGGACAAACGAAAGGGGAGACAAAGGGCGTGCTACGTCGTATTGTCATGGTTGATAGACCTGTCTCACCAGCCAAAGGCCCTTTTTCTAATTTGACTTATTCCTTGGGAAACCTACAGATCCAAGAAGGCGTGCAGGTGACGTCTGTGCCGGAGTGTGGGAAGACCCTGAAGGGGTGAAACACGCAGCAGAGTTCGGTTGCCACCTTCCAGCTCCTCCTCAACATCAAGATGGCTCGGTATCCACTCGGTGGATGCACTATCCAACTTGGCGGGTGCCATGTCGTACCCGAAATCCATCTACCTAGACAAAATAGACTAAATCAGCTGTCTCGAGAGGAGCCCTTCGAGCATCACCGAGCTAAGCCGCACCATCCCAGCCGTCAATCTAGGATCTGCACTCCCCGTCCAGAAAATCTCTGGTTTTCCTCATGCAACGGTGGATCAACATGACCTGGAACATCTGCGCAATCTCTTCAAGGAAAAGGATGTGTCCAGCCTCCGCCCGATCGACACGCCATTGCCGAGAAACGGGTCCCTTACCATGTCCCGCCCGCCAGAACCCTGTCGAAAGGAGAAAATACAGACATTCACGGATGGACAAGAGAAAGAGGTTAGCCTGCCTGAAGGAGGGAAACAGAAATTTATGCTCGAAAAAGAAGGCATCTTCTGCCCACGCTGACCTCCCAGCGCGTTGCGTCATTTGGTCAGAACAGAGTTCGTCACTTGTCGCAGGGTTTATAACTTTCAATGCATCGACACGCCAATCACGAGCACGGGACATCCTGGACTTCTAGAGATATGCCGGGGGACAGGGTAGTTTGGGGTGGATCTGCGACAATCTCGGAACAGAGCGAGCGAGCCCACGAAGAGATGAAACTGGCCCATTCATGACTGACCAGCCGACTGCAACGTCCAGTTTCGATGATTGTTCCGTGGCGTGGCACAACAATGCGCTATGCGCAGGACCCGATTCGCTGCCGACTCGGATAGGAGAAACGGAGGCGCCGGTGACACCCCCGCCTCACGAGCCAAGTCGCCCAAATCGCCCGGTCGGAGGGCATCAGACACATGGAATTCTTGGATCCCAAGCTCGATGGTGCGACACTTGGCAGGCCCGACAGTCAAGGGGCCTCTGGGGCCACTGGAGCCAGGGGCCTTGCCGCACCCTTGCGCGAGTCTGTGCGGTGGTTGGCTCGTCGCCAGCCGCCTCGTCGCTAAGCTGGACTGGGTCTAGCTGATCTTGCAGGTCTGGGGATGTGTTGTCCGAGCCTGTGGTTGGTTGTCGCCACTGGATCAAAGTGTACACCTCACCACCACTCACCGTTCTGACATGGCCATCGCACAATGGAGGCACCGCTGAAACAGTGCCAGCTTTCGAGAAAAGCCCGTTCCCCACGCCTCCAGTGGTCGGATCGGGCGGGATACGATCACTCGGTGGCTTTGGAAGGAGGCCTTCGTTCCGTGGGATTGGACATGATGGAGAAGCAGATCAAACTCTGGCAGTGTCCGATTGATTAGCATCCATCCAGCCGATGGCTCCGTATAGGCACCAACCTGCCTCCCGTCTATCCACAGCGGTCCCTGGCTCCATCCGATGTCGTACCTGTCGTTCCTGGCGTTCCTGATGTCCCTGGCGGGGAGTGTCAGTGCTCGCCAATGCCAAGTTTGATATAAAACCCTTCCACATCATGTCTGCATCTCGGGTCTTTTTCTTCTCTTCTCTGTCGTGCATCTCAATCCTTCTCTTCCTCCTCCTGACGGTTCGACAACCTATCACGGGCAAGTCCTGTATTCCTTTCTTTCTTTCTCTTACTTGGTAGTCGTTGCCTGTGGCAGACTCCGACATTCCTTCTCGAGCGTCATCTTTTTCGACAAGAGCCTTTCAGTTTTCAGTCTTTTGCTTGATATCAAAAGAGAACAAGACTTAGCAGAGTTTGTTTGAAACAACTCTGTTGCAACTCGCAAAAGGTATTGTTTTGTCTTGTTTCCGTGTTCATGTCTCTCCGTGTGAATCACGTTGCGTCAGGAAGACTGAGGCCTGTTTTGCCGTTGGCTTTGAGACAATGTGAACGATCTAGAATCACATTGTCGATGTCACGGGCCGCAGTCGGCGGTCTTTCAACCTGGCAACAATCTCCTTCCCTTCTTCTTCGCTGCCTTTCTTCCTCTCTTCCCTTCTTTCTCCACTGGCTTCTCCACTGGATAAAATACTTCCCGTGCAATGGCAGCCTGGGATATCTTTTTAGGCAGACCCCAGCGAATAGCCTTGCGGCGATGGTATCTCTTTCTCTCCAGCTTACCCCTATAAATTTTCCCACATGATCGTCAACGTTTGCTCTTGTCCTACCACTGACTCTATGTTGCGGAAGGCTCTCTCTGCATTTCGCTCTCGTGACTACCAACATCCACTCCTTTCTTGTTTGATTCCATTCGTCTGGTACGAATCGAGTTAGCAATTTCAAGATTTTATCTGTCGAACCGAATCCCAAAAAAGCAAATTATCCTCTGTTCGCTTGAGCAATGCTTGTTAAATCATTTCTAGTTGCCCTGCTGGGTGCATCTGTGGTCAATGCCCACATGATCATGACTCAACCAGTTCCCTATGGCAAGGATACGATCAACAACTCTCCTTTGGAGGCTGCAGGTGGCGATTTCCCCTGCAAACTGCGTGGGTCCAGCACCTACGAGGTGACCACTGAGAATCAGATGTCCGTTGGGGGCACTTACCCTCTACGCTTTGAGGGTAGTGCCACTCATGGTGGAGGCTCATGCCAGATCAGTCTGACTGAGGATCGGTCGCCAACCAAATCAACCACTTGGAAGGTCATCAAGTCTATCGAAGGCGGGTGTCCCGCTAACGTCACTGGTAACATGGGCGACAATGCAAGTGCGGAGGACCCTTATCATTTTGACTTCACGATTCCCGATGGGATTGAGGCTGGAAAGTACACTCTTGCCTGGACCTGGTTCAACCGCATCGGCAACCGTGAGATGTACATGAACTGCGCTCCTGTCACTATCTCCTCAAGCTCCTCCAAGCGCTCGGTGGAGGCCCCAGTGATCGAGAAACGTACCGCCAATTTCCCTCCCATGTTTGTTGCCAATGTCAATGGCTGCACCACCAAGGAAGGCATTGATATCCGCTTCCCTCAGCCTGGTGAATATATCCAGTACGCTGGCGCTGCCCAAAACCTCGCTCCTGAAGGTGAAGCCGCTTGTACCGGCACTGCCACCTTCGCTGGCGAAGGTGATGCCGCTTCTGGCTCCTCCAGCTCTAGCTCTGGTTCTGGTTCTTCTAGCTCTAGCTCTGAGTCTTCGACCGCATCAGGTAGTGCCCCCACCGAAGCTTCCTCCCAGGCTCCAGCTGCTGTGCCAACTACCAGCACAGCTCCTGCTGCATCAGGTGTTCCCAACTCCCCTGAATCAACGGGCTTCTCAACTGCTCCCGCCTCGCCCTCATCTTCCAGCACTTCCAGTTCTTCCAGCTCGGGTACCCTGAGCGGCTCCTGTAGCCCCGAGGGTGAGTGGAACTGCATTGCCGGCACCTCTTTCCAGCGCTGTGCCAATGGACAATGGTCCGTTTCTCAGCAGCTAGCTGCCGGTACCAAGTGCACTGCTGGTCAAAGCTCGGATCTGTCGATCTCTGCGGCCAAGATGGCACGCGAAATATCAGCCATGCGCTTCCGCAGGCGTACTATCGGAGGCTCAGCCCATGCTTAGATGACATGTAAATTGAGCATTCGTGCCTAGACCATTTTTTATCCTCTGCTGGCGTCGGAGGTCATTTTCATTGCATCTTTGCATCTTGATTTTCACTTTTCTTTCATTTCCGCTCCTTGAGAAAGGGGTCTAAGGGGCGGACGATATTTCTTTTAGGTACACAGTGTCTGGCCTTTTGCCTTTTTCCCTGTATATTTTGCGCGAGATGAAAATAGGAAACCTGGCTTGCCACAAATACCTTGGAAAATATATCTTCATTTGCGCTACTGTAGAAAGTAATCCTTTGACGTAAAGCTAGTGAATTTCTTCCTTATTTCGATAATTGTGTAATTGTGGATCTCTCCCGACATAAGTAATCTAAAGGATCGAGGTTGTGAATTACAACAGGTTAATCACATTCTTCATGTTCCAAGGCAAAATAGCTCCAATACGCGAGGGCATTATGAACTCCATGGCTGGCAATATCACCTTCTCGATGAGCCATTGTAGCGCTTGATCTAACGGCAGGGTGTCTACTATCAAAGTTGCATCACACCGGACGAAAAAGTCAACGGATTCATATGTGTCTAGCGGAGATCCTGTCTAGACTTCTGCTCCTAGGCTTCTCTGGTATCGGTCTAACGAAAGACAGGTAAAAAGATCATTAGAAAAGCAACCCCCCAGCGCGATCTTTATAGTTAGAAACAGAAAGACACTAATCAAAAAGCACCGCACGTCAAACCCCGTCTATCCTATCCCCATCAAGCAAGTACATGTAAATGCCGTGCTCGCCACCTCCATATACTCTTTTGCAAATATTCTCCTTCGTGGCCCGCTAGGGGTCGCTGCGCCACGACTGAGGCCCGGGTAGGACGAAATCGGCCCAGTTCTGGATCAGGTGGTCCTGGATGAACAGCCACGCGCGCTACGGGGCCGTCTGGCCCAGTCAGAGTGCACCGAGTGGTCTCTTTTGATTATCATAGCTGTAACCAATACTATTTCCACGTTTCTAAGAAAAAAAAGAAAAGAAAAGAAAAACCGAGTCTCGAAATCACGACAGTCTGGCTAGTGTCGCTGCACTTTTCATTGCCTAAGCCACCTTATCCGTTGACTTGTGGTCGATAGTGAATATCTTATTGGTATTCGTGCTCATGGATGAGCTTTCCTGCCACCAACCGAGATGGAACCGACGATGAACAAATGATTTTATCAGATACTTGTCGTTTGGACTCCATTCTCCACGTAAATATTCGTCTAACAACTTTGAATCTGCCAAGAGGCTAGCGACTGCAGCAATACTGCATGGGTTTTTTGGCAGAACGTGATCTGTGTTCAAAAGCACAGATGCCAGAATGCCCAATATAAGCATTGAAGCCAGCAAAGCCTCTAGAATCCGAGTTGAAGATGCGTCTTGAACGACTCGCTGGCGACTAGAGTCTGTCACATTTCCAATGATCGGTGCATGCTTTACAGTGTCGTTTGCGGTCGAGCGGGTATAGTTATTAAACTGCTGGGCGCTGATGATTTTGTGCTGATGCTTGATTTCCTTGATAACTGCTTCGTCATATTCTGCACTTTTGAAATTTTCGACTGGTATTCCGTATCTTCCAGCGACCAAGAGCTGGAAAAAGCCATCTAATGTTGGATACTGACTATTTGAGTTCAATACCCACCATTCAGGTATTGGCGTATAAAGATTGCGTGCCAGTTTCGCTGAGGACTCATCTGGTACTGGGGGATGCTCCTCATCGACTTCCAATTCTGGGAGCTTGAACCGAGTCAAAACATCAACCGTTTCAGCGTATTGCAAGCACGACATTCCTCTGATGTGCTGGATGGAGCTTCCGTTAAGATAACCCCAAAGATATGACGCCGTGTAATGACTTGCTCCAGTTAGGACATTACCTGTAATGTAATTTGCGTTGCATTGAGCCTCCACTGAATAACCAAAAGGCTGATGATGGAGTTCTTCAACATTGAATATTGTCTTGGTGTAATGATAGTCAGTATAGTTTCCAGGACAAGCCAGTGTAAGTTGGTCAATTGAAAGCTGGTAGAAATCTGATGTCCCGTTATTGGAGTAAGTGATATTGGGCTTTAAGTCCGCAGCTGTTCGAAGTTGACAGGAGAGTGTAGCTCTCAAGGCTGGAATTCGAATATCCACGTGAGATCCGTTGAAATTTCCCTTTCCTTTAATTTCGTTCATCGATACCTCCGCAAACGCAAGCTCCTCATAGGACCAACGTGGATAACTATAGTTGTATTGGAGAATATATTCGGAGGTCAAAATCCCTGCAACCTCCCCTTGCTCATCAAAATCTAGCTGAGCACCTGCAATGGTTCTAGGATCAGGAAAGCCACCAATCCTTGTAAAGTTGACAGCGATCTGGTAAGGCACCTCAGTTGCTGAATATAGACCGCTAACGATGATCGTCAGGAAAAAAGAGGCTCCTGTAGCAAGTGTCATTACTTGAACAGCAATATCTCCAGATCTTAGAGATCTAAGGTGGGTTTTGAATCCAAGTGAATCCAAGTAGCTTAGATTCATCGACTGCTCAAACGTCGCGCCGTTGGGTCGGTAAAGAGACGCATATGGGGCCAGACATCTGATGTTGAAACTCATAATCCCGAACAAAAAGCTGATACCCGACATGATCAAAGCAGGAATTAGTGACCACAGGTATTGCATAAACATGTTTGTCGAGGATGCATTTCCGAGCCCATCATCGACTTGAGAAAAATGTAGCAAAACTTCCAATGTAGCAATTGTCGATGAGACCAGAAGAAAAATGACGATGCGTGATACAAACGTTGGAAAAGCTTTCCAGGGCACATATTTGGACCCAGAATCATGATCCAAAATAGACTCTCTCCGTCCATTTTCTGCAATGTCGATCAATGTGCCTCTGGGTGTCGAGCGAAGGAAATAGCTCTTACCCGCAAGTCGACTTTGGAGCACCTTGTTTGACAGAGCCCCAGCCCCCCGAAGAGATGACCTAAAGTCTTCACTGTTTGCTGTAATGGCTGCGATCGAGGAAATATGGGCCGGGTTTCCAGTAAAAAATGCCTCTCCATTTACAAAGTAGAGAGTGCAAAGCGCGAGCAGTATGCAGATTGCTAGGCATGCTTCCATACCTCGAAGGGGCAGTTGAAGCATCTTCACTCTATTTTCTGGTAAAATCGCGGAGCCAATTGTGGTGGACTTGTTTGTTTTTGCTAGTCCCATATGTAAGAGCTGAGCAGTCATGGCTTGGTAATATGCCGATGCTGATGTTTGAAGCATGTCATCCTCCCAGAGCGTTACATCGCTCACGTTTACCCCTATAAGGTGCATTCCAAGTGTCAGGGCCGAACTTACAACCGCCCCATCTGCAAATGAGGTGGTGTCATCAACAGGTCTGAATCCAGTGGTTTCCGTAGAGTTATCAACTATGAATTTGGCAACGTCTGTAGCAGTTAAACCTTGAAAGTCTGTGGGTTGAGATTTTATTGTTTGAAGTCGAGTATCAGATGAAGATGACGATGCATTGCGTTGGGCCTCAATGTTCAAATGAAAGAGAGTTGGCATGCAGATGTATGATATCGAGCGACTTAAGCCAAGCTGAATCCTCCTCAGCCCAGTGGCGTTATTTTCAAGAGAACTATTCGAACTTTTGATATGGGTGACATTTTTCTCGTAGGTGTCAGCTATCGTCAATACGACACGAGTACTACCTCGATCGCTGGCACTGTTGCATTGCCCTCCATTGAAAAGAGCTGTGGTTCCAGCTCCTATTGCTACCAATGATGCGTTGGAAATTTTGCATGACGAAGTGTAAATATCGACTAGAGTTGACCCTCCATCGACAGGTCCGCCATTCTCAGCCGTGAAATAGTCAAAGCTTCCGAGATCCAATGTAGCACTCTCACAATCCAAATCAGCCCTCAATCCGTCTAGAGAGACAGTTATTATGGCACTGGAAGAGAGATTCGAAGCAGAGAAGTCCTGAAAAGTCAGGTTTTGTGTTGTGCCAATGGGGTATGTAACATTGTCATAAATAACTCCATTGAGGACATCGAACGGTTGGGAACCGACAGTATCAAGGGTAGAATCTTGGGTAGTGAACATGTTGTGAAGTTGAATAGGGACATCCGTCTGATGAATCTGGACTCTCTGGAGTGAAAACAAGCTAGTTGAGAAAATGATGATGAGCTGTAGCAGTAGAGAGCATCCGACACTGGTTGCAACGGCAAAATGTTTATTCCTTGCCGCCCTCCACAAAGCGACTGGCTGCATGTCGGATATATAGTCTAGCAACACACTTTTGCCCGCTGGCTGGGGAGTGTCGGTCATTGTCTGCCATGGCGCATTCTGCTTTATCTGGAATTCAACGCGTGACCAGAACGTAGTGACAATTGTAAAAATGGCTGTTGGTCCATATGTCCAAAGATAATGCCGACTATGACTAGAAGTGGCAAGGCCATTCTGAGTTTCAGAGGACTGGTAACATGCTTCAAGGGCCCCGATAGTCGCGGCAAAGGTAATCACAAAGAGTAATAATATTTTCCGTTGCAGGTATGAAGGTCTCCAGCTAGAATTTTGTGGTTCGGCTTTAAACCTGGGCTTGAATTTGCTCACAAAGTCAAATATCATCTCGAGTGAAAGACTGATAAAGACATTCACTCCATGAGGCTTTTTTCAATCTGATTTTGGTGGAGATGGCGCAGATATCAAGATATGTGAAGGAATTCATCACAGAAAAACATGGAAGGGCGGCTATGTCTCTCTTTAAGTTTCCTTGTGAGTTGAGGTTTATGGTTGCTTTTAACCGCTGGCACCAAAGCCAGCTACCTGTGCCTCCACATCTCCTTCCCACATAGTGGCGCGGATTTGCTCGTGAAGCACTAAAAAGTACAACCTAGGAGCTTAGTGAAACCACCATTCAGTTTTGGGAAATCGCAGGGCGCTTATGACCATCGTTAGAGCAGATCCCACACCTTATAAAGTAATTCCAGCACAAGATCCATAGAGGCTGTGGGCCTGTATAGACCGACCAGGGCTGTATTTGGTCCATTTACAAGACCCTTATGCACCCCTATTTGTGTGGTAGAATGTTTCAGCATACCCTGTGGGCGCTTAGATGCAGACAAAGGTACGAAATACATTTCCAGTCAATTTGGGAGGGCTACTAGAATTTATACGGTAGACTTCATTGAAATAGAAAATAGGATAACTTTTTCATCTCAAGGAAGGAGTGCAACGAACGTTCAATGGTCTGCGCAAGCACAAGTAGCTGCTCATTCAAGGGCCCAGGTTTACTGCAAGGTGATAAGTGTGGTGGAGGTGGGGACAGGATGACCTAATGAATGCACAGACCATAGGCTGTGAGGGGCGCTTTCTGGGATGAACATATCTGCACGTGATCAGCTCGAAAGACAAATGTATTGGTTGCTCTTCAATATTTGATTAATTCTAGCCTCCAGCTCCACTTTTAGCATCTCCTTTCAGAATCCACAATAGATTCATGAACGCAGTGGCCAAAAACAGATTATGTCCTATGAGAGTAGTGGCTCTAAGGGAACGCTTAACAGTCAAAAGCATTATAGTCTGTGATGTGCTAGGAACTAATGACGTTAATGCCATTTATATATGACTTAGAAAGTTCTATTAATATACCCCTAGGTTTGATTTGCGGGATAAAATTAAATATATTCCATATCCTAATTAACTAGATACAGTAGTAAAGGTTACTAGAATATAAAAGGGTTGATAGAAGGAGCTATATATAGTCATGAGAGCCAAGTCATTTCGTGCATTTGACTAATTATAACACAAAAGTACAGGTTTTGTTGTTGGAAGGAAACAATTTCTGACATTCGGAACTCCGTATTGCTGGCCGTATCTTTGTAGCCCGAAGCACCAGGCATCAATGTAGAAGGCCCGACTCGGAGTTTTTTATTTATTTCGCCTTCCTTTCTGCGCCTATCTTTTCTTTTTTTTTCCTTTTCGACGCCTGTTCTTTTAGGCTCGGAGTTTATAGACAGGCTTATGACTATGATGATTTATGCTTGAGTGATGATCTGTACCACCATACCGACAGGTACTGGGCGGAACATACTGATCGAAGGCTTACCTACGGGCACTTTCTGAGTCCACATTTAATCTTGATGACAATACTTCTTAATAAGAAATGTGGAAGTTTAATTCTTTCAATGGAGCCGTCCTACTTATTGGATTATCTTTTCGATTTGTCCCCTCGACGAAAGTATCTTCCCGAATGCCGAAAGATGATTCAGCTCTTTTTGGGTCACGAGAATATCTGGAGGGCCTATAAATCTTCGGAAAATGACTTTGTAATTGAAATTGATTCTTCTCTCCGCTAAAGAGCAGAGGAATGCCTCTTATGATACCGAAATTTTTATCATTTTATAGTTCGATATGGCAACTACTGAAGTCACCGAGATGGCAAGTAGTCCTGGCACAACCAGGCATTATTTCAGCCTTTCTGAAGAGCAACCAAGTACACTTGTCGATGATCCCTCGGTCAGCGAGATTTCGGATCGGACCCCGGGCAACAAAAGCGCATTGGTTGAATTCAAAGATTTGTGTCGGAAGAATGGTCTGCACACCTTCACCAGAGCCGATAATAGCGATGACACAACTATTCTATAAGTTAAGCAACAATATATCTTTTCTTTTACCGATATTTTGTATTAATACTAGTTGGTATTTTGCCTCCAGGCGCTTTGTAAGAGCCCAACAATTTGATGTTAATGCATCATTCGATCAATTCCACCACTTTCAAGCCTGGTGTAGAGAACGCAATATTTCAGGATTTTACAAGAATCTTGATGTTGATGTATATGATGAAACCCGCAAAATGGTAGGTGCTCAAATTTCCTCAACTTAGCAACCTGCTGAACATCAAAGTTTTCTTAATGGACAGGTCGACGAGACAATGAAGGGAGACCGATTTATGTTTTTCAAGTTAGAAAGCTCACAAAGACAAGCTTGGATGGTTATTTGAAATTTCTGAGCAAGACAGAGGGACCAGCCTCTCACGCTCATCCCGATGTGCCGGTCCATGTGCTTCATCTTCACGCATTATACGAAAATCCCTTGCAATTCGTTTTCCCCCTCGTTTCGGAGCTACCTCGGCTAGATGCGAAACATCCTGTCTCATCGTCAACACATATTGTTGACATCAGGAACCTGAGCGTGTTTCAATTTTGGAGCATTCGCAAATATCTTCAGGAAGCCAGCAGAATCGCCACTACTCATTATCCAAAAACTCTTGGAAGAGTCTCTGTGAGTAAACTGTTCCTAGGGCTCCCTACAAGGTCCTTTGGATTAAGAGACCGAACTGACTTTGTCTCAGGTTTTCAGCGCTCCTGCTTTCTTCAAATCGGTATGAAAAGCAATAACCTAGTGGTTTGATCCTTAAACAAGGGCGAAGATCTTCGTGCTCTCGTCTTCAGAGTCTGAGTTGTTTTCTCTCGCGAATATCGCCGCTTTAGATCTTCCAAAGGAACAGGGCTGGAGACTTGAGGGGGACCGGTAAGATCAGCCCAATTTGGATGAATCTACTCGCCATCTAGTAGATGAAATTTATCAGAAAACTGACAGAGGTAATGCTTTTTTTTCTAAAGGTCCATTATTATTTCAAAGATGGCTGCATTCGGCTTGTTGGGTCGCTCTGTGGTTTGCCGCGGCGCAATGTATTCTGTCGGCTCTAAACATCTCCCGGTTCAAGCACAATCTGAACACTTTGCGTCGATCTATTCTGATTATTCTTTCCGATTTACTTGCTACGTTCATTCTTGTAACCCTCTTCTGTAATTATTATCAATCAATGCACATAGCTAATGATAGATACCATTCTTCGCTAAACCTCATAGGATGCCAATAGATCCTCAGCATGTACGTCTTTAATCAAAGGCATTTCGCGATATTTCTGTGCTTACCCACTTATTTAAGGAGCGCTATCCTGGGCCTACCGATGTATGTTGGATCAAAATTGGCTTTACACCTCTTGTTATCGAATTCTCTTCAGCTGTTTCTATTTGGCTTTTGCTGGAGGACCGGGAGATGAATCTTGACGCTGCATTACTAAACGCTTATTTACCTCAATTTTCATTGAGAAAGCTCATTTTAATTACAAAGGCACAAGTCCGCAACGAGTCTTGATATTCAAAGCTATCAATGAATCCATTCAGAGAAATCAAGATCCTGAGATGAGGTGATATCTTGGTTCTTCAGCATGTCTAACTCTTGATTGCTGAATATGTCATTTTTCGAAGATTGAACATCATGAGGCTTTAGAGATTTTTTGCCATCCGATGTCTCAGGATCTGCCTTATTTTCTGGGGCAGCTTGGGATGCCACAGAAAAAAGTTGTCCCAATATAATCACAAAGCTCCGGGAAATAGCATCAAGCTCGGTTGGAAGGCTCTGCAATGCATTTCTCGCTTTACTGATATCGTGTATACAAGTGATTGAACTTGGTGCGGAAGGATCTGCTTTGATGTGGATTAGAGGGACGATAAGTGCATGAAACAGTGCATATCTAGAAAGAAATAATTAGTGATACGTATAATCGCCAGGTAAGGTGGTGGGTCTTCTTACAAAGTGAAAGAGAGGGTCAATCTGGAATAGCGCCCCAATATGAAGGAATTGGAAATCATATCGATAGTGGTGCGAGCAATTTTAAGACCCTGGGCTCGGCAATGAGTTTCAGCTGGAAAGTTGGAAGTTGAAGTCTCTCCATCAATGGACTTTTTCTTCAGCCATCGTAGAAGTAAAGGTCTGTGGATGAGGAGTCGAAGACTACGATCACAGAGCACCTGTCTTCGACGCGCAGTCAAGTACCAGTCTGGAGTTGAAGAGGGATTTGTGACTAGTAAGCAGAGAGAGCTCCCTTTGTGCCACTCATTTATCATTTCCTCTGCCTCTTGAACTTGCTGTGCTGTGAAATCGGTACAAGACAGAATTTGGCGATAGATAGTATTCGCCATTCTATGGTAGCTGGATTGTTGGATTAATCCTGTATATATAGTTGTTTCATCTGACTGCGGCGGAAACAATGTACTTGAGGATGTGAGGGACTTCATAGTATTTGTCAACGACTGCCTAGGAAGGGGAACACACAATGTGGAGGGGTAAAGCCTACATCTTCATGAATGTTCGAAACTGGCTTAACGGTAATTAGAGCGTTTTCTGGCAACAAAAGTGGCCGACCGTAGATTTTGGCAGAACAGCTTTCTGCACAGTACACGCTCCACCAAATCCGCCGGCGGATCTCTTTGTCTAACTCAGTGCTTTTAGCACCAATAGGCTCCATTTGTAGATTGAGGGCAACAGATGTTTGGACTGCAGACCCAATATAGCGTCCGCTCTTTTCAGGATTGCCCTGCTTTTGTGCAAATTCACTTAGCAAAACTAACCCTTGTATTAAAACGAGGTCGCCTTGGCTGTCCATGCAATTTTGTTTATAATTATTCTCAGCTCTGGCAAAATAAAGCTTGTCCAGGTTCTTTTGGTGGTCTGAACTCAGCCAGGCACCGATTGCAAGGACCATGTTGGCCAGGACAGGCCAGTGAGGCGAGGGCTGTTGCCCCCCTTGCACCGATCGAAAAATATCCTGGTTTAACATCGGGTAGAGGGTGTGATAGTATGTAAAATAATTGTCGATGAATTTTGATTCTTCATCAAAAGTCGCCGATGGTGTAGAGATTTGTGTTGTTGACTGAGTCTGGTTGTCGATGTCCATTGGCGAAGTGCTTTCGAGTGTCGGTGTCATGGATTGGTTTGTATTGAGAAAGTTATCAAACATCAAAAAATTGGCGGGTAAATTGCTCCCTATAGATAACAAATCGTAGTCTATATTATTTGGTAGCAAATTTCCAGGCAACTCTTCAGCAAGAAGATCGCGGGTGACGTTCTGCATCTCTCCGCTTGGAAACAATTTTCCAAGCACGGACTCTAAGATATGAAGTCGGTTTTCAACCGCGGTTAGGTGTCTTCAAGCGATGAGTCAGCTGGTCAAACCCTTTTGGAAAAATGCAGAAAATATAGATATTGAGTATCTTACTCCCGTGTAAGAGGTGTCCGGGACACCTTCGATGCATATACACATTCTCGGTTGTGGCGGATGCACGGGGCACACGGTTGTGTTTTTGAACACTGGGAAAATCAGAATGATATCTTGCTATTGAGGTGAAGTATTCACGCACCTTAGCTTTGCGCGTCCGGCATTCAAGACACTTTTCTGTATTAGTAGGGCTGGAATTATGCCACTGTCTTAGGAAGGGGTCGCCTACTGCTGGAACATGAGAATTGCGGCCAAACCCTCCTGGCTCGTAGCCTGCCATGGTCGGTCTGTCGTTTCGCAGTATTCGTAGCACAAAGATTACTAGTCGGCCATGATGACGACACTGTTATCTTCAACTGACCTCGTCAGAGTCGGGGCGGGGATCATCTTTGAGTGGGGGTGCACAATCCCTCTTTTAAAGCCGAGGGGGCGATATATTACAAATACATAGCCGGTTCCACCCAAATTCGGCCCAGTGCACGGGGCGGTCTCCCAAACTCGGGTTTTTGCGGCAGAGCCAGCATAGATGGATGGTAACTAATTCTCATCGACTACACCCTCCGTTTCATTGAGATTTTTTCCGGGCAACTTGATGTAATTGAATTTCTGAGTCAAGCAGACCATCTATGAAAAGCTTAAAACAATGAATATCTAAGTACTGAAAAAGAATTATTTGCCGAAAATATCCAATCAAACAATGTCACTCTCTTCGTAAAGCAAACAAAAGGGTGACTATGCTATGGTACATGATGCTTTGGCTCTTAAATCTTGACTTTGGCCGGGGTCTTGGTTGAACTCTTCGCTGAAAGGATAGTCAACATAACCCTGGGATCCCTGTCCGTACATTGTTGCCGCATCGAACTGCGCGAAGGGAAGTCCACGCTTGATCTTGAATGGGAGGTCGGGGTTTGCGATATACGGGCGACCAAAAGCAACGACCACATCGTGATTGGCGTATATTTCATCGACAGCGGTCTTCGCAGAGTCTCCATTGTAGTTACCGGCGACTAGAACGGGACTGCTGTTACCATAGGCCTCCAGCAACCATTTCAGATCATTATCCCTTGCATCGCCCTCGCAGGCATGAAGATAAGCCAATTTGAACTGGGCTAGTTGTCGAACAACATCCGAGAATTGAGGGATGGGATCTTCCATGCGCATTCCTTGGTATCTGCTCCACGGGCTCAGGCGAATGGCAGTGCGCTGGTTGCCAATTTCGGCGGCAACGGCGCGGGTAACCTCAACGGCGAGTCTTGATCGATTAGCAATGGTTCCGCCCCATTTGTCCATCCTTTTATTGGAAACATCTTGAAGGAACTGATCCACGAGGTAGCCATTGGCTCCGTGGATCTCCACTCCATCAAATCCAGCCCTCATCGCATTATTGGCCGCCTTTCGGAAGTCGTCAATGGCATCCTGGATCTCCTTTTCGGTCATAGGGCGAGGCTGGTGGATCTCGTCGCTGAATGCACTTTTCATTGGGCTGTCACTGGCTGAGAGAAGCGGATGTCCTCCTTGCTTTAGGAAAGCAGGGTTTGCAGTACGGCCCAAAGCCCAAAGTTGGAGATAAATGTAGGACTCTTTGCGGTGAACGGCATCTGTTACTTCTTTCCAGGCAGTTACTTGGCTGTCACTGTATATCCCAGGCACATTGGGATATCCTCCATGTCGAGGGCTAATAACGGTAGCCTCGGTGACAATCAGGGAACCTGGTACGTTCGCACGCTGTTCGTAATATTCTTTCACAGAAGGCAAGGGGAGGTGCGACTGGTCGGCACGGAGACGAGTCATTGGAGCCATGGCAATTCGCTGATTGAGGGTCTTTCCTCCGATTCGAAGTGGGCTGAATAGTCTCGACATGTTCGCGGTCTCTTTGTCGAGTCAAGGTTGAATTTGCAATTTTCAACAAAATGGCCGAATCTGTAAGTGTGTCTTGCATGTGTATATTTTCGAGCTTCTTTCCAGCGGGGCATCACGGTTTAAAAATCTATTCAAGTTCCCCTCAATATGAACCTCGAGGCTATGTCCCGCTCAAGGATTAATAATGTCGCGCCTTGCACCGTAACATAATTTGTCAGGATTCCACAACCATTCGAAAAATCAGCCGAAGAGAACGAGACTGAACCAGAGCGGGATACACTACTCCGTATCCATGCTTGATCGCTAACTGATATTAGACACTATGGAGTGACCAGCATAGCTCGTCCGCATGACAGCGCGAGCTGCCGGGAAAGAAAGACCCCACAAGTTTGAGTGGATCCGGAGATCCGGAGTAGAGTCAACCGTTATCCCTATTGGTCGATCTTTTCTTCGATCATTACAAAATGACCCACATGCGGCGATTTGCATGATTCGAGACTATGACACCACAACGTATTCATGTCCTTGAGCTCGACTTATTTATTCCGGTCCCCTAGTGAACTTTCGACAAACCTCTTCAACTCATCTCCATATTCCAGAATCACCCGTTTCCATTGAAGGCACTCTGCTGTTCTCGTTTCGCTACAAACCCTATTACCTTTCGACCATTCAATTCAACATGACTATCACTGTTGGTGTCGCGGGTATTACGGGTAAATTTGCGCGACTGGTTGTAAAGAACCTCTGCAACTCTCCTGATGTCCAGATTCGGGGCCTCTGCCGCAACTCATCAAAGCTTCCGGAGCATTTTCGGAGAACCCCCCGGGTGAGCATCATTGAAGGCGATTCCACCGATCTGGACACACTGCGCCGCTTCGCTCACGGCTGCGACGTTGTGATCTGCTGCTATCTTGGTGACAATGATTTTATGACCAATGGTCAAAATTTACTTGTTGACGCCTGTGATTTGGAGAATGTTAGCCGCTATATCGCTAGCGACTATTGCTTGGACTTCACGAAGCTGGAGCTCGGCCAGCATCCGGCTAAAGATCCTATGAAGCACGTCAAGGCACATCTAGAAACAAAGTCCAATGTAAAAGGTGTGCATGTGCTTATCGGAGCCTTCATGGAAACCTTCTGGAGTGGCTACTTCGGTGTTTGGGACCCAGGGGCCTGCAAACTCAATTACTATGGCAATGGTGACGAATTGTGGGAGTCTACCACATATGAAACTGCTGCTCAATATGTTTCAGCTGTAGCAAAGGACCAAAATGCAGTCGGTATGCAGCACTGTGAGTCAATATCCATATAACCGAACAATAAATCACGAACAGATCACCGACTAGGGGTATTATTATTATACAGTCCTTGGCGATCGCCGAACAATCCAGGAAATTGCTCAGGACTTCGCGGATGTCTATGGAAAGAAGCCTCGGCTTGAACGCCTTGGCTCATTGGAGGACCTCTACAACAAGATGCAGACAACTTTTCAAAAGGACCCGTCCAACTTCTTCGCGTATATCGCCATGTGAGTATTCTGCCGCAAATTGATATTCTGACACTTACTGACTCCTTAACTACCAGGTTCTACCAGTACTACTGCACCAATGGCCAAACGTATTTAAAAAAGAACCTGGATAATTCCAGATATCCAGAAGTCAACCCCGTTACCTTCAAGAGGTTCCTCCAAGCTCACAAAATGGAAGATCTTACCGATGCGTATCAGAATGCGGGCTCCAATATCTAGGAAACGAAAAATGCCAGAATTCTGAAGGAAAGCTAATTTGATATGGATCGCATCTCATTTCACTGCCTTTACTACCCTTGCTCTCTATTTATTTGACGTACTGGGAAGTTGGAATTGGAGAAAAGGTACCGGGTATAAAAATTCTGAACGATTTGCCAGCGGTATGGTGAAGATATTAAAAGACCGCCTGGAATATCAACTAATATCGCGATAATCGTGATGCGTGATCAATTTGACAAATTCAATGATTAGCAATATTCTTCAGCAAAAATGGAAGCAACCTTATAGGACGCCCCGTCACATTGTAGCAGGAAAACCTCGGCTTTTTTTTCTGATGTATGCACCCTTCAATGCGATGACCTAAGTGACAGAGCGCGACAGTATAGCTACAAATATCGATGACACCGCCAGGGTATGCGATTGTGGCCATGCTGGACAAGTATTTGGGACGTCCGAGGCCCCACTAGTGAGACGAGATCCGATATATCTCCGGAGCTGATGATCGCCTTATAGTCAGACTGCGTTTTCACAATTAAATTACATGATACTTAATGTTAACATTCTCTGTATGAATCGGCAGCTCAGCCAAGTTGTACTCATCTCCATGACCGTCCTCAGTTGTATATTTTTTACAAGCTGCACAATATTCAGATTACTTTTCGCCCCAAGAATCAAAGAGCTAAATGCTTTTAAAAGATGAAAGCTCTGCTAGGCTTACAGGGAGTGACTGGGACTTCTGATTCCGAACAAGAAAAGAAGACCATTCCGGCTGGCTTATGGAGATGAGATGCTTTCTATTTAACCAGGGCGCTAGACAGCAAGCCTGAATGCAGGCATGATGAGATGGATCAACGAACAATCCAACAAACCACCACACACTACGATAGCACGGTCTCCAAATAGGAAACAGACACCGTCTGAGCGAAAAGAGTGTAACTACTATACTGTGAAATTTCATGTAAAAGTCTAGCTTATATATTTTGAACTGTATCTTGGCGATGACTATTGTTCTATGGGACAAGCCAACTTTTAGCTTTATTGCTACGGAGTTGGCCCTTTATAGCTGAGGGATTACAGACGTGATGTGACCAAATAATAGAGGAACAGTCAATTTCAAACGTATTATCCTAAAGGCGCTGGCTTACTCCCACCTTCGATGTGGTGGGTAGCATTACCGCAATCTTTTGTTTTAATAGAGGTAGTAAGTTTAAAGCATGGGCGTGCTATTTGTCACGAGACAAATGGCAAACTATAGTATACCAATTCAGTAGTAGCTAAATATATCCAAGGAGATAAACGCTGATTGTACATGAGGTATCAGAGGTTAATGGAGCACCGAGCGATCACTGGGCATTAATCACAATAACCCCACTGATCCGATCACTCAGTCTAAGCTGGTACTATTATCTATCACTGAACCTAAGCCTGAGCGCCTTCAGAATAGCGACAGCAGCCAAAACAGTATAATCGCCCCTGGCAGACTTTATCCTATCTAGAAAGGTCCAGATATCAGAAATTAGTTCGAAAACAGGTAACTACGTGAGGTGTGATGAATGGCCAGTCTTGCGGGGTTGAGTTCAGCCACGTGGTTGATGGCATGGTTTTTTATCAGACTTGTCAAAAATGGAAAATTTAGTGCATGCGAAATACTGATATTATAAAAGGAAGAAGAATTACTATAGACTCAAGCTAAGAAGCATCCAACAAAACCGTAGTTTCAGAGCCTCGGGCATTAATCCAAAGTCACGGGACTCAAAAGCGGGATAGGATGACATAGCGTGCACGGGCCATTAGAGGCGGCAAGTTTCGTCCAAATGCGGAATTCAGGGCTTAGGGTTAGAGGAGCCCACGACGGGTAGCTCAGTAAGCGAAAAAATCCACATCTGAAGCCAGACTGGGAAACACTTGGTCTTCAACCTCACCAACGACATCGACCGACAACAATGGCGTCTCGCCCGACCGTTTCTATCGCCACTGCTGAGGGCAAGGCCTCCGGGGCCTCCCAGCCCCTGCCCTCTGTCTTCTCTGCTCCCATCCGTCCGGATATTGTCCAGTATGATCCTCGAAAATTCGAATTCGCTCATCGGGGTGAAAATGCTGACATTTTTCGCTCTTCAGGCAGGTTCACACCGGCATGGCCAAGAACAAGAGACAGCCCTATGCCGTGAGCGAGAAGGCTGGCGAGCAGACCTCCGCTGAGTCCTGGGGTACCGGTACGTGAGATTGAATAATTCGATATGGGGAAGAAAATTTTGTCCGGACAATGGAAGCAAATTTTGCGGGGATATGCTTCCCTTAACGGGAACAATTGATACCCAAGAGACAGAAGCTGACAGTTCAACTTTCGACATTCAACAGGCCGTGCTGTCGCTCGTATTCCTCGTGTCTCCGGTGGTGGTACTCACCGTGCCGGTCAGGCTGCCTTCGGTAACCAGTGCCGCTCTGGTCGCATGTTCGCTCCCACCAAGGTCTGGCGCAAGTGGCACCAGAAGCTCAACCTGGGCCAGAAGCGTTTCGCTACCGCCTCTGCCCTGGCTGCTTCTGCCTCCCCCGCCCTCCTGTTCGCCCGTGGCCACCGTGTCGCCAAGGTCCCCGAGGTTCCCCTCGTCGTTGAGTCCAAGACCTTCCAGGGTGCTGCCCTGACCAAGACCAAGGCCGCCATTGCCCTCCTCCAGGCTCTCGGTGCCGGCGAGGACCTCGTTAAGGTCCAGAAGTCCCGCAAGATGCGCGCTGGTAAGGGTAAGCTGCGTAACCGCCGCTTCCGCCAGCGCCGCGGTCCCCTGGTTGTCTACAACCCCGAGACCGATGGCAAGGAGCTCGTCAAGGCTTTCCGCAACGTCCCCGGTGTTGAGACCTCTTCCGTCTTCTCCCTCAACCTCCTCCAGCTTGCCCCTGGTGGTCACCTCGGCCGTTTCATCGTCTGGACCTCCTCTGCCTTCGAGGCCCTCGACCAGGTCTACGGCACCACCACCACCCCCTCGGCTCTTAAGAAGGACTTCCTCCTCCCCTCTAACATGGTTGCCAACGCCGACCTCGCCCGTCTCATCAACTCTTCTGAAATCCAGTCCGTGCTCCGCGCCCCCAAGGGTGAGGCCCGCACCAAGCGTGTCAACGTCCAGAAGAAGAACCCTCTCCGCAACAAGCAGGTCATGCTCCGTCTCAACCCCTACGCCGCTGCCTACTCCAAGCAGAAGCTCGGCCAGCAGAAGGTTGAGGCTGGCAAGCCCCAGCGTGCTGCCGCTTCTTTCCAGAACGTTCTGGATGAGGAGTAAGCGTGCTCTTGCTACAGTTCTTTGGATATGGTGAAAACTGGTAGTTTCAGCAAAAAATGAATCAATGAATTATTTTTGCAATACCCATGGGTTCTATGGATTCGGAGTAATAATATGATCGGTTTTATTCTCTCTCATTCCTGCAATGATTCACCTCCAGTGGTAAGTGTTACCAAACAAAAAATAGTACAATCAAGAGTAGCCGTAGGTCGTATAGGCTTTGATCGCACTGCCAATTGGTACCTCGATAGGCATTCCGTAATGTTGCTAGCCCAAGACCAATGTGGCTTAGGTCGGTTTTTCTTTTATTTCCTTTTTGGAGAAGCGAGGTATAATTAGTTGATTCTTGCGAACAATGCGTACCTGTACGCTGATCCTTTGCGGACGATGTTCTGTCGGCCTGATCATCTCTTTGCATCTAAGCTACCGTTTTCACTCCCCCGCCCATAACGTCAAATCCTGTACAGGATGTCCAATATATTATTTAAGGCCACGAAGCTACATTCTTGCGTGGGTCGCTTCATCGGTGACCAAGGCCAAGGAGCTAGTTGCGTCTTTTAGGGGGGTTGCGTTGCCGTGGCTATGCCGTTCATGGATATATATTTGATGGTCTACGTGTACCCTGCATAAGCGAGCATGCACCGACAAGCAATGCCTGTGTAGTACGCCTTAGTGACGATCCCCGTCGATTTGGCTATTGTTCCGCTAGTGATTACAGCATCATGGACGATGGCAATCCTGGACATCTCCCGGGCCGTCCTTCCATCTGCTCGTAAGAACTCTCGCCAATTGCATGTACCTTATTCAACACCACCGCGCATTGTGTTCATGCGAGAGATGCTCGGCGGGATTTCGTGCAGCGTGCTAGAGAGAACGGGGCTCAGTCGGAGCTCCTGGACATCTCCATACCAAGCTATCACATGTAGCCCCACGATCTCTTGGAGCTCCTAGGTACAGAGATGTTTATACTTAGCTCGGTCCGGCATCTCCGGCGGATGCAGACTGCAGAGCGCCCGTCGCAAATAAGCAATGGAGCAACAGCCGTTCCAGGTGCAAAATAGGAAATTAAACGTCAAGGTGAAACACGCCTGGCCCTAAAACAGATGAACTAGTGTAGTCTCTAAACTCCTCATGACACGACCTTCCAGGCTGCTCATACTCGGAACGTTTCCAATGAGACAATCCCCGATTACATCCTGGCGATCATAATTCACGGTTGAGGCTGATGCCTGCACATCAGACCCCTGAAGGCTGGAACGACACTCAATTCGAAACGCGGAGACACTAGAGGGCAAAGCTTCAAGGAGAGATTCAGGGACACGAGGAGAACATGCTGAATGCTATCCGCTTCAATGTTCACATGCCAGTTCCTTTCCTGTCCCCTAGCTCCGGATTCCATTTTTTTCTATTTCTATCAAAGCCTCAATCTATTAGACTTTAATCGGCAGCCGCCGGCCCCCAGCATCCTTGACTACAATCTCGCGGATCGAACTAGCAGATACAGACATCGTGGGATCCCAGCTGGCTGGGTCGTACGAGGTCCTCATCCAACGCAGACAGGACCAGCACGACGCGGAGGAGAAACCAGGAGACGGGAGGGGTTGCAGAAGGGAGGGGGAGGGTGCACAGGCGTTCTATGTGCCTAGTTCAAAGCACAGACACGGACGAACGCTGGTATTCGGGAAAGTCCACCGACCTTCCAAGCGAGTTGCACCAAGTGGGATGGGG